GTAAGGAAGTTATTAGTTAGAAAGGTAACTTTTAAAAATAATATAATATATATCTTAAGATTTTATTATATATAGTATAGGAAAGAGAATAGCTAGTAAAGGGACTTAGGATTACTAGTTATATAATAGTAAAATAAGTAAAAAAAGAAAAGTAACTAGTATAAGACTACTAAAAAGAGTATATAAAAGTAAGTAATAGCTAAAGTAAACTTTTAGTATTTATCTAGAAAAAGTAGGGCCCTAATATAGTATATAATTAGAATAAATACTAGGTAAGAGATAAGAATATTTTAGGCCCTACTAATACTAGTTAGCCTTAATAATACCTAAGGGCCCCTATGTTATAAGGGGTTTCCACGTACCTAACCTAGGTCGGACCTTGTGGGTATTTAGTGGACGAGAGTGGATAAATAATAATAGGGCGCGAGAATATCCTAGCCTTACTATGTAAGGCAAGGTAATAATTATATAAGAAGACTAATAGATCTTAGTGTAGAAGATATGCTCTAATTTTAACTATAGAACTTTAACTATAAAGAATAGGAAAGATTCTAAAGTCCCTTTAGACTATATACTATTCTTTATTATTTAGGAGATCCTATCTAGACTCTAAAGTCCTAGGACCTCCTAAGGTCCCTAGGGCCTTTAAGGTCCCTAGGGTCTTCTACTTATACTAGACCTTATTATGTAATAGATAATATAAGCTACCTATCTAGCTAGCCTATAGGGCTTAATCTAGCTTACCTCTATTATTAATATTCTAAGTGTAATCCTCCCCACTCGCCTTACTTAGTCCTGCCGTGATCGTAACAAAGGCCTATATAATATCTAACTTTATAAACTATTTATAGTTAGCTAAGAGCTATAATATTTCTTTTATTAGGGGTAAGGAATACCTATTTTTTTTAGTAAGAATATTTAATATATAGTAATTTATATAAAATTAGAGCCTTTCCCTTAGCTTCTAGATAAAAAGAATAGATACTACTATACTAGATTTACTTACCTAGATAAAGCCCTTATTTAGGTATTTAGTAAGTTCTTTTTATAAAATAAGTAGTTCTCCCCTAGATATTTTATATAGGGGCCTAAAGGGTATTTCTAAAGTATAGCTATTTTTCTACTCTAGTTTTTTTTTTTTTTTTTTTTTTAGAGTAAAGCTGCTATTATAACTACCTAATAGTAAAAAAATAGCTAGTTAGTACTATATATTAACTATAAATAGCTCTCTATTATATTCTATATATAATAAGATAAAAAAAGAGATAAAAAATAAAAAAGGTATAGTTTATAAGGTTCTAGCTTACTAAGATAGGTTACTAAGGCTAACTAACCTAAATACTAAGGCTTACTAGCTTAATAGTTTCTCTACTACTACTAGAAGGTCTAACTAAGTTATAGCTCTATGCCTCTAGAAAGCTATAATAAGTAGTATAGTACACTTTTTAGTTAGGCTAATACTAAGTATGTATTTATATAGAGGTCTTATAATATTAAAATTAGTAAAAGGAGATAATAGAGAGGCTCCTACTATATCTATTAAGTACCTTAGTAGTAGTAATATCTAGTTATTAGAAAGTAACTTATAAGATAACTAAGTAGAAAAGGTATATAATACTTTAAGTAGTAATAGATATTCTATTCTATTTATAAATATTCTAAATATAGTAACTAGATAACTAATTAAGGGTAAAGGCTTTAACCTAGCCTATACTAGTAAAGAGTTTATCTCTATTAATAATATAGATCTAATAAAGCCCTACCTATATATATAGCTTATAAGTATTATATATAGCCTTTAACTCTAACTCTAATAAACCCTTATACTTAGTAAAAGGATACTATAGCTTATAGTCTTAAAGAATACTTTTATAGAGCTTATTAGTAAGTTAAGTATACTATTATTATATAATATATTACTAACTACTTATATAGGTAAGCCTCTATAGTAGATAGCTAGGAATAAGGAATTTATTACTAACTAATAAAGGGAGATTATAGTATTTCTTAAGAACTAGATAAGAGGCTATACTAGCTTTATAGCATAGATAATAGTATATAAGGCTATAAAGCTAAAGTAGCTTATTAATATAGAGGCCCTATTAAGGGTATTAGTATAAATAATCTATATAGGTAGCTATTAATAATAATATAGTAGATATAGTTAAGAGTACTATAGTATATTACTTAGGTTATAAGGTATTAGTAGGTAAGGATAAAAGGTATAGGAGATATTATTAGTCTACCTAAAGAGATTAAGTTACTATTAGAAAGTGCTAGGTATACTATAAGAATATTAAGGAGGTGTGTTAGTATTTAATTTACTACTAGTTAGTGCTACGTTAGTATAGAAAAGGTATAAAAAGGAATAAAAAAAGTATAAAAAGAAATAGAAGGTTCTCTCTTATTATAAGTATCCTATATAGTTCTATAGGCCTAGATCTAGGTCTAGACCCGTTATAGGGTTTACTAGTATTTAAGGTTATACTCTTAGCTACGTTAGTAGTCTATTTTATTATTACTTAAGGTATCTATAAATATTAATACGTTATAGCTTAGTACTATAGCTTATATAGTAGGTAGGGCTATTAGCTTTTAAGAAAGTTTTATATTTACTTACTTAGTATATATACTAGCTTATATAAGTATCTTACTAATACCTAAGCCTTTTTTTATTTTTAGATAGCTAAGAGATACTATATAGCTAGGTAATATAGCTATTTTAAGTATTAGCTTATATATTACCTTATATAGTTACTAATTCCTCTTAAGACTTATACTATAGTAGGTTTAGGTTACTATTATTACTACTACTAAAGCCTACCTCTAGGTTAATAGTATACTATATTTTGGCGCGGTAGCGCTATTAGTTTATTATTAGAGGTATCTTAGTTAGTTATTTAGCTAGCTTTTAAGGCTTATCTACTACTACTACTATATACTATAGTAGAGGCATAGCTAGGTTAATAAATATACCTAAGGGGTAGAAGAAGCTAAGGCTATACTATATATTTCTACCTAAATTTGCTAGTATAACGTAATAGTTATTCTTATTAAAGCTATTACTATAATAAGGGAGATTAAGGTATATAAGGGAGTTAGGAAATATACTAGGTCTATATTTAGGGCTATTATAGTAGTTATTATTACTTATTATAGTAATAAGTATTTACTTATAGGTAGAGAGTTTAGTAAGTAGGTAAGGTAGTAGACTAAGTATATAGACTAAATTTTATAAAGTATATATATATATAGGTTAAAAATTATAGTGGCCTATAATAGCTCCCTTTATTATTATACTAGGTTTCTTAATATTCTAAAAACACGCTTAGGTAACTTCCTAATTTAATATCCTTATATAGTTAGATAAATAGACTATACTATAAATATATATAGAGTAATACTATTACTAAGGTAAGATTATTACTAATATATACTAGAGTAATTTACTAGGGATATAAAATTATTTTACTACTATATAGATAGGTAGTCTTATTAAGTTATTCTATAAGTAAGGTTTCTAGGTATTATAAGTAGTAATAGTAGTAGGGTAATTACTAAGCGGCTTTATATACTTTACCTATAGTATATTAGAATATCTTATAATATTAGGTATTAATCTAAAGCTACTTTTCTTTACTATTATTATTATATACTATAAGTAGTAAAGTAGCATAGGTATATAGATATCTATTAGGTAGCTATATTATAGTTTATTAAAGGGAATATAGATAGGAGCGCGTCTATTTAATAGCGCTTTTATATAAAGTCTTAAGTCTTTCTATAAGGAGGCTTCCTCTATTTATTATTTTATAAAGATATAACTACTACTTTATTTTATTCTTTACACTTTATCTAAGGGCTATATATATATTAATTCTAGTATTATATATTTATCTAATATAGGAGATTATTAAGGAGATATTATCTACTATCTCTATTAGTAAGTACTTTACTTTAAAGAGTAAGGTAACTAAGGCCTTATATTATTTATAGTATTACTATAATATAAGCTTTTTACTCTAGGCTTCCTAGGTATATATATAGTTATAACTGCTAAGTTAGTTATAATAATTATAACTATAGTGTAAGGGCTCTATTAGGGGCATTACGCTAAGAGATATAAAATAATAAGCTAGTTAGAATCTAAATATAAGATAGTTATAATAGGGAGCTATCTAGGGTAGCTAAGAGCCTCTATAGAGGTATATAGCTACTAAGCCCTAAGTAAGGCGCTAGTCTTACTTAGGAAGTACTAAGGCCTAAGGTAACTACTAAGATATCTACCTTAACTTAGTAATAAATACTATATAAAAGAAAAAGGGTAACTAGTAAGTTATAAAGTAAATAAAATACTAGTGTTTAGGTTATAAGTACTTATATATTTTACTAATCTAGTATAATCTCCTATATAGTAATTCTAATTAATTAGCTTATTTACTAAACTTATTTTCCATAACACTATATAAGGCTAGTATAATTATATAATAGTAGGGTATATATAGCCTATAAGCTAATAGATTAGTCTAGTAGTAATTTATCTATCTATATCTACCTAGATACTATAAATAAATTATTAAAGTAAGAGCCTTAGAGATAACTAAGCCTTACTTAAGTAATTATAGGATAAAGGCTAGCTAAAGTAGTATATATATAATTAATTAAATTAATTATATAAGAATCCTTAGTATAAGTAAGGGCCTATTTTAGGTTATAAGCGCTTATATATACTACTAATCTAGCACGATCTCCTATATAGTAATTCTAATTAATTAGCTCATTTACTAAGCTCATTTTCCTCAACATAAATGCTAATACCTACTCTATATAGTAGAACTACGTTACCCTATACCAGAACCCTAACAGCAACCATGTCGCTCCTACAGAGTCGAGTGGATAACTAAACGGACTGGCAGCAGAGTGCGCGAATAGGACATTTACACTACCTGTCGATTGAGAGCTTCGGTTCATTTGGGGTACATACTTAATTGATACATTATTTATATCCTCGTCCTCTGCTTATCCCAGATGTCCCTAACCTTCGTCACCCACTCATCCTGCACGAACGGCTTAACCTTCACAACATTGCCATTCCTATCTGCGACACCGAATTCCATACCGGGCTTCCAACTCCCTCCCTCGGCACTCATCTTCATACTGGTCATCATCTCCAGCCTGCACAGCGCAAGCCCAACATTTCCACATGTACTGACCAGCTTGCCGGCAGCTCGGCCCCTCTTGACGTTGCCGTCTCGATCCAACTGTTTAATGTCCGCGCTGTCAAAATGCGCAGGGTCCAAATTCAAGCTGTCCTCGTTGTACGTAGGGATCTGCGAATGGGAGTCTGGGTTGCCATGTCGTGCGTCAGCATTGGAGAGCTCAATGGGGAGGACGCGCTTTCGCACGACACCAGTATGTTTTGTGCGAATGGTGAGTTCCTGGCCGACATAGCACCCTTTCTTGAAGTCGATGCCCTGGCTTAGATCGACGTTGTATTCCATGGGCAGCGCACTCTCCCGCGGTATCTCCTGCTGGCCTTCAGGAATGCCGTAGTTGTACCGCAACCGAGTATATTCCCTAAGTAATGCGTCCTCGGGTACCGGCATAGGTGATGATGTTCCGAGGGGCCGGATCAGCGAGCGACGCATCGTCATTCCGTTGCTGACAAACCGCGGGTCTTCGAAGGTCACGATGATCTGGTGGAAGTCGTCGCCGATCACTCCTTTAGAACCCCAGTCAGCCCACACCTGCAAACCCCCGGTACCATCTTCCTTGTCTGGATTCTCTTCGACAACTTTGATGGTGATCTTGCTTCTGAGCTTGTGCCGCTTGAGATGCTTAAGCAACGACTCAACTTCATCCGCATCTACCTCTACATAGCACGCCCAATCGCCTCCTGCCATGCCTTGCTGCTCTTTCAGTTCTGGGAAAGTCCAGATGAAAACGTCCCACAGCATTCTACCCCGCGCATCCAGGAATGCTGCGTAGAAGGGCGTTTCCCTGGACGGATCAACGTTGTTCGTTACGAGCCCTTGAAGAAACTTGGCTGCATCGGGACCGGCGAGGGCTACCAGGCGTCGGTTCGTGAGTCTGGCGCATCCTGGTCCAGGTGATGCCCCGAGCCGAGGTGGCGCGCAGGCGAGGAACGGAGCTTCAGGCGTAGGCGGTGCATTCTGGGTTGAGTTGTATCTTCGTGACTTCGTTTGTGCGTTGCTGAAGCTGGCACGTTGTCTTGGGATTTGGGAGGTAGCGTGTTCGCGATCGAGGTGTTGGCGGCTTGATGTTATCCGGTTCGCGGCAGAAAAGAAACGAACCGAGCCGGGCACGGGTCTGCGCAGCGCTTCCAAATGGCCCAAGCAAGCTTCACAGATGGTTGGTGCCCATCGCGGCCGGGTGCGCGCAACGACTGAAGCCATGATGGCGATGTGAAGAGTGACGCGAAGCTATGACGAAAAGCTCGGGAAGCGACGCGGTTTTTACGTTTAGCGACGGACTTAGTGCATCCCTGCACATTCTTGTGAAGGTGGGACGACTAAAGTGGACGAAGCAACAGAGAATTGCACATTCATTGAATTGTTGGTCGAGCCTATATATCCCCTTGTAGTATGTAAAACATCATAAGAGTTAGGAGACTCGACAAAAGGGAACCCCACCGCTATTGGACAATGCAAGCCTTTAGTTCGTGGCCATTGAACCCATAGCCCTATACAGAACAGCTCAGTAATCTATGTTAGACAAGTTACCCATACTGATACGGCGACATATTCCCGAATCTTCGGATAAGACACGGTACTGAAGCTTATCCAAGCTTGCCGTTCTTGACGAGCTCACCTAACAAATGGGCCATTTTCACCGCGCTAATGCTCTCGACAGACGCGACAGACCATGCTGCTTGAGACGGGCCCACCCGGCTACCTGGGTACAGGTAGATGATATAATAGCTGACGAGCAGCGTGGCGAGGGCAAGGTTAAACGCAGCCATCAGCTTGATCACTGGACGGAAGTCAAGGCGATTGTGACGCAGCTGCGTGAAGGCAGCAGGTACGCGTGGTCAGCTGATTTGCGTGGGACCTCGGGAGGAAACAGCATCGTCCCCCGACTACCCTTGCTCTCCAGGTCCACAAACGTACGCATTACCTCTCGCACACCAGCGGGTGCGATGCCACTAACAAAGATACGAGACAGCATATCATATAAAAGAGAGAGAGTATTTAACGATTGGTAACGCCGAAAATGCCACCTACAAGGTACATGTACTGATATCAATGCATAGCCAACGCCTTCGCTGACCTACCCAGCATTTCCTAGCACACAAGTAACCCTCTACATGCACATTAAGCTCTTTTCGTTGCTTCAAATCAAGCCTCAGTCATTCTTTCTAGTGTTTATCGTCAACCTTTCCCGTTCGTCATCGCCGCTCCCGGGCTCCATATCCTCATCGTCGCTCCACTTGTCGTCTTCACCCACGGCAAAAATTGTGTCGCCATCCAAGCTTTCTCTTGGCGGAACGACGGGCTTCTGTGGCTTAGGGGCGGGTAGTGGTGAAGCATCGCGGTTGAAGGGTGGAGGGCTGCGGTGTCTGGGGGCTGGGTCGTACGCGGCTGGACCGCCCCCTTCTTCCTCGTCCAGAGAGTCGCGTAATGATGCAATTTCGAAGCCTTCGTCGTCTTGTGCAATCTGCATACTGTCAGCTGACGAGTCATCGCCCGCAGAGTGATTAACTCACCTCGTCACTCATGGCGAACCGCCTGTTGTTCGCCGTAGGCCTCCACATGTACGCAACGAAGCACACATCTGCAAAATACACCAGATTTAACCAGCCGTCCAAAACAAACCACCTCGTTTGCCAGTGTGAGGGCGCGAAGTCAGGATTTGAGACGCCAGCAAAGGTGAAACTGTTGAGGAAGAAGAAGCCGAAAATGACGACGATGCTCGTCAGAATACACCACCAGAGCTTTTTGTACATGTTGGCTTTGACGTGCTGCTTGCGTTCCAAAAGATCCTTCATTGTAAGGTTTAACGAGTTGAGGGTCCAGATGTAGAAAGCCGTCAGGGTCGCGGAAAGGGGGAGGATGACCAATAGCACAAGCGGGCCTGCATCGTCTGGTCGAATTGTGAGAGATGCAACGGCGTATACAACACCAAACACAAAGTGTGCCACGGCTAGCCACCGTACAATGATCATTGTCTTGCCCAAGGTGTGCTTGACCACACCATATCCCATGCACACAATCAGCAGCAAGAAGAAAGAGAAGGAGTTGCGGAAGGCGTTCAAGACGGCAACAACAATCATCAAGACCTTGGCGCCCAAGTTGTTACCATGGCGGTTCTGGTAGTCATAGAAGCCCCATGTCATCAGCATCTCCAAGACGAGGAACACCAAGATAGCCGTGATATAATTCTGTACGGCAAGAATGTCGTGCCGGTGCTGGAAGTACAGGAAGCCCCAGAAAATGCTGACGACGAAGTATGCGATCGTAATGCCGCCGTAGAAGGGCAGTTTTGGTATTTGGGCCGCAGGCAACTCTCCGTAAGCGTTGCGGAACGTCACGATGGCTTCGTACTTGACACCTTCTGTGAATGGTAGGGTGGCCACGCAGTAGTAGCCTGTCTTGAGCGGCACCTTCTCCGCATTGTCCTTGTTGGGGTAGTTGATGGGTTTCTTCTTGTCGAGGTGGATTGCTTCGGTGCGGATGAGGTTCTTCGACTTGGCCTCGTAATCGTCGGCGAGGATCCACTCTGCTTTGTGTGTCTCATTGCAGAGATTCTGTTTTATGCTTTGGTCGTCGCAAATGTATATGAGCTGTAGCACGGTCAGCCTGCCCTAAGGGAGTGCGGATGCGACGGACCTCCTCGCCAGTTTGCTTCCCAAGAAGCGCCGAATCCTTCCATTCCCATACTATGACACTGACTGTCGGATCCTTCAGCTCCTTGTTCTTGTCCGTGTCTACGAATTTGACTTCAATGAAGGGATCGATAGGGCCGCCCCAAGACTTCTTGCTGTACATGCCCGAACACTTCTGCTGGTCATCTTGCGTCTGCAATCCGTGAGTCATGGTACGCAATTGGAAGACGTGAACCGTACCAAGACTACATCGATGGCTGCCACAGCTGTCACCATTGACAAAAGCAGCAGCCCGGCTGTCCGCAACCATAGCTTCATGCTGCCTCAGAGAGTTGAGGCCAGCTGGCGGAGGGGGCGGGATTGCGGCGGAGCTTCGTTCGGAAAGGCTGAGGTGTTTCTGCAGTGGCGACGAGAAATTAAGGGTCGGTCGACATGGAACTACATGCGCCTGTTGTCGTGGACGTGGAATCTTCAGCGGAGCGCGCTGGAACCTGGAGCTTGACGCGGCCTTGGTGGATCCACATCACCGAGCATTGTGGCGCTTGCGCTTACCTTGTTGCCAGGTGTGGCGCAGCACGCTAGGAATGAATCACCCACAGGCGCACGCAAGACCGTGCAATCCTAGACAACCGCCTTTCCAGGCCAGCACCGCAAACATGCCAGGCACACATGTCGCGTATGTCGCAGATCAGCTTTGCAGGCGTTGCAAAGAGAATCAAGCTGTTCTCCTCGTGCGCAAAGACCCTCTCTGCCGGTGAGCACATGCATTTCCTGTGAGGCGAAATGCAGACCTGCTAACGGCGCAAAGGGACTGCTTTGTGAGATATGTCCACACCAAAGTCATCAAGCATATGGAATCGTTCCGAGTCCGGAATGCAGATCCCAACCGTCAACGGAAATTGTTACTGGCTCTCTCGTTAGGCGCATCGTCCGTGACTCTTCTCCACATTCTTGACCATTTGCTCGAGACCCAAACGAACAAAACTGGCCGGACTGGATTTGGACTCAATGTGGTTTTCGTTGAGACTGAAGACCACACTTCTCACCAGGATTTGCTTGCAAAAGTTCGGCAAGCGTACCCAAAGTATGACATAGCATCACTGCCACTCCAAGATGTCTTCCGATTGGTACAAGAGGCCACCGATAGTCTGTCAGATCTACTACCAACCGCCACTGTTGGAGAAGAAGTACCTCCAGCGCACAAACTTGCACGTTTGTTTAGCTCGCTTACCTCTGCAACTGCTCGCGCAGACGTCCTCACCACGCTTAGGACGAGGCTCGTTGTAGAATACGCAAAGTCGTCCGGTTGCGAGGGCGTACTCTGGGGTGACAGCACAACAAAACTTGCCGAGAAGACCCTAACCGAGACAGCCAAAGGACGCGGGTTTGCTCTCCCATGGCACGTAGCAGACGGCGAGTCCCCCTTCGGTCTGACCTTCAACTACCCTCTTCGAGATCTCCTCAAGAAGGAACTCGTCGCCTACGTGGATATAATCGGGCGCCCTCTTCCATCATTGGTGCTTGAATCCGCGCCGACACAAGCTTCTATGAACTCGAAGAACACTACCATCGATGACCTTATGAAGCAATACTTCGAGTCGGTCGAGGAGAACTTTCCCAGCATCGTTTCAAATGTTGTCAGAACGACTGGGAAGTTGGCAGCGACGCCCACCTCGACTAAAACATACAAATGCGATCTCTGCAGTATGCCCGTAAGCGACGGTCGCTTTGGCATCCATGCATGGGGAGGCGATCAGCACGGTATCATTGACCCTGCCAGAGCTAGTAATGGGAGGCGCCTATGCTACGGCTGTACCCGGTCCATCCCACAGACCACAGAAGCCGCGAATGGAAGCACATAATCTTCATTGGTGATCTGGACTCGTACACACTTCATCAGGCGGTCTACATGATAGACTGCACCAAATTTCGACGGCCGAGCTAGATCCGGAAGAACTGCCGCCAAGAGCCGATTCACGATCTCACCAATTGTTCAGCAACGCCGCCAGTACTCGATGGCCAAGCGGGCTGTGTTACGCCTCGTGACAATCACGATTGACATTGAGGATACTGTGTGGCTGTATTCAATGTAGTGTGTTATGCAGGACTGAAATACTGACCACGATCCGATGAAAGAGTCCCTTGTTGGGACAATAACCGTGGAAGACGAGCGAGACGCATACTTCGCAGTTTCGAAAAGCACTCAATAGTCGTGTATGTACCTGCGTGATCATCATCTCGGAGGCGTGTAATCAAGGGCGATGTGGTTCGCTGTTCCAGTTGAGCAGCGCGGCGACCTTCCCGTTCTAGCGGACTAACAGCGGTCATTCGGCTAGAAGCGAACAAGGCGCTGTTAAGGCGCGTACATCGCCATGCTTATTTCGTAAGCCTTGTCCTTCTATCGCTCCCCAACATGCGCCTTCGACCAATCGTCGTACCACGAGTCCTCGTCTATCGGCGCACCGCCTCCCGGACAATGTGAAGACGCGCACGTGTGGCTGCCGAGGCTTAAATACAAGACCATATGCTGTTGAGCTTCTCAAAGCACGTCAAGCTTTTGCTTGTTGACAGTAGTGTAACGCTTCGTTATTGCTGCTGCTTCTTCACTGTGGGCGACATGTTGGCTACACTAAAGGTGTTCCCGCTCTTCGCGGCGTGCGCTTTGGCGTCTGCTAGCTATCCAGCTATTCCGTCAGACAAGACAACCCCAGTGCAGCAGCGACTCGCCGTCAAAGGGCCAAATGGTGAGTCAGAAACTGCATGAAACCACGTAATAACTGGCTGATGTCGTGGAAGCTGTCTCTGTCGGTTGGAATACCTACCAAAAGCTTGACCAGCCATGCGTTCAGTACGGAACTTCAAACACTACCTTGTCGTTCAAGCAGTGCTCCACCAGCTCAGTCACATACCCGACGTCACGCACATACTCCAACGCTGTGACTCTTACGGGCCTCACGCCAGCTACCACTTATTACTACAAGATCGTGTCAACAAACTCGTCTGTAGAGCACTTCCTTAGTCCACGGGTGCCCGGTGACAAGACGCCCTTCTCCATAAACGCCATCATAGATCTTGGCGTGTATGGTGCAGACGGATTCACTATTCAAGGAGATCAGACGAAGCGAGATATCATCCCAACTATTGATCCATCGCTCAACCACACTACTATTGATCGTCTTGCGCGGACGGTTGACGACTATGAGTTCATTATTCATCCGGGTGACCTTGCATATGGTCAGTTCGCAATCATGCCCGAGTCTGCAACATAACTAACCTTCCTCAGCCGACGATTGGTTCGAGAAGCCCAAGAATCTTCTTGACGGGAAGAACGCATATGAGGCCATCTTAGAGCAATTCTACACCCAACTTGCCCCAATCGCCGGCCGTAAGCTATACATGGCCAGCCCAGGAAATCACGAAGTTGCTTGCCAGGTGAAGAAACTAGATCTGCCCATGTTATTTCCCTACTAACTCTGGTCTAGGAAATACCTGTGCTTACTCTTGCCTGCCCAGAGGGCCAAAAGAACTTCACGGACTTCATGAACCGCTTCGGACAGACCATGCCCGTGTCTTTCGCTTCGACTTCCGCCAACGAGACGGCCAAGGTAAACGCCAACAAAGCCGCAGCCCTCGCAAAGCCACCGTTCTGGTATTCCTTTGAGTATGGAATGGTCCACGTCGCAATGATCGACACCGAAACCGATTTTGCCAACGCGCCCGACCAGCTCGGCGGCTCCTCAGGCTACCTGGACGCTGCGCGCTTCGGCACCACAAACCAACAGCTCGACTGGCTCGCTGCGGACCTCGCGTCCGTCGACCGCACCGTCACTCCCTGGGTCATCGTCGGCGGGCATCGCCCTTGGTATACGACGAAAGGCAGCTCTCCCTGTGACGCTTGCCAGAAGGCCTTTGAGCCCCTGCTCTACAAGTATGGCGTCGACCTCGCCATTTTCGGCCACGTGCACAACTCACAGCGCTTCCTGCCCGTCAACAACAGCGTCGCAGATCCTGCAGGCCTGAACAATCCCAAGGCGCCGGTGTACATTGTTGCTGGTGGTGCGGGCAACATCGAGGGGCTGTCAAGTGTGGGCGGCAATTATACTACTAATGTGTTTGCATATGCAGATGATTTCAGCTACGCGAGCGTGTCGTTCCAGGATGCGAATAAACTGAAGGTGGAGTTCATTAGGAGTAGCACGGGCGATGTGTTGGATTCGAGCGTGCTTTTCAAGAAGCATGATCAGCAATTTGTCGTGCAATAGCATTGAACGGTTTATGGACGGACTCACTTTATGTGGGATATACAAAATCTGGCTAATGATACTGGGTTTTGCGAAAGGACACAGAAGTGAATATTGCGCCCACCACCATCGCGTCAACCCGCTGCCTGGCTCTTACTCTCCCTATCCCCAGCCTTCCCTCCTCGCACATTCCGCCTCTGCTTTTCGCGCTCCTCGTGCCCGATGTTGATGTTGAAGTGCTTGTTGCGGATCTCCTCGTACATCTTCCCAGCCGTAACACCTGTGGCAGGCTCTACCCACTTTCCTGTGATCTGCGTTTCAAGCTGCTTGCACTCCACAACAACAGGTTCATGCGCCCTCAGCACGAATACGATACTATGCCGATATCTCTTGACGCTTGTGCTGACCCCTCCCGGGTTACCACTAGGGGTGCAAGAACGCGGCTCTGGTGCACCATACGACACAACCCTATGTCCGCCCGCCGGGTACCGCCCATTGCTCAGCCTCTCCAACTGCCGCCCCACAGTATACGTCGCTTGATGTCCTATATAGCCCCTTTCAATGTCAATCCAGCTATTCCCATCCCAGACCTCCAACCCCGGGACATCGCCGACCACTGCACTCAATAGTCCCAAATCGCTGTGCGGCTCAGCTACAACTTTGGTTTCCCACCCTTCGTACCTGAAGATGCGCAGCATGGTGGCTGTTTTGTCTTCTTCATTTTCTCCCATTTGTGCGCAGGGTCCGACGAATTTTCTTAAGCCCGAGTCTTCTTCGGCAGATAGGTTGAGGGATATGGAAATCCGGCCTAACGTAGAGTCCAAATGCGCACCCATGAGTTTCCAATATCGCTTCGCTGGTGCTTTGAGCACATCAGGCGTGTACGCGAGAGTGCGCAGTGTGATGAATTCTTTCTCTCCTGGAATCTTGGACCAACCTTCCTCGGTGCCTAGACGATGCTTCCATTTGGCTTTCTCTTCGTCGGGCGAGTCGAAAAAGGACTGAACGGCAAGGAATAGGTCTTGGTAGGCGGCTTGGAGTGGGTGCGGAGGAAATGATGAATCAGTTGCATTTGGCTGAGGAATGGTGATAATGGTCCAGCCGTGATGGGAAAGGAGGTGTTGGTGTTCTGGGAGGACCAATGGAAGGGGTGAAGGGTTTAGTGGAGGATGGTTATCGATTGGTGTGGTTTGAGGTTGAGGCTGGGAATTGGGTTTCTGTTTTCTTGAACGAAAATGTGCGATGAATTTAGAAAGGGTGGTTGTGGAAGCCGCCATATTTGGCAGCTATCTCGTAGCGATGATGCTGTGCTGTACAGATGTCTACGTGTATAGCTGCTGGAATCCTGTGAAGATGCGTACGGGTATTCGCGAAGCGAGAATATAGCGTGTTTACTGAATTGTCGAGAGAATGGAGGAGCATTCGTTGAAGTATGGTTGAAATGACGTCACGTGAACCAAGCCACATTTACACCGCCCCTGCACCATACCTCTCCCGCCACCGAATACGAGGCACACTTTCCCACTCGCTTTTCCTCTTCCGACTGCACAGTAGCATTTATGATCGATCCCTTCGTTTCATAGTCATTTGATGGTGTTATTAGGAACTGCGTTGAACATTTGAATTCGAAACGCGTTTTTCGATGCTTACATAGATGAAGCCAGCTATATTATTTCTACTCCAACTATGATAACATGCTTCGCTGAACAGACTATACTCAGCGAGACGACCCCTGTAGCATGTGCCACTACTAATGGAGCGTCGACCAAGGAGTGATAACGGGCTAAAAGAGCAGGTAGGCGGCGATCGTTACATGGTAGTATTACAGCATAGAAAACAAAGGAAACTTTTCAAGCGTTCATGATCTTTGAGGCAGCAGGGTGATGTAGTCGATATATTATAAAGGGGGTATTAGAAAAGTGATGCACAATCAATATGCGAGGAAACAAGGGATTATAGGGAAGGAAACGCTTCTACCGCCGACTACTCCTCGTGGTGTTACGGCTGGGTCGATCGTCACGTCTGTCGTTTTGACCATAACCCATCTCCTCGTCCGTAACCCTGTCGCGGCGACCGGAGTATGCGCGAGCGGGCTGTCGTATGTCGTCGCGGTCGTCGCGACCATCTCTAATGATACCGGCGCGCTCGTACTCTTCATCTGAAAAGTCCTCGTAGACAGTAGCGGGTCTCGGTGATTTAAGGCCCTTAGGCTTGTACTTCTTGTCGAGGTGCTCCTCAAGAAGTCGTACGTTTTTGGAGTTGGCGCGGATAGCGGCATCTGCAAGATCGCCGATAATGGGAATGAGGCCGACGACAAAGTCGATGATCAGGTTGAAAAGCATCATCATCAAGACACCCCGGGGTAGGCCGCCTTCAACCTTGGTCATGTTCTTGACGAGTTTGGCGGCGAGGGCGGTGTCCATGGCATCACCGGCCGCAGGAACGATACCGATGACAGAGGACCAGCCGAAGCGGATACCGAGGAAATTGAAGAGACAGCAGTCGAGCCTATAGGCAGTTTTGCGGGCGCGGGCGAGAATATTGGCATCGTGCTCTGGGATGTAGGCCGGTACCTGCTTCTTGACCTTTTTCATTTTGCCAGGCTTCCTGGGGTGCGGTATCTCTTCGTAGAAAGGATCCTAATGCGGTCAGCCTGCAAGTCAGGAGGTGCAACATCTCAAGGCAATGATCTGGAAGTACAGTATAATTGCAGCGGAGTAGAACTTACATATTGACCGACCGGCGCCTTGTCCTTGTACTTGTTCATCTCGCTCGACAGCATCTTGCGCGCGGCATACTTTGCAATGGCCTGCGTCATGATTGCGGTGTCGTCGTTCTCCTGGAATGCGACAGACGAAGTGGTGTTTGAGGAGGGTTGGGATGAGCAGCACACTCAATGCAGAGCTGTTTGACTTATAAGACCAGCAACAAGCCAAGAGGTTATGGTGAGCGACTCGTCGCGCGGCTGGCTCAACGGCTGGGGCTGATGTGGTTGGCGGGCGGCTCTTCTCGTCAGGATTTCTGAAACGGGCGCGTCGTCGCTCACTATGTATAGCAGGCGAGCACAAGCCGTGAACAAGTCGAGAGGCGATGCTGGCAGAATGAAACAAAGAAAGCAGAAGACACTGCCAGCTAATAAAGCGGTTTCGGCGGTGTGCTGGCGTTGGGCGATTGCATGGGCTTGTCCTTGATCTCGACTTGTTCCAGACGTGGAAGACGTCACACGCGCGTTGCTGGGCGCAGCACCGCCACACGATGCGCCACAGCCGCCTCCTCTTCGCGCTGCCCGACGTGCCTGAACGACACGCTGCCCGCATCCGCATCTGTTACCGCCAACACCACACGCTTTCACGTGCCTGTTTCTCTCACATTCTTTACTTCCGAGCCTCACGCCCCGGACGCCCTCGTTCGCCCTCGTCTCACACCTTCCCGCACCGATACCGTCATTGTTTTGGGCGCAAGAGCTCCGCTGAGCTCCCCACACGACTTCGGCCCTCGCTGCCCTAGGCATGCTGCGCGACACCGGCCAAACCCACCACCATGACATCCCCGAACCAAAGCCTGCTTGACTGGCTAGACGACCTCTGCGTACGATTCATTGTCAACCTGCCCCACGAAGAGCTGCAGTCGGTGGAGCGCATCTGCTTTCAGATCGAGGAGGCGCAATGGTTCTACGAAGACTTCATCCGGCCGCTGGACCCGCGGCTGCCGTCGATGAACCTGCGCATGTTCTCACAGCGCATGTTCCAGCATTGCCCGCTGTTTGCTGGCTTCTCCGAAGACCACTTTCTCGAGGCCTTCCAGCACTTCCTGCAGTACAAGACCCGCGTCCCCGTGAGAGGCGCCATCATGCTCAACCATGACATGACCCACGCGGTCCTGGTAAAAGGCTGGAAGAAGGGCGCCAAATGGAGCTTCCCACGAGGGAAGATCAACAAGGACGAGCCTGACCTAGAATGCGCAATACGAGAAGTCTACGAGGAGACGGGATACGACCTGAAGGACGCTGGCTTGGTGCCGCCGGAGAGCGAAATGAAGAGCATCCCCGTCAATATGCGTGAGCAGAGTATGCTTCTGTACGTGTTTCGCGGGGTGCCCATGGACACCTACTTCGAGCCGCGCACGAGGAAGGAGATCTCGGTAGGATATGGTAGCTTGCCTCTAAGATGCGCCGCTAACAAGGACAGAAAATCGACTGGTACAAGCTGAGCGATCTCCCAACCCTCAAGCGCAAGAACCAGGTTCAGCAAGGTACTGGCCAAGACTTGATCAAGGACAATAGCTTCTACATGGTCGCGCCCTTTTTAGGCCCGCTTAAGGCGTGGATCAAGACCCAACGAAAGCAGGACAGGCAGAGGGCACACGCTGGCTCCCACTTAGTACCGCCGCCGACAGCAGGCGTCACGGACACAGAAGGCTTGGAGGCAGACCTGGGCGAGACCACAGCCGACGAGGCTGCCATGCCCGAAAGGATAACCGAGGAAGCCAGCTTCGCAGCATTGGTCGCAAAATTAGGCAGGACTCAACGTGCGAGCGACACACTCCCTGAAGTCTCCACGCACGCGCAGACACAAGGTGTCGCCGACCCCGCCGCGGAGCTCAAACGGCTACTGAGTGTGGGCATTGGCTTTCCATCCCAACCTCAAGCAGTCGAAGCGCGCCAGACCGTTCAAGAATCTCCGCCGAATCCGCTGCTTGCGATGCTTCATGGCAGTAACAGGCCCGCTCCGCCTCCAGACCTTCTGCCCAGAACACCATTCGAGCAAATCCTGCCCACTCCTCAGCCTCCACGTAGTCCGCATGGCCAGCACCACACAAGAACACCTCATCTTGGTCAGATGCCACCACCGCCTCCGTTTCCATTCCACCACCAGCAGGAAGGGCCTTTTCATGGCCAACAGCATCATCATGTGCCTCCTCAACACCATAATGGATTCCCTCCTCCAACCCCAAACCAATTCATATCACCGCCACCCCCTCAGCATGGCAACCCCATCTTTCCGACACACGCGCCGAATGTTCAGCAATCGTTCAGTGCATCAGGCCCACCACCACCCTACCAGCGAACCGGAGATCCACAATTTGCGCAAACACCGCAATTTCCCAGGTCGCATGGTCCTGCTATTCCACCAGCTTCAAAACTTCCACCGCCAAAGCTCACGGCGCATACGCTTGGTTTGTTGAATGCATTCAAAGTTAACGAGAAGCCTGCCATTTCTTCGCCTATTGCACAGGCGCAACTACAAAGCTCACAGGCAACACCGATAACGACAAGACCGCCGCCTCTGCAACGTCAGCCTGACGCTTTTGTCTCGCCGCCGCCTGTGCAGAATTCTCGGCCCTATGCCCCGAGCCCGCCTGCCTTTCAATCACCTCCGCCAGTTGCAAACTTCGAGCCTATACAGCCGAAACCGAGGAATGCTCATCAGGACTCTCTCCTTAATCTCTTTCGATCTCCTTCGACTACAGCGGCCTCTCCCGTACCCTCAAAGACACCGGAATTGCCAGTCGAATTGTCCGCCTATCCTTCGACTCCCGGCAACATGAAGTCGCAGACTGCAGTAGAGGCAGGTCCGCCTATGCCTGATATGCATGCCAAACCAAATTTGCTGAATGCTTTTGGCATACCGCAAAAGCCAGGTTTGACAACGGCTACCATCCGTGGGCCCGTTAATGCGCCAGATTTCGATACTGTAAAGAAAAATGCCCAACATCCTCTCAACGGAAACTCACGGGGACCATCACCGTCGACGACGAAGCCGGAGCCGAAGATGTTCGTTCCACAGCAGATTCTCAGACGAGAAAGCTCTGTCCCGAGAACAATTGCAGCTGCAGCAGCAGCACAGAGTCGAAGCTTGAACGCTAGCCCGGCTACGGTGTTGGATCCTGCGACACCTTTCAAACCACAGATCCTGAAGCGGCGACAGCACGAGCCAATTCCTACTTCTACTGCACATGCGCAGGGTCTACTGAACTTATTCAAGACGCAGAGTCATCCGCAGCCTGAAGCTGTGCCTACGCCGGCTCCTGCGCATACACAGGGTCTTTTGAACCTGTTCAAGAATCAGACTTCTCTTCAGCCCGAAGTCGTACCCGCGCCGGCTCCTCCCTCGCGATCGCCAGCCCCGCCTGGCCCCGTTCCTGTGTCCTTCGATCACCAACACAGTATACCGACAGACCAGAAGAGTGCGCTACTATCTCTCTTCGGCAAACCCTCTGCGTCATTCACTGCATCGCCCACTCAGACTGCGAGATCTCCGCTCATGACATCAGCTACAAGTCCCATTCCTCCAGCCCGATCGCCGCAACCGCCGACACCCAAAACCTTCATGTCCGGTGTTATCAGTCCAGTGAGTCCTCTCCCAGGAAGCCAGGTCGATAGCCCTGCGCAGCTCAACTCGCGATCACGCATATCGAGCATTGGCGATTCCATACCGCCGAGTGTTGTGATTCCACCGACAAACGCGCCGACATCATTTCCCCAGCTACCATTGTCCCAGCAAAGTAACGGTTTCGGTACCCCGATGGATGGCAGTCTTATGGGCTCTACGTCTGCTTCTATTTCCGAGCTGGGACTGGGTATCGATAAGGGCAAATCCAAAACAGGAATGGACAGTGGCGGGAAGAGTCCGGTAGATAAGTCTTTCTTATTGGGTTTCTTGAATGATGTGGCGAGGAAGGGTCGATAGGCTAGCTTTTGTCGAGAGCTGAAAGACGAGAGCTCTAGGTTAGCTCCGGTTTGATTTGGGTTTTGTGGAGTTCAAGGACTTCTTAAGATCTGTATGGGATATTGCATGGCCACGCGGGATGTTTCATGAGCTTTCATTTCTTTGTGGATTTATATGGGCCCATGTCTACCAGTCATGCAGATATCAGGTTGGTATGGAAATCGCAAAAGCATCAGCAGCATCATCCATACTTTATAGATTTCCGTCACCACCGTCCAATTCAAAACTGATTCTTAAGTTGATACAGCCTCTATTACCAGCGACTCTTCTCCTCTACTCTCCCTCCACCTATTCGTCGCCCTCAGCATCTCCACACAACCCCTCAGCAAAAAGCCCCACCTGCTCAGGAACCCCGGGCTAATCTCCCAGCTGGATATCAGCCAGGGGTCGCCCCAAACTAGCAAGCCACGCGACTCGACATGATCGAAGCCATCATACAGACCGCCGCAGATGTCATCGCAGAGGGCATCGTCATTGAAGCTTCCGGTGGCGATGATGAGGTTATCTCTAAGCCTGGGACACGGTATACTGTCGATCCAGTCTTCGTGCTTTACGCTCTTCTGCAGTGGGGTTTGCTGAAACGTAGACGGTGGGGTTTTGGGCGGCTGGTGGAGCAAAGGGATGCGCACCGCGTTTTGGCACGCGGGATCGAGTGTGACTTGGACGAGGAGGAGGTTGGTCATAATGCCGCGGAGGGTGTTGTATTCTGTATGCTGTTAGTGAATGGGGTACCAGAAATTAGAAAGGAAAAATGGGAGCATACGGATCAGCGTTATGAGGTAGTGGTCTGGCGCGAGCGGGAATTGTGATGGGTGAAAAGGTGGCTGACATTCATCTGGCTGCGAGGCAACGTCTTCGCCGTTTGCGTCAAGGTACGGTATTATGGGAGAGAAAAGCATGGGCTTGTGTGGTTGGGCTTGTGTGGGCCAAGGAAGAGAGGGCTTGTTGAGGTGGTGGTGTAGATGAGTGAGGAAACCTGGTGTGGAGTATGCACCTTTTTGCACGAGAGGAGTTGTGAAAAAGGCTTCGAATGAGACCGATGTTGTTATTTTGCGTTGAGGAGGGAGAAAGGCCGTGGATGCTTGGGCAAATGCTTCGGGGAGGGACGGGCCTTGCATGGGTCGGCATAGGTCTAGAGGACGATGTGACGCCTCTTCGGCTTTGCGTCTTCCTGGCGGCCTTGTGAGAACAACATTCATTCTTAACGATATCTGGTTCGTGGGAACACACTCCATGCTCTTTGATGTAGCCTGTTTTGCAACTTCCTCCTTTCCCAGGCTGATGCTTTGCCTGTCCAGTCTTCGTTCGCATTCCGGGCCTGGTTATCATAAGCGTATTCCCAAGACTGCCTTCGGTGACCTTGAAAAGGAGAGGATTCCTACATCGTAAAGTTGTGGCTTCGCTATCATTGATATGGGGTGATCCCCTCTCCTCGGCATCCTGCAGTTTGCTTCTCCGGACCAACGAGTCCGGCGGACGAATACAAGGCACACACCACGGCTTTTCCCCAGTTCGAAAGGGGTTTCAGGGAACGCCTAGAGTGATGTGGGATTTAGAAGTGTTTGTATGCATACTGCTTACTTTGCTAGACCTTATATAGATATGGTCTGAAGGATGTTCCGATGCGCGGGCGTGGTGCAGATGCAGTTTGCTTACGCGCTAGTGCTCCATTGGCCCTAGCGTTGGTCCGCTACGGGAGGATTGTTCCCAGAGGACATTACCAGCCAATCGGCGTTAAGAAGAGGTGCAACAAAGTCTCAATCAGGACGTCGAAGTGTGCAATTCTAGAACCTCCAAGTTCCGATATAGCCACATTGTAGCAGAGAACATTGTACTTAGCCGCAGGATTGGTCCGCTGGATGACGTATTGGTGTTGAAGATGAAGTGTATATATGGCAACGGGCACCTGCACCCGAAAGCGCATTACAAGATACCTTTCAAGTACGACATCGAATCTCGAGATGAAGAATATCGAAGTGCGTGCTGATTTCGACCCTATCGAGGAAATCCCTTCTCTGGAAGGCAAGGTCCTTTTCATTACTGGCGGTATGCGTGACCAATTCTATGCTCAATGACAAACATGCTAAGCCATCCCAAGGAACTGCTGGAATAGGTGCTGAGACTGCCCGTACTCTTGCACCTCATGGACCCTTGCATGTGTACATCACTGGTCGCAATCGAAAAGCAGCGAACGCGCTCATGGAGGAAATCCGTGGTAAACATTCTTCGGTAGGCATGACGTTCGTTGAGGTGGACTTTACGTCTTTGGCGTCTGTGAAAGAGAGTGTCCAGAAGAGCTTCAAACATGAGAGGCTGGATATCTTGATGTGTACGGCGGGTGTGATGACCCAGCCGCCGGTGCTCAGTAAAGATGGTTACGGTACGCTTGCAGATATCCTCTCATCGATGAACGCCTCTACCCTTGGCTTGCTTCTGCTAGGAGAGTGTACATTGCCATCCCGGAGGTATTACTGAACATAGTCGCGCAGAGATCCAATTCGCCATTAACCATCTCGCACACGCCATGTTGATCGATGTCCTCCTCCCGACCCTCCTCCGCACTGCAAGAGCTCCCTCATCCGACGTCCGCATCCTCAGCACCACCTCCATGGGCTATGGCATTCACCCTCGCAGCGGTATTTCCTTCGAAGAGCTTGACGCTCAAAGCCCCATGTCACGCTTCATGTTCGGCGGTTGGATCCGCTACGGCCACTCTAAACTCGCCAACATACTGTACCCCGCTGAGCTCGCAAGACGCTATCCTGAAATTAAGTCGATATCGATTCACCCGGGTGTTGTGGCGACGGATCTGATGTGGAACCAGTCATGGCAGACGAGGTGGTTCATACATATTACATGTTGGATGCAGGGACTGAAGTACCTGACACCGCATCAAGGCTGCTGGAATCAGGTGTATTGTGCGGCCGTAGCAAAGAAAGACGAGCTCGTGAACGGAGGGTTTTACTATCCTGTTGGGTTGCATTCGCCGGACAAGTTGGACAAGACTGCGAGTGATGAGAAGCTGGCGGGTAGGCTGTGGGAGTGGACGCAGCGCGTTTTGGAAAGATTCTGATTTGAGAGCATGTTCGGTCTACATAGGGAGACACTTGTTGATGTAGTAATTTTCCTCTAGTCGCAGTATCGGTCGGCCCTTTAGTTCAATACGAGTGGGACGTCAATCTTATAGCTTAAAAGAAAACTTCTGAGAAGGTAATTGCGACAATTGCATGTCGAAATCTTGCTTACCAGGCTAGAGATTACTACTGTGTCATCATTAGTCCCTTCTATGAGTTCCTATACCACCTCTCTATAGCTTAATCTACATAGTTTAAATTTTGAATAGAACACTATTGCTTATCTACCCTGTTATTAGCCTATTTTCTATGCACTCAGAGTACTTGTTTTAAGAGCTTAGGACTTTACTTTACCTTATAATATGATTAAAGTAAACTATATAGTAAGAGTTAACTTATCATGTAGTAAATCAAGTCATACTAATTTATTAAAGACTTACAATATATAAATTAAGTGCTAGAAAGGTAGCAGAGGAACTTTTGCATAGCACAATACTATTCTTCACCTCCGTGGCTACTTCCACGAAACTCAATGCACTGTTTCTATGTCGCCGCCTATTTTAAATTCGAGATTCAACACGATACATGGCCTACTTGGAATTCTACCAACACCCTCTTCTATATCGCATGTTTAGTGACACCCATGGTCCAATTTATAACGCAGAAAGAGGCAGTGTGACTTTCCCAAGTTTGCCAGTGGTGATGTGGCCAACCATATCTTCATCTTCCTCTACTGAAGATACCCCAGAATGCAGAAGATAATCGAATCGCTCACACGTACTCTTCACGGGTCACTTATGAAGGACGTGCATGGGGTAAGGCATACTACCTAGGTATGGTACATGTTTATCAAAGCATACAATAGTGGCAGCGTGTATTCTCTGCCCTTGTCCAATGAAGGGATCTGTGGATCTAGTCTATTACTGTACCACAAGCTTGTTACTCTGCCTGGTCTCTGTCGCATAATTGCGCTTTGACCCAGTGACCCAGAGTTGCAACTTCCCTCTCCCTCTTGGCTTGTACGTCACAGTCGCACCTTGCTTGACATTGAACTCCTGGCAGGTAGGCCTACCATTGATAGCCCACTGCGCCTTTAGGGCCACACCGGGATCCCAGCGACCAACGCTGGCCTGAACTTCGGTCCCCACCCGCACATCCTTTGATTGGATTTCAGGTGGAGCTTGTCGTGCGATAGCAGCCTGTCGGCCGCCTCGCTCGATAACCTCCTTCCAATTATTCCCTCGCGTCGACGGCGCTGTGACATTCGAAGACAACGGCGACACCCCATCGGGAGCGTGGTCCTTGATCCAGCCATCGACAAGTTCGAGGTAATCCCATATATCTCGATCTTGATAATTACCACCGTGCGGTTTCTCCGGCAAAATAGTAACGTTTGCCCAACCTGCGCCGCCCACGGCATCTGTGCGCTTCTGAAACTCTTGTACGCCCTCGTTCAAATAGTAGTTGTCCCAAGTTCCGACGTAAATGTAGATGCGTCCAGCCAATGTTGAACCAAGATTGCGGGATGTGTTCCAGTTGCTAACAACGTAATTACTTAAATCGAATGGTTTCCAATATGCTACTGCCTCCGCATAGATTTCACCAGTAACCTTGTCCCACGGCTCCAACGGATAGTTGTTGTAACCCTGTATACCGAATACTGCGTTCCAGATATCCCACTGGTTGAAGGATCGTGAGGCTGTGCCGAACGTGAGCTCCCAATGATTTTCCTGCGCAGTAGTCGCCAGAACAACTTCGGTGCCGTTGCGGTGCGTTCGAATAGACGGAATGAAGCTACCGTTTGCTCGCTGATATGCGTTGACGTTGGTATATAGCTCAATATCTTGGTGTCGATGAAAGTCTAGTGAGTCGGGGTATGAAGAGAAGCAGACGCCGAATAGATCAGGCCTGTAAATTACGTTGGCGATCGACTCCCAGCCACCTGTTGAGCCGCCCTCTTGGATGCGTGCATATGGTGCGCGGATAGTATTAAACATTCTATCGATATGGGGAATCAATTCGTCATTGATAGCATCACCGTACGGCCCTAGGTTGGCAGTGTTGACAGCGTATGAATCGTCGTAGAATGGTGCTTCGTGGCGAAAAGTGACAAGAATCATCTTCGGTGCAGGTCGTGCTGCAGTTATGTTCGTTGCAGGGATGGTTCCATTATTCCAAGCTTCCGCGAACTCAGTATCTGAGGGATACTCAAAAGCACCCGAATCTGCGGGCCAGTGGCCTTGCGAATAGATTACCGGATAACGTGTAGCCGTATCTTTGGCATCGTACCCAGCTGGTAGAACGATATTTGCACCAATGTACCTAAACACGGGTGTACGAAGTCAGTCTAAGTCAGTATGGTGGGGTCAAGTACCAGGTATCTCACATATCGCGACCCCAAAACGCACTAAGTTGTTTGCTTCGAATCTTGACGTACTTCAGCAGTTCGGTATCCTGGTAGTTTCCTTGGTTGCAACCGCCAATCTCCGTGCCGCTTAATGGGTCAACAGCCGTCACGTTGTCAAAGACAAGCTTGAGAGTTTGCTGTCCTCCCAAAACTTCGAAACCCGTTACATTCGTGATTAGACTCCCGAAGCCGTTGACATTGGGCGCACCATCTCCGCAAGGAAAGCGGACACTAACCACAGAGCCATCACTTCGCTTGGCTCTCTCGTACTTCGTGAGGAAGGCCTGTACAGAATAAGTGCCTGGTGGCACTTCATTGAGGCTGACTTTAGGCCATCCATATACTCCGGTCTCGGTACTTCGATTGCTGCCTCCCGCAAAATCGATCGTCCTCCGTGAACTGAAACCAACCACGTTCTTTCCAAAGATATAGTTGGGCGAAGAAGTAACATCTGTGTCTTGGAGTGGATCGGTCCCATTGGGTGCGAACATCAACACGATACGGCCATCAGTCGGGGACTTCAGTAGGCCTTGTGCGACGGAGATCTCAATGTCCAGTCCATTATGACTGCCATGCTCAATGGATAGAGATGAGGTAGGAATGCCCCATCCGCCTGCTGCAAGACCAAGTAGAAGGATAGTCCAAAACATCTCCAATAATTTAGCGAGACCCAGCAGCCCGATGATTAGTTTGCAAGGCGAAGGTAGGCTTTTTAACGGTCTCTGGACCTGCGCACGAACATGACGCGGAGGCTGGATTAGCGCATCAACTTACCTAAAGAGGAAGGTGAAATAGCTAATAGGAGCTCAGACCGTCCTGTGCGATAACACAAAAATCGACAATCTCGTTACGACGGCAGAAGATATAACGGCTCATGATAGGGCTCCTGCGTCTGTGAAAAGTGGTGCTGATGTTTAGCCACCGCATGAGCGCTGGGATCGAATTCGACCATGCAAACTCATTGTACTTGCAAACGCCTGAAAGACGTTTCGAATGCAGAATTGTATTGATCAGCTTATCATTACAACGGTTTTGCTGTTTTCAATTGACCGGAATCAGCAGCTAGTGAGTATATATACCTTTGAAGACATGAAGCATGCCGAAATGCGCCAAACAGCCTTCCATGCATAAACAATTATTGATGCCTTGAAAGCCACGGCGATGAGAAAATGTACCGCAAATGCTGGACGTCGAGCTGATGTGCTATACGGTCTTCGAGCTTTGTTCAGTCAGTATGTATTCCACCCTGTCTACTCAGTCACATTCCTGTCATTCAACCCATTGCGTATAACCCGCCTTCCTCACTTCTTCGCTTCCGCTAACTCTCCAGCTTTGCCTCCAAGTTTCCACTCTCTCGGCCAATGCATCTTGTCTGCCGTTTTCTTTCGCGTGACTGTATAATAGGCTCGCAGCAAGCTCCACCCACAGATGATCCTGCAAAGTCAAACACGACAGGCTCGTCTTGCTTATGTCGCCCAAGGAGCAGGCTACGCGCAATCGGTTGTCACCGCGTACATAATTCAAGCCGGCTTTCAAATTTGGGAACTTGTTAGGGTATAGACCGTTTGAGAACTGATCGATAAGCTTCGCAACGTGACCCGTGAAGGCTGCACGGTGCTCTTCAGGACCGGGAGGGTGGTTAGAGTGCTGCGCGGAGTAATGCAGGAGGTGCATGCGCAGAGGGAACGTACTGGGCAAGGCGTCAGGGTTACGCTTGGGATCACGCTCCCATTCGCGTGTGCGTAGTGACTCCACGTAGAGGATGATAGCTTCTACGAGAAGCTTCAGCTTCGATTCGCATGATATTTCGATCGGATGGGATGGTGAAAATGGCCAGAGGAGTCGCTGCACTTCGTTGACATGCTTCAAGGTCTCGGTGTCGTGCAGTAAGACTACGGTGTATAGCTTCAGGCTTGCAATGCCTTGATTCTGAGCCCGCCCGTTCCTTGCGAAAGTGCGGCGCTATGGATACGAGTACAACACAGAGATGTGACATTCGAGACCCCTGCAGAAACATGACGGCCGAGTGCAAAGCGTGTCAGCCAGGATTTCACTGCTGGATTGCTCGCTACTGTGACATCATCTTTAAGTCTCTGGTTCAGCGCTGCAATGGCATTTGGAGGAGCGATGTTGAAAGTACAGTATGCAATAAAGTCATCAAGGAAGGAGACGGGTAGCCAATGCACTGCACTGTGAGAAGCCGATACATAATATGTCGGTCGCGGGGAACTCGTGGAATCGCAAGGTCTTGTTGAGATGCGAAGTCGAGAGCGTATGTGTGGAGGAAGAGCGATGTCTATTTTACGATTTAATACTTTGAACTCGTAATAATGGGGAGAATTATTCGGGTCACGAATTAGGTACGGCTAGATGCTCGAATCGAGGGCAATCGGATATATTACTGTTGAGAAAGGAGAACAGAGACCAAAGCATGGGCGCTTCCTCGCTGGCGGAACCTTCATCATCCAATCCTGGATGTTCGAGCGTGGTTTCAATATGCGACCATTCTGCATTTGTAATGGGGCGACGCTCTCGGAGGTTACCGGCTATCGGGACGATTGTCTCGAGAGTTGTCAGGATCTTTTCGGTCTATTTTAATGATGCGAAATTGAAGTGACGAAGCAGACTGCTTACGGTGGCGCAGCGGATGTCGATGTGAGATGCCTTGATTATAAGCACTGACAGAATGGACAAAGCAAACTGCTCTGGTAGCATTCATTATCGCCAAGCAGCTGTGCAAAGAGTTCGACAGTAGTAACTTTGACGAAGCTCTGTCGGTCCTGCGTTACTCATGTGTTTTCACGTGTTTTCGCTTTCCCTGCGGTGGCTTGCTGCCCAGCCCTCAAGATGATTGCTTCGGCGAACGTATTGATACAATTCTGTGCAGCAGCAGTAGGGGGCGGACGGAAGAAGCCAGTACATAGCGCCTGTCGATGCCAGGAGTTGTTATCAGGCCGATCAAGAACTATGCGCACGGCCAGATCCGAAGAGAGGGTATGGTGATCACAACGAGTAAGCATCCGGACAAGTTTGAAGCTGCGGCGTTCTAAGTCAATGTATCCACTTTCTTTTTCGTCTGTCGCCGACACACCTGGGACAGCTTTTGTAGCATTTGGGTATCCTGACAAAAGCGGCGCAAGCCTTCTTTCACCAGAAGGGTCATTGTCGAACACATACTGAATGGCTAAACCTTGCAATGTGTCTGCGTGGAATGTTAATAAGCGATCCCGATGCCTCTTAAAGTCATTCCAATGGTTGGCCATTATGCGAGAGACAACATCGCTTGTGCATGCTGGGATCAGTATTTGATGTATTGCGCACAACTGCCTCTGGATCTTGGGTTGTAGGCAAATTTGATGTTTCATCTGGGAACAGGCCTGGGCACTCTCTCTTCAATTTAGTATCGACTCCTCTCGCACTGCGGGCGAGTTTGTGACATGCTTGCTTCACGTCTTACACCAAGAAACTTGCCAGAAGCCCAAGCCAGCCAGAAACACCACCAACAACATCCCACGTCTCTTGCCATCGTTCACTTGAAAGTAATTTTCTCAACTTCCTGAACGCAAACTTTCGAACCGGACAGACGTGGTCTGCACGAGAGCTGCACGGAGCGTATCTGGTGAATGTGCAATCCCAAGCCATTGAGCGAATGCTCCTGGAGCTATAGAATCAAGTGCGACCAAGTTCAGAAGCTCTCGCGTCACGATATCTTCGCTGGAGCTTTTGAGGACATCTCGTAGATCTTCGGTGACGTCCTGAGCCTGGGAAGACCGAAGGATGCGAGCATTTAGAGCAGCTGACGCGATGAGTAAATCTTTCGGTGGCAGCTGAGAAGACGGCGTTCGGACAAGATGGTAATCCAGGGCAATGTATGCAGGAGCGCATACATTGGCTAGCGACGATTAGATCACATTAAACCGAGTTGTGCTGTGGTGAAGGATAGCAGGGTCGCACTCTGAAGCCACTTTCCAAGTTCGGCAAAAGTGGGACTCTCGGAAGCTCACCCCCGGTTTTGTGTTCATGATTCACGAATCGCATATTTAAATCAACAATGGGCTTAGTAGCAGACATACTTGGAAAAATAGAACGAGAGCTGAACATGATCGGTGTTCAACGACAATATAAGGAGGATGGAAATATAACATCATCGGAAGGAGAGCGTCAACGTAGTATTATGATAAGTTTTGTAAAACTTTGCTAAAAAGTTCTGTGTAGCTTTTAGTGTGCTTATATCTAGTCTAATAATTTATGATAATGAAAGGTTTAGTACTGTTAAAAAGCTCTAGAAGGTGCTTGCTAAGCTAAGCGCACATGAACTATTTCACCCCTGTTGGCGCAATGGCCCATTCTCGAAGCGCAATCCCCAAACATCGAGACCTCCCTTCATGTAGTAACATTTTGTCTTGTTCGTTGCTTTATCAAGACATTTCTTTCGGTCTTTCTCTTCATCTCGTTCCTGTAGCGAGCATATCTCTGTTGAGCAGTTTAAATAGTAGGGTATAGAGCTTGATTGTGATGTTGAGGTGAGGTGGAGAGACGCGGAGAAGCTACTTTACTTCGCCAAAAGAAGCTTGCGCTTGGCTGGGAAGCGCCCATTTCGAAGCTATTGGATGACTCTGACCGCTTGTCAACAGGTTGGTCTTCACCTTGTCCATACGGCTTCAGACGTGTGGAACAAAGCCGGACCATTCAACATTCGTGTACGCACAGGGAACTCCACAATTATGGTAGTTCCGTCATCTTCCGCTTCACCAGCCTTTTTGTCGAAGTGTCATGCGACGCTCATGCTTTCCCAATCCCTCTGTTATGCAGAGGTACAAGTACACCGTCCTCCAACGACCAAGCCGTATTAACGAAGCAATAGGTCCAACAATCGTGATTTGGCAAGTGGCTGCAGGAAGTATTCTATTAGGAGAAGAAGCAAGACGTGACCGTGCACCTGCAACCGCGCTACAGCGCGTTCTACGGTTTGGGCAATGGTCAGCCCTTGTGATACGCATCCGTAAGGAGTTCTCTTTTCGGGACAGTGGTGATCGGGAGGTGACTTACAAATGCTAGACGGATTGGGCGCAAAGACAACTGGAAAGATATGGTATCCTACGGTCTTACGATGTCCTGACAAAAGGCAAGGCTAGGCCCGGCATCTATACATTTTTACACTGCGCGAAACCTGCTGCGCTCTCTCCCTATTCTGTCTCATTTACCACATCCTGTTTTTCCAAGCCGTCGGCCTCACGGGCCTCTGCACCCTATTCATACACCAATTCTGAAAATTTCTAATCTGCTTCCTCTCACACCTGCACCCTGTGCCACCCTCCTCCCCCTCTATCACACCCTCACCAACCTTCCCCAGCACCCGACTGTCCGGTAGCTGTTTCCCCAGCGCGTTCGCAGGCGCCACAACCCACGGATCATGGAAATATCCAAAGTCCTGAAAATGATGGAGCTCTTCCGGACTTAGGAGGAGTGCAGCAGCGAAAGCGTGAACAGAGGCGTCGCCCCACCGCTCAGCGTAGAATCCGCCGCGCTCATCCAGGAAATCAAAGAACTCGCGGTGCTCCTTGCTACGGAAGAAGTCTAGGTCTCCGATCTCGAAATTGCTCCAGAAGTGGCACAAGTTCCAGGAATCACCAGAGGCGTCGTGCAGCGGCTGACTGGCCTTCAACCAGCGCAAGCCCCACGGCAACCATGTCGGCCGGATGAAGCCTTTCCACAAGGTGGTTGTTTTGATCCTCTTCATCTTTTTGAACTCGGATACTACACGGAAGAGGTCTGGCACCGTGTTATCGAGCTCCCACAGCGCGATCGTGTACCCATACTTCTTCTTCCTCTGGCGCATAAAGCGAAACGGGTCGTAGGTAATGGCACACGAGAACTGGACATGCGGCTCGACACGCCAGTAGTACTTGTACCCCTTCAGCGCAGGGACATCGTAGAATTTTCCCGAGTAGAAGCGACACATATGGTGGTAAGATTCCATATCGCCCTTGTGCACGCCCAGTGCACCGTTCGCCTTGACCAGCTCTTTCCCCTGTGCTTCATCCATCCAAGAAGGGAAGCCGAAGAAGTCACTGGAGAGGAGTTCGAATTTGGACTCGCCGCTTACGACGCTGCTGACGCGGTCTTTGAATTCGGCGCTGAAGGGCTCGTTGTTCATGAAGATCACGGGATAGTGGAACCAGTGGTTGAAGTGGTCCTCCAAGGATTGCAACGAGGAGATGGCGCTCTCAAGATCTTCATTGCGGGCTAGCATGATGATTGCGGCGTTTTCGCGCGGCGCGCTGATGTCGGGCTCGGCGCATCCTACTTGAAACACTGCGTCGAGATCTTCCGACGGCCGTGGGACATGGTAGTAAAACTGGTGGAACAGCACCTCGAGGAACAGCCCAAGGAGGATTATCCCCAAGACTTGGAACTTTGGAGAGCGCCATCGGTGGCTGCCGATGCGCGGGAGCATGGTCTATCGGTCGTAGAGCCTATGGTGTCGCCGGGGCATTGTCGCCTGCTGTCGATGCCAGCTTGGGATGTGAAGGAGTGATATCGCAAACATGTCGTAACCTTTGTGGCGGTGTTCAGCTTTTATGTTCACGCTTCGCCCGCCGAGAGAGCCGAGAAAAGGGGATCATCGGAGTTTAGGTGCACGGACTGTGAGATTCTAAAACGAAGGTGATGTGGGAAGGATTGCTGTTCCTGACCTATCATCATCACACGGTGGTGGTGTTTCTCCTGGTAATAGCCAGCCCGGAGTGCACCCCCGCCAATGGAGACAGTGTGTTGTACTTCTTAACAGCATCGTCTCGTCTTTGCGGATGGAGCATTTCATTGAGGGTCACAAAGTCTGGAGAATGTGTGTGGGGGCCATCTGGCGCCGCGTTGGCGGAGAGTCGCGCCAGGCTGACTCCAGACGACTAGAAACCCGCTTACCCGAAGCTGGAACGCAGCCATACGCACTATTGGATGATACATGGCAAGCGCGTCCACCTGAAAGGCCATTGCGAAAGCTTGTGTCATTTAGCCAGGACAGACACTCCAAGCGCTTGCTGCGGATGTCGTCGGCGTGCTGCGCCTCACTGGCCAGGGCTAGTCGTAGACTCTTGCGGTGGCATCACCGTCGCCTGTCTGCTCACAGCGAATATTCTGACCAAGAGGTGAATGTCATGTTGGATTTCCAGATGTCAATGTATGTGAAAGGAGCCGTGATGTGAGCGCGAGTACTGAGCCGAGTCTCTGGCGTGAGGAAAGAGCCACCACGCCTGGACGGAAGGCGCGCCCAATTGACACATGATCTGAACCTACCCGTGGACACATCTGGTTTTCGAAATGTACTGTCATCTGACTGCGTTGTTCTCCAGCTCCTTGTCCTGTGAGCTATGCGATGCTCTACAAGACCGAAACTCCTAATCGCATCCCTGGTTCGCATGTTATGTCAGCGCCGCTAAAGCCCCGCGCGACTCGACCTCAAAGACGCCCCACACCTCCGCATGGTACGAGAAAATGCGACATGATGGTTCTGCAGCGCTTTCTCCATCTGGATTACGTCCAGAAAGATGCGCGCTATACAGCATTGGACTGATCCTCACTGAAGGCAGCACTTACGCGCCGCAGATACGACGTCTGCACTCTGATGACCGTTACTTGAAGCACAATGAGCACCGCCCTCACCGCGCAGCAGCTCGACGAGAAGCCGCCTGATGCCTCAGCGATCGAGACAAGCAGGGATTCCTCACTACAGGCACTGTCGTCGTAGTCGTAGTCGGCGGGTCCACAGTCAACCGTCCCGAGCCCTCCTTCACGCCCGCCATTTCCCTACCACTTCCAGCAACGGGCATTCACGACCCGCGCCGCCCTCCCACCTCGTTACCACCATCAACAACTTCGATGGCAGTATCGCATAGCAATCGGCACGCGAGCGGCGCAGCTCGGGGAACTGTGTCTCGCCCGATACCCGGGGCCATCAGTACTTCTTTGGACCGGTCGAGGATCCCGTGCTCAGACGCTCATCAAGACGTCACAGGCGCAGAAATTCTTGCTCCACGATGGTCGCACATTCGAGTGGGAGTACAACAAGGGCACGGCGTTGGTCTTGATGATGGATGGCAAGAAGCTGCGGCGCTGATCAGAGATCATGAGACGAGGACACCCGGCGGCAAGTGCTCCAGCGCAGGAAATGGCGGCGAGCTCGTTCCGGGTAAGGTAGGGGGTAAGCAGGTTATCAGCAAGGAGCTAGTGGTACTCATGCTGGCTGGAGAAGGAGATCGATCGCAGGAGAACAGTGCAGTTCCTGATGATGGCCGCGGCTATTTATGGGCAATGGGCAATCCCATCATCTACAATTCTCAGAATTTCTTGAGAACCTGGTGCGCCATCCTATTTGCATTCCTACATGTTGGTTCCTGCATATTTCATAGTAAATCGACTTCATTAACCTTACAGAGCCGAACAATAGCTTCACTTTCATTACAGAGTACGCAAGTTAATTTGATGGAGCAGGAAAATGTGATGTTGGCATATGGTGGAGCCAGGCATAGTAATGGAGGGTCCTTGGTAGACTGAAATAGAGCAACCTTTCTACCTAGGTACTATCAAGTACCTATGTGGTATGAGTGTATCGTTACATATGTCGCATATGCATCCCCTCTACGAGATGAAGACAAAGCCCGCATTTGCCTCCTGACCCGGGCCCGCGCAGCTACAAAGCCTAAGTAACGATGAATATCGCTCTTTACATGTCCCCGGTTATTTTGTAGATTATACCTACCTTGGTACCTAGGTAGATACGGCGTCACGTGACACACAGCATTTGAGTAGCTGATCTGACAAACATGCAAGTTGCGAGATGAAAACCCAGGCAAGACTTGATGTGCATACATCGTCGGCAGTGCCCATAGTGGCCACTTACCATACGTCTGAGTCGTCCGTAGGCAAGCACGACCCTGTACCCACATCTTGGCATCCAATTTCAACTCCTGTTACGCGTCAGCAACCTTACCATCACATCCATCATCTGCATTTCCAGCGCAATGAAGAGTCGGCATATTCTCGGACGCATCTTACACATCCTACTTGTCTTGTCACTCAGCTACGCCTTCCTCCGCGTCCTATACTGGAGTTTCACGCTTCTAGCGGATGACGCCCAACAAGCCAATCTCGCACCACATCCCGTGAGCGATGTTGAGAATACCGGATTCGACAAGCCAAGTCCACAGAAGATCGTGCGTAACGCCTCTACCGTCGTGGGTTGGGACAGGGAAATGTATTGACGAGGATAGGCCGAATCGCTGAACACGTTCTGGCTGACTTACGATCTGGATCATTGTCGCAACGTGTGCGAAGCTTCGAGAGTGGCGTGCAAATTGAGGGACTGCTGGTATGTGCAGGGTGTTAAGAGTTGGGATCAATGAAGGTGAAAGAGAATGATGCTGTCAGGTTCGTTATCGATACGCGAGGCAAACGACGATGCGAGATCTGTTTGCAGAACGCGTGTGTAAGGTGCACGAGGCCACACGTGGTGAAGACGCGATCGATAGCCCATGCCGCAGTGATTCGGCGTGGCTTCTAGGACGATGCTTGTGGCTAGCGACCCTAAGATTATCTGGAAGAAACTGTACTGTTCCCGGTTATCGGTCTCGCTCAAAAGTATCCTCAATCAGTACACGAATGGCTGTTCTGGAAACGACGATGAACACCTCTTTGAAGACCGAAGGCCTAAGGTGTGAGTGGAACGCCTTCCATCTTGTTGTGCTGCGAACAAAGGTGGCCACCGCCTGCTGCGCTGGAACAACAAAGGCGCTGCAACTGCCACTGTCGCCGAAGGATCATGCAAGCAGCTCATTCAAATCTCACACAGACATTCAGTTCAAGCATCCGCGGCTGCGAGCACGGCGCGGGCATGCTCCATTTCCACCTCATCCTGACATCGCGCCTTCTTATCTTGGACACACTCGTTCTGGCTTCAATTTCGAGCTTGTCAAAATGTCACGAGATCGCGCGTGCATTGTCTGCTCAAGACTACCGACTGTCTAAAGGTTAAAGATTGAGCACCCAGGTGACCAATGACCATAATAAATGAAGAGACAAACACGCGTATCGCTCACGTGGGAAGCGCAATTTCGTGGGCGACAGCTATATCAACACAACAACCGCGCGTCACGAAACAACACCGCACAACGAATCAATCAACCCAAGAACTGCACCACAAAACGACTACGGACGCTGACCATGTGCAAGCAAGCTAAAACCGGATATACTGACTGCGCCCACGTGTACGCAGATGGGGACCTTGAGGCTTGCCCTCAAGCGCTTCTCTCTGACACGGACGCTGTGTGCGATGACGTGGAGATATACTGGCGAGAGCTGAAGATTCCGGGAAAGTGCCACTGGTGCCAAGAGAGGGACAAAGAGAAGAGGAGCAAGGCAAAGAAGAGGCCGGATTGGTTGCAGTGAGCGGCGCTGCTGCTTTTGTACATTGGGTGTCCAAGGTGCGCTGGCTATCTTCTTTTTCTGACACTGCAATATTGACCGCCTCGTAGCCACTGTTTAGAAATCGGTGTATTGCGCTTTGCTTGTGGGCTGAAACAAAGGTCTGGATGATTCTAAGCAACCCCGACGCCAGATTTTCAACGACAACCCGGCAAAAATCCGGGTTCCAGACTTTGCCGAGCAAATCAACGATTTGGGAAGCTGGAGCTTCGACGCTGATAGTTCGGGCCGGCTTTGCTTCCCGGGTGGAACTTTCGTGGACCGGCGAGTTATGCGCTGTGATACTTGTCGCTTAGGGTGACCAGGAGCTGGTCAGCATCTTGCTCATGGAGGTGAGAGGAAGGATCCGGACCAGTATAGCGATGCTGCAGGACATGGACAGAGCGGGAAATGAACAGTGCCAATTGCCTTTCCGGTGCACGGTTTCGGCTTGGGGGAACACAACAACCGAACGAGCCAGCTCTGTACAGAATACATAATGGGCTGAGCTACATAATCTTATGGAAAACCGAAAGCGCGATTGGTTCAAAAAGCATGGTTTACGTTCATGCAAGTTTGGAAGCTCGTCGTCTCTGCCTCCACCTCATCCCCACCCTAAGCAAATCTAGCTCAAATAATCCATCAACCCCCAAAGTCTCTACTACATTCCTCAACAGCCGGAGATACGTTCCGCTTCCCACCTCGCTCTCGCGTAAGGTTATCAGTGTACACGAGATCGTAACAGTTGATGTTCGCTTGCAAGAGGTTCATCACGCGGAATTGGAGCGTAACTTCGCTCAAGTTCTTACACTTGGCGAGGAAATCCTATAGTGCGGAAGTAGCGAGGTGTGATGGAGGTGATCGTGGCGCAACGGAAACGCAGAGCGGGAGTATAGGCGTGGCAATAGACCATTTGGCAAATTTCAATGGGGGAGGGTGCAGAGGACGTTGCTTTGCGAGTTGGGGTACGGAAAGGGACTGTGGGATAGGACTGCAGTGTTTTAGCGCTTGCCCAGGTGCCATGGTGGTTTACCTTTTGGTTGGCAGCTTAAATTAGCGTTCAGTTGAGGTGTAGCTTGTAGCAAGTTCTGTTTCAAAGCCACGTACTTGGAGACTCCGGATGCAGTGATTAAATAGAGGTAGTGTACAATAATGCACGAGAATGAATCCACTGTGGCGACCATCATCGTACGATGAGTTCACTTAACATGTAAAGATAAATGCCTTTATGCTTGCTTATTTTTTGGGCTGTGTCCGAGCCTCGGACCATCACATAATGGCAGCGAAAAGGTCACAGCGATGAATTCTCTGTCAAGTCAAATATGGGCACTGTGAGAAGCACCGTGAGCTTGGGCATTGCGCAAATCATGAACGATAGTTGTGTAAGCGCGTACTACAACATCATGAATAATGTAGTCCTATTCATTCCCAAAGGAAATCCATATCAGGAACCATGTTGTCATATTGGGCTGAAGAGTAGATCCTTGCGTGCGCTACATGCTTCTGGCTCTCGTCTCCTCGCGAATGAGCGGATATCCCATACGGGTACCGGGCGGACAAGGCGGGGGTGGCGTTTGACTGATGGTGAACTCTCGCTGCAGCAACGTGTGGCCGCCGCTACACCCATAACAATCCTCTGCAGGCCCAAAGATAGCTTCCACGATGGAACATTCACCGACGGTGTCCAGTGCACAGCAGCGACCCAACGTTTCACGTGGGCAATCGCGCTGCCCTTTAAAGCCCAGGTGGCTCTTCCTCCAGACATGTCCTGGCCATCTCCGCATCATGGACTACGCCGACAACCGCAGTGCAGCACCGCGTTCCTGAAATAGTACAATTTCAGACGCAGTGCTCCAATCGAGTCGAACCGGATGCGCGGGTCGGACGCTCCTCCATGACCTCGACACTGGGGCGTCACACCGAAGCGAGCACCACGCCGACGGGTCCCCGTCCGCCCAGCTAGCGCAACCCCTCAACACATCCTCACGCTAGACGTAGTGCGATCCACTGATCACGACCGCATGTCTGCTCTGACGACCTACAGCTACCGTAAATCAATAACACCCTCATGCAGGAACATTGCGCCCAACAGTGCGCCTCAGGTACTCGCCATTCCTTATTGGGCGATTGGATCAAGAATGGAGCCACGGCGTCAATGTTTCTGCAGCCTGGATGCTTCCATGGCTGGAGAGTTACCGTTAGGGCCGTTGGGACCATCTGCAAGTTAGCTTGGGCGGAGACGAGAAGGATGAGGAGCTGAGCTGCTTTCATGATGGCTTGTTTGGTGTTGTGGGGGCAAAGACGCGGGTATAAAGCCGAGACAGAGCATCACGCTCTTCTTCCTCAAAATTTCGCCTTTGCGGTCGCAACTCACGCACTTCCCTCTTTGTACTAGGATTTGCATCGCGAAGTCATCATGAAGTTTTCTATCGCTGCCATCTTCACTACTGCTGCCCTGGCGACGGCACAGCGAACGTACAATGTCACCTCAGCGCTCACATCAGCCCAGCTTGAGAAGTACAAGTGCTTGTGCGTGCCATCGGCCAACATCCGTCGAAGCAGACACTAATTTGCACGCAGGACCACCGAGAAATGGTTCAAAGACTTCGACATCCCCGAGTGTCTCCAAGAATGCACCCGCGAAGCAAACCGCAAAGACGGCTGCGCCTACGATGACTTCGCATGCCACAACGTCAACTACCAAGCATACTCAGACGTAAGCCGTCCTCACCCTTGCCACAAGCCTCGTTATCACCTGCGTCAATACGAGTCGAATCTCGCACTGAAACGATGCAGATCATCGAACCCTGCGCATTCCCACCCCAGCTGGGAGGTAACGGTACCTGCACTCTTGCTGAGTTGGGAGCCGTCCGACCCAAGGTTGCCGACGCAGGAAACTTCTTCAATGCGACGCTGTATGCGGCGTATGCGGGTAGGCACTGCAAGGTGCGTTTGAGCATCTTGAAGACGCTGGAGATTGTCTCGCACGAGGCTACCATCGTGTCAACGAATTAGGTGGTTGTTGATATGAGGTGCGTGTTCGGGCGTCAAGGAAGTAGCATGTATCCAGATAGTCGCTGGCATCACATAGTGGCAATGTCCATTACCACGTCAAATAACCTTTCTTGCATAAAGATACATGACTGCCTGACTACCGTAGTAATACGTTGTGCTTCATCGCCTGCCGACCCACATTGCTCAGAACGAAAAGAACTCTCATGAGCCATGAGAGATTGGTCATACTCGCAACTTGGTTCTCGGGCACTCGTCCAGGTCCTCGCAGATGACGTTAGTCGTGGAGCACAATCTAATGAAGAGCATGAGTAGAATCTGAAATGCATCTTTGTACAATCGAGCTATCTATCCTGTTGGACTAGTATACATGGCTTCTTCCTCCAGCCAAATTGACCGTATCGCCATCGTTGACAATGCGCTGTCCGACCGCCGAGCTAGAGACACGGCATTTTGACCGTCAACAAAAGGCGACTACGCAATTTCCACATACCTAATGCATCCTGCCAACCTGCTCGGCAGCGCTTATACCCTGGAAGATAGGCCATGCCGAAGTCTTAGCCTGGGCTCTCAAGCATCAAAGATTGTAGATCTGCGCATCCTGAATGACAGTGTTACGGTCTAACGCATCCATCATGACTAACTCAATCCCTGAGAACTGGTTCCCCAATCCCATAGCTTTCAGTAGGGCACTCATATCGGACTGATACCTAGAGGCGGTTCCTGCGTAGAAAACCCGCTTGAGGTTGGGGAACGTGTCTCGTAAGCTAGACGATGACGTCTGGTCGATGCCCGCTTCATTAAGGTACTGCATCTCGATTGAAATCTGCTGTATAGCTTGGAGTTTGGTCATCGATAAGCTGCGGTACAGGAAAATGAGGTCTAAGGGCCCATCAACGTGGAAAATGTTCATCTTGAACTGGTAATTGAGGCTTTCGGCGCGGATCTGGCGGCAGATTCCTTGCGCTAGCCCACGAGTGAAGATTGGTGCGACCGACTTGCGGGTACTCGGGGCCACGGCATAGAACCTATTCGCACGAGCATCGTTATGCGGCAGAATGCAGAAACGCAGGTCTCTCGGCACATCAAACGAATTGTCATCCTCGACAGAAGTCATATACACGCCAATAACGTGTCCGCCCATCGCGTATCCCCAGATCCGAAGCCTAAGCTCTGCAGGGAGCCTCAGAAGCGGAGACTCTGTAGTGTTGCGTGCGGTACTGGGTACGCGGTCAGACTATTGTGACAGGTTACAAGCGAAAGGGTGAGCCCACATAGAGTCTCTGTCGAAGTTGTCGGCAGGTTTGGTGCTGACAATTCCGTCCGCGTTGGTGGTGCCGTCCTCGTCTTTCGGGGATGATTTCAATGGAGTGGCTGTAGGCAGGCTTTAGGTCATTATGTATCAGCAGAGTAATGATGTGTGCGTCTTGTGAATTCTTACAGAGGCTCATTGTCAACCATGGCCGCCGTTACACAGGCAGGCTCGCCGCCACTTGTAGCCATGGCAAGAATGTGATTGAGACAGATTTAGTATTAGAAGTGGCCGGTGTGCAGAAGTTAGTGTTGATACACGCAGCACACTGCAGTGAGCGTTGAAATGAGTGATGGCAGTTGGGAAGGTGTGACTGTCTGCGCTAGCTAAATGAGGCCAAGGCTCCTCGATATAGTATTCACTGCGTTGCATTGCGACTGCCCCGTGCACTAGTCTGATCAATTGCTGACCTTGAATATATAATAATCTATACTTCTAAAGTTACCCTATGCCATGTCCTACCTTTAGTCCCAATCACCGCGATCCACGGGTCACCATCAAGACTTTTGATCAAAGAGATACAGCAATCTCAAAGTCGTGAAAGCCTTGGACAGTCTATTGACCACAGCCACCATATTGAGCCGGCGTTGAACGGATGGAGCGTGCCAATAGCTGGTATCGCGTGCGGGCAAGGTCACGTAACTTAATCCATGTATTCCACACATGTGCCTCATCTCAAATTATTTCCTATGGTGTTTTCAGGGTAGACTCCCCATCCGACTAGTGAGCCATGTCAGTCCGACAATGCTCCACTGACTCTGCGCAATGTCTTTTCCTCAGTCAAGAGAGACTGGTCATGGCCCGAGTTAGTGTGTAGCCTAAACACGACTGCCCACTTTTGAAGAACTCTTTTTTCATCTTGCCCATACTACCCAAGGCACGACATCGGTCGAACTGGTTTGCCCATGAAAGTTTTGGAAGTTGCTATATCGTCGCATTTGGTATGTTTGCGGCAGCATGAAGCACGTTAGGCACAATCAGTCCCACACCGTCAACCTCTCCTTCTATTAGCGCGACGGCCAGCACGGTAGCTGTCATCGACGAGAGTTCTGAATAATTCTCAGGAGATAGTTCCGCCATGTTCTCCTATTAAGTCTTTGTAGGAGTCCCATCACCCGAGAGGTGCAGAGCAAAACGCAAGATCACGGATTGGCGCGAGTTCATCTTGCGACAGGCGAAACAGGAAGTTATGCAACTCGCCTTTATCAGACGTTTGGAAGAAGTTGTGCTCAAGTTACAATGAAGGCTTTCGCTGCGGACCTGGCGAAATAACACTGTAGTCAAATATTCAGTGAGGAACTCCACGATCTTGATGGTTGATATCTCTGTCGGTCTTTGAGCCTGGTTGAAGAAACACTCTTGCCCACATGTTGGTACGTCCTCGAGTGGTCTGAAGACATAGACGGTATTCCCTGGTCAGGCAATGCTTAGCGTCTGAGGAGATTAACGCAGTCGAAGGGTCAGATGGGCTAAGGTGGTTGACGCGTATTCGAATGGCGAGTCAAGTATTATAAGAAGCTGATCATCCATACTGTACAGTAGGGGCTATTGTTATTTGTTATTTTATACACGGACGCCGAGTCCACAGTGGGTGGAAGTGGCACCAATGCAGCCTAGAACCAGTACTGCAAATGATTAGCTCGCATGGACAAAGCAGTGCGACGGAATCACCTTGAAGTGAGCAGCTGTCCATTCACGTTCGCCTCGCCAACCGCCATGGTCTTGTACCGAGTCCTGAGAAGGGACCATCCCACCCCGATGCATCTTCCGGAATGTAATCCTCGATCTCAAATCGCTGGTCCACTTCTTCTTCCTGGTAGTAGGGCTTCTCACTATCAAATACCACAGCCTCCTCAGGCATCTTCTCTCCGTACAAATACGGAGGGTGACAACCAATGGCACGAGAAGACGCACAAATCAGCTTCACGCTGGCCCTTTTCTTAAGAATCTCAACGATTCCGAGGAGCACCTCCCGATGTGGCGTATGGGTGAACACAGGACTCGTGAAGATCTTGAACACGTCATCGAAATCTAGACGGTTGGGATCGGTGTGCAGCCTAAGGTGTGAGAAGGGAGTCGCAGATGCCATCGCGGATATGTAGGAAGGTAAGTGCCGCCATGAACTTTCGTACTCGTAATTGAGGCCGGGAAGACCCAGGGTATGCAGACTCGGTGGCGCAAGCTCCTTGACGAATAATAGTTCGGCCAGATTGGATCTGTAGTCTACATCAAATGTACGAAGACGATCGAAGGTTGACAGGCCGGTTGAGGATAAACGAAGCGTAGCCAAAGAGGATACAAGACTGGTATTGAGATGTTCGGGCGAACCAGGATCTACAGTGGCTTCCGGATGATGGGTAAAACGAAGATATTCCAAAGAATTGCTTTGTTGCTGAATGGCTCTGAGGAAGTCCGACCCTTGAGATCGAGCTTCGTTCTGTAAGCCCTGCTGACCAAAATTGTAAACGATTGAGTCGAGGAGCAAGGTAAAAGAGCGCAGAGCTCGTGGAAGCGAAAGAATGCTCTGAAGGTATCTCTCATGCCCTGAATATACGACGCACCTTTCAAGGATCAGGGTTTCTAGCGGAGTGCGTGTAAAATGGGAATCGAGTGACGCAAAGGTGTCAGTAGCGCAGTCCATGTTGACACATGATAGATGTACATGCTTGAGCGTCCGCGAGAGAAAGATCGGAAGGACTGTACCGACGTCGTAATACCGATCCTGGGTACCATGTGAATGGAGCGTGACTGCCATGCAAATTCGAGTATCAGCGCAAGTCTGGTGAGCGCAAATTTCACGGCCAACCTACAAGACGTCAAACACTCAAAAGCCCTATCCATCCCTCCCCCTCTGTCTACATTTCTCCCCTCAAAAAGATCCATGTACTCCCCCATACTCCCCTCAGACCACCATTGCGGTCTCGCTCCACTGTTGATCATCGGAGCTTCGATCTTCAAGCTCTTCAATCTTGCCATACGCCCTGCCAATTCTGGCATCTGCTCAATACGCCGCCACGCATGCACTGTTGGTGTAGCCTCCAGATGCTTGATCATCCGGAATCGCTCGGGACGCTGGTCCAAAATCTCAGCCAGGCGTGCAACGGATGTGCCATCCCGGATGTAAATGTTCCTGAACACGCGAGCTTCGGCGAGGGGATGTAGCTTCTGGCATGTTTGGGCGAGGGCAACGAGGGCGGGGCGGTCGTCGAGGGCCTCGACGATAGTGGCAATCAATTCGTTGGGAAGGGAGAAGAGGGGAAACATCGTGATGTGCAACAGATAGAATGTGAGACGAAATGGATGGTGTGCGACGAAGAAAGACCTGTGGTGCACTTGTTTGTTTAGGCAACGACATCGAGGAAGCGTGGGAATGTGCACGGGTTTGCCCCGCATTTGTGGGGGCAGCGAGTGACACCCCAGTCGAGACGTACGAACATCACTAAGAGGCAAGAGTATTGCAGTTTTTAAATGGATTGTATTTCATTCTGGTCATATTCCGCAGTGGAACTCATGATACATGCATGCAAGCTTACTTCCATGTGCATCTACAATCTCGCCTTCTCAACACCTGCTGTGCTCTTCACATCGAACCTGTCCAGGTTCATGACCTTGTCCCACGCAGCAATGAAATCCTTCTTGAACTTCTCCTCTGCATCAGCGGAGGCGTACACCTCAGCAACAGCCCTGAGCTCGGGATGGTGACCGAAAATCAGGTCAGTACGAGTGGCAGTCCACTTCTTCTGGCCAGACTTGCGGTCCTTGCCCTCGAAGAACTCCTCAGCGCCATCGGTAGGCGTCCACTCAGTGCTCATGTCAAGTAGATTGACGAAGAAGTCGTTAGAAAGCTTGCCGGGCTGCTTGGTGAAGACACCGTATGATGAGCCATCCCAATTGGCGTTGAGAGTACGGAGACCGCCGATGAGGGTGGTGAGCTGAGGAGCAGAGAGCGTGAGCTGGTGAGCCCTGTCGACGATGAAAGCTTCAGTGCGAACACGGTTGTTGCCGACACCGTAATTACGGAAGCCGTCGACTACGGGTTCAAGGTGGTCGAATGACTGGATATCGGTCTGCTCCTGAGAAGCATCGGTGCGTCCAGGGGTGAAAGGCACGGGGAGGCCGGAAGCCTTCTCGAGCGCAGCAACACCACCGAGGACGATCAAGTCAGCCAACGAGACCTTCTTGCCGCCAGGTGCGGAGCTGTTGAACTTCTGTTGCACGTTCTCAAGGGCCGACAGGACAGACTTGAGCTCAGAAGCGTTGTTGACCCTCCATTTAATCTGCGGGTCGAGGCGGATGCGGGCGCCGTTGGCACCACCCCGCTTGTCACCACCACGGAAAGTGGAAGCGGCAGCCCAGGCGGCACGTACAAAGTTGGTAGGGTCAACGTTGGTGGCCAAGATCTCCTTCTTCAGCTCGGTGATGTCGGTGTCGTTGATGAGCGGGTGGTCGACGGGCGGCAAGGGGTCTTCCCAGAGGAGCACTTCCTTGGGAATCTCAGGACCGAGCCAGCGAGATCGCGGACCCATGTCACGGTGCAGGAGCTTGAACCACGCGCGGGTGAAGGTGTCGTGCAGCTCATCGGGGTGCTCGAGCCACCTACGAGTGATCTTCTCGTAGACGGGGTCGAAGCGGAGGGCCAAGTCAGAGGTCAACATCCGCGGCTTGTGCTTCTTGTTCTTGTCAAATGCATCGGGAATGATTTCGTCGTCAGTCTTAGCAACCCACTGGTTGGCGCCCGCCGGGCTCTTGGTGAGCTCCCACTCGTACTTGTACAGGTACTCTAGGTACTTGTTGGTCCACTTGTGGGGCTCTGAAGTCCAGATGACCTCAAGGCCAGAAGTGATGGTGTCAGGGCCCTTGCCACTGCCGTGCTTGTTGCTCCAGCCAAAGCCCTGCTGGTGGAGAGGAGCAGCATTGGGTTCGGGGCCAACGTTGTCGGAGGGAGCGGCGCCGTGCGTCTTACCGAAAGTGTGTCCACCGACGATGAGGGCAGCCGTCTCCTCGTCGTTCATGGCCATGCGGCCAAAGGTGGTGCGGATATCGCGGGCAGAGGCGACGGGGTCAGGAATGCCATCGGGACCCTCTGGGTTGACGTAGATGAGACCCATGTGGGCGGCGCCCAGGGGCTCCTCGAGGTTGCGGGAGTGGATGTCCGGGTGGTCCTTCTTGGGACCCTCGTCACCGTCGACGGTACCGCTGCCGCCGCCACCTGGACCCTCGCGGCCGTCGGCATATCGGACGTCGTTGCCCAGCCATGTGGTCTCGCCACCCCAGTATACGGACTCGTCGGCCTCGTATGTGTCAGCACGGCCACCAGCGAAGCCGAAGGTCGGGCAGCCCATGGACTCGAGGGCGACGTTGCCAGTGAGCAGTAAGAGGTCGGCCCACGAGATCTTGTTGCCGTACTTTTGCTTGACGGGCCACAGCAGGCGGCGGGCCTTGTCCAGCGAGACGTTGTCGGGCCAGCTGTTGAGGGGGGCAAATCGCTGCTGGCCCTCACCACCACCGCCACGGCCGTCGGTGACGCGGTAGGTGCCAGCACTGTGCCAGGCCATGCGGATGAACAGACCGCCATAGTGGCCGTGGTCAGCGGGCCACCAGTCCTGCGAGTCGGTCATCAGGGCAGTGAGGTCCTTCTTGATGGCATCGAAGTCCAAGCTCTTGAAGGCGGCGGGGTAGTCAAACTCCTTGTTCTGGGGGTTCGTGACGCCCGTGTGCTGGCGGAGGATGTTGAGGCGGAGGTCGTTGGGCCACCAGTCGCGGTTCCTGGTTCCACCGCCGCCGACGTTGGCCTTCTTCACGGGGCACTCTGAGGCAGCCATGATTGCAATGAGAGGTCAAAGAGAGTATGGGTATGCAGAGCAGAGGCAGCGGCGGGGAGCAGGCGTTATGTAGAGACGACCCCCGCCGACCCCACCAATCGCCCATTTATCAGCGGATCGGCTTCTGGCCGTTCGAGGCGCCGTGCCATCGTCGTCGCGCCACGCCGAGGGGACAGCAGCTGCCCCGCATTCCCAGACGCGATCCGGACAAGCAACCCTGCTGGCTGCTGGCGAGACGCCCGCTGCTTATGAAACACGCCGCCCGTGATTTGCTGCTGCCCGCGACGGGGCCTGCAGTATCCGATTCTGTGCCGACCGCCCCTCCGCTGCTCTGCGTTGCGCCTGCCGTGCGTGGCGAATCGCTGCTTCCCCTTTGGTGAGCGCCTTGGTTGCTGACTGGCCGCGCATCTGCCCCGTCCCGATTGGCCAATGCGGCTGCCCTCCAGATGGATGACCGCGACGGCCCAAACTGCAACTGCAGACTGCAGCTAGCGGATCCGCAGGCAGGCCGCAAACGCTCGCCACGCAGGCCGAAGCTTCGAGAAGGGAGCAGTCTATTCCGAAGAGTCTGCACGCGGCGCAGTCGTCGTTTTCTCTCCAACGCTGCGTGTCGCACGGTGTGTGTCCAATGAGGTCATCGATCACCCCACTTTCCACATTGGGAAGCCCCAACGTGACACGCGAGGCAGAGTCTGGGGTACGTGTCGACGCGTTTGTGCGAGGACAGCGCACGCGGAAACGGCAACGGTGACAACAAGAATTCCACGCTACACTACCTATTGCTGCTCCACTTCCATCATGGCAAGATGGGTCTGGGAATATCCAGCAAGGAAACATGTCTCTACAGCAAGCGACCCCGTTCCGCATTCCGGCCTACCCTTGCCCCTTTTGTTCAAGGGAACACTCACGGGTACACAGAAAGAATGAAGAATCCTCCGCCTCATACTGTCCGTTCAAAGGCCACCGGGGTCTCCAGAATAGTAGTAGCAACTACCGTCTCCCTCTCCTCACAGTATGATAATTCAGCTGCTCTTGGTCTGCCTCGCGCAATAGATTCCCTGATGAGAGGGCCGCTCAACGATCCCCAATGCAACTCAGCTCTGTACATGATTCCATCGACATCCATTGGTTGTATGCGGACGAAGAAATCCCTCTCTACGCGATGCGTCTGGATATATGAACTCTCCAACCCTTTCCTCACATCAGCACTACCAAAGTGTTACTTAGAAATCCCAATACTCACGCGCAGATCTCTGGAGATGCCGGCTGACTCGGTCAATCTCCTCGTGAGCCACATCAAGCTCTTCTCTCGTCGGATCGCGAAGTCCAGCACCGTCTTGAAATTGAAATCGAGGTGTGAGGGTAGGTGGAAAGCGCACACCATTGTATCCATTGAAGAGGACATCGCTATGGTATCCAACTACATGCTCCGCCGAGGCGTCAGTCGTGATCGTGGCAGCATCTCTGACTGGTATCGCAATGTGCCAAGTAAGAGCAGACATATTTGATGTGCTTCTTGCAAGATATTGTTAGCATGTGTGTTGTTAGATAGTGGCTGGATAGATTATTGCTGATTCCCGAGGCTTTTGATGATACGATCGAAGGTGTGCGGTGGGGCCCTTTATAAAAGGTTGGATCTTTAGCCATTGAATACGAAGGAGCCGGAATTGGAAGATATTTGAATGTCACACCCGTAAGCGTTGACAGCGAGTGGCAGCATCATAAAACTCAATCTGGTGAATGTCCAGATGGAGCAGTGCGTACGTCCTTCGCAAAGCGACTTCATGAGTACAATTGGTTGTGATTTCAAGAACACCCATGGCTGTTTGCCATGTGAATGTGTGAGTGATCGTGCCAGCATGTATTGACGAATCATAGAAGAACGGACGCGAACGTCGTAACGGTTTTGGAGGAGCTGCTCTTGCATTGAACCGTCACTGTATTCTTCATGGGTGGGACAGGAAGCCGCCTATTTGCGGAGATGTTTTGCGGTACAGTCGTATTACTGGTGCTTTACGAAAATTCTGCCTCCACCTGCCCATAGCCATAGGCCAACATCGTTAATGATCCTATGTTATATTCACTTTATCATGGGGTAGACTGCTTTGTTACGTGTATTCGGTGCCCTATTGTAATGTTTACCACGACCCTGATCGGCTATTCAATAAGAACTAGCTGATGATAGAGTGAATGTTTCATAGGAATCTAATAGACCAGCAAAATATTGATCCAAAGCCATGGAACGGTCGGGGCGGAACTTTTGCAATCGAATATAGAACAAGGCACTCCGTGTGCCGATTTGTATCCTTTGGTATATATATCTTGATAGCATAATTTCCAATTTCTATCCACCTCGTATCATCACCGCCAATCACCTGAGAGTGGGTCTTGATATAGTGAAGGCAACCCTGCAACTCATTGTACTTTGTGAACTACACACTGCAGACTTTTCACCCTCTCAGAATTGTCACGTCTCCTCCACTCCCCAATACACGACCCCAATCATCACTCCAAGAAGAAAGCCTCCTCAACCAGCCCCCATCCTCCTCTCCTTCCGTAACCACATGGATTAATGTAATCACTACACTCCCCACATCTACCGCCTCGCATAAGATATAGACACAAGCTGGACTAACTTCATACCCTACTCAAAAGCACAAGCGAAGAAAACTTATGAAATGGACGATCATGGCGTGGGAAACATCGGATCTACAGATCGTGGAGGATGAGGGGATAAATGAGGCTGACGACAGTGTGTATTTCTCCCACACTCAAAGAATATCTTGACAGCGAGCCGTAGCAGTCCGCTTTGGAACGTGGATTGACGGTGCCACAGCCGATTCCTGGAGTGGATCGCTTCGGACATCGATCTACCGGATAATAGCACGCACTTCCTTGTTCGTGTCCTGGTCGGCTACGACTGCTTAGCTGATGTTGTGGTGACGATAGATTCTCTAGAAGAGGGAGATGAGACCTTAGGCTCGTATGACAAGCATGCTTTGGCGTATGTGGATATCACCTCTGTAAACGAAGAAGAGGGAAGTACTCCTGCGAGTATCTCCTAAGTTTACATCAGAGCATTCGACATTGTTATCGGTGCTCTCCACAAGTTTTGCGACCATCACCCATGGAACAAGGTCACACAAAATAAGGAGTTGTTACTTTTAGAGTATCATTTTGATAGGGGTACTATAGTGCTAGAAACCTACTAAGAGATATTTGTGAGCCAATCCTGTCTAAGTAAGAGTAATCAGGACCTAACTTTCCACAGTTTGTTCCCTAGCAAAGTGGCAGCGCAACCCCTCGAAACGATAACAAGAGTCTCGTGTGGGTATTCGTGCAACCAGAGAAGTGGTACCGGTTGTGATTGATCGTTTCAAAGCATCGTAAGATATCCATAGTCTACTGTCACGCGGCAGTTAGTTCACTCGGACCGGTAAACATTTTCTGTGTCAAGTCTGTCCAGGAAAGGAAAGCACTCAACTGAAGGAGTCGTCTTGAATCTTTTTTGGTGACACAACCATGCATACCTATTGTAAGCAATGAAAGGCCAACGAAGCATCAAAGTGGTTGTCATGAAGCAGATATGCAGACACCTTATTAAAGCCGCCCCGGGTGACAAGATCCAAGGATTATCAACGGAAAGAGGTGGGGAACGCCGCGTGCCCCACTCACTAGTACCCCTGTCCAAGGCTCCTCAGTGAACCCATCTTTGCACCAAAAGCCTGGAACGCAGTGGAGAACAATTTTGAACTCTTTGTCATCTTATAGCATAATTCTCGTCAATTGATGGATCTCTGGTCCTTTGATCCGGTGGTGCGAGAGCCTGACACTTTTTGTATGCGGCGAAGAACGAAGTCCAGAACGAACAGGGTCGCTAATTTGACCTCTTCTCGTCTAGAACTTCGATTGCCAAGAACGCAGACTGACTCAATTCGAAAGGCCCTTCAGGGGATCATACTGTACACACAGTACGATAGCTACCATAGGTATAGTAGTTTCATTAGATAGAGGAAATTAATATGGGATGTTTCAGCTCCTACTACCATCCTGATCTCTGTGATTTGTGACCTTTTTCTGCAGCACCGTTCAATCAAGCTCTGCCAACACATCTCGTCCTCCCGTGCTTCGCAATCGCCATGGTCCTCAATCGGACCGAATCAATCATCTTGGTATTCGAATTGAGCTTGTATTCGCTACGACACAGGGTGCGGTTGGCTTCGGTTAGGCCGAGGCAAACATCAAAGCGCGTTCAACCGCGAATCGCAACAACAAGACGCGCAGCGCCGAGACATTCAATCAAAGAAAGGAAACAAAGACCCCTGTGCAGAGCTGAACGTCATCGCCAGGGGTAAATACCTGGGGCTAGAACTTGCTCGCGTGCTCCTCATAACATTCCCAGGTGGTCCTTCCCGTGCGCAGCATTTGTCAATTACTTCCACTTTTGCAGTAAGAGAATAAACGTGTTGCGATGGCGGAGAAGACAACAAGCGCGGAAAGCTCGCAGACGCTGCCTCGTAGGAGGAGCCCGGCGGTGCACGTCAAGAGACAGAAGAGTGATGACACGGACTTGGACGACTATTTTGTACGAGAATCCAACCCAACGATGCAGATGCGCTCGTGTTGCTAACATCGCCAGGTCGGTCCCCGCGATATGGATCATCACTCCAAATGGCCTATCTTCCTGCGTCTTCACGGGAGTATCACGCCGGAGATGATACTCCCGCTCTTGTTTGTGGGCGGCTGGTCGACTATGATTACCTGCGTCAGTAAATGGGCGCACGACCGTAGGTCACCCTGCTAATCCTCTATATTGAATTGCTCTGACACTGCAAGTCGGTATCAACCAGCTCCTCCTCACTGTCCTAGGTTTCGTGGTTGGTCTCGCGCTCAGTTTCCGCTCATCCACAGCCTACGAGCGCTACAACGAGGGTCGCAAATACTGGTCGCAGCTCGCGTTCGTGTCGCAACACCTCGCACGCCTGATCTGGGTTCATGCCGACGAGCGACACAACGACCCCGTCGTGGGCAAGAAAGATCTGCTCGCCAAAATCAGCTGCCTCAACATGATCGTTGCGTTTGCCATGTCCCTCAAGCACAAGCTGCGTTTCGAACCGTATGCGCACTACGACGATCTACAGCATATAGTCGGGCACCTAGATACGTATGCTAAGGCTGTGAGTCGCTCTCGGCCCCGCAAACCATCTCTTTCACCCGATCTCTCGCTGACCCTACGTTGAAGGCTGATCAACCCACCCTCAACCGCAAACAATCCTTTTTCAAGACCGCCGGCCAATTTCTTGGCCTCCCCTTTGCTGAATCTAACCCGCGCAAGCTCCTCAAGAAGACCAACGTTCCGCTTGGAAACCTGCCCCTAGAAATCCTGACCCACCTCTCCGCCTACCTAAAGTCCATTTACGACAACGAAACCCTCAAAGTCTCCGTCTACCAAACGCAGTCCCTCGCCGCGCTGCAAACTATGAATGACGTGCTCTCGGGAACAGATCGTATCCTAAACACTCCCTTGCCAATCGCGTATACTATCGCCATCAGCCAGATCACGTGGGTGTATATCCTGTTGCTACCGTTCCAACTTTACAAGAGTCTGGGCTGGATCACGATCCCGGCTAGTGTATTTGCGGCGTATATCATTTTGGGTATTGCGCTTATTGGTAGGTCCCCTGCTTTCCCCCTGCCTTCTTAAGAGTAAGTGGGCTGACAGGTTGCGTTTGACAGGTCGCGAAATCGAGAATCCCTTCGGCGACGATGTCAACGACCTTCCGCTCGACGCCTTTTGCGGCCAGATCCGTCAGGACATCGATCTCATCATGTCGAAGCCTGCGCCGACCGTTGATGAAATTGTGATGAGTGATCACAATGAATTGTTGTATCCGATCAGCGGGCTTGGGGGCCGGGCGTGGGCGGAGAAGAGCGTCGAGGAGATTAGGGAGGCATTGGGGCAGAAGCCGAGTATAAAGTATAGGCATACAGAGAGTGAGGGGGCGGATGCTGTAAAGGCGAGTGATAATGTTTAGGGTGTGAGAGGGTGACGAGCACGGTGTTGTGGAATGGAGTTCTATACCCGGGGATCCTGGATTCAGATGGCAGTAATTAGAGCGACATTTCCTTTTCCCTTGATAACTTGTAAGATGGGTTGTTGAAAGCCAGGCTAACACAAAAAATGCAGATGTTGTCAAATAGCCATATATGGAAGTTACACTTCCGAAGAACGCATTCATTTCAGGTGGTCGCGCGCTTGTCTTCTTGTATTTCCTCATACACCATCCCGCGCGGATCGAAAGCCTCCCCTCTCGTATCATAAACCTCTTCCGGATCTTTCTTCTGCAGAAACGGCGGCGGCTTCTTCAAGCCCTTTCTCCCGAAAACATACCGCCCAACCATCCAGTGCAGCTCTGCCATTCCGTACTTTACGTAATCCATGGTATGGTGATCAAACACTTGGTCAAGCTCCTCGAGCGTCATGTCTTTTGTCTCAGGAACGAGGAAGAGAATCATGAAAAAGCCAACGACACACCACGCTGCATACCAACCAAACGCGCCAGAGGTGCCGAATGCGGAGCTGAATTTGGGCCATGTGATGGAGATGAAGAAGTTCCAGAACCAGTTGACTGACGTCACGATGCCCATGCCGAAGTCGCGGTTATAGAGGGGCATAGACTCGGCGCTGTACACAAAGGGGACTGGACCCTCGCCTGGAGAATATGCCACACCAAAGAGGTACATGCCTAGAATGACCAATACATGCTGGGCAGAAGATTGACCCGGCAACTTGAACGCAATGACCATTATGATTTGGAAGAGGGCCATGAACGGAAAGGTAGAGAGTAGTAGGTTCCGTCGACCAAAGCTATCGATTGTCCAAATAGCCGGGATAGCGAAAAGAAAATTTATGATCCCGAAACCCATGGATATCAATAAGGCGTCTCGAGGTTGATAACTGGCGTGTTGAGGGTCTGCGAGGATGGTGCTTGAGTAGTACGCCTAGCGCGAGTTAGCGTTGCAGATCCAGTTGCAGGATCAGGTTGGCATTGTGGGGTCTTGGTTATTTTAACCAACATGACACGAATGATTCTCAACAAAGACTACTTACCGTAACATTGACACCACAGAATTGTTGAAGAAACATCGTGATGACAGAGGCAGTCAGAGCTCTGCGATTCCTGCCACGCGTGAAAAGCTCAGAAAAGGGCTTTTCCTGTTGCATGATTCGTTCCTCGGCTTCCAGGAGGTGATTGATAAGAAAGATATCTCTCCCGGCTTGCAGCTTGGTATGTCGCAGTTTGCATAGGGAATTGAAAGCCTCTTCATACTTCTTCCGGTTTCCTTGTCTAGCCCTCATGAGGAGCCAACGGGGAGATTCGGGTAGAGTATAGACATAGGCTACTACGAAGAGAGGGCTGGGAAGTAGTATGAGCTGGTGATAACCAGGGAACGGGACGTGGAATTCTTACAGAATCATTGGACTTGCTAGCATCAAGCGCCAGTTCAAGCTGCAACGAGAGGAAAGGAGGTTGTTTGCTGCTGCATTGCAGATGTTTCTATCACTACCATCTCGAACGCCAGCCAGAGCGACACCAGCGATATAACCTGCAAATAGATGAGATAGGACACGTGACCGACATGTGGTTCCATAACCTACCGCACATGATGCCAAAGGCAGTCCACATCTGCCACATCATGACCAGAGCACCTCGAATGTTTGCAGGAGCTGCTTCGGCGGCATATATTGGTATCGTTGCACTCTTCGGGCCGATGCCTAAGCCCAGCAGGAACCTCGCCGCAAAGAGTTGCTGCCACGTCTGAGGGAAAGCCTGGCCCAAGCAAGTAAGAGAGCTGATAAGGCAGGTGACGAAGATGACGCCGCGTCGATCAAGTAGCCTGTTCAAAGGGTAGTTCAGCCAGCAGGAGAAGGCACAGCACATGTATGGAGCGCTGTTCACCAACCCTAGCCAGCCTGGGGAATCCATCAAGCCGAGGGCCTCTCGGTAATAAACCTGAGCTGACAAAGGTCAGTTGTAGATTCATCTCAAGGACTGGGAGCGGGAGGTACTAATGCAAACACGCGACAGCCGGATCGACGGGACCTACCTCCATTGACTGCAGTTTCATCCCTGCTCTGCAATTAGCGCAGATGCGCGTAACGTTCAGGACAGGCTTACCAGCCCTGGACGGCAGCACCCAGGGAACATACGCCTACAAGTGCATACAGACGCCAGGGTTGCTTGAACTTGTCGATACGCCGCGAGCTGTCCTCCAATTGGAGGTAATAGCGTTCCTCATCTCTCAACGTAAGGCCATCGCGCCTCTCGCGTCCCATGGGAAATGCTGCCTTGGACTGCGCGAGAAAGGCACCTCTGCGGATGTATTTGTCGTAATCCTCGAGACTCGACACGTTGATAAATTTGTCGATGCTCTCCGACATTCTGGGAAGAAGGCGCGATTAGCGGACGGACAGCGGGAGCCACTACCCAGATCTACTCACTGCTGGTGGTTCCATCCCGAGAAAGGTTGGGCGAGGCGACGATCGGGCTGATCCGCATCTTGTGCAGACTTGCCAGGGGACACTTGCTCGCGCTGCATCGTAGTCATGTCTGGCGGAGTGATGTTTCGCGCAAAGCACTAAGAGGAATGTTCATATCCGCGCCATGCATGTATTAAGGCCTCCGGGGCGACCACACCAGGGCGCATGCGCTTGGACGATCATCTCGCAGAAGCAAGGCAACGAGGCGCAGACCGCCGGCCTCTCACCACTCGAGCACGGTGAGATCAGTACGGGAAGAGGGCAAGTCGCTCAGCCTCCACCGCCGCGTCGAAACGTTCGTGTCGGTGCTCGTATCGTATGCCTGGCGTCGAAGAACAGGCAAGGCTCCCATTGATAGTCTGCGCTCGCTCCATCTACTGTCTCCCCGGTCGGTGGGTCGTGGGAGGATGGGGGCGGCGGGCGCTTAGCGGTGTGGGTGTGGCGGAGGCGGGGAGGCCTGTACTATGCACGCCTTACCTCATACTGCGCCGTCGTCCCGTCTCTCCTCGGACATACAGCCTGCTGCCGTTGGTGTGGTCTTGAAGTAGGCTGCACTTTCGATCCAACGTTCGCAAGACCGCGTGAGACTGCTAACACCATCTTTCCTCCCTCGCTCCATGCAGGTGTCGTCGAAGCCTCTCAAGTGGGGCAGCCACCATGGACGCCTCGCGCGAAGAGCTCGAAGACGCCATCGCCCACATCATCCCTGACAAACCTTTTCCCAAATACATCGACGAGACCGTCTTCCTCGAATTACAAAGCTTGCTGAGCCAGCATCCCGACAAGATCTTTTCGGTATGGGCTCACGAGAACCCGCGGCTTTTTCTCCTCCTACGTATGCTAGGCTGCGACGATGACGCCCTCTACCAGAAGCTAGATAGCGAGAAAATCAGCGATTTCTGGCTTCCTCTGGGATCCGCCACGCTGAATCAGCTTTCCTCCTACACAGACATCGCAGCACAGGACTGGCGCCGGGCTCAGCTTCATGTCCTATCGCAGTCCGATCAGATGAGCGAGCAGAAGCTCACATCGCCTATTCACGCTCACCGGCATATACAGAATGGTAACGCGCATTTTGAAGAGTTGGACAAGCTTGGAAAAGGAGGTTCTGCTGAAGTGGCTCGTGTCAGGCATAAGCTATCAGCGAAAGAGTTTGCGTGTAAACGCATCAAAAGGGCCCCGGAGGTCAAGTTGCAACGCAACCAGCTCATCGAGTTCAATGCTGAAGTCAGCGTGTTGAAACGCGTCAGCCACCACCACCTCGTCAGCTTCGTTGCGAGCTTCACAGACTTATCTTCGTTTTCGCTCATTCTCAACCCTGTCGCGAAGGATGTCCTCAAGAGCATGTTGGAGCGACAGGCGCGGGATGAACCCCTTCCTGAAGCAGACATCTCCGCTTTACGTCGTTCACTCGGGTGCCTCGCCACCGCGCTTGCTTATCTACACGAAGAAGGTGTGCGTCACAAGGATATCAAACCCGGCAACATTCTTCTGAGCGATGGATGCGTCTACCTGTGCGATTTCGGCATCTCACGTGACTGGTCCAAGGCTGAACACTCCACAACAGAGGATGAAGTCTTGAAACTGACGCCTCGATATTGTGCACCCGAAGTTTTCGAAAAAGGGCCCCGCAACACAAAAAGCGATGTGTGGAGCTTGGGATGCGTTTTCTTGGAGATCATCAGTGTTGTCAAAGGCTACCCAATGGAAGAGTTCAACAGCTTCTTACTGGACGCCAGCGACCATCAAAGCGAGAAAGGGCTCTGGTGCGCTTTGGATGCTATGACTGCCTGGCTAGAAGAGATCAGAAGTGAGAAAAATGATTCTGCAGATGATGTCCCACTGGGTTGGATCATGACCATGATTCGCCCCGAAAAGGAACATCGTATCAAGGCAAGTGAATTGGTCGAGATGATAGTGAAGTGCTCTAGCGAGCTCGAAGGACCTGACTTGTACATTGGCCCTTGCTGTACACGACCCGATAGCGTCGCTTTGCCAGACTCAGTAGACAGTCCGACATTGAATGCACCTAGCTTCCAAGGCTTAGGTGAGTCAAGTCAGTATCTCTCGTCAATTTCGTCGACTAAACATCTTCGTGAACAAGGCATACGGAACGCACAACCTTCCCCTATCTTGTCAAATCTGCTTCCGACCGAGAGGCACAGTAGTGCTTCATCCAGAGGACGAGGCAGCATCACACCATCAAGTAGGCGCCGACATTCCGAAGATCGTACCCGCTCCATCTCACCCCATACCCAAAGTATCAGGCATAGCGACAGCACAGAAGCTGCTGCTTCTCAAACAGATTCCATCCATACGCGCTCGAGAGACCCATCGTTGAGCAAGCAGCTTCAGCACATAGCATCGCGCACTGACAGCCATCATCGAGTCTCGAGCTTCTTCAGTCCGCCTCGCCCAGACTCAGAAACTAACTCTTCTTCCACCTTTCAGTCACGCTCCCCAGTGCCACCTCCAGCTCAATTTGAAGTCAAGTGTAGATGCACTGCGCAACCTCAAGAGAGGCATATCCTCAACACGACGTATGCTTCGACGCCCGACAACATACCTTTCGACTCTAGTGTTCCGACTATTCAGACGTGTGCGAAGTGCGAAGTAGGTGAAGACAGGATCCAGATCTACGAGACCTATCGCACTAGACCGGAAAATTCTTCCACCTCGACAATGCCTATGTTGTGGTGGTCAACTCGACGCTTAGTGATCAGCTACGTATCGGGACAGCCTAAAATGCGACATTGCAGCTCATTCTGGCTTCCTCTGGCGGATATCCAATGCAAGCTTGCGGAAAATACAGTGACACTGAAGTGGTCCGACTGCAACCAGATGACTGAACGAATGTCCGGAAACTACTCCACTCACTACGACTGGATATACAACCCGAGCAGCACGAACAATTCTATCCAAGTACGCTTCAATACCTCCGAAGATGCACGAAGGTTTGTCGATATAGTGAGGCTTCCCTACGAAGATGGTGAGACCATTAGCAATGGCCGACAAATTGATGTCTCCGAAAATACTGAGCTCAATATTTTCGATGTAGGACGTCCTGGTGTGCGTAATTACCGAGCTGCGACCCTGACGTTCGTAAACAATTCCTTGGCAACCTCAAAACTATATATTCAGTGGCCTGAGGCTGACCTGGATATACACATTCGGGACTCGTTCGACGCTCGCTCTGCTGCATCGACAGGGTATGAAATGGTCGTGGAGGTAAAAAATGTGGCAACGCCCACCTACCACAGCGACACACGCGGCGAGCCCGCAGCCGACTACGATCGGGTTGCAAGATTCAATGAGGCACGTCAGCTCAAGACAAGTCTTGCCGTCGCCTTCCAGATCGGCCTCAAACATGGCTTGCCTAGACCACCAGATGGTATGACAACGGTTCCCATTATCCCATAATTCGCAGTCTCCTAACAAATCATAGGTGTTACGGACATGCTCCAAGGCCTGACTGGATGGACGCTATGCTACTTCGCCATCGTTACTAGATTCAAATCGAAGAATAAACGCTTTGGTTCCAAGCGCCACGGCCGTGCCGACGTCATGCTCTGGGAGAAAGAAGTCGACGATACCACTGCCGGCTTTAAACGGCGGGGCGCCAAAGTCGTCTTCCGACTCCATGAAGCTGAATTGCTGTGGGCCAGCGGTAGCATCACCGGCTCCACGAGTATCTCCACCTCCGCTGGGCAAGATGCCACAATTTCTGTTTCCAAAAAAACGCGAGGTAAACTTTTGAATGTTAGCAAGATGGTTGCGATCGCCTCTGAGGCGACGAGACCCTCAGACAGTGGACACTCAAGGGGGCACTCTGATGTTCATGAGGATATGTCTGACCTAGTGCTTACCTTCGAAAACGAGCAATGTAAGTTGTACGATCAACCACTGCACCCCCCCTTGGACGTGAAGCTGCGGGTCTCACATGAGAATTATAGATAAGCTATAGACGTACTAATACCGTATCAATAGATCGCCTTGAATTCGTCAAGCTCGTAACGCATTTCAAAACAGCTGCAGCCACTGCAGCCCCGCTGTCTCGTACGGCAACCGGCGTCGAATCCATGCGGCGAATGAACAGCCCCGCTTCGACCGACGTGCACATCAGTCCACCGATGCGATGAGCCTCCATTCTGGACACGTGCTGTGAGTTTGGCGACACCTCTTTCGGTTCCATGCTTTTGGTATGATTGGTATGACTGCACGAATAGTATTTCTATGGGATATCCAATTCATAATACCCACTTCATTCGTGTATTCCTAGCCTACCACATTGTAATCACAACTCCCTATCAATTAGAGTATTTATGGACTTCGATGTCTACACTTGCCTTTCTTCATTTGCGACGCCACACTTGACACTTTGGTTGCTTGCACACATGCGCAATATTAAATGTGAGCACCATGAATACTTTGGATTGCATGTAGCACGGTGGCAGACCCGAGCGGACAGGAAAGTACGCAAAGACACTTATGGCCGCATGATCCGGTGGTGTTGCTATATACAGGCGTAAATATAACGAAAGGAACGCCCTAAGTCGCCTTTAAGATCCGTATTGTACCTTTTTAGGTCACTGCCTGCTCTTCTTCCGCATCTCCTAATACGATCCAAGAGTTGACTGTAGCTTCCTGGGCTTTGTTCCATGATCATCGCCCTCATCACAGTCGTTGCCATCATCGGCGCTCCATATACCGTCCTCGCTCGATCCATCGTTATTGCCCAATTCACGATCACTGCTCCATTCATTCCGGAAAGATAACCGCAGTAGCACTTGTCGTTTGACGATCTTCGCTTCCCTGATCTGGGTCAGGGTCAGTATGCTAGCGCTTCAGAAGCCCAGTGACTAGTTGCCCTGAGTCGAACTAGCAGCCTCAACCATCTTGATCATCTTCTTCCGGATGCTCATGCGCATCTTCTCATTGAAAGAGTGGAACATCCGCCGTTCAGCAGCATCGAAATTATCCTCACTGATAGTGCAGTCAATCACCTTCTCAACCAGGTCCACGTACTCCTTCCAGCTGGCTTCGCCCAGTGCTGCACGGATGCCATGAAGTTGTGGTGGAACGGCATAGACGCCGAATGTGGAGGCTACCGGATTGCCTGTGTGCGAATCGGTTGCGGATAGAAAACCGTTGACAGTCAGGGTAGCGAGGAGGTCTTGGGGTCGAGCTGGGGCTACGGCAGCGTCTGCATCGGCCTTCCTTCTGCTTAAGCGTGTTTTGTAGGCACTTCCACCTTCGATGCTCTGACGTGGTGTGTCCTGCTCAGGTGACTCTCCGCGGTAGGTCCCGTCTCGTTCTTCAGAGGCGCGGCGACGGCCGGGGACTTGAAGTTTGCCTGTGGTAGAGGGCACGGCTTGGCTCGAATCGTGTGCTGGTGTCGTAGCAGAGGGTGCGGTCAGCGTACTTAATCGCTTCTTGGGCGCAGGCGTATTCTGAGTTGGGGTAGAAACCGTGCTGTAATCGTAGTGGTCTTCGCCTAGGTTGGCAATCTGCCTCTGGCGCTTGTTGCCGGCCAAAGGTTGTGTTGCCGAGAAAGGAACGCGCGGCTGGCTCATCGCCATGCTGTAGACGTTTGGCGGAAGATAGGTATTTTGATATACGACTGGAGCAGTTCCAGGAAATCCGGATTGGCCGGATTGCAGTTGTGGAGTGTATAATGAACGACCGGGATGGAAAGCGAACGGGTTGGGTCCAAGATCTGCGTAGATAGCAGTGTTGTTGGCGCGGTACGGTCCGTCTCGTGAAGCAGAGCTGTTCCCCTCTTCATGCTCCGCGATATGCGATGGAACGGGTCGGTCTTGCATACTGACGGCAAGAGGTCCTGTGGTAGAAGTGGCACTGCGGTCAGTCAAAGGGTTTTGAACGGGTGGTGCCAAACGCCGCATACCACGCGACAGCTCCAGCCTCATGGCTCCAAAAGGGTGCTGTGGGCGCGGAGCAGCCGGAGAGGGTCGTGTAGGGACTGTTTTCGAGCCCAAGTGACGATTCGAGGCATTGGAGGTCAAGGTATCCATGATGACTAAATGCTCGGCAGATAGAATGGGACTTTGATGGTGAGAGTGAGTGTGAAAGTGGGGTCAGTGCTGAAGTTGTTGGGTGGATTTTTGGTGATGAAGTTGAAAGATGGCGCGGGCTGAGTGCCGTCGCACCTTCCCTTTCATTTTGTGGATGCCGTATCCGAGGTCGAGTCCATTTCACCCTCGTTCCTCGAACGACTGTTTCACTGGGGTCATAACCCGTTTAGAACCACTTGGCCACGTTAGAACCAGCGAGATCCGAAACTGGTGCCTTTACCACTTAGCTAGAAGGGGGCTATAGTATTCACCAGACATTGCGTCTTTGAAGCCGAGTGACGTCTACCATACAGTGAAAGCTAACACAGTGGGTTTACGCGGACCGGAAATTCAATTACATGTACTCCTACGTTGCAAGAAATGGTTTTACACGCACGCTAGACGTGCTAAAAGGGCGCGCATAAGGTGAAGACCTTTGTGCCTTCCTTCTCTCTTTGCGCACTTACTATTTCGGACCGGCTTGATGGACAGACATTCGTGCAAATTGACTCAGCCGGTGTAAGAAGCGCCCAGAGTCTAATAGCATCCACCCAAGCTATGAAATGGAACTTGGTACGGCAAGACAAGTCCTAAAGCGCTTAGGTGGAATGATGGCGTGAATCGCGCCCTGAGCACGAAGACCGCGTCTGGTGACATTGTTTCATATTTGTGTACAACAGTAGGCCAATGAATAATCACATTCGACTCAGTACCGTCGATGCATGTTGACTCCGTGGCCCCCGAGACTTGCCTTCAACATACTGACTTGCAACGGTATCGTCCCGTTCGTCGCCACAGAGTTTCCATTCCAAGACCAATCAGCATCACCAAATAGCTCTTCCACGCCTGTCACATTCCTCCCCCCAGTCGGCAGCATGATCACGGCCTCATCAGGTATTGTATACTTGGGCCACACCGCAATGACCAACGCCTCGTCCCCGCTGACCCACGCCGCAATATCATAGCTTGAGTCCTCGTGGTTCTCCTCGTTGTTGAAAGGCTGCACGCGTTTCCCCGTCCCATCCATCAACAGCCTCGTGACATCCTCCCTCGCTAGCACCTTTGCAAGGTCCGTCGTCGCACTCTCAACTTCCGGTGACGTTGGGAAAATCCAGCCCACAATCCCCATGGCGCCGTGGTTAATGCGCAAAAGCGCTAGCACGATCGCCTCTTGACGCGTCGCCCACCGACTCCAAAAGCTGTCCTCATCATAGAACCACTGCGGTACGCCCCACACAGGCTTTGTCTCCTTCTGCCCAATCCAGCGCTGGTATTGATACATACGATTGGTCCTTTCAACCACATCTTGGAAGGGATTCTCCACGAACTCCGGATACGCCGTGTCGTTTATGTGGCAGAAGTCGCACCCGCAGTCGCCGTAGGTGAGGTTACACGGCGTGTTGTACACTGTGCTAAAAGTAGAACTCTTGATCAGGTTATACGTGTCTTCCAGGATGATGTCCGCACCCGAGGTGTACTCCTTGAAGTAGAAGTTGTAGCAGTTTAGTACGAGTGAGACGGGGTGGTACGGATCTATCTCCTTTATCTGGTCGTAGGCGAGGACAGTGCCGTTCAGCGGGTCCGTCCAGCCATCTGGCTCGTCGCCGGTATAGTAGAGCAGTAGACAGGGGTGGGACTGTAGTCGTGGGAGTTGGTATGAGATGGAGGAGAGGTTGAGGTAGGTGTGCCGCATGTCGTACATGACGTAGAGTTCTAGCTCGTCGCATATGGTGAGGAATTTCTCGAAGATGGCCGTGTCGAAGGAGGCCCAACCACCGGGCGGCACAGGGTGGATGAGATTGTAGCCGCGCTCCTTGTATTGCTGAAGACTTTTGGTCTCGTTGCTAGCTAAGTTTTGTGGCTCGGGATTGTTGTCTGGGTCGACAAGCCAGGAGATCCAGTCCCAGCGCGTGTAGAAACCCATGGGTAAGATCGATCTCCAGGCGCCTTTGGTTAGGGAAGAAGAGACGTGGACGCCACCATTCAGGTGATCGAGACGAGCCATGCTGCCGCCATCGGAGCGCTCTGGCAAGACAATAACGCGTGCAAGATCATCATACGTTTGTAAACCGTCCGGACTACTCCCACTTATCTCGAAAGCCCCAGGTCCCGCTTCACCTGTAAGTTTTGCCAGGTCCAGATCGAATGGGATTTCGATACCAGTCGAGTTTATAGGAATGCGTACATTGTCTACAGCGATGGTATGACCAATCCAAACCTTCAGTACCAGTTCATTGAACGGCTCCGTCTCGTTGTCCTTCCCGCTTGTTGAGTTCACATATGGCTTTCCGTAAGGGTCTTGGTCAGAGACGCGTGTATCCACGAGAAAGGAAGCGTTCTTCTCAGTCTCTAAGTAAAAGTTGTACCGCGGATATACGTTTAACCGGAGGCGAAGAGGATTGGGTCCGCTATTGAGAACTGGTGGATCTACCCGGCCTCCAGGGTCAAACGAGGAGTTTGTGTCGCGGTAAGCCTTCCCGCACCAGACGTCCACGCCGGGAGGGTTATTGAAAGATGGGTCACATAACGCTATCGTCGCGAAGCTCAAAAGGCCTGTTGAAAAGTTTATCCATGTTCGACCCATTATGAGCTCGTGCAAGCGCGTGCACGAAGCCTTCAAAGGGATATTGAACTGTGGCGCAAAGATGTTTGTAGGAAAGCCTGTTTGAACACTCGCAGAAAGGTGCATGGCAGCAAACTGTGCAGCAAGGTCAATATATCCAATTTGGTAGTTGCAGCTATGACGATGGTTGGGCATACCAGGTGCAAGGATGAGGATTGTAAGCGACACGGTAAATTGCAACGCTCGCTGCGGGGTAGCTCTGCGAATGCTTATCGGCCGGGATGCGGCAGACACGACCTGCTCTGTTAGTACAAGAGTATGCTGGAAACGTACAATCACAAAATCGATCAGCACAAATCTTTGTCCGCCCATTGAGGCTCCAGGGCTTCGTGCAAATCATGTAACGATTTACATTCAGATTCTGGATTGAAGGTCCAGCTCTATCTATTCAAGTTCAGCATGTTGTGGTGCCCGAGGCTGCAAGCAGGTGAGCCCTGACGGACTCTCTATCCCGCAGAAGCCCACCTTTACCGGGTGCTAAAGCTGGAGGCAGATGATGACCTGTCTTGGCCCAGGATAGTGTCCAGAGTTCAGCTCGTAGAATTACACCGGACACAAGCCTTGACCATACCCACCGACGCAGATCGCTTCTCTATCCATAAAGCGTGCCCCTAGTCCGCTCCGTGACCTGGCTCTCGGTGTGCAAGTGCTGCGTGACCTCCAACGTTGTCATGATGTGCTCGCGATCGAGCTTGGCATTTTGACGTGTAGCCAGCAGTCGCGCAATCTTGAGGATGTTCTTGATCTGGCGACCATTCATATCCAAGCGTGCAAGCTCATCCAGCTCTTCAGTTGTGATGACGTGTTCCTGTGGCGAGTTCTCCAAGAAGTTCTTCCAAACCGTGCGACGCGACGCGATTGAGAGCTCCTTGTAGTTCAGCGAAATGTGAATGCGTGAGGCGAACGCTGGATCAAAGGTGTTGACGCGGTTCGTGGTCAGAAACATGGTGCCTTCGAAGTACTCCAGGACTGCATGGTTATGTAGGGTTAGTCAGTGTCTAAATGAGATCTTGGAGTGGCACGTACCTCGCAGGAAGATGGAGACAAGTTTGTTCCGCTCTAGCTCATGTAGCGAGCGTTCTTCAAGGAACACATCTGCCTCATCAAGCAGCAAGACGCTATGCCACCGCGTACACATCTCTAGGATGTCGTGGAGCTTTGTCTCGATACGTCGAGGATCCAGGCCCAAGTCTCCCGCGCTCATCATGTAAAGAGGCACCTTCATCTCTTCGGCTACAGACTCAGCGGTGAGCGTCTTACCTACACCAGGCGGACCGCACAGCAAGATGATCATGCCCCGGCCCTTTCCCTCAATTACGTCGTCGAAGGCAGCGCGGTGCTTCTGCTGTGACTCTGTGAAACCGAGAATCAGCTCCTTCTGGTTTTTGGGTAACACTAAACGGTCGAATGCGTCCTTCTGCCACTCAATCTCCTTGACACAGTTGACGAAGAAGTTTAGCCACAACTTGTTTTTCAGGCTGTAGCCTCGCAAGAGGGGCGTGCATATGAGCTTTTGCTCCATCGTCAGCGGCGGTCGCTTGGCGGCATCATCTTCATCCGCGAAATGGCCGTCTAGAGGCATGCCATCGCAATAGTCATCGTAGCCTGGCTCGATGTAGTCATCTTCGTCGTCAGATTGCGCTGGCTCGGGCGGTCCATTATTATCCTCGTCCTCATCATCTAGATCACTATCCGAATCGATTGCATTCTTGTTAGTGAAGCGAGTAGTGTAGATGGCATGACCAGGGTCAAAACGGTTCCAGCCGTAGGTGTCGATCACGATCTAGGTCTGTTAGCGCGTTCGCGTTCTTTGCGTCGCTGTACTACAGATACATTATGGATGTGCATAAGTCAATGCGTTCACCCTTGCTTCCTGCTGTAGGCACGCGTTCAAAGCAGAGTGTATAACTTACTCGGCCTTTTATCTGATATTTGTCCTTGCTTCCAAACTCTCCAAAATGCCATGCCAGGCCGTCGTAGGCCTTGTAATTGACACCAGCTAGCTCTTCGACCTTGGCTCCCCGCTCGGTAAGCCTCTCTTTGACTTCCTCTACTTTCGGATGGTAATTCAGTGGAAACACTCGTAGTTGAATTATAGGCCGCGTTCCAGAGTAGTAACCAATGGACAGATTGATCTGGCTGGATCCAAATGCAGTTCCGTCCCAGTCGACATACTTGCCAACAACCCAGAAGCAGGGATTTCCTCCAGAATCTTGACCATATCGGGTGCTCTGAAGCTGCAGCGCCGTCTCTTGACCATCCTGGCGCGTGAAGAGGATCGAGCCTGGTTGAAAGAGGGTCCATAGATGCTCGTAAGTCATGACGCGCTTGCTTATCATGTCCTGGGATGTGTCGATAAGATCTTTGAATTCCTTGACCAGGATGTCCAGCAGAAGATCAGCGTGCTCCTTAGTCATCCGCTCCTCCTCAGTCGCATCGCTGACCTTGGAGATAGCGCTCTGAAGCTCCGCCCATCGGTGGATTAAAGGCTCGAACTTGCCGGAAAACTCAAGGCGATTCAGATCGGCTGTAATACCGGGGTAACCCTTCAGAACACCACCTAACAGCTTCTTGAGTAGAGGACTCTGCACGACTATGGAGTGGATAGCAAGGACCTTGGAGGCATCACCATAGACCTTTACATGGCGGACCAGCAGCGCCCATTTGGCAGTCTTGTCGTTCTCTACTGCGACACCTAGATCGTCTGGAATGATGTCTTGCCATTGGTAGCGGCCCTTCTTGTCTTCTTTACCGGAGTATAGGTCTTTGATACCCTAAGGCGCGGATAGACAGTTAGTTTAAACTCATACACGATCGACTGATAGTATTTCCTCTGCTCGAAAGACCTCTACTGCGTACTGGCGGGTTTGCTTACCGTCTTCATGCCTGGCTTGCATGGGTCCGCATCCTCAGGCTCCTCAGGTGGGCTGGCCGTGTCGGTGTCGGCATCCTTTACGCCGGTGCCGTTGCTGTTCACGACGTTTGTCGCAATCTTGACGCCGTTTGACTTGGACCCTGCCGGTTCCTCTGAAGCATCGGATGATGAGGTTGAAGACCTCCGGGAGCGAGAGGGCAAGGTCCGCGCGACCGAGAGAAGAGAAGGCATGGTCCTGGTGAATGTGGCTTCTCTGAGATGTCGTATTGAAGCTTTGGGTACACTGTGTGACCCAGGCTAAGCAAGGCGCCGTGGAGGACTGCAGCAAACGGCGGTTGTCTCGTTGAGGTGAGGGCAGGTCACCGCAGACGAAGGAGGGTTACTTTATGCTTGGCTAGGCTTGCAGCCTGGGACATCCGGTGTGTTGAGCAGGCTGAGCCGCGGTCGCCTGGAGAAGAGCAGGATATACTTGGGGGTGAGAGCACGTGGGAGATCACGATGAAGCCTCGCTGGGGCGTCCATTCACCTCTAGATCCTCGCGTTGCACAGCGTTCCAAGGTTAAGCTGTCATCCAAATCAGGCAACCGCCGAGGCTGGCACCTTCCTTATCACTTCGGCCCAGTGATGATACTTCATGCTCTCATCTTTCGCTGTGCTGATGCGCTAATGCGCAAGGCACCAGCTGGTGAGGGCGGTCGGCCTTCCAGTGTTGGGACGCGACGAGTCATACTCTGTGAATCATGTCTGGGACTGAATACGTTCAGAGACCGCCCTTCCAGCGGAAAAGCCAACAATTCGTGCACTGTTCCCCATGGCCGGTATCTTTGGACAGCATGTTGATTGAGTGAAGTCCCGTTTTCCACCAGAGAGAGATGGGGTGAGATGTGGCGGTGCAATGGCCCCGCGATTGGGCGATATCGGTCCGTCGGTTCTGCCCCGCTAAGAAAACATTGGGATCATTTTTGCACTTTTCGGGCAGCCCTCAAACAAGAGGATAACTGCCACAAGTTTCCGCAGTCGCTGTCCCACACGCTGAGGACAGCTCCGCACAATCATGGCGACCATCATCAGAGTCCCCTGCTCGTCGGCCAACATTGGTCCAGGCTTCGACGTCATCGGGCTTGCGCTTTCCATGTACCTCGAGGTGCAGCTTACAGTCACAAAGCAGGAGTCATCGTCGCATTCGCTCAATTGCCGCATCACCTACGAGGGTGTCAACGCGGAATCTGTCCCCCTTGTCGCCGAAGACAACCTCATCACTCGAACCGCCGTATACGTTCTTCGCTGCCATGGCATTCGCGCATTCCCCACCGAGACACACGTCCATGTCAAAAACCCTATTCCGCTTGGCCGAGGACTGGGCTCGTCCGCCGCTGCCATCGTGGCCGGCGTGAACCTGGCGAATGAAGTGGGCAATCTCCAGCTGTCCAAAGCTCGAATGCTGGACTTTTGTCTCATGGAGGAGCGTCATCCTGACAACGTAGCGGCAGCGCTATACGGAGGTTTTGTCGGCACATATCTCAACGAACTGTCTCCCGAGGATCTTGACCGCATGGAGATTCCTCTCAGTGAGGTGCTGCCCGAGCCAGCTGGTGGCAAGGACACGGGATTGCAGCCACCACAACCGCCCAAGGACATCGGCCACTACACAAAGTACAAATGGTCGTCGGAGATCAAGTGCATATGCATAATACCGCAGTTCGAGGTGTCTACCGCAAAGGCACGTGGGGTGCTCCCGGAGAGCTACTCGCGCAAAGACATCGTCTTCAACATGCAAAGATTGGCGGTATTAACAACAGCCCTGGGACAATCGCCCCCAGACCCCAGCATGATCTACACAGCTATGCAGGACAAAATTCACCAGCCGTACCGAAGAGGTCTTATTCCTGGTCTTACAGAGATCCTGCAGTCAGTGACCCCACAGTCTCACCCCGGCCTGCTAGGCATCTGCTTGTCGGGCGCGGGACCTACGATTCTGGCACTGGCTACGAGCAATTTCGAAACGATAGCAAACCACCTACTTGGTGAGTTCAAGAAGGAAGGAATCATCTGCGACTGGAAGCTGCTTGAGCTCGCCGAGGATGGAACAACCGTGGAAAGACCATCTGAAAGCCCTGCAGCAGGCACACCGGTACAACCCGAGGAGGCACTCACGTATGCTTCCTCTGGAGTCAGTATCGACGCTGGTAATGATCTCGTCAAAGGAATCAAGGCTCTCACCGCAGCTACCAGACGCCCTGGGGCCGACGGCAAGATCGGCGGCTTTGGTGGTCTTCTTGACTTGGAAGCTGCTGGCTACACCGAGCCACCCATCCTAGTTGGCGCGATTGACGGCATCGGCACCAAAGTCAAAATCGCCTTCGAAATGGGCAAACATGATACCGTTGGTATCGATCTGGTTGCAATGAACGTAAACGACCTGGTCGTGCAGGGGGCAGAGCCGCTTATGTTCCTCGACTACTACGCATGCAGCAAGCTGGACGTGGAGAGCGCGGTCAAATTCGTAGAGGGCGTAGCGAACGGTTGCCGCCTGTCTGGTGCTGCCCTGGTGGGCGGCGAAACCGCAGAGATGCCGGGAATCTACCAGCAAGGCGAGTACGACGCCGGAGGCTGCGCAATCGGTGCCATAAAGAAAGGCGCTACCATCCTGCCCGACACTGCGGCGATGGCTCCTGGAGATGTGCTTCTGGGTCTGGCATCTAGCGGCGTGCACTCCAATGGCTTTTCTCTGGTTCGCAGGATCATCGAGAAGAAAGGACTATCGTTCCACGATACCGCACCGTGGAGTGCGAATGAAACTGTAGGCGGTAGTCTCCTCACACCAACGCGCATCTACGTGAAGCCTTTGCTAGCGGCTACTCGGAAGGGCCTCATCAAGGGCATGGCCCACATCACTGGTGGTGGGCTCCTAGAGAATATTCCCCGTATGCTGCCTGACAGCCTTGCCGCAGAGCTCGATGCGAAGGCTTGGCCCGTTCTCGACGTCTTCAAGTGGCTCAAAGAAGCCGGACGGCTCGAAGACGCAGAGTTCTGCCGCACGTTCAACACTGGATTGGGCATGGTGCTCGTCGTGAGCGAAGACAAGGTTCGCACGACGACGGAGATACTACAGGAGTACGGAGAGCAGGTCTACAGGATAGGAAGGCTGACAAAGAGGGCGGACGAGGAGTGCACAGTGCAGAACATGGATGTCTGGCGATGAATTTAGGGTTTGGCGGGCCGCTGTCACAGTTGGAGGCTCGCCGCGGAGTGAAGCCGATGGCCGTTGGGGTGGATCGCCGGGACAAAGACATGTGCGAGAGGATCGGTGGGGCGGTGGAGTCGTGAGGTCTGAGATCTGAGGCTGGCACGAGCAGGTCGGCCTCGACCGTGGATGGAGTGCGGAGTATCCAGCCTTTTGCAGTGGGTTCGACGTTACAAGGGCAAGCAAGACAAGACAGCATGTTTGACGCGATTCGTTGGGCGTTTAGATGACGATGGGTCGACGGACTGTTGCATACCCACATGGTTGCGGCTCGCATGTGCAGCAGCGCGGTTATACCGCAAGGGAATGTGTCGCGTAGGTGGGATGATGATGCGAGCCTAGAATGGTGCGGCACCATGCGAGGACCCTACCTGATGGTTCGCCTTGCCTGATCAGGTAGTTCCAATGTGAATGCCAACCACATGCAAAACCAGAAGAGTGCCGATGCCAAACGTGGGCCGTTGTAGCCAGCAACTGCCTTGTGGAGTGAGGCTAGCAGGGCCGTCTGACAGACCAGAGCTGGTGGCCGGCGCTGCGATTGGAGACGGGGCACGGAGGAGGACGAGCAGATGGCATGCAAGGCGAGTTGCGGACCAGAGCGAGGCATCGTGTTGTGGCTGCAGCGGCGTGCAGGTGGCGTGCTTATTGTGGAGCATGGGTCGCGACGACGTGTATGCTGGCGCGCAGTTCGATAAGCTGGCTGCTGCCTTCGCGACTCGCGACCAGGAGGTTTGGCATGTGGATATCGCATCCCAACAAATGCGCGCGCAGAGGGCGTCGCCGCGGTGATTCGCCGGCTTGATTAAGTGCGCGCTTCACCGCCGAGACGCGCCCCGCGCTGAAGCAATGACGGTCGCAGGCGCTTTATCAGGGTGGCCTTCTAGAAGCCCGGGCGACCAAGGCAGGAGTCAGAGCGGCCATGGAGTCGCTGTGGCGGGCGATGCCGTCGGCCCCAGCGCCCGCCTTGATTGGCGCCGCGAGCAGGCACCGGCCCGTTTCCAGACTCTTTTTTTGTTTGCGCACCCTGAAGCGTCTCCAGTCCGTGTTACGGTCAAGCCGCATCCGAGATTCTCACGCCTTGCATCCTCCCCACCATACCTATCCTCCTGCCTGCTTCTCCCTCCTTCTCTTCTTCACAATGTCCGGCGTCCACCCCGACAGCACTCCCGTCCCCGCCAACAAGAGCACCGCAGAGCACCCCGCACCGCCGCACAAGGACTCGACCGCCTCGCACCCACCACCGCAGAAGCCCGATCCCACCCTCACCAGCAACGACCATGCCTCCCAAAGAGGACAGCCCGCCGCCCGTTCCTCCGCCGCCGCCGAACTCTCCGGTCTTACGCTAAGGCTCAAGCAGTCGCTGCGCCAGTTCCCCGACTTCCCCAGCCCGGGCATCTTGTTCGAGGACATCATGCCCCTGTTCGCCGACCCGGAGCTGCACGAAGACCTCATCCGCGCCCTCGTGCTCCACGTCTCGCAAAACTACGAGAAGCCTGACGTCGTCGTCGGCTTGGACGCCCGCGGCTTCCTCTTCGGCCCCAGCCTGGCGCTGAGACTGGGCGCGGGATTTGCGCCCATCAGGAAGAAGGGCAAGTTGCCGGGCCCGTGTGAGACGGCCGCGTATGAGAAGGAGTACGGAAGCGACTTCTTCCAGATGCAGGCCGATGCGGTGAAGCCGGGCCAGAAGGTGCTTGTGGTGGATGACATCATTGCTACTGGTATGTGTGGCTCTACATTTCAAATGCCTACCTCTCCGACGAGGCTAACGATGCGGCACAGGCGGCTCCGCAGCAGCAGCAGGCTCCCTCGTCAAGAAGCTCGGCGGCACGCTCCTGGGCTACGTCTTCATCCTCGAACTCGACTTCCTCAAAGGCCGCGATAAGCTTGATGCGCCCGTCTACACTCTTCTCCACGGCCAGGAGTAATGACTGCCTCAATTACCGCCCATCTATCGACCATGTGACTACCATGTACGGCGGGACCAGAACGGCCCGCCCTCTGCGCAACCCACAAAAGTATACGTTGACGTTCTACCCACCGATAGATATTCTGCATCGAAAAAGGCGTCGGTTGGCTTTCTCCTTTGACGCAATGCTTGCATGATACCGCGTAATACCTAGGATTGAAATCCTACTTGCTGACAGGCGGCTGAATCTTCACGCTTGCGTTGTTTCCGATTCTACGATTTGCAAATGCCATTGTTCATGTTTCAAGCGATATATAGACGGCGGCTCACTATGATGTCTACATGTATAGGGAGGGATCGAATTCATGCACTCATCACGGTGCTCTACGCTCCCCTTGGATTTTGTACGCGAAAATTTCGGCTTGCGTGATGCGATGAGGGGCAGGCGCGTCTGTGCTCCCCCACCTGCCATTCGCAGCATGTCGCTGGCCGCTAGCGCCGTGGCTCCGCATCGGAGGGCGTGTGTACTAGTTTGTCATCATCGGTGCCCGGCCACCCTTCCGACGATAGCCACTGTCTTCCTGAACAGTAGCTTCAACCCATGCGTACATTGCTGCTCTCACGCTTCTCCTCCTCTTTATTGAAACGCCCTGCTACTCAATTGATTAATCGCAGATTCAGCACACCTCTGACCAGCTCCTTCCATACCACACCAGCAGCCATGTCCGACCTCAAGAAGATCTTCGCCAAGGATGCTATGCCCCGTATGTTCTTGTCCCCGCGTGTGACTCGATGGGTGTTGTCGATGAACGAAACTGACTGATCGTAGCTGCGGGACCTTATGTATGTTCTTTCTTCTGGAAAGTCGCCAGTTCCACCCGCTCCGTCGTCTAGAAAGTCTCCATCCTCATGAACAACCTTTTCCGAGCATGCTTCGTTCTCCGACAGGGGCGGAAAAGTCACGTTACCCATCCGATGTTTATACTTCATCAATTCTACAAGAATACGATTGCACCCTAACAGGCAGTGCAGTCCCATGCCGTCGTTGCAGGCCCCAACATCTACGTCTCAGGTTGCATCCCCGCTGATAAGGAGGGCAACATCATCAACGGCACCATCGCCGAGCAGACCAAGGCCTGCATCGATAACATCAAGGCTATCCTCGCCGAGGCCGGTGTTGATATTTCCCGTGTTGTGAAGGTACTTTTTCCTATCCATCTCCCCTTCCTTTTACCGGGACTAGACGGTACTAGATTGCTGACGCAATGGGTCCTTAGGTTAACGTCTTCCTCACCGATATGGCAAACTTCGCCGAGATGAACAGCGTCTACGGCGAACACTTCTCGCACAAGCCTGCGCGGAGCTGCGTCGCTGTCAAGCAGCTGCCTAAGGGCGTGCCGGTCGAGATCGAATGCATTGCCTATTCTGGTACGAGCAAAGCTAGGCTGTGAGGTGCTGGGATGATTAATGGTGGTAAGACTGACGCTTTTGTGTACAGGTTAAGTGTGTTTACTTGGCTGAGAGGGTGCAGAGCGAGCGAAACATTTTCGACGCATCAAGCTCGCCGGACTGTAACGAGAAAGAAAAGTCATGCAATATACGATCTCTTCAATCCAACAATTTCGTCTCCTGGTGACACCTGGTCCCTTTAGATTAGGGCAACGTTGACGACGACGCTGAAAATACTGATAGTTTCTGCAGCGCCCAGTGTTACAACGGCTATCGGCAGACTCACATAAGCCAGCCACTCCATGGCACAATATGTACTGCACCTCGGAGTCATGGCACGTCCAGGACATATTAATCATGGGTTACCTTGCGGCTTTTGCTACCGCAGACCCACTCTGATCGCGCACTTCCATATCATCTTTCCTTGGCGACAAGCAGCGGAATCGCAGTCAGAAAACACCGACCATTGTTCCCTCTTGTGTCAGAATGTACGCCCCCACCGTTTCGTCCACCCCCCCAACGACAAAAAACAATGTCCAATATCCTCATCCAGCGCATTAACCACAACTCCAACCCCAACCCCAACGCCTACGTCTCCTCCACTACCGGCTTCACAATGGCTATTGAAGCCTGCACCGAACTCAAACTCTCGTTAAAGTTCATTGGATTCCGGGAATCGCACCCAGTCGTCCCATTTGAAATCTTCCACCGGATCTTGAACCGGTCCAGTGGCTGGAAGCACCATTGATTCGTTGGTGTCCTCCGTGAAACTCGGTCCAGCGGTACCATTCAGGGCACCCTCCACGAGAATAGCAGGCTCTGTCACCGGGCCTTGATCCTTTTGTGGCTTTGGTGTGAGCTGTGTAAAGTCCCCATCGGTGATGCCGTCCAGGGTCCCATTCGGTAGATTGGCAGTGTCTGAATCACCAGCAGGAGCTTGACCCTGTTCTAGGTTTGAATTCGATGGACGTGGCGCAGGTACTTGGGAAATCTGATCCACCGTGTCGTTGAGGAAGGGGGAAGCGGAGAATGCTCGGAGTGTCTGTGGCGAGTTCACTGCGGACGCAGCAAAGTTTGCCGTCTATGATGAAAATCAGCACGATCTTCAGCCGTTGGACTTTGTGTGATGTTTGTAAAATACAGGACAACATACCGTATAGTGGTTTCGCTTCGGAGAGAATTGCGTGGCCGCATCGACGGGGTCTGAAAGAGGCCTCTTGCGATGCTGCCAACTCTGATCGCCGGTCGTACTGCTACGTGCAGTCTGTGGACGCTCCACCGGTCCTCTTCGCTCCCACTCCATCACCAACGCTTCTCTCTGTGGCGGTGCCATTTTGTCCATCACGGCATTGAACTGACACTTCTCAAAAAGATAGCCGCAGACTTGGACGAGATATTCCTCCACATCCCTTCGCTTCATTATCTCATGCGCAACCGTCTTGTAGTGCTTGACCAGCAGTTCAAGACAAAAGAGACGCCGTAAGAACGTCAGATCAGTCTCCATCCTCTTCTGTGGTGGTATCATTTGTGGCATTCGCCGGAACTGCAGTCCCGTTGCACCGACAACGTGCAGGTCGATAGCTGCTTTTACTAGGTTCCAGCAGGTGAGTTCGATGTCGGCAGGGTCTTGAGTCCATATTCCACCAGGTTGGAATTTAGCTGCGTACCGTGAGTCGTCGTAGACCTTACGGGTGTCGAGGAAGGCTTTGAAGAGGCGCGCCACGTGGGACTTTTGCTCACGGTCGGTTTGGGGGACGCCGTAAGATCCACTGGCAGGCTTCCAGCAGGGTTCCCATTGATGACTCAACTGGGCTTCCAAGGCACTCCTGAATTGAAGACGCGGCGTTTCATGATAGGCGGGCGAAGGCAGCGGTGTCTGCCGGAGTGGCAATGGAAGCGGATCAGATGCGAAAGCGACGACGGATGGGCCATTTGGTTCGGCGTGAATTTGGTTGACGTGTTCGTATGGTGTGTCTACGCGATAGGCGCCTTGTGATTCTTTGCTCTGAAGTTGTTGGTCAGTGTCGCAAGCCGACAATGAATGTACATTTGGACTTACCGCGCCCTTACTAGCAACAGATGCGGCGTCGTACGCGCGGGTCTCCTTGACAAAATCAGGCTGAGCTACTAGCGACTCCATGTATTGCCGCATGTTATCCGAAGGCCGCCACGATCCGCCGTTTCGTGGTGCGACGATAGCACTCGCCATTGCGTAGTCGCTGTAGCTTGAGGGGTCGTATATGTTTGCTGATGGGTAGACGAGCGTGAGCGACCAAGTCTGCTGTACTAAGTCGGCGCGTTGGGCTCACTGAACGGCACGCGAATACCATTTCGGAAGGTGTGTTTTTGCCAAGGCAGTAGAGGTGAATGTGCGTGCGCACGCGGTGTGGTCATTGCAGATATAACTTCTAAACCAACAAGTATAATCTCGTTCGGATTGCAGAGATATCGCTATATTTGATGTCATTGGCTAGGTGGATGAATCAAGCCTATTCAGCTTTACGATAACGTGAACTGCATGTTTCCAAGAATCTCTTGCATTGCTATGCACTAAGTCGACATCCGCCTTGGAGCTAAAGCGGGCTAATCATACTCCTGAACCACTCGTCTACGTACAGCTGAGTACTGCCTCGATTCTGTGTAGAGCAATCTACTTCCTCTCGCTCTCCAGGTGTGCTCTCCAGAAGGGATCAGGCTCGAAGTAGGGCGTTTGAGCTGTTTTGGCAGGCTCAGACAAGTCATCTTTATGCTCTACGTCTCTAGTATCGTAGCTCATGTCCACTCTAGCACCCCCCTCCACTCTCGACCAGGTCAACGGTGACAGCGTCCTGAGGAGTCGCGCGAGCAGATAGCTCAGTAGCAGTCGCGTCCCTTGTCAGCGCATGATCCATCATCAAGGTATCTGTACTAGTCAGTCTAATTCTTGACCCAGATATTCGCCCAGAATGCAACTTACCGTAGCCATTGAGATCATCCTCAGCGGGCTCCGTACCGTCTACGTCAGCATCAGTCTCATCTTCTGTCTCGTCATCGGAAGGCTCCCCGGTCAAGTCAATGTAGTTGTCTGTCATGGTTTTGGTTGTCTGCAATTCTGGAACAGCATCGAGCCCCGGGGTCTTCTCAGGGGCAACAGCTTTTTTTTGGTTTTTGCAGTATCGTCAAGAGATCTTCGGTGCTGTAGGCAATTGCATCACTCTTCACTTGTTGGCCATAGATGAACCGCACCAATCTTTTCATGTGCTGCGCGAAACTCTCTTCATTTGAGCGCTCGAGTATTGCTGAGCTGTTTTCGTTCGGGACCACAGTGGCTGAAGAACCGTTCCGATAGATGTTCTCGGTCGATCTCTACCGCACGTTAGCCAGACCCGCCCTTTTCACAGACGAAATACGAGACTGAAGATGAATACTCACCAAAAGCTCCCAGGCTTTCACGCCAGCCTCCCTCTCATTCAGCTTCGGTCCGTTAAGTAGCGCATAGTACACCTTCCGAGCCCACACGTCGCGGTCCTTGTCGTCTTTGGGCAGAGTAGCATCGAGAACATGCGCCGAATCGCTAGTCTCTACCTGAGCATTGGCTTTGGTGGAATTTTGTTGTATCTTGCTGAATGCTTTTTGGACGATAGGCTTCTGTGCGTGCTTGTTGATCTTGTGAATCGCCTGCTTCGCCTGAGACGTCGCCACTTTACGCACTTCGGCCTGTTGGACAGCACCGCGATTTCTGTGCGGGACTGAGGGAGCCATCGCGTCTGGCTTGCCGTATGACCGTGCGGTAGGCTGAATGTGAGATTCGTTCAACGTGGTCGGATCACTTGCGCTATCTGGCCTTTGGATACCCCACTTACAGAGAGACTAAGTGATACTGACAGATTTATTTGAATTCGAGACGACGAGGCAGATGTGCTGCTCTGTCGTGGTGTTGGGCAGATCTGGCGGAGGGTGGTTCACTGGTTACTGTGACAACTAGTTTGGGCAGGTGTGCGCTTTCCAAATGTTGCTACGAAAACATCCAGAGAAACATCTAATGCCGGACTCGAACGTATAGGAATCTTCTGAAAGAGATTAAGCAGCTCTGAAAAAAGTAACCAAAGATGGAAAGAGAAGCTCAGAGTACTATGACATATGCATCGTTTCCGACATACTGACCCGTAGGACAATGTGTGTTGCCTCGGGAAGTAAACCCACCGAGAAGCTGCATTGGTGTGATATTAGCGACTTGAAAACCTCTTCGAGTCTGAAGAAGAAGCATGGCCTCATCAGGAGACAATCGATGCTTACCAATGGTTGTGTTCGGTTTGAGGATTCGTTCTGCTCAAACACGATTGCTCGGAAACATTTTCTGACTTGCTCGCCTTCCCACTTCGTGTTTAATAATCCTGGGTGCTCTGGTCAATCTTAGCAGACTTTCAACACTCATAGTTCCATTTTGCGGGTGGACGATGATTCACCTCGTTTTCACCCGAACCCGTCCTGGAACTCATAAATCTTTTCCCCCGCTCTCCCGCCTGAAACAAGTCTACCTTGCTCCGAAAAGCAAACCATTACGAGGCTTGGACGTTACCAAAAAATGCCTCTTATAGTCATCGTTGGCATCAACGGGCGGCAAGGCACCTCGGTCGCGAACGCCTTTCTCGATGCGCCAGGTTTCCGGATCCGCGGTCTGACATCTTCCCCGGACTGTCCCGCGAGCGAAAAATGGAAGGACCTCGGGGTCGAGATACGGGAAGAGACATTCGTCGACGAAGAACACGCGAGGGCGAGCTTCGAGGGAGCAGCCGCCATCTTCGCGATGACAAGCTACCATAAGCCTTTCGAGGACCGCCGAGCAAAGCTAGCATACGAAGTGGGCTTGATCAAGATCAGCATGGCGCAATTCGCCCTGCGACGGGCCGCCTACCAAGGACGCATACTTTTCGACGCCGTCGCGGATACTCGTGGACTGCATCGATTTGTCCTGTCTACACTGCCAGTTGTACTCCCCGGCGCAAAATATGCTACGCACCTAGCCCAGGCAAATTATCACACCAAAAAGGAACAACTCAATTATCTAACACGCTGTCTGCCCAGTTTGGCAGCCAAGACGATCGCGGTGAAGCCATGCATGCGCATGGAGGACTATCGAATGACGCTGCAAATGGTCAGTACGAGATTCATTAAGGGCCGTGGAAAGTAGAATGAATGTTGACGAGTTCTGCAGAACGAAGCTGGGACTCTCTCGTTCGGAACTATTGCACCAGCTTACGTGCCCTTGCACTGGATCAACATGAGAGACGACTTCGGTAGGCTCTCCAAGACAAGCCTACAATGACCGCCTAATGATTAAATAGGCATCTTCGTCCGTACTCTTCTCCTCAATATGTCGCTGGCTCCCGTCGCCTTTGCGGCTTACTCCGACCGTGTATCTGGCGAGGAAATTTGCGCTCTCATATCAAAGATATCCGGAATCACGTGCGAGTATCGACAATACACGGCAGAAGAGATGGAGGAATCAGGGAATAACTTGGCATGCGAGCTGCTGCCGGATCCGGCAGGCTCGGTCCTGTACGACCCGAATGTCTTCACTCCCGCTTCGATCAACGAGACGATCAAGAGGTACAGCGATCCGGTTCCCCTGAGTTCCTTTGCAGATTACCTCAGGACCGTACTTCCCGAACACTTAGCGTCGCTGAGAGCTGCAGCCAACAAGGAACGGGCAGCTCCTCCGGAAGCCGCGATCCAGCCAGCAAAGGAGGAAGAGGCATGTTCGCTAGTCGCATTGCAAGCCTTACGATCCGAAAGACAGCCGGAGATGGAGAGCGCCGTCTTGCGCAACGTATTCATGGGAGCCCCCAGATCCAGCGAATGACGACGTGCGCTTTGGGCAAAGGCAACGTGAGTGATTGTCTGCGCGTGGCACTGTCCATGGTTATCTAGGAATTATTGTGCTGAGAGGGGAAGCTAGATGGAGGATCTTGCAATGCGGAAGGTGATCAATACATCGAGTGTCGTGTTGACAACCTCTGTATGGATGGAATAACGGTGTGTGCAGTGCATTGCTGGTGTGCTGAGTCGGTGTGGCGTGTTGGACAGGACCAGGTAGCATGCACTATTAGATGAGCCCTTCAACGGTGTGCGGCACAGCGTTCGCAGTTCCCGCATTTGTACGACATATGCTTGAACTTTTCGCCCGCCTGATGGTATCACCAACCTGTGAGCAAGCTCTTACTGCGTCACGAACCTGGATGCTGTGAAAGCCCTGCTACGATGATGCCACTAGCCGCCGTCGTTCAAGTGTTCCGAGACATTTGCCACACATGCACACACGTCGCACCCGACGCAATGTCACAACCATGCCGCGACCGTCACGCACGCCGGAGTCTCAACATGTCTGAACGAACCTATGCGCGATCCTCACTCCGTAGTATAGCACGATGTGGTGGTGGAGATTGTTCGGTGGCGGCGCAGTGGCCCCCCGGATCCAAGCGAGAAACGAGAGACGGACGGACAAAGAACAGCTTCGACTATGGCATCTCACAGCCTCGTTGGGGTCGGTGCCTACGCCGGGTCGAAGCAGCCCCAAATATAGCTCCTTCATCGTTCCGCATGCGCGTACAGCGCATATGCAAGTCCCCCTGAGCCTGTTCCCGGTTGGGAAGGTAGCGCGTCTTCCCGAGTCACGTGGCAGCTCCTGTAAAACACCATTCAGCCATCTCCACGTCAAGCCTCCCAGTAGCCAGCGAATCAAAATTGTCTTCACGATGTGCTTTGTACGCCTTACACAATTGGGCCCGATAATTTCTGGGCTACTAGCTGCATGCTCATGTGAGATTTAATATCGACATCCACGCCCCCACCGTAGGGCTGCCTCTATCATGCAACTTCGATACCCTGAGTCTGCAATGCAGCAATGACAGAGACAGACTATTCACGACAAGGCGCATTGATATCCTGCGGCGCGAACATACTGTCCTTCCCGCCCTGGCCCTAACATCGTATATACAAAGCCAACGCCTGTGATTGATTTCGAGGGAACACTCATATAAATCTGGCATCCGTTGATTTAACTCTTGAGTATTCTGGAGCAAAAGCACTTGAACAAAGTTTTGAAGGAGATCGATTTTCTCTCTACGTGTTTTAGAGCTGGATCTATTCTTTCACAGTCACCTACTAGCGTCCCCTTCAGCACCGCTTGAGTAATCAACTTTTCCGCCCTGCGCATCTCGCGCTCTTTCTACGCTTATTCAAACATACGCGGCCTCTTCTACCGTGCTGGCTACGCAAAATGCATTGCTTCGGCATCCTCACGACAGTGGCATCAGTGGCAGTCTTCGCTGCGGGATTGGGTAGGCTGCACCTCTAGATCATTGAAAACTTCGCGAGTTTCTAACGTACATCGACAGCATCAGCTTTCCAACCAGATCTAGGGTACACAGAGTTGTACAGGCTTACACAGCAGTTCTACGATACCTTCCAGTATCCGAACAACGTGCAGGAAGCTGAAAAGATCAACTCGACAGTGTTCTCCGAAGATGTACGCATGATCCTCACTTCTCAGCAGTGCATATGTACTGTATTTGTTGCTAAACCATCCCAGTGTCAGGGTCGTGTCTCTGATACTCGCAACTTCGTCGGCCGCGAGCTCAATACAGAATATATCTTCGGGCTGTTCACACCTAGCGACTCCGTCTCTATTATCGGTCGGCCAGTCGGACCATACGAGATCATCCAGTTTGTCGCTAATCAGAACATCGCGTCGGCAACGACGCGCATCAATTTCACCTTCCCATCATTTGGCAACATGTCCCTGCCCGTCACCATCGACACGTGGATGACGTATAACGAAGCCAGGGAGATCTCGCAATATGACGTTGTCTTCAGGTGGTTTGGTAACCTTATGCAAGTACTGCTCCACACCATCGATGCTGACCCCGTCAAAGCCCAGGCAGCCGCCACGCAAATCCTGGCGCAATCTGTATGCAAGACACACACAAAGTACTGCGAAGGAGACAACACGCAGTACGACTCTGAACAGGACTGCTACAAGTTCCTAACCGAAGGCACTCGCTTCGGCCAGAGCTTCGAGTTGGGGATGGACACGCTTTTGTGTCGCAATGTGCACGAAATCATGGTAAAATTCCGCCCGGATGTCCACTGTCCGCATATCGGGAAGAAGGGCGGTGGGCAGTGCGTGGATGATTATACATATGCACAGAAGGTCAATGAGGTGTACTATACCAATGCGGCGTGGATTCCTACAACTGAGGACGCGCCGCGATATGGAAGTGCGAAGTGAACCCTCCGCTTAGGGTAAGATTCTTGTGGGTTTTCTCATGGGCGTTTTGGAATGAGGAGGTGTCAAGGGAAGCCTTCACGTGGGGAACGGATATGTGATTGACACCGGAAGTCGGTTCTAGAAAAGGCCGTTTGTTTCAGCCTCTTCCTACGAGTGTCGTGCTATGACAGTCCAAGCTCATATTACATCCTTCGCGAAGATAAGTACTTCAGTGAGCCTGTTCTCCAGCCCTTTGTCTCATCTGCGATAGCGCAACCTATATCGGTGCTTTGCAAAAGTTCTGCCCCCACCTTCCGCTGACCTAGCTACTTATTATATCAATTCCTAGCTACCATGTGTACTAAATGTGGCTCATTATTAGCCTACTTAACTTTTAACAAATTGGCACCCTATTTTAACGTCTACTAAGCCTCGAAACATAGATTTGACCGACTCTAGCTAATGATCAGCCTCCTGTAGTATATAATCTAAAAATTACGGTAAACGTACCTAGTACGATAGAAGATGGGGGCAGAGTTTTTGCGAAGCACAATAACGGCTTCGCAACTGCAATGTCGGGTTAGCCAACAAGTGAAGGAGCTTGCTCACGATCAAAAAGAGCGGATCAGCTACATCAACGAGTCGGGCGGGAACTTGTGGCCTAAGGAGTGAGAATCTCGGCTTGCAGTGCACACATTGACGATGATATTAATACATCAATTTGTTTTTCAGGACAACTGCATGTAATTGTTGCAAGTAATTATGCTTTGGTAAGCAAGCAGCGACGTTTCGACAAGCTTTCAATGGGTGCACTAGCCTGACACCGCATGAAGAACATTTCACGCAGCCAGGTCGATTCATCCCTGTAAAGTTGTCACTTCTCCAGTCATTCACATGTATGGCGAGGAGCACATCGCATATTAGTGATTCCAGGTCGGTAATAAGAACCTTCCGCTGCATCTAGAGTCCCCGTAGTACGTTTTGTCTGGTAAAAGACAACACAAAACCTAATGACTAAACTTGATTACCACAACAGGATGCAGAATTGTATGTCCTAAAGGGTTTTGAAAATAGGAATTGTAAACAAGATATGGCCAGCGTGGCTCTTAGACTAACCACCAGAAGAGTCCCGAGCAGTTATGATCAAGGGTACATGTATGTCGATTGAGGATGCTGCCCCAGGAGCAACGTATACCACAGGTAGACTGCTTTGAATGTCTGTGTCTGATAGAGGGCCATCACTGACTGGCGTGACTAGTCGTGCAGATGCGTCTGCAGCGATTGGTGTTTGCGATGCTCGTAATGTCCCTTCACCGCGTCGAGTTCTTGCTCGCTTACGCGACGTCGAGACAACCTGGTCATCATCGTCATCGTGATCGTCGTAATTCGATGGTCGTCTGTTTAGTCTTTGCAAAAAGAGCATAGAGTGACGGGCTTTAGACCAACGAGTCCGGGCCGTGTCAAGTCTGCCTAGTCTCAGAACCGAGATATGTGCAACATTGAACGGTAGTTTTCTATTCTGTACAGCAGGACTGACCATCTTTGCAACATGTTTCCCGTCGTGCGCAGAGAGGTTCCTGCTGAAGAAGAAGCGAAGATCAACGAAAGAACATTCTTCTTGACGAGGAACAGAGGCTGCAATTGACCTTTTGCGCCTTTTTGAGGATGCACTGCTGTCCAACGCTGTAATGGAGATTGGTCCGGCAGTGTTTTCCTGGCGATTGAATACGACAGGCTCTTGTTGATTTGGAAAATCATCATAAGTCTTAATTTTGTCTTTCAACGTCTGAACCGTAAACGGAGTAACAGCCTTCAGTTCTTTCAGTGCCCATATCAGAGCCTTTGTGAAGGAGTTTGGCCCTGGACCCTTTGTTTTACTCTTGTCCCCACACGCAGCAAGATATCGATTTGAGAGGTAACCGGCATCGCAGCAATCAAGGATGACCAATACATCGTTGTGAAATTCGGCTAATGCCTGTTCGACTTTTTCCCACAGGATGAATGGGCCTTCGGATGTAACCACCTCTCTCTCAGGTCTTTGACTGATTAAAGTGATTAGCTTGGCGTACCTTGTGTATGCTGCTATAACTTACGGCATGAGATCAAACCCTGTAACACCTTTACGCTGGAAATCCCTGCTCCTCCAACCATGACCAGCGTAGTATACAATGCTCAACGGATGTTCCTTGTCCTCAGCTTCCAAACCAAACTCGTGTAATTAAAGTCCGGCTTGAAGATGCGACTTCTTGTTGCTTTCAATGACTTTGTTTTCGACGTGGAAATTGTATTCATCGCGGAAGACTTCTTCCAATTGTCTAACCTGAAGATGTGAAGGTCAGTGTCGAAGTGGGCACGGCAATGCAAATGATCTCACCTCCTCGCCAACGTCCATATTCTGCATGCCACCCATGTTTGTCGTGGTGCTGAATGACAGCAACAATACATTGACGTGATCGTACGTCTTGGGGTTTCGTGTCGAAGGCATATGCTCAGTAAAGTCTTGCTGAAATCGACGAAGCCCTTCAAGCCTGCAAGGAGAGTCGAGTTCCTCTGATGAGGCGTCTATTGCCGAATCGTCAGGGCTGGCAAAGCCAGAGGTCTCAATGGTACGTGACATGTTGCAGGATGTGCCAGTGTCAGAACGTGTTGAAAGCAAAGTATTTCGGTCGACCAACTGCAACAGTTAGCGGTGGTTCACTGTTCAGCCTGGTGGGGCCCAATGCCCAAGGCTCGCACATTGCAACGACTTTATACCACAGAGCGACAAGCATTTAGATGCTGCTGTGCCTTTGCTGAAGATCCATGCTATTGGTGCTAGGTGAGCATCTGTGGCTGTTGGCGTTGAAGGGCCATCTTTGAGGGACTTGTGCTGCGATCGCAATGAGATGGGCCTCGTGGTGAAGGACGATGGCTGAGCTTGCAGATTCGCTGGGCTGATTGGTCGTGCGTCGTTCTCCGTCCCAATACATCGGAGCCGCGATATGACCATGCAGCGTGGACAATAGACACGCTGGCCTTCGTGCAGGCAAAGTTTGCGCTTCCAGCGTTTGATCGCGAACGAAGCCACCAAAGGCTGATTTAATCCAAGGTTGCGAGGCAGAAAATTACACTCACCCATTTGCCTTGTCGTCTAGGCTGACACAATACTTACCTTCTAGTTTCGGAATCAAATAGCCTGGAGACATCATAACCACACACAGAGCCGCTGACCGGTCTATATCTAGGGTAGCCATTGTCTTGCCCAGCCTATTCACCGGTTCGGTAAAACCTCACCACTTGCACAACGATTGCCATCAAGACACAAACTCACAGACGCACTAGTTGGGATGTCCCAGGGCAGTAGAACAGAAGACAAAAGATTTGTTGTACGTGCTTGCTGGAATCGGACCGCACGAACGACTGACAGTGCCTCAGGAAGAGGCGACAGCTGAAGACGGTCGCGCGTACGCATCTCGGTCGAGAAACCCAGCCTGGGTATGTCAGGCCCTAATTTTATGCTCCTAAGCTCTTTCAGAACATTACACTGACCGGATTTCGCTTGTAGACGACGGCCGCTTTCGAAGTAGGGGAGAGAGCTGTACTGGAGGATCCTGATGATGAACCTGATTGCGATGTGACGATTGTGAGGCGCAGAAGAACCGACCTTGGAAACTGGCAATACCAGGTTAGAAGCATGGCGACGAATGGATTGGTTCGAAATGGGGATTGGTTTTCGGAAACCTTCCTAAGCCGAGCATAACTGTTGTACGCCCTTTAGGCGCTTTCGGGCAAACTGCAGTAATGGGGCGGGGTTGGGTGATGTGCAAGCACCCATTGGTCAGCCTCGCGTCGTGCATATTGCCTCATGTATTGATGCGAACATATAACAGCAGCCATGATTTCTGGTTCAATTATCTTCCATGCCTACCGTTGTGCTTGATACCTCTTTTGAACTTTTCAAACATCGCAAGGCTACTCGGCCAGACTATGAACACACATGAAAGCGCATCAATCATGGAGAACGGGGAGGCTGGGACAATATCGTCTTCGACGTCCACCACAGTCACGGAAAAGTCTTGTGGTGAGATTTCGCCGAGTATAACTCCCAATTCAAAACCGGCACCTGTCCCTCCAGTACACTCGCGTACGTGGTTTTTAGCCTCCAATGAATTCACACCATACCAATGTTGACCATTGAGATAGGCGCTCCTCATTGGGTTAGAACCGTTCGCACGAGGCTGAGATCAAGATGGCTTTGGCCCAGCCGACAAGTGGCTCATTCTCAGCTGAACATACCGAAATCAGTAGTGAGAAAACGTGAGTAATGGCTGTCAACGTTAGCCAAAATTCATTCACTAATGGAAAAAATGCAGTCTCGTCGAGCCCTCCGGGATTTCCGAATCTGGCGGCATTCCTCGATAGCGATGAAAGCTCTATGATCTATCGTCGCTTTGGTTTCCTCCAGTCTCGCTTGCTGCTCAACAAGCAAGATGAGCTACACGATCTGGAAAAGAAGTTAGAGAAAATGGATCGCATCGAAGCCAATGAAGATGAAAGATGGCCTAGAACTAGGCAACTGCCTGCTGGACGACGGGAGAACAGGACGCAACTCCTGACTCAGATTGAGGAGCGATTTTGCTCATACGGTAAGGATCATTGTGTATCCTTCTCTAGCCGAGTAGTACTGAATCAGCCCAGCAAACCTTCTCAACTCGGCCCAACAGATAGTTGCTATGCATCAGCCCTCCAAAGGCGATTACAACAGCGTGCGCAATTTCATGCATAACCATAAGCCCCTCTTGGAACGAGAGGCTTCTTGGATCAATCATGAGGAAGATATGGTCACGCTGCGAGCCAGACGTGAGCATGCTTGGCTAGACTCTAGCATTGAGAAACTTTTGCGATTGTTCCATTGTTCCCTCCTAGAGGTGTGTTTCTTCGGGTCATTGCAGTAATGTCATGCTAATAATCGTGCTAGCGCATCTTTGGTGATGAGGTCAGTAATACCAACCAGGTCAAGTCGGCCGTGTAGCGCAAAGAGGACGCTAACACGATTGGAATAGCGATCGCGGGCCAAGTCCTCCAAACTTGAGATATACTACTCGAGGGAGCAGATCACGCGTCTCGCTAGTTTTATCATCACTATGCTGATTTTGGTGCTCCTCATCGTTCCGATTTACACACTATATCACCTGATTAACGACATTCATACGGGCAGAGCATATGCTATATGCATGGGCGTCCTCGTTGTCTCAACTCTAGCATTTTCGGCAGTGCTGTCACTTTTTACCAAGGCGAAGAGACATGAGATCCTCGCCGCAGCCGCAGCGTATGTATGGTTGTCTCCAAAGCTGATAGTACTTTTCAGCTAATGTGGAGCCTTGCAGATATTGCGCGGTGTTGGTTGTGTTTCTAGGTAATGTGGGGCCAAAATGTCAGCCAGGCACGTGCCAGGACTCTAGTGCTTTGTCGGAGGCTTTTCTCCAGTGAGTGCTGCGAGTAGGTAACAAAAGTTTGGCCTTTACTTTCTATTATCTCCTATTGCGTCAGATGTAATCTTAACGGCTACACGAGCTATTGGGTGACGTGTTGCGCGAGCGACTGTTCACGTGAAATGCAGCGCTTTCTACAGGTGCTGGCACATCATGAATGCGCCGGGCCTTGCTTGCTGGTGAATTACATATCGGGAAGAATACAAGCCGGCATCGCGGCAGACGGTTGAAGCGAGTTGCGATCTGTTGAAGAAACCCGCGAACGGAATGGCTCCTATGCTGTATATCAAACTTGCTCGAATGTGGATTTGAAGGCCGGTCCAGTATTCGATTACTTCGCTTGAGGCCTATTGAAGTAGGGACAATAAACGCGAACAACACTTGTAAACACTGTGAAATCTCGGGAGATCCTACGCTTAGAAATCGGGGCCTTCCCAAGGAAGCACTAGCGTGGCTTTAACCCTAATCCATCAACGGAGCTTCCGTGGGCTCACGACCATCTCTTACAAAACCTACAGAAGCTGATTCACATCGCGCTCTCTACGTCCGAGATGCACGTAATGGGGCAGAGCACCGGATTGCGGAACGCCAGATCAGAGATGATCGCAATCGGTATAAAATGGAGCCAAAAACTCTCATATTCATCACAGCAAGACAGAAAGTTTATCCCTCTCCTTAGCATTCTCGAATCGCAATACTGGAAATTTTCCCATCCAGCTTTCCCATTTCAAAGGATACAATGGCCGCCCAACTTGATCCCAACATGTTGACTTCTGCCTTCCAACTCACAAAGGCGCTGCACCGCGACGTTTACCCTGCCATCGACCCAAAGAAGCTTGCGCAGCTTGCTTCGGACAAAGTCATTCTCGTCACTGGAGCCGGCGGTGGTATCGGCTACGTATGGAATGCTTCCCACAATGTCGAGTTTTCGCTAACACTACCCATAGGCCGTCGCGAAGACCTGGACCGAGGTCAATGCCAAAGGCGTTGTGCTTGTCGGTCGCGATGCGAAGAAGCTCAGTAGCGTAGCTGCTGAGGTTGAAGGCAACACCTTGGTAGCTGCCGGCGACATCACTAAGGAGGAAGACGTGAAAGCCATCTTTGAGAACGCAATTGCGAAGTTTGGTACCGTTGACGTTGTTGTCAACGCTGCCGGTATCTTCAACTACGGTAGCATCGGGGAGTTCGAGCCATCGCAATGGTGGGCCGACTTTGTAAGCCTTACTTGAAAGCTCCTCACCATGTAATCTCGGAAGCTGACGGCTGGTATGCAGGAAATCAATGTCAAAGCCACCTATATTCTCGCCCAATTCCTCCACAACTTCAACAAAGACCGCACCGCCACGTTCATCAACCTCGTCTCCATCGGTGCTTCCATGACTAATTCCGGCCTATCCTCTCTCACCACGTCTCAGCTTGCCGCCACAAAGCTCGGCGAACATCTCGACCTCGAACTATCCAATCTTCGCGTGTTCTCCATTCATCCTGGTATCGTGGAAGCAAAGGCTGGCCGCGGCGCTGTCGTTGATGCCATGACGCCGTTTGCTAAAGACCAGCCCGAGTTGACGGGTGCCTTCACTTTGTACTTGCTCAAGCCGGAAGCGGATGTACTTAGGGGCGGATATGTAAGCGTGAACTGGGATGTAGAGGAGATTCGAAAGCATGCGGAGGAAATCAAAGAAGGGAAACTCTTGAGGTTGGGGCACATCAATGCGAAGGTCGGGCCAGACGGTCATCCATGGGCGCAGTGAACTGGTTGTACTACACCAGTGAACCCAGGGGATAAGATTGTATAGCTGACTGCAGACATAGCCGAAAAGTTTAATGGACTGTGGACAATGATTTGTGTTTGTTATTCAACCAAGCTCCCTGCAACGACGTGCATGCGTAAGCTCAAAGGCCGTACGCATCATGTGCCATGTGCAGCCTACCTGCGTGACCGCACAAGTGCTATGACATGCGCATTTGTTATCTCTATGAGCAAACAGAAATCCTTTTCGGTGTATATAACGTCATCACGGCCCATGGAAGGTCTGTTGAGGCCAAGCCTTTCTTCGCCTATAATTTGTATATAACTTCTCAGTCGAACGGCGCTTCCTCAAAGCATTTGCGGAGTACGATAAGCCTCTCTAGATACTAATGCACCTCACGACTATGCCCTTTTAAAGTCTTACTTGAACACCACTCTGGAGCTGTCTGCAGTAGCGAAGTCTGCTCAAACATTGATGGGCATTTTCCAATATCAGAGGCTGCACGAGTTCTTGAGGTGTCAACGAAGAGATACTTCAAGCGGAATTGATGCGCTCCAGAAATTTGAGCCCTTTCTCCACGTGAGCCCTGTCGTTCTGTGCACTCTCCGACAGTTTCCGTAGCTGTTTTGTATGGACTTTCCGAATGGCTTGACAAGCTCGGTAGCATGGACTCGCCGAGAGACGTAACAAAGCCGCATGCTTTTAGACCTCGGGTTCGTCTCAATGCATGGGTCTTGCGGCTGTGGAGAAAAGTTGAATCTCTTGGATGGTCCGAGTGTTCTCATTCACCCTCCTCACTCACTTTCCCTTAGGTCCTTGGCATACCTTTCCCTACTGAGGACGTCGCTCAATTCCAATTTTTGAAAATTCTCACGCTGCTGCCTGCCCCAGTCAACACCACACCAATCCTCAGACCACACGCTACACCGCAGCCCAGATCTTTCCCAAGCATACACTCGCAACGGTAAAAGTCGACCCGCCCCCACCATGTCTGTACCACTTGAAGGACTCGCCATACACGACACCAGCGACCGCGTCCAGCGCGCACGCTTGATGGCCGAGTACCGCAGGCAGGCGCGGGAAGAACTGAAACATATTCGACTCTTTCAGCAGCAGCAGGCTGATACAGCGTTGAATCGTCCAGCTACTCCAGAATCTCGCGAATCTACCCAAGGCGCGGTCGATCCTGGCGCCACTGCAAGTATCTCCGCATTCCCCATGCCACCGGGTTACACACACCAACCCCTTGCTGTGGACGACCCGCTCCCAGCAACCCCGAGCAAGCCGACTACGAAGACGCCTAGCAAGCCCAGCACCAAGCTCAAGGGCCTCTTCACCAGGACTCCCAAGAAGAAAGATCGTCCGAAGGACGACTTCGCAGACATCCGCAAAGCATTTACTACAGAGCGTCTGATTCGCCCGGAGACCGCGCGCTCAAGGACAGCGGATCCCGCCGAAGGAGGCCAGCTGCCTGGTGAAGACAGCTGGGACTGGTATCAGCGCAACATCTCTGCGCTGCCACCGATGCCGAGTCTGACTCATCCAGCGTTCAGGGGTCAGGATCGAAATGAAGAAGGCAGATAAGGTGCAAATCCTCAGGGGAATGCTGCTGATGAGCTGCGATCCCTTAGAAAAGATGTCGTACCCTACAACGATCCCCTTTCTTCGAAGGTTTTGAATGAGTTCTATTAAGTGCGGCAGCTCGAACTGCACCTCAGTGGCAGGGTGAGAGTGTTGGGTATGGTTCTGTGTTTTAGCGACTTCGTCGGCGAGTTTTGACTGTAATTGGGACCGTGCCCAATGGCAGATGGTATGCGCGGTTGAAATGCTAGATAGAAGATAGAGGGAATATATTTAAGATTAAGGATCCATTAGTAGATGGTTCTAGTTGACCTTGCCACCAATATCCACTTTGAGCGTAGACACACTTCTGCGGAACGCCGCTATCTGCCATGTAGTGCGGCTTGTCTGAATGTGGCGAGACAGGCAATCTAGCCTTCCCATCCGATGCGGCGGTAGAAAAGCGTAGACCATGCCTGGACATGCTCCCATAAGTTTATCAGGCTTGACCAGAAGCTTCCTAGAAGTTGGAGCCTTGTCATTGATTTGACTGATGGTGTATGCTGGGTTAAGTTGACTTGTAAAAATTATTAGAGGTTGTAATCTAATAGGGGATCGCAGACTCGAAGTGACGCGAGTGCCCCGACAAAATGACCAGGTGTTGACCATTATTGATCCTGTCTATTGTTTCAAAGGCCCTCCTAGACGTTGAAGCTTCTGATTTATTGTGTTCGAGAGTGTAGCCCACGATGATTGAGTCTATGGCGAGTGCCCAGAGTTCTGACTTGATGATGTGACCGGCCTTCACATGAAGGCACTCCTTTACACAGCGCCGTCAGCACCACCCTCTACTTTTGCGCCTTTCTCTCCAGTCTGGACATCCACCAAGATCCCGCTTTCAACCTTCTCACCCGACGCCAGCTTCTCGAAAGCTTGGATGAAGTCATCCCTCAGATCTTCCCAATTCTCCACGCCCACGCTCACACGAAGCAACCTCTCGTCGACACCAGAGTCAGACATACGCCTCCACTCGATCAAGCTCTCTACACCACCTAGACTCGTAGCGTGGTGGAACAGGCGCAGGTGTGAGGGTAATTGGCGCGCTTGCTCTGGCGTCTTGGTGTAGAAAGAGAACACGGGCCCAAAGCCGTTGGGCATCTGCTTCTGGAGCCAGGAGAAGTCGGTTTCTTGAAGACTGGCATGCTTGACCTCTGAAACGACTTTGGACACAACCTCGCTGCCTTCTCCGTTTCCTTTGAGCGCATTTGTCAGCCACAAGACGAGGTCCGTTGCATTGGAAGATTGTCGCTGTACACGGAGTTCCATTGTACGCAGACTGCGGACGCCCAGCCAGCCCTCCAAACTACCCAGGACGGAGCCGAGGAAAATACGATCGTCTCGCAACCCTCCTGCCATCTTCTTTCCATCCGCACCCTTCTTCACGGCCAGAACGCCGCAAAGGATGTCGCTGTGGCCACCAATGTACTTCGTCCCGCTGTGCATTACGATGTCAGCGCCCCAAGCAAACGGGTCCTGCAATCCAGGCGGGCCGAATGTCGCGTCCACGCTGAGCAGAGCGCCCCTCTTGTGCGCTCGATCCGCATACTTCTGAATTTCGAATGCCTCGCCTGTGGGGTTCAACGGTGTCTCTAAATGCACGATATCGCCTTTGCCCAGACCAGCCTCATCCCAGGCCTTGTCATCGGCGTGCAAGTCGACCGTCTTCAAACCGTTCATCTTCTGATGCAGTCCAATGACTCCATGGCATCCGTGATACCCTCCTGATATGGCGATCACCTTGGGGACAACATTGACGAGGAGGGCGTGAAAGGCACTCAGTCCGGAGCTATAGCTGACGACATGGTTGGCGAGCTGGTCCAGTTCCTTTTCATCTGTGCCTGGAAATACGAGAGGTGCTAAGATGGTCTCGAGGCGGTTGATGTTGGACGAGGCGAGGCGCGAGTAGATGAGGGGTGTTTGTAAGTCGATTACTTCGCCGGTGGAGACGGGGACGGGCTGGAGGGCCTCATGATTGCGTGGATAGCGGAAGGTGGTGGATGTGTGGATGGCAGGCGCTACCTGGAAATGAGTCAGTATACGTACTTGGAGGCGCTACTGCGTAGACATTGAACAATCGAGGTAGGCGAGCGGGGTACTGACATCGGTGAGGACATTGATGTGGTCGTCGGCGTGTACAGCTGCCGTTGCTGCGGATAGAGGCTTTGTCATATCGAACTGCTTTATTCAAGTCTGCTTTGGCGACCGACGAGCTACACAGTGTAAGGGAGGTCTACGGGGACTAGAGATGGAGTGGAGAACGGCTAGATCAGGTACAAAGTGAGCCGGTCGACGTGAGTACAGCGCGCCATGTCGACGAAGACGCCCTAAAGGACGCACCATGCCAAAGATAGCATCACTCGTGGATGAAGCCGACCCGGCGTAGGGCGTGGGTCGGCAGCGAACGACAAGGGCGATGACGACAGCTGCAGGGTGACGAATCGGGTGGTAGCGCGAGCTGCCCCTCCTTTCACCCCGCCGACAAGCTGCCCCTCCTTTGCTGGAAAATTTGCAACTCGGTCGGAAAGATCAAGAAAGATCAAGAAAGATCGGCGCTTGTGGTGCACGAAGTGAATGAGTAGAGATGTAGATGTATTGGTAGAAGCCTCAGTGTCAAATTGGCATTGGCCGTTCACAAATGTTACTGGATGTAACGTTCACAAGTGTTACTAACCCCATCTGCCGTCTTTCATGCCGTTAGCACCTAAGAAAGGTGCTGAGACCATTCCACGAAGTCAAATCCCTATCCCCATATCACGTCTAAGCCTGGCCAGCACCGGTGATGGTGGGGGGCTTCGACGAGTACTTGACAGCGCCGGAGTTGCTGCCAACAGCCTCGATGGCACGCACAATCTTCATCGACTCGACGTCACCAGCGGGGACGCGACCGAAGACGACGTGCTTGCCGTCGAGCCACGAGGTAACGACGGTCGTGACGAAGAACTGCGAGCCGTTGCTGTCTCACCATCAGCTGCGATCCTGGGGAGCGCGGGGCATGTGAAAACTTACGTGTTGGGGCCGGCGTTGGCCATGGACAGGAGGAAGGGCTTGTCGTGCTTGAGCTTGAAGTTCTCGTCGCCAAACTTCTCGCCGTAGATGGACTTGCCACCAGTGCCCTGTTTTGGTCAGCTACTGCCCCGCCTTGTGCCGCGTCGGGAGGGGCTGTGAGACTCACGTTGCCACGGGTGAAGTCACCACCCTGAAGCATGAACTGAGGGATGACACGGTGGAACTTGGAGCCAGAGTAGCCGAAGCCCTTCTCGCCCGTGCAGAGAGCACGGAAGTTCTCGGCCGTCTTGGGGACGACGTCGTCGAAGAGCTCGAAGTTGATGCGACCCTGCTGGTCTGGAAGGCAGAGTTAGCAATTGGCCTTGACGAGCATCGAGAAGATGAAGCATGACGGCGTCGCCGTGGTGGCGATGGACTTTTGACAATCAAACGAGGGGCAGCTTACCCTTCTCGGCGCCCTTGGAGGTGATGTCGCCGTTGTTGTTCACCTGTACCTCCGGGCCGTACCAGGAGACATCGAAGTAAGTCTTGATGACCATGTTGGCTGCTGATGGAGTGAAGAAGCGTTTGTTGAGAGGTGCTCGGAGGGTGGATGATTGAGAGGAGCGGAAGGAAGAGAGCAAAGAAGTAGAAGTCCTGAGAGCGTGGTGGGGCATGGCGGGGTATTACTGAGAGCTTGTCAGTGGCTGTGAGAGACTTAGCGCCGACACCCCATGGCGTCAGACGCAACCGCTTGGCGGTGAATGCGTGCAGAACAGCCGTTCCGGCAGGCGAAGCGTGCTGCGGTGATGGTCCACGGCGCCTGGTGCGGGGGCAGTTGGGCGCTCTCACCTGGCAACCCGGGAGCTGGGCTGCTTCACTTGATGGTACAGAGGTAAAGCGATGCGGAGCTTGCAGAGCTCGGAGAAGCAGCGGACAAGAGCCAATTGGCTAGCTATGCAATACAATATACGAAGAGACGACTATGGTACACTGCAGAAGACGGGGCGAGCTGTCCTGCAGATGGTGGCGATAGAAGGGGATGCAGAGTCGAGAGCAATGATGGAATTTTCCCAGAGCTTCTCCTGGGAGCTTGGGACGCTATGCTCCCTGTGCTAGTCGTCCTCATCGTTGCCATGATGGTCGGACAGTTACTGTCTACGTTCGACGAGCTGAGCGTGTTGCTCGCTGCATGATCTGGCTTGTTGCGTAACCTGAGAAAGGTACCAGATGTCCAATTCTCTGCGCAAGGCCTCATCGTTCCTGCCGCTTTGAAGCCCGCCAAGCCTGCTGTCACGTGCTCTTTCCCGCGGCCACTGGCCGTTGTCCATTGTCGAGTTGACCCCGATGACCCTGCAAAAGCACACTTAGATATTGCATCTCTCGTCAATATCATTGAGTTGTCTCCCCTCCGTTCGGGTTAATAGCACGTGGCGAAGTACGGACCGCATCCCTGCCGAACCCTGGGACAGCCGCGCTCGACAATAAGCTGCCACTTCGACACCAACGACACCAATACGTGGCCGAACCACCCCATCACCGCCATGGATTTCACAAGTCTCAAGGACCAAGTGAGCAACCTCACGCTCTACGACCTCAAGGCCGGTGTGCGCAAGGTCCAAAATGGTGCGCCTCCTCGGGATGCAGTTGGGCCGCCGAGCTAATACGCCAGGGCAGCGGTGATGAACTTCACTGAGATGGAGGCGAAAGTCCGCGAGGCGACGAACAATGAGCCGTGGGGTACGCAAGCAGTTCGACACCGGAAATACTGCCACTGACATCTGTAGGCGCTTCCTCGACGCTCATGCAAGAGATCGCCAATGCCACGTTCAATTAGTTGGTGTTAATGTACATCCCCCACCGAATCGCGCTGACCACGCAGTCAATTACTGAACGAAATCATGCCCATGATCTACAAGCGCTTCACCGAGAAGGCAGCTGAAGAATGGAGACAGATATACAAGGTCGGCATGACGCCTTCCTTCGAAAGCGGCACTGACAGGTCCAGGCTCTCCAACTTCTCGAGTTCTTAATCAAGAACGGCTCCGAACGGGTCATTGATGATGCGCGCTCCCACGTCTCCCTCCTGAAGATGCTCCGGCAATTCCACTTCATCGACCAGAACGGCAAGGACCAGGGTATCAACGTACGAAACAGGGCTAAGGAACTTGCCGAGCTTCTGAGCGACGTCGACCGTATCCGTTCAGAGCGCAAGAAGGCCCGCGCGAACAGAAATAAGTTCGGCGGTGTTGAGGGCGGCATGGGTATGGGCGGCTTCTCCAGCAGCGGAGGTTTCTCGGGCGGCAGCAGCAGCAGATATGGGGGCTTCGGGAGCGAAAGTGCAAATGCCGATTACGGAGGCTACAGCGGGGCTGTCTATGGCGATGGCGGCGGTTTTGGAGGCAACGAGTCCGGCTTTCAAGACACACAGCGACGAGGAGACAAGTTCGAAGAGTACGATGAGGGAGACGATGTCGAAACTTCTGCTCCTCCCCGACGGACACAGGCATCCTCGACTCAAGTCCGAAGGGAAACCAAGAAAGAAGACCCACAACCAAAGGCACCAGAGCCAGTTGCAGATCTGCTAGCATGGGACGATGAGCCTGCGCCAGCTTCTTCTGCAGCGGGAAAACAGCCCCTTGCAGCTAGCAATGATTTCGGAGATGACGACTTCGACGACTTCCAATCGGCCGCACCTGCAGCCCCAGCTGCGAAGCCTGCAGCAGCAGCTTTCATTGCGCCTCCAGCCTCCACGTCGACGATCGGTGCTTCCACACAATTTGCGGCTCCTCAACCCCAGTCAGCTGCACAGAACAACAACCTGAATGACCTCTTCGCTACTGTTTCCCCGCCACCGGCGAGCAACAACTTCGCCTCTCCTCCCCTTGCTACGCCTGTTTCAGCTACATCGAGTATAAACCAGCCATACAAGCCTTCTGGGTACCAAGCAACAGGCCCAAACTACTTTACATCCGTACCCAACCCATCAGTCGGCCCCACACCCTCGGTTGCCTCCCCCTAGTATCGGTGGTATCGGTGGGAAGATCGGCTCTGGAGCACCTAAAAAGACCGGAGGCGATGCATTTGCGTCTCTATTGGGCGGATCTGGTCCTAAAAAGACGTCTACGCCCACGCAGAAGGTCACCATGGCGGATATGGCAAAGCAAAAGACGAGCCAAGGATTGTGGGGAGCTCCTGCTTCTGGGTCTAGCACTCCTGCTTCACAGCCTCAGAGCGGGTCCAAACCCGGTGGTGCTTTGGGTGATTTGCTTGGTTAAGAGCAGCATTGGCAACATTTGTGATGGATATGTATTCTGTGATAGTTTCTGCGCATGGAGTCTGGGCAAAAAGAAGGGTTTCCTGCATGGTAACAGCTGCTCTTTAGAAATCAGGATAGCCAGTATGAATCTGAGACAACATCTCCAACATCCTTCGAGCGCTCAGCTTGTACGCGTAGTGGATGCTGGTCCACGTGTAGCCCGCTCAACTCCGCAAACGCACCTTCCTGATTGGCCGCCCCTAACGGGGATCACCTTGATGGCCGAGAACAGAACAGGAGGCCGTGCACCACATTTCATCTCGATGTGCGCGCACTGGCGCATGTGTCGTGCACTCACTTCACGCTCTTCTCTGCTTGTCTACTTCTTGTCTTCACGAGAATGCTTCAATGCAGCTCTCGCGCATCTTCTTCCTGCTCGCGCATGTCCTGGCTCCGGTAGCCCTCCTCGGTACAACATGGCTCTACCTTTACCCCTTCTTCGATGAAGCGTGCTCGTTCCCTTCTCCACCGAATTCCACTGCGCCCGCGCCGTTTCGATTACTCGCACTCGGTGATCCGCAGCTTGAGGGCGACTCGTCTCTCCCAAAAGCCGGCGCAAAGATCTTCCGCTCGTTCGATAACCTAGTGGATCATGTACGCGTTGCGGAGGCTGCACTGGAGAAGCTGGATCTCGTACGGAACGCTATAAAGGGCATACCGAAGGATATCGTAAGGGCATTGGAGGGGGTATATCAGGAAGCCCGTTGATATTTGGGGCAACGACTGGTACCTCGCGCACATTGTGCGCACACTGAGGTGGTGGACGAAACCAAGCCATGTTGCTGTTCTCGGTGATCTGCTGGGAAGTCAGTGGATCAGCGATGAGGAGTTTGAGAGGAGGAGCAGGAGGTATTGGGATATTGTATTCCGAGGTTTGGAGAAGGTGCCGGAGCGTATCATGACGGGCTATGAAGAAGGAGAGCTAGATGCAGAGAACGAGAAGGAAGAGAAACAAGCAGATGATGGAGAAAGGCAAGAGCGGGAAAAGAGGTGGGGTGGCACTGTCGAAATACTTGGGGAAGATCCATCCTGGGCCAAAAGAGCTATCAACATCGCCGGGAATCACGATATCGGCTACGCAGGGGACATCGACACAAATCGAATGGAGAGGTTCGAGCATCAGTACGGGAAGGTGAACTGGGATATTGTGTTCACCCTTCCGAACACTACTCTCGGGAATACTGAAGAGCAGAACGATCCTCCAGCGCTCCGTCTTGTCATCCTCAATACCATGAACCTCGACACGCCCGCCTATGACGGCGATCTCCAGCGCGAGACGTACGACTTCATAAACCACGTCGTCACCACATCTCGCTCTGTGAACGACAAGACGCACGCCACTATTTTACTTACGCACATCCCACTACACAAAGATTCAGGCGTGTGCGTCGACAGCCCGTTCTTCGATTTCTTCGACGGCGGAGGTGTCAAGGAGCAGAACATGCTCTCGGATCACGCCTCGAAGATCGTTCTAGAGAGCATGTTTGGCCTGAGCAGCAACCAGCACGCCGAGGGCCAAGGCTTCGGACGGCGCGGCATCATCATCAACGGGCATGACCACGCTGGGTGCGATCTACTCCATTACATCGTACAACCGGGTGTCGCTAGTGGGTGTCCGGAGAATGTTGATGAGCACCAGATACATCTCCCACCTGCGTTGGCAAACGCTAGTACTTCGTTATTCATCGAGGAAGTGCTGAAAGATAGCTTCGACGCCAACGACACCCTTTCCGACCTCAACCTTCCAAGCCAAGACTCCAGCGAAGAAGCTGAGACTGAAGCTGAACATGAACCAGAATCCGAAGAGCAACAGACCAAGTGGCAGGCGCAGCGCGTCCCGTACCTCCCGTACAAAGCCACCTCAAGCGGCGAATGCATCGCCCTCAACACCGTCCCTCGCATCCGCGAAGTCACCCTACGGAGCATGATGGGCGAGTTCTCCGGCTACGCAGGTTTTCTCTCTGCGTGGTTCGACGTCAGCGCAGGTGAGAAGGGGGAATGGAAGATTGAGGTGAGCACGTGTGGGTTGGGCGTGCAGCATTGGTGGTGGGCGGTGCATATTGTGGACGTAATTCTGGTATTGGCGTTGATTGTGGGAGGTGTGCTAGTTTTGATTGAGGCCAAGACGAATGATGCTTCCAAGACTGACGATGTCAAGACTATAGACCTGAACGCTAGTAAGCACAATAATGGCAAAGTGGGGCAAGGTATGTCAGGCGGCGTTGCGGGGACAGGGAAACAAGGAGAAGGGACAATACCATAACGTACACGGACGAAGTCATGTTTAGTCTTAGATTGAGCAAAGGCACCCCTAGAAGCGCATGTGAATGCTATTGCACTCACTTAGAATACAGATTTGACCGGAACAATACTTAGCACAGGAGCTGGACATGTTGTAGATCCACTTACGTGACACTAGCCTACCATTATAGGCTTGTCCACTGGCCTGTATTCATTACGAAGTCTAGTCACGGTGCTTGTCACCAAGGCCAGGACAGCCTCGATCGTTCGCAAATCAGGCGACCTAGCTCTGTTTTTATTCAGACTCTGGTAACGTAAAGACACTCGCACGCACTGATCGTAAGGGTTTAATTTTTGCATGCCACACCTAGGTAACAAAACCGGAATAGGTAGTTGGTATATTGGCTGGCTTGATTCTACATTGTGGGTATTCTCACGGTCGATATGAAGCATTGTTGAGTGGTGATGCCTAGAATGGAACCGTGGTACGCGAGAGGGCTGTACTACGACCGTCGTGGTGCGGCATGACAGGAAGTGTTGCGAGCCACATTCAAGTTCACTGAGGAAACGATATCAACTATTGGGCTTAATTTTGGTCTCGCAAGAAAGTGTTGGCAGTTTCAGGACGGGCATTATCACGATATGATAGGATATGCGGATGCGAAAATTTTGGGGGCCAAACGCGTAGTGTGGTACCGAGCAGATTCCTCATAATAGAGCCAAGGAATGCCATGCGAACCACCGCTATGCTGACGTGTACCAGAGGAGATGAAGGTGCGGACGTACAGCAAGGCAGCTCGGGAGCTGCAGAAGCGTCTCGTCTCCTTTCGCCCAGTAGCGTCAGATCTTCTACGCTTTCACTGTGGACCTAGGGACCACTTCTATTAAGCCTTGTTCTGGCTTGACTTGACTTGACTAGATTACCACACAGTGGATCTTCTTATATTTTACAAAAGCTCACGGCTCCTTCTTGAAAGCGTATGTGCGGATGCAGCTACATGGACGTATGGCAGAATGCTTTAATGTCGGTCCGATCGCTCCGCTGTGCCGTCCCGTGGCGTTACTTGCATACGAAGGGCCAGGCTTCTACCTATCAAATGCCATCACCTTTGCATGGCTTTACTTGCCAACAAGGGACACTTATTGGGGTTCGAGACATTTAAAACCAGAGCCCTACAGCGCACGTGGACTGCAGCGACCGGTGTCCGAAAGCGCCCCAGAGACGCACGATGTCATATATAACACTACATTTCTATACTTGTAATTGGTAGTGCGCCGCCCCGTGGGACTGAGCAAGACTCCACCTTGTCCTGGCATACCACGACCTTTTATCAATTTTACCCCACCATGCAATGCGTCCGCATAGCCGCGAAGAGCTCGACTCCAAATGGAAGATTATACAACATGCGGCCTTCCTGTCGGCACTTATCGTTATCATTGTGACAATAAGGATTGCTTCACGACTATTGCAATGGAAGTGCCTATCGACTGCCGAATATCTCCTTCTTGTTGCGACCGCGATCAGTTTGGCGTTGAATGGGGGGAGTATCTTTGGTGAATCGCCAGAACGGTGGCTTTGATTGATATCTACAGCTAATGCACGGCAGCTATCGATCACGGTGGACTGGGACATCATGTAAAGGAGGTGTCTCGTGCGCAAATAGTATACCTTTTTAAGTTTAATTTTGCAGCGGCACTCTTGATACCGACATGTTTTGCAACTGCAAAACTGTCTTTGCTTTGGCTTCTTCACAAGATCTTCACGTACGTTTGGTTTCGAAATGTCGTGCGAGCGCTTGCCGGGGTAATTGTCGCTTGGTGGGTGGCGAATATCGTGCATGAAGTACGCATCTGTTATCCCGTCGAAACAAGGTGGAACTTCGCCTGCAAAGGCAAACACACTCTGGGATCCTACATTGTACTGCAAATACCCCAGATCATTACAGATTGGCTTATTCTCCTCTCCCCGCTACCACTTCTGTGGAAGAGTGTCGATGGCAGAAGATCGCGTGCGACACAAGTCGGCTTGCTGGCTCTATTCAGCTTGGGAACCGTGTAAGTCTTCTCTGTATACCAAAGATTTAGCTGACCCAATTAGCACCTGCTGCATATCGATCAAACGTTATGTCATGCAGATGAAGACGAATATGGGTGATCTAACTTTCACTCTGGTTGAGCCTTTTCTGTGGCAGATGATCAACATTAGCACCACCATCTGTTGCACGGCTCTTCCTGGATCAATGTATGCGCTCAAAAGGATGTTACCTGTGGATCTACTCAAGCGAGCGATAGACTGGATCGAGCAGAAATGGGAAGTTACTAAACAGCGTACTTTTACCTCTCGTCATCTTACGCTGAGGGATGTGGAAGCAAATCGTCCTCATGTTGCTCTTGAGCAACATTAGCAGTAAGGTATAAATAACCAGTTACAGTTATGTACCAAATCAGGTTTAAGATCGATCTTTGACCTGCTTCTTCTGCGGTCAGTCTCTCTTATCCCTGGCTTGCGATCTGCTTTCAGCCTTTCAAGTCTTTGTGAAGGCATTCAGACGCATAGTCTGCTCTTTGAGAAACGCCAAATAGGGAATGTCCATGGATAAACAATTGCTGTTGCAGTAAGCCAAAAACTTTCTCTCCAATATCCGAGAGGATCTTGCGGAACAGGAGCGAAAGCACATACATTAGTAATAAGGCCGAGCACCGCTTAAAGTTCTGCGAAGACGTCTAAGCAAGTATCCACAATGCTACAACATAACCAAATTCCTCGCGCCTGTGCCACTTCGGTGATGCGAGCCAATCATCAATCGCCTTTAGACCCAGACAGCCAATGAACAGCATTCGATGTGCTCCGCGACAATCATTCCCGGGAAGTCCAGCGTCATCCGAGAATTCACTGTTGTGCTACAGCAATTGGTATATCTACATAGGAGTCTCCATGAGAATTGCAGCAATCAATTTCGTGATAAATCCACCACACCCTCAATATGACCGACATCAAACCCAAATCCAGCGACCGCGAAATAGCACGTGAATTGGACTGGACTATCGACTCTCTGTTTCCTCTCACGGATAAAGTCGCCATCGTCACGGGTGCCAACTCACTATCCTCCATAGGTGGTAATATCGCACTTCAGCTGGCCCTCAAAGGTGCCAAAGTATACGTCGGTGCTCGCAGCCTCTCCAAAGCCAACGCTGGTATCAAAGAAATTATCTCCCAGTCGTCTTCTATCGATCCTTCAAACCTCAAGCCGTTCGTCGCAGCTGTCGATGAGTACGCCGCAGTCAGAGCGGCGGCTGAGGCATTCCTGCGGAAGGAGACCAGATTAGACATTCTCGTCAACAACGCTGGCATTTTCCCACTGTCGCTGGAGTACGATCAATATGGGATCAACAAAGTCATGGCGACGAATCATCTGGGACCGTTTCTTCTCACCATGATATTGCTTCCCCTGCTCAAGGCGACATCCGCTGCCACGCTAAATAGCGACGTCCGTATCGTCAACGTCTCCAGCACTGCAATTGATGTCCTCCCACTAGGCCATTCTTTCGCCTCGTTCGAAGCCTGGAACGATTCCTTCGGCGGTGATGACTACCCGCTACAGTTTCTACATCGCTATTCTTACTCGAAAGTCGCGAACGTACTCTTTACGAAGGAGCTGCAGCGACGACTTGATCAAAACGGGTCGCGTATCCTAGTGACGGCCGTGCATCCTGGTGTAGTGGCTACACCTGGCGCTAAAACGGTACTTGGGGTCGAAAGTGAGGAGTACAAGGCTTGTATCACGCCGTACGAGGGAGCTTTGACGGAGGCATGGTGCGCAGCGCATCCGGAGGTTAGGGATAGGGAAGATGAGTTTAAGGGAGCCTTTGTTGTACCGTATGGTGTCGCGAGAGGTGTGACCGGGTTGGCAGAGGATACAGAGGAGGCCGAAAAGTTGTGGGATGCCAGTGAGAGGATCCTGGCTGAGATAGTCAAGGCCTAAGGTGAGTGGCTCTGTGTTGTATATATAGATCCCGAATTATATGGCTTAGGGCAACACAGACCAAGGTGATCCTCCGGACTTGCAAGGTAGTAAGGTCATTCAATGCGCCCAAATTTTAGACACGGTAAGATAGAGACCGACTAGGAAGACAATGATAGATTCTTAATGGAGCTGTACGTTCGGATCCTTGAGTGAGCTGAGACAAAATCATAGCTTCAACGCAGTAGACAAAGTATACAACCTTGCATTACCAGGTGTGACCCAAAGCGTAAGCGGGTCCTTACCTTTCTGCTCCCTATTCGCATCGGCTGAGCTCTGGACATCAGAAGGAACAGTTACGGGAATGGTGGTACTGCAGTCAGTATTCTTCGTGCTCACCGTCACGCCTGTAATTGATTTCCTGTCGGTGGAGAGTTGATATACTAGGCTTGGTAGGCATTCATCGCGCGTTTTCCGAGCGATGATGGCTTTCGCCGTGTCTTCATGCTTGAGAGTGATGATAGGCCATTCAGCGCTGCAATGATGTGAGCGTTAAGTGTGCTAGACATTGAGAAGGAACATCCGCTCACAGTCTGGCAAACTCGTACGCTACAGCTTCGGTCCAAGCCATCAGCAGACTCCACTTCTTGTTTTTACCAAGCAACGTCGTCGCCTTTGTGTCGCTTACGCGAAGATTGGCCTGATGGAACATGTAGGGATCCCAGCGCAAGCCAAGTAAGTACTTCGTATTGACAATCTTCTCGTATTCAAGCTGTGCATTGAAGTCACCCGACCCACCTGCGATCGCTTTCCACTCAGTGTTGACGCAATCTGGGGTGTCGCAGTTGTAGTAAATCGAGGAACCATATCGCCCGATGATGTAGACGCCTGCGTATCCATTTTCCTTGACGTTACTAACGATGGGATGGAAATCCGATTTGCGGCTGGAAACACTCATAAGTATAGGTCGAGAATTGTCTCCCACCGCATAGCGGATGCCGTTCTCGTCCCAAGCACGCAGTGCGTCACCGTTATGGAGGCCAGTGATGCCTGGCGGTATGAGGCCGCTTGGCGAGTAGTACGGCGCGGAAACGGATTCCGTAAAACCGATGGCCTTGAACCAAGCTTGGTTCCAGGAAATCTCCTTCATTACGTCCGCATATGTTGCGTTCGTCTCGTCCTCGTGCGTAAACGTATGCGACACATGGAAGAAAGAATGCATGTTGGTCTTGTTCGCAAAGTACATTTCCAGTGGGTCTAATTGAGAGCATTTGAGCGACCATGAATAGCTCTTGAACTTGTTGTTCCATAAGTCTTTGCCGGTTCCGATGGGTTTCATATACTCCAAGGGTCCGTCGATCTGTGTTTCGTACTCGACGCCCTCTTGAGGATCGCATCGTGCTGGTTCGTTGTCATAGTCCTTTTCAACTGCCGCTTCAACATTGCCGTTGCCGTTATGGCCGAGCTCGATCACGTAGCTTGATCCAGCTGGAAGCTTGGAGTTCAGCTCCTTAGTCCAAGCGATATGTTCCTGAAAGTCGGCAGGGAGTATGCGATATGGCTTGTTAGTTTGGTAAAGCTCGGTCTCCAGAAATACATCGTCGACTTGCGTATTCAAGTAGGTACGTCGGAAGCCCAGGTAGATCCCTCTGGTAATCCAGTGGATCCAAGCGTGAGACAGTAATGTAGAATATGTCAAATTGGGGTCGAAGGCTAAGAACCAGACTTGCTGCTCACGTCCGCTGGGGAACTTATTGTTCACGGCAGCCGTGGTCTTTGAGATATCACTGCTGAACTGGGCAATCTCTGTTGCAATCGATGTGTTTGTGATCTTCGCGGGATATTTAGTCACATCGAGAGTGCTTATCTGAGCATTCCTAGAGGAGGTCAGTACCCTTTAGCCCAACTTCCGTTCACTTACGCAATCAAATTAGCAGTAGGGAAACTGCTCGTATCTGTAACGGCAACGGGCTGGTCTGCAGTGAAAGCACCGCCAGAACTCTGCACGCCGAAGTCCGTGCTCGGCCAAGCATTTAATCGAACCAACCGTACACCAAACGTTTCCTGATATTTATACAACTCTTGCCATTGGTTGTCACTTAAAGTCGTCTTCCAATCATCTCCATTCTTGTAGTCCCGAGCACTCACGGCAACGATGCCTCCGAAGTTCCCTGCATCTGGTGTAGAATTCAATTGCGGGAATCCTGCGGCGGGCAGCGAGAGGTCGACAACCTGGTACGGTATGCCGTAGCCTTGAAGCACGAGAGTCCCTGGTAGCGTGGCATTCTTGTCACGAACGAGAATTAAGAGCGTGCTGTCGATAGTAACAGCTGCATCGATGCATAGAGGGAAAATCGTCGCCAGGGCCCATATACCGAAAGACCTGAAAAAAGGAGCCATCGTGAAACGTTTTTGCAAAAGAGTCCTAACACCGGAGATGGCGATCGCGCTGGTCAAAAAGATGCGAGGGCGTGGTTATTTAAGTGTCGCTTCCCAATTTGTCGTTCTGCTAGGATGGTTGCTCCGTTGCCAATCATCGCATGCTGAAGCATACGGGACGAGTATGAACATAATTGGCGAAATAAGACGGCAGTCTATGCACGCGACTTCATTTGACGTCGCGTCGAGATTGACGCTTGTAGAACGGAAGCATCGCGCGGTCAATTAGCAAAAAAAGTGAGACGATGCAACCATCGCACGTGGCCCAAACAATGCGTTCGCTAGTCTTGCATAGATCGACGTTCAAAACGTAACTGCATGGCTCTATCGGATGCGTTTGAGCAATGACGGCTCCCATAGACTCGCCTCTTGATCGAACAGTGCAGCGTCCATAAATGAAGTGCAATTTGGGCTACCGGGTAATAGCAGCACACCTCGTATAGGTGAGATGTGACAGTTTATATAGGAAAATCAGGCGAATGCGAATTCCGAGTCGTGAATTGAGGTCGACGGGGCGTTGATGATGAGAGGAGACGATATGCCGCGATGAGAAGGAAGCTCACAATTACATAAGCACATGTCCTTGTTTCTCCCCTTCACCGTCACAGCTCTTCACCCAGGGTTCGTGTTCTGCTCCGTTCTTTACCTTCTCTTACTCTGCTCTCAGTCTACACGCTTGATCGTTCGGGCTGGAGACTTTCGGAGACTTCCGGTTGAAGACTCTTAGCTTTCTCGTCCACAACCCACGACGATCCAGATATGACTTGATGTCAACAACGGAGTACTGTCAATATGGGATGACTCTTACCCAGGTAAACAGACAGTCAATTCGGAATTTACAAAACAGCTGTATTTAGCTCCCTTGCACTTGTAGGACACAACTGCATCGTCGCTCAGTCAGCGGGATCGAGGCGTCCGAGACGTTTCCGACCGTCAAGTTCTATTCGCGCGAGTGAACAGTCTGTCTCTTAGAGGTAAGTTTACGCAAGTTGATGGAGGAAGCGGAGTTTAGTCCATTATTAGACTCGGAAGCGGATTTCTTCCGAGTATTAACTTGTAGAGGCTAGCCTAGGGCGCGACGTGCAACCGCGCTCACACGCGATGACTTTAATACCCATCCCAGATTTTTTACAATCATCTTCTCCCCACCTATTCTCAAAAGTGCAATATTGTCTTCCACTGTCTAACATGTCGCCCGCTCCTTCTCTTGTGTCTGGGGCGATTCCAGCTTCAATCTTCCTCATTCTCAGCCTGGCATGCTTTTACCTTATGGACATTGTCAGCTTGATCATCAAGTTTCCTTCGCCAACAGCTTCCGGCTTCTTCGAATGGGATAACGGTACGTTGCCAATTCTAGACAACTTCCATTGGCTTCGCCCCTTGGATCCTGTTATTCGCGAGATTACGCCTGGCTTCGCACCTAGCAGCTTCGGCTACGACGACGTCAGTAGGTGGCAGATGATCAACTTTTTGATATCGGACCCTGGCGTGTTTTATGTTATTTGGGGATGCGAGAGTTTGAGAAGAGGAGTCAAAGGTGGTCCAGTCTCCTAGTAAGTGCAAACTTTCCCACTCGAACCTGTAGTACATACAGAGTGAGGTTGTACGCGTGGGATCCGTTTGGTGCTAATTAATGTGCTAGTCCTGGCGCATTTGCTCTCATCGCGCAGTTTGGGGGCGGAGGGGTCATTGTTCCTGTGTACTACTTCGCCTATCTGGCCTTTACTCCACCCACTCGATCACAACCACTGTCTGAACGCAAGATTGACATCCATGGTGCCATAATTTGGTCAGTCCTCGTGGTATTGTTCCATGTCATTCCTGTGGTAGGAATAATGTTCGATACCACCCTCGAAGACCGACATTGGTGGACGTGGTTCTGGCAACTCTACTCCGTACGAATCACGCTGTCATGGTACATCATTCGATTCTTCGGCTGGTTCATCACACTCCCGACGCTGCATAGCACATTGAGCTACCGAACGAAGACCACACTTATCCTGGCCCCTTTCATTGCGATCGCATTAGGGTTTTGGACATATACTGCCTTGTACTGCCCGTACTCTCTTTCGATGATCTTCTTTCCGTATTCTTTGGCAGTAGACACGTGGGTATCGCGCATGCGGCGCCTCTTGCAGTTCGATCAACTTTTTATTTTCGGAAGCTCTGTGCTTTGGGTTGCCATGGACATGCGACGGAATGGTTCGTCGAGCGCAATCAAGATTCTGTTCGCGGCTGTAGTGTTGGCAGGTGTTGTGGGTACGGGAGCAAGTTTTGGGCTCGTGTGGCTCTGGAGGGAGTGGCAGCTTGTCAGTGACGGAGAGAAGGATACATCTAAGACAGAGTAGGCCCCACAAGAGGTGGGGGTTATGGATGGCTCAGGCGAGAGCTTTGATTCTGCCGTTCGCACCACACGCATGATGTGAGCGTGTTCTCGACTTTAATCTCAGGTGTTACAATCTTTCCTGGGGCAACACAGCCGAGCCAAACATAGGCACCTTGCGGTAGTTATTAATATCCGACGACGTTGAACGCGTGTCCACGACCCGTTATAAGGATAGAAAGGCACGTGCGTGGGCCCTTCTTGAAGACGACAAAACCACGCCGCCTGGATCCTCGCCCTGTGGACGCTCCTCCCTGAGATACATCCAATCTTAGCACTTTACGCAAGACCTCGAACTGACTCCAATTTGTTGCGGATTCAGTTTTCCCGAGCCTTAGCCCTTCAACACCTGACCTAGCGCCCGCAATGTCTCTCCACAAGGTTGAAATCAAGGCGACACAAACAGCTGTGAACGGAGACATTGGCCGCCGCTTAAAACGTCTCCAGCACGTGTAGATGGGAGATGGTCTTTCCTCGCTGTGGGATTCCGCCGCAAGGGTGAATGGTCGTTGGCGTTCTTTTTTTTGAGACCCTGCTCTGGTGCGCCTTCCTACTTCGAGCAATCCCGAGGTCGTGTCTGCCGGTCTTCACGCGCCGACACCACTACTGCACACGTTGACACCGGACGACGGACGCTAAATACAATATGCGACAAGAACGATTACCGTTGCAACGCCGCCAAGATCCTGGAACGCCTCAATTACTTCGCCACCCAAGAAGATTATATTTTGCTATAGCATCAGTCCAGGGAGCTAGACAAAGTGCGACAGTTCTGCTCGCCAAAGCCAGAGAGCACTATCAGACAAAGCTAGTGCCAGTAGAGGTTCAACGTCGAGAGAGGAGACCGGACATGGTGGCATAATTACACGAAGCTTCTGGTGTTCAAGTAACATAAACCCAGAACAAGCGACTACTCTCGCTTGATTCCGATGTTACTGCGCTGTACTATGGTTGGTTACCGATAATTGTGTACTTTGGTCGATCTTTGCTGAATGCGTGACACATGAACGAGCTCTTCCTCTTTCCATCCGCATCCGTAGCTATGCCACGGGTATACTGGTTCTCGAGCCTTCGATGCGCGAATTGAACCGCATTGCGGATCTGATCGCCCATGACGATTCTGGATTTGATGATTACTTCGCACACGCTATGCAAGGACTCTTGCATCGGGTCACCTCATCAGTAATACGATCTCCTGACCTCGGAAGTCCGCAGCGATGATCACCAAGTGATTCTCGGTTGCACTGGAACCAGCGAAGTTCATTCACGATGTTGAGCGGCCGATCAATGCGTGGTATCAGATCAAGGAATATGTGAGGTCAGCCAGCGTTCAGATAACGAGACGGTATGTTGGCTTGCGCCGAGCGGAAGATATGGTAGGGACATTCTGAACACGGGTTGCGCTTGCAAGTATCTGGACGTGAACCCGTTCGCGAAAATTTGTAGAGGACGGCGATACCCACTATCAGCGAGCTCCTCCAGTCGAAGTCTTATCGCAGCCTCCAAATAGACTTTTTCAGGGATGTCGCCACCCGAAGGATGTCGGAAGCAATTTGCACAAGTTTTGCATGAAGACAGATACTCTAAAATCATTAACTCCGCGGTATGATGTCGAAACTGGAACAACTGCCGAGGCCCTCTGAAGCTACATTTTTTTGCTATCGGTCCGGGAGCTGTCGCAGACGGACACCCGTGCAAGCGCTAAGTGGAGACAGCCTGGAGACCTTTCCACGTCCGGTCTAGATTCATCCGCTACGTATGAACGCTACCTGATTGAGGGTGCCATGTTGAAATGCCTCATGATATCGGTGAGGTGCAGTTAATGTTTACTCTCACCGCCCACGTGTGAGAATCCGCCTCGCATAACTTCAACAACCCCGGGACTCTAGCAACGTCGAGTTAGACACTCCCGAGGTCTTCCTAATAGTCTAACCATCCAACTGAAAGATTGAGTAAGGTTCAAAGGCACCAACTATTATGGTGAATTGTCTAATAATTCTTCTCCCGAGCAGCATCACGTCACCCAAAACATGTCCATTATCTTCGTCGTCAACATGAGGCTCCGAAAAGTGGATCTCCGTACCCGCAGGTGCCGGTACACTAGCGCGACGATCGGACTTAACGCGCTTAACTGACGTCGTGAACCCTGTGAACCCTGCAAACCCTTCAATTTTCTCCGGAGCAAAGCGGCGAGATTCGAAATCAAGATTCCCCAGCTTTCTGTCATGGCGAGTCGTACCATCGGCGACAGCGCGGCGAGCAATGCCTTTAAGAAGCGCAGACAAGCTGCCATCAAGGTCCTCATTCTGTACAACCCAATTCACGCATCCTCTTACGCTACGCTTATTCCCCGATCAGCACTAGTCCCACCTGCGTAATCGATCTACACAATACCCAACGTACACAGTACATGATGGCCTCCGCACCCGCTCAAACGTTCCAGGGCTGGGTCGCCCACGACCCCTCTGCCGCCCAGGGCAACATGAAATGGGGCGACTTCGAGCCCAAGCCTTTTGAGGAGACCGACATTGAGATGGAGATCACCCACTGCGGTGTCTGCGGTAGCGATTTGCACACTCTGTCTAGCGGCTGGGGACCCTCAGACTACCCCCTCGTCGTCGGTCACGAGATCATCGGCAAGGTGTCCCGCGTCGGAAGCAAGGTCACAGACATCAAGCAGGGTGACCGGGTCGGCATTGGCGCGCAGAGCAACAGCTGCTTGGACTGCAAGCGCTGCGAGAACGGCCAAGAGACGCAGTGCAAAAAGAGCACCTCGACCTACAACTCCCGCTACCACACTGAGAAGGGCGGCAAGGCCTTCGGTGGTTACGCAAAGATGTGGCGTGGACCTGGTGCCTACGCAGTCCCTATCCCAGAATCCATTCCCTCTGAAATCGCCGCACCCATGTTGTGCGGTGGTGTCACCGTATACAACCCCTTGGTTGCCAACGGCGCCGGCCCTGGAAAGCGCGTCGGTGTCATCGGTATTGGTGGTCTCGGTCACTTCGCCCTCCTCTTCGCAAAGGCGTTGAAGTGCGACAAGGTCGTTGCCATCTCGCGCTCGTCCAGCAAGAAGGAGGACGCCCTCAAGCTTGGTGCTGACGAGTTCATTGCTACCGGCGAGGACGAGAATTGGTCCGCCAACAACACCGACTGTGTCGACATCCTCATTTCCACCGTCTCCGGATCTGGCTTCCAGGTTGACAAGTATCTAAACCTGCTAGATGTTGGTGGCATCCTCGTCCAGGTCGGCGCCCCCGAGGACCCGCTCCCATCGTTCAAGGTGTTCTCGCTCATTCTCAAGAACCTGAAGCTCGGCGGTAGCTTGATCGGCACCAGACAGCACATCAAGGACATGTTCGCATTGGCGGCGAAGCAGGATGTTAAGTCTTGGGTCCAGGTCAGGCCGATGAGCGACGCCAACCAGGTCCTCATCGACTTCGAGGATGGCAAGCCCAGATACCGCTATGTGTTGCAGAACTAAGTTGGTTTTGTTAGCAAGGAGTTGAGGCTGTTGTTTGATAAAGATACCATTAGACCCTGAATAATAGAAATAGACGACACGTTGCATGACTCAAAGTATCCCGGGCCTGGGTATTTCCTATGATTTTTGTAATTTCTACAGTGCCACACATGAGGGTAATATCACGTGACATACAACACTCCAGGGCTCAATGTTCAGAGAAGGGTTCACGATTCACGAACTTGATCCTGCCATAATACAATGTTGGATCAGCTCAGAGGCGCATATTCAGAAATGTCAATGCTACATCAACGCTGTCCTAACCAGAGTGCATTCTGAGGCACCTTGAAGAATTGGTTCCTTGATACAACTCACTGAGCCTTCCATGCTTCTCCTTCTCTGTACCATCTAAACCAGTAAAGACACTCGAGCTTTCCCACTTGCTGGGGTGAAATGGCATTCAAGTCGTACCGAGACTGGACAGTATACCTATGGTAGGTGTGGCGTGCGCAGCACTCTAGGCAGAGTATGTGTTTGCAGTGTCTTCTGAATGGCTGCAGTACGTCGGAGTGGCACCGGACGGAAAGCTACATATGATGAGCATATCTTTTTCGCATGGATTTCGAAGTGATGCGCTTATGATGCAGATCTGGTATTGAGTTAGGGCAAATCCACCAAGTGGCGCGTGAACGCGTGTTTGGCAAACTTATGGCAATTTGGCGGTAACGCAGGTAGGTACCGTAGGGGCTGCTGCACGTGACAGCGCGTTGAAGCAGGCGCGCTATACGTCACGCTGCACCCCCTCCTGCCCTTATAAATCCACCGTGGCTTCGCGCTCTTCGCGCTCTCATTCCATTGCATGAGCTGCCACAACCTCGAGTCGCGCAGGCCCATTCGCACGGCTAGCCGCAAACATGGTTTTGACGTAAGTTCATCTCCCCAATGTTGCAGCTATCCACGCTGACAACGCTCCAGACGTGCAGGAAGGAAGCGCGAGCTCGGCCCACCCGCTCCCGGCGGTAGCAGCGCGCGAATTTCAAAGAAAACAAAGAAGTCCAGCATGGCGAAGACCTCGAAGAAGGCCTTCACTCTGCCGGCACTGCTCCCTGCACAGAAGAAGAAACCCAAGGGCCTACTCGATATACCGCCTGGTGGGTGTAACTCGTGAAGATTACTTAGTATTACTGCTAAAATACCGTGTGCAGAGCTCCGCAACCGCATCTACCACTTCGCCACTGAGCGCGACGATTTCGATGGCTGGGAGGAAGCTGTGCCGCTAGTCGATCTGCACCGTGGACATGGATGTGGCCGAAGTCAATGGCCCATGTCAAAGGGCGCTTGCTATCTTTCAGGACGTAGGTTCCTTGGCCTCACACAGACCTGCAAGCTCCTCCGCCTAGAATACCGACCTATCTGGTTGCGCAATTCGAGCGTTCGCGTTCGATGTCCCCATCTTCTTCTCTACATCCACACCTTCTATGGCTGTGGGTCAAAGTACTCCAACTTGCCAAAGCTAGTGCAGATCTCCTACAATCATGACATACAGGATCACATCGACGTCACCCAGATACTTCTCATGCGCGCAGCTTGTCCTAATACCAAATTCGAATTCGTTCCGCATGAGCTCACGCTCGACGACGGGCCCTGGAATCAACCAGGTGCAGATGAGGACTGCGACCTTTGCGAAGAGGAGGTGATGGCTGGAGATATGTTCATGGAGGAATTTGAGGACTATGGCTGCCCCCACGACTATTATCGCCGGCACGGCTACGCCGAATGGTTGCTCGAGGAAGAGTATCCATACCTGCCGTCGCTAAACAAGTTTCTTGCTCATGACAACGGCAATTGGGTTGAGGATATTCAGAGCGGAGAAGTGATCCGCGTGATGCTAGACGCGGCAGGACCTGATCGCGAAATTCCAGAGCTCACTATTCGCCTCGCTTCCGACAGTGACACCGCCAACGAGGGGCTCATAGACAAGAGCATGCTAGAGGTTGCCAGAGACTATGTCTCTAGCCGCAGTCTGAGAGACGCAAACACAGAAGCGGCTAGCTTGCATTTCCAGCTACAGGTTTCCGGTTGCGCCTTATAATGGCTTCAGCGGCCTACGCGCACTTGCAGGATTGTTTGCAACATAAGTATACTCAAGTTCGAGGCCGCCTGATCACGGATAGGGAGAAACATGGATCCAAGGAGCATGAAACACGTTCACGTGGATGTTTACAAGGGTTGGTGCACAGCACGAGTATGCAGCACTAGGTGCATGTGTGGCTGGAATCATGGATGATCTCACCTAGCCAGTGCTCTTATCAACTTGAAGTCACTATCGAACAAATAAATATATGCTACAGCATAACTACCAAGGACTATCCCTCCTTCGCGTGATGTCCCGCCCCCGGTCCTCCCTTTTGCGTGGGTATAGCCTTCGCACCCCCTATTTCACCTTCCGTACTCTCCTGCGTCTCAATCGGAAAGCACCTAAATGCTTTCATACCCATCGGCACATCCTTCGGGCCAATCCCAGGGCACACTATACTTCCCGCATTCGTGTTCACTGGGGCTTCTGGTGCCACATCTACCGTAACGGGCAGGCGCGAGTCCGGGGCGCATGCTGCGTTCGCGTAGAGGCTACAGTATCCGCATAGTCAGGACCGATCAATGCGGGTGGCCCGTTCAGGGAGACATCGTAGGCAATGCAATGCCGGGTGGTGGACGGACGGTACCAGTTGCATGCTGCGGCGGTGGGGTTGCCGGTGCAGAAATAGACTGGTGAATGGATCAGTGGATGTTCGTAGAGGAGGTGGTCTCGTGGGATCGGAGCTGTGCATGGCTGATGTGTACGTACCGCCACCTGGAACGCCCACTGTAGGGCTACATTGATCCGTATCTTGTATACCGAGGTCTCGACGGAGAGTAAGCGGGTGCGTTACATAAGTAAAAGCGCGCATCCTGACGAGTTTGAGTGATTTTTGTAGCGTTGCTGTTAGCAGGTAGAGAGAAAAAGGTTGATAATGCGAAGGAATCAGGGTCGGCAAACATTGCATATATGCTTGTAACAAGACTGGGGCGTGAAAGGATATTGATCACAACGTGAAGCGCTAAATGAATCAACGAGATACTTCTCGCTAGTCTACGCCACCTTGAAGCACAATACTCGCACAAATATATGCACTAAGCGATTCACTGCTGCTGCCCAACCTGCACACCGCCAATCCATACTCTTTTAATATCCTTCGTGTTCTTGATGTCCTCGAGCGGATCACCGCCCACAAGCACGAGATCTGCCCTCATACCTACCTGAATCGTGCCCCTATCCCACAGCCCAAAAGCCCTCGCAGGCGTTACAGTAGCCGCCAGCAGTGCTTCTATGTTCGACATGCCTGCCTCGACAAGGTTCTCTAGCTCGTCATGCAGTGAGGACCCGAACGGCACCGTCGCAGGAACACCAGTCTGTGTGTTTGCGTCCGTGCCGGTGAGGATAGGTACACCAGCTTTATGAAGGAGGGACGTTGTTGAGAGCGCGGCGGTGAAGTTGTTGCTGGATGTGGTTCTGTTGTTCAGAGCGGTGGTGCGCATCATCGTCAGCGTCGGTGTAGAGAATTGACCCTGCTGCAACATGTTTTCGACCAAAGCGGGAGAAATTTCGTGATCGAGCGGAGTGTGGTGGATGTGATCTGTACGGGAGAGGATAGCCTGAGCATACGCCTCGCGTGTGGCAGCATGAGTAACGCTTTTCTTGCCGTACTGGTGAGCGTTCTTGACGAGCAAGTCTAATGTAGCTTGGTCGAGACCCGGTGTTTCGGCGATGAACTTGAAGTAGTCAGGGTCTTGATCGGCGAGCTGACGGCTTATCCACGATGGGACCGCCTCTGTGCCGTTAATAACGAGCGAGATGTCGCCTGTAGCAGCTATCGATATATTTCCATGTGCACTGCCCGGCGCCGAAGCAGGAACGCTCGTTCGCAAGAGAGAAGGGAGGCCGGTATGGTTGGTGAGCGATGAGCATAGCTCTTGTGAGAAGCAAGCCATCGCAAAACCGCTTGTGACTCCCCATTTCGCGAGCTCCTGCATATGCGTCATGTTCGCAGGGTGGCAATGAGCATCGATTAAGCCTGGCAACAGTACGCCTCCCTTGCCGTCGATATGTTCAGCACCCGTAGTGTCTGAGCCGATGAGAGGGCCATCGATGACGACGGTGGAAGGTGGCAGAATGCATGTACCGTCGAAGACGCGGACGTTGTTCAATGCAATCTTCTTGTGAAGCATGGTACCGTTCGAGCGGGCGAGGTTGTTGGCAGTGATGACGCTCGGGATATCGAATGGAACGGCGTTGCCTCCGCACCCGAGGGCTGGAGATGCTAGTAGAACAGCACCGAAGAGAGAGCAATATGAATTTTCGAGACGCATGATGAAAAACGCAAAGTATGAAAGTTGTTTGGAACTTGTTGACGAACTCTTAAGGACTTCATGGCCAGACCTGTTTATGTAGGTACGATCGGTACCTGGTAATCTCCGACTGTTAGGCCATCGGCGAGGTGAAGATTGGCATGACACAAATTCAGCGAGATTGTAGTGTCGACGCGTTCATCGTGGAGGCGGCGGAGAGGATGGAACAACCCGAATTCAGCCAGGAAATATCGCTGCAGAGATGTGATTCGTCGAAGACGGATCTGCGACCATACCTGACACGGCTAGGCCTGCGCTTTGGGGGGCTGAACGAGATCCTATATCCGAACACGTCCACTCGGGATGCTGTGCAAGCCACTTGCCTCGTCGGATTGATGCTGTCTTGATACCAAATTCGGTCCCGATGCGCCCGAGGAGATCGAGGAGCTTCTGCAGCTGTGATCGCGATAGAGTGTCCACAGAAAGCGCCACGTATACACTCCGCAGCAGGAAAAAGGCCCCCAAAGCTCTTCTTTCGATGTTCGCGGTAAGCTGCCCTTCTGGGTTGATGTCGCCCAGCATGAAAGGGCCGGTGCCAAATAAGTCGTCAACAGTTGAATTTAGCGTCTCCAGTACCTCATCCTCTGACGGCGCGAAATCGGTCTCGAAAGATGGACTCGAGCATTGTCGATGGATGAATTGATACGCTCTTCGTAAGCTCTGACACAAGTGAATGCGGCTGCAATGGTATGCTCCATATACTGCACCATATTGTAGACTTGAAAAAACATAAACTTGACCTTTGCGATTGACCAGGCCCTCAATATGCAAAGGTTCCATTACACAAGCTCTCATCTTCCATGCGTGCGGATGAGTCGACGGCCAGAGCAGAAGCTGATCGTAAACATTGGCAGCAAACGCCCACGCTTCTGTGAAAGCCTTCATTTGCGAGTCAGTGGCTGTGCCTTGTACTTTAGTGCAGGAATCTAGTCGTTGTGAAGCTGCGGACACATCCCGCAAAGACGTGCGGAGGCTAGCTCCCACTGACTGTTTCGTATCGATGTAGCGTTTTCCGACGTCCATGCTACTGTCCATGCGATTGTCCATCGCATTGATTTCCTTCCGGATTAGCACCACTCTCGATAAGCTGCTCGACCTGTTAGATAGAAATTCATGATCTGGGCGCCGGAGACGCATGATTTCGGTGGTCGCTTTCTCGTGTGGATCCTTCTGCAAGTCGACATTGCCAGTGATGGTCTTGTTTCCGTCAGCGTGATGTTGATGCTGTGGTGGAACACTCACTTCGAATTTTTGAAGAAGCAAGACCGCAAGTAAAGTATGATCATCGGTTGCAGTGGTTTTGGCGCTAAGTGCGGTATGAAGCGATCGCAACGCGCGCCCGTATTGAATCCTAGATTCCGTATGCAACTGTTCAATCCCCGATACATTCGCTAAGCTCGCCAGTGAAGCTGCCAACAAGGATGTTTGCAGACTTCTATCTGCAGAATTAAGCATGGTAGGGAGGAATTCTAGGTACCCAGGCAAACCGTGTATTGACGGTGGCTCTACGTAATGATAGACGAATCGAGAGATAGCGAATTGAGCCCAGTCGGTGGAAGGCCGAATGAAGAACGGATTGTAGCCACCCGGGATCGTGGAAAGCATTGTCGGCTTATTGGCTCGCGCCATAGCGGAGTCGTTCATCGACCTGAACACAACTTGCTGTTCAGAACGGTAGCCGGGGCACTGCCTTGAAGCTTTTTTGCACCGCGTACATCCAGGTCTTGCTCCATCGCACTAGGAATGATCAGAAAGATAGCTTAAATAATATTGATAGGAGACGGCGTACCTTCTTCTTCATTTTCCTGCAGGCATGGCAGCCTGTGCTCCTTGTTGGACGCGCCATTCGTTTTCGATCCGAACACCACTGATGCTGAGTAGGCAAACTTTTACAGATGCGCGCGTTGACTACACCGTACAAGGAGCGATATGGTACCAAACCGGAACATACTGAGATGAGGTTCAGAACGATGTAGCCGAAAGCTTGTGAGAACGGCTTAGCTTTGGGACGCTAGTCCTGATTGGCGAAAGGCGTCATCTTTCATCCGAACAAACACTTTCTCTCCATTACCATCTACCAACCAGTTTTTCGATTAAGATTTTACAGGCCCTCGCTCATTTTCGGAACGTTAGCCTATGGATGTTCCTCTCTTCAGCTAGCCAGTCCAACGTCGTGCAACACAATCGTTTCACGTTTGCGATATCCGTTGAACATGATTCACACGTATAATGCTTAGAAAAACTTCCACTTATATACCTTTCCGCTTATATTTCAGAACAATACAAAATCACAACTTCATAACGACCGCACACAGATCTAGACATACCAATGAGCTCAAACAAAGCATAACAAAAGCCTGGACCAAATCAGGTACAAAGGCCAACCAACTTCAAATCTGCACAGCCAGCATGAATGTCGCGAATGACAAACAGTGCGACAGAGCGATAATCTAACGCTCCACAAACAGGATATCACTGCTTGATGGAGTCTTTACAACGTTCCAAAAACTAACAAGATAACGCCGACACTCCAGCGGTTTTAACGGCAGCTTCCACCGGAGGAATGACTGCAGCTACGTCCGGGGGACTGACGGCGACCGACATAGTATGAGTAGGTTTTCCAGCGTCAGGCGCCAGGATGAGCTAAGGAATCAAAACACTTGATAGCCACGGCTTTTTCCAAATCGGGACTCGGAGAGAGTGTCCTACCTGGACAAACAATCTTCCTACTCATCTGTATTAGCTTGGGAAACTCAAGCCTCGGTACTTCTGTAAGCTTACTTAGACTCTTCTTTGTTGTCCATCCAGACCTCTGTCTTCTCATCGCAAGTGGGGGTCATGTAGAGATGACAGTGTCCACCAAAGTCAGGTCCTATGAGGGACGGATTTTTCATTCCTACCATATCAAGAGAAATGCAGTTCTTGGACTTCTCGTAGTCGAACCATTCACACCCCGCTGTATTCGCTGCGCCGTTCTTGCACATGTAAACGGCGCCTGGGTGGCCGTTGCCCAGGACGCATTTACATGCGTCGGGCGTGGGAATTGTGTTCTGGCGGCTGGCGAGAGCAGATGACGTGCATCCCGCCGAAGGAGTCTGAACAGCAGCCGCTGGGACGGAGCTCGAGGTAGGGCTTGGGGTTTCAGGAGTTGCAGAAGGATGATCTAGTACGTCGTAGCACTTTATAGCTTTCGCAGCACCCTGGGGGATATTCTCGCCCATTATCCCTGGACAGGTAATTTTCCTGTACGCTGTGGTAAGCTACGGGATCCAAGAAGTCACGCCAAGATACTACATATGTACCCTCGAGAAACATTTACCCAGTACTTACATAGGCTTTGCCGGAACAGGCAGTGGGGCATTCGGTTTGCTTACGAACACGACTTCCTCCCCTTCTTTGCAATGCTCGCTCGTGTACAGGTGGCAATGACCACCATAATTAGGGCCGACCAGCGAGGGAGTTTGGAACGATCCCCCAAGGACCTGACAGTCCTTAGTCATCTTGGAGTACTCCCACCATGCGCAGTTCCCGGGGGCGCCACAGATATATACTGAGCCAGGAATGCCTTGCTCGGGGACGCATGTCGAATTGTCTGGAGCTATTATCGACGATGGAGTTGTCGCGGGTGAAGGGGTGACGGCAGGAGCGAGAGCCGGAGTGGGAGCTGGTGACGGAGCTTGGCGCAGAGCGAGAGCGTGTGAAAGGTAGGCTACTGCACGCATTTTGATATTAGTAGAGGAAAGGAGAGTCTCTTTCAAATTCTTCACAACGACTAAGTCCTGGAAATCCGTGAATCGAATCGTCCGGAACTGAGGATCAAAGAGATCTAAGGGCTGAGCTTGTAGGCTTATAATATCAAAAGTAGAGGTCAGGATGTCTGTTCCTCAAAGGCGTCGGGAAATGGTCTCTTATAATGGATACATCTTACTTGTGAAGAACGTGAGTATGGAATTTCGCAGGTTAGCCTGTCACCCCTTCCCCGCTAACGAACAGAAGCAACTTAAACAAGGATCTGTGGATTTCGCTAGCCTGGCACCGTGAAGGGGTTGTCCGAAGATGTATAAGCGTCCTCTGTTCCTTGCATTCCGCATTCAATTTCATCATCAAGGCACCATCACTCTGTCATGTACTACAAATGCTTTACACTTATCAACGTTTGGGTACTTGAATGGAAAACAAGCAATCATGCAACACCATGTATCTCAAATCTTCAAGGTCTGAATATGTGATGTGCGTGAGAATTGCTCCGTGATGTGCGGGGTGAATGTAGGTCATCTGCCCTTCGTCCTTGTTCCTGTCTTGATGCGTACCCACCTGGAAAAATCCCCAAGCTTGATTCACAAGGTTACCAGAATCCATTGAGAAAGGAGCACTCAGATTAGTAAAAACGTCGGTTCTGCCCAAGTTGAGTAACAAAGCTGCACCTGCGACGCCCTCACGCTCTTGGCTTGAGCGAGCTGGAGAGCTTCTGTTGAATTTGTCAGAGCTTGTATGCTCTGATGGTAAATATCGATAATAGCCCGCCCATTGTGCGCGTTTTACGTCTTCATTTCATCTTCATCTTCACTCGCACTGTCTCAATTCTTCACTTCACCTGATGCCTTCGAAATCAACTCCCCACCTGACCGACGTCACCACCACGCACCCGCCCAGTACGCGAAATTTTGGCCCGCGTAGAGGCTCACCTCCGCCATCTGAAAAGCTTGCCCCGCCCCACGACGGCGCTGCAGACACATGCACTCTCACTTCCACGACCTCAGTCGCGCACAGTGATCCGCAGTGCGACTGCAAAATATATCAGCTCTCATTCTTCGTGGCGCCGGTGACAGCTTCACCGCTATGAGTTCACACCACGACCGCGTGCGCTACGATGCAACGCAGGGCGACCTCGTTCCCTGCTCCCCAACTGTGGTCAAAGCGGAAAAGATACTGACTCCCGAGCAACTCGACAAGATCTTCGACATGCTCGCGGTAATCGAGTTCCTCACCTTGTGCTCCTTCTTCTGCTTTTGCTTCCGCGATCTCTCTGGTTCCGCATGGGTGGGCGCCTCAGTCGTCTTTACGCTCATCGAAGTCGCGACTTTCGGTGTATACTGCGTCCTCAAACCTCACTTCGACCCTACCCCCAAGCAGCCATCCAGCCAAAATCACAATATCTACGAAGACGTCCCTCTCTCCCCTCTGGGTGTAATTGACAACAAACCGCCAGACGACCAGAACCTCGATCTTGACCACGGCTTCCCTCTCCCGCCTTCAGCTAGCCAGCAGTCTTCCGACGTCGCTGAAGCTGTTGACACCGACCGCTTCAAGTCTGGCATTTCCCTCAAAAATGACCGCAGTTACCACGACAAAGCGCAGGGTAAGATGGTGCCCATACAAAAGCACAAACACCACGACAAGGCTCAGAAGAAGATCTTGTATATTTCCAACGGTGGCGCCGATCTGTCTGGAGAGCATCACATATGGGCCCAACGTGAAACCCGCGTTTCTCTTCAGGAGAACGTTACTCAATCACCTCGTGCCGTCCATCGCGTACTTCCTATCCGAAGCAAAACCGGCCCCGAAGGGTGCTTCGCGAGCCAGCAAGTTGCTCTCTCTGAAGCTCAGGCCAAAGCCAGCCTCGAGGCTCTCCTGGACCAAGTCGAAAAGAGCGCGGTGCGTGACGGGCCCATCGCAGCTGAATACCGCTATAGGAAGCAACTCAAGGCCTTGTTCAAAGCTGCTTTGCACACTACCACCATACACACGTCGCTTCGAGTATCCTTCCTAGCTCGCGTAAAGAAGTACGCGATGGATCATACCATCAATCAGATAGGGTCTCTGTACGCCCGCAGCATCGTCCTCGCGCATGACGACGATGTAAACCGTGCTGAGGCCTTCTGGCGTTTTTTGGAGAGGTACGAGGAAAAGAAGAAGAGGGATGCCGCCAACACGCAATGGTCCGAACAGGTTGAGTCCAGATATGCGCACGAGCGCGAAGAAAAAGAACGCGCCAAGAAAGAGAAGTTCCTCCAGGAAGTCCGCCAGTACGCCGTTGATGTGGGAGTCAAGGCGGCCAAAAAGACATTCTCGAATAATCCTGATACCTGCACCTATTTGTCTGCTGACATAGTTCCTATACTCCAAGAGGTCCGCGCCCAAGAAATTGAAAAGGAACGCCAGCGAGAAGCCCATGAGCAAGCCAGGCTCGACGCAATCAGCGACATCGCCCGTACATGTGGCATCGAGGGCGCTAAAGATCAATTCGATGAAGAGCTTCGTAGACTTATCCCTGCCAGACAGATCCCTAAGTTCTGGAAGAAGCTGCACGAGGAACGTCTCCAGCGAAACGCCGTCTGGCTCAAAAAGCATCCCCAGGAGAAGACCGCCTTCTTCACAGCGCTCGGAATCGAAGCCGTCAAGGAAGCTTTATTTAGAAATACGATCGACGAACGAGTATACTGCCGCTCTAAGAAAGGTGGCGGCCGAACCGCAGTCATTCATTCGAAAGATACTTACGCCCATTACAAAGACTTCCTGTCCGTACTCGCCGGCCAAGAAAATGTACGTCAAAAGTTCCTCCAGATCTACGACGACGAGTTGAAGCGCCATGGCCAGTACTGGAGGCGACTCGCATCCGTGAAGAAGGAAATTGAGGACTGTGGCTCGGTCTTCTATATCAGGGATTGGTACGGTGTGTGGATCGATCAGCTTTGTTCGTCTCTCGGCTTCTCTCCCGTTGACTTCTGGGACCATGTCTACGGTGAGGAGGGCCTACGCAACCGTGAGAAAGCCGCAGAAGAACAAGCTGCCCAAGCCGCAGCGGAAGCCGCTCAACAGGAAGAAGTCGAGGCCGCCAACGAGGTACGACGGCGTCGTGTTCACGAAGCCCTCGCCATAGGCGAGGGCTCACGTCAATGCCGCTCGGGTCTCTTCCAGGGTCTTGCGTCGGTGCAAGGCAAATTTGTCGAGCTAGGGGAATTGCTCGAGAATCTCCAACGAGAACAGGAACGCCAGGCCGACGAAGCAGCCGCCCAGGAGGCCCTGCTCCACCTCGCTATAAACACGCCTCTTGCCGGTCGCCATCGGCTCATCGAGCCAACCACGCCCACGGCCATCTACACCCCCAAGGCATGGGACGCCAACGCCGGCGGCTTCACGCAGTACTGGCAGCTCCAGGCCGCCAATTGCCCACTTTTCCAGCCCATCCCCTACAACCGGGGAAGTGGTAGCCGCTTCAACATGCGGTATGCCAATGATGAACGCTGGCCGGAGTTTCAAGAGCACACCATCTACTCGTTCTACGGATACATGCTGCGGTATAGAATGGTAATGAAGGACCTGTCCTCGCTGCAGCGGAGTAAGCAGGCGGAGGACGGGTCCCGCTGGCCGACGCAATGGAATCTGGAACCACTGTGGGCGAAGTGGAAACCGGCGGGGGAATTCAAGTTACCGGTGAACAGGAGGTTTCAAACGACGTTCCGGGGAATGTTTTGGAGACCGACGGAATTCGAGAACCTCCGCCGAGAAAAGCAGCGCCAATTCGACGAGGCGCTCGCTCAAGAGGCGCTCTTACACGTCGGAGGATGAGTCACTCCTTGAGAATGAGAACAAGTCGGTGCCCAAGGATGAGGATGAGCTGCTTCCCAAGGGACATCAGCGTCAGGCCGGTAAAGTAGTTCCCCAGCAAGCTCTCGCCTTGGAGATGAGTTCAGATGCGCTTGCACCACTTCAAGACCCCACACCACTTTAGACTCTCACGTCGCTTGAGGCTCCCAAACCGGCTGGTAGCTTCGACGCCGGTGCGTTCTTCGGCAAGGATTTCACATACCCTGGACGCTATAGATTCGGGATGTCGTTGAGAGAGGCGAGGTCTATTTGCCTGAACGATGAGGGAGCTTCATGGAACTGTTTATTTCGGTCTGTTTGCGAAACGGTTGTGCGCCGACGGCCTGGCAAAGGTCGTGCAGGTTTTCTTATTTCGTCTGCGATGAAAAACGTTCGGGGCATGTAGTATGCGTCTAGATAACCGTACTGGACTTTGGAAGTCAGCTTTTGGTATTGCACATGAAAATGCTTTACGCAATATCCGTATGTGAATACGTATTATAAAATGCGTGCAAGATCAATGCAATTAGGTATAGGAAACATGAGCGGGGTATCATTTAATTATCCAATCTTCCATCACAATTTCCGCCGACTGTACGCCCAGTATGCCTTCCACGGCAATTTCCAATCCACCTTTCTTAATTCGGGGTCGAAGAGGTCGAAGTCGGCTCTCTGGAGGCGGTCAAGCCATGACTGTGTTGATATAGCCGGCATGAAGACGCCGAAGGCTTGCTCCACTTCTGCTAGCTGCTTCTCTTGTCCTGCGCCCTCGTTCGAGTAGTTGTAGTCTCGCTCTGCGTCGTCTTGGTGCTCGAAATCATGTCCGACTGTCCCTTCAGACCGTAATTTGGTCAACATCTCCCGCGCTGTGATAAGGTGGTCGTTCGCGCGTGTGGCAACGGTAAAGACGGCATCGCGAAGCCCCGGGGCAGCAGCCCCTTCCCTGAAAATTTCCTCCTCCTTTACCCCAGCCTCGGCCATGACATCCAACGGCAACAGTACAGAGCCTTGGGTAGGCCCTTGCGCGCCCGTGATTCCACCACTCGTACCCAGTGGTTGTTGCGGAGGAAACGCAATAAACGGAACCCCCCGCAGCACCGCGGCTATCCCTACCGCCTTTCCAATATGTGAGGCGATGTGGTCCGTTGTGAGACTCGCCTGCGGCAACGCGGATAACGTCAAATACATGAGCGTGGAATACGTGTTCTCGGCGTAGCTTTCCAGACTACCCAACGTAGGATATGGTGGGTTACCCAGGTACTGCTCCCGCGTGTTGATCACCCTATGAAACCATGCCTTCGACATCTTCGCCTTTCCGGCTGAGCGACTGTGTAGATCCTCAGTGGCCTTTGCTAAGAGGATGGCGACGGGCTCTTTCGGGGGAGTACCAGCGAGAGACTTCGTGATGGTGTCGCGCCAGAATTGCATGCGCATCATGCCGATTGTAGGCGTGGACGTGGTATCGGCGACTCGAGCAACGTCGATGTTGAAGGCGCGAATGGCGAGGTAGGCGTCGCGGGCGGAAGGGGGAATGAAGGTTTGGAGGACATGGGAGGGGGCGTCATATTGTCTGGGACGATTAGGATATCAGGTATAGAAACAGGAGGGCAAGGTACCTGAGAAGGTTTGCGCAGTATGCTCGGGCCTGGTTGACCTCTTCAACGGAGGGCTGGCTGGCGGAGGTGGTGAAGCATTGCGACTGGTGGATGCATCGTCGAAGTGTAGCTCTTGCCGCTGGTATGCGCCGGATGGAAGCGGCGCGCAGCTGTGATGGGTGCATTAGGAGGGAGCGAAGGAGGGACTGCAATGAAGCTTCAATCAGGATGCCATTGGTGCTGCAAGGAAGAAGAAATGACAACACAATTACTGTACAGGTACAGCTCGTCGTGCTTCAGACGTGGCGGCGACAAAAAGTTCGGAGTGAAGGTCGACTAGTGCATGACGATTTAAGACGATCGTCATTGGCCGGCGCGACCGTGAAAGCGCGTCTTGCCCCCGACGCGATGCCTGCAGCACAACACTTGTGAAAAGTGTCGCCCCGCACAACTCCAAGCAACGACGCCCATGGAGTCGCCGCACCCCGATGAGCGGCCGCAAAAGAAGCGCAGGTTCTTCCGGGAAGAGTCGTCGCCTGCACAGCTTCCGCATGTTCGCCCCGCATCGCCTTCGAAGCTGCAGGATTCCTTCAACAGCGCTCCTAGTCTGTCCAAGATACCGGTTGACAATGTGGTGGAGCATGAGGGAGATTTGGCGGGCTTCGACGCCAATATGCTGCAGGCTGTTGTGGGAGAGCTGCCGCACGCGACCCTCGTAAAGCTTAAGGATGTCAGCGGCAGCGATGTGCAGCGCGGTATGTATGTTAAAACGATTTGGTTAATGTGTCTTACATGATACAGCGGTAAACCTGTATCTCGATGGCTCTTGGAGCTCTGCGCCTTCGTACGTTTCTCCGACCCTACCACATCCTCGAGTGCCAGCCATGCAACAAACCCTCGCGAACGCCCTCAAGCGAACTGACTCCGAAGCCTCCATTGCGTCTACACCCGATTCCAGTTCTTCGACTCCGATTGCACCGATCTTGAAGCAGATGCCCGGCAGGCGATATGTTGGGTCGTTCGGAGTAACGGGCTGGGCTACTAAGAGCGGTAGTGGTCTATTAAAGCACGAGGAGGAAGTTAGCATAGAGCGACAGAAGGATATGCCGAAACAAAAGAAAGGCCTGAAGCGAGTGGTCAATCTCAAGAAAGTAGACGTCATCGTTCGTTTCATCAACAGCCGTGGAGAGGAAGTAGGTCGCCTGGAGAACGAGTCTGCTACATGGATATCGGCATTGTTAGATCAAAACGTCTGTATTTTCAAAGGCACAGTCGTGTACACGCCCGACAGGCTCAGGACTGGGGACAACGTCTTCTTGCAGCTACGTGCTTTCTTTCTGCGCAGCGCGTTCGATAGCAGGAAGTTTGTCAAGCCCGAGGATAATCGAGAAGTCAATTTGTTCGAAGAGAAAGAGAGCTCCGATGAGCGGGATCTGAGGCGGCGGCAGGTTGGGCTGGTGAAGCTTTTTGAAGCGATCAACCTTACTCCGACCCGCCAGAATGCGTCCACTGAGAAGCATAAGCGGCAAGGCCTGCTGCAGGCTGCGGAACGCGACGAGGACAGACAGAAACCAAAGCCCAACAGCAATAGCGTGCCTGGCTCGTCCCCACCATCTGAAGAAGCCGAGGAGGGTGAAGAGCTTGAGCAAGACCAGCTAGATTCGCTGTACAAGAAAGCCCAATCATTCGACTTCAACACTCCCGAAATGGACCCTGCCAATACTTTCGTGATGGATCTACGCAAATACCAGAAGCAAGCTCTCCATTGGATGGTCGGGAAAGAGAGGGATGAGTCTCAGAATGATAAGGAAGAATCGATGCACCCTTTGTGGGAGGAGTACGCATGGCCGACGCAAAATGCTGATAACCAAGCAGTGCCGATCATTCAAGATCAGGTTATGTTCTATGTGAACCCCTACTCAGGTCAACTTTCGCTAGAGTTTCCCAGACAAGAGCAAAACTGCTTGGGAGGTATTCTGGCCGACGGTACGCATCTTCTTACACCGAATGTACAGCAGAGCTAACGTGCAACAGAGATGGGTCTTGGAAAGACGATCGAAATGCTAAGCTTGATTCACACTAATCGAAATGAGGTCACTAAGAGCGATCCCTCCATCCCCAAGAGCCTACCACGACTTCCGAAAAACAGCGCCGTTATCGAGCCTGCACCATACACTACGTTGGTGGTAGCTCCCATGTCACTGCTTGCGCAATGGCAGAGTGAAGCCGAGAAAGCTTCTAAGGATGGAACCCTCAAAGTCATGCTGTATTACGGCACCGAAAAAGCCGTCAACCTCCAAAAACTATGTTCTGCATCAAACAGTCTCAACGCTCCCAACGTTATCATTACAAGTTACGGCGTTGTCTTAGCTGAGTATGGCCAAGTGGCCAAGCAAGATGGAAACAGCGGCTCTCATGGCGGCATATTCTCGCTTGACTACTTCCGCATCATCCTGGACGAAGCTCATTACATTAAGAACCGGCAGTCGAAAACAGCAAAAGCCTGCTACGAACTAAGCGCGAAACATCGATGGGTCCTCACTGGCACACCCATCGTCAATCGCCTGGAGGATCTTTTCAGCCTGGTACGCTTCTTAAAGGTGGAGCCCTGGGCTAACTTCTCATTTTGGAAGACCTTTATCACCGTTCCCTTCGAATCGGGGGAATTCATTCGCGCACTCGACGTTGTGCAGACAGTGCTGGAGCCACTCGTGCTCCGGCGTACAAAAGATATGAGGACCCCGAGCGGTGAGGCCCTCGTCCCACTTCCTCCGCGAACGATTGATGTCGAGCAGATCACGCTCTCCGAAGACGAACGCAACGTGTATGACCACATCTACTTGCACGCGCGATCTGTCTTCAACGCCAACGCAGAACGAGGCACGCTTCTCAAATCGTACACGACCATCTTTGCCCAGATCCTCCGCTTGCGGCAGTCATGTTGCCATCCCGTCCTAACGCGGAAAGCGAATCTTGTCGCGGACGAAGAAGACGCTGCGATAGCATCTGACGTCGCCAATGGACTGGCTGACGACATGGATCTGGACAGTCTCATTGAACGCTTCACTAGCGAGGGTGATGAGGATGTCAATAGATATGGCGCCAATGTGCTTAAGCAGATCCAGGACGAGGCAGATGCCGAGTGCCCGATCTGCTCCGAGGAGCCTATGAACGATCAGGCTGTCACGGGATGCTGGCACTCCGCGTGCAAGGAATGTTTGGTCAACTATATCAATCACCAGCGCGAGAAGGGCGAACTGCCACGCTGCTTCAATTGCCGGGAGCCCATCAGCGCACGCGACGTATTCGAGGTAGTGAGGCACAATTATGCCCCAGACGACGATGCACCGGCTGCCACACAGACACCAAAGATCAGCCTCCGGAGAATCGGACTCACCGGCTCCGCGAAGACGCAGGCTCTCCTTACTCATCTTAAGGGCATCAGGAAGCAGGACAAAGGAATGAAGAGCGTTGTATTCAGCCAGTTCACTTCCTTCCTCGACCTCATCGAGCCCGCCCTCACCCGCGACCACATCCCTTTCCTCCGTTTCGACGGCTCAATGAGCCAAAAACTGCGCGCCACCACCCTCACCGAATTTACCACCTCTAACAAGCCTTATGTCCTGCTATTGAGCTTAAGAGCTGGTGGTGTGGGGCTCAACTTGACCTGCGCGAAGAGGGTATTCATGATGGATCCCTGGTGGTCTTTCGCGGTTGAAGCTCAAGCAATTGATCGTGTTCATCGCATGGGGCAAGACGCGGCGGTCAGAGTCACGAGGTTTGTGGTTAGTGGAAGTATTGAAGAGAAGATGCTGAGGATTCAGGAGAGGAAGAAGTTTATTGCAAGTAGCCTGGGGATGATGAGTGATGAGGAGAAGAAGAGTCAAAGGATTGAGGATATTAAGGAGTTGCTTTCTTAGCTGAGTGTACACGTACGTTGAAGGAAATATGTGGCGACACTTGGGTGTGCATTGACTATCGTTGCATTACTGGGATGGTGGGAGATATACAAGACTGGAAAGCATCTCATGCAAGCGTATATCCAGAGTTACGGAATATTGATAATCAATGCATCACAGACATTGTGATGTCTTCATAGATGAGATTTCACTAGTTACGCACGTCCACGGTCTTTCGGGGATGGCGGAGGGAGGGTGCTGGGCGAGAAGTATGAGAAATCTCGAACAACATGGGCTAGACGTAGGATGATTAAGAAAGCGGAAATTGGCTTCTTAATCATCTGTGTAGATGCGGAGAAATCCAAGGTGGAACCAGGCGAACAGTTATAAAAACCGCCTTCATCTCCGCACGGCGCGGAAGGACAACACAATGGTGAGACATGTCATCGTTGGTGAGCTCAGCCTAGGGGCGTAGATTGATGGTTTATCTCGGTACAGAAAGCAAGCGGCAAAGGCGTTCCTTAAGCTCGTTGAGCTCGAAGAGGAGGGGAAGGAGAGCGTCCAAGTGTTGAGTGACCCTGCGACATCTTGCACAAGTACAGGGATCCCTTATTGGAAGGCTCCTAGTATGTTGTTCACTTCGTATTCTGAGAAAGAACATAGGAAATTAGGAAACTGTATGAATGAATCTTCTGAGTGTATTTCAAAGTCGTTCGCGGCCACGTATATGGTCATTACCTCCTATACAATTACAAATGTTTCTTTTTCCAGTCCTAACGCTTCAGCCTCTCCATCCATCAAACCATGTATATATGCCTCTCCCACAATCTCCCAGGACTCTCCAAGCTGCCGCAGTACCATGGGAAACGGAGAGCCATGGAGAACGCATATCGAGTCGCCTTTCTGAACATCGCGCGGTCCCAGGCCTAAGTACCCACCTGTCGTATTAAAGAGCCTCCTCCACATGGTGATATCACGCACCAGCTCCCGCGTCTCAAGGAGTAATCCAGTTATCGTATCTAGCTTCCCTATTGGGACGCTACCTCCACGATGAAACTCTTCGAAGTCCATGTCGTCTTCCAAATCCGCGCACATCGTGTGAGCCAGGGCCTCGCGCCATGAGCAGCTCGTGCTATGCTCGGACACCTTCTGGAGCGCAAACGTCTTCCAGAGCAGCTCTACCCATATGTCGTCGTCCACATGGTCGTCGGCATCTACGTCATCGTCTGTGACCTCGGGGGCACCCGCGGGCACGCGAGTCGCGCTGCAGGAATGGACGCTATCGACTTTGGTTCCGCGCACCTGGAGTCGTCCACATGTTTCGTCGATCCAACCGTCGAACTCGCACGTACTAGCCTGATAGAGATTCCCATATTCGCCGCTAGTAGAGTCGATTGAACATCTTGGAAAGGCGCGGGCAAAACTGGACGAACTCCAATCCGGGACCCAGGAGGGTAGTTTGAGGTTACGATTACCAGTCTGTCCACCGAAGCCGAGGATATTCAGATTACTCTCTTCGCGAATCATACATATTGCGACCTTTTGAAATAGAGCTTCGACAGAAATACTGTAGTCGGGCGCAAGGTCTTCAATGTGAGCCATATTGGAAAGAGGCAGAAGCGCATAGATGCGATCTCTTAGGTCCGTTGAACTGATAGATCGCATGCACGAGAACAGAGTGTAGATCCCGATGGCGCCAGTGCTCCCGATGGAACCGGGGAGTGCTATTGCGGAGCCAGCACATTTTCGTCGGAATTTGATCGCTGCGAGAAGCCGGAAAGTATCTATACCGCTGTGCAAGAGCGGGGAATTGCCGCTGGAAGGCGGCCCAGACGAGACCAGCAGCGCTTCTCCCACCACAGTGTCCAGCTCCAACGAGATGTTTCCGCGCCACACTATCGCGTTCCTTTTCCGATGCGGTGTCGTTGCCTCCTGGATAACCCAAGCCCTTGTCCAATATGGGAGTGAAGTCATAGCTAAGAATCTGTTGTTGAAAGCCTCATCGTCTTCTGACATCTCTTCCAAGAATTCGTTTGCCTCCCCATCTCCGTCATTTGTATGGCCCTGCCCACACGTACCAACGATGCTCGAACCCAAATCACTGTCTTCTTCTTCCGGACCCAGCCACGTCAGCACATTCTCTGCCCACTCAAAGATCTCCGTCATTCTCGCGACCTGCCTGCTCTTCTCCTTGCCATCGCTCTGATTAATGCAAATCGAGTCGATCCAAAAGCGCGTCGACAACCAATCACGCCTCGGAGAGCTTGCATACGACCTCTCACTGCGCGCTAATATTTCTTCGAAGAACGCCTTCACGTTGGGCATAAGGAGGAATTCTGTGCCATTGAGACGGACGGGGGAGATCATCTGCGAACCTCCCCAGGTGTATGATAAGGCTGTGAAGGGCAGGCTTTGGGTCAGCGGCCAAACGCGCATCTGCAGGCTCAGATCGTGCTTAGTAGAACCGGGAGTGATTTCGACCAGCCTGATCTCGTCTGCGGAGAGAGCAAGCCCCTCGAAAACGTTTGCGGGTTGCTTCGTTGCGGTCATCTTCGGTCTCTTTCGTGGTGGCTCTTCGGTCATGTTGCAGAGGTCAAGAGAATATGCAAAAGGTTTGAGGATACTACAAAGCCCTCCTATTCATCAGCTGGCATGCAGCATCTCGTATTGCCAACACCAGTGAGGGTATATCTCCAGGGTTCACAGCGATACATCGAGGTTCTAGAACAGCGCCGAATCGCTAATCCCAGTCAATTTAAAAAGGTGTTGGTTTTCACGGTTGTTGGAAGCTTCCGATATGGCTGCTTTTATACCCCATTTACGCATTACTCTTACCTGTATTGTTGTTTTCTTTTTATACTAGAATTGTTGGAGATTAGTATCGTGTGGTTCGTGCTACACAGGAAGGAAGAACATGTGGGAGTTCGCCTACCGAAGGTGGGGTAGCTACAACGACATCGGACCTTCTCCACGGAACCAGCTCCTAGAGCTGACCTCGGAAAGAACAGCGGGTCTGAACTGCGTGATCATGTATTCCACTACAACTACAACTTCATCGTCACTTCACCAAATGCTTAGAAACCTACCTTCCCGACATTCATCACCATGCAGACGGTAAAAATCCCTCTCTCTCCGCCAACCCTCAAAGAGATAGCCGCAGCCCTCCAATTTCCCCTCGCTGCCAACTACAAGCATGCCACCGTCGACGTAGTACTTTGCCCAGACCTCCGGGAAGCTCCCTTCCACCTCGCAACAGAAGGCCTCTCCGGCGCCGAAAAAATCTCAGACGTAGGCGGCCAACCCAACCTCTTCCCGCAACCCCGACTAGACTGCAAATGGAGCCTCCTCGACATTGCGCGCGCCATGGAAATGGATCCTCGAGGCGGCGGCCTCCTTGGCGCAGGTGCTGGACCCTTCCATGTCGTAGGACGCAATTGCGAACTCGTCCCGAACTTATCTTGGAGTGACGGGTTTGATAATGTTACGAACGGTACATATGTCGCACAGATCAAGGACGGGAATCCGAGCGTAGAGAGATGTTCCAGCCTTGACTGCGCACTTATGGTAAACCTATACGGTTCCCTAGGCGGCCCCGGCCAGGTCATAAAAATCACAGCGCGGGGCCGCGTAGAAAAAGAGAAGAGCATTACAGAGCTGATGCAGAAAGCATTGGCTGATGCGTACAGCGACCGCATGGTCAGTCTGGGTGGTATTTTTGTCGTCAAAAGGGGAAAATCGTACTATCACATTATGCCGGATTTTCCACCGGAGGAGGAACTGCCCTGGGACAATCCGAAGCAGGTGAATGATTGGTTGACGTATCATGAATTTGAGGCGCCAGTTGTGTGTTTGAGTGTGCTGCATTCGGCGGATCCCGGGAGTAAGTTGGGGTTGAGGATGGAGGTAAGTGATATTACTGTACAGTTAAAAGAATGATTGCTGATGATGTTGACAGCATACGCATTGTGCGTCAGTGGACGGTAGAGACGTCGGGGGTCATTATCATGGGGATATTGATGGGGACGAGATCGAATATGAGGGATACTTCAATGTGGCGAAGACGCTTTATCGGATAGAAAAGCCAGAGGTAACGCTCGGAAGAGAATTGCACGACTGAAAAGGAAGCAATGAAATTCCATACATAGTAGATCCTCCACTTCTTCTCGAGGAGCCAATCTTGCCTTGAGTAAAGACCGTCATTGCTTATCGTTGCTACCACTGGCAACGTTCGACTGCAACCAGGCTCTCAAAGCGAAACCTTTGTGATCATGATATGGTGGCGACACAATTAGACTTTTCTCAAGCGGAACTACGTCGGAGAACGCCGGAGGTTCCCCAGTAGAGTCCTCGTGAGCCTTAAACTCAAGATAGTCGTCTAGGAAACGACGCCCATTTACAATCGCTCGACGTCCGAACTGCTCAAACACCGATCTCGCAGTGACGACGACAATTTTGCGTGAGCGACATGTATATGGTAGGAGGCTTGAAGATACTGGAACATTCCAATCGTGAACAAACGCACGTCGGTGCTTTCAACGGGCTCATCGAGATGTAAACATGTATCTTAAAGCTTATTAGCATCATGAAGTCGTCTCGATAGAGCCGAGACCGTGAAATATCCTACGACTTCCACAGTCGCAATGGATGACTCCAGAGATATATAGAATCTAGTCCATAAAGTCCTCGATTTGTAAGTGAAGCATAGGGATGGCCTGTGTGAGTTTACTTCTGTAAACTGCTACAGGCAAACCTAACGTCGAATCCAGAACTCTCGACTATCCAGAGCAGCCGGGTTGTCTCCACAGGGTTCACATACTCTCACAAAGCCCAGTTGAGCAGCAATACTTCATCGAGTGTTGCATTCTTCGTACGAGACTGCAAAGCACCAACCAGTGAAGGTTGGCGTTGCGATAGACTGTCCATACATGTCGTAAGCGTGCTCTGTTATGGTTCCTCGGAAGTTTTTTTCTAAGTACTCTGGTCTGTGTTGGTAGCACGGCGGTTACGAAGAGGCTAGATATCAGCCTAGTGTTGGAAGCGCTTCAATAGCGGTGTTTGCGGGTCTGCATTCGGTGTTGTTGTTGACAGTGTGGTATCAGAGACTAGTAGAAATCTGTCTCAGTCTGAAGCCAAAATTGACTTCTAGGAAATAGCCGCCTGCCGCCGAACTGCTTACAGTGAAAGAGTAAGCTTCGCGGCGCACCGCTAGCGACAACGTTAGCGGATGAATGTCAACCACAATCCGCTAGCTAACCATCCGACCCTTCAGCTAAATCATCCGATTATCGAAGCTGCATCACAAAGCAAGAAAGCGATGAGGTAGGGCAACCCGTATACACCGGGAACAAGAGCGCACAGGGATCCCCGCACAAGTCGGAGTTCGACTCCGCATGTAAGATCCGCAACTCGCAGCCTCGGTTACGCACAACGTCCAATAAGCTCGATGCGTGTAACCCGAACTACTATATCCGTATGTGCCAAGGGCGGCTCTCATCTATATGCCGGTGTTATTCTCAACTCAACGTTGCCTCGTCGTGTTCTTTTTATTTTGTTTTAGTCGCGGCGTGTCTGAACAAAGATGAGTGTGATGAACAAAGAGACAGGCGCGGATGCCCCGACGAAGGATATCAATAAAGAGGCAGAGAATGGGCAAGTGGTTGCGGTTGAGGAGAATGGAAGAGCCGTGGAGGTCGATGTTGTCGACTGGACTGGAGAAGACGATGTCGAGAAACCGCTGAATTGGACCAACAAGCGGAAGATAAAGCAGATCCTTGTGATTTGTTACAACACGTTCCTCACGTATGAGAAGCCCTAATATCTTGTTTGATGTCTGACGAACTGCTAATCGATAGGGGTATAGACCTCTAGGCTCCACGATGTTTGCCCCAGCGATCCAGCAAGTCATGACAACCTTCCATTCTTCGAACCCGCTTTTGGCTAGTTTTGTAGTCTCCGTTTGGGTTTTGGGTTACTTCTTCGGGCCGCTCGTCATTGGACCATTGTCGGAGCTCTACGGTCGACTTCCCATCTACGCTGTCTGCAGTGTTTTGTTCGTACTCGCGAATATTGCGACAGCGCTTGCGCCTTCGCTGGGATCCTTGATATTTTTCCGGTTTCTCGCAGGCACATTTGGAGCGACGCCGATTACTATCGGTGCAGGATCATTTGGGGATCTGATTAAGCCACAGCATCGCGGTGGTGTTATTGCAATCTGGTCGCTTGGACCTTTACTGGGACCGATTCTTGGGCCCATCGCGGGTGGGTATCTGGGTGAGGATGCGGGGTGGAGGTGGATTTGCTGGGTGAGTAGATCCTAGGCAAACTCCAAGATCGGTGTGTATGCTAATAGTACGGATCAAAGGTCCTCGCAATTGCCGCAGGCGTCGGTAGTGTCGCGACCATCATCTTTCAGGAAGAAACCTACCCTGTCGTGTTGCTCGAACGAAAAGCAGCAAGGCTGCGAAAAGAGACCGGGGAGGATAATCTGACGTCTGCACTGGCCGGCGCGAAGAAGAAGCCGAGCGAAGTGTTCGCGCGTGGTATTATCAGACCCCTCAAGCTGCTAGTCATGAGTCCCGTCGTGGCAAGCTTGAGCATATACCAAGGCCTCGTGTATGGCTTCATGTACCTGCTCTTCACGACATTCCCAATTGTGTTCCAGTACCAGTACGGCTTCAGCAGTGGAACGATTGGTCTAACATATCTAGGGATGGGCGTCGGCTCGTTGATTGGCCTCGTCTGGGGCGGTATATGGTCGGATAGCTTGTACAAGAAGAAGGCCAAGCAAGGAGCTTGGAAGCCAGAGTATCGTCTGCTGCCGCTGGTCCCGGGTTGCTTGTTCGTACCAATTGGTCTGTTCTGGTATGGATGGTCCGCTCAGGCAAAGGTGCACTGGATTGTGCCAATCATTGGGACGATGTTCATGGGTATTGGCGTGAACATGCTCATGGTATGTTATCGTTCCACTTTCCGAGGGACCGTACTGATCGAGGGCTAGATGTGCATTGTTACTTACATCATCGATTCGCACCCGTTATATGAAGCGTCTGCTTCTGGGGCCTTGACGGCTGTGCGATCTCTCATCGGTGCCCTCGTACCTCTGTTCGGACGTTCTATGTATCAGGCTCTAAACCTAGGTTGGGGTAATAGCTTGCTAGGCTTCTTAGCGTTGGCTATGTGTCCTTTGCCATGGCTTTTCCTGATATATGGGGAAAGGATACGGACCAATCCCAGGTTTCAGGTGAAGATGTAATTAGGGGATCGAAGAAGATTAAGACCCCAGGGTGTTGGAATAGCAGGAGCACAATTCAGACTCGCGGTCATTCCAAAGGCCAAGCTGAGGAACCGCGACAACCGCACATGGTGAATAAGCTCTCGCTTATTGTGGCTAGCTAGCTGTCGTGCTTGACTCAGTCAACATGGCAAGATAGGTATGTGGGCTTATCTCCGAATAGTCTCAAAATCATCGTCGAGCGGTTAGGAGTCTTTTGCCAAGCAATTCCGGTATGTCAATAGCCAAGGAAAGGTCGGTACAGGCATCTGAGTACCGCCGGCACTTTCAGCTGTCGCTTGCTGACGCCTCGCCGTGTTGCGCAATGGCCGTTGGCATCCAGTCCGCGGAACGGACCGAGATCTAAGCGAAGGAGCAGATCTCACGTGACGCACGGCGGCTAATTCTGCCGAATATGCGACCACCATCGTTCGAGAGCCCCAAGCCTAAGCCTGCTTTTGGCTCTTGAGGCAGTGGATTGGCTGTTCAGTCTATCTCCTCACGCTACTGCAAGAAAGTTTTTGACCTTCCTCATGCTGTCCAATGCTCGGACATTCCCGGCGTCTCGCGTCCCGTGCACATCGCTCACAGTTGCAATAGCTCACATACGCGCCTCCTACCTGCATCACACTGGACGTGAGGCCATATAGGAACATGTCAATGACTCGAGGCTCGAATTCCTTTCGGTGACAGGTGTCAGGCGCGGAGTAGGCCCACTCTAGGACTTCGAACCGCGCCCGACCTCGCACTCTTCCCTGTAAACCATCTCAAAACGTCTGCCGGTGGCAGCAAAGACAGCCTAGCGCCAGTGGGAGATCTACGAGCCAATAACCCGAACAGAAGCCCTATGAAAGATTGCTGTTCTGCATTTCCCTCCGGCCCGTACTCCAGCTCGGATTCGCATTCTCACCTTCTCCCCCAACCGGCGGCCACGGCTTAAGCGCAGGTCCAACGGTCAAGCCGGTGGCTACGGACGCCCTAGCTGCCTTTTGATTCGTTGTATTTTCCGAGATCTGTGCCCGATGCCGCGTTTGGGCCACAAGAAGTCAAGAACAGGCTGTCGCCAATGCAAAGCGAGGCATGTCAAGGTACGTATACACGTGGAGCGTTGCGCCATCAACACACTAATCTCCGATCGTACTCGAGATCTCGCTACCAGAATCTTGGAAGGCTTGTTTGCTGACTACTAGGCACAGTGCGATGAAGCCAAACCGTGCTCCAACTGCGCAAGGCACGGCGTCCTGTGTAGCTTGATCGATCCGAACGCGCCTCCACCTGTCCCAACCGTAGCAAGCAGCAGTAGCAGCAGCAATGCTACTAAAAGGACTGCGAGGCCCAAGAGCGTAAGATTCACTCGTACTACCGTGGCCGAACAAGGTGAATTTAAGCAAACACACAGGAACCTGAAGACGGTAGTACACTGTCAGCGATACCATCGAAAAACATCGACCAATCAACAGTGACGGAGCCGTCAGATGGCGATTCACCTAGATCTGGGTCAGATCATTTTCCATTCATAACGAACTTTGTAAAACGGCGTGAAATAAGCGAGGTGGACCTGTGGCTTTACGATCTTGAAGCAATGTAGGTGTCTTCGCAGATCGTCACCCGAGGGACGCTGCTCATCCGAGAACAGGCATCACTGGATGACCGACGGCGTCGAGACACTATCATTATCACCGCACAGTACACATATCTGGAGGACCGTAGTGTCAAAAGAAGGCCTCAAACAGACGTTTCTCTTACACGAGATTCTTGCCTTGTCGTCTTTCCAGCTAGCTCACAATAAGCCAGATCGACGAGACGATTACTACGCTGCCGGCACACATCATCAGGATCACGCTCTCCGTGGCCTACGCAAACTGCTCCAAAATATTACAGAGGAGAATGCACCATCAGCATTTGCTGCATCAACGCTCATTCCAATCTCAGTATTTGCATCTAGAGGGTTGGACGCAGTAGATGCGGATGCCGAACCGCACAATGCCCTCGACGACCTTGCAGACATCTTCAGCTTGATCCAAGGCATCGGCCGCGTGATAGCGGCCGCACAAATGGGCATCATGATGAGCGGGCCCTTCCAACACCTCTTCAAAGATCCCGTTTACGAGACCGCACCACAACCCCTGTTCCAGAAGATGCTCGAGCAGCTACCTACCCTCACCGCGCTCTTTGACGACGATGAATCCCTCGACGAAGATTCACGTCGCGACCTCCTCGGATTCGTAACCGGCATGCGCGAGAACCTCCTGCGCTGCAGCAGGCCCTGCATGGAGAACCGCGACATGCGCTTCCTCTTCTACTGGCCGTTCCACCTCAGTCCGAACTTCACGTTTGGGCTGCGGCAGCGCAGCGCCGGCGCCCTCGTCATCGTCATGCACTGGACCATCATCCTGTCTGCTGCCGCGAGGACGTACTGGTTCCTGAGGGGCTGGTCAGACCGCATAGTGAAGGCCGTGACGGACGAATTGACCGAGGAGCCCTGGCGCGAGGCGATAGAGTGGCCGCTGCAGCATATTGAGGCACAGCGGGTGGTGCCGCCGCCGGCGATCCCTGAAGTCGAGAATCTGGAGATCTGAGCCTGGGGAGATGGCATTCGATATCAGTGATAGCTCGTTGTGACGGCGATATGCATCGCGCGGCTGGGTGCATGCATAGGCGCCCGGGTAGGACGATCACAGCATGCGACTGGAACGGAGGTGCGAGGCCCCGCTCTGGGTATTTGGAAGGGTGTTCGACGTTATTGCGGCACAGTTCGTGAACGTGAACGTGGAGGTGAAGAGACGGCTGGTCTCGGCGCGATAGATGAGCCGCGCAGCAAGGTACAGTATCGCTTGCTTACACACGGCTCGGAGCAAGGCATCCACTGGGAAGCGGCCCCGGCACTTTTGAGCGTTACTCTACAAGCATATTGGATGATGAAAGATACACTTACGACAACCATAATGGCAACATTGTACACATCGATCCATACACCTGATCACGCAATGCTTCGCATCCTTCTCCGCACTCAACAATTCATCCTAGCCAAGGTTTGCCTGAAAGCCCAGCCTCGCTCTCGCAAAGCGCTGCTCCTTCCCATTCTGTTCGATAACCCAAAGCGTGCCTCGCCACGAAGTGCTCACCAGGAATCTAGACCAGCGCCTTGCAGCATCGACTTAGGCTGGCCATCTCACCGGTCCACAGGCTCGTGCGAGTAAGTGGTGCTTACGCTGGTGGCGCTCACGCTTTCGACATGTTGGAAGGTGGTTGTGCTTACACTGATGTTAGGGCTGAGAGGATTGGACCTGCACCGTGTGGAGGGACGTGCGATGGAAGGCGTTTGCTCACGCGGTTGATCCTTCGTGCCTCGACTGTCTCTTCCTTCTGAAAGGCCGCTGAGTGAGCGACTCTCGCAATGACCCGCGCATCGCGCAGCCTTCCCAATACGGAATTCCTTCGTCCATGGGCGGGGAATGGATCGCCGTGTCAGCCTCGCTGACAATACACACCTTATGTGCATGCAATATAGTTGTACCGGGGAGCAAGTGGCCGTCGAGCACCGACACTGCGCAACCGCGCCGCACACGTGCAGCCCATGTGCTTAACCGCTGCGGATATAATTTAACGGCCGCTGCTCGTACGCGCGACGCATAGTAGGTGCCACACCACGACCACAAGATCGGGAGGACGGATCGCCGTTCACCGCCTGTGCTGTGCATCGTTGTGCTGTACATCGAGGCTATTGTCGCGAGTTGCTATTTGGCGGTGCTGTGGGTGGTGTTTGGCGCTCGTTCTGTGCCTGTGCGAGGTCGATCGCAATCGTGATCGGGTGTGGCCTTTGCTTGTGCAAGGTGTAGCGAGTGGAAACGCTCATGTGCGACCTCGGAACGTTGCAAGAAATTCGTGAGGGCGCGCAATCGCGCACCGCACCAAAAATGGAAGATCACAGCATGCATCTTTCGGAACAAGTCGACTATACAATTACATTATCGTAGCGTAATGAGCGTAGCGGGGCATCAACATCATCGTGCGCGACGCTCCTTGTACTCCAGTGTGTATATCCAATCCCTTGAAAATGACACGGAAGAACGAGAACGCAGCAAAGCAAGTAAATGTCGCCGAAGCGTAGATCCACTCCAAACCAGTCCTGTACCCCCATCTTAAGATCCTGTCACAAATTTCTTGCCTCATTCAGACAGCGGCCGCCGAGGCTGCCCATCCTCCGCGAGCGCCCACCGCTCCAGTTCGTCAGGCGTGGGCTGCGACACCACCGTAGTATCGCTCTGAACCGTGGCGTCACTCGCCCCGCGCGTGTGCGACGGACGACGCTCGCCTTCTGCCACTCCTGCGTCTGCGTCCGTCTTCTTGTCCATCCCTTCGGTGTCGGGCCCGTCCTTCGCGGGTCGTGTGGGCGAAGGCTCGGCGGAGGTCCGTTTCATGACTTCGTCGATGTTGTTTCGCGAGCGTGTTCCGCTGGGATCGCGTTTGGCAACAGACCCGCTGCTCAAATTGGGACTTCCTTTTGAGCCAGAGACGGGATCGAAGTGCTGGCCACCTACTGCATAGCCGCCGTCGTCGCCGGGTAGTTCTGCAATCGGTGTGAAGGGCGGCGATGCACCAGGCGTATTGTTCGCCGATGCTTCTCGTGTTGCGCCGCGGCGACCCAATTTGGCGCCGGTAGTGAAATAGTCGGCACCGCTGCCTTCGCTATGAGGAGTGGCTGCCATCGTTGGAGGACTGTAGAGTTCTGCAGGAGGACTATCCATCTCGCTGATCGTTGGGAAGGGACTGAGGTCTTTGCGGTCACGCTCGTCGCCGTAGAATCCACCAAGACCTGTTGGTTTCGGCGCACCTGGAGGCTGAGAGTCGAGCTCGGAAACGCGGCGGTGCTTGATCTGGTCCCCGGCGGTAGAGGTGTCGATCTCGGCGGCTTCCTTGTAGGCTGGCGGAGCATTTCTGCGCTCTCGCCGCTTCTTCCACCATATAAAGATAGCAAAGGCCGCGCCCAGAGCCACAGCTAAGATACCAATGACGATGCCTGCAATCGCTCCTCCAGACAGACCTTTGCTACCGCCTCCCGTAGGAAGCGGAGTTGGGGTAGGTGCGACGTAATATGGACCGTGAATGGCAACCGGCTGTTCAGCCGGCGAATCATTCAAGGGAGGAGCCTGCGAGACAGTGAAGTTGGTGCGCTCGTAGTCCACAATGATGTATGCCTCTTGTAGCAAAGTACGACCGAGAACAAACACTCCAGTCGGAGACTTTTTGATTGGGAAGTACTTGGTTGAATCATCTTTATCACTTGGCTCCGTGTATGTCAGATCGAATGCCGTCCACGGCAAGGAGATCGTCGTATAGCTAGGTCCACTATCGAACGGACCGCTTCCAATCTTGAATTGAACCGTAGCGTTTTGCTGTTTATTGTTTGCGGCACCAGTCTCGTTTAGCGTGTAGAAGTTGGTCGTCTTATTGTAATTCAGATTGAAGTTTTCGGCAAAATGATCGCAGACCGCGTCGGGAAGCCATAGGTACGGAAATGTCGAGTCTATTGTTGCAGAGAAGCCTTTGACGTTATCCTCCGTGAACGAAATCGCGATTGGATTAACACCCGACTGCGGTGTGTACGATATAGACTGCACTCCGACGATGAGGGAATTGTTTTGAACGCTTGGCATCTTGATCGAAACCTGATTGTCCGGGTTGATCCTCGTCTCGTCGTAGCCGCCAAGCACGAGGCTTCCAAGAACACCGATCCCATTTCTTTCTATTATACAGTCAGCACGACCAAAGTCTGTAGGTCATTCGTAGACACGTGTGAAGGTGTCTCGAACTGCGCGAAGACCCTTTGTTGCCAGGATTTGAGTTGCCCTCATCGAAAGAATAGCTCATAGGCCTGTGAGGTGTGTCTGCAGATGCAAAGAGCACTTACTATATTTGGCACCCGCAGCATATCCATAAGACATACTCGGAATTACGGGAACGGAACTGTCGTTGAACTTGTTGATGAAAGATGCGATATTGCCCTTCCCACCCCCTGCATTAGTAGCCCCAGCTGAGAGGCCAAGTTGTCCCAGGTAGAAGTCCTCGGATTTCGAGGCCGCAATCAACACCTCTGGCGCAACGTAACTGTCTTTCGAACCTTTGCCAATGCCAAGGTAGTCGAGCCCGTATATACCCCCGTCGTCCGTTACATTGTACAAGGCTGGGACAGCCACATCGAAGGTTCCTGCTCCCTTCCACGTGGTGGAGTCAGGACTTATCACCACACCTGTCTCTTGATTCCCATTGACTATGCCCACACCACGACTTGCGGCACAGTCAGTATCGCACCATTCGGTCGTATATGGTAGAACAGTCACGCCGAGCTGCGTAGAAGGAAGAATCTCGAAGTTTTGGCCGCCCCCGTTATTGTCCTTATCTCCGACGTTGATGTAGAAGGTTGACCAGTCTCCATCATTTCCTTTCCAGTTGCCACTGACGCCCACGATTCTAGGTTCTGCTGTGATGTTCACAGTCTCTGCGCGTTTTCTGGAGAACATGTTGGGATAAAGAGCATGACGAGTACAGGCAGGAGCGACAGTGCGATGCAAGCGGCGGTAAGATGGAACAAAGATCAAGATCGGGCACTGAGACAAAGACTAGGACAGCCTTACGGGTGGTGGAGGTCGGCTGAAGTGCACAAAGAAGTATAGAGCGACAGCGCTCAGCGAGAGGTGAAAGCCATCGTGGCAAACTACGACACGGCGTCCGACCACAGCCAGAGTGCTTTCTTTTGACGAGGCGCCGTGGCACGGCGGGGCATGCTATCGATAGGGCAGCCGGAGGGCAATTGGAGCAATCAGTGTACGGGCGACATGACCTGCAGCATAGCCGGCACTTTCTACTGGGCTGTGTGCCTCGCCCGGCGCAGCCGCACCGTCGGCGCTGGGGGGCATTAGAGAGACATGGGCTGAGAAGGGTTGGGACGGCTGCACGATCACGCCTGCGCGGTGAGGTTGCATGCGAGGGTGGAGGGTGAATGGATTGGCGCTGGCGCGGTGCTAGACTAGAGAAGTCCTCCCGCGTTGATTCACCGCCGTGGCCGCGGATTACGCACGAATCGGGCAGAGACGTTCTGACTCAGCGGCCCGTGCGCCAATAAGCGCTTCCGCCCGCCCCGCTCTTTCTTCTCACGTGCACGCTACCGCGACCACCACCTCGAGGGCTCACCACCAACATCGCCATAACCACGCTGCAGACCCTTTGCGCGCCCCCGACAGCCTTCTGTGCGACCGCACCGCGACAAGAGCCCTTCTCGCCATGCAGCAGCACTACGGGCCGTGGACGGGCGGACAGTGGGTGGCCAGCCTGCCCGGCCCATGGTGAACCGCCAGCGCGTTGCTCCCCACCGCTTGGCCCCCAGAATACGATGTCTGCTGTGCCGCGTCCATCAGAGTGGCTCGAGTGTCCTCGACCTGCATCCACCTTGCGATGCTGGGCTGCAGCCTGCCTAGCAAACTTCTAGCCAGAAGCGGCCGTCATATGGATCCATGTCAGCAATCGCCATGGGTCTTCTACATGGGTATTCACCAAGCGCTTTCTAGACCAACCGTGCGAATACACACATGCCGATCAGTCTACCTTCCGCCCGTTCCTGCCCAGCACGAACCGATGCGACGCCGTATTCAGCACCCATGCCGAGCTGCTTGGCCGCGCCGTCGTTGCCTTGCGATGCTCTCAATCATCTGGTGGCGCTGTCACCATTTTCTTTTGCCGGCTTCGTAGACGCAGCCATCCGGCCTAGTGAGGCGATTGGACGCTCGCATGGCCTCTTGATGCCGCCCCCGCCGCGTGGAACGGCCGCCGGGTAGCTGCCGGCTGGCTCGTTGCCTTCCAGTTGCATGTCTCTCGCCCGGGCCATCCACTGTCGTTGTTTACCTGGCCCTGGCTAACAGGAATATTGGAACAGCTTGACCGAGAGCCCAGCCCCGCCAGCTCACTCATTACCCATTCGGTAAGCCCACCTTAGTACATACATAGTCATGCCTCGTGCCGCTGCGCTGCGTCCTGCCCTCGTCCAGGTTTGAGTCCAGCCTTCGCTTTGCTCGAGGTGAGTGAGTTTTCTTTCGACGTGCATAGCTCTAGACGAGCTTCACTAGCTGCCAATTGCACCAACTGTGCCACCAATTCCCCTCTCTTTGTCCCGTACCACCACAGGACGCCCACGCTACCCTTTGTCCGACCCCAGAATAGCTATATTCCCCTCCGATCCAGCTTCCCTTTACGCCATGTCTCCCATCACGTGCTTTGCTGATTGCCCTTCAGCTCCAAGCTACGTAGCATTCGTTCAACCTGCGTAGCGTTCCTTCGCTTTAAAACATGCGGAACGTTTGGTCTTTGCTGGCAATTGCCGGCTCGGTCGTTGCTCAGTATGGAGACACACCGACATCTAATGCATCCGTCTCTACCTCGTCTGGTGAATACGGAGCAGTTCCTCCTCCATCGTCGAGTGCATACGAAACGTCTATGCCGGAGCCTACGTCGGAGACCGTTCCTCCATCTTCAAGTGCATACGAAGTAAGCCCTCCACCATCGTCGAGTGCATACGAAACGTCTACGCCGGAGCCGTCGTCAACTTCCGAATCTCCGCCAAATGTATCTTACCCCAGTAGTGGTTACGAGACCGAAACGCCTTCCACTACGGACAGCGGATATGTAACTACTTCAAGCCCTCCTGGTTACGGAACGTGCTCTGCAGTGACAGTCGTGTTCACCACCACAAAGACGCCGAAGCCCGTCTACATCACTACCACGACAACAAAGACTCCCCGGCCAGTGACCAATACCGTCACGACGACCAAAACACCCAAACCAGTTACGACAACCGTCACAAAGACCCCGCCACCTGACACCGTCACAAAAACAAAGTGGAGCACCACGACTTTCTGGGATACAACGACTTTATGGAGGAACTCGACCACAACTTCGACCGAAACTGAGGTGAGTTAATTCAATCTTTCCAGTTTTTCGAATTACGTACCATCGTGGATTGGTCCTTTGCAGTTGATGCTCAAGCTTCTGACTAACGATTGACAGACATGCACTGTCACTGAGACGGACACGACTACTGTTGATCACACAACCACTGTTGATCATACGAGCACTGTTGATCACACAACTGTTGTTGATCATACCACAGTTGTTGATCATACCACAGAATTGACCTCGTATGTTGATCGCACAACTGAGCGCACCGCCACTACCGAAGTGACGAAAGAAGTCACTACTGTCGAGACGGACGTGAGCACCTTCGTTACTACGGATGTGAGCACCTTCGTGACTACATACGTCACCACTGACTTCAGTACTATTACTTCCACTACAACCTCGACAATTACGACGTCATACCCAGTGACAATCTCTGAGACAATTATCTCGTGGGTTACGACTGTTATTACAGTTCCGGTGACAGTCATTGACACATTGACCGTTCCTTACCCTGTAACCGAGGTGTATACCACCACATCGCCTGTGAGTAGTCCAGCTTTCGCAAGCCAAACATCAATTGCTAATCTATCGTTCAGGTCACCCAGACAGTTCCAGGGCCTACCGAGACCGTCGTTGGGCCTACCGAGACCGTCCCCGGGCCTACTTCGTTCATCACTGATGTCATCACTTCACTCGTTACTGACGTTATAACGGAAACATTCACTACAACTTCCGTTAGCACGATTGTGAGCACGATAACGCTGCCGCCGGAGACCGTGACAACAACTGTTGTGAACACGATCACGCTGCCAGCATCGACCTTAACAACAACTGAGACTATCACTACCACGCTGTGAGTACATTCAGGCTACTTGATGTGCGCAATATATGTCCTAATCATCGAACAGGCCTGCTGTCACGACTACTTCAACGATCTACTCAACGGTCACATATACCTCTACTCAGCCGACTACAATCATTGTGCCAACAACAATAGCTGTTCCAACAACAGTAGATGTCCCTACAACAGTAGAAGTCCCAACAACAGTTGATGTTCCTACAACAGTAGAAGTCCCTACAACAGTAGAAGTCCCTACAACAGTAGAAGTCCCTACAACAGTAGAAGTCCCTACAACAGTAGAAGTCCCTACAACAGTAGAAGTCCCGACAACAATAGGAGTTCCTACGACAGTAGAAGTCCCGACAACAATAGGAGTCCCGACAACAGTAGAAGTCCCGACAACAGCTTTTGTCACTTCATTCATCACTGATGTTATCACCCAGACAATAACCAGCACGACCGTCAGCACGATTCTAAGCACTATCACCCTTCCGCCAGAGACATTGACAACAATTGTGACTGCGCCAGGTACAACGCAGACCATCACTACAACTCTGTGAGTACATGACGTCACGTGAATTACAGGGAATATCTAACAGTCTTATAGGCCTGCTTCCACCGTGGTGTCGACCATCCTCTCGACGGTTACATTTACCTCCCTCCAACCCACAACGGTCGTCGTCCCGACAACAGTAGAAGTCCCGACAACAGTAGAAGTCCCGACAACAGTTGATGTTCCTACGACAGTAGAAGTCCCGACAACAATAGGAGTCCCGACAACAGTTGATGTTCCTACAACAGTAGCAACAACGGTCGACCGTACCATCACGCCTTCACTGTCCTCTACGTTGCCCTCTACAGGCTCTGCCACTTGCCCCAGCGGATGCCTCATTGATGTCACGGCTACATTGGTAGCCTACACGGCCAGTGTCATTACTCAGACTTCTCTCTTCACCCTCACCACTGTGACCTACTACATGGACGGAACTTCAACAGTCGGCTCATCTGTGCACACGAACCCGCTTCCAACGAGCTCGGATCTGGTGTGGACGTACAAAGATAACGTACTTACTTACCCAACTGTTTATGCTGCCTACGAGACGTTCTCTCATCTGGAGGTTAGCCCGGTTGCAACAGGCTGCGTTACCCAGACTACGACCTTGACCGGCATAACCACTACCGGCAATCCCATTCTACTCGTACCAACCACCAGCATCACCAACTCTGCTTCTGTCCCGCCGACTGTTGTTTCATATCTGAATTCTCAGCCTACTGTCACCGAACAGCTTGGTCAGCCCATCGGTTCTGGCGCTTGCGATCCTATAGTTGGCGAACCAAGTGAGGAAAACACATCTGTTGGTACTGTAACCACCATAGCATCACGGGAGGCAGTGGGTGAGACTTTGACAACACACGTTCCAGCTCTTTCAGCCATTGACACAGCAACTGAATCGCAACCTGCTCCCACGACTATTGTCACGACTGAACCAGCACCTCCTCAATCTACCATCATATCAGTGGAGCGGCCGACCGTCACACTTACGCCCACAGTCGTGACCTCCACGGCGGAGCCCACGACGGTCGTCGAATCGCCCTCCAGCAGCTCTGGTAACCCTCCCAGCTCGTCTCCTGAACCCTCAAGCAGCGAATCGCCGTCTCCATCCAGCACGCCTGAATCGAGCAGCGAAACGCCGTCTCCATCCAGCGCGTCTGAATCGAGCAGCGAAACACCTGCACCTTCCAGTTCGCCTTCCCCCAGTGCGCTTCCCCCAAGCAGTGCTGCTGACTCCACTTCTGAAGTTCCGTCTTCATCGGAGGCACCCCCTCCTTCCGAGATCCCGTCCTCCACCGAGACTCCCTCCGAGACACCCGAGTCCTCTACGGAGGTGCCAAGCTCCTTGGAGGTCATCCCATCAAGCACCGAGGAGATCTCATCCCCTCCCGCGTACACTCCTCCCGAGTACACATCAAGCTTCTCGCGAACCACGACTGTGGCGAACGTTACCAGCACAGCACCGCAATCTAGTGCGAGCCAGCCATCTTACTTCCCTGGCGCCGCGGTGAAGGGTCCTAATGGATTGGGCAGCGTGGCAGCCGGGTTGCTCGGTGCCGCGGGTGTCGGGTTAGGATTGATATGATGAAAAAGAGGGTATAGTTTGGGCTAATCCTAATGTTTGATGCTTTAATGAAAAGGAGATGTACACTACGCTTCTGATGGTGGGCTTAATGATATCCCGAGATCGCGATTGCTTTTCACGTTAGCTGTTCCTGCAAATGTGCTGTTCTGTGTTGTCACTATGATAATTCGCATTACTACAATGGAAGCCATTGTACGCACATTCCGTCATGGCAATTCAGGCTTTAGCGCATATGGCGTGCTTCTATGATCTACACGATCACCAGCCAGCAGGCTGAACCTCAAGGATGTGTGCGCAGCTTGCGAGAGGCATACCCTGCACCCCACCGACACTGGATCGCTCGCCCCCACCCGGCAGCATGTAGAACGTAAAAAAGGCTCTTCAAGATCTAAGCGCGAGCACGACCGAATTCCAACTGCCCTCCTCACCAGGCTGTTCCGACCTGATTGCAACAAACGCGCAATCGCAATCGTGATCGTAAGGCCTCCAGGCATGTGTGTCGTCCAAGCAAGCTCTGCAGCCACATGCACGAACTATTGATTTTCGTCCCGCTTCCGTTCGACGGCACGTCGGGGACGTTCGCTGGGCAAGCTGCCTGCGGGACGAGACCTTTTCTGCCGGGTGGTGGTGGGACGGCTGCGAGTGGACGGAAAAATCTGGTGGCTGGGCGGGTTGCGCGATAGGCCTCGCCGTGGATCGAACGATTGGCTTCGCATTGGGCTGGGCGGGGTAAATGGCGAGGAACGCTCAAGAAGACGCATCTGGATCTGTGTAGCGAGTGTAGCGAGTGTGTAATGGCGGGATTGGCCTGCAGGTGCATGCAGGTCTGACAGCAGGTCTGGCGTGCCTGGTGTGCTTTTGTTGTTTGCCTGAATAGGGTCGCATCGTCGGCCGGATGTAGTATAGAATACGCAGGCAGTGGGGAAGTGTACCTGAGTGGTCAACGATGGGAGTGCAAATGCATGGCTCGACTTTCAACAGGCTCTTTGCGTCGAACTCGACATCGTCGATCAGCCTTGCATGATGAGGATTTCTTTTCCAAGTTTCTCACACAACCGCTCTTTGTCGCGGGGACCTCCCGAGTTTTGTCCACGCCATAGTGGCTCACCTTGTAATCCATGTTATATCCAGCGATATGATCCTTAGCCTGGATACTAGATCCAGACAACGTTGAGAGCAGGCATTGCCCAGCTACCTGATTACGAACCTCTGTATTTCGTACTGCGTCTCGTATGTCATTAGATTACCGCCTAATCTTTCAGTATCACAAAACATACCACAGTGTGGCTCCTGGAAATCGAACATGGGGCTACGTGGGAAGGTGTGGATGTGAACATAGGAATGGAGTCCCGTATGAGGAATCGTGCATGTAGATGGAAAGTTTGTCACTTTGATGTACAATGAGAGAGAATGTTGTTTACGGTGGAGGAGAGGATCGCCTTATGTACCAAAACTCGTTGATAGGGCGTCTCGTAACTGCAGAAAGCTCGACAGGTCGCACTTTGTACACATAGTTGAATGAAATAAACTTATGACAGCAAATCAAGGTATTATTGTGGCATGGGGAAAAGAATGCCGATTAAAAGCTGCATGAATGCCTGCTAACTTTCACAATTTGAAGCAGATCAAGCGTAGAGTAATTAGGTCATGCCTAGTCTGTGTTTCACGCAATTCTCTTCAATGAATCACCCCTGTAGAATTAAGCCTTGCCTCCGCATGAACTAGTCAATTTGCTAGTAGAAAAGAGCGATCTTGAGAAGTCACGATAATGTATGTAGCAACACGCCGAACGAGTAGCTCTGGTCATGTTATCAAGTCGTAGACTATAGATGCACCCATATGATTGGTGGAGTGTGTAAACCCCCACCACCATGTCTCGCGCTGCTGCCTACTCTCAGCCTTTTCACAGAGGAAGCAAGTTCAATGTCTACCTCCAAATCTTTATCTTCGCACGAACCCGCTCTCAATTCAATTATTCCAAACTGATAGAATTGCCAAACATGACAGACCAGTTTCATTATCACAGACTGGAGCAAAAGAAGCGCGAAATAAGACTTCTTGAGTTATTTCCGAAAGGCCACAAGCTGGGCAACATCCGACCCGCATGCCGAATCTTTCACGCCAGTCTTGATGACAGCCCGCATTTCTTAGCTTTATCGTACGTTTGGGGCGCTCAGAAAGACAGAAGAATCATTCTGGTGAACAAATGTCCTTTCAAGGTCACACGAAACTTGTTCGATGCAATGATGGAGCTGAGGGAATCAGAGAGCATTACCATATGGATCGATGCAATCTGTATCAATCAAGATGACAATAAAGAGAAGGGATGGCAAGTCGGCCTAATGCACAGCATCTATACACGAGCCTCTGGTGTTGTTGCTTGGCTCGGACCATCACAAGATGATAGCGATACAGTGATTGACTATCTCAATACATTAGGATCAAAGGCTGAGGCCTGTGGTCTACACCGAGATATGGAGCCGTATGCGCGAATTTGGCAAGCAATGCTATCGGACCCTTCACCTTTGAAAGATCTAGATGAGATCGTCTTGTGGACTGAGCTTGAGGGAAGACTACTACCAGTGTCGAGATATGACCTAAGAATCCTACTGCATTCCATCAGTGGCTACGAGTCACAGGAGCAGTTGTTGCCTCTACCGGGTTTAAAGCACCTCTTTCGACGAGCATGGTGGGGAAGAGTCTGGGTCTTACAAGAGATCACTCTCCCAGACCGTGCTTGCTTCTACTGTGGTACCAAGCGGATTTCTCGCCGGAGGATTCAAGCCGCGTTCCATGCGTACTGTGCACTGTGCAATATATTCATGACAAAGATACAACAAGGACAATCCTGCTCACGTTACCAAAGAGATATTGCCTTCTCCATGGTGGTACACAGAGTCAGTGTTATGCTTTCCATGCCAGGCACATATCGAGGGGGGAAATTTCCGTTAGTGGGATTGCTTCGGGCAACTTGCGTTGGTGGTGCAAATGGTCTTGGCCAGGATGGTACCCAGCATCTTGAGGCGACTGACCCGCGCGATAAGATCTTTGCGCTCCTAGGGGTTGCAAATGATCGAAAAGAGCTGGAGACACTAGATGTCTTTTCAGATTACACAAGGTCTAAAGAAGAGGTGTTCGTCACGACTATGATAGCGCTGTTGCGGCAGGGTCATTTGTCGATGTTGTCGCGTTGTCGTTCTCCTGAAGAGCCAAGTAATTTGCCATCATGGGTAGTAGATTGGTCCATTCCTGGGGGGCAAAGACTGCAAGATACCGAGCCTGATCACCTCACTCTCTCCCCTAGTTTCAATGCATCTGGTAGGAGATCTCAACAACACGTCATCATCTCAGCAAGGAATCATGGACTTCCGAGTATATCCCTTCATGCCTGCTGTTATGACAAAATACTTCAGGTGGGACATGTTCCCAGGCACCCCTTGACTGGGACATGTAAAAGTTCGATACAATGGTTATCTGAACTCCTTCGACTTACATACGAGACCAAAAACGTTTACTTGGATTTTCATGAGCGCTTGCACACAGTAGTGAGAGCCTCGCACGCTGCCTTTGGCTATGGGAAAGGTCCATACCCGGAAAAGGTTGACCGATTCTTCGATGCTTTGCTCATCTTCAAGGCTGAAATTACCAATATCAAAGATAAGAAACTACGACGGCACCTTCGAAATTTCCTCACCAGTAAAAAGGGGAGAATTTTGCTTGAGAGTGGCTGCGGGGATCCGTCGAAGCTCTTTATGGATTACATGAGGATCACTCCTGAACGCTCGCCATTCGTCACGAGGAAAGGACATTTAGGCCTGGGTTCCCATTCTATCAGAAAAGGGGACACCATTGTCTTGATTGCCGGCGCAGAGGTTCCCTTTGTCCTTCGCCAGCGCGAAAGTGGCGAATTCATTCTCATTAATGAAGCTTATGTGGACGGGATTATGAATGGGGAAGTGGCAGAGCATGGGAGGTGGGGACCCATCGAACTTACGTAAAGGTACCTAGTATGCCCATATTGATGGTCGTAGATGCTGTGGCAGCAAAAAATGACTCGAACTCTTTAATACAGCGGAAGTTTCACCATGATACGCATGCCAGATCTCCGGAAATACGATGCTTGACTCGTAGTCATATCTATGGGTTCCAAGTCTATGTCGAGTCAGCTACCATATAACCTACAAATCAATGACACGAACCGTTGTTGGCTCAAAATTATCCTGAGGTACCTGTGAACGGCGATTATGTCCATTGAAATGCTGGTAATGTGCGATGATAGCCCAGAACACCTTTGGCTCAAAAAAATTGGTCTTTCGACTTAAGTTGTTAAATGTCCTATGCGGAGATATGGTGACTTTGCAACAGCTGTTTCTTCAATAAGTTTAGAACTACTCTGCGCACATCGGCAATCTGCGCAGGGACATTGGTCGATTTGATGGTTAATAAATATTTCGAAAGCTTGCAAGAGCCCACTTCCGTATCTAGTCCTTGGGATATTAATTACTTCCAAGAATTGGAGAGGGGCGCATGCCATTACTTAGATGGTAGAGCTGGAATTGAAGATACATACCATATAGTCCACTTCTTCAAAGTAAAGCATGGAACTGCTGTATATGACAGTATGATTCATGGGTGACGCACTAAGATTCTTCAAACAGTACCAGGATGACCGCAAAAGCAAGTCAATCACACTCATTAACTGTACCAATCCTCTAGAAGTGCGAAGCCAATATAAGGTCTTATAATCCATGTGCTCGCTTCAAGTGACCATTCTACAAGTGAATGTTAGGTGAAGTAACGGAGGGCAGTCTTTGGGAAGCCGGTAAAATGCGCTTCACACTGTATGTCAAATCTCCATAGGTCTTGCAACCTTTGAATACTGCACTCTACACTGATACCTATATAAAGTCTCTTGGGCGACCAATGTTAACTCTCCCCAAACAACGATCTGTAACCTCGAAGAAAACGACCGCCAACACCAGCACCTCAACAACATAACGTTAACATAGCCTAACGCACTATCATCAGTGTCTATCACATTAAGAGACCTTACCAGTCTTTAGCCAGCTCAAATCGAACCTCAAGACCTCCTCAATAGCAAAAGACCCGAGTGGACTTGCTGTAGTTGTACGTACCGCCCATAGATGACATATGAGGGGATACTTTCTATTTGCTAACACACGTCTCCAGGTGGGCGAACTTGGATAGACGGGAAAGTAAAACAATGTACCACGTTACTTTGTGCGCATCGCAGATGTTCAGGTTGTCTCCTATCTAATCCAAATAGCCGATAGAGGCATGGATGTACGTTGTCTTAGTCTTTTTACAGAATGTGTAGAGGTATTGACATGAATTTCAGGCCACCATTTGAGCCGAAGAAGTTTCCCTACATGTAGCGTCCTATGATGGGTTGTGGGTCCGATCTCCCGTTTTGTGTGCTCTGCATGTCTTCATCTGGACACTGGAATACAAAGCGCCAAGTTTCCCGTTCACGTTTGTTTGATATTAGTAGGAGTTAGCGTTGCTCGATACCCACTGTTTTCGCGAATGTAGCTGTGCGTCAAAGTAATAGTCATGGTGTTTTTCATGATGTGCTTCTTAACACCAAGATTTGAGCTATGTAGTTCCATGCTCTGCATGGTGACGAGTAGATGAGCTCGATTCTAGAGAGATGTATATTGGAATGTCTGCAAGCAGTATAAGATGTTCATCCGCACGTCGTATCTGGAAGAGTGTTCGATCTCACGGGTAGAGACTGATCTCGGCAAGAAGTCTACATCTATGGTATCTATGGCAAAGACACCATGGTCGGAGATCAACATCACGGACTATCCCAATGAGTTAACGGACGAACCAATCTGACAGGAGCTGTTTCCTATTTGGGTTTGGCTGAAACATCCCCTGGGTAGGAATGGGCTATTCTTAGAACTTAGCGGGGTACTCCAAGAAACGCGCTTCGGATTACAACTAGAGTCTTACGTGTAATCCGCCATTAGGCCTGGGAACAAAGTCAACCAGAGAGGATGACGCCCAAAAAGATGAGACGGAAGGACCCATTCAGACAGCTTCGGCTCGGTGTTGCAGACAACAATGAACTCACTCTCGTGAAGTTTGTCAAGAGATTGGAAAAAGCGGCTGTTCCCTACGAAGCCGACACCGAACTCTTCAGTCATCTACCATTCCACGACCTCTCCGACTTTGAAGTAGTCATCGCTTTACACCCACCGTTTCCAATCTTGCGCCTTCCTGAAGAGCTTGTGTTACAGATTCTTACGGAAGCCGTTCACACTGAATACCAGAAATCGAGAGGGTCCCCGTACAGAAAGAAGTACAATTTACCCCTAGCTTTGTGCGCTGTATGCAGAGCCTTCAGAACGCTTGTACAGCCGCTTCTATTCTCCTCGATGACCCTCCCGCTTTTTGAACAAGACGTCCTGTCTGATGGGTCGAGCAAGAGACTCCATCATCCACTCCAAACGAACCATTCGATGGCACGGCACTGTAGAGAGCTTCTGGTTAGTTTCCCCGATAGCTGGCTCGAAGACACTGATGCGACCACTGTGGTTCTCTCCCGGTTTGTGAATGTTCACCGCTTAACTGTTGAGGGACTATTCGATAATACCGTGGGGAACGGCGAGTTTAGCAAGGATAATCTGGATCTTTGGGCTTTTATACGACTTACATTACCACAAGTGAGTAGAGTGAAGGAGCTATATATCTCTACCCGGTGTGGGGGTTTTGCTCCGGGTCTGGGATTGCCTCTGTACCCTCTCTGCGCAACTATAGATAGTATACATGTTCCGAACCTCAGATCCCTCCGAATCTATGGAATCTCGCCAAGAGTTGATGGCAGCTCATTTAGTCTTCCAAAGGTAACGATACTGCTATCATTCTAGATTGATCGCTAATTCTTGATTCATACAGAATCTTGAGTGTACCGCTAGCATTACGGACCTGGCTATTCACGCCTGCGAAGAAAGTCCCTTAGCTCTGACTGAGTTGATGAAATGGCCTCGGGCGCTCAGAAGCTTTTCTATCTCCGAGATCCACTGGTACCCAAGCCGCGGATGTCTTAAAGATTTTCGTTCTATCCTTTATCGTCATAGGGGCTCGCTGGAGTCGCTTTCCATCAGCAACGTGCCCGGTACGGCAGCAGGACCTCTCGACCTTTCGGATTTCATGAGTCTTGAAGCTTTTCGCCTGTTCTCTAGGACCATGTCTGACAAGTGGACGCCCGAGGCTTTATGCGACAATGTCCTTGCTGCACCACGACTTCGCCATCTCACGTGGGATTTCTCGCTGTTCGACGAGCAAGTTGGCCCATGCACTTCATGCCGAGATTTCGGGGCTGCTGAGGCAGAGTGGCTGCAAAAGGTCGCTAGACTTGCTGAGCAGAGGAGGGTTGCTCTTCGCAAGATTGAGATTGTATTTGATCCCTACGATTTGCACTATCATCTTCACAATGGGGAGAGATCTCCCTGGGACTGGATGGAAGATGTCAGGGTCGAACTGGGAAATACGAACATCGAATTGTCAATACCTCCCCGGCGAAAGATACGCAATATGTAGATACACCGTGTACATAGACACGGGAGGGAACATTAAGTATCTACCAGGACCGTCTTTAATGCCCGTCAGGAGAACGTATATCCCGTTACGGTATTATACGAGTACTTGACAACATTTGAAGCAATGCCCAAGCTCATGTTAATACAACGATTATGTGCATGCCGTCACTTCCGCGAACAATTTTCATGGACAAATCGTTCGATAGTAAAATCAACAAGGGTCTGTGTCTAGTGAGACTTCAAAAGGAAGGATGGTGAGGAGGTGGGGTTGGTCGGGCAAAGGTACGCTAGCCGTGCGCGGAATAGCTCGGTCGGAATTTCGTTGAAGCGAGGTCCCGCACAACGCCATTTCGACTTTGCGTTTTTGGCAGTGACCATCGACAACGACAACCCGCGAAGACGCACCCGATCCACCCCACGACTTTTCCTCCCCGTAATCCGATACAATGGCTTCCAAGCGCGGGTATGTCAGACACAGGAGCTACATCTGCCGCGCAGGCGATATCGGCTGGGCAAATCGCTAACTGAGATGCAGTCGTGGTTCCTCCGGTAACAAGCTCAAGATGACCCTCGGTCTGCCTGTGTACGTACCCTCTGCGACGCAATCGCGGTCTTCAAACATCGAATGCGACGATCGGACAGGATGTTGAATAGCGAAGGATGTGGGCTAATTGGGATATAGCGGTGCGGTCATGAACTGCTGCGACAACTCCGGCGCCCGTAACCTCTACATCATCTCCGTCAAGGGTATCGGTGCGCGTCTCAACCGCCTGCCTGCTGGTGGTGTCGGTGACATGGTTATGGCCACCGTCAAGAAGGGAAAACCTGAGCTCCGAAAGAAGGTCATGCCCGCCGTCATTGTCCGACAGAGCAAGCCTTGGAGACGAGGCGACGGTGTCTTCCTGTATTTCGAGGACAACGCTGGTGTGGTGAGTGGCGCAGGAAATCTATGGCATGGAACAGCGGACTGATTGTGCGCAGATTGTCAACCCCAAGGGAGAAATGAAGGGTTCTGCCATCACTGGCCCGGTCGGAAAGGAGGCTGCTGAGCTCTGGCCGGTGAGTGGCACGAAAAAGAGAATATTCATACCGTCGCTAACGATCACAGCGTATCGCGTCGAACTCTGGTGTCGTGATGTGAGGTGTTCCTTTTCTAGCTCTTCTCCAACATTCATGGGTTACGGAAATGGCGAAATGCATTTATGGGGCGAACACTTGGAGGTAGTCATTGCAAAAAAATAGCAATGGAATGACCCTCAAAAACGATAACTCGGAACCAGTTGCGGTGCATTCTTCCCATATGCGCAAACTGGGCCAGCCGAACTCTGTCACACTCGAACAGACCATAAATGATGATACCAGTTGACCAAACCACCCAATTTTCCAAGCAAGATGATTCTGAGGTCGGTGCTGAAAGTTGACGCTTGATCTGAAAGCTATTTCCTAAATGCCACAAATCAAAGCCCACAAGCGACGGTCCAGTGTGAGAAATGCATATTGTCAAGTGGATCAATAGCCGCTGCACGAAGCATGTGGGCATGCACGCGATGTGCGAGTGGGCTGGTTGAGCAAGCATATACACTGGGCATGATGACATTACAGTGCGGACATATTTCTCCGAACTGGCTCAAACGGGCAGGCATCTTCGCGCAGCCTCATTCGGCAAGTTTTGCAGCCTTGCAGACAGTCTGGCCTGGTGGTGTGTTTCACAAGGCTGTCCGATGCAGGCAGGAACTCGCGGGTTGGTCTTGCCTCAGGCTACGCGAGCCGAGCCGCGAACCACGAGTGTTCCTGCACCAACAACCACATACAGCTCTCCGGATTTGCACCATCATCTACAATGCTCCACCACAAATCCCCAAATATATGCACAGTTTCCCTGAAGCACATCCGGTCGATCACTCCTCTGTATAAAACTTCTCAATCCGAAGATGTCGCGAAGTAGTTCTCTGCCAAGCCCACCCCGAAACATGCACGCCTCCAGCAACTCCCATGGCGACACCCTCCGCGTGCCACACATGGAACATCAAACCAACACCGCCAACAGCGGCTAGCAGCCGCAATATGTCAAGCTCCATGAAGAGTAGTAAGCCTACGACGAGGCGGCTCGGTGTGCCTTGGCTGCTAGGCGTTGTTTGACCCACGACATGCGCATAGCTACATAGCATAGAGCTTCTCCACACTTCTTCTCATACCTCTCTCCCGCTCTACCCTCTCGCTGTCCACACTACGGTCTCGTGCCGTGCTTTCAATTCTTATCGGCCGGTCCGCCTTTTATTGTTCGCTTCTACTACTTAATTCTATTCCTCTTGTGCTGTGCACTGTTTTCATTTGAGTCAGCAGCATGTACAGATTGGCTTTTGCATCCTTGTTTGCACTTGCGGCATGTGCGCCGCAGAGGGGAGGAGGCAGACAAAAAGCTACCGCTCAGCAACAGGCTGCTCAGATCCCGCAAGGCGTCTCGCAAGCTACTGATGGGTCTATGATCTTGGATGCTACCGTCAACGTCAACCAGCTGCCTATCAGATTCAAGATTGCGGCGCCGGCGGATCAATTCACGGCTGCGAGCGGTGTTCCTGGTGCGACGGCTGCGAGCGGTGCGAATGGGACCATGGGTACGTCCACTCCTGTGTTTCACAACCAATTAAAGTGGTTACTGACGGGGTATGCAGGTGCGAACGTCCTCCTCCACGGCGACGGCGGCCAATCCTTCTTCGACTTCCCGAACCAAAACATCCAAGCCAACACCATGGGCGTGGCCCTCCTTGCCCCCGACCCAAACCTCTTCTGGGGCGGCGGCTCCGGCCTCGACCGCACTGACGGCGTCGCCCACGCCCAAGCCGTGTCCGACTTCGTCACCACCATGATGCCTCAACTCGTCGCCTTTGACGCAAACCAGGTCAAATTCACCGGCGTGAGTGGTGGAAGCTTGCTCATGAGCGGCTTCTTCATCCCAGCGCAAATGCAGAATTTCGCAAACAGCGCCGTGGAGTTGAATTGCGGTGCAATGCCGCCGCAGGTTGACTTCGCAAATGCCAACGCCGTGATGAGCACGCTGAGGATCCACTACCAGAGCACCCAGAGCGAGCTGCAGCTCCTGCAGGACGCCATCCCCCAGGCTATCACTACCTACGAACAGTTGAGCGCCGACGCTGGGCTTACTGCGGACCAGATCAATGCGCTCCAGACCGTGGACAACACGCCTGAAGGTGGACATTGCGAGTTCGATGGGCAGGACTTTGTCAGCGGCGTGCAGACTATGCTGACGAGTTACTCGAATGTGGTCCAGGGCGGCGATGGCGTCGTTGCGGGATTGGGCGCGCCGAGCGATGGAAATGTTCTGACCGGTGTGGTCGGAAATGAGAATCTCCAGTTCGTTGGTGGACAGAAGAGGAGTGTGGACGCAGAGGATATGGTGGTGAAGCGGTGGGTGGAGAAGTTGGGCCCGACAAAACCGAAGCAGAGGAAGAGACAGGATGTGGTTGTTGAGGAGGAGGGCGTGGCTATGTTGGCTTGTGATCGCATGACTTGCAATTAAGTAAACTTTTGCATGCGGACATTGGAGAAATTCCAGATGGATGAGCATATGTCAATCCGAATGCCACTTGTGTGAGCCTCCTGTGCGGATATCCTTCATAGCCAATGCAACAGTGGGAACCGAGTACCTTCTGTTAACCATCCACCATCTGCTGGAGACTTTTTACGATCTCCCACGTCGAGATGAAAGCTCCTCATAGCATCTAAGACTTACGAAGCGGTAGTTGCTCCTCCGCACTAGACACGCTCGGAATCCTTTCCCATCACAACCCAATGCCCAACTTTTGCAGCATCCCACCCAAATCGGTATCTACGATCTTGTCCCACCCCTCTCCGGACCCCACCCGACCTCCTTCCTTCCCATCCTTGTTTCCTCCACCAGCGCCTTCATGAGGGGACTGTTCCTCGAGATCCCCGGGTACGCATCAAACTCGACCCTCTTCAGCTGCGGCAGCTCCCCAAACAGACAACCGAGCAACCCAAGACTAAAAGTCGTGAAGAACTGCTCCGCCGCCCCACAATCGTCATGCCTGAAACCCTCGAAGCTCGGATGGCTGGCGGGGTCTAGTTCCACGAAAACCTTCAGGAGACGCACGTTCGCTGCGTGATGCAGCTGCAGCCGCTGATCCACAACCCAGCCCTTTGGCGGTTTATTGAACCCTGGACCGAGCCGCAGCTCTAGGCTCCGCATCTGCGCGATGTAATGCGGTGCGAGGCGCGTCAGCAGCTGCTTCTTCGTGTGGAAGAATCTTCCGTTGATAGCGAAGACGCGGAACGTGTTTTGTGCGTAGAAGACGTGGGATGCTTCAGCGTGCATGCGGCGGGAAACGAAGAAGAGGCGGAGGGAGGGGAGCAGGGTACGTGTGTTGGACGGGTCAAGGTCGATGGTCTTGTCGCGGACGAGGAGGAGCTCGAGGATGCGGATGCGAAGTTCGCTGGGAAGAGCGAAGAAGCGGAAGGGTTGGAAGGGTTTGGGCGGCTCGACCTCTGAGTCGGAGTCGGAATCGAAGGCGAGGTGGGAGGATATATTTAGGGTGTCAAGCTGGGCGACGAGGGCATCGATGTCCTTGGTCTTATAGCGTATCGCACCCGAGGTGACTGGCACCTTCCGGGCTTTCTTGTTCTTTCCCATGGCTGCAGGTATGGTCTTGATTTGGTGGGATATCTTCGAGTGGAGGTAGCGGGTGATTTCGAAGCGCTCTAAAGCGCGCAGGAGTGCGTCGCTTTAGAGGCATCTATGCATCCATCGTTCCGGTAGAATGTCTTTTGGACAACGCAGGCGTCGCCGCTGGAGGATTGGAGGAAGAATCGCGAGCAGCGAGATGCAGTGGAAACTGTACCAAGACGCGATTGCCACCCGGCGCATGCTATCCTATCGATACCGAGCGAGCGGTTGCGCTACTGACTAAGCACGCTTTCTCCAATAAAACTCTGCCCTCGCCCGCTCCCTTTCCGCTCCTCAGAAAGTTGCACCCAGATTAATTTGACTGCAGTTCGTCCCGTATCGAGCTGTGGTTGTATTAGCTGGGGAGAACGAACATCGATGCTCCCAAGAACCGCCGAGCTTAAGCTCAATAGCGAGAACGGTTCCGTGGTGTCGAGACATCTTTTCTTCCCGTAGCGCGTCGCGTGCAGGCACTTAACTTTTGCTTCTCCCCGAAGCGCGTAGGAACATTCGTGAACGTTGATTCTAAACGATCTGACTGCTTCGCAACGGGCTCTAAAAGCACGCGTGTCTTAGAAAGAATACGTTTCTTTGCAATAGCTACAGAGGCATCTTCTTGCAAGCTTTGGATGACTTCTACGGCAGTGTTCGACTTCCTCAAAGAGCTCGACGACCACATCTGAAGGGGTTCCATTTCTTTGCTTTGCGAGCTCCTAGGGCTTCATGTCTGGCTTATAGTGTTCGAATTCAGGTTGCCACCAGCAATTAGTTGTCCTCATCTAGAAGACTTCTAGAATATACACACTATTTCTCAAATAGCCCTTGAGACATGCAAAAACCACGTTTGCCTTCATCTTTAGCCGTCATGGCAACCCCCTTCCTCCCAACCGGTGCCAGAGATAAAACGACCGAGAACGAGCTCTCCTACGACGATGCCGAATATGACCACAAGAAGAAACCCAAGGTTGAACGTCATCACAGCAAGCATTCTGGTCATGGTCAGTCTTGTCCTTTGACGAAGGAAGGATGCCCGACTTACAGAAGGTACCCTATTAATGCCCTTATTCCCTCCAGCAAAGCGCGCGGAACATCGATGTTGACCCTCCACGGATTGCCTGCTCTCCAGCGCCCCCCAAATACGGCCATCCACTTCGGTGACCAAGCCCGCTTCTTTCCGCCAGCTTCGATATCTGTTCCGGGAGGGTAAGGCGAAAGTGGTGCCTGTTCGGTCGATGACTCTTCTTCGCCGTCATAACATGTATCTGAAGACTCCCGTTCAAACTTCGCTCTATTGAGAGAACGCTTGTATTCGCGCCGCTGCTCTACCTTTCGCCGCGCGTCGGCAGCATCGTTCGCCCATTTGTGACCAAGCTGGCTTCTCCAAGCGCCCAGGAAGCGGTTCAGAAGCGTGACGATGAACAGGAAGATGAGCGTGCCGAAGTATTTGGCAGGCGTGTCTGTTGTCCAGTCCGAGAAAAAAAGGGTGACTTTGGTCGAAGTCGAAAATGTGCCCATCATACCCATTGCCATGGCCGGCCCTGTTGAAGGGACAGAGTTCATAGTGCTCATGTTGTCATGGCTCATATGGTCCATCTTTGCCGTCTTCCCAAAGCGAAGATTGACCGGCTAGTCGAGTTACGGTTCCCAGGATATGCGCGGCGGAGGTAGATGGGTATTGTATATTGATACTGGAGGTTATACAATCTCTCAGAATCCTACTGCAGTACGGATTGATGTGACGCGAGCGCCGCAATGTAAGATTGGTATACGTGCGCAAACTTGCTCACTTTGCACAAGCGTCGAGCATTGGCACAAAGGCGCCCACCAAAGGAGTAAGTTGGGAAGCAGAAGTGACACTCAGGTAGTCGCAACTCTTAATTGACTCGTCATCTCACGTCTTCTACAAGCATCGGCTGCAGCTTCCATCCCTGATTTGCGCCAGGCGTAGGCATTCACGAGGCCGCAAAGCGCTTAGCCACTCTGGGTTAACGATATTACAAGGTTTTGCGCCACGCTGCATTAGTACTCAAATACCTTCTCTTGCCTGCCTCTTTTGCTCTGTATTGAACTTCGGTTCCCCTCTCACTCATCAATCAATGAAGATGTTTCGATGTATTCTGTTTCCGCTTGCTCTGGGAGCCACCTTCGTTGCTGGCCACGATGATGAATCCTCCGCGATCGTTTACACTACAGCTATGGTCATGAACGGCGTGACGACTACTATGCTGATGACAGCCACCGCTAGTGGAGACTCGTCAACGGCGGATGCTGCGGCTTCGTCAAATACGGCTTCGCCAGGTCTAGCGTACCCGACAGGTGTGCCCGCTCAATTGTGAGCGCCAATACATTCGTTGCTCCGCAGAATCGAAGCTTATGCGTCGTACAGTGGCTTTGCTGGCGTTGTTGTTGCAGCACTTGCTGGGATCGGACTTTAGGTCTTCTTCCCTCTACACTCAGGCTACACAAAGATAGCGAAAGGCCAACTTGGGCTATTGGAATGTATGAGGGGTTCCTGTGGATGTGTTGGGTGCCACGGGTTGAAGACTTGGATCAATTACAATGGCTTCATGATGTTCTGTTTACGGAGTCTTCATACGAGGATACAAACTTGTTGATTGTTATACTAAGATGAACTTTCGTGCACCGTGATGAGGTATCAAGTGCTTGTCCACCTAATCACGCTGAGGTACAACTCGAAATTAACGTGATGTTGTGTCAGACCCATGTGCTGTGGTACCATCAACGTACGCAAATGTGCGCAGCCGAACTTTGCAGCGATTGTGTGTCAACGCTGCATGCAGCAAACCCACAGTGTGGTGACCTGCCACTTTGTATGGCGGGATAACATCGCCGCTCGATATATTAGTCTTGAGAGCACGCGAGTAAACAGGAGCAAACGTACACAAAAGTAATACGGCAGGTGTCCCCAATCGGGACATCGCCCGCCAGAGTCAGTGCACCAATACAGCTCAAGCCACGCAATCTACTAATTGATATGACTCCTACAAGCATTGTTTTACCCATATATTCACTTGCCAAAGAGGGTGGCCGTCACGCCTAGGTGTTCGAAGAAGACAGTTCATCGCACAACAACGTTCTCATCGTGACTTCAAAATCATACACCCATCGGAATACATGATTTCAGAGATGTACTCATCGTAAGGTCAAAGGTGAAAAACCCTTCAACTTACGATATCCTTATGCAGGATAGGATCGGTGTGACAACAAGTGAAGGGGTGCTCACTTGGTGAAGCAATACCCTCCCAAGCATGCGAATATAAGGATCCCTCACTACATGAATCAATTAGACTCGAGCGTTCCCGCATGATCATGGAAGGCTCGTAACATACTTCCCGATCCAGTGAAATGACGTGCGTACGCCTGATACAACCTCGGATGGCGGTTTGAGAAGCACAAGGCCGGTTCGAACAATGACTGACATAGCTCCACGAATTATTATCGTTTGCGAAAAGAATGCCCCCACCCTACCATAGTACAGATCACCAATTTTTGTTAATTGTATAACATATTCACTCTATTACTGGCTAGATCTTGTTAGATAGCTAGATTTGATTATAGGAGACGTTAAAATAGGGCAACTAGCTATTAGAATAGGCGTACTAATGTATTTGAACTAATATTAGAGTAGATAAATGATATACTTCCTAGAAAGGGGGAGCCGTACTATGGTAGGGTGGGTGCATTCCTTTCGCAAAGCACCGGCGCAAATCAATGTCGGCGCCATCTTGCATCGTTACTCGAACGATGCCAAAACTGTCATGATCGCGTGGCGTTTAGGGGCTTCAGTTCTTCCAATCAGGCTACCGTGGAAGAGGTTGGCGCTGCATGATGAGGGGAGTGGTGCGGGGGCCAGCCTTTTCTGCTATGGTCATAACTTCGCACATTACTCTGCTACCTCAAGCAGATTTAATTTTAGAATTGGATGGCTTCGCTCATTACGTTACTTGGATACTATGAAATTTGGTTCCATTTCATCTAATTCCAAATCATTCGTTGCGGAATACATGATGTGATTCTCCTCACGATAAGGGCTGGAATCGAAAGGCCTTTACTCTCACGCAGAGGAGATCTGGCTTACAGTCCAGCCCAAGCCACCAGTGCCTATTCTAGCCTTACAAAAAAAGATTGGCTCGCGTTCTCCGCCACCAATACCTATTCTATCCTCTTGAATGTAAGATCGGCTGGCTCTTGCTTTGCAAAACGTCTTATTGGCGGTGATATCTCATCATTTCTTCTAGGTGTGGAGGCGAAAACCGACATGGAGTGGGAAAGTAGGTTGACTGACCGACAGCTCTATCATATAGCCTGCTTTCGGTCCTTCGCCCGAAATGAATCCAACCTTACGTCAAACACCTGGACCGGAAACTGGCATACTTGAACATGGAGGGGCACGACGCGACCCACATCACTACATACCATGACAGACTCTGGAAATTTGCTGACTCGGCCCTCGCTCACATCATAGAAGTTACCCTGGGCCGCTGCAGTACAATCAGCGCTGCCATCCTCCCTTTCCTGCTTCCAGTATTATCCGCGGCTGCACCTATCCCCAGACCAGGCTACATCTCGTTGGGGTACGATGACCCTTCCTACAGCGACTTCGTAGCTACTCCGTCGAACGAAACGAGTGTCTTAGCAGACATCTCCCACATTGGTGACACAAACGGTGGGGTCGGTTTCGAATCGTGGAAGCGCCGCGCCGATACCATTCGAAACACTGGATCCTCTGCATATTGCATAGGAAATCTCTCGGTTGCGTTGTCTGAAGTCGGAGCAGCATACCAGGCTAGCTCTAATGGATCGTCCACGTTGCTGACTCTGCTTCCGACAGCTGGGGCTCTAATCGGCGCACCAGCGAAAGAACTATGGGTACTCGCAAAGTTGATTCCGATCGCTGGATGGCTATCTCTGGCGTTGTCTTTGGGAGGTCACATCGTACCCCAACAGATCGGCGACAACACGAACCTAGAAGAGTTTTCTACCGGCGGATATAAACGTCGACAAAGTCAGCCGTTCAGCCGAGCTGATAGTGGAATCTCGGGTCAGTCTCTCGATGTTAATGCTGCCCAGGATGGAAAGCAGGCCGCCGAGGCCTTCGCGGATCGCGTGCATGATCGAGCTAGAGACTGCACAGGATCTTCCAAGATCCTTCAGGTCATATGTGGCTGTTCCGTTCAGTGCTGCTGTATCGTTCTTATAATGGTAGCATGCTATTTGCTTCGGTCTGGCTCGATCATCGTGTGGTGGTGTAAAGTCAGTTCCCCATACCTTTTCATAAACAAATCACTAATACGGACACTCTCAGGCAACTAACTGGAGCTTCTCTTGGTACGGAGTGACTGTACTCGCATCGATGCTCGAATTCGCCGCAAATGCTCCTTTCACCAAATCATGGACCTTACGAGTTTCTCGTTCACCAGGAATCAAGGTCGCAGATGATACTCCTGTCGTAGTACCAATTGGGGAGCCTAGTCCGGAGCAGGCTCAACACTCTGGACCCACACCCGATCCCGCATCGCCAACAATGTCTCTTTTAAACTCGCAAACTGTTCCTGGGGCCGATGTCATCGACGCTCTAGAAAGAGGCTTCAACACTGTGAGTAGAGTGATATTGGATCATTCACAACCATGGACTGCGTCAAAAGATACCTTCTACGTCATCGTCAGCTGCAATGAAGTCCAAAGACGTCATACCATATTGCGACTATTCTCCAAGGCAGTGTCTGTGGGCGCATTCACCTTCTCAACGGCGCTGTTTGCGAGTTCCACGCTAGTCCAGATCAGAATAGCAATGATCGTAATGATCATGATCCTCGCCTCCGGAATATTCGGACGAGTTACGGCGATGTGGATGTCATCGGTCCTGTTAAGAGACAAACCGGTGCTCCATCGAGTAGTACGTACAAGGTCAGATGCCAGCGTTTTCGTCAAAACAGTCCTGAAGAAACCTGGGTTAGTTTGTGAGATCATGGGGCATGTTATCATCGATGGAAGGTGTGTGAAGCGGATTGGACGGTGGGGTTGGAGCTCAGTCTTTGGGGTGCTCGCGCCCCCTTCCGACGTGACGAAAATTGCTGTTCGGTCACATGCATAGATTTTATCGGAAATTGCGTAACCATTACTTCATTCGTTCATTTTGAGCGCTGGTATATAGATGCCTTAACATCTTTGTGGTGCAGGTTTTGCTCACTAAACAGGGCCTTAACGTACCGCACCCTGAGTATGTATGTGCAGAAAGAAATCTACCATTAGAAAAAGCCAGTAGAGCATCAAGGTCATCAAGAATGCCATAAATGCGTGTCACAAAGCCAACCCAGCAACACCGTCCCCACCCAAGCTATGCAAGAACAACAAACAAGAGGTATTTCCGTCCGATCCATATATCATGGCCAAGTTCCAACACCGTCTTCCCAGCCCTGGCTTACCATGACTCATTCGTCGCGATAGAACTTCTTGAAAATCAAGTGCAAAAACAGATTAACATTAACCCTCGCCACGCCCTCTCCACCCGTCCCTTCTGACTTCTTCCTGCCATGGGCCGAGGTTGCGTTTTCTCCGCAGAACAAATTCATGAACTGGTGGTTATCGAACTGCGCCTGCAGCAGCCCGTCCAGCGGTACCTCTGCAAATGCGCCCGGAATCATCATGCTGCCCTGGCTGCCTTGAATCTCGAAGATACCGATGCTGTTCGAGCTGATGGTGATGTCTAGACGGTCCCAGGAGCGCTCTGGGAACCCGTTCCAGCTCACAAGAATACCCTTGTCTGCGAGGTTGCGGGCGGAGTATTTGAAGGAGCCGAAGCGGTACTCGCGGCCGGAGCGTTGAAGTTCACGCATGTGGTTGTATTGTCGGGTGAATGGGAGGAGGAACTTCTTCTTGCCGCGTTTGTTCTGCAGCGTCACCATTGCTTGCTCGATGTAATCGTTGTAGGACTTGAGCTGGGATTCGAGGAAGTGCGCTTTGTCGTCCAGTGAGCCAAGTGTAGACTTGACGCCTTCGAGTTCCTTGGTGCGTTGGATACGCCGACGGTGCTTGGTGCGGATGTCAACGGCAATAGCATTAAGGAGGTCCTGGTAGTGGTTGTGAGGAGAGATGCGGCCGGCGCGCTGTAATTGTAGTATGTTTTCCAAAGCGCAGCGCTTGAGAGAGGGATAGTCTAGATCGTGCACAGTAGTTGATGTCATGTCAGTGGTGTAGGTCGAGGCGGCGGAAGAGCGGAGTTTGCGATTGCGATCTTTCATTTGGGCGGCGATTTCGTCGCGGACAAGGGCGTCCCAGCGGTCTTCGTCGTCGGGCGTGACGGGCTTGCACATGATTTCGGTGAGATTGGCGCCATTTTGAATACGGATAATGTATAGGATGTAGCGCTTCGTCTCCATGAAGAGCGCCTTGATGTCAGCCTCGGGATCTACGATGGTCAGCCAAGGACGAGCAAAAGTGGTGAAGTTGACTTACCCTCCTGTTCGTGAAACTTCGGATTAAGGGTCAATGTGATCTCAGTGGAGCTGACGTGCAACAGCTCGTTCTCGTTGTTCTTGGCGCTACCGAGTTCACGAATGACTTCACGGAGAGGATCATCCTGACTGGGACAAAGGGTGGGTAGATCATCGACAACGAGGTTGTGGATGGCAAAGATATCAGCGAGCTTGATGTAGAGCGTTGGCTTTACGCGAGCAAACAGGTCGTTGAACTCGTCAATCTCGAAATGTGCTTCGGCATCCCGGACATTGATCACTGGTATTGTTAGCTGATGTCGCAGATCCATAGGGGAAGAGAGCTCACAATTAGACCAAACATCCTGCAACCGATCGATAGCTTCCGTAATGTAGCTGTTGAGCGGTTGCAAGTAGATGTTCTCACCACCGAAGAGTCGTCCAGCCGCTACTTGACCCAGTACCTTAGCAACCTCGCCTAGGTTTCTGTTCATTAGAGGTGACAAGCCACGGTCGACAACGCCCCAATGTTGGGGTTGCAGTAGGGCTGGCTGCATGTACGATTTCCATACCCAGTGACCAGCCATCTGAAGCAGCTGCTCTTGTGCTTCGTAAGGGAACTTATGGCGAAGCTCTTCAAACATCTGCTGGGCGAGGTATCGCACTCCGAAAGGCATTCTGTGCAGGACCTCCTCTACGATGGAGAAGAACTGGTCAGCTATGTCGCGTAGATCTTGAAGATGGTGGATGAACATCTCCCGTGTCTCGGGGTCCTTGATCGCTTGGTCTCGCGACACGTTCGGATCGCGACGACTTCGTTGGCCCGTAGACAGCTCTTCGTTGTTGATAGATGAGCGGTAGATCTGCATAGGATCGCTTTCAAGGTCGAGGTGTTCGTTGTCGATGATGTTCTCCTTAATCAACGGGCCAAATAAATCTTTCAAGAATTTGCGATCCCGTGGAGAGCGAACGTAGCTGTTGAAGAGTTTCGTCCAGAAGAAATTACTGCGAACGAATTCTTGTAAGGAAGCGCAGCCGTCCACCTCTTCCTTCAACGATCGGGACAGTAATTTCAGCAGATAGTACTCTTCTCTTCGCTTCTGTGCAAGGCCAAACAGACTCATGGTAAGTTGCTCGATGCGCTTCGTGTCCTTCTCCGCCAGACATTGCTCGCGAAGTCGCTTGAAGAGGCGTGCCATGTATTGCGGCTGTGTTTGCAGCACAAAAAATAACTCTTGGTAGTGCTCCAGCTTCCTGCGGGAATTCTTGTTGAGGGCCTTCAGATCGAAGGGGTCTTTTGAGGATATGTCTTTGCTGCTGAGGAGGGTACCGACATGACCACCAAAGTGTTTTTGGTGTTTGACGACTTCGTCCAGCGTGATCTTGTTCTTTACTAGCAGGGCGATCTTGATGTCAAGTTGATCAATGTACTGCTCGGCAAGCTCGTTTTGTCGCACATGTTGTACCACGGTTTTGCGGAGTCGTTCGAACTCTGCAATGAAATTAGCGATGCCCACGCATAAAGGCTTGAATACATACCAATCTCTTCGTCAAAATCGATGTCGCTGTCGTTCAAAAGATGCACGAAATTCTTGACGGTTGAGATAGGGGGAATTTTGCCACTGGTCAAGCTCTTGTACGCTTCACCCTGCTGGCGTCCGCGCACGAAGCTTTGGATCTTGATCACCTTCTCCATGTTTTCTTTGTAGAACTTCTTCTTCTCCGCGAACTTCTTTCGTACGATCATTCCCCGTGCTAAAGACTGGAGTTCAATGATGGCGTCTTCGTGCTCTTCGACCTGGGCAAGAATGGTGCCAATGTGCATCCGTAGGTTTACTGCGCGAGCGTAGGCTTGCAATTGAATGATGTTGGCCTCCTCATTGTTGAGTGCGCACAAAGTCTCGTAAGTGCGCTGTCGTTGAATGAAACCTCGACATGCCGATTGAAGATCGAGAATAGTTGGGATTTGAGCCTGTAAAACCTTGAGATCAGAGAAGTGCCTCTGCCGTGACAGGAAACCACGCATATGAGATTGAAGAGAAGTAACGATGGGCTCTTGGTCATTGAGCTGGGCAAGGGTGTTTGCCACCTCCACGCGGAGCTGGCCTCCCCTAGCGACAGCCTGTAGATCAATGATCTGAGGCAACTCGGCTTGGAGCTCTTCCTGCTGTTGTGCGAGGAAGCTTCTCAAGGAGTTGCCGCGAGCTTTCGACTGCAGATCGGACCAATTGACATCGGTGCTTACCAGCTTCTCCTGCACTTCCGCATTTTGCTTTCTTGCGAGCGAACCTCTGGCGATGGCTTGCAATTGTGTTATCATTGATTCTTGGTGGCGAAGATTTTCCTGATCTGCGCGCATTGAATGTCGGATGAACATTGCTCTGGAAAGAGCCTGCAAGTCGATGATTTGGCTCTCGTTCTCTTTCAATTCAGCGTAGTCTCGGTCGACCTGGTGCCGAAGCTGTGCACCACGGATCATTGATTGGATTTGCAGAACAACTGGCTCTGCATCGCGTGTCTGCTCATAACGGTCGCACACCCGCATTCGCTGCAGCGCGCCGCGAATGGCGGCTTGGAACTCTCGAATGCCGGTTTCATGTCGTTGTATCTTCGACGTTGTGTATTGAACTTCTGCCCTGGCTTTACGCCCACGAAATATGTTCTGAACTAGAAGCACCTGGGATTGCTTGTCACGCCAGTACTCCTCCTCGCCTCGTAGCCGTGATCGGACAAGGAAACCGCGGGCGTCACTTTGTAGGTTGATCGCGAAGCGACGCATGTCCATTCGGTAGTAGGCAATCTGACGCGCCCAGTCTCCCCGGATACGCGACTGGAGGTCAACAATTAGCTCTTCGTTATCCCAGAGATGCTGCATCATGTTGCCGAGCCGTATCCGCTGTAGTGCTCCTCGACTTTGTGCTTGGAGGTCCAAGATAGTGACTTCGTTCTCCGAGAGCTCGCGGTCAATGCGATCTTCTTCCGACTCTACTGGCTCAGGTTCCGGCTCCGGCTCTGGTTCGACCGCGAACTTCGCTGACATGCCAGAAAAGTTGGGCATGCTAACCCCAGATTTGTCCAGACCCTTCTGCGTAGCTTCGAGCTCGTGGTCCTCGAACTGCAGTTTACCCACCAGGTTACCGATGCGGAAATCCACCATGCCTTTCCGGAATAGTAGCCAAGATAGCGCGTGGATGCAGTGAATGACCTTCGGAATATTCTTCTTTTCGTACAAGTCGACGAGTTCGAATCGGAACAGGTCTGGTAACTCGATATCCGAGAGGAACTTGAAGAAATGGGCGTAGTTGTTTGAATGCCTCCATTGTAGCTTTGGGTCGCGGAATATACGGAGCGCTCGACCTTGTATGGATTCGACGACCTCGGCCAGTGTTACTCCGTCTCTTAGTGCTTCTTCTAGTTCCACAATCGGCGGGATGTCCTTGTGGATGATGTCTTCTATCCACTCCTTGGCCTCTCCTATATGACAGAGGTATTCGTATGCTTGCAAAAATTGCCGTTGCTGGTCCATCCAGTTTCGGCTCGCCCAACTTGAAGCCACCTTTTGGCCGCGCGCAGAGTCGGTTCGCTGCAGCCTTCTGCGTCCATGTAGACCCACCACTTCCTGATCTGGCGACTTGATGGCAAAGTCATCTTTCGAGGCCGTCTCTGCGAATTTCGATAGGGTTCGAAGATGGCCGGTCGATGACTTCTGAAACCGTTGTAGTTCAGGTCGGTCGAGATGAGCGGTATCGAGCGGCCGGGCAGAGTGATCGCGAGTGGGTGCTCGTATCGAGTCAGAGCGCGAGATGGCCATGGAAAGTGGACGAGGTTTGGCGGGGGGAGAGACGGAGCCATCGTACGAGTTGAACCTCGCAGGGTCAACACTCTGCGCGCGGGTATGCGTGCGTGTGGGACTGTTTGTTGGACGAGCAGGCTTTTCGGGTATAGGCGAGCTCTGAGGGCTTTGTGGGACCTGTTGCAGCGGTCGCAGAGCCTTTCGCATGCTGGTGTAGTCGACTGGATTGCTTTCCTTCTCCCCTATAGAGAAGTAATCGGTCTGCGATCGAGTGAGTGCCATACCGTCGCTCTTACCGCGACGATGCCCCAATGTCACCGGCTGAAAGGTCGTCGATTCATTGCTGGAAAGCGTGCTTGACCGGCTGGGGGGGTATCGGTTGGAGTCGCCTGAGTAGGCTGATGAGCCATTGGAGGCTGTGGATGTTTGGCGGAGGGGCGACGGCGATGCGGCCTGGTGGCCGAGGCGAGTGCGCGGAGAGTACGAATAGCTCATGGCAAGCGCATATGGCGGAAGCAGATGTCAAGAATATGGCGGCAAGGCATGCGTCGCACAGCGCTGGAGATGGTATGTGTTGGTCGCAGTCGAGTGACAATGTTGAGGCCGTTCTCGCGGCCTGGTTATTATAAGCCGGATGGAGGCGCCTGCCCACACAACAAGCCGAACGCGCTCGCAAATAATGCGTCTGAAGAGTCGGCGGACCAGACCAGCAGCGGGCGCACGCACTGAAGGACCAAAGAAAGTAACGAGGAATGCGAGAAGGGCAGCTTGAGCTGGGAGCGCTTCGGCGTGGAGGCTGGAATTGGGCGCCGGCAACGAGATTCTTGTTTACTGTGTGCTGGGGTCTGGCGCTGGTTGCCCTTGACAACGCCCACGAGATCTACCGGCCTCCAAAACTCCCCACCCGCCCTCCGTCACACGCCAGCCGGCGCGAAACAAGCCACTGGGTACACAGTGCTGCTCCTCGCCCTGTTCGTCCGACTAAGGTTCCGACCAAGGTTGTCTCGTTCCCTCTTGCTGTGGGCTTGCCAGTACCTTGTTGTGCTTGCCAGGAAGGCCCAGTTCACTCACTTTGCAGCCTCACACGTACCCAGTCCATCCCTATGCGAACACCCGCAGTCATCCGATCACCTGCAGCATCAGCGCTGCAACCACGCATTGCATGTTCGGACGCATATCGCACAGGGCCAATGCCTCTGCGTCTGCCCGCAGTGCCCGCGCGTCGAGGTCTCGTTCTCAGCTGAGTTGCACGCTAAGATAACGCACACGTGATTACCCCTCTTATCTTAGCGCCCTTTCCCGCTCCTCCCACAGAAAAAAAGTGCTGCACAGGCCCGCTTCTTCTCTTTTCTTTCTTCTCTTGGGAAAAGCCCACGCTTTTGCCCGGCCATAGATCCTACAGAACTACGGTCTCTCTCCTTCGGTCTTTCTCGTCCTTGTACTTTCTTGTTCCTGAGAAGTCTCTTTTCAATATCATGACCATCACGAACGGTGACGCCATGGCGAACGGTGCTGCCGATGCTTTGGACTTCACCAAGGCTCTTGAGGTGCTCAAGAATGAGTACCCTGAGCGCGATGGGATTGACGTCAAGACCCTCATTGACTCCAAGAAGAATGGCGGACTTACCTACAACGACTTCCTAATGCTTCCTGGCTACATCGGTATGTCCAGTCTTACCACCTCACAGCACGCTTCATGCTGATGTCGCGCCCAAGGCTTCCCTGCCGCCGAAGTCACCCTCGATACCCCTGTTACGAAGCGCATCACCCTCAAGACACCCTTCGTCTCCTCGCCCATGGATACTGTGACGGAACATAACATGGCCATTCACATTGCTCTCCTGGGTGGCTTGGGCATAATCCACCACAACTGCTCTCAGGAGGACCAGGCCGAAATGGTGCGCAAGGTCAAACGATTCGAGAACGGCTTTATCCTCGATCCTGTCGTCATCTCGCCCAGCACTACTGTGCGCGAGGCCAAGGCGTTGAAGGAGTCCTGGGGTTTCGGTGGTTTCCCAGTCACTGGTATGTCTACTTCCACATTCATCCGCCTGCAAATGATGATTCCATTTTTATTTTAACTTTCGTTCATCCGCAACGGTTCCGCCAACTGTGGAAACTTGATTTACCTGACAGCGCCTCAATAATCCAATTTTCTCAATTGTTATGCGCAACAAACCGCTGACCAATATTCAGAAAACGGAAAGCTCCGGTCCAAGCTCGTCGGTATCATCACTCCTCGTGATGTGCAGTTCCACGACAATCTGGACGACCCGGTCTCCGCCGTCATGTCCACCGACCTCGTAACTGCCGACCTGGGCATAGATTTGCGCCAGGCGAACGACATCCTCAGCAAGTCCAAGAAGGGCAAGCTTCCCATCGTTGACGAGGAAGGCAACCTTATTGCCCTGCTCTCCCGCTCCGATCTCATGAAGAACCTCCACTACCCTCTTGCCTCCAAGCTGCCCCACTCGAAGCAACTTATCGCCGCCGCCGCCATCGGCACCCGACCGGAGGACAAGAACCGTCTGCAGAAACTCGTTGATGCAGGCCTCGACATTGTCGTGCTCGACAGCTCTCAGGGTAACTCCATGTACATGATCGAGATGGTCAAGCACATCAAGGAGAAGTACCCTGGTCTCGATGTGATTGCTGGAAACGTCGTCACTCGTGACCAAGCTGCTGCCCTGATTGCTGCCGGAGCTGACGGTCTCCGCATCGGTATGGGTAGTGGAAGCGCGTGCATCACGCAGGAGGTCATGGCCGTGGGACGCCCTCAAGCTACTTCGGTCTACAACGTCACCCAATTTGCTAAGCGTTTCGGCGTTCCTTGCATTGCTGACGGTGGCATTCAAAATGTCGGCCATATCGTCAAGGGTCTTGCCTTGGGTGCTACGACCGTTATGATGGGTGGTCTCCTTGCTGGTACCACCGAATCACCGGGTCAGTACTACGTTAGCAATGACGGCCAGCTCGTCAAGGCCTACCGTGGTATGGGCAGCATCGACGCAATGGAGGACAAGAAGGCTGGAGCTGGCAGCAAGGACGCGAAGGCCAGCAACGCCGGAACTGCACGCTATTTCTCAGAAGGTGACCGCGTCCTCGTCGCCCAGGGAGTTTCGGGCTCTGTCCGCGACCGTGGTTCTATTACCAAGTTTGTGCCCTACCTCATGGCTGGTGTACAACACTCTCTGCAAGATATTGGTGTGAAGAGCTTGAAGGATCTCCAGGAGGGTGTTGCGAATGGCACCGTGAGATTCGAACTCCGAACCGCGAGCGCGCAGGCTGAGGGTAACGTGCACGGCTTACATAGCTTCGACAAGAAGCTCTACTCATAGACCTGCACAAGAAGAAGAAGCATGCATTTGGAGGGGCGTTTGATGGCTTATTTTAGATAACATACGGAGATGACTGATGGCTTATGTTGGGTTCGGTACAAAAGCAATGATACCATGAATGTTCTTTTCTCTCTCATCATAACTGTCTCTTGGAAGCTTCTGCGTCGGTAAGGCATGGTGCATGTCGAAATTTCCCAGTTCGTTGTGATCTCTGAGGCATGGTGTGGAGGATGGGTGATCTCATCCCAACATCCGACATCCGACTCCGAGTCAACCTCGGCACCTTCCCCAAGTTCCCCGCCAGATTCTAGCTCCAACAGTCCAAACATGATGGCGCCTGCCGCACCGCGCATTGCAGGTCGCTATGCGCGTACTCCATATCTTCTCTCGCCCATCGTCCAGACGGTTGATATCCATAGTCGAAACATCCTCCAGTCTCCAATTGGGATCTACATTTGCCCACAGACCTCCCTGGCTAGAGCTACACATACCAATACATGTAGCTGGACGACGCCTCCGAAAACCACTTGCAATACTTCCACTCACCCAGAAGAGGACTATGTCTAGTCCAGCGGACCATAGGCCGCTAAAGAAGGTGCCAAAGACGCCGCCCGTGCCGATTCCTAGTGCTTCAGTGCTGGTCATATCACCAACGAATCAGGTGCTGCTGTTGCATCGGGTGAGGACTGCGAGTGCGTTCAGCAGTGGTACGTACAACATTCGGTAGGATGCATACTCCATTCTAGATATAGATTTCAGCATACGATCTCACATCTGCCTTTCTCTCTTCCATCCAGTCGAAGCACACTGACATGATGACCATCACATAGCGCATGTCTTCCCCTGGCGGCGCTTTATCACCTGAGCACGATGGCCCAATGCCCAGCATTACAGACAAAAATCCAGATCAGCCCGCCTATAGATTAGCAGCTATCCGGGAGACATTCGAAGAAAGCGGGATCCTCTTGGCTAAGAAAGGCGGCAAACTCTTCACTGATATCAGCGATGCCGAAAGAGAAGAAGGAAGGAAATCTGTACACGCAGGCAGAATCCTCTTCCCAGACCTCCTAGCAAAATGGGGCTGCGAAGCAGATGTACAATCTCTAGTCCCTTTCACACGCTGGATCACGCCGCCGAACGTCAAAAAGCGCTTCTCCACGCAAATGTACCTCTACTTCCTCCCCTTGGGATCCTCATCACCTGGCAACCCGGTATCGAAATCACGCACTGAAACATCTGATATTAATGAGGTCGAAGAAGCCGACATCGTCATTCCGCATCCCATGCATGACGGCGGCATCGAGCACACCGCCGCGCGCTTCCTCCCGCCCAACAAATGGATTGATCTCGCGAACCAAAACCGCATCATCCTCTTCCCGCCACAGTACTTTCTGACTTGGCACCTATCCCCCTTCCTCGCGCCGACCGTCACTTCCCCTTCCTCCCCCATCCCACCAACAGACGAACTCCAGCGCGAACGAGATCGCCTGGTGCAGTGGTTAAGCTCCGAGGACGCCGCCTTCGGCAAGGCGATTATCAGCCCGGTGGTATTGGGTAAGGGCGACTATGGCGAGGATAAACAGGATGGCGTGGGGGGCTTGGATAGGGATACGGCGGTGCTGAGGCTGGATTTCGCGGGGCCGGAGCTCGACAAGGAGGGCGTGAAGGGGACGATGAGGAAGTGGGTCGTTACAACGAAGTTCAAGAAGGAGGGGCCGAGGGATGTGAGGGTTGTAGAGAGAGAGAAGATCCTAGGTAGAGAGAAGGGGAGGCTTTAGGGGTGGGGGGTGGCGTGCAAAGAAGCGCGTACAAAGTGTGATAGTCGAGACGTAGAGTAAGATTAAGAACACGATCAAATCCTGTACTTGGGAAATGAAATGCTCCTAACGCTGCAGGATCCTGTCCTCTGAAGGATTGTAGGCCAACGGATGCGAGATTTATCAGTGTCCCAAGCTCTCGAGCTAACGGATTGAATCGAAGTATTGGGTGACTGTAAGCAGTCGATAGACCCATGTTGTGGTGTTTGATAGTGCAAACTCTTTTATATCATCGATGCTCCGACGCTACTTGCTGCTAACATGTATATGGAACCCGGTCGTATTGTGCTTTTGCCGAGGGCCAACGCGCAAGGATTTGTCCGTCAAACATGGCTCACCATGATCTTCGTTGGAGATTTTGTCTCGTTCCTTACGCAAGGGGTTCGCGCAGTAACGTTGTCCAACGCTGAAGAAATCTCCTCGGGTCAAAACATCATCCTCGTGGGCCTCTTCATAAAGATCGTATTTTCCGGTCGTGGAAGAGGCACTTGCACTCACTGTACGTGGTGATGATCATTATTCGCTCCCTTGCGCGGGCGCTTGAATTGGTTCAATGATTTGACAGGTATATTGGTACGCATGAGCTGTTCCTGTCTGTTCTCTTGCCATGGTCATTCTGGACTGGATCCATCCCGGTGGAGTGACGAGGTACAATCGTCAGGATCAGGTCGAGAAAGCGAAGAGCGACTCGGAGATTGGATGTGAAAGTGTACCAATGATACACCCAACCCATTGGGCAGCAGTAGGGATATTGTTCAGCGTTCAAACAGACTGACAGCTCGTCAATACCATTCATTTGGGTATAATCTCAGCCCCCCGCGGTGGTCAGCGTTTTGGACCCCTTCATACTATTTTTCTTGCATATTCAAGAAGACTGAGCTTGAGACCCGTGATATGAGATGCTCTATTTTCTTACTCAAAGGGTATTTTTCTATAGAACTGACAAGAAATGGAAAGCGTTCTCCATGCAGCGCACTCAGCATTATATAATGCAGAACGATTCGCCCTTTAGACTTGTATATAAGGAAAGTAGTGTTGCTCATCTTCTGTGCCCTTAATTCACGTGTGCGGGTTTCGGCCTCTGCGTCGGGTCATCTTCTAGTGGGTCTAGATTCATATCCTCATGATAGAATATTTCGCTGAATGTTCCATTTCCAAAACTTGAGGGTTCAGAGTCAGGTGATGAAGGCACTATCGTGTGCACCTGGCTGGGATACCTATGCTCGAGAGTCCCCCTACCTGGCTCGGCCTCAGTGGGGTGATTGTTTCCGACCAATGCACCACCTCCGAAGCTGATGGCTTCTGAACGCCGCTGCGCGTCAGCTGCTACCTCCTCCCATGTTCGAACGAGGTCGCCGGCGTAATCTATACGGGTAGAGTTCGTATCCTGCGCAAAGCTCCCGAGGTGACTGATCTTGTAAGCGCGCAGTCGATCCATTGCGGTCTTGAAGTCGTCCAGTACAACACAGTCCATGAGGCATTTGAACACGGACGAGACCTTCCAGAATGGGTTGATGCCGCTCGGAAGTCCAAGATCGAGTGTGTTCGTCGCGGAGATGATGTCGAGGATAAAGAAAATAACGCTCAGAATCGCAGCGAGCATCATGATTCCGAATCGTGGAGAAATGACAACAATCTCTTTCAGCCTCATGTCGTACTGCATCTTGATCTTCCAGAAGAGGACTGAGCTTGAGATTATCCACCAAGGATCTCGACATAGCGCTTCCCAGGGTCTTGTTTTGAGGAAAAGGTCATTCCATCCGTGAAAATAGGCGAAATTTGCGTATATCTCCATGATCCAGAAGGGTTGGGCAAGGATAAGCGTCCAAATGAAGGCCTGACTGGTCCGATGCGGGAGGAATGGTGCAACCTTCATCCAGGCTATGACGTTATGAATCGACCATGATGCGTCCAGAAGCATTCCACCAACAGAGAGCCACCAGGAGTAGATGGGATAGGGTGGAAAGAGCCAGAAGCCACGCCAGAGGGCCAAGAAGAGCTAATTTATACATTAGTCAGACGTGCTAGATAGCGTGTGAACTAGATGCGATACCTCAAGAAGAACAAGCTTGCAGTTGATCAGCATCCCATGATTTAAATTGTCTCGGTCTGCTCACCTTGTGCAGCAGAACCCCTCTGCGCATGTTGGCGATTGTAACACAACTCATGATGAAGAGAGCTCCATCTAGATAACCAGAAGACCAAGATTCGAGAATAAGACTATCGGGGGTTGAAGGCTTTTGAACAACCCCGCGGCTCTCAAACGCGCCGTCGGCAAATCTTGTTGCCAATTGAGAAGGGATCATGGAGGTGCGGGCAGCTAAGAAACCCTAAAGCAGAGAAATTTTGACGATGTCGGTCTTTCTCAAGAAGTGCGCGTCGCCGTTCTCACTACGCAACTGTTCGTTGGGAGAAGATGTAGTTACGATGAGGGAAATGTAAGACAACGGGAAACGCATTTGGCCGACACCACCGCATCCAGCCACGACACAAGGCGAAATACTTCAGTCGGTATATCCGGTGCGGATTTGAATCCGGCGTAGTACATTAGGCGGAACGGCCCTCGCGTGGTACATGTCTTGTCCTTAAGGCTTGACGAGCCTAGACGCGACCAGTCTGTCTATGACTGATGGTGATGAGCTTTCGCTGATTACTCATTAGCTTCTGCTATCAGACTGAAACATGAGATCTCATCCACTTAAATTGAGCTTTGCTACCAGCAATTGGTGTAAATAAGCGAGCGAGAATGAGGAATCAACGTATATGAAATCGAAATTCACATATATGTGACATTGGTTGAAGGCCATTGTCTCGTAGAATAGTTTCAGCCTTGGGCAGTCTTAGAGCGTGTCGAAGAAGGTCCTGCAGACCGATCAGAATCGTACTGGTCTCGTCTGCATCGTGCCATGCATCATCGCAAGCGATACTTAGTCTCAGTCTGCCCTTCCAGCTTCCTAGAGAAATCCAAGACCAGTGTCCAGCTGCTCGTGCGTGACCCACGAGTCCTCAGTTTCAAATACTCCATGCTGTGCTTCGAGGATCCTACCGAGTACTCTGCTACTGAATAGCACAAGAACGGAAGCATCATCATCATCGTCGCGTATCATGTGGTGATACATCCTGACATGCTCAACAATATCCTGAAACTCTTTCTGACAGGAAATATCAGTGCGGGACCATTGACACTCTGACGATGGAAGAGTAATGTCCATGGCGAGGTGCTCCCAGGAACCGAGTGATCCACCGCGGCAGCATGTTTTGGCGTTCTAGATGCACTGTAGCATCTTGATGGCTCGTTCAGAAGGCGGTAGCCAATCATGTGCCAATGTATCGGACTGTGCGTGGCTCGCGCCCACGACTTATGAGACTCCGGAGGAAGAGCGCTGTAGCTGCATGGTAAACGTGTATTACTGTTGCACCTAAACCTTTCGCGGCTTGAATGACTGAGCAGTAACAGGTCTTGAGAGCTCAATAGTTGTTCTCTAGTGCTTGCCTAGGACAACCGCACCGATTGTGAACGGAATCTTGAGCAGCTCGGCATTGATTGTGCGTCTTGCATCTTCCCAACGACATCTTTCACTCTGTTGGACTGTTTACCGGTAAGAAACGGCGAAATTGAGGCAGGTATGCGAAGTGGTAGGCTCAGATAAACTCTCTTGCCCGGTAATGCCATTGAAGACCAAGATTTTGGTTGCTGGTAAGCTTGTGCAGCATGTGTCAGCAGATTACCCAACAGCTGAGTCCCAATTACGTTCACTATGTCATGCGGTGATCGGCCTCTCTGGAGGACTTCGTTTGCTTGTCCATTGTTCAGTATGGGAGTGATGCCACGGAGCTGGTGGATCGTTGTTACACAATTCCAGTCCAGCTATGTTCGGCTCAACAGGGATAAAAGTCTACACGAGCCATTTTTTCCGCCCGTTTATTATATTGTCTGTGTCTCATTCACACATGACCTTTCCTATATACACTCTCTCTCAACACCTCAATGTCCCAGCCCAAAACAGTTAGCGTAATACGTAACCGTCGCCGGCCAATCCGAAAACATGCCCCTGATTCCCACCTGCTGCACCAATACATCAAGAACAGTGTACATATCGCCATCATTGTTCACCACCTCCTTCACATACTGGAAATAATAATCACCACCCTGGTTCAGCCATCCCGACCGCTCAAACGACCACGTGATGATGTCCATGCCGGCTTTCTTGACCGCGATGGCGTACTCGCTGGGCACGATCTTCTTGGTGGTAGGATCGACCTTGGTGAGCGCGAAGAACGCGGGAGCCATGATCCGGACGCCCTTTTTCGCGAGCTCGGGGATGGAGGCTGTGGCGTTGGCGTAGCCTTCGGGTGTGTCGACACGCTCGTCGAGATAGACGGCTTGTTTCCCGAACTTGGGCTCGTGCTTAATCCAGTAGAAGATGTCATCAGGCAGGAAGGACTGGGCGTAGACGCGGCTAGCATCGATCTTGTGCGCTTTGAACGCGTCGATGAGGTCCTGTGCGTATTGCTCCTGGGTGTACCCGTTGAACGGCATGGGAACTTCGGGAGTTTTCAGTTCGGGCGTGAACTTGAGGCCATACGAGTCGACGATCTTGATGTACTCGTTGAGCGTCATGAGCGTGCCGCAGGTTGCATATAGATCGGTGCGGAAGTACGGCGTGCCGTCCATGTACTCTTCGACCGTGGTGGCATTGGCGTTGGATCCGTCCATCTTGGCACAGAGCGTCTTGAACTCGGCCTGGGTGATATCTGAGGTGCAGCACTTGGCCTGCGCAGGCTGCCCATTGGCGGCTGGCTGGAAGGGCGTGGTACACTTCGCGCCGAGAGTCGTGTTAAGAATGTTGGTTGTAGTGTGTAGGTCACACTGTGCGTGACGACACACGAGCTTCTTGTCCTTCGTGAAAGCAACATCACATTCGAGGATGCCGGCGCCCTGCCTCCTAGCCGCCACGAGGCCTTCCGTTGTGTGCTCCGGGAATTGAAGTGCGGCGCCGCGGTGGGAAACCACGAAGTCGGAGGTCTTGAACGGGCCTTCGGAACAAGATTGGAGCTTCTTCTTCAAGGGACCATCGTCCATGTTATTGATGAGATAGTACGGGCGGTCGCCGATCTGGACGTTGAGCTTGTTGTTGCCATGGCCGGTGTTGTAGCCCTTGGAGGGAGCCGCGACGGCAGAAGTTGCCAGCAGCGCAAGGGCGATGACGCAGCGCATCTTGGACGATTCACAAAGCTCGTGTGCTCTCACAATGACGGGGAACCAAACGAATGCGTTCCTGCAGCGCGCATTGCATCTTCCGGGGCCATCGCTCTGCTTATCTGCGTGATTCAGGCCTGGGCTATGCGGTAGCTCTACCAGCCCAGCGGAGCTCAAGACCAGGGAAGCTCCAAAGCTTCTGCACGTGGGACAATCCTTCTCTTCTTGGGCTCTTGGTCGCATGCACATTTGCAGGCGGAGGTGATGAGGTACGAACTCCGAACCGAGATACAGCTAGATTGCCCAGGCTGCCAAGTAGCACGTGGGCTTGCACCGGCTGATGGACGGCTGTAAGATCCTGGAACAGTGGTAAGTGGCGTGCATGTTGCGCGGTTGTACTGGATTACAGCTCAGGTACTGCGAGAACGGGTTCGCGGGATATAAACACCTCAAGATCGTGACGGTTATCCTGTTCGGGCGATTAGCTTACATCTCTGTCTAGGCTTGGCGTAGTTCCATCGTAGGTCTGCAGCACAATGCTGGGGTCCAGGAATCATAATGTAGTGTAGGTGCATACCCCCAGAGATAGCAAAGTTTGCCGCTCAAAAACGATGTTCTGTCAATTATGCATACCTGCTCCTTTCATTACGACCCTAACGGCACCCAGAGCAACTATGTGTATCCATCCAACTACCCTCCAAAACTCCCCAGCTAAACGACGTGCAAGGTCTTGCTATAATCTGCACAGCCGCTGAGAGCCACGAATCGCGAAGGAAGCTGGTATTGCGCCGACATGCATCAACAAAGCGAGACATTTGATTCACGAGTGCGCATCGTGGAATTGCTCTTCCTCCTCGGTCTCCGTATCCATTCTCTTCAATGCAGGCCCTTGTCCGGGCTCCTCCTGCACGAAGTTTAACAACTTGCTGGGCGGTAGATCTTCTGCAAACTCATCCTGGGGCTTCTTCTCAGGAATGAAGTTTTCAGGCTGAGACTTCGGTTTGTCGAGTGGAAGTTGCGGAGGGTTGTTGGGGTTGTTCGCATTCACGTCTATATCCTTGTTAGGAGTCGGGTCGCTAAGATCAATGAGGTCGCCGAAAGTTTGCTGCTTTTGTTGGAGGTCGGGATCTGATTTACTGACTTCTGGATTTGTGTTGCTTTGAATTGGGTGGCTCTGCTGGATGGCGTGGTTGCCTGCTGCAGCTGGGTCATTGGTGTTGGTCCGGGACAAAGCAGGGATACTAAATTTACGGTGTGGTGCTTGGCCGGGGAGGATAGCTGCAATCTCGAGCACCTGTTTTATCTGCTCTTGAGGCGTCTTGCCGTCGCTACATTACGGTCAGTGGGACCCTCAATAACGGAGAACGGCGATACTGACACTTTCGCATTGATGATCCAATCGAGATCCTCCTCACCCTCTTCGCTTCCACCATGGCCACCTTGTACCCGGCGGAACAATTGCGGATGCCAATCCACTCCCTCGTTCATCCGCTTGGCCGCCTCTTCTCTTTGCCGATCTTCAATGCGTGCCTTCTCGTTGGTCGCTGTGTCTTGGTCTTTCCGTTTCACGGCTTCAGTCACTTCGTGCCACAGCTTTTGCGATTCTCGTTCGTCTTGTTCCTCCAGTGGTCGAGCCTTCGGGTACGAGGGTTTGGCATGGGATGCGTCGAAGAGAAGCTCCTTCTTACCAGTCTACAGGGGGGAGTTAGCTCAATAATGCGGAACCACAGTTCTGCAGCTGTAAACAGCGACATATTGAAAACCTACCGTCAAGTCCTTGATCCACATCTCCTCGTTCCACAAGCCCGAAAGCTCAAATAGTTGCTTGTCATTCTTGTCCTTGATGAAGCCACCAATCGCATTATATGTGCCACCAAAGTATCCCTTAGTCTTGAACTCAATGTCGGCCACCATGCCAGTCTCCGGACACCGGATGTAGCTGTGGTCGCCGAGCTCGTACTTCATCTTGCCAAAGAGGATGCCGCGCGCATACATGTTAGGTTGCGTAACGAAGCTGCATGATGATTAGCCGAGTCACGATTGGTTTCACCACCCGACTTACAATCTTTCCCCAGTGTTCAGAAATCGCATCACTGCTATGCCCTCCATCATGCTCGCTGCTGAATTGCCCAAGAACTTGCTCCTTGGCTTCAACGTGCCGTCTATCCGTATGTGATGTTCCGGCGCCATGAAGAAGTAGCTCGACTTGGGTGGATGGTGCGACGTTTGCTCGGAGATGTAATAACCTTTTGTACCATCGGGGTAGTCCCAGTATCCGGTGAATATCTCACCCAGAATCGGGTTCAGCGGCTTCTTAACGCCTCTGCCATGACATCAGCTGGTGCTTATGGGTAGAAGTGGCACGCATACGGAGGTTTGATGTGCCAGCCGCTCAAGTAAAACTTGGTCACGGCGACGAATCGATCGATGGGGTCTTCGATCTCCGTCATGGGTAGGAGTGTCTCGGGGTGGGCCATGAAGCTATATGGTCTGTCAGCACTCGAGCCTCGTAGGACTTAGATCGTTAAGGCGCACTTTGTAATCCTTTCGAGCATAGACCGTGGTTCCAATATGAAGGTGGGTAGCGTTACTCGACTCAAGTCTGCGCCTGGCCGCAGTTGCGATATGATGTGAGTGAGCACTGCAAATTACCCCGGTCAGAAAGATTCCCCCCATGGGCTCGACGGAGTGCGCTGCAGACGTACTGTTGCCCTGGTCTGCGTCCACCACTGTCTCGTCCTCCTTGGTGACTTCATCGCCTCTAGTTTCGTCCGTCGACGAGCGGTTGCCTGTAACATATTGTTAGCCTGTCCGATCAATGGTCCATCGCTGCAAGCAATGCCAAAACAGAGGCAGCAAACTGTGCGAAGACTCACTTGTCAGCGAGTGCCGCCTGTGTCCGTGGCCTAGAACCATGCTGGGTATCTGCTCAACGAAACCGCTGCATATGATGTTTAAGAGTTGTGAAAGAGCAACCAGGAAATCCTGCAATCCCGGGCTGAGGCAACACTAGGCTGCTTCGTTGTTGGTGGTGAAGTGTGGCTCTGCACAGCCAACGAATGCGACCCTGTAAGTGAGCGATGACGGAACGCGTGGGCGCGGGGAAAATTTTGGCCCGGGCTCCTCGGTCGTGCCTAGATGCCCCGCCTCGTCAGTCACGCCGTGGTGTTTATTTGGTATATTGACAATACGAAAGATGCCTTAACACCTGCCGTGTGGGTGTCGAGTCTCTGGAGATATAGAGTGCGGCGGTGAATGCACCCACTCACGTCACTTTGTGAACGATGGAGCGCAGCTGACCCGCCGCAGACTCGGCATCGTCGGAATAGCGAAGCTCCATCGGAAGAGAGAGAGAGCGCCCGTTCAAGAAACATGAAACACACGAAAGTGCATGATCGTGATTTGGTGCCTGGACTAGTCTATGTCCATACACGTGAGTGCTCAGCCATCCACGGAGACCAAGTGCGCAAAGGAAATGTCCATCGGGTATCTTCCTTATCCGAGCTCCGTTTCTACCAAGAAACCCGCCTGGCCCCAATTCTATAAGTGAAATGATGGAAATAGTGACAAGAAAGGTGAGAAGCCAGAATTGGCTATTTCACCAGCTTGAGCGACTCGTCATCCTTTCCTATGACAGCGACGCCTGCCTCCTCGTAGTCTCTATGTACCTCATCCATGGCGGATGGGTCAACTGCCCTGGTCGCTTCTTCGATGACGCGCGTCTTGAAGCCTTCCTTCGCTGCATCCAGTGCTGTGTATCGCACACAATAGTCCGCTGCGAGTCCTGCTACGAACACATCCGTAACGCCTTCCTCGTGTAGCAAATCAGCAAGCCCGCTCTTGTCCACGCAAGGGTTCTTGAAAGGGTCTGCGAATGCAGAGTACATCTCCACACGCTTGTCCTGCCCCTTCTCTACAATCTTGTGCACCTTCTCGACATTTAACTCAGGAAGCAGTTCAGAGCCCTTGGTGCCCTGCACGCAGTGGTCCGGCCATAGACGCGTCTCTTGCGTCTCAGAAAGGTTGAGAGGATTTCGAATGGTGATGAAGGACTCAAAGGGCTTGTTGTTGGGCGCTTCGTGGTTGGAGGCGAAGGAGATATGGTCATGCGGGTGGAAGTCCTTGGTGGCTACCTTGATGGCGAAGGGGCGGTCGAGGAGGTCGTTAAGTAAAGGGACAATGTCGCGTCCTCCCTGAACAGCAAGCGAACCGTTCTTCACAGTATTCTATCAGCGAGGGTTGGCGATTGCATGCATTCGACTCACGGGCGGACAGAAATCCTCTTGCACGTCGACAATGACGAGCGCGGGCTTGAATGATGCCATTGCTGCAGGCAGGTGCGTAGGTGCAGTGCTGGAGATACGAAAGGTGCAGGTGACGACGACTACGATACAACGTCCTGGTTACTATATAGGCGGCAGCATGTAGCGCCCGGCACGTTTGGATTGCTCCGCCAGCTTGCTGTGCCTGGTGGACCTCACATAGCGACGGCGACGGCGAGTCCCGAACCATGGGCGCAGCAAGCAATGGCGTAACTTAGCGCACAATCGGCTGACTCATCTGAGCTCCTCGCCAAGCTCGCATGGCACGATCGCTGGTTGGACCTCAGCGCCAACTTTGCAGCTTCACACCACCACGTCCCTCTCCGCTCCACACCCAATTGCGCCCGCCATGTTCGTCCAGCGCTCTGCCTTTGCCGTCGCCCGGCGAGCTGCCCCCCGCGCCCTCGCCCGCCGCACTTTTACCACCAGCTTCGTCCGTCGTAAGTCGCGCAGGGAGCTCGATCATACGATGCATTTCTGACGTCCATTGCAGGCGATGCCAACGAGAAGGCCACCGCGGACAAGGAGGCAGGCCACTCCGCGAACGCTCCCAGCGTTGTAGAGGGCTTCAAGAAGCTCGACCGTACGTGGTGCCCACCGGCTGCCCGACCCTCGCGCTACCGAGCTGCGACCCGGGACACCGCGATATTCTGGAGGAAACGACAATTGCTAACAAATATCATTTTATAGAGATCAAATCCGAGGCCGACCTCCTCCCCCCGGGTGCGAAGCCCGGAACCGTCCCTACCGATCTCGAGCAAGCCACCGGTCTGGAGCGTCTCGAAATTCTCGGAAAGATGCAGGGCATCGACATCTTCGACATGCGGCCATTGGATGCTAGCCGTGTCGGTACGTCATCAGGAAACCCTTGGGAAGGATGGGGTGATATTATGGGCGTCATAGCTGATGGACTACAGGCACCCTGGAGGACCCCATCGTTGTCAACTCCGCCGGCAACGAGCAGTACGTCGGCTGCACTGGCCACCCCGCCGACTCGCATGGCGTTCTCTGGATCACTGTATGACCTCAATGTGCGAAAGACCTACCAGCAAGCGATGCTAACATATCGTAGCTGACCCGCGACGAGCCCGTCAGCCGCTGCATGGAGTGCGGCTCGGCCTACAAGATGCACTACGTCGGCCCTGCTGAGGACGCACACTCGGACCACCACGGAGAACACCACGAGAACCCCTACCCCAGGCCCAAGAACATGTCGGATTTCATCAAGGTCGATTACCTGAACGCATAAGCTGGGTCTGATCATGTGATAGAATTGGTGGTGTATCTATACAATTATGGAGATGTTTCCCGTTACCTCCTGCAACCTTGTAGCATAGTCAAACTGGAGGCTTTCCTTTGTTCTGACACTTGCACGGGTTGATACGTGATGCTATTTCGGGCTAATCTTATCTCTATCTTCATCTTGGCTATGCATTTCGTAACCTTGTCCGCTCCCGGTACAAAGCACACCCGGATATATTTCATTCATGACCCCTTCAATGCCATGGTGCCCAAGATCACGCTTTCCATGTCCTTCCGCTCATCCCTTGCATTCCCATTCACAGCAGGACCCTTCTTCCTTTTCCCACCATCATTGAGCTTATATATCTTCTTGATCTTGGCCACATCCGCAAAAATGCCCACCTCCTCGCCCTCCTCGCCAATAGCAACAGCCTCTCCCTCCACAGCTTCACCCAGGTGCTTCCCTACGCTCTCATTGCTAATTTCCGGGTCCAGCGCAAACTTCACAGCCACAACTTCCGTACTCTCATCCCCAATCCCGAACTTGCGATATGCCTCGCCAATATTGTTATTCGGGTGCAGCCTGAAGACGAGTTCCGAGTGCGGGGTTCGAGTCTTGGTCCTCCCCGTCAGGTGCGCGTGGAGGGCGAGTTGAGCGGCCAGAAGTAGTTGGTGGTAGGAGAGAAGGGTGCTGGCGTCTAGGAAGGCATAGTCGTAGGCGGGGTTGGAAGAGAGGAGCTCGTGCCGGAGGTGGGAGGCGTTGCGGACGTCGCGGAAGAGAGCGATGTGGATGGGTTGGGCGGGGTAGTGGGGAGGGTGAGGGTGTGTATGGGGATTGGTACTGGGTTGGGGGTTGAGGCGGCCATGTCGTCTTGCGGTGGTGGTGGCGAGGATGCCATGGCGTCTTGTGAGAGAAAGAAGGTGTAGGCTCTTGCGAAAGGAGCCCAAAAGGCTTCGCCTTGAGATCGTGTGACCTCCAGGGTGTTGGTGGCTTCTGGATTGTCTCGGGAGGCAAGTGCGATCCAAGCGTGCTTTCTCGGAGAGAGTGGGTATGTTACCCTCTTTGCAAGACCCTTTTAGTAGGTCTTCTTGAAAGATGCTCTTTGAGTTCGCAGCAGATTTCCTCGAAGTATTCTTGATAGCACGCTTCGCTTTGGGCCTTGTTGATTTTAGGGGAGGCAAGTGCGGGTCAAACGTGCTGTCTGTGGTCCATAAGCAGAACAGCCGTGCGCTATCGAATCGAACAGTATCTCCTGCTCCAAAGATGTGCTGTTCTTGACTCTATCTCGTCGATAGGACCAATCCCAACGACCGAAGCGGCTGACGTAACACTGTGGAGGCTTCTCTTGCAGACCAAATTTCCACGCGATGTGATCGTTTCGTCGTGCAACAAGTCTCACCGAAAAGACTTCTCCAGCCCCAATTTGACGGAGACGATGCAGTAGCTTCCGTCACAGAGAGATGGCCGGGTGCAGATGGTCGCCGAAACCTCAGCTACGGGTTCTTCTGAGAGTCGAGCCTTTCGCTCAGCGCCGGATGCGGAAAAGTGGGCGCTCAAAGAGGAAGCGACTGGCGTGGGCGCTTGGGGCAGCAGTTCGCGGCGCGCTGCGATGATGGGTGAGATGTTGGACGGCGAATGAGGACGCTTTGTGTTGTGGCCGTCGAGGTGCTGCGCGGCGGCGAGACAGACAGGCGCCGCCATGACGGAAGTGGGTTGACATGCTGAGTCCAACCCAGGCGGCAGGGTCGAGCATCCACGGAGTTTCTGGGCCCTGAAGCGCGTGGTGCATGTGCACACCCAGACTTCCAAGGCCTCCTTGCCTCTCACTTGCCGCCCGCCCACACCGTTCACTCTGTACGCGTTTGCACGGTGTGCATTGTAGTACTGCTTATCGCCATGAGCATTCAGTGAGCGGCCCAGACCTTGGCCCGGCAGCTTGCAGGTGCTGCGTCCAACGGCAGCGCAAGCTTCACGGCATTTGCCGCCTTCTCACCAAACATGGCCCACGCCTCTAGTCACAAGAGGATGCCGGAAACATCGCCCGACGTCGCCCTTTCCCACAACGCAAAGATCCCCAAAATCGAGCCCGGGCTCGCGCAGAGCCCGCAGCCCTACCAGCGCCCGTCGCCGAACAACGACTTCTCCGGCTCAGTGAAGAAGCGCCTCGCTACTTCGTCGCGCACCGGCCAGGCGTGCGACCGCTGCAAGGTATGCCACAACGGTGAGCTGACTCGGCAAGGCCGCGTCGCTGCTTCCTACGGGACTTACCGTTCGGAAGCTGCGATCGCGCAGCGCCTTTACCCAGGTGGTTGTGTATATATTATCGTGTTGCATGTCGCTGACCTCGCCAGATTCGCAAGATACGATGCGACCCGGTACGTCACCCTTATTGCATACACCCACTCCCGCAGCGCCAGGCTGACCCAAACTCTAGAGACCCGAAGGCTGCTCGCCATGCGCACAGAATCGCTCACCATGCAAGACCACCGACCGCATCACCGGCCGCGCGACGACGAGAGGCCAGGTAGAGGCCCTGGAGTCGGAGAACAGCTACCTGCGTTCCCAGCTGGTGGACCTGCAAGCGCAGTTGAAGGAGATGGGCGTTGAGCCGCGTACCGCACCAACCTATAACCATCTATCACAGTGCAACGCACCATATGCGCCACCGGTCGCCGCCAGCGAGTGGGGAGAATCGACAAATCGCCGCACCAGCACCCACGCCAGCACCTCCCCTGCGGCAGGCTATACACCGGCCAATTCCACGCTGGAGAACAATCGGCCTCTTCCACAGTACAAGCATCAATCTTTTGGCGACAACTATCTGGGCGTGTCATCCGCCGACTCCTTGCTGAGTAACATTAGTGGGACTTCGCTGTCAGTCTTCGGCCATGAGATCGACATCACCGACTTCGTGGACGACAAGGACTATGACACCTCGTACATGTCATATACCTACGTGATGCGCGTGGCTTTGAGTCACACACAACCTGATCCTGTTCCGCTACCACCGTACCAGACCCTCAAGGAGTATTGCAGCTGGTGGTTTCGCTCAATGCATCCGTACATCATGCTTCTGGACAAGCCGACCATGATGAAGTTGATATGGCGCATCGGGAATGAACCTGGATTCTCGCCCTCAGTCTCTGAGACAGTCTGTGTGCATATGGTAATTGCTTCCTTGAACTACCAAATATCGGTTCGAAACCGCCAGGCGGATATGATGGAAGAGTCGCATCGACATTACCGGTATGCATTGAGCTTCTTCAAGGATTTGTGGCTGTCACACACTTGGCATGATGTGCAAGCCTTGACATTGATTGTGCACCATCTTCGGAACTTCCCCAAGCCAGGCGCCGCCTGGATAATGGCTTCCACCACCTTTCAATTGGCTATAGAGCTTGGTTACCATCGTTCGTCCAAGGCTTGGGCGAACAATGGCCATATGGACCCACTGGAAGTTGAAGTGAGGAAGCGTACTTTCTGGACACTACATGCTCTCACGACAAACATGAGTGGGAAGCTGGGTCGACCCATGCCAATAAACATGGATGATATCGATGTCGAATTTCCTGAACCGATGAACGACTGCCTACCAGGCGAAGAAGTCGGTTTGGATGAGTTCCACAAATGCTCGTTCCAGGTCGGGATACATGTTGCTAAGTTCACTGTGCCTTTATCGCATTTGTACCGTAGTCTCTACTCCATCAACGCCACTCCAGGTGCTTACGAAGAGACTTTGCAGCGTCTGGAAGCTGGTATCAAGCAGTGGAAAGAAGGATTGCCACCGCAATTGCGAGATCCCGCAACTGCCTCGCAGGAAGACTACATCTTTGCCGTATACCTGGATTACTGGTACCATGAGTATCACCTGCAGATGTATCACCCCGCCATGTGTCGCTCCGACGACCCAAACGCCAACAGCGCCAGCTTAGAGAAATGCCTAGTCGCCTCCAAAAAACTCTTACGATGCGTCACAGAGATGCGCAAACTGCGAAGTCTGGACAATATATGGATAAATATCGTCACGTACATCGGTGCTATCTTCACCACTTTATTTGGCCACCATCAGAAGCTGGACCAGCTTTCCTCAGCCGACATGGACACCCTTAAGAGTGACATGGACGAGTGGATTGAGCTGATCAGTGAGTCAGGCCAGCTGCTAGGTAAGTACTATGGATGAAAATTGAATGGCAGAACTAATACAAAGGCAGGTTTCGGCGATAAGTTGAAAGACACCATCTCTCAGATCATTGAACGCTCGTTGAGTAACATCAACGCAAGTATCGCCAAAAGAACAGCAAGTCAGTCGCTTGCTCAAGTGGCTCTACAAGCACCGCCCGAGCAATCCTCGGCACCAATAACTTACACAAACGGCAACCATCAGCCTTCTTATTCAAGTGCTGCCAGCACGGCGGATTCCGCTACCATATCCGGCTCACCACAGTCTCAGGCCTACACCATTCCTCCTGGGAGTGCTGGGTATACATACAACAACGGACCGCCGGCTTCCGTGCCGCAGCCAGCAGCTCCTAGCCTTGGTCAACAGTCGTACATGACCGCTCAAGAGAGTACAATGCCGGCATCGCACGCCGCAGCACTACAACAGGCAGCGGCTGTCATACCACCCCCACGTACAGACGACCCGTATGCTTTTGGAAACGCGCAGGTCGCCACTAGCGGCCACCCTCACCAATCGACTTATGCGAACGAAGTCCCCCCAGTCGACTGGCACCAGTGGACACGATCGACGGTTGCGTACAGACAGCCTGGATCGCAGGGCGAGTACCTGAACAGTGTTCGCACGCACGGCAGTGTCAGCGTCCAGGGGAGCCAAGGCGGACAAATGACTGGTGTCGGCGACGAGAACGTTATGCAAACGCTCGGATCAAACAACTGGCCGAGCATGCAGTTCTATCCCTCTAACAACGCCTTCGGGAGTCAGCAGTATAATGGCCAACAATAGCAACGGAATTCATGTTGTTTGCGCCGTTTCACGCTTCAAGCTTGAGTTAGGTATTATTGCTGTACACTCGTCGCAAACCACGGCCACAACAACGAAAGCGACCGCAGTCTCGCGTCGCCATGAAGTCAATCCCGACAACAAGTCCAGAAAGCTAGACTGCAGCCTACGACACTCGCAACAGGGGTTTGAGAGCACTCTGCACGTGGCCTCTCGGCGGGGCCCATATTTCCGTTATTGGTTCAATATGTATTTAAGCGAGTGTGAGTAACAGCGAAGGCGACCAGGCGCAGATTCATGTTTCAGGTGCATCATATGCGGGCGGGTGCCTCTACTCTAATCTAATATGGGTCTTTGAGAATACGATGCGGCTCTGTCCGCCAAGTAACTCGGCTGTACGATGATCTATCTCGATAGTATGAGACGATTGATGGTACAGGATCGGTGTGTATGTGGGCCTGGGCTATATTGGGAGGGTGCGGAGGAAAAGACATTCCATGTTGTTGTATGAGGAGGCGAGAGAGATACATACAGATGGATCAGGAGAGGCGAGCCATGTGCCACGGCAGAAACATGGCACTTTGATCTAGGAATATATGCGGGAAACGAGAATATGCTCATCACCAACCATGCTGCCATCTTGCTGCTGTGCACGTGGACCCACGAATATGCTGCAGACTACATGCATACACGTGCATGTGTGTTACCCGGCGCTTTCCAACGGCCTGTCACCAAGGCAAATCCAAATCGCCACCAGACAGTACAGTGTGCACATCCTTCCATGAACCAGTAATTGGTACATTTGATCTGCATTCTCCTGGACGGCCCGCGGCACTGCACCAGGCCTTTGGGCGGTTGTATGGGCTAAGCGTTCATATTGCGGCCTGTGGGGCTGGTCCCGTCTAGACTCAAATCAGCAGGTGGAGTGTACCTTGGCAGGTACACAACCCCGCGAATGGAAGGCGGTGATAAGCTTTGGAGCGACGACTCAGTGCCACTTTGTACCTTCCGAGTGCAGACGAGGATGAGTTACCGTATGCCGATGGTGAGCGGCGCGAAATGGAGAAAGGCGTGCTATCTTCGTGTTGTCGTTCTTGAAGGATGATGGATCAGCGATGGCGATCATTGTATTGAAGCCGGGACGATGGGACCTGGTGATGTTTGAAGAGACGGAAAGGCTAAACGCCAGTCCAGCAAGACGTTGCCACGAGAGATTCCACATGCAGGCCTATCATCCCGCTCCCGGGCGTCTTTCAACCTCGCGCTACACACGCGGTAAGAATCCTGGCCACGCCTACATGCTCATCCCGGTACTAACGACCTTCCTCACCCAGCAATATAAACGATCTGCAAGTAACGTAACTGCATCGCCTCGGCCCACCGTTGGCGCGGTCGTGTAGATTTGAGCAATGGCCGCCGACAATCAATTGGGCCCAGCATCGTCCTCGTGCGCAAAGACATGGGTAAGATCCCGGGTGATGTGCGAAGCGAGAGGCGCGAGGTACAGGTATATATGAGGTGCTTGCCACATTTTTGTGGGCAGCTTTCTGTTCGTGAGAGAGCATCGTAGGCGTCGTAGTAGGCGTTGAGTTGTCAATTGGTGTTACTATCCTATCAAAGGCTCCTCGCACAACACCATGCGCTGCTGCTCACTGTCTATCAAGGTGCTGGCCTTCGCGACGGCGGCCCTCAATGGCGCGTGTGCGATGGATCTCGCGAAACTGCGCCAATACAGCGAGATGGTAAGTCCTTTCCATCTTCACAATGCCAAATTGTCTTTGAGCTTGTATCCTACCTCACATCCACGAACCGCACTAATCCAATCTCACCTAGGCCGAATCTGGTCTCTACCCAGATGGCACGCCCATGCACTCCGAAGAAGTCATGGCGTCCCTCTTTTCGGCTCCTTCCACCTCCGCCGAGCCTGAGAACGTTGTCGCCGAGTACGTCGAGCTGCCGCTTAACCACTTCGGAAAGAAGGGCTCCTCGGACGGGACCTTTTACAACCGCTTCTGGGTCAGCACCGATGCCTACAAGCCCGGTGCGCCAGTGTTTCTGTACGACGTGGGCGAGGCAGATGGTGAGGCTTACGTGGATTCAAGGTTGAGGAGGAACGTTACTACGACGAATATGTTCAGAGGGTTGGTGGATAAGTACCAGGGGATTGGAATTGTGTGGGAGCATCGATACTGTGAGTTTGATTTATGTTCTCTTGCGGGGAGGCAAGGAAGTGGGGTTTGGCTGCGTCAAAATGCTAGATTTGCCTTCTGCGGTCAAGTAATGTGTGGATGGCCGCCCAGATCAGCAATTCTTGGGCCGTTTGTCTGCGTGTGTACTGTGGATATGGTGATATGCACCATTTTTGGAACATCTCTTGTTCCTCCACCACCTTTAATAATCATGGAATCAGCTAACGTTGGACGACAGATGGTAACTCAACGCCTGGGAATATTCCAATCAGCGTGGACACCAAGCCCGAGGTTTTTAAGTGGCTCAATACTGAGCAGTCGCTCAAGGATGTCGTCGTCTTCGCGGAGAAGTTCTCCCGTCCGAACATCAATTACACGCTCACGCCCGCCAAAACCCCTTGGGTCATGATCGGTGGATCGTACCCTGCTATGCGCACCGCCTTCATGCGTGACCAGTACCCAGAGACCATCTTTGCAGGTTTCGCTTCCAGCGCCCCGACGGAGGCAAAGGTGGATATGAGCGTGTACTTCGAGCCCGTTGCACGCGGCATGGAGAGGTATGGTGCCGGAAACTGCTCAAAGGATGTCCATGCTGCTATCGGTTACATTGATAAGGAGCTTGGTAAGGGTGGTAAGACTGCCGCGGCCCTCAAGCAGCAGTTCCTCGGAGCTGGAGCGGAGAAGAACAGCCACGCCACCTTCGCCGACGCATTGTCCACCATCTTTTGGTACTGGCAGTCGTACGGAATGGATGGATCACCCTGGAGTCTGGGAGAGTTCTGCAACTATCTCGAAACTGACCCAGTCACCACCAAGGCTGCCGGAAAGGACGGTTGGGCAAAGACCAAGGGCGCGAAGTTCGTTGTTGACCGATGGGCGAGCTGGCCAAAGTTTGCCGGCGTTGTCAGCGACTCCCTGAGCACGACCTGCTCAGGTAACAAGAACGTGACGGCCGACTGCAATCTCAACCTGCCCTTCTTGGACCCGAGCAGTGTGAGCTGGACCTGGCAGTACTGCACGCAATGGGGTAAGTCCACACTCCTTTTTCTTCCTCCACACAGGCGAAGAGAATAGACATTCAAAAAGCATATACTAACCTCTCATTCCAGGATACTTCCAATCCGCGAACCTTGGCCCCAACCAGCTCGTCTCAAAGTACAACTCCCTCCAGCACCAGCACGACATCTGCCACCGCCAATTCCCCACCGCCAAAGCACCCCTCTTCCCAGAATGGCCCCAAACCGACCGTACAAACGCCATCTTCGGTGGCTGGGACATCCGTCCTTCACAGCTGTACTGGTCTGGCGGCGAATTCGACCCCTGGCGGACACTCTCCCCTCTATCCGCTGAGCCGTGGGCGCCGCACCCGCGTGCGTTTACCAACCCTCCGCAGTGCGGCGCAGAACAGGACGAAGATGAGATTTTCGGCTTTGTGCTTGCGAATGCGCAGCATTGCTATGACTTCAGGACTACGGTGCCGTTGGGCGAGACGAGTAGGAATTATTTCTACACGGCACTGGATAAGTGGTTGAAGTGCTTTAAGCCGAAGAAGGGGGGGTATTAGAGAGGGGAAAACGGGGAGAGGTAGTGATCTGATCAACAATGACATTCTTCCAATCAATATAGTTGTCTTGCATTTTATGACGACCCTTTTGTGTGATGCTCGGGTCGAGTTGAACGGAGGTCGACGTTGAGTATGGAATTCTATCCAATCTTGGGGTATGGACTCACTGCCATGCGCCCACGATAGATCGAGTGACTTGGAAGGACACGTCGAACCTATGCGACTGTGAAATAATGCTCTGCGCTCAACGGGAAGATCGTGCTCGCGATGCAGCCGAGGAGGTGAAAGAGCTGTGGTCGACCATTAACTCCACTTTCTGCTATGATTGTTTTCACCAAGACCCAAACGTCGTCCACTATAATTATGTCCACGTAAAGAACCGCACATAAGTCTGCACACTCGCCACCCTTGGTCAACGCTTTTGATTTGGCTATCTCAACCACAGTGCACTCACCAAGTTTACCGTGCACCAGCACAGATATCAAAGCTGCCACCAAGTCCGCTATTTGCCTTCGCACTCAGTATCTTCCAGCACAGCTCCGTCTATCCGACCCGCGATTGCAGATCTTACCAGGGCTACGGACCTGCGCAACATCATCCCTCTTCTGGCGAAGCCATATCTTACCAAGGTGAAGGCTGTCCCACTCGGCGAACGTTGCTATGTCTGCTTGCACGACTTCGGCACCCACGATGATCCGGACGACGACGAGCCGCCATGCGAACCGATACAACTGCATCCATGTGGACACCTTATTGGCGACAAATGCTATGAGAAGCTGCCCACGTACCACCGAGATAAGTGCCAGCTTTGCACGCGCCCCATAACGTACACTACGCCCGTCCCCAGGATCCTGTCTTTCCTCTGCAAGATGGACAACTTCGGGCTCTTTCCGGCCGGTTTCATTCCTGTTGCTGATCGATTCCTACTTCTCTTCTTCCGCTCGATCTCTGTCGTTGACCATCCCGCCACGCTCGCTGAGGTGCAAGCCGTGCTCTTCAGTAGCAGTCCCTTCACCAAGCTACATGCTGTGTACCTTTGGATTACCCATCTTACCGCTGTCTTGTTCTAACAATGCGCGGTCTTGGCCTTTATATCTTGTACGGCCTTCGCACCGCGCTCGCGCCCAAAGTCACCGAGATCCTTGGTCTACTGCCTTTCCCTGGCCTTCGCAGCCATCTTCCGTGCTTCATCCTTGTTATATCTGGACCGGTCGGTTTCCATAAGGTCAGCGAACGCCTCTTTGGAAACGCTGTCTTGCCTTTCCGACTCATCTTCCTTGTGTACTTCGAGTATTTCTTCGCGGCGTGGGTGGCGCATTGGTATAAGAAGAAGTTGGGTTTTGCGGCCGGGATATGCGCCTACCTGACGCCGTTCGTCATATACTTCGCCATTTATGCGCTCATGACCGGGTGGTTGATCTACTTGGGCTGGCGCCACATCGATCGTAGACGCATCGAGCGTTGAGCACCGTGTTACTGCGGACTTTCGGTCGGCTTTTTGGTATGGAGGCAGCCTTTCCTCTCATCACCAACCAGAAGCATTATTACGGTGGGTAGTGATACTGGGTCCACAGGTCGAATACCTGATTGTTAAAGTTTGAGTGAACTACGGTTGCATGGTGCAATGGGCGCCGTCAAGAAGTGGGTTTATGCTATTGTCTAGTGTACCAGGCTCCTCTTTTGCAGGAAGGCCCGGCGTTTGTATCAGCAAAGTAGGTGTTACGACGATGATCATGTACGTTGCATGTCCCGGTTGATAGCATTTTGGACACTTGAGCAGATCAATGCTGGCTAATCGAAAGAGTGCCCTTTTTGTCATGCGTGCCACCTTGAGTCACACGACTAATTTCCCACTACTTCGTTGTGTTTTGGCGGGGCTTCTCCTGCTTTGTTGCTCAAAGGTACAGCGGGGTACATGTCCAATGTGAAACAGACTGGTTGTTTCGTTTCGTCATGTGTGCCTCCTGACTATGGTGACGCGTAGTCGGACTCAAACGTTGACGCGCCAACGACAAGCTAGCGCACCCTTCATCGGTGGTCTGACAGCGGTTCAGCAGCGTAACCATACTCTTGGGCCTTCCGATAGTTTGTCTCCACTTCAAGCGGTGAAACACATGGGTTCTCGTGTCCTGCATGTGGAATGCAAAGGATTTTCATGGTGCAAACAAGATTCTCGTGAATGTCGACGCAAAAGATAAGCGTGAGAGCACATGGTAGAGGGTGGGATAGGCGACGCAATATGGCGATATTGCAAATGCATCGGACTCACGTACGGTGGGGCGAGATCAAGGGTCTAGTCCCAGGCGCAGAGCAGATCCCTGCAGCCGACCCGTCAGCCAACGCTCAGAATAGGTGGCGGGGTCAGCAACGTCGTTCGCCTTCGTTCCCACAGCGATGATACGAACCAGTCCATCCTTCAAGGCCATGTGTCGAGCTGGCATGGAAACGGCACATCGCTGTTGTTCAACCCAAAGTGTGTCGCGTCGGGAGGCATGAGTTCGGGAAGAGGGTCGTGCCATGCCTACGCGAATCCTAAGTGGTGACGTTGGGCCCCTCCACCATCTCTGCGCCATTCGACAATCGCGACGACGCATAGTAACCTCGAACGCAACTAGGTGGCGCAAGCTCCATGCCATTGGAGGACCCTCCTCTAGTTCCTGGCCCCAGGCCCGTCTCGCGTCCGCGGTGGGCTTGGCCGGCGTATTGGAACGTCTCAAAACAGGACCGCGTGGAGCTGGTGCGGCTGAGTGCTCATAAGTGTCTTGCTCCTCTGGCCCACCTCTTTGATTCCCTTTGATCCTTGAGCAGCGTGGCTGCGCATGCCACTTTTCAATTCTTCCTTTTCATTCTCACTTTCCTTTGCAGACATCGCATTTGGTCGACAAGATGATGGCCGTGGAGCAGCCGCAGTCGCCTTCGCTCTTGAGGAGATCGACCTCCATTTTTAGACGCCTTTCAAAACGAGAAAGCAGGCCAGTAATGCCTGCGTCCCCGGGCCCATCGCCACTCTCATCGCCCCGCAAGCTGCAACGACGCCCCACCGCGAAGGAAACTCTGAACACGAAACTGATCACCCACCTCCAAACCATCGAGGTCTCCGAGAAAGCGCCTGCGGTGGGAGCTCCCAAGCCACAATTCGAATCGCGAAGGAGAGTGCTAGCATCCGATATGCGCACTACGCCTTTTCCCGCTTCGCCCTTCGTACAAACCCTCGCATGGAACGTCTTCTTGACCCCAGAGCAAGCGTATAGCCTAGTCATGGGCTTTCGCCCGAAGGAAACAGAAGACAAATGGTTCATATACTCCCAAGGCCCCGATCACTCCGGAAAGCTTAAAGTGCACTTTCATCGTAGCTGGACGGGTATGAAGATCGCTGAGCTCTTCGTCTTGATCGATCTGAAAGGAGAAGGCGCTGGCAAGATTGTTGGCATCAAGTGGGATGGCTCGGACCAGACCAATGGGTTGGAACAAGAGGAAGTGAAGTACATGGTGTCAACGGCATGCGCATTCGTGCTTGGCGTCAAGCTGGATAATGGGGTTTTATGACGTTGCGAAGTTTCCATTGACGAAAGCGTACATGACTGACGGTCTGGTTTATGAAGGTAATGTGGGCGGTGTTCTGAATTGGTGGTTCGGTGTTATCGGATTTTAGGTTGGGAGGAGTAATTGCGCAGCTACTTCTATGCCGTTGCTTAATCTGGCGCAACTGCTAATTCTTTTCTTTTCCTTTTCTTTGGGGAGGATTCTGGCGGGTAATAGTGTATATAGTGCAACGGCTTGGGAGCCTCACAGGCCCATCCGAGACGGAAGCAACAACGCGCTCCGGTCTGAGCCTTCGGGTGCTTGAGCTTGTTCATATGAAGCGACAAGATGCATTGTCAATCTGTAGTGCGACCATATGTTCAGATGAATTCTACGCTAACAACAGAGCACGCAGAAACTGTCGGTCTCAACATGCATCCACTCATTCCAAGGTTGTTCAGACGCATGACAGGTTGATCAGAGATGGCGCAGACACTACCAGACTGGAGTTAGAATTCGAGTTGGAAGCGATCTTCTGAACATACTAGAAATTGGATTGTTAGAGGACGCAGCCAGCTGAGAAAACCCTCGTTGGGTAACATTTTTCTAGACTCAAATTGACCATTGCATCTAAGGGTACGCGTCTTCGCAAGTCGAACGGAATGGGGCTGATCTTGTTATAGGTCGGCAAAATCAGTGCATGACTTCAATCTGATGCGCGCACACAAGCTGTGGTGCTGTTACTCGGTCCTAATGATCCTCACGGCTCACAATAACGCGGTCGCCTCTTTGCCCATTGAGGCTAGCCCATCCGACCAGTCCAATCAGACTCATAGAATATCCCAATCTGTCTTAGTCGATCTATTCTCGGAGTGAGCCAATCTTCATGGCCCTGACAACTTCGGATGAGGCTTATGAGGTTCACAATCTTGTCGCAAGGCACAGTACGTTGCGAGCGGACGCAGAACGGTCGACCAAGAATGCTAGACTACATGAAGAAAACATCCGAGGGTCTTATCCTATCCTAGCTTTGTGTTAAACTGTACGGAGGAAACTTCCGACAACGCTAATTCTACGTTGATCCTGTAGTCACCCTCGTCTTGATACACTGATTTGTTGTTGAATGAACAGCCCCCGAGTCCATACTTACGTACCGCCATACCACCGAGACAATCTAAGCTATCTTGAGCTATAGCAAATTGTGAGCATCGCGAAATCTTATGAACCATCCTATATAGCCTGACCAAAACGCCAAACTCTCTCCAAGGTCTTCAATGGGCAAAATGTTTTTCACTTCGCTCAGCTTTCTCATTTTGGTTTCTACGTTTCACCAGGCGACTGCGATTGACCAGAGCAGGTACCATCATGTCGAGTCGAGCGTGGCGCCTGGCGCTGTGATCTCATATAAACAGGTATGTTGACTCTCGTCCCAGTCACAGCTACACGCGTAGCGGATTCTGGTGTTGACAAGCAGTAGACGAGCATCTGTGAGACAACCCCTGGCGTGCGGTCGTTCAGTGGCTACATTCACATGCCGACTTCGCTTGCGACCGACGATGAAGTTGCAGCAACCTACAACACTAGCATGTTCTTTTGGTTCATCGGTACGCTTGCTCGCATTGATCTCATTGGTCCTGCTGACTCACAATCTTCACAACAGAGTCCCGGAACAATGCTTCAGAGGCTCCTCTTGCGCTCTATCTCGGTGGTGGGCCAGGGTATACGTCGCTTGCCGGAGTGACCGAAGAGAACGGCCCTTGTACGATAAACGCTGATTCGAACAGTACAACAAGTAACCCTTGGTAAGTGCCTTTTCGAGGATATGATATGTCACACACATGACGCACGTGCTGACTACATCTCGACAATGCAGGTCGTGGAACAACAACGTGAATATGTTGTACATCGATCAACCTGTATCGGTTGGCTTCTCTTTCAATGAGATCGTTGCCAGTACATTGGATCAATTGACTGGGATAGTTTCACCCATCGACGGAAGTTTGGATGCCGTCTCAACAAATGCTACGCTCGTGAAGGGTTTGCTACCATCGCAAGACATCAACGCATTTCCTAATACCACTGCAAATGCCGCAAAAGTACTTTGGCAATTTACGCAGATTTGGCTTCAGGAATTTCCGGAGCATGAATCATGCGATGACCGGGTCAGCATCTGGGCGAACTCAGTACGTGACCTTAGGATTTTCGAGCCGACCAAGCTAATGCAAAACAGTATGGCGGTCACTGGGGGCCAGTAACGATGGCTCATTTTGAGTCCCAAAATCGCAAGATCCGCGATCACAGCCTGTCTTCGCCCCTACGCAATGCCACTCTCATACACCTCGACACATTAGGCATAACCAATGGATGTGTCGACGCGAAGATCGAAGCACCCACCTATCTCCAAATGGCAATCAACAACACTTACGGATTGCAAACCATTACAGAAGAGGACTATCAATCAGCTCTGAACAATATTACTAAAGGCGGTGGCTGTAACGACCTCATTGACCAGTGCCGCGCTCTTGCAATAGCGGACCCCGAAAATACAGGTACAAATGCAACTATCAATGAAGCTTGTGCGGCCGCAACGCAGTTCTGTTTTAACTACGTTCAAGGTGTGTACCCAGCAACATCTGGTGTAAGTGAACGTTTCGATTGTTACCTTTCATCATTGCTGAGTCGCGACTAACAACATCTAGCGCGAGCCATTTGACATAGCCCGACCTTCTCTGTCTGTCTTCCCTCCATATTACACCATCGGCTTCATGAACCAGGACTGGGTACAGAAAGATCTCGGAGCTTCGGTCAATTTTACTATCAACAGTAACAACGTTGCCAACATGTTCTTGGGCGAGACTGGCGATGTCGCTGTCGTGTCTATAGACACAATCAATTACGTTGCTCAAAGCGGCATCAAGGTTGCTCTGGTCTTTGGGGATCGCGACTACAGATGTAATTGTGAGTGCACCATCGATACTTCTCCCATGTTTCAGACGATTTGGGATCTAATACATTGTAAGGGTTTGGAGGCGAAGCAGTAAGCCTCGCAATGGAGCACGAATCAAGCGTTCAGTTCCGCGAAGCCGGTTACTCACCCATAACCACGAACTCAACATACCAAGGCGGCGTCGTACGACAGTACAATGGCATATCCTTCTCGCGAGTGTTCGATGCCGGCCATGCGGCAGGTGCCTACCAACCCGAGACAGTGTCAAAGATCTTCGATCGTGTTACGTTAAACAAAGATGTCGCTACTGGCAAGATCAACTTGGGAGACGCGCCGTACAGCTCTCAAGGCCCAGTGAGCAGTTTTGAGATCAAGAATGTGCTTCCCACACCTCCAAAGAACGAGTGCTACACTTGGGCTATAGCTGATACCTGCACGACGGAGCAAATTGCTGCATTGGCTAATGGAACTGCGGCTGTGCGAGACTATATCGTAAGAGAACACTAGTTGTATATGTATGAAACATAGTACTAGCCAGCGCAATGGTCACCTTCTCTCAACAGGAACAAGAATCAACTGATGAGAAAGTGAATATATTATTATCGTTTGCGAAAAGAATGCCCCCACCCGACCATAGTACAGGTCCCCAACCTTTATCAATTACATGATACATTCACTCTATTACTAGCTAGATCTTGTTGAATGCTAGCTAGATCTTATTAAATAGCTAGATCTAGTTGTGGTAGACGTTAAAATAGGGCACTAAGCTGTCAAAATAGGTGTACCAACACATTTCAACTAATAATTGAGTAGACATATACCATAGGTAATATAATTAATGAAAATAGGGGGCTGTACTATGTTAGGGTAGGGGCATTCTTTTCGCAAAGCACCGATATGTTGGTTTGCTAAGAATGAAACAATGTAGGCCCAGAGCAATGAGAAGGTAGAGGGAGAACTTTTACGAAAGATTATACTTTCAAAATCCCCAATGACCTCGATAACCCATTACCAATAACAACCACAACGTTATCATACTTCTTCCCATATGGTACGCCTCCTGTACGGAATTCTTCCTTGATCGCCTGTTTCAAACCACATTGTAGGCAGGATCTCTCGACCAAGAGCCCGGTAACCTCGTTAGGATACATAGCTATCATTTGTATCCCAACGATTCTAGAGAGGTGGCCACCTCTCACAATCCAGACCTTCGTTCCTAATATGTCCTGCCATGACGATGCTCCTTCGTCAACCTCATATACATGGGTGCAGTCACGTCCATCACAACTGACCCACCCTCGCATCTGTGCCACTGCCTCGGCGAATTTTCCAGGTCGCACTTTCAGTATGGGTAACGACTGATCTCCAGATGCTCGAAGCTCCACTCCGAGTTCGAGAGCTCGTATCGACTCCGTAATCACTATCTTCGATTGGTCATACTGAGAGGTGCGTTTCAGGAAATTTTCGGGTGTAGGTCTTTGTCCATGTGCCACGCTGACAGCTATGTTGAAGTTAGCAAGGTCTCCCGACTCAACACCGTCAGAGATGTTAGGAAATGGCCTTCCTTCATATTCGATACCTCCAGCTCCGACAAAGACTCTGTTTACAATCTCGGGGCTTTCACTAAGGCTTTCCAGTAATCGCGAATGGATCACAATGCCATGCCTAGAAACAGCTGAAGCGCCGGCTACGGAGTCGCCGATATCAGATGACGTAGAATAACCCGTGAAAAGGTTCGTGCAGCTTTCGAGGATGTCAATGTCGCGTGAATCATCAAGACATTCCAAGTCAGGGTACACAAAAGCGAACGGTATGAAGTCCTTGACGGCTAAGCTGAGCGAACGACCTGCTTTCCGGGCCTCGGCAACATGCTTGTTGTAATCGACTCGTTTGCGCTTCTGTTTCTCGTAAAGTCGTTCCAGTCCTTTTCTTTTCGGATACAACCCATCCTGCGTGTCGATCATGGCAAGGTCCAGCGCCAGTCGACAGATGCTTTCGACAACTACCACAGCACAGAATAGCGGCTGCTTCTTTCCGGTTCCGCAAACTGTACAGTCGCAAATCAGACGGAATGCATTGATCCGATTTTCGTATACGCTTTTGGCACCAGCGAAGCTCCCGGTCAAAGGACCCTCCATTAATTCCTGAATATCAGCCAATTCGGGAAGACGTTCGCAGAGTGTCTGAATAAAGCCGTTTCCATAGGCTCCGCGGCTATATAGACTCCACGAAGCAGTTATCCAGGCAGGGATGGCTGGGTCACCTGTTGCGAACCCAAATAGAAGACGCCCAGCGCTTCCAAAGGTTTGAGCAAGGTTTTCGCGACTGTTACAGATTAGATCCTTGAAGTTCTTCCCGAATGTAGCGAAGAGGAGCCGGTCCCATGGTATGCGTCCGCTGTTGGAAGCTAAGTTTGGGCTTCCGGTCCGCCATCGTAGTATTTGAGTGGCATCTTCTAGGATAAAGGTGCGAGAGCTAATTTGCAACTCGGAAGAAGGCGTGGCTCCCCCTGGGCTATGATCATCCCGAGGACGGTATCTGAAAGTAACATGCGGCACCTCGACGTCATCAGTGGTGGAATAGATCTTTGTCCCATGAGCGTCTTCAATACGCACCCGGAGACCCAAAAGCCATTCCGACACTGCGGATAACCACGCAATATCATTCCCTCCAACAATTACGACCGCCTGCATTGTAGAGTGTGAAACCCGACCGATTGCTTGCAGAGCCTTTGCGATCGAAGCCGGGCTAGCCATTCCATCCCTCGTCCAGCCCCAGCCTGTTTGGGACAGGCCAGCATCAGCGACAGGATCCTCGAAGTTCCATGAATATGGGTTCGCGTCCAACTGCTCTTCTACCATCGTCCCAAACTCTGTTGCGGCGAATATACCGCTACAAGCTCGAATCATGCTTTTCCACTGCAGGATCGAAGGGGTAGTGGTGTCGGGCGGGGGGAGCGTGCAGCTTGACTAACTCGAACATGATCTCTGCTGCGATTTCTTCGTGGTAATAATCCGACAGGACGCCAAACATGGCAACGCTTGTGAATCCTTGATGTGTCCCCGTAAGCGTGCGCACGATGTGGCGGTTTCCAAACCCAAACCACAGCACATCTCCGCATACCCCCAACGAGTGAAGCTTCTGAAGAGCGGTTTCGACGTTTTTCCGGCCTGAATTTGAGATTGCGAAATCGCTGCAAATGGCTTGACCCAACGCACATGTGAACGCATCGACATTTGCGCCCATAAAGCGAGACAGTGTACTGACCGAGGCCGTGAATGACAGTGAGGCCAGTGTGATCCAATCGACTGTACCTTGCTGTGTAAATGTAGTGGTAGAAACCCCCTTGGGCGAAGAGAGAGCCATCTTGCGCCGGTGCGAGGCCTGTGGAAAGGAAGGCAATGTACACAAAGTTGATTGCACCTGAAGTGGCCGGGGCGGTCTTATGATCCGACATTTTCAACATTGCGAGGGCTGTACTATTTCAGACCGACGTTTGCCTGACCCCCCTACGCTGCGAGCGAATTGGATTGCGTTGATTTCGTGCAGGTTGGGCTTATCAGTTTCGATCTGGTTCACCGGTGTGCGGAAACCTCATATTACCCCTCGCGATATGCCTTGCATTCGTGATACGCGGGACGAATAGAGGCTCGTTCTGGTTCTGGAAGCCTATATTGCCGCGAATGGGGGCTGCCTAGTATTACCTAGGTATAGGTTGTGATAGATTACATGGCAGATTACGTGGCTCCTACCATGTAGACTACCTATGGCACCTAGGCGCAAGGTTGCGATTAGGTACCTTCCATGCGAGAACTGTTTCTCAGGGTGATGTTAAATCATGCAGACGTACTGAGCTAAGGCATTCACGCGCTCTGCTCCGCGGGCCTGGCCAAGCATATCTTAACGCTACTCTTCCGACTATTGGTGGCGGCCACGCGACCTCCTTGGCTCAGGTCCTGCTAATTTGTGATCAACAAGGCTGTGGAACCACGTGAGACGTGGCTCGCGCATATCAAAACACTTCCACCTCTTCTTGGTAGCCTGTGTGCCCTCGCTCAGAATCCTGGTACATGAAGCAACGTTTGACTTCGCGTACCCCTAGGTGTTATCGGCAACTGCTACTTGTTCTGCTCCAGCGCCAAGGCCCAAGAGCAATTTTAAGCCTGGGCCGGACACGGAAAAGACGACCTTTGATGGTAGAGTTGAATGGGAGTGTAGTTCGTACGTGTTGATACCTAGAACGGTGGCATCCGAATTCGGGTGTTTCGTTGCGGGCTATCCCAAGCGAAGGATAGCTCTTACTCTATCTGGGCTAGCGAGCGTCTTGGTATGCTTCAAGCATCAGATATTTTTGCATCCCCTTATTGCAGTCGCACGTGCAGTCGCACGTGCATTCTAATGTTGCTTAAATGAAGTCGTCGCTCTTCTCGCGTGCCCACAGCACAACGGCACTTTTCTTGTCGCCCGACCGTATCTTGTATCAGTCACTCGTTCATCGTCATTCTCGTACATCATGCATTCTGCTCTGCTATTGTTTATTACAGCCCTCCCGTTCCTTGGGGTTGATGCTCTCATAGTCAGTACCTCCGCGCGTTGTGGTACGCAATCCAAAAATACCCTCACTTGCAAAGATTCGGCATTTGGGAATTGCTGCTCCAGCAGCGGATACTGTGGTTCGACTGTAGCATACTGCGGAAGTGGTTGCCAGTCTGGGTTCGGCGACTGCACCTCGTCCATTAAATCAATCTCAACGTCGTCAAAACCATCTTCAGTTTTCAAATCATCTTCAGCGCCGGCGACATCTACTTCTGCGTCATCGAAATCTTCTTCTGCAGCTGTCCTCTCATCATTAGCAATTACGAAATCATCTGCAGCACCTACAACATCGTCTTTAGTACCTGTGACATCACCTTCGGTAACTGTCAAGTCATCATCGACATCCATCGTATCTTCTCCAGCACCTGCAGCATCGTCTTCGACGACTCCAAAGGTGAAGATTTCCACGGATGGAAGTTGCGGCGGCTCTACTGGATACTCCTGCTTAGGATCTACATACGGCAATTGCTGCAGTGCATATGGATGGTGTGGAAGCACCAGCATTTACTGTGATACTGGCTGCAACGGGGGTTTTGGAAACTGCAATTCCGCCAGCAAATCTAGCGGGTCATCTACCTCTTCCGTTCATGCGTCGTCTGCGTCGAGTTTGACCTTCTCTTCCATCGCGACTTGGACGTCGACAGGAACAGCCTCAACCGCTCCATCGCCCACCCAGAAGGTTTCCGACAATGCACAATGTGGACCAAGCTTCGGTGGGATGACTTGCATGGGGTCCCAGTACGGCGACTGCTGCTCACAGTACTCTTACTGGTAAGTCTGCGATCCTTGAGTGATGAGAACGATAGCTGATTTGGTTGTAGTGGAAGCACAAGTGCCTTCTGTGGGACTGGATGCCAAAAAGGGTTCGGAGATTGCAATGGTGATGCCGTAACCTCAGCTTCGCCCAGCGCCTCTGCGACCCCAGCACCAAGCAATGTATGTGGTGTGGAGGGCTTTGCCGACAGTGAAGCATATTACGCCTCCTCATTCAATCTGATCGACGCCTCGGACGCTTCACCATGTGCCGCTCTATGCTTGGCTGAGCCAACCTGCTTGAGCTACCTGTTCAATCCTCTTCTTGAGAATTGCGCTTACCTTAAGTATTCACTGTCGCAAGGAAATTTTATCGCTACAAGCGGCACAGATCAGCTCTTCTGGGACCGGGCATGCGCCCAGGCTACTGCATCATAAGTCAGTTCATGGCCATATACCACATTCCAGCGTTGAACTCATCTCCCCTGCCAATGTCCTCTCCCAAGGTTTTCACCGGGCGCATCTCCAAGCGTCCCTGCCGCCACGGTCCGCAACATTAGCGACGTCACACTACTTCTGACGGTACATCGGCTTCCTACAGAGTTATCAGGCGAGATGCTACCTCTTCGACAGAGAATTGCATACCTTTGTACATGACGTCCTGAGATCTGTGATGTCAATCTATCTCTGTACCATGCGGATACATTTGTATATGGGCGGGACGCTTTATATACAAAACACTGTAATCTATGCATATCATAATCATAATGCAAATGGTCACCCGCCACATGACATCAGTTTGATTTGTCTATCTGTTCTTACATGAAAATGTGGTGCTGCTGACCACTCTGAAGCGAATGGAAGCCTCATCGTAAGATGCTTGTGTAAAAGCATATATCCTATGCAACCAAGGTCGTGCTCGCCGTTCACCAAAAATCCCACCAACAGAAATAATAAAGACTCGCTACGCTACGCAAAAGAAAAAACCCTTTATGGAATTCCAAAAAGATCATCCATAAATTGAGTCCACCAGAGCTCCGCGTCCGTCCACAGTACGGCCCGCTTTATCATCCATGCATTCCCCGAACATGTCCCTCAACAACCGTTCTCTTCCATCCTCCCTCTTGCCTGTACACGCTCCTACAGCCTCTGACAAAGCACCTCTCATGTCTCTCCTCGTCAGCATGCACCATTACATCGTCCCCTGCGTTACGAAGCTGTCAGCATGGCTCAAATGAGCGGTCCATGCCATCCCCCCATCCGGTCCTCTACTTACATCGCAAACATACACCATGCACATCGCACTGCACTGGATAGTCCGCACAGTGGCTCACCAATCGATACCGATCGGGAAAAAACGTCCCGCAGTTGGCACACTGCTCGCGCTCGGGATTCGCTGTGGCCGTAACACTCCGTGTGCCGTGCACGTCTATCGCGTATGTGAGTTGCGTGATGGCGTGCGTCGAACTTAATTTTTCAAAAGCATAGCTCAAGGGCTTTAAATTGTTTGCAGATAGCATCGGATCGCCGCCGTGCCTGTAACCGAAGCCTTGATAGTCGTGGCTCGATTCAAAATCAAAGCCAGCGAGGGCGAGTGAGTTGGATGATGTGTGCGGGCGGTACGGTACGAGTGCATCGTGGCTATCGCGGAAGCCGATCTGTAGAGGCTTGCGGGGACGGTGCGTGTGATGCGTGAGAGTGCCGCTGCGATAGTTGATGCTGTTAGAATCAGAAGGGCCATAGTGGGTCTGAAGGTAAGGCTTGTGGTGGGTGCAATGACTGCCGCGACCGTTGAAATGCACACTACAGACTGTGCAGTAAGGCATGGCGATAGGTGAGGGAGAAGTCTCTAAGAATCCTGCCACACGCGAAAGGGCAATAGCCCACCAAAATAGCTTGAGTGATGGAGAAGTGATAATAGAGAACGCACGAGTAGAGACTCCAGGCAACGAACCAGGCTGAAAGGCTGAGAGCTAGACACAAGGCGGTGGATTGCGGTTTGAAATGGCAGAGATGAGGCGTCTGCGCAACACGCAAGGCTGATAAAATGATAGGCTTGGAGGGTTATAGCCTTCACCGGATGCCAACGCTCGTTCCTGAGACTGCATCACTCGCTGGTAAGTGGGGTGTGATGACACGAGAGCCATACAACCGGTCAAGAGGATGAGTAATATCTGACACAGGACATTTATCAAATAGCTGGATTTGATGCTGCAGCCTTCTTAGCTAAGACAAGGCTGATGTGTGTACACCGGACGTTACCCCAACTCTTCAGGTCTTACAGAGCTCTATCACGCAAAAACATAGACCCTGCCGGACCGATCCGCACTAATGACCATCCCATATGGCTGCTCTACGAGCGCAACATCCATAACCGTATCCAGATGCCCTCTTAACAGATGTTGCTGTTGCACAGTGATGAGTCCAGATCGACTACTCTTCACAGCCGTCTTTTTATTGCCGCTCCGACTATCCCTGGTCGTCGAGCTTTGGCTTTGATTTTGAGGTTGAGACAGTCGTTCAGTGACGACCTGTGTCTCGGGAGACGAGGGCGGCTGGCTAGTAGTATATTGCGGCCTGGCCTCGTCCGGTTCCATGCCGCTAACTACCAAGGACGCTTCCTGACGAGCGGTGTCCCAATAGCGGACTTTCCAATCTGGACCTGCGGTTAAGAGGAATGTGTGTGCTCGACTCCCCGGTTTCTGGGAGGTGGCTTGGTTTGCTACGACAATGGCTCTTACACCTTTATTTGGGGCGGTACTGGCTGTTGGTTCCAAGGTGGAGAATCGACCGAGCATGCCACCTGTTGTTTCGAAATCGAGATCTATCAGAGTGGTGGTCTTCGATCCCGTATCCTTCGCTGTACCGGTACGGTATACCTCTTTACAGATGGTCTTTTCAATGTCCCACACGGTAACTTCGCCCTGTCCGGTACCACCGGTAATATACACGCGTGGCTTTCCGATGGGACGCAAGTAGAGGCGATGTATAGCGGTCGCCGCGTGAAAAACCCACGACTTTAGCAGGAGCTTGAAGCGGACATCCCACAATTCCAGCACGCCGTGGGACGTACCAAGCAACAACCAGTGTGCCTTCTTGTCGACGCAGAAACAGGTGGGATATCCGTGTTGAACGTGATTCTTCAGTGTGTATAACTCCGTCATGGTCTTGAGGTCCAATGCAACAACCTTCGATGTTCTGGTCGCCATCAGGAGGACCGATTTATCGTCCTCATTGTAATGATCGATCCATGTAACATAGTCATCTTCGGGCAGCTGATACTCACGCAACATCCTAGGTCGCGAGAACTTCCTTGTGACGATAATGTCACCTTTGTTATCTTCCTCTTTATCTTCATGGAATTTTATTTTCACCACATGCACGCTGCCGTCACTTCCTGTGGCAACGAAACAGTACGTTTGCTCAACGAAGCAGAGACTGGTCACATTAACGCCTTCGCCGAGATGGTACGTTTGCCGTGCGCCTAGTGAGAGATGCCGTTCAAAACGAGATGGATCCCAGATCTTGACAGTGCCGTCATCAGAGCCGGTGATGAAGAAGGTTTGGTCCGGGGCCACTAGTATCCGTCGTACGGTAGCTGTGTGCTCACCTAAAACGCCCAGTAAGCGACCCTCCGGTCTCCAAGGAAGCCCATTCGGTGACTGGTGCCCATCCTTATAACGGATGAAGGCAGGTTCGTTCGACGCCTCAATCTTCGGTCCAAATTCCATCGCTCCCGAAGGGAATCGTTCCAGAAGCATCGAGTCGAGCAATTTGAGCACCGCTGGATCGTTGCCCGTATAATTGTGTGCGTCGCGGAGTCGACTGCGTGAGGGGCTTCCATGCCTATGGTCGCCCGCCAACGATGAAGGTCGGTGACGGGTGCGAGAGACTTCTCGCGCAGTGGCGCCGTCAACTTCTCCAGATGCATTTGTCGACGTAAAACCGATTTCGGCCTGAGCTTTGTCTCCTTTGTTGAGGAGCGCTAGAGCACTGCCTTTGTGACGCAGAGGATGAATATGTTCCCCAGCTCCAAGAGATCCCACTGGCGACAGAACACTCGGCGAGCCACGCCGAGGCACTTGCAGTGAGTTCGGTCTAGGTTCTGTAGTATCAGAAGCCGGTGAATCTATACCTGATCGCAAATCGCTTGGAGATGAAGCCAGTTTTGGTCGCGCGGGGATAGAGATTCGACGGGGTCGCTGACCTGCTCGCACTGATCCATCGGTCTGGTTACTGCTTCGCGCGGACCTCCGAGCAGCTTGCGCCTCGGTTTCCGTTGTGGAAGCGTCCAATAATGCATCCCTGATAGTTTTAGGCTGATATCCATCATCTTGGATCGACACACGGCGCGCATGTTCGACGGTCTGCTGGGCGTTCTCGAATAGGACTGTGCGCGGCCGAATGTCTAAATCTTTCAGGGAAACCATCTTGTTGAACTTGCCAGAATTTCTCGTAAAGCTGTCTGAACGTCGCCGGCGCGTTACCCTCCATATGAACTCACGGAGTGCAACCAGCTTGAAGTCGTTTTCGACAGTCAGGCCCGCATTTCTCAGCTTTCGTATCCACTGCTCGTCTTCATCTGTTTTCTGCATCCGTTGCAGTATTTTCGTATCGAGTTCTCTTCCAGATATCGTTGGCAGAGTATCTTCGGATGAGCCAAAAGAGAATGTCTGCTGTTGTTTTGCCGATACCCAAAACAACCCTTTCTGGGCTTGCGTCACCCAATTGGACGCCATATCCATGATGAGCCTTGATAAAGGCTTCTTCAGAGAATCGAGCAGGTGCAGTTCAGTAAACTCCGACGGTACAATCTTAAGATATGGCCTGATCAGGTTGACCAAGATACTGTGGTTGTCGGCAACCGAAAGAAATTTCGCCACAGCTGCGATGAATTGCGCAGCTGCTTCTCGGATCCAGATATTTGGATGCATGGTCAAGCGAGCCACTATATCAACCAACTCCCAAGCCTTGGAGCGCTGAAACAGTCCCTGTTCCGCTATTGCTGAGAGGGCACGAATGACTTTTTCTACCACAAATTCTTCCGGGTCGGTCAGGGCCTGCACCATAAGTGGGAGGATGTAGCCTTCTAGACTAGCACTGCCGACGAATACGGCAACGCCCACGATCGCTTCAAAGAATGCGCATTTGAGCATCCAATCAGGATCGTTCAGATAGGTGTTCAAGTGGCTCAGCACAACATCGTTGGCCCTAGGACTCCCGAAGAAGAGGCAAAGCTCACCTACAGACCGAAGCATGGCCCTGCGAACAGATGAATTGGAATCTATGAGGAGAGACTTTGTGTGCTTCTCGAAAGCTTCCAATAGGTTCTGGCGGTCTGAGTCGAACTGATTTCGGTGAACGGAAGATGTGAGTTCCTCTTCGGCTTCTGGTACCGCTGCGGGCAGAGTGCCTTCAGCACGCAGAGCTTGAATGACGTCCAAATACCGGGCTGCAGTAGTCGCCAGTGTTCCAATGCACCAAGCGTAATGCATCCGAACTAATGGATCGACCGTGTTGGAGGAATCTGGGAGGTATCGCTCTAAACGAGGTAAAACATACTCTGGAAAGATGTATGCGTTTACCGGCGACACAACATGCACCATATCTAGGACCTGCGTCATTGTACGTAGAGCGGCTACCTTGACTTGTACAGACTTGTCGGTCAGTAGCAGCGCAACGTAAGGCACAACACGGTCCAATTTGGCTTCGTCTGTAAGCCTCTCGGCAAAAGCTAAGAGCAACTCGAGGCCTCGTAGTCGAGCCGAAGCTCTGGCAGTGCCTCGCAATGAAGAAACAATAATAGTAAGAAATATGAGATTCCCATCGTCGATCGCGAGGCTGGGCGTAGGAGTTGCCTGATGTTGATAATTCGGTATATCGATGCAAAGAGGAAACAATTTTGCATTCGGTTTCGGTGGCGAGTGTTTCGGCTTCTCGGGAGCGTTGCCTTGGTTGCTCGAAAGAAGATGTGAGATTTTGTCAAAGTCGCTGTAGATCTGCTCTATCCGATCGTCAGGTTCGCCAAGGTGCTCGTTGGCGGTTGTCACAGGCTTACGGCCGGAGGTAGGATCTGTGATGGAATGCATATATTGCTGGAGAAAGCCGTAAAAGTAGTGGGGGAAGACTTTGCCTTGCCAATGTTCCAAGTAATCTTCAGCAGACATTCGTGAACTGGGGTCCATCTGTATCATGTGCGTGATGAGCTCCCGTACATCTTTGTCCTTGATCTTGCTCAGGTGTATGTGTCCGGGGTCATATTCCCCTGTGCGATACTTGTAGAGTTGGCTGAGGTTGAAGATGGGAGATTCCAAAAACAGCTCAGCAATCACACAACCAACAGAGAAGATGTCCATTGCCCACGTGACGGTCCCTTCGCCTTCCGGCTGAGCTCCTGGGCCAAGGAACCGTTCGGGGGCAAGGTAGCAGGTACGCCGTCCCGACATGTCGAAATAGAATGAGAAGTCAGCAGGGTTATCTTCGGGCAGGTATGGTGGCTTGTAAGAAGCGGAGAAGTCTGTAAGATACAACCAATTCCACGATGTGACGAGGATGTTCTCAGTCTTGATGTCGCCATGGTAGATGCCCCGTGCATGGCAGTCGCGGACAGCGCAAAGTAACTGGAACGACAACCACTTCTTCTCTATCTCTTCCAGGAATGGGCGAGTGCTCAGGCGGTCGTACAAGGAGCTATGAATATACTGACGCACAAGGTAGCCTCCTACGGCCGTCTCGAGGATTCTGTGATAGCCTAGGGCGTTGGGGACATCGGCGAGCATCTTGCGCTCTTCACCAAGACGTCTGACATAACGGTTGAGATCGAACTGCGCATAAGGCTTCATGACAACGCGTGCAACGACCAGGCCATCCTTGTGCCTGGCTCTTACTGATTTCATGAATCGCGCCGCTCCGAGAGACTTTTCATAGCGAAGGTCGGCCAGCTCTGGCACGTCGATGTTGGCCGAGCCAGCCGAAAGCGTGGTAAGGGAGAAGCCTTGGCCCATGGTGGTAGTGATGGCTGCTGGCAACCGAGCCTAAGATGCAGCGGTGTCGAGGCCTCGAGTGTGCATATCAGACGCTTGGTCCACAGTGTGCCTCGCCTCCATGAAGGTGGAAGTTGGTGGAAACGCAGGCCAGAGTGTGTTGATAGCGCGACGCGGTAATCATGTGCTGTGGTCTCTGCCTAGGTGATCAGGACATCGCAGGTCAGTCGTCGTTCTCAAGCCGCAACGGGACGGCCAGGGTCTCCGCCGGCAGCCATCCCCGGATAGGCTAGGCCACGTCTCGCGGTGGGTTTACTTTTGAGCGCAACACGTATGCAGGCTTCACAACTGACAGACACAACTCGAGGGCGATGCAGCACGTCGTCTTCTTCCACCCGGACCTGGGCATTGGCGGTGCCGAGCGGCTCGTGGTGGACGCCGCTGTCGGACTGCAGGACCGCGGGCACAAGGTCACCATCTACACATCGCACTGCGACCCCGCCCACTGCTTCGACGAAGCGCGCGATGGTGAGTTCTCTGCGGTGCTCGAGTCCCCAATCCCCAGGCTTATGTGGAGCGGTAGCTGAGTCTTGATTTGCGCGCAAAGGCACCCTCGACGTCAGAGTCCGCGGGAACTCAATCGTGCCGCCCACCTTCCTCGGCCGCTTCGCCGTCCTCTGTGCCATCCTGCGTCAGCTGCACTTGATCCTACATATTGCCGTCTTCACCAACGAGCTACAGTCGCTCAAGCCCACGTCCTTCTTCGTCGACCAGCTCAGCGCTGGTATTCCTCTCCTGCGAATACTACAGCCAGGCATCCGCGTCATCTTCTACTGCCACTTCCCGGACAAGCTGCTCGCCAAGAAGGGAGGCCTTCTGAAGACGCTGTATCGCGGTCCCTTCGACTGGCTCGAGAGCTGGAGCACGGGCTGCAGCGACACCATCGTGGTTAACAGCAAATTCACAAAGGGTGTCTTCGCATCTGCCTTCCCCAGCCTCAACTACAGAAACCCCGGCGTCGTGTATCCTTGCGTCGACACCAGGCCTACAAACGTGGATGAGATTGTACCGCTGTGGGAGGGCAAGAAGGTCTTACTGAGCATCAATCGTTTCGAAAAGAAGAAGGATGTGGCCCTAGCAATAAAGGCATTCGCAGGCTTGACCGCCCAGGAACGCGAGAGGGCCAGGCTGGTCATTGCAGGCGGATACGACCCGCGAGTGGCCGACAATGTGGCCACATATACGGAACTCTGCGAGCTGGCCGACTCACTAAAGCTCAAGCATGCGACCGCTAAGACTGTCATAACTGCACAGCGTGTCCCCGATGACATTGCTGTTCTCTTCCTTCACTCGGTACCGACCGCCTTCAAAACGACCTTGTTGGCCACATCTCGGCTGCTAGTATACACACCCTTACACGAGCACTTCGGTATCGTTCCACTCGAGGCCATGTTAGCAGGTACTCCTGTACTCGCCGCCAACGAAGGTGGTCCAACGGAGACAGTCGTAGATGGAGAGACAGGCTGGCTGCGGGACGTCACAAAAGTTGACGACTGGACAGACGTCATGCGAACCACACTCGCGGACGGCAAAGGTGAGCAGAAGCTTAGGGAGATGGGTAAGCGGGGCAAAGAGAGGGTAGAATCCCTTTTCTCGAAAGAGAAGATGGCCGAGGCTCTGGAGACGGAGATAGTAGGCATGGCAAAAAAAGGCGCGTCCGCCCGTGACTCCTTTCGCAGCTGTGCTGGTCGCAGTTGCCTTCATGGGCCTGTTAGCTGCGTCAGGTATGTGGTTAGCATTGAAGCAAGCGCGACAAACCGGAAAGCCGTGAGGCGGTTGTCTGTACTGCATGTATAAGTAGATTGTAAATTCTTGATATTACTACTGCGACTTATAGAGACATACCGTGTGCGACACTGTATATACCACTCTCTCGAACAGAACGCAAAGCACCAGACGTACGAGCGCAGTGCGATTCTACAAGGCGGCCAAACGTGCACTGCTACATCTTTTTTCTCATTGACGAAAGCGCAGTGTTGCTAAAAATAATAATGATTTAGCACAGCAAATCATTTATTGCGATTGTTCGGTGCCCATGACTCCCCTTAGAAAGGGGAATTCATCACACTACGAGCAGTCCAAAAACCAGGCAAAATGAAGCCTCTATGGGCACCTACTAAGACTGTTAGCACGCATAGACCACAGCCCAAAAACACGTTGTGCACACAACACATCGAGTCACAATGTAGAAAAAAAAAAATATCCTCGACTTCGTGGGATTTTAAAAATAGGGTAAAAACAAACCTACAAAGGGAAATCTTATTAAAAAATATTTTAAAAAGTATAGAAATAGGGGTTTAAATCCCTCTATAGTTTTTTTTTCGAGGCACCAGTTACGAGGAAGACTTTGTCGCTCAAAGCATCCTCGAGGCCCTCGTCTTTAACAATTTAGAGGGCAGTTAGGCGTACGTTGCCAGGACTATTTGTTTCGGCGTGGGCTTGTGCGTAGCGAGACATGATGACAAAGTATAAGGAGTAGGCAGGATAAAAGAGTGAGACGAGCAATAATAGTCAATGGGTGATGCTAGGGATTGTGGCTCTCCCAATAACACATGGCGCTCGAGTATTGGAAGCTGCGTATGGAAGGTGTAGGTCCGGGCACGAGAGCGTAAGTCTATGTTATCTCTTTATAGTTTTATCCTTTAGCTGTTCCGCATATGCTATCTAGTATACGTGAACGAAACTAATAAAGTAGGTCAGTCAAGGGACACTTCTAGTCCTCGGCCATGTAACATCTAGGTACAACTTATCTTGTCGTACGCCCTTCCTTATACATATTCATTGTTGGAAGTTTTAGCTTTAATAATAGAAAGATACGCAAGTACTGCACCAAAAGCCCATCCATGGCTATTTCATCCAACACAAGACTTCGCTATTCATGGTCTGTCGCTCACAACAGTATGACTAGACGCATTGACTCACCCGTGTTCCCCCAATATGGACGTATTATGACACTAAGACTCGGTCTGCTGCAAGACAGTCCAAAGTGTTGTCTCGGGTGCCGAATATGCGCTGTCTCAACGGGCGGCACTCGTGCTGTTATCTGGAGACTGCCAATGCATATAAAGAGTAAGATCCTCCCAGTAGGCAATGAAGATAAGGAAAAGTCAAGAACTATCAAAGCACTGGACGCTACTCTCATACTGGCTGATAGCACAAGCAGATCATGTCCCACCACACCTTGCTCGACGCCTTGATGGATGATCAGCTCGTGCATGTAGCTTTGGAACAAGATAGGTCTGCTATGGACGAAAAGGCGAAGCGTAACATGAAGCGGCTGTACAATCACTACATTCGATCCTCGCCTCGCACATTAGCGACCAGGTTCCATCGCCTCGACGAACTCCAAGTACCCAAAGACTGGGAGGCCTACATCGATAAGCACGGAACGGACCCGACGTGGCTTGTCGATGGCGATGAAGACGCTGCGAGTCCCGCGTCGGCCCTGCTACACCGCGCGTCAGCGCTTGCGCGCATGGAGTTGCGGCCGCAGTCCAGCTGTGCTATAAAGAACTTCCACTATCTCTTCTTCTACGACTTGGTCCGTCAGTTGCTACCCAAGGCCAAGCACACTCAAAAGGGTCTAGGACCGAAGCTTATCGAGGGCCTAGAACAGATCGTAAGGCATCTGCAGAGCCCACTGGTGAAAGCTTCAGACTGGAACATTGCGGCGATCACAAGGTGGTACGACATGGGTTTCGCGACGAACATTCTAGCTACCAAGTTCGGCCCAGGATACCTCTTTGTCTTGGATGAACACATATCAGAAGACTTTCTACACAAGTTGCCAAAGTCGGGGGCCGTCTATGAGGAGGTGATTCGTCAGCTCGAGGATCATCTGGGCTTACCAGATGTCCTTGAAGAGTCTATTGGAGAGCTTGGCACTGCGCTGCGAGCACGCCTCATGAAACCATTCGAGGGTCTCAGTTTCGGACAAGTGCTGGCGAGTGTCGAAGGGGTGGGTATGGCACATGGCTAGTGGTGTGGGTGGAGCGCGCACAGGAGGTAGCGAGTCATCAGCCTCTTCTATGGCAAAGGGAATTCATGCACAGGAGAACGTTTATATCAATGCCGCTTTTGTAGGAGAAAGTAAAAGTCTATTATAAGTAAAGAAATCCAGTCTATCTGCGCATGCAAATCACCCTGCCGTAAAATGAAAAATCCAAGTACATCAACTGAATCCATGCGTAACATCCCGCACTAGCCATTTCCGCTTACTTGATATCTATCCCTCGTCAATGATAGGTAAGCCATCCAGCCTTAGGTTGGGAGACCCTGCAAGCCCACAATCTAGTGCCACGAGAACCATCCATAAAGTCTTTACCATCACACCCTTTGAAGATTGCTCCTCCGCCCGTTATCATCCTGCATCATGTGGATCTATTCGAAACGTTGCAGTGTCAGCGGAGGATAAGAACGCCTTCATGGTCAGAGCTACATGTACTCACATCAGCCAGTCTAATACGCTCCGATCAATAAGAGCATGACCCGGATGACCACCACCGCAAAGATGGACCACCGCATCAACTTCATCACAGTAGTAATGTACTTCAGAAGTATCCAGGTGAGAAGCGCGAAAACCGCAGCGATCTCGTCCCTCCCTTTGGGAAACACCTCGTGGAGGATATCCCACGCGCCCTTCACCAAGAACTCCAGAGCCCAAATCATGCTGCTGGCGTTGTGATAGATGCTATTGCCTACCACAGGTAAAAAGTTAGCTGAGTCACAAAAGCAGTTTGCACAACCTGTCCAAGTGGCAACTGTGTACCAGGGAGCAACTTACCGTGCAGACCCAAAGACGTGAACGTGGTTTGGTACGCCCCAGTTTCCCTGGAGAAGAAGCCAGAGCGCCGGTCCATCAAGGGTCCAAGTGTATCGGTCAACTACATCGGTCAGCGGTGCGGTAAGCCAATCGCTCCACCACAATACTTACATCCTTGAGGGGCTCGTAGCAGTAGCTGCGCAGAACCTCCAAATTGTCCATGGAGATGAGGCTAAAGCAGAAGCTACCAACTTTCAAGACGTAGGTGCGGCCGTCGGACTCGATGTTGATCATGTCGAAAAGCGGTCGTAGGCTATCTGCGTGACGGTGGACGAGGGCGGCACCAACCGCGATGCATACAGGCTTGATCAAGATGGACAGGAAAAAGGTTGCGACCAGGTACATGAAGCCAGGGTCGAAGAGATAGCCGAACGGGGAAGCAATCGTACGGTACAAGTTTCGGAGAAAAGGCATCCTGGTCGTGAAGATGGTGACGATCGATGGGAAGTTCAGAGGTGTAGGGGATTTCGACCGAAAGTAGTAAGGTCTTGGAAAGGTTGGGTGAGGAGTTGAAGTTGCGAGGCACGTTCGCCATCTAAATACACGATTCTGGCGTTGTTTGTCTCGCAGCAGATGACTGCGCAGGTCTAGGGCAGCGCGATGAGCAAACAAGGTCTCAGATCGCAATGAACGTGGCAATCGTGCACCGACCACAAAGGAGACTTCCAGAGCCGTCCTTCGCAGCGATGCTCTTGCGGTATTCACATTGGTCCGCGCACGGTCGCGTGTCTCGCCCTCAGGCAGCGGCCGTGCAAGACATACAGCCGTGCCTTGGTAAGGATACACTTCGCGGTATCACCACCAGGAGTAACGCTTTCCACCCTCATCGGAAACTCAACTCACCATGGACCAAGACTACGAGATCGTTGTTGCCGCTGGACTCCACACCCCGTCCCCTGGCGGCATCCCCCGCCGCAAGTCTGTCCTCTTGCTATACGATTGCTCAGCATTTCCACTTCCCGATCTCGCGAGCAAGCTGATCGACCTGGATCATGTAGTGGTCCTACCGGCCACAGCCTTGCCCGCGGCTCCACCCGTGCCCAGGCCGACGAAGGTGCGCATGCGGAATGTCTTTTGTTACTCAACACAAGCACCGTTCGAGAGGCCAAGCATAGCTGTGCAAGACGCTATCCTCAACCACATCTATCAGCGCACTGGAGTTCGCAAGTTCTTCACCGTTATCGTACTAGGAACACCGCAGATCTCAAGGGTCGGCTATCTACCAGAGTTGCTCAACACCTGGTCAGGTATCTCCTTTCACTTGGTCACAGAGGCTCTCCGGGTACAGCACGAGGATTGGAGGGCTTGCTTCAACCGCTACGAAGACCTGCTCCTGCGTTATCGGGAAAACATGACCTGGTGCACCTACCAACTCGAGACACTGAACGGCATTCGTGGCGTCTCGTGGTTGGACGTCGATGAGGCGGACGTGCAGAGGCCGGCAGTTGAGCGACATAGCTTTCTAGGCCGCCTTCTTCTCAACACCACCCTGCATCAGCCAGCAGCTTACACCCACCTCCAGTCAAGGATCGCAAGGTTGTCGCTCCGGCGTCGAAGTGGCGATGCGTGCTTGGGCAGCAGTGACCGTCTATTCCTCTGTTTTGGAACCCTACGGCGCTGGGAGACGATGCCCGATCAGCAGTCTATGGAGCCTCCTCCCAGCCGACGTGGCTGCTAGTTTCAGTGTCGAGGTTGCAAAAGTCCCAGGAAAACACCCCTACAATTGCTTATGTGGCCTATTACCGGCCACTACTTTTCAATCTTCATCAATAGAACAGTACTGGAGGACCCGTATTATCTATCAACAAACAACCGCACAGGATCTGGTACGAACATCTACCCTGTCTTAACATAATGCGAGAGATTATCTTCAACATTCGACTGTGCTATGTGGAAGTCGGTTCCTACAAGCATAAACATGGCGATTGCCCGCCTACACTAGAATAGTGCTAAGCCTATAGACTACTATATATACCAAAACAGTTTGGATTTCCTGTGCTCTTCTATTAAGAACTTCTTGCTATTATAGTAGGTTTTTCATAATATAGAAACCAGCTATTTAGCACAGTTTACACTATACTGGATAGCTCACTAAGGTGTCCCATTAGCTAACAGAGAGGTCTCTGTAATTGGCTAGGTGTGAATTAAAGCTTAGGGTAGTGTGCCAACATGTTCCTTTATCCCTATTACCTACACTAAGCACCCACACTAAGCACCCACACTAAGCACCTACACAACCTACTACTTTTGTAACTTATGTGTATAACTACGTCTAAATTACTTAATTTTGAGGTTACTGACTAGGTGTTGTGGGTGCTTATTACCTTTAAGCAAAAAGGACTACTTTCTATACTATATGAGATAGCACTTGGTCTATAGGGGAGCCAGCTTCACAACGTTGTAAGCTGACTTTCGCTATGACAAACCACCCCGAGAGAAGGGTCACCGTGGCCAGCTACAAGCGTGGAGCCCAATAATCAAAAGCCATTAACGCATTTGCCCAATGGTGGAAGCGGAAATGCTGTGCCTACGCATATAAGAGTTCCACGCTCAGATCATCCTGCAACATCACACTCAATTCCTGGTCAAACGCTGCCAGCGACATCCGACTCGACGCCACGCGACCAGCCCGTACGCTCCGACGCCACTCCATCTTTAGGTTCTGGCGCAACTTTTGTCAATGCAGCATCGCAGTCCACCGTAGCAGAGGGCCAACCTCAGCCCCGATAGGTACGTTCCATCATGATCTGATCGGCCGCTTCACGCTCCCCATCCCAACTTTACGCTAATGCTAGCCACGGTCAAAGAGCGCCGAGAACTTGAGCGTGAAGCCCGTGACAGTTCAGAGAAAGCCTGATCGTAGTTGCTCTCCTGGCGGTCCTCCTTTAGATAGGCAAGGCAGAGAGTTCGCTCTACGCATTGCGGGATATGGATGCAAGGTTGGAAAGGTAACTGGACACATTATGAACGCTAGACTGCACATGTGGGTATTTGCCGTGGGGCACTTTAGATTTCTACATCCTACAACGGCTTCAATAACTTAATAATGTCAAGATCTCCTTCATACTGTGACTCTCTTTTCAGAATCAATGTAAGTTATAACTCAACCTGGATTTATGATGATGTATAGTCTATAATCTGTGTACAAATTTCCAAGAGCAGCGTTCGTACAGCTGCTAGATGATGTTATTGGAATGATGTGCCCTTAATACTTCTTCCGCACGTCCTTGCCCGTCACCTGCCACGGCAGTCTACGTCGCTTCTTCGGCGCGGGAGGTGTGGATGGAGATGACGCCTGCTCGGGATTGGTCGCGCCGCCGTCCTCGTCAAGGTTCGGCATCTCTGCGCGGATGGGCGTAGCCTTGGCGCTGCGCGGACGGCGTAGTTCGGGCGGGGAGATGGGGCGTCTCATTGTAGGGAGCTCGGCCTCTACGTTGCCTCGGGCTCCAACCTCGCCCTCGTCCTCAGATCCAACTCTGCCCTCGTCCTCCTGCATACTTCTCTTTAGAATGTTAGCCCTGTCTGCTAGGATCCTCTCCCCATACGATGATTTCCTGAATGCTTCATAGCCTGGCAAGGGAGGAGGTCCTTTGGATATGTAGGGGGGAGGGATAGGGCGAGTGACTGTGGCTGCCATGGACCCCACGTTTTCCAGTGCAGCGCCAGTTTGGACTGGAATAACCTCTACTACACTGTGCTTTTCGGTGTCCTTTGTCTGGGTGTGCTGGACTTTAGGGATCACGGTACCTGCCTCTTCAGTCCCCTTATTCTTGTCAAACCTGTGGCCATTTGATTCTTCCTGACGCTGAATCGCCTTTTCGGTCTTACTCCACCTTGTATCCTCGTGAGGTTCCTCGCGCTTTATCATGTCGCTAGCCTCACGGAGTTCCTGGCTCCTATGAGGCTCCTTCTTGTCGACTGCGTTACTAGTGTTGCACACTTCTACGCCCTTTTGAAGTTCCTCGTTCATTGATAACGCTTTTGAAGAGCTTGAGATGAAAGACTTAAAAGTGATGTACTAACAGGAAAGCCTTGTAGATCAAAGCAGGTTAACATTATATAGCATAATTAGGTGCCCAAGTTTGGCCGCGATTGTCAGTGTTACGCTTGTGAGGCACCTTTATTCATCAAACTTTGGGCCCGTATTACTCCGAACACTAACAAAGTAGCTTGTGGTGGCACAATATCACGAGGAATATCCTGGGATTGATAATGCAATATAATACTCATCAAGTCTATAATCAATCTACTAGAAACAAAAGAGAATACTAAATTACACCAAAAAAGAGCGGACAGACGAAAAGTCCAATAGAAAGTATAATACTGTTACCAAATCCCTCTCCAAAGCATCTTACTATACTAGTGAGCGCTTCCCTTTGAGACCTGGGAGCCCTTTCTTTAGTCTTCTCATCTACAGTCTCAAAGGATTACCTACTTAAACTGTGTATAGATGTGATGAACTATTTTTTGATCAAGAGTTGTGCAACACCACACATACCAACACAGATGGTAGCTACGTGACCAAGCAGACGTAGTCCACTAAACTGCTTATAGGGCGAATCCTCTTCTCCTTTGTCGTCTTCGAAGCGAGCGCGCTTGGTAGGTCGTCCATTTTCATCGCCAGCCTCACCTCCATCCATGTCAGCCCTCGCACGTTTGAGGCCGCCTCGAGCTCCGACACCCAGGGAGACGGCCTCGCCAACCGTGCTACGCTCCGCAGCCTGCGCGAGGGTAGGTATGCCCGACCTACAGACGGGAACAGGCTTCTGGGAGACGAGCATGGGGTTCTTGTGAATAGGAACCGGCTCGCCATCAGTCGAGACGTCCTTGTATCGGTCAGGACCTCGCTTGTAAAGGATGGGAGTAGAGTTGTCCTGGACGGGAGTGGCCTTGTTCTGGAAAGCGGAGTTGTCCTGGATGAGTGTGGAGTTGTCCCGTGTAGGGGTTGGCTTATCTTGGGCCAGAGTCCGCAGCGTGGTGGGCGCGGTAGCCATCTCGTCCTCTATTCCGTCATGTGCTCGACCAGACAGTCCTGCGACGTGAGGATCATTAAGGTAAACACAGAATTTATAACTACCAAACTCGAGCATAGTGTTCTCCCTCAAGGTTGTAGAGCTCCCTGGAACCAGATGGACCTTTCCACTGCATACATCTGCTGTGGTCAAGTTCTGTGCGCTATTGTTGATGAGCGACAAGGTCCGCTTGCCAGTGTCAAAGGCTAATTCGAAGTGGTGCGGGTCGACATCGGCACCCAAAAGCTGCACGGCGTTGGTGCGCTTCTTGCCAAAGTGCATGCTCTTGCGGGCAACCTTGTGAACGTGGGCCACGTCGTAGACGATGACGTTGTAGTTGATTCCGGTAGGATGCTCCTTCAGGATAGCGTCTGCGAGCGCTAGCGGCATTTCTGGGATGGCCATGGCCCACCTGGCGTTGTTTGGGCGCTTGGTTGCTTCGATTGCGTACTGCGAGATTGGAACGACCGCAGCAATGACGGAAGTCATGTTGGCGAGGTGCCGTCGGTTGATAGCGTCGAAGGAAGATGACTCTGACGGTGACGCTTCGGATCGATATCAGGCTGGAATTGGCTCGTGAAGGGTCGCGAGCGAGTTGGTAAGAAAAGCTTGGTTTATTGTAATTGTCGTTGCTGTCGTTTGCGCAGGGAAACAAGCGACCGCTCGAAGGTGTTGAGAGTGAGGATGTGGTGAACGAGAAACGTGGTGCCTTAAGTACCAACACTTGACATTGGCCTGGCGCAGCTGTTCTGCTTGATGTCTTGCAGTAGTCATCCGCGCCAGCGCAAGGCTCAGGCCTTGTCGCGGTTTGAGACTGGTGGGCATGAGCTTCCACCAACGTGAGGTGCCTCGGACGGTCTGAGGCGTCTTGAAGTAGGGGGAGTTCAGATTCTGCTGTCTCAGGACCCTGCGAAACAATCTCTCAACCGGAACAGAGTCATCTTGTGAGGAAATCGTGGGGTTCCTCGCAACATACACATGTCAATGGAACGGTCCTTCTGCAGCGACACATTCTGACCACAACGAATGAAGACACTTGGATCCACAGTTGAGAAAAATGTCTCCTGTCAGCCCGTATGAGCAGACCTGACGGGCCAGTTCTCGGCAGGGACACCGTGAGACAATCCTACGAGTGTACAACTTCCCTTTGTGACCGCGTTGCTTCTTGTCTCAGCTCGTGCTTCCGAGACGCTGCGGTATAGAGCGATCTGGGACTCGGGCCACTGCTGGATGTTTCGAGCGCTGACGGCTACGGACAGGGATCTGCGCGAAAGCCCGCTGTCAGCGATTGCTAGAACGACGCAAGCCATGGCGCGAGCATAAAGAGGCGTGCTCGACCCGACATCACCTCCAAACGCGATCCTCATTCTGCTCTTGGCCCTACCGGGAGATATCTCAGACAGCAACGACCCACATTTTCTTCTGCACCCAGAACGCAGCAACTCACCGTCAGAACGTAAGTCCTCGCCCCCTCCTTTGCACCGCAAGCTGATCGGTACAACAGGAACACTAGCCGCTTGGAGGTATGACATCGCGGAACAGGCGAGCTGGTCTCGCGCGCGTTCTTGCGGGAGCGGTGGCACGGCAAGCCTCGACCGTGATAGGCCCTCTCGCAACGCTGCACGGTGCCTTTTACCTGCTCACAAACGGGAGCCGTGAGAGCGCCACGGTCGTCTTCGTCCGCGGAGCAATCGATGCAGCAAGTGAGGTAGTCAGGTCGATTGCTCGGAACGGTTTCAACATGGCGTGGGATGCTGGTCAGGATCCCCGGCTCCAACAGGTCATGACGAACGCGAGCCGGCCTCTGGTGACTGCCGCGATGAACACGCCAGTCTTTGTGAACTGGTTGGCGACCTCCGGTATCCGGCGCGCTTTCAACTCCGCCAGCGCCGCTTGGTACTTCTACGCCAGCGCCCCGCGGCGCATCTGTTTCCTGCTCCTCGGGGATCCGGACGAGAGCGACAGCGAAGTGGTGAGCGAGGTCGGAAGGAGCGGCCACCGCCAGCTGGTCGACATGGTGAGCGTACAACACCAGATTGGAAACAGCAGCGCCGCGCGCAACGACGATGCGCAATATCCACCCCAGCTGGTTGCTAGCGGAGGCGAAGATGTGGTCATGGGCGAGGCGCAAGGCGATACAGGAGCGAGCGGAAAGCGGAAGAAAGACCTGGAGGAATTCGCCGGTTACGAGCAAGACCATCTCGCCAAAAAGCAGCGACTCGAGTCAGACTACGACGGCATCGGCAGTGACACTAGAGTGGGCCAAGACGGCACGCTCATGTACAAGTGCACGGGTGTGACAGGAAAAGGCCTTCCGTGCAGCAGATGGAGCAGGAGCGCGCAAGGCAGTCCTCCAGTCTACCACTGCTGCCAAAAGCATGAAGAGCAATGGAACAATCGTCAAGAGCTTCTTGTGGGGGACGAAGAGTGATGCGGATGAAATCGAGGCGGACGAACAAGCGTCCCACGTCTGGAGCAGGGCCGCGTCTTGCCATGTCCCTGTGCTGACGCGCAGAGATTGGTTTTCGAATGGGGAATCATGGAGCATATAATGAAGTATTCATGGAGAACATAGGAATCATGGAGACTATAGAAATATGGAGAACATAGGAATATGGAGAATATAGAAATATGGAGAACATAGAAATATGGAGAACATAGAAATATGGAGAACATAGAAATATGGAGAACATAGAAATATGGAGATTATAGAAATATGGAGGGGGAATATTATCCTGTTAATCCGTAAAGCAAAACTCCAACTCCATTCTATGCCGTGCTGTTCTTCCCCAAATATAATTGTGTTCTGGATCGCCTTGCCTCGTATCGTGAGGAGACGAGTTTGCTGCAAAGCGACCTGCAAGTGACGGACGACTGAGCCGGTTCGCGTCAAGGCTTCTTGGCTTGCCTCGAGGCATCCTCATCGGACCATCTGAGCGAAACGTAGGTGAGATTCGATGCATGTTGACGGTTGGCGTGCGTGATGAGAGCCGCCATGGGCCATCTGGCAAGTCTCGTGCCATCGTCCGGCTTGCAGGTGACGGTCTCCATGTTTTTGCATAGAAAGGCTGCGAGCTAAGCGGTGTCAGCTTGAAACTTGATGCAAGCACCGCAGCATTTTCTTTTTACTCACGGGACCGCTCCTCCTGTGCTGGACCATGTCCCCAGCAGGCGTGCGGAGGGCTCTTAGGGCGCCTTGGTACTGGCTCCTGGTGCGATTAATCTCCAGCGTGGTGTGGTCGTTGGTGCCGACGTCATCCTGGCGCTCGGCGCCGCAGACGTCGAGCAAGACGAGGCGGCCTGCGCGCTCTTGATCTCCCAAATGTTGCGTTGACATCTCGACGAGCAGGTGCTTTCTGGATGAGTTTTTGTTCATGTTTGTCGGACGTGTCGTGCGTTTACGCTCAACGTGTGCCAGCACAGCTGCCACGCCGGCTGGCGTCGTAACCAGATAGGCGCCTGCCGACTCCGTCACGCCGAATTGCTGCTGTTCTTTCGCACTCATCGCTTCCAGCTCGCTTTGGCTGCTCAACATTTCCGCGGCCTTGATGAGTATGCCTTCATTGGCGTACTCCAGCAGGTAGCGCCCGGCAGCCTGCCCGACGGACCTTTCGCCGACTACCAGGGTATGCGACTTGCCGCTGGACGACGGGCCATCTGTCATGATGATGCTGACACCGCCGTTGACGACGCGGTCAAAGTAGGGCTCGAACGCTGTTGCGAATTTGTCGTTGTCAATCGAGTCGAAGACGTAGTCGAACCCGAAATCAAAGGCCTTGTTCGTGTGGTTGTGAAGAGTGACACGGGCCCTGTCCTCGCTCACGCTCAGCACGGAGCCTTCTCCGTCTCCGCCCAGCGCTCCAGGAAGAGGATAATCGCCGATGCGGAGGAGCCTTTGCAGGTGATTGTCGCGCGGCTTCCCCAGAGCAGTCGTGAGACTGGCAACCTGTTGTTCCAGTGCGTCTTTTGCCGTGCTTGAAGCTGTCAGAGCTTCTCGGGCCTCGGAAAGCTCGCCTTCGAGCTTCGCCACAGAGCTCGTTTGCCCAGAAAGCTGCGCTGAAAGGTCGGTCACCTGTTTCGTGCACTCTGCGTGGAGGGAAGATTCTCGCTGAGATGGATCTGCCGCTGTACTGTGCGCCAGCTTAAGCGCCCGTTCGAGTGCTGTAACAGTAGTGTTCTGCCCAGCAAGCTCTCTGGCGTGCTCTTCACTTTGCTGAGCGAGCTGCTGATCACGTAGGCGGACCTGCTCAGCTTGGCTGCTTGCATCTTTCTGCGCCTGCCTAAGCGCAGCCTCGAGAGATGAAATAGCAGTCTTCTGGTCGGCGAGCTTTTCGGGGGGCTCTTCACTCTGATGGACGAAGGATCGATGAGATTGTTGCAACAGTTTAACCTTGGCCTCGAACTTTGCCGCTGAATCCCTTTGCTCGGATAGCTCCTCCGATAAGCGGGCCTCTCGTGTTGTGGACTCTCTGGCCTGCTCTTCGCTTCGCCGGACGAGCTCTTGCAGTCGTTTGATTTCAGCCTGGAGCAGTGCTGCGGAGTCTTCCCGCTCGACACCTTGAGTAGTTCGTTGTACATGCTCACGATGTATCGTGCGCAGGACACGTGAAGATCTGGAATCGCTGTCCTGGGCTGCTATGGTGGCCGGCGGCCGGCGGCGTCCAGCCTCGCGCAGGATGCTCCTCCTAGCCGCTATGATGAATCTCACCACGCCGAGTTTGCCAAGTGCAGCCTGTGCATGGTCCCAGCCCGGTCGAAGAGCCCATCGCCCTTCCTCACTCCAGGTGAACAGGATCGGCAGCATCATGAGCCATAGCGTAGCCGGGTGAATAGCGCCCCGAGTGACGGTGAAGAATCCTGCGAAGCGTTCGGCGGAGACGCAGTCCCCATGCGACATACTTTGCCAAACCTCGTCGGGGGAGGGAATTTCATCCACTGCAACGTTCACGGTAAGCGCCTCGTGCGGCAGGGATCGCGGTTGATGTGCACTTACGAGACTCGATGCGGGCTGCCCCGGCTGTCTTACTAGGCAGTTCTGCCAGTGGGAGAACCATGGGATTGCTTCCGGTGCCATGGATGACAGCGACCGTCGTGAGACGCTTCTCGAATAGGGCATCGTCGCTAGGAAACAGGCGGCCGTCGAATCGACCGCGAAGCTCCTGCAGGGGCATGCCCAAAAAGGGCAGGCACGCGTGGATCTCGCTCGCGAGCGGCACGCGGCTTCCTGCAGACATTACAGCAGTCAGCGATCTATCCTGCGCGGGAACGAGCGCTGGCAGCGGAGCAAGACTTGCCAGGCAGAGTCACGTCTCGCGTGAGCTCCAGGTGCAGCAACACCCCAACGAGCGCGATCACGATGCCAACGAAGTGGACAGGATCAGGCTTCCGGAACGAAGCAAGCCCTATGGCGACCAGGAGCACGACGAGCTGTCCCACAAGGCTCTCATGCGCGACCACGTCGGTGATGTCGTCGAGCAAGCGGCCCAGACGGTTGGACAGCCAGCGGGCGGTGGCTTGGACGCGGTGTGCGCGCGCGCCGGAGGCCGGCTGCATGTTGTACGAGACGCAGGTCTGCAGTCGTGGGAGAGCAAAAACGGGGACGCAGAGAGCGAGACATCGAAGAGCGAGGTGGGGGACGTTCTTGGTGCGGCCGTCGCGGATGAGCGCGTTGAGCGAGCGACCCAGGCCCATCGTGCAGCGTCTGAAGGGGGGAGGAGGGAGGAGGCGAAGGAAGCTGGCGAGGTGCAAGGTGAAGGAGCGAAAAGGGGCCCGCTGTGGCGCAGAGACATGGCCTATCGAACTTGTCCGCGCATCGTCACGGCTGGCGAAACTCCACACCGACGCCCATGTCCCGCTCTGCTTGACCGCGACGAACGAAATCTCGTGGCATCACCGGGGTCCGCGCTTCTGGGCATCGGCGGGTAACGGTTTCGCGGATCGATGGAACGACGAAGCTTGGGTAGACACAACACGCAGGAACAAGTCACGCGCATGAAGGGGTAAGTAAGTACTAAGTTCAATTGCCCTTTGGAGTCTATTGAAACGATACACGAGCATCGATTGGAACGATGCCTAGGGCAGGTGATCCGACGGGAGGATGTTTGCGCACGAGAGCTGGTTGATCAGAAGCGAAAGTGCCGTGAGCCGTGAAGACGGGAGGGGGGACGAGGAGGCGCACACGGGAGGCTGGAAACGTTTGTACGCGCTGCGGGAAGAAGGGCATGGCTAGGCGTCCGGGAGTGCGCGGAGGTAGTCGTCGATCCGGCGCTCGAGCAGGGCGTCCGCGGGACCCGGGGGCAGGAAGATCTGGAATCGATGGCGCTTGTCCTCCCCGGCCGCCACCTGCATGAAGCCCTCGAGGCTCTTCGTCTCACCCGGCGCTACCGTCCGGAGCCGCTGGAGGTCGTGGACAAAGATGTCGGTGGCCGTGGTGGTGGTGTTGGTGGTGGTGTCCAGCTTGTCGCTGCTAATGTTCTTGACAGTCAGGGAACGGGTGACGGGATCCATGGCGATTAGAAACTGATGCGAGGTGATGCCGCTTCCTACAAGTACGATGTCGTTGTCCCTCCCGCTGCCAAAGGAGAGGCCGTGCTCTCCGGTGAGACGGGTCGGGTCGAAGATGACGACCGCTCGCTCTAAAGGGTACCGCTCCGCAATCAGCCCCTTCATCGGCTCTTCGAGGGACGACACGGTGCAGCGGTGCTTCCGGTTGACCTTGAGCTCCACGCACTTGCGGGTATCCTCCATGAGTGGGAGCAGCACGGCTGCGACGGGCGACATGACGGGGTGAGGATCGAGGGGGAAGAGGCAAGCTGGGAAGGGTGCGAGTCGTTGTATGGTGGGAGCGGGGGGTGTGGACCGTGAAATGTACCGTTGCGGCGAGAGCTTTCCAAGACAAGCTCTATTTGCGCTGTCGAGACAAGCGTTGCGGCAAGACAACCGCAACGTCGACCCGCATCTTTTTCCAGCCAGATTAGCGTGCTGCCTGAGTGGAGTTAGCAGAGTGCCTGCGTGAGTAGGAAGCTGGGATCGCTGACCTCTGCCCGCCGCGCCTGCAGAGGGCACGCGTCCAGCCAGACGAGCACCGCCTCCCGCTCGTCCGGCATCAAGGCCGCAGGGCTCATGAGGAGCAGGCGAAGGGCGTGCACATCCGCCTCGCGGAGCGACCGCTTCTCCATCTCGTCGGCATCGAGCCGGCGATCGAGCTTCTGCGGTACGCACTCGGAGCTTCCGCGTCCACCGCAGGGTCCCAGGGGGCACTGCGCCAGCCACTGCCGGACCAGGTGCGACTCCCGATCTGCCAGGACCCCCGTTCCGTAGAGTATCAAACCCAGCCGCTGCATCTCAACTTCCTGTAGCACCTCCTTCTCCTGCATGTAGTGAGGCTGATCAAAGTCGTGTTGCGTGCGTTCGGTGAAGCGTTGCAGCAGCGCGCGAGGCGCGGCAGTCATTTCCACGACGGTGCGCTGCAGGGCGTGCGCGGGAGGATGGGCACCGCGTCGCAGGGCGGGTATGGCTGCGCGAGCGAGGCAGAGGTCGTCAGGATCCTGGAGCGTGTCGACCAAGGCGCTGGCGAGCGCTTCGTCCTGGGTTTCGGCGATGCGGTCCCAAGCTTCGCGGACGGCCTGCATGAGCCTCGTGGGGCGGTCTTCAGCGCTTCTCCCCTGCAGGCTTCGCAGCCTTTGGACGGTGGCGGGCGGGTCCATGGGCCGGGCGATGGCGGTGAGGTGCTGCAGCTTTCGGATGCTCGATCGGGAGAGGTCGAACGGAGACCCCGCGAGGTTTCACCGAGCCGCTGCGCTGATTCCCACGCCTGGCGGGTCGTTTCGTCTCGTCACCGCACGCCTGCCGAGATGACGCTGCTGCAGGAACTGCCGCCAGACTTCACCTTCGTCCAATCCTCCTACCAGAGCCAGGTCCAGCTGCGCGGCGCCGTGCAGGATGACGCTGGGGACGGGACCAACGCTCTGAGCCTCAGGCCCAACGAGGTAGCCGTCATGGCCCTGAACGAGGTCGCGGTCGCGCGCGGTCGCGGTTTCTTCTGGCACTTGCCCAGCCGAGACCGTCTGAAGAATGATCGAAGCACGACGAACCATGGCAAGCAGGGCAAGGGGAAGAGGGCCGGCGACGCAGCGGTGCCCCAGGACACTCCGCCGGACAGGATGGCGGGCCCGGCACAGCGAGTACTCCCCCTCTGGCCTGACCCTGCCCACGCTGACGGACGCCGCAGGCCGAATTTTCCCACGATGATGTACCTAGACCACGCCTGGAGCGACGCGGCGCGCGAGCGCTTCCGGAAGACACCCCACCGCGCGCGCTACCTGCTCTGCGACGGGCTCCTGAACCCGCCGGCTCGCGGCGCGGCGCCAGCGATACACCGCATCCAGTACGCCAGCCACACGCGGTACCAGCTCTTCGCGACGGACCAGCCCTCGCTCGTGGTTCTGCAAACTCACAAGGCGTTTTACGCCATGTCGACGGATGACTTGGACATGCTACGCGGGCGGACGAAACACAATGGGGTGCAGTTCTCCCAGACATCGAAGCTGTGGGATGACGACGAGCACCTGGTCGAGCGCTTCACCTGCCCAGACGCCCAGGCGCTCTACGCGCAGCTGACGAGCCTGTGCATGGCAGGTCGCAGTGCTCCCGTGACCGCAGGGGAGCTTTCCCGGTATACACCCAGGCCCGCCGCGCTGCCGGCGCCCGCTCAGCTCCTGGGGACGGTGCCGCTGGGCAGTGAGGGCAACAATCGATCCGGGCCCAAGTCGAGCAAAGGCTGCATCAGGCAGCGCGCGAGGAAGTCGGGTGGGCCGAGCGAGGAGCCGGTGGACGAGCTTGGGGGCATCTAGGGTGGGAAGGCCACGGGCGGAGGTAGAGGAGGGCTCGCGGAAGCGGGTGGTCTGTCGAGCGGGAAGACGAGCGTCTGCTTCTTGATCAGACGTTGGACGTTCAGACGTTGGACGTTGAGATAGGTTCATCTTCGGCCCGGACTAGTCGCCCTGTCATGCCCAGTTTGGATAGCCCTTTAAACAATTTTTCCCTTTTCGCACTAGTGTTGTGACCAACCACGGAATTCACCTTGCAATCGACCACCGACCGGAAAGCCGGTCGTGAGAAGGTGATCCCAACCCGTTCAGCCTCTCCAAGACAATCGGACCTGCCCTGGAGTGGCCTTTCAACGATGATCAAGAGCCGCAAGATCTACACGCCGCACACGACCAGAAGCTGACAGAATCGGCATTTGCCCACTTTCGTTTTGATATCATCTGGAAGTGTGCTTGCGACGGGCCTTGCCTTGTAGTGAGAAAGCGCGATGGCAGAGGGGCGTACGTGAAGTGTTCCGAGATCCGTGTCCACTCAAGAGGGCTGCGCACTTGCTTATTCCGGGCCAGCGAGAGACACCTACTTCTGGCTTCCCCTACCTGCTACCCACCTACCTGTTACCCAGCAGCAGCAGCAGCGCAATCCCATCTCACCCCAGCGAGTTCCCAATAAGTATGCGAAGCGCGCTGACGGACGCCTCTGCAGAGTGCTAACCCGTGACAGCGCCGCGATACGACGCACCGGCCGCATGTCCACCGCCGGGCCCGCCAGGCCTCCCGACGGGGCCACCGCCCTCTGGGCCATGTGGCCTTGGGCCTCCAAGAATTACGCTGCCGTGTGCGAGGGAGATGTCTTCTCCGTGCTCTTTGGACTCAGGCACGTCGTCCGCAACTTCGAGTTCGCACCCGTCGACGGGGCGGTATGCCTCGAAGAGCCTGGCTTCCCACCGCAGGCTACGTACGCGCAGAGGCTCCTCTCCATCCGCCATCGCATGCTGAAGGACCCCCACGCATGCCGCTTTGTTCAGTTTGATGTGAAGAGCACCACCGGGCTAGAAGCGGGTTCGCAGACATCCCTCACAGCCGTCAGACAGCACCGCAAGACCGCCTTCTGGATCATCGTGTGCGCGAGCGATCCCAGCTTCGTTTCGCTGATACCCAACATACCTACGATGCGTCGGCGGCGTGAAGGAGAACACCTCTTCGCTGTCAATTCTACGAGGCGGCTTGCCGTCAGCGGTATCGCGTATGGCTACCTGGACCCCGAACATGCAGCCCATCGCATGCCTCTTGGTCTCCTGCAGACCGCCGTGGAGAGGGTGCGCGCATGCGCCATCGCAAGCGCATCCGGTGACAGGCAGGACTACGTGAATCCGTGGACGGGGGTGGCGTACCGCGGCTGGGTGCCGGCAATCACGGAGTCGACGGACGACATGTGGCCGCGCGAGGACACGGAGCACTCCGGCGCATCCCTCGGGATCCTGGCGCTGTGGCGGGAGCTGCGTCTGGCCAGCGGCGACGGCGAGGACGTCCAGTTCGACATGGTGGGCCTGCAGCCGCGCCTGGCCGACATGAAGGTCGTCTTCAAGCAGCGGCAGTGGCTGATCCAGTGCAAGAGCGACACCCAAGATCGTCAACCGGGCCAGTTCGGCGACGTTGCCATCGCCCGCGAAGGGGATAGGTACGCAGGCCGTCGCGGGGACGACGGCGAAGCGCCGTGCTCCATCCACCACTTTTTCTCCTCGCACGATCGGTACACCTCACTTGCCGACGCCCAACGTCCGCTCGCTGACCAGAAGCACGCAGGTTCGACTTTTTGCTGTACGACTTCCGCTTCGACGGCGGTGAGCAACCGCTGACGACGGGCTTCTTCTTCCTCCCAGAGCGCGTGCTGCCAGACGAGTTCTTCACATCGTCGGACCAGACGATCGAGGCCAGCTTCGCCCGCGAGGAATTTCTCAGGTACTACATGACGATTGAGGAGAACGGAGACTGGGCGAGGCACATTTTGGACGTCATCGACGATAATCCGGCACCCCGTCGGGCGTCTCGACCGCACCGCGAGTGCGCGGTGCGCCGTCCGCTGGCCTGGAGGGTGGTGTCCCGCTTGAAGCAGCTGCAGATGCCCGGGCTCGCGCCGGAACAGCGATTGCCCAACACCGCTGCTGCCATCTGCCACAGGCGGCTCTTCCGCGGCGTGCTCGACCAGTGCGCAACGAGGTGAGAGGCTCGACCAGGTGCTTCGATGTCCGTGATCTGACGCTGCCAGACTGTCCGGCATCATCGTCGTCTTCGCCTATAGACACGCCGCCTGCGATTTCGCCTTCGCCCCTTATGCGTGGACAGCCTCGGAGAGGGACGCATACTGGACGACGGGCAAGCCCCCCGTCACCGTGCAGGACCTCCCTGCTGCCATGCCCATGGTGCCCTTCTACGCTTTCGCGCACGGCACGCGCTGCGACTGGAGGGGGCCTATGCTCTCCGGTGCTGAGTTCCGTAGGGCGAATTCCTGGGCACTACCGCGCATACTACTGTTCGACGCCACGGCTGCAAAAGACACGGCAGGGCCGCTCTTTGTAATACCTACCCCTGACCTCAGCGTCACGGCGCGGCATCGACGAGAGTACCAGCTTCATGTAGAGGTGGACAAGAAGAAAGGTGATCGACACGGCAGGGTACCCCTCGTACGAGAGCTACTCCACACTGGGCGCAACATCGTCGACTATGCGATGCCAAAGCTGGGCCCAAACGCATACGAGACGACGAGCGAGGATGGCTGGGGCGAGCTGTGGGCGCTTCTGGACAGTTTCGCCGGCACGACCCCGTTCGCCTACCCCGAAGGCTGTCGGCGGGAGCCGCGAGAGTACAGAACGACGCTGAAGCAGCTGCACGAGCGATGGTGGGAGGAGGAGACCAGGCGTGCGGAAGATGGTGCCGGGACGTAGCGGAAACCCTACGCGTCGACGCACCACCAGTTTCGACTCTTGCAACAGCTCGAAAACTCGGGTGGAGATCCGGGCGTCTGCCACATCCAGCTCGATCGATATCCATGTGGAGATATCGCATCTCCCAATGTTGGTCATCTGCTCTGCGTCATCTTCATGCGGAATTCACTTGTAGTTCAACTGCCCTCGAGCGTGGAGATCAGACCATGCTCGTGGATCGAGCATCGTCTCATCTGGCCTAGAAGGGTGGTTGATGTGGCTGTCGAGAACTTTCAGACGGATCCGGAAAAGGCGAAACGTTGGATCCTGTAGCGGCTACAAAGTTCTGCATCTCATTCACCAGATATCTTTATGCATTCCACGCACTCACATCCCGCTCCAGCTTGCTGTCTACCTTTTAACAACCTTTCTGCTTCCTACTATATGGGGTACAGTTAGACGAAGGAAGCCGGTTGCAAGCTGAACGCTGGCTGGTTCGTTGACTGTATACCACGGATGGGCTGCGAAAGTTTTGTCGGTGATGTGAAAACTGTCGTGTGGACGCTACCATCCACAAGAATCATGGCGAAAGCGTATAGGTATGTGTGCATCGAGCGTGGTGTGTCTAGATCTGGTGCATGGTTGGCCTGAAAGCAAACAGGTCCGCTGCGGGGTGCGGTAGCGGTCGAAAAACAGGGGGAGCCGTCAAGAATCATCACCCTGCTGCATTCCAGATCGGAGCGCCAACGTGTAACACACAGGGCCATAAGCGGGTGCGTATAAGCTAGGCCTCTACCCATCCACTCGTAGTGCACGCAGACTGAAAATCAACGAAAGTGCATGCAGACTAAAAATCTACTAAAGTACACGTAGACTGAAAATCTACCAAAGTGCACGTAGATTGTGAAATGAGAATACTCAACTGCTATCATGTCCAAGGAAATTTTAGTTTCCCCAATCTCCTACCAATTTAAAATGGTCTACCCACAGTGCAAACGCCGCTCTATCCGATTCCATCCGTTCCTGGCCTGCCTCTAAGTTAGGCATAACATAGGAGGCAATACTATAACGTAGAGGCTAGCCAGCCTCGCGCCTGCGCATCCTCCCGTGATTAGTTTATTAATTACATACTCGAAAGGCACAGTGGGCCTCCCCTCAGGGAAGCCAGCAACGCGGCCAGCGATGCTTTGGGAAGCGAAAGTTCGATAGGGAAGACACCCCAGCCGGCGACGCAAAGAAGATGAAAGTGGGAGACGTTAAGCGCGAGGACGAATTGGCCTACAACGATCGCCAGGGTGGCGGTGCCGACGATGCGGGTGCAGCCGGCCGAATGACAGGACAGGGAGTGGAGAAGCTAGCATCTAGAGGCCTGCAGGCCGGCGTGGTGGAGGAGAAGGAATGAGGTACATTCGCGTAGAGGCATAGCTCCAGGACCGGAACGAGATACATCCACATAAAGGCATAGCTCCAGGCTAATCGTGCACTTGACTTCTTTTCCGCTTCTGATGTAGCACTTCAGGTGTGACTGTTCAGAGCACCGAAATTGCGCTCTTCCCACACCAGACCATTAGAAGGGTAAAAGTGTATACTAGCGTACCATCAACCCTCCACTTTACCGTAGCAAGAGTTCAAAATATATCAAAGAGGGAGTCAAAATTTGGTACAGTGAATTTTATAACTCTGTGACGTGTTTCTTATAAAGCTGGCACCTAATATAATAGACTATACTCATAAAGGATGTCCATCCTGCGCGATCTGCACGTTTCAAACTTGCTCCACAGTACAGGTGGGGTGAAGTTTAGCAGGAGCCGCACTCAGAAGGGAGCAGCCAAGGCCTGCATATAGGACAGGAGGGTGTGCAGTATAGCAGGCATCGCGGCGAGGAGGACTAGTCCCAACACCAGTAGCGTAACGTTGAAGATGAGCAAGAGAGCCTTCAACACCCACTCGCGAGCGATGGTGGCGGCAGATGTACCAAGCTGGATGCACCAGGCGTGAGCACCTTGCACGCGTCGGGGAGTGTACGGCTACAAATCAGCGGTGCTCGGGGGCGTGGGTAGAAGCGGAGACGAACCAAGGTAGCTGCAAAGACGGCGCTCACGACAGGACTCAGCGCATGCACGAGTATGACGACAGACACCTAGACGTGCGTTTTAGAGGTGGCGGGGCGAGAGAGGGTGTTCCAAGCTTACAGCGGCAACGCTGCCTCTCACGATGGGGGGGCAGCCGACGATGTACTCGGCAGCAACGGTGGAGGCTGATGAAAAGGCACGTCGCTGGGCCGCCCAAGCATCGGAGACGTGCGTTGCTGCAGCGGAAACGAGGTGGTTGGGCATGTTGAAAGGCAGGTACTCGAACGAGCGCATTCGGGATGTTGCTCAACGACGGCCGATGGGGTCGGGTGAGTTGGGCGTATACACACGGCGGAAGACGGGGACGTGGTGAGGGGGGAGAGCGCGGCAGCGTACGGCACACGGCGCTACATGTATGCGCGTACCGTCGTCGTGCTCACCATCCTGGGTGTCTGACGTCGTGTTTGGGCGTGGCTCTTCCTGCTCTGCGTCAGAGGTCTTGCCGCGCGGGCCAGCGGCGTGGATGGGATTCAGCCATGCCCGCGATGTTGCTGCACGATTCTGGATCAGGGGTGAAGAAGAAGCGGAAAAGTTGGCAGCTAGCTGCTCCAACACCGTAGGCGGCACCGGCTTCGTCCCCCATGTTCCATGCGCCAGCCCTTGGCAGTTCGGACGTCGTCTGATACACCGTGGTCGTCGGCAAGCAAAGGGTTTTTTGTTTTGCTGTCTCGTGTGCGCGTGGCCCAGACAGCAGCCCCCTCATCGCGAGCCGTTCCGACGAAAGACCACCTGATTGGGGTTTCGGCGCACATGTGCTCTGCCCCGAGGCCAGGTTCGGCGGTGGGCAACGGTGGCTGGAGACGATCGAGCAGCAGCCTCGCAATCGCTTCGCCGTTCACCTGCCAGCCTGTTCCCCATGGTGAGTTGAGGCACCCGACAACCCGTTACCGATGGCATCCGACTGCGAGGAGAGCGCTGCGGTGCTTTCGACAAAGATGCTCCGCCTGATGAACGAGAAGCTCCCGCTCGAGCTGCGCGAGCAAATCTACCGCGACGCCTTCCCTGAAATCCGCTCGACGAGCAAAGCCGACCGCGTTCCCATCCTGCTGGATCGACCGTGTTTCTTGATGGGGCGGGGTCTGCCACACAACTCCCACACCTGCCGGCTATGCACACCTTCGCGGTGGGCCAAGTTCAGACGCTCACCCTTTGCTGATGCCACCAAAAATCCCAACGCCTGCGAGTTCATCCGGGCCTACCTCCGCGACGTCACCTTCTACTGGAACGCGAGGGCCACCGAGGCTGGACGAATGGGCCACTTCCCAGTAGGTATGAACGATTTCTTGCGCGATGTCCGCTCTCTTGGGCACCCCGATGTGTTCATCAACGTCGTCGTCGCTCCATTTGACAAGGAGGTGGATGCTGCCTTGCAGCATCTCTCTTGGACCATTGGCGTTTTTTACCTGAATGGGATGAAGGCTGTCTTGTCGTACGAGCACGAAGATGTGTCCCTCGCCGACGCCCTCCTGCGGTCCGCCGAACTCGTCGCCTCATCGATCCCTCATCACTCCCGACAGCACATCCGACAGCTCCGAAAACGCTTCCCCGGGCGTCGATGGGCGAAGGATTTCATCCACGAATCGGTGTGGGACTGGCTCTTCCGCGCCCCAGCCTGGTTGGATGGCGATGCTCTCCCCGTGCAGATGCTGCAGGACGACGCGGAGGTACGGCGGACGTTCCAAGCGTCTCGCGAGAGGTATCGCAGCGCGCAACATGTTTCTCTGCGCCATCTCTGGCACTCCAGGAACTCTGCTCCGTTGCAGCCTCGAGAGATGCCTAAACTCAGGCTTGACTTTTCCGGCGCAGTTCGCGATGGGGCGACGGGTGACGGGGTGACGGACGCAGTTGTGCTCAGTCTTTGATCAGGACCAATCTATACTATTTCTTTGCATGCTACGTGCCGTTGACAAACTGCCATGGTCGCTGCGACGCGATGCACGTGTGCCAACGAGACTGACCCACAGACAGCCAGAGTCACCACGCGCGTGGCGAACGAGCCGCGCCTTCGCAGGCGACTGAGATGCTACGCGCGTTGAACAGCAGCTTTTGCATCGATCCGTGTCGTTCCCCTCCCCCCCTGTCAAGCCCTCTTGCATGCCGCAATGTTACTTCGAGTGTAGCACTCGCTCGCGTGCCTTGATCAACTCCTCTGCTTCATGTTAGGCGTCGGACAAGGGCGGCGTTGACCGCAAGCTGGAGGTGCTGACCGCAAAAGCTCTCGAGGAGCGTCCTGAGCTGTCTGTCGTGCTTCCCCACTTGCCTTCTCCGCCTCAGCACGCGGAGCATGGGTTCGACGAACTTGAACTGCACCGCGCAAGCGCATATAGCAAACGTGTCGTAGGGATGCTGGTACTTGTTGACCTTGACGGAATATGCCTCTGACGCTGCTCAGCACGCGCCACCTCTGTCGATTCGTAATCGCGGGGTTACGCACCTTCGAAGCATGGCACACCCGCGACGAAGCGATAAACCTCGTTGGCCCTTTTGAGCAGCTCGCCCTCGCCCGCGGGCAAGGGACGCAGCGACTCCATGTAGCAAGGCCAGAGCCGCACGAGACCAAACTCGTCCGTCGTGGGCTTCGGCGGGGCCGTCCACGTCTGGAGCTTCTCTAGGTTGTCGCTGCGCTTCCGATCCCTGCCGCTCCACAGCTTCTTCCGACCCACCTCCGCCCACTCTGGCACAGGCTTGGTCACCTGGTGGGGGTCCAGCTCTGCAAAGTAGTGCTTGAGCTGGCGCACTTGTCAGCGCACCGAGCGTTCGACGGACGACTTGCTGCTCACCTCGAGCACCCCAAAAGCACGCGGAGCTTCCGTGGCCCAGTCGAGGATCTCGTTGAATTCCGCCACGGTCGACTCGCCAGCTCTGAAGCTTTTGCACCTCATCCGGAGCTCCTCCAGTGCCGCGTTTCGATCGATACCCTCCATGACTTTGTTCGCGGCTGGCGGCTGGCGTAAAGTTGGTAGTAAAGCCGGGCGACGAGCTCTCATATTTGGACCTCCGAGCGGGCGTCGAGACGGATGCGCGCGCCGTATCACGTCGCACCGGACCGGGAACGGGTTCTGCCCGTCGTCGTGACCTCGCGCCGCGCGGCACCAGGCGTGTCACGGCAGCGCCCGTACGAGGCGGCACCAGGCGTGCTTTGAGTAGACGAGGCGCTCGGCTGCACGCTGATTCCCCTGCCACCGTGGTGAAGCTGCTGCGCGAATCCGTACCGATGCGCGATTGGTCGCGTGCCCCGAGACGCCGTTGGGAAGATGTATTTCGCCTGTCCGAACCCAAAACATGTTCCCTTTCTCGAGGACACGCTGGAAACCGAGTTGTACTGTCGGAAAACGTGAGGGTTCTAGTCTTGCGCTGCGTTGCACCTCCTGTCTTGCAGAAAGAGACTCCTCCTGCGTGCTCTTGTAAGAACCGGGCTCGTTGTCGGAGCGGCCCGGCGCGTGCTCACCGCGTCCAGGTCGAGACTCGACATGTCACCCACCAGCGACGACCGTGTTGAGTATTTCCGAAGGACCGTCAAATTTGCGAGTACCTCCTGTGCCGGATGGGTTTGCGAAGGCTGGGTGATGGGCGTGTTGATGCGCGCCGTCCGAGGCATCTCCGGAGTCCATGTCGTTTGGGGTAAGGGTCTCCCACTGACGATGCACCTGCTGACGTTCTTGCAGGCCGAGAAGGCAGCGCGAGCGATGGAGCGTTCATCTTCTCCCATCGTACACTGCCCTCCGACCCCCTCGCAATCTGGGAGTATTGCGTGCGGGAAGGCCCGAGCCTCGAGGGATCCCTCTGCCGCTTCGACGTCAAGAGCGGAAGGTACGCCTTTCGCTATGACGCCATCTACATCATGGCGAATCCTCAGGATCCGCACCACATCTACATCGTACCTGGACAGACCTGGCTCGAGGCCTTGCATACGTTCGCGGATGGCTCGTCGTGGATCCTGAGGCAGTGCGCCGTCGAGCTCGATCATGTGCCCACCGCTCTGGAGTCGCTCTTCGACGCCTGCCAGTCTACGCGGGAATTCCTCTCGACGCCCTCCCAGCCACCCAGCGCTGCGAGGCCTCGCCGGTGGTACAGGAATCCCTCCACCGGCGTCGAGTTCGACGGTTGGTCCGTACCCCCGCCGTCTGACGCTGCACAGTTCACGTACATACGCCACCCGTGGAAGCGGTCGTCGGAGCAAGCCATCCTGCGCATGTACAAGCACCTCGACGGGCAGCCAGACATCCGCCTCCTGGACAACCCGCTGAAGCCGCTCATCGCGGACAATGTGATCACGTGCACTGACCCTCAGGCCGGTTCGTCGCGACAGTTCTTCGTCGAGCACAAGATGAGCACAAAGGAAAGGACGCTGGACCGCTTTGCACTTGCAACCTCGAATTGGCACGTGCTGATATCGCAGGTTGCGCGCCCGCAGTCGGACTTTTACCGTCTTCTTTTCGCGGGATCCTCCGAACCGACACGCCGTCTGACAGAGGGTGAGGTTGGCGCCGCGCTGACGGAGAACTTGCGCGAGCGTGGGAAGGAACTGCACAGGATCATGCACGACAGGTGGTGTACCTCGCCGGGAAGTGATCACGCCGATGACGAAACAGACTCGGACGACTACGACAACGATGACTCTGATGACCACGACGACGACGACGACGACGACTACGATGACGATGGGCCAAGCGCGTTTCTCGAACCTCTTCTCGAGGAAGAGGAAGTTGCCGGGCGTAGGGAGGTCGAGAATGCTTCTGATGAGGACAGTGGAGACGCGAATGACGAGGTGAGCGAGCAGCAGAGCAGGAAGTGGCGGGTCAACTGTGACAGGAGCGAAACGCGCACGTACGAGACGCTCAACGATCAGTCCTGGTATCTAGGCCAGCACGTGTGTCTCCGCGCGCATTCGGGCAGCTCCCACGGCACCTTGGTCTTCGTCGAGCACGTCTGGAGCGAACGTGACAAGGCCGCATACGCGCGGCGCCGAACGCTGCCGCAGCCTAGCTTGGACAGCCGGCAGGTACCCATTGCTTTTGGCCGGCGCTTGTACGACTTCCCAAACGGAGAACGCCAGTACTTGTTCACGACCGCGTTGCAGCATCGCTGCACAAAGATCAGGACGCTTTACATGCTCTCCGGCCCCACCGCCAACGGCCGTTCCCTAGACGAGGCCAAGCTCACCCTGCACTGTCAGGATCCAACGGACGGGCGGTGCGCCCAGTGCGATGAACAGCATGCTCACGTGCAACGCTGCGCGGGCGACAACGTCCACAGCTTCCCTGCCGGGACGGGTACCCACCCAGAAGTGTTGAGTCGCATCGGCAAGTGCCTAGGAGCCTTTGGCATAAGAGATGGTGGGGTGTGGCAGAGGTGTGCAGACCTGCTGACGGAGGAGCACACGTACAAGGCGTACACCCTGTCGCAGCTGCTCCAGAGCACGTGGAAGCACGGCTTGAGGAGACCGCAGCAACTCTGGCCGCTGGCCGCTGCCCAGTCTCAGCCGCGTTGGGCGCCGTGCCACGCGTGCTGGGCTGCCGGGCAGCTGTGCGACGCATCCCCCGAGGCGTGCGGCAGGTGCCAGAGCATCGGGCTCGAGTGCGTCCGCAAGCGCTGCCAGTTCTTCCGCGATCCGGAAGCGTGCGGCGATTGGTGGTGCTCAGAGGTCCACGAAACCGACGAGTATCGTCTCCTGACCGACGAACCGCGAGCCCTGCACGGATTCGACGCGAAGCAGGCCGCCGAGAAGAAGGCGGCCCTTGCTCGCCGCATCCCAGTGTGCAACCACTGCTGGAGTAACGGTTGGCAATTGCTCTGCTCCAGGGCAAAGGTCTGCCACATGTGCAAGCTGTACAGCACGGACGGCGCTTGCGTTCGGACGTGGTGCCGCAAGGCCGATGAGTGCGTCAAACTGCTATGTTCCTACGCTCACGAGGAGTGGGCCGTAGCGTGCGATGTCCAGTGCGACGAGTACATGCCCCGCAAGAAGGGCCTTCCCACCGGGGTCAGACTGAGTCACGAATCCAAGAAGCAAATCGCCGCGGAGAGGGGGCGAGTTCTACGGACGATCGAGATCAAGTCTGCCCGTTACTACGACATCCCACGACCCACGCAGCCAGCGAGCAAGGAAGCATGATCGAGTTGATCGCCTACGCGACGTGCGGTGGGGTCAAACAGGTGGCAGGTAAAGTTCAGAAACGAAGTGCTTGGACGCTACATGAAATAACATCTACTCATCCCCCTTCCTCCTCGATTGACTGGAATAACCGACTGCTGGACCGCTACCAGCTCGCGTCTCGCTCCGCGGGTTCCGTCCTGGTGTGCTGCCGCAAGGCGGACCTCATTTCCTCCTGCAGCGAGGTGGCTGCGGTGATCCGGTCGTTCTCCTCCCGCGCAGTTCTCTCAACCCTAGCCCACTTCCACCTTCGCGCTTCGCGTTCGTACCCCCTCACGTCGATGAGCCAGTCCTTGATCTTCGTCATGCTCGCTTTCGTTAGGCGTTGCTCTGGCCAGGGGCGTTCCATCGAGAGACGAGGCTGGTCGGACGGGTCGAGCTCGTTTTGGCGGGGAGGCACCGGACGAGCGTCGGGACGGCTTACCGCAGCCTCCTCGGAGGACCGTTTCCGTCGGCGCTGCGGTGGCTCCGCCGCTTCGCTGGTCGGACTCGTGCTGGTGGAGGGGACGAGACCGCCTGCCTCCGCACCCTCCTGGCCCGTGGATGCCGCATGCGGGCTCAGGAGGCCGGCGAGCACCCCGTGCCACGGCTTTGCATGCGGTATCCACTCGCGCATGCACTTTTCGTGCAGCCCATCGAAATCGCCAACCGCCGACGGGTTCTCCAGCCGTCCCAGGGTGCCCGCGAATCCGGGTGCTTGCGAGCTACCAAGGCTTGCAGCCCCCTGTAGCAGGTACGGTGGCTGAGGTCGCAACGCCATGACGGCGGGGCTCCTCATGATTTTGCCGTTTGCCGGGCTCCTGTTCCCTTGCGTGAACCACCCAAGTTGCTTGCGGTCCTCGAATCGCAGTAGGGGCAACCGCAAGACTCCGGCCTGGTCGTCGACGATCTGGTTGGAAGCGCGACACCACTCGTACCGGGCTTGGAAGCTCCTGCCGCGCCACGTTTTGCGGGTCGCTGCTTGCGAGGTCCAGGCCCGATGCACCATGAGCAGCGTACCGTAGTGGCACTTCCAGCCTAAGGAGCCAGGTACGTTTACCCACACGACCGGCACCCACATGTAGAATACTGGACATGTTAACGAATCCGCTTTCCAAAGCAAACCGGATGCAACTCACCAGCGTCGTCACGATCGCAAGCAACGTCGTTGAGGAGGACGGCGAGGGCGCCCGCAGGGACAGATGCCAAGCTGTGCCAGCCAGCAATGTTCGTCAGCGTGCGCTTTCTATCCGCGTACAAGGCCCTCATCCTCACGTATCGATAATACTCGTCCACCCCTCGCGGCACGCCTGTCCACGCCGAGCCGCATGCAAGCTGGAAGAAGCATCGGTACGCGCTCGTGCCCGGCATCCGGTCCAACTCGATGGGCCGCATCCCTCCAGCCTCTTCGCAGGCGGCCACGGTCGCGCGCAGGCGGTCGTCCTTCCAGAGCATCGGCCAGAAATTGCGTGTGGCCTCGAAGAAGGCGCGACACAGCTCACGGGCAGCATCCGGACCGCACGTGCAAGCTTTCGGCTCGGATGTGCCAGTCTCGGTCTTCGAATCGTCGGCGCCCGTCCCCTGCTTCCTCTTCCGGGCGCTCTGCTTCCGCTCAGCACCCTCGAGAACTGTCTTCCGCCACCGCCACCATCCCGCCATGTGCTCGTCGCAGGGCCACAGAACCATCTTGCGGGGTCCCTTTCCAGGTTGAGTTGCAGGGTTGCGCGGTGATGCAGGGTGATCGCAGCTGCCGTGCTGCCTTACATGGCCACAGGCCCCGTGAGCGGTCGGTGAAAGGCTTGGGGTCAGTTCCTTGGGCATCACAAGCTGCCAGTCACGTCGAGAAGGAGCGTTTTACCTCACCCACGTGCATGCACCCGAAGGGGGCGTGAAAAAACGGCAAGCGCACCTTGAGCCAGTGCACGTCCATCACACCCAGACTTCGCTTGATGATGGTAAAAGAGATCTTGCGACAGGATGGAACCATGGCCCCGCGGCCACCTTGAGCCGGGACATCACAAGGACCATCGAAGCGCCACCTGAGGGGCTGGTCACTTGCCATCGAAAACGCGATCCAAATGCTACTCGAGCATCAGCGTAGACTGTGCAATGCTTTGGATAATACCGTCGACGAGAAGAGGTGGTGTAGGTGGTTCTATGCATTGCACCGCTCTTGGCGCTCCAACTTGTACGGGCTCTGTTGGTGTCGACCAAAAGGCTGAATGGACCGATTTCAACTGCGCCCATGGAAATCGGCGCATAAAAGACCACTCATGTCAACTTTTACCGCTTCGCAGAGACTTCGTTCTTGCAGGTCTTTTTCCTAAGATCGCTTGTAACAACTCTAAAACCTCGGAATGACAGACCTCCTCCTAATACACAGTACCGCTGAATAGGTAGAAGCCGAGTGTCCAGACTCCTCCAGAGGAAGAAGAGTGCACATGCTTCGCCTGCTTGGCCAGCCCGAGCGAGACGCCTTGCTCGGCTGGCTCGAAACGTGCTCTGAAGATGTGATGGGTGGGGAATGGCAACCGTGCAAAGGCCTCGCGTATCCGCCCATGTTTGCTGCGGTAGGTAGCTTCCCCAACGCATGGCAATTACAGTTATTTTACTTTGTAGCTTCAGGGCGAGTCAACTAGTAATTTATTTGTCTCAATCAAGTATAGCACTTATACACTTCAAAGCTTCCAACCTGCTGACTGACTCTCCCCAACACAAGCACAGCACTAGAAATGCCATATTCCTTTCTACTCTTACTGCGCTTCCGCTGTAGAATTATCACCACTGGATCTTGTTCCCTGCCCTACACACACTCTGAACCTCCACCCTCACGCCTTCACTCTCCGCGGCCTTGATTCTTCTTACAGAAGCCTCCTACCAGGCCGTGCTATTGGGACGTAATCGGTACTTCTGCTACAAGGCCGAGGCCCTCAAGCCACCAATCAAGGATGTCAAGGAATGGATTAAATCATCTGGTCGTGTAATCATGTTCGATCTCTTCCACTCAAAGGGGGAGTCTAGACTCTCCTTTGGTAGCAGCGCGTCAAACGATATCATCATCCCGGGAGCCGGGATCACAGATCACCAGTTCCTGCTCCCCGTGGATCCTCACAGCCGGGCGCTGACGGTCGAGAACATCAGCAGCGACAGGCTCGATGTCACCACACACACTACCATCAAAGCGACTGACGTGCATATCAACAAGCGCAGGGTGGCACCAGGGGACACGAGGAAGCTTAAGGATCGTCAGCTGGGCGCTGGAGTAGGCATGCTGCACCGCTTCCAGATCATCACCCACCGTGGTCCAATCGGTACCATGCTCAACATCCGGATCAACGACTTCATCGAGGCCCTCCCAGGCCCATGTCGAGGAGAATGATCCAGGTGAAGACATCACCATCACAGACGATGAGGACCAGGAGGACGAAGATGATGAGTGGGATGAAGATCTGACGCTGGGTGGGTTCATGTCGAGGACGAAGTGGACGACGAAGACTTTGGGGATGACGAGGACGAGTGTGATGAAGATCTGGCCGTTGACGAGTTCAGCGTCGAGGATGACGTGAGCGACAAGCACGTTGAGGAGGACGGAGACGTGGACATGAGGCCAGCTTTTGGATCCACACTGATACTGGTGCAGGCGGACTGGGATCGCATGCTGGTTTTTTTGCACATGCAGCCTTTTGATCCACGCTCTGGGGGCCTATACTCCGTCACGCTCATTGACGAGGTTCCACGCTTCATTCACACGACACTCATTCGTTCCTTTCTCTGTAGTACTAAACTTGCCAGAAGGGTTTAGGTTTGGATCATCATGTATTCCTAACTCCTGTCCAAGTATGTTGTCTCCTGGCTTTTTGTTATTTGACATGTAGAGAAAATTTAAATTAATATGGACAGAGTTGGCTGCAAAGGTGTCTTCCTCCAGTAGCAAATGCAATCCGCTCCTGCTATGCTATCGCTATTCATATTGAGAGCATGCCATTTCCCTCCGCATGTAAGTGTGCTTGTGATGAATTTGATAAACTTGCAGGCGAAAATAGCTCAGGTGACTTGGTAGGCATATACGCCGTATTTTGCATTGACCTCAAACGCGACTCACACAGCGCGCTGCTCACACACTGACCCAAATTCGACCAATCTCGAATTGGCAGTACCGCATAATATACCCAAAAGTACTAGGCATCAAGCAAGGCTCGATAGAAGTTAGCCGCTGGTAGTGAATTGCGAGCGTCGAGCAAACTCACCTTACTCTCTACCTGCGCGTCGAGCGTCACAAAAAATGACGTAGAGTAGGGTCAGCGGGCAGAGGAGCAGAAACGTATACCACTCGACGACCTGGATGCTCTGACGCCAGCGTCCCGCGGTGTCCGGAAAGAAGGTCCATAGGATCATCACAGCGGCGGTATCGAGCACAATAGCAGTAGCAGCAAAGAAGATGAGGCTGAGAGCAACGATGCAGGCATAGCGGATCTGATTCATGTCTGAGGACCTTGGTGATTGACGCAGGTTGAGGCTCGAGTGGTGGACGTGGAGGTGACGGTGATGGTTGAGAGTTTGACCGTGGGTGGCCAGGTTTTATACCCACGGCCAGAGCGCTTTGTCCCTAAGATCAGACACACGTGGTGAGCAAACCTTCCAGAATGAGCACTGATCCTGAGCGGGACAATTTAATCTGGCCACTTCACGCTGGAAAGGCTAATTCAACCACACCTCACCACCATCTTCTTTTCCAGAACCCCACAGACCTGAGTTTGAACTTTCTGACCCTCCCCTGATATCGATCCTCATGGACTACAACGAAGAAGTCGAGGCTCTTCACCGTGACAGCCTCGACAATCTCCTGGCCTTGCTCGACGACGGGGAATTCCTGGCGTACCTGGAGAGACAGCCGGCGACCATCTTCTCGGACGACCAAAAGGCCATGGTTCGGCGTTGGGCAACGCACCTTGCGCCTACCGCTAGCAACAAACGCAAGATCGCCGGAAGTCAGAGCAGACCGAGCAAGAAGCGGGACATTGGCGATAGGGGCAAGGGAAAGACTGCTGCCAAGCAACAAGAAGATGACAAAGGTGCAGATGAGGATGACGAGGGCGACGAGGGCGCTGCTGGAGTCAAGGAACCTGCCAACGACTGGAAGCCCATACTCGACATCAAGGAACTGACCATTGGCAAAGATACGCATGAGCAACTCGAGAAGTTCCAGGATGGTGGCTCTGTCGCAGATTTCCTCTTGACGCGAGCAGATCGGGATTACCCAGGAGAGATCTGGGACAGCGAGGCTCCTAACCCCGCTAAATCACTCGCGTCACTCCTCATTAATACCGATAAGCTGACCTCGGAAGTGGAGAGCAACTACATTCTATTCCTCTTCATCATGTTGCTGTGGCACCACGTCAAAGAGATGCTTGTACCCGGAGCTGGAAGCGGTCACACATTTTCGCTCGGCAAACTCCAGCTGGTGAAGCTGCGAGACCAACTCACCTTGATCCACTCCCAGAGCGATGACTGGCCAGCAGACTGGACTGTGGAGCGAACGTGCAAGCACATTAGGGAATGGGCCAAGCTTGGTTTCAAGATTGACATCCTAACATCAGAATTCGGACCAGGTTGCTTGTTCGTCCTATTCAAGCCACTCACCGAAGCCTTTCTCTTGAGAAAGATTACAAAGTCTGGACGTACCCACCACGCTGCAATTCGACATTTGGAGGACTTGGGTCTGCGAGAGTACCTTCAGGAGGAAGGTCTGGATGTTTTCGGTGATGCGATCGTAAACTATCTCCTCCGTCCTTTCGCCGAAGCAACGCGTACTAAAGACGCGTGAGGCTTTGGCTACCATCCCCCCACTGTCCCCATCTAGCCCCGTATCCTTGCGTTTCTTGCAACCCTGTCGCTCCTTTTGTACTCCCTTTTCCTGTCCCCTCTATGGCAATACTCTTTAGATAATATATTTGCTATACAAGCGAGCTACATGACTTTTGTGACCCCTCGGCACCCTCACGCTTGATTGGTAAAGCTCCTTAGTATCTAAATCATTCCGACTACCTTTTAGTGCTACGTAAGCGTGTGTTTGTTTGTGTGGCGCGTCCGGAAAAAGAAAAAACATAGGGGACAAAAATAAACACCATTGTTGCTCGCTGTGAGATTATGACAGGAATCCCACCCGGTGTGCGTACTCGAGAGGCGTGACGAGTATGCGATCCCGGTACCACCGTCTGGCTGTTTCCATGGCTGGCCTACACGTGCGCCTGCAGTCCATTGTGTCTGCGGCGTCATTATCTAAACTGTCTCAGATGATGGCGCCACCCCAAGGTGCTGTCCTCCCGCTCCCCTCGCTCCTCGCTCTCCGCTCCACGCGAATGAGAAACCTAACCAAAGTCACCCTCTCTCCGTTAGAAGAATGCGCAAACGACAAGGAACGGTTACGTATCCGGCAGGCCGCATCGACTGGACACCCTACCTTGGAAATCATGCGAAACTACCTGGCGGGACCGACGGTGTGGATGGACGATCCGACGACATGAAAGCTGCTGATGCTTCCCGGGCCGACGATGTGGATGACAAGAAAGCTGCTGGTGCCTCCCGGAACGTGGCAGAAGCTGGCACCGAACCTGCGAGGAAAGCTGGCAGCGCTGCGTCGCGCTGCAGCTGGTGTCACTTTGCAGCTGGCGCACTGTTGGTCATCGCTGGCGTGTTCGCTGTGTGGGTCGGACGGCCGCACCGCTCGTTGGAAAGCGGCCAGCCTCTGAGCAAGATCCCCTTCACGCTCGCCAAGCCAGAGCCGTTGGAACAACTTGCACGGACGCTGAAGCAGTGCGCAGTGATCGGCTCCGATGTTGAAGCATTTGCAGAAGTGACGACGCTCTCGAACAATGTACTGCACGGAGAGGAATCCCTCCGCAACTTCTTACACGACCGAGTCGGAAGGGCAGGCGAGCGGGCGCGCGCCTACCCGGAGAGCTGTCAGCGCGTGGACGAATTCTGGAACGTACTCAACGCCACGCGTGTCACGATCGACAACGTCGGTGCCAACAGCAAGGCGCTGCTGGAAGCCGTCGCCAAGGTGGGCAGAGTGATCGATGACGATTGGGACAAGGAGAAGGCAGAGTGCAAAAAATATATACACACGGGGCGGAGACCTTTTAAGAAAACCCTGGTAGCAAAATTCGGCAACAGGGAGAATGTCGTGAAGTTCTGGACAGATAAGACGGAGGACGAGATGAAGGAGAAGTGTTCGGATCGTCTTACAACGCTCGAGATCTGCTCAGAAACGCAAAGCCAACTTTCCGCGATGGCGTACGACCACAGCAGTCGACTGAAGATCCTTTCAATCCAGGCTGCCAAATGGTCGCGCTATCCCCAGCGATGGATCACCGAGATGCCTTCCCGAGAGGCTACGTGCGCGGCCAAAGACGAGGCGGGGGGCGTGGAGGGTCTCTGGGCCACCATCGGGGTCGACGCCATGGCAGCCTTGAGCTGGGACGCTTAGTCGGAGACGTGTCGACCCAAGAGCGTGTCTGCATGCAGAGCTGTGCCAACATCGTACGATGGGCGGGTCGAACGCATCAGATGGCGTGTGTTTGGTTCGCGTCCTTCACCAGCTGCTGATGCGGAGAGGGCGCGGACATGGCTTAAGACAAGAGTTCTCTCAGGACGTACGTACAAGCTGATAACTTGAGAATGCAGTTAAATTCAATGGTTTTCATCCTGCACGACAGATGGCTTTGTTAATGCTCGACTACGATAGCTGTGGGGTACCTATGTGACAGTGGCCCTGGAGCAACATTCGATCTCTTGCAACGCTTCTGCGCCCTTTCGTCGAACAAGGTGAAGCATTCGCCGAGCTGGATTGCTGGCAATGTGCACCGGCCCAGGTGTGCCGCATAGCATGTGACGTCCGGGCACCGTGGCTCAACTCCGCGTAAACGCGAACTACATTTCCAAGGCGGATCACGTTGGCAATGTTTGCGCGGCTCCTAACGCTCCTCGGCCTGCTCGAGCGCTGAAAACCGGGTGCAATCGGTGCACAGGGCTCAGAACCAGACCAGGTGAACGGCAGTGTTTCTGACACCTTCTGAAACATGCGTGCTGGTGCCATCTGTTTTCACGTTGACAATGTTTGCGCGCGGCTCCTGAGCTCGTCGGTCTACTCGAAACACTGAGCACCAGGTGCAATCAGTGAACAGGGCTCAGAACTGAACCAGGTGAACGGCAGTGTTGTCTACACTTTTTGAAATAGGCGTGCCGGTCCCATCTGTTTTCACGTTGGCAATGTTTGCGCGCGGCTCCTGACCCTCATCCTCCTGCTCGAGCACTCATAAAGGTCCAGTCTACCCACTCAAGACCAGCATCACCTCCACTCCTCGACTTGTCTAGATCACGCCAACTCTACACTCGTCTCTCCGAACGAATCCCAACTGTCATCATGAAGGACGAAATCATCGCCGACACCGCTCTGCTCCGCTCAGAACTCTTTTGCCCAAAGTGCGATCGATACTTTACCCGCTACGGTAACCTTGTGAACCATGTGCAGAAGAAGCACGGTATCGGAGGCAACTTGCTGGCTTCGTCTTACATGCCGCGCGATGGCATCCTTGATCGCCGCGCCTCCGATGCCCCTATCGCCGAGCAGGTGTGTGTAGAGTGCGACAAGCGCTACGTGTATGCCGCCGCGCTGGCAAATCATCTCAAAGCCAAGCACTCCACCGACAACGTGAGCGGTCATGCAGGCGCAATGGACAAAAACGCCACTACTCCCAACCCCAAGCGCAAGTCGAGCGGAGATGGTCTGGAGGACTGGGGTCACGCGATGAAAAAGACGAAGACTTACAGTGATGGTGGTGAGGGGCGTGATGAAGGTGAAGGTGGAAAAGAGGGGGCTGGAGGCGTGGTAGGCTACGGGCTCGAGGAGGTGGTGGGAGGGCTCTAGTGTGATGATGCGAACCCGCTGGGGATATTTTTGTAGTTAAGGCTAGCTGGTGAAGCGATGCGATGCTGATGGGCACGTTGTTGGTAGGCGGAACTACGCTGCCCATGCCGTACGGTATTTCCTAGAGTGTTTTGTACACAGTCTTTTCTGTAATTTTACATCTTCCTTCTGTACATGGTATCTCAAATAGACTGATTTTTGTCCCGTCAAAACCTCATCTGGCACACATGTAGCAGTCGAGTCGCCTCTACGTGGGCACTTGAGCCAGCCCAAGTTGGGGCTCCGCTTTTGCTGGCGTCGTGCCTTGGCAGTGTACAGCGGTCCTGCAATCCTTTCACAAGAAGAGGGTCGCACGGCGCGAAGGAGAAGCATCAAAGGCTCTGCACTGGATGCTACGAGTTCCTGCAAGATGGTGATGGACGACGCTTCTGCGGGACATGCGCTCACTCGGACATCACGAGCAATGCCTCACCTTTATCGTCGCTCAGTCTGAGTGTATAGGGATGGACGTCTTACCGTACGCAGAAGACTTTACATGCTACCGGCACCGCTAGCAGGGGTGGGTAACATCAATTGCAATATGCTCCCAGGGGCCTGTATCTTTACCATAAAATGTAATGATTTTTGCACGAGGTAGTTCGCAAGCGCGAGTTCTACCAGACCTATCGATTTCATGTTGATAGCTAATCTTGGGGTGGGGAAGCAGGCCACTGCTAGAGGGTAGAGATGTCTAGGCCGTGGGCGCTTCCTCACGTGTTCCCCCTCAGCGCCTCATCTACGAGTGTAAGAAAGCTTTCCATTTCTAGAATCTGATACTTGGCAAAGATGATCACGCGGGCACTATACTTGGTAAGGTTACTTTGCCACCTGCAGCTAATCACTAGTCTGTCCGTTGTGTGCAAAACTCTACGGTAGTGCTTCGTATTTCGATCGCACCCCTGCTGTCGCCAACATCAAAAATCTACAGTAGACTTGCGCTTCCATCGAATGCCGGCTACGTTCAAAGGCGCCCTCGACCGTATCGAACCGTCGTTGATCGTGTCAGCGTTTGGATGAGCGGATGTCGCCGCGACTGCTGCTCCTATCCGCCGAAGCCGCACGCTGCGTGAACGAAGGAGCACATCGCCTGCGACACACCTGGTAAACTCGAGTCGATCGTCTAATCAGCAGTCGTCTCCACCAGAAGACGTGCTTGGGTGGTGGTCCTGTTTGCGGGTGGACCGATCCACGCCCCTCCTGCGTTCCTGCAGCGCCGTCCATCTCGAAGCATGCGCAGGCTGAGCCGGGGAGTTGACCTGCCCCTTGTGGCGGAGGACGCAGCTGCACGCGCGCAGCAGTTGAACCACGCCTTCATGGGCACTTGAGCGCACGACGAATTTCACGACCAGCGACTCACGCGGCTTGGGTACTGTACCAGATACTGTTTCATTTGTGTCTGCTCGGGTCGCTCGCTGCGTGCTTACCTGAGGGCCACCACGGCACCGTTGGATCACCCTCCCGTCGGCCACGAGTAGTAGTACGGCCAGGTCTTGTTCTTGATGGTCTTGAGTGTCTGGTCTCGCTCCTTGGCAATCGCCGTCTTGTCTTCACTGCCCAAGTCCGCCGGCATCGAGGGCGCGGTCACCGCCTCGCGGGGGGTGTGAGGCCGGCAGGCCCCGGCGAACGTGCCATGGGCGTAGTAGCACTGCACGATTTTGCACGTGTCAGGGTCCTTGCATCTCGTGCGGATGCACTTGCCGCCCTTGTTGTACACGCTGCACATATAGCAAACTTTCGCTGATGAGCACAGCAGATGCCAGCCATTTTCCCAGCAGTGGTCACACACAGGGATACGGTGGTCCAGTACCTCTACCTGCTGCTGCTTCCTCCTCACATCGCCGCCCTTGGGATCCCGCAGCACGTCAGTCACGTTGTCATACTCATCCGTGCAGTGAACTTCGGAGCACCAGGGGTTCTCACACGCCTTCGGGTCAGCGAAGAAACAGCATCGTTTGCGTGAACATTCCCGCACACGGCGCAGGCACTCGTGGCAGGACCCTTGGGCGTCGTCGCAGAGTCTCTCTTCGGCCCAACATTCGTTGCAGGGTGCCCAGCGTTTTGCTACTTTGTGCGCTGCCTTCGGACGCCGTATCCCATGCTTCCACGTGCTCTGGAGGAGCTCACGCAGCGTATGGACCGTGTAGGTATCGCCTTGCTCGAACAAGTCTACGCATCTCTGCCACAGCTGTCCCCTGCTTAGCGTAAAGGACCCAAGGTACTCGCCGATCGTTGCGCGGACATCCGGATGGGTATCAGCCCCAGCCGCCATCGTGCGGGCTATGTACTCGCCTCGCACCCATTGCACGTGCTCGTGCTCCTCATCGCACTGTGCGCAGTCGCTCGCCGCCGTTGGCTCAGCGCAGTGTACCGTCATCGCGTCGACGGCGCTGACCTCGCTGGCGGAATTGAAAAAGAGGTAGACCGTCCGAATCTTGGTACAGCTATACCTACGCACAGAAGCTTTCAGGTACTGACGCTCTCCCGTCCGGTTGTCATATAGGCGACGGCCAAAGGCGAGTGGTATGACGCCCACATCTAGGTTAGGCTGCGGCAGTATTCGACTGGTCTGATAGGCGAGCTTTTCGTCCTCGCTCCACTGGTGCTGGACGAGGATGGAGGTCCCGTGGGAGTTGGCGGCGGAGGCCGGGAGGAAGACATGCTGGCCCAGGTACCACGACTGGTCATTGAGCTGGCCGCGCGTGCTGATTTCGACGATGTCGTTGGCAACCCGCCACTCTCTGTTCGGGTCCTGCGTGGCTGCTCCGTCGGCCACGCTTCCGGCTTCTCCACCGAGATCCACGGCGCGCGGGTCGTCGAGGGGGCCCGTTTCGAGCGCGTCGAGCTGGCGATGGTGGCCCAGGCTCTCCGCCCTCGTCTCGCGGCGGATCGACTTCCACCTCTTCTGCACGACCGTGCGGGCTCCGCTTCCGCGCTCCGCGAGCACTTTCGCCAGCTCCACGCCAAAGGCGCTCTCGTCTATGAGTCGCTTAGGTGGCTTGTCTCCTGCCAAGGCGATCTGGTAGCTGTCCCCAGCAGCCGGGTTGGGTGACTGGCTGATGAGCACGTGCCAATCGTATTTGGGATCCATGTAGCGCCTCAGATCCTGCGGCTTCGAAGTGGAGGCCTTGTGTTCTATAAGGTATTGTTGTTGTCTACCGCTCTGCTTATTGGTGTGGAGGAGGATAAAGTCCGCGATCAGAGGCTTGACCGGGTTCTCGCACAGCCTGACGCCCGGTTGCTGCTCCAAAGACGTCCACAAGCGTTGGATGGCCTCCTCAGAAACTCTCTTAGTTGTAGCGCTCAGGCGTGTAAATATGGTAATGTCGAGTGGTGGTGGCACGCTCCACCCGTCAAATTCAACCCTGTTGGATGGGTTCTTGTACCACTGCCGAGGAGGCCGCGGCTGTTTGTCTGAGAGGGCTGAGAGGGTCTCGCGTGTAGACTTGGACGCTGCCACGAGCGACCGCAGCGCGTCAGGCACATGTTCCATCTTAACGGCACACTGACGGAGGATCCACTGCCACTCTTCCATCTTGGTGTTGTGCCACACCGTAGTCGCCTCATACCAGAATGGCCCAGGCACAATATGGATGTGGTGGATGTCCTGCGGCCACGCTACTACGTAAATGTCGTTGTACCTCACAGGCCCTTTGCCGCTCTTCACGTCGAAGCAGATGGTACCGCTGAGATTCGCGGCCTCGCGCACGCAGTGATACCAGGCCGCCAGAGGATCAGCAGGAAACGGGTCCTGCGTGAGGATGAGGGCGCCGTCGCTCCCGCTCGCTTCGCGGCCTGCGTCGACATACGGTAAGCACAGCGTGGAAAAGGGCGGGGAAGGGGGAAGAGGGAAGGAAGTGGCGGGGTGACTGTACCCCAGCCGAGGTGGATGCCCTCGATGCCTTTGGCAGCACGCCACAAGGTGTTCATCGCCCAAGCCTCGGACGTGAAACCAGCACACACTAGGATCACATGTCCAACCTCGCGTCCCCGACGCTCGCGCTCAGCGTCGGCGTCCAACGGAGGCGGCATGTTTGCCGACAGGATTCAGTGCTTGCGTCCAGCGGGGAACTTGTAGCTGTAGGAACGCACTCTGCGGACGACTCTCCCAGACCGTACATGCTGCAGATATACTCCTCCAGTCTGCCCCAGATGCCCGACGAAGCTACGAGAACGGAATGGATCCACCAATGACGGGGTATGTGGCCCCACGCGCGTCGCACCGCCAGGATCACGGTGCGTGCTCGAGATTGACAAGATATCGTGGGCATCGTCAGTCACCCGATGGTGCCCGATGATCACGAGAATCGCTCTGCTGGGGGAGAGCTTGCGAAACCGTGCCTGGCGTCGCGTCGTACAACCTGCACGAGGGAACGTCTGTGCCACCAGCCTACCTACCCAACCAAGCACGTGCCGCAGGCTCGCGGGCGTGGCTGGGTGAAGCCATGCAGGCTCGTCCCTTCTCGGAAGGCCCGCAGTCTGCACCGTACGACCTCCCGCGCCTTCGCCGACCAGTGATCTCGTCCCGCTTCCTCACCTCATTCCCGCACACCATGGATCGCATCCACCACAACGCGGCACTGGACGAGCTTCGGCAAAAGTGTCAACGCTTCAGGGCTGGCGATCAGAGTACGGGAAACTTCGAGGATATCCTTACCTGGGCCAAGGCAGCGCCGCGGAGATTTGGCGTGGTTGAGGTGAGAGCGATGCTCCGTCCGGCGACCGCTGCTGATCGCGACCAGTTGAAGCGGTGCCTATCCGAGCTGGACTCTGACGAGGTGACGAACCCGGTGCCAGGCTGGGCGGCTATAGGCAGGGCTGCGTTGTGGCAGGAACAAGATTTCCTCCGCAACAAGAACGTTGAGCGGCTGCAAGCGTGGCAGCCTCCTCCCCCGCCTGTGAGCGATGAGTTCAAACTCGTCCGATGTTGGCCTTCCTATATGGAGTCCCTGCGCCCGTTCCCTAGAGGTAGTGGCGAGCTGCTGGACCGGGCTAACGATGTGTATCGTTTGGTCGCAGGTAGACCGTGCTTCGATGGTACGTGCATGGCTTTGTTGAGAGCAGGTGGGAGAGTTGCTGACTATTTCAGCTGAGTACAGCACTGAGGATAACAAATATCGGCATCCGTACAATACCTTTGTCGTATGTTCCTGCGCAGTGCAGTCCAAACTCGTCAGCCCTATCATTCGGGAGCTCGATAGGAGGCAGGGGAGTGGGGACTTCGATGAGCAGCTCAAGAAGCTCCTCGAGCGCTTTTGTCGTGAGTTTCCTGCCCAAGCAGGCTGGTCACGTTAGGTCAATCCCGGCTAATACGAAATCAGTCGAGCTGATCAAGGTGCGCGAGCGAGTGCTGGGCGGTGAGTAGGGTTGCTCTGGGCGAGCTGTGGCCGAGGAGACGTGAGGTGGTCGTCAACGCAGCCGCTTCCACGGGCCATGGACAAGGAAAGGGAGGCGGGTGAGGTGGGGTTTCACGTCTCGTAAAAGGCTTGCAAATTTTCAACCTCGCGATGTCTGGGTGGCAATACCTATCAGTGTTGGATAGGTGATGCAACGAGTAAGAGCATTGTGGTCATGTGCATGGATTTGATGTGTGGTTGTTTTGTGGAGCTGGTTAGTGCCGGTGACATGGCCAAGTCGTTCTCCGGATTACATAAACGGCATTTCGGAGCATCTGCACGCCAAGGAGCAACATTCGATTCAGCTCTACAGCGACACGACTACACAGTACGGACACACGCCAAGGCAACCGCTCCCTGTCCGCTCCATCTCAAAGCACACGACACGTCCCTCCCTGCAGCTTCGTCCCCGTCCGAGTGCGCACGTTCAAGGACGATCAAGCGGCGTCCTCTAGCTTCTGGTTCTCCCGCTCTGCAACGTCCTGTACCCTGTTCCAGTGCCACCTCCGAGCTGCCTTGTCGTAACCCATCTCGTCGATCAGCCAGGTTTTGACCTCATTCATGTGAGCTTTGTTGAGGTTGTGCTTCGGAAAAGGATGCCGCGTACGACCGTTTGCTTGGTCGGGCAAATTGGTCTGTGTCTGCCGGAGAGCGTCCCGTCGAGATCCATCACCAGCGGTCATGGCCTCGCTGCCATCGTCACGGTTGGCAACTTCCGGCCCTGCAGGGCTGTGCTTCATCGAGCCTCCGTGCCAGTGGGCGCTCAACAGTCCCGCGAGCATCCCACGCCACGCTCGCGCGTGCGACGGCCAGAGGCCCATGCATGCTATGTGGAGCTGTCTTGGGCTGTCGGTGGTGGCGGCCGCGCGGGGGCTCCTGAGATTGTCCGAATGTTCTACCAAACAAAATACGTCCTCCTCCCGCTGCTGCAGGAACGGTGCGATAGGTCGGAGCGCCTTCGCTCCACCGCAAGGCTCTTTGCCGGTCTTGATATTCTTCCCCTTTATGAAAAATTTGCACTGATCTAGGTCGTTGAACCGCAGCAACGGAAGGCACAACGCCTGGGCTTGATTGTCGATGGTCTGGTTCGACGCGCGGCACCAGTCATACTTCGACTTGAACGATCGGTCCCTCCAAGCTTTCCGAAGGTCGTCCCGCGAGTTCCAGTCTTTTTGCACGGTTATCACGGTGCCGTAGTGGCACGGCCAGTAGATCGACCCCACGATGCTGGCGGGGACAATGGGCACCCAGATATGCAGGACTGCGCGCTTGGTTAGATCCGTCTGTGGAAGTTGAGACAACACGTACCAGCATCTCGCCTCCTGTGCGCCTCATCGTTCATGGCAACGACCAGCGAGCCGGCAGGACAGCATGCCAAAGTGTGCCACGCGATCAAGTTACCCTGTCTGAGGGGCTTCATCAGGTCCATGTGCAGCCGTTGCTGCCTCAGATATCGCCAATAGTCATCTACAGCTGCAGGAACCTGGGACCAGAGGGGACCGTGGGCTAATTTGTAAAAGTTCTTGTAAGCCTCATAGGGGTCCATGTCATCCAACTGCAGGTGTTGGAGGCCGTGATACTGCTCGCATGCTGCCACGGTATCCCGGAGACTCTGATCCTTCCAAAGCATGGGCCAGAGATCGCGAGTGGCGTTGAAGAACTCACAGCAACGATCGCGAACGGCATCCGGGCCGCATGTGCACACTTCCAACTTTGGAATAGAGCCCGCATCACGCTTCCTCTTACCTGACGGAAGTACGCAGTTAAGGGTCGCCTCCCTCCACTCGGTGAATTTAGTCAAGTGGTAATCGCACGGCCAGAGCGCCATATCTCAGATTGGTCAGGAAAGGATACAAGTCTTCTTCGCTCTCTGCTAGAGTAACCAGGTTGCGGAGACGTGGTACATCTACGAAGCGGGGCTATATACAGACTGCAATGTTTGCAGAGGTAGACGTCTTCTCCTATCACAAGGGCAGCCATTACCGCACAGTAGCATACAAGGTGTCACGCTCGAGGACCACGTAGAGACTAATCACAGGATCTTGCTACTCGAAGCAGCGTGTATTATCCAGAAAAATCCCCTCTAGCAAGCCATCCGTGCTAGACAAGGAAGAAGTGACGAGCAGTAGCAGGGTAAGGGGTGTAGCTCGCAGGGCAGGGAAAGGGAACGCAAGAGAATCCTTTAATTCAGGTGTACTAAGGAGAGGAGAGAAAGCAACTACAACAGTTGCATACTATCTTGTGAGCATTTACTAAGATTTTCTATCGTCTAGGGTGGTTTGATCACGTATATCACAACTTGTAGTCCTTAGGCGACACTTAGAATTTGTTAAAGCTTGTCTTATTGTCTTGTGGTACTTGTCTAGATTGTTTACGGCCATTATGTATGTTTGCTCGCTGGCCTGAGGAATCAAACTTAGTTGTGACCCGAGGCCGAAAACTTTAAAAAAAAATCTCGAGGTCGACTTCGTAGGATTTTAAAAATAGGTCGTGCCCGGGCTCGAACCGGGGTTGCCGGAAGGCGATGCGCAGAAGCTTCAAAATCCGGAGTGATCACCACTACACTACACAACCTGTTGCTTTGGTTGAGCTAAACAATGAATTTTGTCATTGATGGCGAAATTGCGACGTTAACAATATATATACCGTACACATATTTGTAGGAGGCGGGGAAGCGTCCGCAGAGACTGATGGTGATGTATGGTGGGGCGAATGAGTCTAACTAGAATGACACATGGTGGCGCAGAACGATCTACGATCGATCGATGGGCGGGGTAAGCAGCGTTTGCGCGTTGGTTCCGGAGATGGTTCGGGACTTACATAGAGGGGCCCTCAACCGAAGTGCTTCTTCGACGTCGCCTTCACCAATGCATCTTCGCGTCCATGTGTAGCTCAACACTTCCGAACTTTAATTCCGTCAATGACAGCTTGATTCTCAACTTGATTTATTTGGAATGTACTGAGTACAAGTAACATCAACTCGCGCCTCTCGTCCAGGGTCATACTGTCACGAGGGGCCACTTCCAACACAACCGCCATCTCTGGCCTCGTTCCTATCCAGCATCAATTCAAGGTCCATCGCAGCGCATACAAATCGTTCAGGAAACATGACAACATGCGGAACTCCCAACATGTACCGCTACTCAAAACGTGAACGAGAATATCACGAAATCCCGCATCAGATCGGCCACTCTCAATCGTTGCAACGTCTTGAAGGGACCAATAGCGTGTCGTAATCTTCCACTTTCCAACTTCCTAACCGACCTTCGGGCGCGAACTGGTCTTCTTGGTCTTAGCGAAGACAGCATCGGTGGCATCGATGTCGTCCTTGTCCGTCTTCATACGAACGCGCTTGGCCTCCTCAACATCGCGGTCGTCCATATCGACACGGATGCGCTTCTTCGAGGCGTACTCCTTGTTCAGCGCAGCGAAGCCTGACGAAGACAACACGCTCAAGTCCTGTGGGAGGTAGCTTGCACTCGCAGGCGGCATTGGAGACGGAATTGCAGGGCTAGAACCTAGCGAGAGTAGCTTCAAGGCCTCACGAGCTGGGAGAGTATCAGTGGGGACGGGCGCCAGGCTGAGACCCATTGGAATGGTAGCCTGCGAGTTCGCAAGGGCAGTGGATGAGTCGTAGGCCTGGCGACGGACTGCCGTGCCTGCGGCGAGCAGGTCCCGCTTCGCGTCGTTGCCCTTCTCTTGGTTCTTCTTCAACTGTAATGAGTGAGTGGGTGAAGAAGCAGACGGCTAGCCAGGATGGATCTCACCTTAGAGAGTGCAACCGGAGCATGCACAAGCAGAGCAATCTTGGTGTCCTCGGTCATGATGTCCTTGCAGATCCTCTTGTCGTACTGTTGCATAATTAGCGATCTGTCGACGGCAGTATAACGAGAAGGAGGAAGCTCACCTTGAGCGCGTTGACGATGGCAAACAGGCGCTCTTTGCATGTCAGTTTCTTGTCCTCGCGCGAAGCACCCGAAGCGCCCGAACCCATCCTCAGTCCACAGAACCCGACGACACAACGATGGATCAGGGCAATCTATCTCCAATCAGTCACATGAATGCGTATGTGGTGTGACGGTAATTACCAAGACCGACCGGCAAGCAGCCTCGACAGCTTTGTTGTCCAGTGTTGGCGATTTGAACATGGAGAGCTCGATGCTGGTAGGCTTGTTGAAGACATTCGCTACGTTGCACATGGCATCATAGAGAACGTTCACCCACTGCTCCGCATGCTGAATGACTTCCCGGATGGTACCGTCTGCACGGTTCGTCTGCGTAGCCTCCTCGAGCGGACGGTAGCGGTATGTCAGCGCGCGAGCCCAACTGTCCTTGAAATGGGGCTGCTCAGCATCGCGAGCTAGCATCTGTAGGGCCTCTGTCGCTTCTGCATGGCATCCGTCAACCGAAGAACGTTGCAATAGCGTACCCAAACTTTACTCACCAACCTCCGCTGTCATTGAATAACTGCCGACACCCAAGACGTGGCCGACCTTGATGGTGCCTGAAACGCCATGTAGCCTCTTCAAGAACTTGGCAAAAGGGTTATCGAGGTCACCCAACGCCTCGGTATACAGCCGAACGTAGGGAGACTCGCCGGCTGGAACGCTATGACCCGCGAAGCCTGCAAGACTGCTGTGGGTTGGTGTAGACGTCGACATCGTGAATGTGGTCTACAAAGACGGTTAGAAGGTCTGTACAATGTGTAGAACGAGCAGGGGAGCGAAAGGCAGAACGAGCAAGGCTGCGCGTGTTGTAGAGAAGACGGAGTGTGAACGAGTCTCGGGAAATAGGTGTGCTTCACCATTAGCGGCACGCGACTGCCTACAACGCGTGCGCGCTCTTCACTCCAAGCGCGTCACAAACGTGTAGAGACGCGCTCGAAGTGAACAGTGAATAACAAAGTCAAAGTGACATCTAGCCTCTAGGTGCGGACTCGTTCCATTGGATTTAGAATCGCCACTGATTGGACCAGACTTCTACTCTTGGCGAACAAGCGAGAATGTAGGTTTGAACGTGAGGAAGGAGCAGAATTGTATGTTAGGATGACTCGAATACGTAGGGCGATGTGCGGTGGGCACGAAGATTGAGCGGACGGCTACCGGCAAGCTGGGCTGTGTTATGCCGTCACAGTGCTTGCATTAGGGTCTGCTTTCTGGGGTAATATCACCATAGTCCACTACAGGTACTCAAAGCGCCTACACAATGCCACATCCTGAGTGAAATAATCGCACATTGCAAGTCGTTGTTCCAGCTCACAATGTGTATTTGAACAATGTCCGCAGCCTCTACGCACTATGACTACCAGGTACGTTATAAGGTTGTCCTGAGCGACAAACTTCTTCACCTCAAATCGAAAGCCTTGCCCACTCAACTGAAGGTACCATTATCCAAGCAAAATTGATTAGAAGATATCTATAAAACATCTGAGGTATACAACTTTCATTATGGATCCTCCAGGCTCACCTAACACCGCACGAGAACTCAATGTCTCGGTAGGTACTCCCGCAACCCGGGCTTCGGATGCCCCGCCAGACACACTGATTCGCATCGACAGCGTTCCACAAGCCTTTATCAACCAGCTTTGGAGCCAAGTACGCTGCACCAAGTTCGAATCACCTGCGAGCGAGTCCAATATCCGATTGTTCAACGACTTGGTTCGAAGCGTTATGCAGGATAATCATCCTCTTCCGCATCTGTCTGATGTTTCAAGCATGGTCAGCAGCCTGCTGTTGTTCATGTTGGCGAGTGAGGAATGCCCTGAAGAAGACTCTCGCCTTGACGATGTGCCCGAGCCGAACATTGTGCTGGTGACTCCTCAGCAAATCTTAATGAGCAGTGACACTGCCCGTTCTGATATCACGTCTCTAGCCAGTCCGCAGATCGAACTTCCGTACTCCTTGCAAGCATTGGAACCCGCCATCCACGAACCCGCTCCAGCACCGCCCGGTTGTGTTCTTATAAATTTGGATGGGGACGACGTATTCATGCGCGAAGAAGACTTTGGAGAGCTCATTGACCATGAGGGAGTGCTCATGAATGAGAGTGAGTTCATGCAACATCTTGCTGAACAGTGGGCCATCGAGGAAGGCGAGCCGATGGTTCGTGATCAACACACCGAGACCGTTGACAGCAGCGATCCGTACGGACTCCTTACGTGGGGTGCAGTAGACGACGTGATGCACGGATCCGGCCGCGTCACATTTAGGGAAGCACTCGATAGTTTGACCTACCCTCCTCACCGCCGCTATGATCGTCAACGGGGAAATTCCTCTGCCTCTGCCACGCGAATATTGCCATTGCGAGACACTTTTTGGACAGTCAGGCGACGCTGATCTTCATCGGATGTACTGCGCAGGCACTGCTGAAGAAGCTCTCTGTTTTCAGCGTCTTCGTCTGATGCACCCTCCAGTATCAGCTTCTGAACTATTTACTGCTTTAAGCTCTAGAGCTCTGTTTGAACAACGTCAGGGTCGTCATCAAGCAGGTCTGGACACCTCTGGAATGGATCATGAGATTGCTAGGCGCGTATTACAGAGCCCTCAATCCTTAGGTGCTCTTGGAGATGCTTTCCGGGCCAACGGTTTCCTGATGGAGTTCGACCGCGACCGTGAGAACTACCGATTGCGTTGACATGTTTGTTTACTTACTTCCTTTGTTTTTTTATTTGATAGTGTAGTGTTTCCTATAGACATCACCGTATTTTGAGTTTTTCGTTGCTTATCCTCCCGCACCTGTTCTCGTCTAACATTAATTTGCTAAATCCACAGTGTCGTTAGATACATTGTACGTCACGAATACTTTCAAGACTCAAACCCCTTCGTCATAGGCTGTACAAACCCTCCACCCTATCAGGTTGTACAATGATCCATAGCTTGTTAGCGAGGCTTCACTGCCTCATGTTATAATTCGTGTTCACAAGTTCAGTATTCGATCAGCTTCGATCCAAAGATCGGCTTCATCCCCGAAAAACATTGGCATCGTGTGATAAAAATACTTCCTCTGTAACCCGTGACCGTCGAGTTGCAACAACATTCCAAGATACCAAGCTGTAGAAATGCGGACATTTGATAGGTGTTTTGCTCACATCACCCTCCAGTGATAGACGTACAAGACCAAGTTATATGCAGCGCAGTTTATCTTAAGAGAGAAATACCTGTCCAAAAGAGGAAATCTCAGTACCTAGTAACGTGCTCTTTGTGAAAGTGCATGTCGATACAAGGGCGTCTTGTGCGAGTTCGCGCTTTCAAAGGTAGATGCGTAACTGAAAATTAACTTGATGTTCTTGACCATCAGATAGCATATCAAATATAGTACTTATGAATACAGATGCATTTACCAACGCGGTGGCGCTGATCACTCCCCTGGTGACGTCAAGCCTTCGACAAAAGAATATCATCGCTGCTCTAGCGCCTCAATGCCGCTGCGCAGCAAATTTTCGCCCAAGAAAGAAAAAACGACTCCGATTTCCATGCGCAACATAATTTAGTCGTATACCTTCGACAGGTCGTATCGTTAAGGAGCGTTGCCACATTGCGGTGATGGTCAACGGAGACCGAAACTAAAAACACAGTGCAAGGCAAGTCGGGAGATGGGGGCGATATGGGTATCATGAAGAGAAGAATGGAAAAGGCCTGAAAGTGTGCAGATGCATGGAGAGACAGTACCAGTAGGAGGCGCAACAAACCTATTGCTCCTCCGACGCCTTGAACGCCAACCGCAAATGCGACAAGCGGATGCAATTGAAACATGAAACATAATATCTCAGGTCCTTATCTCTGGTCGTGCGTATTTGAAGGTCCTGGGTACGGATATTGCTGGACTCCGTGTTGGGCCCTCCAGTATTCTGAGAAATCCAGGCCGTCATATGCCCCGTTGAGTTGCTGTCTTGGACTCAATGTCACTTCGGCTAGTTCTGGATGTTGCGCGAAAAGGTTTGCATCGACACCAGTGCATGCCTGACTCTGCGGCCCGCCAGGCGAGCTCCAAGTGCCGTCGAAGAGTGGCTCGTCGGCCCGGTAATAAACGTTGCCATATTGCATTGCAGGCCACGGCTCGCCATCAGGATTGTGTATAGGATGCGCATCATATGGGCTCGTGGGTGCGGATTTATTCCCATGTGTCAAGGCTGGGGGCGACATCAGTGGTGTATGTTGCTGCGGCGGCATTGTTGACACACGCGGGGCATAAGGGGACCCTGTTAGCGGCGGCGAACTGGCTTGAAAGCGACTCCGTGTGGACGGGTCTCCCTGCAAAGGAACGAGTCTCGGAAGTCTGGCCATGTCGGGATTGCCAGGGAACGCAGACGGTGTCGAGAAACGTGCTTGGTGTTGGAATGGAGACGTCTCGCGTGGCTGACTTCCAAGCCGCATGTGTACATTGACTTCAGCGAGCTTGTTTGATCCAGTACGGCGTGCTCTTGTCGCTGGCTTTGGGTTGAATTTGCGGACCTTGGACGGCCCATCGCTTGCATCAGAGTCTTTCGTTCGACCTCTTTTGCTATTTCCAACGCGGTTTTGGTATTTCCTATTTGCGTATGCTTTCGGAGCGTTGACAAACATGCGGATCTGGCAAGCAGAGTTCATGACATCCTCGCAGATTGTCTTCTCCTCTTGGAGAGCCCGAAGAACGCTCTCCAGTCGTTCTTCGCAGGTCACGTCTCGGTCCTCATCGTCGCCCTTACGGTCATCCGCAACATAATCATTATGAACCTTTACGATTTTCGAGTTAGTCATATCTCGAACAAAGTCTAGGGGAAGAAAACTCACCCAGCCGCGAAACCCGTCTTTCGCTTGCAGCAACAGACAATCAATCACCTTATGTGCATACGCCTCGACCAAGTCGGAGTTATAATAGGCGCCATGCACCCATCTCTTCATTGCAATGGAGCCTTTATTATCCCTCGCTGCATCACCGCATGTCATGGCGTTATACACTCGTTCGACGTGGTAGAGGCGGTCTCGTTCGACTTCTCGAATTGTGTGATCGGTTCCTGGAAGTCGATAAGGCTTCCGGCTGAATCGTGTCGCCTCCTTGCGATGTTGGCTTGCGCTCTCAGAAGAGTCAAATCGTGCTCTGTACGGCTCATACTTAGAGCTGGAGAGGTGGACGGGCTGTGGTGAATCTGTCGTGTATTTTGGTATGCTCTGCATATGCGAGAAATACTCAGTGGTGTCTGACTGTCCTAATGGCAGGGGTTTATATGGGAGTTGAATGGCGCGCGCTTGATCTCTGTAGCTCAAGCTAGTTGCTTCAGCGTACTTCTCGACGCCAGATAGAAGAACCTCGTCATTTGTAGAGATTTGTTGATTTGACCGCAAAACAATTCTCCCTAGGCTCCTACTGTGCGTTGAGTCAACGTAGCATGCGGGGTCAGGTGTGTTTGCATGCGGCTCCCAATCATCATCCGCGTGACAATATTCGCTGATATCGAAGGTCTCTTCGGCACTTCGGTTTCCAGTATTGTAGTCTCCAGAATGTGCTGCAAAAGAACCTTGGCTAAGGAGTGCATGCTTGCTGAACCCATGGGGCGTTTCTTCGTCTTCTCTGCTGCCTGCAACGGAAGGCTGCTCGGTCATCGACATGCAGGTGCTGATGTTATCGTGCTCTCAAGAAAATATGGAAAACTGGAAGTGCTAGTGAGATGATCACAGATGCAGGAGAATGAGGCCGTGTCTTGGATCGTATGGAGAAGACACAAGTCCTCTGATTGTGCGCTTGAAGGGGTGAGGTGGATGGTTCTAACTGCGCAGCGCTCCAAGGCGCATTTATGACACTGCGAACACATCACAGCCGCAAGGTCTCGAATTCACGGCCCTGTTAGCTGGTTCCGCTAGGTGATTGCATCGTCTGGGGCCTGTGACTTGGCTTGTCGCGTTGTTTGAACGTGTGGATGTACCGTGATTGAAGAGTGGCTTGTAACGAGGCTCTGCGGAACATTTGCGCTTCTTCGCGGCCTCGAACCGAGCTGACTGGATGACGTCAAAGCCTTCTTACCGGTCGAGTCTTGCCGTGAGGTGGTCACTCTTTCCGCTAGGTCGCAGTCGAGGGGAGAAAGTAGACGCAAAGCTCACTGGCCGCTCCGCTGGGGATATATAATTACAATCTAGATTGCGGCAGCCTCTGGATAAATGGCATTTGTGGGGAGTCGTGAGCTCTGTATACATCGTAGCTAAACAAACGCAGGTCCTTACAGGGTATATGAGCGTAATTCGAACGATGATTCAGGGATCGATACCTAGGTAGACATCTGGAACCAAGGTTTGCCTGCCGAGTTTGCTGAGCTGACTAATACCGACAGCGAGGTATATCAGGCATATGAAATTGGATAGAAACAGGTTACTATCACGAGTGAGCTTCTGGGAGCGCACCAAGATTCATGAATAGCAATAGCGATATCCACCATATCACCGTCTTTCTAGTCGTTATACGGAAGGAGACCGCATGGATATAAATCAGATGCGCAAAGCAGTGATAGAAGGCAGCAGAAGTAGTAAGTTAATAAGCCATATTTGTAAAAAGTTGGAGCTTCTGATCATGTTTAGGCAATTTTCTACACATGCTCAGGGGGGAGAAGGTACAGGGGCAAGGAAGCCAATGGACCAACAGGCCCAGGGTACATGAAGAGATCCGCTTCGTATGACCTCGCGCCAAAAGCATATCTTCATAGAGCGTTGAGTATTGAAAGGATCTAGGCATGATTATCTTCGCGATTTTAGGTAGGATGTTGTGAGCATCACAGACTGATAGACTCGTCGCCCTAGTACAATATGTAATATATCCTAAATCTATGTGAAATACTGTATAAAAATTCAGGTCACAAGAGTTGATCAGTGGCAAGCTCGACGCGAAAGTGTCCATATCGTGTGTAGCATTGGAAGCCCCAGCAAAATAAGTTTGGTCTTGACCAGTACAAAAAAATAACATCAGCTTAGTCGTAGGCAGCAGCGTCAAGCGACCCTTCTTCAAAACGACATAGAACCACCTTTTTCAAGATATTTTTTGTTCATTCATATACCCCTTCAAAACTCTGAGCGTAAGGCCGAAACTTCAAACTTAAGCGGCAAACAGTCAATCCACAACCTGTTATTCTCAAATTGAAGAGTGTAGAATTATTCGGAGAAAGTCAAGGTTTAACCTGTAGCCACGATGGTCACGTCTCAGCGTGCAGTTGCGGATTGATGTCTGTGTCGCATCGAGTCCTTAATAATTTTGCCAAAAGCTATGCATTTGTGAATCTTGGAAAGCACAAGAATTGATATACTTAATAGACGCATGGGCTCAATTCAGTCGACATGAATAAGATGCGTGAACAGGTGTTGGGCTACTGAGCCTATGAGATCACTTACGCGCCCCCTTCCGACAGCCAATTGAGAAGGCTGTTCTAGAGCTTCGGAGTGATCACCATACTATTTCCAATTTCGATATGGCAGGGTCAACGTAGCGCTAGGAAATTCGTGGACACGGCGCAATACTGTACCTTCACAGCGAACACTCGACCTACCAAACCGTCACCAAGTGACTCAAGCCTCGAGGGCGCTTAAAAGCCTTTGCCAACCTTTCGCCTCGTTGCCCCATAAAGCTAGACACCCAACTAGCGATCCCAATGCTCACGGCACCGCGCCTTTGCTCCAATCGTCAGAAGTTCCGCAACACGGAACCTTTCCGCGCATTCCGCGACGAAGGCGTTCCCATCCCTCTCCCCGCATGGCGATCCTGCAGTACCGGCGGTAGTGTGGGGATGTCTCCTCGAGTATAGATAGCCACAGGAAGACGGCGTAGATATGTAGTTCGTCGCTATTGTTTGTGAAGTCTGTGAGCGCCAACGCACCGTGCCTTTTTCCTTATTGAAGGACCACGCCGCAAAGGGGACGAACTCTCCGGTTTTTAAAGCAACGCATCGATCTTCTGCATTATCGTATCTTGGTATTTCTTGAGAACAGTTGTTTGTTGTGAAGGAAGAATCCACACAATGATCTCGACAGTCCTGCCGCTGCTGTCGAATCAGCTATTCGAACACACGCTTCGCTCCATCTTTATCATCCTCGTCGGCATTCCCATCACCTACGTTGTAACCAACGAATTCCTACGCCGTTCTCTTCGGGTAAAGGGGTTCGATGGGCCAACGAATTGGCCGCTTGTCGGCAACATCCCAGACATCAAGTACAATGCTGCCGAGAAGTACCGCGAATGGAGCAAGATCTTCGGGGATGTGTATCAAATCCAGCTAGGCAATGTGCCGGTCATCGTGGTGAATAGCGCGGAGTCCGCGAGGAAGATTTTTGGGCAGAATAGCCAGGCATTGAGCTCAAGGCCCGTATTTTGGACGTTTCACAAGGTATGTCGAATGCGAAAGAATGGATGATAAGAGGACTCTAGGCTCATAGGAACAGGTGCTGTCGAACACTGCCGGAACAACAATCGGAACTTCGCCGTTCAATGACTCTTTGAAGAGAAGGCGTAAAGGTGCTGCGTCTGCTCTCAACAAGCCGTCGATCGCGACATATATTAGCCACATCGATGTCGAGACCAAGGATTTTGTCAAAGAGGGTTTTGTGAACGGCAAAGCAGGTGTGGCCGGAGTAGATCCCATGCCCATGATCCAACGCCTTTCACTCTCTCTATCACTTACACTGAATTGGGGCACGCGCATGGAAAGCCGGGATGATCCAATGTTCCACGAGATCACCGAAGTAGAAGAAGCCATCTCTCTCTTTCGAAGCACGACCGGTAATCTCCAGGACTACATTCCACTGCTCAGACTGAACCCATTCAGCGCTGGATCCGTGATGGCACGTGATATGCGGAGGAGACGAGATGTGTATCTGACTAAGCTGAACAAGGACTTGGATGATCGTATGGAGAAGGGCAGTCACAAGCCTTGCATTCAAGCGAACGTTATCCAGGATAAGAGTGCCGCGTTGAACAAGGAGGAGTTGACATCCATCAGCTTGACGATGCTTTCAGGAGGTCTCGATACCATTACCACACTGGTACAGTGGAGTGTTGCACTGCTCGCCCAACGACCAGACATCCAGAAAAAGGCGGTTGAAGAAATTGGCAAGTACTACTCGATCGAAGAGCCCCTGTGCGACGCATACGACGACCAAAAATGTGAATACATTGTGGCCTTGGTGCGAGAGTGTTTGCGGTATTACTGCGTCCTTAGGTTGGCACTCCCACGAGCCACGGTGAAGGATGTCGTGTACGAAGGCAAATTGATCCCGGCTGGTAGCACCGTTTACCTGAACGCGTGGGCGTGCAATATGGGTAAGTCAAAACTTGCTGCGGCTTGCATACAGAAATGAGTTGACGGTGTCTCGTAGATCCGAAAGTGTGGCACGACCCCGAGGTGTTCCGACCTGAGCGTTGGATTGAACAGCCTGACGCGCCGCTTTTCACATATGGCCTTGGATACAGGATGTGTGCCGGATCGTTGTTAGCAAATCGGGAGCTGTATCTGACGTATATGCGGATGCTGAACAGCTTTGAGATTTTGCCAGTCACTCAGGTTGAAACGCATCCCGTGAGGGGGAGCGCAGACCCGTGCAGCTTGGTGACGATGTGCAGGCATTACGAGGTCATTTTCAAGCCGCGCAACGAGGCAGCGTTGAGGAGAAGTCTAGAGGAGGCTGATAGGCGGTTAGCAGAGACGGCGTAGGCATTGAGATAGTTCCAATCTTTGACACGGCGACCGAGCTGATCGACACCGCCGTTCAACGTTTAGGGAAGACTGCCACCGGAAAGAGACTAGCATTCGCTTAAACGGGCGAAGTGGTCTATCCGCGTTCTAGGACCAGTACACATGTCTTGTGAATGACACCTTTCGTGTGGATGAGGCCAACGGGACGGACAGCGTCGACTTGGCAGGATGCGGAAGGCGGATTTGGTGCTACACGTACTAGTCTACCTGGGTTAGTCAAAGCCGAAGCTACCAACATGTCCTCAAGCCTCAGCAGCAATCCTGAGCTTGGCCAATCTTACAATTGCGCCCGCGTCTCCTCTTCCTCGCTGCCCTCCTGCGCCGACCTGTCCCTCTCCCTCTCCCTCGCCTTAGCGCCTGCGCGTCCTTTCTCGACTCTCCTTGCACGAACAGGCTTCCTTGCGTCCACCACATGACGGAGGCATATAGCGCCATGGTGTGAGCTGCGCGCATGCCTGGATTTCTGCAGGAAGGCCTGAATCGGGGGAACATGCTGAGATCGATGCTGCCCGGCGACGAGGAACTGGGCAAGAAGGACGACGACCACAGGCCGCGCGCGACGCGCATGCCGATATGGATACCCAGGAGCACGCCGCTGCGCTGGCGACGCCGGCGCATCTTGTTGGCCGTCGTAGGCCTATATCTGGTCTACGTGCTCGTCAAGAACATGCCGACCTTGGGCGCGTGGAGCGACCAGATAACCACGTCGGATTATGGAAGTGCTCCGCCCGGCAGGTTCAGCTACGGCTACGATCAAACCAACAACGAAGAACCTGCGGGACCGCCGCCAGGATACAGGGCGCCACGGGCTGGTGAGCCCACACCGCATACGTTCGATGGCCAATTCAAGTTTTACCGGCTCGCTGCCTCATTGCACGGAGCCTCCCACACCTACGGCTACCGCGCCGTCAATCGCAACATTGTGTTTCCCATATCCAGCCTGCACAGTGCGTCTACGATGCTCCCTATGATATGTGAGATGGCGCGTTGGAGTAGAAACTATGTACATGCGGCATTCATGGGCAGGGAAGACATCGACTTGGCCCAGATATTAGAGATCAATGGCATAGACCAAATCAAATGTCCCGCCATCTGGCACGATGCGCGGCCAGACTGGACGGAATACAGTTCAGACGACCGAGCCGAGCAGAGTGTTATGGCAGCTATGACCCACATCAACAGCTTCTTACACCCACAGGCAGCTATAATAGACGATGCCCTGTCCGAGGATGGCTTCCTCGTAAGGGGAATACGCGCGAAAACAGAAGCGTTGCATATGCCCCTCATCGAGATACCCAGAGATAGATTGGACAGCATGATGTGGATGTCTAGGCTTGACGCGGGATCCCTACGGAGCTGGAACTTACCCACCATTGATATCCTGATCCAGGTGCCGCCAGACTCTGCGAGCGTTGCTCGTCTCTTGAAGTCAATCCGATCAGCCGACTATAGTGGCATGAACCTGCCTCATATAACCCTCGAATTGCCCGCGGAGCTCGATGAAACAGTGGAGCGGTTCTTGGACGACTTCAAGTGGCCTCCATCCGGCCACCAGAGCCACATAACGACCAGACGCAAGATTGGAAGTCAGCGCGCAACACAAGAGGAATCAGCTATCCGTTTTCTTGAGCTCTTCTACCCTAGCTCGAAACATTCGCACGTTCTGCTGCTTTCTCCGCAGGCTGAATTTTCGTCGCAATATTATCAGTACCTCATCTTCACTCTACTGGAGTACAAGTACTCCACTTACGCCGAGGACGACGCCCTTGGTGTCATGGGTGTGACACTGGAGCTGCCCTCTTTTCTGCTCGACGGGAAGACGAAACTCAGCCCTCCCAAGCCCACCGATATGCATTCCAGACGATACGCTGAGCTTTTTGCTGACACTAAAAGTGTGCCGTTCCTGTGGCAAGCTCCCAATAGTCATGCAACGTTGTATTTTGGCAACAAATGGGCCGAGCTTCACTCATTCCTCAGCAACCGTGTGGCGAAGCATTCCAAAGCGCCGCAACGGAAGAAGCTTGTATCAGAGACACTCCCATCCTGGATGGAGTACACGCTCGAGTTCATGCGTGCCCGTGGTTACGCTTTGGTTTATCCCGGAGCGACCTCCGAAGAAGCCCTCGTCACTGTTCACAACGAACTGTACCATATCCCCGAAGAGTTTGCCCTACCGAAATCGAGGCATGGGGACGATGAGACCTCTCCACCGACACAGACAAACGAAGCATTTCTCCGCGGTGACATGTTTGAGCCACCACCCAAGCTGTCGGAGGCTGGAGTAGTTTCCCATTCGCGTCCGCTGCACCTCATCCTACCTTTCGACGGTGATCTTCCCGAAATACCCCACCTCCCCTACCTCCTCCATCGCGGCGACATGATACCCCATTTCAATGTCTCGTCTATCGCGGACACCTACGCTGTCAAGTATCGTGAACTCGTTGGCGGTTGCACAATTCCAGAGGGCAAGCACCGGAAGGTTACAGTGGGGAGCGCACGCGACCTGTTTTGCTTTGGAGATGAGGAGGACGAGTGGGAGAACGACATAGAGGTTTATGACGCAGATGTTGAAGACAACTACCGCGATGCGTGGAATAGCGCGCCGACGAGTGATGAGATGGTTGCCACGATCACGACGACAGGGAGCAGTACGACAGCCAGTGTGACATCTATGCCTACCGCGACTACCAGTCTCCGTTGACGCAGCCGTGCGTCGAACTATCGACAAAAGGCTCGAAGACTCAGTACGCGTCTTTCGATCAATCCTCGGCGCCGTCTGAGACTTGCGCTAGCATAGATATGATGAGGGTCATAGCGGACATAAACCGAAATGTGATCGATAGAACTGTAGAGGAGGATTGCGGGCATTTCATCGGAGTTAGGCTTTGCCCAATCAGTTTGTAGCATTTGGAGTCTTGGAGTTCTAAGTAGATTTTGGGACGGCGGTACATTTGCATTGCGCTGGCAATTAGTTGACTGTAATGATTACTCTGGACTGAAGACGACTGCGATCGATACCCTAACACATTCTGTGCCTCACGCAACTTCGACGGGCTGCGTCCCACTAAGCCATCTGAAATGCACATGCATGACTCGTACATAGCACAGGTCAAGGGTCTGCAGGTTTCCAGAAGATCACGTGCCCTCTAGCTTCCTGGAGGTCCGGGCCGGGTGCACGGCCCAGTGAAATTCTTATGTAGAAGGGGGGATTTGCCATCCGATGCGCCCTCAATTTCCAACAGCTGCCTATCCGGAGCGCCCATCGTAACTGCGCTCTTTGCAGGCCTGTTCCTCCTTCTTTGTATAGTCGAGCGTTTGTTCTTCCTTCTATTCCTTAGTATCTTTAATACTTGACTTTCAAAATGCTCGCGCGAGCAGCTCGGCGGAAGCTGCGAAGGGATGCCTTCAGGTCGCCCACGCAGTTGGCCGAACAATTGACCCTCCCATGGCTCTGTCCGGCGCAGATGCGATGGGCTTCCAGCGTCGGGCCTGCGACGACGACCACCCATGATGCACGAAGACCACGACACGGCGCGCTGTCGCCACGGCACGAGACGCGCTCCCTCGCCACGCAAGCCGATGTACAGCACGCAAACATGCCGTCCATGTCCTTTGACGGCCTCATACAGCCCTGGAGCTCGCGCAGCGCACAATCGCCGGGCATGGCACGACTAGAGCCCTGGGATCCCACGACGCCGCTCGTCCTGCGTGAGCCTATGGACCCTCCCACAACACCCTCACGATTCGGTATCGGCGGCGACCCCATCGAATTGTACCAGAACTTGCACGCGTGCCTACGCGTGGGCCGCATGGACAGAGCAACGGCCATCATCCAGCGCCTCACGGCCATGTACAGCCCGACGGCGAGTGAGGTGGTCGAGGCGCACAACGCTTACCTGCAGACAATGTTTGAGCTGGCCCAGCAGAACCCCGAGGCATATTCAATGGGTACCATCGAGGAGTGGTACGATTCACACATGGTGCGAAAGGCCATCGAACCCAATGCTGGCACGTTCGTCACACTTCTGCGAGCGTCCATGTCTTTGCTCGAGGGTAGCGAAAGGCACCGGTCGCTGCGCAAATATCTCGCCATGGCCGAAGCAAGTTGCGGCTCGGACGTTATGGACGCCATCAACTACTCGGAAGACTTTGACGACCACGAATGGGATGCGCTTATCCGTGCCCAACCAGAACGCTTCCAGGAACCACCTGCGCTGGAGCAGCCTGCCGATGTTGCGCATCAGTACGATATGAGTACGCCACTTGGAGCCCAGGCGCTTATCGACCATGGCATCCTTCCCAATCCTGCACACAGCGTGAAGGAAGTCGCGCAGAAGGGCCAAGGTCTCAACGCACTCAAAAACGCACTCGCCGTATTCGACCAAAGCTCGCGGGTTCCCTACCCACACGAGATGGAGGGCTCACAGGGAGAGAAAGAACGTGCTTTTGCCTACATGCGCCAGCTGCAAATCGAGCGTGACGCGACCGAGGCTGCGATCAACCGGTGGAAGATCGAAGACGAAAAACTCCAAGAGCTCGGTATTCACGGTGTGCTCAAGACCAAACCGATACAAGCTCTGATGTGGCAATGGTATTCTGCTCTTCTCCCACGCATTAAGAAGGAGTACGCACGTGTTCACGAAGTACTTTCTGCACCATCTTCAAAGAGTCAAAGCGACGAGAGGCTTGTTTACGGGCCATTCCTCGAGATGTGCAAGCCCGAAAAGATGGCAGCACTCACAGTTTCGCGCATAATCCAGAGCGTTGCGATTGGTCGGGGCGATAGTGTGAACGAGCTGAAAATCTCCCAACTTTCTCATAGCCTAGCAGAGGACATTCGGAACGAGGCGAACGCGGATGCAAGAGACAAATTGCTCTCTCAGCGGAAGAAACAGCGCAAACAAGCACGTCGAGCAATGCTAGATTCTCTGTCGTTACAACCGCAAGGCGCCAAACCAGAAGAACACACGACCAAACTCGCTGAATACCCTGTGGACTCTTTTTTGCAAAAGGAGATGCCTACAGCAATCAAGACTAGGATCGGTGCCTTGTTGATTGAGCTTTTTCTGCAAGCAGCCATGGTCACCGTGACAGCTGAAGATCCTAATTCCGGCAAAACTTTGACCAGCACGCAACCTGCGTTCAACCACCATGTTGGCTATGCCAACGGCAAGAGAACGGGATGGCTCGTGCCCCATCAGGGAATCATCAAGAAACTGATGAATGAGCCTACGCATTCCATTAACAGTGTCCAGCTTCCGATGGTTTTCGAACCCAAGCCTTGGACTGCTTTTGATGAAGGCGGCTACTACACGGGTTCACAGGGCGTGGTTCGTTTGAAGAACCATGACCTCTCACAACGCGCATACGCTCAATCGGCTATAGAAAATGGCGACATGGAAAAGATGCTTACGGGCCTCGATGTCCTTTCGAAGGTGCCGTGGCAGATCAATAAGGATGTGTTCGAAGTTATGGTTCAAGCATGGAATAACGGAGAAGGTATCGGGGCGATGGTTGCGGAAAATAACGGCCTAGTACGACCCGAGGAACCTCCGGCAAACGCATCCAGAGCCGAAAAACTCGCATGGAACAGGGCAATCCACCAGTACGAAAACGCCCGATCAGGTTTCCACTCACAACGCTGTTTTCAAAATTTTCAGCTAGAGACTGCACGTGCCTACGTTAGGGAGAAGAAATTATACTTCCCTCACAGCGTAGATTTCCGCGGTAGAGCTTATCCTATCCCCCCTATATTGAACCACATGGGATCCGACTTTGCAAGATGTCTCCTCAGATTCGCGAATGGCAAGGAATTGGGCTTTGTGGGTCTGCAGTGGCTCAAGGTCCATCTGGCGAACCTCTACGGGTTTGATAAAGCCAGCTTGCACGACCGGGAACAGTTCGCTATGGACAATCTCCATGAAATATACGACTCTGCAACAAATCCCCTTACCGGGAGAAGATGGTGGACTAAGGCAGAAGATCCCTGGCAATGCCTTGCGTGTTGCATGGAGCTGAAAAACGCATTAGAATCGCCAGATCCAACCCGTTTCGTGTCGCATCTTGCCGTTCACCAGGATGGGACCTGTAACGGACTTCAGCATTATGCTGCACTGGGTGGCGATGCTGCAGGTGCCAGCCAAGTCAATCTCGAACCATCCGACCGACCGCAGGATATTTACACTGGTGTTGCCGACCTTGTCCGGAGTATGGTTGCCGACGATGCTGCAAAGGGCCATGAATTGGCAATCTTGCTGAAGGACAAGATCTCTCGGAAGGTCGTCAAGCGAACTGTCATGACTAACGTGTATGGCGTCACATTCATTGGCGCTAAAAACCAAGTCGAGGACGAGCTCAGAGAAATATTCCAAAAAGAAAGCGAGACCACAGAAGTTTGGAAAGCAGCATCATACGTCGCGGGCAAGATATTCCAAGCCCTGGGCAAGATCTTCAATGGAGCCCAAGAAATCCAATACTGGCTTGGCGAATGCGGCGAACGTATCTCAACGTCCGTGTCTGCGGAGCAAGTCAAGAGGCTTCGACAACACCTTGAGGGAAGCCAGCCAGCCTATGACGCCAAGTACAAGAACCCCAAGCGTGTGAGCAAAACCCTGGAAAAGAAGCTTGTTAAAGATATGGAAGCATTTAAGACACCCATCATTTGGACAACGCCTCTCAAAATGCCGGTAGTGCAGCCATACCGCAAGCCGGGAACTCATGTGATCAAGACGAAATTGCAGGATATCGTCATTCACCGACACCAGGGTCACGCGGCTGTCGACAAACGTAAACAACTTCAAGCCTTTCCGCCCAACTTTATCCATTCTCTCGACGCTACTCACATGATATTGTCGGCGTTGAAATGCAATGAGATGGGTCTCGATTTCGCCGCCGTCCACGACAGTTTCTGGACCCATGCCGCTGATGTCCCCAACCTGAATGTTATCCTGCGCGATGCCTTCGTGCGCATGCATTCTGAAGATATCATGGGTCGGCTCGCCGCTGAATTCCAGGCGCGCTACGCGGGATCAATGCACAAGGCACATCTTAAGTCTTCCTCTAGTGTCGCAAAGAAGATTATGGCCTGGAGAGCGATGCCGCGTAGCGGCCTCGAAGATGGACGTTCACACCGTACTGAAAGAAAGGACGCCTCTTTTACTGAACTCGTCCTCGAGGCTCAGCGGCAGGAACTGCTGAACAGCGAAGACCCAAAGGATAAGGAACGGGGCCTGAAGATGGTCACACCAACGAGCATATGGCTAGCAAACCAAGATCCTAGCGCCATTGCATCGTATCGCCTTGCTCTCTTGGGCGACAGCAAGGATACAGCTGGTCGCAAGTTCGACGAAGTCAAAGAGAAGCTGCTAACCGCTGAGGCTGATCACGTCACGGAGGAGCTCGAGGCTGCTGGTACCCCACCGAGAGATATCTCAGAAGTAGATCTTGCCGCCGCGGAAGAGGAGATGGAGGAACAACTCGAAAACGAGGACACAAAGAGCACCCAGGAGAAGAGGAACGCGATGCGCATCCTGAAGACCCAAGGCGTCGCTGTGTGGCTTCCGCTGACATTCCCACCGGTGCCAAAGAAGGGTGACTGGGATGTCTCTAGGCTGCGTGAGTCGAAATATTTCTTCTCTTGAGGAGACCAGTCCTGTCTAATGGGATTTTCTTGTGAAGTGGTGTTTGTGGGGTAGAGCAATATCCATTCGGCTTGGCGTTTGCGGGCATCGGGAACAGCATTTGGCATGGCGTTTTTTTGGGATATCTTCTCTGCATTAACTGTGTGTTTTAGAGGGCGGGCGCCTTGAGCCGGTGTATACTATGTATACTATGTATGTATTTAAAGCACGTTTCGACATATCCACACCATTGCAACGGAGAGCTGTTGTAGGATAATCACTCATATAGAAAAGGAAAAGGGAAAGGAATGTGTACATTAGCTTCGACGTGCGGGTGCTCAACAGAATCAAAACAATCCAACTAAGCCGCTTCGATGTGTCGTGGTTCGTTAGTTTTTTCATAATACTCTGCACCTGACATATCAGACATTTTAGACTTGATCCCTTGTCACGGTGCTAAGCATTGTCCCGCATATGACGATGCTTGTTTAATAGACGTCAGGTTGTGTACCCGATCCTGCAATTCCCGCAATTGATCTGCACCATAAGCATTATGTCTTCGCGGTCGCACGCCCGGGCATTCGTCACCTAAGTTTCCCGTAAGCAGCCAACGTCGCCACACGAAGTTGTGTTGGTTTGTCAAGCTTAGTCAATCGGTATCGGAAGTCGGAAGCGAGGACGGCATGACGAAAGCGGGACGTCTAGATGTCGTTCGCGTTAGCGTGAGGAGCTCCGAACATGGTCTAGCTATTGCTCCTCTTTATATTCCTCACAGCTGCTCTTCGCAGCTCGCAGTGTTATATGTCCTCCCTTCTCTTAAGGTGTCGCATTCGAGCATCTTCAGTTTCACCCAGTTCTTTGACCAAAAGACTTTCCATCGCACCTTCATACCGCGCTTTTAACTACTCAGGCAAGCAAAGAGCTATGGATAAGGCTCCCGAGCAGAAAGGCAGCATCACCGATTGGGTGAAACCCGGCGATAAGTCGGGAGAGTTCAAGAGGCAGACGTCCGTGTTCAGGAACTGGATTGAGAACAAGCCTGAGGCTGAGTTCCCACCTGAAAAGGGGAGGTATCACCTATACGTGAGCTATGCATGTCCGTGGGCGCATCGCACGATGATTGTGCGGAAGTTGAAGGGGCTCGAGGACTTTGTTGGCATCACGAGCGTGCACTGGCACATGGGCGAGAAAGGTAAGCTAGATTGTATCTTTGTGAATTCTGAAAACAAGATTCGATGTGTGCTTATCATTCATCACAGGTTGGAGATTCGCTGAAAAGGGCGAGAAGGTTGCGGGGGATTTGACGACTCCCGATCCAATCCACAAGGACTTCACGCACATCCGCGACATCTACTTCGAGCAGGACCCGAACTATAACGGGCGCTTTACTGTGCCTACACTGTACGACAAGAAAGCGAGCAAGATCGTTAGCAACGAGAGTAGCGAGATCATCCGGATGTTCTATACGGCGTTCGATGACCATCTTGAGGAGAAGTACAAGTCAGTCGACCTCTTCCCGACCAAGCTTCAAAAAGATATTGAGGAGATGAACGACTGGGTGTACAACGACATCAACAACGGTGTCTACAAGAGCGGCTTTGCTACGTATGTTCTTCCATTTTCTTTTGACTTGCAATCCTCGCTCTTAGGTCTCTCTCAAATCTTTGATCCCCCTCTTCAACCTCCTTGTTATACCTAAATCTAACAATCAAGCAGCACCGAAGAAGCCTACAGCAAAGCCGTAACCACCCTCTTCACCTCCCTCGACCGCGTCGAGAAAAGCCTCTCCACCTCCTCCACTCCTTACCTTCTCTCATCTCCCACCATCACAGAAGCCGATGTCCGGCTCTACACGACCATCGTCCGCTTCGACCCTGTCTACGTGCAGCACTTCAAGTGCAACATCAGAGACATTCGCAGCGGGTACCCGCACCTGCACAAGTGGATGCGGAACCTGTACTGGGACCATCCGGCGTTTGGTGAGACGACGCAATTCGAGCATATCAAAAAGCATTATACGAAGAGCCATAGCCAGATTAATCAATTTGCGATTACGCCGGTGGGACCGCTGCCGGATATTTTGGGGAAGGATGAGGAGGTACCTGCTGTGAAGGCTTCGAAGATTTAGTCTCTTGCTTAAAGGATAGAAACAATCGCAATGCCAGTACGAATGCGAAATACCTTGGCATAGCTCCACAATGTCGGTATCGTCAGTTGCAAAATACAAAGATGTGAATCTTGAATGTTCCGGATTTAATTCATGTCCTTTCCAAAGACAAGCCCTTTTGGTATCGTGTTGTACAAGAACGCCGTAAATGCATCAACCCACCCTTGCATCACCAATCGTAGGAATGAAGAAGCTTTCCCTGATCTTCGAACTACCAATTCCCCCGTCCTCTTCCACGCCCTCTTCCACCGCCGCCACCTCCATGCCCGCCGCCAAAGCCTCCCTGTTGACCTCCGGGGCCGCCAAAACCACCCATACCTCCGCTATTGGACATTTGCATCATCATCTGGTTGAAATCCATGGTGCTGGGATCCATGCCTTGCGCGGCCATTTGCTGCATCATCTGCATCATCTCGGCTTCGCCGGGCATGCCAGGAATGCCCGCTGGCGCACTCGGTGGAGCACCGCCAGGGCCAGGCAGACCGCCCATCATAGCCATCATCTGTTGCTGCTGAGCTTTCTGGTCCGCAATGGTATCACTCATTTCTTGCTGCTTAAGGCGATATTGCTCCCAGCTGAACTCGTCGAAGCCGTAGTTGAAGAAGTCGGACTGGTCGGCGCCGGGCAACCGCCAGGGCTTGGTTTCCTCGGCCAGGTCTGCATCCATGACAACTTGGGAGATGGGCTTGCCTGCGGGTGGGTAGACGGGGTCGCCATTGACATCAATGGTAGAAGACCTGATGGCGGGGTATGCAGTGCCTGGCTGCGTGGGGACTTGGGGTGCTGTTGTCCGGGCGGCCTGAGACGGTGTTGTGGAGGCCTGCGGGGGCGCTTCAATCTTGATCGCCTTGGATTCCTGGGGCTGCTGCTGTTGCTGTGCGGGCTTGGGCGCGACGGCGGGCTTGTCTATAATGATCTCAATGTCCTGCGCTTTGTTAGTCGCGGTTGCGCGCGCTGTCAGCTGAATTGGCGCGCCGTACCGAATCGCTATCGTCGCTGTTGTCCTCGTCGCCAGACTCCTCCTCCATGGGCTCGTCGCCGCTCGAGTCGCCGTCTTCATTCTTGATTTCGTCCTTGCTCTCGGCCTGCTGAGGCTCCGAAGGCCCGTAGAGATCATCGTCGTCCTCCTCCATAGCGTCGTCGTCCCAGAAGCGCGGCGGCTGGCCCTTTTTGAAGTCCCAGGGAATCAGGCGGTACCCAGCGCTCTCGAGACGTTGCTTGATGAAGCGGGCGCGGGTGATGACGTTGCGGTGCTTGTCGCGCTCGACGTCGTGGGTCGGGTGCTTGAAGATGTACAATAGCTTGCCGCGCTTGAGGCCAAAGCGCACGGTGCGCTCGTCGCTGTTCCTTGTCGCGCGGTTAGCCTTTCCATGTCTGTTTAACGCGGCGCGGCTCTGCGGGCAGCCTTGGCATGCAGCTAGCCTTCGCGACCGAAACATTGCTGGGGACGCACTCACGCGCTGACCCTCTCCATCCTGCACAGCGGCAGGTCCACGGGCTCCATCTTCTCCAGCCGCTCCTTTGCGAAGCTCACCTCCCACTCGCGCCGCGCAACCACATCGCTCCAGCTGGAGAATACCTCGGCCCCAGGCGCACTCATCGCAGCAACCGCAAACGACAGCGAGGCAGCACCCGTCGAAGCCCTAATTGGAACGAGCGGCGAGGTCAATCGGGATCTCTTTTGCACAAACACGCGATTTGAAGCTAGGCGGACGGTATACAGACCAGCATACACAGAATGGCAGGCTTCGGGCGCTCCAACTCGCTGAGCATCAACACCGGCAGCAGTCTCTTGTGCGTATATATATCCACCGCACCGCCATGAGGTCTCCATAACGGCCATATTCATGTCCTGTTAAGCAGCCTCGGCCGCATCCTACAGGAACCGTACCCTCCGTCCATGGGGCCGATTCTCTTGGGGTCCGATTACTCATGACCATGTCCACCATGCTAACGGACCTGCAGCGGAAATGCCACGGGCCAGGGGCAACAGAGTGCCGGTCTCTTCGGCTCGTCAACCGCTGCCTCGCAGCCCCAGCAGACCGGGGGGCTATTCGGCTCGACGTCACAGCAGCCGCAGACGGGCGGGCTGTTCGGCGGTGCATCCCAAGCGCAGGGCTCACAGCCACCCCAGTCGGCCGGCCTTTTTGGCAATCTGAACAAGCCCCAGCAGGCCGCGGGCACTGCCGGGGGGCTCTTCGGTGCTTCGACCCAGCAGTCGCAGCCGCAGCCTCAGCAGGGCTCTGGCTTATTTGGGGGCGCCCTGGGAGGCAACACCAACCCTCAGACTCAGACTTCCCAATCGGGTGGACCATTTGGTGGCCTTGGCCAGAATCAGAATCAGCCGAAACCTTCATTGTTGTAAGTAAGGGCTGCTGCAGCCAGTTACACAAAGGCTAACTGCATCCCTTAGTGGCGCGTCAACCGCACAACAAAACACCAGCTCGTCTTTGTTCGGCAATGCACAGCAGCAAAATCAGACCTCGAACCCGTCGTTATTTGGCAACACCCAGCAAAACCAAGCCCAGACCCAGCAGACAAGCGGGATGTTTGGTGGCATGACTTCACAGAACAACCCTCTCGGCGGCCTCGGCCAGTCTTCCACCCTGGGCGGCTCACAGGTCATCCAGATGAACGATCTGAGTCAGATCAAAGGCACCACCCGCCTCAACGATCTGCACCCGGACATTCAGAAACAAGTCTTCGGGCTCGACGATGTCATCCAAGCAAAAATCGAGACCATCAACAAGATGCGAGAAAGCTATCCCGGCCACATTCAGAACCTGGAGACGGTAGCACCAGATGTCGAATATGTAGAGAAGAAACTCGCCATCGTTGCGCTAGGTCTGGAAAACGACGCAGCCAATATATCGCACTTGAAGACTATAGTCGATGCCGATGCAAATGACGCCGAACTCTCTTTCCGCGCCATTGTGAACCAAGCATTACCTGCTCAGTTCCGTTACGGCAACCCTTCGAATCTTTCCGCATCCACAACGAAACCTGCTACGACGAGTTCCCTTGAGAGCGATGACCCCACCAAGCCAGTAGATCTTATCAGCTACTTCAACCGTCGCACAGACGACCTAGGCAAGACCCTGGAGACATACCAAGGCCAAATCCGCGAGATTGAACTGCATCTGAGGACCATGGAAGCCGGTGCTTACGAGAAGCAGCAACAGCTTATGGGGGCGCGCAACAAATCGCTGGATGACAGGCAGCAGCTCGTGGAGGCTCTGAGGGCTATAGAATCCGCCATTGTGGATTCGGCGAAGAAAGTGGGCAAGGTGCGGGATGAGGTTACGAAACACACGTTGGGTGGCGTCGGAGCTGCTTTGCTTTGAGCGCATAGGTCGACAGCGGCGGCAAGTGGAGAAGTTGGAAGTGCAAGTCTTGTATATTCTTGGCAATTCGAGACGAAACGAACTGGCTTGAGGCGGTGTTGCATGCCCGGCGTGGAGCGAGACGTGAGATCTCGCAGGGAACGAACGTGACGGCATGCATCAAGGCAAAAGCGGACGATGAAGAAACAGATACCCATGTACAAAACGAACGCAATTCGAAATGAGTGACTCAGTGGATGATTCAGTTGCCTTTGTCACTCGTATTCTCAGGAATAGCATATGCGATATGGTGTGAGGTTGAAGATCTGGGGCGCAGAAGGATCGGCAGGATCGTGGCTTGTGCTGCTGTGCGACCCGTTCCTGCGATACGTCGGGGTTTTCTACGTCCATCGCGAGGCTGTGCGTTATGAACATCACACATGATAATAGTTGGAGCCCATAAGACAGAAGCTCTTTTCGGATTTCAAAAAGTGCCAGCCACCTGACTTGCGTAATGCAGTGTACGTACTCGGAGACGGTTCGCCTTGCGCTCCATTCAACGTCGTACATGTCAGCGTACGCATGCATTTCGTATGCCAAACCTTTGAGTCAGGGTCGGCGTTTACGTGTGATGCGTGAACACAAGGTGTGGTCTGGACTCGTCTCGTCTCGGGAATGCCCGAGACATGGCATTGGTGCATATGGCATCACGTTGCGATGTGATTTCTAAGGCTCGTATGAGTATAGGTCTAGCGATGGGTTACCGCTTCGGTCACTCCCCTGACCCCTTGCATCCTTGATTGTGTAGGTCATAGTGCGTGCTATTGTAAGGAAAGGGTACCTTGTACTAATAGTCAATGATGCACGTAGGTCTTGGTTTACCCACCACGCTACAAGGTAGTCACATATTGCAACCCAAGGTGGATTCGCAGGATATCTATTCGAGGTTAGACAGGACCGGGCTAGGCGAGTCGCGTAGCGTATACTCAGTGTCGAAGGATTAGTTGGGGGCTTGAATACCCATGCTCGATAATGGTCGCAAGTTGCTAATGGCGGTGAAACATGGGTAGAGGATATTGTTTAGGCCGGACACTCCGATGCCAGATCGCGCTTAACGTAGCTTGTCCTGAAATTGCCTACAGCGAGTTATTGCAGACAGATACGGAAAAGCCGTTCAAAGCCGTTCAAAGCCGTTAAAGCTAGGAATATTCGATAAGTACCACGGAAGAGAAGATACGGGTCCCGGACGTAGCCATAATCGTAGCGATCACTAGGAGGATGATCTGTCATGTGGCAGCTCGGTCGATATCAGGTAGGCTTGATATCTCGTACGAGCAGGTATGGGTTGCAAAGACGGAAGCATGAGCGGAAACATATGTCTCACCTCAGCCCTGTTGGTAGTTTGATGCCCGGGTTTTATCATGTCCGCAAGACGTCCACTGCACGGTGTCGCAGGCAAGGCGAAGAATTAGGATGCTCATAGTGGGCATATGCACATGCATCATACGAGCGAGCTTTGCGGGTGATTCCTTCAGGACATGGATGTCAATAGGACGGTGCGTTCGACCATGCGCCTAGGCTTGTTGCGAAGTCGGTCGGATATTCGACGATATGGAGTTGACCGCGACCGTTGAACCCGAACCCTTCCGCGATCCGAGACAAGCACAGGGCTGACAGGGGTTCGGTACCGGGGATGCAGGAGAGGTCCGAGCAGGGTATCATCCCCGCTAATCTTACATCTGTAGAGCCCGTGTCCGTACGCTTAACGCCCTGCGCGCTGCGCTGAACGCTGAATGATGAATGCTCGTGTGCTGTTACCCTACGCTTAGTAGGACGATGTAGGAAAATAGGACCCACCCCTCTATGCGTAGATCTCGTTTCGTTTGGGTCTGCAAGATATTGACGCATGCTGATGAAGACGATGAGAGTGCGACACGCCTTGTAGTAAGCTGGGGCGAGGCTTCCCTTCGCTCTTCCACGACGGTTATTTCTAGCGAGGTACACCAGCAAGTATTTGGCGACCTCCATCAGATGGGCCATATAATCAATAGAGAAATTTGACCGCTGACGTTTTCTGGTGACTGTGTGAGCCTCGACAAAATTGTCTCGCTCCACCAAAGAGCCATCAGTCTAAAGATCTGATTAGCCTGTCAATGTCAGTTCTGTAGAAACTCAGCTCGATCCGCATCTATGCCGGTCGTTCCTTTGTATATTTCACAAAGGCGATCCATGTAAGAGTGAACGTGTGATGCTGAAGTTGTTTCGCGGCGAGGTTCGAATGTCGGGCCAGATGTCATCGACCCGGTCGAGTCAGTGTTCGTTCATGTTGATACTTCAGGCTGCCATCTGAAAACCAACTGAGATCGCCTTTGCATCCGTACAAAAGTGCTTGAAAATGCCGCTTAAGCCCGTTGTCCGATACCTAGTGTGAGCCGAGCGCCCAGGGCAATCCCCGGGAGCACGTAACCATTACAACGGTCGGCGCGCACCTTATCCACCGAAAGATTTCCTCGGCTGCTGCGGGTCCTTCGTTTGATTAGATACGGGAATGTCTCTGATGAAGGATGCCCCGGAAAATTTCGACGTGTGATCGCGTATGGGCACGGTGTCGTTCGAAGTCCGAGCCTAGAAGCATCAACTCACGAGCTGGTGACTACGACCACATTCAGGTAGTCGTGTTAGGTAAAGACTCAAATGTGCTGCATGAGGCAGTGGGAGCTGTGACTAACGTGAAGAACTGTTGGCGCCGTTGGATGGAACCTCCAAGAAGAGATTGTAAGGCGCAGAGTACGTTGGACGGGCACCGGCCCCCAGCTCCTCGCGTGGCTCATCATTAATCCCATGCTCGTGATGCGGCTAAGCTATCCAGGAGGGGAAGATGGGAAATGCAAAGCTGTGAACGTGGAGGCGTAGTGGTCGAGGTTCGAGGCGCACCGTAGCGGCTGGGGGGAGACTAGGCTCACAGTGCACCAGGGCGGGAAGTAACGCCACCCTGGTACCTTCTTGTCTCGACACACAGCGCGTTGTGGTTTCTTTGTGTTGCAAAGAATGCAGAGCACTGGAAATACTGGAAACTTGACATAAGAGAGCTCAATGGCAACATGACGAGACTACTGTCGACTCATTATGATTATTGTTCCTGCTCGCAAGATGCAAGCTGGGGACGAAAGAAAAGAGTCTAGCAACAAGCACAGAACAGCCACCCCATGGATATCGACCCCGAGTCCGTGTATGGTGTTGCGACAGATTCCCAAGTAACGCCCGCTGAAACGCAATGACTTGTAGGTGCAGATAAAGAGCTGAGGTCCTGTTATAACAAGTCGACTCGCTCGCCCACCGAAAGGTAGGTCATGAACAGATAATAAAGCAAATCGAAGATGTTGAAGAACCTTCATATAGTACACCGGGGATGAGAAAGAGAAATTGAGGACTGCTCTGATTTCTTCCGTGCGTGGCGTACGTGAGAGCACGCTGCTGCCGCTGACAAGTCAGTAAAAGGGCGGTCCCGAGAGACCTTTTCACTCCACTTCGGTGAGCCAGCGTCGTATGCCTTCCTTCAAAGACGAGTCGGTCGCAGTCTTAGCAACATCGCCTTTGTCTTTTCTTTCCGCTACGGCATCATCATTCGCGGCATGCTTAGTATCGCGTTCAGCTGTAACATTTTTCACCACGATCTCGAGAGCATCGAAGATCACGGCTTTACAATCGGTTTGCGGGACTTCGACGTGTGGCGCTGTTTCCATTACATTGCGAGTGTCGTGTCTTCCTCGCCTGGAACTTGAACGCGAAGAGCTAGCGGATTGGGCGCGAGAGCCTTGTCCCGACTGTGCCAAACAACGATCCACAGCGTCAATAAGAGTCGCATCGAAGTCCATAATCTGTTCTTCAATGAACTTCTCCGCCAGGTGCACTTCAGTCATCAATGGCGCGGCCGCTCCCGTGTTGTAAGGATTGCCATATTGAGACCGTCCCGGTGGCATACCAGAGATACCAGGTGTCATAGCAGGCGCTTGGTACGTTGGAGTGGGAATAAGCCGAATGAGGCGTCGCAGGCTGATACGTTTGATGCTAAACGTTCTGGTGTCTGCGATGAGTGCAGAGCAGACATCAACCCATCGCTCGAGCGGGCCTTGCTCAAGAGTCGGAGTAGCAGCCGAAGTGATGGGACTTGGCTCAGCACTCATAGCCCACTTGATATCACGCTCTAGCTCATTGTATGGTCTGATCGCCTGGATAGCAAAATCCGGATGGAATTGCTTCAACCATCCGGCAGCGTTAACCGATTGCTCAGGTTCGCAATAGGGCATAGATAAGACCGAAGATTCACCATAACTGGACCCTTGCTGGCTAGGAACGGAACCGTATCCTCCCAACAGAGGTGACTGAAGTGGAGAGCCAAACTCGGGTAGCGGGATATCTACGTCGATGACACCGTCTTTCTCATTCACGGAGAGCTTCAAAGCAGTGTCGAATGTCTTCGGACGCTCTGGAATCGGACGTGCGGCTGAAGCAGGAATGCCACTGGTACCAATTGGATAAGTCTCTGGAGAGTGTTCACCAATGTTGATGGTTTTGTTCGTGGATGGATCGAACGGGTCGGCTTCGCCAAAAACACCATCCATTGAAAGCTCCTGCACCATTTGTTCCAATTGAGAACGAGGCCGCTCCGGACCCCTATAGGCCGAACCTGCAACACCTAGGCCATCATCCGTAGTCTGCAGGTACTCACTTTGGTCGGTGGAAGAGCCACGTCTGCCCCCCCAAAAGCTCATGAAGCCGCTCCACCTGCTATTGACAGACTCGGTACTGGGATTGCTCGCGTGACCTGTACTGCTTCTTTGCAAGGTGTTCATCAGATTCGCAGAGGCTAAACTGTCCATACTTTCAGGTCTTTGATCAGGTCTTTGATCAGGCATCGGTCCAGACTTGGTCCTTGGAAGAGCAAAATGAGGTACCGGAGCATCATTGTTAGATGCACCTGTAGACACGGTAGCGCTTGTGGATTTTGTGAGAGCAGCAGTGTCAGACATGGACGCCATCACTAAACTCGTGCGTATGGAATGAGCAGAAGAACGGCGAGAATGCCGCGGCATCTCCGGATAATCAGCAACACCAGAATCCATACGCCTATCGGGTGAGTCGAGGTTGGAGAGATCTGTATCATCCGTAGCGGGAGGCTGGAGGCGTATATTGACCTGGCTGTCCTTACCGCGAGGCCGTCGGTTGATTTGCCGACGCAAGGAGTGTTTTCGAGATGGTGGCATATTAATTGGCGGCGATTGTGAATATCCGCGCAAAGAGGCGGATGTGCTCGGTCGCATGGGCGAGACGTCGTATGAACTCAACGCGTTCGGTGGAAGGAAGGTGGCGAGGAGGAAGATCAGCCGCCGTGCAGCCATCTTGTCTGGCGAAACAATGACAGTCCGATTCGGGATGATGAGATTGTCACCTGCATTGACCTTGTGCTGCTCTCGATGGCGCCTGCGATGCAATTTCGGGCCAAGCACATTGAGCCACTCAGTATGGTTTCCCAAAAAAGCAGTCAACAGTATGAAAAAGAAGAAGTTCTCTTCTTTCCCACCTGCCCACCTTCCAAGCCACCGTGCTTCTTCACGCCATACACCCCATTTTCCCTGCCCTGTCATGACTCGAGGTATTCGCATGCCACTGACGACGCGACTGCCCGCTAGATCAACCGCTTTCTTGATGTCCGCGTCGAACATGAGAGCATTCGGCTGCAATGCGACAACTCGACGCGCAGGCGCACTAGTCGTATTTCGAAGACTCGAACGAGACGGCTGCACACGGGGTTGATGAAGCAAAGGAACAGCGGTCGACTGTGCTGCCTTTATGTGGGCCAAGATCTTCTCTTGAACAACAAATTGAAGACTGGTGAGAGTTCTCATGATGACATCCCAGTGTTGGCCCACGACGTCGACACGGTCGTCTACGTCGCTACTAAGAGACATAGAGAGTAGCGAGTCTACACCAAAGTTGCCATCGACCCAAGACCATCCAGCTCTACGATCAGAATCTAACGACGACCCTAAGGAGTCGTTCCCGGGCGCAGAGGTGGACAAATGATGCGCCTTAGACTGGCCCGGCCGCGACGATGGTCGTAGTGTTGACGAGGGAGCGCCTATCGGTAGATGTAAGATGATGGTGATCGCATACATAGGGCTTTTCCGTAACGGTGGTAACTTCTGAGGCCCTCGGGCATTCAGATTTGGAAATGGAAAGCCGTTGCTGGTGCCGACAGAGCTTTGTGGTGTTGGAGTGCGCACGTTGGACGTGTCTTGTTCGTCGTCGGGGATGGTCACAGAGAACATGCGCGTAATGAAGATGGTTCGCCTTCTGGATTCCTTCGCGGTTACGCCGCTGCTCTCGCCAACAACCAATTCGGGAGGAATGTTCCCGGGAGTAAATGATTTGGCCAAATTACTCCTCCGCCGGAGGCCTTCTGATCGGCCCAGTGAATTTGTACCATCTTGTATCGGCGGGATAGCAGCATTTGAGTCGGCTGTTTTAGATTCAAGTGGTACAATATGTATCTTGTTCGAGTTCCCCCGGTAATTCATGGGTGTATTCCCGAACATGCACTCCAAGGCGGCGTTCACAAGATCGGTGGACTCTTTGGATTTTGCTTGTGCCTTTGCCTGTGACTGTGCGTGCTCGTCGATGTTGGGCATGGATGAGATAGAGTTCCCTCTAGTTCGCGAGCGCGCAAAGGCGGCAACAGTGGGTGATCGTGGGGTGGACTCGGTGACGAGCGAAGCGCGGCGCGCATGCATGCCTCCGTACGAGGGGCCCACGGTGCTTGTGCCGCCGAGTCCACCAAAGCCTCGTGAGCGCGTGCTCGGCTGCGTAGGCGACTCTGCGCGAAAGGGGCCCGGCTTCGAATCGAACAGAATAGTCTTGTGGGCGCTCCCGGATTCATCTTGGGCGATAAGGATGCGGCAGTCGCGCGGGAACTCGAGGTCAATCTCGGGCAGTGGCCCGTCATGAGCGGTCCCTAGCGAGAGGGCGGCTCCGTGTAGCGGGTATGGCTGGCCATCGGGGTGATAGAGGGTGCTGGTTTCGGGGTAGAGCAGGTGGCGTGTGTGAGACTCTTCGGTAGCAGAATCGAGCGTCGCGGTTGGTGATGGATGCGCCTGAGCGCCCTTTCGGCCGCTGAAGAATTGTCCGAGCATATCTCCTACCGGGCGCATGCCGCAGCCATAGAAGGAGTTTGGGGCTTGTCTCAGCAGTTGTTCAGGAAGCCGTAGTAGAAGGCTTGTCGAGCAAGTTGGGGGAGTGTCGGGCGTGGACAGCCCATCGCAGCGCGCGAGATGGCTCTGCGGGCGGGTCCCGGGGTGCGAAGCTTCAAGGCGACGGCCGAGTCGTAGTCGAGCGGGCTCGTCGTGTGGACTGAGAGGGCGAGGCGCGGCGTAGGCGTTGTCGTCACAAAGCGGGCGGGAGCTTCGGAGGGACTGGACAGGACAGGACGTCGAGGGCAGAGTGCCACAATGCGTGGGCCTCTATGTCGCGTGCGCGAGATGGTCGGTGGAGCGAGGGGCGCGGCGGAGGCCAGACGGTGGGCTATTGACGTGCTTAGTTATACAATGGCGGTGAAGGGCTGCGGGACCTCAAGCTATGGAGCGAGCCGAAGTGCATCGTGCGTCGTATATATTCCTTCTGCGACCGGAGGCTTGTCAGCGCGGGAAGACGGGCGAACCCTCCCTTCCCTCCCGCCTGATGCTAAGGAATGACGCGCTTCGATCGGTGACGGCTCTCTTCTAAGCTCTCTCACCCAGCACATCAATGCTCCCGTCTCGTCAGTCACCGTGGGTCGCCGACTGCTGACTGGTGAACATCCCTACCTGCACGCGCAGATCACCCGCCGGGATACCCCAGGCTGCGACCTTGAGATGCTGGCCTACACAGTCACTCGCTTACGTCTCACTGCAGCTGCAGCCTGGCATGATTCTTCACCTCCACACCTTTCGGCGGGACCAAGCAAATCACAGACTGCGTTATCAGATTGCAATCGGCAAGAGGCGGTAAAGCACCCGCAATGGTTCGTCAGGTCCGGCGAGGTGTTTCCTCCCCACGACCCCCCAGACTCCGTTCCTACCCGATGTAAGAGTCTGGTAAAGCATGAGGAGCGTGGTAATGGGGTCGAAAGAGGGGGCAGCGCACATGTTCGAAAACGCGGACGTGGGCAATCTTCAGTCATTTCCTTGACTGCAGCCGCAGCAACCAAGCATAGCAGAAGCATCATGGCATATGCTACCGGAACGCTGAGCTCAGCGTTGAGTTGAGCGACACTCCTGTACGGGTAAATGCACACCTTCGCTGGGATTTGACTTCCCTGATGCAGTCGCTCGAGTGTCGACACGGGCTACTATCAGTACAGCGGCAGTGTGCAGTATTCCACGTCACCGTCTCCTTCCTAGGACGACATCATCCTCACCTTGTACAACAGGACATGCATACATCTGTCGTGCGTCGTCCCACTACACGAGAATCTGGACGCGTCTTCTAGCAGACAACACTTTTTACTTCCAACTCTACTTCCAAATCGAAGCACTTGAACAAGTGTATCAGACAAAAGCCATTGCTCATCCGTGCAAAGGTGCATATCGCGCTATGCTACTGAGCTCCCCGGTTTACTTTATAGCTCCGGTTGCCCCCGTAGCAGAAGGCCTCACAGCCACTAGCACGACTGACATTTTGTCTTTCAAAAACAAGCAGCGCGGCAACAACGCAAGACATGTTACCCCGCGTACGTCAGGTGTGGACAAGGGATCGCGGCTCACGGTCTTCGCTGCCCGATACCGGCATAGATCCTTGCACGCTCGCAACTCGCCGTCCTACCGAGTCTACATCCGTCTCAACACTATACTGACCATTATCTACACAGTACAAAATCGCACGGCCAAGCACACTCAGACTCAACGTTTGCAGCTCATAGACTCCAGTTGTCAACGTCGGCCACTCCGAACCACTACTCAATTAAATCGCCCCGTACCGTTGCTTCGACCAGCATGTCTTCGCTAAATATGCACCCCAGATCCCCAGGTTTTCCGCGCAAACGTCGTATTGCAGGCACTCTGCCTGTTCGGCATCTTAACGTCCGTCTTAAGGCTAAATTTACTGGCGGCGCAATTTTGGCCTTGGACATTCGGTAGCTGTCACAGCACACTTCCTTAGTCCCTATGTCATGCTGCGTTCGCTGTTGGTGTGATCCGGTTTGTCGACGCTCATGCCAGGCGCAAGTCCATTATTATTAGATTGCGTCTTGAAGGGAGACGAGTGATGTAGACAGAACATCGACCGATCTGAGGGCGTGTGTTTACCTCTTATGGACGTGGAAGCATTTTCCCACCGCTTATATTGCAAGCGAGTGCTTGGTTGCATACGGAGCCGCAGAATCGTTATTGACGTGCAGTAGGTCAGTGGGATTCTGGTCGAGAAGTGTGTGGATAGGTAAGTCGGCTGGAGTGTATTAAAATTTGGACAGCCATGACGAGTGACGGTCTTCATTAGGGTGTTTGTACGGTGAGCGCTTCATCTGTGTCACACGCAAGGTCTTCCCATTGAGCAAGATCGTAGAGGCACTCTGGTATCTTTGTGCAGATCGGAGGAAGATGAATGGCGTAGTGCTAGTTCATAGTGACACAAACGCCGCTCAGAGTAGATTATCACAACTGCCCACTTCGAAGCACAACTGGTTCGACTTTTCAAAAGACCGTCCTGCAAACGATGATGTAATGTTTGTTTCCCCCCGAAAGACGTTTGAATAGGTGGATAGGAAATTTCCTCTCCTGTGAGCATTTGGATCAAGGCGTGAAGTAACGTACTGAGCATTATAGTCTCTACCACCACATCATCCTAGCTGAGGACTTTATATATTGATTTGATAGTTATAGAATAAGTGAGTGTAGCAACTACGTGTCCAAATAACGTCGCTGCCAGCATAGTACTACATACCTCTTATCACGATACATACTGTCCGCCGCAATAGGCTTAGCGTAAACGGGCTAGGAAGCCGCGGCCTGAAGCCTTGGCAAGGTCAATGCTTCGACGCGCGACACGCATCTAAGCTATCACCTCACCATCAATGTGCACAAGTGGTCGCATCCGTCAGCTTCCACAAAAGAAACGTCAGTGTCGGGGTGATGCACTTATTCCCTTATTCCCTTCCCGTGAGATACTGCGCGTCTCGTCAGGAGTATACCATACTTAACCGAGATGAGAAGACTTGGACACACTACTATTTGACCGCAGCGGGTGAGCAAGTCTAAGATATGTCCAAGTCTATCATGAACGGGAAACGTACGCGAGTACGTAAGGTTTGCACACTCTGGACACACGATGACAACTTCTCGAAGGATGACGTTGTCTTCAACAGCGACAAATTCTCAGAGCTCCCAGCCGCGCCAGGGTCCTTGATACAAGTCATAGCCCTCAAATACGGCACAGCTACCCGTGACTTCCAGTCGTCATCAAGGAACCTCGAGAAGGATGGTACACAGACGAAACACGAAGATCCCAATGATGCAGCCACGGACGTGCATTCACGACGGAGTCGTAAAGAGTCTATTAAGGTCACGCTCGATGAGAATGGATCGGTCATTCAAGAAGATCGCGAAGTGGATACTGACAAGTCATACATTTTTGTTGCAAAACCCTTCCCTACCGAATTGAAATCAAAGCATTCCAACTTGCAAGTCTCCATCGCCGAGAAGATCGCTAAAGTATTCGGACTGCGCAATCGTATGCAGGTTGTTGTTACGCTGGTAAGCGGGACTGGATGCCCTATCGCGATGGGACGCTAATATTGCCAGGCCGACGAGCACAAGCACTCTGCCTCCCACGTGGAGGTCACCTTTCGTGATGAATACCTGGCAAGAGCCGATATGTGGCGCATGTCGATAGCAGAGTTGAGTAACCGTACAGTCTATCGAGGGCAAAAGCTGCTCTTCATGGGGACGATCAAGGCAACAGTGAAGAATGTATACATCAACGGACAGTCCACTCACTCCGGTTACTTTTCATCCATGACAAAGCCTGTGTTTCGCAGCGAATCTGCTCGTTACGTGCTCTTTATACAGATGTCCAAGGAAATGTGGGATTTCGACGCCGAGGGTGCTGGAGAGATCATGTTTAACAAGGTGGTGAATGGCTTTCTACCGGACCTCTTCAAGCGTTGGCTGAGAATCAACGCGAGACATCTTGTGACAATCATATTGTTCACCAGGATGCAGTATGATCCTGAAATCACACCGAAGCAACCTATTGATACCACGAATAACAACGGTTTCGACAGTCGGACTGGTCGCTTCCGCGACTACTATCGTGTGGTTGTCTCCGACATGGCCAGCGGGGATTGGGTCAATATTCTATATCAGCTAAAGAAAGAATTCCGGTCATTCCTCAAGGATGTCTCCCTCATTCCTAGGCAAGACTATTCGTTCTCGAAAGCAGCGATCACGACTCCTGGTGAGACAGAACCTCAATTCATCATTGCCGGTAAACCGTCTACAGCTGCTCAGGGCAATATTCTCGAAGCGATCAACTTGGCTAGTGCCCAGTTTGCAAAGGACTATATTGACCGAGACCTGGTCCGAACCGGCATCTCTGTCATCGTTGTTACTGCGGGCACTGGTGTCTTCGAGGTCGATTACAATATGCTCAAATTAACGACTGACACCCTTGTCGGGTCTGGCATAGGTATAGATCTCGTATGTCTGTCGCCGATGCCACTGCATTCTGTGCCACTCTTTAAATACCGCAACCCTCATTCTATATCGAGTATGCAGAGTGAGGCACACGACGGCCATGACAAAAGTAATTCTGTCAACGACTTTGAATACTACGACGAGAAGACGCCTCGCCAGCACCAACCAAAATTCGGATCGATGATACGAAGATCTCCTCTACACGTCCCGCCTATCATTCTCGGAGGTATACCAGATGCTCAGGACCAGGACGAATGGCGGTATGCAATGCCACACTGGGTCGATGTGTCATTCTGGTCCGGTCCATTTGAAGAAATCCTTGAGCTTGCCAAAGTACGGAAATCCGACAAAATCGTCAAAAAGGTGCAGGAGAAGAGTGGGTCTTTTGCACTTAGGTGTCGTATGTATGAGCTACAGATGATGGGGGTAACGGAGAACGAATTGGGCGACATATCGATACCATATCTGGAAGAAGATCCGTTTTACCCTCAGCGACTGCGCGAGAAATTGGAAACTCCGTCAACCGCTGTTACCCGTATCACGCGAGACGTGACAGTAGCCACAGGGACACTTCCATCGAATGAAACCGAAGACAAACCCGAAAATGAGCTTGAGGAGATCAAACAGTTGCTTGAAAGGTGGATGGACGATTTTGACAGCAATGTGTTCACACCTCGGATGGACAAAAATATGCGCCATGACCAAGACCATCCAGTAAAGCAATTCAGTATTTCAAACGTAAAGCATGAGCAGCCAGAAGAGATGGCTAAGAGCTCATTCTTGGCTTCCTCGTACCGCAATTTTACCGCCTCTATCGGGAAGACTGCTCGGCCTCCCCCAGACGCAGAATTTCCCCAACTCACACGAAACATATCTCGGGAGGCCGATGGCTCGTCTCGAGGGAGCGTGTTCCACGTACCTGAATACAGTGGCCCTGGTGTACCTCGAGCGGACGTGTTGGCTCGGCAAATGGCCATGGAACAATCAAATAGTACGAAGCCCGGGCCAACGTCGCACAGAAGAGGTGGTTCTGGAGACTCAAGTGACCATCGTAAGTCACGATACTCCACTCCGCGCGATTCGCCCGCCCCGAGTAGGGGCCATAGTCCTCCAAAAGAAAGCGGACTTCCACCATTTCCTCGCACGGCGTCCACTGCAACCTCTATTACAAGTGAAACAAACCCCGCTCGGTGGTTCCTTAGACAGATTAGTTTCGGCGGAAGGAAAGGTGCAGCACCCAAGGCAACCACAGAGGCGGCCATCGGGCAAGCTACCATTGACATTACACCCGGCAAAGTCAAACCAGCAAAGTTGGCCTTGGGGAATGAAAACCATAGAGGTGCTATTGCTGAGAAGCTCGCAAGTACACGAATGGAGAAATCGCAACCCATTGCTATCAGAAGTGTATCGCGAGCGGGCTTGCCGTCAGACGAATCATCTTCGCCAAGCAACGCGGGTCATTCAGTTGAGACGGTCAAGGGGCTACGCACCATGAGGACGACGATTCCGTCTCATCCAGGCTCCGTCGTCAAAGACCCAGGATCCACTTTCTTGCTTGCGGGCTCGCGTGCCTTGGGCGATTCTGTTCCTCCAAAACTAGACATGCTGTCAACGAGCGGAGGCGCGAAAGTCATCCCTCGAACCTTGTCACCTACCAGCGCCATTGCTCCCTGGGCTGTGCTCGTCAATCCCTGCAATCCGAAGAAGAACAATATCAGCATTGCCAGCCAGTTTCGACGGTGGCAACATGTGTTCCCCAAGCGATTAAAAACTGCTTCTGTGAAATGGAAATCACTTTGCTCTCCAGCTGCGGTGCCCCTGACAAACGAGTATTTTCCTAGCCCTGAGCAACTGGCGACGGAGTACAATGAGAGTCCGTATAAGATTACACAGAACGATGACGAAGAGATGCTCGAAGCTCCCAAATCTCGAGAGTCTCTAGTTCGTGAGCTTATAGCGTTTCGGTTGTCTCATGGCTTCCAGATCATTGTGGGCTCCGCGGTAGCGGACTTCTCAGGACGTCGTGAACTGGACTTGGCCAAGATATTCGACGCGGAATACATGTCTCGTGACGGTGATACTGTTTTTCTCAGTATTGGTAATACCATCCACCAGCTTGTTTGTGTCGCTGGTGGCGAGGTTGAGATCAAGCGATACAGTCGCAAACCTACAACAGCACTCCAATCATCGGCAGGTATTGACACACCTTTCCCTTATAAGCCATACATACGAACGGCATTTGAGGATCAGTACGAGGCACGAAACGTCATCCTTCGACCACCTCGAAAAGAGTACAACTGGAACTTCATCGATACCTTCCTCGCGGGATACCAAGACGAATTCTCCGAAGTTCTACGGTTCTGGAGAGCCCGTTTCGTACTGATACCGGTGGACCTACCGACCATAAATAGACGACCACTGCCGATGCTGGCTGAGGATTCTGAGGAAGAGATTCGGCTCGAAGGGATTCGGAAGTTGACTCAAGTATGGCAAAAGTACCGTTATATTCCACCCGAGGAGCGTCATTTCCAGGCTACGAACAGTCGAAAACAGAAAGACCCCAATCCCCTTGCGATCGAATATCAAACTCGTGACCCTTCCGCTATAGTTGCTGCAGGTGCAGACAATTCTTTGATCAACGACACCGAGAGCGAGTTTCCGACATCAATCTTCTCAGAGACGGAGCAATACCACACTTCGAACATTGACATAAAGAAGCTTGCTGAAGATATTCAAGGTGAAGGAGGTGTCCCTATGCTTGACCGACGGTGGCACATGCGGTTGCATTACAACTGTTTCCTAGGTTTCGATCTCACGAGCTGGTTGCTGTCAAACTTCAAGGATGTCGACACGCGCGACGAAGCTGTGGACCTGGGAAACCAGCTCATGAAGAAAGGTCTCTTCCATCATGTCCAGAAACGACACGCATTCCGCGACGGAAACTTCTTCTACTCAGTCGCCCCTGAGTATCGCGCACCACGACCTGAATCAAAAAGTGGCTGGTTTGGCATGCGTAAATCTGATCGATCTGTGCCCTCTACACCTCTTTCCGATGGCCCACGTTCTTCGCCTTTGGCTTCCCGAGGAAGCTTACGCTCACGTCCCAGTACTGGCGATTCGTCAAGTGCAGATTCTGAGAAAGGTGGAGAGAAGACTCCGACTCGTTCGGGCACTCCCAAACGTAAAGTCTTGCTGTCGCGTGTCATGCGGTACGACGTAGACCCTCGCAAGCGTTCCTATCGACCGGAGATTATCTCGTTGCACTACGACCGTTTGTCGAACCCAGACAACTGCTACCATATCCGCATCGATTGGATGAATGTAACGGCGAAACTTATCGAGGATGCTATTGTATCCTGGGCCACTAGTGTCGAAAAGTATGGCCTAAAGTTAGTCGAGGTGCCAATTGCTGAAGCATCGAACATTGCCGACCACCACCCTTTCCGCGAACCATACATAATCAAGCTTGCTCTACAACCACCTCAAACAAATACTGATGCCAGCTGGGATTCGTCACACTTTTCAACACAGTACACCAAGAACGATAGGTTTGCATATCACAAAGCTTTGCTGCGCCGGCTGAACTTTGTGCTAGACATCGAATCTGCCGATTCTTTCCCTACCGATGTCGAGGTGGCATACTCATGGGGGAGCCCAGATTACAAGTACACACAATTCATTCACAAGAGCGGCACACTCATGGCACAGATACTGCACGACGGTAATTTCGCAGTACTAGCAAATCGTCTAGCGCATAACCGCGCAAAGGACACGAACAGGTTCCGACCGACAGATCCATACGAACATAAACGCGTAGTCAACGATAAAGACCGGATGCCCACGACCCCAGCAGAACGTGCGAACCCACATCGGTCACCGTTCTCTAGTCCGCTCGCCCGTCCGGTTCAGGATTCTAGCCTTCTTCACAGTGCGCTGCAGGACAAACCGTCCGCCACCCCTACGCCAATTACAGCGACTTCGGCATCAGCTGCGACCATAACCCAGAGTCCTGAGCAAGTCAAAGACGAGCTTGAAGCATTTTGCTCAAACGCTACCCTTCTGCAAGCATTCTATGCCACCGAGGTGTTCAAGCAAGCGCCGCATCCCTCGCCTTCTCCACGCATAATGCCCGTTCTCGATAACAACATCCCGGCATTGGGTCTGCCTCCGGCGATTAATGTTTTCGGCGCGAGCCCAGCTAACAGTCCCGGGTGGTCATTGGGTGGAAGTGTAATAATCGGTGGAAGTACTATTGCGGGAAGGAGGCAGGGGAACGAGGAAAGCAACGTAACCGCAGGAGGTGGTATGCGACCAAGTCTGCTCGGAGCGATGGGTGGAAGAAGAAGAAGTGTAGCTTTGGAGGAGATCATGCTACCAAAGAGGTCGGAAAGCCAGTCGAGCTCAGGGACAGGATAGTTTGCCATACAGCCGATGTGATCTAGTTCCATCCACTTGTAATCGTTCATCTTGCTATCAAAGTTGACATACCCTTCAAACGCACTTTTGGTTTTTTGCCTATTCTGGCAAACTGGGGACAGAGTAACAATGTTCTTTGTCAAATATTACCAGGCCCGTTGTATTCCTACAATGTAGGTACACATGGCAGTTGGGCCTCATAAGTTGCCGAAGAGCTGCTTTCCCCTTCCGGTCTCGCACACTGATCCTCCGCAAAATGCCTACTCAAAGCGACGCAGGTTGCCACTCGCGCCGTAAGACCAACCATTCTATCCCCGCAACTCACAAAGCATTGCGGCAACATTACACGGCTTTGCTTTCGGGTACTGAGTTCTACTATCAAGACTCCAAGGGGCTTCCGGTCGTACCGGTTCGTCAAGTCATCAATGCCAACCATGTGATTCCTACTCTACTGAAGCAGAACGCTCTCAACGCTTCACATTGGGCGGAGATCAAAAAGCCTACGTACCATATTGGTAAGTGGCCACCTACCAGCGTCGAAGATATCCTCGGTTCTCCTGCCAAGGAAGAGGAATGCGGTGTCTGTGACAAGGACACATCCGCTTGCGACTGCGACTGCGACTACCAACAGTGGTCGGCCCAGATGCAAATTTTCTGGATCGAGAACATCCGCATCTCACTTACCCCTAGCAAGGGCTATGGAGTGTTCGCTCGATCAGACTTCAAGGCCAATCAAGTCCTAGGTGAGTACACCGGTGAACTCGTTCCCATTGACAAGACTAGGTCTGACGAGGAGACGCAGTATCTTGCCAACATAAATATTGGAAAGGCAAGTTTGACACAAAAGGGTACTTTGGCCTGTCGGCAGCCGTACTGTTGTATCGATGCTGCCAGCAAAGGTTCGGTTTTCCGCTTCTTGAATCATTCCTGTGATCATAATGCTGCTTTGATTCTTGGGCGCATCGGCATGAGTAGGAGGGTTATGATGATTCAGACCACCAAGCCGATTGCGGAAGGTGAAGAGATTACGATCGATTACGGTCCTGAGTACTTTCAGCCAGGTGAGAGCTGTCGGTGCGGTTCGGAAATCTGCCGTTTCCCCGGCTGACTCTGATCCACAGTCGTTTCGCTTCCTAGAGTAGGTACTTAAATCCTGAGCATACCTAGGTAGATGGCTGTTTCCTCAATACAAAAGACATTTCACTTACTCCCCCTACAAAAGTTTTGCCATAATCGCTTATTGAGCGTAATCTGTTTCCATCCCCCTGGGGCGTAAACATTGGAATCCCGGTGCCAAGCCAAGCCCGCTGCTGATTTCACCTGGCACCCTGGTCAGCGTGCAATACCTATTTGCTCCGCCGTGTTGCTGAAACGAAACGCCAAATCAGACAACGACTCATCGTCTTCATCTCCAGGGTATTTGTTTCAGCTTTCCTTCATTCACTATCAATCCATGGATTGATTGTATCGACGATTAAAACACTAAGTCCATCCAATACCATATCGTGCGCCCGCTCCACTTGTCGTAGTAAGCTTACCTTTGTTACCAACCTGGGCTCATAAACAACAATGCCACCAATTCCCTTCGAAACCCCACCGGGAACGGCAGAATGGAACCACACCATCACGCATGACGACTACACCAAGATGCTGAACGGGCACACTCCGCGCGACATGGACGACAAGGTTTGGATCAAAGCCAAGGTACCCGAAGCGCAGAGCAACGCTATGTTCCATATCTACTATGGCTGGAAACCTCGTGAGGTCATCCGGCTCGAAATTGTCGCGGGCGACCCCAACAACACCGAGGCCAAGGAATGGGCTACTATTATCAAGATATGGTGGAAAAAAGAGTTCTCGGGAGAGGAACCCATGACTGAAGAGGAGGCTAAGAAGAGCGTTATTAATACATGCAACAATATGTTGGGTTGCAAGATAGAGCACGAAGACGAGGATGAGGGCGAGACCGAGGAGAATGAAGATGAGGACAAGAAGGAAAAGGACAAGAAGGAAAAGGACAAGAAGGAAAAGGACAAGAAGGAAAAGGACAAGAAGGAAAAGGACAAGAAGGAAAAGGACAAGAAGGAAAAGGACAAGAAGGAAAAGGACAAGAAGGAAAAGGACAAGAAGGAAAAGGACAAGAAGGAAAAGGACAAGGGTTAGAATACGGACCAGGCAAATAATTGATCAGTGTGTACGTTGCGTTGAGTTCTCTGCAGGTGCGCGAGCGTGGTTTCCGCGAGAGAGGGGGCGTGGAGAGCACGTCTGGGGAAGCGTGCGAGCCCATGTAGATGAGGTGCGAGGTGCCCCGGATGTCACACTACCGCGGAGTCGGGAGCCGTGGGCTGCCAAAGACTAGTTTGCAGCCAGACTAGTTTGGGGGCACCTTCCGCGGAGTACCTACTAAAGAACTTTAAGCAGTTGGCTTATATGGTATGCTTTCGTTCTTCATTCACCCTGGCGCCTCATTATAGATTCAAGTCAGCAATTTTATGCCAGCAGGGAATCATGCTTCGATGAAGCTCTACGAGTGGCGATTAAATCCCGCTACCTGACAGTCGGTCTGCTACACACACCAAGTTAAACTAACACATTATCTCTTGACTGGAACCGTGCCTCGTTCTGTTGCGTCTCCGTTATGCTGTCAATCTACTACGTTTATGGAGCTCGACTGAATTCCTGTACGCCCAGTGTGTGCGTCTATCATCTCAAGTCATTAAGATGACCTTCCCTGCAATCTTCTTCCTTATGCGCAAGCCTTCCCTCACCCTTGAGAAGTTTAGAAACGTTTACGAGAACAAGCACCTTCCCTTGCTCTAGTCACTCTCTGGTCCTGCAGCTTCGCTTCGCTATCGTCGTTATTATGTCTCTCAAACGATCACCGAGATACCCGTTACTCCTGCCTGTCCTCCTCCATCGTCTCAATTGACCATCGATGAAACCTCCGAAGACCCCAACTATGATTGCATAGCCGAACTATCGTGGGCAGACGAGAAAACATTCCACGATTTCAACCGGATGTACAAGCTACCGGGAAACCTGGCCAGGATAGCATCGAGTGAAGACGAGTTTCTGGTGCGAGAAAAGCTTCGGGCTATCGTCATTGGGAATTTGAGATAGAGCTCAGCCCATCAGCGACGGCGATCGCGCAAGAGGCAAGAGCTTGCATTGAATGCACATGTATGATCTAGAAGAGACATATGAAGATCAAGAACGAGCTGGCTGTAGAGATCCTTTGGCGCGTGGTACCCTTTCCATTGTGTGGCAAATTTGGCAATGGAGTTATCTTGTCAAAACGTCCTGAAATATAGGATATACTGCATCACGCCATTGTATCCATAGCCGTTGAACCTTGCCGCGGCCGTTTATTCTCCTTGTTTTGATCTGCCGTGAAACAAAAGCTACACTGAGCACGAGCTCCTTCCGGACCGGGTTGGGGCAGACGTTCGGAAATGGTATTAACGTTGCAAACTTGGTAGTGCAAGACATCCTCTTTGGCCCTGTTTCCGTTCACACCTTGGTTTTCCGGTTTGCTTAGTGCAGTCATGTAGTTGGCACAGAACGGCGGCACCCAGTCATATGGACCATCTCTCGAGCAAGTCGCGCATGTATAGACTTGTCGTCTACACATTGTATAGCTGATGTAGATAGACGGACGCTGTCGGCTTATGGTGAAAGATGGAACGAAAGAATATTGAATGGTATTGAGGTGGTCATGCGATCACTGCCGGAACTTGTCAAGGAGAAGTAAGACGCGTGGGCCGGATCGCGCATCGGCTGTCCGATAAGGTTTGCGCTGTCGAAGAGATGTCCGGCAGCCGTACGAGTTGTTTTTAACTGCAATGAGGGCCTGCAAAGTCTCGTTAGTGAAAGCCATGCTTACTGGCGTCGGGCCACGTAAGGCCAGAGATTATCTCGGGATGATGGGTGTGTAGAGAAGCAGTATTTCGGTACCGATGGGGAGATGTTTACTTCGAGGATGGCGTGCCACCAAGACAGGCACCGAGCAATGACCGATCAGCGGAGTCTTCCATAATCCATCAGCAGACCGATTGTGTGAAAGCACGGAGTTAAAGTTATGCAAGGCGCATTCCAGCGCTTTGATGACACGGACCACCCTTAGATGTCACAATAACCATGGCAGAAATTTCCGCAAACGGTCAAGCAAGTTCTGAGATCTCAGTATCCGAATATGAATATTCGTCTGTAAATGATTGAGAGCGCTACCTTGTAGAGTGATCACCGCATCACCGGTGTCAATATCTGTATAGGGTATGATGTAGATGGTAGCCATCCGTGTATCTACCGCTCTCTCCTAACGGATAACGCCTGACGCCCAATTCACGGCAGCTTCGTAGATGTTCTACTTTTTCGATGCCTTGCCCTTCGCCTCTGTGTCGCTCAGCTCGCGTATGAATACCTTGATAGCGCCATCGGGGACATCGTCCGAACCGTCCTCGAAACCTGGACTGACGCCGACCGCCACGTACTTTCCGTCGGTGCTGAAGTCAATCGTCTGGACACTTGCGGGGAACCGCTGGTACTGCCTGATCCTCCTCTTGTGCACGGCATCCCATAAAGCAACCACACCATCTCCACCACCGGACGCGAAAGTGCCATGAACGGGATGGAAGGCCAGCGCATTTACCGGGTATACTACGTCTTGTCCCTCAACCGTCTGTCGGTGGCACTTGAACGCGTATTTGCGCGACTGCGATTCCTCACTCGGGTCAAACCATTCGACAGCCACTCTGCCTTCGATACTAGAGCTGGCATAGCCTGCGTCGTTAGGCATACACGATACCGCGCGTGTCATATACTTCATGCTGCTTTCCCTCTGCTGCCACGGCTTCACGTCTTGATGGCCGCCCGCCTGTGCTGCCTGTGCCAGCATGTCCATCTCGTATATGTTGACTGAGCGATTGGCCATGGCTACAACGAGCTTTGTAGGTGACGCAGTGAGGGAGAATGCTTTTGCGGGAAGCGCCACTGTAGAGAATTCGCCGGGTTGTGAGAGGTCGTGCAGATGGAGGGTGGAGTCCCATGACGAAGAGACTAAGAGATTGTGAGGAGCCGAATAGAAGACGTTGCGTACGCCAGCTGAATGTGTTGATAGCACGGTTTGCGCGCCGCTGTCTAAGTCGATTCTGCGCACTTCCCAATCCATACCTGCGCTGAAGGCCTCATTGTCGTCTCGCCCAAAACACACATCTAGTACGGGGGCGGAATGCTCGAACTTCTGCAGAAGCTTGCCGCCCGGTTCAGCAAGGGTATCGTAGAGATAAACATTTCGGTCCCACGAGGATACGAGTAGGCGCGAAGAGGAGTTTGGCGCAAACTTGACAGCGGATATGGGGTCGGTGGGATTCTGAGCGAGCTCAAATTGGCCTTTGGACGACATCAGCTGTGTCAAACAATTGAATTCAAGGAGAGGTACTTACTGGACATGTTTGCGCGGAAAGACAGGGTATTGAATGCGGACTGAAGAAGGTGCCTTCCGCAGTAAACATGATCGGGCCTTCCTTTTTCCGGCTAGGGAAGGTTCGAGCTTCAAGCTACCCCTCCCCTTCCTCGTTCTTGCGCCCCGCGCCTGTATACATCAGTGCCTCACATCGACACCACAATATTTCCAAGATGCCGTTCGCACAATTGGTAATCGGACCACCGGGCTCTGGCAAGTCAACGTACTGCGATGGCATGGAGCAGTTTATGACTGCAATCGAGCGCAAAGTTTCCGTCGTCAACCTCGATCCGGCCAACGACCACACCTCATATCAGCCGGACTTGGACGTAAGGGACCTAGTCACAATAGACGAAATCATGGAGCAGGAAACACTAGGACCGAACGGAGGCATACTGTATGCGCTGGAGGAGCTAGAACACAACTTTGACTGGCTGGAGAAAGGCTTGAAGGAACTCGGAGGTCCGCGGACACCTATGCGCCCGCTGTAAGAGGAAGCAAAGGCTGAGTCTGGATAGATGATTACATACTCTTCGACTGTCCCGGTCAAGTCGAGCTGTTCACACACCACTCGTCGTTACGGAACATCTTCTTCCGCCTCCAAAAGATTGGGTACCGAGTATTCTTCACCTCTCTTGCTCGTCGACCTCTGCTGACTGTTGGCAGCTCGTAGTTGTCCACCTGACCGATTCCATCGTACTCTCGAGACCCTCGCTATACGTCTCCTCGCTGCTACTCGCATTACGAAGCATGCTGCAGATGGACTTACCACACCTTAACGTCCTCACCAAGATCGACAACCTGCGCAACTATGGGGATCTACCTTTCAATCTCGACTTCTATACGGAGGTGCAGGACTTGAATTACTTGCTTCCCCTTTTGAATAGGGAGCAGACATCTGGTATTCCAGGGCCAAGTTCGGCTATGCAAGATGAAAAACCGGACACTAATATGGATGAAGAGGAACCTACGTCAAAGTTTTCGGCACTGAACAAGGCTATCGTAGAACTGGTTGAAGACTTCGCTCTAGTCGGCTTCGAAACCCTTGCTGTAGAGGACAAGAGGAGCATGATGACACTGCTGCGTGCTATCGACCGAGCAGGAGGCTATGCATTTGGAGGAGTCGAGGGTGCAAATGATACCGTATGGCAGATGGCCATGCGGTCAGAAGGCGTCACGATGGATGCACGCGATGTGCAGGAAAGGTGGCTAGACCGACGCGATGAGCTAGACGACGAGGAACGGCGTGCATGGGCAGAGGAGAGCAAAGAAATGAAAGACCCGCCGCAAGAAGCCCCGCCAGCGGAATCCACATCAGCACCCAACCAAGCAGTCAGGCTCACGACGACCGCTGGAGGCGGTGACGACGACGACGACATGGAGGACGATCTCGAAGAGATGCGCAAATTCATGGACGAAAAGAAGGATGGTGGAGTAAATGTGACGAAAGGATAGATACGTTATCTAATGCATCGGGCGGTGTTCTGGGTAAAATGATACCATACTGGAATTAATACATTTTGGTCTTGTTTGACTACGGCGCAAACCACAAGATTGCGGATGTCCACGTCTATGTCCATGATTCTCGCTGTTGCGCGTGATAAATGAAGAAGCCTAGCTGCCCGCTGTTATTTGCAAGTCATGACGAAAGGGTTTATATCCTGTTCGTCTGCACATTGTGCCAGAAGTCCAGTCGAGCTCCCGTGAGAGTATGTATTGCGGTTGGAGAACCGTCCTTGTTCTGCTAACTCTTGAATGCAAAGGAAGAGCAATAAGGCCTATCATCTGATCTACTTGCGGGCCCCTCTAGCCACTAGTGCATGGTGTAGCGTCGCAGTGAATGTAGTGGTCGCGTGCAAGGTTAATCCACTCTGCTGCGCTGTTATGAAACGAATACGCGCCTCCGCTCACCCAGAGAGTTTCCACTGCCCCGCACACTTCTACCCGTTAGTTGAAAGCGATTTCATTTGGGAGCATTTCCAACATCTGCTTTTAAACTCATCCATTGTTTTATGGCCAGCAAAGCGCTCTTTGTGAAACGTGGTAAAAGAACATCGAAGCTCCCGGTATGCACCTCAAGCGGAGGCGGAACAGCGCTAGTCAGGGGATCCCTGCACAGTCGCCATCTTCGACTGCGCACCCAAAGCGTCTGTTCAAGAGACCGAAGGGCACGGCTCGACAACGCGCCGCCGTTTTTCCATATCACGAATCAGACATGACTGAGCTGGTAGAATACATACATACGCACGAAGAAGCCTTCCGAAACCGCAACCGCCTTGCGTCCCTTTACTCCGACTTTCGAGAACAGCAACAGACCAACCCCGAAGGCTACCTCGCAAACCTCAACGCGTGGAAGAAAGCTCTGGAACATGCGGCTCGCGCAGGTGTTCTTCCTGGCTCTGGTACCACGCGAAATCTCCTAATCATCGACACCGGCAACGAGCTCTCGCGCGCCTTACAGCATAAAGACTTCGGGTTGCCCACTTGTTTGCGCGATGTTTTCCAAGACGCAATCAAGAAAGGGTCCTTTGTACCGGCACAAGACTGGATGACGTCGACGCAGCCGATCTACCAGAAATCATGGTTCAAGCTGCCAAAGGTTTCCGTAGGCGGTTTGTTATCCAGCGCATGGGAGATGGGCAAGAGCTCTTTGCTCGGGCCTTCAACTCAGCTGCCGGCTGGCCCTTTCGTGGTAGTCGCAAACGTGGAAGCCGCCGCAGAGACGATCTTGAAACAATACCGAGACCAGCCGCACACCTCGTTCGCGGACCGTATATTCTCGAAGCCAGCCTTCCTAGAGCGTTTCGGAAAGGTCCTGAATCAGGAAAAGCCAATCACCGCGCGCGATCTAGACGTCCTACTTGTACACTTGGTCCGCGATAGACAGGCACTGGCAGTGGAGAGAAATACTGTCAAGTTCAAAGCCGACACGGAAGACCATCCTTCGCCAGTCACGCAAGAGGATGCAGCCATGGCGGAGCTGCATGATGCAGTCAACAAGGTGCAGGCGCGCGTTGCTCTTCTGCAAGAAAATGTCTCCAAGACTGAGCTGGCAGCAAAGGAAGCCGTACAGCTCAAGCAGCTGGCCCGCGCTAAGATTTGTTTGCGGTCGAAGAAGCTGGCCCAATCATCGCTGGACCACTACACTAATTTAGGTATGCAGCTCGAAGAATCATATATGAAGCTCCAGCAAGCGGCGGACAACGTTGGGATGTTGGATGCCATGAAAGCTGGGGCAGAAGCTATGGCCCTTCTGAATAAGAAGGTTGGTGGCGCAGAGGGCGTCCAGCAGGTGATGGACTCGGTCAACGAAGAGATGGCCACTACTGAGGAGATCACGAACATCATCAATGAATCTGCCACTCCGATCGATGAAAGTGAAATTGATGATGAATTTGCCGAGCTTGAGAAGGCCGAGAAAGAAAAGCAGGAGAAGGAAGAAGCAGCGAAGACTGCTGAGCTCCTCGCCGAGCTTCCCGACACGAAGAAGTTGCGCGAAGAACAGGATCTTGAGACAGCCGAAATATCCAGTCAGCTGTCAAACATCACTGTCTCAACACCAGAAAAAGAAGAGAGAGAAGAGCGAGTTGCAATGCCTGCTTAGGCATTCGAACCTGCCGCTTACTAGCATGGAAAGATACGTGGTGACTTGCATGACGTGGGCAATGTCGGGGTATCATAGGCACGTTCACGACGTTCCGATTCGCAAGGTCATGCTTTGCGTGACCTAGATCAAGATTTGGAAGAGGATACCTCCAAAGGTAGAAGGAGTATGCATTGACGAATTACGACGCAAATGCATCGGGTATTAACGGTCGGCGTTGAAATCTTTGAAGCATTTTTAAACGTGCAGCTCACACTTGTATCTACTGCAGCAATAGATAACTTACCGCATCTTGTATAGAGGTACACGGTTGCACATAATTGGGGTTTGGCGTTGTAGATACCACAGCATACAATCAGACAAATTCTGTAACTCCGTCTTGGACAAACAATTACGAGTTCGTGTTTGTTGTAGAGCAAAGTGACGTTCTTCAACAGTGGTAACCTTCCTTCCGAGCTCGCATCCACTAAGCCGGATCCGCCCGCTCAAACGTGACTCCCTGCCGCCACAGCCGCCAAGCTTCTCGACGACAACTCTACGCCGCCAAAGCAACAGCTTCTCCACACCTCTACGCCGCCTCCTCCCTCGGCGCCCGCCACAACATACACATCTCCACTCACCGTACACCGCACACGTACTCGCGGGACTCAATGCCTTCGCTCGCCCCTCTCCGCGCCGCCGCGCGCACGTCGACCGCCGTCGCGATCCGCCAGCCCAACCTCAAGTTCCCGCTGTCCTTCCGCCGAACATTTTCGCAAACGAAGAGCGCGCAAAGTGGTCACGGCCCAAGCTACGATCCCCCGTCCGGATGGCTGTTTGGCGTCAAGCCGGGTGAGAAGTACCAGAAGGAGGGGTGGGAAGGTGTTTGGTATTGGGGTTTCTATGGCAGCTTCGCTGTGGCGATCATAGCGTATGCGTTCAAGCCGGACACTAGGTACGTGGGAACTCTTTTGGATCGGCATGGGCAGGATAGGAAGCCATCCTTGCTGAAGGGGTGACGAAGGACATGGTGGTTGACGTGCTTGACTCGCAAGTACAGGGCTGACATTGTGTAGCATTCAAACATGGGCTCTTGAAGAGGCTCGCCGACGACTGGAAGCCGAGGGCATTCTGCAGGACCCCGATACGAAGCCCCGGGAGTAAGAAGCGACAACCAGCAATATGGCAACGGATGCCTAGAAACTTAAGGCGGACTGTATATATGACGACAAGTGGCTGGTTTCCTTTGTGCAAGACTCGCAAGACTCATACAGTCGGCCTATGCGCGGCTTCAGTGCCGAAACTGCTTTAGCAATGGGATTTCCTTTTTGACAGCACCAGGTTATTGCATGTGATGTGGCGCGTATATCCTAACATGTGGAGGGTCGAAGACTGGGAGTACGAACGGTAGGAGAACCTTCAATTTATTGTGCAGCTGCACTAACGGCTTCGAAGTGCCCTCACGTGGAGTCAAGGAAACTTGTTGTGCTCTTTGTGGTCGGTAATCACAAGGAAAGGCTAGCCAAGCTAGATACATACGATTCATCATTCAAAGAATCCTGCGTAGCCCAGCGTTGAATATCTTTGCGGATCACCTTAGGAAATGTCAACATCTAGACCTGTCTTACAGTCCGACGATGACACCAGATCAATGCAATATGTATGAATTGCTAAAATATATACAGTTTGAAAGTTTGGCATCGGATTACCCTGCCCACACTTGCCAACAACCACCTATTCCTGCTTACGAAACAGTGATGGAGGCCGACCCAGTGGAGTAGTATCCCTCAACAGCAACGATCTGGTAATTGTGCGTTCCGAGCTTCAAGCCCAAGCTTGCCCAGGCGTCGAAGTGCGTCTTGGTGGTGACAGTACCACTGCTGCGCTTCGAGTTGCGGACGGACCAATACCTAAAGGTGGGGGTACAAAGTCAGTGTAATGTTCACAAATCAGAGAAGGGGGTGAAGTAGGTGTTCTAGCCAACTACCGATCTCAGAAGATCTCAGACTTAGAGATGTAAGACCTGGAGTCTGAGACAATCGCCGCGCATGAACACCCATTTTGTACCCCGACATTGCTTACTGCTGAAAGGTCGCAGTGCCCTGCACGCTAGGGGCATTGGTGCGAGTCGTGGTCGCAATCTTGTACGAGCTGCCGTCGGCAGTGACGCTACCCTTCTGGGTGGCGGCCGAGGACGGGTCGTAGGTGCCGAAGTTCTCGACGACTGGGCATGTCAGCATATTGTTGCTTTTGAAAGTTCGCTAGATCAGGAACACTTACTGTAGTACTCGATGAGCGGGTTGGTGGTCCATCCATAGACGGCGAGATACGAGTTCCCGTTCGGCGAATAGGTACCCGAGTATTTGATGTTGCGCGCAGATCCAGTAGCCCAGCCCTTTCCACCGACGAAGTTACCACCAGTGCCCCATTTCACACTGTACGCGCCCGCGGCACCGTTGGTGTATGTGACGTCCGAACCGCCATCGGTCCAGAAGGAGTAGTAGTAGCCGTTGTTGGTGCCGGTGGAAGAGGGCGTTGAGCGCTGGGCCAGGTCACTGGGAGCACGCTTGGCGAGGTCGGTGGGTGCGGCGAGAGCACCTGCGAAAGCCGTGGCGGCCGTGAAGAGGGAGGTGAATGAAACCATGGTGGTTGATGGATGCGTATTATCCTATCGGAACTTGGTGGGTGATGAAAGAGTGAATGAACGACGGTAGGTGAGGCAATCTCGGAGAGGGACTGAAAGCTTTTATAAGAACTGATTCATGATGGGAAGGGGAGCTATTGTAGCCAATGTATTTCAGGGTGCACGTTGACATGCGTGACAAGCTTCCATGAACTATTCGGTGGAGTGTACATTTCGGGTGTACCTAGCCAAAAATGGTAAGATTTCATATGGACATTTCGATGCAATTGCGAGTAGTACGCTTGAAATGGCATATGTTCCGCGAATGAGCGCGGAGAAAAGTTACAAATGCATAAAGGGATGCGATCTAATTGGTGGTGAGTGTTTGAAACAGTAGCTTTGGCTTTAGATCCATGAGGGATGTTTCATTATGCGTGGCAGGGAATTGTACGCGCCACTGCGTTCGTCGGTCAGAGATCGGTTCGTGGCTCCGCGGTACATGTTATGGTCTTTGTGTACTTTTCCAAGCAACAGTATGCGTCTCGTTGAGTCTGTGATGACGACCAAAAAGAGCGGAACGAAAGGTCACCACGAGCAGCAAGTGTTGTTTGAAGCTGGTGCTCGAGCACCGCATAATGTCATCAAATGACGAGCCCGATCTAGGTTTGTATGGCTCTTCAAAGCTCTTCTCAGCCTCAGTGTTGCCATTTGTTAATTTAATGGAAACTTCATTTGACGTGGTAATGCGCTAGCGGGGATAGGAGATGAAGGGATTAGTGGGGTTGCCGCTGTGGAACGTTTTGAAACGTCCAAGAACATGTTTTCTGCCATCGACATGCAGTCTTTTCATCAAGAGACGTTCATTCATTAGGCTCTATTTACAAGTATCACGCTTCGACTACCAAGAGTCCTCAAGGCTTGGGGTAGCTTTGCGCAAAGAGATCCTTGATCTCGTCGTACTCGTAACCCATTGTGAGCGCAAGCTGGAGCAACACTCGTGCCTTCTGAGGGTTGTAGAAACCAGCAGCAATCGAGAAGCTCTCATCTGCGCTTGGCACGAAACCATCCACACTCCTTCGACTCGCCACGATCGGGATTCCAGTAGCGTTGAATAGACCTTCAGCAGCCTCGCTAGCGGTCGCAGAGATACCGCCTGCACCTACACCTGCAAAGACGATACCTTCTGCACCAGCGGCATAGGACGCATTGAACAGAGCGGGGTCTACGTCTTGATGCACATACAGGATGTCAACCTGAGCAAGAGACGTAGTGTTGGTGAGGTCAAAGTGGGTTGCTCCGATAGGAACAGACGGCGCGAAGTAAAAGTAGGGTACTTGGTTGATGAAAAACCCGAGCTGACCGGCCTCTGTACTGAAGAAGGTATCCAAAGAGTTTGCGTTATTTTTTGTCGTATAGAATGCAGAGCCTATGCGACTATTGAGTCTTGTTAATGGGGGTACTCTGGGAGTGGTGGTGGTGGTGGTGGTGAGAAGAGAGGACGGGGTGGGGGGAAGGACGCAACCTACTCATTCAGGGTGATCATGGTTCCGCGGTCCTTTGCATTCTCACTGACAGCTAGTGTAACAGCTTGCAGCAGGTTCAATGGTCCATCAGCGCTCAGTGCAGTTGCAGGCCTCATCGCGCCTACGACAACGACCGGCTTGCTCGAGTTCACAGCCAACTGCAAGAAAAACGCCGTTTCTTCGAGGGTGTCCGTTCCGTGTGTGACAACGACTCCACTAATGTCATCTTTGGCCAATTCTGCATTGATTTGGTGCGCTAACTTGAGCAGTATTGTCTGATTGACACTCCCAGAGTCGACATTACTGATTTGGTATCCAGCTATGTTCGAGATGTTCAGGATTTCGGGGACGGCATCCACGAGCTGTTGCACGCCGAGCCCAACCTGGTATCCAACGGTTTGAGTGTTGCTGGAGCCTTGCGATGCGATGGTACCACCTGTGGCGAAGATGGTAACATTGGGAAGAGAACCATTGATTGGCGTTTGGATGTCTTGTCGAACGAAGAGAGAATGTGACTCGAAGGCTGGCTGAGGCTGGTGAGTGATGGGAGAAGCCAAAGCCAGAGCCGCGAAGGCAGGGAGTTTCTGAGCCACAGAAAACCTCATCTTGACTGACAAATGCGAGCGACTGAAGAATATACAACGAGACGGTGGTATCTTCTCTTGGGTTCCGATGCCTCTTCTTATACTGCTATCGATCAACACGCTCATCGGAGGTTAGCGTTAGAGGCCGGCCTTACCTTGGGTATGCCGACTTCGCTATCTCTTCCTACACAGTATCACCAATGCCCACTGGCGGCGGACGAAAGCGTCCATCATGACAGCAGGTAAAATTAATGGCTAGATTGCCAGTATCACGGCATCGTGGGTTAGGTAAAGCCGAACGCCTGGTTTTGGTGATAACGAACTGTTATCAGTGGGGAATGGGCGGTGCAAGCCACGCTGCCAAGAGCCTACACCACATGCTGGTAAGTATCACGGCTCGCCAAGACACTACCACGTTCGATTCCGGTTTACTGGCAGCTGGTACCTGGCATATATTCGGCGGAATTGTGAGCAAAAGTGTCTACTATTAGCTCGATCTTCGTAAGCTTGGCCGGACATAGGCGCAAAGACAAAGGGAACCGGCTGCGAGAGTTGATAACGCCATGCTGTAATTGCTAACCTAACGTAGATCCTGAAAGCCGTCTCATACGCTGCTGCGTATTTGTCGTTGCTTCAGACCGGATGCTGCCTTCCCTACTTTCCGCAACTTCCGTTTCTTCGCTTCCATTCTGGCCTCCTGCCTTCTGGCTGTTCTTCTTTCCTTTCATCTTGTTGAGCAAACGCTCCTGCCATGGTGGAACCCGTTCCTCTCTGTACCATCGATTATAATCCTCAATTTTCTTCTTGGCCAACCCTGGGTTGTCCTGCAGCTCTTTTCTTTTCGCAGCTATGACTTCCTCGTGTTTCTTTGCTGTCGTACCTTTGAAGTCCCAGGCAGTCTGAATAGCATAGTCCGACATTTTGTTTGAGTTTCTATAGGGTTGCGCGAGCTAAATGTAGATGTGATAATATGACTGAAGATACGTTGCGCTCGAAGCAATAGCTGATCGGTAAGAATTCGGGTGTATTAGCTTTGTGTGCTGAGACGGACACTTTGATCTTTTAGCTATACGTTGATACGATTTGTTCGTACTTCAGGCCTTCCGTGACATCATATTGGTGGGTCACCTCCAATACTGTGTACGCTCGGCCCGACACAGCCCCAGATCAACACCCGCCTTGCCGGGGTGGCCCCCACGATGCCCCAACTCGACACCATACCTACGAGTATGAGCCTCCATCTTGTGTTTGCACCCTCCCATAGCTCCAAATGTTCTTGGACCATTTTCAAAAGGTGCAGAATATTGTGACAGTAACATTTTGCCTGTGTAGTCTCGGTCTGAACTACAAGCAACGACTGTCTCAAGCTTTTCAAGATACATACCTGTGATGGTTTATGATGAAGATTGGGTATACATTCACGGCAATACTAGTGAAATGGTCAGCTAACGAATTGCTGTAACCCTTACGACACTATTAGGGACTGGTGCATGAGTTTGGAAAAGAAATCATGAGATCTTTGGAACCTCTGGACAATACTCGCCGGAGTCATTGCGACAGCATCATCCTTAAAACAACTCAGCCTCTCGAGAGATATTATATCTGCGCATGTCTAGTTTATTATGCTTATCGCTCATGACTTCAGAAGCGAAGTGAGCAGCCATCTGTCCGAGTATTGCCACATATCTTGTGCCTCCCCTTTGATCTCTCTCACAAGCGATACACAAGCAGAGAAGTGAGTAGGCCATGTGTAGCCCCTATCACAATGCATGCAGGTGGTGAGGACTTGCTGCAAGGAAACTGTCGTTGCTACCTAAGTATGAGGTCAGGAGCACGCGTGCACCGATAGTGGTATTTCCCGACTTTTTGTCCCTCGCTGGCCGTAACCTCAATGTCTCTCACCAACGCCTAGAGAATGCGTAAGCCATATTGCGTGTTGTAGTTTTTGGGGTGGATGCTGCGCCTTGCGTGAGGTAAACCAGCGACGTCATGACTTTAGCGTTAGCGTGGCAAGGTCGACCCAGGCCTTGTGTACGGTCGCCTACATTTCTATGGCTTTCAGCATAGCTTTTCGAAGATTAAACCACCAACATGTCGAATTCCATCGCATCAAACAGGTCCACGTTGAAAGAATTTTTGGCTTCCATAGCGACCATACAAGGCGACCTCAGCAATATCACAGCACCTCCATTCGTTTTAGGCGAATTCTCCACTGTCGAATTACCGCAATATTGGGCTGATCACCCGTCGCTATTCGTTGCTCCAGCGCTGGAAAAAGACCCGGAGAAAAGAGCGTTGCTGGTTTTGAAATGGTTCCTTGGCTCGCTGAGAAACCAGCAGTATGCAGGTCGAAAGGAAGAAGACGGAGTGAAAAAACCCTTGAATGCATTTCTCGGAGAATTGTTCTTGGGTAGCTGGAAAGACGGATCCGGCGAGACTAGACTTGTCTCCGAGCAAGTCAGCCATCATCCTCCGGTAACCGCGTGCTATCTGTGGAACGACAAACACGGTATTAGAGCAGAGGGTTTCACTCAGCAGGAGATCACGTTCTCCGGCAGTGTGAGCATCAAGCAAAAAGGATATGCAATTCTGCACATCGATGAGTACCAGGAAGACTACTTGATCCCTGTACCCAATGTAAAAGTCAAAGGCATATTGAGTGGGACGCCGTACCCGGAATTGGTTTCAGACTACAGTATCATATCGTCTAATGGCATTGTATCCGAAATCAAGTTCGAAGGGAAGAGTTTGCTAGGATTTGGTGGAGGCAGCAAGAATAGCTTCGAAGCGAGGACCTACAGGACGGACGCACCGAAAGACGATCTGTACACTGCGAAAGGATCCTGGAATGGCAAGTTCAGCATCCATGACGCAAGGTCGGGAAATGAAATAGAAGAGTTCGATGTCAGCGCAAAGAATTCGATACCGATCACAGTAGCGGACCGCTCCGAGCAAGATCCCTGGGAATCGCGAAGAGCTTGGGCCGGTGTGATCGACGCACTTCAGAGGGGTGATATGAAAGGAACAACTGATGCCAAATCCATCGTAGAAGAGGGTCAACGACAGATGCGTCGGGACGAAGATGCTGGTGACAAGCAATGGCAAAGAGTGTTCTTCCGGAAACAAGACAATGATCCTATATTCGACAAACTATCTGCGGCAGATAAGGGCTCCTTTACTGTCGATCCCGAGAGTGGAATCTGGAAGATCAATAGCGATGCTATCGCAAATATCAAGAAACCATACCACGGCGATCTTCTTCCGACGGGTCAGGTTTTCAAAAATGAAAGTATTCAGACTAAGGATGAGGTGAACGATCCCGAAAGCGGAAGCGTACAGCATACTCCAAAAACAGCACAACAATTGCACAGTGAGCAGTCTGGTATTTCTGGCACTTCGATGGAGCCGACAGAAGGCATGCAACAGATGAACCTCGAGGACAGGGCAGGATCTGCGCAGAAAGAAGCTATGCCCAGTAGGGAAGCAAACATATCTCAACAAAAGGTTCAGGACATGCAGGCCGAGGCAATGCTTCGTGGGAAGTACCAGTCAGCCCCGCATTAATGTATTGGCTACTGCGACTAAGACATTGATCTTTTGACTTGAGAGGGCTGGGCTTAACACTAGTCTGTCCAAGAACGCGTGTTTGCCGAGACACTTGTGGCAAAGCATTGAACTTGTCACTCGATGATGGCCAGAGTCTCACGAGAGACACATACATGCAAGTCATGGACCCGTAAACCGCGACCTTCCTTGGAGCAGGACGGAAGGGAGAGGTTTCCATGTCGATGCTGCAGCAGCAGTCAACTGAGCATGGGGTGCTTGTTTCTGGAAACCCTTGTGTGGAATTGGACTGTCGCGTTCGAACGATGCTCTCCACACATGGAGGTAAATACCTCGCCTGACCCGATGTGATCGATTGAATGAATGACCTTCCGCACGAGTTCATCATATCTGCATGATAAGAAGACTGAAGATTAGCGACACACGCCTCTTGGAATTGTCTCTTTCGCCTCTTGCAGCACCCATTCTTTATCAGAAGAAAATTCAATTGGTTCATTAAACAAGTACGCTTATCAATGGTATCCGCGGGTTTTGTTCATCGCTGGTGGCTGCTTTGCAAAAACACGTCTGTCTGTTTGGTGATGCCGTGCGCAACCGTCAAGTCCTCCTCGCTTCGATCGCCAACCTGGATTCGCCACGAATTGAATCCTTTGCTCTGCTCGTGTTCGTCCATGAGATCATTCCTCAGCTTGATAGGCGTTGGCTTTCGCGTTCGGACGGCTAACTCTTCATCACTCTCCCCGCTCCTCCTCGTCTCATCTCCAGCCCGTGTTATCGACACAAGACTGAACGGCCCACTCTTCTTCTGATGATGGTCACTAGAAGGTGTGCGATACCATCCTCGCGAGTTCTTTCCTTCTGAGGGAAAGGGGCCGGTGTTCGCATCGGTCCATCCTAGCAGGCTCTTCGTGATTTCTCGGTAGAGGGGCCGGAGGGTGGCCAGACTGCCCGCTGTAATGGCCAAGCCTTGCTCGATATCGGACCAGATGGCTACGTCGAGAGTATCCCATAGGAAATCGGGACTCTTGAACTTCATCAAGTAACCCATGCGGACGGTAACAGCAACACTCGCGCTGTACGGCAGCTGGTCAGCACTCAACTCTTCTGTAGCCGGGAGCATCATAAACTTACACACAGGCCATACTTAGAATGGGAATCAACATGAGCTTCTGATTCTTGGCCATGTTCAAGTTCCATACCAGGAAGATCGGGAGTAAACCGAAGGTGAAGTCGCAAACCGAGGCAACGGCACTGTACGCGAAGGCGATGCCGATGATGGCATTGATATTGACGCAAGTCCCACTACCAGAGAACTTTTCCCAGAAGTAGGTGACTGGGCTGCACTGGAGCACGGAAATGAAAAAGAAGACAAGACCAGTAATCACTGTCGCGCACATGACGGTGTAGATGATGCGCCGGTAGAGGGGTTGAACAGTGACGCGGAGGAGGAATAGGCCGACCGATATCTTTGCACATATCATGGCCAAGCAGTAGGCAGGGTAGCAGAGGTACCAATACTGTTCCAAGCGTTAACGGACTGGTCACTCGATTGGAAAGACACAAAGCGTACCATCAGAGCTTCCTCAATATCTGCTGGTTCGAGCATGCTCATGTGTCGTCCGGTTCCATAATGGACACCTCTGATAGCAGATACGGTGAACATGATCTGGAAGGCCAACGCCGAGACCATCCATGCATCATCCCATCCAAAGGCTCGCACGAGACGTAGTCGAACATAGATGCGGAGAAGCACTGAAGCCAGTGCTAAAGAAACGAATGTGGAGCAAACCTGCGCTTTCAATTAGCATCCGACCGGTCTGTTCGAATTTGCATTCCAAGCAATATGGTGTTTCTTACTGCGACCAGCTGTGGGCCTCGGTTTGGAATGGCGGCGGCAGACATGATGGATTACGCTCCCCCCAAACCGACCCGATATGCTTTGAAAGAAAGACCGAAGAAGAATCGAAAGGGAGCCGCAAGCATGGAGAAGTAGGCCCTTCAAGTGTCGAAAGGGAGCATTAGGCTTTCCGCATGTACCTGCCGCCACGAGGCCGTCGCCCGCCATCCCGCGTGTCAGAGCCCGGCAGAGGGCAAGGGCGTGGGTCCAGGGTTAGACGGAAGAGTCCAGAAGCGGCAACGGTGCGTGGAGAGAAGGTCGGACGTTATTCCGTTGGTGTCTTCTGGCCCGGTCTCTTCGACATGCCGAAAACGTGGGTGCTTTCCCTGACTCGGAGACTTTGCAGATGACAGGAGGCAGCTTCTCATACCCAGGGTATGCAGCCTGCTCTTGTGCTTAGTTTGGTATGGGTCCCGTCAAAGCCCACACCCTGAAGAAGCACACGGGAGTGGCTGCCGCTGTCAATTCTACAGAATCATCACGTTTACGTTCAAGCTGTTTGGAGTGTCTTCTCGTTCGTTGGTCGTGCATGTGCAGGTCTACCGGTGCCGACCGCCGCCAGCCGGGCAAGGTCGGCGGGGCACGAGACTTCTCGCCCAAATAGTGCCTGAACCCCAGGTGAACGTGCGGGAGGAACCGTGAGCACTCCAGAAGAGGCCGTGGGTTTGCTCATCGCATATGGACGGCGACACGGCTGGTAGTGAGACGCGGCGCTGGTCCAGGAACGGCAAAGACAGTGAAGTTCTTCCTGGCTAGCGAGGATCGATTCGCGAAAGCTTGTCCAAAGGGTGGAGCCAGCAGTAACCGAGGCATGATTACCACTCAACAATTTAACGGCCGAAGGCGTCGCATGCAACTTGTTTATTAGGTTCGGTTCCGTAGCATCCGCAGTCAAGAAAGATTGCTGTTGAGCCACTGCATAAGCTTCAATTTCGCATATCACCTCGGAAGGATGCATGCGCACTTCAGGAACGTGCTAACTTCCATCTACCCAGCAGTCTGGTTGCGATTTTCTCCGGTGCATAGACCAGCCTCTCATCGACCTGTCAGGTCCCGCAGCACGACGTCCGGCAGTAGCAACTGGATTGCACATCCACATCAGCAACCGCTTGCGCAATCTTCAATTGCTGCCCTATGATCCTCGCTTCGTCAGACCTCCCCAGCTTGCCCAAGCACTCCACATACCCCTGCAGCGCCCAGACGTTGTTCGGATGCTGTCGAGCCCTGATAATCGAATCGTCCAGCCCAAGATCTGCTGCATATGCCTTGGCCGCCTTCTCCATGTGGCCTTGCTCTAGGAGGAGAGCTGCGTATGCATGACGACTCGGCATCATCCATGGCCACGGCTCTGCGTAATTGAGTGCATCTTCGCGCTCAACCGCCGTCTCGAGGTGCTTGAACGCGACATCGTAATTGCCTTTGCGATACTCAAGCTCGCCGTCGAGCATGTCTTTGGCAACCTGCATCACCGTGATGCTTTTGTTGACAGGCGTAACGGATATGCGCGATGATGGGATTCTATCCACAGCTGCATAAAGCTCGTCGCGCTCCTCCGACGCTTTCTCAACGTCGCCTTTCGCTGCATATGCCACCCCTTTGCCGTAGTGGATCATCGCAGTGGTCACCGCGTATAATGCTTGGTCTTCCTCTCGCGGCACCTCGAGCGCAAGGAGATCGTCCCATCGCCCAAAGCGGACAAGTACTTCTACGCGGATGCCGGCAAACATCTCGAGGAAATCCGCGAGCTTCGCCACAAGCTCTGGGGTAAGCGAAAGCTCTAATCTTGCGACCGCATCGATTGCAACGTGATATTGACCTGCAAACATTGCCGCGTATGCAAGGAAATGATAATCATGCACTCGGTAGATCGTGTAGAAGTCGTCGCCGCCTTGTTCAGAGAAGAACTTCTCGTCAGCGATACATGCCTCTGCATTTGAAGCAGCGGCACGTCGATAGTCCCCTACGAGAACGTCGATATGGCTGGCCATGTGAACCAAATGCCCAGCCTCTGGACAGAGGTTGCGGAGGTGATCCGCGGCAACCAATGCAGCCTCTGGTGTCTTGGACATCTCCATTAGGTGGATGAACATGTGTAGTACACCGGGGTGTCGGTACACGCCGTCCTGTGCTAATGCGGTTTCCAGGACTGCCTTTGCCTCCAGTGTTCGAGCGCCAGGTCTAGGCTCACCGGTCTTTAGATCCCAAAGGTCCCATGCGGAAAGGTTCATGACAGCATCTGCATAGAGAGTAGCGACATCAAGATCGTCAGGGAACTTCTGGTATACCGAGGCCATAGCTTCGGCATATGCTTCGTTGCAAGCGCGGAAATGTATGTCGTCCAAGCTCTTCGGTACGCGAGATTGGATGGCGTCTACGAGAGCCTGTTCGATCTCCGTCGATCCTGCGGAATGCTCTTTTGCCTTTGCGTTCGCAATATTGATCTGCTCAATGCTAGCCTTCAATTCTTCCTGATCGAATAGTTCCCAGGGCTTATTGTAGTTTGGCCCTAGGGCAAAAGCGCGCTGTGCCGATCAGCATTTAATCTTATCTTGACATGCCGTAATAGACTCACTCCCCAGTAAGCCATTGCAAGCGTGGGGTCCTCTTCTGTCGCGTATTGGAAACCTGGCTATCCTCAGTTTGTGGTCTCTTAAGGATTGTTCCGTCCACTCGTACATCTTGCCGACTCCTCGTGGTGGAATCCGTAGCTCCAGATCAGGCCCCGATCAAACCATACTTGGGCCGCAGGGCTTGCAGTGCTGACCTTGCGGTGGAAGGAGCCGAGATTGTAGATATACGATTCTGGTGCGGGCGCCATTGGAAAGCAGTAGTCGCAGTCAGAGGTGGGACAAACTGGTGTTCAAGCTACCCTAGGTAGAGCTTCTCTGTTGGCCCAGATCTCTTCTTTATGACTGATGCCCTACTACTGTGCCACTGAGACTGGTACTGCGCCCCCGGGAAGAAGTTGTGCAAGTTGGTTGGATGGTGTCATTTAAGCTGATGTTGCTGAGCTGAAGGTCTGTGGCGCGACCACGCCGACTACGCCGAATCCGCCGTCAGGTGGGGTACCTGCTGTCACCATACGAACAACTCGCACCTGCCAATAATACGAAACCATGCCACTGAGCCGCATGATATAAGTAGTGCGCGATACAATGGTATGTTTTCCACTGCGCCTCATGTTTCCAAGAGGCAAGACAAAGGCATGTACCGGCCACGTGCCAACGTATGCCCCCGGGCTCCAGGGCCATCAGCTACAGTAGTCTACAGTATCCGTTTTACGTACCCAACTCTTTTTTTGATGCCGTCGATATTCATCTCTTAGCCGTTGTCGAAGTTTACATTGCCCCCAAGGCCGTGTATCTGGTAATGTTGGCTCATTGTTAAACCTAAATCGGCGTCAGTATCCGTTGTCTGCGCCGCATATGTCGTCAATAATCATAGTGGTAGATCTTAATCTTACTGCGGCGAGAGTGTGTTGAATTAGGTCAAAAAGTTCATGGGAGTCAGCATAATATTAGTCAACGAGCTTGACAGCGTTGCCACAGCGCATCAGCGTCCATTATTCATCTAGAATGTAGATCAACCTTCCCTAATGACTTTGACTCGTGGAGTATCTTCATGAATTAAGCTCTTGCCTGCTGGTTCTATATTCGCATTTCCTGCTGACATATCGAACAGGTACCATCGATAATGTTCTCGAAATTAGTGAACGTTGAACGTTTGAAAAAAACCTGGATCTCTGCGAGCAGTATAACGCTCGCCTCGAATTAAACGACAGAACGCTCAAATGACATTGTAATGTGCGGTCTTCGAGACTTGGCAATCATGCCGTAGAGTGACGCTTGCAATTTGCAATATGTCCAAATTCGATGCCGGTTAAAGTGATCCCACAAGATGCTCTCAGCCCGCAAGTTCAATGCTCTACAGAACGTCTATTCGACGAATGTCATCCTCCTCCCACATTTTTAACGTTCCTACTTTCTTGACAACTTTTCAGCTATGCGGACCGATCACTCACGCATCGCGCTCAGTCTATGTTCTCTGCAACAACTTATACAGGCACACTGTATGCATTCATACCTTCCTCCTCGCAAGCTATTCATATAACTCTTTCACGCAATTCTTGTCGCTAATCAAAACGTATACAGATGTTTTCAGTCGCTTCATGTTCAACAATACCATATCCGAGCAATGGGAATACGTCCGGTACGCCTGCCACCCCTCCATGCACTCCCACCCTGACTCCAACACCAGCAACATAACCGAAGGCCAAGCCGCCGACTCAGGTCTCTGGGATCAATACATGCCCTACTATGATCTCTACTCACCCGACCTGCGCTGCGGTCGCGGCGCCACAACCACGGGCCCGGGCACGAAAACCGCCGTCGTCAACGCTGGCGAGCAAGTAGGCTTCGTCGTAGGTCGCAGCGCCGATGAACCCCTCCAGCCGTACGTGATCTACCACAACGGCCCCGGCCAAGCCTACTTGAGCAGGTCTACGGCGGAGAATCTGGATAATTACGACGGCTCAGGTGCATGGTTCAAGATCGGGTACCTGGGCGCGAAGAACGACACCTACTGGCTCACACGCGATCAAACCGGCATGAATTTCACCATTCCTTCTACCACGCCGCCAGGAGACTATCTATTGAGGGTGGAACATTTGTACGTGCGGCCTGTGTACAACACGACGCAGTTCTACATTGCGTGTGCGCAGGTGAGGGTTCGAGGGCCAGGAGGTGGAACACCAGGGCCGATGGTGAAGTTTCCTGGGGCTTACGATTTGAATGATCCTGGTAGGCGAACACAAGAAACCCGATCAATATAAGGGCTAATATATGGCAACAGGTATCTTGGTTAATGGTAAGATCTACGAATGGCCTGAGAGTGGGCTTTTGGACTATGTTCCTCCTGGTCCGCCTGTGTGGAAGGGGTGAGGCGAGATAAGTAGCCGAGTATGTAGCAATAAGAAGAATTGTTAAGGGCTTTACACTGTTCCATGAATGTGCCACCAGAATCCACCAACATGCGCAAAAGATCACCACCCCGCACACACAGATTGCGCGATGAGTTACCGTTTCCCCCTTTGTTCATGTTTTGCACTCCCGTTACATTTGGAAGCCATGCGCCGCACTAAGCCAGGGCTCGTCCAGCAACGCGCTGACCCTCTTCAAGATCCTGCTGCTGCCCAGTATCGCCTGGAAGCTTTGCACGCGGCTCTCGGTTGGCATCAGCAGGAAGGTCTGTAGTCCGCAAGTGCGCATCATGTTAGCCGTCGCGCCAGATGTATCGTTCGAATATTGCGGCCAATCAACAGGATTCTTGAGTAGGGCAAGAATGACTTGTGCGGCAAAGGCGTTGAGTCCTGCGCGACGTAGGAAGAGTTCCCACTACAGATGTTAAGTTTCGAAAGGTAAACAGAAGCAGATATACTCACAGTAGTCTGGTCTGGGAGGAGCTTGATATCACCAATGTCTTTAGACCCATGCGGCAGACCGAATTGTGCCATTTCGCCTACGATTGACCGTGCAAGGGCCTGTTCTCCCCCTGGAACATGCCGAATAAGAACCTCGCCGTCTAATTGTGCAGCAGTCCTCTCGTACTCGGTTATGACTTCTTGATCTCTGGGATCCGAACACTGACTAAAGCCCTGCTCTACCCGCTCTCGGCTCAACCCTTCACTGATCAAGACCACGAGGCGTTCGTACATGTGTTGGAGTGCTTTCATTCGCTCCTTGACAGGTGAGCGATCTGGCTGGCCTGGAAGAGCTCGCTGCTTCACTTGTTGCAGCGTCGTTATTATCAGGCCCGTAGAAGGAGACAATATAAGGTCCGCTTCCTTGCTCACTGCATACTGCGAGTCGAAGTCTCGGCTGACAAACTCTGCATCTGGATACAGGCTCTCGATCTGCCTTGAAAGGCTTCGTCGCTGCAAGAGAGTAGACGAGATGACGAACGATGAAGGTGGCATGGATTCGGGCAGTGGTGGCAGGTCGATTGGTCTCTGTGCTGCTTCCTGGGGCGGTTGAGCACCTGCTTTTGACAGATTGTGTGGGTTGCGCGCCTTTTCCACAGGACGAATAGGCGAAGGGAGTGGAGGCTCTGGAGGTCTCTTTGGTAATGGTCCATTTTTCTCCCTTGCATTTGGCTTCGCGGTCATTCCGTATAGGGCCATAAAGTTGTCTAGAGCGCTTGAAGCAGAGAACTTTCCCCCGAACATGAGACTCGTGTCTCGCTCTTGCTTCTGAACAGGCCTATCTCGATTAGAGCTTAGCTTCATGTCCTTCGAACGATTTACGATTGCATGTGTGGCATTTCCATCTGGCATTGAAGATCCATCCCTCCAATGATGGCTTTCGATCACTTCACGTTGGGGTTCATTGTTCTCGATGAGAACGGTCGGCTTCGACGGTTTCTTTCGAGGCGCGATATCATGATCGCTGGCAGGTTCTTGCATGTCAAGCTGTCGTTTCCTGATCAAAGAACTCATATCCTTGCGCTCGCCTGTGTCGGCAGGCTCTAGCATCTCTTCGTCTGGTTCCTCAGCTTCAAGGATACGCAGGCCATCCCTCTTCCATAGGTCAGTAGAGCTTGTGCAAACCTCACCCACGATCAAGTCGGCAAGCATCTTAGTCAGTGTATCTTCACCATGAAGCTTCTCTTCAACTGAGACCTTTGCTGCCTCATGCGAGAAAGGCGCCAAAGGAAGCGTTCGTTCGAGCTCCGATACACCATGCCAAGACGATGCCGTTTGCATGTGGTTACGTTTCACCCACAGCAGGAAACGAGCCTGTGCATCAATCTCTGTCTCGTATGCATTGAGTCCACCCTTGCGAGTGAATTCATCCCAAGGCGCAACTGGCAACGTAAAGTCGACGCGCGGAACGGGCACTCTTTTGGTTGTATCCGCTTCTGAGAGTTGCTCATTCTCGACCCTCCAGTTCGCGTCTTTCGCGGCAGGTTCTAAAACATCTTTGAGGAAAGCGTAGTCATCCTCTGGACAAAGTATATCGTTGCCATTCTCATAGTTGGAAGGAAGTTCAGAGTCATACCCATGGGCATGATCATAGACCTGATCGTGACCGTTCTCGTCTATGCATCTCGAGGAAAGATCAGGAATGTACTCAACAAGCATCTCGGCGAAAGCGACTGTCTTCAGTTTCTTTGCTGGTGATTCAGAGAACATGAGTGGTGTGAGAGGCCCCTCGATCTTCAACTCTGATGCCTTCCGTTTCGTGGAAGGCGAGTTGATGTCATCCAGCCCCGGATCATACTCGCCGGCATTGAGCATGTCCAATAGCATTTCATCGCTTCCATCAGAGTTGTGTTGCACAAAAGCATCTGCCGCCATGATCTGCTCTTCGAGGGCTTTTGCCTCTGCAGCAGTTGAATTTGAATCATCCGAGATAAGCTTTAAGTGGTTTCCAGGTGAAGAAGGTATGTATGGGGTCAAGGGTGGTGTTAGTGGAAGCAATGGTGGTGTGACTGGTCGAATCGCAGTGTTCTATGTCTATTAGCATGTGCCTTATGGCGCTTTCTTCACTCACCTTCCGATAGAGCAAGCCCTCTCTCTTGATCAATTCGGAGTCCTCGGGTGAATGGGAGTTTCTGACTGCGTCTTGAAGATACAGCAGGGTTTCCCTCGACACTCCTAGTTTCTCGTTCTTCGCCCGCTCATCACACTGTTTGGGATAGCCGGCGTAATCTGAGGGCCAATCCAGACCTTCGTCGTTCTCTTCATCGATCGCTTCAAGTGGTATCTTCAGATCAGTAAAGCTCGGCTCCACCGTGCCACCGAACGCGAGTATGTCTAGTTCGTTGTCAGTTCGAAGAATCGGGAGCTCTTGTTTAAGGCTAAGAATCCGTCTTCTCCTGTCCGGTATCCGCAGCAAGCTAGGCGGCTCTTGTGTTAGAGAGTGCACAGATTTAAGTAGCATCGCAGCTTCCTTGCTCACTGCAAGTCGTTCCTTCGTTAGTTCGTCTGCGGGGTTTGTGAGTGAAGGAGAATCGTTTGGATCCCAAAGGTCCAGATATAAAGTCTCATCTGAAAGAGAGAAATTGTTGTAGTATGATGGTAGCTCTTTAGTGAAATCGCTGCAAAGGCCGTGGAACCGCGCATACTCAAGCACGGTCGGTTCGTGCTCGATAACATCCAACTCCAGATCGAGCTCCATCATGTTATTTTTATTCTGTTGCTCGAATGCCAACGCTGCTGAATTGTTGCGATGACAGCGAGATTTGACACACGTGGTAGGGCGCGTCGCTTACGACGAGACAGAAAGCGCAACCACCTGCAGGATTCCGATCATGTGAGAACGCGTCAACCTCTGGAGGCAAGAACGGAAGCATTCCGCATTCGTCACTGACCTTCCCTCCAAAATTTGACTCACTAAGAATCATCGGAATCTACGCGTCCCTCGTTACTCAGCTGCATTTTATGGAACGGGTTGAGGTCATCGGTGTGAGTGGGGTGTCAATGGGTTGCAACGCGTTTCACATAGACCGGACGAAATCATGCGACACCAATCCGCCCCGCCGTGTCACAGAATGCATACACCACGCACCGGAGAACCACAATGCCTTGCAACAGATCTATTTTTTGTCTGCTCAACCTGGTCGTATCGACCACGCCACGTACACACTATCATCTTTCTGTCTATCCCCGAGCACATGAGCCTTTGAACGTAAGAAATTATTATGTACAGAACAGTTTGCCCTTCAGGCCAAGCATATCAACAGTGAACACGTACTGCAGCGCCGCTAAATGACAAGCATATGTTCGCGCACATGGGTATCTATTCAACCCGTCTAAGCAACCGGGGGCTTCTCGCCGAAACCAAGCGACTGGTTGCCGCCGTTGAAAGCGACGAATTGCGCCTTGAACATCACGTCACCGTAGATTTGGAGTCCAGCACCCTGGTTGCCCTGAACACCACCGAAGCAGGTCGTGTTGGCCTGGTCAACAGTAGCAAAGGTGATCTGATTGCCAGGGATCTTGGCCATGTAGGTGTCGCCGATGGCAACAGACATGTCCGGAAGAGTGGCGGCGCAGGGGTAGATGAATCCACCAACTTGAGAGTTGAGCTGCGCACCCTGGACCTGGGAGTAGTAGGCCTCGGCGACGTTCTGGTCGACGAGGAGGAGGGAGGTACCGGTGTCGGCAATGGCCTGAGAAGCAGTCGGGTTCTCGGCGACCTGGTCACCAACAGCGAACTTGGCAGAGGAGAATTGCCAGAAACCGGAGCTTGCGTTGACGGGAATCCATGCCATGTCGCCTTGGAACTTGGTGGCATCGATCTTACCAAACTCGTAGACACCAGTGCCATCGGGGTCGAGGTCAGCAGTGAAGACGGGCAGGTCAAGGTCACCCATGACGTTGTCGAAGAAAGTCTTCTGGGGAGTCTTTTTGGTACCATCGTTGACGGTGTTGAGCTTAGAGAAAGCGAGACCGACGAGACCGTCAGTGTTGGTATCTTGAACGAAGGATTGCGAGACAGCGTTGGCAAGCTCGACAGCCTGGTTCTGAACAGTGACACCACCGATGGTAACGGCGTCAGTTCCGACCGTTCCGGCAGCGCCGGAGCCATCACCATAGGAGATCTGCCACTGGGCACCGGTTACCGCCTTGAAGGTAGTCGATTTGGACTTGTCGTAAACGCCGTGACCGGTAGTGGCTTGCTGAGGGAGATCAGTGCTGAAAACCCAGCTAAAAGTTGTTAGCTTATGATTGAACACAGTTTTAATTTACGTACAGATCAGAGGAGCCAGAGTCGAAGTCCAGGTTCAGTGTCTGGCCACCAATGTCCACAGGCGAGAGGAAGAGAGCAGCATTGTCTCCAGGGTTGGCAGCGACAGTTCCAGTTCCATTGGCGGTACTGTTGCTGGCGTTGATCTTGAGGTCCGTAGCGAGCGCTCCAGTCTTTTCTGCCGCAATGAATCCTCCCTTGAGGTTGTATTTGTTGAACACCCTCCTCACGGCAGCTCCTCCGTTGAGACCACGAGCGTGGACAGGTGCATTGATGTGTCGAGGAACCTTGAAGGACCTCTTCCTGATCTTGGCTGGTGCTGGAGCGGCCAAGACGATGGCCGCCAAAAGAGTGACGAAGAAGATGATGCGGAGGGTTGCCATGTTGGACTAATGCTGACCGGCAGCGAGGACGAAAAGAAGGTAAGTGGTCTGTGGAATAGGTATGGAGAAGAGAAGGAAATGAAGAGAAGAGTAAACAGCTACTCTCTCGTTAAGAAGAAAAGGCTCGGCCTGAAGGTGGAGAAGAAACGATGAGCGGCAAGCTCTGATTTAAAGAAAGAAGACGAAGCTGCAAACATGGCTAGGGAAAGAACGCCAGGAGCACTTCCGATGAAACTTGACTCTAAGACACATTCTGACGCATGAACGTGCAATCAAGAGTTAGGCGAGGAGGCGAAGCCGGATACCAAGTCGGGACTGGCGGGTGGGCAAGCATTTGCAAACAGAGGCGCCGTGTGCCAGCGCCTTCAGCCATCCTGGAGTTGATCATGCTAAGCATTCGTAAGACGCTCAGGCAAGTGGCCCGAACCTGGTTAGCTGGTTGCTAGATCGGGTGCTGTACTCCAGCAAGAACGCGACTGATTGGATGACAGGGTACGAGGCATCCGCGACGGATTCTCGCCTCATACGCGTTCTGCTTTATGCCATGGGTTTGGTGTTGAAGAATTGTGGAGTCGATTGGTGCGGGAATAAAACAGGGGCTGAAAGCTTAGCAACTCTGTTTCAGCGTCGGAGCCGCGCCACGCAGCCATTGCGCTGCAGATATGTGAGCTTTTGACATGCGATTCATAGCTGTACGAGTATGACGGACTCGAAGTCCGGATTTCAGTTATTGACGCCTCAAACCATCTTGGACAGTTGGTCGAGTCGTTGCTGGCTTACGCGAAAGCCGACCGCTGTGGCGTTTCAAGCTCGTCAGGTCTATGGGCATGCGAAACGCCCGCCTCCTTCGGGCCAGCGTCAACGCTAAGTCTGACAAGTCTTCACGGTAAGCAAATCAAGCATTCGCCTCAGGTACATGCACCCCACAAGGCGCCTCTGGAACACGTTTCGCCTAGACCAGCACCCAGCGGCTCCGTGGCTCCAGCTTGTCGGCCTCTTGGGAAACGAGATCGTGCGAGTCTCGGCGGCTGCCAATTCGAGAGCGGTAGTGCGTTTATCTTCCCTCATACCGCGTTTCGGCAAACAAACAGACCGGGGCACGCATCTTCGTACATCCGGGGACGGCTGGTTCATGTCACGACGAATCGAGAGCGATACTTCTTCTCGGACTGTACGAACCCGAGTTGACAGTTGCTGCGACTCTATTTTGGTGCAGTGTCGTGTATGATCTGATGTATCCAGAAAGCTTGATTGATGTTTGAGCGCTTGTTGGCTGAGGACACATGCAAGGATGGACCAGAGCAAAGGCGTTGTGCGATGGATGGCAATAGAACAGGGTTGACGGCCGAGAACGAGCGGGAAGGCGCAACGCACAGACGGGAAGGGACGTCTTCGCCTGTGATCATTATGCACGCGCGGAATATCAATCGTGGGTCGATGAGGCCCTTCGGCACCGATGTTAATATTATTCCTCCATTCGCTTCTTTTTCCCCCCTTCTGTCCTCGAATCTCGGTTACAAGCTTCGTGATGGCGTGGAAGACGCGCGCCGGCGTGGTCTACTCGTAAGCAGGGCTAGCATTGCTGTGTTCATCGAATAGAACACCTCATAGATCGGAGTGCAATTGCTTTCGAGAGCATATCGCCATCTGCGTACACCTCTTCTCCGTAATCTTGATCGCGCCACAACAGCATCCTCGCATGATAAATGCTGTTCAATATCGTTACATTCAGACATCTGCATCATCCCTCAAAGCCTTGACGCAGGAACAGCCAACTTCGTCTTCCCCCTTCTCTTCTTCGCCTTCGCAGCTGCACTTTCTGCCTCCTTATCCCTCGTCGCCGTCATGTTGCCTCCCTCCCACAATTCAGTCCCAACCCTATCAGCAAGACTCAACACCCTCGTCTGCACAGTCGCCCCATCTCTCCGATTCTTGCCCTCCCTTCTTGAAATGCTGATCCTCTCCGCAAAAGCCCAAAGGGGGCCCTCAGCCTTCACGCATCCCTTCGCATCCCTCGAAGGAAGCCATTCGTCTGCCAACCGTATCGTAGCAGGCGTCTTTTTATCTTTAGACTTGGCAACGAGAATCATGCCATCCTCCTCAAATCTCTGATACGTGTTCTTCAACGTCTCTTTGTTAACGGCTTCAAAGTAAGAAAGGTCACCCTGGTGATATAGCGTCTTTCCTAAGACCTGCGCCACGTCCTGTACATTCTTCATCGGCAGCCAACTGTCCTCCGCTTTTCTGCCAACTGGCGGCGTCAACATGAGTAAGCTAATGGCACCGAGCCACGCCGCTTCAATGAACGGCCAAATCAAGAAACAGTAGAAGTCGAAGTTCTCGCGGCCCTGCGCCCTTTCCTGATCGCTAAGCTCTACCCACTCTACGATTTCGCTGTTATTGGGATCTCGCGTGACTTTGATAATGTTCTCCATTTCGAGTGTGGCAAGTGTTTTGGAAAGGTTTTGCTCAAGGCCTTCCGTTGGGAAGATGAATTCGCCACGGAAAAGTTGCGAGAGGAACGATACTTGGTCGCGGAGAGCGGTGAAAGAAATGCGCTGTTGAGACGGGGAGCCACCTTGTTTCACGGAGGTGTAGAGGGCGGCGGAGACGAGAGATTGGAGGATAAATAGGTGTATGGTCATATTACGGTAGAAGGAGAGCTGGAATCTGCGGTTTAGTATCAGTCAGAGTATTCGTTGATGATTGATAAAATTGAGGAGATGAGAGATTGCGTACCTATCCACTGCGTAAAATGTGTCTTCAGGTAGTCCAGGTACCAGACCAACGAGTCCAGGACCCAGGACCTCGAGAGCCCTCTCTACGACGACGCTCGTCGGTAGACCAGCGAAATGAGCGACTCTGCCTCCTTGCGCTCTAACACGCTCGCTCAACCACTCCACCCTTCTAATCAATTCCGACTTGCCTACACCTCGCCCTCTCAATGTCAGTAGAACAGTACCGACAAGGGCAGTTGGCATCACGACGGAGACATCGTTGATGTCGCTCAAAACCTTGAAACCAAGCGTACGCAGCAACCGTGCCCGCTGGTCCTTAAAATCGAGCTGCCGCGGAAGCCTGCTAAAGCGCCCCTGCTGCTCATCGATGAACTTTCTTAGGGACCACGGCTCGTGGAAGCGGACGTCAACGCGACCCAACTTTAATGAAAGTATAGACGACGATGAGAGGAAGTCTTTGAGATTCTCTTTTGGTTTGGGCTGACCTAGCAGCTCACTGATATACGACCTACTTGCAATTAGTACTCGCACACAGCTAGGGAACACCGCACGGAATACTCACTCGACCTCAATGACTTTGTCATACTGCGTCGAGACCGGACAGATAATCGCATCCGCAACCCTGCCACTAGCGATGCTATCCAGCATATAACTTAATATACCAAATTTGGGCGGCAACAACTTGCCCGTCCGACTTCGCCCTCCCTCGACGAAGCACTCTAAGTTGAACCCGTTCTGCAGCAGCGTGTCTATATAGGCCTGGACGAGTGTCTGGTATAATTGGTCGTCTCCAAAACTCCTCCGGATCCACATAGCACCCGCATGTTGGAGGAACGCTCCAACAACAGGGAAGTTCAGATTATCACCCGCGACAACGGTGGGGAGCGCCAGGCCAAGGCGATAGCATATGATCTGAAGGGAGACATAGTCCACGTGCGAACGGTGACAAGGGAGGAAGATGATTGCTTGTTTGGCCTTTGCTGCTTTTGCGGCGACAGCGCGGAGGCGGAGGACTTCCTCACTTGAAACGTGTACGCCCTGGTGGTATGCGCGGGTCAGGAGTTGAGTGGCGAGGTAGTACGCGCCGCGAATGAAGCGTTTGGATTCCATCTTGCATATCATATTATCCGTCATTGTCTCACAGACCTCTAGGAGGCTCTCCTCAATTTGTATCCGCCGCTTCCTCTTCTTGTCGCTGTTCCCAGCTCGAGCTTGGCCATTCATGACCTCCTCGCCTAGCAGTCCTTCTTTTGCCTCAACCTGCACTCTCCAATCCGCAAGATCGCGTACTTTCTTGACCAGCATGGGATTTTTGAGCACCATGGACTTCATGTTCTCGGAAAACCCGTTATAGAAGATTGGTTGCCCAATAACATCGTCATAGGAGCGCCATCCTGTACCCGAGACATGTAGAGAGACCTCACGTATGAAGTCGAGGGGCGAGGATCGGAATCGCGCCATGCTGTTTATAACTTCACGCTCGGAGGACTCGTTGTATCCAGCGGCATGGAGATGGACCTCATCGTCGGCAGTAATGCTGAGATCCGGCGCTTGTTCCGCCGCCGAGCTCCTATGCGACTTCGACGTTGACGGCATGGCTGCGGTGGGATCGTGGCAGGCAGGTGGGTTGCGGAGGGCCTATAGCTGCAGGAGGCGGCTATGTCACGGCCACGGAGCGAGATGCGGGGATTGAGGGCGCGGATTTAATTATGTATCGTGCAACTGCGATTTCGGTCGCCAACGGAGGATGTCCATAACAACAGGGTGCGTTAAGGCAAGCAGGGCGAGCCATTGATCGTCATCCCCATCCGAGCTTTGGAGATCCCCGTCCGTCAGGTGCAGCAGCCGAGGCATTGCGGAGGCGCCACCACCCGCGCCAGTCCGCAGCGTCAACAATTCCAATGGTAAGACATGCTTTGATTACTACCAGGTGATTCTACAAGGCATTCTCGTCTAGATCAGTCTTCTGTGAGGCTACGTCTTCCGTGAGTGAGCATCTTAAATATCATTTCATGCCATTCTCCTTCTCTCAGTGTAGAACTGGTCCAGTAATCATAGCCATGATAACATTCGCTACAGAACACCGTCATCATGCTAACCCTGGAACTTGTACATAAATCTACAATAAGAATGGAAACCCAAAAACCCATGCAGGTCTCCCGTAAACGCCATGTATGCTCTCCCAATGAGCCAAAAACCATGTGCCCCCGGTTTCACTAATCATAGCCAGGACTCCTTCTTTTTCTAGCAACACAAGCTACGCAGGGAATAGTGAATAAGACCAAGGCGAAAATCGGTCGAAACAGCCACCAAAGAGACTCAGAAACGGAGAGCGGGGCACTTCAGCGAAAAAGTCAGGTCTCTGCGCTGAAAGTGCAATGCATCAGACTGGAGTTCAATTGGGACCGTAATTGTTGAGCGGGTGCCTGGGGCCAAGAGTACTAACTACGAAATTATTGCTCTTTTTCGTACCCTGCTGGTTTTTCCATGCCGTTGACTTCAAAGAAGCGGGCGGTACCTGTGCAGTTACTGTCAGCAATTCGAAGCATGAGAAAGGATGTAGAATGAACTTACAGCTGTATCCGTTCCAGTCAAAGTTGTCCTTCGGGTTGCAAGAGCACTTGTGGCTCAAGCGATATTCCTCACCAGTCGGGCAGTGGGTGAACGGAACGTGGTAGTAGGCAATATCATTGAAGAAATGAATTTCCTCCTTCTTGAGCATAAGAGCAGCGGCGATCGAGTGGACAGGCGCGTCACCCCAGCGCTCGTAAAAGAAACCACCTGCATAATCCAGCGAGGTGAAGTAGTCGATATAGGCATCAGAGCGCAGCCAATTCAAGTTGCCGATCTCGAAGTTGGACCAGAAATGGCAGTGGTTGTACGTCTTTCCGTCATCCTCGCTGATCCACTTCATGGAGTTGCCTTCAACCACGTGCTGAGGGTATACGGAGGTGAAGTTCTTGACAGCGTCCCAAAGAGTAGGGATGGTCTCAACGTATTCGTACAAGCTGAGGGTGAAACTGTACTTCTTCTTGTTCTCGGCCATGAACTTGAAAGTGTCGTACTCGATGTCGCAGAACAACTTGACGCTGGGCTCTACGCGCCAGTACCACTCGTAATCCAGCATCAAGGGGTGGCGGAAGAAGAAGCCCGACTCGTAGCGGCACATGTGCCTGTAGCTGACGGAGTCGCCGTAGATAATCTTCTTCTCTTTCATCTCCTCGCGAACCTTGGCAGCGCGGTCCTGATCAATGAAGTCGGGGAAGGACCAATGCTCCTTGGGAATCTTGCCGTACTTTGTCTTGCCAGAAACGAGCGCGGTGGTGACCTTGATGAACTCTTCGCCGAAATCACCGTCATTAAGGAAAACCCAGTCGTAGTTGAACTTGCGGTTGAAGCGGTCTTCGATATGACGAATCGATTCGGCAATCTCCCAAATGTCTGAATCACGGGCAAGGGTTACGAAGGTTGCGTTCATGCGCTCGCCGCCGGCGGTAGCAGGAGGAAGCTGGTTGCCGGTATTGGGCGTTGTAGCGGTCGACTCCTTCTCAGCCCCAGTCTGCGGCGCTGCTGGCTTGTTCGTGCTCGGGTCTGCGGCCGTCTGGCTTTGATCGCCCTTGTACGTAGGCCATTGTGCGGATGGTACGGATGACGATGAAGAGATGAAGAAGAGAAGGATGATGGCCTGGGTCTGTTAGCGAGTTGCGCACCGGATACCATGGGAGAAACACACAATGAGCGCAAAGACAATGTAGCGCAGGTAGCGCTGTTGGCCGGCCATTGCGCCGCGAGAGTGCTGCTGCTGCTGTTGCTGCTGCGGCGAATTTGCGTCAGACGACTGGCTCTTTTCAGGCTGGCTCTTCTCCGGCGTGGAGCCCTCCACCTTGGCGACTATATGAAGGATGCGTGCGGTGACCTGGGGAGCTTGAGGCTACGTCGTCGGTTGGGGACCAGGAGCTGCTATAACGGGCCCAGTAGCACGTGTCAAAGAAACGGTGCTACAGGAGTACTCGCACGAAAGAAACTGAGCAACCTCGACAGGTTACCTGTATATTAGGAAGGATAGGGAGAATGGCACGGGTGCTGGAAGGGAAAGGAATTCCCGACGCAATAAAGAATGTGAAATGCGAAATAGGAGGCCCGAGTAACCGTTGGGGAGAGGCTGACGCGAACGCCACGCAAGGATGGGTGGGTGCTGGGCCCGAGTGTAGATACGGGCTGACGCACACCTTTTAGACTGCAGGCCCTCTGCACAGGGCTAGAGCTTCAGGACAAGCTGTATGGAGATAATTGCCGCTGCAGTATCTGTTCGAGGTGCCACAGCCGATCGAATTGGTGTAAGCGTCCACATCAAGGAGCACTTGCTGTAGGGCGCGTCCAATTGCGTGACCCCACTGCACCCACCCCCAAAGCGGCAAGGGTCGTTTGGAATAGTTGCAGCTCTGCGAAACATCGCCATCTCGTCCACGACGCCTCCGCAACCCCGCTCGCTGTCGCATCGCCTATCGCTATCCGATAGGGAAACACTGACCATTGCAGCGCTACGTGACCACTCGATGCGTCCGCCGCCGTATACCTTTACCGTCACCGCACGTCACTGTTTAACGCACCGTCTCTGAGACTACAACCACCCTCGCCCGCAAGCAGCTTCCCACTGCCACCCGCTCCCGGGCATCGCCCATCATGTCGTTCTTCGGCTTCGACACCACTCTGCCGCGCGACCAGGGCCACTCTAGCAATGCCCCGGGCTTCGGCCACCACGATGCTTTTGCCAGCCTGGGTGGAGGGGCAGCCGATGACGCTGCGTATGTCATGCCACACGCACACACATGGGACTAAGCTGATCACGAAGTGAAGTATCGATTTCGAGGAGACGTATGATGGTCTAGGCGATCAGCTCGACGAGACCGACGATGCCTTCAATGATGACACCTTTGGGAGTGTCCCAGCTACCCAGCAGACCATCGGACGGGATTTTGACTTCGCCGGCCAGACATCTATGATCTCGAATACCTTGCAGGAGGAGCAGATGGTCTACCAAGCTCGTCATCCGGCATCCCAGCAGCAGAGGCCTCCCATCCCGCACGCTTCAAAGCCCACCAGGACCGGCTATGAGAATTACCATGATCCTGACTACATCCCTCAACTAGAGGCGCGTGCCGACATTTGGGGTCTCAAGCCTAAGCAGCCATCTGCTACTAGGCAGCCAGAGCCTCAGCAACAAGGCCCTGCGCTTTCGAGGAAGATGATGAGCTTGGAGGAGGTCGAGGCCATGATGCGTCAACACCCAGTACAGGCAACACCTCCTCCCGTACCCCAGCATGTGGCGCCTAGCCAGCCTCCCATGCCCTCTCACTATCCGCAGCCCATTCCTCATGCACAGCCGTCGTTTCCAGGCATGCCAGGATTCCCAGGACAATTCCAGCCCCAGATATTGCAGCGACCCCAACAGCAGCAGCATCACGCGGGACCGTCAGGCCCTCGACAGCAGCAAGTCCATGCCGAATTGCCAGGCCAACCCGTCCATCCCCAACCGCCGCAGCAGCCGCAGCAGCCGCAGCAGCCCACGATTCTGCAGAGACAGAGACAGCCCAATGAACTTGCGGCACAGCAGCAAAGGCCTGCCCAACCGCAATCCCAAACCCAACCCCAGCGACCGCCTTCTCAACCAAGACATATCCTTCAGAATCCGAATCGCCTGTCTGGCCACGGCCAGCCTGTCGCGCACTCTGGACACGCAGGAGCACGCGGTCCCCAGCAAGGCCACAACAGAGGACCCTCTTTCCCAGGCATGGTCATTACACACCCAGAGCAGCTCATGGCTCTGTCGCAGGAGGAGCGCGATGCTTATATCGAAGCCGAGGCTAAACGAGCCAAGCGCAACCATAAGATTTCTCTGCTAGCTAAAGACAACGGCTTGATGACGCCCCAGGACAAGAATTTCATCACGCGTATTCAGCTCCAACAGCTCGTGAGTGCGACTGGAAATGTGGATGAGAGAGGTCCCGAAGCAGCCATTGCCGAGGACTTCTACTACCACGTTATGAGCCAGATCCGCGGTGGTGCACGCCAAAACCCACATCAGCCTGCAAATCAATTCGCCCAGACGTATCTGTTCCAGACAAATAGCAGATTCGGACCACGCAGGAACGGGCGCAATGGTGATAACCACATGCAGCGCATGGAGCAGCAAGTTCAGCGAGCAGTCGAGGCAGCAAAGGCCAAGCCAAAGGGCAAACAGCTCGTCATCGAAGGTAGCTTGGGTAAGATCGCATTCAGTAATGCGAAGACTCCCAGACCGCTTCTTAATATAAAGCGACCTGAAACTGGAGACAAGCATCCCAAGAATCACAAGTCTTCTGTGGCTCATCGCAAGCAAACTTTGCGCAACATCGAAGCGATATACATGACATTGATGAGGATTGAGGACGTTGATCGAGCTGTGCCTCCTCCGATTCGTGAAGACAGTTCGCCTGAGGCTATTCAAGCGCATATGGAATGGCGGTCGAAAATTGAGGCTCTGCGCAAAGAGCTCTGGGTAAACCTCAAGATCATGGAGCCCATCAACCCACAGTAAGTGCCGCCGCCATTTGTTGATTAGATCAATACTTACACGAGAAAGATCTCCCACTCCACACCCTTTCATTTCCATCCTGTCTCACGCAAAAGGCAAGAAGGCTATCCAGCGTATTTTCCCCCACATCGACGAGCAGGAGCGCATCACGGTAGTCACCATGATTGTTGTTCACTTGGATCAGCTCTCCGTTGTGTCTCATGGCACTGCGACACCAGAAGAGCCTTTGAGCCCTGCCATGCGTGAAGAGATTGACCTTTTCCTTGGCACCGTTATCCCTCCGCTGTTCGCTCACGTCTCTGAATCGCCCCTCAACATCATCATTGGCTTGCTCGGTCTCATTCTTGACCGAACGAACATGCATGTTGTCGCTCGCAGCAAGGTTGGCATGTCGCTCCTTACGATTCTCATCTCCCGCGCCGAGCTCTTGAAGCAGTCTGCGCCTGAAGCTACTACGGACTGGGAACAGTGGGCCGACCTCTACAACCGCTTGTTTGATGCGGTCGAGCCTGTCCTACCTTTCGTTTTCCCGGGTACCATCAACGATACCGAGGACATGTACATCTGGCAGTTCCTCGCTGCTATGGGTGTTGGCGCTAGCCCAGAGCAACAGCAGAGGCTGGTCATTGGTGTTAAGGATCGCGTCATGGAGACCGTGACGGTGAGCAAGGCGCTGCCGGCTGATATGGCTGGGGCTCGTCTTGCCAATGTTAACCTCTTCATGAGGGCTATTGGATTGGACGTGGAATTGCTTGGTTGAAAGATTCAAGAGAACATTGAACAGCTCTTAAAGAACGACACTCAGAATGACCGATGGTCCCAGCATGTGGATGCGCATATAACGTTGGAAGAACGCGAGCTTTGTGGTTGGACTCGCGGTACTTTCGCAATGCGCCGCTTCCTGCGACCGGTTCAAGGGGGCGAGAGCCTGCTCTGGGGCTTAGCTTGCTGGTATCGTTGGAGATCTTAGTATGGTGGAGCCATTGAAGTTGGTCTATGTAGGGGACACGGAGATGTGACGAAGAGGAACGTAGTCATGGTACATTATTCATATGTTTTAAATTCAAAAGTTTTCCAATATACATTCAATACTTCCCTAGTCACAATGCTGAGAACACAACCAGCACTCGCAACGTCTTATGGTGTCATGATAGTAGAATGTTTCCGATGATGAACGCTAAACGCGTGTCAATTAACTCCGGTAAATGCTGAGCGACAGGGTATAAACGGTGCGGTCGTGGCTCATAGGTACCTCTAAGATGAAAATCCAAATCCAAACTTTCCCGTACACCAACATATTATACGGCTGTTTCCCTTTCTGACATCTCTACTGTCTCCTTCTTAGACCCTCCTTCTCCAGCAGCGGTTCTTTCTCATCGCACCTCCCCTCTTCACCGCCATCGGTCCTGTACTTCTTCAACCCAGCATACACCCCATACTTCTGAATATCCTTCGTCTCCCCCACCGCACCAAACGTACAATGCTCGACGACACCCAACGGCCCCTCGCGCGGGTTCTCCTCGTTCAACACGCCGAACCTCAACTTCGTCCGCGTCAGCTCCTTGGGGAACGGATCGCCGCCGAGACACGCGCCTACGCTAAGTCTGTCTAGCGTAGGATTTCTCGTCGTGACCAAGATGCGGGAGAAGAGCGTGTCCGAAGCTACGCCGTTCTGGTGGATCGCCCAGCCGCCGATGATGAGGCAGACGAACGCGCCGGCAACGGCGAACGCGTAGCCGATCCAGAGGCCCTCGCGCTTGTACTTGTACACGCTCACGGATTGCTCTTTTGTGCAAGGGACGGATTGTTTCTGTGCGACGACGAGGTGCTCGTCTGAAAGGAGGCTGATGATTATGTCTTCGAAGACGTGCTGGATGGCTTCTGGGAGGTCTTTCTGCGGGTATGTGGACTCTGCGACCATTAGATTTGTTTCGGAGATGTCGGAGCTTGTGACGAAGAGGCCTTTGCTGTAGGAGACGCTGCCGCCGAGGAAGTTGCGGAGGAGCTGCATGATGGAGTGGTAAGCGGCTGTTCGTTTGTAGGTGGGCACATCGCCTTTGGGGGAGACGAAGTTGGAGGATGGAGATGCTGTGCCCTCGCTGACGTTCCCCGAGTCCGCCTTGAAGGTTGTGTCGACAATGGGCCTCAAGAAGTCGCGTTGTTTGCGGGTGTAATTCTGTTTCGAATCCTTGTACTCCAACTCGAATGTATAATTTGTGTGATAGGCCACGCACTTCACGATCTTGGGCTCATGAACTGTGCCCCAACGCTTGTACTCCTCCGGATCGTCATCTTTATATGTTTGATCTGTTTTGATAACGTAGCCTATCCATAAGGTAGGTTCCACATCGAAGACACCGAGTGAATCGGGAAACGGCTCATGAATGGGGATACCGTGGGGGCCCGTTTCTGTTTGAGGTATCTTGTAATCACCCTGGTCCACAACACCGAAGTAAAGATTGTCGCCTTTAGGGGCAAGCACATCTATATCAAAAGGTGCATCGCCAGCGCCATCATGGTTGCTGTCTGCATAAAGGTCGCACTTGTAGCCTGGTCCTTCGAAATTCACTTCGTAGGTACAATTGTAGCGCTCTCCACAGTTGTTGATGGAGGCATTTGTAGCGACTGCGGGCTCTTTCAGATACATACTCGCAAAGACAAGACGTTTGGCATTTTGCGACGGTCGGTCATAGTAGTCGAAGTAGCCGTCGTCGCCCTCGAAGTTGGTTGTGTTGTAATAGACTAATGAAGAGCCAGCATATGCACTCTCTCCGCGAAAGTTAAACTTCGCCTCATGTGTGAAATTCAAAGTAGCCACGTCAGGACAGATTGTCGAATTCTTGAGCGTGGTAATCTCTGACGTAAGGGAGGCTGGCGACAAGACAGATGCGATTGGGATGAGCCAGCTGCAGATTGCCATGACTGTTGCGATTTTCGCATTGATCATCATTTCTCCATTATAAAAGAATTGGGTAGGGTCTTCGGTTGCTGAGAAAAGTCCGTCGATGCCAGCAATTGTCAGGGCTCTCGTTCGGAATGTATGCCTAAGGCGCGAGTCAGTGTCAATTGAGATAGGATAGGTGGATACTTGGTGCATGTCCTAGCGAAGCGAGAAAGATACCTTTCTTCTACCACAAAGACACACACATTCTGTACTCCGTAGTTTACTCACCATATCCTCTGCCTGTAGCACATAACGATCGATCCAACGAGCGCGCTCTTCACGAAGAATGCTAAAGCGGTTCCATAACGCACCATAGTAAGCTGGTCTGTGGACGGCTTCCCCTCTAAGGACATGTAGAAGAAGTGGTGTCCCACAGCCGCTCCGACTCCTGCAACGAACAAGGCGATCATCAGTGCCGGTGTTATCCAGTGTACTTTCCACTCGGCTATCTCCCCAGCTCTACGATCGACCAGCTGCTGCGCCTCATGATCCTTCGTCTTATGGTACCCGAGAGAATGAGTGGAATATAACGAAGTCGCACGCGAATCAGTCGGTGGTAGTGAGCTTCGCACTGGCTCATAGCTGTGGTTTCCGCGCGGGAACGACAGGCCGATTTCTGGGCTTCGTTGAGGCGACGCACCTGGCGAGGGACCGCGGCGAAGGTCTGGCGAGGGATATGCGGTTGCAGAGAGGGTCTGCATCGCAATGGGGTCGGAGTGCGCATCGTGAGGATCGTAGCGGTCGGCGAAGGGGTCTGGAGAGACGGATCGGGAGGCATGGTGCCTTCCTCGGAATAACTCCATGATATGGACAAGTCGGAGGTGTTCTTTTTCACCTCATAAACATTGGGGTACTGAAGGTGGAGCCGTCGTCACACGAGTTGCACAAGTATATCATCCAGCGCAGCACAACGGCCGGTGCTGCGCAAACAGTTCAGCTCAGCGGGCGGGGTGCGGAGCCGTGAGAGGCTGGCAATTGCGATTGCGATGGCGGCGCAGGCGGCGGCGCCAGATGCATCTGGATGTCAGTCATGGCTAAGGTTCATCATGCTCTGAATGGGCCTAGAGGCGAGATGGACGCAGCCGCAGGGACCTAATTCCATAAGCGCTAGCTGTATCGTGCTCCAATTGACCCGAAGCCCTCTACTCGACGAAACCATGGCGTCGTTTGTCTTGAGCTTCCTTTCACCGTGAACGACGATGGTCGCACAAGGTTTGCGGTGGTTCGCTGCTCCGACAGGGCTGTCGATTCTCCGTTGTCTCGACGAGCGCCTGGGCATCCTTCCCGTGCATAAGGTCCGTGGAAAAGCTCCGTAGCCGCGTGCGAGAAACGAGCCAACGGGGCGTGTGCTAATCTTAGCCTGATTCACCCACAGCAAGGCTGTGTGGATCCTCCATCAGACCGCCACACGTCTTGTTAGAGAAGCTCGACCACAATCGTTTGGAACGCAGTGATGATGGACGAACAACGGGGTAGATGGACGTTGTCAGGAGGTGAGGCTAGATGATCAGCCTGACAAGCCCACAGCTAGTCAGGTTTGCGGCGGATGCACTTGCGGATCCCATCCGTCTTACCACTGCTTGACCCCAGGCACAACGCTCCTACCCGCTGGAGAAACTGCATGAAAGTAATCCAAATGCTGCATTTCTAAGCTGCCATGCTATTAAATATACAGAATCCATCGCAAGACTAGCAATGCTTGCCTACTTAGCTCTTTCGCCGAGCGCTCCCGAGCGATCCCCGAGGAGCTACCTCCGCCGCCTCGGAGGATGTACCTTCGAGCACCATCGAGCACACGGCCGACCTCCCTATCTCGACCATCTTGGTGTTCATCGAGCCAATTACGTTTTTCGTGTCAGTCGAGCATTATCACGGACACTAACAGCTTAGAAATGTAGAACTGAACGCAGGCATTGCTTGCTCGTTATTGCGTCACCACAAAGACCCCACATTGTATACAAAAAGTCCCATTGCCGTTGCCGGCCAAAGTCCCGCATCTGCATGCAACCCTTTTAATTACCTTGCATACTACTTTTGACACCCCAAGTGCTAAAATTACCTCTCGTAACTTTTCCTGTTGATCAATTTCTCAATTGGACGACCATGGCACCCTCGACGACCAAGCAGTGGACCGTGGAAGGGAAGAATGGCTTCGACTCGCTGAAGTGGGATGAGAAGGCGCCAGTTCCCACGCTGGGCGCAAAGGACGTTCTTGTCAAGTGTAAGTCTGCCATCTTACTATGAATTGCCTAGTTCTGACCATCAACAGTCCATGCCGCGTCGCTAAACTTCCGCGATCTCGCCATCCCCAAGGTACGTATCGCGCACCCCAGATTCTCCTCGCCACGTGATAGCGTGACCTAGCGTCTGACCATCTACTTCAGGGCAAGTACCCGTTCCCGATCAAGGAGGGTGTGGTTCCCGGCTCGGATGGAGCTGGTGTCGTCGAAGCCGTCGGAGCCAATGTCACAAGATTCAAGGTCGGCGGTACGTTACTTTTTCTCTTGCTTGCCACATGCCAAAACCAGCTCGCTGACGTCTGTTCAGATAAAGTAGCAACACTCTTCAACCAGGGCCATCTCGCCGGATCCCTCAACCCCGCCGTCCTCTCAACCGGTCTCGGCGGTTCTATGGACGGCACCCTTCGCGAGTACGGCACGTTTGACGAGCAAGGCCTCGTAAACATGCCCAAGAACCTCAACTTCTTCGAAGCTAGTACCCTCCCTTGCGCAGCGTTGACAGCCTGGAACGCTCTCTACGGCCTCAAGCCCCTGCAACCCGGCCAAACGGTGCTCACCCAGGGCACCGGCGGCGTGTCCATCTTCGCCCTCCAGTTCGCCAAAGCCGCTGGCGCCCGCGTCATCGCCACCACCTCTTCATCAGAAAAGGCCGACTTGCTTCGCAAACTCGGCGCCGACCATGTCATCAACTACAAGGAGAACCCTAACTGGGGCGAGCAAGCGCAGTCACTTTCGCCAGGCGGCCTCGGCGTCGAGCACGTCGTCGAAGTCGGCGGCCCAACGACCTTGAAGGAGTCCCTAAAGGCCATCAAGATCGACGGCGTGATCAGCATCATTGGCTTCATTGGCGGCTTCTCAAAGGACCAGCCCTCGTTCCTCGACTGCCTCAACAACATCTGCACTGTCCGTGGTCTGCTTGTCGGCTCCCGCCAGCAGTTCGAAGACATGAACGCCGCCATTGAGGTGAATGACATCCATCCCATTGTTGACGAGAAGATCTTCACGCTGCCTGAGCTCAAGGACGCATATCAGTACATGTTTGACCAGAAGCACTTTGGCAAGATGGCTATCAAGATTGCTGAGTAGATTGAGGTTGGGGCTTGATGGTGTGGGTAGTGTGCATTCTGGGGGATTACAAGGTATCCAAGCCTTCGCTTTTATGCTATAGAAAGATAAATAAATGTGCAATTCGTTCTTGAGGATCTCAGCATTGTCCGGGGCTGTGACAACCATCCTGGGCTGACTCACAGTATCAAGGTTTCTCACTTTGCCGTCAATAGTCCTGTGTCTTTGCTCACCTGTGCCTCCTCGCCCTCTTCTACGACCTCAATCTTCCCGCCGCCAGTTTCTAGATTGCGCCTCGCGATACTTTGAAAAGCGCACGCCAGATATGGACTCGAAGCGGTCCAAGCATCACATCACAAGCACATTGGAAGAGATTACGTTTCAATGTCTTTCAGTTTCTTATAATACAGTACAGAAGTGATTGCTATGCCTCCCATGGGGTATCTTAATGTGAGCGCCAGTGCTATGCAAGTCGTGAATTTCATCCAGGACCCAGTCAATGCCCACCGAAAACGCCAAACATAACCCAGAGGAAAGAAAAAGAGGCCCAACACCAGGCAGAATGATGTACGCCTAGGGTCATCTCAGGACCAGATCCTATTCGGATCAGAACGCCAAAAAAAATCAGAAGCGGGTAGCTCGAGACCCTAGAGAAATCTATCGCAAACTCCAGAAAAACCGGATGAATCCAGGGAGAAGACACAATATCAAGTGTCGTAATGTTCATCCGTGGTAAAGTCGAAATTCGAACAGGTTCGGTCCAAGACGCCTGGACAAAGCAAAGCAAAAGAGAAAATCAGTCCATCTCCGTGGTAGGGGTCTTCGCAAGGAGCGTGGCAGCCACTCGAAGGCGCGCGTCGTCCATTCCGTTGGTGACCTTGACACGGGTGTGCTCCTCTCCACGAAGTAGAACCAAAGCGTTGAGCAAAGTGAAGATACCGCAGTCGCTGGCGTTAAGTTGGCCTTCGCTCTTCTGCTCCGTAGAGGTCGACCACTCGTCCTCGACAAAGTGCTCCTTGAGCACGCCCTTGACCCACTGCATGGCAAGCTGCGTAAAACGATCTCCTGGGCCACCAAGCGAGTCGTAGTATTCAATTAAACGGTCCTTGGGTTTGATAGCGAGGAGACGCCAGTGTGAATGGTGGCAAATGGGGAACAACACTAGGTTGCATTCAAGAAGTTTTTCGCCGAGCAAATGCATCGGTCGAGCCCATCGAGCAGTTGCGGCTGCATCCTTTTCCATCGATGCTAGCCACTGCGATTTGAATGCGTGCACTGGAGGGGGCGAACCACCTTTACCCCTAACGTAAACATAGCCCTCATTGTGCTTTGCGCGGTCGGTGAGCAGTTCGAGATACTCGTTGACGATGTTGTCATTAAGCCAGCCCTTGGCATCCCCATTGAACATCTGAGGTAGTAAGGTTCCGAAGTCGTGCGAGGTCAACGTCGTGCTTGGCAGTTTGACCAACGGAGCAGTTGAATTCAAACCATGTTCGTGTGCGAGATGGTTGAGTTTCTCGAATTCCTCTTGCGTGAGCGGGGCCACCAGCGGCGGAACGGTGATGTCTTTTTGAAGTTTGGGAGTGGGAGGGGGTGGACTGGGGCTCGCTGGCAGGTCCTCGGCGAATTCCTTGCTAAGTTCAAGGGACAGCATCGACTGCTCCAAGATAGATGCTTGATCTTCCAGTAGGCCACCAACATCATTGAGCTCCTCCAGGAGTGAAGACGGGTCATTGGATGCCACAATCCTTTCGAGCACCGACCGGTCCAGCAAAGAGGCCACACAGGGGTCATCATAAACTATGTCGGTCTTGGGACCGTAGGTGGCTTCGATATACGGGTTCGACGGTCTGGCTCTTCGAGGAGCCCGGATGGTCTCGGGGTCACTGCCAGCTGCATTCTCGGCCCAATCAGATTGTTGATCCGCTGTTGCTACGTCGTAGTCGCTTGGTGGAGTGTGGATGGACTTGGGTCTTGATGACGCTCCAGCCGCGTGGCTTTGTGCGGTCTCGCTCCAGACATTATCTAGGAGGCTATCGCTAGTTGCTGATGTCGCCAAGGCACTGTATGCTGATGGTCGCGAGGATTGCACTGCGGCAAGGTTGCTTGGAAGATAAGCACCTGAGGAGTGCGCGCTCTCGCAAAGGAGGTCGCTTGTGTCGGGCCAAGCGCCTGGGACGTGTAGATTGCCCGAGAGCGGCGGGTTGCCGTCGCGCGGCGTGTCGCATACGCGCTGCGCGTTGCCTGTGCGTTGCGTTTTGCCTGTACGCGCCGTGTTGGCATAGGCGCGGGAGCGCGGGGGAGTAGCAGGTTCGGCGGCACCTGCATCTATGAGGCGCTTCTTACGGGATCCATCTTCACGTATGGTTTCCTTGATCAAGATCTTCTGACGGCGCAAGAAGAAGTCCGCAGCGCGCAACGGCAGACCAAGAAGATTCTGCAACGGCCGCGTGAGAAAGAATCGTCTGAGTGTGGTATTGAAGTAGGCGGTCGCAACAGGCTGTTCCATCGTGTGTGTTGTGGAGTGCTCCTGCAGTGGGTGAGCGTTTGTCTACAAGCTCGAGGAAGAGCTGGGAACACGGTAGGCCGACTATACTTACATTGAGCTCGACGCCCTCCTCAGGAGCTGCGCGCTTGCACATTTTGTCCGCAATTGAGTTGTCGTGTTGAGGCAATTGCGTCGCGCATGCGAAGCGGGCGCGGGTGCGGGTGGGAAAGCGTGGTGGAGAGTGTGAAGTTGGATGGGGAAGGAGCGAGGGACGGCATTGTTAAACGCAAGGCGCGGCTAGAGCGTCTAAGCAGCCAATTAGAACCGAGTGATGCTAGGCACTAAGCCTAATCGATTCTCGAAGGCTAGAAAGAGGTGGCAGGCAAGCGCACGCGCGAACCACCCCACACGTTCGCCCGTTTCGGAAGGCTAGCCTGCATTGGCTGTCACTCATCGGTGCAGCTGCAGCCTTACCACGGACCCTAGGCGCGCTGATCTCCATTGCACAAATTGCGCGATGCATGGCACCATACCCGTGGACAACGCGAAAGCACGTGAGGAACGTCCATCCATGGATCTATGTACCCGGAGCGATTGACCATGAGTGCTGTCGCACCCTGCGATCATCTCTACATTGATGTTTGCGTGCGAAGAAATCAAAAGTTGCTTCCGGTTTGTAAGGAGGCAGGTAATCTGCGTCAGCAAGACATTGTACTATGAAGTATTCCGCAGAGGCGCCATAACGTCGGCCTTGCCTGCTTATCCATTCGACCTGTCGCATTTTCTTGAGTTTTCGCTGTGCCGGTCCCGGCTCCCAATTGACCACCATATGCATACTATGATGCAACACTTCAATCTAATCAAGGCAGCCTGCAAAGTGTGCGACACCAGGGCACGCCACATTCCTCCTTGGCAATACTGAAGTTCTTAAAAAATCAACTTTTTCAGCGAATATTTTCCCTCTCGGATCAGACAAGTGAATTGCATCTGGTTTCAGAATGGTTTCAGTACGTAGAATAGTCTTCTGTATTACAGTATACTCCCCAATAACTCAGATCTCAATGTGGAGTCCATGATCTTTGTAACACACATCTAACCCTGCCTGTTGAGGTTCCAGATGTGGGCGGTCTTGCCCTCTTTGGTCACCTTGACCTTCGATTTCTCCCCAACCTCGACCATTGACCGTGACACATCCGCAAGACGGTCTACTAGCTCTCGCATGCGCTTTGTTTCTTGGAATGTCTTGCTCAACCATTCCTTCCGCGCCACTGCGACTGTGAGGTCCATCGCTTCAATTGCATGCTCTCTCTTGGAGAAAAGGAAGGCCACTTGAAGGACCGCAAGGTATGCTAAGATTATCTCAGGGATGTATATCTTGTATATGTCCCAGAGTTCCGTGTGGCTGGGGTCATCTATTGGCTCGAGGATGACGGAAATAGTGGAGGTAATGCCTTCGAGAATATCTCTGAGTATGGGTCCACCGGCTTTGGTGTTGATGCGCAAGTCTTCCCCTCTGTTACGGAATATGTCAGTTTGTTTCGCATCGTTTGTGCCGCTCTTATAAGGGTACTAGAGAGAATACGTACTGGATAAACTTCTTCTCCTCGGTGCGCCACTGATCGAAGAGCATAATGAGGCGAACGAAATGGGGAAGATGATTATCCAAATCCACGCTGATGTTGCCATCGCTGATCTGAGTCACGAGCTTGTCGGCAGCGGCCACATGACCAGCGCCTACCAGAACCATTAGAAGGTATTTTTGAGTACGGAGCCTGGAACTTACGTAGAAACACGGCGAGTGCCTGTCCAACTTGCGAGGAAATCTTTTCCTCATCCTTATTCGCAAGATGGGCATACCATAGTAGGCAATCAATTACAGCATCGTCTTCCCTCTGTATGCCGGTTGCAACAATTTGATCTTTGAGATGCTGCCCGTTTGGCCATGTGGACGCAGCGAGACCTTTCCGAGGTTTGTCTAATAGCTCGAATTTCGAGATGGGTTTTGCAACCTCTTGCTTCAGTCCCACAACCAGACCAGTCTGGTTCAGAACGTGATGGAAGTTCCTTGATATTGTTGTTTCGACATCTACACCGTATCCCTTCATCAGACCGACATAACGCCTCTGATCGTCGGGGTCGACAATTTCCGGGAGTATGCGCGCAAGAGTCATAGAGGCGCGCCATCGTTCTATGTGCGCAGCATATAACGGAATGGGCGACATTCGTTGGGCAAGCCGTAGGAATTCGACGTAGGCCGCGATGACGTTGCCTCTGGCGAACAGCGTAGACTGCTGCTGCTTAGAGAGAGGGTCGCGCGGGTTCCCAAGTATAATAAAGATGTGGACCAGAATCCTTAGGGCGTGGGGCTCATACAAAAATCGTTGGTAGTATTCCGGAACCACCACCGAACGTTTTCCTCTGCAGGAGAAGATCCCATCTGGACCAGCTTCGCGTACGGCGTCGTCCGAATAGTCTGGATCCACGATGAAAGTAGAAAGCGAAGACTTGGTTTGAACAGCATCGGCAATGGCTATACCGACCTTGTTCACGAGCTCATCGAGGGTACCGGTCAGAAGCGCGCTTTGTATCAACTTGATTGGGGTTTTCGCTTCCTGTGACGTGCGCCCGTCCTGCTTCAGCAACTCGACCACCTTCTGTGTGGCCTTTTCCCAATCGTTATTGATGTGTTCCATTACACCAGGAAAATTGAGTTGTGGGTGCTTCTGCGCGCGAGGCTGGCCTTTGGGTTCCGTTAACAGGAAGTTGTCGAATCTGGATAGCAGAAGAGCATTGTAGTATGCGTATAAATGATCGTCCCATGAGTGAGAGATGGCTTGAATCTTCTGGAAATTCTCGGACACCATGCCGTACGCAGCAGCCTCGTAAGGATAGCTGGTGCTCTGCGCGGCAAGGTAAGTGGTGCGACGAAACAGGTAGCCTAAGTCTGGCGGGCCCATGTTCGGGGCACCCTCAGGTCGTGGTTCTCCAGAAGCCCCGATACATATTGCGCGATAGCCCTGGTTTCTGGCTTTGAACCAGTCGTTGATCTCACTTAGCGGATCACCGCGGCGAAGCATCTCATAACAAGCCATCCAGAGAGCATGCTCGTAATACACGTCTGGCTTTTCTAACGCCAGCTGCTCCCGCGTTTGCGCGTCTGGGTCAAGGCGGCTGACCAACATTTTTGGTTCGCTGCGGCTTGATACCGGCAACGTAGGGTCCAGGGGTCCTTCAACACCGTACTTGAGTTTGACTTGTTTGATAGTGGCTTTTGTCTCCAGCCATCCGCTCGTCCACGTGTCGACATCTTTTCCAGCGTTCTTAGCCAATTGATTCATGATCGAATCCACATTCCGTTCGCTGCGCTTTGCCGTTTGTTGCAGCCATTTCAATATAATCTTCTTTTCTCTCGCCCGATCATCAGCGAGGATAAAACGCTCCCAGACCTCATTTTTGGGACTCCGACGATCTGTGCCTCCAATTGTGGCCAAGTGCGCCTCCTTCGTTGCCTCGCGGTCGGTTCCAGGCTCGGGGTGATAATGGTCGAAGACGACGCGGACGAGCTCCCATGTCGCAAGCTCTGCCTGCCAATCCCGTAGTTCTGCTTGCGCGCTCGATGTGGGGTGCGTCAGAGAATCCCTCCGGGACTCTGCCGACAGGGACACGCTTCTATTACCGGTATTCACGTCGTCCAGCAGGCTAGCTATGCGATTCTTCGTGGACTGGTCCAGTTCGCCCTCTCCTACAGCCGACTTCTGCTTCTTCAACTCTCGGACATTGCTCTCTGCAATGTCTCTGAACTTGCCGACGGCCTTGAGGGTGGCTTTGTGCTTGGTCTTCTCATTGTCGCTGCTCTGGGTGTACCAGTGGTCCAGCCGTTCGGCGAACTCCTCAACCTCCTTGCCGACTCTATCAGCCATTGCGCGCAGCGGCTGCAGAGGATCCTAGAGAAGTCAATTGCTGCGCCAGACTGCAAAATTCCCGATCTCGTAGCACATCCTGGGTCGATAAAGGCGTATGCGCCTGCAATCGCGGGCTGAGAGGGCCAGACATACCTCGTGCATCTGCATCGACTGGGAAGCGGGCTGGAGAGCGAGGTCCATGTTCGCAAAAGCGCGAGGACGGTAAGGTTCAATGAGGAAACGGCGCGCGAAGCTGTCGAAGACAAAACAGTCGCGCCCTGCCCTGGAGCTCAAAGCGCGCTCGGACCCACGGGACTAGCGCGGACGGGCCTTCGGCGTATAAAATTCGGCAGCGGCGCGCCGTGCTTCTTCTTCTTCCATCACAAAATGTCTATAGGTGGTCATTAGAGTCTCGGTTCAAACTGTTCGGTGTTTGAGCAGGTCCATCGCGGCCTCTTTGCGCGCTCACGACTGTCTTAGAACAACGTACCACCTGGTGACTGTCTGGACTCCCTTGCGGAGTATGAAGGCACAGATATAGAGGGGGTATTACATTTCCTTTTGGACACATCATGCTGCGTGCACTGTCATTGCTGTAGCGGTCTGCTCGCCTGTCACAACCAGGCAGGCCCGGTTGTATCACTCTCGTCGTGAATAGGCTGCTTGTGAGGACATGCCACAGGATGGGCCAATCGAACATCTAAGACGTGTTTCTTTAGCTGTTACAGGGTGTTTTTGTACATTGTCGCTACAAGAAATATATGAACTATCCCTGCTCGTGAGCGGTGCTGGTCTGAGATACGCTCAAGCGGACTCCTGGCTCCTTTGCTTCATCTTCAACCTGATTGCTGTAAGACCTTGTGTCCTTGCCACAATGGGACGCAGGACGTACTTCAGAAGAGAATATTTGGGGCAGCTCGCTGTGCTTGCATCCTCGCCTTTCTCTTGGTAGAATGCATTGCAGCACTCATACAACGCGTCGACCTGGACAAGTGAGCTGAAATGCCTTTCTGTTGGTTGTGGAGGAAGCTGCTCTGTGACCACCACGTGGAAGGATGACCGGGTGGAGCCAGAGTTTCTGAGAATGGCGCACCTCTTTTCTGCACTTTTCTTCCTTGTAGTTGCTCTTTTGCAGACAGTCTGTTTTCGTGGATGAGCACATAGGTTAAGCATATGGAGGCACGAAGTTACTCTGAATCGCGCAAGCGCGAGGATGGCATGGCGGATCTGTTTGAAGATCTTCCTTCAGCCCCTTGTACCTTTCGTCAGTATCGTACCTTGAAAGACGTGCCACTACATGGGAAGAAACACACCATGTTTCGTCACGTGATCAGGCGAATGCAGGCACCGCGGTACAATAGGCCCGGACAAGTCCCAGGGATGCCACGCAGCTGGAGATAAGAGAGTGCGGTGCTTAGGCAGCGCCTGGAGATTGAGAGCGGAAGTAAGATAGGATTATAAGGTTCGAATGAGAGGCAAAGCTATCGCTTTAGGGTATTGGACGAGAACCCCACTAGCCACAACGCTCACCTCAACATCGCGGCCACCTGCAGCGACGCACGCTCCCGTTTCTCTCACCTTCCAAGATTTCGCCACACTATATAAAGGGCCGCCGACGCGTTTTTGCGCACCGCTCTCACATCACCTCGACCATCTACACGTCACAGCTTGTGCGCTCCGACTCGCACCTTCCAGCGCTATCCCCGCCATAAAAAGCAGGTCTGCTCCGCAAAGTTGCTGCTGTACGTTTTACTCCACCTCTGAGCCGCAGTCAACGCATTCTAACCACAACAGAAGCACCCTCCTCTATCACGAACCACGCTCTCAATCTCACCTCGTCACCCACATCCCAAATGTCGGACAACGGCTCGCCGATGCAGAAGCCGGAGGACGGCCAGCAAGAGCATCTGAACATCAAAGTCACTGACAACAACAACGAGGTCTTCTTCAAGATCAAGCGCACCACTCAACTCAGCAAGCTCATGAACGCATTCTGCGACAGACAGGGAAAAAACATGCAGAGCGTGAGGTTCCTCTTCGACGGTCAAAGGGTGCAGCCGACGGACAACCCCGACTCGGTGCGTACACGACTGAGCGTTTCGCTGCAGAGCGCTGGTTCCAGTGATAATTCGGTTCCTCGCTGACTTCTCTTAGCTCGATATGCAGGACGGCGACACCCTCGAAGTCCACCAGGAGCAGATCGGGGGCTGCTAGTGTTTCGGTCGGTGACGCAACGGTCTAGCGGACTGTGGCCAACGCAACGCGAGAATGCGTGCGTGGCGCCTCAGACGGGAACAAGAACGATTCACGACTTTTATGCATTTGGCGAACCGGCGGAGGACGATTTTCTATACTTCTTGCACCAAGGCGATGATGGGTTGGGTCTGGCGTCACTGGCTGAGTGCCTTGCGAATGCCTTCGGCCTCCCTGCAAGTTCTCTTTGTAGCTCTTTACACCGATCTCGAAAGGATTGTGAATCAGATTTCGCACACAACTTTGAAACCCCTTGATGCGAGAGCTCCCCGTGACCTTTGTTATCGCATCATCGGAAGCTCTGTGAGTATCACGTCTGAATGGTTTGGCGATGCAATACAAAAGCGCGTATATACAGGTGTCAGGTTTAGCCAACCTACAGGCGGTTCTGTTTGTAAGCTTCCCGCTCAACCAAATTAATGTGCCGAGAAACAATTGCTTAAGCTCAAGTCTCTTCTGGCCAACGTCAAAACAACATAGCACGATGCGGTGGTCCAGAACCGAACAATCCCTCCCACAGGTCAATGCCAAAAGAAACACCAACGCTATCTGACTCAATCCTCCCACACGGACCTCTTCCTATCTTCAGCAGCCTGTCTCTCCTGCTTCTCCCTCTCTCTCTCTTCATCCCTCCTCTTCCTCTCCTTATCCCTCATCGCGCGATCATACTCCCTTTCCTCTTCGGTCCTCCGTGGCGCCCTTACACCCAACGCTCCCGCAATCAATCGCCCGGCAACCGCAGTCGTCTTATCCGGTCTTCTCGCCGGACTGGCCGTAGCGCTCCCTCTCCTGCTCCCGTCCCTACTGTTTACACCACCTCCTGCGCCATACGACACATTGTCTGGAAAGTCGAATGGCACGCCGGTCGGGCTTGCAGGCGTAGGCGGCGGTGGGTGGGGCGAATCGACAGACTTTATGGTTGCAAGTGGAGAGAGCGAGTCGCGCTCTGTGGCGCGCGAAGAGCGTGTATCTGAGGACTCTTCGGTCTCGGTGTCGGAGCCGCCGCCGGAGAGGTCGTCATCCCAGGACTCAGCAACGGGTGCGGATTTCGGTTTATTGGCGGGCTTTTGGGGCGATTTTGTGGAGAGCTTGAGCTGGGAGAGGGTGGTTACTACTTCTGCAGATGTTATTAGCTTCAAGGAATTGTGTGACAGGGCCAATGGGTGGCTTACCGGCTTCGGAGGGCGTTGCGTGGGACATTTTGAGAGGATGCGAGGGACTGTGAGCTTCTGGCGTGGGCTGGGATGCCGGTGGTTTTGCGGGGTAGAAAGCAGAGACGAGGTACACTGTCACAAGTACGGGTTCGGCGGCGAAGCGTTAACGGCAAGCAATTGCACTCTACCGCTGCTCTTTCACACGATAGATGAAGACGAATGTAGAAGGGAGGAAGCACACGACCTTATTCTACACGATTGCATGACGCGCAAGGGCTACGGCTCTACCTGGGACAGGGTGGAGGCCGCGGTAACATGGACCGATCTGGCGGCAGCTGAAAGACACTGCAAGCGCTATTCCCAGGCGCCAAAAACTGGGGTATTTGCGCAGGGTCAAGCTTGTGTCGTCATCGAACTTCACCAATCTGACAGGTTGCTGCGAAGAACACCCGCTTTTGTGAGGCAGGCTTACGGCTTTGGGCGAGCGTTGAGCCGTTCTAGAATGCTGGACTGGATGACAGGTGCTATTTTCACCATTGGTTGAAAGGCAGGCCCTAGACTCTTCGGCGCGGATCGGCCTGGGGAGGGCTGTACGAGAATGGAGCAAGTTTGCGCGTCTTCAGGAGCATGTGGATCCGCACAATAGTAGGTACGTACGTTCAATGTGGCTCAGGTCTTCCTTTCTGGTTCGGAGACCCTTGGATTGATATTCTAATCCCTGAGCTCGCGCGCAGATCACAGTCGAAGCGAGCATACGCACAATTGATCCTGGCGGTTGTCCCTGAAGATCCGAGAACCCACCGTGGAGCCAATCGCCAAGCCTATGAGCTGTCAATACTCTGCGCGCCCACTTGCGTCCCCTTCCACAACACCCATGGCTTCTTTGTCGAGCCATTCCTTGCAATCGTTTTGAAAGGCGCATGCCCTCGTTTCGGGATCCGCGTCCAGAATCATATGAGCAAGAGCTAGTATTCGTGTGGAGTGCTTTCGTAGTGAACATCCTAGAATTAACATGGAATCACATACCCAGAACAGAATAACTGACGTCTTCTCTTTTCGACACGACGAAAGCATGCATCTACATTGGAGCTGTCTCAGCCATGGTAGACTGGTCTCATCTTGCGGCTGCAGTTTGTTTTTCGCTCTTCCTCCTGACACTCCTCTTGCCATTTTCGTCACTTCCTAGCTATTGTCGAACATGGTACCCGTCTATTCACGATGCAATACACATTCTTCTGTAGCTCTTTGCTGCAATTTCTCCAAATTCATCCCGTTAATTTCGTACCACAGTGGCTACATACACGCTTGCTGCCACCTTCCGTTCCTTCTTCATTCGTTTGCCGGGCAACGCCTGTCACGGGCCGACGCGTCGCAGCGTGCCTTGCGCCCATCTCACTTCATACGTAAACACTTTTATGCTTCGCAGTTCCTCAACCGGTTCCCGCCTCGCTTTGAGCCACCATACGCGTAGCCAAGATGGCGTCCGCCGCGGACGCGAATCGCTTCGCACTTTTCGCTGAGAATGACGAAGAGCACTCTCCAGGCGTGGATCCACTCCCCAAGGTCAATCCATTCGTCAACCAGGTCGCTGACAGCGACGCGCCGTGGGAAGAGGTCAGGCACGGCGGTCAGGCGTCGAAGGTGGAAAAAGTCAAGCTGAAGACACTGGTCATCCGCGAAGAGAACAGCGTGGCCCTCGCCCGCTGCCACAACAGGACACGCGTGTTCTCGGGATTTACCCAGGATAGTGACAGCATGAAGCTCACCGACCCTCACGAGCATTGGTGCGGCGTGTGCCGATTCAGGTTCCCCAATAAGAATGCGCTCGTCACGCATATTAAGCAGTCACCTCAGCAGCACGAGAACTACTGCAACCTATGCAAGAGGGTCTTTGTCGATCGAAACGGCTTGAAGAACCACGTCGACAATGCAGCGGGCCACGACATTTACTGCAATCTATGCTTGAGTGCCTTCAAGGATGGGTGGGGCCTGAAGAATCACTTCGAGAACAACTACTCAGTTGCCGGTCACGACTTTGTTTGCCTTACCTGCCTCCTGGGTTTTCGAACCAAGACGGAGCTGGATAAGCACCTGCTTACCGGAGCGAAGCATGTGTGGTGCCAGACGTGCCATCGGAAGTTCCGCAATCAAGCAGAGCGAGACGAGCACTGGCGCATAACGACCAAACACAGGCACTGCCTCCAGCCCGGCTGTGACTTCGATGCGCCGGACCAAAACGCTCTCGAGTGTCATCTCCACAACGATCACTTCCAGTGCGAGGGATGCATGCGTATCTTCCCCAGTCAGACGAAGCTCAACTCTCACTACGACACTTGCCAATTCGAGGTCACCTGCCCCAAATGCGGATATCGATGCGCTGGTCGGGCCAAGCTTGAACTGCATATGGAGTCATGCTTCTACTGTGCTGAGTGTCACTTTCACACTCGCCACGAGGGCAATTACCAAATCGTAAGTTACTTTGGAGACTTGTTATAAATGCTCATCTCACACTAAGCAGCATATGACCAAACATGCCGAGGCTGCCATCCCATGTTGGCGCTGTTCCGTGCCTATGCGCAAATGCAGCAGCCTCATTAACCACCTCGAATCCGGCAACTGCGTCAACCTTCCAGATCCTACCCGGCTAATGCGCTGCCTAGGCACTTTCTGGTATTCCACACTATACATGGACGTCGATATCCACGTTCAGGTACGTTCGAACCGCGTGGACATAAAGGAGACGGTCAGCTGGATAAAGGAAGGATTGCTGCAGCCGTTCATCTGCCGTGCTTCAGGCTGTGGCAAGACTTTCAGTCACTTCAGCTCATTGGCACTGCACGTGGAGAGCCAGGCTTGCGAATGGGATATTGAGAAGCTGAGGCTGGATCTCATCCAGGCCGAGTTTGACAGGATGTGCGTGAGGAGGGACAGTGTGACTGCAATGGCAGGATGAGTCGTCAATGGATTGCTGTCGGTCAGCCAATCACGTAGGCGAAAAACGTACCAACAGCGCTGGAATGAAATGCAACGGCCAGAATCTCTATGAGAGAAGTTAAGATGATCTTAATGTTTGACGAATCAATGACGCGTAGTCTTCGCACGGATGCGAGCTTCATAGCGTACATAGGCGTCAGGAATATACCCACGGTCTCCTATTGATGATCTTGCACGCGCTACATTTATCTCACAGGGTGCACACATAATCTGACTGTCTACCAATCTAGCACAGTCTGGGAGGTACTTTCTGACCAAAACAATCATGCAATTGGGGCAGAAATCGACCTTCCTGTGCTAGAGCCGTATTTACTCATGCCGAAGTAACCCTATCTGCTGACGCTATGAGATCTCCTCGGCTCCTGATGCTGTCTGATATTGGGCCTGACGTAACGCCCTCTCGGCTTCACATACCAATGGTCAGCACGCTGAAAGGCATAGACCAGCGCACGCATAATAGTAGCGCCATTGGCGGCGTCGAGATGACGACTTTAAGTTTAAGGGCGCTGCTCGCCACAGTAGAAGGACGACTAGGTGATGAAGAGCAGTTCCGCCAACTTCTGGATATCAACGAACAAACTTCTCGCCACGTGGGCCAGTGACTGGCCTGAGCAAGGTTCTTGGAAGGCCTGTTGAAAGTGATGATCACTACTAGGGGGCAATGAACACTATCCTTACGGCGACGATTTCCCGCGATAACGTCTCGATCAATTCTCCTTCCGTGTTTGAACAGCCGGTCATCAAGACAAGCTGGCTCCCCACTGTTGCTGACTAGGAAGTCGCCGTTGCCGCGTACCGACGGCTTCTTCCCATCACCATGAGCATCGACGCACGCGTTGCGAATCTTGCTTGTCCATGATCGATCGTGCTTGCCGATGATTCAATGCTTTTGGAGTATAGTTACAATTCATCACACGAGCAGTACGTGCCGGATAGGAGAAGGGAGCGATGCGATGGCTACAGTGGATCCTAAAGCCAGAGTTTTCCCAGTGCAAGAATTGAGGTCATCGATAGCTGTCCGGCATACGCCTCTAGGGCACACACAAGTGACCACTTATGTGCATGCCAAAAAACTTGTTGCGGACGTAATGAAAGACCTAGGCTACAGGACTGCGAGGAAAGTGACAATAAGAACGGACGAAAGGGTTTGAGCAGGTAGACCAGAGAACATTTCTGTTCGTTAGTGGATCACTGAATCAGTCGCTTCTTTCGAACAATATCATTGCACTGGTTTGATCTATACTTATCTATGAGCTCGTCTATATCTGCAGCAAGACTCGCCACAGAGGCATGACTTATCCAAGCCTGCCCAGTAACGGTCGCCATAATCGACAGATATCTCGACACCTGCTTCAATTCCCTTGCTCACCAAGACCACATGCTGGGTATCTAACCAGGTGAACTGTGAGAACTGGGCGTTGGCTTTGCAGCTGTGGTTGATGAACCGAGTGAAGTTACCCTGTCTCCCTTGCCATATTTGATAATTGGTCGTCGCCGTTGCGCTGTCCATCACATCGACATGGCGCACGCCCTTGGTAATCAATCCAACAAACTCTCCTATTCCGGCGCCGCGCTCGAAGGGAGCGAGGGCAAGCAAGCCGTTGTTCTGGCCCTTGTTGGTACGGTATATCTGCACGGGTGGAGGTCTTCGCTTGACGCAGCCGAATAGGTTCGGGAAGCAATAGCAAGAATTCAAAGCTGGCTCGTCTGATTGGGTTTGGTCGCATACGGCGCAGACGTATGTGCTGTTGCCGTTCGCTCGGACGACTGCACTGGACTGCGGAACCCAGCGGGGATCCTCGCCTCGCCATTCGCGTTCGTCGATGATCGACTCCTCAAGCTGTTCGAACTCGAAGAAGGGTTCTCGTTCCAAGTAGGTGGAGCGCAAAAGTACCGGTTGGGCACCGTCTTCTGATACCACCCAGTCGTGGGGATGGCCGGCGTACTGTAATCTGGAAGACTCCCCGATGATAGACAGCAATTGCCGCCAATGTGGCTGTAATGTATCTGCAGCGACTTCAAACCGTGTCCGCAAATTTTGCAGACGCTTCATCGCTTCCTTGGTGAACTCGACGCGATATTTGCAGAAGCGATAGATGCCCATGCCGGCGAAGACCAAGGCCACCCAGCCTGCTGCATCTTTGACTTCTCTGTATCCACGCCAGATCGCTATCTTGTTGCGCAACTCTTTTTCGGACCAGCCAAAGTCCTGACATGCTTCAACGAAGGCTTGTTTGTGATGTTTCGTCTTCGAAATATGAGGCGCAGCGGCTATTGACGTTTGAACTTTGTCCTCGAAGAGCTCAATCCATTTGGCCTGTACGACGATCTCGATCGAGCGGCATACTCGGCTTGCTTGGGTGACTTTTCGGCACAGGGTGTTCATTCTGTGGAATGCGTCTGTTTGCAATGCTGGTCCTGCGCCACGTATCTCAACCGCTGTATCTTCGTTTATTACAGGTGTGCTCGAGCTGACAGGTAGAGTCATGTTGTATTGCTCAGAGATGATTTGCGGATTCAGGTCTAGTGTGCCATGTAACTGCTCCCAGATGCCGATGATGAGCTTATCGAGTGTTGAAGGCCGGAATACGAACTTGTCAGATGCTATCTTTCGCCGCTTCGGAAAGTTACGTGTATCAGTGGCTATCTGTCGCTGGTGCTCAGTAACATCCTCTTCGAACGACTGCGTGTTTGCGACACGCAGTTTCCCAACTCCTCTACGGCGAGGACTGCCTGGTTCGGATTCATCTCCACTGCTCCTTGCAGATGTCTCCCCGCGTGGTTCTTGATCTGTAGCGCGTTGTGTGGATCTAGCCCTGAAGATGGGGGCTAAATCTATCGTGCTCTGTGAGAATTAGTATGCTGATTGTTGAAGATGTCCTTCTAACAATTCTACAATCTTAGAAAAACAGCACGCAATATATTGCTCTAGATTTCAGCGATATGTGCATGTCGATAAGAGAAGGTGCTACAGTAGTCAATGGTTCATGTCCACATGCCAGCCTTGCATGATACATATAAGAAGATGTGAATGAAGATGTGACTGAGAAGATAGATACACGCACCGAGGCCACTTGTAACGGTCTGGAAGGAGTGGTGTCCTGGTCATGGTCCGGGCCTTGGTCCTCCAAGAAAGCGTCCACTCGCAAGACAGGATGTTTGAGCTCTTGGGGCCATCCGGCACTGTTCTTTGATCTTGCAATATGCTCTTCGATTGTTTTCGCAATGGCCTTAGAAAGCTCTTCAAAATGGTCTATGGAATCCATGGTGCTGTCCGTAGGGCTGTCCGTGCCTTTTATTCTATTGGTTTGGCCGTGGTGCAGAACGGTCGCAAGCAGAGAGAACATCGGCGAGATCGCGCTTGGACGATTCTTCGTGACGTCGGGGCCACTTCTGGGCTCTATCCCACGCTAAGCGAACCTGGTGTAACGGGCAGGGGCAACACACGTGATCCCACAATGCAAGCCATGTGCAACTTTGGTGCATTCCATAATGATGGATTGAAAATGACTTTGTGCTCTTTCAAGGAAGCATTGTAAGATATCAGCAATCTGCGCTTTGCTACATGCTCGTTTCGTTGCGTCAGAGCTGTTCAAAAACATCGCTTGGTATGAAACCCTCCTCGGGCTGCCCAGGCAGAGCAACCGCTGCTCTCCAGACTTTTTCTCCGAGACTTGGCGTACCCTAAAAATCCCGCTCCCTCCCAATCTTCGCAGCAGCAAGCACGCACTGAATGCACACTTCCTCCCTAATTTAATGTGATCATAATGATTACGTCCTTTGTGATGATAGTATCTGAGCTGACAATCGCGCTGAAACCGCAATGCGCGGCATGTGCATGTTGTTATTCGTTTGCATCTGCATTGTAGAGCATCTGAATCGCGTGGTTATTGCAATGTGCCAAAACCAATAGCTCCCGCTAGCGCCGATTTGTCGACCATTGCCCATTCATGACGCGATTGTACTTAAGCAGCGGACTAATACGTTCCTGTAGGTCATATCCGCTGTCTGCTATACATTCAAATGTTCGTTCGTGCCATTGTCATTTGTTGTGCTTGCTTTCCTTACCCAACGTTGTCGCCCTTGACCAAAGTCATCTCCAACTAGATATTTCACAACTGTATCTGTAGGGACGTGCAAGGCGATGGACAAGCCAGCAGATTCAGGAGAAGAAGGGGTGGCTCTGAGGAGGGAGATTACATCTTCATACACTTTCCAAAATCAACGAGGTTGGCGACAATGGCGCATTCTACGACCAGGCCGTGGTATGTATTACGATGTCAGAAGACGATTACCATACTACTGGAGCGACATCACCGATGCTTGGACATATCGGACCTTTGCTAGTACTGTGCGCATGTACTTTGTCAAGTAAGTGCACTGAGTTCCTCACTGAATCATCTTTGGCCAATTTCCAATCATGCCAGTCTACTTCCTGCCATTGCTTTCACACTCGACATGTACCGAAGAACAGGCGAGTTTTTTGGCATTAACGAGGCACTGTTCGCATCGGCACTTGCCGCCATGGTCTTCAGTATCTTCGCCTGCCAACCTTTGACTATCGTCGGCGTTACCGGTCTGATCGCGCTCTTCAACTACACTATCTATGACATCGTCGGTCACTATGATATCACCTTGTATCCGCAAGTAATGGCCTGGACTGGCATATGGGCCGCGATCTTCCACTGGATAGTATCTTTAGGGAACTTCTGCGATTACATGGGCTACATCACGGACTTTTCGAGCGAGTCGTTCGGAATGTACGTAGGTATTATCTACATGAGTAAGTGAAACTTGACTGTAATACTTCCTCTTCGCGCGATATGCTGATGTCCGAAATAGTCAAGGGCGTCGAGGAGCTCGTGAACGAATTCGAGGTCGCAGGAAACGCTGCCGGCTACCTTTCCTGCGTCATCGGCATCCTATATTTCGGATCGGTCTACGGTTTAGAGAAGCTAGGAGGTAGTACCCTCTGGAAACCGTGGTTTCGTGGAGTGCTCGCCGACTACGCCTACGTATTTCCGACACTGTTCTGGGTAGGGTTCTCTCACATACCGGGGCATCTGAAGAGCACGCACGTAACCTTCGTGCCTACGTCGAAAGCCTTCCATCCGACCCAGCCCCGGAACTGGGTGATTGATTTCTGGAATCTTGATATTGGTTGGGTGTTCGTCTCACTGCCATTCGGCTTTCTTACCATGCTCTTATTCTATTATGATCATGTAAGTGACTTTACGAACACTTTCGCGTTAACCTACAAAGAAGGCTAAGAATCCGTAGAACGTTAGCAGCTTGACTGCTCAAGCTCGCCAATTCCCGCTCAAGAAGCCCGCTGGGTTTCATTGGGATTTCTTCCTCCTCGGTTGCACCACTTTCGTCGCTGGTGTTATCGGGCTACCTATGCCGAATGGACTCGTCCCGCAAGCACCTGTCCACACAGACTCGCTCACAAACTACGAAACACGCCTTGATATCATCAAAACCAAAGACCACGATATCCCTGAGATCAGAAGACCATTAGTGGAAGCCACGGCGGTTGTGGAACAACGCATCTCCCACTTCCTCATGGGTCTTGCGCTCTGGGGTACAATGACGGGGCCGCTACTGATAGTGCTGCATACAATGCCGGCCGCAGTGTTCGCCGGTGTCTTTTTCGTCGTTGGTGTAAGTTTGCCCACTTACATCATCTCCTTAATCAGCTGACGCAGATGACAGTGGGGTTCCATCGAATCCAACGGCATCCTTCAAAAGCTCATCTACCTGAGCTCCGAACAACGCTTCCTCGCACCCGAGAACCCGCTCAACGAACTACCACGTAAGAGAATCAGCTTGTACATCGGCCTACAAATCTTCGGCGTCGCCAGTTGTGTGGCCATCTCGCAGACCATCGCAGCCATCGGCTTCCCCGTCCTCATTATCGCTCTGATCCCCCTGCGCACATTCTTGATGCCTCGCTGGTTCACCACGCACGAGCTGTCCATACTTGATGCTCTTACAGCAAGCAACAAAGCAGTACTAGCGAGCTTAGGCGGACAGCCATCAAAGATGAAGGAATTCGTCGAAGAAAGTGATGTTGATGAAGCTTTCAATGAGATGAGGGAAGCCGAAGGGATGGAACGTGTGGAATCGGGTCATGAGAGCGATCTTCACCGCCAGCGAAGTCATAGTGCTGTTAGGCAGCGCATGGGAAGTATTACGCGGCAGACAGCGCATAGGATTAGGTCGCATTCGACGGAGAGGGAGAAGGAAGAAGGTACGGGGCGGCGGGAAGAGTGATGCCATTGAGTATAACAAAAGCGAGCTGTACAAGCATTTGTACGCAATCGTCGGCGCGATGAGTAGGCTGAAAAAGACCTGGACGGAGGTAGTGGTAATTATACTCTGTAATCTTGACATAGAATATATAGACGAAACGCTGATCGCGTTCGCCAACCTCAGCTTCGGAACTTCATGGTGGTGATTTGGTTGGATTTGAGATTGACAACGGGAAATTGAATTGAAAGGGGTGGGCAGCATTGGGGTAGCACTATAATAACTGGTGGATTTCGGATACTGGCTGCTTTGGTGCGACCTTGAAACTGTACACCTCAGGCAACGTATACTGGAGATGCTCGTGTGGAGAAGAAAATAACGTCAAACAATCAACAAAGGCTCTATTAGCCGGTAGCTTGAATGACAATGGCAAACAACTGAGCAGCAAATTGTAAATGATTTATATGGCAATGGGTATACAGCGCACCATTCCGAACGCCTCCCAGCCACCCGTAACTCCTGTGCAAGTCTGGCAAACATCCATCCGATCTTCCTTACCAGTTCCACGTCCGACTCGCCGCCGAGAAGACTGGCGGCTTCCAACTTAACCTCTCTGGATCAAGCGCTCTCCTCCCTTTGATCTTCTCCTTCGCCTTCTGCCTCTCCCTCGCCTCCACAACCGCATCCGTCAGTACGACCACATGCGCGTTTTTACTATATCTCAGCATATTCAGGTTTTGCAACGTGTGAAGGACATCATTCGTCGTCATGGCTGACTGAGCCCCGAGATCCTCGATATTCGCTTCCGCCCTCCCGTCCATGAGCAGGTCTACTATAATCTCCTGCCAATAGGCGCGGTAGCCTAACAAACCAAGATCGGACAAGGGTTTTTCGGGAGACCCGAGCTTGCCTTCGCGCTTGGAGAGCAGGTAAGAGAAGTCGATAAGGAGCTTGCCGAAGCCCTTTCGTTGGTATTGCGGGAGCGTGAGAATGCAGGCTACGTTGTAGCCTTCAGCGGATTCTTTCTCTTTCGAAAAGTAGCCGACGAGGTGGCAGCCGTGCTCGTCGCGCGTGGCCATGCAATAGAAGAGGAAGGGGTCGACGTCGTAGTAGAGCGTCTTGTGATCGAGGAAGAGCTTGGACAGCAAGCAGAGATTGCGGCACCAGGTGCGTTGTCTTCGGCCATCGATTTCGAAAAAAGACACGTAATCGTCACGGTATATTTCGTTGCCGGGTGGGTGGAGCAATGTGCATTTTGAGCGGTGCCGCTCAAATTGTGTGACGTCTCCGTAGTAATTGAGACAGAATTCGCAAATGTAGACCATATCGACATCGACAAAGTCGATAGGATATGGGGAGAAGTACCACGGTTCGATTTCGTATTTGCCCATCTGAACTTTTTCGATGTTACGAACGCGGGCAATTTCCGTTTGGTTCTGGGTCATAGAGCCTGAGGTGCGCAGCTTTTCGATCTCGTCTTCGCGTGAATAGGCTTGGTCGGGAACAGCTTTGGCAGCCGCGGCCGCGTCCTGCACATCCACAAGATCCATCTCCTCATCTTCGGGCTTGGGTGTCGTGCCATCGGTGATCTCAGTGGTGACGAGCAACTCCTGGTTCTCCTTTCCACTTGCTTTGGTTGGCCGCGATGCTTTCCCAGGGGCATTGATACTGGATGACTCTGATGCAATGGAAAGTTCGCGGTCAAGTTTGCTCCGAGAACGCTTGAGGCTTTTCTGGTCTGCCTTGGAAGTAGTCTTTTCATTCTTAGTGGAGGCAGACTTCTTCTTGTCGGGTTTCTCTGGGGCGGGCCACTCGACCTCGCGGGAGAGGTCGATGCGGTCTGCGTTAACCCATTCATCAAGACGCTTGTTGAACTCTTCGTAGTGGACGTAGAATTTAGGTTCTCCACGCCTTGTCTGGATCATGAGGATTTCGGCTTTGCGCTTCTCGCCATCCTACAATATGTCAGACGGTGAACAAGAAGTTGACAATGCATCGCTTTGAACTCAACGATATGACATGAATAGTTGAAAAAAAAGAAGAGAAGTGAAGCACAACAGGTATCGCAACAGAAGATCATGATGGGGTCACCATATGGTGTTCGAAGCCATCACGGCCGAGCTAGGCGGTCACGGCGCGCGTTTGCACTCACCTTTTCCACGAAGGCCTTCACGCCAACCCTGCAACAAACGCATCAGTACTCATCTCCAAACCACTTGCAGCGGTGTCGCACATACCTCAGCTGCGCCAGGGTGGCAAAGCCCGTTTCCACCGGCACGGGGGTGCCAGAGGGCTCGTGAGAATTTTCGCGAGGCGCCATGGTTGCGCGCTGTCGTGTGTCAGATTATCGCAAATTATGGACCGCGTTGGGGGATGTTGCTGTCGCTTTTGTCGGAGGCATGCCTCTGTCGCGATGCGACGGCGAAGGTTGGCGATGCGGGCGCTTGTTCCGCGCTGGTGGCGGCAGCCTATCACATGCAGGGCGCTTGGGCCTTGGATCCTGAACTTTTTGTTGCGGAATGCGCACGCGGGGATCAAGTGCGAGTCTTCAAACGCAGAATTGCCCATGCACCAACAGAGACACACCGCTATGCTGCGCAGGTGACACGATCATGGCGCCAATCGAATTGACTAACTTGTCCAGCAACTGGAAGTTGTTGCAGCAGAGGCTGCAGGCTGGAAAATCCGCCGCATCCGCCAAAGTACAGACGGGAGACGCAGAGGAGGCTTCGCTGAAGCGCAAAAGATCTGCGAAGAGCAACTCAGAGCATGCGTCTAGGTCTACGGACGCATCCGTGAAGAAGATACCGTACAAGCAGCGGAAACGGCAGAAGATGGAAGAACCAGCGGCAGTAGGCGCCTCGATAAAACAGCATGACCCAAAGTCGCTGTCGCGCAGCGTGTCGATGCCCTCGCTCAAGCATTCTACACTCCTCGCCTCCTCGAAACGAGCGGCCGAATCCATTTCCGTCTTGACCCCTTCCGCCGACTTCCCCGACATCGAAAATGGGGGCGTCTCTGAGGGCGCCCTACCTGCCAAGTACATTGCGCTGGATTGTGAGATGGTGGGAATAGGCCCAGAACCCAACAAGGACTCTGCGCTGGCAAGAGTATCAGTGGTGAATTACCACGGCCACCAGATCTACGATTCGTACGTGCAAATTCCGGACAAGGTGACTGTCACCGATTACCGTACCGATGTGTCTGGCATCGAGCCAAAGCATCTTCGGAAGGACGTTGCGCGACCATTCAAGGAAGTCCAGGACGATCTGAAGATCCTCCTCGAAGGGCGTGTTCTCGTCGGTCACGCTGTGAAGAACGATTTGGACGTGCTCATACTTAAGCACGATAAGCGTTACATACGAGACACTTCGAAGTACTCTAAATTCCGTGAAATCGCGCAGATACCCGGCCGAACACCGTCGCTAAAGATACTGGCTGAGAAGCTGCTGGGTGTCGAGATACAGGTCGGGGCGCACAGCTCGGTCGAGGATGCAAGGGCAACCATGGCACTGTTCCGCTTGGAGAAGGATGGTTTTGACGCGGAAGTGCGGGAGAGGTACGGACATATCAAGGTTGGCGCTACGGGCGCTGAAGTTGATGTGGGTGGTGGTGAGCCTACAAAGCGCAAGAACAAGCCCAGGAAGAAAAAGAAGAAGAGAAACTAGCCTTTCGGCTGAGGCTTGTTGGCGATATATTGTATATATGGTTGCTGGCATGTGACATATTGTGCGTTTAGTGTTTCCGGCGAAAGATGTAAGGCTTGATGTTATGAGTAACGATACCCTTTATAGGAACCGAGCTATATACATTCAACTTCTCTGAATGTTCTGCATGTGGCTTTTGCAGCTTCGACCCTCAAAGGTTTTCTGTTCATCTCCATCCACTGAGCCGGACCGACGATCTCTCATCCTGTTTATAGCCCATGCGGCTTTATCGGTTGTTGATGCGGATGGCTGTCCAACGGTCCAGCAAACTTCAACAGCCCAACGTCGCTCGAGGTCATCCTAGAATTGTACTTGCCTCCACCCATTTCGAACAAGAAGCTCATCGGGAATCCAATATCAAAGTCAATCGCCGAATCAATATCATCAATCTCTTCCTCGCTCAACTGCAATCCCAACGCCTCAATATTGCCCTTCAAATGATCTACCTTCCGTCCACCCACAATCGGCACCACATACGGCGCCTTATGCATGACATACGCCAACGCGACGCTCGTAATCAGCGTGTTCTTTGACTTCGCAACTGTCGCAAGCTTCTCGGAAACGCGTTTCTGGGCTTCAGTCTGAGGTCGAAAGTTGCGGCCTGATTCGCCGGCCTTTTCTTTGTCTTGGACGGTGAAGTTGCCGCCGCCGAGAGCACCCCAGGGGCACAGGGCCATGCCCTCTTCGCGCGCCATGGGGATGATTTCGCGCTCGAAGTCGCGTTCGGCAGCAGACCAGCGGCCTTGGTAGACGGAGAAAGGCCGGAGTCCGTGATCGCGGGCGTCTTCTCAAATTGTCAGCTTCGACCGTATCTAAATGTACAGGGAATTGCTATGGGAAAAGAAGGGGACGTACATTGATTCGCTTTACTGACAACCCAAGCCGGCGTATCGCTCACTCCCAGATACAGCACCTTGCCTTGCTGTACGACATGGTTCAAACTCTGCATCAACTCCGGGATGCTCGTCGTGAAGTCCCACCAGTGCACATACAACAGATCTATGTAGTCTGTCTGCAGCTTCTTCAAACTCGCCTCCAGACTGACGTGCAACGACTTTGTGCTGTTACCAGCGAAGTTTATGCGCTGGCGAGGAGTAGATTTTGTGGGGTCCGGGAAGGTGGTGGTGTATTTTGTGGCGAGCACGATTTCGTGACGCACGTTGCGGGCTTGCATCCATTCGCCGATCCAGGTTTCGGATTCTTCGTTTTGGTAGTTGTTTGCTCTGGCTTGAATGTTAGCCTTGCGCTGGGGAAGGCGTTGGAGTAATTGGTGATTGTGGGGCGTGTAAGGTCACCCCACATCACAACTACGTCTGGATAATGGGTATGGGACTTTCTCACGTGTCAATGAAGTTTCCGCCTTGGTCGTGGAAGAAGTCCAGAATCTCAAATGTAGTGTTCTTGTCGCATTTTCCCATTCCTTGCTCCCATGCATTTCCAAAGTTCATAGCTCCTAGACATAGCGGCGAGACGCGGACACCCGCGTTGGGGGACAGTACACGGTGCCAGTCGAGGAGAGACTTGGCCTTTGGGGGGGCACCGAAGAGAGACATTTTGATGGAGAGATCAGTTTTTGCAGTTTTGGGAATTGACAATGGTCAGTTAGAATGCGTTTGGGTATGCACTTGAGGTAGCCCTCGAGGCTTTATACTATGGGTACACGCAACACGCATGACGTCTTTCATGCGTCCTTGGTCCGCTGTTCCACCAGAGTCCCTCATTGTGGGGTACCTTTATGGCTGTGGACTGACCCTGGAAGCGTAGAAGTCCCGAGAAAAGTCGGTAGTCAGGGATTCGAATGGTAGAGGTTGGAGGGGTCGTCCGGTACTTGGGAGGGGATTAGAGCTTAAGTCCGATGCTCCGAGATGTCTTTGGTTATTGCCGCCAGCGTACAAGATAACGAGTCGTACTGTGGAATTGTGTATGTCGGTTTCTGAGAGAGTGGTACGTCTTAGCTGCGGGTCCAATGGCAATTTCGCGTGTCACGTTCAGCTGTTACAAGGGGGTAAGCACTTAGATTTGCACACGGATTTAAGCGTATAAGCTGTAGCAGATCCGATTAGGGAATACGCTATTTGCCAGTTTTGTTGCCAACAAACTAATCAAGCGCGTATAGAACGTATTGCACATGCACATCTTCCAATATGGAAGCTTCAGCAGAGATGCTGTAATCCGCTCTGTCATTTTGGGTGGAGTTATCTTTTAGAAGCTACGTGGCTTGATCACTAACCGCACATGGTGTCCGACTCTATCAATACCCTAAACAGTAAGAGCTCTTCTCTCCGAGATGAGCATCGTACAAGTTGCCAGGCTTCCCGCTGACGCCATCAAGATCTTGAGGTCAAGATTTGGCGCAGGAAGTTTCGTCGCTGATGGCATGCAAGCCGCCAGGTTCAAGAACGTGTCGTGTAGAAGTGTCGATTTCTATCTCCCTGCTTCTCCAATTTCATACTTTCATACTTTGACACATTCTTTTGCCCGGCGGAGGTGCGCAAGTAACTTGAACCGCGAAACCATGTAATGAAGTCAGGACCTTAGGAAGTAGCAGGTGATGTGATGCCTCGTTAGACGACAGTATTCGTAGTCCTCTTAATATGTCAGCCATCTATATATGGGGTCAGCTCGTGACTAAGTAGATCTCTATGCATTCAATGACCATCAACTTCCTCGCCAGCTCCGATCTACCTCCGCCAAATCTCATCCCACCTACTTCCCACCAACTCAAGCGGACCGTCCCATCTCCCAAACCTCGGCTGCCCCATCCCCTGCTCTGCCAAACATACCCATTCCCTAACACATCCGGGCACCTCTTGCCTCGAATGGCTGACACACAATAGCGCTTGATGCTCCTGTAGCCCTGGAACCACTACCTCTCCTTTCCTCTTGACCTCACTCTCTACCGGTCTCGGGCCAGCATTAGTGTAATGCAGTTCCATACCTTGGCCGTGCGACAAGAATAGCAGGCACTTGTCGCGCGCAAGGTCGTCCATGCCAGAGAAGGCCTCATCGAGTATGACGATGGCGGGGTTACGGACGGTGGCGCGGAGGAAGAGCGCAATGCGTTGGGCGGAGAAGGAGAGTTCGCCGAAGTAAACGTCGGTGGACCATTCTAGATTCTTACTCGCAGTCTGGCCAACTACGTGCTTGGGATCGAGTTCTGCCTCAAACCAGCGGAGACACGCGTCTACGCGCTTGGAAGCATCGGCGTCTAGCCTGGGTTTCGTGATGGGTGTGTCGCTCCAGGCGGACTCGAGTACACGCTTCACAGAAAGGTTTTTGGGGAAGAGGGCATGCACTTCGGGCGAAGAGTGACCCATTTGTGATTGGATGTCGAAGATGGTAATACCGGGTACACCGGGGGATGGCAGACGAGAACGTTGGAAAAGTTTGACCGGTGCGGAGTATGTCTGTGGGTGGTCCGAAGTGACGAGACTCAGCAAAGTGGTTTTCCCAGATCCATTGGCACCGAAGATACCCCAACGTTGGCCGCGATAAATGTTCATCCAGAGTCCGTCTCGCTGCTTGCCGTCCACGTCTTGTTGCCAATCACCGAGAACGGAGTTGGGCCCATATTTGATGCGTACGCCTTCCATTTCGACAATGGGTTCTCCGATAGTAGCCGTTAATTTGTCGACCTTTTCAAACCCGTCCCGACTGAGTACTGGTGCGCTTGAGGGATCTTGCTCTTCTGCAGTGCTTGCTTCGAAATCGCCTTTTTCTGAGAGATGTTTTCCAACCTCTCGAAGTTCTACTAATCTTGGATCTAGTTCATGAACATTACCACTGCGGTTAATAATTGACTGCTCGATCTCTTTGCACTGTTGTTGCAAGTACTGCAGTACTTCTTCTTTTGGTCCTAAGGCTTGGACCTTCGCATCCTCGCCTGCGTACACAATATGCGTGATCCATTCAGGAATTACATCCTGCGGCCTTAGTGAAAGCACGATTCTGGGTGAGTTAGCTTCCGCCAACTTATGCAAGACATCCGATATATGCTGTGAAACGAATGGATCAAGCCCGACTGCGCTAATGTCAGCATCCACGCAAAAGATATTCACGATTGTACTCACTGAAAGGTGCATCCAAGCACAACACCTCCGGTCTCGCCAACAACGCCTTCCCGATCCTCGCCCTCCGACTCTGCCCATTACTCAACGTGCTCACGGGCCTATCAAAGAACCTCTCCAACTCTAATTCCCTCACCACTTTCAGCATAACCTCTTTCTCCAGGGTCTTCTCCTTGATAACTTCCTCGCCCGGATTCATCCCAACAATACCCGTCAAGTACTGCGCAAGCGTGAAATCCGTCTCTTCCACGCGACTCTCATACCTAGCGGACAAATACGCGCCGCCGAACGATTTGCGTTCCACATCGAAGCCCACATATTCAATGGCGCGCTCCGGATAGCGTAATTCGGGCTTCTTGGTGGCAATTTCGGAGCTTAGTAGGTAGGGAAATGATCGTGCTGTGGGTGGGAAACAGAGTAATTGGCCGCGTAATATCTGCAGGAAGGCGGTTCTAATGGTGGACGAAGGACTCAAGATGGCCCAATGCTGGTTCGGTGTGGCAAATGAAGGCAGCTCCAGATTCAGATCCGGGAAGAACGGTGGGTTTGGAGATGTATTATGACCCTCTGGCTTGGCTGCTGGATGGCGGCGATAGAAGGTGCCATTGGCGATGCGAACTATAGGCTCCGAAGATAATTTTCTTCTAGAAGTGTGGAAACGCGCACATCTCGAGGCTGCGAAGAAGAGCGCTGGAGTTTCTCGCATGGTGAAGCTGGCATCTGCTGATGCGGGTCACGGTTTTGATATCTTATGAAGTTGGTGCGCAAGTGGTAGGTAAGACCCGCCGTAACTAACGGAGACTTGTCCGACTCCGCGACATGACGTCGGAACTGTTGCCGAGGTATAGCGTTGTAGATACTGAGCGTGCATAGCTCCGCATACAACATGTAGACGCACCATGCTTCCCTCTTTGCAGCCACATAGGCCTCAGGTACGTCCTCCGTCGCAATCATGCACTGCTCTGACAATCCCGCAGCCGCCACGACAACCAGCGAGACCCCAATACGCGCATCAACAGACACGCGCGGCACATGCCACCCCTCACTCGGCGCCTTCGCAAGCAGTAGAACCCCAAACCTCGCTATTGCAACCAAAACCGCGATCCCAAATAGAAGCTATGCCGCCATTTACCTCAAGTCCGCTTGTCCCGCCACGGCACGTTTACGACAGCGCTATACGGCATCCCGTCTTCTTCACGGAGCAGTTGAAGAGACCACCATTTCCCTTACCAACAGCTGCGACGCATGGCTGGAACCCGGTCGCCAGTGGGTATATATTTGAGCAGCGGAGGGCAGATACCAATGGAATACCCAAAACGAAGTTATGATGATATGCAACATGTTGCAGCGGAATCGTCCTGTGAGGTCTCGTAATTTGGCCAGCATTTGATATATACTATTCGCTGTACTCTTTGACAGTAGGAGGTCGAGGATGTGCGTCTGCGCGGAATGCTATGACGACGTGTAATTATCATGCATGTCCGAAATATTTTCTGAGCAGTACATGCAATGAGACACAATGAACATAACAAGACATCATTGATGAGGTTACATGTCAAGTTCTGACTGCTGTCATTTGTTCAAGTATTTACACATGTTTCTCAATCGAAGAGAAGAGAGTTGTATCTTCCCAATCCCCAGGACCCTACCATCCAATCCCCAATCCCCAGAACCCTACCATACAATCCCCGGAACCCTATCATCCATGGACCATACCCGTAAACTCCTGTCTCCAAACAACCGCTCATCATTACAGCCGTAGATTCATTAGCGGCGCTTACTTTGAGGTGTCTAGCACATAACGACCCGCAATCTCGCCCTTTTTCATCTTTGCGTACACATCGGGGAGCTCTGACAACCCGACGGTCTTGAATGGAAACTTGATTAGTCCTCTTGCGTAGAAGTCGATAGCCTCGGCCGAATCCTTGCGGTTGCCCACATACGATCCCTTGATGGTGATCATCTTGACGACAGACTCAAAGACTGGAGCCCTCAGGTACGCACCAGCGGGCAGACCAATGCAGACGACGGTACCGCGAGGGCGGACGTATTCGGCGGCTTGCTGGAATGGCTTCTCGTTCACTGCCACGAGCAGTACTGCATGAGGGCCTAGACCATCCGGAGTCGCGGCCTGTACATCCTTGACCACGTTGCTGGACTTGGCGAAGTCGACGAAGTGCTCGGCACCGAGCTGGTTGATGCACATGTCCTTCTTCTCGTCGCCAGTGTCGATGGCAATGATTCTGATGCCCATAGCCTTCGCGTATTGCTGAGCGAGCGAACCGAGACCACCACCAGCTCCCACTATGGCCACCCATTGACCGGGCTTCACACCAGATTCCTTCAGGCCCTTGTAAACGGTGATACCGGCGCACAAGACCGGCGCGATTCCATCGAGGGGGAGTTCTTTAGGAATTCGAGCAACGTGTGCGGCTTTGCCAATGCAGTACTGCTGGAAAGTTCCATCAACTGTATATCCGGATAGGTCCGGCTTGGGGCAGAGAGGTTCGTCGGACTGCTGGCAGAAATCGCACGACAGACAGGAACCATTCAACCACTTGATACCGACGTGGTCACCAATCTACGCGGCTGTCAGTCTCCGCAAAGTAAGTAGTGCCCTAGGAGTAGACTCACTTGAACATCCTCAACGAGTTCACCGCGTGCAACAACGATACCAGCTCCTTCATGGCCACCAACAAGAGGCATCTTGGTTGCCTAGCGCAGTCGTTAGTAATGCTGCCAGAAAGGCTTCGATTTTGAGCCTACCAAAGGCCAATCGCCCTGCCATGCGTGTAAATCGGTATGGCAAACGCCAGAATACTTGATGTTTACCAGCACCTCATCAGGGCCGGGCTTCGCAACGGGAATCTTCTTGTACTCGATGGGACCGCCGGTCTTCGAAATGACCTGAGCCCATTGCTCTTGGGGAACTTCACTAGCCATTGTGCTGCTGTGCGTTTTGTGGGAAGAGTGATGTAAGAGGTAGAATCGCGGAGAGTAAATTGGTTGTAGAAGGTGTAATTGCAAGCTACTTGAGCTGATGAGATGTAGACAAGGGGCAGAGTTCACGCCGTATATATACCTGCGGTAAGCGTGCTAGCTTTTCTATGGTCGCCCCTTCCGGCCGACGAGCAACACGAAGCCCTGGATCTCCCAATCTGGAATGGGAAGCTCACATGCTCTGTCCGTGATTCCGAGAGTTAGCTGGGCCTGTACAAAACAACGATTGGCTTTTCTGGTGCTGCTGCAAAAGCTCTAGTGGGTCGGCGGAGGGGTACGTAGCTGCGGCCGAATGCTGAGCCATCGGATGATGTCTCGTGGCTGGGATTCCGAGAGCTTCCTACCGGGTGGAAGGCCATCATGCTGTCTACCGCTACGCTAAGTGGGGTGATGGACTAGAATGGGCTGATTCTGTGTTGATAGCGCGTTGCGTGAAGCTGCAGACGCGTGCCTGTCACCTGTGGTTCGCGGAAGCCGAAGGCCTGATCAACGGAGTGGGGTGGCTAAGCGACGTCATCCCTGTAAAACCCTGGGCACATCTCACCTGACACTTCAACTCAGGGTTTATCGCTTCCGTTCGGCCACGGCCGACGAAAATTTGGTGAACATCAAGTGCTGCGTAGTAGAATTTCCACGTTGAATATCCTGTAGCAGATTCCTTGTTACCTTCAGCAGGCGATGCCAATGCTGGAGGAGCTTCCTTAGCCTGGTCTTCTTCAGCCCAGGGACTTCCAACAAGCGTGCATTTCCCCGCTCAGTGCAGCGCTATCGCCAGAATACACCACCGGACGTCCCACAGTACCACAGCACAAGGCTGAAGCCCCACCCAGGAGGAGATCAAGCTGGAGGATTGTCGTGACCCACCACCCAAGCCCAAAACCCCGCAAGCATGGAGAGTGGACAAGGAAGGACGCCATGTACGCGGGCAATTCAATGCATAAGGCCGAGCGTGCCACCTCTTCAATTGAGCAATCCGTGAGAGAGAAAGTTTGATGTTGATCCTCTGAAATTAGCACCCTTGACACCGATAGCCTTCCCGTTATCCGTGGACGATCCAGGAAGGTCTAGCGCACTCGAATGCGGGCACGGCGCCGGCACCGTGGGAGCTACACATTAGTGCGACACGTTTCGCGGGGTAAGGGAGCTTTAGAGTTGTACTATCTAGTCAGGAATCAGAGCTCGAGCTGAACCTGGGAAGCATCTGGCACTCATGGTCAAGGTGTTTGGATTATCTCAATTACACACACTATTGGACTAGTATGCCTTCAAAATGGCCCAGCGACACTCGCTGGACATGAGATGGTATTTTTGAGAGACAACGGAAACATCTCGCAGAAGTCCAAGACGAGGACAACCAATATAACATAGATCCCTCTTTCCCAATATGTGTGACCAATGCAAATTTGCAAGATCTTACAGCGCTCCACCCCGGAACAACACCAACGGGGGCAGCTGTGGAGGGTCTGCAAGCAGGATGACGCTCAACCTGGGAGCTCGTACACTGGAGCATCTTCGATTCGACTGTCACGGACCTCGACCTTGCCAGAGTTTTGCATGAGAAGAGGCGACGCCATGGGTGACTTGTAATCCCCGCTACTGGATCCCTCCATCTCCGGGATTGGAGCTGATCTCTCCTCCGCAGGTAGCTCTGCCTTGTTGGATTGATCGTAGCCTTTGCTAGTTGGCTCATTTGGTTTGTCAGATCCAGTCGCTCTGTCGCCCGAATTAGATCCCAGCCATGCATTGAACTGTTCGCCGGGGCCTGCTTCGTTACGACGTCTTCGTAGGAAGCATATGAGAGAACCAATGACTGCTAAGATCAAAGGCACGCCCACACCCAACCCGATTGCCATTCCTATCGTCTTTCCTTTTGAAGATGTTTCTTGGAGCATCTCTATGGTGATCTCGCTGTATGTTGGCTCACTAGATCCGGAAATAGTCGTGGCCACCGCAGTTTCTGTCGGACTAGTCGGCGTATACGGGTCACTGGGCCCATATGTTGCCGTTGTGTGCCCCCGAGTAGAATAACGGGAATAATTCGACCACCACTCTTCTACGTGCGAGGGCTGCGGCAGACTCGCGGTCGCCTTTAAGGGGGTTTGTGTGCCTTTGAAAGCCACCCATCGTTCATCATTCTTGATATTCTCGCAATGAGTTGTGCGCGTGATTTCGATTTCGGGATCCCAGTGGTCCGCCGGGCAATTTGAGGCAGGTGCAAAGCAATTGTCCGGATGTTGACAAATCTGGTCAATGTCAGGACCGCTCGTGAGTACAGTCACGCTCTCTTACCCAGGTGTCTTTCGGTGTCCCTTTTGTGCCATTGCAATATACCAACCCCACCCAGTCCGCCTTGCTCTGATCCGTGCCGCATTTCCGCGGGCAGTTGATGTCGTCGTATTTGCTGGCCGTACAACCTTTCTGGTAAGTTATGCCTCTCGGTACATTGAAGCAGCTTTGGTTTGCTAAGCAGTAATCTCCAGCTATACAGCAACCGTACACCTCACCATCGTCTGCGAGCCCACGGAAGCAGGGAAGAACGTAGCTTGGCGCAAGTTGATCTTCGCTGGTATAACACAGCCGCGGCTGGTCAAGGGGAACTCCAGCAGAAGATATGTTGGTGAAGAAAACAGAACCGAGCAGAAGCCATCCGAGATGTATGAGACCCATTCTGATAGTCGTAAATCGGAATACAATGTTAAAAGGCGACAAAGGCTGAGACAGCCGTCCAAGGACTCAAGGAGGGGAATGTCTTGGGAGGAAAGCAGCCAAGTAGGGAGCGAGATGGCGCAGTCCCCGAAAGAGTGTGAGAAAGAATAAATGGTGGACAATCGTTGTGAAATTGAAAGTCGCTTGAAGCCGTTTTTGTCCCACCCTGTGCAGCCGGCTAGCGTGCCTGCCGTTTACACAGACTTTCCCGCCCTGGGAGAGAACGGAGTGAAAGTGAACACTCTCTTTCGGCAACGGGCTATACTATCTATATCTATGTCTATCTATGCGTTATCGTTATGGTCAAGATCACCGACCAGCAAAGTCTCCTTGACTGAGCCTGTCGGTTCTCTACGCGATCTTATCGGTCATACCAGCAAGAACGGCGGCTCCTATAATGCCTCCATCGAGAGACTCCCGCAAGACCACCCGCTTCGACGTGTTCGCAACCGAGCCTTTCGCTACTAGGACGTCAATCCAGCGTTGACACGTGTCGAGCCAGTCGGGATAATGTGAGATCGTTGAGCCTGTGTATGCAATCACCAATTCCTCGGGGTCGTCGTTCCCGGGTGTAGCGTGGCCATTTTGCGCGGCTGGGTCGATGCGGATGTCGTTCACGCAGTCAAGCAGCCCGACGCAGGCTGCGGCGATCAGTGCGCTTGAGCGCTGTTGTACGGCGTGCGCAATGTCGCGAAGCAATTTCACACGTACAGGGTTCCAGAAGGTTTCTTTTGGTCTGGAGGGGAATTTTCGCTCTAGCTCAGCTATCACCGTCTCTTCGTCAGCTCTCGCTACAACTTCCGAAAGGAATTTGGTTTGTAAAGCGTTCTTGATCTCCAGTAAAGCAGGCAGTCGCACGGGTGCCTTCGATATCAGATCCGTGAAGGCAAGCCGGACGATTTCGCCGAGGTATCGCCCCGATGTCATATACTCGAATGGTTGAAATCCCGGCGCTTCGCTGTTGGCATCTAGAGCTCTATCCCACGACGTCTTGATGCCAAGGTCTATCAATGGCTTATCAGTGCCTCGTATGGTCCACTCAGTGTTTATGACCACCGTCTCTACCGCTTCTGGGTTAGCAAGGTCCTTCCTCTTGGTCGCGTGCAATTCTGAAAGTAGCATCGGTACGGTAGCGTTGGTGCCTGTTCCTACGATGAGGCCCATAGCGACTCGACTGTTAGCTACTGCTCTGACAGCATATGCTGATGAAGCAAAGGTAGCCACGGTATCGTTTGTAATGGCCGCTATTCGTATCCTCGGAAGTCTAGATGACCTTCCCTTCTCGCTTGATGGATGATTTTCGGTATCGTTGTTGGCACGATTGGCGCTAGGCTCAACGATATGTCGAGCATATCCAGCTCTCAACATATTCCCTAGATTCAGATCCGACGTAATTGCGAAACCTTTGCCCATGGGGAGCAATGTAGCTTCAGATAAGAGTTTTTGACTGGACCTGTGAGTAGACATACACTGGAAGGCTCATGTTCTGGCAAACTCACGCCATAGGAAAGCTGAATGTAATTCCAAGCAAAAGCTCATCGCCGAATGGAGCCTCAATAGAAGCAGGTATGTCCTCAAGCGCGTCCGTAATGACCTCGGCGATACAATCACCAATCCAGGCGAAAAGGTCTTCAGCCTTGTCCATCTTGAGGTGCTCGCCGATCGGCCATGTTTTGTCGAAGGATCTTTTGATCTTCTCGTATGGCTTCTCAGTTCCGTTTTGCAGGCCACGCTCAGGCTCGCCGATGAGCTCCACGAAGCCCACTCGTAGATTGCTCCCACCAACGTCAATACTGATGAACTTTCCTTTCTCCTTACCTGTGGGAAGTGCAGTCACCGGCGTGACTAGGAAATGCTCCAATGACGTTTTTGCCAGATTTTTGTAGACCTCCGAGAACCGGACTGCAAGGTCGAGTAACGTACTCTCGTTGACACAATGCGTTAAAGCTGCAATGGTTTTGGATGCTTCTTCTGCATGATCTGTCGCCATAGTTGTTTGTTTTCGGTCAAGTAAATTCGCAATGGTCGTAAACACTCAGAAAATCCAGAAAAGACCGGCAAGCTATACAGCGCCACAAAATGCAAAGCTGGCTGAGTCAGGCCAAGGGGGGTATCACAGCAACAGAAGAGTCAGCCGCGCGTCTTTTTCGAGACAACTCTCAAGAAAGAAGAGAAAAGCGCGCGACTATGAGAATGAGCAGCAAATGGCGAGCTGTGACAGGGATTTCACCTTTGGTCGCGTAGTTGCGCCGTAATCGGCTCTACGGCTCCTTGCATTGGGGGTCTGGAAGTTGCGGTCGAGCTGCCACACGCACCTGCCGCGGAAGTGGAGGGTAGCACTGCGCCTTCCCGATTCTGGCCGCTAGCGTGCCACGCGAACCAGGGTCAGCAACCAGCGCAATGGTATCATCAGGCCGGCCGCAACAACAGGCGAACAACCTCACCAACACACTCAGTATCTTACAATCCTCACGCAACTGGGGGTGAAGAACACATTACAAGAATGCCGCCCATACCGAAGTACGAATCCCCGCCGGTGGAAAAGGAGTCACTCCTGCCACAAACAGAGCAGCCTATACCTCGCCCGCCGCCCGAACGCTTCAGTCGCTTTCATGGAATCGCTTTCGCACTCGTGTTGGGGTTGTTCTGGCTATCGCGGACGTGGACGTGCGGGCATGATCACACGCATGAGACGGTGTCCTCGAAGGTGCCACTGGAAATACATATCATGTCGAAATGTCCCGACGCGCGCGACTGCATAGAGGAGCTCGTAGTACCTGCAATGGCAAACGTCTCCGACAAAGTCGACTTCAAGATGTCGTACATTGGACAGTACGTACAGTGGATTGGAAATAGTGCGCATTGCCTGCCTGAGCTCTAGACTGACTACAATGCAGGACCACCGAAGACGATGGCGTTCTATGCATGCACGGCCAAACTGAATGCCTCGGAAACATTCTCGAGCTATGCGCCGCATCAGAGTACCCCGACCCGAAGATCTATCTAGGCTTCACGAGATGCCTGTCGCTTCGATATGACGAGATACCCGCAACAAGCTTGATCAAGGACTGTGCGCTGGAATACGGCATCGAGTTCGAGAAGCTTAACGACTGCGCAAGTCGAGATGACGGCGCATTTGGCATGGGTCTGCTCAGGGACAGCGTAACGCGCAGCGCAGATCTAGGCGTAAAGACTAGCTGTACCGTTAGGTTGAACAACAAGGCAAGGTGTGTGAGAGAGAGTGGGAAGTGGAAGGATTGCGATGACGGAAGTGATCCGGACGATCTTGTCAAGGATATCAATAAGCTGTATGCTGAAGCGCGAGGTTGGATTTACATTTGAAGATACCCCGGTGGACACTATGATACGCAGCGTTCGTATAAGATTAAATATTCACGTCAAATACAGTCCCAGCCCATAGATGACCTCCATAACGCCGGTAATGCAAGTCCATGCTCCATGCAGCAACGTGTAGGAATCGGTATCTATACGTCCAGCGCCCTCATTGGAATTCCCCAAACTCTCCGTCATCGAAGCCCAGGTCTTCGGGCTTCGGCTCAAAGCTCTGCCTGCTCCTTCTGCGTTCTTCCTTCACGCTCTTTGCGTTGGGCGGCGGGGGTAAGAAGCCGCCTCCGCTCCCGGGAGGCGGCTTGATGCTGAACAAGGCGTCTTGCTCGCTCTTCTGTTCCTCCGGGCTCTTGTTATCTCCTTCCCTCCGTTCTCGTCTGCCCTTCAGTCCACCGAGGTTTATACTAATCGTCTGCCCCTCCTTGAGACTGAAATCGCGCTTCGGTTCGTCAGCTGATTTGGCTGCCGCTTTTCTGCCTGGCCCCGCAGCGTTGGGATTCGCTTCGAATCCGAGCGCGCGCCGTGCGTCTTGCAGCGCGATGTTGAAGTCGAAAGCTTCAGTGCGCTCCTCGAAGCCCATGCCCAATACCGCCTTGCGTCCCTCGCCAACGACTGTTATCGCGAAGAAACGACTGCTGTCTAGGGCTTGCTCGACTACATTGGGTGCTGTGTATGGCGCGGCGGCGAATAGTTGGCCAGAGGAAGGATCCTCGAGGAGCAGCGTTGTAGAGACTTTCTCGGCGGAATCATCGGTTGCGGTTGGAGAGGGGATGGATGTTTCGAGGATGCGGAGGCGCGCGGTGAAGATCTGGCGCTTGGGGTCGGCCGTCCAGGATGATGCTTGGTAGCCTTTTGTAGAGGTGAGGGGTGGAATCTGGTAGACGTGGACTTTGGGCGCGAGGTAGAGGATGCGCTGGATGGCGGTAGGGGGTAAAGGTTCGCCTGTGAGAGGATCGGTGTTCATGATGGCGGTCGGTCGACCTCGCGTCGAACTTGGGGATCCAAGACTAAAGTCGAACGCGGGTGCGATTCAATCGATATAGAGGAGGCGATTTGATGTGTTGCAAACGCGGTCGGCGGAAGATAAGTTCGCGGGAGCCTTCAGGGAGGTTTGGCGGGGTAAGATTGGCGGTGACCGTGCTGCGGAGAAGTCAGGACCAACGGTTGAAGCAGCGCTGTATTGGGTCAGTGCAGTGAGGGTGTCGAATGGGCGTGCCTAGGGGATTGGAGCAGCGGTTCATGTTGCAAATCTAAATCTGGACGAGTCGGTATGTGCTGGCAATGCACAATGCTTGACGCAGGGCATCCTTGTAGAACCATTCCAGCGCCTAGATACCCCGCCATCACGTGAGTTCACCCAGCTGGAGCCCGAGCCCATAGAACGCGTACGCATCCTTTGGAATCGAGAGCACCATGTAACTTTGGAGCAGTGACCGGTATTTAGCTGTCTGTAGAATGGTTGTCGTTGCGTTGCAGTCTATGAAATCTTTCCGGTCGTGTCTATCATCTATGTGTCTGGAGCATTGAACGCCTCCTGCAGTATCTTTGATCGAAATGCGAATGCACGCTCCCAGCGCGCCAATCAATGCAATCACTTCGTCGCAGGCTTGATACCAGCGCCGCCAGCTTTGTATGCTTCGAAGCCTTCGTGCGCGGCTTCCTTCACGGTAGTTTTGCCTTCCACGATTTCTTTGCATTTGGCCAGAATGTTGGTCCAGTCCTCGAAGACCGTGAAAGGAACGTTCTCCCGAGCGCAATATGTGATAAGATCGTGTCCCTTCTTTGCAAACAGCAGATCGGTCTCGCGTGCTGCGGACAGGTCTGAGACGCCATCTCCAGCGTAGAACATGGTCGGCCGTACGTCGTCCGGCAACGAAGAGTATTGGCGCAAGCAGATAGACTTGTCGTGTCCGAATCCACTCTCAGGGTGCCTGAAGACGATCTCCCATCCGCCCTCTTCGTCTATCGACTTGCCCTCTCGCGGTGCTGCATTGTTCGCTAGGACCTGCATCTTGTCTGATTCGGGTCCAACTAGCTTCTTCAGCAGAGCCTTGATAATGGGCTCCATGCCAGACGAGAGCACAACAACAGGGATGTTGTTGTCGAGAGACCACCGATAGAATTCGGCAAATCCAGGGTCCAGTTTGATGTTGTCGACCAGGTACTGGATGCACTCGTTGTACGGCTTGGTCACGCTGTCCATCATGTCGCGGAAAGAGTCCCGGAAGGAGATTTTATCTTCCAAACATTCCACGTTCATCTTACGGCGTCTTTCCCTGCCGTATCCAATGGTATCAGTCAAGAAGTCATTGCTGTCCTGCAGCGTGATGGTGCCATCAAAGTCGGTAAAGAAGATGAACTTTGTATCGATTAGCATTCCGAGCGTCGGAACAACCAGATAGCACGAACTTTGGGGTTGGACTTCATCGCGGGCAGCTCCGCAACGGCATTCTGGATTCCCATCTTTGGTAAGTATGTATTGTGAATGTTATAGACAAGTCAGGTGGATAAGGCTATGATATGGGGGATGTAGATGTTGAGGAAAAGTCGGCGGCGTAGCCTGGATCGGAATCCCGGTGCTTCGGAAAAGGGCCCAGTGCCAGATCGACAACGTGGCTTGGCGGCGCGTCCAAGCTCGGAGGAGCTACGCTTTTCTGCCGCTGGCTGTTGTTGTAACACGTCCAATGTGATCGAAAACCTCCATGACAAGAATGAGGCCGCTGCTTCAGCATGCGCAGCGCTCCTTCTTTGCCAATACCAACCTGATAGTCCCTAAGCATCCATCGGGATCGTTCTCAAATACCATCAAATCCGTGTCTCGAGCGTCTTCAGTATGCCTGCAATGCCAGTACCGAGCTTCCGTAGTCGGCCGATCGGCTCGTAGCCCTCAATGGGCTTCAGTTACGTTGCATCGCCGCAACCTCCGCCAATATTCGGGCGATGGCAAGCCGAGACCAGAAAATGAAACTCCCGAAGAAAGGCTCGCAAGAGTACGAGCAGACATAGCATTGAGTGAAAGGCAAGAGAAGGAGCGACTGGAGAAGGAAAGGCTAGAGAAAGAAAGGAAGGATAGAGAGAGGCTAGAGAAGGAGCGGCAAGAGAGAGAAAGGCAGGAGAAGGAGCGAATGGAAAGGGAACGGCAAGAAAAGGAAAGACAAGAGAGGGAACAACAATCTGCGCCTCAGAAGAAGCCTTTGCCGGATGTAATCCAACTCCCGTCGTCGAGTGCACGCCCTACGCCCAGAACAGAAAGCGCGTTTTTGCCAGATGTTGCCGAACTTTCAGCATCAAACACAATACCTCCTTCGACGAACACGAAAACGAGCAACGATGTCATCCGAAAGGTTGGATCTACTCGAGATGCCGCCAAGGTCAACATTGAGCATGTAGCAGCGGATCAACTGCCTTCACATCATCAAGCCCAACGGTGGGATTTGTCAAAGCGGTTTCAAGACTTGATGGATGATATCTTACCGAAACTCGCGGTAGTCACGCACAAGGTCAATACATTCACAGGAACCGATTATTCTGGTATTGAAGCTTTAAAGCGGGAAATCAAGGATCAAGGTAGGATGCAGCCAGGCAGGCTCAGAATGCAGCTAACGAAGATGTAGAGCAACTCGTGAAAACCCGCCGAGCCGCGATTGAGGAAGCCAAGCAAGCCCTTGATACCGCACTTTCCAAGCAAACATCAGCGCAGAAAGAAGTCGTTGCACTGTTGGAACGCAAACACTCGTGGTCGGACATGGACCTGGAGCGATATATGTCATTGATTAGATCCGAGCATATCAACGACCAAGCCGTAAGAGAAGCCAAGGAAGCTATCGCCCAGTCTGAAAATGCGTTGGAAGAGGCAAGATCACAACTGGAAAAGCGAGAGCGCGCACAATACCACGAGGAACAGATCTGGAGCGACACCATCCGACGCAACAGTACGTGGGTGACCTTCGGACTGATGGGCCTCAACATTTTCCTATTGTTGGCAACAATGATAGTGATCGAGCCGTGGAGACGACGTAGGATGGTGCGGGAGATCAGAAACACTCTAGAGGCCCACAAACCTGCTGCAGAACCTATGGTCGCAGTGCCGGCCGCGGTCCCTACACCATCGGCCGCTACGCCTGTCATTGCAGCAGAGACCAATAAGGTAGCTGAAAACCCAACAGAGCCAATTGTTGCGGGCTCGGTCGCCGCAGACCCAGTTGATACCGAATTTCCAATTCAGCAAGAGGTGGGAGTCTCTTCCGAAAATACAGCCAAGGTGATAGAGGCACCGACCGTAGCAGCAATCGAAGAGTCACCCGGCCAGCCCTTGACCTTTTCAGAATCCGAGGCGAAACCCGTACCAGTGGAGTCCATCGACATTGAGGAAGAGGCTCGTAACACCTCCATGCCCACGCCGGAGACATGGCAAGACAGGATCGCATATATCGCCACAGATATAATTAGCGAACGAACAATCTCCATGCGGCGGATAGACTATACCGCCGCCATACTTCAAGGTGCTGCTGCTGGTGCGATCATAACAGCGGCAATCGTTGCGATGATTGTGAACAAGTAGCCCCCACCACCCGATTCGCAATGTCCGAGAACCCTTCGTAGTCCCGCACCTCGATCTATGTTTAAACACATTTGGCCAGTCGAAGAATTCGCTTTGTATGAATAAGATTAGTAAATACATGTGTAGACCAACCTGTCAAAGGGCTAGTTGATCGAGGCGGCCGTCGTTTCCCTAAGACACCAGTCTCTGGTGTGCACAGTCGTTATGGAAGTGGCGTGCACAAGGTCTCAGCCTTGCAGGACCCCGCACTTAAGCATTTGCTTGACCGATACACTGACGGATAACTGATAGCATTGTACTGCGTTTATGGTTCATTCATCAATCTTATGGCAGAATTTAATTCACACATACTTGGGATGCATGCTGCACGGTCGGGCTGTGACTGAGTATCTATTCAGACCGATCGCCAATGAGTTTTCACTAGGCATACAATGATTCGTTCATGCCCTCACTCTCAACCATCGATCTTCTCTACTTCCGGCGGAATGATAATCCTGCTTGAAAGGTTACAGATGAGATTCGCAGAAAGTTGAACCACCACACCAGCCGCAGTGCTCTTTCAGCCAACGCCAACGGACACCCAGCGGTCAATATCTATTATTACCTATCCAGCTCATTTGAGCTCGGAAGTTACCGCCTAGAACCCTTCAATGACTCTTCACGTCCTTCAATTTGGCGTCAAGCCGACATCGTATCGCACAGACATCCGTACAAATGCGGAGAGGTGATCGCATGAAGATAAGCACAGAAGCCGAAGGAAAAGCTCGCCCTCCTGTTAGACTCGCTCCCTCACGACCAAAGCCAGCTATACAGCAAATAAAGGTTGCTAATAACACTGAGGATCCTACACCCTAGGGTAACTCGCTCTATAATAAGTATCTAGATTTATGAGATAACACGGTATCATTGGTGATCACACGGAAAAGCTGCTACTGCTAGGAGGTCCAAGTTATACTTCCGCCACTGCGAATTATTGTTATGCTGACTTACAAGTTGGCGGCTTACTTAACGGGGCTGAAAGACGCTGGCGCACGGGAACCGGGGTAGGCGATCCTGGACGAGCGCACTTGCAAATCATATTTAGCATTACGCTTACACACAACGGGGTGGTCAGAAGCTTGAATGCTTACATGCAGTGTGAGAAGCACAGAACTGGGATAGTATTGGCCAGTACAAGCAATGGAGGTGCAGGGTCCAGCGACGTTTTGGGAATTTGACTGCGAAAGGTGTTCAGCCTTGTAGAGGGTAGTCCATCGGAGCTTTGAAATCGGAGCTGGCGACGAGACGGTGAACATGGCTCACGAGGGTTGCACCACTATGGTGGGTCGAGTATATATGCTAGCGCCCAGGATTGCAATTCGTTATGAGAGTGGAGTCATCCACAGCTTGACGCAACCGACATCGACAACTTCGCAACCTGGTGCTGATGATCTTATATCATATCTCGACATCACTCAATTAGCGGCCAAAGACTTTGTCATCTGTTAGTACCGTCGGCTTTCTAGGTTGACCCTGCGAAGACCCTTAGTCTACATCCAAGGACACACGATGGTATACTCGGATATCCACCTGCCCTTGCGTAAGTTCCCTTCTTGGAACGAATAGCGACACTAGCTAACATCTTTTCAAGCGGGCTTTATCGCTCTAGACTGGTCTTTGATGGTTGTCGCACTTATTCCGATCCTGATTCGAGTCTCGATGCGCGCACGGAATCGCGGTCTAAGCACGCTCGCCTCCAACATCGCCGACGGCTTCGTCGTGCTCGCTTGGCTTTCTGGCTGCGTACTCATCTCCATCAACACCTGGAAGAATAATCTCCGCATGAAGTACCTCTCCGCTCCTCCAGAAACGCTGTATTATGGCGTCCCAGAGCCGTTATCAGGACACCTTCTCTATGTCTCATGGATCAGCCTATTCTTCATCTACATCAGTCTTTGGAGCGCAAAAGCTGCCTTCCTTGCTTTCTACTACAGTATCTTCTCTTCACAGGGCACACGAACGCAGATTGGGCTCGCCGCAGCTTGCATCTTTACCGCCGCAACGTTCCTGCTTCACATGTTCCTCATCGCGTTCTGGTGCACGCCTATCTCTTTGAATTGGTCACCGCCCCCAGGCGAGCACCTCTGCTCCGCCGTACACAGCATGTCCAGCGTTACAGTCTCCACCTTCACCAACATCACCACCGACCTCGTCATTCTCAGCATCCCCATAAGCACACTCCTCGCCTCCAAGCTCAACCGCACCCAACGCGCCGGTCTCGCCTTCGTCTTCCTCATGGGGAGCGTGTCCATCCTTGCGGCGCTCGTGCGCTTCATCTGCCTGAAGCTGGTGCAGTCCACCCCGAGGGCTAGCATCACGCATACGATCGATGTGTGGGCGCTTGTAGAGATCGTTTCGTCGATATTGGCGGTGTGCTTGCCTTCATTGAGGACGTTCATGAGACGTCGTGGGCTTCGGAGGCCGGACGGGGCAATTAGGTTGGTCAGTCAGCCTTCGAGTGGAGTGAACTCGATGGATAAGAGTATCACTAGGGTGGATAGTGAGAAGAGTGGGTCTGTGAGAGTTGCGGAGGCGTGGTATGATAGGGACGAAGAAGGTGGCTTTGTGACACGGCCGGAGCCAGCGAAGAATGTGCCGTACTTCTGAGCTAAGCCCTGGTGATGCTTTCGTTTTCTGTACGATATTGTTCAAGCTGGCCCTCTCCATTCGTTTGAGTTGACCTCGGTCATCTGTTGCGTTTGAGCCTGGCGTTTAGGTCCATGGAAAAGTGGCATAGCGTGGAGCTCTGGAGTACTGTCATTTTCGAGATACCATTTCCTTTCGATTCTATTCTCCTCGCTGTTGAGTGTCTTTAACCGCTCGTACATTAGTGTATGGTGCTACGAGCGACCTCCCGCATTCAGAAACACGCATTGGCCTCATGCAGTGAATGCCGCTAACTCTACCTCACGCCTGCCTAATGCTTCAGGTTGAGTCTCCGATTCACCACTCAATAAAAAGACTTCATATTAGCCTCCCTTCTCTTATCGACCGACCAACGTCCACTACTCTACTGCACAACTCGACATAGGGCACCACAGCATGGAGGACCCACAGCGGACTGGCTCTGTTAGCGGGCACGAGGAATGCAGTGTGTCGTTCATGTCACTCGCGGCCGAAACGCGTAACCAAATTTACGGACTGGCGCTACTCCGAAGGTCTCCCATCAAGATTACCTATCTCAGTACTGGAGATCGCACTGGGCTTCGTATCGATCTCGAGGTCGACGATATCCTCTACAGACACGGTTCCAATGGGATTGCTACCGCCCTGCGCAACCTTACGCTCCTCAACCAGCAACTCAAGAAGGAGGCTCAGACTTTCTTCTACGCCAACAATGCTTTCAAATTAAGAGTGGAGCAGCCCGATCCCGCAAAGAGCTACCACAACGACTTGTTCTTTGTTACGGCTTGCGTAGAGTTCCTCGAGCATTGCGGCGCAGACGGTCGAGCCTCGCTGAAGCACCTGATTGTGGAGGACTTGCGAACGGGAACAGTGCGGCACGACGACTTGTACTGCAAGCCTGATATCATCGCTTCCTTTCTTCGCCTGCTGCATCAGTGCACTAAGCTCGAGATCTTGGAAATCAACAACGTCCTCGCCATTGCGCCGCAAGGTATGAAAGACAGCGTCGCCCATGCTGATAATCAGCCACTGGAAGAAGCCTACCAGCACTTTTCCTCGCACTTCGCGGAACTTCCTTGCCTCAAGAAGTTGACGCTAGGACATGACATCAAGTTTCATGGAATCAGCCCAGAAAAGAGGCGCATCTATGAGGAGAGGGAAGAGGCATACCAGGAAAAGCACTATCGCGCAATGATGATGGAGCTGGAGGACATGATGAGAAAGAACCTCTCTGCAGAGGTCATGGTGCGTACAATCATTGGGGAAGATTTCCTGCTCGCTTCGGTGGAAGGGTACCGCGATGGCTGGCGGCTCGTCCCGTATTACTGAGTCCTGGGACGCTCATAATAACTCTCAGAAGCTCTGCATTTCAAATGTATTCGCCCCCCTGAAGCTTGAAGACACTATTTCTGTATAACGGTCACGCAAATTATGGTCTGCAGACGAGAAATACCTATGTTGACACCCTATCGGATGAACTGTATTCTAGACGTGGTGTTACTCTTTTGTCAATGATAAGGTACACTTTGCATGGCGAGCTGATGTGTCTGTAGTTGATTGTCTTGATTTGGGGGTCACACACCGGATACATGGTCTTTCTTCACGGCATAAGCAGTAGATAAAACAAATAAATTTGGAACGGAAAGCGCCACCTCGTTCATCGGTCAAGTTCACGAACTCGCGCATCGAGCATGGTCATACTAATGGACCAATGGGACGATTTAGATACACATAGTGTATGTTCTGAGCGCTATTACTTCTCTCCCCTAGCCCTCACCACCACGTTGTACACAGTATGCGACCCCCTCAAAGCGCACAGCTCACGCGCTCAAGCGCTGATATACCGCTAATCACTTGTTTGGTGCGCTGCAGCATGATATCCAGAATTGGTCACTTGACGTTTGAGTGTTTGGAATTGAAGGTAAAGTTGGGAGGTATCCGCTAGTCCGTTGTGCCTTCCGCCTCTCACCTTTACCTGCGCCTCCAGCATCAAACCTTTAAATTCAACGCCGAATCCTCCCCGTCACCTTATCAGCTCTACAAGCGCAACACAATTTGTCGGTCTGCTCGCACATTCGTCGACTAGCCTTCATAACACACATCCTTCGTCATGGTCCACAAGCGCGGACCTGGTAATCGTGGAAAGCGGCAGACGGGTACTGATCGGGCAGCTCAGTCCGAGCGTGCGGCACTCGGACAATATTCTAGGTACGTGACATTACCCTACAATCCTGTGCTAGAAGTTGTCATAGTGCGTTGCCCTAGGCTAGGCGATACAATTGCCGCTTGCACACAAACACCTGAACTAGTAATGTAACATGAACAGTGCGGAAGTCAAATACACTAACATCTATGTATAGGAACTATACCAGCTCCGCTTCGCAGCACGATTCTAAAGCCGAGCCTCAAGTCCTAAAGAAGGAGTACGCATCCTTCGCCTCTCTGCCTGGAGAGATTCGCAATATGATCTACCGGCTCACACTGATCGCCGACGGACCTGTCAATATCCGCTACACCGTGAAGAATGAAATCAACACGTATCATGTGAGTAGCCGTGTTGACGGCGCGATTGAAAGTGTGATTGATGGGACCGGACCCGGCTCGACCGCAGTGTCTGGTTACCAGGCATGTACGGCATTGCACTTCTTCAGCGTCATAAACAGGAAGATCAGGAAAGAAGCGCGACCGTTCTTCTTCGCACACAACAAGTTTAAGTTCCTCGTCAATGATAGATCTGGTCGACTTTTCACGCCCACCTACGGATTTCTCAAGGATATGATGTATCTGAAGGCCTGTGTTTCTTTCCTCGAGCACATAGGCATGGAAGGTCGCGCATCGCTTACATCGTTAAAGCTCGATGATGCCTGCACAGCGCCCCAGTGCGATCCTACCTACCACAATGGGCAAGCTGTGGCGGACCTTTTCCGCCTTCTCCATCAATGCACTAATCTCATTTCCTTGGACTTGACCAACATTCTCATCTTGGCCCCGCCCAGCATCAAGCGACGTCTTTTCTCTGATGGAGCCTTTCCGGCAATATACCATATTCCGGGAGACGCCTTGCGCGTCTTCGCCAACCGCTTCAATGCACTTCCCCGCCTGAAGGTGCTCAAAATCTTCTACTTCCTAGACTACTTCGATTTGAAGGCCATCTGGCACGAACCACGAGTGAAAGCGGTTGCAACAGCACTAGCACCGGCGCTTCACGCAGAGGTCCGACTCGAGGAGGTGTGGTCAGATATATTCTTCGTATGACCCTCCGCTCGATGCGTGGTCATACGATGTTTAAAGGAACGCATAGCGTCTCCACCACCTTGAATGAGCACAAGCAACACCAAGCCCAGGCATCACCATTCCACAGCAAACCCGTCGAAATCAATTCCCCTTCCACGGACGTCGTCTGACATCACACCAGCAAAGCGAACGGATACAGATCAAAGGACCGAGTTTTGACAGGCTTAGAATCAAGCACAGGAATGTCCACACATATGGAGGACCAGGCGAATCGGAAGCAGAGGATTTCTGTCAGACATCTTAATGAGCGTGAGCGTGAGCATATTGCCCATTTTCCAAGTACTTTTCGAGAATAATAACGTCCCTTTTGGAAAACAACTTATTAGTTTATCAAGTCTTCAAGCGATTGCATTTTCGGCCGGTGTCTGTCTCTTTGGGCTCTCAATTGTCGTCTCCCGTGTTTTGCTTCCTACCTACACCACATCCAGTGAAGTTCCATAGATCAGATATCAAGGAATTCTACTGCACAGCATGTCCAACGATAATATAAAGTCTCTCGCGTTGGCCAAAATGAAAACTGACGGACGGATCGTATGCACAATAGTGGAGTATCAACATGTTCTCAATTCCTTCATCTTACCGACTATGTATCCTCCTCACCACACCACCGCCACCACAGCTTATAATTACTTCCCACCCACTTCTCGAGAAACCTAGTGTCCTCTTACAAAGCGCACGAACCACGTGCGAGATCGTTTCAAGATCGCCTCCCACGCTCTAAAACGGCTAGAAAACGCAAAGACATGACGTACTGTAAAACGTACGAGTCGACCAAAACGGATAAAAACAATGACGCTCATGTTCTTTTGCCAAAACGCCCGTGTGAAAAGTCATCGTAGTAATCCTTTTCCAGATAACGACATGTAGCAAGGAAGCGGAAGGTACATATTCTACAACAGTGTGTCAAAGAAAGTTAGTCTTGCGCGTGTCGGTATATTACGTCGGCAGACAAGCGAAAGAAAAGAACGTGACGTATGCGAAGTGACTCGGGACAAGAGTGAAGATCCCGGCCGAGAGTGTTGCTAATAATAGAACCAAGAGGACCTGGTGTTATCACCGAGATCTTCAGGGCCTTTCTCGTAGTGCAATGTATGGACGTGAAAATCTAGTCGCAATTTTGGTGAACGTGTGGCAAAGAATACCATTCGCCTGGCGGAACAAATTCTCGTTTCAGAAGCGCATCATGATTGCTAACGGCGTACACTTTCAGGGTACGGTCGCATAGCTTTTCTAAGTAATGTTTCGAGGGCTTTGTGAGAATTCGCATGAGGTATTGGGAGTTTCCAATAGTTGTCCGCCGACTGGCCAGTGTCATCGTAGTCGATAATAATTGGGAGGTTTCTTGAGGAAGCCTCAAAGCATTCATATAACAGTGTAAAGGGTATCCGAAGGGTAGGGTACAATAACTGGTAATGCATCGAACCACGAACAGAGATGTCCATCTGACTCTAGTAGTAAGGGTAGGCATTATTCGGAGCTTGCTGATGATGTGGTGCTACACCATGTTGCTGCAACAGGTCCTGCTGTTGCATGATATTCACATTCGGCGGTATGTAATGTTCCTGGTAGGGATGCTGAGCATTACTGAAATCAGCGCCAGCCAAGGGGTTCATCATCGGATACATGCGTGGCCGAGGTTGTAATTGCGGTGCGGAAGCCTGCTGTTGCTGTTGCTGTTGTGGCGGCTGAACTGGCTGTTGATCCTGATGATTCCATCCCCATTTCTCTTTGAGCTCATCGTTGATGAAGCCTACGCGCCAACCTGTCTCCGTACGAATCTTGTCAACGATGGTAAGGACCTCTTCTTGAGCATCTCGGCGGGTGAGACACTCGGCTGCGATGTGGAGGGAGCGGAGGGCCACAGAAGCAACGCCACGGTCCTTGACGTGGGCGCTGATACCGCAGATGAGTTGCGAATGCTCGGTAAGCATTTGATGCATCTCCGGAGACTGCGAGTTCTGAAGAGGGTTGATTTGTGCGAGCAAGCACATGCAGGTGTGATAAAACAGGCGTGCCACTATACTGGCTCGCTTTATAAGCCAAACTTCTGGGAAACACGAGCCAGAGAGTGTTTGTCCGGGGTAGAGATATGCCATGGGATGCATCGTCCTAGGAATGCAAGTATTCCATCGGTCAGCGAGCTCCGTAAGACCGATCCATTTGACATAGCGAGCTTGCGCACTTTGCTTTGCAGCCTCCTCATCTCGGGGTATCGAAGCGCGGAAGTTGCAGACTTTGGCGACAATGTACACGATACGATGAGTCCAGAGCTCTTCACGTCCGGATTCGGTCTCGGGCTCAAGGTTCATGTCGATGCCCCAGTCATCTGGATCCCAGGCAACCTGCCAATTGAAGTGCAAACAGCTGAGTAGCTCCATGCCGACGTTAAGCCAGAAGCATGCAGCACCGATACCGCTCGATCGGGCGTTCCAGCCGCATTCCTTGATGAGAGCTCGTGCGCCAGCAATGTGGTTCATGCGTTGGAGCGCGCGCTCACCCATGATTTCGTAAACGTTCAGGATAACGGCCGTAGTCGCACACAGCACCGTGTCTCTGTTGGGATCCTGTAGCGCGTCTAACAGGTGTTTCGTCGCCTTGTCATAGTACTTCAGTGCTCTGTCTTGACTATAACGTTTGTTAACCAGCGCAAGATGTCTCGCACCGGAAGCCAGAAAAGCATTGAGGAGCATGGGTTCCTTGAGAGCGTGGAAAGGAAGTTGACGAGAGAACTGAATTGAGTAAGTTCCTGGTAGTGGTAGGACTTGATAGCAAGATAGAAGGTGAAACAAGGAAAAGGGCGCCTACATGTTTCTTAGCATCCATACTGTCCATCCATATGCCGACTTCTTCGACGAAAACTTGCATAAAGAGCACTTCCTCCTGGTCGACGAGATAGTCCGGTCCATCGAGCTCTTGCAGATCCCGGGCATCAGGGCGGGACAAGTGATGGTCCTCAGGGTTAGGCGTCATGAAGGCGTTGACCGAGGCCTGTGCGCTCATACCATCTGAGGGTGTTGAATGGGCGAGTTGGTGCTGTTGGGGGTTCTGGAACGATCTCATCGGAGCGTAGCCGCCCTGGGAGCCGTACTCAGATGCCATGTCTGAATAAGTAGAAATGCGATGATGATGGGCATACGTGTTTTGGTAGGCAGTCGGCTCGAAACTGCGAGTACTTGAATGTGTTGAACCGCGCGCTGGGTACATCTCAATGCCCCCTATGTACTCGGAAGCAGTTTTACGCGACTCGTCCTTGAACTCGACGGTCCAGTTGTCTTTGCCACGGCGCATGTTAGCATCCGTAATGAGGTACAATTGGCAGGCAAGTGTAGCCGACGTCACTTACCAGTGGGCGGGATGAGGTGCGGCGGCGCCTTGACTTGGGTGTCAATCCAGTTGATGCGCATGCCCTTTCTGCACTCTCGATTCGACTTGAGGCAGTTCTGGCAGCTGGGCGAGCCCTCGTCACACTTCAGATGGCGGTCCCTGCACGTGAGGCAGCCGGTGCGAGTGCGGGTCGACTTGCCTGACTTGCCCTTTGCCTGGGCGGGCGGCGTGTGCTCTGAGACGGCATCTGGCTGCTGGATGTCGTGGTCGCCGCTCTGCTGCTCTGCGATGGCGGCGTGTTGGTTTGCCTGGATAGCCAGGGCGATGGCGCCGGCCATGGTGGTTGTTACGGCAAGAATAGCCCGGGTCACGGACGGAAAGAATAGCCAGAGGCGCAGAGCTGGTACGCCCGCGCAGACCAACACAGTGGTCGCGCCCGTGACGCGCCTCGATGCTAGAGCGATGCTAGAGCAGTGCTACGGCGGGAGAAGGGTGCAGGCTCCACGGGCGGTTGCGGACGAGGGCGACGAGAGGTGTGCGTGAAGCTTGGCCCGGGGTGGTTGTGGGGAGGAGGCAGTTTTGTAGCAGTTTTAGACGACTGGCTTCGCCTCATCCTGTCCTTTTGAGATAAGCCAGGCCCCAAAATAGAAGCCCCAACCCTGCTCACAGGTTACTTGTTTGCCTCGTCAGCGCGCCCAGATGCGCTCCTCTGCACAGATATCAGCGTCACTCAGCGCTGGCGTTCGCAGCTGCGCTCTCAAGTCGCCGCCTGCCGCGGGCTAGCGCTCCCTCCTGCAACGCGGATGAGGTTCCAGCCGGCTGTGACGCAACTCCTGGTCCCAGCGTCGATCGCGCTCCCGCTTCCCTGATCCTCGCCTGTCAATATTCAACTACGCCTGTAGCATGCCCGTTGACGTCGACCACCAGCAGTCCGCCCGAGACCCCGCCCAGCCTAGCTACATCTTCCGTGGCCATACTGCCCAGATCCATAGTGTTGAAATCCTTCGCCGCAACACGTGCCTTCTAACCGGCGACGCAGACGGCTGGGTGGTCCTTTGGAAATTGGAAACCAAACGGCCTCTGGCTGTATGGAAGGCTCACGATGCTGCAATACTCGGGACCGTGGAGTGGGGTCATGAAAAAATCATAACGTGCGTTCATCTCCTTGCAACCTATACGCATGCAGATGGTGGCTGATGCACATCACTTCCCAGGCATGGACGCGACAACACTCTCCGCATATGGCAGCTGAGAGGCCTGGATGCATCCTACTCGACAGTCCTGCCCGCAGATGGAGCAGACACACACAGGCCAAAGCCATGGCTGTTGCACACCCTCCCGGTGAACACGCTCAACTTCTGCGCTTTCACAATGTGCTATCGACGAGGCAATGTTGGCGCATTTGCCAGTTCGACAACTATGTCTGACGAGCAAATTTACATTGCTGTGGCAGGAACGGACGATAAAAAAGCCGAGGTCTATCAGTTCCCAGACGAGAAGCTGGTTTGTGTAGTGCCAAGGATCGACATTTCAGAAACAGGTCAGTTTGCGCTTTTGATTGCTCAAGTCTATTGAATGCAATATCTTGGCAAGAATTTCACCACCGTCCAATAACACGGAGTCACGGGATGAACATCTGCAGCTAACCATACCCAGGCATGATCATGGCTGTCAAACTTGTACACCACCAACCTTCTAACAATGTCCTGGTGATCACGGGATACGAAGCCGGCTTCACAGCCGTACATCTATTGCCTCGTAATTCGACAGGAACACGAAAACCAACCCTGGGCTTGGCTCAAAATATCTACCTCAGCCAGCCGCACACGCAGCCCATATTGTCCGTCGATGCACTACCTGATGGCTCGACTTACTTCACATCGTCTGCAGATGCCACCATCGCTGCGCACCGCATCCCAGAATTACCTTATACTGCTGATGTTGACTGTGAACCACCAGAAAATTTAGTCACAAATGAATGCAATTTGGACGACGACGAACGACACAACGCTCCTTTAGCGACTGATGAGTCGACTGCACATGGAAAAGCAGCGTTGTTTACCAACGCATCCCCAGAAGCCGCGACCACGTCTCCGGACTCATCATCACCCGCACGAAATAGTGACACAGAATCAATCGAACCACTCTCGTTCCCAAAACTACGCCCGCGCACTGGCATAGAACCACCACCAGACACTGCGAAACCGCCAGCACGCCCATCAGGCCTCTCCTCTCTCCTCGCTTCGGCACCCCCACAGCCGGCGCTCACACCCACTGCCAGACCACCACCTGTGACCGTCCAACCTGCGCACAAGATCATTAACACCAAGCACGCAGGACAACAGTCCCTCCGCGTCCGCTCCGATGGCCGACTCCTCGTAACAGGCGGATGGGACAGCAAGGTGCGCGTCTACAGTAGCAAGACGCTGAAGGAGGTTGCAGTGTTGAAGTGGCATAAGGAAGGTGTCTACGCGGTTAGTTTTGGAGAGGTGTTAGGAAAAGAGGCTCTTGAGCAGCACGCCGCGGAGCAGAAAGCTGTAGAGAAAGGAACGGAAGTAGCAAAGAGAGAGACGGGACTCGCAAAACTACAGCGACAGAGGGAGGAAGCTCTTCAGCTCAAGCATTGGGTCGCTGCCGGGGCGAAGGACGGAAAGGTTAGCTTGTGGGAGGTGTTCTGAACCCCTCCCTCTCTACCTCCATACGTTGACAAATACTTCCCAAACGCGACGCCTCAATTGTACTTCAGAGCACACTCCTGAGCCGTGGTTATGATTTCGCAACGTCCGATATCAGACTTTCGTCACCCCCCAAATCTAAACCCCTTCAACAAATTTCTCCTGACACGTTCCTTTTCCCACCTATCACGACGATCACGACGATCACGGCCCAGCCTTGCCGAGCCCCACACCGAGCCCCACGCACGCCCCCGCCGCGCCCACTCCCCACGATGATCGATCCATGGGCGTCCTGGCACGCACACATGAGCGAAAGGGGTAGAATGCGCGATGATCGATGAGATGGGATCAATCGATCTTGAGGGCGTGGTAGGGGTTCAAGGGGACTGGGTATCCTGCAGGTGCAACTTGTGTGGTCGGTGCAAAAGCTTAGGATGGCAATAGCGATGGAGATAACGAAGTATATTGCAGCGTTTGTGTAACCGTTATGCAGCATGTATCTGGGTAGATGGGTACGATAGCGTGCACATGTGTGGCGTGCGCGCCTCCGACCTCAGCGTACATGAACCTCGGTACGCGCATTGTTCCAACGAGCGAGCGAGCGAGCGAGCGACCGACCGCCGCGGCGCAAAAGCAAATGCAGACGCAGACGCCTGACGGAGGATCTGCGTCGTGAGTTACAAACATCAATCTCGCACAAAAAGCTAATGATAAGCGCGCGACTTGCTTGTCCGAGAGAGGAATGCATGAGCTAGCTTGAGGGGTCCATGTAGATGCCTGCAACGCATCATAGCAGGTGTGATATAGACGCATCTTAGCAGGTGTGATATAGATTGGGGCAACGCAGGGGCGGCCGATCGGGAGAATTGTACGCCACGATATGCGTGACAGAGATCTTGAAGCTGCGTCTGCCAAATTTGCTGGCAATTGTATTGCATATGTGGTAGTGCACGCTCCGTGCATGCGTGCTGACGCTGGAGAAGACCGCCAGATGCAAAGGTATAGATAGATAAATCAAAGAGTGATACAAAAGAAAGTCAGGCATGAACGCTCAATGGTTCCACCGTAAAAGTAAAATCAGGCCTCCCAATCATCGATTCAACGCCGTGGTATCCTGGAAAGTAATGATGTCCTTATGGTGTGACGCTCGTGGTAGGACAGTCCCAACAGCCCATTGCGCCTCCTAGCGCATCGTGAGATGCCAACGCTTAATGATCTGGAAACAAGGTACTTTTTGCGTGCCCAAAATGGACACAGCTCTTCCGGGATGGGTACCAGCCGCCACCGCTCGAGCATCCACGCTCGCGTCGTACTGACAACCAAGTCAGCATATATGAATCACAACATATATAAAGAGGAACGCGAAGTGCAAGTAGGCACTGTCGTTTCCTCACACGATGTTCCGCAGGCCACGGAAGCCTCCAGTCTTCTTTTCCGCCGCCTTTTTGGGATCTTTCGTTTCCTTCTTTTTGCTCGAGAAGTTCTGTGCGCCGCCTGTGGTCGTTAGTTTACGAGGACATTACGAAAGATAGAGTAAAGGCTTACCGCGACCGCCGTAAAAAGGTCGAGGATCCGGCTTCGCAGCTGCTCGATCTCTCTTTTCACCCTTGCTGCTACTCGTCTCTGCGGAATGCTCACTCTGCCCGCTTGATTGACCTGGCACCGCAGCATTCTGGTTCTCGAAAAGAGCATTGAGGGACTGCTCATAGGGTCCCGAAAAGTCATGTCCGTAGTTCTGCACATGTGAACGCGCTAGGGAGTCCAACCGTGGCTGTCGCGGAGGCGCAGCGAAAGAAGGGCTAGTCGGAGATGTCGGTGACAGGTGTTGGCCGTAGCCATCGTAGCCCGGAGAGATGTCCGATGTCAGTGGAGGAAGGAGCCTGGAATCGTACATGCCACTGGAGCGAGCGCTGAAGTTGCGACTAAGCGCGTCCCTCTCACGGTCATTAGTATCTACCCCATCATCATGACGCAGGCGTCCGACAAGAGCTTGATGCTCGCCCCTAAGCTCGTGATATTCCATTTCGAGCTCCATCTTCTGCTCTTGCAAACGCTGATACATCTTCTTCATGTTGGCCATTTTGGAGTTGTTCTGAGCGATGACCGAGTCTACCATCTGTTGCATGGATGGTGGAAGTTGACCCGGCTTGATGGCGCTTTTTTCTGCGGACTGTAACCGTGATTCGAGTTCCATGATCCTTCGTTCGTATGCTTTGATGGCTCGTTCACGCTCCAGCTCCCGGCTGTTCAACCGCATATGAGTAAGCTCGAGATCATTGCGCAACTCGTTACGCTGCTGGATGAGAGAGTTCAGGTCTTTACTCTGGCTCTCATACTCCGCAATCTTCTCTTGGGCAGCTTCAAGCTCCTTTTGCATATTGCCATAGTCCTCTAGCTCGAACTCGAGAGCCTCAGTACGCTGCTTGGCGCGCAATTCCTTGGCCTCAGCAATTTCGACAATTTTCTTTAGGTGCTCAAAATCTGTCTGCACCTTCCTGAGCTCAAAGCGCAAAGTTTCTTCTGCATCGTGTCGTGATTTGCTGTCTTCCCTATATGACTTTACTTTGCCGGTAAGTTCGCGTTCCCAGTTCTGTGTCTGGTTTCGACGAGTGAGTGTTTCCTTCTTCAGCTGGGCATACTGCTCGTTCATCTTAGCGAGCTTAGCCTTGAGAGTTTTGTTCGTATTGATAAGATTCTGGGTGTCGGCTTCGGCAGTGGCTTCCTTGATATGCTTTCTTTGCATCTGCCCAATGTGTGCTATGTGCTGAGCCTTGAGATATCGTTCGAAGTTGAGATCGTTCCGTAGGAGCATTATCTCTCTCTGCAATGCAGCCATGCTTAGATTCTTGAATTCTGACTGCGTGGGAGAACCTGCCACACTAATGGTTTGCGCAAAGTTATTGGCGCTGGCGGTATGTAAAGTAAGGCGCTGTGGAGCGGCGGATGGTGCGGAGAGAAAGCTCTGTTTTCTCGGTGCCTCCTTCGTTGGTGGAAGTGTTGGCGACTCGATCACGTCTTTACATTGCAACAGTGGCGAGGCCGAAGTGACCGCCTTAGCGTTCTCTGGGAGCTCGAAGCTGTCGGGAATGTCGGGTTGGCTGGTCGCGGAAGACGCAACCATCGTTGATTGAGTGTTCCTCCAACTAGCCGTCGAATCATGTACAGTGATGCCGTCATCGAGGGCAAATTCTGTCTCAGGAATAGGCGGTACAGGCAGATCGGGCAGTTTGGAAGTGGGAGGTGGTCCAGGGTCATCAAGAGTAGTTGACACAGCCACACATAATTCCATACACTCCATGACTACGTCAGCAGGATCGCTGTCGAGCCATCTGTTTTCCGTCAATTCATCTTCAATGGTCGTTGAGAACATATTTGGATGCAACAGATGGACTCGTCGATAGGGCTCTGTCCTACTGTGAAGTAGATCAGGGTCTAGGTCAAAGTCATCCGCACCAGGAAAGTTCATGGACTTTAGCAGCTTCCTGGGTTTCCGAACGAAGCTCATGAAGTTCAGCGGGAAGAGCCCGTAGAGGAAAGTGAAGTAGTGTAGCAGTGCAGTAGGTGGAGATGTGTCGGGAGGCTGAGCAGAGTGTTGCAGCTGTTCCCATGCCGGGTCGGAGTCCTCCTCATCTGAGCTGTCCGAGACGTCGTCTTCGTATGCGGATTCAGTGTCTGTTGCATCGCTAGAGCTGCCGAACTTGTCCCAACATATCAGCCTGCTGTAAATGAGGAACAGCCGTGGAAGATGGTGATCGGACGTAAGTGCTGAAGTGATGTGTGGCAGGAACATGATGAGTACTACCAGGGCCTGGCCAACGGCGCTGGCGGATGTGTCGATGAGCAAGCATTTTTCGAGATGCTGTATGAGCTGGGTCTCGAGGACCACGTGGAGATGAGGAGTTTGCAGCCGGACGAAGGCATTGAGCAGAATAAGGGCTTGGGTGCGATACCGTTTCTGGACGAAGAGCTCGTCGACGGCGAGGAGCAGCTCTTTCGGTTGCTTTCGTCCGAATGCAACCAATACCGATTCGACCTCGTTCGATATGTAGTCGTCTTCCGGAGAGATAATATCCTCAGTCTCTGAAGGGACCTTGGTCCGCGCGAGATACACGTCTAACGTCTTCCGCAGGAACAGATCCGACAGCCGCGCGCACTCCTTGTCCTTATCTTTGTCATCGTGTACTTCATATACCAGGAAGCTCAGTAACAGCTCCTTTGCCTCTTCAAGCTCATGTTTCTTGTGCCCGACACTGTCGATTGTGGGCTTGAGCACAAGGTCCCACCACTCACCTAACCGTGCCTCCCCCGTGAGCGCAGGCCGAACAGCTCGCAGAACGCTAAGGAACGGTCCGAGATTCTCAGGATTGTTGGCGACATGCTTGTTGTAGAGAGGCAGCAGGTCATCGTGGAAGCGCTGCGAATCGGTATCGTCGATATCATCATACTTTTCGAGGAAGCGGGCGATTGTATCGCGGAGCTCTTCGGGAAGGGGGTACGGAGCTGCCGGGGCAGCGAAGGTGGTATTGAGCGCCTTGAGCGTCTCGCGCATCGTCCTAGCATCTGGTGAGCACTGCGCTTAAGCGTGGAGTTGGGCGCTGCTGTCCCGGGTGGTCGCGTACCCAAACCCAGCCATGCTGGGCTACTGCGCCTTTGTCGACTTTAGAATAGGTGTTATACTCGGGTCTATATCGTGTGGAGGGTGTCGTGTGCGCACAAAAAGCTCGGGGAGAGTGTGAAGGGGAGTGGACTGCCAGAGCTAGCAGCGATTGACAGCGGGCGAGCGTGGGGTACAACCGCCGATTGAAGAGGGCACACGCTTTGTGAATGTCGCGACAGACAGTCCGTTGCGAGGCGGTGCCGCCCGTTCACAGCATACATCCTGGCACACTCAACTATTAGACGCACCCGTCGACATGCAGCATTACACCAAGCGTAGAGGCGCCTTCTGCAGTCCCCCCGGAACGGTCCCGCTTTGCTGCTTTGGGCTGTAGCGCCAGACAGGCCACCCCTGCTGTCAATCTCACCTCGGCGGCGGCCGGCGCCTTGAACATAGTTTCGAGTAAGTCGTCCTTATCGCAACACCCGTCTGTGCCCTCCGCCTGCTTCCTGCCTTTCCCCGCCGCCGACCGTTGTGAATCCGTTAGCCAGCACTGTCAGGACCATTCCTCGGCGTTGAATCATCGCCGTCTGGCTGCCTGCATGCCCGTCTCACTTCATCCGTTCGCATTCGTATCTACCGCATCTCTGGACGTCAGCACGGCTTAGCTACTCGATATTGACTGATCTTGCGTTCTGCTATCAGGGTGTCTGCCGAACGCCACGCGCAGCCCACCCGTTTATCCGGCATCTGGAAGCGTTCAGGAACAGGAACAACTCGCCTCCACAGTGGGATGCACATACTCGCCAATTGTTCCATCGGGCCTTTTCTTTTCTTCTGAGATTGGCCTTATACTTCGAATTACGTCCGCTTGAAGCCAATGGTTCTATCTGCTGTATTATCCCCTAGGCCTGCATGCCACCCCAGTCCCTCAACTCAAAGTGGCCCTTCCGGCCAACACCCCAGATCCGGCCTACCCGCCTCTTGAGCATCGTAAGATGGTGCTTAGTGCTCATTTGCCATACCTCGCCTTATAAAGTTCATCAAACCTAGTTCCATTGCATTGATAAGGAGCTTGCGTTGCATGTGCTTCAATTCCACGCTTGCTACTCGCAAAAGCTTTCGATCCCGACTACCCGATGTAATGGCGAAGCTGCATGGGTGGGCAAGGGGTCGAGAAGAATCTGGATGGTAGTACAAGCGGAGATCTGACCCCTGCAACCGTTGCTCGTTCTCGTATGCATACCGGTGGTGCGGTACCAATCGACTGGTGCAGTAGGTCTGCAGGCTGACACTGCATGTGTGCATCAGCCCTTCAAAGACGTCTCTGCAACACCGTATTATGTCGCACATTTTGACGAATCGCGCAAACAAACCACTGACGATCGGCTTTTCGAAAGCTCGCGACATGCACCAGCACTGTACCCCCACGACGAGTTCGAACCCAAACTCGAACCCGTTCGATGTTTCAAGGCGCTACCCGGAGGCATACTGATACCTGAGGTCAAGGTTCGACAGGTCGGACTCCATGATCACAACCTTGAGCATGCGCAAAGCTGTATGCTCTGCCCTTATCTTTACTAATAGCTTTCTGCAATATATTTGAGTTGTACAACAGCTCGCTTAAAAGCACAAGGCCATAGCATTTCCGTGCGTTTAGATCATGCTCGACCGACACCATTGGTCAGAAATTAAGTATGGCTGACGGGTTCTTGTCCCACTGGCTCAGATGGTGGCAAGTGTGCTGCTGGGAGAAAACACCCTTCACTTCGACACTTGTTCCACATTGACTGTTGCTCATTATACATCTCAAACCGGCAAGTATGCACTTCAACGGGCAATGTCTCAACTGCTGGACACCATATTTCACTCCCCTTCGATCAACGTATGATCACGCGTACCTTGGCTCGATCTCCCGAACACATGCGCCCATATCACGGACGCACGCAGTAGCCAGTTCTTGGTATCTAAGAAGCCCAAGGATGGGGAAGTTCCAAGGACTGGACAGCGTTGAGTCGAGGATGGCGACAACTCGCCTATATAGAATAATGATACGCTTCAAAAGCGCACTTTTGATGAGTGTATTGTTGGGCAAAATGATGTCTATCGATGGAAACGCTGGCTATTACGGGCCGAATGTCAAGTGCTTCTCCATGTTAAGCGAGCCAATCATGCGCAGAAGGAACGTACAGCTTCAACCTACAGCTACCCAAGGACCTGCACAGCAATCCATTTTCATGCATCAGTGTCATCTTTATCCTTTGTGTTGAGCCTAAGTCGAACCGCTCGCTCCAGTGTCTCTACTACGCGTGCCGACCTTTACCATAGGCACCTTTCGCCTCTGCTGCCTAGCGTAGCTTCCACCCAGACGCCTGTCATCACCTCAGGAAGTCCATCCTTCCAAGATGGGTTCCAATAGTTCCAAAAAGCAACTGCCACAGTTGGTTCTATTCGGTGACTCTCTCACAGAATGGAGCTTCGACAGCTCAACGCAGGGTTTCGGCTGGTATCTCTCAGATTGGTACAAGGGTAAAGCCGAGATCGTCAACGAAGGTACGAAGTGTCCTGAGTCCTACCATGAACAGGTCAAATCATAATCACTTCTATATGCCCACTTACTGACACTCACCTCTAGGCTATGCTGGGTAAAACTCACCACGCCCTCCCCGTCCATAAGAACTGACACCCTCCCTAGCTACACCTCCGAACACGTCAAAGCAGAGTTCACTCGCCTGATAAAAAAATTAACGATCGTTGAAGCCCCACCAACTCTTCTCTTCACCATCTTCCTCGGCGCCAATGACGCCTGCTTCGTAGGAGAGACCGAATACGTCCCGCTCCCTCAATTCTCAGACAATATCCGCTCTTTCGTCGAGGAGATCCTCAACCAGGATAAACTCAGCTCCGCGAAAATCGTCCTTATCACGCCGCCCCCAATCAACGTTCCAGAGCCGCTACCCATAGATGACGAATCGTTGGGCCCGGCCATGGCTAAGGCGCTGAAGGAAGGAAGGGACCCGAAGAAAGATCGGGGTTACATGACATGGGTGAGTAAGCGACGGTACGCCGAGGGTATCATGTCGATCGCGAAAGAATACGAGGAGACTGGGAGGGTGGTGGGACTGGATTACTGGAGGGCATTGGTGGATGCGGGGTTGGAGGAGCAGGGGAGGAAGGGGATGTGGATGAGGATAGGTTTCCAGGGTGTGGGTTGAGTGGGGCCAAGGAGTTTGGGAAGGGGTGGTTTACGGATGGGTTGCATTTGGACGCCAAGGCGTACAACGTCCTTTCGAAAGTTTTGACGGAGACGGTGCTTCAGACATGGCCTGAGCTCTCGCCCGACAGGATCGGAGTATGAGTCGCCCCCACACTTCGGGGCCCATCCCCACAGGGTCCACGCCGGACACACAAGTAACGGTGACATGGCAAGGCTGCATTCGGAGAACTCAATTAGATATATGTAGCTATTGAATCTGCTTTCGCACGCCTAGGACGGCGCTATCCCCTGTTAATCGTATTACCACTTCCCTTCGGGTTATCCTCCTTGAATTCATCCCACGCACGCGCCTTCATCGTCTCCTCATCTGCTGCGCGTAGGTCGTCCTCATCCACCTCCGGTCGGATTCCGGATTGCTCGCCGCCCCCGTCAATGATTCCCCCTCTCCTTTTCTCCTCCTCTAGGTACTCATCTATAGTCATAGTAGGCAGACTATGATCCGGTCTGAACACGCCCTGCTGCAGCCGCTGCCTCGTATCCAGCAGCGTAAAAGGCCGCATCGGCTTCCCATCACTACTCAAAATAGGCCCTTTGTATCTCAGACCCGCAACCTGACCGTCAAGCCGCTCAGAGTACGCATCGCGGTTGCGTTCATCCTCTCTTGCGTCCTGCGGCCCTGCGGTCTCGCCTTGCGGCGGCGGCGCCGACGGAGCTAGAGAAATAATATGCAATTCCTGGGCTAGCGACTCAAGTGATGCAAATGTTTGATGCACCATGAACGCCAGATTCGTAAGGTGCAGCTCACGGACGACTTGCTCGTCGTTTTCAGCGAGCTTAGGGTTGGCTTGGATGTACGCGAGTTTGCGCTTCAGCTCTTTCTCCTCGCGGAAACGCGCGATCTTGGCATCTCGCCGGGCGGCGGCATCGCGCGTGCTGGCGACGGAGAAATTGGACTTGTCTTCTAGGTAAGTTTCATAGAGCTTGGCGTCGCTGGCGCCGAGCACGTCGTAGGAGTCAAGCAGCTTGATGAAGCGCTCATAATGGTCCCGTGCTTTTAAAAGGTTTGCTTTTCGCTCTGAGATGTCTTGGCTTTTGATCTTTTGGATTAGGTCGGAGAGGTGGTAGTTTATGGACATGTATCTAGCGGGCTTGTGAGACATATTCGGAAATTGCGGGGCACAAAAGGTGGCAGTTTGAAATTTCGAAAGGTACGTACTGTATATCTGATGATGATACATCGTCGAGCGATTCATTTGGAGAGAAGAGTGACACTTGTTCTGAAAGGGTGAGGCATGCTTCGTAGGTGGCGATGGCGTTTATGAGGTTTTCCTGGTACGTAGGACTGTTTGAATCCGGAAAGCTGTTGAGGTTGTTGCGAAGGCGCTCTGCTGTGAGAAACAGCGAACGTATGCTTTTAGGCTCGTCATCCGCCATCTTTTGGGATATCTAGAGGTGATGCGACGCGTAAGGGCTTGATGGCGTGGTGTTGGGTAGAAGTTCCAGAGCTTGCACGTGAGTTGGTGTCGATGAGTAAGCTGCGCTTGGACGCTCTTTCGTCCCCCACGCGTTCGCAGCCCCACTCATCTCAATACTCGCGGGACGATGCAGTATGCTATATCGCTCACTGCGTCCATCCCTAGCAATTTGTAAGCCATCTTCACGATGCCTAAAATGTTGGGACGCGTATTGCGCGACTTTAGGTGAAGGTCGATGGCGCCTGATTCTGGGTGAAGTAATTTGTGCAGCCTGCCTACTTGCCGTTCGCTGAGGCGATGGTACAGCGTACCTACCTTCCCTGCGCGTTCTGTTTGCTACCTGTTACAAACGCAAGGCAACGTCTCCTTCCGTGCTTGCTTGACCCAACCTCTCGAACCCAATTATCGCACCCTTACACCTCTTCAAATCTTCTCTATACTGGAATTTGTGTCCTGAGCCGAATCTCAGGTCGTCTAGCGGCAGGCGAACGTACTCTACAATGGCTTGGGGCCACTATGACCCACTGCAGGACGAGGAGTATGATTCGCTCGATGAGTCTGAGTCGTGGACCAGTGCACCGGAGAACATGGTTGGAGCACAGAACGCTCCACTCGCAGAGGCACAGTTCGATCACGATGATGGCAGTGAAGACGAAGACGATGCGAAATTGAGAAACTTAGAAGCGGCGGACGAGGACCCGGACAGCGACATCGACAAGGACGGTCCCTCTTCTCATGCACCCGGAAGCTCGAAGGAGAAGCGTGCCGCTCAGAATGCCATCTTTAGGGCGTTCGCGATCAAAAAAGAAGAGCAGATTACCGAGAAAGAAGTCAAAGAAGCGCTCCAAGAGATTGAGGATAGCAAGCTCTCCATCAAGCAGCTGTTGAAGAAGCAGGAGACCAGTGTCAGCATTAGCAATCCCCGGGACTACCAAACCGAGCTGTTCCAACGAGCAAAGGATGACAACATCATCGCCGTCTTAGGCACTGGCTCTGGCAAAACTCACATCGCCACCCTTCTCCTCCGGCATATCCTTGATCTAGAACTCGATTCTCGCAAAAAGAGGCAACCGCCGAAGGTCTCATTTTTCTTGGTCAATTCGGTTAACCTGGTGTTTCAACAGTCAAATGTTCTGGATTGTGGCCTCGGCGGTCATGCGGTCGAGGGCATAAGCGGCTCCATGGGACCTAGTCTATGGAATAAACAGACATGGCAGAAACACTTCGACAAGAACATGGTCATCGTCTGCACAGCTCAAGTTCTTGTGGACTGCATGATGCATTCTTTTATCAATATGACCAACATCAACATGCTCATCTTTGACGAAGCTCATCATGCTAAGAGTGGACACCCTTACGCCCGGCTAATGAAGGAGTATTACTTTACCGTATCGGATGCCTCACAGCGACCTCGAGTATTTGGGATGACTGCTTCGCCTATCGACGCCAACAAGGACATCCGAGATGCAGCCATTCAGCTCGAGGCAATGCTTGACTGCAAGATTGCCACCACATCCGATATTACACTGGCTGCGAACGCGATCAACAAACCGACCGAGGAAATCGCTAGATATACAAGACTACCTGCTGGCTATGAAACAAAGCTTCACCGAGAACTGAAAGCTCGTTTTGGGCATATGTCCGTCTTCGCGAAGCTCTTCAATCAGTCAAAGCGCTTCGCGTCGGAGCTTGGAAGGTGGGCGTCTGATGAGTACTGGACCTTTGCTTTTACCGAAGCCGAAAGCCGTAAGCGCGAGATCAGAGAAGAGTTTAGATTTCACAAAACCTTCACCAGTGGATCTGTCGACAAGCTGAATGAGCAGATTGGACAACTTCGAGAAGCAGCCGAGTACGTGAAGAACTACGACAACGGTGTCCCTACAATCACACCAGAGGACTTGAGTTCGAAAGTGCTTCTCCTCCACTGGTACCTGAACGAGTACTATCAACGCCATGGTAATAACAGGTGTATTGTTTTTGTGGAGCAGCGTCAGACTGCACGGCTTTTGCATCACGTCTTCACACACATCGGCGGGCCGCATCTTCATGGTGGCATTCTGGTTGGTGTTAGCGGAAGCATCGGAGATTTCAATGTTTCCTTAAGCAAGCAGGTCAGGACAGTATCTGACTTCAGAAAAGGCGAGCTGAATTGTATATTCTCCACATCTGTTGCGGAAGAAGGACTCGATATCCCTCAATGCAATCTTGTGGCTCGCTTCGACCTTTACAAGACAATGATTGGGTACGTTCAGTCGCGAGGCCGCGCGAGGCACCAAAACTCAAGATATCTTCATATGATTGAGGAAGACAACCCTCAACAAGAGTCACTCATATTTGACGCAATAAGTGCAGAACAGCGAATGAAGGCGTTCTGCCAGGGCTTGAGCGGAGATCGGTTGCTTGATGAGCCAGATGCACGCCTCATCCAGCTTCTCCAGGCTGAGAGCAATCTTCCCCACTATCAGGATCCAACCACTGGAGCGAGACTAACCTATAGCTCGAGCCTGTCGGTCCTTGGCTACTTCGTCGCATGCCTTCCGAGAAAGAACGAGCAAGTGGACTGTCAGCCCACCTACGTTACAGCCCGCGCGGTGAACAGCGATGTGAATGGCATGCGTGAGAGTGGTTTCCAATGTGAAGTCATTCTTCCGGAGACTTCACCGATTACCTTCAAGACGGGAAAGGTCCACCGAAAGAAAGCTCTTGCGAAGTGCTCTGCGGCGTTTGAAATGTGTATGGATCTTCGGAAAAAGGGGTACCTTGATGAAAACCTACTTTCCACGATGAAGAAGGCAGCACCTGAGAAGGCTAATGCACATCTAGCTGTCAACGAAAAGAAAAAGAATCAATACCCCATGCGAGTCAAGCCAGAAATCTGGGATACTGGCCTGGGCAGCACACCTGAACTCCTCTACCTCATGGTTGTAGACGTGGACACCGGTCTCGATCGGCCGCATCAAGCCCTCGGACTTCTCACGCGGATACCACTTCCTCAATTCCCTTCATTTCCTATCTACTTGAAAGATGACCGGGAGTCCAACGTTGTCATGGTCCCCCTGAGCAAACCTCTCCAGGTCACAATTGAGGTGCTCGAGCTGTTCACCAAATTTTTCCACCACATTTACCTGGACATCTTTCACAAGGACTTTGAGACTGATCTTACTAAAATGTATTATTGGCAAGTTCCAGTCCGTCACTTCAAGACCCCGGTTGCGACGTCGGCCGCTCCAGAGGATGTCATTGACATGGGTAAAGTGCGGTCTATATGTAGTAAGCCTGAGCACCGGTGGACACCGGACATGCCCCATGAGGAGCTCCTAGACAAGTATATCGTCGATCGCGGTGCTGGCGGGCGCCGCTTCTACTCGATTCGTGTGATGCGAGACATGAAACCATTAGATCGCGTTCCCGACAATGTTCCAGCCTGGAAATGGAACGAGAACATCCTGGACTACTCCGTCAGTCTTTGGAAGAAGGATCGTGCCCGTCGAGTGTGGGACGTCTCCCAGCCTGTCATGCAAGTGGAGAAAATTGGGCATCGGCGCAACTGGCTGGCGAAGGTTGACACCAAGGATGATGAGGAAGTCAACGAGATCAAAGGGAACAACATAACATATTTGTGTCCAGAACCTCTTCGTATTTCGGCAGTAAGTGGGTCTAACGAACTCTCTCTGCCAGCTGCTCACTATTCTACAGTTACCTGTACCCTTCGTAGCTATGTGTTACGTCTTCCCCGCAATCATCAACCGAGTGGAAGATTATCTCATCGCACTGGAGGCTTGTAAGATGTTTGAACTCAATATTGGACCTGCTCTCGCCCTTGAAGCTACTACGAAAGATTCCGAGAACTCTGATGAGCACGGGCAGGAGAAGATCAATTTCAAGAGCGGGATGGGATCGAACTACGAACGACGTAAGCTAGCATATTTTCGTTTGTTTGAGTCGTTGACTGATACACAATCTAGTTGAATTTCTCGGCGACTGTTTCCTAAAGATGGCAACGTCAATCTCTACGTTCGTACAGCAGCCGGATGAGAACGAATTCGAGTTTCACGTGCGCCGCATGCAAATGCTTTGCAACCAAAATCTATTCGATACAGCGGTAAAGGAAACGAACCTCGTCGAGTACATCCGTACCGCAGCATTTTCTCGGTAATTTTTCTTTCGGGACTTTAAGTATAGAGTATTGCAGGGCTAATCATCACAGACGCACATGGTATCCAACTCTCAAATTGCTGAAAGGAAAGGGAGCTCAAGCTGGCACCAAAGCAGACCATCACAACCAGGTCATCAAGCACGCCCTTGGAGATAAGTCCGTCGCCGACGTCTGCGAAGCGCTTATCGGCGCTGCTTTCATGCAGCACAATCAACGAGGGCACTGGAATTGTCAAATGTGGAACGAAGCTGTCAAAGCAGTCACTCAATTGGTGAAGAGCGATGATCATCTCATGGAGAGCTGGTCAGATTACTATAAGTCCTACCAGTTGCCGAAGTATCAACTGGCCGAAGCGACTGCCGCTCAACTAGACCTTGCCGCCAAGATCGAGAGACAGTAAGCATTAAATTACAAATGGTGACTGGGAAAAGCTGACGACGAATGCAGGCATCCCTATCGCTTCAATTACCCTCGCCTATTGCGTTCGGCGTTCATTCATTCATCTCAGGCCTTTATGTGGGAGCACATTCCTAACTACCAGCGGTTAGAATTTCTGGGCGACTCTTTGCTTGATCAAGCTTTCATCATGCATCTGGTAAGGCCTGGTCGATCCCCAAAAGTGAATGTGCAACAGGTATGCTAATTCCACTCTAGTTCTTCAACTATCCTGACAAAGATCCTCAATGGATGACGGAACACAAAACGCCTATGGTTTCGAACCAATTTTTAGGCGCAGTCTGCGTGAAGCTCGGCTTCCACAAGCACATCCGGCAGAATAACGCAGTAAGTAACACGACCCGTGTGTGTTCCACTAAGCGACCGCTAATATCATTCCTCAGAAACTCACAGGCGAGATCTGCGAATATGTTACCCGAATCCAGGAAGTAGAGAGCGAGTCTAACGGGGCAGTTGATTACTGGACCGCAGTGGACAGGGCCCCTAAGTGCCTGGCTGATGTGGTCGAAGCCTACGTTGGCGCCATCTTCGTCGACTCTGAGTTCAACTTCAGCGTCGTTCAAGAATTTTTCGACATGCATCTCAAGCCGTTTTTCCTGGACATGTATATCTATGACGCATACGCGAACCAGCACCCGCTCACTCGTATCAAGAAGCGGCTTGAAGACGAGCTAGGGTGTAGGCAGCATCGGATTGCTACGCATACAACAGACAAGACAATTCCTCACGAGAGCGATCGCGTCGTTGCGATGCTCATGATTCACGATAAGGTTCATTTTCATGGCGTTTCCGTTAGTGGTCGGTATGCCAAGAAGAAAATGGCAGAAGTTGCGCTTGCGGGCCTAGATGGTCTGCCGGAGTATGAGTTCAAGAGGCGATACGGGTGCGATTGCAACGAATCGGTTCCGGAAGGCGAGGGACAAGAGGGGCTGTGAAACTTCAGACCCATCTTGGTTTTCTCCTACAGGATCGGCGTGGACGACTCGCGGTTGACATGGCACATATGCCCTAGCCATCGGAATGCCTGTCGACCTGGTTGTTTTTTGAACAACCCACCAACGAAGATGGCTTGGTCCGGTAATTTCTGATCACTACCTTCACAACATTAAGGGTTCTCTCTTCTAGTCTAAGAAGCGATCGAGTATATAGGTCTTCTGAACCAATGGAAGCAGACTGAAACATGCATCTCTCATGCTTTCTGAATATAATGAATGCTTAAGCCATACCCATCCATTCCATTTTGAAGGGTAAGATTGAGAATAGGCTCTCTTGCCATCTTTTTGATCACTTGGAATTGTGGCGATTCATGACTCATGTGTCAGATTCTTAGGGCTCCCACTTCTCCATTGGGCGATTCATACATACTGCTAGGTAACAGCGCAACATAACACAGGCAGGCCAGAAAGAAAATAGCAAAAATCAATTTCGCATGAGAATCTCTACGTGACGTTCGAACGAACGCATGTTTGCAACCTGAAAAGCGCATTGCATGGCGTGAAGAAGGGCCGTGGAACGCTTCTCACAAAAGGAAAGTGCCAACAGCCGAAGCCATTGCCAAAGGTAATCGAAACCTTCCATCAGAAGATAGACCATTTTGTAGCTACTTTCCTATCGATTCTTCGCCAGTAGGGAGTTTATATACAAGGCAAAATGAATGCCAATGAACATGGCACTCTACTCCACTGCGATGAAGCAATTTGCACGTCCCTGTAGTACCACTAGGCAATCATGATGTTCAGCTAGGCAACTTGTATCGATAGCAATTTTCGAGTTCCAGGCAACAGTCTCACATCATGTGACCGTCTTCGAAGATTATTAGAACCACAAAAGATTAATTAAATAACAAAAAGAAGCTGTGGATTGAACATGCGTCTTGCTGCATTCTATGGAAATCGTAAAATCACGGAGCACTTATTCTCTTCACTGCACTGGAGCAAAAGGAAAGTTTTACGCCAGAATCAAGATCCGGGATATAACATTTCAAAGCTGGTAAGCCTCGTCAGAAGACGTTTGTATGTAGCTACTTTCCTGATGTAAATGTGCTATCTGAAAATATATATACCCATCCAGAAATAACAGCAATCATTGCGTGATGCAGAACGTAGGGAAAACATGTCACGGCTTGCGGAGGGATGCTGCTGCCTAAAACATATATGTGGATCCCCGCTCACATTTGCCGAAAACCGACGCGAACACCAAGGAATGTATGTGAATCATGGCCATTAACAAGCAATAACATGAATCCAAGATCGATGTACTGCTTGTCATATACACTGCAACGAGATCGTGGTAGTAAGGCTTCGATCTAAGCCTAACAAGGCAGGTCCACGCGATATCTTGCCCCGCAGCGTGCGACTACAGCGTGTGCACGGGGGTGGTTTCCCGGATTGGGAAGTCGTCGATGTCTTGTAATTAACATGTCGATTGTCCGCACACCCTCAGATCTCGTTGTCTGAAAGCCTCCGTCCCTAACGATAATACTTACCATCGCTGGCGCAACAACCCATCGTCTTTCGCGTTGAGGAATATCATCTGATTAACTTGGTCCATCTTCAAGCCTTATATAACATGAAAATCGAGGAACCTTCTAATCACCCCTCAGTTGGCGCGCCTCGACCGCACACTGGGGCAAAGGCACAGCAAAGCACTATGACAATGGAAGACCGAGGACGCATCCCCGTCGGCCCGCCCATCGCCAATCCTCTTCACTCCTACTGGCAGCATCCCAAATCTCCACTCGCAGCAGTAATCGAGCCCGAATGTGCCAATCCCACTCAGCCCTACGACTACGCCATCATCGGCTCAGGGATATCCGGAACGATGATCGCATACAACCTGTTCAAGACCAATCCCTCGGCGCGCATCGTCATGATCGACGCACGAGAGATCTGCTCTGGAGCGACTGGGCGAAACGGGGGACACACGAAAGCTGGCTCGTATCGCACGTACATGCAACACAAGAAAGAGGTGGGGAAAGACGAAGCGTTAAAATTAACCAGGCTTGAGTATGCGAACATCATTGAAACGCATGCGTTGGCGAAAGAGCTTGGAATCGAGTGCGAAAGCCAAGTGTGTAATACAGTCGACGTTATCTACGACCAGCGGACCTTCGAAGAGGGAAAGAAAGCCATCGAGGAATTGGAGGCCGATGCGACTGAAGAAGAGCGGCAAACCGGGAAAATGGCCGGTTACAGAATCTACCAAGCCAACGACGGCATAAAGCAGAAATTCTGGGTAGACGACACGAACAGCAATCCCGCAGCTGGAGAAGAGAAAGAGAAAGTAGCAGGTGCATTCGAGTACCTCGCCGGCAAAATTCACGCCTACCGCTTCGCAACCGGCATCCTAAAGCATATCGTGCAGAACAACGCCCTTCAACTCTGTGCAAACACCCCCGTCCACGCCTTCCTCCCTCTCCCTCTTCAACCCCTGACACCCCCTCTGGGACGTCTTCACCCAACGCAACCCCATCCCAGCGCGCACCGTCATCCTCGCAACAAACGGCTACACACCGTACCTCCTCCCCACCCTCCAAGGCGCCATCGTCCCTCTCCGCGGCCAAATCATCGCTTCAAAGCCGCCTCCCACAGCTCGACATCCCAGCGTGCTACCGAAGACGTATTCTTTCATCTACGGGGACGGCTACGAGTACATGATCCCGCGCCAACTCCCCGACGGCGGACAACACATCGTCATCGGCGGCGGCCTCGGACGCCTGGCTAATGCGGGGGCGTCCGAGTACGGTACCGTGGACGATAGTTGTCTTAATGAAGAGGTATCGACGTATCTTCACGGCACGGTGGAGGGCTACTTCGGGGCTCCTACATCCTCGTCATCCGCGCAGGACGCGCCCGAGTACGAGATCGTGCATGAGTGGACGGGCATCATGGGCGCAACGGCGGATGGGCGACCGTTTGTGGGCGAGGTTCCGGGGCAGAAGGGGGTTTGGATCAGTGCGGGGTTTAATGGGCATGGGATGGTGCTGTGTTTGAAGGCTGCAGAGGCGCTGGTGGGGATGATGGATGGGAAGAGCCTAGATTGGTTCCCGGAGAGTTTTCTCATCAGTGAAGAGAGGGTTGGTAAGGCGCGCTTTGGGGGGAGGACGGATATGCGGGTTCCGGAAACGGGGGAGGGCCCGGTAGGAACGGGGGAGAGTTGAGAAAGGTAGGAGAGAATGGAGGTATCTCACACTACTTTAGTGCTTATCATGCTTATTCTGCTTTCAGTTGTAAAATAATATACTGGGTGGTAGTCACGTGCAGAATCTTGGTTGAAGTCAATCCCAATTAGCTATTAGTGGAAAAGCGATGACATGGCCATTCTTGAAGTCGTAAGATCTATGGATATACATGAAATTTGCGTTGATGTTTTACATTGGTATGATTGCGCTGCACGCTTCGACAGAGATTTGACTTGGTCGCGCCCGGGAATCGGGAGATCAATTTGGGGTCTGCGGACGCCTCCTCTTCAATTTATGCGGTCATGACGAAATCAACGCAGTTCTCGTAAGTCTGCTGGGCGTTCGTGCCGAACCAGAACCATTGCATAGCGCACTCGCCAGGCTGTTGGCATTGGGTTCCGAGGTCGGTGGGCATGGTGACGCTGAACTGGGTGTTGTTCAAAGGCAATTGGGCAAGGTTCTCATCGGCGTAGGAAGCAAAGGAGATCAACGGCTGTCCGACCAGGGTGTTTGTCGCAAGGTCCACGACAGATACATTGCAAGGGCCTTCGTGGGGAATTGGCAGCTCGGCAGCAAAGTCGACTTGCTCTCCGGGTGCGAAAGCCTGAACGTTGTTCTGGTTGTCTTCGAACTGAACACCCTTGCAGAGGAAAACGTTGCAGTCAGGTGCGCCGTTGCTGGGAATGTTCTCCAGAGGACCGGTTTCGTCCGCGGTGAGGGCAGAGACGGTATCCGCACCACAGACTTGCTGCGTGACAGGACCTGGGAGGCGGACAGGCGGTGAGACGATGTTGCCGTGCGCGAGCGCTGTGGCGGCGAAGAAGGTGGATGTGAAGAAGGTTGAGGCACGCATCTTGAAAGGCGTATTAAAAATTGTAGGTTTTGGGGTATGTGGTATAAGCTCAAAGCCAAGAAAGGACAGAAGGCAAGAACAGAACGAGTGACCAGCACAAGGAGGATTGAAAGACTGACTGGAGAGTTTAGGAAGTGCAACGATGTGTTGTTATGTTATACTCCCGGGAAGGTGATGATCCGTTCAACCTGCAGAGGTGTTCCAAAAACAGGTCGCGCGGCTAAAGGAAGCTGCGGAATAGTGATGAAACGTGTGAAGCTCAAGCTTTTCTGTTTGATCTTACATGCGAGGGCGGTGATTAAATCTTCATGCCGTCAAGAACTCTGTCAGAGAGAGTAGTGTCTTGACTTGTCATGAACACAGATACAACACTATCTCGCAGCCTCAATCGCCCGGGAGGGCGGACGAAAGCTGGGGTTGTCTACAGCGAGAAATTCCATGACAGCGATGGAAGACAAAATCCCGCCAGGTGAGATGGTGTGTGTCTTGCCAAGGCTTCTTCATCAGTATTGGCATACTTGGCGTTTGACTTGAGTCTTGTGGAGCTCGCGTTGTAAGGGCTGCGTTTGAGGATGTTGAGGCTCCGTCTTGGCAAGGCAATGTACCTGAGGCAAGCGCAGCCGAATATCGGGCATTCACAACTATGATTCTTCAGGCGCGGAGAGTCGGGCGCGAAATTGCAGCCTGGTGAGAGTGGCAGACAACATGCCCCACGGCCTAGCGGTGATACTGGCTGCAGAGGGCTTTGCTGACCAGTGACGCCGCAATATCCACGCTAGCGCCCACTTGTTCTCGACCCCAGGATCCACTTTGCGGGCGACTGTGGGTGGCTCGCGGGGAAAGGTACCCGCGTGCAACTGGCGGGCAACAGGGTGAGAGCGCTGGGCTGCGTTGGGCGCAGGCCTCTCGCTCTCGTGACTGCTGTTGGTGCGTGTCGGTGAGAGGCGAGACACGAATCACAAAAGCAAGCATGTCGCTTGGGCCGTGGGATCGCTGGTGCGGGGGAAAGACGGTGAGAAGAGGATGAACTGATCATGTTGCGTACAAACGGTTGTTGTAGAGACTAGCGGGTGCTCAGGTAGACTATCAATGAAAAGTGGGTTGCCGTAGCCCACTCACTAGCCCACGCTATTACTTGTGACGTAGTGTTGGTTCGCTGCTGCCCTTGCAATACGCAGCGCGCCTTCCGTGCCAACTCACATGTCCCTGCGCTCTCACCTTTATTTATTTACCGCGGGCCCAACAAATACCCCTCCTCCACCTCATATCCACCTCCCGTCCACTTCAACACCTCTACATCCTCCTCAGCCCCTCAATTGCAAGCTCTGCAACCCGCTCGACCTCATCCACCCTAGCACCACTGATCAACACACGCCGCAACCATGGGAAAGGTGAGCCACACACGCGGGTTGCCCCACCTGCCCCGCGCTAACCGGGAGATAGGCCAAGTACATCCTGCTCGACTGCGACAACACCCTCTGCCAGTCGGAGCATCTGGCCTTCGAGGCCTGCGCTGAGCTCACCAACAAGGTGCTTGAGAAGCATGGCATCAACGACAAGCGCTACACGGCTGAGAGCCTCCTCGAGGACTTCGTCGGCTACAACTTCCGCCGCATGCTGCTCGCCCTGCAGCCCAAGCACAACTTCAAGATGTCCGACGAGGAGCTCGAGGAGTTCGTCGAGGCCGAGCTTGGTGCCGTCACCCAGAAACTCAGCGAGAAGGCCGTCGAGTGCCCCGGCGTGACCCCCCAGCTCGAGTGGCTCAAGAAGGAGGGCTACCCCATGTCCGTCGTCAGCACCTCGGCCTTGAGCCGTGTCGTCGCCTCTCTCCGCAAGACCAACCTGGACCGCTTCTTCCCCCCCGAGCACGTCTACTCAGCCGCCACCTCGCTCAACCCTCCTGGCTCCAAGCCTGACCCGGCCATCTACCACCACGCCTGCAAGGAGCTCGGCGTCAAGGAGAGCGAGTGCATCACCGTCGAAGACAGCAAGAGTGGTGCCACCGCTGCCATGCGCGCTGGCATTCCGTGCATCGGCTACGTCGGCATCTACGGCATCGAGGACGGCAAGGAGAAGATGGAGCAGATGGCCAAGCTCCTCACCGAGGAGACCAAGTGCATGGCCATCATGTACGACTGGAAGGAGTTCCCTGAGGTGCTCAAGAAGGTCGAGGCCAAGCTATGAGCAACTTCGCTTGTCGCGAAAGGAAGCTAACATTCGATGGCTGGGTGGCTGACTGGGAGGTCGCCATTACAGGACAAAGTTCTTCATCACATTTGACAGTGCATCACACACGGATAACGAGAAACATGGCTCATGATTGAAAATACCAATACCATAGGTAGACGTAGGATCTGCATTAGATCTGCCCCAAAATATGAACAATTTTGGAACAATGTTTTTGTCCTCACCTGCTGTTGGCAGGAAACTTGCATGTTGCCATGCTTTCCAAAGTGCACTCCAATCATGACGATGCTGATTTCGTGGAGGCGTCGCATAGCGGCCGATGGGTCATCACTCACTCTATCGTTGTCGTAATTCCCCGCTTGCCGACCTCCGATTGCCGGTCCGAATTCTACTTGACTGGTTTGGATGGTCAGCCCATCTCATAATTCACTTCTGGGCGTTGTTCCGCGATCTTCCTATTCGAGGGGTTTTCCCGGTGTAATCACCAGGAAAAGGTGCTGACGATCTTTCCCACCCCCTTCATTATTTGCCAACATCTGAGTCAGCGTTAACATCTCATGTTTATCATGCAGGGTCTGAAATTGGGGTCTTTCATGTCTGAAATGCGCCATACCTGAGGACCAATCGGTAAGCTGTGTTTCTCGGATATTCATAAAACGCAACGGTTGTGGGGTAGCCGCACGGAAAGACAAAGGATCTCTACTCTAGGGTTGGAAGGCCAGAGCATTACTCTGAGCATTCTTGAGTCGAAGCCATGATTGGGCACCTCTGGAAGTGACGGAGTGAGCCCGGGCATAGCGCACGTGAGCGGCTAACGCGGGCCGGTTCTATGAACACCATCGAATACCGACCTCCGATCATTGTTCACATCTCCTCACGCCTACCAATGCACTATCACGGAGGGATGCCTCAGGTGGTCGCATCAGCTGTTTAATGAAGTCTCAATACTCGCTGCAGCCTTCGGGCAGGCCTACTCAGGTCCTGGACATTCGGTGATCTTTCTCCATCAGGACGTTACAACGCTGTTCTGCGGGCTTTCAATGTTTCGTCCTCTGCTCTGTCGGCCTCGCGATCGCGCTATCACTCTAATTAATATAGAGATGCACTGTCGCTATGGGCTCCGATAAGAGCTTGGAGCCCAGTTCACCTTCCATTCAAGTCAGCGGGCGGCGAATCGGAGCATTACGACTTTGGGCGTCCATGCGACACACTGCTGCGGGCAGAAGCGAAATGCACTCGGCTCCTTTGCCATGGCCAAATGCGTCAAGGACTGGAAGAAAACGGGTTACCTACTGCGCCATATAGCAAATGTTGTATGTTAATCGAGGTTAAGCCTACGGGATCGGCAATCTAGGCATTCTCGGCACATCGCGTGCGCTTCGATTTGAGGATGGGGTATCGCTGTCGCCAAGGCTGTTCTGATTGTCCCTCCTTCCAATTACACTCCTAGAAAAGGCTGGGCATGCTTTGTTCAATTTACACAGACCAATGTGGCTCTTCACTTCACCATTGCTACTCAACAGCCTGTTTGACGTTTCAGAGTCGTGCTCGGGGCCATAGGCTTGGGACTGATGGTATCAGCGGGATTAGGAAGGCACTTTGTCCACCTGCCGCCTTGAACATTGCGAATGATTTCTACGAGACGTGGGAACGATACTACTACTGGGGTGGGGGTGGTATATAAGGGTGTGGGGATCTGTTCTGGAAGCCTCCTTACGGCCGTTGTCTTCTTGTTCAGCTGTCTCGAAATTGCCTTGTCGCCATGTTCGTACGAACTGCCCTTCTCTCATTGTCGGCCCTTGTGGCTGCCAAGGAGCTCGCAAAGGACGAGGTCAAGGGAGCTCAGCTTTATGACTCTGGGATCAAGCATGCGAACAACGTTGCGCTCAAGAGGGTACGTCCGGACGAGGGCATACCATACGCTTCGACTAATGTGGGCAGGAATCCTGGGCCAAGCACGAGGCCGCCGGCGTCTACGCATCCGAGCAGTACGCTGAAATTGCAGACTTTGTAGCATGCTCGAACGGTACCGCCAAATCAGGCGCGGATACCTTCAGGTGTAAAAACGTCAGTTTCCGCTTGCCCTGGGCGAACACAGGCTATGCGCTAACACACGATCAGATTGATCTATACCACTTCCTCTCTCACTCAGCGCTTGGTAGCACCAAGGGTTTCGGTTCGTCCTCTTGGGGATGGACAAGCTCGGATGGACGCGAGTTTGTTGCCATCGGTCAGTCTGACGGTACTGCCTTTGCGGAGATCACCAAAGCTGGAAAGCTTTCTTACTTGGGACGTCTTCCTCAGTACTCGACCCCTAGCGAGTGGCGCGAGATCCGAGGACACAACGACTTCGTCATCATCGGCAGTGAAGCTTCGAACCACGGCATCCAGATCTTCGACTGGAAGAAGCTCTTGACTCTTGATCCCGCCAAACCTGTGACCTTTACCAACACCGTTGGTAGTGGTCTGGTCGGCCATTACAACAAGCTTCCCTCGGGTCGCACCCACAACGTTGTGACTAATCCCAAGGGTAACTACATCTACTCCGTCGGAGCTCAGCCACGAACCGACGCTTGCAAGTCCGGCATCATCTTCATCGACATTTCTACTCCTTCGAACCCTGTCAGCGCTGGATGTGCATCTGCAGATGGGGCAAGTCGAATCCCGTAGAAGTTCTCCGCTTTTGCTAACACGTCTTTAGTACGTTCATGACGCCCAATGTGTCTTCTACAAGGGTCCCGATACCCAGTACGTTGGTAAAGAGATCTGCTACGGATACAATGAAGACACCCTGACAATCTACGATATCACCAACAAGAAGGCGCCTGTAGTCTTGTCTAGGACCTCCTACACCGGCGCTTCTTATACGCACCAAGGTGCTCTTCTCGATGTCGAAGACCAACGCTATCTCCTTCTCGATGACGAGTATGACGAGTACGACAAGACTGGCCCCGGAGCTGCTGGCAACCCAATCACGTACATCTGGGACATTTCTTCGCTCAAAGCCCCGAAGCAGACAGGTCTTTACAAATCGGGTGCCAAGGGCATTGACCACAATCAATACGTGTCGGGTGGATTTGCTTACCAGTCAAACTATGGTACTGGATTCCGCGTCCTTGATGTCTCATCGATCCCGAGCGACCCGACGGGCGCTGGCGTAAAGGAAGTCGGATTCTTTGACGTCTACCCAGAAGACGACAACCAGACCGGCGGCGGCGTCATTGATTTCGTCGGCACCTGGAGCAGCTACGCTCTTTTCAAGTCCGGCTACATCCTGGTGAACACAATGGAACGTGGCGCTTTCGTATTGAAGAAGCAGGCAGGTGCGTTCTAGAAGACAGCTCTGATAGGTCCCGCCGATGCTGTTCAATCAACGCACTGAAGGATTGGTGAAAGTACGGGACATTTAGGGATAAAGTTAATGCCATTACCATTGCCTTCGTATTTGATCAAGTCTCCACAAGAAGTCGCTCAATACTTCCTCAAGTGCGCTACTGCGTGGCTGTGAGCCCGAACTCGATGTCGTATTCACAAGTGCTAGTGCAAATATGACCGCTATAGCACATGCCCCAAGCAGTTAGGCCAGGAACGCCTTCCGCCGATCAACGGTTGTGGAGCCGCCGTCGTTGCCTCTGCCCATCAAGTACTCAACCATGGCTCGCAACGACATCTCATCCACTTCTATATAAGCTGACAACAATCCGCACCTCAACGACGGTGAGGCGCAAAGAGACGATCGTTCCATCAATTTGCGTTATCACGCACCGAGATTGTGGCGCCTGCCCAGCTTTTTCCCCCGCCCACCTGCTTGGCATTTCTGCTTTCCTTCCCAATCAGCACGCGCTCGCGAGCGTTTCCATGGGGCGCCCAGACCTTTCCGTCGTGAGGCTATTCGATGCTCCTTCCTGAATTATACTGTATCAAGCCGTTGCAGATTGTACATCGTCAAGATGCCCGGAACCATGTCATATTGCCATCTCGCCAAGATGAGCTTCCTGTCGCCAGGTTGTTGGCGCTGCATATCGCGCGGAATATCGCCTCGGCGGACGGTGCCTGGGCGATGGACGACTGCGAGCTGCCTGATTGGGGATGAGCGGCGATGTTGTGCGAACAATATCCGGACGACTATATAGAGCGGCGTGTGTATCGTTTGTTTTCGTACCACAGCTTCTCTCTGCATTGTCTTTCCCTGTTCCTGTTGGGCTTGTTTTGGTCACCATGAGACTTACTGGACTCATCGCTGCTGCGGGCTTGATCGCTCCTGCTTTCGCTGGAGGAGACAAGGGCAAGAAGCTCGTCACACCGCGAGAGCTCATCAATCAGGTCAAGCTCAAGGACCTACTTGCTGGCTCCCAGAAGCTGCAGGATTTTGCGGACGCGAATGGTGGAAACCGAGCCTTTGGAGGTGGAGGCCACAATGCCACCGTCAACTGGCTGTACTCGGAGCTCAAAAAGACTGGTTACTACAACGTAGTCAAGCAGCCCTTTGTGGAGCTATTCACTGCCGCCACAATCGACTTTTCAGCTGGTGGAACTGAGTATGATGCATTCTACATGGTACGTAGAGTGATCCTCGTCTTCAGCGCGCTAAACTGACGGCTAAATCCCACAGACATACGGGCCTTCCGGAAACGTGACTGCGCCTCTAGTGCAAGTGGCGAACATCGGTTGCGATGCTGCAGACTATCCTGCGGAGGTTTCTGGAAACATTGCCCTGGTTTCGCGTGGAACTTGCCCGTTCGCTCAGAAAGCTACCTTGGCAAAAGCCGCTGGTGCCATTGGCACAGTGATCTATAACAACGTTCCAGGTGCGCTTGCTGGTACCCTCGGTGGTACTGGTGATTACGCTGCTACAGTCGGAATTGCGCAGGAAACCGGCCAGACTTTGCTGGATGCGCTCGCGACTGGTGAGGTCTCAGCTACCCTGATCGTGGATGCCATCGCGGAAAATCGCACCACGTACAACGTCATTGCCGAGACTAAGACCGGTGACAAGAATAACGTGCTCGTCCTTGGAGGTCACACCGACTCCGTTTTCGCCGGCCCCGGCATCAACGACGATGGCTCAGGCACAGTCGGCGTTCTCACCGTCGCCAAAGCCCTCACCAAATACAAAATCAAGAATGCTGTTCGTTTTGCCTTCTGGGCCGCCGAGGAATTCGGCCTGCTTGGTTCCTACCACTACATGAAGACCCTCAACGGCACCATTAGTGGCTCTGCCGCCGAAGTTGCAAAGATCCGAGCCTACCTCAACTTCGACATGATCGCATCGCCAAACTACGTCCTCGGTATCTACGACGGAGACGGCAGCGCCTTCAACCTGACCGGTCCCACCGGGTCCGACACCATCGAGAAGGACTTTGAAGACTTCTTCAAGAACCGAGGTGTCCCATCCGTCCCATCCATCTTCAGCGGTCGCTCCGACTACGCAGCATTCTTGCAAAACGGCGTCCCGTCCGGTGGTCTCTTCACCGGTGCCGAGGAGCTCAAGACCGAAGACGAAGCTGCTCTTTTCGGTGGCGAGGCCGGTGTCGCGCTCGACGCGAACTACCATCAAGCCGGTGACACCATTGACAACTTGTCCACCGAGGCATACCTCATCAACGCACAGTCGATTGCAAACTCTGTTGCCAAGTATGCTGTCAAATTTGAGGGCATCCCGAAGGCAAATGTCACGCTTAGGAAGAGGGATGCTGAGGTCTCGAGGTACATGGCGAGGTTCGCAGATACGCTTGCGGAGGCTCACAAGGGCCATGTGCATGCTGCGCCTTGTGGACAGGGGGCACTGCTTCAGTAGAGAGTGGGTGGGGTTATGAGTGATGAGTGACTACGAAAGAATGTTGTATAGTAGAGTAATGACTAATGTCAAAAAGCAAATTGTCTTGCTTCAATAGACTTGTTCTTGTCATCTTTGATCTCCGGTGCTCTACGCCGCCAAAATTTCCCCTTCCAAATGGCATTCTAGACGCGAACGAGATTGCATCAAGCAGTTGGCAAGCTAGGCGCTCGCAAAGCCTGCGATAGTTGCCCGGTCTGTCACCTCAGATTTGGCGAGACTGCTACATGGTATCCCCTACGTAAGAATCGACGCCACTGCTTACGCCGAAATTCTACAACCGAACCTCCTACTTAAAGCTCTTCTCCACACTCCTCGTTCCAATCAAAATACTCGGCACCACCCCCTCATCCGTAAAATTCGGGGTATCCGCTATACTCGCCTCCTTCGATGCCTCGGCTGCCTTGAACAAGCCCTCCAACGTCTCAAAGTAGCCTACCGTCTGGAAAGCGTACTCGGGCGGTTGTCCGGTCACGGGGTTGGGGTTGAGGAACTCGTTGAAGTGGTAGCCGAGGTAGCCGTAGGGGAGCCATTCTTTGGCGACGTTCGCGATGTGCGTGTTTAAGTAGTAGTCGCGGTTAAAGGTGATGGGCTTGCCGCTTTGGGGGTGGAGGGCGGGAAAGGATACGATCATTGTGGCGGGGCCTGGGGATGCCATGCTGTATCGAGATTGGTGGAGTTCTTGTTGCGGAAAGTGGTGATGCGCTCACGAGCGAGTGTCTTTCCTTATATACGTCTCAAATTACGTTCAGTTTGACTAGACTTCTATGTGACGTTGTCACCACTCGCACGAGATTGATAACCTGAGCTGTGGTGGCCTAGCCTGTTGGAGTATAACTTTGGGGCGGCTTACTCACGCAAGCCCATCTCGGGAAACCTTTGGCCGCGTTCGTTATAACGTAGTGATGATACCTTTGTGTACTTGGCCCTATGCACCTCTGCTGCTTACTCGAATACTGTGCCTCACTCGCGACCTAGTGGAGTCTAAACTTAATCGGTAGTAAGCTTGTCTTATTCCTTGTGTTTGAGGGCAGAATTGTCCACCTCAGCCCCCAATCGCATAGCCAAGGCCTTCTGTGAGCGCAGCGTCCTACATGGAACCAACTCAAGCGTATGGGCATCTTTGTGTAAAGGAAGCAAGGGGATGGAGAGTGTGTGTGGGCTGCGCTTAGCGGCGGCTAGGTCTCGCCGGATTACGCAGCACTACTAGTGAGCCTGTTCCCCAACCATGAAGAGACACACCGATGATTGGGGTATTGAACACCAGCAACAAGGCTTTAACTAATCGCCCTATATGCTCGTTACCCTTGATCGGCAAAAAGCTTTCAAAGCCTTCCAATATGTGCTCTCGGCTTTCCACGTGCTCCGAAATGTCTTCAAAAACGAAAGTAGTCGTAACAAGGAACCTTCTCGACAAAGCTCAGAATCTACTAGATACAGACACAGACATGGAGATAGTGCAATGGAAATCCGAGAAGGTGCAGTGGGGTACTCGATCAACTTCTGCAGCTGATGCGCTGACCATTCGTGACAGCCTTGCAGTAGACCTGTTCCTGGAACATGTCAAAGGAGCATCCGGCATTTTGCTCATGATCTCTGTTAGAGTCGATGGAGCGCTACGAGGCTTCAGGCGATGAGAACCAGGTATTGCGTATTGCTTGAGCAACGCAACATCCGACTTGGATATACGCCAACCCGATTGACGGATGCTGTTACCGACATCAGCGTCATGCTAGTTCTAAAAGCACAAAGAAGTGCGGGAGAAAGCATGGCCAGAGTGGCGGCTGGACAGTGGTCTCAGACGCCCTGGTATCCACCGCTCGTGATCGGATCTGATAATCGTGGTTCGACGGTGGGCTTTCTGGGTTTTGGCCGGATTGCCCAGGCTACTTTGAAGCGCCTCATCGGTTTCGGGATCAAGGACGCGCGGTACTTGACGTCGAAGCCAGAACAGCCAGTCAAGGAAGATCACGTCGGCCTCGTCCGGGAAGCAGCCCTCCGATCCAATCTGCTGAGAACACAAACGAGCTTGCTAGTTCCAGCGACATCGTCATTGTCGGCTGCGCCCTCACAGCATCTACAAAAGACGTTGTGAATACCTCCCTTTTCGCCAAGATGAAGTAAAGGCTATTGCACGTGGGCCAGTGGTTGACACCAGTGCATTGGTCGATGTACTCAGGGGCGGGCAAATCTTTTATTCGCAACTGGACGTAATCGAGGGTGAACCTGACATCGCGAAAGACTATCCCATTTTTGCGTGAGCAACGATGCATTCTCTCGCCCTAAGTCGGCAGCGCAACATTCAAGACGAGAAAGCACATGGCGGAAGAATGCGTCAGGAATCTGTTGGCGAGCTTGCACGGAGATGCGATGGTCAACGAGTCAATACTCTGAGGGAATATTCAGACGTATTACGTTATTACCGCAAGCTACTCCCATGAAACCTCCAACGTCCACCACATCGTGTGGGTCAGTCACATCCAAGGATCAATTTGCCGGGACAAGGCCACATGTTTTTAAAGTCGCTCAAAGCAGTCAGGACTAGTGACGCCATAAGACTGTGCGCATAAGTGATCAAAACCGGCGGGCTTGCGTAGTCAGCCTAGAAGCTCGGGATCTCAGGCCAAGTTCCTGGAACTGTCACAGTTTCTGGACGCGAGGCGGCAATTTTGAAACATGCAGGCAAATTTGCGGGTCAGGCACCACTCCCTCTAGCCTTGCCTTCGCCTGACGATATAACGTAATAGACATTCTTGCGTAGGACATTGCGAGCCTGTCTTGCGATTTCGTGGTCGGCGTTCAGAAGCAATGCGTAATGATGAATTTTCTGGTAGTTGTGTTCGTTCCGAGTCAGTGCGAACAATGACGTGAACGTCGGAGAGCCTCACTCCTTCGAAACCGTGCAGCTTCTTCAGGCTCGTCTCGTCCTGACCGGCATATCTTGTGCAATGAGTAAAAGGTATACGCAAAAAATTGGGGTTGGTTGTCAAAATGAAGGTTGACAGGTGCGGCCCCCAGACGTTTCATTCCGGAACCGAAATCGGACTAGCCTTCATACACGCGCCAGCTAGCGCCCTCCCTTGTGCTGGAAACAGAGCGACGCGTCACTACACACGTCGCTTCGCACACGTGGGCTGGGACGAAGTTTTACCATGGTATGCAATACCGGCCTCGAAGTGGCTAGAGGGCCGTCACGACACGCCAAGATCCCCGAGAACCGTCTGGGCCTGCCGTTCCTCCGTCTAATCGGACAGCTTCCGTCCACTACTACAGTAGTCAAGCCGCCCAAGCTCCACCGTACAGAGTGTCTGTTGTTCCAGCCAAGACTGTACCTGGCCTTGTTTCTCCAGTCACGGCGGAAAGTCTCTTGGCATCTCATGGCGTCCGGAGAAGCCCTCCCCCTGCGGTGCGGCCAGTGGCCTCATAGAACGGAGGCGTGCTATGTACCTCGTCTTCTGTGGCTTGATGCTCCCTCCTACGGAATTCTCTCCTTGACGGACTTCACTTAATCGTTCAGACTTTGCAAATCTTTCCATTCTCTACTTACTTTCTGAGGGCAGGTTACCCAAAATCCTTTTTGTCTAATCCAAGATGTCCTCGATGTCCATGTCGGGGTGCCCAATGTCTGGCCGAGCGGGTGGCGTATGTCCAAGATCTGCTCCTGCAAGCAAGAGAAGTAGCAGAAGTAGCAGGACTGGCCCTCGCGGATGCACTCTTTCGGGGTTTGCACAACCAGGTGACGTGCACGCTGCTTTTGGGGTAAGTATTCCATCTCAAGTCTGTCCTGACCCATACTCATGGTCGCCAGATTCCACAAGATTCAAACGTGGAGGAATTCCTTCGTCAAAGGTAGGTCTGCGAATCAATAATTCTCAGCCGGTCTAACCAAGCCAAGGGAACGGAAAGCCATCAACGAGCTGCTCTACTCCAATGTTCCTTCAATGGACGAGATCAAATCCATCCAAAACGCAAAGGGTGTGAAGAGCCTTGACAAACTCAACGTTGATGAGCGTGATCTGTTAGCTGTTGCTTTAGGAGCACCTGCTCGCCAGGTCATCCTACGAGCTGAAGAAGTTGGCCAAAGCACTGGCTGGCGGGATGGCTACCTTAGTGATGAGTATGGTTTCCAGCCTCCTGACACAAGTGAAGCACCGGGTGCGCTGCGGAACTCACCAGGAAGGGTGTGGATGGACCTTTGCGAACGCATGCCGGGCTGCATTGCTCGCGGCCGCGTGCGAGAGTCAGTGGCTGCACTGCCAATCGTTGAGGGCAGTGCCAACATCATTCCCGACAAGGCCCTTTGGGCAGCACTCGTTGCGCTAGGGATGCTCTGCTCGATATATCGGTACGAGGAGAGGCATGATGGCAACGAAGGGATCAATGTTTCCACGAAGCCTCTCAGACTAGACGGAGTGCCGATGAGCGATGATCTCGGTGACGAAGTCAAAGGAATCCCACGCAGCATCGGACTACCTTACGTTCAGATTTGCATACGTATGGGCCGATCGATCCCTCATCTCACGTTCTTTGATCAATCATCTTACAACGTGGATTACATTGATCCATTGTCGGACTATCCTTACGTTGGTCGATTTGACAACACTGTAGGCACCCTTTCAGATTTGCAAAACCCAGCTAATGTTATTCAGAGACTGCGATGGGCTATGTTCGGAGATGGTGCCGAGCGGGCCTTCCTGAAGGGTTGCGCTGACACTTCCGCAAGCTTTCAGCATGGACCTGACGCTATTGCGGCCTGCCAGGAGCATGTAATGAACAGGAACAATGAAGGCCTTCTGCGGGAGCTCATACGTCTCAAAGAGATCCTCGAGCGTATGCCCCAAGCATTCCATACAATCTCGTTAGCCGGATCAGGAGAGAACTACGTCTCGCCTGCAGAATGGGTGCGATGGGCCAAGTTCTCTGCGCCTTTGTCAAAGAGATGCCCTGCTACTTCTGGTTTACAGTTCCCTCCGTAAGTCTTCGGCCTCCATCTAACTAACTTCCCATCTAACGAATGATAGGTATCTCGTTATGGATGCATTCCTCGGGCGGAAGAAGTACGATTCGTTCCTAGGTGCCGAAGGAGTCCACCTGCGGGCCTGGCTTCCTTCAAACCTCCGCGCATTCATCGCCGCGATAGAGTATCATTACAGCATCCCAGATTACGTGAAAGCGTCCGGAGACCCTAGACTCATGGGCGTCTTTGACGGTGTCGTCGAAGCCTATACCGGCGAGCGAGGCTTCATGGGTGTTCATCGCTACAAAGTCTTTGGTGTGAGTACAGAGCGTCTCGGCAGTAAAACTTCGGCCTACTAACTAGAATGTAGCTTCTCGAATGTGCTGGCAAGACTGGTCGCACTGAGACCAATGGCGCCTCAGGGGCTACGAACGACATGCGACCATGGGAACAGACGCATCATGAGTTCTCAGCGTCTATGAAAGAGCGCCTGGAGCCGTTCCGGGGACAACGCGATCTTGAACCGCATGAAATCCGTGGCACGTTCGAAGAATGTCGTTACCGCGGACGCATCCTGAGCCGAAACTTCGTTGATTCGGACCCAACCCGAACTATTGCTATGGTTACTCTCGATATCCAAGAGGCTGGTATCACATTTCAGCCGGGTGATAGGTTGGCAGTCATGCCAATGAACTCATGGACGGAGTGCGCAAAAGTCGCTGCGGCTCTTGGTCTCGATTCCACGCTCGAAGATACCGTCACACTCGATCGCGTCTGGTCGCGATATGCTGACCACATAGCCAGCATAACCCGGTCGGGAAGGCCTCGACTTACGGTCATCGATTTGCTGCGCAAGGGCCATTTGGCGCCGATTACGCAGGAACTCGCGACTAAGCTACACACAATGCTGAGGGCGTCCTCAAATACCGTCCTACAGGTTCTCGCAACCAATGAATGGCCAGTGCGTGCCTCTCTAGGAGACCTGCTCCAGGCTGCAGTTCAAGATACACCAGCTCGCATCTGGGATCAAGCGTTCGATCTGTCTGGCAATCTTTCATGGTTAGCCGACTTGATACCCGTTGAAGTGCCAAGGACATACAGTATCTCCACACACGCTGACGAGCTCCTACCAAGTAAGCTGCACTATTACCTACAAAGGCTTCTCTAACGGATGTAGGCACTGTCGACCTGACTATCTCACGATCGAACTACGAACTGTGCTCAACCTTCGCCGGCAATGCTAAGATTATGCGACACGGAGTCAGCAGTGGCTTTCTCAACCCGCCCGTGGGAGACGAGCTAGATGTCCTCGACGACGAGGAGCTATTGTTGGGCGTCTCTCGGCCTTTCGCGTTCCAGCTTCCATTCGACGATACTTCGCCAGTCGCACTCTTCGCTGGTGGTAGCGGCATTGCACCGTTCCGGAGTTTCTGGCAAGCACGCTGCGGCCGAACCTGGGGTAAGACTGCACTCTATCTTGGAGTGCAGTCGCGAGAGAAGTTCTGCTATGAGTCGGAACTTCGCCAATACGTCAATGAAGGTTTGATGGAAGTTCACACTGCCTTCTCTCGTGATTCCAGAGGTCTGCTCTACGACCCTGTTACTCAAGACCTCGTTGAAAAGGAGATACCGCCACGCTATATCGACGGTCTCATCGTAGAGCAAGGACAATCCATTTGTGATCTGGTAAGATTGCCCTAGCTAGTCGATGAAATACGCTAAATTTATTGTTCTTCTAGGTCATGAGTAAGAAGCAGGGAGGCATCGGAGGATATATCTATGTCTGCGGTTCGGTAGGCGTCTTCGACTCCGTCATGTCGGGCATTCGCAAAGCCCTTTACAACCATCGCTCGCCCACGATGGAGACCGTCGAATCCATTCTCACGACTGCCTTCGCCGAACGACGGTTCATGCTTGACGTGTTCATGACTCCCAAACCTTTACCGTGTAATCAGCCAACCATACCGCTCTCGCAGCTTGCACTTCATACTGGGCATAAACCCGACTCTCGAGTTTGGATTAGTGTGCACGGCAAGGTCTATGATGTGACGGACTTCTGTTCTATGCATCCAGGAGGTAGGCCCACCACTCGGATGAACTAATGGGAAAGAATTAAGCTAAATCATACAGGTACGAACATCATCAAATCCAATGGTGGTGTCGACTGCTCCAAATCTTTTGATCTTCTCGCACATACGAACAATCCCGAAGTGTCTTCGCTTCTTACCAAGTACTACATCGGAGAGTTGACTCCCAAACCGGCTTATCACTCCGAAGAAGTTGGCATGCTGTACGATCTGTGGAACAGCTTCCTCCGTGTTGCTACCGAGCAGGTCGTAGCTTCCCACTTCGAAGTCGGCATGATCATGGAATCTTCCATTGTCTGGTTCCAGGGCGAACTTTTCAACATGGGTGGTGTTCGTCGATTCTACCACTATCAGTCCCGGTTGCTCCAAGGTGCCTTTTCGGCTCTGTTCGGACCTAAACTACAAGAGATGTATCTCAAGATCTCGTTCGCCTTCGCAAACGCCGCTTCGTCAGCAACTCCTTCGAAGCTTCCCGACGTCCTCGGCATTATTGCTCGTGCTAAAGGATCTAGCGATGCCGTCAAAGCGTCGAATGAGATCTCCCAGATCGGACAGTTTACCTGCAACAGTGAATCTGCTCGGCATCATGAGAAGGGAATCATTGCCTATGCGCAACGCTCTGTGCAGTACGATATGGAATTCCTGGAAGCTATCCGTGATGAAGCATGTACTGGCATGGATGCTTTTGGTACAATCATGGAGCTTGACGCTGCCTCGGACAGCCAACGCATCGCGGCGCTTTCTGCATTCCTTATGCAGGTGCTAGAACGTATGGCTAAGCGCCTTGAAGGGTTCTACACCAAGCTGGCCCGGCACTCAGTGTTCCAGCCTGAACTCGAGAGAAACCCCGCTCGCGCTCGTTGGAACATTCTCAAGAGGAAGGTTCGCGACGGCTCTTTCTTTGTCTTGTCCCGAAACGTCACTATCAGCGCTGCACCAAATTATGAGCCTGCTGTCGGTGAACGTGTAGATTTTGACCAAGTCGTCTCCCAAATTGAGATGAGCCTTGAGCATGCTGATTTGCGATCGCATCGCAACCTTGACCTGAACGAACAGCATGCAGCGAGGGCCATGAACACAAGCGACGGCGCTCCCGCATATGAGCAGCACAATCAGACCAACGCATTGAAGGCCATGTCAAGTTTCATCAATGACAACAAACGCGCAATCCGTCGGCTGAGCAAACTCCCTCAGGCGATCAACCTGGAGCAATTGATGCAAACTTACGGGTCTATGCCACCGATTCCCAATGGCCTTCCCACGCCACCTTCTAGTCGCTCCGCAAGCCGCTCGCCGTCGATCACAGGCGGGCGCGGAAACCTTGCAAGGCGTAATACAGTTACAGACAATCAATCCATGCCGGGTGCAGCACTCCAGCGCCGTCACACCGCTGCCTCCGAAGACAATGCCACCACTCCCACGCACATATCGCCAGCGGCCACAATGTCGGCCTTAATGAACAAAATGAATTCACGCCCTAAGCTAGGTCAAACTGGACTTGTCTCACCGCCTCACAGTGCTATTGGGTCGGCGCAATTCACGGATCGCGCTCGCTCTCTACAACGCCTGCCCATCCGAGAAGAGCAAAACGCGAGAGGCTTCGCCAATGGAAACTGCGCACATGCGCTCAAGAAGCAACACCGGGAGCCTGAGAGCGTTCAGGCTACAGGCTAGCGCAGTAGCTGGTGGCATGAGCAGAAGGGGGGATACATCGGCGCATTGAAACAAGACAATATCAAAATTATTCATGTAGCATTTAATCAAAGCGCTCACTGTTGACGGTGGGCGCAGCCAACCCGAGTCGCTCATTCAACTTCATTGGCCACATGATACCATGGCTTTTTCCGACGTTTGTGCGTTTCGCAGTATTTCAGTGCGTGTCTTTGTCGTCCTTTGTGATGTTTTGCACTGATGGCGCTGTATCACCCTTTGTCTTATTTGCAAACTGAAGTGCTAGCGCCACAGACTTCCTCCTTTGTGGGACAAGTATAATTGACTGGCAAACTATGATGAAGGATTTCCCTATTCCCTTTTTTTATTTTGCAAATCGAGATCAATCCCAGTCACAGAGCGCTTTACCCATACAACACAGTGACGTCAAAAATCTTCAACGTGAACGAAACTCACCCCTACAGCCTCATGGCTACCCCGGATCCCGTACCCAGGAGTAGCCTCGATGAGCCAGTTTTGGTCCATATCGTTGTGTGGCTACTCTTTGTAGGGGGGTCCACCGTTGCGCTTGCTGTTACGGTTGCTCCCATGGTATTTGCTGTTCCGTTATGGTTATCACTTAATGCCGGCGATAGTGCGACGCCTGGAAGCCGAACCCCAACGGCCGCACCCAGAGGATCTGAAAGTACTCCTGAATGTTCGCGGCCAAGGCCAGGGAAGCAATCATAACCCAGGAATTGGTCCGGGTATATCCAACGGCGCGGAGAACGACCAAACGAAACGATTACGCGACCGAGTCAATGAACTTAGACGGAGTCTAGGAAACACCGAAGCCGAGCTTCAAGACTCGCAAGCATCCGTTACAGCACTGCAAGCCAATCTTGCAAACTCGCAAGCAACCGTCAGAGCGTTGCAAGCAGATGAAGTTGCCAAGAGACTGGAAGAAACGGAGTCCGCGCTCGTCGAGTTGCAAGAAGAATTTGATATACTACAAACGACTATGTTTGAGGCGCAAGCAACGGTCAACGTTCTGAAACAGGAACAGGAACACGACCGTAGCACCTACGCAAAGCTCCGAGAAAATCTGGACAATTACAGGGCCAAAGACGGTTCTTTAGCAGAAGAGTGCAATGATTTGCGGGGGAAAATTTCCCGCCTTCGACCAGAACTCGCCTCGGTGCGCAAAGAGCTCGAAAAAGCTCAAAGTAGCAGCTCTAAATACCGGCTAGCCTTCGAACATCTACAGTCGGAGTTTAAAGCCGTGCAGGATGAGATTGCCAGTCGTCGAGAGGAGGTCGGTAACCTTACAGCGCAGCATAATGTTGCCACTCAAGAAGTCGCAAGGCTTCAACAGCAGCTCGAATCTCAGACTGCCGGTACCGAGGAGCTCAGGCAACGGACTGAGAAGCTAGACGCTACCACGCACGAGGTCTCAAGACTCAAGAAAGAGCTCGCATCTCATATCGAGAAGCTCAGGGTTGCTAATAATGAGATCAAGGACCTTAACGAGGAGATCCAAGGCCTTCACACAACAATGAGTGATCAGCAAGAGAAGCTCACCAATCTGCGTACTGAGAAAGAAAAGCTGCAGAAAAAGCTAGATGAAGCGCGCAAAGAAGCTACTCGCGAGCAAGAGAAGCATCAGAACGAGTCCACAGCTGAAAAGGAGAAGCAAAGATCCGACTTGAAAGAGGAGGTGCAGAAGTTGACAAACAGCCTTGAACTAGCGGAGAAAAGGAGTAAAGCTGCGGCTTCCGCATTGAAGAGCTCTAAGAGCAATAGAGAGAAGCTGGAACAGGATCTTTCTGGGGCTCAGAGCGAGAACAAGATTAACAAAGATAGGGTCACAGATCTCGAAGAGAAGCTTGAGAAATTGACCCAGGACGGTAAACCCAAATCGGATGAAGTCCAGGCATTACAAAAGAAGATTTCGCAGCTCGTATCCCAGCAAAAGCAAAACAGACAGGACATCAGCTCGCTTACTAAGGAGCGTGACACTGCCTCGAAAGAAGTCGAGTCTCTGAGGCAGAAAGTTTCACAGCAGCAGCCCGAGCAGAAATCAACTGCGGAAAATGGTTCCCAGCTTGATTTGTTAACCAAGCAGCTTCAAGAAGCTCAAGGCAAGAACAAAGAATTGGAAAAAGAGAAAGAGGATCTCCTCGTTGATATTGACCTTTTGAATGATATCCACGAAGAGGAAGCGAAGAACACCGAGTTGAAAGCGAAAGAGACCAAACGTCGTTTAGCAGAGGAATTAATAGAGGTAAAGAGCACGCTTTCTGCCAAGTTGGCTAAATCCCAAGAGGCATTGAAAAGGGCAGAAGATAAAGCTAAAGCCAAGAGCGGTAGCTCGAAGGCATCGGCCCTCCAGAGCGAACGGCATCTAGGGGACCGCAAGCCCCCGACGCAGCGAGAAGAATACTCTGAAGATGAATACAGTGACACGGGGAGCCCAGGGAGGTTGCGTCCAGATTATGTGCGCCCAGAAGTTCCCATGGAGAAGGCTGAGAAGTACGCAGGACCCCCTGGCTCCCGGAAGATTCTTGCTCCTCGCTTCCACCGGCCTAAGGTTCCAGGGAACAATCAAGCACCTCGACCAGCAATGCCGGGCGACCTACCGCCATCACAGCCAACTACGAAGCAGCCGGTCTCCAAGAGCGGAGCCCTCGCCTCCAAAAGCGAACCAAAGCCGCCTCTGGATCATCCCAGTCCCTTGTCAGATGTAGGCCCAGCTTCTACCGCGCCATCAGCTAAGTCTTCGGGTGAGAGTGGTAAATCGAAGATACCACCAGTAAGAGCGGCCACGAAAGGTCCAGATGTCCACAAGTCTCCACCAGATGCAAAAGGGAAGAATAAGGCCGTAAACAGTGACTCACAGGCACCAGTGCAGCCCGACACAGAACGGTCCAAGCCAACTAGAACAACCGCACCGTCTTCGCAAAGCCCTGGACCATTCGACAATATTCCTGGTCTTTCGAGCTGGAAGAAGCCTGAAGCGGCCCAAGAGATTCCTGGTCTTCCGACTTTGAAAAAGCCTAAAGACGCCGAAGTTCCCCAGCCACCGACAACGAACAAGCAGCCATCGACGACAGATCAGCCGGGAAAGCAAGAAAAGCCGGAGAATGCAGTAGCAAGCAGCTCGACAAAAACCGATGCACCAGAACAAACGGGAGGAACAACTTCGTCGAGACGTAAACAGCTTCCTGGCATATTTTCTATGAAAAACAACAAGCCTAAATCGGCCGTTTCATCTCAGCCATCGACGGCGAAAAGTGAGCCAGCGAAAACGAACGATCAACCATCGGTTACGAACGATACTCCGTCGACCACGACGAAGCAGCCAAAACAGCAAGGAGCAAGCGATTTGCCAAAAACCGCTGCACCAAAGCAAACAGGAGGACCAAAGTCTATAGATGATAAGGATAACAAAGTAAGTAAGAAACATGATCCTTTGGAGCATACACTAACGTTTCACGTCAAGAAGAAAGTACCGGCGATGAAGGGAGGCGTGGGATCGGATGAAGGCAAGCCACAAGGGACCAATCCGCCGGCGAAGCCTCCTGCTGCAGGCACATCTGGGCCACAGGGCTCCCATAAAGCGGCCAAGCCATTCAATGTTTTTGGCTCGCCGCCCCCGAGTCCGCGACCTTCTAGTCTCGGCGCGAACCAGCAGTCAAAAGCCAGCGCACCTGTTGCACCCACGACAACCAGTCAAAGCCAAGGTGCCTCTCAATCTTTTGCCTTTGGAGGGACTGGTCCCTCCGACTTTCATTTTGGATTCAAAAAAGAAGACGGTGATATTTCCGAAGCGGAAATGACTGGCCGGCGTAAGAGAGTCCCGAAGGTAGGTGGCCAGCAGAACATTGCAAAGACTCCGTCACAACAGGCTCTCCCGAGCACAACCTTTGGAGAGAACGACACGTTCAAACGCAACAACACTGCGCCTAAGGCGGACGAGCCTAACCCCTTAACGGGATCTGCTCCCACAGGTACTGCACCACCTCGATCAGGACCTACCCCATTTCAAATGTCCTCAGGAGGAGCCAATACAGGTACTGCACCGCCTCGATCGGGTCCTACTCCATTTCAGATGTCTCCATTCGGAAGTAAGTTTCCTGGGGCAAGCCCAGCTTCTCCTGCGAACTTCAGCGGGTTCACGCCGAACCTCGGAACCGGAGCCTCAGTACTAAACACTGGCACGATTTCTGCAGGCGGGCAACCTAACGCTGGCTTTCAATTTGGAACCAATCCCTATCAATCTGGAACCAATCCCTTTGCTAGTCTAGCTTCTCCTACAAAATCCGTCGGTGGCGAATTCTCGGACTCTTCAACTGAAGACCCAGCGTCAAAATATGGCGATGAGAGCAGGTTAAAGCGGACTAAAAACGTCACAAAATCAAAATCAATATTCAAGTCGAACGCACCTGTCGACAAGAAGAATTCAGATCCACCCCGCCCAGGAAGCAAGTCGAAGGCACCTGTTGGGGAAAACAGCAAATTAAACCCCGCTGCAAGCAGCTTCTCTGATCCGAACAATTCTGTCCTGCGCCCCGATCCAACGAAACCCCCAGCTTTTAATCCTTTCGCAACGGCCAGCGGAAGCACAAGTTCATTCCAATTCGGCGAGGGTACCCGTGGTCAAACACCCAGCTACTTTCCCGATGAACTGTCGCGTGCTGGCAGCAGAGATCCTGATGACCCGACCCGGGTGCCCGTTCCTAATTGGGGCCCTGGTCTTGACCAATCCGCTGGTCATAGCCTTGGTCCTTACAACTTTAGTGGATACAATAATCCTGCTCATACCCTTAGTCCTTCCAGTCCTACTGCTTCCAACACCGGTGTTTACAGTCCTGATCTCACAGACGATCCTGGATACGGCCCTCCTCCGAACCCGCCTCCGTTCAGCCCTCTTCAAGACCCTGTATCTTACGACCCTGATAACATGGACGTGGATGAGTTCGCTAGCAACCCAGACCAGGGAACCGTTCCCAGGCCAGACGAGGTGCAAGGACCGAGTACCGGCCCCGGAAGAGGATTGGATGCCGGTTTCCTAGAGCACGGCTCGGACGACCTGGAAATGACCGACGGTGATTCCCCGCGGCGGGGGGAAACTGAGGAAGAAGAAGTTGCGCGTCTCATAAAGGAAGATTTCGACCGTGAATCAGACTAAGGTTTCAAATCACTCATATCCTCGCGCGGCGACGAATATCTTGATGAACTCATGGCAAAGATGGGGAAGAAGGCGATGGTTGAGATGGAGATGATCCTACAGAAGAGGGGAGAATAATGACTGGTGAGAGAACACGAAGGAAAGATTGATTATTGAAGGTGTTCAAGTATGATTGTGTGTAAGGTTACTAGTTTAGCTAGGACGGGTTGCTAGTGAGGGAGGGAGCTGGATGGTATCGGTGATTTGAGAATCTGGACTAGGTAGCCTGCGTTCTGGTTTGTTAGATTTTCCCGTGCTACTGGCAATGGCCAGCATTGTTTTTTATGTAAACTTTTGAAGTTGTGTTTAGTGTAAAGGTCGCATTGTAATTCATAGGAGTCCCTGTTAGAGTAATGGTCTTTTTGATTCTCGGCTATTGTACGATCAGTGAGTCTATCCATATCTAACCTCACCTGTGCCCTCGCGAAACCAGTCATCATTTGCGATACTCTCTTCTGCTGTGGCGAAGTTGATGATGGTACTCTTCGTTGTCGTGTATGCATGGTAGGCATCTTGTTTCAATGTTAGCTTCGTTTGTCTCAACTTCGTGTAAGATATGCTGTCACTTACCGACACCGTTCTCACTCCCCACACCCGAGCTTTTGATCCCACCCCAAGGACTACTCGGATCATTCCGATGATGCGTATTTACCCAACAGATACCCGCTTCAATCGCCTCCGAGACGCGATACGCTTGTGCCAAGTCCTGCGTCCAAATCGCTGCACCCAAGCCGAATTCACTGTCGTTCGCAAGCTTCAGTGCTTCTTCTTCTGTATCGAATTCTACCACCACGATGACCGGACCGAAGGCTTCCTCTCTCCAGATGCGCGTGTCCACGATCTTGTGCTTATCGCTGTCGGCCAAAATAGTGGGCGGGTAGTAGTAGCCTTTGGAGAAGTCGGTGCCGTCCAAGAGAGATGTATCGGTCATGCGCTTGCCCCCTCCGTACAACCATACACCGGACTCTAGCGCCTCGTCCACGAGCGCGCGCACGTTTTCGAGCTGCTTGGCTGAGATGAGCGGACCCATCATAGAATCGGGATTTGAGGGACTACCCATGCGACGCTCGATGCTCTCAGCTTTCTTGCGAAGCGCTCCAAGGACCTTGTTGGTGATGTTTTTGTGTACGATGATACGAGTGGCTGCGACGCACGTTTGTCCACTTGCGATGAAGCTGCCGAACGCGATCCCATTGACAGCGGCATCAATGCTGGCATCTTCGAAAACGATGAGAGGGGCTTTACCGCCGAGCTCTGCGGTGAAATGCGCGAGGTTACCGCCAGCTATGGCGCCAATTGCACGGCCTGCGGGCGTGCCGCCTGTGACATCCACCTTTTTGATGAGTGGATGCGATACAAGTGCCTTTCCAGTGTTGGCTCCGTCTCCGGGAAGAACAGTAAAGACACCGTTGGGAAGACCCGCCTCTTTCAACAGCTTACCCAGCTCGATGCTAGTAAGTGGGGTAAGTTCACTGGGCTTCAAGATGACACAATTCCCTGCCGCAAGGGCAGGCGCGATCTTCTTCACGGCGATGAGCATCGGGTGATTGAATGGAGTGATCTGGGCGACGACTCCCAATGGCACGCGATCAATCCAGTTATGAAGCTTCCCCATGGTAGGCATCACGCTTCGCTCTTCGGTCCGGATCAAACTGGCATAGTATTTGAACCACTTCGTCAAAGTCGGGACCTGAGCGTTCATCTCTCGAATAGCGCGTCCACTCTGTCGAACTTCCAGCTCAATCAGCCGTGGAAGGTTCTTGGTCAGAAGATCTGCAGCGCGCTCTAGGGTATCTGCGCGGACATGGCGGGGTGCTTTCGACCAAACACCTGATTTGAAAGTGGTGTGCGCTTTGCGCACTGCTGAGTCTACGTCTTCTGGAGATGCTGCATGACAAGTTGCGAATAACTCTCCTGTCGAGGGATCCTCAATCGATAGTCTGGATATGGTTAGATGATTGAAAGATGCTCCCATGGAGGGGTAGGCTGACTGACTGCTCCGCTTGACCTTCAACCTCCTCTCCTCCTACCCACATCTTGTATGTTTCCATAGCCATTTCGTGTATGAGATGTGTTCAGTGTTCAGTTGTACAGATAAGCAAGGATGGACCGCGGAGTTGGCCGATGGCTTACTCAGAGGCCTTGGCACCATCTACACAATGCGTGCCTCGGGAGAGTGTTTACCAGCCGTGATTTCGAGCAAGTACATCACTGGAGCAAACCAACAGAAACGTTGTTGGGATATCAGCATCGCATTGGTCGCTACTTAACTGTACACAGATTCAAAGTTTATAGAGTTAACGTGGTGTGCAGCCAGCCGATCCATGGATTTGCGGAAGGAGGTCACACATAAGGTATATGCAAGGAGAAGACGTCCGTCTGTATGGATTGCATCGGACAAGCCAAGAGTGAAATGGTCAGATCTGTCCCCGACTACGTGCACCGATAGTGCATACACATTACCTGTGTGCCTGTGAACGAGTCCCCGCATCGACGGTGAATGACCCCGCTAAACCTTGGCAATGACTCAACCCAACCCCAAAAGTTCACGCGTCTCGAACTTACAAACACCAAAATTCCACCAGACGTTCCCGCGGCTGCATAATACCCAGGACACTCAATTAACAAGCCAACATCGCCCAATATGAGCGTTCACACGCCCACGGCAGAGAAGCCGCTCCCCGACTTCGACATTGTCTCCACCTACCGCTCCATCCTCGCCGGCGACACCGAGCTCACCATGCCCGTCGCCGCCATCGAAGCCCTTGTAGAAGCCATAGCGCACTCGAGCGTATCCACCGTCGCCGAAACCCTTGCCCTCCTCGAGCACCACACCGCCGTCCTCAAAGCCTCCATCGCGAATCCCATTTCCCTCTCCGCGGGCACAGATCTCTTTCAGCGGTACCTCATTACCACGCTAAATAGGCCTGCGGCTTTGAACCTAGGCCCAGGCGATGATTTCAGGGCAATTAGGAATCACTTATTGAGCAATGGGAGGTTGTTCGTAGAGCGCGCGAAGCAGAGCAGGGAGAAGATCGCCAGCTTCGGCAAGCATTTCATCCGCGATGGGGCGACGGTGCTCACCAACGGCGGTTCAAGAGTTGTCGGTGCACTGCTACGACGCGCAGCCGAATCCAGCACCATGCGTTTTCGAGTCGTATACGTCCTCTCAGATTCGAAGTCGTCGGATCTCAAGGAGGGAGACCAGATCGTAGCCGACCTACGGGCGCACAACGTCCCCGTCGCTACAATCCCCGACTCTGCCGTTGCCTACTCCCTCGGCGAAGTCGACATGGTCATTGTCGGCGCGGAAGGCGTCGTCGAGAACGGAGGCATCATTTCGAGACTGGGAACGTACCAGATGGGCTTGCTGGCTAAGAGCAAAGGAAAGCCTTTCTACGTCGTCGCAGAGAGCCATAAATTCGTCAGGCTGTATCCGCTCAGCCAGTTTGATCTTCCCATCGAGCAGAAGGTGCTCGAGTTCCGGGTCGCCGACGACACCAAAGGCGCGGCTTCCAAGGCTTCGGAGGACGAGGGCATAGCAGACATGAACGGCACAAAGGCGAAGTGCTCAGGCCTCAATGCCGACGATGCTGTTGACTTCACAGTAAGCTCCCCACACTGTCCATTGTTTGTTCAAAGCTAACCATGCGAACAGCCGCCCGATCTCATTTCAGGGATCATCACAGAGTCCGGCGTGCTGACGCCCTCCGCGGTGTCAGAGGAGCTGATCAAGATCTGGTTCTGAGCCCCAAGCCTGAGCTTTCTTGACCATGCCCCACAAGTCCCCCTCGTCCAAACCGCGTATACAACATTGAAGTATACCGAACCAATCTAATGTGCAATAACAGGAGCGATGAGTACCTCTTCCGCGGCGGAAACCTCGGGTTCCCCAAGCACGGCTTCGGAAGGACGGTCAGTAGCTCCGACGAACATCATGTCTGGACTGGCGAGGCGCTAGACGAGGCATGAGTGGACATTAAGTGAAGGTGTTTTGGAGAACTAGCGACATGTGTATGGCGGAGGAATTGGGAGGAACGCGGTGTTGCTCTAAGACACACGATCTGCAATTGAGTGCGTATAGTCGGCGTTATCATGCGGTGGTGGAGGAAAAGCATTTGATACCCAATCATTGAAGCAATAGGACCATACATATCTAAGTAGCGAGCGAGAAGATTAGGGGATCTGAAAAAATCCAGTTCCTTCTATTGCAGTAAACTTCCTGTAGTACTGGATGCACTCTGAGTCTGTGCATTGGCACAGATAGTGGTGATCCGGTGCCTCAAATCTTCCAATGCATATACCAGCGAGACTATTCCAGTTCAAGCCGAGACTGCCTTTTGCTGTGTTTAATCAGATGTGAGGCCCAGTCCCCTGACATGTTGAAGCCGCAAGTTCAACAAATCAATCCTTTGGCGGGACAGCCAGGATCCCCCAGAGTAGTACTGTCGCAATGTCAAATCTTGTGTTTTTCAGTATAAAATGCAGCAGCTTCTAATGACTTTCATTGGTTGGCTTCATAGATTTCTCGCGATACGAAGATACATGTACGGGTCGAATGCTAAAGCCATCGAGGGCATCGAGCCCATACTGACATGGTCGAAGGACAGCTCGCTTCACGTCGATTCGAGACTTGGCCACAGGGGATGTATCGTGACCCGTTCAATTGATCTTTCCTTCCTTATTTCTGCGCTGGATGCTCTTTTCCATTTCAAGTCGTTCTCTAATTTCACCTGCACGCCCGAATTTGGACAAGATTGCGGTCACGTCAGCCACTGTCCCCGTCCTTCACCTTCACCTCGACCGCTATGTCCATGTAAACACAAACAAACCCCTATATAAATCCGCATTCTACGCACACCCTCAGCAATTCTCTTTACGTCGACTCTCTCACCACTCGAGCAGTAAAAGCTATTCTTAATCACTGGTAGCACAACAGCAATCCTTTCGCCCAATATGTGCAAATACTACAAGAAGGCAAGTTCCCTTAACCTTCTCTCATGCCCTTTCTAACTATCCGTCAGATGTTCACCTGCGGCCACCTCTCCCTTCTCTACGTCGACCGTTGCATCACCGCCTTTAAACCCGGCAACGAGGCTTGCACTCCCTCCGCCGACACAGACCATGACCCTGAAGCCTTCAAAGAGCAGCTCCGCCAGGAAGCCCGCACCTCGTACTTCGCCTGCTTCGACTGCCTCGAGGCCGAGGGACTTACCGAACTGCGAGCCGCCGCTGAAGTCGCCGCCGCGAAGGAAAAGGATCCTGATAAGCGCGATGTGATCCTCGTCAAGATGGCCCGGTATGAGGATAGATTGGTCAAGGTGGAGGCGAATCGCAAGGCTGCGGAGGTTGGGGTAAAGGTCGAGCGGGAGCAGGACCGCGCTGAGGGGGAAGTCCTAAAGGCTGAGAAGGAGCAGGACCGCGCTGCGGCGGAAGCACTGAAGGTGGAGAAGGACCGCGCGGCTAAGGAAGAGGGTGCGTGGATCGAGGCGCCTGCTCGGGGGAGCGCGCGGAAGAAGAAGGGGAAGCATGGGCGGGTATTCCAGAACCCGACGCAGTCCGCGCCGCCGACGCCGACGTTTGGGATGGGCGTCGAGGGCGGTGTTGGCGGACGTGCGGGCAAGATGGGGGAGTTCAGGAAGGATGAGCCGAAGAGCGCGAATGAGGTTGACGCTGGGAGTAGGGCTGAAGCTTGGCCGAAGAAGATCCTGACGAAGGGCGAGAATCAGCGGGAGGGTGCGTGGAGGAAGTGAGATGGACGAGTGAGGAGTGGTGTCATGGTATTGATTCGCGAGCGTGCCCTATAGTGTACGGTTTTGGCGGTTTCGGGAGATGTTTGGTCTTCACGACTTGGCAGCATGTTAACGCTGACTGGGAACATGCGCTGGATATGAAGGTCTCACTTGAGAGACTCTAGACACAGAATCAGAGCTGGTCGATTTTATTCATTCAATTGTGTTAGAAAATGACCTTCAAAGGTGTGCGAGTACCACCTTAAAATGTAATATGGGCCAATTGAACATCGAGCCTATTCAGTCTCAGCCTACTCGAGTATTTTCCGCTTGTGCAGTTCTACTACACCTGAACCACGCTGTGACTAAGTTTGGACATCAGGTTCCTTAGCTTGAAAGCAGAAAGGTGTGTCGATAATTGCAATGTTTCACAAGATGAAAGCAATTCGGTCCTGGATTAATCTCTCGCACACTGTAGCCATCCACAGAACACCGGCGACCGGCACACAGTATCAAAACGGTATGTTCGATGTTGCATATTTCAATTCTGGCTTCTGAATTGGTTCTTTCGCAGATTGGTCGATGTGACGTATCGAGTGTCAATCTATCTTGCTAATGGGTTCTGTCGATGCACAATCTCTCCTAGTCATCTTTGTCCGTGCACCGTAGCGAGGAAAGTCAGTACCTATATGAACTTACAATGTTTCACGCTTTCTGGGCGTTTCGAGGTCGAGCGATTTGCGGCAACTAACACAAGCCATGTGCATGTGGTATGTCGAGAAGTATAACGAATAGAGAGCACCTAGGCTGACCAGAAACAATATGATATGCCTTGGGACCGACAAATAGATAACGCAAAGATCGTGGTAAAGATCGTGAAGAAGTTGTGAATAGATTATTGTAAAATAGTAATCTTCGGAAAGGCAGCTTATGACAAAGACATGACACAGAATCGAAACAACAGTCCCAGCTGAAGCAAAGTAAAGGAACTGGACGTGAGAATGAACCGCCTCGTGACGAAAAAATATCTCGAGACTACAGTGCCCATGTGAAAGGGAAAATATTTTGTCTACCAGGCCAGGAGCCTTTTGTGAATGCGAGAACGCCGGAAACCGAATATATTGTGGTCGAGAAAGTGACGTAAATAATCAGCCGTAATCGTAGGATGTAAGCATCGAAATTTGAGGGAAAATTAACAAGTGATTGGCGAGAAAGACAGAAAGCAAGAGGCTAATCGACGAGAAGACGCAAGGACGAATGAAGGCTTTCAAGAAGACGAGACTATCGACGACTGTAAATTGTGAGTCCGCTGCTCCAACCCTGATTAACGCATTTCCTACCTGTAAGCTGCATCAACCTGTGATCGTCGTTTGCGCTTCGTGTGGTCGTCTTGCTGCCGCGTGTGACCATCTTGATCAGTGTCCTCGTAACTCCTCTTTCGCGCGGAGCTACTGTCACTTCGATTCAATTGCGGATGGGCCGCTTCTTCTGTCCCAAAGCCGGGCCCAACGGCAGTCTTGTTGCTACCTTCCGAATGCGCTGGACTCATTGCGGACGCCGAGGGCGAAACACCGTTCCCATGCGGTTGCATTGGTAAGTTCGATGGCCGTATATTTGTACGCCCATCATTCTGTACAGGCAGCGATTGAAGTGAAGTTGCAGAAGACATGGATCCGTATGGACGTGGGATTGCAGTACCATAAGTTGAGTTGCGATGACCACCGTAAGACTGAGCTCTGTGTGGACCAACCTCGGGACGTGGAGGAATACTCGTAGAAGGTGGTGCTGGGGGCTTTGGTGGAAGCGAAGCTAATACATGATCGTCGCGCAATAACGGTGGTGCTTCGCCAGATGGTGGCTTAGGGGAGCCGGTAACACCGAGACGGGCGAGAATGTCTTCCTGTATTTGGTCCCTCGAGGTGTTCAAGGCCGGACGTATTGGGGTTGGTTTCTTGACGTCTTCCATATCGCCTGATAGGGCCTGTTCGAGATTGTCCATAACATTCCATGCAGGATCGTGTACATGTTCATTGCCTTTATCAGCGACCTCGGCTTCATTCTCGTCGGGTCGATCGCGTAGAGAAAGACAAGATTCGATGGAAACAAGATTTCGCTCCATCTCTTCCTCGGTGAATACCACGAAAGCAGGATCATCTTTGATGTTGTACCATTCGTCTGTTTTTCGCACATCCAGGAAAGCTTCGTACGAATTCTCAGCTGCGAAGTACAATGACACAGACTCTCCGTTGCCGAGTCTCTCTGCGGGCGGCTTGAGCGACTGCTCTTCAGCCTCTGCGAATGTCGCTGGGAGCGCTCGCGTCACTTGTTTGGCAGGCCGCCATGTAATGACTCCAAGGCTCAGGTCAGGATCGACTGGCTCGTTCGCCTTTGGCCAGATAGCACCATCAAAATCAAAATCCCAGTCGTCCCACCCAAGAAACAACGGCGGATTTTTTTCTGGAGCGACTTCACTCGTAGCACTCGGAGGTTGGGTATTCGTGGGGGTAGACTGCGCAAATGCCGGATTCGCCGATGATGGAGTAGGAGTGGCGTTCGGATCTGTTGTCGGCTGGCTGTTGGCAGGAGATACACCATATGAATTATATTGATTCGGGGGCGGATATGTTGCTGAGCCAGGAGTTTGTGGCCAGCCCTGTGTATTAGGCCAGGCCGGCTGGTTTGTATTGATGGGAGGCGGTTGGTTCGGATACTGCTGGTACCCAGGTTGCTGCTGTGAATAATGTTGCGAGGCGGGATAAGGTAGTGATTGTGATACAGGTGGCTGAGGATAGCTCTGCGGCTGTTGTTGCGGCCAATGGTAGTTCTGCGTTGGCTGATACCCTGACTGGGGAAAGCCTTGCTGAGAGGGATGGCTCTGTGGTGGGCCGTAGCCCTGTGGCGAATATCCTTGCGTCGGAGAAGGGCCTTGGTATGGCGGTGTGGGATAGGGAGCTGGGGCAGTAGGACCATGCGAATAACCTTGCTGTGGTGTTGGATATTGGACTGTTCCGAATGGACCCTGTGGTTGTGCGGGGCCCCGATAACCTGGCGGGGGAGGATATCGGGTAATAACTGGGTTCCCCTTCTTCTTCGGCGGACTGCATTACATTAGCAGACAAAAAAAAGGCTTTTCAAAACGTCCACGGAATGCATGCGCCATGAAAGCAGTACGAGAATTGACTTACAAGCTCTTCGGAGGCGGTGGAGGTGCGCCGGGTTGGGGATGTGAAAAGCCACTTTGATATTGACTATATCCGGGCTGTTGCCCATATTGAGGAGTTGGTTGATTGGGAAAAGGTGCCTGGCCAGGATAGCCGTTGCTGTACGGTGGTTGTTGGAACGACGCGACACCCGTCGCCGCTCCATTCCAGGACATTTCGTGTCTCCAACGATGGTCGAGATACTACTTCCGGAATTCGAGCTATGGAGAATTGAGAGTGAGGGAAGTTGAAAGACAGGCGACTAAAGGAGAGTAGTAAATCAACATAGAGTAGCTGCAGTGTTCAACCGTGGGTCAAGATGCGTGCCAAGGCGGTGAACATCTCCAATAGTCCCAAGCAGTTCGAAAAATGTAAATCGACAAAACGCTGCTTCTTCAAAGATGAATGTGGATAGTAGAGTAAATTGGTTGCAGGTAGCAGACCAAGGTTTGAGAAGAAGCGGTGGAGCGACACGTGAGGCTGCTGATGTGAGGGGAAAGAAGCAGCCACAGCATATACGGTGTATTCAGATGGTCGGGAGACGCGGAAAGGACGTGCAACGGCGGAATCGACAACAATCGAAGCATTAAAGCAAAATAACGGCAATTACACAACAAGGAGATGCGGCTTGAGTAGCGAAGCGTGGGGTGTCTTGCAAATGGCTCGAGACATGAGGTCTGTCAAAGAAATCCAGACTATCCCGCATCGAGCACAGACCCTCGCGGCGGCGGCATGAAGACGGCAAGCCGAACGACAACGCGATCTTTTGCCTCGCCCGTCCGCCCGCCCACTGCGCTCTCGCCGCCACCACCCCCAAACTGCGCGCTCCGATGCTTCCTCGAGGATGATTGTACGGTATCGCCATCTGCTCGCGACCAGTATTCACTCCGTGCCCTGAGCCTCAAGCGCACGCAGGAGCTGCCTCGACCGCCTTACAAATCCCACCATGCCTGGTCTTCCGTGTACGCACCGCGCTTGTTAGCTTGTATGCAGGCCTGTGCTAATATGCTCTAGCTACGGTTGACCTCGACGAATGCATATCACGTCTTTACAAGAAGGAATTGTTGGCCGAGTCCGTCATCGAGGCTATATGCGCAAAAACAAAGGAGTTGCTTATGAAGGAGAGCAATGTCGTACATATCAAGGCACCCGTCACCGTTGTTGGCGACATACACGGACAATTCTTTGACATGATTGAAATATTCAAGATCGGAGGTCCTTGTCCAGATACGAATTATCTGTTCCTCGGTACGTTGGCCGCTTATTTGCCTCGCGGCACGCGACAACCGCTGACTGGTGTGCTTTCCAACAGGTGACTATGTAGATCGTGGGCTTTTCTCTGTTGAGACGATTTCGCTGCTTGTATGTCTCAAGCTACGCTACCCCCCACCGAGTCCACCTCATCCGCGGAAACCATGAATCGCGCGGCGTTACGCAGTCATACGGGTTTTATACAGAATGTTCACGAAAATACGGCAACGCAAATGTATGGCACTATTTCACGGACATGTTCGACTTTCTCACACTATCTGTGGTCATCAATGACCAAATCTTCTGCGTGCACGGCGGCCTTTCCCCATCGATACACTCGATAGACCAAATCAAGATCATCGATCGGTTCAGGGAGATACCCCACGAAGGACCAATGGCAGATCTTGTGTGGAGCGATCCGGACCCAGAGAGAGACGAATTTTCGCTGAGTCCACGAGGAGCTGGGTACACTTTCGGAGCGCAAGTGGTGAAGAAATTCCTCGAGGTGAATGCCATGTCCCACATCTTACGGGCACATCAGCTATGCCAAGAAGGCTTCCAGGTTTTATATGACGACAGATTAAGCACAGTCTGGAGTGCTCCGAACTATTGTTACCGATGTGGTAATATGGCAAGTGTGCTGGAGGTCAGCGATACAGGGGGAGAGATTCTTCAATGTCTTCGACGCAAGTCCTGAGAACGATGTGCATCGGGCGGAGCAACAGCAACAGCAAGGGAGAGAGGTCACGACCGAATACTTCCTATAATACCCATCGGAATACAATGAATGATACCCTCTTCAGCGCTCAAACACTTGACTTATTATCAGATTGCCTCATCAATGCATTTGCTCCAATGATACTCCAATCATACTCCAGTATATGCAAAATTATCAAACACCATATCGCTTCCGTCGCAACATGCCGTAATATATGCAAAACCACATCAACATCCCAGATACTTCGTCTCCACCCACCGTTCTTCCCTCTCGTCGCCCATCCGAGCGACAACGCACCGCACTCCAGGGAACACCCTTAGAACACGATTTACACCGATTCTGCCGGCCATGTATGTCACGAATACAATCTTATCATTAGGTACTCCGTGATCAACGAGTACCTTAACCGCCATCAACGCCGCACCACCACTACTCATCTGTGGATCCAACACGAGGACCAGCCCATGCTCTGAGATGTTCGATGGTAGCGCGCGGTAGTGCAGTTCAGGCTCGCCCGTGCGGTAGTTTGTCTGGATAAGAATACGGCCTGTCCGGCAATCGGGGATAGTCCTCCTGAGACCAGTCTCGAAGGCAGAACCACCGCGCAAGACTATCACAGCGGAGATTTCCTTGCTCTTATGTAATCCCATGTATAAGTAACCCTGTGGCGTCTGAATCTGCGCCGGTGTAAAAGGCAGAAAGTCAACTGCCGTTTCAATCAAGAGGGACACAATGCGGTCGAAGTAGAAAATATAGTCTTCACGATTCGTTTTCGGATCCAGGAGTAGCGTATGAATCCCCTTGACCTGGTTCGTCTGCTTTATCACCAAGGCGTTTGGGCTCAGCGGGCTATCCTCGGCAATCTTCCCCAGCCTCAGAAGTTCCAGCTGGTGCTTTCCCGACTTAAGCGCAAGCGTATTCTGGATTTGACTCGACACCATAGAAATTGCGACTTTATTCTCTATACCTCTTGGGATGATGATGTCGGCGATGTCGCGCTGCGGCTGGACAAATTTGTAAAAGTTGGGCTTGACGAAGCCAAACCATTGCTTGATGCAGCCTTCTATGTCGCGGCCGCGCTCTTTGACATCTCGGGCGAGACGGCGTGAAAGGCAAAGATCGGCGTCTGCTTCGGCGAAGATCTTGAGGTCGAGCATGTCAAGGACGCGCTGGTCGTGCAGGGCGAAGATGCCTTCTACGATGAGGACATGAGGGGAGTAGATGGTTGTGGTTTGGGGGAGGCGGGCGTGCTTTTCGAAGGAGTACACTGGGATCTCTGCGACTTTGCTGGGTGGTGGTCAGTCACGAACAATGCAGTGCAACCCAAAAGGTGTATGTACCCCTGCTTGATATCTTTTAACTTGTCCACAAGGACGTCAAAATCAATAGCTTCTGGCGAGTCGAAGTCATACTCGTTATTGAATGCCTTCTTGGACTGCTCAGGGGTCAAGGGTTTGTAGAAAGAGTCCTAGAGCGACAGTGAGAGGTGCGCACGTGACACCTGCGTGTGGTTGGGAGCGCACCATGGACATAATGACAACCCACGGAAGGTTTAATCTGGCTACGATAGCCAAGGCAAGTGATGTCTTGCCCGAGCCCGAGCTTCCAGCCACTCCAACAATGCTCGCATCTCCCCATGGTGGGGAGTAATGGATACGAGAGGTCGGTGTGGAAGTCATGATCAAGGTCTGACAAGATGGACAAAAGACCGCGAGCTCTTGTATGATCACCTCATATTTTGCCAAAAATATCTCTTGAATTGCACCTTCCACAGTAACAGTACACCGCCAAAACCTGAATTTTGAAGCTTCGGACTCGACCGAGGCCTGAGAGACGAAGCAAATTGGGAAAGCGGCGATTACATAACGGGTGCACGGTCGCCCAAGTCCCACATCAAAAACTTCGTGCATTTACCTCTGCCCTCTTACTGCATACAACGATCCTACAAGAGAGAACCTCTCGTTGCTCTCACAACCTACTCATCATGGGGTGAAGGTGTCATTTGTTTGCCCAAGGGCTTGTACAACTGACAAACAACGTCTTGCTGGCACGCATCGTTATGTAAGCCATGCACGGCCTTTTTCGCTAAATCAAAGCTGTCTGCAAGCTCCACTGCAACTCACTCCTCTCCCACCACGCCCGGCAAACTCTGCGCGCCGCCAGCACATTCGACTGCGGCCGGGCCGCCTGTCTCTCACTTACTCATGGACGTCGGATGAGGTCTCGAAGCCCGTTATGGTACGTTTAGTGGTTGTAGCGCTCTTTGTTCGCACGCTTACCGTTGGGTGCAGAGCTCCTCCACCGTATCAGTGTCGGCTCCGACGCCGACACAACAACACCCCTTCCAGCGGAAGATTGATGAGATCAAGCCTTCGAAGCCGTAAGTTGCCTCGATAATTGCTAGTCGCCGCATATGCTCGGTTGTATGATGTGCCAAAAACAAGTTGGGAATCTCTCCGAAACAACGTGTGGAGCATAAGTTAACTTGAGATCTGATTTTCGAGCATATGCGGCTCTTTGTCTGGTGCATGTCTTCTTGAGCTAACCAGATACAGAGACATTGACTTCCTTGTAATGGACTACCTCATTAGCCATGGATATCCACGCACGGCCGCAAAGTTTGCGAAAGAAGCTGGCGTGCCTACGCACCTCCTCGAGGAAGAATCGATTGAGGCTCGCGTAGAGATCAGGCACGCCATACACAAAGGCGACATTGATACAGCCATCAATAAAATCAACGATTTGGATCCACAGGTATGCTTCGCACCTTTCGTACTTCCACTCCCCTCTTCATGATTATAATCAGTTTCATGCACCACGCATAGCACTTTGTGTGATGATGATAAGCAAACCTTCAGTCCTCAGTATGAATTTCAACATCGCTTTATTATCTAGCCAGCTTGTTTTGCGATCACGGCTGACATCACTTAAGATCCTCGATAAAGATCCTGCATTGCACTTCGCACTCCTGCGACTGCAGTTGATCGAACTCATCCGAAACTGCACATCAGCACCCAACTCTGACATCACGCCCGCTATCAATTTTGCTTCCTCTCAACTCGCGCCGCGCGCAGCCACCAACGAGAACTTCCTGAAAGATCTCGAGCTCACCATGACGCTCATCATCTTTCTGCCCTCGAACGACCTCCAACCCCAACTGGCAGAGCTTCTCAAGCCTGAGCTACGACAGCAAGTTGCCGCCAAAGTCAACGAAGCTATCCTTACAAGTATGGGCGCCCGAGGCGAGGCAAGGATATACGGCCTCTATCGAGCACGGCAGTGGAGTGAAACCAGGGCACGGGAAGCAGGCAAAGACCTGCCACCGAGCTTGCCGCTCGGTCTGGAGCCCAGCCCGGTACACGCCAACGGACATGGTGACGCTGCAGACGTTATGGTCCAATAGCACGGCGGTCTGCCAGCGACTCGCCGTGATCATGACACGGCAGTTCCAGATATTCTAACCGAGGCTGCGAGGCCTGTCAGACGAGCTTGCACCCACTGCCTGCAGCATCGATGCGGTTGCCCCAGTCCCTGCGATACTTGCTCCTGGCCTGAGTGCCTCGGGTGCGAGGATCACCATATTTGGGTCCAAGAACAATACCTGCCGTTTGGGCATGTGGAAGAACTCGTAATATGCCGGCGGTATTTTCCTGACCGTAGTATTTGACGATTGAATGATACGATACGATACGATACCATCAATGAATGATTGTTTATCACTCCAAAAATATTCCTCTAGTTGCAGTCCATGTGCTATCTGATCAGTACTAGAGAACCTACGCCGGTGCTGTACCTGGTGCATAATGCGGCTAACGAAATCTTCACGATGTATGTGTAAAGACATTGGAGCCATGGTCTCGTGGCCTCCATAACAAGGCCGCCTCGTAGATAACCGTGATTACGGTGTTGTACATGATGATTTCGCAAAGATCATAAGGTCTACGCCGGCTCCTTGACCATGACCTCATCATATGATGGCGGCAATTCTCCCTCCAAGTCTTCTTCCTCGCTCTCATACAACGGCAGTTCCTCGACCGCTTCCGCCTCATATGCATGAATTCCATCCTCATCTTCCGCTCTGACCCACAATCTCACAATCATAACTCCATGCTCATCTATGTCAGTCCAGGCTGTCCGATCCCGCAACTCCCCCATCCTCCCCGGTCTCGCCTCCACCGCAAACTTCATTGCTTCATAGAGATGCTCCTTGTTACGATATCTATGGGGCCCAATTCGAAGGGTGAGGCGTTCCAGGGGACCGTGGTCGTACGGGCTCATGCGTGGTTTTCGGGCGTTGTGAATGATTTGAAGGGGACCAATGAGGCTAATGTAGAAGCTGAGGGCAGCCGAGGCAGAGGGGGGAATGCGGTAGCCAAGGTAGGCGAGGCGGGTGTGGTGGGGGGAGGAGAGGGGTATTTGTGGGATGGGGAGTCTGGGGTGGCTTGTCAGTGACCTTCATGCGAGACTGAGAGAGAACAACCCGGACTGGCATGGGCAGTGTAAACCATACCGAAGCGCCGTATTTCTACGCTTTGCCCTATAGCTCGACCAATAGTAGTCGTACTCACCAGATCTTGCCAACCCTCGCATAAAGTCCGCTAATACTCTGCCCACTTCATCTTCACCTCCCGCTTCCTCTCCTTCTCCTTCCGTGTCCTCTCTGTCGGTCTCATCTCTCCTTAGAACCTCCGCCGCCCAAAGCAGCAACGGTCTCACTCGCTGCGGCTTCTTGAAATGTTGCTTGATCCAGAGCGACTTTTCCGCGTACTCATCGACGCGGTAACCCCAACGCTTGAAGTCGGCGGCAAGCCAGGGGATGCTGGTGTAGTAGGGGCGACGGGAAAGGGGGTCGTAGACCAGATAGTGCGAGTATGAGCAGCTGCAGAGTGTCATTTTTGATCGTCAAGTCTGGCGGTAGGTAATGCAGTGTAGAGGTATGAATAGAAGTTTTTGGGTTGCTGCAGGGGGCCGGGGATGGTGGATGTGAACTGTAACAATCGTCCATACGATGATATGTAGCTGTGTTGGAACAGACATTGAAATGTGAGACTCAATCGAAATGGTGAATGCTTCGTTTCTCCAGCAAGATTGCAAGCGAATCACATTCCCACCTCTTCACACCGGCCTCTCTACCAATCTTCGCCCTAGTCTTCCCTCTTTGAAAGACTCTCTAACCTGCCCACTGCCGCGTATAGCCATGCCGACGCCACAACGACCACCACGCCACATATATCACCACATCTCCCTCTCCTTTTCTACCCCCGGAACATTGGTTCCACAACTTTACGAGTGGGTTTCAACTGGCTTTCCAATTCCTGTCGTCGTGCACCATTATTCTGTCTCTACGACATTCCCACCGCCTTCCTTATCTTCTTCGACTTCTTCAGAGACATTGTTCAGAATCGCTCCCTCGCCCTCGCGTAGTGGGCAGAACGACCCGGACCCGAACGACTCGTTCCTCGATGAGTTTGCTGAGCTTGAGAGCTATGTCAGCTCAAGTGAGAGTTTGGTGGAAAGTTTGAGGAGGCGACTGCAAAGATTGGCGTCTCCATCAGGAAATAGCGAAGCAGACAGGAATGACGAGGAAGTTTTGCCGGTTGTAGACCCCTGGACAACATGGTTTCCACCTACTCCACCATTGAGCACTAGAGATACTCCAAGGTCAGAGACTGCTCCAGCACCCTGGTTCTTGAGTCTGGGTGTTAGCCCTTCGGTACTACTGCACAGGTTGAGAGGGTGGAATTCACAATTAGGCGTCGTTGATGAAGGCGATGATAGTGAATTGGCTAGAGCTAATGAGCATGAGCCTGGTCAAATCGCTCGACCAGGCAGACTCTGCGAGGGGTTTTCAGATGATGAGGCCGAATTTGCACGGCCCATCGACGAAGGCCAAAGTTCCCGTGAAGGAGCCGGACTGTGTTGGGCACGCAGAGCCATTCTTCAGAGATATGCAAGGAGTCACGATCGGTTTCCGTAGATTATTGGCGCCGTTGGTGAAGATGCATTGGTGCTGCATGTCACACCGTCAAAGTTGTTGGACAAATTGCGAGGACATTGTAAGGAGGAAACCGTGGTAGCTGGTAGGATTAACGCATGTTTGAACGGCATCGATGTATATATTGGATGTTTGACACGCATGGTCTCTGTGCCTTCGTTGGTTCGAGCTGTGGTTTCGCTTCTGCTACAATGCGCGATCATGCTTGATATTAGATAATATATGCATAACAAACACCTATATTTGGAGATGAAACATTACCCTAAGCCCTACGCACACTGCATACTAGATTCATGTTCGGACAACTCGGGCACCGTGCATGATGCCATGTGTCGCTGAGTGAGATCGGGCCTTGAGGGTGTGAGTGTGCTACAGTGTGCACAGTTGCTGTGATTCGCCAGCATCTGCAACAAACCCATTTGGAAAGTGCAGACGCACGGAAGCCCGGTTCGTGGGGTGGAAGCCCAGGCGCAAAACTCAGCTCAGCCGCTGCAGTGTTCCCTCCTCACGCCCGGGTTGCTCCCTCGAAGATGTAAGATTCATCCTCCAACGCGTGCTCCTTGATTGCTGTTCGCTTCGGCTTTCCTTCCCCGCGATTTGCGTCCTTCCGAGTCCTCCGCATCGGCGGCGTAGTCAGGCCATGTGCCGTGCAGAAAATGTGGCGGATGTCGCCAGTCGCACGCATGTCACGATTGCAGGATTCGGCGCAGGGAATGGACGCCGGGCGCCCGCTCAGGACACTGAGGCACGGTGCCAGTGACCGATAGGGGAGTGCGGATGTCTTGTGTAGCTGATGTGCAGCTTCTCGTGCCGTAAACGGTAGGGAGACGTTTCGTTCCATGTTTTAAAGCGTCGGACTCCAATCCAGTGCAAGCGCATGTTTCCGAGCGCCCATCCCGCCTCCTCTTTCCTCATCTATTGCCGGCCCGCCACATTGCAGCGGTCGACTTCTGGACCGTGGTTGGAAACACATTCACTCTGCGGGTAGACGAAGCCTGAACCGGCTCAACAACAATTCGAATACGACTGTAGGGTTCACGGTGCAGCTGGGTCCCACGCTATCGCGGCCTACGAGATCGGCGCTGCTCGACATCATCCCGCACCCGCACCATCTCCGCTCAAGCTAAGCATCGCTAAGCAGTCGCGGACGGCTCCGGTCCAAGTGCCGCTGCCTCGACGGCATCTCACACCTCACTCCTCGCCCTTCGCGCGCAATCGACTCCTTCCCTAGCGCGCCCCTGGGCCATGAGAATGGACCCTCAACGTTACGACGCCAAACCTGAGACCGTGCCTCGACCAGCCCTATCCTATCTCGCTAGGATTCACGAGGCCCGCCCAACGTTGATCCGGGACCCACTGTCGCCGGCACCACTCTCGCTGCACGTCGCCGCACCCTAGACTCGCACCCTCTCCCCTCAGCGACGCAATGTCGTGGTTCTTGAGGGGAGTCCAGTCGGCCATCTTTCACTATGCCTCGTGTGCGCCATGTACCGGCTACATGTATAAGAAACAGAGGCGGAAGCAGGCAAAGCAGGCCCGCAAAGCCAGAACGAAGCTCCAGGAAGAGCAGCCAGAACTATATCACCACCCCGAACCGACGGGCACGAACCCATACTGGCAGGAAGAGATATTTATGGGGCCTGGGCCGCCTCCGAGGCGCGCCCGAAAGACGAACACTTGCAACACACGGGCGACGACGACCGCAGGGACACAGGGCAGTGCAGTGAGCCAGACAGGGAGCAGCATTGATGTCGATCGTGCTGTAGAGGTGCGCCTCAGCGACGATACGCTCGACGACGACAATTGGAACCGCAAGCGCTATCAACGGGAAGACGAGGACCTTTGGGGCTTCGACGCAATTGAACCCCTACAGACAACCCTATCTGGCTCATCTGTTGGAGTCACCGGCTTGAAGCGACCTACGTCACGGTCCGGCAGCTACTACTCTGCTCGAGCACCGCCGGTGAACGACCTCCACCCTCCAGTCGTCAGCCTACCGTCACCCCATCCCTCCGATAACCAGTGGATGCTCCAACCCCCGCCCAAAGCTAGTGTCATGAGTGGGAAAGAAAGAGCCACACTCCGCAGTCGAAGTGGTAGTGGAGCCAGCAGCAGAGTGGAACTGAGTCTTCAGCGCCAAGTAAGCGCAAAGCACCTGCGCGACAAACTCGATCGTGGGGAGACGCCTGAAATGCCATCCTTATCCCGGGGCATTTCCTACAATGACATGCTCATGGGCCAGCGTCATGACCGACCGAAGACACCACTGGCACGACCTCCCTCTACAGCTTCTAGCTACCGGCCTAGGAGGCGTCGCGATACTGCAATGACGAACACGTCTGCGACAGAGCAATCTTCAAGTGACTCTAGCGACACTATTGTTAGACGCTCGCACTCTCCTTCTCATAACCTTTCAACTGTTCCAAGCCTCAAATTAATGCGCGCGCGCAGCAGTCGCCAACAGCTTTCCACTGTAATGTCGAGCGGCTCTGGTGAACCCTCCATAAGCCCTACAAACACCAGCCCCACCCCCGAGCTCGACGACGAGAACCTCCCTGTGACCGCCATTCGCAAGGTCCGATACTCGACCCAGTCCACCGAATCAGACCCATATCACCTCAAGAAGCGGCGTGCTCCCCTCGTATCTTCCGATATCTCCTCGCTCAATGTCCTCCAAGACCTCGTATCTCCGGTTTCATTGCTCAGCTCACGCTTCGTCTCTGCTCCCCTTATGGAGGCTCGCATCAAGCTCCCGCCTTCGGACCACGACGAGCAGAATATGCTCGATACAGACTCCTGGTCCGGGAGCGGGTTTGCTATCAGTCGTGGTTGGGTCACGGATCAAGTCGACGGAGAGGCACGGGTCCCCTTCGACAGTGCCCGCGTGGCGGATCGCGACCCCAGGATGAGATGGAGCGTGGACTTCTGAGGATACTCATCCTATTGTCTCGAACCAGCTCCCGATTTTCTTGAAAACCCCCTGCACGTCCTATCATCGCCCTCAGAAACCCTTTTGCATACCCCCTTCGCACAGCTACTACATTTGCATCATTGTCTCGCATTAGCGTGGCGCTCTCTATTGATCCCTACTGCTTCTTTAAAGCCTGTGTACACATTTGTTTTGATTTCAGAACCTTCTCTTCAGTTGTTCATGTTTGGTGCATGTCGCCATTGATGCTGTTTAGGCGTTTGGTGAGCTGGACAAAAGGAGTCATGTGTCTTACGGCTCGGATGGGTTGATGTTTCCTTTCACATTTTATTTTGGGTACGGTAAAACGAGTACTTGTAGGGAGTTCGGGACATGGAAATGCCTCGGATAGTGCATCTTGAGGTTAGCGATCACTGCATAGCTGCGTCTTTCCTTTGTTTTCGAGTAGTCCCGCCAGGGCGACCGGCCAATTCCATAGCATCATAAGCACAATAAACACACTCGAGCCAAGGAAGAAACTTGACCTGTAACAATGACCTTGTCGAGTACAGCGGATTACGGGTAATTTAGAACAAGGTGGTATCGAGTTTCTCCCCGTCACGTGCACATCATCGCCAATTAGGTCATCATGTAGTGGGAAATTCAGGGTGGTCCGTGTACGCAGCGCGACTTCACTTCCATTCAGCCTCCATTGCCTATCCACCCACTCAGAACCTGCCCCACTCTCTCTCGACAACTCTCAGAAACCGCTGCGACGCCCGTTAGATCCTGATTCTCCCTCACCAGCTGCTCGCCGAGTCGCACGCGACATCTGCCAATTCCGCACGTCATTAGCCAGGTTTGAAGGGGCTGTCACCCCCGCGCCCACCACAGCTACCCACCAAAACAACCCGCACCCGCCCACAAGTCTACGACCCGATATCTGCAACATGGATACCAACATGGAGGATGTCAAAATGCCAGATCCCGCACAACTCTCGTCGGCCCCGGCATCGGAGCCTGCCTCAATCCCCACGCTTGATGGCTGGATTGAGAGTCTTATGAGCTGCAAACAGCTGGCGGAGAGTGACGTGCAGAGACTGTGCGACAAGGTATGCGACCGCTGCAGGACTAGTGGGATGGCAAAGGGGAATCGCTGACATATATTCAACCTTAGGCTCGCGAGGTTCTTCAGGAAGAGTCAAACGTACAGCCAGTGGTATGTGCCCCGTTGTCGGCGTCGCTATACAAGCTAACTGATCCTAGAAATGCCCTGTTACGGTGTGTGGTGACATACATGGTCAGTTCCATGACTTAATGGAGCTTTTCAAGATTGGCGGGCCCAACCCTGACACCAATTACCTCTTCATGGGTATGACTCTCGATGTATAGTCGCAAACGGTCGCTGATTGTTTGCAGGTGATTACGTAGACAGAGGCTACTTCTCCGTCGAGACTGTCACCCTCCTCGTTGCTCTTAAGATTAGATACCCCCAGCGCATCACGATCCTGCGCGGTAACCACGAATCACGACAAATCACCCAGGTGTACGGCTTCTACGACGAGTGCTTGCGCAAGTACGGCAATGCGAACGTGTGGAAATACTTCACCGATCTCTTCGATTACCTACCCTTGACCGCTCTAATCGACAACCAGATCTTTTGCTTGCACGGAGGGCTGTCGCCCAGCATCGACACGCTCGATAACATCCGAGCTCTTGACCGGATACAAGAAGTGCCGCATGAAGGACCAATGTGCGACTTGCTCTGGTCTGACCCCGATGACCGATGCGGTTGGGGCATCTCGCCTCGTGGTGCTGGCTACACCTTCGGACAGGATATCTCAGAAGCTTTCAACCACAACAATGGGCTCACGCTGGTGGCGAGAGCACATCAGCTGGTTATGGAGGGATATAATTGGTCCCAGGACAGGAACGTCGTGACTATATTCTCCGGTACGTTTTGTGCTGCAGAAGAAACATGTATGCAACTGACTGTTCTAGCACCAAACTATTGCTACCGCTGCGGTAACCAGGCGGCCATCATGGAGATAGATGAGCATCTGAAATACACTTTGTATGTTCTAGTGTCACTTAAGAAAGTACCAGCTAACGTCACAACAGCCTGCAATTCGATCCCTGCCCGCGCGCTGGTGAGCCGATGGTTTCGAGAAGGACTCCGGACTACTTCCTGTAAACTACGATCGACTTCTTGTTCCGTAACACAAGCATCATAGAGGGGAATTGCATTAGCCCATTTATTGTTCCGCAGGCAACGCTTGGCTCGTGGGTTTGTGCGTCGAGAGCGGGAAAGGTCGCGGACTTGTAGAGCTTCGGAAACGCCCCGATTGGGCGACGACTCGCCGGGTCGATGCAGGCTACGTACGTAGTAGGCAGCAGCAAAAGGGTAATTTGGGCTTGAGGCTTCCGCAGGAGTAATAATGTGATGAACGAAGACTAAGTGGTACTTGTCATGAGCTGGCTATGTACTAGAAGGCCAACTCATCGGATCTGCCGGTTGTTGAACTCTCGTAGGAAGTATACCGACTTGAAAAGCAAGACCAAATTATGTTATTCGATCGTATGATAATGTGGTTAATCTTGAATGCGAAGCGAAGTCTTGTTGTGCTCTAGCTTAGCATGTACAGCTGCAGCGTTGGGTAGAGCTTTGGATATTCGTCTTTACTTAGAACACTTATGACAACCTATCTCATAACAATACATGATTGTGTAGCGTGGATTGCCTAAGGTATAATGCAAGGTCACGGTTGCCAAGTGGCTCGTAGGCTAACCCAACAAGGTGTGATTATCAGTCGCGCGTCGTGGTCGCGTACGCGCCTCCTCCCCCGCGGCAAAACTCTCCTGTGTACCCGCAGCGCAGCTGAACAACACACTCGACCCCGCCATGTCGTCTCTCCTAGATGCCGCTCTGCGTTCCGATGCTGTACCCACGCCTGGTAGTGAACCAGGTGCTACTCCACGAAATCAATTCCGCTCCTCTTCTATGCGACCACGCGCGCCCCCTTCCGAAAGCGCAGGCGCACACAGTGACCATGAAGGCTTCGCAGACGACGAGGTTGTAGGAAGAGGAGGACCCGGGCGGAGGGCGAATGGGCCCCGGACAGACATACCGAAGGTCGTGGACGTGACAGGAGAGACGCTGTCGCAGCGGTTCCAGGAGTTCCTCGAGAGGTAAGGATGCGTCGACTACCCAGAGAGACGATGCTAATGAACAATAGCTACACTGAAGATCCAACTTCCTCGGCGCTGCCCGTTTCCAGTGTACCAGTAACGGACAAGTACTACATTGCGCAGGTCAAAGGAATGAAGCTGTATGGATTGTCTACGCTTTACGTCGACTATACACATTTGCAAAGGCATGAAGACGGCATTGTGGCAGCCGCTGTCGCGAGCGAGTACTACCGATTCCTCCCATATATGATCCGCGCTTTACACAACTTGATCGCGAAGTATGAGCCTCAATATTTTCGCGATCATCGTCAGCCCACAGCCACCGGCACAGCTACGTCTACTTCGCGGTCGGAACGAGCATATGAGGAAGCAACAAGTCAAAACGATAGCCTTAACGAGAAGACTGCAAACCAACAGACCGACAAGATCTTTACCCTAGCCTTCTATAATCTGCCTCTAATTTCAAGGATTCGCCAACTACGAACAGAGTCGATCGGTCGTCTGCTGTCAATCTCTGGCACTGCGACTCGCACATCAGAAGTCCGTCCCGAGCTTTCCATGGCTACCTTCATCTGCGAGGCTTGCAACACGGTCGTGCCCAATGTCGAGCAGACGTTCAAGTACACTGAGCCAACACAATGTCCGAACACAGTCTGCATGAATCGTGAAGGGTGGCGGTTAGACATCAGACAGTCCACGTTTGTCGATTGGCAGAAAGTACGAATTCAAGAGAACAGTTCAGAAATTCCCACAGGTAGCATGCCACGCACAATGGACGTGATCTTGCGAGGAGAAATGGTTGATCGAGCCAAGGCTGGAGAAAAGTGTATATTTACTGGAACTGCCATCGTGATCCCAGATGTCAGCCAGTTCAGGGTTCCCGGTGTGAGGGCGCAAGCAACTAGGGACAACTCGGGGGCTGCCCGCGGAGCGGACGTCGGCGGGTCCGGCGTCAGTGGCCTCAAAGCTCTAGGTGTACGCGATTTGACTTACCGCATGTCATTCCTGGCCTGTATGGTAACTCCCGACACATCCACCCCAGGGCAGTCTTCAAATCACCACATGACTGGTCAAGCAAGCAATATCCTGGCATCACTCAACCAAGCGCAAGCAATGGAGTCTGACAAAAACGGCGAGGAAGCTCAAGCTGAATACCTCTCAACCCTCACTCCAGCTGAGATCCAGGATCTGAAAGATATGGTACACAAGCCTAACATTTTCATGCGGTTAGTCGACTCTATCGCACCCACGGTGTATGGCCACCAAGTCATCAAGAAGGGTCTTCTCCTCCAACTGATGAGTGGTGTATCGAAACAGACACCAGAAGGTATGGATCTCCGTGGCGACCTCAACATCTGCATCGTCGGCGACCCATCGACATCCAAGTCGCAGTTCCTTAAGTACATCTGCAGTTTCCTTCCTCGAGCTGTATACACTTCTGGCAAAGCTTCATCCGCCGCTGGTTTGACAGCTGCTGTTGTCAAAGATGAAGAGACGGGCGAGTTTACTATCGAAGCAGGAGCCCTCATGTTGGCAGATAATGGTATCTGTGCGATCGACGAGTTTGACAAGATGGATATCGCGGACCAGGTTGCTATCCACGAAGCTATGGAACAGCAGACCATCTCCATCGCAAAAGCAGGTATCCAAGCAACGCTCAATGCCCGGACATCCATCCTCGCAGCTGCGAACCCCGTCGGCGGTCGTTATAATCGTAAGACCACGCTTCGAGCCAATGTCAACATGTCTGCACCCATCATGTCGCGTTTCGATCTTTTCTTTGTTGTACTCGACGAGTGCGACGAGGCCGTAGATCGCCACTTGGCGGAGCACATCGTAGGTCTCCACCAGTTCCGCGACGAGGCTATCGAGCCAGAATTCAGCACCGAGCAACTACAACGCTACATCCGTTTCGCCAAGACGTTCCAGCCCGTATTCACAGACGAGGCAAAAGAGACCCTGGTGGAGAAATACAAAGAGCTCCGTGCCGATGACGCTCAAGGTGGCATCGGAAGGAACAGCTACCGCATTACCGTTCGTCAACTCGAGAGTATGATTCGGTTGTCAGAGGCAATTGCTAAAGCCAATTGTGTCATTGACATCACACCCGACTTCGTTCGAGAAGCATACAACCTTCTCCGGCAGTCCATCATCAGCGTCGAGAAGGACGACGTGGAAATGGAAGATGAAGACGACGAGGCACTCCTTGCTGCTGCCGCTGCCGCTGCCGCTGAGACCCAAGAGGGCGACGCAGATATGGGCGCAGACGAAGAACAGCAAGACGGTACGAGCGCTCGCGCTCCAAGCCGTACGCCTGCGCCGCCTCGCGAGAAGACAAAGATCACGCATGACAAGTACATCTCCATGCGGAATTTGTTCGTCAAGCGCATCAACGAGGACCAAGCTGCCACCGAAGACGGTGTCGAGGAAGAGGATCTCCTCATCTGGTACCTCGAACAGAAAGAATCCGAGCTGGAGACACAAGAGGATCTAGAAAAGGAAAGGGACTTGGCTAAAAAGGTGCTGAAGAAGGTTTGCAAGGTACGTCTTATCAAAACCTGCACAATGATGTAGATTGGTGCTAATGTGTCACAGGAGCAATATCTCATGCAAATCCGCGGCGAGGGCTTGGCTGATGAGCAGGGGCAGGCCGAGGCTGCAGCCAAGGTTGTGTATGTGCTGCACCCGAACTGTCCGGTTGAGGATATTGTATAAACGATGGATTGGTATGTGTTATGAATAGCCTCATCAGGGATGGCAATGATATCAGGTTGGTACGAGGCGTTTCGGTAGCTTTGCACTAGGTCATGCAGCGCGCGCATTTGTGCAAGTACAGGAGTGGGTTATATGTTGGGAATGATCGAGCGTGCGAAGAAAGCAAAGTATTTGCAGCTCAGCATTGGCGCAAAGCCAGAACATGTCCCAGTGAAGACTATGTAAAGATAAGATAGTACAGCGACAACGTGGACTGAGTCAGCATGAGCTTGTGGGTCCTTGCAGCGCACATAAATAGCTATCTTTCACGTCCGTGATATATTGACGGTACATAAGGTAAACTCTCCAAGTATGCTAGATGGCGAAGAAGGCGAGCCGAAACTGAAATGATAAAGCGTTGCCTATTATCATTTCCACAAAGACATGGTCGTAGGCCATGGCGCTGGGGCATGTGCAGGTAGGGTCAACGTAACTTGATAACCTATCACACTTGTTCTAACAGTAAAGTATGTCCACGTTTCTGTGTACATGGCTTTCTGGAGAGCACCGACGACAGCTGGACACATACACCATGATACATAAGTAGACACCAACATGAAGAGAAGCACCCTCGCCGGTATACGTGTCTCCAACCTCCTGGCTCTGCACTAGATGGACGACCTCCTTCGCCATCCCCACTTTTGACGTGCCATCCTTCAACGTAGTTTTGTCATTTGGCATTCTGCTCTCTGTCGCTGTTGTGTTCTTTCTTTTCTCGACTTCTCAGGGGACACTTTTCATGTGGACTCTTGTCTCGATAGGTGTTCGGTTCACGACTGGGCGTAGTATTCTCATACTCCTGTCCATCCATGTGTGTTTTCATGATATACCAAAAAGTTGGATCTTATTCAGAGGGTTAGGTGCCACCTCTACAAGACACAAAGTTTGATTGGCTCTTACCTTATCAGTTAATGTGTTATAACACACGCTACTACAGCTCCCCTTCGTATACAGCTAGCTGACTGTCCCTCGAATTCTACCGCATTGGAATCAAGCTAAGTGAAACCAGGTAGAACATACTGATAAAGAAGACGAAATACTCTACATAACGATTTATATTCGGATATTCCAATGCACTGATTGAATAATTTCTCTCACCCTCGCCTCCCCTAGTCGTACATTGATTCATGTATTATTTCCCCACCATATTCTTCACCCTCACATTCCCCCGCACATCCAACTCCTGAATGTGACAACGATGACACCTTCCATGTCTCGAAGTTTCCTCCTTACTTCTACTAATATCTTTTTTTGTTCTACTTGTTGATGTCACTTTACAAGGAACAACACAACTGCTGACACTGAAACAGGCCTTGCTAAAGAAGGTCTTGTGTCGTCCCTCTAAACATGAGAGGATTGGTAAATTCCTGTACAGAAATGACTTTCTCATATCGGATTCAGTACGGCCAAGGCAGAATTCTGCATTCCCCATGTGACGTTTCATTATAATCTTCTCCAACCCCTTAGCTAAGATACCCATTAAGTCGTGGTTTCGCGATTAATTCGCGCACCTAACATCATAAACTCCAGGTCACCCTACTCGCTAGACTCGCCGTCCACCACCTGCTCACCCTCCTAACCGCTGCGACCGTCGTGCAGTCTGCTTCTGATGCATCCGCATAGGCATATCTTTTCCTCCATTCCGAGCACTCTCTGCACCAAAGTCCATCATACCACCCCACATCCAGTCGTCATTTTCCTCATCCTGGTCCTTGACCCTAAAGGCTTCCTGCCTCCACTCCGCCTGCATTGAACCGCTTCTCGCGCTGCTTGTCATCGTCTCCGGCGTACTCGTCTGCCCGCGCGGTTGATCCATCAGCGCAGCGCGCACCTGCTCCTCCCAATCCTCCGCTACACTTCCGTTAACCCCACTCACACATTGCGTGTGAGAAGGCGTACCTTGCACCGCGCTACTCTCCACGGGAGAGTCCATCTTCTGAATTCCCTCTTTCATGCTCTTCACCCGCGCAGAGAGAGCTTCTTCTTTCGGGCCCCACTGCGACCACCCGTTCACGCCGGTAGTCACCCCCGGCATGAGCCCGTCCTTCATCTTGCAGTCGATACAATTGTCGCGGAGATCGGCGTTTATGGCGTGGGTGCTGTCGCAGCCGTCGATCCGGGGGACTTGTTCGCCATTCTTGCCGTATACGTAGATGGTGGAGCGAGGGCAGCGGTGAGATGTTTGCGTGTGGCCGCAGCTGTAGGTCAGGGTGAAGAAGGTGCACATGGTTCTGACGCCAGTGATGACGTGACTGAGAAATGTCGTGCGTATCGGTGATGTCAATGGGGAGACGTTGAGAACGTGAGGTGAGCGGGAGGGAGTGCTGCGTTGAGGGAAGGCGCGTCCGGTGGTTGATTGCTACGTGCAAACGCAGAGGGAAGCTGGGGCTGCGGACTGTGCAGGTACGCAGCAGGCCGTCTGAACGTCACATAACTTGATGTATGCAAATTCATTTCTCGCTGTGTTTTGTGGTCTCGATAACTCTTACCAATGTGTGCGGCGCATCACCGTTTTGTCCTACCGTGACTACATCAATTCTGAATATGTGAGAGTAGATACGGCGATGTAAGAACGTAAACATGGTCGCATTGAACGGGTATACCCACTAAGAGAAGCCCGTAACGACAGAGCCCCTACCCAAGACCTTTCCATGCAACCCAGTAATGACCCGTGTCACCTGATGTCGCCAATGAACCCAAGTTGGTTGGTATATGTACACAACGAAGCGAAAGTCTAATATCACAGCTCAAAAGGAAATGTTCAAGCTTGCCGCCTTACCCGGCGCATCTCAGACTGCTGCGACCGCTTCGTCACCCGAGTAATGCGCGCCTCGCCCAGCTTCTTGATGGTTTCGATCACGGTGTCCGTCTCGTCGAGCTCTTGCATCTGGTCGCCGCCGCCGATGCTCTTGCCGATGACCATCACGTTAGGTACGGTCCGTCTGCCAGTCGTATCTGCGAGGACTTCCTGCAGCTTGAGGCCGATCGGGTGCTCGTCGAGCTCGACTACATAGGGCGCGGGGTCGATGTCGTATTTCTCGAGGAGGATGTGCTTTGCTTTTCGGGAGTGCGGGCAGTATGTCTTGGAGAAGATGATGACTGAGAGGTTGTTAGTGGTATTAGGGGCAATTGAGGGATTAGCATACTTGGGCTCTTCTTCAAGATGGCGTTCAATTCGACCTCGGCGTCGTGGTAATCTTCTGTCTCGTTCTCCTTGGGCGGTGTCTTGTCCTGCGTCCTGCCGCCAACCGCTGCGACGCCCTCGAGCGGTTGCTGCTTGCCTTCCTTGTTGTACCGGCCGCGGGGTGTCTTATCTGAGTCGCCGCCAGTTACTGAGTCAACGTATTCCTGACCCTTCTTCTCAGCGGCCTTTTTCGCGTCGTCTGCTGCGGCTTTCAGGCGCGAGCCCACGCCGTCTGCGTCGCGCTGCTTGGACGCTTCCATGTAGTCTTTTGCCTGGAGCGCTTCCTGTGTCTTGATATAGAATGGAGAGGTCCGTGTCTGCGAGCTCGACCGCGTCATGTAGAGAGTAGTGATGATTGTGAGGGTGAGGAGGAGGACATAAAGCCTCATCCGTCGTTGCGACGGCATGGTGTGGTGTGTGTGTATGTGGTGCGGAACTGCTGCGCGCAATGGCGGAGAAGCACAACTGTGCTGCGAGCGAGGTGTTCAGGCTGCGAGTTGCGAGCACAGCCTTAAGAATGCGCAATGTATTTCCTTTGTCTTGCAATGCCAGGAGGTGGTGAGAACTAAGCCCTGGGTGCCTTGCTGTGCGGTGTGGCGTCTGGGGTAGGGCGGGTAATGCCACGGCAGGTCGGCGGCGTGAGTGGTCGCGCGAGCAGGTGACACGACACGTCGAAAGGGGAGGCGCGCCAACGGTGGAAATGAGCGGTGAGGTGGCGTTGGGCAGCTAGTATTGTTGTAATTGTCTGTATTTGTAGCAGAGCTAAAGCAACCGAATGTTTGCACACGTCGAAGAGGGATGATGCACCTCGTAGGAGCTTCGGCGCAGTGCAGGAATGCAGCTTAGCGGGGCTTGTCCCAGGCTAGTGGATCCATCGTTCTCCATCATCATCCATCACTGTGCAGTGCCGCGGAAACACATCTGTTCCATCCCATCCGCCAGCGACGTTGGCCTACACAATTGTGGGTGCGCAAACATCACGAAACTTTCCCAATGACGTGCCCTTGGCGTTTCAATGCCTAGAGGCTTGGACGCGACGCGCAGTACGTCACAGACACGACTCACGTCACACAGCTGTGCCCCCTAGGAGCCATTGACTGTTGGTCTGGGACTCTAGGGCACGCAACGCTGTGCTTTTGGTCTTTGAAAGGTCCACCAGACGTCTCAGACAACTGTTTCACCGATTCTTATGCTAAGAGTCGGCTATCCGGCAGCACCGCGTTCTCGCTCGTGTTCGCACAATTTCAAATTGTACAGTAATGCAGACTCTCAGTTCCTCAGTGCGGACGGTTCACCCTTGCAACCCATTTTTTAGTCAGAATGAGATCAATCCTGTACCACGTGAACGCTTGCGAACCTACGTTACTAGACAACTAGACATCGAGTTACCATTGCACAAGCTACGACCGCTTTCGGTATTACAAGACTACACACATGTACGGATCAAGGACTGTATCCGCAAGTCTACATTCACTGCCGCCTTTCAATTTCCCTTTCTGCACGAATTGTAGGAAGAAAAGTACGTGTGCGGTCGCGCTTCCTGAATCGGCCTAGCTTTCGAGCCTCCGTCTAGCCCCTTCGAGCAGTGGTGTCGACAACTGTTCCGCTTCGTCTATGAGCATCGCAACAAGCTCAACGCAGATATGATGAACTTCGAAGTATTCCGATGTATAAATTAGAAATAAAGTCTCAGTATAGACAACGCCATAAAAGCAGGGCTTCGCAACACTCCTCTCCTTAAGTCCACATCTGAAGCAACCCATCCATCCCATTACGTCACTTCATTCATCCAAAATGTCTCTCCCATCTACTCCCCTCTCAATCAAGCCATCTACGTCTGAACTAAAAGACGGCGTCCTCACGCAGAAGAACCTCGAAATCGCCATCCGAGCTCTCGAGCGCGACGGCCTCGTTGTGATAGAGGACCTAGTCCAGCATGCGACCCTTGACAAGCTGAACAACAAGATGGTCGAAGACGCGTACGACCTGCAATCCCGAAAAGACAGCCCCTTCAACTACAACAAGGGCAACATCCAACAGGATCCTCCGATGGTGAAAGAGTTCTTCTCCGAGGAAGTATTCACGAGTACGCTTAAATATCAACCCCCTCGAGTTCCTTATCAGTCAGTAGCTAATATGACCATGACCAGATCCCATAGTAACGCAGGTGACTTCTACGGCATTGGGTCCGAAGCCTTCTCTCCGCTTCATGTCAGGCAACACCGCGCTTCCACCAACTGCAGATTCCCCACCGGCGTCCCAGCCCACCCACACCGATGCCGACTTTGACCATCCCCACATTCCCTTCGCACTTGTGGTGAACGTCCCCCTCATTACCATGGAAACCCAGAACGGCTCCACTGAAGTCTGGCTCGGCACCCATTCCGAGACAAGTATTGCCGACCAAGAAGGTGCACACGGCGAGAGAGCTAGCGGAAGAATCAAGAAAAACTTGCTTGAGGCACGGAGGAAAGTCAGGGCACCGTGCCAGCCTACAGTCAAGAAAGGCAGCATCGTCGTCAGGGACCTGAGGCTGTGGCATGGTGGAAAGCCGAATTTAAGCGATGAGCCGAGGGTGATGCTTGCCATGAGTGAGCTTTGCCCTACCAAGATCCCCTACAAAACGCACTGTGCTGATCCTTCTCCAGTCCATTTCGCACCCTGGTACCGTAACCAGATGACGGTGGAATTCGCAGAGAATTTGAAGGACCAGTTGACGCCGGAGAAGACAGGCTTGCACGTCGCGGCTGAATATGTGGCAAGCGAGAAGCTGGAGGTGGAGAAGGGTTACTTGAACAGGCCGTATGGAAATGCGTACGACTTTGATCAGGTTGATAAGGTGCAGGATCTTTGCTCTGAGGTTTGATCAGACGAGTACAAGAGGTTGGAAGCACACGCAGCAGTGCATGCGAAGGCGGTGATGAGCGTGATTGGTGGTAGGGGATATGTCCCCTGAAAGCTGTATATTGGATGGCTTCATTTGTCAACATGCCTCAGGATCACAAATCGAACGGGCACTTCTGAGTATTGCTATGGCCGCGAAGCTCTTTTGACCTGACATGCACCATAGCTGCACGGGCTTCCGAACAGGCAGGTCCACGCGCAGCCTCCACACCCCAGAACTGGCGCAAGCTCACTAATAAGCCGCTCCCATGTCGATCGGAGTTCCGCGTGTAACGCGCTGGCACGAGCGGAACCAGTCAGCTTGGGTTGACTCAGTCACTTTCCGTAGCGCTCATTGGTCAATTCGACATCACCCCGGTCGGCGTCTCGGTTCGGCACGCATTCACGCCCTCGCAACCATCAACTTGGGTTAAATGATGAGTAGGCAGCAGGAAGTGTAATTGAGTCAAAGCTCACTTCGTACGTAATGAAGGGCGGTATAAAGCGCTACCGCATGTAGCTTCACAAGTAGACAGACACCACAGCATCGCCCACCTCCACTAAACATACAACGAAGAAATCCTCCCCTCCACGTCCTACCACTTACCCCATCTCGATTCCATCACACCATGCCCTCCCAAAACGACCTCGCCAAAGCCTTCAAAGCCCTCCACAAACCCGGCGACCCCATAATCCTCACCAACGTCTGGGACGCCATCAGCGCAAAAGCCGTTGCCGCACTCCCAGAAACCAAAGCCCTCGCAACAGCCTCCTACGCCATCGCCCTCGCAGCCGGCCTAGAAGACCCCGACCTCACGCTGGAAGTAAATATCCGCGGCGCAGCGGCCGTAGCGAAAATCGCAAAGGCATTTAACAAGCCGCTCACAGTCGACTTCCAAGATGGGTATGGCGATCGGTTGGAAGAGGGCGTGAAGAAGGTGCTGGAGGTGGGGGCGGTGGGGATTAATCTTGAGGACTTGAGTCGTGAGAGAGATGCGCTTTATGATGTTGATGAGGCGGTGGCGAGGGTGAAGACGGTTCTGAGGGTTGCTGCTGAAGCGGGCGTGCCTGATTTTGTAGTTAACGCTCGCACTGATGCTTTGCTTGCTGGTCATCCCGTTGAAGAGGCTATCAAGCGTGGGAAGGCATATCTTGAGGCGGGGGCTACCACGGCGTTTATCTGGGGTGGGCCGGAGAGGGGTGGCACGACGAGAGTAGAGGTCGAGAAGGAGGCGAAGGAGTTGGGTGGGAGGCTGAATGTTAGTTTGGTGAGGATGAGGCCGGGTGGACTGAATGTGGAGGAGTTGAAGGAAGTTGGGGGTGTGGGAGTTGCAAGGATTAGTGTTGGGCCGCAGTTGATGATGAGGAGTGTGGGTGCGGTGGCGGAGGAGGCGGGGAAGATACTGAGGGGTGAAGGGCTATGATTTGGCCTGCGGCGCCTGAATTAATGAAAAGAAGGTCCTTTAGAATCCTTCTTATCACTATCCTTACCATTCTGAGCTTTCGACATGAGATCTGAAGAAAGAAACCGATTGAGAAGGTGCACAGAGACCCGACGAGCTTCACCAAGAGGAAAAGAACGTAGAGACTGAACTAACTGATGGAAATAGTGTACAGTGGAGGCATATGCCTCGATATTGAGCCCTTGGACGTACCTTATCTCTGGTAAAGTATGAGGGCTACGAAGCCTAGGTCTGAGGAGCAGACTGTTGCGAGGCCCTCAAACTTTGTATCACTTTGCCGTGATGAATCCCAACCCGAACCGCAATATATGCACACAAATGATGATCTGAGCCGAGCCATGGTATCTTCCCCCCGGCGCATGCCGCCTCCACTTTTCGATGTCGTGCGTCGCTCAAGGATCCATGGACAAGTTGCGAATCTTCTTCTTGTAGTCGTTAAACTTGTTCCTCTCCTTCCTAACCTCACCGTCCAGGTATGCAATCCTGATCTTCATTCCTTGCTTTTCGCCCTCCAAAGCCTCGAGCTTCGACTCCATTGCGGCGAGCTTCTCGCTCGATGCGACATCTTGTTCAGCTTTAGCAAGGCGTTGCTCCAGATCGTCTTTCTCAACCTGAACTGCTTTGAGCTGTGTCTGTGTCGTATCGCGCGCACGCTGTGCCAACTGCGCCTTCCACTGCTCTTGACCAAGCTCGTAGGTAAGTTTCTTAGACTTAGCGGCAGATTGGGCCAAGCTTTCGGCGAGCTGTTTACGAAGCTTCTTCACCTCCTCCTCATTGTCGAGGCATTTCTCCTGGAGGTCGTGAGCCTGGGTGTATGCCTGTTTGGCGTCCTGCTTCGATCGATCGACATGGGCTTGTAGGTCCCTGGCTTCGGCTTTGTGTTGTTGAAGTAGAATATTTTCGGCTTTGAGCTCTTTGAACTGGTGGACGAAGGCCGCAAGGTCATCGATATTCTGCCAGAATTGGTCAATATTGGATGTATGGTGGGGACACTCCATGCAAACGAAGCACAATACTTACTGGAACCTTGCTATCGGACGAAATCGGTAGGCTGGCTTCTACGGGTTTCTGCAACTCAGGCGCTGGCTTCTCTCTGTCCGCACGCGCATCTTCGGGTGATGGAGCACTGTGGGTCGAAGGTGCCTGTCTCACGGCCAAGCCATCAGAGCCGTCCCATATCGTGGGTGAACTCATACGGGAAGTATGGTCGCCGATAGGACACATCGTTGATGGTCCGCCCTTGTTGTCGATCTGATAGTTAACCGTGCCAAACTTCAGGTCCGATGTCTCTTGCCTGTCCTGAATGCCCTCTTCGGTCGGCTGGCTCTTGAGATCGGACTCTTGCTGAAGTTCTGGAATTAACAGATGTTCTGGAATTAACAGATCTGTAGCGCAGTTCTCGCCATCAGTCATGTCACAAGGAAGAACATGACGCTCATGCGGCAAGGTTCTAGGCGCATCAATCTGTGCGGCAGTCCCCGGAAAGCCCACCTGAGTTGGACTCGGTACGTGTATCTTGTCGCATAACTTAATGAAGTTCTGCAAAAAACCGCCCGTGCGGGTGCTGATCTTAGAGATATGGCCAGCAGCAAGGAAGTAATACGCCGCCAAAGTACTGATTTTGTCACCAGCGCGTTCGCTCTGGCCATAAGCGTCGTATGTGGTATCGAAAGGCGGCTCCCACTCGACACCTTCGAAATCCTTTGGCTTCAAATGCTTTGTTCCGAATCGGAGGAGCACCTGATGCGCCTGATTCTTCTTAGAGATGTACGCATAGACCGGCTTGTAAGCGCTCTTGTATTCATGTCTGCTAAGTCCTAGCACAAGACGTGATGTAGCGATGTCGGCCTTCTGCGGGAAAGACGCTAGGGTCTCTTGGTCTATCGGTTCGAAACGAAGAAGAAGATGATGTGGGAGGGCCTTATAGGCAGAGTTCACCTTGTCTAGCGCGCACTCTTGGAGCTCGGAGAAAGTGGTATGTTCCGGCCTGTGTTGATCAGGCGCCGGAAAGCTATAATCCAGTGAGCTAGGAAAATTTTGGGGCATTGAGTGCAGCCAGGCCCACATATCGATTTGCTGCATTGTTCTGTAGCAAGCTGAGCTTGTTGTCAATGCTAGTAGCAAAGCTTTGTAGACGCGCTGGAAATCGTTGAGGAGAGTCTGGAGAAGACGACGGAGGCTGAATTAGAGAAAGGTAGCGGTAGCCTGTGGAATATAAATAGGCAGCAGAGCTTGAGTAGGTATAATAGGAGCAAACAACGGGGTAGACAAAAGGTGATAGGGCGGGTACGCAAACCGCGCGAAGTGAGAGAATCGATTAAACGACATGGTGAACGAAAGCAGACTCGACAATTGATAGAAGAATTATTGTAAGATGAAGTTGCTTCAGGAGGTCTTCAAAGCCATTGTTCGTGAAGTGAGAATTTTCCCAACGGAGGTTCTTCCAGATCACTGGGCCACTATTTCAACGATGCGACGGGGCTCCAGATTAGTCTGCGTGGGAATATCGACCATCTGGCTCATGGTTGCTATGCTGATCTGGTGACTCGAATCTTGAGTATTGTTGAGCCATCCATACAGGCATAGCACTGTCGGGTGAGCACGCAAACGGAACCGAGTCGCATTTGACAGCGATAGATGCGGTGGCCGCAATACCCTTATCTGGTGTCAACCATCGTGCTCCCCAGTCGCTCATCGTTAGGGTCATAGAGTGGAAACAAGTTTATACCTACTGAGTGAGGAGACAGTGGGATGGAGGAGGGTCGAATAGTAGTGGAAAGGAGCTAGAGAGGACATCCCCACGCTAATCCATATACGGACCACTACCTTGGCAATACCTCACTTTCGCACTTATCTCCAGCATGACTTGCCTTCATCTACTACGTGGCAACGAAGGCTGTCTGTACCTTTATTTACGCTTTGCAATCTCAGCTGAGCATCCAGCCTATTCCTTTATTGCACGCATACTGCGAGAGGTGGTGGTCGGACTTCCCCCTCCTGCCACGCCCCCTTCATACTTGGCACCAGTGCCAAATTCGGACCCGTTGACCGATCCAAGCAGCAGACCCAATTCCTGTACGCTTAGAGTGCCATGCGACTTCTTGGATGGCAGCGGCATCTGTTGACTCGCCCCGACAGTTCCAGTTGACAAGGTGTTAGAAGGCAATGCAGATACATCGAGCTCGCTCTAGGATACGGTCCATAGTCTAAAGGGGTGACATCTAAGATCAGATCCAGGCTCAGTCGAATGCATCCCAATTCCAGTTTGTCTTGTGGCTCCCCACAGTGCCTCGGCCACAACTCGACTGCGCGCAGAGAACATAGCCACAATCGACGTGATATGGTACATTGAGGTACATTAACTACCTTGCTGTTTCATCTTGGCTCATATATATGACATACGCCGGTTCCTTACGTTTTGTGGCGGTCCCACAGAGATTGCGGCTCTTCCGATTCACCCAGGTCACGCTGCGACCAAACACATATTATTCGCTCACCCAAATGGAATACCCACAAAACCCCGGGTTTGGTCTTTTAGCGCCCGTCCGCGGCCTCAACTTTGGTGTGATGGTGATCTTTCACCATTTTTGGTCGGAATTTAGATTACCCGCATGGCGGCTGATTAGCCTGAAATGAATCTGGATCCAACCATCGAGCGACAGCATCTGTTGATACATCTTAGCGCAGAGCAACTGTCCATCCGAGCGCCTTCCGAACTTTGGTCTGCGGTCTAACAGAGCTTTTTGCAACTTCCTTCGAGCTGTTGGAGGTCTAAAGGTTACGCTTCATCTTAGTTCTTGGAGAAGGAATTTTGGCATGGCTGGCAGACATCCTTCCTGTGGTGATTCTGCCCCATGTTGGTAGTTGAATGTACACCCCATGGCATACCCCCACCAAAAACATCCGTGCATGCAGATTCGAGTTCCCGTTGCGTGGATGAGAGCCGCTTAAGAGATGTGTTAAGGGCTAACCTCAAGAGCAAACTACTATATTCAGGAAGGACGTCCCGCATGCTCCGACATGGGAACCTTCTCACCACGCCAAGGTCAGATAACTGCCCGTGGGCCACAAAATCACCTCCACCATCAATATGGATACAGCGGCGATCGCTCGGCGGACAGAACTGACCAGGCAAATGTACGCTAAAAAAGTTGTCTAGCCCTATCGTGCAATACACCCGAAGAACATTAGAAACGGAGTAACGAGACGGCGTGATCACGGTCGCAAAGCAAGAGATGGAGCATATTGAAAATGTGACGAGGAAATCTCGTGCCGGATGTAAAATTGACGTAGTTCTGTTCATCTAGCTAGGCCTCGTGTTGTACGGTGCGTCCTCTCCGTTGTCCTGGGCCGCGGAGCGCAAGGGAGTATAGAGCTCTTTCCCAACTCTCTACCCTGCTCTCTACCCTGCCTGGAATGATCTTCTGGAACCTTCGTACATATCGGTCTCTAGGGTGCAGCACAATCAATCTAATGAAACCAGGTTCTGAAACATGGTTAAGGCTAGGGTCCATGCTGGTTTAAGATCCTCAAGCTACCAGAAGTCATGGCTGCGCTTCCACACACTTGCATCTGCGTTCATGATATGCGCTACGATTTGTGGTCCTCACGAATGCCTCATCACACTGCAGGTCATGGATTGCCAGTAAACGCACAGAACAACGCGCGAATATGTCACTGCTTCCACTACAATAGACCACAGTCTTGTCGGTGAACACTGTATCTGTCAGGTGCTAACCACAAATTGTGAAAAGATCGTCTTACTCGCTTAAGTATTTAACCAAAGTAACTAGGCGCCGCTCTCTTTGGCCGGTGGTCACCAGGCTCTGATACTTTTCTAGAAGCAAGGATGTGCTTTAGTTACCGCAAGTACCCCGGAGTCTCCCCACTGGGGTAGATCTCATCTTGTTTTCATTTGCATGTCACTGGATTCACACCTCCCAGGACCGAAGAGCCGTATGTCTTCTCAGATTGGCGGCAATTCATCGATAGCTTCGGAAGAAAAGTTCATTTGGCTATGGGACCTATCCTGACACTCGCGTTGTAGACCTCAGTGGCAACGAGAATGTGTATATAAGTTAGCAGACCCAGGACTCTACGAATTCCTCACCATCCGACAGTCCTCCCACAGCAGTCAAGATGCAGTACAAGACTCTCGCTCTCGCTTCCCTCTCGGTTTTCGGGGCCGCCACCGCCCAGCAGGTCGGCACTTCTCAGGCAAGAAATCCTGAAGGTCAGATAACGTATTCGTAAGGTGCTAACTTCGACCAGTCTGAGAAGCACCCCACGATGAGCTGGCAGACTTGCACTGGCACTGGCGGTACCAGCTGCACCACCAAGTCGGGTTCCGTCACGCTCGACTCCAACTGGCGATGGGCCCACGTCACCAGCGGATACACCAACTGCTACACCGACAACGCCTGGAACGCGACGACCTGTGCGAGCGGCGCCGACTGCGCGAAGAACTGTGCCATTGATGGCGCTGACTACTCTGGAACTTACGGTATCAGCACCAGCGGCAACGCCCTGACCCTGAAGTTCGTTACCAAGGGCCAGTACTCCACCAACATCGGCTCCCGTACCTACCTCATGGAGTCCGACAGCAAGTACCAGATGTTCAACCTCGTCGGCCAGGAGTTCACCTTCGATGTTGATGTCTCCAAGCTTCCTTGTGGTCTGAACGGTGCTATGTACACCGTCGAGATGGCTTCCGATGGTGGCATGGGCAAGGGCAACAACAAGGCTGGTGCCAAGTACGGAACTGGTGAGTCGCCAACAGTCGCCGGCTCTCATCTCATACTAACATGCTCCAGGATACTGCGATTCCCAGTGCCCGCACGACATCAAGTGGATCAACGGAGCTGCCAACTCCGAGGGCTGGGAGCCCTCCCCCAACGACAAGAACGCCGGCAGCGGCAAATTGGGCGCCTGCTGCGCTGAGATGGATCTCTGGGAGGCCAACTCCATCTCCACCGCCTACACTCCCCACCCTTGCAAGGAGCTCGGTTTCGTTGCCTGCACTGGCACCGACTGCGGCGACGGTGACAACCGCTACGGCGGCGTCTGCGACAAGGACGGATGTGATTTCAACGTAAGCTCACCCTGCCACTTCTCTCTACCGTCACTAACACCACCCCCAGTCCTACCGCATGGGCGTCAAAGACTTCTACGGCCCCGGCATGACCCTCGACACCGGCAAAAAAATGACCGTGGTCACCCAATTCATCGGCTCCGGCTCGTCCCTCACCGAAATCAAGCGCTTCTACGTGCAAGACGGCAAGGTCTTCAAGAACTCCGACTCCACCGTCGACGGCGTGACCGGCAACTCCATCACCGACAGCTGGTGCGACGCCCAGAAGAAGGCCTTCGGCGACACGACATCCTTCCAGGACCGCGGTGGCCTTAAGCAGATGGGCGCTTCCCTTGCTAAGGGCCACGTCCTCGTCATGTCGCTGTGGGACGACCACTCGGTCAACATGCTCTGGCTCGACTCGACCTACCCCACTGACAAGGACGCCAGCACCCCTGGTGTCGGCCGTGGTACTTGCAGTACTGACTCTGGCAAGCCCGACGATGTGGAGACCAACTCGCCCGATGCTACGGTCATCTACTCCAACATCAAGGTCGGTCCTATTGGCTCTACTTTCGCTCAGCCCGCATAGAGTGCGAAAACGGGATGTGATGGCATAGATGGCGCTTGAGTCTGGATACGCTCTTTGTTTCGCTTCTTTCGCTTGTGTATAGTTATCATGAGACGAGATGCATGCAGATTAGAATGCCAACACTGTACATAGACGACAAATCGATGCACTTTCTGTATAAGATATCAACCCAAATATCTGATCATGTGATTCGAGACTCGTATATATTGTGAGCGCATCCCTAACGCCGTCAATGCAATGGTATCATATAGGCTAATTTTCAAGAAAAGTCGAATCCACAGGAAGCACGCATCTCTTTCACACCTGTACCGTCATGATTGCCCTCGGTTGAAAATCTTTCGGCGTGAAGCCTGTCATCTCAGTCTCCTCTGCTGCTGAGCTTCCAGACCTCAGCTCGTCCTTCTCTTGAACAGCACGAGTTTTGTCCAACACCCACCCTGTGTAGCTCCTCGGTAGATATCTCCCCGGATGCCACACCGCCATAACCAATAACACCAGCGCAATTGGCACCGCATCGACACCAAAAACACCATTCATGCTGCTGCAGGTACTTCAGTCCCGTGGTCTTATCCTGCGGGATCTCCAACGTGCGATAGATAGCACGTAGAGTGATGAGGCCAGCGGCGAAGTTGATGAAGTAGGAAAGCCGGCGGAACATGTGGAAGTCGCCGAGGTCTTCATGGCGCCAATGGAGGCTGATCACGAAGTAACGCATGGCTATGATTGCGAAGGCCGAGTAGCAGCTCAACTGCAGGATGAGGCCTAGGGCAAGGATGACACGGCCGGCGACGACGCGCTGCTCCGCGGACTCGATGCTGCGCGATGGGGAGGAATCGTGGTCGTATGCTTGGCTGATGGTGCTCGCGCCTGCGAGTTGAATGACGAAGCTAAAGAGGTCGAAGACGACGAAGGTGGGCGTAATGTAGCGGGGGGAAGCACCATAGCGTTTTGAATCTTAGAGCATGCGTAGGGCAGGAGAACCAAACAATACGGCTGAATGCCATGTAGCATGCTGCTGCTAGGAAGCTTGGTGCCAGCAAGATCATCAAGAAGGCGATGAGGAAGGGCCCATTAGCTTCGGCGTTGGTCGCTGAAACGAGGCGGCAGATGTATCCAATCACTTCCATGAGGATGCCGATGAGCGCTGTCCAGAAGAACCACGAACGATAGCGCACATATTGGTAGACAAGCACAGAAGAAAGCGATAGGATGACGACGGCGCCAACTATCGCGGCAGGTACGTTAGGGTCGTAGATGAATGGATTGAAGGCTGTTAGGTACTTAGGACATGCGTCTAGATTAGGGTATAAACCGGGCTAGACTTACCATATTGATCCGGGTGTTCTCTTTTCGGTAACTCGACATATCGCGTCTTTAGCAGCTCCAATACTGCGCTCATAGTGCTGGTGGTGTCCTCGCTGGTCGTCGCTAGCGGCTCTTCAAAGCCGACTCATCCATCAACGCAGCAAACCCATCATCCAGCGATGCGGAGAGGAGGGAAGGAGGCAAAACACCGTCCAAGAGGAGCCGGCAGGGCACTTTTACTTACGTGCCTTCAAAGCTAAGCAGACAAGATGCTTGGCGCTTGCCGGCTCCCGCATCTCGCACTCCCAAGGGCCAAGTCGCGTCCTCAAAGCGCACAGGCAACACAACTTTTGGACCAACAAACCACACTCCCCAGCCCATCTGCCCACCTAGACCTCGCTCACACGTGGGCAGGTCCTACTCTTACACACAGGCTGTGGTACACTGCACATCGTCCTGCACCTCGCAGCACACCCAGACTAATCCGCGACACAAAAAGAACATTACGGCGGTCCGGAACTGCGCACAGCGGAACCTAAACCTGCCTGGGCGCGAAGGCTGGGCGGAGCTCAGCCAGCGGATCGAAAGGTCATTTGCAGATCGCTGGAGGGCGGGCCCCACGTAGTCAGATTGCGGGCTTGGTGTGTTACGTGGGTTGAGGCTGGGCGGGTGTTGGCAATTACTTGGCGATGTCCACGGAGGTCTTTGTGTAATGGCGCGGTTTGCCGGCATTGACCGCTGCGGATATCGATCAGCCGGTTCCGTTACACCTGAGAACATTGCCCAGAGTTGTGTGGATGTCCTCGATATGCAGTCGAAACACGAACGTAGAGGAGATGGAACATGGTCCTTGGGGGCAGTGCCGTTGTTCCGAATCGTGTTGTTAGGTAGAGCAAGTAGCCGGTATTCCCTATTTCGGCATCCTTGATGTCAAACATACTCCCTTATTCAAAGTCACGATGGTTAGACTTCATATTGAGGCGTGCTAAGAGGATCCGAGCGCCACAAGGTAGGCGCGATCAGTCTCCCAGGTCATACCTAGAGTCAACAAGGGCTATGTCGTATCTTGGAAATTATCGATCGTTGTCTGATGTGTTGGTATCGGAATGGAGAGAGTGGATGCTGGGGGATGCATTGGGCTTGAGGTTGTTCAACGTCAGGGTCCTAAAGTAGCAAGCGCGATCCCGGATTCGTCAACCAAAGGCACGTCCCACGGGTATCAATAAGTAGGATTGAAGCACGTCTTTTGATTTGTACACCATCAAGACATTAAGCGTGAATGCATCGCTGAGCAAAACGCGTGGTATCTATCCACTATCGCGTTTACATGCGATTTCCAACGGCATCAGATCGTTCTACCATCTAATGGCCGTGGCCGTCGTCATCTCCTCCTCTCTCTTCTGGGTCTAACTTGATCATCGTATCTATACGCATGATGGCAACACACGCCTCCACGGCACTCTTCAACTGCTTGACCTTGGACATGCTCGGCTCCAGCACACCTGCCTTTAGGGAGTCGTGCACCTTGCCATTTACAAGATCCAAGCCGTAGTTCTTATAATTCTTCGACTTGGCAAGCTGCTTCGCGTTATCAGGAGTGGAGGGGTCGGAAGACGTGCGTTGGGAGAGCGCGTGTCGGGAACGGAGGTTGGCGACTAGCTCTGTGGAGTCTTTCGCCGCGTTTATGGCAAGGGTCTTGGGGATGGCGAGAAGGGCAGTGGCAAAAGCTGCAATAGCGAGCTGTTCACGAGAACCCTTTGATGTGTTAGTCGACGTTTGCACAATTTCGTATGCTTCATGCTGGATGTACTCACCACAGATGTAGCCCACTCCTCCAGGTAGATGTGTAGAGCAGTTTCCACCGCGCCTCCACCGGGAACCACGCGCCCACTCTCGAGTGTTCGCTTCACGGCCGAAAGCGCATCGTGCACGGAACGCTCCATCTCATCAAGAGCATAGTCGTTTGCGCCTCGCAGGATGATGGATGCCGATGAGAACGCCTTCGTACCCTTGACCAAGATGCATTCGTCGTCTGAGATGCGCTCCTGTACGACTTCCTCTGCTGAGCCCAAGTACGACGCCTCGAACTTCTCGTCACCGTTGAGATCTGACAAGGTGCTGACAAGAGTGGCGCCGGTCGCCTTTGCTATCCGGCGCAAATCCTCCTTCTTGCATCTCCGTACGGCCATGGCACCCTTCTCCACAAAGTGCTTCAAGCACATATCGTCGATACCCTTCGTTGTCATGACCACGTTCGCGCCGGTCTTCAGGATCATCTCTATCCGTTCGATAACAATTCCTGACTCCCGTTCCCGAATCTTCTCGAGCTGCTCTGGATCGTCGATGGTGATATGAACACCCAACTTCATCCGCTCCTTCTGCAAGTTGATGTCCAAGCACGCAATCTTCGCGTCCGTAACGCGGGTCGTCATGGCTTGCGATGCGACTGTGCAGTTGAGAGCGTAGCCCTTGACCAATACCGATTCGGTCACACCCTTTCCGTGCGCCTTCAGTATGTTCACAGCCTTGACGGGGTATTTGGTCTCGTTTCTGTTGTTGGTGGATTTGACCGACTGCATGGCGTCTACTACCATGTTGGAGAAGAAGTCTGAGTCTGACCCAATGATCTTGCTCGACATGGACGTCTTCGCAATGCTGACCAACGGCTCCCGACCGAGCTGTCCCACGCTCGTGCTGATGTTCTCGTTCATGTATTTTACAGCTTCCCTAAGCGCTAGCCTGTATCCAGTGATGATAGTGGTAGGGTGTATCTTGTTCTTCATGAGATCATTCGCGCGCCGTAGCAGCTCCGCCGCTATTATGACAACTGATGTAGTGCCGTCGCCGACCTCCTTGTCTTGTTGTTGTGCCAAGTCGACCAGAATCTTGCCGGCGGGGTGCTCGATGTCGAGCAAGCTGAGGATAGTGGCGCCGTCGTTGGTCACGGTCACGTCTCCGATGTCGTCGACCATCATCTTGTCGAGACCTGAGGGTCCGAAAGAGGATTTGACGACATTCGCAATTGCCTGCGTCGCGAGTACATTTTGGTCGCGGATGTCCTGACCGCTGATCTTGGTTCCGCCGAGGACTACCTCTAGAATTAGCTGGTATTGCATTTTTAGAGCTTCGCTAGCTTACACAGAGTTCCGGCATTGCGCTGCTGCTCGAAGATTCCGGCCATGGCTGTGTAATCGAGCTGTTTGTTGTTGCCGTTCTGCTGCCTCCCGAACACAAAACTCTCGACGCGGGCGCGGTGCGGCAGAACAAATGGCCGTAGCGCGGTTCGACCGACTCAAGCTGCAGCAAGAGCAGCCCCTCTATAATTTGATCCTGGGCGCAACGCGAGCGCAACACACTGCAGCCCGAAGGAAACCGCCCGGTGACTCTTCCAGTAATCAGGTATATGCCGCCCTTCGCCCCCGTATTCCGTGACTCATCCCTGACTCCTTCAATCGCAGGTACGGATTATATCCTCGTATCTCCCTTCCAATTTCGCGTTCCCCGCTACCCCACCACGAGCCCAAACGCGACTATATTCCCAAAACGTACCTTCCACACAGAGGGCCACGACGACACGCACGCACATTCATACGGAAGAAGCGATTCTCGAGGGGCTTTTGTAGAGATCAACATTGACGTTGGCCATTACAGATCCGTCAACGCGAACCGCAATCATTCATTCAACATGGCTGAAGCAACTGCCGCCGACGGTCAGATGAAGGATCTCAAGATCTCTGAGGTCAAGAAGAACAAGAAGGATGGCACCCCCAAGACTGCGGCAAAGAAGCCACAACAACAGAAGAAGAAGGTCCGTTAGGTCGATCAGTTGACGAGCACAAGGAACGGTGTTATTCACGCATGGACAGATTGAGGGCGCTGCTCTAATCGGTATTGACGTCGCAAAAGAAGCCGACCTTTCAGAATGGTATCAGCAAGTTATCACCAAGGGACAGATGATTTCCTACTACGATGTGAGTCGAACTATACAATGTGCTTTCTACAGCCGCTAATAAGCGCTCAGGTCGCGGGCTGCTATATCTTGGAGCCTGGCAGTTATGCTATCTGGGAGAACATCAAGACATGGTTCGATGCCAAGATCAAGGTTAGGAAACACGACGTCGTGCATAATACAAGCTTACTTACCTCTGCTAGACCCTCAAAGTCCGCAATGCCTATTTCCCCATCTTCATCAGCTCCGACAATCTCGAGCGTGAGAAGGAGCATCTTGAAGGTTTCGCAGCTGAGGTGGCATGGGTAACTAAAGGCGGCAAGTCTGACCTTGAGAAGCCTGTTGCTGTCCGTCCTACCAGTGAAACGGCCATGTACCCTCATTTCGCTCGCAAGATTCAATCTCACCGAGATCTTCCCCTCAAGCTGAACCAGTGGAACAACGTTGTCCGATGGGAGTTCAAACACCCGATGCCCTTCATCCGATCAAGAGAGTTCCTCTGGCAAGAAGGTCACACGGCGCATTTGACTCAAGAGCAGGCCACGGAAGAAGTCCTTCAGATCCTGGACTGGTACGCTGATGTGTACCAGGAGCTTCTTGCTGTGCCGGTGGTCAAGGGTACTAAGACCGTAAACGAGAAGTTTCCCGGCGCCGACTTCACCACCACCATTGAGGGCTTCATTCCCGCCACCGGAAGAGGCATCCAGGCAGCTACATCCCATGCGCTTGGCCAGCATTTCTCGAAGATGTTCAACATCACTGTGGAAGACCCGGCAGCCAAGGAGGCTGGAAAATCGGAGCATGTACACGTGTGGCAAAACTCCTGGGGTCTCACCACTCGTTCCATTGGTGTCATGATCCTCACTCACGGTGACAACCGTGGACTAGTTATCCCTCCACGTGTGGCTGAGATCCAGGTCGTCATCATCCCCGCTGGTGTGACTGCTAAGACCTCTGCCGAAGCAAAGGAGGATCTTTACAAGAAGGTCGACAACATCAAGAGCGATCTCGAGTCTGTGGGCGTTCGCGTCGAGACCGATCTCAGGGAAGGTTACTCCCCAGGCTTTAAATTTAACGACTGGGAGATGAAGGGTATCCCGCTTCGTATCGAGTTCGGTCCTAAGGATGCGGAGAAGGGCCAGGTCACAACCTCTCGCCGTGACATCGATGATAAGACGGCGGCGCGTGGCGAGACTAAGATTGAAGACCTCAAGGAGGCAATTCCCAAGCTCCTCGAGCAGATCCAGAAGGACATGCTTGCCAAGGCCACAAAGGCCTACGACGAGCACCGCGTCCAGCTCACAAACTGGGATGAGTTTGTGCCCACCCTCAACGGCAAGAACGTTATTCTTGTCCCTCACTGCGAGGGCGACAAGTGTGAAGACGAGGTTAAGGCAAAGAGTGCCAGGACGGCACTCGGCGATGGCGTTGCCGAGGACAAGCAGGCTCCAGCTATGGGTGCGAAGAGCTTGTGCATTCCCTTCGACCAACCGGAGGGTATTAAGGAGGGTGAAACCAAGTGCATTAACCCTGACTGCAAGGACTTCGCCAAGAAGTGGGTGTTGTTCGGCCGCAGCTACTAGAGATCAGGAGCGTTGTTCATGAGAGGCATGCATTGTATGGTGTGGGGGAGTTCTGAAGGAATTACGGCGTCTATGTCCGGGATGAATGATGACGGACGGGCAGCCATGACTTGTTTGATAAGAAAATGAGACAACATGACAGATATCCGCTGTGCCTCGACCTGGTCCAACGCGCTTATTTCTCGCATCCCTACTTTGATTCTCCCCTTCCCTCCTCTTTTCATACGCTGTGTGTCCTCCGATGCTTTTTAGAATTTACTAAGCTGGACCAAGTTTTTAACGCCTGCATCGTCCCTCAACCCTCATCCTTCGTCCCTGTTCAACCACCTCCAACAATCCTCACCCTTTCCTTACCAGCCCACACACCCTAAACGCCTCTCATATCTTCTCATTAGCACTACCCCTCTTCTGCGCCCCCACCGTCGCTCCCACCTTATCTTGCCCCTCCACTGCCTTCGCCTGCCTACCCTCAGCGACTGCCGTAAGCGCAGTATTAACCTCCCTCTGCAAATTCACCATCCCCAACGCTCTCGCAACCCCCTCCAATCCACTTAACCTCTCCACATCCTCTGGCTTCACCCCGGGATGCCCCTCAGCATACATTCTCATCCACCTTGTGCGCAGCGCCGCGTACACTGGGTCCATGTAGCACTCGTAGCATGGGTGGTTGCCGGCGGGAAGGTAGCGGGCGAAAACTTGGGCGCAGAGGTTGGGCGCTGATTCGAGAGGGTTGGTTGGGGAGGAAGGGTAAGAAGAGGTGGATGTGGATGTGGAGTACGGCGGTGGCGGAAGGGAGGCAACTGATGAGCTGCGCAGTGGGGGAACGAAGTTGAGTGAGAGCCGCGGCGGGGTGCTAGTGTTGCTTGGAGTGTTGCCATATGTGCCACGCGCGGGAAGGTCGTCGCTATCTTTCCTCAGGGTGGTGGAGCCGCCGGAGCCATGGTGGGCCAGCTTTTGACGATGCAGTGACGTCGGCGTGACTGGAGCTTCAACCGAGGAAGGCGCAGGCGCAGAGACGGCGGTTGAGAGAGCGTGGGCGCAGGGAGTGGTGCAGACTTCATTGGTGTGGCCGCAGCAGTGAACTTGGAGGAGCTTGTGGCACATGGTGAGCGCTCAGGTATGGTCGCTTGATTGTGGAGTTGGTGTGGTGGTTAACGCACGTAGTAATGTCTGGGTCAAGTTGTGACAGTGGAGAAGTGGAGAGGTGGTCGAGAAACCGAGGGAGAGGGTAGCTGGGGAACGTGCTCCTGGTGTTGGTGCCGGGAGTGAAAGACAGACAGCGAACCAGTCTCGCTGTTCACACTGATCCTTTATGATTCCGTTTGCGCTTTAGTAGTAGCATAAATCCGCAGCAAACAAAAGCAGTATTCGAATTAGGTCAAGGTTTCTACTGGAAAGAAACACCTTGATCAACACATGAACTCTGCTGTGACAATCATCGCATAAACGCAATGTTAGGGTAGAGCATGTGAAGAAGATTTGATGCAGATTGACGCATGTCTGTCGCGTGAACGTGAGGATCGGCTACTAGAGACTGCAATGGAGAATTGTACGATATGGAAGAACAATTGGAAGTGGACGTTCGGAAAGAAGACAAAGGTTTGGCACTTACAATGCCCATTAGACAGTGTCGCAATATTGGTTCGTGCAGTCATTGCCATGATTATACTACTCATGTCGTCATGTCTGTCGTCTATGTCCTCCGCAAGAGGCGGCGATTGAGCGAGCAATAACCAAAAGAAGCTCCCCTTTCCGTAGAACGAATAGTTGATCTCTTCAATTCGTATCCATCTCATCCTCATCGTCCTCCTTCTCAACCGTCTTCTTCACGCCCTCCACAAAAGCCTTCACAGCCTCACCGCCCCCAAGCGGCATTCCTCCGCCTCTTATAAAGCCACCATTTTGGACATCAATCTTGAGGGCCTGGCTCACGTTCGGCAGCCCTCCATCTCTGAGCGCCACCGTGAGACTGCCTAAACTCTGTCTCATCTGTGGGCTTGTGACCACCCTCTTCAACACATCGCGCTTTTCTTCTTGACCAAGAGAAAGGAGTACAGCTTGTGCGGTTTCCGACTCGGGATCAATGTCGGCGACGTCGTCGACTTCGGCTTCAATAAGGAAGAGCGTAGTGGGGAGTTGTGCGCAGAGAGCGTCGATGAACTCGTCGGGCGCCTTATCAATGACCGGAAGGGTGTTGGGTGGAGATAGGAGATCGAGAAGTGTTGTGAAGGGGTCGTCGGAGCCACTTGATGCGCTTCCAGATCCACCGGGCTTGAGGGACTGGAGGAAGTTCTGGACGATGGCGGAGGCGTCGTTCGATCCTGCGGCCGCTCTGACGATGCGTTAGCATGACTTCCTCTGTGATGACATGCAAATAAACAAAGCCAGAAGATAATGAACAATCGATCGAGCGTCGTGGCGGCGAGCCCAGTGCAAGACATGATATGGTAATTTTCTACTGGTACAATTGAGCAGAACCCATGCGGTGTCTGTCCGTGGACAGTGGTTTTGTATGCGCCCATAACGCCTTACAATGATGAAGATGTGCTTATGACAGCGGTCATCTGTTCTATCGCCGCCCGCGTAAGTGTACAGCCTGTCAAGTCGACCGCGCCACGACGTCGCCAATCCCGGCGAAATGAATGTTCGGTACCTACGCTCGGCCGCCATCAGCACCGCCTTCTCGTGATTCCTCACCCTCTTCTCGGATGTCACCTCCTGTGGCTCCCGCTCCTGCACCGCCGGTGCTACCGTGTCGGTTTCGGTTGGCAGCCTGGTCATCGGCATCCTCCATCGTCTCGTCCTCATCGGGGTTCTGGCTTGCGGCTACGGCGAGTTCGGTCTGGACATCTACTTCCTCGCCGTTCAAGAGCCTATCGACGATCTGTCCGATGGCGAGATCCCGAGGGCTGAACCAGCTAGCGTCGCTGCGGGGGTGCTGTGACTTGGATTGCAACCAGAAGAGGTAACGTTGTGAGCTGGAGGAGAACTTGAGGACGAAAATACGGCCATCTGTAGGTGAGCGGACGTTTTCCGACTCTGCAGCTGCCTCACTGCCTGTGTACGGTATGAACGATCCATCGCCGGGGATCATGATGAGATCGACTTCGCTATCGTCCACGGCGCTTTCGCGGGTCCGCCAGCAGAAGTGCACAAATTCTGCTCGAATCAATATGAATACTAATTGCTATGAGTGCTTCACAAACCATCATCTCCTTGGTACAGGTAGACGTAACCTGGCGTCTGCTGCGGCTTCACCTTGAGATTTGGTGCGCTGCCCTGGGTATGTATCAGCACAGAGCAGCCATATAGGACACAGGAAGTTTTACAGAGAGATCGCACTGGCCCGCCTTGAATGTAATCAGCGGCTGGATCGACATGTTGTATGATAATGTGGGGTGAGGGGTGTCTATAATAGCACAGAGAGGCGAGAGCTGCGATGCGGCGGTCGGAGCTGCCTGGTTCGCTAGCGCGCAGAGCACCTGCGAGCTTCTGGGCAAGAGCCAAGACGCTAAACCCAAGCGGCCACAAGCGGAAAACACGGCTTAGTCAATTCGCGCACACCAATATTCGCACACCACTGTTCGCGATTAACGACACTCCCAGGGCTTCAACGACACGACACACAATTCGACATGGCGGACCAACCCACGACGAAGAAGTTTGCCAAGGGTGAGCGGTCGATACCGCACCACACCCAGAAGGCCAGCAAATACTACCCGGCTGAGGATGCCGCCGTGCCCAAGAAGGTACGTTCCCGTCTACACAGAACAGCGCAGCAGACAAGAGGAGGAAATATATGGAGGCAGTGCACGCAGTCATGTCGCTGTAATGCATCGCTTTCAAATCATCACTCGGACTGCGAGCTGCTCGAATAGCCCACACTCGAATTGGAACAGCAACACTGACTATGACTCCAGGCTCGCAAGTCCGTCCGCCCGGCCAAGGTTCGCCAGTCTCTCACTCCCGGCGCCGTCGTCATCCTCCTCGCTGGTCGCTTCCGCGGCAAGCGTGTCATCGTCCTCAAGCACCTCGAGCAGGGTGTCCTCCTCGTCACCGGTCCCTTCAAAGTCAACGGTGTCCCCCTCCGAAGGGTGAACGCCCGGTACGTCATTGCGACCTCGACCAAGGTGGACATTGCTGGTGTCGACGACTCCGTCTTGAAGAAGGCCAGCGAGTCCGGCTACTTCACCAAGGACAAGGCGTCCAAGAAGCCTGGAGAGGAGTCTTTCTTCAAGCAGGGCGAGGCCCCGGAGGTAAGCTGAGAAGCATCTTGGAAAGAAGAAGAAAGCTGACAATGCGCAGAAGAAGGAGACTTCCAAGGACCGTGTCGCAGACCAGAAGGCCGTCGATAAGGCCCTGCTCGCGACCATCAAGAAGGAGGCTCACCTTGTCGACTACCTCAGCTCCACTTTCAGCCTCCGCAGTTCGGACAGGCCACACGCGATGGTCTTCTAGATGTGTCAGAGGAAAAGGCGGGGATTTGGCGTTTAGTGCATGGGATGAAGGATGACCTCTAGCGGCATGCTGCGGCCGTAACAGCAAGCACATCTTTTTTCATGGAGGGTCCGGTTTGCATTTTCCCTATACGACCTTGTAACAGGCAAGCGAATTCGAGAACGGTCCGAAAGTGAGCGCATGAATCAATCGATCTGTGATGCCACTGTGGAGTTCAATTCGGATTAATTTACAGACACGCGCCAGCTGCCAACGAAATAGACTCATATACAACCACCCTACCATACTCAATGGATTGTGCCGATGCCAACGCCAGCGATTAGGGTATCTGCAAGAATGACACGAAATACCCAACCACCAACATCCAATGACATCAATATCCAAGCAGGTACTCTTCACGCAACGATTAACCCCTACCCTTCCCCTTCTTCGCCTTCGCCTTCAATTTATCTGCCATCCCAGTCGCCCGCTCCTCCACTTGATGCTTGTCCATCTCATCACCCAAATCGTCCGCAATATCTCGACCGCCAAGCGTCGTCCCATTGACCCAATCCAACACACCCAGTGGCCCATAGTTACCCTTCCCTTGAGTCGCCATATGCGCATCGACCCTCCGTGCCATACCTTTGAGCATGATTGTGGACGGCAGGACATTGTAACCAGAATAGGTAAACAATTCTTCAAGAGAGGTCAACGCAATCATAATCAGGTAGGTGGTGAGGTGGAAGCGGAACACAATGGCCGGGACGTATAGCGGGAGGAAGCGATGGAGCAGGTAAGGCAGTGGATGGTCGTAATTCGCCGTGAAGGAGTAGGGAGCGCTAACGCTATGATGCCAAGACTGGTGGAGTTGTGCTAGAGTCCCTCCAGCGGAGCTATGGAGCAGATCGCGGTGAATGTAGTATTGGAGGACCTTGTCACATGTCAGTCTCTCCACTTCACAAATACCATCAAAAGAAGACGAGACGAGGGACAAACGTACATTCCGCGACACAATACCAATTCCGAGGTGTTTCGCGAGCTTCCATGGGTTGGGCAGGTGGTTTAAACTCCATCTGCTTCCCTTGATGACAAGCAGGCTGCGCATGCGTAGGACATCTGTTACGAGGAATTCGATGCCTGCTTGGATTGCGACGCCCAACAGGACATTAAAGCAACTCCACAGCACCACATTCCTAATCTTTTGGGCTCCTCCCTTTTGCTTCCCGGGTAGGCTGCGCTCACCCTGCGCCTTCAATTCCAGCGCCAGACTCGGGACGCCCAAATCGATGGCTAGGAATAAGAGGGAGGGCAGGATGTACAATGTGGTGCGCAGAAGGAGGGGGCCGAAGAACTCCAGTTCGAGCGGCGAATAGGTCATGGCGATTGTGGTCCATGTCAGGCTTATGAAGACGAGATTTATGGATGTGGACCAGGAGGAGAGCATTGGGATTGCGAAGAGGGAGGCGAGGGGAAGGGTTATTGGGGCGAAGAGCGCGGAGAGAGACATTTGATGTCTTTTGGGAAATACTGTCTTATATTTTGAAGGCACAGGGAGAGTCTTTGTGGTGCAGAGTGGGTCATCGCATGTGATGTGGAGGATGGTGTTGAGGTTGGAAATATGACGTAGTGGCCGCTTCCTTGCTAGCGCGTGGTGGTTGCAGTGTGATGGCGAAGGATTGGTGCCTCAGGCATTTTTGTGCCTTGCTACTGGAAGTGCGAAGGCTGCCACGCCGCGTGCGGATGACAAGCTAGACGTTTTCGCCGCGGTACCTATGATGCACTCTTGCCATGCTTCTAATTCGATGGACCACTTTAGAGGTAGGATACCCTCTATTACTACGGCGTGGTATACGGCATGAAAAGTCCACGTCTTCCTCATTACTATACTGCGTCCATAAGCATTCAGTTCGTAAGAGTCCATACTGATTCATACAGCTTGATTGTCAACAATGAAGTACCCTGTCGTGCTGTGATGGTTGCGACGCGACTCGCATAATCTTGCGCAAGCTCTTGTACCGTGACTGTCGATAAGACAGAGAGTTTCAGGGGCTCCTGGTCGCATTGACGCGTTGCTCTTCGCCATGTCATGGGCGAACAGGAAATGTCTCTGCAATCCATCATTGAACATGTCTCATCTTGGCCGAACAATGGTACTGTTCGACGCTTACGCAGTCCTGTGCGCTACAGGTACCTCGTCCGGACAGAATGCTAGGCGATCGTGTACCAGCCACCCGCGAGACTGCGTGGAGAGCCTCGGGTGCCTCCCGTGGCCAGGATATCCCCCGCGCGGTAGCTTCGGGACACGCAAAAGCATCCTTCTGCCCTGTGGCGGGATGCGGGATGCGGAGGCACGGGCATCAAAGCGTCAGGAAGGGAGGGTTGCGACTGTCGTGGAGTCGTGGCCGCAGGTGGCTGACAGCCCAAAAGACCCTGCATCGACGCGAAAAAGGAACACAGCAATAAACAATCCAAAAGAAACGTCAGCCTGCCTCTCTCGGCGTGCTTTCGCTTAGAAAAAGGTTCCCCTTGTCGACAATTCGCCCATTCGGCCAATCAACCACCCGCTGGCCCCAGCTCGAGTACCCCTTTCGGTCGTGACTTCGGTGGAGCCGGGGTCTTTGCGACTGCATGATTTGATTTGCACGAGCCAGGAGATTCCAATCCCTTTGCTACTGCTACTAGCTTTCTCCCCTCCCGCGCGGTCCCTCCTCACCAGGCTCTCTCTCGAAATACGTCGACGAACGCCGCGCTCACCGAGTAGCGGCCTGCAGCCCAGCGCACGCTTGCATGCATAAACATGCACTGATCTTCACTGCGTCGGCACCGTCACAATCCATCGCGGACAAGAGGTCCTCGCCGGGGCGAACGCGTCGTTGGGCCTCAATTATTGTACCGACAGCTTTTTAGTGTAAACAGTAAACAGCCAAAATGGACGACCAACCACAGCCGCATCCGCCGGTCCCAAGCATCCCCGCCGACGCCAAACCCACCTCGACCCGCGGTTTGCGCCCGCGACGACGAAGCTCTGTGCCCGCAGTCCCAGCCGACATACACGTGAAAAAGCGCTCCGCCAACATAATCCGCACCCAGACCGCTTCGCCAGAAGTCATCTCGTCCCTGATCGACTCGCTGTCCGCCATATCCGCCTCCAAGGATAACTACTTCGAGAACCTGCCGCTTGGCTACGGCGAGAGCCTCTCTGTTCCTGCGAGCCCGTACGAGCGTCAGGATGCCGGATCAACGTTCAGCGCCCACCAGAATCTGAGCAGGCAGACATCCCACCTGACCATCGACGACGCATGCGAGCCGCCCGTGATAAGAACCGCGAAACCGCCCTCGGGCTTGTCCCCCTTGACTGCGCCGAAGAAAAAGGACAAGGAGAATTCTTTGAGGAGCTACATGAGCAGAGGAGGAGGGAGTTCGGCTTCGGTACACTCGGCGCAATCTCTACGATCGGTGAGCAGCATTGGCAATATTAGCATAGAAGCGGGAATTCCAAGGAAGCCATCGGACAGCAGCACCAGGACATCTGCTGAGAGCAAGCGTAGCGCAAAAGCACATCGCAGCCTGATGTACATGCCTTCGCGGGAGAGGCTGAGGTTAAAGGATGCGGAGCGAAAACGCCACACCATACAGGCACAAGCAACAGAAGCTGCAGTATTGCCCGATATCGCGAGGAAGCCTGTGCAGCAACGTTTGTTTGCAGAGGACACCATCAACGAGGAGCCTGTCATTGCAGAATCGTCGCGAGCTGCCAGGTCTCGTCCAACCCGCAGTATCCTCAATTTTGTGGACGGCAATGATGGAGGGAGTCCGACAGAACACAATCTAATCCCAGAACGAGGCTCGTCGCTACGGCACTCTGGCTCGCCGTCGCGAAAGAGTAAGAAAAGCGATGGGCGCAGGTCGACTCGCCATGACTCGTATAGAACGAGCACTGTTCCTGAAGAAGACGAGCTCGTCGATCAGGGGATCACGCCAGACAACGAAATTTTGAAGGAGCTCGAAGAAAACGACGACGACGTTGCGCGCAGGATCCGTGAACTCAGAAAGCAGAAGATGCTGCGTGACAAAATAGCCGGCAAGCAGCCTGTCGGCGTCCATGCAGGGGCTTCCTTAAGCGGCGCCCGCGTTTCACCCGGTGCAACCATAGCGACTTCCCCAACATCGTCTGTATCAAGCATGTCTGAGAAGCGAATACAGGACCCCACGAAAGCACACAGAGTGCTAGGAATCCCAATGCCACACAATGCGCCCGAGAAGCGAGAAACCCAGGAAACAAATGTTCACGAAGCAAGTAATAAGACCGACAGGGCCAGGAAGCAGGTACATGGGCACACACGGACCAGGAGCTCAACTGCAAACGACATTGACGAAATTACCCCGCTTCCGATCAATTATAGACTCGCACTCCAGTCTCTTGAACGGCTCGACACTAATCCTCCGCCACCAAGCAGTGGAAACACCTCGACTACTACCAGCGAGAGGCCCAGCAGCACGCCGCCGAGACGGTCAAAATCTATGGCGGTAGGAGGACGATCTGCGGCCGGCCGCAAGTCGACGACCAACTCGATGATCATAGGCGCAACCGAGGAGCACAGGTCGAGCACAGGTGTAACCACCCGTGAGAGCAGCGACAGCATTCCAAGGCAGATTCGCTCCGCTAGTGAAGAGCTTGCAACTCGACGCGAGTCCGTGGGCATACCTCCATCTACTTCGACCAGCCTCCAGCAGCGGCGGACGGTCAAGAAAAAGCGATGGTCCCACCCAGACCTACCTGCGAAAGCAGAGAAGTCGCACAATGCCAAGGTTGATGCCCTCAATGCTGCAACCGAAAGGGGAGTGCAGATTCGCGCAGTACCCGTTCAGAGTCCACCTCAGTCCGTCATTGAAGAAAGGCCAACAAGCATCGATTCCATTGATATGGAGGTTGAAGGATACCTCAATTCGCCGCGCTTGTCGCAGAAGATACGCCATCCTCAAACCGGGCGCATCATCTCATTTTCCGAGGTAGGCGACCCTCAAGGCTTTGCTGTCTTCGTCTGCGTGGGCATGGGCCTGACAAGATATGTGATGGCGTTCTACGATCAACTGGCTCTCACACTGAAGTTGCGACTGATCACTCCTGATCGTCCTGGTATTGGAGGGAGTCAAGTTGATCCAAATGGGACCCCTCTAAGTTGGCCAGGTGAGTACATATTTTCCTCCCATCTCAGATCGAACGCTCACATGTTACAGACGATGTTTTAGTCATCTGTCAGACACTCAAGATTACAAAGTTCTCTCTCCTGGCGCACTCAGCAGGCGCAGTGTACGCCCTTGCCACGTCACTGCGCATGCCCCAGCACATTCGTGGCCAAGTGCACCTTCTCGCGCCATGGATCCCGCCTTCCCAAATGGCGCCCATCGGCATGAACCAGGACCAGCCTCCAACGCAACAGCTTCCCAGGTCTCAACGCTTCCTCCGCGCTTTACCACCATCTCTACTGAAGGTTGCCAACTCGACGTTCCTGAGCGCAACCAGTGCAAGCCTCCAGCGCACTGGACCAAAGAATTCTCCTAAAACTAAGAGGAAGAGCGTCAGCCCGGCATTCGATACGACTCCACAAGATCAACCAGCCATGCGACCAGAGTTCAAGGATTCCAGACGCGAGTCCATGATGAAGATGGACCAAGTCATTCCCAACGCCAGCTCTCTATCACTCGCCCTTGCCAACCCCGCAGACCCGAACTATGAGAGGGCCAGGCAGATGAAGGAAGCTCTCACATCTGCCGAACGTCAACGACAACATGAGTTCGACGAACGCCTCACATTTGCCATCTGGGACCGTGCGACGGCACACGCAAACCCTGCAACCGATCTCATTGTGTGCTTGGAGACCAAGCAGACTATCGGATTCCGATACGAGGACATCAACCGTTCCGTGGTCATACACCACGGCAGCAAGGACACTCGCGTCCCGGTGGACAACGTCCGATGGCTAGGTCGTCTGATGCGCAAATGCGAGGTCAGGATCCTCGAAGGAGAGCAGCACGGCCTCATGGCGAGCGCACAGGTCATGGGCAACGTGCTCACGGAGATGGCGAGTGACTGGGAAGACTGGACTACTGTTGTGCAGGGCAAGGCGATTGGAGAGCGAAGCATTTCACGAAAGCGTACGGCAGAGCGGTTGAGAAATATCGCTTCACGACACGGCCGCGAAACAACTACAACGACTTGATCTTGATGAAAGAGACGGCAGAGCGTTCTTTGCGATTTGACGATCCCCCTTGTTGCGATATGACGACCTATTTCCCCCCTACGCGGCTTCTTCTTCCCTTTCCCAATACCTCTTCTACCACTCATCCCTTTTAATCCCTTTGTCCCCCCTTCTTTCTTGCACATTCTGGATCACCTTTTTTTCTCCCTGATTTTTGGCGAATATACCCACGGTTTGGCGCTTAGAACCGCTTTGGTGGCTGGTGGAATGACGAATACCTGGCTGTTGGATAGCTTCGAAGCGAGTCTTCGGTAATTGGATGGAACGGTTGGGGCTTTGGATACGTTGTTTGTTGTAGGAGGTGGATGCTTATGTGTCATGCTATACTGTTATATAGATGGTCTTAATACCCCCTGGTGTCCCGAGCTGATACGCGGGCAGTGTAATGAGAATGATACGGTTGTGTGCCCCTGAATAGACGTGCCCTAGTGTTAGAGCTGAGGGAGTGAGATCGTCGGTATGGTGACACATGCGCTGAGCTCACTATGATAGAGACTATGCTGTTATCTGGCTTGCCGCTGCGCACCTTCGTATACATGCATCTGCGTGGGGCTTTGCGTGCGTGCCGGGTGTGCAGTTTAACTTGTTGCGATTTGGGCGTACAGTAGGGGACATACATGGTACCTTAAGGAAGGTGTTCCATCTAATGCAGTCTACTGGACGTATAAGCCGGTAAACTCCACGGGAGTGTTTTGCATAGGAGGCGGTGTGAAGCGGGTGTTCGTTCCGAAATCAGGCGAGGCTCATGTAGACACGAAGCATGCAATGGAATGGTAGAGAGCGCACGCTTTCTCTCCATGAAATGAAGCCAGGTGCGAACGCGACCTTCTATAATAGAGAAAGGTGGATTCCCGATGTTACGCATTCGCCCTACACTGTATGGACTCATCTATAAGTACTCATCAGGAGTAGCGACATAACCATCGTCCGTCGTCGCCCTAATATCAGCCCCCCATTGTACCAACAAATCAACAGCTTCCCTATTTCCCAGTCCAACCGCTTCGTGAAGCGGAGTCCAATTATCGTAAGTCCGGACATTCACATCACAGCCTGCTTCTTTCAGCCTCGTCAAAATATACACGTTTCCAGATCTAGCTGCGCGATATAATGGCGTAGTGAGCGACTTCGAGCGCGCGTGTGGATCCGCACCTGCGTCTAGCAAGATGTCGAAGGCGCCTTTGGAGGCATGCTCGGCTGCTAGGTGTAGTGGTGTGAGTTCCTTCTCGAGAGTTGGGACGTCGATGGATGCGCCCATTCGTAGGAGTTTGCGCACAATGCGGGGCCGGTCCCAGCGCGCGGCGGCGGTGAGGACTGTGTAGCCGTCTGGGAAATGGTGATCTAAGTCCGTCATTTTGGAGAGGAGGTAGGATGTGACCTCTTCCAGGTCGGCGAAGATAGCGAAGCAGACGAGTGAGTGGAGAGGGGCGTCGTGGTGCGGATTGTGGTCTCGGAAGATGTCCTGGGCTCTGGTGAACCAGGAGGACGTGTCGGGGGCGTTATCGACGGCATTATCGAGGTAGGGTTTGATGCGAGCGAAGTAGCCGGGATGGCCACTTGCGTCGTCCATATGGTAATACCAACAGAGCGCTGCGTAAGACAGGAAATGATTTATGTCGGTGGTGGCTGGATCTAGTTTGCGTTCCATGTTGCTCAAGTCAAACTGCAGAGACACAGTCAGATACTGCAGGCATAGCAGTGAGAGCCACGAATGAGCCTCTCGTTGGTCGACATGGAACTGGTGGTCTGCATTGCGTAGTGGGCTCGAGCAAAGGTATTCCCTCAAGGAGTAGTGACATAGCTTTACGGTCTCATACTTCCAAACTTCCCTATCGATCATGACAAGGGGTGCAATCGTCTCCAATGCATCGTAGGGGTCCGTGGTTATGGCGTCAGGATCAAGATACGTATCTTCCGGTTGTAGCGCAAGGATCTCTGATAGTTGCGATGCACTTAATGGCCATACAGCGACACAAAGACACCAAAGCAGCTTCTTGATCTCTTCTACTCGGTCGGGATAACGTGATACCGTTGCTTGTAGAAGGGACTCGTATGTGGATTCCAGCCCGTTGGGCAAATTGTGCAGCATCATTTTGAGAGCTCGGTCGGTCTTGGCGGTGGACAGATAATCAAGCTGAAGGCGCGCTTGCAACATTCTGTGCAGTTAGGTTAGCGCATTTCTGAAGGCTCAGATTGCTTTCGAAACTCAAGGCCTTCGAGTTTGTCTGTTTTACAAATAGTGAAGGTACCACTTACGTTCCAGCTCTCGAACCGATACGCTGCTCTATGTCAGGCAATAAAGCTCTATCTCGTATTTTGATGATCCCCCGCTCCAATCGATCCGCGAGCTGAGCTTGGATGTAATGCTCGATATCAGGCCGCGTGTTGTCCGCAAGCGCGAGTCTTCTAGATGATATCCGCTTATGTCGCTTCTCGATGTTAACATCAAATCGACTCGAAAACAGTAGCCGCAAATGGTCCCCACGACTTTCGGCACGGCCGATGACAGTTGTCAGGATATTTGCAATCGCTTCACCCTCTGCCGACTCATCGAGTCCATCTACAATAAGGATAGACTCCTTGGTTAAAGCTAGTAGCTCTTCTAGTAGAGGCATGTGTTCAGCTGGGCTAAATGGTCTGTTGAAGTCTTTCTTCTTGTACATATCCTTGACGTGCTCTAGGGCGGCAGTGGAGTGCCCAAGAAGCTGCCTGAGAACACTCATGAGGAAGTTATCGAGGGTTTGCTTCTGCGAGTCGCGATGATCGCAGAAGAAAAACAAGACTGGGATTACCGGCGGTACAGCGTCTCGTACATATTCGATTATGGAAGAACAGAGAATGGTTTTACCGGAACCAGGAAGACCGGTTATCCAAATGGTTGAAGGCGTTGCTGACGACATCCACTCTCTGAAGAAGTCCGATTCGATGAACCATGTGCCCGTGCCAGGAAGTCGTCGACTCAAAGCGTTGTCCAGGCTAGCGTATGCACCATCAGATGGCAATGGACAGACCCAAGATATAATCTTTTCGGCTTCTGCAGCGCTCATTTGTGAGTTCGCTTTAGCTGCAAGGTCATCCACCTTCTCGTTCAATGATTCCTGCCCTGTCTCGATACGCTTCAAAGCCCTAGCTGAGTTGACTTCCAATGCATCAGCTAACAACCCTCGCAGACGATACAAGCGTTGCAGTGCATCCTTCGTTTCCTTCTCCTTGAACGGCCAGACTAGCCTTCTCCCGAAATTTCGTGCATCTTGACCATGGAGCTGCTCACACTTGGCTAAGGCTTTTTCAACAGTTCTCAATGTCTCGGTGCATTCTTCAAACACACCCGTACGCTGCAGCGCTTGGAGCGCATCGTCGGGAGCGGCCTTCGAGGTTGATCCGGTAACATCTTGGAGTTGCCCAAGAAGGCTGTTGATTGCGGCAGTCTCAGTGAGCAGACTTCTAATTTCCGTGGGCGCTCGAGTCACTTTCGCAAGGAAGCCATATCCGCCGGCTAGGAGGGTGCCGCTCAGGTGCACCAGTTGGGCGACGGAAGCGACGACGCCGATGACCTCAGCCATAGCGTACTGAAGCGACCTTGGAAATACACGAACGACACATGCATGATGAAAGCACGTTCCGGTGCTTCGTCAGGCTGAACGTTCGCCAAGAGTCGCTGAGGCTGAGTACACGTCGACGCTTGACCTGTCGGAATGATTCCCATCATGTTGGATGTCCAGCCCCACGATCCGGGGTAGCGGTTCGGTTCGGCCCTGCGCGTCACTCCTCTCAACCTGGGACGACGACGCGTAACTTTCAGCTCAACACCAAACAACTTTCGAACGTACATTCATTATCACGCTCACTACAATCAATTGTACCCCTGATGTGACGATAACCCCTCACTTTCCCAGTACCTGGCACGATGCCATCCCACGCTTCCTCCAGCTCCAGCTCCAACGATGCCTACGAACTACGACCCATATCGCCAAAAGAGGAGGACCAAAATCTACAAAACGACATCAAAGATGACGATGACGACGACGAGCCTTTCCTCCCCTCGCGCCCCGTCTCCCCACCTCCATCCAAAGCTACGAGCTCTACACCCCCACCGAAGACGCCCACGTCCTCCACAAGCTCGACCGCAAGCTCGTCGCCTTCATGGCTCTGCTATACTCCCTCTCCTTCCTCGACCGCTCCAACATCGGCAACGCGCGCATCGCTGGCCTCGCCACCGAGATGCACCTCAGCGACACCCAGTACTCCTGGCTCCTCTGGGCCTTCTACATTACGTACATTGCTTTCGAGTGGATGACGCTGCTATATCGTGTCGTACCGCCGCATATATACATCGCGCTATGTATCGCCTCCTGGGGGATCATTGCGTCTGTGCAGGCGACGGCGAGTTCGTTCGGGTTCTTGTTGGTGCTGAGGGCGCTGTTGGGGGTGAGCGAGGCGGCGTTTGGACCGGGCGTGCCGTTTTATCTGTCTTTCTTCTTTAGAAGGGAGGAGTTGGCGTTTCGGACGGGGCTGTTCATATCTGCGTCTCCGCTATCGGCGTCGTTCGCTGGTGCGTTGGCATGGCTTATCACGAAGGTGGGGAGGAACGGGGTGCTGAGTCCGTGGCGGTTGTTGTTTTTGATTGAGGGGTTTCCATCCGTTTTAGTGGCAGTGTGGGCATGGGATTTCGTTCCTGATGGACCCGGAGTTGCGAAGTGGCTGAGTCCGAGGGAGAGGAAGGTCGCGGTGTTGAGACTTCGAGCAGAGAAGGAAGATGAGGAAGATGACGAGGATATGGAAGAAAAACATGCCTATGGTGCCCCGCGAGAGAGTCGCCTCAAGCTTCACGACGTCCTGCTCACGCTCAAAGACCCAAAATGCTACCTGACTGCCGTACGCCCTATCGATTCCCTTCATCCGTCGCCTAACTAACGTTCCCACAGTTCATGTTCTTCGCCTCCAACGTCGCCTTCGCCTCTATGCCCGTCTTCCTCCCCACCATCCTGCGCGACATGGGCCACACCACTCTGATCGCACAGGCTCTATCTGCTCCGCCATACCTCTTTGCATTCGTTGTAGTGCTCGTTACTGCCTATCTGTCGGACCGCCACCAATCCCGTGCCTTCTACATCATCGTTCATGCCCTTCTCGCAGCATCAGGCTACGCCAGTACGTTACCTCCCCTCTGAAACGACCCGGGTACGTCTTAGAGGCTAAGACATCCCGTCCCTCCTTGTTCTCAAGGTCCATTTCCATGACTGACTTGTCTAGCTATCGCCCTATGCGGCTACTTCCGCTACTCCAACAACACACTCCGCTACCTCGCCCTCTACCCCGCAACATCCGGCTTCTTCTCCGCAATCACCATAATCATCACATGGACTATCAACAACCAAAACACAAACACAGGAAAAGGTACGGAACCCTGGGGGTGGAATGGATCTGCGTCGGCTAACTTCACGTCCAGGCACCGGCGTCGCCATCATGAATGTAATCGGACAGATGGGTCCCTTGGTAGGTACTTCCGTCTTCCCGAGCGAAGACGGGCCCTGGTACGTACGCGGCATGAGCGTGTGCGCAGGATTTATGCTGCTCGTCGCGTTCTTAGCAGGGATGCTGCGTTGGTATCTAGCTCGAGAGAACGCTAGAACTGCGTCAGATGGAGGCGGGCAGTACGAAGGCGTAGGAGCTCGAAGCGGAAAAAAGAGGTTCAAGTACATATTATGAAGTAAACATGCACATGGTATATTGAAGCTCGTTAAACGTTAAGCGCTCGGCCTCTACCGCGCATCCCCTTCCGAGAGAGGACCAACAACCACAGCACCAAAAGCAGCGGCATTAGCACCAAAGCTATAGGCACTACCGCTATAGAAACGTCCACCACAACGCCGACAATGCACTGACACTTGGTCATGAACGCCATAAATATGCATTTCGCCCATGTTCGAAACAGACCAGCACCTTGGACGCCTTGACGGAACCTAGCCGCCATTAACAGACATGTAACCAATGAAATGCTGTTGGAAAGGGGTGGAAGATAGTGAAGTGAGCCGCTGTAAACTCACTCACTCCTTGATCTGCGCCTTCAGCCCCGCAACCTCCCTCTTCAACCTCGAATTCTCTTTCCTCAACCGTGCAGCTTCTTCTTCGGCAGACTTGAGTCGCCGATCGACCTCTTCACCGCCCTTGCCTTTCCGCACGCTTCGCTCAACCTTCTCCAACTCCTCATTGAACCTCGCATACAGCGCCTCGGTTTCTGCATTGCTATCGCGGTACAGCTTATCGAGATGTTTCGCGCGCTTTTCCGAGACCTCTAGCGATGTGGAGACATCTTGGGCGATTGACGACGTCCGCGATGAAAGGGTTTCGAGGGTGGTCTTGACTGACATCTCAAGGGCTGCAATGCGACGCTCTAGAGCCCTGGCGGAAGAAGCATCGTGCAGAATCGGCGGTGCTGAAGATTGCGTGGTAAGGCGTGGCGTACGCGCTGTGAGTTCATGGCCGATCGCACTAAGCTCGGACTGCAGATCTCGAGACGCGCTCTCTATATCACGTTGCTGGATCTGGAGACGCTCGCGCAGCTTTTGGGGGCTTTGCATCTTAAGCTTTTTCGTAGGGCTTGTCTTGGCCGGGCTACTTGGAAATCCTATCTTGGTGGGAGAGCGTGGTGTTGAGGGAACTTTGACGGTATTGCCAGATGTAGGACGCTCAGAGAGACCAGGAGCGGGCTTCAGCGTGGGAATGCTGGATACAGACTCGCCACGCTTCTTGGTAGGCCTGAACGTCTTGATGGTAACGACCTCGTCCTGCGACACTGGGCGAAGAGAGCCGGCGCGTTCACGGCTACTCAAAGGCGTATTTTCTCTACGCATGGGCGAACCTAGGCGCGGCGGCATGGGTGGTATGGGCGAGCCCAGACGTGGCAAAGGCGATCCCAAGCGTGTCGGCGTAGGTATCGACGACTGTTTCGCTTGCGATCGAGCAGGCGTACGCGGCGAAAGCGGCTCTTCGCTGGTCTGTCTGTTCTCGCGTTGCGGAGAGACGGGTCTGTGGGGGTCCTGGGAGGACCACGTGGGTGCATCATTAGCATCTTGCAACGTCTTCAAGTCACTGAGCGAGGAGCGACGCTTCTTGCGGGGAGGCCCAGCAGTGGAAGGTACCTCTCGTTCTCCTATAGTCCCAAGTGCACCCAGGTACCCTCGCCCGGCGGGGCTCACGTTGCCGCCCTCAAAGGGAAATGCACCGAGTACGGTGGGACGATCGCGAGAAGAAGGTCGTTTCGGGGACAAGCGCATCGCTGCATCAGTAGAGTTAGAACGGCCAAGAGAGGCAGGCCCAATCCTGGACGCACTGCTCGGTTGACTATCCAGCCCATGATTATTCTTGCTGAGCGACCGCCACAAGGATCCCACTGTGGACTCCTTCTCATTCTTGCTATCCTGGCGTGTCAATGTGCCGAAGCCAAACCGTTTCCTCAGAGACGTGTTTGAAGTGAGGGAACCGGTGGCTACCGAGCGAGTCCTCGAATCCATGGAGCCGAAATTCGGTGTGTTGTGGCCACTTCGTTCGTCTGGGAAGAGCACAGCGATGTCTTGTATGAAACGATCAACCAATGAGATAAACTCGTTCGCGCTTCCTTCTGCAACCAGAATTTCTGCGAAAGCAGCCGTCAAGGTTCCACGATCACCGTCGTTGCCCATACCGTCGAGGAGCTCAGCAAGCAGCTTAATGATCGCTCGGAGTGCCCGCTGGTTCTGTGGGGACAGCTCGCTGTAGGTCGTCCGGAAGAAGTCTTCGAATTCTCCAGGATACATGCTGTCTGACTTCATTTGCAATGAAACTAGCATAGCATGAGATAAGACCGGGCCCATCTTCTCTTTCCAGGCAATGTTCAGGAACTTCTCGAACGCTGCAAACAAAACGTCGACGGAGGATTGGGAAGGCACATCGAGGTTAGAAGGGGTTTCCAGCAAAGAGTTGTAAAGCTCGTTGACCAAAAGCTCGTCCGCCACAACCCTAGCTCGCACCGACCGTCCCACGATATTGCCCTTGCGAGCATGCAACGCCAGAATCAAGGTCGCCAGAGTCTCCTCTAGCTTCGCAAGCGAATCGGTAGGGGTGGCATTCGTATTGAAACCGATCGTTTTGTTGGAAGATGTGGGTCGAGATAGCTCGCCATCCCGGCTGTGAGTGCGCGTGGGTTGAAGCGGAGGAGGAGCAATCTTCGGAATGTCACCCATTGAAACTGGATTCCGCTGTAGCCTTCTTGAACCACCTTCTCTCACACTGTTGCCGAAGAGACTCGAAAGCATCTTCACTGGCGAGTGAGGGCGACCCTTTTCGTCCTGGCCCTCCGCGACCTCTCCAAGCTGGAGTTTCAGGGATTTTAGTATCTGCTGATTCCTAAAAAGGTACGCTTCGGCCAATGCAGGATTTTTGATGCTGTTGCGCGACAGGAAGAAGTTCCCAAGACGCTTAGTCAAAACGGGAAGGAATTCCACGCTGGTCAGCTTGTCGCGCGCTGTATAACCATTGTTTCCGCTACATTCCAGTTGGAAGAAACCGTTCTCTTGTACAGATATCGAGACCGTCAGCTCAATAGCGCTATTTTTCCCTGGCAGGGCAGGTTGTGCAGCGCCGGCCGTATTCACAACTATCTGCACTTTAGCAGGATCTCTCCGACCTTCGACGACATGACCCGTGCAATCCTCCGTCACGGCGGTGAACATGCTCAGGTCGCCGGCCAAGCTGCGCACCTCCCACTTGTGGCTCTCGCGCTCTGCTTCAGGGTATCTTCCCTCGACCCTTGCTTTCATAACCTCTTCTACACACTTGTGTGCTTTGCCCTCGTACATACCTTGTAAATAGAACATTCGAATGCCAAAGTTTTGTCGATCTCGGCTTCTTGGACGACCCGGCTGACTCGCGGTTGGTGTGGGCGAAATCAGCTGCAATATGTTGCCTTCCGAGTGCTCGCTGAGGAAGACATCAGAGAGCTTCAACTGCTGGTGAAAGATAAGCTCTGATGATCCGACGTCAGCCACAGTGAATTTGGGGTTGTCCAAATCTGCCATCAAGCTGCGCGCAGTCGTCGTGCATCCGTTGGACTTATGAAGCATAATCAAACTGTCGGCAAAGAGCATGAAGATGCCAGCAGTAGTCGAAGGACCATGCAGCTCCCCATGGTAGGGGGGTGATAACTCCACAAAATCAATGGCTGTGATCAATCGATTTTGAGGGGCGCACGTCAGTGGCCACGAGAAGACCATCTTGCGCAGGCGATCGAGTATCTTAATTTGCTGCACTGAAGGCCCTTCCCGAGAGCAGATCTCTGATATGATGTCCCGGGCCTTGAGGAAGACTTTGACTGCTGGATGTCGCAGAGGCAATTGTTTGAGGATGTTGTCGATATACAGATTATAGCGCGGAAGACGCTGCACAGGTTCGATCAACATTGACATCAGGCGTTGTTCTCCAGTGTCATACACTCGCTTCGAGAAGCTAGAGTTGGCGTCTTTGGTGAAGCCCTTCAATAATTGCGAGAAGTCAGCATGAGCTCCCATGTAGTCTGTATAGCAGTCGCCGAACTGCGGAAACCACTCCACCAATGCTTTCGCAACTGCAAGAGCACCTGTGACGTCTGCGGGATCCTTTTGGCCTCTCAGAGGCGCAACGAAGATGTCATCTGTTGCTTGTTCAATGTCTTGTATGGCATCGTTTTCCGTATCTTCCAGAACGGTGCGTATGACGTCTAGAAATTGGGCATTGATCTCCAGTATAGCATCCAAGCTAGGAGGGAACAGCGCCTTCAACGCTTGTTCGTTCGGACTGCTGCTGGACGAGCTCTTTTGCTTCGCTTTTTGTCGGAACTCTACTGCGACGGTGTTGACTAATTCATACACTTTGCTGACATAGTTCTCTTCGGTGTCTAGAAGCTCGCACATCTCTCGCCGGAGAGTCTCTTTCTGAGTCCTCGTGAAGGACTGTGATTTATTGAGTGCTGTCGGCTTCGAAGGCGCGCGTCGCAGTCTCGAAGTAGGCAAGAACGCAGCGTCCCCAAATAATTTCACAACAGGTGCGTACGAGCCATAACGCTGCTGAAGTATGTCATCTTCCGACTCATCAAACTGTGCCGATTCCCTAGCGTTATCTGGTTGTTTGATACTTCCCTGCGGCAGCACCAGATCCAGGTCAAGCCACGAGAGAGTCTGCTCCCCTAGAGCATGGCGGACATCGACAATGATGTCTGCAGCATTTTCGACCTTGACCATCCGCGCAGCCACCATCGCTGCGTGTGACTCTGAGAACAATGCCGGGGCGGACGGTAAGCGTGCCACGGAGCCGTACTGTCGCTCCCACGCATTCTTGACCTCTGGTGGAAGCTCCGCGAAATACTTGTACAAGCTGAACGCGAGGCCTCGACATATCTCGTCGCCCTGCTCTTCGCGTGGCAGGCACGATACAGCGGCGTAGAAGGCGGCGGTCGGCGAAATGATCAATCGGGCAAAATTCTGGAGCCCGGCGGGAGTAAAGACGTGGGCTTGTATGCGCGAGTGGGTCGCCTGTGTGGAGGTGGCGGTCGGGCCGTAGAAGATCAGAACAGGGGAGTTGGACAGCAGCTCGTCGGTGGTGTAGAAGAGCGACAAGTCGCCCGCCGAGAGCGCTGCCGGCTCAGGCGTGATGATGACCATGGCGGTAGATGGACGTAAACGAACGACTGGGGGCGGAAGAGGACGCGCAGTTTGCGACTGAGCGGGATTAAGATGGCAGCGAGGGCATATTAGAGGAAGTCGAGGGGTCGCAACGAGTGTGTAGGCGGGCAGGACTCAGCAGGCCATGTAGTGGTGGGTGTCGAGTCCTCGAGGTTGTGTGTGCTGCAGCTGGCCGCTGAGTGTATGTAAACAAGCAAACAAGCCGACGGAGGCAGTCGCAGACAACGCGCCAGACGTGACTGCCAGTCCGAAACAGGGCCGCACCAAACCGGCCCAAGCGCACGACAGCAGCTGCACGTCGAATTGAAACGTGCGACGGTGCGACGGTGCGACAGCTGGAAGCTGGGGTCTTCCTTGCCTGTGCGCGGGCGATAAGGCGTGTATTTTTGGCGAACGGGTTGCGTGTTGACGCCCTTGCAGCGACGCGCCCAAAGCTTCGCGCCGACGATCAGCGGCAGCGGCTCCGGCCCCGCAAACAAAAACACTCACGTTCGTCGTCGCGTCGCGAAGAGTGTCGCGCCCCGCCTCCGAACCATGGCCACACAGCAAGGCGAGGGCGGCGTGCCTTTCGCTGTTGCCCACGAGCTGCAGAACTTTCGTCTACTCGAGCTTCCACCCGAGATTGTCGAGCTACTCGAAGCTCCGAACCCCCCGCCGTACGTGATGGTCGCTCTTTTCCACATAGCAACAGGATACGGTACTAAAGCAACCCTAGGCTGTCTATAAAATCTTTGCCTCCGGCCGCCTCTAGTAGGCCCAATGCGCCGCCCGCATATGCAGTACTCTGTACGCCCAACAAAAGCTTCCAGATACGCCAGGTACAGACGTCGAACTCTGTCTTCGTCACCCAGCCCGCCTTCGATGCCCATGGCAACGACATACCCACGTCAACCACATGCGCAATCGCCTCGTGTACGGCAACGCTAGAGCTGCATCCCGCCGATACGCCTGCCGTGGCCTATATCGAAGCCGTGCTGCCAGTCTACGATATCGTTGGCGGGGAAGTCGATGCTATACAGAATGACACGAGCAAAGGCGGCGTTTTCGCTGATGTTCCCCTGTCGAGTGGACAATGTGAACAAGGATGGGCAGAAGTTGTCGCATTTGAGCTGTCTGGGAGCTCCTACCGACCGTCCGTGAACACCCTGCGGCAAGTATGGTCCTCGATCAATGCTGCCGCTTTGGCAGAGGGCATCAGACTGGACAGCCAGTTCCTAGGATACGACCTGGCCGAAATGGTACAGGAAGAGGGCTTTCCTGCACCACTTGCGCTGGCTATCTTCTCGCATCTGGCCTCCGCCGGGCAAGATACAAGCGGGCAGTGGTCATGCCTGGACCGAAGAAAAACAGTATCTTTTGTCGGAAAAACCTTGCTGCAAGCTAAACGTGGTTCTTCTGGACATTTGGTCGCGGACTTCGTTGAGGAATGGAAGGATTCTTTGCCGGAGGCATGGCGTGGCGACGCGGCATTGAAGTCCATTGAAGGCACCTACGACACCCCTACATCGACCACGATAGTCGCCAAGGGGATATCTGCGTCTCGCGCAACGGAAGCTGCAGTCCCGAAAGCTGCGGCTGTGAAGGGGAAGTGGCATGAAAGGTTTGCTAAGACACGGAAATAGTGATAGACCTCCCGGCCGCAAACGGGCTGCAATGATTCCATCAACCAATACATGTATAATGAGTATGAGACATTCACCAATTGCCCCCATACTTCGTGAGTAAGCAACATGCCAAAACGTGATGTGCGGATGTCGGTCCTCGGGTGCTCGGAGGCGCGCTATTCCGGCTTTGAGAGTCTTTGGTCAGCTAGATTGCAAGCGGCGCGACTGGCCGACGCTTTGTGGCGGCGAATAAGACCACCCAAAAACTCGCAGTCCGAAAATAACGAACTTGTACATATAGAGATCCAAGCTGCCACATAAGCTTCTTTGGATCATCTGCATCTGCGTGTTTATGAACGTTTCCCGCGCTATTAGCCCAGTCAATCGAGCACTGCACCGACTTCTCCCAGCGCCACAGCGCATCTTCGCCCCAGTATCAGCATCTAAGCGCACCCTCAACACCAGTCGTTCTCTCAGAAACACAGCCATGGCGAATGCAGCAGCCTCAAAGGACATGCCAACCTCGACCCAAACCGAGGAAAAACCCCTCCCCAAACTCACCGCTGCGCAATTCAGAACCTACAACCACATGGCCGAGCATATGGAGTACTTCCACAACAACTTCCGCCAGACCTGGAACGTCATGTACAAAGCCTGCGAGACCAACAAGCGACCTGCCGGAACGTCGATCCGCCAGTTCCTCGCCATGGCCGAGCAGTTCTGTCACCATCTCACCATGCACCACACCATCGAAGAACAGCATATCTTTCCCGTTCTAGCGAAGAAGATGCCTGCATTCCGGGAGGAACTGGAGTTACTTACGCAACATAAGGGGATTCACGACGGCTTGGAGAAATTAGAGGAGTACATCGCTGACTGTCGGAGTGGGGAGAAGGAGCTCCAGCTGAAAGAAATCAAACGGATCATGGATGGGTTCGGGAAGGTTTTATGGTCGCATCTAGACGATGAGGTTAAGCAGCTGGGAGCGGAGAACATGAGGAAGTACTGGACGGAGGCGGAGATGAAGAGGATGCCCATGTGAGGTGCTCTAGACGTTGGGTGGGGCTGGTCAAGTAGAGAGATACCCTGAGCTTGTGCAGTTGCTGAAGCGGCATTTGCGGGCCTAGCCTATTATGATAGCACAGTTTTTTGAAGTTATTAGCAGAGCAACATACAGGAGAATGAATTGTTTGTGTCTAAAGTCGACGGCTATGATTGCATCACGTGAATACGCACTGACGCAAGCCAAGCCTGTTAGAAACCAATGCGGTAAGCGCAGCCGATCGCCGTTTACAATCGTTCAGCATATTCACACCGTCTATCCTCGTTGGAAACCACTATACGTACAAGGTCTTGTCATATTGATCCTGACGACTTAGAGTTTTCGGGTCACAGTTGGAGCCCTCTTCAACGAATCACAGGCCTTCACAACTGATCTACGCCTCGACACCTCAGATTCAGCTATCATGCGGTCGTGCTCATGACACAGCTTCATGTTCCTCATAAGAATCGACTACCCCTAGGCTGTTTCTCTAGCAATGATGGAGAGGGAGAGGCATGGTGGTGATTTGTACGACCCACTCGGCTCCCATCCGGGATCAGCAAGGGCGAGAGGCTCCAACGAGAGCTTGACTGATATTCCCGAAGATGTGGAACAAACTTCAACCACCATCGGAAGCCCTGAGATAGAGGCCAAAGATGGCGCCCCAACGCTTGACTTCATCCCAGCCGAGGATGTCGAGCAGGTGCCTGGAATGCCGCGAGGAGACACGGAATCGATGAAATTTGATGGAGAAGATGAGAACCCGGCTATTCCGGAATTATTCCAGCGATCTTCAAGCCCCGCAGCTATGCACAAGCAGAAAGGTGCCGCTTACGAAAAAGTTGGGGAGGATGGAATTAACAGGATGCACAAATTCTACCTTTATGAGACAAGCACCCGGTTCTATCTCATCGGGGCGGACCTCCTAGACAAGCATTACAGAGTACTGAAGATTGACCGAACCGCGCCACCGGGTCATTTGAGTATTTTTGAAGATGAGATTGTTTATGACAGGAAAGAAATGAACCATCTGCTGCACACAATCAACGACGGAAACAAGCATACGGGAGGCGTGAAACTGAAATGCAGCACTTGGGGGCTTATGGGCTTCGTAAGGTTCACGGAAGCTTATTACATGGTTCTGATCACCAAGCGCGCACAGGTAGCGATGCTTGGTGGGCATTACATTTACCAGGTCGATGGCACAGAGTTGATACCTCTCACTACCGGGTCTTCATCGCGGTTCCAAAAGGACCGGAACCCGGAGGAAGCCAGGTATCTGAGTATCCTGAACAACCTCGACCTGACACGCTTCTTCTATTTCAGCTACTCCTACAACATCACACGTAGTCTCCAGCAGAATATCATCCGCGAGAGAAACGCTATCAACGAAGGGTCGAAACACCAAAACCGGGATTACCAAGACATATTCGTATGGAATCACTACCTTCTCGAGCCGGCGCGCGAAGCGTTGAAGAATGTCCATGATTGGTGCCATGCGGTTATACATGGCTCTATCGATCAATCATCGCTCGATGTCTTTGGACGTAGGATATACATCACACTCATGGCGAGGCGTTCGAGGTTTTTTGCAGGTGCACGCTTCTTGAAGCGCGGCACAAACGATTTGGGCTATGTCGCTAACGACGTCGAGACTGAGCAAATCGTCTCGGAAGCGGTCACCACTTCGTTTCACGCACCTGGGCCGCGGCTGTGGTCGAATCCTACTTATACCTCGTACGTGCAACACCGTGGGAGCATACCACTGTATTGGACGCAAGACAATTCCGGGGTCACGCCAAAGCCAGACATCAAACTTAACCTTCCGGATCCCTTTCATAGTGCGGCAGCATTGCACTTTGACAATCTGTTCGAGAGATATGGTGCTCCAGTATACGTACTGAACCTCATCAAGCAGCGCGAACGGACGCCGAGGGAGTCCAAGCTCCTGCACGAGTACAAGGTGGCTATAGAGTATCTCAACCAGTCTCTCCCTCAAGAGAAGAGGATCATCTACGAGGCTTTCGACATGGCCAGGGCTTCTAAGACGCGTGGTCAGGACGTCATTCTCTCCCTAGAGCATTTGGGCGAAAAGGTCCTACGGCAGACAGGCTTCTTTCACAATGGTGATGGTGAGTTCGACTCTCCGCAAGTGCAGAACGGAGTCGCTCGAACGAATTGCATCGACTGTCTAGATCGAACAAATGCCGCACAGTTCGTGATTGGGAAACGAGCACTTGGTCGTCAACTCCAGGCTCTTGGTGTTATATCTGGAAACACGGTCGAATACGACAGTGACTGTGTCGACAACTTTACTCACATGTTCCACAATCATGGCGACGCGATCGCCATGCAATACGGCGGCTCGCATCTCGTCAACACGATGGCCACTTATCGGAAAATCAACCAATGGCAGAGCAGCTCACGAGATATGGTCGAGAGCTTCAAACGCTACTATCACAATTCTTTCCTTGATTCACAACGACAGGAGGCTTGCAATCTATTCCTTGGTAATTACATCCATGCAGAGGGCCAGCCCATGCTATGGGACCTACAAACAGACTACTATCTTCACCACGCGGACCCACGCTTTTTTCTCGAAACTCCTCGCAGAGACTACATAAGCTGGTACACTCCCGAGTTCCTAGAGCCTCGCTCTCTGCCGCCCTTCACCGTACCTTACGAGGAACTTAGGGAGTTGGTACGCAACGGTACGGCTGAACACGACGATTACTGGAACGAATACTATCGGCCGTTAGCTGTAACATCGCTCCTCAAGGTCTACGCCTTCCGTCTTAGCTGTCCGCCGGCAAAGGAAAAAGACACCTCTCATCCCTCTCGGTTGCAGGATGCATCGCCTTTCGTCGTGCGCAAGAAACAACAGGCTCAGGCGACTGTTCCCAACGACAACAAGAAGCCAGCTCGTAAAGGCGTCACCATCTTGGATCCTTCGAGTGACACTGAGTCGCGTAGGCATAGTCTCGCGCGTCGTCGCCAGAACATGCACTTGCGTATCCCAGAAACAGGCTTTTCGGCCCAACAATCCATCTTGAGAGACCCGCACTTTGAGACACAGATGCCTTTGTCTGCACCTCCCGGGGTTGTCAATTTCCAGACACTAGACCAGTCCAGCTCCACGGGCTTCTCATCATCTTTCAACACCAAAGGATTCAAACCGGCAGACAAGGCGCTCATTCATCAATGGACTCTTGCGCAATTCCACGAAAACAGCCTCAACCCCAGCGTCACCGCCGGTGAAGAAGAGGAGTACGAACGATACGTCGGGCACCCTCTGAACCTCCCCCTCGTGGTCAGCAACGAGGCGCCAGCAGTAGGCGACCCCGCCGCCCTGGAGTTCGTCGAGTACCTCGACATGACCGAAGGTGGCACGCAGCCTGCGCAACCAGATCAAGATGAAGACTCAGACAGCGACAGCTTCTACTATGTGCCTCTTTCAAGAAGCGTCCCACACAATCTCAAACTCGACACAGACGTTGCTTCCATCCGCTCCTTGCCCCTACGGCCCACCTCCTCCGCCTCCTTCAGCTACCCAACCCCCTTCTCGCACCCGCCAGGCTACCCCCACCAGCACAAAACCTTCGCCCACAACTTCCATAATTTCCACCACCTCCACGACGCCTACCCTGACACCCCCGAAACCAACCCTCCTGACGTTTCCGACTTAGCGCCAGCTGCCACGGCCGCAAGCGGAAACGCGAAGTTCACAACCAAGGACGAGGATATCGAGGAGTTTGAAGAGTTTCTGAAGGTCAGGGATAACCCGCTGGATGTGGAGGAGGAGGACGGCGCGAAGAAGAGGTATAAGGCGTATAGGCAGTGGTTGAGGGGGAAGAGCTTTTTTAAACAGAGTAAGGTGGACCCGGAGTGGCAGAATCAGTTGCCTGTTAGGTAGGCTGAAGGGCGTGGGAGGTAGAGCAAGAGAAGGGGTGGGGGAATCATGATAAGGTGTGTTGCGCATTGGAGTGTGAGGATGTGGCGATGATGTGCGATGCGGTGCGGTAGTGTTAATTGAAATAATGGAAGAGAATGCGATCTGTTCGAACCTGTGCAAGTAGCTTTTCGCTGCTAGATGGTCTGTGGTGATAGGCACGGCGTACCCTTATTGGCGCGGAATCATGGCAACGGCGAAGCAGTTTGCTCGGTACCTGTTCCTGGGAGTAGTAAATCTACGCTCCAGGACTCTTTTTAATGTGACTGATACTTGAATGAATCTCCTTCTCGGGACTTCCCGTGGTGGCTCCATGACCCTTGTGGGTCGCCAAATTTCCTGAAGGCTCGTTCACGTGCTTGTTTTTCCGTGAGACGACTTGGTACAATGCAAAGTTGTGTTTGAAATTGCCTGATGCGCTACTAGTCTTCGTAGTGGACATTTGACCATGGCGTAAGTCTTGTGGGCATGATTATTGGGCAACGGTGACTTCAGTGAGGGCACGCGATGGTATCGCTCCAGTCCCATGATATTTAAATGTGGATAGTTGGAGGGCGCATCCAACGAAGGAAAATGCAGCGCTCTGTCCGCATCGTTGTGGTCAATCAGTACGTACGAGCTACGTTGACTATACTATTGGCAAGTGGTTACAATCAGTAGCAATTACTGTAAGAATTGATGAGAAGTGAACTGTGTCGAGTGGAGAATTTCGCAACGCAGAATAGTGGGCACGGGAGGGTTTTATAAGGGCGAAAGTACTTGCGGTGAACGATGTGGTCGCGTGAGCGCTGGGTTGCCATTGACAGGCGTCACCTTGCATGAAAAGCGCTCAAGCCTCAGATCGAGATCTCGGGTTGGCTCCTATGAGCACAACGACGTATGCCAATTGAAGAGTGGACCGATGCCAATTTAACAGCGTGACAACCAAATAACCCATCGCATAACGCGTCTCTCGCAGGGGATGACGCCGCACTTTGACGCGCATCTTGAATCATGGAAGCATGGTCACGAAACCTTGTCGGGGACGTGCAAAGCCTGTACCATAACATTGTGGTACTCGCCTACAGCAACAATACACGTCCACAAGCCGTTCACCCGAGCCCTACAGCAAGCTACATTTCGCGAAAGCCTGTGTACCAATGTAAACCTGAAGGCGACGATCGCGGAGCCAAAGCGTGTATCCTACCAGGATACCTCTCCTCTATCGAGCTCGAGGGCCCGCAGTTCATGCAGGTCACTCGGAACTCGCCTGTTATAGGTATCGATAAACGTCGACCCCGTCACATATAAGGCTTCATATACACAGTATGTGATACTGATAGATACTCGAGTAAGGCCACATCAAGTCATTCCAGCTAAACAGATGTCATTCACCCTGCATATGTGGAGAAAGAATCATGCTGTCGCGTGCTTTCCAGGCCAGCTCCACTGACTTTGAAACAAGCAGGAGAAGGGGCGTATCGATACCGGAACTGACCGATGGTCCTTGGTCCCAATTTTCCGCCACAGATACCTGTCATCAGTTACGTTGGGTCTACGCGTCGCTGGCTGTTGACCTCGCAAGTTGTTTGAGCGTTTTCATGCATGATTTGGACATGCTCAATAGTCTTTGCAGTCAACCATGGCGCCACCTCGTCTGCCAGCTGGTCACTAGCGAGAGTCGCCAAACAATGTTGAAAGAGCTATGTGTCCTAAACGAACGCGAGATGAGCTTGTTGAATATAAGCTCCAACTAGAATGCAGAGAACAGCTGTCGCCAATTTAACTTTCGTATTCGTTCGCTCGCTAACCGATGACAGATGCCGTGTCCGAAATGGTGGGAGCGTGGCGTTTTAGAAGAAAACTCGTGGCGTCGAGAAACCGCGTGGCAAGTGTGGGGAGATCGGGCCGCGGATGGTTCGTGAGGGTAAGAGTTGATCAGCATTTTGACCTCCGAAAAGGGCAGCTCGCGATAACCTTTGTCGCTACAATAGTGTAGACCAAACAACAATCCCGTGTTGAGAGTTCCAAATATGCGTGCGTGACCTGCTGTACCTGCATATACTTTTGAATTGTCATCGGATAGCGTTCGCGTACATGGAAGCGGTTCGGATCTGCGTCGGCTCGGGCATAGTCGGCGGCACCTTTTTCGGCCAGAGCACTCTGTGTGGTAAGGTCGCTAAGGGTCTCATTGGCGATCTTATATGCAGCTCATCAAAGCAGGATTCGCCCTACGGCGAAGGGCGTCTTGTGGGCTTGGTGTAACGGATGATAGACGCAGGCATTGCATCAAGTTCGAGCAACGCACAGTACTCCTGCAGGTTTCAGAATCCCATGCAATTGACGGCCAGACCTGCCAATTTGGCAAATATACCTTACTAGACCTCGGTAATATATCCACGGCAGAGCAGAGACTCCTGTCTTAGCCCAGCGCCATCACCTCCTAAACTCTATTGCGTGAGATATTGACCGTCTAGCGTTCTCGCGTAGGACGATCTGTCACAGACATTCACGTGGCACAGTGGAGAGATGCGGAGACTAGACGTGAGGTTGAGGTTCTAGCTGGTCGGACATTTCTTTCGAGTCAACAAGCTTGAGCTTAGCAGTGTTAGAGTGCCACTGGTTGGTTGGCACTTGCATTAGGGGAGAAAACACCTTGATCCGTGTGTTTTGATGATGTCTTGAAATACGAATTGCGCAGGGCTTTCTCCTGCCAGACCTTTCGGACCTTCTTTCCTTTCCTTTTCCTCCCTTCAACACCAGGACAGCAGAGTGCTCGGACGACAAGATGGCTACCACCAAATCCGACACCCAGCTCGCCGCCCTTGCTGCAGGATTCACCATCGGCTTCGGTTTCTTGACAGTATGGGAAGCCATCAAGCAGACACGCCGCAACAAGAACCCACTGCGCAGCACATATATCTACATGCTGTGGGGTGAGGTTGTCGCAAACATCGTTATCGCGATCATAGGATGGGTATTTCTAGACGGGTATATTGGGCCAACGTGAGTGTGATTAAGAAGACATGATCAAACAGACCCTAATGTCCAAACCTAGAGTTCCAACATTGTTCTTCATCCTGTTTTGTTGGGTGTTTGAAATCCAGCTGTTGATGCAGATTATCATCAACCGGATCGCGCTGATTGCAGAGCATCGACGCACTGTGTGGAGGATCAAATGGGGCACTGTCATCGTCATCACAACTATCAACATTTTGGTGATGGTCATATGGATCCCGGCACATCTTGATCCCCCTCCGTCGCAGATTTTCGTCCAGATCAACCAAGTTTGGGATAAGATTTCGAAAGTCATCATCTTGATCGTGGATGCTGGGCTCAACTGGTACTTCCTACGAACCGTTAAGCAGCGCCTTGTTCAGCAACATGGTCTGGTGAAATATGCACCGCTGGTCAAGTTCAACGCGAGGCTGATGGTTCTATCCATTGCTATGGATGTAAGTCTGCTAGGTTTAAGAATCGGTGATCACGACTGACAAATGACAGGGAATGCTCATCGGTCTAATGTTCCTCAAAAACCAAATCGTGTACATCCAATTCCACCCGGTAACATACATGGTGAAGCTCAATATCGAGATGACTATGGCCTCACTGGTCGTCCGTCTAGCGAAGGGCCAGTCCGAAAACGACATGGCCATGCACGACTTCGGACAGTCATCCTCAGCGCCTGATAAATCGCAATCGCACAACAACCCGCGATTCTCCTCAAACCCTCAGCGATCCTTCCACCTCGCGTCGGCGACTGGTGCCAACCCGGGACACACCAAGGCTGATTCTGATGAGGACATCAGGGGAATACACTTCAGAACTGACTTCCATGTTGTGAGCGAAGAGATAGTGGTCAAAGACAGCAGCTCCAAGCGGAGTTCAAAGAGCTCGGGTGAAATGCCAAGAAGCAATTTTGGAGATGAGACGCCGCTGCACAAGAACCACTTCGAAGTCTCTTCGAACCAGGTGTAGAACAGAACTTGGTGCTTATGATGATCTATTGTCTATGTACAACATCGATACCCACATAATGTAACTTAATTCACGGCCTACGGCGCTGCGCTGCCATAAGGCACGGCTTGAACGCTTTCAATGTCGACGTACCCATACTTGCTCCCATCCTTGTCCTCGGCGAAGCCCTTCTGCCAAGTGCCGACGTCTTTCTGGAACGCCTCGAAGTTCTTCTCATCGCTCAGATCAATCGGCTTCTGGTCCTTACCGAGCTGTCTGATCTGCGTTCCAGCGGCAACGTTCGTTGATCCGAAGTCATTGTCGTCCGTGAGCTGGTTAATAGCTGCGTGGACCTCGCCCTTGATGATTTGCCTTGGCAGTTCAGGCTCAAGACAGACCGGACGTGCAAGACCGACTCCGTCAACAGTGTTCAGCGCATCTACCATAGCAGCTGCGGTCTTGAAACCACCTGTCACGTAGGTCTTCGTCTTTGACAATGAAGGGGTGATCTTCTCAGCGAACTCCAAGAAGAAAGACTCCCGCTTCTTCGTTGACTCTCTCTTGTGCTCGAACGCAAGCGATTCGTAAGTGCCGCCTGACAACTCGACGAAGTCAAATTGGTTGTCCTCGAGGAGCTTGCAAAGAACGGCGGCTTCTTCGGTGTTGAAGCCCTTCTCTTGGAACTCAACGGAGTTGAGCTTGATACCGAGCACGAACTTTGACGAAGTACGGCGGCGTACTTCCTGTCCGATCTCGGTGATGATGCGAGCACGGTTCTCAAGAGAGCCACCGTACTTGTCAGTGCGGCGGTTGGTCGTAGGCGACAAGAATTGAGCGAGGAGGTAGCCGTGGGCACCGTGCAATTGGATGCCATCATACCCAGCCTTCTCTAAGTACTCAGCAGCGTGCGCAAAGCCCTCAATCACGTTCTTGATATCCTCGTCAGTCGCGGCACGTGGCTTCGCGAACGTCATGCCCATGACGTTGCCCTCAAGCTGCACGTCGGAAGCAGAGATAGGGTTCTTCTGGATTTTGTCCTCCACCTGGCGACCTGGATGCGACACCTGGCCTACGATCAAGGATCCGTGCTTCTTTGCCTGGGTAGCAAGCTTCTTGAAGTTCTCAAACCGCTCGCCGTCATATGATGAGCCACGAGGGATGATGGGGTTTCCAGCTGCCTCGAGATGGTCGTATTCAATCATGATGTTGCCGGTCAGGATGACGCCGAATTCTCCCTCTCCCCATCTTCTGTATACGTTGATGAGGTTCTTGGATGGCACACCCCGAGCTTCGAGGTTCTTTGGATCCCAGGATGACAGGCGTTCTGTCATGGCGCCCTTGAGGAACCGATTTTGCGCAGTGACATCGGAAAATTCGAAATGCAGCGGCTTTCCTAGAGGTGCCGAGTCCTTCTTCTCTGCTTCGTATCGTCGTGGTGCCATGGTGTCGTAGGGGTATCTTAGAAACAAAGTCAAGGAGTAGGGATGATCGTATCAATTGCAGTCGTTAAAGTCTAGGTTTTAATAATGAGGGTAAGGGAGCGCCCGGGAAGTCCTATATCTACTTTTCTCCACGATTTTCGACATTTGCAGAGGGTCCACAATGTATGACGAAATGTACCAATGACGCCGCTACTATGCCGCCCCAGACAGTGATTGTCGGCAGAACTCGCCCATGAGGGGCAATGGGGCATTGCGTGGGGAGCTTAGAAATACATAACAAATCCGTGCTCCGTCGGTGGAACTGTAGTGGTCCAAGGGCTGCTTTCAGTCTGTCCATTGGGAGGCACGGGAGGGAAGCTATTTTCTAGCGTGTACATAGTGAGTTTTCATCCAAACGACTCGGCCCGAACGACTCTTCCGAATACACATCACCGTGTGTACATCTGTCAGGAAAGTTTGCTCGCTGCGCAGGTGTAAGTTGCTTCCAGGTCAGGCAAATGGTTTTTCCAGGTCGGGCAAATGGTATCTTGACTGGACCAAGGCATTGAAGGCTGATACCTCAATTTTTCGATCTTGTACGACTAATGAAAGACGACCAGATCGGGATAAGTGCCTGAAGCCGATAGAAATCGGACTTCATTGCTGCCAACACAGGTATGGGGCAAATTGTATGATTCGCTTATGTAATTCAGTGTTGATGCATGTCGTCGCTCGCTGCAAGCATCTGGAATCTTCTGGTGAGTGCGGCCCGGCATGCTTCCGTGCCAAGCCACGTTTGTCAGCCCGTTCAACAATCCCATCACGTGCCCGCTATTCCCGAACCATGGGAATTAGAGAATCCATCAAATCTGGACAATTATGGAACCGTGAAAACACGGCCTCAACCAGTGCTCATTCGAATATCAGAATGTCTGCAAGTCACTAACTCTACCAGACATCTTGACCCGTAAGCGTACCGCATAACAGCCAACCATGCCGAAATGCGATGTACCTATCATATTAAGACAAGATGACGGAGCATTGGTGATTGACAATTCTACGTCCCCAGGCTCAGTTATGGGGAGGCGCTTGTAGAACCATTGGATCATGATCTGATATCCATGTAAAACAAGTCGACGGCCACGAGGGTCAAAAAAGGACATCCGCGCGTGCAGAAAAGTAGGCAAGCAATCCACTGCTTCCTAGCCCGCGGCTCAGCTGAGACAAACTGAAGGTCGACGATGAACATGCTGAGCTTCAAATCACGATATTTGACGAGGACAGGAAAATTTTACGCGAAACCCGTCCTGGAACTGAGTACTATCGGGTAGCGGGCGTTCCAATCCAGTCATTGAGTTAGCATGGTACACATCACAGCCAGAAACAAGAAGATAGATGGTCGCGCCACAACAAAGCGGCAAGTATATTCAGAAAGTGTATATCTACAGCAGAACGTAATCCCTCATTTCACAACTCAATGGTCCTCAAGACCTTGCTAAACGACGCGTTTAGAAGAAAGCACGAGCGTGACGGCGAGCCTTCTTGGAGGCAGTGCCAGTCTCGGTCTTCAACCACGAGATGAACTCCTGGACGGTGAACTCCTCAGGAAGAGTGGAACCCGAAGCGGAGCCGGTGGCAGAAGCAGCCGGGGCAGAAGCGGCGGCGGAGGTAGCGCTGGGGGCAACGTCGGCGACGGTAGCAGTGGCGCTGGCGGCAGCGGAGGTAGCAGCCGGGGTGGAGGAAGCCGGGGCAGCAGAGCTGGCAGGGGCGGTAGCGGAAGCAGCCGGGGCAGAGCTAGCCGGGGCGCTGGAAGAGTCGTTGCCAGAGCCGGAGCCGGAGCCACCGACAGTGAAGTCGATGCAAGACTCGTAGGTCTGGTCGACGGAGCGGGCGTCCCACCAGAATTGGAGGACACAGTCACCGGCAGTGGCGCACTGGCTGCCAAGGTCGGAGGGGATGGTGATGTCGAAGTTCTTCTCAGCATCAGTGACACCGGTAGCGGTGGACGCGTAGTCATCGAAGGTGATGAGCGGCGAGCCGATGATGGTGTTGGTCTTGGTGTCGACGACCGACATGTTGGCAGTACCAGTGTGAGGGGCGGCAATGTTGAAGGTGATGGGGACCTTCTCGCCAGCAGTGTAGGACTGGACGTTGGCGGTGTTGTCCTCGTACTTCATACCCTTGCACTGCCAGATGTTGCAAGCAGCAGCGTCGTAATCGGACTGGCTGGAGGCAATCTGGAGAGCAGTCTGAACGTTGCCGTTGATGTCGGAGCTCCACATGCTGTTGATTTGGCTTCCGCAGGCCTTGGTGAGCGCATCACCGGGCATACGAGGCTTGGGGCTGGTGAGGTAACCGTGGGCGGCGACCTGGCTGGCGAAGGCAGCAAGGCCAACAGCGGCAGTGTAGGACTTCATGTTGACTGAAATGTTTGAGAGTGACTGAGTTTGGTGGTTGAGAGAGTTCGGAAGCCTAGCTTCTGTTTGAAAGAGTGACTGAAAGAATGAGTGACTGAAGAACGAATGTGAGGTCTCAGACCAGGGAAAGAAGCTGCTGCGACGAAGTAGACCGGAGTGCGGATGAAGAGCAGTGAAGGAGTGCGACGTGAGTATCTATATAATCTCTCGGCAGAGACACCATACCCATCCCGTTCATACGGGTGGGTCGTGTCATCAAACGTTTGAAACAGGACATCCATCTGAAGCCTCCCAAGCATCGCGTCGAGGGGTTCCTGTCCAGACCATGACCGGGCCTTCGCAAACGAACGGGGTTCAGGCAAGATGTCAGACAATGCGCGAAGCTTGACCCAGAGCTTGTGTACATTAAACCACCAATCATAAATCTGTGAGCGCTTCCAGAGCGTGCACGGTACGCGGCAATGCAGGCGCCAGGAAGAGCCGCCTCCAACGCAGCGGCAAGCCCTGTTCGGGAAATAATCTAGCCATCTCGCGGCATCCAAGCGAGGTTCTCAATGTAAGCGAACCGCCGAGGACCCGGTTCGAAACTTCTCGTGGGAGTCGGTGGGATGTAGGCGGTTTCATGTTTATCGAAATCATGCGGACCATGCGTGCGGAAATATCGCTCTTGCTCGGTTGACGTGGGCGGACCCCACGCACGCGGCTATCTATATTACAGGACATATGCCAGGACTTCGGCATGCGTCAACAACACTCGAGATTGGTAGAGAATTGCGAAGAAACTGCGATGGTGGAGATGGATGGAAGACGTGGAGCCGGACGGGCTACAGATTTGACAGGAGGGCGCTAAGCGAAATTCGCGCTGGTGCAGCCTTGCCGTTCATCGTCAGACGCCAAGGGACCATCGACCTCCACCCAAGACAGATTCTACGCGCATGCATCGGCAAGTCGTTTTATCGATCGCTTGGTTTCGTTGCTGTAGTCCACTAGGGCATACCTTGTCATCAAATGAACGCCCCTCTTGGTTCGCCAGAACAAACGGAACGGCAGGAGCCGATCGATCATGCATCGAGGAAACTATGATGAAACGAAACCCACTGCATAGCAAAGCCGAGGCTCCCATTTCATCGCTAACTCATTATCGTCTCCAGTGAATATAAGAAAAATAAGCTAATCTGACAGCATCTCCAAAACACAACAACGCACCTGGCGCTTACGTCCTCATTACCGAAACGCTATCTAGATATCCATCAAAGCCAAGAAACACAGGAAATTGGAAAGCCGATGAAGCATTGATACCGAAAAAAAGTGAAGGAGAACATGAATTATTTACAGTCTTCCAGCACTCACGCCTCATCAGATACCCTCCACACCAGCCGCTCCCCACTAGCCTCCTTCCTCCTCAGCGCATCCATAGCCTTCTGCGCCCTCTCCAACAACGTCTTTCCCTCAATGATCCTCTGCGGATTTGGCTCCACAATCTTCTCCTTCAGCAGCGTATACATAATGTCCGGCTGCAAATGCTCCTTGAAGAACTCATTCTGCAGATAGTAATGCGTCCGCACGCCCGCCGCGTCCACGCCCTCCTCCCACTCCGCCGCCTTCTGCACGTCCATCTCATAGATAGGGTCCTCTGTCTCGCTTGAATCCCGCACGATAACGGGTAGCAGGATAGCGACTTTCGATCTTGCCTTCGCGATCTTGGAAATGGGCTTGATGCTGCCTTCTTTGCTGCCGATGCAGTCCAGGATCTTAGGGATGCCGGTGGCGCTGGTGTCGAGGATCTGGGACACGACGTGCGGGTCATTATAGTCGAAGGTCCATTTTGCGCCCAGCGATTGGAGCTTGGAGTGGTGCTTTTGCGAGGCTACTGCGATGATGCTGGTGTATCCGTAGTACCTCAGTATCTGCACCGCGTACAAGCCCACACTGCTCGCTCCACCCCACACCAAGATTGGGTTGCTGGCATTCTCCGGTACATATCCCTCAGGCTTTGGCCACGGCGTCTCGATACCCAGATCTGCCGTGAGAGTGTGGAACACCGTCACGAAATTGTTTGGCAACGTGACGGCCTGTTGCAGCGTGAAGCCCTCAGGGAGTTTTGAAAACAAGTACTCGTTTGTCGTGCAGAATTCCTGGTGTGCCTTTTCCTGGGGGGTGCGCCATGTGAAGCCGAAGACTTTGTCGCCGACTTTGAGACGGCGGGCGGAGGGCCCGACTTCGACGACTGTGCCGGCGGTTCCGTCGCCGAGGCGTTGGGGGTGGGTTACCTGGGAGTCGAAGAGTTAGAATAAAGCAGAAGCTATGAAGATTTGCTATTGTCTTTCTTAAATAAGACTCTGTTTCCTGCGAATGGGAAGTGGATAATGGAAGGCCTCTACTTACGAGCAGTCCACCGTCGTTCTGATGCAGGTCCAGTGGCGTATAAGCAGTCCACTCGACGCGCACGCGGACTTCGTCGCCTTGCGGCTTCACAGTTGGTACTTGATGAATATCCAGAGGCTTCTTGACGCCGACCATAACCACAGCGGAATGGGTCGCCATGATGCTGTCACGTGCTAGTTCTCGGTTCTTCTGAAGAATGTGGGTGCTATTGGAATTCAAAGTAATGATACAAAGGCTGATGAATGTGGTTTACTGATGCAATTCTTCCCGCGAACTTCGCTTCCTTTTATACAACATCTCTACCTACTCGCTCATTATAAATGAATTGGCTACTGAGTGTATGCTGCGACGCGGCTAGTGATGGTTTCCCGTTTGGGTAACGTTCGCTAGTGCGAAAAGCACCGGAATGTCCAATTAGAATCGCTCGCGGAGGGTCTGCTGACGAAACATCATACCACAATACTTGATATGGTATACATCCTTATAGATATTGTGTAATCTGGTGCGAAACCTATCTTCATTAAACATATCTGATGTCGGGACGTCGTGCATAATTTCAAAGCGAGCAAAAAGGGTGAAACGAGAGGAAGGCTGGGCAGAAGTTTCCGCACCGCAGAAAAACACAGTCGGAAACTTCATGAAGAGTGCAGGTTCTCGTCAGGGCAAGTCGTTGGTGGTGTGTGTTCTCACTATACTTGGGCGTCGCATCATGCTGCTAAATTTGAAAGAATGACATTTACTCCCAGATGAGCAGGAGCGAATACACAACAATACTCAACGAGCGTCCTGATCCAGCTAGAGCACCATTGTACCCGCCAACTCCTCCCCTTACGTCCTCCAACGATGGAAAGGGCAATCAATACATATCGTACGTGATCCCGTGTGGGTAGTCCAATTCATACCACTCCAATCCACTATCCCATTGTCTGTCCGGTTCCGCTGGTTGCAACAAGAAGGTCGCAACTTGCCCCTTTTGACAGATTATTGGCATCGACCATGTGAAGTTGGTATAGCCGGACTTGTAAACGGCAAGTGTGGCGACATTGACAAGGGGCTGTGGCTGATTGTTCCAGGTTGTGTCCTTGTCTGTTGGAAGCATGTGTCAGTGTACTGAGCGAACAAACAATCTACAAAGCGGGAGAAACACTTTGTACGCGGGGGTAGAATGGTAAATGGGAAGGGTGACGTACTGATTTCGCCTTGCAGCTGAGCGATACTGATCATGAATGGCTCATTGTCATCCACACCCCATATAGTCCAAGGAGCGCCGCGGCTGGGATCCATGTTGATGGTGAAGCCAAGCTGGCAGTAGACGGCGGCATTAGATGGGACGTCCCAGTTTGCTGCGGTCCAGTTCTGCTCTCCTTTTAGTGTCGACATACGGTCAGCGGATTACTGGAGCACGAACACCTTTCGAAACGTGGAAACTCTGCTGCGTATTGTATGCCTTGTCAGGTGCGAAGGAATCGAGAGGAATGACAAGGTGAGGAAAGGCGCGATAGACGGTCGGCTTTGCGAGGGCGGTAAGCCCGAACAGGACTGAGAGGAAAGCTGCGCGCATGATGGACTGTATGTACTGCAGGTCTGTGATGTTCATGTAAAGCGGAGAGGCTTGACGAAAAGTGCCGGTGCTCTTAGCAAAGGAGGCGCCTACTTATACCCGATAGCAAATTGTGTATCAGAAGGAGCCTTCCATCGTGATGTCTTGGTTAGGAAATCGTGACGGAAGTGACGCCTCTGCAATAGCAGCATGTAGCACATGCGGGGAGAGCAAGGCGTCTTGTACAATACTGACGACAAGAAATTGTGTTCTCGGAGGAATTGGACCGTCAGCAAGTTTGGAACTAGCACATCTAGCAGGCTGATACCGGTTACTCTTCATCTCACAATACGTCCAAGTGGGTGAACTACTGATGGTGAGGGGCGCCGCCGACGACTTGTAATACCATCAAAACTCTGGAAGGAGATAGCTCGAGTGGCTGGTGATGTTGTTGGCCAAATGGAAGTACAGAGCTGTCAATAACGTGGCTTAGGCCCGCATGTAGCGGTCACGTTGGGCATTGTGCAATGTGTGATGGGTACCTGCACCTGCCTTGTTTTAGAAACCTGATGGAGCCCATCAGCAGGCTCCATGACCGATGCCTCAGTTACCCAAAGAGGTGGTCTCATATGGTGACTTGGGACGTTGTGATGCGATTTTTGATTGAAGAAACCGATGAGCGGTGTGAAGAGTATTGCATACGACTTTCCAGGAACCATTAATCCGGTGGCATCTAGACATCAGCTGTTGTGTACAAGTTCCTTGCATATAATTGGTAGGTAGAGTCCGTCGAAGCATGGTCGCAACGTGCCCTAGGATTGCATGGTGGTAAGGCAAGGGAGAATAAAGTTTGGGTGGGCAGAAATGATCGCATTCCCATCCACTATTGATGACAGATTCGTGTTCGTCCTGAACGTTGTTTCCGTACAGCGTTCACTTGCCTGACCGTGCATAAACGCCATAAAGACAATGGTCTGACGAGTAGGAGATTGATGGTGTAGTGTTACAGGGCTAGGCGCACAACGCTGTCATGCTTCATCAACAAAGGAGAGGAAATGTCATTTGACCTCGAGCAATCCATTTTGCTGAGTATTGCGTGGCTGGATGAAGCACTCTTGTCCAGTCATCGTCGAAGCAACGGTCAGCGAAAGACAGAGACGCGCTGAAGCGGAAAGGTTTCCGAACCTCGGCACTTGCGTCATACCCCAACGATCACGTATTCCACAACACCACTTCTTTTGCACCGCAGCAATGCCGACAACGGACTGTTCAGCATGACGTTTTCAGCGTTCTATAGATCCTCCTTGAGGCCTCTCTCCGGCGTTCCCCTGCGGACACAGCTTAATACGCGTCGCGCCCTTCATCTCGCACCACCTTGGTTGCTCGACGATTACATCCCGCGCTACCACCTTATATCCTCGCTCGACGCAGCTAAGAAGCGCTCACTCGCATACGCACATCTTCGAGAATGCAACCTCTGCCCGCGTCTCTGCGGTGTCAATCGTTACAAGACGACGGGCGTCTGTCTGATCGGAGCAGAGAAGGTCAAAGTGAACACCATCGCGCCGCATTTTGGAGAAGAACCCTGCCTGCAGGGACATAATGGATCGGGAAGCGTGTTTTTCTCGGGGTGTAATCTGAGATGCGTTTTCTGCCAGAATCACGATATTGCGCATCAGCGGAATGGGTTTGATCTGACACCGGAGGAGCTGGCGGGGTGGTATATGAAGTTGCAGGAAGTTGGGAGATGTCACAGTAAGTGAAGGCATGGACCGCCATTTGATTGTTTCAATCCACTAAACACATGTATTTCAGATATCAATCTCGTCACTCCAGAGCACGTCGTGCCCCAAGTCGTCCTCTCGATCCTCCATGCGCGCGAACTTGGCCTTCGTCTCCCGATCGTCTACAATACTTCGTCGTTCGACAGTCTTGAGAGCTTGGAACTATTAGATGGCTTAGTGGATATATACCTGCCAGATTTCAAGGTGTGGAGCGATAAGACAAGCAAGCGCTTGCTCAAGGCGGATAATTACACTGCCACCGCGATGGAGAGCATCAAGGCCATGCATGCTCAGGTGGGGGATCTCTGCTTCACAGGTGACGGCATAGCAAAGAAGGGTGTGTTGGTGCGACACCTTGTCATGCCGGGCAAGGAAGACGAGGGCAAAGAGATCGTGCGCTGGCTGGCTGAGAATGTTTCTAAAGACATAATGGTGCACATCATGGAGCAGTATTTCCCTCGTGCCCACGTCGGGAAGCCGCGCAGGGGAGGCAAGGACCCTGAGGTGGTCGAGCCCGGAGGCGTGCCTGCCACGGAAGGCGCAAAGACCCAGGTGCGGTACGCAGACATCAATCGCCCGGTCGATCTGAAAGAGGTGGCATCTGTGACCCAGGCTGCGAAAGACGCTGGCTTGTGGAGGTTCGTTGAAGCGGCGAGACACGGCGGCTTCAACATATGATCCGTGTTCTTTCCTTCCAGCCGTTCAAGGACGCGGTTGCCGTGAGCTGAAGTGCTCCTGCCTGCGCTCCTGGCTCATGTGCCCACCTCAGGATTCAAGCCGGATTTACCAGACCAAAGCACCATCCTTCGCCATTCCCAGGCGCACATCATTCCGCAATCAAACGATGCTAGTATCAACGAGCGACGCCACCGACGACGTAGCCGAAGCCGCCGACGATCTCGCAGCGACAGTTCTGGGCCTGAAGAAAGAGCGCGATACATGGAGAGCAGTGGCCGAATCGTACCAGAAAGCTTTCGAGGACCAGACTGCACGTCTGGCAGAGGTGCAAGACATCTGCTTCGCAACGCAAATGGAACTGGAAAACGAACGAATTGCAAACCGCCACAGCCAGAAGTCGTCCGAAGTGTCGCAAGCGTCACCCCATGGCACCATCGATGGCACTGACGGCACTGACGACAAGCTCGACAATTCCTCATCTGGCACCGCAACCATTTACGAGTCTCGTCACGCGGAGGTAACCTTGCGACCGAACTTCTGCTTCCGGCGCGTGGAGTACTTCACCGCTCGACGCGACTATGACACCGCACTTAGAGAAGTGGACCACCTTTTGCGCGGGCCGCTGACACCACAAGCACGGATAGAGGGTCTGCTACTCAAAAGTACAATCATGCGCAGATTAGAGTGGTTGTACGATGCCCTCGCCGTCTGTAGTGAGGGCCTGGAGCTGTGCAACCGTCTCGAAGAGCTGCACGCATATCTGCCCAGGATTCAATATCAGCGAGGTTTTTGTTACTACCAGCTCCAGATGTTGAAACAGGCACGCGAGGCTTTCAACGAAGTTTGCGCTGATGACGACGTCCTCTATGCCAAAGCGTCCGAGATGCGGGAATTTTGTGACGACCAGCTGCATGGGCGGAGACCCGGGTTCGAAGCACACCGTACAGTGACTGAAGGCCTTTTGGCGCAAATGTATGACAGTCGCACTGAAGTGAGGCTGACATTTTCAATAACATTACTGTTTACTGACTGGTGTAGTCGAAGCGGCGTCGCGCCAGCCAACAATTCCGATATCACGCTGCAAAAGCGAAGCGTCTCTCCTTACCGCAGCGTTGGATGCATGTCACACCGAGGTCGATGTCATGCGGGACAAATTAGTCTGTTGAAAGTGAAGTCATGCTGTCTAGATGGGTGGAGGCCTAAGCGCTGGTGGTTGTAGTACGGAGATACCTCCGAAAGCTTCACGTGTTGCTCATTTCTAGCAAAGATTCCAGCCAGAGAGTGTCATCTCTTTGTCATCTAGCCGAACAGAATGTGCATCTTTCCTGTTACGTCTGTCTTTGTCGTCCTCCTTGTGCTGAGCTCCGCGTCAAACAAAGGAATTCGTCATCTGCTTAAGCTATCAAATCCAATGTTTGCAACATCAAAGCTCTTATTCACATACCTAAACTCCCAGCCGGACACGCTACAATAATGGAACGCTCTCCCAGCAGCGACGACGACAGCCAGTCGCCCAGGACCGCAATCTTGCTATCACCTCCCCGTGGCAAAACATCGACTGTTCGGAAAATTGCGGAAAAGTACGAGCGACCACAGCTCCAGATCCCAGGCACTGAGCCCGCGAAGCCAAAACACAACCTCAAGGAAGAATACAAAGATCCATGGCAACAGAAAAATGAGGAGCAGCTTCAAAGCGAGCGCGTTCGGAAGGGCTCTGGAGGACTGAACCCCCATCTAAAAGAACCCTGGGAACGGGCCCGAGACGAGGCATTTTCTGCTTTGAGGAACGACAGAGATAGCGGCCCCGGTGCAGAGGGTACACCCTTGACCGGCGGCACTCAAGCCCAGCTCCATACGTTGGATACCCTGCGCGCGGAACTGCCTAATGCTGCATCTATCCATCTGCAGAGTGGGACCCGGTCCACCTTCCTCCCCGAGGGCGTTACGCCCTTTGCTTACGCGCTCGACCCGTGGCTTCAGCAGAATCCAGAGTACAGACACCTCCTCGAGCCTACGACACCTTCCTCCACGCAAGCTTCACCCGTGCACGGAAGTAGCGTGCACGCTGAAGGAAGCACCAGAACAGCTGAAGCTTTCCCTGAATTCCCTTTCCAGAGCATAGCCGCCTATCTCCGCGACCGAAACATCGTCGAAATAAGAGCCAAAATCCTGCACGTGAAGACGTTACTGTTTCGGTGCGGGGTGCTAGTAATGACAGCGCGGTCATTGGAGCAAGCTGAATTTCTCCACTCTGCTCGAGTGAGTCCAGACTCTGAAGGTGAGGAGGAAGATCCGGGTAAGGGGTGGTATAAAGCGTATTATGAGGCGGGTAGGGCGGCGGAGAAGGCTGGGGCGATGGCGGCGGAGCTGAGTAAGAAGGAGTTGTGGTTGGACGGGCTGCAGGCGAGGACGTGGTATTGGAAGGGGAGGGCGGATGCTGGGATGAAGCGGTGGGATGAGGCGGGTAAGGCGTTTGGGAAGGTGGGGAAGTATGATGCGACGAAGAATGGGCTGACGGCTTTGGAGAGGCGGGATGTTGAGTTGCGAAGGGAAGAATGGGAGATGAAGGTTGAGCTTGCTCAGCAAGGAAGGCAGGGTGATGAAGTGTTGGACGACTTGACGGGAGGACTGGAGGACAAAGCTGTGGACTCGGAGCCGGTGCGTGCTGAGGGCGACGAGAAGTCAGATGATGTCAAAAGAGAACAGCGCGAGCAGTTGGGGACGATCATCAACGATATGAAGGCAAAGTACAAGATGAAGTACATTAGACCTTTTTCGCTGGAAGAGCAGGAATACATTATCAATGGTGTTCCTGTTCCGGTGAGAAAGCAAACGAAGGATTTTGAAGAGCGAGGGGTTTCAAGGCGATGACCAGGATGAAGACCTAGAAGTTGGAAGAATCAAAACTTCTCCGTCTAAGAGTACGATTACTGCATTATATCGTGGCATATCAGTCGAGGGCTAGAGCTTATTGCTTGCGGAAGCAGACCGTACGGCCATGGTTTAGCTCATAGATTTATTAATCGTAGAATGCGCTGGCGTAATAGCTTGACTCCGCTTGGTACCATTTCGTCGAGGCGATTCCGCCTTCTCAGTATGTCTTCGGTGACTTTCTCGTTGTCACCTTCCCAACTGCTGTCGTTTGGCTTTAGAAACAGCCGCATCCGCGGGAGCCAATCTACGGCCATTTTGAGCTTCTGATTCATGTCCAATAATTCCTGCTCGTCCCACCTCAATTCGTGTGCCTGCCAACCCTGGAGCATCTTCTTAACGCGTGGTGCAGCGAACTCATTGTATTGCATTGACGAGCTAACTGGCGTATCGGTCACACTGATGGGTAGGGAAGCGTCGAAGATGGCTGCCGGTCCTGCTGGGAGCATATCTGCAATTATCTCGTAAAGGGGAAAAGAGGGAAACGCGCTGATAACAAACGTATTTTCGTCAATCGCAAGGAGTCCTTCCGGATCTTCGAGGACAGTAATGTCGTTCTCAACGAGGATTTGCTTGTCAGAATTCGAATATCCAGGATCCTGGGCTAGCACGCGCACTTTTGATTTATCTTCTCCGTAACGTTCGTAGTGTTGGTCGTATAACTCGTCAAGGGCCTGGGCGATGCTTAACGCGACGATATGCTGTGAGTATGGGCGAAACCAGGCGTCGAGGCCGTTCAAAGAACCGGTTTGACGCGTCAAACTTCCCAGGCCCATGCACACAACTTTGTCGACGCGAGGTCCGCCAGATTGTAGGTGTTGAAGTGCGATCTGCAGCTGTAAGAGTGCCCTCGTCTTACTGACGGCGTACAAGTCGTTGCAAGCAGCCCAGTTCTGCTGCTTCTGCGTCAACTGATCGTCTTGATGTGGTGCATGCGAAGTCAACTGCACAGGCGAGCATGTTTTGGACGGATCAAATGCATGATCTGGGGGTTCAATTCGTCCGTCTTTGTGATGTGCCTCGACGAGAAGATCCGGACCTCTGCCATAGCCGTAAGCTGCAATTCGGAGGTAGCTATTGTACCAATGGCCAGAGTATGTGCGTAGGCCGGGATTGGGAGGGTTGACTTCGCTTGTGAGAGTGTTGCGGAGCCAGGCTGAACCTGTCTTTGTGTCCTTGACTTCAGCTAGGGACAATTCTCCTGATCGCAATTTTGCCGTGTCATCGGAGAGCTTCTGCATAAAGTCTCGTGTGTAGATGCCTTCTAGCCCGCGAGCAACCAGGGCATCCTCGAGCGGCTGCAGGTCATATTGGGTTGCACCGGATTGCTTGTCAGCAGGTGCCATGGAGCTATTGCTCCATGTGTTGTTGGGTCGCAGAGATGCTGAGGTGTGTGTAGCGAGGAGAAGGATCAAATTGCGACATTTGTTCGCGCGTCCTATGCACGCGTTGTCGTGCAGTCGGTCTTCACCGCAAATAGCGTGGCCGTTTTACGTAGATCGAGACGGAACAGGGCGCCGAGGGAGAGTGCTAGTCGCGATTAGTGCAAGCCAGTGAATGGCAGCTGAAGGTGAACACACGGCCCGAAGACGGTCGTGTACCGAGGGGCGCCGCTTGGCCGGTGGTCGGGAAAGAGCAAGGACACTTCAGATCCAGGAAGGCACGACCGGCCAATCAGATTTCACCGTGCACCCGGCTCAGCTTCACCTCCGATCAACCTTATGAATACTCACACAACGGCCGCGTCACGCACTCACCCTACATTCTGTTATCTTACGAAACCTCAACTGCACGCTCCAGACACCAGCAAGCGTGTTCCGCAGTCATGGCACCGACCAAAAACCACGCGTTGAAGAAGAAGGCGCCGCCCAGCGAGTACGCGAAAGCGCTAGCGTCAGGCAACATCCTTCAATGCCTGCCGCTCGAGCTCAGACAGTAAGCAAAAGCACCAAGTACATGACACAATACATTATAGACCGCTCTCGCAGACGCATATACTCCCCTGATATACTTGATATGCAGGCACTGATTATGATGCTAGAGAGGTGTTTGCTTTCGCAGCCTTACACTACATACGCTTCGCTACGAAGGACGGCCGCATCCAGGCCTCGGACATCAGTGAGCGGGTACACGAGTGGCTGCCACCCATGTGCCATGTCAACGACGACTTCTTCCTTGAGAGCCTGCCAATGTTCCTCCGCCACAGTGAGTCTACCTATTCGCGTTGATGTTGGTTCACTAATCGTTCCTAGTTGACATAGTGGTGGGCGAGACATACACCGCATATGGGCTTTTCTTCTTCCTGCAGGCGACTGGCATGTTCAGTTACATCTACTCGCTGCGTTACACAGACGCCGGGACCCTCGCACCCTCTTTCGCCGGTCCTCAGCTCCTCAAAGAGTGCAACAATCTCCGTCACGTGGCGTTGTCCTTCAGGACCGATGACTTTCCTTCAATCAACCGGCACAAGAAGTGTATGCAGCCGTTCTACTTCGATAAGAAAGCTTTCCTAGAAGCCCATTCTTTTCGCCAGCTTCTTACACTAAAGCACATTGAGAAGGTCAGTCAGATTGTGTTTCGCAAATTTCCTTGTGGTCTCTCATGCCGGAGAGTACATTAGGGAGCAAGATTTTTGCCTCAGGTTCACTTTCACTGACGCTGTACCCGTGCTTTAGATTTCCATCTCCGTCATCAAGCGCGGAGGGTCACACCCCCCTGCCCCTAACCCCCCGGAGTTGGACACATGTTGCGGTGTAGCGGGATGGCTGGAGAAGAAATTCCGCATGCGAAATCTTGCTGTGGAAGTCGTGAGTCACCGTGGTATTGTGGTGAACAATGAGCTAATTGACTAAAGACCACAAACGTAACTTGGGAGTACTCGCTCGTCTTTTAGCGCATCAGCAGGCCTCGTTGAAGTCGTATTAGACTGCGTCAGGGTCGACATATCGTTGTTCTCTTAATTTGATCCTTGGGACAAGTCTCGGATGCCTCCTTGATCTCAACGCTGCAAAGGTTTGACGAGTTCGAAGCACCTTAAACAGTGGGGAACACCCCGAAAGAGATAGTTAATCTACTAGGCGTTCGAGTGGGGAAATGACGCATATCACCAATTCCCCGACACTGCTTCGTAGTAAATGACCTCAAAGCACGTGTGGTAAGGAGCGTGAACACAACACAGGAACAGAACCAACATCCAGCTAGAGGCGACTGGGCGCAATACTTTTGTCGCACGCCGTTACGCAGACCCACATCGCGTCCGCCGGCCTTACGCTACCTCACGTTCCGAAAAACCTTCGCTATAGGAACCTTTTGCATCGGCTATGTGCACCACTTACGCATAGGTATTCTTCTGTTCTGGCCAGTTCCGCTACCGGAACTCGCTTTCGCATTTTCATTTTAGGGACTAGGCGCCAGGCCTATACATGTAGTATTGGCGATTTTCATAATTCTATCTGAATTTCCGGTTCAGCGTGCGCCATCCTAAACACCTCGGGCTAGCCACCGCGATTGGTACAGTTGGGATACTGTTTATAAAGGAAGTGGCACGTGTCTTCGCGCGTCCATATGCCATCGGCTTAGATGAACGGCGAATCTTTGTACGTGTGGGCACGGGTGGGAAGCCCTAGAAACTAAGGCACGACTACGGGGCAGAGATCGCGATCGTGCCTTTCATCGGACAGAACGCTTAGCCGACAACGCCCCGCGGAAACACGATGCGAACAAACTTCCGAAGCTGTCGCCGAATTTTCATTCACTCTTTTTACAGCCAGGAAGCTCACGAGTCTTTAAAAGCGGGCAAACATTTGAAGGGTCTAGAACACCGGGCCCTTTTCCGCCACTGGCCGGTGCAGGCACTAACAACCCAACTGAGCCAATCTCGGGAAAGGCAAAGCAAGACTTCCAGACCTTCGAAAGTTGGGCCACTTCGAAACAATTTGGTCTACGCAGGAATCAACAATAGCACCGCCATCGTCGATGCTCGCTTACATTCGAGGCAGCCATGCCTTCTGACGCTGGCACACGTGCATCATTCTTTCCCAAGGCAGATGCAGCGGTTCTTCACTCGAAGTACGAACCACCCTCACCAACAGCGAGACCGGCTGAGGTGGGGCCAATTCTCGATCCCGAAAATGCCAACAAAGCACTTGATGCTTGGTCGGCAGAGGTAGCAAGAGAAATCTATCCTTCGACTACCGATATCTGGAGCCCTGCGCCTATTCCTGACGACAACCTGTCGACATCATGTATTGCGGACCGCTACCTGTTCCCTCTTCTCACGCGGAACGAGAGGCTGCGGCTTACCATGCTATATTACTATACGCGTGGCATTCTTGAGGATAGAGAACTCATTTCGCGGCTACAAGAAAAGGTTCATCTCGCTGGAGCAACGGTGGGGTGGGAATTCGCCATTGCTGGCCTTCTGGACCACAACACCTATACGCGCATATGCACTGTTGGACTGCCCTTAGCTGTGCTACCGCGACGTGAGAGTACCTGCGCGCACACCGTCAATCAACCGCCAGGTGTGAGTTAATGATGCATTCACAAACACCATCCCAATTCTGATTGTACCTAGAAAATCTTCAATATGACCAATATGGCAAATGACTGGAGATTCAAGGAGTCACCACACGTTGAGCAAAGCGGGCTACGTAAGTTAGAACAAGGATCTTTGCACCTGAGAAAGGCCCTAAATCTGAACGATCTGCAGGTGCATATGCTGGAGTTCCATTGCGATTCGAGACGGAGTTCGGAGAGCACGTTGCCTTTGGAGCCCTCTGTGTCGCTTCAAACACGGAACAGCCTCCGCTTACCAAAGCGCAACAAATGTCTCTAGCTCGACTGGCCGACTGGGTTATCGCCGATATTGTGCACAGTGCAAGAGCGCGACGACAACGAGAACGCAGAAGAATGATGGAGTTGCTCGCCATTGCGCAAAAGCAGATCGACGTCGACGAAAACTTCGAGCTCGTAGTCCTAGATCTGCTGAGGAAAATTTACCCTGAGGCCATTGTCAGCATTCATACATCCATTGATAATCAGCTTGTGCTTGACGGAGGTACCGAGGTTCCTGTGGATCAAATCGAACACGGCCTTTGGGAAGATGGGGAATACTTCGACTATCTGATCGAGCAGTTCAACCACTTGGATCCTGTCGCCCCTCGAGTCGTGAGGGTCGTAGCAGCACATTGCGCAAGCCAGCGCATCCCAACATATCTTGTCGTGGGCTCGAAGGACTTCCGGACGGTGTTCGACGATGTCGATTCCTCCTTCGTCCACATGGCCGCCCAGATGCTGAGCCGAGGCTGGCAAAACCTTGCCCTCAGAGAAGCGTTGAGTGCGAAGGACAATTTTCTTCGCGGAATTACGCACCAACTTCGAACCCCCATTCATGGAATTCTGGGCTCGGTGGAATTACTGGCCGAAGAATTGCATGCGAGGGAGATAATATCCAGCGCAGATTCGAGACGGGACTCCACGACTCCAAGTCTTAGTGGTGAACATAAAGATCCTAACACATATATCAAGACAATACGGAGTTCTGCGCGGGACTTGATATCCACTGTTAACAGTCTGATCAATCTGAATCGGTGGACAGATATCGCACAAGCGGAACGCATCGTCGCACCACACCACATCAACGAGATAGAGACCGCCTTACTGAACGAAGTTCTTCAGTCCAACCTGAATCAATTCTCAAAGCAGCCATCGATCATGTTTAAGCATAATTTCCCCGGAGACTTTGACACTCTAGCATTGGATATGCGACTATTCGTCGACTGCATCCAGCCTCTTATCACCAATGCCATTCAAGCGGTTGAAGGCGGCATCGTTTGCGTCACTACGAGCGTTACCGACCATTACGAGTTTCTTGTTGTCGACGTCGAAGACACAGGCCGTGGCCTAGAACCGAGCCACCACGAAAACATCTTCAAGGCGTACGAAAAGGCTGATCCGCATACAACGGGAGCCGGACTGGGTCTGACTCTAGCGAGCAAGTTAGCCAGTACAATGAACGGTGAGGTAACACTGGTAAGGTCCGAAATCGGTAAGGGTTCGCACTTCAGAGCTACCTTTGCCCGCCCAGCCTGCGCTGGCTCAATGTTAGCATCGCATCGGAGGATGAGTACCACTGGGATTCCAATCCTTACTTTTGACACCCCATCGTTGTCCGACTCTGCAACGCTGAGCAACTTTTTCGTTCGCTATCTTCGCCATCGTGGACACAGCCAGTCGACAAATTCTGACAGCTTGATTTCCATCTTCGATTACGCTACCCACTCCCAATACCAACAACTTCCGCCACAATTACAACCCGGAAAGGCAGGCATCTGCTTGATACCCGACTCAGTGTATTGCCCGTTGATGACCGACGGTATCCAGATCCGAAGGCTCGACAACCTAATCTATGTAAAAGGACCTTTCCTATCGAACATTCTTGAACAAGCTTGGAACCAGGCACACGGTATATGCGTCGAGCTAGAAGCTTTGAAGCGCGCACCCGACGTTGAAACCACCTTGGGAGAAATAATCGAAAATATCTCACTTACCACCACCTCAGACGACGGCCTAGGCATTCCGACGTCGCTCGCATCTGAAGAAACCGTGCCTGGGGATACTGAGGCGCTTACTGTATCGCTGCAGACATTGGACATCGCGACACCCGCTCTGCCTCCCGCTAGGCAATCTACAAAGCCTACGACACTGATCGTAGACGACAACGCCGTCAACCTCCGCTTCCTAGAAATGTATTGCCGTCGCCGCGGCATACCCCACCACACTGCCACAGACGGTTTGAAAGCCGTGCAAACCTTCTCCCTCCACCAAATGGCCTCCTTCGCACTGGACTTCGTTAGCGTCGATGTCGAGCCGATCAGGCTCATCCTGATGGATCTGCAAATGCCGGAGTGCGATGGTATTGAAGCTACCCGACAGATAAGGAAGTTGGAAGAGGTCAATGGATGGTCGAAGGCAACTATTGTGATTGTTACGGGCCAAGACTCGCTGCAAGATCGGTCGCTAAGTAAGGAAGCGGGAGCAGATGATTTCTTCGTGAAGCCGGTGGGACCGAAGGTGTTGGATCGTGGTATTGAGGAATGGTTTCCTGGAATCAGACTTTGAGGCATGACTGTACAGTTGAAACATCATCATCGAATCAGCCACGAGCTGATGCCCAATTCGACGTGTCGAGGTCTAGGCCATCGACTCGCCATGGTTAACGGGGATCATATCTGCGCACTTCCTTGGCCCATCACGCCAACGAATAGTACATCATGCTCTGTAGCACCGCGACATTGCTGTACGCGAATGGGCAAAAATCACAACATCAATGTGGTCACAGGATGTCGCGAATGATCCTCGGACAGCCACAGGCAGGCATCAGGGCAGCACCCAGTGCGCTGTTCACACCGAGAGACAGCCGCAGACATCGGTGTCGCGGCAAGATGGTCAGACACACGAGGACGCCATAAGACGAATAAGAAGAGAACGAGAGTGATACGAGATTGTGAAACGGACATGGGCAACGACTTAGTATAGAGGACGGTCAGTATTCGCAAGAATGTTCGAATAGGCCGCTGCATAATCCAAGCGCAGGGCAAGAACTAGCTGAGGCAGGAGGAATCATGATGCCAATCAAGCATGACATTATACAATTCTACCAGAGTCGAGCTGACTCCCGGAACAAAGGAAGGGTATCTCTACAATAAAACACACGTCGCAAATACCCTCCAAACCCCACCTACTCTTCCCGTCCAACAAGCATAAAATCCTCCGTGACACCCTTCCCACTGGCCAGCACCACCACCTCTTCTGGTGCACACGTCTCCAGCACATCCCAAACATAGCACTTCGCCTGCTCCTCCGCCTCCGGCATCTTGCTCTCCCCCCACGCCGACGCTTCCCCCCCAGACGTGTAGTTCCCAATCGAAGCCGTACCCGTAGCGACGTCCACCCCAGACATCACACGGTTGAAAATCTCATACGCCGTTTCAGGCTGATAGTACGGCACCTCATGCCCCGCCTGGAAGACGCGCGAGAAGCTCAGTCTACCAGCCTGCCGCACCAGGCCACCGACGTACGTCTCGTTCGTCTTGATCTGTGTGTAACCCGCGGAGGAAAAGGTGGAGGTGGAGTTGGAAAGTGCTTTGCTGATGGCTTCCCCGCCTAGCCAGTTACACTGGTAGTCTCTGTCCCCATAGACGAGGGCTACATTTGTGCCCTTGCCGAGCAAATTGCGCAGCGCAGCGACGCCATGGCCGCGGACGAAGTCGCCTGTTTTCGCGAAGCCTTCCGAGATGGGGACCGAGTTCCCGGTGAAGTTCAGGGGCACGCCGAGCGCGGCTTGCACCTCTGCGCTGTTCATATATCCGGCGGGCGTTTTGGAGGGGAAAGCAATGGGGTATTTGGGCGCGGCGATGTCGAAGAAGTTGATGCTGCTGTTGAAGCCGTCGTGCAGCTTGGAGAAGCAGAAGGTGTAGGCTGTGAAGCACGCGGCGTTTACGTCGGGCACGTTGCCGTAGCCCTGGGGGTCTTTCTCGTCCGCGAGCGCGACGCAGGTAGCGCTGAGGTTTTGACATACGGGAATGGCTTCGAGAGCGGACTTGTAGTAGGATTCGTTGATGGCTTGGATGCCGTAGGTGTTGTTCATTGCGAACTCGGGGTAGAAGGGGGTTTGAATGTTGTTGTCGATGCAGGCATTGATGAGGCCGACGGTGTTGATGGCGATCGGGATTTCGGCTTCGGAAGAGCAGTTCTTTGCGGCGAGGCGTTCGTTTTGCTCGGCGAAGTAGTTTGCGTAGGCGGGGACGTAGTGGCCGCCGTAGGACTCGCCCCAGAAGCTGAGGCTATTCGTGGTGGACTTGTACTCGGGGAACCTGAGGGCGTTAGAGTTGCGTGAGGCGCAGTGTGGGATGAACTCACTCCTGGAGCCAGGCTTGCATAAATTCCCACATTACTGGTGCACCGGCTATGGTTGTGTTCCACGCACCGCTTGGTTCTTTCGAGCCGAAGGTGCCAGTCAGGAATGTCAAGTTCGTCTCTGGTACCCCGTCCGAGAAGTCTGCCGTCGTGAAATTGAAAGGTGTCTTTACAAGATCGATTGTACCGTTCGTAAGCGTGTCGTACGAAAAGCCAACTTGAATCGGCTGGTCGATGTACAGCATGTTGACCTTGTCATTCCAAGACCACGGGTTGTTCTCAACAGACTTAGAATCGTCGAGAACCTTGCAAGGCCCATTCTCGCCGAGTGCTGCCGTGGACGACGGTACGCCGGGACCTCCTTGGAGCCAGACCGATAGAGGTGCGTCCTGAGAGTTGTTTCGGGCCTCGAAGAACCAGAACCACATGTTGCTGGTGTAATTGCGGTTTTGCTCCGGCGCGGGCGGAAGGTGGACATAGCCGCTGTATCCTTTTACGCCTTCATTTGTTTCGCATATGGTTGTCTGCTACTGTCAGTCTATATTCCAGCTGATTACGGTCGATGTAACTCACCTCTTTATATGAGATGGAAACACCAACGAACTTTTGTGACTGAACAACAGTCAAGCCTTCAGGGGTTGGAGGGAATGACGCTGCCGATGCACTGAGAGCAAGTGCAGCAAGAGCGCAGAGGTTTCTCGAAAGAATAGCCATTGTCTATTACTAGAAATGAGATGAACAAACTAGGAAAATGGTATCTAAAAAGAAACAAATAAATAGAGGAAAGACAATGCTAAAGGACAACCTCTATAGAGTGATGATAGAGATACACACTGCAAAACCATACATCCTTATACACAACCTTCCAAAGTCCAATTTTGGGGCCATTGTAGTTTCGTGCGAGTCTTTGATGATCTACAGCGGGCGCAGTAGTCGGACACGGAGCCCCAATAACCGGGTCGCACTACTCCGACCGTACCGCTAACGCACGACAACGGCCCCATCCTAGTCTGTGCAGCTCACCTTTCCACGCCCGCCTTTCCAAACCTTCTTCAATATCGTAGGTAATCCTGCCTTGTCGTTGCTGTCAAGGCTATTCCCTGCTTGGAGCACGAGCTTCTCATTCCTGAAGGTCGCAGTGACGCTCCGCTTGCGATTCCGGATGACGTGCACTATAGAACTGTCTTCTGCAGCGGAGACGAGATCTTGGAACTTCTTGTCTGGCATCGGCCCGTCGCGTAGGTAAGACCAGAGACCGATAATGACAATCACCAAGCTGAAGACGTTGGCTAGGACGTAGGGGACGAACAGACCGTCTGGCTTGTACGCGTAGCGATTTACTGATGTGGTTATATTGACAGGGACAACCTTGCTGTGCCTAAAGCGAATTTTTGTTAGCGGAGAAATAGAGCCGTTTATGCGGATTGATTTACGTGAGTAGCGGATCCCACATCAGCCCAACGCTCATGTTGAAGCTTAGCTCTTCGATCAGGACATCGAGTGTCCTGTTCTTGGCCATTGCCTTGTCCATTAAGCGTTGTGGGCTAAGCGTCCCGTCTCCTTCTGGTTGCTTGTAGAGTTTGTTGGCCTCGTCCAAGTCAAAGAATGCATCTAGGTCCAAGCTGCCTAGAAGGCTGGTACGCTGGATCGGCGACTGAAGCACGCCGAACTGTGCTGCGCCCGACGGTGTTGACAACGAAGTGTTCCTATCCCACGCAGTGTTGTTGTACCACGAGAACTTGCCAATAAGCTGATCACACAGCGCCCACATAACGGCTGTATATGCATGCTGCGCCATGTTGGAGACCGATGTTGAGTTGTCACGAGGGTAGTGGACCTGCTCATTGACCGTATAGGACTTGCTAATGTTCTGAAGACCGCGATCCCGCTCTATGCGCAAATTGTACGTGGCGTTGTGGAGCGTACACACTTGGAAGCGTCGTTCGGTAACTCGTGTCCCTGACTTGATGACAGGTCGAAGAAACGTCATCCAGAGTTCGTTCGTGGCGTTCGACGGCGTCTGAAGACGCGGTGCTGAGACTGGATACAAGTCTCCTGTTTCATTATAGCTGGGAACGAATGCGTAGTACACACTGTCCGTCTCAACGACGACTCCATCGCCTTTCGCCATATCCTGTTTACGAAAGGTATCTATCAGCTCGGTGGCGGAGGCATTGGCATCCAAACACTGTATTATGGGTGCATAGAAATCCATTTCGTGGCTGGAGGTGTTATATGGTAACTTTATGGGGAGGATCTCACCCAGAGATGCGGTAGCGCTAGCGATCAGAGAGATGATTGTCCGAGGGCCGGTAAAAATTCGACTTGCGTCATCGACGTACTGCGTCCTTCCTCGACGAGCTGGCGGTGAGTAAGCATAGGCAGAACCAACGCTAGGCGTGGTGTTTGCGATGTGTGGAAACGGCATCAAGCCATTTATGCTCTCTAAATGCGAGCTTTGGTACACAAAAAGTGTCGCTGGTGTGAAGAAGGGTGGGAGAAGAAGTCCCCTGTTAGACATCAGCTCTTGCTAGATGGCGCTTTCCGATGGAAACGAAAAGAGTATGTACCACGCAAAAGCTGCCATGGTAGACCCAATTCGCAGCTTGCGCAACATGTCTAGGTTCAGAAGCGATAGCACTGATGTATCAGCTCCAAAAGCCGCGTTCAACCCTCCCACAGTCATCTCTTTCTTCTGCACTGTGCGCCAGAGCCACTGAGTGTAGCTAGCCCACACAGCTGCACCGAGGCTGATCTGAGCCAAGAACGAGAAAGCGGTGCCAAACCTGGCGAATGGTTAGCTATCGTTGCGATGTCCCAGGCTACGAAAAGTCTTGCCTGATCTTCTCTTCTTGTGCATCTGAATTGCCGACGATCTTTCCTTTCAAGCTGGGATAGAAAACACAATGCGCAAGGCTCATTGCAAGACCGACGAGGTAGAATATGACCATGAAGAGCGGTGACTTCCAACGGTGAATACGGCGCTTATGCCAATCTTGCTGTAAAGGGGCTGGAAGCTGCAAAGCAACCTCCTGCGCAGGTATGTTGGTAGCATCGGGGGCGACGGCTGGGGAAGAAGCACTGCTACAGGCTTCTATGTCAAGAACTGCTACTTGCAGCCTTTTGATATCGTTGGTGGGAACTGCGTGTGCCGCAACTACGCTATCTGCGCGTTGATGGGCAGCCTCCATCGTTGCAGAATACGAAGCTAGCTTGATCTATGTCAAAGTCTTGAAATGTTGATATCTGGCATGATGGAAACATGAAACAAAATCTGGGTGCGCTACCGAGTTATAGACTTGTGCGGGCACAGAGATTGTTACTTCAGCCTCGTAAAGCCCACGGGAACGAAGCGCCTAGATTGGTGTGGTCACAACGGTTCATGCATTGGATGGCCGTGGCGCGGCGATACGAATGGCTTCCAGATCGAGGTAACACAACAGCCTGCCGGCCTCCCACAATCGCTGAGCCCGTCGAAAAAACACACAGTTGAAGAACATGACATGCTCGATAGCAGATGTAAAATGCACCTGAATCTGCTTCACCTTCTCTTGCGGCGCTTCGAGCTCGTCAAGTGTCAGTACTATCAAGTACCAACAAAGTTATGTGAAATTCACAGCTGAGGAATCGTTCGTGTAGCAAGGGTACGCCGCTAGTCCGCACTGCGCCACCGCCCTCGATACAACCGTCAGGCTTGTTGTAACACTTTTACTAATCGAAGACTCGTACCAATAGAAAGATCATGAGTGAGTCGATACGCAGCCAATGAAGAGCGCGATAACGAGAACGTGGTTTGGACGTGTCTGCAGCCTGCGGTACGCCTAGGCTGTGCAAGGAAATCTGGCCATGATCGCGACAATGTCTTACAGCAAATACAACGAGTTCTAGCAACGGGCGTTCGGGCGAAGGAATATTTGCACGCACGTGAAACGGACGAAAAGGTCTCCCGGTGGGCGTGCCTCGTGCCTTCCCCCCCTTGTGGCGCCGGTGAAGATGTAATCAAGGATCTGGCGAGATGCAACGTAGGGAAAGATTACGTTAGGCTACTCAAGTGCCACAGCATATGGTATGTAAAGCGCGCCTTGTTTATCAGCTTGGTATAAGGAAATGGCGTGGGGGTAGTGAGAATCGTCAAGGCGCAAACAGGGATGGTGAGGCGAAATGCGTATTGTGCAGACCCTCTTCTGCAGCTTCTAAGAGATTTGAAGTATTTGGAACTAGCAGCATCGATTTTTGCTTGAAGTTTTAGGGTCGGCTATGGACCGCTCAGGATGTGAACGTGGAGTAGAATTTCAGCTTGTAATATGGCTCACCAAGGGTAGAGTCTTCGTGAGCATTTAAGAACGGTATAAATATACTAGAATATGATCTGGATGTAGGTAACTCCAATATACACTTAGTCCATTGCGTCATACTTAGCGTGAACATTCACCACTGAAGTGTGCAATGCCTGAAATGTCGTAACGCCGATATGCTAGGGTATCTTCCATAATCCCAGAAGTCCTTTGACGCCTCACTAAGAAAGATGCGACCACTCCTCCGATAATACTGTCCTGAAGCGATGCAGTGTTTGCGTTTTCTTCGTGTACACACCACTCCCTACCACTCGAACACCGCGTCAGGGCTAGGGCGCCTAGTCCCCATCATCCCACTCGGGCGTCTTCGAGTTCCTCTTCTTATTCTTGCTACCTGACGGCCTGCCCTTCGCCCTCTTCGGCGTGTTCGTAAGACTCGCCGAAGTCTTCCTCTTCCGTCCGCGTCCGCTCGTTGGCACAGGCATGCCCTGCTCATCGTTCTCCTCAGGTGTCGCATATCCCATTCCATCCTCATCTTCACCGTCCTCATCCCCTACCGCGAAGTCCCTGTCCACTTCTAGTAGTTCCGAAAAATCGTAGCAATGATCGATCATGCTGCGGCGGGTTTCGACAGCATTGAAAATGTGTGCAAACTTCTCCCACAAATCTGCACCCTTGATCAGGTTGTTCCGCCCAGCGCTGTTCTGGAAAATCTTCGGGGAGATGCGGTTCGCCTTGATATTGTAGGCTTTGCGGACGAAGCATCGGGTTTCCCACATCATCTGAAGAATCATGCAAGCACGTGTGATCTGCAAAAGACGATCATCCGAGACAGATACATGGTCGTCTCGCATAGCGTCCTGCATCGCCACGTCAGGTACCATGAAACTACCGGTAGCATCAGGAAGCAGCTGCGGTTGCTGTGGTACTGGCACGTCCTTCTTCGGCATCTCGGTCTCGATCGCAACACCGACTGAGGGGCCAGTGTTCTTCAGCACAATGCTCTCCAGGGCAGTGATGATGAGGGATACGTCCTCCACCTTTGCTACGTCGAACAAGGCAAGATTCTCAAGGCAGAATCGAGCGAGTAGCAAAGCATCGAGACTTGCCGCGGGATCAACAAGATCAGAAAGCTTAAAGTCAATGAGCTTGGAGAGATTGTCAATGAACCGTTTGAGTGTCTTCCGGCTGCCGTCCTTCATGACATTGAAGACATGTGCCAATTTAGGTTTACAGTCTGGCGGCTTGGTCATCCCATGCGGGTCCTGGAAAACGTCTTGCTGGTACTGGAAGGACATTTTGATGGCCACCATATACTCTTTCTCAAACACAGATTCATGCTTGCTATGGATCGACTTGTGTTCGTGGGCGGCGACTACGGATACCAGCGGGTTTGGGGAGGATCCTATAGCAATCAGGGCTGGCCCAACCTCTTTAGGATGATCCAAGCCCTGCTTGCTCACGCTGACAATGATCTTCGTGGCCACGAGAGCGAGCTCATTGTCGTTATGCAGCGCAATATCGATGACCTCCTGTAAGAATTTGCGTGCTAGATAGGTGACCGGGATCTGACCATCGCCCGCTCGGAATGTGATGCCTAAACGCCCACTCCCATTTGTTGCATTGTCGCCAACAGGGGTAGTGTCTTCCTCAGATTGACCCTCTTTCTTGGAAAAGAACTCGAGGAATTGGGTGAGAACAATCTGCTTCAGACTGTTTATATCATTCTTGAAGACCACCTTGAAGGTACTATCAACATCCGAGCGTTGAAATAGAGTAGGGCTCCCTTGACACACTTCGCCCACAGCGCACATCGCGCTTTCGCGGATGGCAAGGTCCCAAGGCTGCTTGGTGAAAGGGCGTACGGCCTCCAATAGGATAACAGACGGCTCACTGCCTTTCGGGTCGAGCAGACTCTTCAGTTGCTTTGCGCCTGCAGGCTTGCTGGCGACAATCTTCTTCGCCGAATTTGCGACCGAAGTGTGAAACTGGGCGACATGTCCACTCCAATCACAGACTTTGCCGAAAGTGCCGATGATAATCAGCCATGACATGATCCGCGCCTTTTGCACTTCTTGCGTAGAAGGGTCGCCGCTCAGTGCAGCAGCCTGCAAGAGTTGGACAAGTATGGAGCCAATGAGGGCTAGCAGTCTCGGAAGTCCATTAGTTGGCACATCCTTCATGATCCAAAGGCAATGGCCGATTCCGAGAAGAGTATTTTTGCCCAAGATGTTGCCATTTGCTGCCGCTCGTGCCAGTTTCGATATCGCGACATTCAATAATTTCCATACGTCATCCGCGAATTTGGTTGGTAGATCCGGTAGATGGGGAATGACGAAGCGATAGACTGTAACAGTTGAGTTCAGTATCTCGATGTCCTCTGTAGTCTTTGGGTCGATAATGTAGAGCTTAAGTCGCTCAATCTGATCAAGTGTGAACATCTCCGGGCTGACTCTGGCAAAGATGCTCAGGGTCTGCAGACCACCTTCCTGGGTATAATCCGCGGTCATGGAATCTGGGCTGATCACACCCTCCACAAGATCTGCGACCAGATCCTTGCAAATCTGGAAGTTGACGGAGGCGTTGGGCGCGCCTTTCGCAAGAGCTGTAGAAAAGAATTTCTCCAAGGCTTGCGTTGAACTGGTAGATGGGAGTTTCTTTGTCCTCCGCACAGTCTGGACGATCAAGGAGACGCGTTCCACACGTTGTAATTTCAGACGGTTCTCGTCACCATTGTGCTTCGTTGCGAGGACCTTTAACCAGACTTCCTCGAGCGCTTGCCGTGCCATGTCCGCGACCGTCTTTTCGTGATCCTGCGATGCAGGAAGTAAGGCGATGACGATCTGAATTTTTGTCTCCAGTGAATCAGACCTTGTGTAAAACGTCTTCAAGAGGTTGATCGCCCTCTTCTTCGGTTCATTGTGGGTGTCAGTGGTCATTCGTAGCACGCTTGGCATGCAAAGCTGCCCGAGTGCAGGATTTGACTCCAAGCATCTCGATATCAGCTGTAACACCGTACCGCGGACACTTGGGGAATTATCGCCTAACATCCGAACCAAGAGATTGACATGTCTGTCAGAAATGGAATGAGGGTCTTTGGTCAGGAAAGAATCAATATTCCTTATCGCATTCGTTTTTTGCTGGGCCCCGCCGCCCGTGACCTGTTGGAACATGACAGCAACGATGCTAGGGTAGCACCGGCAGAAAGTGTTCTTTACGGTAGCAGCACCTGACGCCAGGCGACTTTGTGATTCGGACACGTTTTTGTATTTGCTAGGTCAATGTTAGTGTAGTAATAGATCTGTAGTGACGACAACTTACTACTCCTGAGAGGACCATTTGGGTTCGAGCACCATAGACTGCACCTTCCTTCGCAAGTCAACGATGAGTTTATCGTCGGCTGCTTCCTTATCTTTGAGGATGACTTGAGATATAGAGTCCAGCCAACAGGAAACGTAGCATCCACGCACCGACAGAAGATGTAGATCTTCGGGGTTGTCGTTGACCTTGAGGTAATCGGGAAGAGATTCAACGACCATCCGATACGGGTCATTAAGTGCAAGGAGGTCGCTCTTTTTGAGCTCTGTCCCGTCATCTTCCAGTATTTCTTCAGTGAGCCGATATAGCTTAGCGGAGAGATCGGATTGCGAAACGTCAATGTCGCGTCTCAGCTGTCGAGTGCGCTTTTTAAAGTCCAGGATGCCACCACCCATAGTTCCCAGTATAGAAATAGCCATGTTTCGATTCTCCTTATCGTCGCGGAGCTGGTACATTAGGTTGAACAACGGGACCAAAAGGAGGTTGGCTGCCGGCCACTCAGGCGAGCCAAGGACTTTGCAGAAGTCATCGACAAACATATCCAGCAAGTTTCGAAATGGTTTCTCGCCAGATTTGGTCACGTTCTTTGCCCTTTCTGTTAACCTGCTGGCGATTTTGTGGGCAGTGAGCTGAGAAGTGTGCATCAGTCGACGAGCAGTGGCCTCTGCTGATGCATTGGCCTTGCTGCCCCTATTTTTCCGGACGGCAGGGCGGTCTTCTTCGTTATCGCTCTCAGATTTGTCCTCATGTGAAGAGTCTTCCTCCCTGGGGTCCGAAGTCGCCTTCGTGCGTTGATCTTGAGTGTTTGTTGCGGCGACCTGAACGAACTCCATAAAGATCGCGGAGACCGTCATTATAGGCTCCTCTCGCACCGACTTGAATTGTCTCGTGTTTGGACCCTTGTCCGGTAGCTTCTCCAGGCTGTTCAGTATTTCATCGAGAACATACTGTTGATGGTCAGGGCGAAACGCAAAAATATTGACGAGTACGTCCATAGCAGCTCGACGCAGCCTCTCGAAATGCTGGATGCCCAACGCAGAGTCCTTTTCGGAGTCACTGTTTGGGTGAACAAGCAAGGTGAGTGCTAGAAATTCCACTGCATTCAAGGCGCTGTCAGGTAGAGTGACTCTTCGGACAGTCTGGGCCAGTAGTTCTTCAACACTAGTGCAGAGTCGAAGGACGGTCGAAATTTCTGGCCTGTGATCCGACGCATACGTAAAAATGGAGTGGTTACGTGATGCTGCCAGCACCGGAAAGATGCAAGACTCCAGCACGCGTTTCATCACTCCGATGATCGCCGTGAGGAGGTCTTCGGACGTTGTCCGACGATCTTGAGGTCCCTCTAACATGGCGGTCAAAGCGAGCCTAGCGGCCTTCAGTCCTGATTCTACGGTTGCTAGATCTCTAGTCCATGTATCCAGCTCTTCCTCCGTGAACAGCGAGGCCTGGTCCGATATGGCAATCAACGGATCGCAAAGAGAATGAATCTGCACGATAGTCTCCACAGGCACGGACGAGAAACACTTTGTAGCATATACCGCCATGACCCTATCATACAGTAATTTCAAAGCGTCACTCGTCATTACAGTTATGTCCGAGTCCAGAGTTGAGATCTTTTCGAAATGCTCATTTTCAAGATCATCCTTGGCCTCACGGTACTGGCCGACAAGCTTTCGCAGCTTGTGAATCTTTTGTTCAGCTTTTTCTCTTTCGGCCGGTTGCAGAGTGGCCAGATAGTCGAGGTTTGGGGCTTGAGTCTCGGTAGGAGAAGATGGCACATTTTCGATCAAGCGGAACTCATGTTTGGGTGCACTTGAAGGCTTGATGACCACGGCAGGGCCGGAACGAGACTGTGAGCTGGTGCTAGAAGGGACAGGTGTGTTGGATAGATATGCCAACGCGTTGTTTTGTTCGTAGGATGTGATGTTTTGCTTGGGGGTTGCTTGTTGCGAAGGTCGGCGAGGCGGAGCGGTAGAGACGTGTGGCCGCGGTGGCTCTTGTTTCGATTTGGAACGTTGCGGTGCCGGCGTTCCTACCGCTATGCTTGTCAACGAAAGTACCTACACTGGTCCGACATACGTACGTTTATAATGTACATCCGTCTGCCTCAGGAGCATGCTTGCGAACGGGCTGAGCTTCGGACGGCTGGTTGGCGTACTCTCATCGGCCGATTTAGAAGGACTATCAGGCGGAGGCGTAGCGAGCTGGGTCGTAGGCTTGAAGTGACTGGATTAATTAGCAGCCATATGCACCTTCCTGTTTGTGAGACTCACAATTCAGTCATCTCGCGAGGGTCTCCCAACAAATTGCGCAACTCTCGCAACGTATGTTCCAGGTGGTGTGCAGTTGAGGCTGGCCCTCTGATCTCCTCGTTCAAAATGCCCACCGCCTTCCTTCCCGCTGCCTGTTGATCTGGAGTGAGAGTGGTTGGAGGTGTCGGCGGTTCGTTTACAGGGAAGGGTATAACGTCTGCATATGTTAGCGCGGCGTTCGTCATAGAGTAAGAGACCAAGGCGAAAGCTTCGCATAGTAAAGGCGGGTGACCGACCTGGAGAGAAGGGTACAATTGACGTGAATGGGGAATATGGAAGTGCCTCGTCAACGGTTGGTGGTCGAAAAGGTAGGGCACCGCCGTTGGCGGTATGCCAGTCTCCATTGGGGTATCCAGACATGGCGCCGGTTGACTGCCCTTTGTGCGGGTGCGTGCGGGAGGTTTGCTGAGGACGGGCGCAAGCAGTGCGGAATAGCGTGTGCTGTGAGGGCCGCCGCAGCCGCTTCAGGCAAGGCGCAGATACAACACTCACGCTGGCATGGCTGTCTCAGTCGCGCACTGACAGGTCGATGCAGTCGAACAGGCGCGTCGCTTGGAGGTGCAGTGAGTGATGCGTCGTCGCGAAAGCCCGTGATCGCTCTGCGCGCTCTCTGCTTTGGGCAAGCGTCAATCGCCGCGGAAATTCCCCGCCGAACTTTTTTTGCGGAGCAGCTGCTGATTCCCTTCAATCCCACGGCGAGTATCAAACGAATCACGACATTGCAATGGCAGCGATCGGCTCACTCGTCTTCTGCACGGATTGCGGAAATCTGCTGGATGGCAGTGCAGGCAAACAAAATGCTATCCTGACCTGCCAGGTCTGCGGCGCATCCTGCAAAGGTAATTTTACCAGGCAGCTACCCGTTGGACCTGATAGCTCACCCATAGCGTAGATACCTCAACCAAAACGGTTGTCACTCGCTCCAAGCCGGACGCTTTCCCTTCAGCGCTGCGCGCGAAGCACTCCGAGGTGCAGACTGTCAACGATGAAGATATGGGGGGTCATGCGACTATCGCGCAAACCTGCGAAAAGTGCGGCAGGGAGGAAGTGCGCTACTACACTCAGCAACTGCGCAGTGCCGACGAAGGCTCCACCGTTTTTTATGAGTGCGAGTGTGGGCACAAGTACATTTATCCTGCAGATACGTGCATTGGTCGTTTGCTAACAGCTATCTTACAGATGGAACACGAACAACTGAGAAACCGCTCACTTGCTTTTTGTCTACCTTGCCATGAAAAACCCCAACGCCCAGACAATGCACCTTGTAAAAGGATCATGCAGCTACAGCCTTCCCTTCGGGTACAATCGCGTATTCAGCCTCCCCGTTCTTCTCGAACTCCGCCATGTCAAGTGCAACAATCACACTGTCCCGCACAACCTGTTCCGGATCGTCCAAGAACTTCTTCAGAATATCTTCCACGCCTTCCTCGTCTCCCAGACTTCCAAGCGCTTCTGCCGCCTCGTGGCGCACCATGCTCTCTTCTTTCTGGTTACTGAGCGTCTCCACTAGACTGGGAATTGACGCTGGGTGGGACAACTGTCCAAATACGAAGGCAATCTCGTGGCGGAAGAGTGCAGATGGGTCGGCAAAGCCCCGCGCCAACGACAGGACGGCCGGAACCGCGGAAGGCAGATCCGGCGGTGAAGCCAGGTCACGCAGAGCAAACATGGCTCTGTAACGCTTGAACAATGGGAGCGAGGTATCAAGAAGGGCCTTCTCAAGATCGGGAATAGATGGCGCCTGCTGGCCTTGGGGCATTGGGGGGGCAGGATCGATGGACGCGAAGTCACTGCATCTCCGTCAGATAACACAGCATAAACTAAGCATGTTCTACCATACCTTTTCTTCAACTGCTCATCCTTGCTCTGCAGCCCGTGTTCCCACTCTATCCTGTCGACGGCGATGTCGCAGGTGTCCCGCACTACGTCAAGCTCCTTTACATCGTCTCTAAGCCCTTTCAACAAGTCCAAGCTGCCTTTGTCACCCAGTGCACCTAAAGCTTCGGCGGCCTCGTGGCGGCACATAGGATCCTCTTCTTTGTCTTGCAGCACATAGCGCAGAGGGTTGATCGCAGCATCGTTGCGCGACTGTCCCAGGCAATACGCTAATTCGTGTTTCAGCAGCGCGGACGGCGAGGAGAAAGCGGCTGCGATGGCTTCTATAGCGGGAACGGTCTGTTCGGTGGGCGGCTGAAGAGCGGCGAGGTACTTCAGCGAGAAAAGGGCACGGAAACGGCGAGCGAGCGGCTCCTGCTCGGATGTGAGGATGTTGCGGAGGGCCTGAACTTGCGCATCCTGCGCGGGAGTCTCTGGAGCAGCCATGTTTCTTTGATTCTGTGGACTGATGTCAATTTCTCAACGCAGAGTCGATTGCCCGCTTTGCGCTGCGAATTTGGGCCAGACTAGTGGGGTACCGCCGAAAATCTCTGATGATCTGATAAGATAAAAACTTAGCGCCCGAATTCAGCAGCTGTAGTCTTGAGCCCCCGCCCCGCGTCGTCGCACGTGAAAGCGCTCCTGCCTAACGCTAGCGCGCCCAGCCACCTCCAGCCTACTTGACTTGCGACAACAATGGGATGCCCGAGCCTTCACTTCCATCTTCATCTTCACTAAAGAAGTGCTGCTGCGCACAATAGCGACAATAGGCAAAATAGGCTGGCCATGCACGCATTGATCTACGACTTACGCGCCGTGACTTTGACTCCTGCTACTATTGCTCCACCCTCCGCAGCTCTCATCCCTTTGATATCTGTCTGTCTTTCTACCTGATCCACTGCCCTCTTATCAAAGCGACTCGCCTTGCGACACCCTGCGACACGTTGCGCGACCCCCACCCTCTCTCCAAACTCTATCACAATCCTTCAGCAACAATGCCTCTTCTGCGCGACGTGTCCGACCGCGTTTGGGACTACATTAGCCCGCGCAAGACGCAGAAGCGCCGGGACAAGCCGTTCAAGGTCCCCGCATTGCCCGTCAGATCCAAATTGGCCGAGAAGAACTCCCCAGAGATCACTCTTAAGAGCAAGGTCGAACACTGGGCACCCAAGACGCCAGCTTCTCCCTCCGCCGTCGACAAGACTCTGCTGCCTCCCTCCCCGCCGACTTCCCTTCACCGATACGAGGAGGACTTCGATGGCGACACCTTGGTCCACGACTCCGTTGAAGACGAGTACTACTACAACGATGAAGAAGCCGACGCGTGGGACGCTAACGACACGACCGTGGTGGTCGACGATGGAAAATACATGGAGATGCGCAAGCCCGTCAACCGTACGAAGGAGCAGATGCGCCAGGAGATCCAATGCCGCGAGCTTCGCCAGGCTGGTTGGTCCGAGGACTCAGTGTTCATGTTCCAGAAGTTGAACCTGCGCGGCTTCGAGCCTCTTCTTCCGGACCCGTGGAAGACGGATTTCGTCACATTACCTCTGGACCTCTTCACCACGAACGACAGCAAGGCTTTCATCAAGGCAGACGGCCAATCAGACTTCCGAGGTATGTGAGACCAGGCGCTCATAAAGGTCACAAATGCTAACTTGCAATAGCTCAACACGCTTTGAACCAATTGTTCACCGTTGGCGGCCTCGCTCGAGACGCGGTCCTCACCAAGGCTCGCAAGCGCACAGCCGAGCGTCACATCGTGCAATCAGTCAAGAAGTATTCCCGGTGGGCTATGCGGGACGGCGGCATGCGACGCACTCACAAAGATCTCAAGCTTTTCGACACGGTAGCCTGCCCCAAAGACGTGCCCTCCTACATCTGCGAGCAGAAGATGATCCGCAAGCTCCACAAGCTGCATCAGCAATGGGACGATGAGATGCTCAGCCACGACAAGACCGGCCTTGTCGCCGCCCCGGAGGAGCTTCCCACTCTCTATGGCGTCATCGCATCGCACACGGTCATGGCCTTCGTCAGCTACGTTCTGCCCACCGAGCCGAACCCCATGGGCTCGCTACGCACCATCGCCATCTTCGACTTTGGCGAGGAGGGCTACGATGTCTGGAACTCGCTTGCGATTGCTATCTTTGTTATTCACTGCCGCAACAGGATGCAGGAGCTTAAGGAGTTTTTGCCGGAGCCCGTCGTTGTGCACAGACGCGATCCGGACTTGTAGTCGGTATCGACTCTTACATGCGCCTACTGCTCCTGATAGTCATCATCACGGTGCACTCTCCCTCTCTGGTCAACGAACACAAAGCTGCACGACCTTCACCGTTGGCATACTACATAGCTGTTGCTGTAAAGGTAGCCAGCACCGTACGAAACCTAACGACTCATATATCCCCTACGGCGTTCTCATGGCTATACCCCACTATACCCCCTTGGATCTTTACCAATCTGTTCTCCTTGAATTTTGGCTGCGTGGTTTCGGGCGGTCAAGGCTTTGACTTCAATACTAAGTCCAGATTGCTTCGTAGCGCATGCCCTTGATCGGAGTGCCGACGCGGTCCTCCTTTTTGAAGAAGACATGAAATGAGGATAATGTGAAGCTATCGATACCCAGAGTCTGCAGTATATACCCAATTGAAAGAAGTCCTAAAACTTGCGTCTCTACAGCCATGTCTCATGCTTGTGAATATCTGCTCAAACTTGACTACACGTAGATCTCCTCAGCCTTGTTCATTGTTCCACGCCGCGCACAACAAAAGGGGTACCAGACCGAGAAAACGATTATGTCTAAGGGGAAGTAGTTGGTGTAACGGTGAATAGCGCTAGAAGGAGTCATACTCGACATGATCGAGATGCTGACCAGATCGATTTGGTAGGCGGATGTCTACAGCCGCACTAATGTCACTACTACTGGGCTACGATCGCACCACGCTCAATCCCCTGGTCATGTTTGGTACAATTTGTAGACTTGAAGTGGTGCATAGCATGTTGTGAGGATCACACTACGATCTGACGACCCAAAAGATCTTTCGCTGATTGACCCGGGGTTTACTAGCCATCCGCACGACCGTCGGATATTGCGTGAGAGCTATCGCGAAACATGGAGAAAGCTTTATGGAGATCCGCTGGTTAAGCCAGAGGCTGTGAGGCGGCTCTTCGGGCTAGAAAGCTTGTGCGATGCAGACGTCGATGATTTCCTCAAGGACACTCTGTCAGTGCGCCACATTGATGGGACTGCAAAGATGGGAAGAGCGGAGGATCCTTTGGCATGTGTCAACAGCAGCCTTCAGAGTATTTGATGTGAAAAGTTGCGCATCGCTGATCTATGTGTCTGTCCAGGTACACATGAAATGTAAGCACGAAGACGAGCTCAGCTAATCAATGTCGTCGTGTAGCAATCAACTCAGACCATTTCTATCTCGTGAGGCAGAAAGCGACGGACAAGCTAATTGCGGAACATCCTCCCGATGCGCGAAAGTCGAAACTGTAGGCAGCCCGGAAATCAAGGAAGCCGGGGAGATTGCAGCGTCGCTGGCGTACGATGGTGACGATGTGCGGGAAGGAGCTTGGTCACTGCGGTTGCTGGGGAAGCGCCTCGCTTGGCTTTGTATACACGGAAGCCGCGACTCAGGCCCTCACCAGCAGGAAGACCACCCACCATTCGCGAATTGCACCATATTGAGAGGAACGATTCTGAACATTCTATTTTCCTGCTTGCGCAAGTTTCATCGTGACAGTTCAGCGTGTCTACCGGGGCTCCGGCAGTAGTGCGAAAAGTAGTGGCTGGTACTACCAACCACCTCCCAGCCTTCCGCCAAATCTAAGTACTCCATTTCCTCAGACCAAAGAAAAGACCCGCCTCCTTCACTTCCACTCTTCTGCACACACACTACTTTACTGTTGCATCGTCCGACTGCTGACATTTGCGATCGCGTTGTTGCATCGCTCTAGCCTGTCGCTATCTATCCATTCCCACCATTACGATTAGCGAATCAGCGGATACCCCGCAGCCAGCTCTCCGCCCTCACCGCCTGATCAACGAGCTGTCGCATACGCTCAAAACCCGAGCCAGATCATCGTCCGGTCTCCTACCAGGACAATGGTGTTCTTCAACGCGCCTGCAGCGATCCTGAGCCTGCTCGCCGTCACCTTCCTCTCCTCCACATCTGCGAAACTTATCGCCCAGCCGTCGCCTACTACACCGGCGCGCCTCGATGATTTCGACCGATTGAAGTTGGCACTCGCAAAACGACAAGCATGTGCTAACCCATGTGGTTGGGGGGACCAGTTCTGCTGCTCAAGCGACCAACAGTGCTTCACCGATGCGAACCAGATCGCCGGGTGTACTGCTGGAGGCAGCGGCGGCGGATGGATTTACAGTACCTTTTACTACACCGCAGCGGAGACCATTACCAAGGCCTCCACTTGGAGTACTTACGTCGGTGCCAACCCGACCTCATCGTCATGCGCGTCTGCCGATGTGTGTGGCTCTGCATGCTGCAGCAGTGGAGAGTGGTGTGCCGACGCCGACAATAGCATATGCAAAGTTATCGGAGGTGGATCAGCAGGATCTCCTGGAGTTACTGGTACCGGTATAAACCCATCCGCACCGTTGCGTCCTACGAGCTCAGGAGTAATTGTAATCACAGCCACCGGTTCCGCCTCTGCCACCGTCCCCTTCACTACACCAATCCCGACTGGCGTCAACGGAACGCTCGTAGAGTCGAACTCAGGGGGGGGAGGCCTCAGTGGTGGAGCCATTGCCGGCATCGTCATTGGTGTCATTGCTGGTATCATCCTCCTGCTGCTCATCTGCTTCTACTGCTGCGCCAAAGCCGCTTTCGATGGTGTTCTGGCTATCTTCGGCCTGGGCAAGAAGAGGAGGCACACGCACGAGGAAACCACGTACATCGAAGAGCACCACAGCGGTGCCGCCGCTGGCGCTGGCGGACGTCGTTGGTACGGCCAGGCTGGATCGTCCCGCCCTTCGCGACCACCGAAGAAGGACAGTGGCGGACTGGGCAAGATGCTGGGCGTCGGTGCCGGTGTCGCTGGATTGGCGGCTCTCTTGGGCATGAGAAAGAAGAACGAGCGCAAGCACTACGACGACAAGAGCACCACCGTGACCGACTCTTCCTACTATTACAGCGACTACACCAGTACTAGTGAGTACACCCTGTGCAATTATTTGATCGTAACATGCTAACCGTGACATAGGCAGTGCCAGTTCTGACGACCGACGAACGCGCCACACGCGACAATCGTCACGCCGCTAGTCGCCCCTGTGTTTTTTCTCTTCTTGTATAACACCTTCAAAAATTTCCGGTTGATAGCGCATCTTCAGCAAGCATTATGGGCGGTTGCCTGCATATGACTCACTTTCATGGCGTTATGGGGATCGGATTATGGATACGACTGCGACATGGAGGATACGAGACCAACGGGTAATACGCGGTATGGGTTATGTAGATGGGGCCCGATGGTCTGGATATGTGAATACGAAGAATTAGCTTCCTGGCTTAGGAAGCACTGTGCAACTTGCGCCTTCATGAAAAGTGAGGATATGAGAAAACGAATGTTGTGTGTAAATGTGTGTAATCGAAAGGTCAGCATAGCCTTCGACTTCGCGTCGCTCGGATGACATAGGCGCGCCAAGCATAAAGTGGGATGTGCTAGCGCGTTTCGGGAGCTCTACGAGCACCTTCTCTGGCTGCGCTCATCAACCGATTCATAACCAACACCTGCTGCCTTGACTCCCTTCCCTCTCGCTCAACGTTCTCGATTTATACCCTAAAACGCTCTCAAGGGTAGCTCGCAACTGTTTGCATCGTCTGTCCACGTCAACGCTTCGTCACACACCCCACTTCGATTAGCAGGCGCTCTGTCGCCACACTTCACAGTCGGGAGGCTTTGCAAAGGTCGGCAAGCTGGGGAAAAGAAGGTATTCCGGTGAAGACCTTGGTGGTCCCCCTAAGAAAGTTATGGCAGTGAGTGCACACAAAGTCCTAGTCAAACAAGCACCGGTGACCGGATGTGCTGGGGGCTGTGTATTTGTAAACAGCTTCCTCATCTGCGCCACCACATCTTGCTACACGTCTCGTGGAATACCCTACTGACACGATAGCCAGGACAAAGACACAATGCAGGTAGATGATCCTGCTGCTGCCGTCGAGCAGCTAAAGAACGCCGATGGCGAGATCGACGAGTCTCTGTACAGCAGACAGCTGTACGTGCTAGGCCATGAGGCCATGAAGCGTATGGGCCAGTCCCATGTTCTCGTAGCTGGTCTCCGAGGTCTCGGTGTCGAAATCGCGAAGAACATTGCCCTCGCTGGTGTCAAGTCGTTGACGCTATACGACCCTAAGCCCGCCGCTCTCGCCGATTTGTCGTCGCAATTCTTCCTCCACCCCGAAGACGTCGGCAAGCCCCGTGCCTCCGTCACCGTACCCCGCGTTTCGGAGCTCAACCCATACACACCGGTGCAGGAGTTCACAGGGCGCGATCTGACGTCAGATTTGTCGCAGCTGAAGCAGTTCCAGGTCGTCGTTTTGACGGATACCCCACTTGACGACCAGATCAAGATCGCCGATTACTGTCACGACAATGGCATCTACGTCGTTATCTCGGACACGTACGGTCTCTTTGGTACCATATTCACCGATTTCGGCAAGAACTTCACTGTAGGTGACGCTACCGGCGAAAACGTCAACAGCGGCATCATCGCAGGAATTGACTCAGAGGGCCTGGTGTCTGCGCTGGACGAGACTCGACACGGTCTAGAAGATGGTGACTGGGTCACCTTTACTGAGGTTGAAGGCATGACTGGATTGAACGGCTGTGAGCCTCGCAAGATTGAAGTGAAGGGCCCATACACTTTCTCCATCGGCGACGTATCTGGATTGGGCGAATACAAAAAGGGTGGTCAGTATGTTCAGGTCAAGATGCCGAAGATCCTAAACTTCGAGCCGTTCAGCCAGCAGTTGAAGAAGCCCGAGCTTTTGATATCGGATTTCGCCAAATTTGACAGACCGCAGCAGCTTCACGTGGGTATACAGGCTCTCCACGAGTTTGCGAACAAGCACAAAGGAGAGTTTCCCCGGCCACACAATGATAGCGATGCCTCAGAGGTCCTCCAGATTGCACAAGGACTTGCCGGTCAAGGAGAGGACAAGGTCGAGCTTGATGAGAAGTTGATCAAGGAATTGAGCTACCAGGCGCGCGGTGATCTCAGCCCGGTCGCGGCTTTCTTCGGAGGTCTGGCCGCTCAGGAAGTGCTCAAGTCAGTCTCCGGCAAATTCCACCCTATCGTGCAGTTCCTCTACTTCGATTCGCTGGAGTCACTGCCTACGTCAACCTCCCGCTCGGAAGAGCAGTGCGCTCCGATTGGCTCACGATATGACGGTCAGATCGCGGTTCTCGGAAAGGAGTATCAAGAGAAGCTGGGCAATGTCAAAGAGTTCCTCGTCGGTGCTGGTGCGATTGGCTGCGAAATGTTGAAGAACTGGGCTATGATGGGTCTGGGTGCAGGACCGAAGGGCCAAATCTGGGTCACCGACAATGACCAGATCGAGAAGAGCAATCTTAACCGACAATTCCTATTCCGCCCGGCAGACGTTGGCAAACTCAAGAGCGATGCTGCGGCGAAGGCCGTGCAAGCCATGAACCCTGACCTGAACGGCAAGATCGTGGCTATGCAAGACAAGGTTGGGCCGGAAACAGAGCACATCTTCAATGAGAAGTTCTGGGAGGGCCTCGATGCGGTTACGAACGCACTAGACAATGTCGAAGCGCGTACCTACGTTGACCGCCGCTGTGTCTTCTTCCGCAAGTCATTGCTCGACTCCGGTACTCTTGGAACTAAGGGCAACACCCAAGTTGTCATTCCACACATCACAGAGTCCTACTCCTCGTCACAAGACCCGCCCGAGAAGTCGTTCCCAATGTGCACGCTGAGGAGTTTCCCGAACCGGATCGAGCACACTATTGCCTGGGCGCGTGAAATGTTCGACACCTTCTTCGTCAAGGGTCCAGAGGTTGTGAACCTCTACCTTACCCAGCCTGACTATCTTGGTGCGTCATTAAAGCAGTCCGGCAATGAAAAGCAGACGCTAGAAACTCTCCGTGACTACCTAGTGACGGAGAAGCCTTTGACATTTGACGACTGTATAATTTGGGCTCGCCAGCAATTTGAGAAGAGCTACAATCAAGCAATTCAGCAACTGCTGTACAACTTTCCTAAGGATTCCACAACCGGCTCCGGCCAGCCCTTCTGGTCAGGGCCAAAGCGCGCTCCAGATGCCCTCAAGTTTGACTCCTCCAACCCTACCCACTTCACGTTTGTGGAAGCGGCGGCCATCCTTCACGCGTTCAACTACGGCATCAATCCCAAGGGTATCACCAAGGAGCACTACCTGGAGGTTTTGAACGATATGATCGTTCCAGACTGGAAGCCAGATCCAACCGTGAAGATCCAGGCAAACGACTCAGACCCCGACCCGAATGCTCAACAGGCAGCTCCCATGGACGACAACGATATCCTAAACAAGCTGGTTTCATCGCTGCCGGCGCCAAAGTCGATGGCCGGGTTCAAGCTCGAGCCTGTGGAATTTGAGAAGGACGATGACACAAACCACCACATCGACTTTATCACAGCCGCTAGCAATCTCCGCGCCGAGAACTACAAGATTGAGCAGGCGGACAGGCACAAGACGAAGTTCATCGCTGGCAAGATCATTCCTGCCATCGCAACGACCACCGCGCTTGTCACTGGCTTGGTGAACCTGGAGCTGTACAAGATCCTCGACGGTAAGACAGACATCGAGCAGTACAAGAACGGTTTCGTCAACCTCGCCCTTCCCTTCTTCGGCTTCAGCGAGCCGATAGCGAGCCCCAAGGGTGAGTACACCGGCCACAACAACGAAAAGGTACAGATCGATAAGCTGTGGGACCGCTTCGAGGTGGACGACATCACGCTGCAAGAGTTCATCGACCACTTCGAGAAGAAGGGTCTCAACATCCAGATGGTCAGCTCCGGCGTTAGCTTGCTGTACGCGTCGTTCTACCCGCCAGCGAAGCTGAAGGACAGGATGGGTCTTACGTAAGTTGTTCCATCATTGACATTGTGAGAGTATACGCTAACCGGAAATAGTATGAGCAAATTGGTCGAGTTTATTAGCAAGAAACCCGTGCCTGAGCACCAGAAGAACGTCATCTTTGAGGTCACGGCCGAGGATCAGACCGAGGAGGACGTCGAGATTCCGTATGTCATGGTTAAGCTGCAGAAATAGAGTGGGTCTGGATGGCTGGCGGGATGAGGGCAAGGGTTACGAGCTTGCACGAAATGTTACGGAGGCATCATACATAGATGTGCATGGAACGCGAAATGAATAGATTACTTGAACCATCGAAATTTTCATCGAGCTTTGATCATTGCTTGTCCGTGATGAATGGGAGCACCAAGACACGCGCAACGATGCACTGGCTGTCTTCATGATACAATATGCAAGTTTCCCGCCCGATGCCTTCAGCTTCACAGACTTGACATGCACCTCACAGGGCGACGGCGATGGCGACACCCTCGAAGTTCGAAATCATCTTTGAGACGGGAAGACAGCGGTACGAAGAACGGCCAGGAAAGCCTTTGGATCGATCACTAGCTAGTAGCCTGAAAACAGTCGCCGATTTGCGTAAGCATATCGAAGACTAGGATGGCGTATTTCGAGGCTTTCAGGGACAAGGACGAGATTGTGTATGCCCGCCTGAATGCTGTTTCACGGCTATCGAGAGACTACATCAAAGAGTCAAGCTGCGAGACCATGGATCTCCTGCTTGAACAGCACAGCACAAAGAGAGAGAACGACCTGTATGGCATCTGAAGAACCGACGTCCCAAGCTTGGCTCAACGGAAACGATGGCTTTCACGGATATGTGGTAGCCCACGAAGTGGGAAAACCTACTTAGCAAATTCTGCGAAAACGATGCTGCAAGCGAATATCGCAGGTGGAACAGACCTCTGGCGTGACAGCCCGACCGTAATTTCCTTTTCAACAATGACGGAGTCAGCTGCCTCATTTACCGATCTCATCAAAAACTGTGTGACGCGGGGTGGCAAGTCACCCGCTCAATGTCGAAAGTACGGACCATGTGTCATCACTGTGCCGGTCGTAGGCAGACATGGAGACAGTGTCCAGCGCATGAAGAAAGCTCTTTACTAGCTGCTTCTCTGTGAAGAGCCGCAAACTATATATAGTATTTGACAGCATTGACCAAACTGAAGAAGGGGGATCACGGTCATGTCGTGTTTCCGATAATTCACGCTCTATTAAATTGGGTATGACTGTTCGATGGGCACAGTGTGTAAGGTCGCACATCGGCTAAGAGGCTCGCTTGTTGTATATAAGAGTTATTGTGCGCAAGCACATACGGACTTTTACTCAGACACATACATACAACATTCGTCACTCATCGCTCATCACTTACCACTTACCACTCAACACTTAACACATAACACTCAACGCCAAGCATCGAGCGAATAGCAGCATGAACGAATGCGACCTCGCTCGTCTACCCGTGGACTTGAGCTCATCGGTTCACTTGGAGCACATCAGTCGCACGATGCAGACGAAAGCACAAGGTCATCGTGCTTGGACGGGGTTGATGTTCGATGTTCTCAAAATGCAATCAACCGAGCAGGAAATCCGGGATTGCTTGGACAAAGCGCCATCTGATATCGAAGACATGATCAGAGAGGTCTTAAAGATGCACAGCTCCACACTCAATAGCAGAGAGGCTGAAGAATTCAATACGATCCTAGCTTGGGTATCCTTCGCCGCTCGCCCTTTGACTTTGGCGGAGCTAGACGCGGTTTTGAGGAGATCATCACCATCCGGTGGCCCTGTGCTCTCGCTGGAGGCCAAACTACGAGAGAAGTTCGGCTCACTTTTCACCCTGACTCGAGACGATGGACTTTCCACCGGTATGCTACAGTCGCGCACGAAACGATCGAATGAAGAGAGTGCCTACGATTCAAAGTATGAAACGACTAGCGTAGGATTTGCTCACTCTTCTATTATGGAGTACTTCCTGAAAGGCGAGGGCAAGTTCGCGGCCAGAAAAACGTGTCCCAAAATCGGCGTTGTGTACGCGGAGGCGCAACTTTACATACTAAAGACCTGCTTGGAGGTTTTCCTCACTCCTGGCCAAGGAGACAAAAAGAAGTTGGCAAACACGTTGAAGAACTATTCTCGGGACCATTGGTATGGTCATCTCGAATGTTCCATATGGCAGAATTTCGACGCTACCGACCAGATAGAGCTCCTGAGTATGCTTTACTCGTTCCTGAACAAGCCCGACGCATTAAGAGGATGGTGCGAGGGCACTCCTTGGACCTTCTACACGGAAACAGCAGTCGCTATATTATGGACGTGCATGAAGAAATGGTACGACAGTTCTGATCTTGACGCCGGGCTACTGGACTGGGTAGAGACTTGTGGCAGTGGAAAGGCAGAGCTTGTCTTCCTACCGGCCGCAAAAGTGTATGCCGAACAGGGCCTGCACAAAGATTCAGTCGGGGACGACTGGCTTGCGCAGCCAGCAATTACCGCGGTCGCACAGATTCGTGCACTGATCGAAGAGGATGATACTCTGGACACTCTACCGGATCCTCCACCGCTCGAAACGCTACTCAAAGCCGTCAGATGGTCAGGCTTAGAAGAGAACGCGGTCTGGAATCGAAAACTGGCAGTCTGCCTACGCAATTTCCAATACGTGGAGGAGTCAATTCCTTATTTCGAGAGAGCCCTCCAGCTGGACGAGGCGTGCGTGCGTGCAAGATCCGGCCTTGCGACTATCTACCGTAATCAAGGGTACTTTACAAAGGACATTGAGCTAGAGTCGGCCAATGCTACCTACCTTGTCCGACAGATCAAATGCAGCAACGGAGACAACGACGCCCTCAACAAGCATTTAGGCTACTCTTATAGCCTTATCGCGTATTCCTACGGGAAACTAAACGACGATGCCGCTGCTTTGAGGTACTGGCGTCTGGCCGCTGAGTTGAAAGCAATCGTGCAGTATGGTATTCGTACTTACCTTCGGTTGTTGTGCGCATCACCTAAGGAAAATCGTTGGAAAGACGTAATATGGTTTTCAAAGTTGATGGAACAAGCGAAAGACGACGTTGAGGACCATAGTCGGCTCACCACCTGTATCCTGGAGAACGCATATCCTGACGATAACCCTAATGGGGTCATACGTGCTCTTGGAAGAGCTGCCGTGGAAGAAGGTTGTTTGGAATGGCTGGTGAATGTGTACAACACAGCAATCTGGCATTCGAAAGACCATGGGACTGTCGTCTATCTCAAGATGTCTATCGTTGACCTACACCTCAAGTTTACAAAGGACCTGACTCGTGCCGAACTGCTCATTGAGGAAGTTATGGAAGTCGCTTGTCTAGACGAAGAAGGCAGAATTGAACAGCTCGAGAAATGCAAAAGGCGACTGGGCCAACACTTTTGTCGCATATGCGTCCGCAAGGCGGTCGCTGCAGGCTTAGATTCAGCCGAGGCCAGAAAGTACATAAATCGGCTCGCTAAGTTGTGTCGAAGTGGATTGGAGCCGCGGGAGCAAAGGTCAAAATGCGTTTATGGAGAGCGCAGTGCCCTGTACTTGGCATTACTCCAACGACGTTCCGGAAATATTGCCGAGGCAGGCATAACTGTGCGAGGCTGGCTCGTCGAGACTTGCGACCTGGCCCTCCAACCACGTTCATCGACGCTTGGACTCATGGGTCTTGGTCGCGTGTTGATTGCCATGGGTCTTTACGATGAAGCAATTTCCATACTACGTGTGGTCCATTCACGGGGAAAGGGGGTTTGCAAATCATGCCATCGCAGACTGAGCTGTGAAGAAGATGCTGCAATCTGCGAGTTATGCCTAGAGGGATCCTGTGGCAATTGTGCCTCTGAATCGGTAAACAAAAGTTTCTGTACACCAGGCCATTCATTCTTGAGCATACCAAGGACCTCTACGGGGAATGCGCCATGTTGCTTTAGCTTCAGAGGTGAGACTGTCACTGTTCAAAGTCTTGTAGAACTCATTCATAGAGAGTGGTATGAAGTCCTATTGTAAGATAATCTAAGTCCCGTTTCATCACCACTGTTGCACTTGAGTGCATATTGATAAGGTTCCCCAAATAAACATGTAGATTCCATATGATGATTGCCTAAGAAGTTGCAATACTCATGGTATGGGCTCGTTCTTAACACACGCCATATGAATCCACCGTTAGGCTCCTGCCTGATATATCATCGTTGCCAGATGCTCCATCAAAGCAAGACTTGTAGATGCCCCTTAATTGTGGGCATTCTGGTCCAGAAGCCGAGAGCAATCGTCACATGTCCCCCTATCATTATATTCAACGCCTTCCGGATCGCAATCGCCTGGTGCGTTGCGATCGTCTTCCGGGCAGGCGTCTCCGTGCCAGATCTCCACGAGCATCTCGGAAAGACAGTGATGACACCTGGTCACCACCCAAACGCAGTCGGTCGTCTCTGATGCAGAAGCCGAAGAAGAGTTGGAGTTGGACATCTTGTATCGACGGTAGTTTGATACGTTGGTGTGTTGGATCTATAGTTCTCAATGCATTAGCTGTGTCATAATATGAGATGAGAGTACTACTTACGTCGTACAGCCGTAGTTGTTGTAAAGGTTGATCTGGAGGACAGAAGATTACACAAGCGGTCTTATATACAAAGGCTACGGCAAGCCTTTGCTGCCTACTTCCTTGAATTTTTATTAACGTCGCTATTGTTTGCCAGACACAAGTCACACTTGGGGCATTAGGCAGAGTGGTAGCCTCAAGTAAACGCAGACCGATCCGTGAAGGCACAGTGCAAACGGACTTTGCATTAACACGTCACCAGGACATCAAGCAGCAATCCATAATCGCCATCCCTAATCATTATACGAATGTTCAATAATATCGATTGATTTTACGCTGTACAGCATTGCACAGGATGTAGCAAGGCATCTAAAACAATGTAGCTGCGATGTCTACCAATCTCACTCTCATTATGGCAACTAGCAAATGACAATATTGGACGCGTAGATTCCGGTTGCGTAATCAATAGAGCTATTATCTTCTCGTGACGTTGCGCTAGGCTGTGGCCTGGGCTATTGGGGAGTGCTCCTAATGGAATGCAATCAATTGAATCTTTAATCACTTGATCACACTGAGTTCAACCACGTGAATACGGGCAGGTCCGGTATTCAGATACACCCCACCCCACAAATGCTTCAGATATTAGCATCACTAATCAGCGGCACAAGCACAAGCATGAAAGTATGTGGATAAGATGAGAATAGAAGTAAGGTAGGCGATGCAGAGTTTATCTACACTTAGTACTATCAAGCAGCTACAATGCGTACCATAATTCCATCCTAGGCATCACCACTTAACAGAACACCAGCAAGTCACACTAAAGCTATTCCCACGAACATTGACGTGATCAAAGTGCCGAAAGGAGACATGTTAGAGGCAAAGCCCGGTACACTGTCCTCACTAATGCAACATGTCCAGTGTTTCTTCCAAAAGAATCATTAATTTAACCAAAACCTCTAAACTAAACTGACATGAATGAAGCATGAGAACTGGTATTCGCCAAATGAGCTATCCAATTCCATGTGTAAAGCCACCGTCATAACCATATAGCCTTAATCAAGAATCCCCTTGAGCGCAGTCTGCATGTCGGAGCGTATCCTCTGTGTACCAAAATCGTACCGAGAACGATATGCAAACAACAGACCCCTCTCAATCAGTCCTAGTCCACACACTGTCCCACACCTCGTCTCCCTAACTGTTCTCAGCCTCAACAAAGTCCCCCAATCGAATCGTCATACGCCGTAGCGAAAGTCTCCCACCCCGCATGCATATCCGTCTCGCTCACGCAGCTCGAGTCGCTGGACGCCGTAGACCAAGTCGGTGAAGGCGGACGCGAAGTAGGCGACGATGGGTCCTCGTCCTTGCAAAGCTCGGAAGTCGTGGTGAAGATAAGGGTGTACACGGACGGAGAGATGAGGGGACGATGGGAAGATGAGCCATTCGCTAGGTCGATGAAGGAGGCCTTGCCGGAAGAAATGCCTCGCTTTGCACCGGCGCCAGCGGCTCCGAAAGTGATATTGAGCTTGGGGCGAGCAGTACGGCAGGAGAACGTGATGGGCGGGGTAGGCTTCGTATTCTGAGGGTTCGAGTCGTCTGCGCGCAATGTATCGGCGTGCTCGCTCTTCTGGCTGATGATATGCGATGCCTTGTCCATGATGAAGTTTTCGAGTTCCTGGGAGGCCACATCTTTGTTCTTGTTCGTAGCAAAGGGTCGATGAGACTCAGTCTTGCGAGGCTTTAGGTCGTTGTCGCGTAGCTTGTGCGTACCTCCGCCATCTCGCGCGACATCAGAGTATGACCTATTTACGCTGGAGTCTTTCAGATCCCGAGAAGCCTTGTCTTCAGAATTGGGCAAGTCCGACTGTGCCAAGGTATCTATAGGAGAAGAGGCTGATCCAGTGCTCGCCGTAGCGATCGGGGAGGCATATATAGAAGCCATTGCTTGCGCGACCATATCGAGTTTTGCAGTGGCCTTTCTCGTGGGCGGAAAGAACGAAATAGGCGTAGAGGCAAGTGATGCCTTGGCCAGAAGCTGTACACCTCCGCACTGCCGGTTCTGACGTCGCAGGTGCCGAATACGTGCCCTTGACAACTGCCTGGTCTTCTCGTCCCACAGCTCTCGGACCTTGGGCAACCACTTGTACCCTCGCCAATCCGCACGGCCACGCCTCTTGGGTGGAGGATACAGTGCTTTCTTGTTCGGCATGAAGGATTCTAGCACGCTGGAATGCTTGGAATCGGGCGACGTCAAGATGATACGTGGAAGCGCGTGGACTTTGAGCTCAGACGTTGTATCGGCAACGGGGTGATAGTTCGAAGTGCAACGCCCGCAGGTGAAGATGTCATGACCCTCCTTGTTGCATGTGATCTTATTCGCTTTCTCGATTTTGTCAAAGCGCTTGTGCGTGCCCTGGGGATCGGCGGTGCAGAAGATGCACTTTTGTACCTGCGTAAGATCGGAAGCACGCATCGGTGTCGCGTCGACGAAAGGTGTCTCGGTATCGGCTTGCGCCTTTGGTTCCGATTGTGCCTCTGTGTCAGGCGGTGCAGGAAGAGGAGCCGTGTCTGTGAGCCGTGTCTTTGATTCGTATTGCGCCGGTGCGACAGATTGGTACGCGGTACCGCTTGGTGTGGTTGATGTTGACTCAGAGCTACCATAGGTACCCATGAGCGGAGTGGTTGCGGAAATTACCTGCGTTTGCGGCTGTAAATGATGTTAGCCCAATGTTCAAGATTCCGCAGCCGCTATCAAGATGAAAACAATCAAGTGAAAGAAAGCAACGAAAACAAAACTCACAAAAACAATGCTATACTGCGCGGCTAACTTACCCCCTCCATGATAATAAAAGGATCAAACTCCTCATTCACCACCGGGAACACATTCCTAGCAGCTTTCCCCACGTCACCTGTTGTACGCCAGCTATCAAGCTCTTCACCGTCTTCGTTGACAGAGTTCCTAAGCGCCGACTCTCCACAGTCGTACACAAAGTCGATATGGTCCCTCTTCTTTTGGATCTTCTTCTTGAAGGCTACGCTGATCTTTCGCGAATGTCCCCTAATGCGCCTCCAGAATCGGTCCATGATCTCGGTCCTGCCAACAAGGCTCGTGAACAGGGCATGAAAATCGTCGGACTCGATGAAGTTGTAGCTGTCTTGTCCGCCCCGCTGACACCTCTGCATGTGGAAGAGGGAGCTTTGGAGAAAACCAGGAGTGTCAAATAGCTCCCCTTTACATATGGGACAAGATTTGTCTTGCTGGAGGGAGAAGCATACGGCGCGGTGGTGAAGCGCGTCGCTAACCGAGCACGCGGACAGGTCGCGGGCGCAGGTCAAGCATGAAGACTCGGGCATGTTGACCTTTGCGATCGGCGCTGGCGCGCTCTTCGGAAGACTCGGAGTCGGCGGCGGTAGAATGGGGTCTTTCGGTCGCGGAGCGCTGGTGGGGGCAGAACCTTTGCGTACTGCGACTGCAGCGAGATCAGACCAGCAAGAGTTGAAGTGAGCCACCCGTTTATTGATGGAACGGCCGATCACGTCCTTCTTGCACACAGGGCACAAACGAGTAATCTTTTCGACCGCTCCTTTTGGACGAGTATTGGTTTGCTCGCCCCCAGGTGGAGATTGCGCGGAATCAATGGTCGGAGTCTTCGGCGCGTCAACACTCCCGCCAGAAGACGCGACTTGATCACAAGCCGTGAAGTGAAGAACAGCCGTCATTGGATCTTGGGCGGTGTACTCGAGCTCGAGGCCACAATACGGGCACTTCCACAACATGTCGAGGTTGAGGTTGAGGTCGCGCTGTTGCGTTGAGCTGGGTGCGAACGCTGTTGTGCGCCTCAGATTTTTATCTGTGGTCGCTGAACGGAACGACGACCTGGGCCGTAGCTTATGACCTCATCGGTGAATCGAGTACGCGTGACTCAGAGCCAAGGTAAGACACACATGACTCTAGGCTCGTTTGATTCGGGTTATGGTTGAAAATAGTGTTTGACTTTGGAATAGCTGGAAACTTCGCGAGTTCGATACAGAAAGCGGCTTCCATTGGCCCCTCATGCGCGCTCGTAAAACGGATGAATAGATACATTTTTGTTACGGAAACAAGTATCTTGATCGAGTGAGGCTGCTTGAGTTCGTAAGAAAGCCGTTTGCTGGAAATAATGCGAGGGGCTCGTCGCCTCCGATCAACTTCGACCTCGATAGCACTTCCATTACGCCTCAGTCTTACGCGCAACGCCCCTCTTCTTCTCGAGATGCACTTCCACATGATTCGTGAAGTACTTCGAAGGGTCCCGCACTACAATAGCAGCAAGAAGCGCAACCACTCCAAACGGAATCGATGCCAACCAAGTAATCCGGAACGCATATGCGTAGGCGTACCGTGCCGCCCGAACGCAAGAATCAAAGACCTCTGTAGGTACATTAGAAAGTTTGGCCGCCTCACCTGGAACACCTAAGAGCGTCAACGTTACTGCCCCTATCAGCTCGCCCACGGACGATGACGCTACTCCACCAGCAGTCGCAGTTGCCGCAATCCTCTTCGCCACCTCCTTTTTCGCTGTCTGATCGAAGATTGACGAGAAGATAACCGAGCCGATGGAGCCTCCAACAGATCTAAAGGTCCCGATCAAGCCTATGGCTAGTCCGAGATCTCTCTGGGGCACGTTGAGGGATGCGGTTGTATAGCAGTTGAGCGTGATCCAACCGAACGGGAACATAGCAAGGAATTGCACCGCCATGAGCCAGTTGATGTTCGTAGGTGTAATGAGTGCCGCGAGGCCAAAGAAGAGCGTTTGCATGAAGACAGCAAAAGTCAGCTGGTAGTGCACGTGTTTGATGTAATGAACCAGTGCTGGGACAAGGCATCCTCCGATGAGCTGCCCGAAGCTGTGTTGCGTTAGCTTACAACTACTGTAACGTGTCGTAGAGACTCACCCAGAGGGAAGAGAGTAAAGACCGATCTTGATCGGGTCTGGTGTGTGCAAGTACAGGATTGTCTGGGCGTTCAAAGCGGAGGCCGCAAAGAACACCATCCCCGCGACGAAGACCAAGACGATAAGTGCCGAGAAGTCACGAAAGCTCCGGAAGAGGTACCACGGGAAGAGTGGATCTGCCGGCACGAAAGCGTCGTAAACGAATGCGCTGATGAATGTGAGAAGGCCGAGCACTAGAGGCGCGACGGTTCCAGCGTCGCCCCAAGCATAAGTGTTGCCACCAGAGTTCAGACCGTAGAGGAATACGACAAGGCCAGCCGCGAAGAGGAATGCAGCAACGAAGTCTAGCTCCTTGAACTCTTGCCACTTCGTCTTATGATCTGGTCGGGGGTGGCTGGGCGGAAAGTACACAAGGAGGGTCCCGATGAAGCTGAACGCTCCATAGCCGATGCAGAGGTAAAACATGATCTTCCAGCTCGCCTTGGTAACCATGGCGTTAGCAAGAAGCGTTGATGGAACAGCCCATGATGCGAGGTTGAACTCCGTCCACGCGAGCCCGATACCCCTGTATTTGTTCGGTAAAATCTCAGAGATGCCTGAAATCTGGGTTAGCAACTATGAGCAATGGGGATTTGTTGACGCACCAGCATACGCAACGGATACAGTCCCGATGCTCGCTCCCAGAATGACCTCTCCAGCAATCAACTGATTCATCGTTTTACTTGTACAACAGACAATGCCGCCAATGACCGTCAAGAATTGACCAAAAAGGATGACAATTCGTCTACCAAAGATATCCGAAATTTTGCCAGCAATGGAGAACCCGATAGCCGCAGCAGCGCCCCATCCGGAAGGTATCCAGAAGTCGATATTAGCGCCGCCCAGCTTTTGTGACAATTGCACTAGGATGGGCGTTACCAGAATGAAACCAAACATGATAGGGCCGGTGAAGGAGGTGCCGAGGAAGAGCGCTGAGAGTAGAACGGGCCATGTGAGTTTCTGTGCGTGTTCGGGATTGTCTTCAAGGGCGGCCTTGTGTGGATCTTCATAGCCGGCTGGAACATCGTATTCCTCCTGATGTTCGGCCTTCAATTCAGTCTTTGAGTCCGGCTTCGGTATTGCTGCCTCTTCAATCCTCACATCTCTGTTTGACTCCATCGCAACGTATATGTTCCAGAGGCTCTGCCTCGCGCCTTGCCACAGCGTGCTTGCCGTGAGGCTCCTGGAGGTGGTCGTGCTCGTACAAAGAGACACTAATGATAATGGATAGGGTTCAAAGATGCCAATACAGCGTATGTTAGGTCTTCAGCAACTGAAGTCACTGGCTGGGGTGTGCCACTTAAGTACTCCTATTGCTGTGCCAATAGGACGCTTCCTTCTCCAAGCTATCTGGTGGGGCGCAAATGCAGTCGTAGGCGTGCAACGTAAGGCTGATATTTTGACGGACCGATTGCATCTCGGATATGCGTCTCTGATAGCCAAGGTGTCACGGATGTACAACCCCGTGGGAACGTAGGAAGACCCTGGGCTAAGCGAGTAAGGAGTGTGCGGGGAAATGTGGGGTGTCGCATCCTTCCGTTCTGGAGGTGGGATCTTCATCAATCGTAAAGCAACAAAGTTCTGACGAGTGATATTGCATGGCTATTATTCAAGTTGGAATCGTGTTTCTCGTACCAAGTGTCACATCGTGAACGGTGAGATAGCTTCCTCTCACATCTTACTCGGAGTCTCTCATGCCGGGCGTTCAACAACAACACGGAAGGTGCGGGACTAAACGGTGGGGCTCCTACACCAGCTGCGCCTACGATCTACACGTTTGTCATCGAGCTATTCCCTCGGCAGTTATACAGTAGTCTTGTGGTACGGACCTAAAAGCTGCCCTGCTGAGAACATACGCCATACTCGTATTACACGAACACTGGCAGCCGGTTCCATCCTTGGCATCACCTACTCAACGCAACCCAAGTCAAATCATAGCCATTCCCACGAGCTTCCGCGGGTTGCTTAACAGCACGTGACAAAGTGCCGAAAGAGAACGAACACTGACTGCCCCAACGCCACGAGGTACAACATGCTTGGACCGAAAGCAGCGGTGCTTATTCTGGTCTTTCTCTATGTAGCCATACGCCAGCTGTGGGATCTCACCTACCGGATCTTCTTCTCGCCGTTGCGGAAGCTCCCGGGTCCCTGGATAACAAACATTTCCAGCATCCCAGAAGTAAATGCACTGAAAGAGCAACGGAGAACAAAATGGGTCAACAGCCTCTTCGAGCAGAACCCCGGCGCAGTGGCAGTCCGGACCGGCCCGAAAGCGGTATCGTTCAATCATCCGGACGCCGTCAAGGCGATATACGGTAGGTAAGTACCTAATCTAAAATAGACCGGGCTCTGACGTTCTCACAGGCCATGGCAAAGGCCAAGATGAGTTTGGAAAGTCCAGCTGGTACGACGCCTTCTCGACGACCGGCGAATCGCTCTTCTCCACGCGCTCAAAGAAGCGGCACGCTATGAAACGCAGAATGGTAGCGCACGGCTTCAGCGCTCAGAGTCTGCAGCTTTTCGAACCATACGTCGATCTCACGCTGGAAAAATTCATGAAGCGCATGGATGAGTTTGCGCGGACTGAAGAACCTTTTGACATATACTTCTGGTTTGAGCTCTTCACCATGGACCTCATGGGCGAACTTGCCCTAGGCAACAACTTCGGCGTCCTCGAAGCAGGCAAACCAGCGCGGTACTCCACGCTCGTAGAACTGTCGCAGCGCTTCGGGAACCTAAGCGGCGTTCTCCCATTCGGAAAGTACAGCAAGAAAATACTAAGCTGGGTGCCCTTACCATACGTCCAAATGCTATGGAAAGCGCGCGTAGAATATCTAGAGTATGCCCGCCACGCACTCGAGAAGCGCTTCCAGAACGACCGCGCACAAGTGAAGCAGAGTGGAAAACAAAGACAAGACATCATGCAGCGCTTCATCGAAGCCTCCGACCCCGAGACAGGTCGAAAAATGGACTTCGACGAGCTGCGCGCTGAAACATCCTCACTCATGTGCGCATCTCACATTCAACCCAACTGCACATCACTAACAGCACCCCAGGGTCGCAGGCGCATCCACAGGCAGCGTAACAATGAACTGGATGACATACTATCTCTGCAAAAACCCCGATATCAAAACCCGCCTCGTCAACGAATTAGACACCATGTTCCCAAACGCAAACGCAAACACAAGCAAATATCAACCTCTTCCATACACGCAGCTAAACACCATCCGCCTCCTCGAACACTCCGAAATGGAATGTCTCCGCCTCCACCCCCAATCGGCTACGCCATGCCCCGCGACACGCCCCCTCCGGCGCCCTCATCTGCACCCACTTCATCCCAGGCGGCACCGCCGTCGGCGTCCCCGCCGCCACCATCGGGCGCAACGCCTCCGTGTACCCCTCCCCAGAGTCCTTCCTCCCGGATCGCTGGACAACCCCACCCCGAGATGAAGTCTTGTTTTCTAGCTTCGGCGCGGGAAGTCGGCAGTGCATAGGGCGGAACGTGGCGAACCAGTTTGTCGTCAAGATGATTGCGGGGTTGTTGGTTAGGTATGAGGTTGAGCTGGAGGAGGGGGCGTTGGTGCTGGGGACGAGGGAGTTTACGATTTTGAAGCCGGATAGGAAGTATCGTGTTGTGGTGAGGCGGAGGGAGGGAAGGGAAACGGAAAGGGAAAGGGAGGGAGGGAGGGCTGCGGCGTAGGATGAATAGCTTTGAGGGTTGGACGGGGAGTCCGATCGTTGTGTGTGTGTTGTGGAAGGGTGATGTCCAGATGTTGTGCGTTTCAAGCCGGTGGAACCGTAGGTAGGCGCGCCAGGGCATGCAGAACGCCTGAACCAAGGCGGTGGCAGTGCGTCTTGCTCGCGTGCCGGATGCGGTAGAGAGTCTCGAGGCGACGGCCGGCATCTTCCCCGTTCGTACCCTGCGGCGGCGTTGCGCACACCATCGTCTCAGGCGCATCGTTCAGCCGAATCATCTTCATCGCGGCGCGTTCATTCCAGATAGGCTTCCTGAGTCCTTTGACGTGTGCGGTGTGCGTGGCGACAAGCGCTGCCTTTGGAGACGAAGCCTTCTCTTCCCTCGTTCCATGCTGGTGGTGTTCCGGCACAACATGCGGAACGACTTCGTCAGGGGAATCTTCTTCCGCCTTCACGATTACGCCAGCCATCGAAGGCGCTGCTCCCGAAAGCGAATCGACCACCTCGTCGACCAGCCCTTCAATCAGCTCTTTGAGCATCTCCTCCATACTCTCATCGACCTGCTTGCGCTGCTCATTCTCAGGTACATTGATAACGAAGCGGGAATCTTCAACCGCCTCAAGTTCGTCATCAGTCGATACAATAACTGAAGTCTCCGGTGTCGTGGAGTGCGTGGCGTCTTCATCGTCTGAGAAAAGACCTGTGTCGTGCTCGGAGTCGTCGTGATCTGAGCCGCGCTTCTCAGCCTTTGATGTGTCGTTGGCGCTCTCGAATGGCGCGGCGGTCCTGGTATCCGTTACGAGTGAAGACGAACTGACGTCCTCCACCAGGTCGCCGTCGTCGTCGGTGCCTTCGATGCGAGAAACCCCATTCGTCCCCAGAGGAACCACGTTTTCTCCTCGCAAACCAGCCGGAGAATCCTCTCCAGTGTTGGCCTTTACTTCATATCCACCTTGAGCAGACAATTCCACTTCCACCTCTGTCTTGTCTTGCATCTCCCCCTCCCACTTCTCAATCACCCCAGCCTCATCCTCCCAAATATCTTCCTCCTCCCTCTCTTCATACCTAACCTCCCCTAAGCTTACTCCCACAATACCACATCATCTCCTGGAACGCCACCCCCTCTCCTCCTTCACCTTCCGCCAGCCCCGCGTATACTTTCCCCAGCCTCCCAGAGTAACTCCTCGTACGCCGGCTTGCCCTCCCGGCCCCAATCCAGTTCGTACGCCGTGTTGGGCGGAAAGGCGGGAGGGATGTAGTAGTCTGGTGGGAAGGGGTTTGGAGGTAGAAGGAGGTGGGGCCGGGGAGCTTCTTGCGGGACTGGGTGGAGGAAGAGGGAGGGTGGGTTCGGGGTACATGGGAGGGTAGGAGGTTGTGGTTGTCTTCGTCGTCCGAGTCCGAGTCTGAGTCTGTGTCTTCGTCGTCGTGGTTGTAGCCGCCGCGCCTTAGTGTAGGCTCAGGGGTAGCTGGGCGCGGTGGGATGTCGAGCTCTTCGCGGAACAGCGCGTCTGTCTCGTCGACCGTCGGCGCGTTGTCGAAGTCGTCGTCAGTGGCTGTCTGCTCCTCGTCCTCGTCGTCACCCTCAGCGTCCTTGTCGTCGTCGCCCATGTCACCAAACGAGCTGCCAGGGCTGCCATAGTACCCACAGCTGCTCGCCCCAGCCCGGACAACCTCCATATCGAAGTCATCCTCGTCGTCATCCGCCCAGCTGTAGCCGTGGATGTTCTTGCCGTAGCAGGCGTCCATCTTCTCCGCTGTTGAGATTACTGTGTGAAGATGTGGTTGTGTATCGAATAGAATGCGCGGACTCTGTGTCTGCGCAGAATTTCTCTGGAACTGCCTCTGAGGTAGCTTTCTCGACGTCGGTGTAGTAATGCCTGAATAAGGAAGTGTATGTGTGTGTATGAGCTAGAAAGCTGTGTAGAATGCGCGGGATAGCTGGTGTAGCTTGTGTAGTCTGCGCGGACGTGAGGTCAAGGTAGAAATCTACGAGAGCGGGTTCCTGCTGTTGGTCGAAGTGACCTTGTGCGGGCGCACCTACGCGCGCCTGGTGAATCACGTGGTTGCCCGGCAACAAACTCAACCTACACAGTGGTGCAGCGCCGCCGCTCTTGCGCGGTGAAAGGGAATGACGTAGATAGATAGCTCATTTATTGAATTATAGCTTCGTAAGGGCTTGTCCCTCGCTGAGCCGCAGCCTGCATGTTGGCGCATTTCACTACATCGACTCCATACTATCTTCGTCATCTCATCTCATTCACCGCCGACCACTTCTAGTTCACCGGGAATCGTCCCAGTCCGCATCGGATATCCTCGTATAATTTGCGTCCTACACCACAACGAGTCTTCCTCTGCGACTGTCAGCCCGCCGTCAAAGCAGTACTAATTGGCAGCCGTACCTAGCACGGCGCTGGCATCACCACTGCTTGAGACCTGCAGCCTCATTGATAGTAAGCGCTCGAAGGGACCTCTGTATAGTCGTTGCCATCTTGGTCATCCACAGCAAAGATCTGCTGCCGGGTTTGCGGCGTCAGTGCCGTTTGTCTGTGTTGGCTTTCCCGTCTCTTCGCGTTGGCATCACTATGCTTGAATCCTGCAACCTCGTTGATGGCGAGCGCTCGAAGTGGCCTTGTATGGATCGTCGTTGCCATCTTGGTCTTTCAAAGCGGGTTTCTGTTCCCGGTTTGCGGTGTCAGACCCGTCCGTGCAGGCCTTCCCATCTCTTCGCGCCGTGCTCTTCGATCTTCGGGCACCGTTCTTCCTGGGCCGTTCTTCGATGGCGATCCTGCCCTCCTCACGGGCTCACTCAACTTGCCCCATTCTTGCCCCGCAGCTGCGCCAAAGTCCCATCTCAGCGACCCAGTCACCATTATCTTTACCCTTCCAAACCCCCTGGAGCAGGCCCTCAAATCAACCCCAAAACACTCAACCCCTTCCCCTACTCGCCCCATCCTTCCCCATCTCCCCATCTGCCCCCTGCCCAAGCAACAACTCAATAATCATGCTCCTCTCCCTACTATCCACCTTGGACGACCCCACCGCCATCTGGAAAGGCGTCGTCCCGTCTAGAGTCTCCCGATTCACATCCGCGCCTATCTCAAGCAGCCACTTCGCCGTGCGGTACCCGCCGGGCGTCCTGACAGCGAGATGTAGCGGCGTTTCGCCCTGCTGGTTAGGCGTGTCGAAGTAGATGCCTACGTCGACGAGCCACTGGAGGTTGGACAGCTGTGAGCCCAGGACCGCAGCGTGGATCGCGGAGTAGTACGCTGAGTGCGAAGTCTGCGTCATGTCTGCGCCGTACTCGACTAGAAGGCGCAAAATGGGTGTAGAAAAGCTGTGCGCTGCGCGGAGGAGCACGGTGCCGAATTCCAGGTCTGCGGCGTCGGGATCTGCGCCTTCCCAGAGGATCTGCTCTACTTCTGCGGGCGTCGTCTTGGACGAGATGTTCTTGAGGATCCAGTCCAGGGCGGACTTCTGGTCTCTGCTGAGGCGCCGGCGGGTGTCTTTTGCGACGGCGATTTTGTCGTTTGTGAGCCGCTGGTGGATGATTGAGCGGCCTTCGGAGCTGATGATTGTGGAGGCGATGGTGTAGATGCCGTTCTTTTTTTTGGTCTTGGGCATCTTGGGGGCTTTCATGGCTAGCTGGGGGGAATCGACTCTTTCGGGGATGTCTGGCTTGGGGGATCTCGGCTTGCTGGAAGACGCCGTTTGGGTTCCGGTGGTGGTGCAGCTTTCTGCGTAGAAGGTGCCTCGCGATGGGGCTCTGTCGTCATCAACTGTCTCTGCAAAGCTTGCACGTGGGTCGGTCAGCGCCAATGAAGGAGGTGGAGCTGTGAGAGATAGATTGGCTTGGTTTACTACGTTTGCTATCCAGGCGCCGATCCCGCTTGAAAGGGATAGTGTTGATGGCAGTGGAGGAAGGCTCTTATCTTGTGCTCCAGGTAGATCGAACGGGATAGGCACCATAAGTCGTTTAGTCTGTAAGCTGGGTCGTTCTGGAGATGCCTGCGGTGAAAGACATTCCTCCAGCTGAAAAGCAACACACGCTCTGGTCTTGTCAAAAGAAGCATAGAGGATCGGTAGCCGGCCTTGAGTGATGTCCTCAACGTGACGTCGCTCATTGTCAAGTCTTTCCAGAAATTGTTGCCAGACCTCCGGATCATCGTCATCAAAGAAAGACCGCCTGTTGGGTGAAGTTATCTCGTACGTGGTGGCGTTGGGTAGTGTGAATCTGTTCTATATTTAGCCATAGCCTCCCAATAAGGAAGCGCACATATACTCACAGCTCCACCAGGTCAAGCAGGAGGTCCAACGCGCACCGAACAGCTTTCAGGTCGTTTTTCAAGCCGGTCAATTGGGCTGCTTTGAGGACCTGCCAAGGCCCCGTGCGGTCCTGACTCGCGGATAGGCGCACGATGGGTTTATGGCAACATTCCGTCGCCGACGAGCAGCAATCTAGAAATCCCGAGGCGGCCTCGAGCAGGAGTGAGGGAAGATTGGGGTTCGCATTGGAGAAATCGTCGCGAGCGATGTCCAAGGCAACCTTGATGGCAAGCAGGTCGGCACAGAGGGCATTGATATCATGTCTAGCGTTGCGTAACCCGCGTGCGATGCCGCTGGTATCTGTGATGATCTACCCAGATTCTAGTCAATATGATATTAAGGTAGATGGGCGGCAGCAACGCACCTGAGCAATGCCTGAACCTATGGCTGCGCATCGTGCCGCAAGCGTGCTGTGTCCGGACATGTCGAACACTTTGCGTGCATGGGAGTCGTGATGTTTGTCAGTCGTTTCTTGTCGCTTTTGTGTGCAGCATCAGGAGGGCAATTGGAGTGTGGTCGGCGTAGAGACTGCGATGTGATGTGATGGGATGTGATGGCTGCTGACGCGGGGGTGATGGCAGCCGCAGCTGGCAATACGGTATGGAATGTAAGAAGAAGGCATCTACACGAGTGGCATGAGGCGTCGATGCACAGGGGATTATCTAATAGGAAGGCAGTCGTGCCGCCGGAGTGCAGGCAGTTGTGCTGCTGTACGGCGTCGCACGAGGCGCGCAATGCATGCCATACCGCCAGTGTCGCCGAGCGCTGCCGCCGTGCTGGGTGCGAAAGCCAGAAAGGGGCCTCGAGCACGAGCTACAAGGGCCCACGCCCACATCACCGCCCTATAGCGACGCGACGGTGTTTGTCAAACCACACCTGGCATGTACGGAGACTCGACGTTGTCGTGGGTTGGGCTGAGAGGTGAAACAGTCCGATCGCATGCCTCATCTGTGGCTGTTCGTGTCGACTCCTACTGCCAGCGCAGACGGTGCGGGCCAAGCGCTCAATGGCAGCAAAGCACCGGCATGCAGGCAGCCTGAGCGTGAACGTGCGAGTTGTTGGCAGCATGTCCGGGCTGCCCTTGGTGGAATACTCCGTGTCCGAAGTCCCGCCTCGTCAAACTCGCTGTCGAGGAAGATGCAAGCGCTGGTGCCAACAGCAGGCCCGTATTCGTGAAGATGTGCGCGCAACAGCCAGCATCAGCCCGACCCTTCGCTCCACAACATCCGCAGAGGCGCGCTGCTAGAGCGAACAGGGCCATTTGCACGCTAATCGCTTGCCAATCTCCACTGTGCAGCCCTATGGGACATGCCTGCAGCACACGAGCTGACAGCATGCAATGCGTATAAGATGCCAACGTCAACAGTATCCAATACGTACAAGATGCCAACGCAGCAGAAGCATCAATAAGCGAAGATCTGCACAGCAGGCAATCCCATTCTACGAACTAAACCATCCATCAAAGAACCGGAAGCGCACTATCCGTCCACCAAGCTTCTAGTCGACGATGCCAGGCGGAAGAAAAGAAACATAATCAACAGGCGCAGGCTCTATACCATCAGCTCGCCCGGATATCCTCAACAAGTCGCCTTTCACCACCGTAATGTTCCTAAACGTGATACGTGTCGCTGAATGCCCGTCAAGATAAACAGACGGCGCGTGCCCCAGCTTGTCCTCCAGATCGCCTGTCCAGCTGCCAATCGTCCTGTTGTTCAGCTGCAGCTCGTACTGCGACTTGCCTCCTATCAAGTCGAAGTAATTGACCGCTACATCATATATCCCCGACCCAAAGGTCACGTTCGTTGTCGCCGTGCCCACCGTAGAATTCGATGCAGTGACAATGGCCGTGGCGCCTGACGCTGCATGGAAGGGGTCCACGCGGTAAGTCTTGTACCCGCTGAGCGTCATTTTCTCGGCTTCAATGCGGTAGGGATGGTTCCCTACTCTTTTAGCCTGGTCCTCGATTTCGGAGAGATTATGGTAGAATTGGTTGATGGAGTCGCGCCAGACGAGCGCATGGCCAGCTTGAAAAGTCTGTCTGAACAAGACGTGCTCGTAGCGTTCGCTGTCGATATTGCTCTTGAGCGACTCCCATTGCTTCACTAACGTTTGCGCGGTCGCTGCGCCCTCGTAGTGTGAGTCGTAGAAGTGCTGGATGACGGTTTTGCCCGACTTCAGCTGGTGCGTGTAGATGACGTGATGGAACCAGAGCAGCAAGTTATCCGGTGTGGTTTCGATGTTTTCGTATACATTAGCCACAGCTGGGGGATACTGTCCCGCATTTGCAGTACCATTCTTGACCGTGCGATCCATGCCGATGCTGAATTTGTCTGCCCGCGTCCACTGACCCCACCCGTTATTATCCAGTGTGGCGGGATTAGGCCCGAAATGGGTATACAGGATGTCTGTTAGAGTTTGGACGCCCAGGTTTCCAGTGTAGTTCTCATAAGTAGGCCATGACTTCATCGACATGTCGGTGATGGTCTCAAGTACTTTCGGGTCGTGGCCAAAGGTCAATCGGATCCAATCTTGCAAGATTTCCTCTGCATCGAGAGACGGATCCCAGGCCAGTAGACCGTAAGCGTAGAGGTTCTGCAATAATTAGTTCTGTATTAGGATAGGATGTATAGTGGCGTGATGCCGCCGCAGGGTCAACCCCGGATACGAGATTGACGCAAGGACTCCATCGGACACTAACGTTTAGACACGTAACAGAATGACACTCACCGACATTGCAAGATGGCTGCCCAGCCAGGTTGCGTTCGTGCCTACATTTACTACGCCGGCCGATCCACCCAGTGGCCGCCTAAACCGCTCACCAGAGACAATGTCCTTCACCTTGGAAGAGCGATTGTCAGCTTTTAGATCGAATTCGAGGATTTCTTTCCACAGAGGTGCAAGATACACGAGATGCGTCTGTTGGCCAAGGTACTCCTGGGTTACCTGAAGCTCGATTGCGGTGCTTGTGTTTCGCAGAGTTGAGAACAGTGGCGAAGCAGGTTCTCGAACCTGAAAGTCAATCGGACCATACTTGATCTGTACCACAACATTATCGTCAAACTTTCCATCCAAGTCACGGAAGAATTCGACTGCTGCATTTGCCCGATCGGCCTTCCAATTCGTCTCATTGATATGGTTGTCATAGACGAAGGCTCTGAACATGATGATGCCGCCATGTGGCTTGGCTGCTCTGGCGAACATGTTTGCCCCCTCTGCGAGAGTACGATTGAATGTAAGAGGTCCTGGCTGACCCTCGCTGTTGGCTTTGACTAGATAACCCGCCATGTCTGGAACGCGTGCGTAGATCTGGTTTGTGATATTTGCCCACCAAGCATCAACGGTAGGATCCAACGGATCGAAAGTGCTTAGACCTCCAAATGTTTGCGGAGACGCGAAGTTGAGCGAAATACCCAACTGCACACCGTACGGCCTCATCGCATCGGCCAGTCTTCCTAGTCCGTCGATGTTTCGTGCGCTCAGGAGCGTTGCATTAGCGTTGACATTATTGACAATGATTCCATTGATGCGAATGGAGGCTAGAAGGCGCGCATATTCGGCGACGCGCGTGGTATTTTCAGTAACGAACCCATTCTCAAAGAAGATGGACGGTCCCGCATATCCACGCTCGATGCTTCCGTCGAGATTGTCCCATTCGTTGGTCCATCTGATAGGCGCATGAGGATTTGATACGTATGAAACAGTGTCGAGTTGCCCCTGCGCAAGACGCGAAAGATAGTCGAAAGCCCCATACAGAGCGCCTCGCTCGTTTTGACCCAGTATCAGCACCTGTCGTCCCTCGATGCTCAGGAAATAGCCATCCTCTTCGATGTCCCCGGCCTCGTCGAAATCGCCATAACTCTTCTGATATGCGTGAGCCGTCCCCACTATGATGGTACCGTCCTTGCTTGTTGAAGTTCCGTTGCTGAGTGTTTTCCCCAAGATGCCCTGGATCCCCCTGTGAAGCTCTTGCTGCGCGGTGTATACCGGACTGCTCTTAGTGTTGTTCAAGGCTATGATTGATGAAGGGATGGAACTATAGCTGCTAGCATAGGGAAGTGGGGCGTAGCGGAGCCATCCCGCGGACCCATCTTCACCGGACGCAAGTCCCAGGAATAACCCGACAATGAACCCAGATAAAAGCATTGTGTCGCAACACAACCGAAGAATATCTTTCAATTCCTGTGTCTTTGAGCCCTATATGTAAGACGTAATACATTTGGATTGACAATTGGAGGGATAAATGAAGTGCTCCCAGTGATATCATGGAGTTAAGTGTCGCTCATTCAGCCTAAAGGCCGGCAGTGAAGCGTAAAGGGTACGCATAGCGGGTTTAGCGTGCAGCAAGATGGAGAATTCCTGGAAGATCGGATCTGTTGTGGAGAGATGGCGATCCCCGTCGGTAGGTAAGGCGCGTCGCCAGTCTCCAAGGCGGGCCGATGTTGTACTTGCAGGCCGTGGCGGCTCCACTAGGCAGTTCATCGGTCCTTTCCCATCAGAATCAAAGGCGTAGCCCCAGTTGCTTGCCGAAAATCTGATATTCGACAGAGTTTCATGACAATCAACGTGACCATCTGGAGGGATGGATGGCATGCACGATTTTACTTGTAGAAGAGATGACAGAGACATCGTTCATTTTCGGACTAGCGCATGTTCGAGGCAACAGCACAATGCCACGACATAAGAACATGCCCGTACATGTCCCTGGCTACACATCCACAACTACAGACTCAACCCTCAATTTGATCGCTGGGCACTCGCGAAGCCTTTTTTGGATGTAACCAGACTTTATCTTGACACAGCTGTCGGCAAAAGCCTCGTTTCACAGATCGTCTGGCCAGCCTTGTGATCACGCCGACGACTACTTCGACCTCCAACATTTGCACTTTTGACGTACTGAAACTTCACGATGCCCTCACGTCTCGAAGAGATCCGTTCTCTAGTATGTAAGCGGTGTTGGAACCGATCTCTTCGACACCAGCGAATATGAACAGCTGTGCGCTGGAATAGCCTGGACGCCAGACAAGGGAGATAGGCGGTCAGATATCAACGTGTCCTTTACTGTCAACATAGCGGCTGCACGCACAGCAGCTGAGAGCGGGTGTGCATGGTGCGCGTTCCTTCTCTCAAAAGGATACGTAACACGTATGTTATTTTTGATTATTCACTCGGATCGTTGCTGTGCTGCACATATACCATATTGCTTCTCATATTCTCTATTTCATGAGTGTAGTGATCTTCGAACACTGCATTCCTAGTGTTCCTTCAACTTAAACGGGGATGACTTATGTTTCTTACCTTCGCTGACCGGTCCTGATTTCAGACACATCGCCAACCGCAACAGTCGAAGTGCAATCATTTTTTGCGCTTATAAGCGGCATATTTATCCAAAGTTGGGGCTTTACGACTGAATATTTCCGTGCTCTTACCTCGCCCCACGATGAGGCTGCTGCGTTATTATCATCAAGAGTGCCACAATCGGACGTGAGCCCTGAAGCCACACAGCTTCAGATTCAAAACTGGATCCATACTTGCAAAGTACATGAGGGCTGTTCGACGTCAGAAGATGTACTCCTGCCCTCGCGTGTTATTGAGATTAGCCCAACATCATCCCCCGAGCATCCACGGCTTTTACAGACACATGAAACAAAGGGAAGATACGCGGCTCTCGTGAGTCATTTGCTTGACACTCCGATGATTATTCTCTGACAGCTCAAAGTCCTACTGCTGGGGGAAAAAGGACTCAGGTATCCTTACGAGTACGAACTTGGCAGAGTATGAACGGCGACTTCCTCTCGGGGATCTACCCAGAGCTCACCTGGATGCTATCTCAGTTGCCAAGGCGATCCCAGTTGACTATCTGTGGATAGATTCATTGTGCATTGTACAAGACTCCGAAGAGGATAAGACGCACGAGATTGCACGAATGGGCGACATATACCGAAAGTCGCATGTTACCATCGTTGCGGCATCATCAGACTGCTCCACGAAGGGATTTCTCGAGACTCGCAGCACCAAACACAGCTCCTCGCTGCCGTTTCGGATTTCGAAAGACAGCTTTGGAACCTTCTTTCTCCAATCCACTGAATTAAACAACTCAAAACGTGAGCCTATAAATTCGAGAGCATGGTCTCTGCAGGAGATATACATGTCGCCACGCGTGTTGTTCTATGCTTCAAACACCCTGCAATGGCGTTGTGCAAATGGGCCGCAGAATGCAGGCAGCTATCCGACCACACTTTGTCACTATGGTATACTACGCAATTTCAAGGCACAAACATCGAGAATTAAGCCTATCGCACTGTCAGAATGGCGAACCCTGGTCTCGGAATACAGTGGACGGGAGATGACCCTGGCTACAGACAAGTTGCCAGCCTTGGCAGGAATAGCGGAAGCCTTCTCCTTTACCCTAGGACCGCGGTACTACGCAGGACTTTGGGAGTATGACGTTGTTTCCCAGCTAAATTGGTACAAATCGGGTGTTTCTTCCCGGAGCTTGTCTAGCCAGTACCGTGCTCCGTCATGGTCCTGGGCCTCGCTCGATGGTCGCATTACATTCCTCCGCAGAGAGACCCCAGGAAGTAAGCCTTGTTGCACGATAGTCGATCTTAATTGCGCTCCCAAATCAGCACAGGCGATATACTCGGAGGTCATTGAGGGGCATCTCGTGATACGAGCCAACGTACGTCACGGCCGGGTGAGATATGGGTACCGTAATAATTATTATGTCGAGTGGCAGGAAGGACACTCGCACAGTGCAGAAGAAAACCTCAATCGCTTCTTCGCACGCATAGACGATCTAATGTACAGGGACAATCTTCGCCCACACCCAGCGCTCATAACGTTTCTACCGTTGATGAACGACGGTCCAAGAGATCGCTGTAATGGGTTGCTTCTGGCGAAGACTAGGCGCAATGACACGATGTATAAACGTGTAGGTATGTTCTCCTTAATAGCCTGGTCCAAGTTCTCATTTCAGCCTTTGTTGGATGTCACAATCATATAGAACTGTCCAATCGCCGAACCCAATTGACAGAGCAATTTCCGATTCCGGAATGGCCTCACAAGAATCGGAGACCGGAAAAACAACGTCACAATCACTGTTGTGGGATTGTATACACACCAAAAAAGGTCAACACAAACTACCTATAAATTACTTGTGGACACTGTATCAGGAAAGAACCTCATCCTACTAAGACAGTCCCTCGATCAGTGCGAACGGGTGCATCCTCAATTGCACAGGTCAAAGACAAGCGACACCAATGCAAAGGCCGAAGCGGACACTGGACATAAATTTCCCCCGAAGAAAAAGTCGATGCCAATTCACACCGCATATCAGGAAGCTGAGCCCACAAGACCTATTTCTTTGACTGCTCCTCGAAAGTCTTCATCTCAAACTCGCTCTCTTTCGTACCCTGCGCCACCGCATTCCCCATCCAAGCACCCACCGGCGTCCCATTCCGATCCCGACGAGGAAACATATTCTTGTTGAACGGCATCAACTTCGGTGCCCCGGTAGGCGTCACATCCCGCTTCACCTGCGTCAAACTATCATCCGAAATATCCCGGGAGATGTTGCTCAGATGACCGCGGATGTTCTCCTTAGAGACGATGCGCGGCCCAAGCAGTCTGGGAAGAGAGGGCGGCGGAAGAAGGTCGGATCCAGCGCTACTGCGTATACTCGAAGAACGCGCAGGGTGCTTCGGCGGGATGGGTGGCGGCAGGTCTGCGTGCTGGAAGCGGGAAGCACGTGGCCATTCCGTTGGCGCGGGGGAGATAGCGGTAGGAGTCTGGCCAGGCCAGTTGCGAGGGTCCGGTGAGAATCCAGGCGTCATACCGGGCCAGGGAACGTGTTGTGGAACGTCGATGTCTTGACGCTCGAGGAGGCGCACCGTCTCTGGGTGCTCTGACAATGTGCCGTGGTTGTCTATACGTGCAAGCCGATGTTGACGCTCGAAGGAGTGCACCAATTCCGGGATATCTGATAGTGCGAACGAGGTTTCACGGGAGGCTGGGTCGTATGCGTTGTGTTCCAGTGTGGAATGCAACTTGTTCGCGATGAACGGCGGCTTGATCTCTCGATCGTAGCCAGTGCCCGCGTAGCTCGGCATCCTGGACGGCTTCGACGAGAAGCTGTCAACGATAGAGGAAGGGCTTTCTGGAATCAGCTCTTGGTTTTCAGGTCGAGGATCGCGCCTCTTGCTGGTATTGAAAAGTGGCTTAGGAATCGCACTTGGATGTCCGCTCATAGGAGAGAGAATCTCGACGGATGCCTTGTGAGTAGGAGTGAATAAAGAGCCTGGTGTATCTTCCACGAAAGGGTTGGAGTTGCGGATTGAGCTGTACACGCTGTCGGAAGACTTCCTCTCGGGGCCTGGCAGAGTGTAGGCTGGCTTGGGTACACTTCGTGGGCTATCCGACTCTGCGAAATCCTCACCTTCCGTCTCTAAATAACTGATCATATCTTGTGTGGACTCTCCCTCAGATCCTGTATTAGGAAGGTTGAACGGGCGAGTGACGCCGTGAAGAGGATTCTTGTTCTTAGTCGGAGTCGGCATGAACCCATACATACCAACCGGCACCATGCCCTTCCCCTTCTCGCCACGCTTCTTGGGGGATTTGGGTGATGGTGGCACATCAAGAGATGGTCGACCACTTATGCTGAGTGAGCGGCGATGCGCGTCGACCACGGGGTCGATCACCCGAGAGTCATCGATGCCCTTACACCCAAACATTGGGCTCTCTCTGCCACTCCGATTGCGCCCAAACACAGACTCCGTGATATCCTGAATGTCGCGGTTCTTGCGCCTGATCCTGGCTTTCTGATTTGCCAGAAACTCGCCCAGGTCCGCTTTCGGTCTCTCGATGACTTGCCCGTATTTGGGATATATGTCCCGGAGCTCCTGCTCAAACACCACTTCCTTCTTTTTGGTGGCCGATCTGGGAGATGTGAGTGCCTGTTACTGATGTGGCGTGATTCCCTTCACTTACCCTGTCTGTGTAGAGCCGGTCAAAGATGTGACTCCCTTCAAACGCTCTGCTTTAGCGACAATTCCTCGCTCTCGCGGAACTGACACTACGCGGTATGGATTCGCGCTATGTGGCACCTCCACGTTGCCTTCGGGAAACGCAAGCCGACTCGGATGCCGCTCCTCGATGAACCTCGCCAGTCGACCGTAATGCCTCCTTCCACGAGGATCATACGAGTCACGCACTGCCTCCACGATCGGCACAAACACCGTCTTCCACGCCGTGCATACGTTTTGTAACTCGAAGTACTCGAAACCAAACGGGTTGCGCGCCTTCCCAACTTTGAACTCCTGCAGCAGCCACGCATACATCATCTTCTCGTGCTCCTCGACGCCCCAGTGCGTTGTGTCGAAGCTTCCATATTGTGATTCGTCCGTTGTGAATATGGAGGTGTTGTCGTCCGCGCGCGGGTCGTATCGTAGCTCGCCGTCGCTAAAGTTGGTGTAGAACCACAGGATGTCCATGCCGCGCACCCTGTCCGGCTCAGAGGAGCGTGGTTTGCTGCCGGGTTGCAGGAGTAGGAATGCGTCGCGGAAATGGGACCATGGCTTGAGAAAAGCGGTCATACCGAGGAAGTGATGCTCGAGGCCGTCGAGGTCTTTGAGGTTGAGGACGTCGAGAGCTTGCTTTAGAGCGGGGGGATTCTTCTCTTTTGGCACGCGCGAGCTCAGGACATTTCGGTTATTGCTCATGCTTGGGGCGCTTGAGGTCGTGGAAAAACGGTGGTTGTCCATGCTGTTTGACGGGCGGCTTGCGACGCCAGAGGAGCGGGTGAGGGGAATTGATGCGGAGGTCAGATTTCGAGGTAGATTAGAGTCGTGAGCTCTCTACTGAGCCGGAATTATGTCTGCGGCTTAGATCCGCGGCTCTGGCACTGTGGTTGACGTGGGAAACGCCAGCGGGATCAGGTGCGGGCAGCGCAAACAGAGAAAACCCTCGAGTGAAAACGCGAATCGACAGGCGATGAAGCACAGGACCCTGTCAGCACCTCGTGACAGTCTGTCACAAGATCGATGATAATACTGGGGACTTTCTGGGGACGATTTTCGATGCGGCCCGCACTCCATTGCTTGAGGTGAACGACTCATATTTGGCCTTTCCGGTGAAGTACAGTCTGGGAAACACAAACAACCCGAATTTGCGGGCTCTGAGTTGCAGTCACGTTGCCCCTCGTACTTCTTGAGTGTACATACCTACACTCGCCCACCTGCTATGAAGCATGAGATAACCTCGAAGAGTGACAAATCTTACTAACAATGATGGGCTTCGGACAATGCGAGAGGATCTCATCTCACACGTATGTCACTAGGTTCCAAACGCAAAATTGAAGTGTACCTCTTCTCTCACGTACAGAATGCTCTAAATGTTGTCCATCTGCTACAAAATCACAAGAGTAGAATGTATACTACCCTTCACTTTGTCGCACCTCTCCCGAACCTCGTACATCCCGCGCCTCGTCATCTACAGAATCATTCAGTGCTCACCAAGGTCTTTTCTTTAAGTACTCGCCTTACTACCTATGATATGATACACTCGATAGCTTTGATCGTGTACCTTGTGCGAAAAGCAGTCCATTGACTAAGTATTTAGCACACATGCATATTTGTACCTCGTAGTTCGCGGTACATAAACGGAAAGCGGCTAGCTCTGACCCTATACAAATCATAGTGGTCTTTCAGAACGCGCTCAAGATGATACGTAATGTCAACCCTAAAAACATATACCAATGAGCGTTTGATTTCGGGTAGATCAGGAGGACGATGCTAAGCTCATTGAGTGGGACTTGAGTGTTGAGATGGAGCCTTCATCTGTAGAAAATTCCCAAACTTTTGCATGTCTTACACAACGGCAGAAAATTGAGTCTTTGATACGAACCCGATCCGCCGCTGAGTATTACATGAGAATACGCGGCTCTTTCCTTCTTTACTACAAAGGGTTGCCTCCTTAATTAATTGCTTTGGCCTTTCTCAAGCGCTTCGGGAAGCTTTGGTGAAGGAACACAGTCACTTTCAACTGCAATCTGATTGAGCTAAGTCTGGTGCTTGAAATGCCCTTGTATCGATCTCGTAAGCATTCGCCTTGTGTCTTCCTGTGATTCAGCATAGCTCGACGTGGGGGCAAAGAATGAAAAGTTTGCGATATATATTTGTTTTAGCAAAGTCTTCGTAGGAAGGAATGTCTACAAGTTTTGAAGATGAATGATGATCGACGCTAAGACAGGATCGATTGGTGCGGCAGGTTCGATGCACAGAGAGCCAATCAGACGAAAGTTCGGATCCGGTAATTCTCGCCGCTCGCCATCGGGGCGATCACTCGGCCCGACGTCAGATCTACATCGCTCTTGCACACCAACAGCCGAGGTCCTCTGATGAACTGTTACTCGCTATCGCATCGATCGTCGGCCGTCCTCGTAATCTGAGAGCCTCATTCCATCATTGGCTACCCTGTTTGATGTCGTATGTACACATCCAGAAATACAGTTGTAACAATAACTCATGGCGCCGCGACCGTACTACGATGACCAGGGTCGCGCCCTGCCTTTCGACCAGGTGATGCAGCTGGAAAAGATAGATGACAGAACATTCCGCTCAGTGACCAAAGCGTATTCACCCACTGGGGGCGAGAACGGGACGTATGGCGGCCATGTGTACGCACAAGCAGTATGGGCTGCGGCACAAACAGTGGACGCTGGGTTTTTGATCCATGTATGTATGCGGACCTCTTCCAAGGCCCTTAGTCTATGCATGCGGCTGACAACCGATAGAATGTCACCGGCTGGTTCACACTAGGCGGCCGCCCCTCCGAGCACTTTGTCTACTCCGTGCACAAGATTCGTGATGGGGGCAATTACTGCACCAGGAGCGTGACTGTGACGCAGGCAGCTGAGAAGGGAACGATGTTTACATGCACCTGCTCGTTTAAACGCGAGGAATCATCGTTGGTAGACTACCAAGATAACTGCGATATAAAAGCACGCTTCCACGATGTTTTGAAAGGAAAGGAAGATGACCCCATGCAGCACGACGCCGCACCAAGTCAAGACTCAGCTTTCTTCCGAGAAACATACCTGCCCCAACATCCAGAGCACTTCAATCCCATAGCAGGACTGCACTTAAGGAAAGTAGATATGCGGGCGTACAACGATACGCGTGCGCCTATCGACCGGAGACAACTCACTTTTTACTCGCTCAGAGGTGAGCTGCCGTTAGCAACGGCGCCGCATCCAATACCACTAAGAGGCGGCTTCGAGATGACAAGAGAAGCGAATCTACACGCCTGTGCGCACCTCTTCGCATCAGACCGCAACTCCCTGTTCATCATCCCGAACCATCTCGGCCGCGCACGAGAGTTCTCCCGCATGGCGTCACTGGCGCATACTGTGATTTTCCATGTCGGGATCAGAGATTTGATCATGCCGCCTGAGCCTCGCATCGCGCATGCGAACGCTGTGCCGACGTTATTCGAAGACGGGGCGTTGCCCGTGTGTAACCTTGAGGGGGGCAGGGGCGACAGTGACGGGCGGAAATGGTTCGTGCAGGAGTCGTGGGTGACGAGGGCGGCGGGTGGCAGGGGGTTGCATACGAGCCGCATGTGGGACTATGAGAGTGGGACGCACGTTGCGACGACGATGCAAGATGGGTTGGTGCGGTTTAAGGCTGGGGCTAGGCTTTGAGCGGTTCGGGGAGCGGTGAAGGCTGACAGAGGAGAGCAAAGCAGCCGCACAAAGAAACCAAGTCAAACATAATAATCAACATAATAAGCAGTGAACGATTCATGGATAACAGGTGAATTGAGAAGAAAAGCTCTATGTTGCTATATCTAACTTTCTCTCGAAGGGTAGGGTATATGAATCTCTCGTCTTAAAAACATGTGCACTCTGCACACCTCCACCTCCAACCTATCATAAAATCATTGCTGCGGTTGACGAACCAAGCGTCGGGTATCTTTCGCAATGCATTTCCTTTCAATCAACGCGAGCTTGCGCGCAAGCTGGTGGGTATCCATCAACCGTTCCGCGACGCAAAAGCACATAGCGCGCTACGCTCGCTCATCCACCACCACGTGTTTCATACGTTTCACTTACGCCTGCGCGTTCGTCTGAAGAGTAAGGTTCTCGTTGGTAACGGGCTTCTCCTTCAAGCTGCCGTCGCTGCCACTCTCTTCATCACCATCCAGGTAACCGTTGTCGCGCGCATATTGGGCAATATGCTGCTCATCCAAAGAGGGCAGCTCCTGGGCGGCCTTGACGTAGCTAATCTTCTCGGTGTAACCCTTTGCGAAGATGAGATCGATTTCTTCGAGCGAGCGACCGGCGGTCTCAGGGTAGAAGAAGTAGATGAAGGGAATGAAGATGGCGTTGAGAGCACCGAAGAAGAGGTAGGTGCCCCAGCCGATCTGGGAAACTAAGACAGGAGTGATCATGACAATCTACTGCTCGTTAGTGATATTTCAGAGTATAGATGTTGGGGGAAACATACGAAGAAGTTCCAGAGCCAGTTCTGAATGGTTGAGGTGGCGTTTGCCTTGGCACGAGTCTTGAGAGGGTTGATCTCGGCGGGGTACAACCATGGGAGCGGAAGCCAGGTGGCACCGAAGAAGGCAATGTAGAGGAACAGACCGAAAGCAGCACCGTTGGCGGCACCAGTCTCGGAAGGAGGAATGAGACAAGCGAAAGTGATGATCATCGCAACCATCTGTCCCAGGGTGCCGACGAGGTAGAGCTTGCGGCGGCCAAAGCGCTCAACAAGGTACCACGAAGTGCACGCGAAAATGGCGTAGACGACCATGTTGATTCCTCCCAACAACAAAGCCATGTTGTGCGTAGTACCAAGAGCAGACTGGCAGAGAATGGGGAAGTAGTAGATGACGGCGTTGCAACCGGAAAGCTGCTGCATCATTTGCGAGGATGCACCCAAAATCGTACGGCGGCGATGCTGGGTCTTGCCGCCGGTCCACAGGTCACTGAACTTGGTCTTTCCTTGACCAGAAACCTTGATAGCTTCCAAGATGACGGTCATCTGCACGTCGATTTCAGGATCATCACGGGGAAGACCGTCCAGACCAGCCAAGATCGTTCGGGCCTCGTCTTGTCGGTTGTGGCTGAGGAGCCAGCGAGGGGACTCAGGCATTTGAACCATAAGGATCAAGACAATGATGGCAAAGACGCACTGGAACGCGATAGGGAAGCGCCAGGTGAGGTCATCGGGACCGTAAGTGCATCCGTAGTCGATCCAGTAGGCGATGAGAGTACCAACAGCAACGCAGCCACCTTCGAAGCAAATGACCTTGCCACGATTCTTAGCTTTCGAGCACCTAGAATGGGATTAGTATGAGTGATATCAGATAAGGACAATCTGGGGATGCTTACTCAGCTTGGTAAGTGGGGACTGTCGAAGTGTTGATACCGTTGCCAACACCTGTAATGCATCTTCCAACAATAAACTGTGCTGTTGCGCCGCTAGAAACGGGCATCGATGTGATCTGAATGATGACACCAATGATCATGACGCCAGCACCCAGGAAGATAGCCTTGCGACGACCAAGCCTGTCTCCAGCAAAGAAGATGAAGCAGGCACCGAGGAAACATCCGACGGCGTAGATGGCGGTAACGAAACCCTCATAGGTACTGTCTCCATCGACTTCGGGGAAAGCCTTGGTGAAAGCCGGAGCGGAAATGATACCACTCATAACACCCTGATCATAACCAAAGAGCAAGAAGTCGGTGGTCGCAATGACAGCGACGAGAAACTGGAGGGCCTTTCCGGACTGGCCCCAGTAGGTGGGAACGCCATGCTCATTGTCCTTGTGAGGTGCCATGGTGTCGAGATGAATCAGGACAACCTGGAGATGTGCTTTGGGGAATTGGGGAAGGGTCAAAACGGGTGAGGGGATCCGCCCTTATATGCCATTCACTCGGGTCTTCACCCACAAGTATCGGGCGTGGGCGAAAGACGCGAAGTTTTGCCTTGCGAACCGAAGGGTCCACCTAACCCACACCAATACAACATAACATCTCACACGTGGAGGAGACTAGAGAACGAGTTTTTCAAAACACCTTGGATACATCGTAGCGACTACGCTACGTGATTGAGCGACGTCAACGAACGTGGGTCTCGGGGTGGAGATAAGTGTGATAAGTGGCTTGGAAGGTGGAGCACGTAATCTTGGAGCCAATCTTGGAGAAGAACGGAGGGCGCTTGGGGTCGGCCTGAGGCGCTTGGCTCGGCGCCATTGCCGCTGTACGTCATATGTCGTATGTTACTACACTCCATTTCGCTGACGCCCGAAGGGACATTGTTGAAGCAGGTGAACCGGTGTTGCAGATGTTGGAACGGCGGCGAGGTTTTTTCGGTTGCTTGGCCGTATGCGGTAACAAGGCGAACACCAGGGTCTACCAAGAGGCTGCAAAGTCTTCGTCCAACGGGAGAAAAGCTTGAGAAGTATCTGAACCGTCGACCACACCGACAGGCCGACATGCACGAACGACGTCACTGACCGGACGGCATATGCAGGGTGTCGGAGACGTTATGGGGCTCTGCGGCAGAGCACGATCCGGTGGCCGATCGTGGCCGCTTCGGGCGTAGCTGCTTACGCCTTGACCCATGGATCAGGCCAAAGTCACATGACTCCACTGATGAAGAAGAGATCGTGGGGTTCTTTTACCCCCATCTTCACCACCGCATGTGCGAATTTATCAGCAGCGCCGAGGATGCGGCTGCGATGTCAGATGCAACAGGCAAGATCGTCGCCGTTCCTTGGCATGGTGGACCTCCGGTGGAATGAACATGCGCTTAAGTCGGCATGAACCGTACGACTTGGGCAAGAAACACATGCGCCGATGCGAGGGCATTGATCCTTCACCGGACGAGAGCTTTAGAATATGTCGCAAACATTGGCATGTCTTGTGTCGCCAAGTGAAGACATACATATGAGAGGGCCTTATCACTCACGGGTGGACTGCACCGCAGCGCCAACGATAACTCAGACTGTCGTTGCCAATGAGTTGCCAGACTCCAGGTTGTCCAACAAGGTCGCTCCTACCCTAAAAGGCCCAAGTGGAGATAGACTCGGGCATGGCCCCCCACAATCAATCTAAGCGCTCCCAACATTTTCGTTCACCACCACCGTCTACACCGACTCATCGGTGTGCTTCGAACAGTCACCGCAGCCTGCAAAGACGCCCTTGTCTAAAACGACATGGCGCGCGAGTCTGAAGCCAACTTTGCAACCAGTGGGAGTATCAACTCCTCCTCCATCATCTGTCCTCGTTACGCTATTCCCCAGGTTCTCTCAGCTCCGCTGATGCTCACGACCCACTGGTCATCTCCGTGCAAGACCCATATGTGCCCCGTCTTACCCCGTGTCGTGGTTGTCGCACGCTCCCTCCATCTTTCAGGCACAGTCAGCGTATTGAAATATTGAAATTTCAGCAACGTTCAAGACCCGTATGTGCCGTCTTACCCCGTGTCGTGGTTGTCGCACTCTCCCTCCGCTTTTGAGGCACAGTCAACGTATTGAAACTTTGACGATCCCTGGTCACGCTTTTCACAGCGCATTTCTATGGCTTACCCTCTTCGGTAATCCGATGATCTCGCGCATCCCTGTTGTATCCGTTTCGCGAACCATTTGGCCCAAGAACATTGGGTGAAAATAGGGGGAAAGACGCGCATTCGTTTCGCGCAGCAGTTCAGTGACTGCGGCAGATCCGGCAACTTCCTCGATGGGTCCTGATCAGCTGGAGCGTCCACATTTCATGTCCCCCACAGTTAGCGACGTCCACCTGACCCCTTAAAGATGGGGCCCCCACAGACCCTACCAAACTGCACTTACCCGGGACCGCGGGCGCTGTGCATTAGCAGCAGCAAGACAGAACCTCGTAAGGGTGGGAGAGGTCTGAAGGTTCGTTGAAAAGGTTCGCTCGGAAAATGTTTGTTTCCGTTCTGGGTATGCGGAAAAGATCCATGGTGAAACAGCAGGACCGGAGGCGCCGGTTTAAAGCCTCGCCTCGCCGCCCGCGTGACTTCACTCTGGGCCATGGAGATTCATACACGTGTCTCGTCCATGAAATGCATGTTTGCAGACAAAAAGCTACTATGAGGTAGATTCATAACACGAAGTCGAAATTCGGGGTAGGGAGATATACTCTCCTCAGGCCTGTGCTCTTGCCAGGAGCATAACACTCGATAACTAAATTGCCTGCATGCTGGTTCGTAAGCTGAGTCTAGAAGGACTGAGTCACGCCTTCACTGTTATGATGCATATAGCAAAGAAAAGCCACGCCTCAAGCTGACCTACACTCAAGTCTCACTCCCCTCCGCATTGCTCATACATCCTAAAACCGCACCCATGCAATCTAGAAGCCTTCTTACCGAATGACAGGCTAACATGGCTAATATTCCTAATTACGATTATGAGTGTACCTAGTCCTGTGCTCTTATTCCACTATCAAGCTGGCTCTTCTTTGGCCTGTCTATGGGCGAATTTTGCGGCTCTCGGCTTACTGCAGTCCTCGCATCAGTCCGGGTCTAGATTCTTCTTCAAAATGACTGTGTTCGCTGATCACACACAAGTGATAACAATCGTTCACTAAGAGCGTATAATTTGGAACTGGTGCGGAGTAGCTCTTCAGCAACATGGTCTATCCTGCCATTACTAATTGGGGTTGGACCGTCGATTCGGAAAGGAATAGTACTAGTCATTCTGAGGGTTCATGTAGATGCGTGACTCCACGATGTTTGCTCAAGTCGATAATTTGCATGTCTCTGTAGTTTCACATCCTAATTTTCAATGCGTGGCTGTCATCAATAGCGCTTACTGCACCGTATGGCGCGGTGTTATCGCCTTCCGCGTGTGAAAGGCCTTGATTTGTTCCGCTTGTACAATTGCTGGTCTCTGTGTGCCCACTTTTATGCCGTATTGTTAAGCATGCACTTCTTCTGAACGATACTGAAGTGCGATGTTTGAGACGCTTTGTGAGACAAATCGCGAGGAAGGCAGGCGCTGGCTACAGGTATGTTTGTACGTGGTTGTTGCTACGTTTGACGGGCTTTGAGGAAGAAATCTTGGGAATGTAAGGACGATGTATGGATTGAATACATGTGCTTCTGGAAATGCGCCGGATGTTGAATGCGGGACGCGGACGCTCGTGATTAGCAGATTCGCTGCACTGTGTATTACGTATCTTACTATCTGACTATATTGGGGTGTCTTTTCCGTTGATGTCTCTTAAATGACATACATAACCTGGCATTGACACGCGAAACCGGTTCCGTACGTGAAAGTTTGATATATAGCATCACTGGCCAGATTAAAACTGGGAAGATACTGAGATCGATAGAGGTGAGCGTTGAGTCAATCTTCGTCGAGACCCTCTCATCATCCGATCTAAACATTTAAGAGCGGTCTGTAAATTCATCGAAAAGGGGCTCTTACGCCCTCTGCCAAACTGATCTGTTTGATCTAATTGTAGCCGTTTCAATGTCAGATAACCATATCAGATACTGGGTCCGCTTGTCCTTTATTGTCGGTTGTTCCAATCGGATTTTAGGTGTACTCTATCTCAGAAAGAGCATAGACATGAACATTTTGGGAGGTTGGAGCAACTTGGTCGTGCTTTATACCTTCAGTCAGTTGCGAGGTGATTATACCATACACCCCAATAAACACTCTGCCTTTTACCTGAAGGTACGATTTCGCTAACGGAAACCGTACGAATACTCAAATTCTCACCTAGAAATACTGAATCGAGATACCTCAAAATTCCTGCTTTGCTATCTTGGATCGACTCACTATCCGTGCGACTTGGACCTCGCTCACGACGACAATTTGTTTGCCAAAAAGTGCGACAGGCAAGCCCGCCAGTCCTTCGCTGCGTCTGTAATAAGTTTGGCATGTCTGAGAAATTGACATTACATCAAATTCCAACTTCCATTGCGAACTTCGGGTTTGCTGCTACTGCTCGGAGACACGCGAAGTAAATGTATTTAGTGATCAACTCTATGTGCGGAGAATGTGTTGCTTTTACCAAGACTCCGTCTCCATTTTCGACTCGGGTTAGAGCTAGCCTGGCTCTTCACTGCCTGCGCATATATAAGCTTGACCCCGAGTGTAAGGACACTAGAGCGCCAGTGCATTTCATGCCCAGTGTGGAGAAGCAAGCATGTTGACAAGACCGTGTCAGAAGTTGAAGTCCTTGCGATTCCTCGTGATCAGAAGCTGGAGTACGTCAAGTCCACTTTATTTTTGCGAAGCAACGGTAAGAAGTGATGGTACATGGCGCACTTGTTTAGTCGCGTTAATCAGGCACGGGCCATTCACTTGTGGTCAAGTGTGACGAGGCAATCGACGCTTGACGTAATCGTACCTGATCAGGCAGTCACCGAAAAACTCTCCATCACTCTCAGAACATTCTCGGTTGACCTGTGCTCAAAAGTGAAGGTGACCACACCGTAATCGACAGTTCAACTTTATTGCCCGATTAGGTAGTCTAGCAAAATTGCTCACCATCACTCCTAGAACGATTATCTTAGTTCGCCTATGGTTAGAAGTGAGGGTGAAATATAAGGTAATCCACACCTAAGCCTTATTACCCGATTAGGTAGTTTGCCAGAAAAGCTCACCACCGCTCCTAGAACGATCATCTTAATTCGCCTATGGTCAAAAGTGAGGGTGAATCACAAGGTAATCGACACTTGAACTTTTAATTACCCGATTAAGCAGTTTGGCAGAAAAGTTCAGCATCATTCCCAGAATGTTCACTGTTCATGTATCTTCCCGACCCTTCCCACAACATGGAGCCGCACGGGCAATGCGAAGGAAGAGGTAATAGTGAGATATCGAGGTGTCTATGTTAGCATGGAATATAAAATGCACGTTGTAGACTGCATTCCAAGGTTATCCGAGGCACCTTCACAGGGCAGCGCCCAGACATTGATCTGACTCCCCAGGGTTTCGCTCCACCCCGGCGGGAGCTTCTCACCTCGCATCACGTGAATCGAATCAAACCTTTTCGCCCGAATCATGCGTCCCATGTAGCGCAATAATAATTGCTCGAGGTCGCGGTGCGCCATGGTATCGCATGTGCTACGGCTTACCTAGGCAGCTGAGCACCATAATGTCGTAATCCTTGCTACCTGAGTATACAGGGACTGCCGAAACCCTGGTACGTTGTTTTCAGAAGGCTTCGATAGGTATTGACTTGGACGAAATTGACAAAGTACCCATGTACCGTATGCCATCGAGGATGAGTACTTAGGCGTCGACTCGGGTTGGTACGGCTTAGCACGCACGTGACTGCGCGTAGCCCGCGGGCGTCCGACAAGAGCGAACAACTTTCGGAAGGCGACGCTCGATATGCAACTTAGACCGAAGCTCCCTTTCTTTCATACAACAAAATTGCGCGTCGTTCGTACGTACCCCGAGATGCTTGTTCCACCAACCACCGTCTTTCTTTTTGCTTAGCAGCTCATCCTGGATGCCTGAAGATGTCAGCACGAATGTTCTCGCAACCGCGGCAGATACTGTACCGCTCTCGATTCCGCTCCGCGGCTGTGCGGTATACACGCTTGGCTCGCTCAAGGCAATGAACAGGTCCGCACATGATCGAAGAAAGCCCCCACTGCCGGGATGCGGCGCGATTTCCAGGTACTGTTCCAATCGATGCCTGCGCTCAATGAATGCAGGATGCATTGGCATGAGGGGTACCTTGTCGTGCAGCTGCAGCCATCCCAGGCAGCAGATTTCCTCACCAACTTCTGGGAAGGCTTTCGGACGCCACACTACGAATTTCCATCCATCTGAATCCATCATGAAGTCGAAGACCTATCAGCGATGGACGGTCTATCGGCGGAGTGCGCGACGGACGGCCGAAGCTTCACAGATTGTGCTCTTGGCATCGTCCGCGCCGCTCAGGCTGCCTCTCCGAGGCAACGCTCCTCGGCGCCAAGCAACCTAATTAACAGAACCAACCGTCCGGGGACCCGCGTCCTGCCCAGATGCCTGTAGGAAACAAGCTTCGTACCACAAGATTACGATGTGCGCGTACGCGAAGCCCCGAAAAGGAAGGAGAATCAGCAACATCCTTCGTCATCGGGACCATGGATGAGCATACACGACCTTAGACCATATTCGCACAGATGCCGTGAACCCAGGCCTTACGACCCCAGGTGCTACAAGTACCCCGCTGCCCCAATATTTATCTGGCACCTTTACCTGGGCTTCGCAATTGGAAGGGTCGTACGAAGAGCTATTGTTGCTTACCGTCACTGAAAAGCTTCAATTGAGTTCGATCGAGGGCAGCAAGCATGGTGCGACACATTGGCATTGTAGCCGCGTTGGCTGCAGGAGCTTGCGCAATGACTCCGAAGTGTGTAATTCTATACAAACGCGATTGCAACGACGTCTGACAATCTAAAGACAGCTGCTTCAAGCTCCGAGACGTGGTGCTCCTGTGCCGAACCCGTCCGGAAAAGTCGCCCTGTTCTCTTACTCCCAATACTCCTTCGAGGAGCAGTCCTCAACTCATGCTTGGCAATTGTTGGACCTCGAGAGTGGCGAGATCACAGACTCTGGACTGAACGCTAGCGAGGTGAGCGAAGCTGTCTGGATACCAGGGACGGAAACTGGGGTTCTCTACATAAATGGAACCAACGAGGACGTACCGGGCGGCGTCACGCTTTGGATTGGCGACACCGCGAAGCCGTCGGAAAGGTATGTGCGCACCGCATGACTACACTGTAGCGAAAGCTTACGTTCGAGAAGAAAACTAGTAGCTTCGCTTGAGGCGCCATTTTCGGGTCTTAAAGTCGCCAACACATCGTCCGGAGACTTGCGCTTCCTAGTCAATTCTCTGGCGTATCCCAACGGAACAGCCTACAACGAGGAGCTCGCAGCGCCGGCACGAAACACTGCCCGTTTCTACAGCGATATTTACGTTCGCCACTGGGACACCTGGCTAACTAAGCAACGCTATGCTGTGTTCGCTGGAACGTTGCTCAAAGCTTCAGGGTATGGCCTGGAGAATCACAAAGTGCGAAATCTTCTGCAAGACATCCCTTTCAACGTAACGCGACCGGAAAGCCCCGTCCAGCCATTCGGTGGAAGCGGTGACTACGACATCAGCCCTGATGGCTCCACCTATGCTCTCTTGAGCAAAGCGCCTCACCTGAACAAAGCCAACTTTACAGCCAGCTACATCTATGTCGGTGCTTTCGATGGCTCCGCTGCCCCTGAGGCTCTCAACGGCCCAGGTTCCGAGGCTTCTGAAGCCGGTCATAAAGGCGCTTCTGGTGCTCCTACATTCTCTCCTGATAGCTCAAAGCTTGCATACTACCAGCAGGATGGAGAATATTACGAGTCTGACAGGGTGAAGCTTTATGTTGTGGACATTGCCCAGGACGGGTACAGCACTGGTAATGGCAGCGCGGTTTCCACAAGCAACTGGAAGGGTCTGGCTCCTGATTGGGATCGATCAGCTGGCTCGATTGCCTGGGCCCCTGACAGTGAATCTTTCTTCACTACTGCAGAGGACTACGCGAGGACACGCGCATTCCACATCCCCTTGGACAGCGATGCCGATTTCAAGCCTAAGAACCTGACTTCCGTCACATCCATTTCTGGCCTTGCGGTACTTCCCGATTCCTCGCTTCTCATTGCAGCCAGCGCTGTCTGGACGTCAGCCGACTTTTACACTCTTTCCACGGATGGTACTCAGAACGTTCTCTTTTCAGCAGTGAAGGTCGATGAGGATCTGGCCGGACTCGGACCCGACACGCTAGAAGAGTTCTTCTACGATGGCTCTCTCCCGAACTTTGACCAACAGTTGCATGCTCTCGTCGTCAAGCCGAGCAACTTCAGCGAGGGGGAGAAGTACCCGCTTGCATACATCGTTCACGGTGGTCCTCAGGGAGCGAATGCCAACTCCTGGTCCACACGATGGAACTTCCAGGTCTGGGCTGACCAGGGTTACGTCGTGGTGGCTCCCAACCCAACAGGTAGCACGGGTTTCGGTCAGGAATTGACAGATAGAATTGCCGGGGAGTGGGGTAGCTATCCTTACGAAGATGTCGTCCTCGGCTGGGAGTATGTTAGAGACAACCTCTCTTCCTTCATCGACACTAAGAACGGTATCGTCGCTGGTGCAAGCTACGGAGGATACATGACGAACTGGATTCAAGGCCATGACCTTGGACGTGAATTCAAGGCCATCGTCACGCACGATGGTATCTCAAACACCGAGGGCGCTTTTGCGTCTGAGGAGTTGTGGTTCATACGACACGACTACAATGGACCCATCTGGGATGAAAACAGTACATACTCCAAGTGGAACCCTCAAGACCACATGGCCAACTTCAGCACGCCTCAGTTCGTTATTCACAACTCACTAGACTACCGTCTGCCTGAAAGCGACGGGCTCTCGCTTTTCAATATCCTGCAGACAAAGGGCATACCGTCGCGCCTCCTCAACTTCCCTGATGAGAACCATTGGGTCCTTAATCCTGAGAATTCTATCTTTTGGCACACCGAGATCTTCAATTGGATCAACCACTGGTCCAAGGGTACCGATCTCGACGACAACGCGATCGGTCAGTAGACGACGGTAATACGTCTTAGCTAAATGAGGGTTAAGCGGTGCAATCCGCTGCCCTTTTGCAAAAGAACCGCCGTCAAGGCGTAATAATATTAATGTCTACAAATCATGTCCAAACTCTCACATTGTGATTCAATCGAGAAGGCGACAAGCACGACCTGCTTGTGTGAGTGCATAATGACATCCGTTTCGATGGGACGCGATTCCAAATAGCCTGCCGAAGGATCCTCCTGCCACCCGCTACCCGGTGCTTGGAATCATGTCTCTGCAGCGCGCCAAACTACATATGCGTGTTCCTGTCTTTTTTTGCGTGTCGCGCACGATACTGCACTACGTTCACTCATCAACAGCGACACCGATGCATTCTATTGCGCAAGCTGCAATGTACCGACATCTCATCAAATAATCTAGGGAAGAAGTCTTCTGACAAGAAGATGGACAGGTCTCTGGATGTCCATGCTGATAAGCGGCCTGTGCCCAACAAGAGGAATTCGCCGCCGCACATCAGCAGTTTCTAGAAGACTATGGTCTTGGGTCTTGGATGCAAAGTTATTGCCAGCTATTTGCGGAGCCAACAGATTCCAGAATCGTCCTTCCGCATGTGGCGCCAGCCCAAGAGCCTCTGCCGCATCGGTCCCGTTCCCCAATGCGTGAGGAGATACGCAGGGGCGATCAGGCGCGCCGTGCTCTCAAAGCTCAGCAGTGTGAAGCGACGCCCGCGTGATGGATGTCAGCGCAGATGCAGTTGTGCGCTGCGAATAGGATCGATCCAAGCGGACGCCGTGCTTCCAACGCCAAGTAACGACTGATAACCTTCCCAACAGGGTTTGGTGTCATAGATAACTTGGGCGCATTGGCATCGTTCTTGTGCGGGGAGCAAGCGCGGATTTGCCCACCTGTGGGCCTTGCCAAGTTGTTCCATCAGGCCAAGTCGGGAGAGGCACATATTCCGGTAAGACTACAACACCACAGCCTTGGATTAATCATTACGATTTTCACGTTGTTAGCAAGACAGCAACGAGAGTTTCGTTGTGCGACATGACAGCGATACGAGGCCGGTAATTTCCTGCCAGCCCGGCGAGCTCAGCTGTGACAGGGATTAGGATTCAACTCCTCGCCATGGGACAATCTGTCTGCCACTTGCGCCAAGTGCAGCAGCACTCGAACAACTTGGCAGCTTCCATCTGCGCCTCTTGTGTTATCAACGCCAATGTCTTGCGAGGCCTGTAAGGGCTCTTGCTTTCACAAGCGCAGGTTACGCCGAGACGAACGCTCTGATTGCAACGTCTGCTGTCACTCACCTGCTTGAAACAGCTCTTCCCTATCGCACGGAGCGTGCGTCTGCCGTGCAGGTATAATTCGAGGCGTTGTCCCCTGTGTGTAGGGGTGCAGCGAACTCGTTCACCCCGCTTCACCGTGCTTAAGATTAGGCTGTCCCACAATCGCAACCCGCACAGAGGGACCCCCACCCAACATGGCTCTCTCCGCAGCGCAGAACCAAGTGGACCTAGCCATGAGCCACGAGCCCAAGGTTGCGACGCCCATATTCGAGGCCAACGAGAAAGAGGCCTTGGGTCGCCACAGCGTCAGCGACAACAGTCTTGCTCATGCTCATGGTACCGTTGAGTTCGAGGCTGATCTGGAGGGCGAGGAGCCTACAGAGGAAGAGCTTGCTACTCTACCTCGTATTTCCGGCAAGATTCCGTGGATCGCCTACACCGTCGCATTTGTTGAGCTTTGCGAGCGTTTCGGCTACTATGGCTGCTCAGTCGTCTGTAAGTACCAGGTTGCTGAAGGCAATCCAACTCTAACATGTTCCTCAGACACCAACTACATCCAGCATCCGCTGCCCGAAGGCCACCCGACCGGTAAGGATCCCTCATCAGAGGGACAGCCTGGTGCACTTGGCATGGGACAGAGAGCGTCAACGGGTATCGTTCTCTTCAACCAGTTCTGGTCTTACATGACTCCCATCATTGGAGCAATCATCGCAGATGAATACCTGGGGCGCTTCAACACGATCTTTATTGCCATCGCCTTCTCCATTGTCGGACACATCCTGTTGATCATCTCTGCCCTGCCCACTGTGCTCGCCAGCGGTAATGCCATTGCACCATTCATACTGGGTGTCATCATCCTTGGCTTCGGTACAGGAGCGTTCAAGGCCAACATCTCTCCGCTCATTGCCGAGCAGTACCGACAAACTAAACCGCGTGTCATCATGGACCCAAAGACGGGTGGGCGCGCCATCTCGGATCCTAACATCACCCTGTCCCGCATCTTTTTGTACTTCTACATGTTCATCAACATTGGCTCCCTCACTGGCCAGATCTCCATGGTCTACGTGGAGAAGTACATCGGTTTCTGGGCTTCCTACTTGTTGCCAACCATCATGTTTTGTCTCTGCCCATTGGTCCTGTTCTTTTGCCGCAACATGTACATCAAGAGCCCACCCACTGGATCGATCGTTATCCGTGCCTGGAAGCTTTTTACTTTGGCGCAGAAGGGCAAATGGTCCATCAACCCTGTTACCACTCGTAAGAACTTGAAGTCTGAGAACTTCTGGGAAGACGTCAAGCCCAGTAGGCTCGGTGACCGCAAGCCAGCATGGATGCAGTTTGACGATGCTTGGGTCGACCAAGTTGCTCGTGGTCTGCGTGCCTGCTCGTGCTTTACCTGGACCCCGCTCTACTGTAAGATCCTGCCGTGCCAATAACCACCCGAGAATGCCTATTAACCACCTCCAGGGGTCGCCTACAACCAAATGAACAACAACCTCGTCTCCCAAGCCGCCACCATGACCCTCAACGGCGTCCCCAACGACGTAATCACCAACCTCAACCCCATCTCCCTCGTCATCTTCATCCCCCTCGTCGACAACTTCCTCTACCCATTCCTCCGCAAAAAGGGCATCAAATTCACCCCCATCAAGCGCATGGCCCTAGGCTTCATGCTCGCCTCCCTTGCCATGGTCTCCGCCACCGTCATCCAGTACTATATCTACAACTCCACCACGTGCGGCAAGTTCCTCAACGGCTGCGAAGACGCAGACGGCAATAAGATCCGCTCCCCGCTCAACGTCTGGATCCAATCCGTGCCCTACATCTTCATTGGCTTCTCTGAGATTTTTACCAGCATCACCGGGCTGGAGTACGCTTTTACGAAGGCGCCGAAGAATATGCGGTCGGTGGTGACGTCGTACTGGCACTTCATGTCTGCGTTTTCGAACGCGCTGGGGCAGGCGCTTGTGGCGCTATCAGAGGACCCGCTGCTGGTGTGGAATTATATGACTGCGGCGTTGTTGGCTCTTGTAGGGGGTGTGTTGTTCTGGCTGCACCAGCGGCCGACGGACAAGCTTGAGGATGCGTTGAATATGCTGCCTGATTCGAACTATGTGGGGAGGGATAGGAGGCATAGTCATGAGGAGGTGGAGAGGGGGGAACATGCGCCTGCGGTTATTGCTGATAAGGACTAAGGTGCTGGTGAGGTGAAGGGCAGTGCCCATTGATATGAAGCTATGAGGACGATGGTAAGACAGGGTGGTGGGACTCCTCGCTCCTTAGTTGTATACCTCTTTTAATGAAACTCGAGGGGGGTGGATGCCGCTCGCTGATGCATCAACGGTCTGACTGTGCCGCTTCGTGCATTGTACGGTCTTTATCACTGATATCATCGCTGCAGGTGGAGCACCGTGTGATACTGAATTCAGCTGACTCCTACAGCTTTAGGCCGTTATGCAAACGACATGTCTCTGCGCTAACCTTCCAATGAACCGTTCTTTGGATGACGTGTGGGTCTCAACGGAAGCCAGGGCTGCGCTTCTCCAAGTTCGTGGAATTCAGCCCGGTGACCTTTCCATTGCTGGTCGCCAAAAGTATTCTATCTCTACTTGCACGCATTTGAAGCATTTCCACTGTCTTTCGACGTCGATCCGAAAACGGCCTTAGTCGATGATAGCGCAGTCCGATGCTCACCGGATGATGAGGTGCGCTACTTTCAAGCACACCAGCGCGCATGCCAGAGCGCAGCACTCACTTAGTAGCCCTTCGACTTCATTCGAAATCTGCCGTGCACGCCATCGCCTCACGCCGCGAAACCTTCCCTTCTTCCACGCGGCAAAAAAGGATGTAGATTTTCCGGCATTACTTCATGCTTCCCCAGCGCCGTAGAAATACATGCTTTCACTAACCTCCACCACGCCCTCCCCTCAGGCCTCCTCCTCGCCCCACCTGCCACCGCCCTCTCCCTCGCCCAGTCCAGCACAGGATCCACCTTCCGGCATCGATGCCTAAGCACGCGCAAAACGTCAGTGTCGATCATCCGGATACATATACAGAAGTACACCGTATTGAAGTGCATCTCATCTCCAAGACACGGGGCAGCGGATTCCATACCTCGTACTAAAATCCGGCATCGGCGCCTCATGCCCCTCCACCCAATTGAACGTCACTATCCCAGGGTCCGCATTGCACTCCAGAATCTGGCGCAGCATCTCGAGACAATGGTCTACGTGCGTGCGGACGATGTCAGGGGTCGGAGAAGGCGGGCTCGAGGGCGGAGTAGTAGTCGAGGTGGGTGTACATGCGCAATAGATTCTAGAGGAGGGGTTGTTAAACACAGAGACAGTGTGGAGGGAGGGGGAGGGGGACGTACGACGCAGTGCAGTTGGTGGCTTGCTTCTATGGCGGCGAGGTAGCCTCCGCCTTCTGAGGGGGAGTTGTACTGCGAGGGTGGGGTCTTTGCCGATGCGGAGGACGGTGTCGAGATCTACGGTGAACATCGAGACTGGTCGTTTTAGCAGCTACAAGGGTGTGGAGGGAGAGAAGCGCACCATCTGTGTATCTAGCCCATGCTTCGTCGACTTCGGGGCTTGGTGCGCCGCGGAAGGGCGAGGGCCAGGCGAGCGAGCCGTTGTACCTGGTGTCGTAGTATTCGACTGTTGATAGGGCGGGTGCTGGAAAGATCAGTAAGGGCTGGGACAGTGGTATAGGGAAGGTCTTACAGTAGGCTGATACTTTCTCTATGCAGGATTTTGTTGCTTGGCGGTGGAAGTACAGTCCTGAGAAGAGTGTGGTAAGCGATATGGTGAAGAAGACCACGTGAGCGAGCCAGGGAAGTAGCGTCCGTGCAAGAGTCAAGCGTGCTTGTCGGGCATCTGGGATCGACGAAAGCTTCTCGTCGCTTTCGGAGGCCGGTATCGGTTCATATGAAGGGTGGACCATTGTGAATGCGCCTCGGTTGTAGATGTAGGTTTACGGATATTGTATGAACTGTTGCTCTGGTTCCGTTGCTGCACCTTGGTGGGGGCTGGCTCTCGGCAACGACTGATCTTGAGGGGTAGGATTCTCTCGATACGAGGTTGCTGGCCGCCCTAAAACAGGGTGTAAAGCGTTCCCACCGCCTTACGAGTACCGCCTTGTTGGATCCAGGCCTTAGCGTGGCAGAGTAGCGATAACGAGCGAGGTCCTATACTCCCAACGCTTGAGCAAATGCCCGAAACGGAAACTTCCGTGAGATGTCGGCTGATACTAAAACGATGAACAGGGTGCTCACAGCCGTGAAAGCATTTGTAGAGATAGAGAACAAGATGCCGTTCGTAGCGAGCCTATGCCTAGAGATAGATTAATCCTCCCGTGAGGCAACCCCGAGTATTCTCTTTCCAAGGATCCAATACCAAGGTTGTGCCCTTGCATATATGCACTGCAAGTCGATTCCACGTTACCGTCAAGGATGCAGAGCCCTGTTCTTGGTATTGGGGTCGGCTACACTATCTGCGATATTGTGTGGCGAAAAGGCATCGATATAGCCAGCTACTGGTGGAATATGTAGCTCTCGATAGAAGAGATACGGCTAACCAGCCGAATGTTTCAGGTCGTTTAGTTTCGTTTACAAGTCTGCTAGAAGCAGAGAGGAAGGTGATGCGATTCCTTGTGTATTGATCCTACAGATGTTGAGTCAGTGTAAGCCTGGTAATGGACTGTGCCAATCATATGTACGCACTGACAAGCTTTCCAACTCATGTTGGTCACAGCTTGTGTGTTCTTGGTTATGAGATGGAGGAGAAGCTGCTTGGCAGTTGGGTTGCCTTATGCTGATAGACGTACCTTATGCCAGAAGGGGAAGGTGATGGTAGGTCTGAACAGGCCCTATCCAGAAGGGGTAGTAATCCTACATGACCTCTGCCGACGCAAGAACAACATGAGAAGCGACCATGGACATCATCAAAGGATCCTGATATTCAAGAATGCTGCTGAAGGATCTATAAAGACCGGAGGAATTGCACTACCGGTTCGATAAGTGGCATCATCCGCTCCAAGATCACACAAGCTCTTCAAATCCAGGACAATCCAAATCAAGATGCGTTTCTCCACGATCATCGTCGCCGTTGCGTCGCTTGGGTTCGCTGCCGCGTCTCCTCTCGGTAAGTTCACCGACTTCATAGCTGAACAAAAAACACATTCTCTAACCTCCGGAATTCAGATGAGCGCGCCGTCGACTGCACCCGCGGCCTGGACGCCCGCGCCTGCCCATGGTCCAAGTACGTCCGCAGCGAAGAGAAGGCTGCTTTCGTCGCTCGCGCTGTCGATTGCACCCGCGACTTAGATGCCCGCGCCTGCCCCTGGTCCAAGTACGCAGCCTCGGAAGTCGAGAAGCGCGACTTGATCAAGAAGAGCGAGGCCTGTACCCGGGACCTTGATGCGCGTGCCTGCCCGTGGTCAAAGTACGTGAGGTCAGAGGAGAAGGCTGCGTTCGCGCAGCGTGCCGTGGACTGCACGAGGGATGTTGAGGCCAGGGCTTGCCCCTGGTCGAGGTACGCGGAGTAGGGAGCCTAGGGTTCAAGCAATGTACATATCGAGCTTCTAAGGATAGTGCGGTAGTATGTGACAATTTGGGTCCGCAAGGAGAGCTCATTCCCAGAGGACACTCTTTCCAACTATTAAAGTAACCTCGCAGACTCAATTCATCTTTGTAGTGAGATTGTAAGTGCCTCTGTGGAGCACTCTAGGTGTCAACGGTCGATAGCGGGTTGCAACGATCGAGTAGAGACAAAAACGTCGGTGTAACCACACTAGTTTTATGAAAACCTGTCATGAGTGAACCTTTGGAAATTAGGAAGAAGCTAGCGAAGGTGTGGTTGAACATATTCGAAGGCAATGGGTTACCAGCTGGACTTCACGCCTTCTGCGTAAGTAGACATCCTGATCCAATATTTCTCCGAGCTAGAAGAGTGGTCATCGTGACATGGCAGACATGTGAACGGAATGATCGTTATCATTAGTATAAGATAATATACTGCGTAACTACGTCGACCTCTCCGGGGTATATAAAGACAAGGACAAAACTCCGCGCTAGCAACCCGCAATTTCAGTGCCGCAAAACCGTACAAGTTCCAAAGAGATTACACTGAAGAGAAAATGTTGAAGGCCTGAGAGCTCCTGGTGTAGGGCACGGCGTCGATCAAGTTGGTAGTATTAGACGCCTTGCATCTGCGGCGGCGGCGCGGTGTTGCCCCTCGACGTATTACGCACATGAAGCGCTGCAACAACAGTCGTAACCACGAAAGCGAGCCTAAAACAGTCAGTCCAGTCCGTCGACCTCTCCCACGTCTACGCTAACACTCACCAGATGAAGGCGCTAAACACAATGGCCGCAACGCCCGACGACCACACAGGGTGGGGTCCCGCACCATGGTACACATGTCCCCACCAGCTCGCCACAGCCACCCACGCCGCGAACCAGAAGATCATAGTGACAGCCTCGACGCCGATGATGGCGAATTTGTGGGCTGCGGCAGGGAAGCGGCTGGGTGCCAGTGTGAGGTAGGCCACTGCGAGAAGTGTCCAGATGGAGCAGAAGAGCATGAAGTCGACGGAGTCGGGCGTCCAGTAGTCATAGCCGCCAGGGCCGCGGTAGGCGTCGACAACTGTTGGCGTAACATGTTAGTGGGTGTAATGTTGGAAGGGAGGAATTGGACGCACTGTAAGCTGTGAGGCCCAACACGATGATGGAGAATATGGCCTGGATTGCGCGCAGGGGCAGGGTTGCGACGTCGAGGAATGGCATCTTGAAGTTGGTGTTGAGGTTCTTTTTGGCTCAAATCTTTGCACGGTAATTGACAACGCTTGTGCAGCGAAGGTACCTTAGGTAAGGTTACAAGGCAGACTGTGTGTAGGAATAGACAGACAAAGACTGGAATTCCCCGCTGCTGGAAAGGGCTCCTTATACGGTGTGTGCTGGCGGTCAAAGGCTGGCTGCTGATGATGATGTGCGCCACAGCATTCTACGTCATCGCGCGTCAAAAACAAGACGCGCGTGTGGCTTGTGTGACGTGTCAGCGAATCAGAAGGCGCATGTGATCCGTTAGCCGAATGGCACCCTAGGCGCAGAGGACGATCAATGCGAAACACGGCGACGACATTGAAGGCCTATCACGCGTGCACGCCGTCTCCGCGGAGAGAATATGCTCCGTGGTCATCGTTTGGGACCGCGTCAGTAGTAATGAAGGGATGGCCCTGGCGAAAGACGTGATTCTCGCGGGTAAGCTGGAGTGTTCGCTGCGCATGAGGATATGGTAAGACAGCTTGCCAGCCTCCGGTCTCGTCTACGTCGCACGTGGCGGTCAAGCGTTCCTGCCTTCCCAACTGGCAACCTGTTCATCGATACTTAGTCTCTCAATCTGCTCTCGCGCTCTCTCCAAGAAAGTTTCCCCCCTCATATCGAAGGGACCAGAACTTGCTTGACCCCAAGGCAGGACAATGGGCTCCCCGAAGAAGAACTTTGACGCATATTTCAGGCTAACGGGACTCCAAACATCTTCAACGTCAGCCATGAGCTCCCCGATTTGCCAAAGTTGGTGCATGATCCACGTCTTCTCTTCGGTGGTAGCGCCATCGTACGCCATCATGAGTGGGCCGGCGAGATACATGGTGCCGAAGGGACGGAACTGTTGAGCGTATTCGCAGCTCATGAGGATGCGTTGACGCGCTAACAAGCATTCATCTTGGAGGCCGTTCAAGGTAGACGGCGGAGTGTTGGCCGGGAGGAAGCGCGCGATGATCGTGTTGATTATGATAGAGAGGCCCCAGTAGAAGGTACAGAGGTGCGATAGCTGAATTGCAGAGAATTGATAGGTGGTAGACAAGATTGCGTCTCCGAGGATGGGAGGCCCTTCCACGATGTCGAAGCCGTTTCGTAGCCTTTGGTCTACGAAGTCAGCTACCAGACTGAGTGAGTCCCGCAGCCGTAGGGTTTCCAGATAGATGGCGTAGCTCTTTGTCTCGTCAGGCGAATAGTAAAACGCGCGGATCTTTACAAGCAGAGATGGCAGAGCGGTGAATTCTCGCAAAGCCTCATCGATGAGGAAATCCGTATCGCGGTCGTAGATATCAGTAAAGGAGATTTGCCTCCACTCTGGTTCATTGAAAAAGGTTTCTTCATTACGTAGCATGGCGACGGTGACCTGTGCGAGTTAGAATAAGCGAACAGTGTCCGTATGCCCGGTAACACAAGCCAAAGTATCGGATGTGCCATTGAGGGTTGGATTACTTACGCCTTGTGCGCGTTGTGTCATGTAGAGTATCTTTGCAAAATTCGACTTGACTCGATAGGGGCCTCTCATCTCGATCAGTTTGCATGCCCCTCCAGCATGTTGAACGTTTTGGGGTACCCTTGACCCGCCACCGTAGACCTCCACGTTTCCAAGGATGGTTACGGCACCTAGAGTAAGGTCCGAGTAGCTCTCCACCGGGTCTGTGAGTGCGGCTTGTAAGCTTAGGAGAGCTTTTGCATACAAGTTGCCCTGTTTCCGATTACCTGCGGGTCGCTGACCATGCAGTATAAGTCCATGACAATTGACGAGGCAAGCAATTGCATCGTCAAAAGCAGTTGAATGACCGAGCATTCGAGGCACCTCTTCCATGAATCCAGTCAACACGGACAGCCTCAAGCCAGCGTGAGCTAGTCTGAAGCTTTCCAGCAGTGCCAGCTGCAACGGTTGGACTAGAGTCGGTGGCGGACGCCGTAACCGCGGGAGGTGATCATCAGCATCCGGATTGGCCTTTCCTTCTGGCGCTCTCCTCCGACGTCCGATCCGCATCGTCTGGAAAGAACCACCCTCAGTGGTGGAGATTGAGCGAACAATGCTCATCTGGGAGAGTGGCTCGATCAAGCCCTCGCTTTCATGCACCACATCTGCAGATATGCCCTTGGGACGGGCGAATTTGACCTTGCTGATTGGGGCTTTGCAGATCCGCTTCCCTTTCTGACAGGGGCCGCAGACCGGTTTAACTTCATCGCACTGTGCCAATTAGTGGAGGGTACCTTGCATGACGCGATACCTTACTTTGACTTTGCGGTCTCGACAAGTGCCGCACCTATCGCTCTTGACTACTCCGGTCATTGCGTGGTTTTTGATATACCGTATGCTATGGCGAATGCAAGACGAGTTTGGAGGATCTGCTTCATTCTTCGCATCATTTCGACGGCCTTATAGTTTTCGGATCCTCAGCTGTAGCTTGGGAGTACTGGCCAATAGTATTGGACAATTGGTAGCTGAAGACAAGCTTTGGAGCGCAGCGTGTAAGCAGCGCCGATCGTTACGCCACCCCGGTTGGGGCTTAGTGGCCTAGTTCGCATCGTTGGTACCGAAAGAGGAAATATTGGTGAAGTGTTCGTGTAACGCCGGTCTCGCCGTCTGCTTAGTGATTCTTTGTGTTTAAGAAGGGTATTTGGTTTATGGTAGAGTCAATCTCTTTTTCACGATGATTGATCGCTCCTGGTGCAAGGCCTCCCGCCTTCTGCTATTGTTGTGGTAGTCTGCCTGGGAGGGCAAACGAGTAGGTGGCCTAGGTTGAACAAGGGAGAACAGATAGACAGACGGCAGCGGTGAGCAATTGCACGCGCATGCTTGAGGCGGTGGTGGAGGCCGTCTGGAGTCGGGGGCACGGCAATCCATGGGGCGTGTGGGGGAGGCTTGATCGTGGCTGCTGCAGTGTGCAGTGGGGGCGCCTAACGCAACGGGCGAAACCTCACGCCAAGGGTCAGCTACGCGACGCGTTCTTTGCTGCTCTTCGCGTCCGATACCTCTGTTGCAGGCCATTGAGAATGGATGGCGTGTTTCCAGGGTATTGAAATACAACGTTGCAAGATGACGACGCGTCCTGCATCCCTTACACAGCGATTTCAACCGGAAATCGGCACGCACGAGCCCCGACCTTCGAAGGTGCAGCGGCAGCAATGCCACCCTTTCTATGATTGCCAACTGACAAGCAGCTGCACTGACATTTCTAGGTGAACCCATCTACTAAGCCGACGCAGATGATTCTGCGTATCTACCTACGGTAGCCATGTTCTCGAATCGCCGAGCTGTCCGCCCGCTGCGACCTATCGTGGTCGTCGTCGTCCTGTGTGGCCTCTACTGGGTCAGCGGCTTCCCCCGAACCTATGATGATGACGAATTGCCTCCGAGCCAGCAGAGCCAACGAATGAGCACTTCCAGCGCCGTTGAATCTGACCAGCTTATTGTCTCGATCAAAACTACCACTTCCAACGCGTGGACAGAGCTACCGCCGCTGCTGGTGCTCACGGACCCCGCATACCACGACTCGTTGCTGTTGATGGGAGATTTCCGGCTCAATCTGGGACCTTTCATCGTGGAAGATGTGCTGGACCGATATACAGAGAGCTTTGTGGAAGATAATCCAGAGATGGACCGGTATCGGAAGACACTCGAATTCGCCGACAGTAGCGTGGACTTTGTAGAGCTAAAGGAGAAGGACTCCCGCAAGGAGAAGGACGTGCTGGCGCAATTGGACAAGTACAAAATGCTGCGATGGGTAGAGCGGACGTGGCTGTTGCGGCCTCAGAGGCAGTGGTTCCTCCTCACGGAACCTGATGTCTACCTCAACCGGCCGAACCTGCTCTCTTGGCTTGGAAGTTATGAGTCCAGCGAATACCATTTCTTCGCCAACAAGCCCGCTCCTGACGCTGGCCACACGGTCATCTTATCGCACGCCGTCATGAAGGCGATCATAGTGGACAACCCAGACTTGATCCCTTACTATGATAACAACATTCGGAGCCACAAGAATGCCTTCGAGGTTCTAACCACTGTGCTTTCTTCCACGCTTGACGTCAGCCCAAATGCGACTTGGCCCAGCATCTCAGAGTACAATCCCGCCACGGCACCATACGGGCTCGGACTATGGTGCGAACCCGTCCTGACAATGTCCAAGATGACGACCGACCTCCGCAACGAAATGTGGCGCTTCGACCGCGATAGACGGGACCAGCAGAACAACGACGCGCTATGCTTCGCAGACCTCTGGTTCCGCTTCATGCAGCCCGAGAATCTTGACGACCCCAGAGACGACTGGGACAATCTATCTTCGGGCCCCGGCTACGGACAGTGGAACATCCTCTTCGACCGCAGACGCCAACGCAAATCGGACAAAAATCCAGGTAGAGCCAAGCCTGGGGAGGCATCATGGGAAGCGTGTCGCGACTCGTGCAGCGAGAACGAGTTTTGCGTGCAGTGGTCATACTCATCTCTGCCGATGCCGAACAACAATGAGAACGGCGACACAAAGTGCCATCTGAGCAGGAGCATGAAGTTCGGCTACCACGTCGCCCCGCAAGAGAAGGAACGCTCCGGGAAGTGGGCGACGCTGGTGTGGAAGAGCGGCTGGGAGAAGGAGAGATTCCAGAGCTGGGCGAGGCAGCAGAGATGCAAGAAGCAGCAGAATTGAAGCCGAGCTGACAATTACATGGGCAACTCTATTCAACGCCTTGTGACTTGTTTTCTACGATTGTCGCGTTCGTGGAGTACACGCAGAAACGCCCTGGAACCACCTAGACGACGCCTTCCCGGATGACAGCTGATACGCATAGTACGCGGTCTGGCAAGCGAACGATCAATAACGGGCACGCTACAACCGTCTCACCTAGCGATCTTTTCCAGCGTGAATAGTCATCCTCCGGACTCTCTCTTCTCACTCCCTCTCCGTAAACGCCCGGTACTGCCCACCTAGGTATGCGCGCGGCATGCAGATCTCAAAGCGCTCGTCGAAAAAGGAGTCGGAATCGAGGTCGAAGGGGTAACGTGCGGTGGTGGACGAGTTGATGAGGTAAATCGTTGTAGATGGGCCAGCGGATGCGCGGATGTGTGGGCTGGAAAGACGAACTGTACGTGTTCGGGCAGTACTATGAGATGGAGACTCGCTTTGGGAGAAGCTGCGGGCGCCTGCGTGGACGGCGGATGCGCTGGGGGTTTGTGACAATTATGTGTGCGAGATGCGATCGGTCTTCTGCGCTGAGTACGCCTCGCTGTGGGGTCTGGTCACTGAACGGGAAAGCCTGCCTGCGGTCGTGTGTATAGTGGGGGGGTTTAGAGATGCGGGTTATGCGTTTGGGTGGGTAACTCGTCTTGCGCATTCATAAATTGCATATCCAATCGAAGGTGTTCGTAGTCGTAAGGTCAATTCTCGTCCAATACCCTCACTCATATGTCTATGTCTTAGATTCATAGTCCAATTGCAGGATGCTGTCGAGTTGGGTATGGGAAGAGACGGTGCTAATGCTATTCTAGCTTGCGTGGCTACACCCCATGCCATGCACGCACAGTGCTTCTCTTCGCGCGACCCCGTTGTGAAACGTCCGTCCTCAAGCCTAACAAGACTATTACTCGACACCATGTCACTTCCTCCTCAAGTCCTACCACCATGCCAAAAGGCCCTACCTACGCACACCCTCATTCTCCATCGCCCCTCCCAATCAATCAGTTTTAATTCACCCACACCACATTCGCCGGACCAGCGCCCAGCCCCAAATGCGCCACACTCGCCGCACTCATCCCCTCATCGTCCATCTTCCACACCTCCACAAAATTCGACCCGCTGTCCGTGATAGCGAAGTACTCCTCGCTAAACGGCGCCGGAGCCACCGCGTTCGCAGAGCCGCCGCTCGACGTAGTAGGCAGCAGGAACAACTGCTCTGTAACACCGCCCGTAGTAGCGTCCAGCGCAAACGCCGAGACGTAGCCCTGCAGAGACGTGGTGCGCGAGCGCGTGCCGGTGATCAAGTACTTAGGACTCGTTGCCGAAGCGTTGAACGCAGGGAGTGAGAATTTAACTTCGTCAGCCCAGTAGGACGATGTATTTGTAAACCCTGCTGGAAGCAGAGAATACGTTGTGTTCTTGTCTGTAAGCAAGCCCGTCTCGGTATCCCGTGCGTAGACAGCGAGGGAGTTCGCCTCCTCGTAGATGACGTAGACCCACTTGCCGTTGGGGTGGACTGCGAGATGGCGGGGATTGGCGCCCTCGGGGGCGGCGAGGTATTGCAGTTCGGCTGCGGCTTGGGTGGTGCTGTTGTAGGAGTGGACCCATACGGCGTTGCCCATGTCGTCTGCGGAGTAGATGAAGGCGGCGTCGGGGCTGAGATCGAGACCGTGGACGCCGGCTGTGGTGTTGTAGGTTAGATTTGCTACTGCGTTTTGCAAGGACCCTGTGTCATCGACTGTGATGGCTTGTGCTGCGCATCCGGTGCTGTATGCGACGCCGAAGACGGTGTAGGGAGCAGTGTTCGCTGCGGCGATGAAATTTGCGTTTTGGCCTGCGTAGCGTCAACAGTGATGCTTTTATGAGTACTAAGATGTGACTAACAAGATGAAGAAAGTGTTATGTTGCTCTTGTATTCTAAACTCTTGTTGGCTGTGACCGCGTAGCTCTGAATCTCGCCTGTCGTCGCTACGTAGACATTCTCTTTCCGTTCCTGCCACAATTAGTCTCTCCATCACCCGTGCTGATAGCTGTCTCGTACATCGATGGCAATCCATTTTGATCCATCGGATGACTGCGCAGTGATGTTGTTGACCAACGTAAGGCTATTCGCCGAATCATCAAACTCGATACCAGCGATTGTGCTGCCAGCGAAGAAGCCAGAAAAGAAATAATGTTTGTCACCAAGAACTGATGGCACCGCAGCGAGAAGCGAGAGAGAGGAGAGGGAACGCATGGTCAGTTAGTAATGACAAGCGAAAGACTGGATGTCTCCTGAAGGATCGTTGGTATGGGGTATATAAGCTTTTGGTCGTTGCTTGTCTACATAGTGCAGAGGCTTATATCGCGGAAACATTCGTAGCATGCTGTGCATACTACGCAACTGTTTCATGTTTCTTGCCATATGACTGGTCAATCCACACTTTGACTTGTTTTCTGAAGTCCTTGCACCGATGAATGGAGCCGAACTAGGTCAAGACAGGTATAGCCGTTGTGATTTGAGCGACGCGTAAGTGCGACGCGCAGCCGACAATGCTAGGATGTTCGTATGCTTCATCTAAAAGGAAGATCACCCGCGCGCGCAAGCTGCAGCGCTGCGTTTCGAAACGTGGCTCGAGGATGCTCGGTAGTTGTTGCTGGTAGTGACGGTTTTGGTATCAACGAAAGGTGGTTTGGGCAAGAGTAAGCGCGACGCCGCGTTTCCCCACAGCCTCAACGCCATGACGGGCGGGGCGATTGCTTAGCAGAAGCTTGACAGCACTGCATGTTATCTGACGTGGAGCAGTCGTCGGCCAACGTCCCGCAGGCATACCAGACTCGTCTCATCTATCCTGGTACTGAGATACCCCAACACTGAGGAAACCTCTTCGAATCTACGCCAGGCGCGTGGGACAACAACATGATCGCCTACGCATCGAATCATGTGCTTCCTCTGCCTCTATATCCGGAGACTTCTCCCCAGGCGACACTCTTCGAAGCCGTTTCCGCACGGTTCAATACGCATCTGCAGCAAATGCGTAGACGTACTCGTGGTGCACGCCAGATCGTTTGCGAGCTTAATTTCGACTATGAACAATTGTGTCAGCATCAACTACAGGTGGATGCCTTCAATTGAAAGCGGCAGCGACGATGGCGGGAATCCATGTTAGTCCAAGATACTCTTCTTTGCTTCCAGCTCTTCCCGAACGTGGGCGTGACGAAGGTACCAAATCAATGCGGCCGGGCGCCAGCTGTGCCCCTAGCTTACGGTTGCTACTCTTGAGATACTTCGGCGAAGCTCAACTGTCGGAGATATGTCATGTTGCAAGGTCTGCGTTCAAACCTTCGTTTATTGTTTCGCATCGACGCTCAAGGTAGAGGTCTGTCAGCCGCAAGTCTGGAAAGGATCCTCGACAAAGACTTTCGGTAGTCGGGACGCTACATGCGTAGGATCGCGCAATCCTTTCAACATACTGACCTTGCAGGAGCCAAGACGATGTACTTCGCTCGTTGGAAGCTAGGCTCGACGTTCCTAGATTCCTTTCCCTTCGGCCCGTTCTCCAAGCACTAGACAGGGTCCATGTTTATTTTAAAGGTCTCATTTTGGAAGATTGTGTGGGGGTGTCGCGTGGACAGCCCCTTCTGCAGAACCGGCAGTACGCGATATCCGCCTATTAATCTGTTTGCGGCGTCGACAGGGTGCAAGGCGAACGTGAACATGCGCTTACGAACCACGTGATGGGAGGCATACTTGGTACTTTCGCCGGCAAACCACCATCCAGCCACTCCCAACAAACGCCCTCGACTGCCGTATTACTTCTTTAAGCGCTGGCCCTCGACGCCGCGAACGAACACGAATAGATGAAACAAGGATTCTTCGCTCTTTCAGGCGTGAGCTGTGCCTCGTGCCTGCTCATCCGGAGTTGTACGGGTTGGGGCCGCCTCGTCTTACTCTGTACCAAGCCGGCAAATAAGAGTGCCAGACTGTGCCGCGCCTTCAGAATCCCATTGTCGCCTTCCAGAATATGGCAGATCATCCGCTGCATGTCGTTGCATCCGGCGACGAGAACTTCGAGAACCTTTGAAGGAATTGTAAGGGTCCGATGCTTGCAAAGGCTCTCTGAATGCTGCACCCACTTTTCTTACCGGGCGCTGGGTGCCTGGTTACGAGAGTGATTCCAAGAAACAGCCCGACCTCGCTTGGTTCATCTATTTGATGCCGCAAATGTGGATGGCGGAACCTTCATCTAAGTCCAACGCGACAAGATGGAGGCCTGTTCTAGCTGTTGCTGACGCGCTTTCCCGTTACTGATCCATGCCGTGCCTTGTAGCGTTTCGATAATTGCGAAAAAGCCTTCCCTACAACCGAGACACCCAGTCACGCTTCTTGAAAGAGGCTTCGGCGCGCACACGCGATGTTCCGGCAGTCTGGCAACCCCAACTACACGTGTTGCCCGACAGCGCAACTGGAGCCCTCTAGAGCGCTTTACCGAAATCCGCCAAGGCAACTTCGATGTCGTTTATGCAACCTCTGGTTCCACAATGGTCGCCATTCGTCCAGAGCGCAGATGTTTCGCCAAACCTGGTCTACGGTTATTGGAGGATAAATGACACGACTTTAGCCGGTCCCAGGCCTGTCAAGCAACGCCCAGCCGCTACTCCCAGATGAGCTCCTCCTACGGTTCAGCCGGGCTGCCTCCCGGCTTAGGACCTTACAGTCTGGTGGTCTGGGGAAGCGGCCGGGGTATTCTGTCGCGCGGGGAGACTATAAGAGCATGGTTCACTCGTCTGACAGTCGTGCTTGCAGTCAAGCGTGTCGCTTTCGACCTTCGACAAGATGGTCAAGACTGGAGAATCCGCGGACCCCATCGTCACTCGCCTCGTCGAGGAGGACAAGGTACCATGGTACAGGAAGCCTAACCTTCGGGTTATGTACGTCTACCTGTTCCTGTGCTGCATGGGTGTTGAGATGACCTCTGGTTTCGATTCTCAACTCATCAACACACTGCAATTCTCGGGACCTTTCAACAAGTGTAAGCATTTGTTCAGGATGTCTGGAAGTATACTGCTAACGGAGACCAGACTTCGGCAATGGATACATCAGCCCCAAGACGAAGAAGCCCGCCATTGAGGATGGCCTCCTTGGTTTCATTTCTTCGTGCTATCAACTCGGCTCTATTCTTGCTGTCCCTATAGCTCCGTGGTTCAACCAGAAATATGGCCGACGATGGTCCATCATGACCGGTTCACTGATCATGTGTGTCGGAGCCATCCTTCAGGGTTTCTCCCAGCATGGTAAGAGTCTTTCATGAAGTGCTACAAAATACAGACTAATGATCTATAGTCGCCATGTACATCATTGCTCGTATGCTGCTCGGTGTGGGTATCGTCTTCTGCATTATCTCCGGATCTGCTTTGATTGGTGAACTCGGTCACCCCAAAGAGCGTGCCTACTTGACTTCGCTTTTCAACGCTTCGTACTTTGTTGGGTCCATCGTTGCGGCTGCCATCGCCATCAAGACCGTTGAGATTGCCGGAAACTGGAGCTGGCGTCTGCCCTCTCTGCTGCAAATCTGCCCATCTCTGCTCCAAATCGCCACCGTGTTGTAAGTTTGTCAATTGACCTCCGGTGACTTTGGCTAATGCAACTACAGCTTGATTCCTGAGAGTCCCCGTTGGCTTGTCAGTAAAGACCGCGATGACGAAGCCTTCGCCATCCTGACCAAATATCACGCCGAAGGCGACGCTAGCTCTGTCCTGGTGCAAGCCGAGATGGCTCAAATTCGATCCACCATTAAGCTCGAGCTCGAGAACTCCAAACAATCTTGGATGGATATGATCCGCACCCCTGGTATGCGCCGACGTGTTCTCATCGCCTGTATGATGGGTCTCTTCACCCAGATGAGCGGTAACACATTGCTATCCTACTACTCCAATCTTCTCTTCGAGATGATGGGATACACCACCGACTACGCTAAGACTCGCATCAACATTGCCAATCAGTGCTGGTCCTTGATCAACGGTGTTGTCATCGCACTTGTCGTCACCCGCTTCCGCCGTCGCTGGATGTTCATGCTTTCCGCGGCAAGCATGTGTCTCGTCTTCATCGGCATGACCACCTCATTCCAGAGCCTCCGTGCCGCGAAAGACGGCGGCACCACCAACAAGTCTGCAGGAATTGCTGCGCTGTTCTTCTACTTCGCCTACTCGCCATGCTACAACATCGGTAACAACTCGCTCACATACAGTAAGCCGCAACCTCACCATTTCACACTAACAAACCCGCTAACTCGCTGCAGCTTACCTTGTCGAAATCTTCCCATACGCCCAGCGTACCATGGGTATCGGTGTCGAGCAGATCTTCGGCAAGCTCGGCGGCTTCTTCTCCACCAACGTCAACCCCAAGGCCCTCAACGCCATCGACTGGAAGTTCCTCGCCATCTACTGCGGATGGATCACCTTTGAGTTCCTCACCGTCTACCTGCTCTACCCTGAGACGTACAATCGCACCCTCGAGGAGCTCACCTTCTTGTTCGAAGATAAGGAGCTCGCCGAGAGGCAGGCCGCCGCCGTCGAGAAGCAGATCCACGAGGGCGGTGAACTCGGCGCTGTGGACGAGAAGCACATCGCTACCCACCATGAGCGCGCCATCTAGGTTTGAGAAGTGTTGCTGGGGCTTGGGTGTGGAGATAGGATTGGTTTAATGTTCTGTAGTATCTAGTACAGCGTGCTTGTCTGAGCTAAGCACGGCAAATTCACGTACTTAACTTTGACTATCTTTCTGCGTCTGTGTATTATGTGAGATGTCGCCCTATATCCAGGATGCCTCGTGCCTTGGCGACTCGTGAGATATTATACAGCCATAGTTCATACCCATAGGTCAATGGGCGTGGGGCCGATAGAGCCATATCTTCACCGTCCAAAGGCGGGTAAAGTAAAGTTATTCGCATGAAATGCAATACGCTGCACCATCGAGTATTCTGGTCTTCGTGTAAATACCAGATGTGATGTTGCAGCGCAGCAAAACATAGCCGTAGTAGTCTACTCAACACGCCTCACTACGTCATCTACGGCCCGCGCAAAATACGCAACGTTATGCTCGTTGAGTCCTGCAACACTGATGCGTCCTGTCTCCGCCATGTACACATGCCACCGGTTCCTCAGCTCCGCTACTTGCTCTTTGTTCAGCCCTGTAAAACTGAACATTCCAATCTGCGAGGTGACATGCTTCCACGTGCCAGGAGTCTGCAGTCGCTCCAGCTCCAGCCTCAAGGCTTTACGCATGCCTTTGATCCGCCCAGCCATAGTGCGAAGATCGTCCTCCCACTCAGCGAACAGCTGTTCATCATTAAGTATAATAGATGCTATCTTCGCTCCATAGATCGGCGGACTGGAAAGCTCCGAACGCTGGATGATAGACAGCTGTGAAGAGATTCTCTGAGTAACTTCTTGTGCATCAGGACCAGCAGGCGTAACATAATGAAAAGCTCCGACGCGTTGTCCGTATAAACCCATATTCTTCGCAAAGGACTGCGCAATCACAAGCTCGAATCCCTCTTGCTCGAAATGCCGGATTGCGAAATTGTCCTCTACAAGCGACCCAGTGGCGAATCCTTGATATGCGCAATCGAAGAAGGGAAAAAGGCCGTGTGCGCGCATTACAGAAGCAAGTTCTAGCCACTGAGTATGTGTGGGGTCGAGACCGGTGGGGTTGTGAGCGCAAACATGCAGTACGATAATACTGCCTCTCGGCGCATTGACCAGCGCGGATTTCATCCCATCAAAGTCGAGTGTTTTCGTGGAAGGCGACCAGTACGGGTAGTGTCTAATCTCGAATCCCGAGTTTTCAAAGCACTGTTGATGAATTGGCCATGTAGGTGCCGAGATGTAGACTGGGGGGAAGTGGCCTAGGTAGGAATTTTGAAAGAAGAGCAGCACCGAGGTGGACTGCGCCGGTGCCAGAGATTGTCTGGAAGGAGCATACCTACATCGCGTGAGTTGAGGCCAGGGCCATCTTCATAGGGAGTACTACGCGTTTTTCTTGGATTGCCCGCGAATCGCTTCCCAGGATGAGCGCTTGTGCGGCAGTGCAGAATTCGGGAAGACCCGCTATCGGTATATATTCATGGTTCAGGTTCGGATCAAGACGATAGCGCTCATCGGCCTGTTTCTCGTTAGTAAGATACTGAAGTAGAATGGCTGCATCAAGCTCACCTTTCTCACAACGGGAAGGATCCATGGCCTAGCTGTCTCATCTCTGTATGCTCCCACGCCAAGGTCGACTTTGTTGAGGTCGGTATCCGCCTCGTATGCAGTGACTAGACTGTAAAGAGGGTCTTGAGGAGCTTGTTGAATGTTCTGGGTATTGAGGACCGGCACGATGGCATGTCCCTGTGACTGTATGTGCGGCATGTTTGCGGGTACACTTCAGTATGATTTCCAGGATCAGTTGATACAAAGTGAGCCAGAGAGCTTCCCAAAGCTTCCGTTATTCTATATCGGATGTCCTTCCCTTCTAGCTGTTCTCTGCGACATGGCACGAAAATGTGGGTCCCGATGTCGGTGCGTTGACCTGCATTGACGAGATGTCCGGTCACGTGAACATGCTAAAGCTGGAGTACCTACCTAAGGTAGTGGGCCCTGCCGCTCTTGGGCCCTCGGCACCGGTAAATTCCTTTCCCCGCGTTAAGAGCTCCCATTCTCCAGACTCTCCGCAATTCTCTCTGTGCAGATATGGAAGTAAAAAATTACATCTTCCCAGAACAGCGCGACGATGCAGGCGCGAGCGCTGTCGGTCCAAGTCACGTGAGCTGTTTGGAACATCTTGCATGTCATCTTCTCAAGGCCTAGGCTTTGCACAAATTCTTGTGTGGCGGCTTGCATTTGATTTGATTGGTCCATAACAATGTGGGATGGAGGATACCGAGTATTATGGCCATTTTACTAACTCAAGTCGTTGATAGTCGATTCAAGAAGAAGGGCCACAATGCTCGTGTAGCTCGAAGCCGCAAAGGCTGACCACGGGACTAACTGCAAGGTACACGGATAAACTTGTACCGTTGCCAAGGTCTTTACTCCGAATTGAGGCTCTTAGGCCAGTCATCCCAACCGGAGCGGGACTAGCCCTGGCGGGCCAGCTTCCAAAACTCGAGTCATTCGGTTCTTGTTAACCAAGGAACGACGATGCTGGCATCACGGCGAGGCGGGGTTCGGTACTCGGAACCGTGAGAAGTGTGAGAATAGAACGGACCCTGCTCTCCTACACCGGTCGTCAGTCGGTATCGAATATAACATGAGACTTCCTGCCGCGATTGTACCTGCTGTACTGATAAGCGCATGTAACGCGCTCAGTCAAAAGGACTACACCAAACATGTGAATCTCTTCATTGGAACAGAGGGACCTGTCGCTGGGAGTGCGTACAGCGCTGGCAATGTCTTCCCAGGAGCAACGCTGCCATTCGGCGCCGTTAAGGTCGGTATTGACACAACAAGGTAAGGCCTTCACGCCCATTTCCCCATCAATCCAAGATCATGCTGATGCTCAGTTTTAAGATGGAACACATCGTTTGCTGCGAACGCCGGGTACACACCAGACGGGAACGTGACCGCCATCACAATGCTTCATGAAAGTGGCACAGGCGGCGCCCCGACTTACGGGTTGATTCCTCAAATGCCGCTTACCACTTTGGAAGGCGTTAATCTTCTGGATAACATAACGTACATGCAACCTCGCACGAGCCCAGATGAGGCTTCTGTGGGATACTACAAGACCCAATTGCAGAACGGCGTGAAAGTAGAGATGAGCGCGAGCACGCACGCTGGAATTATGAGATATTCGTTCCCACAAAGTGCTGACGGAAGGCACATTTTGATAGATCTCAGTCATTTCATCCCGAGCGCAGGCAAGAAAGAGCAGTGGTATAGTAATGGTGAGCTTGAGATCAGCGAAGACGGAACCTCATACTCCGGATATGGTGTTTATCGGGAAGGTTGGGGCTGGGGTAAGGTATCTCGCAAATCTATACATAAACTCCTACTGAGCATAGATCAGGTGGCGATTACCGTGTATACTTCTGTGGGAAATTTGACGCCAGGCCTTCGGCAGCCCGACTATTCTCAGGCAAGGCAACGGACCCGTACTGGCCCAATACCACAGATGTCAGACCTACCTTCACTAATGCGACGAGCATACGCGGAGGCACTGTCGGCTACCAGTACGCAGATCGGATCGGCGCACTGTTTTCGTTCCCACCAAATAGCTCGGTTTTGGCTTCGAAAGTTGGTATATCGTGGGTGTCCGAGGATAAAGCCTGTCAATTCCTTCGAGAAGAGATACCTCACTGGAACCTCGAGAAAGTCCAGCAAGCTGCCAAAGATCGATGGAATTCCGAAGTCCTCTCCAAGATCGATGTGCAGACGAACAACAGGACTCAATTGGAAATGTTCTATACGGCAATGTACCACTCGCACCTGATGCCCTCCGATCGAACAGGAGAGAATCCGTACTGGGAATCCGAAGAGCCATACTACGATGACTTCTACACGCTCTGGGATACCTTTAGAACGCTGCATCCACTCTTGACCTTGATAGAGCCCGAACGCCAGGTCGACATTGTCAGAGCCATGATCGACATCTGGCGACACGAACGCTTCATGCCTGAAGGCCGAAGCCACAACCATAACGGACGGGTCCAAGGCGGTTCAAACTCCGATAATGTCCTTGCAGATGCCTACGTGAAAGGACTCAAGGGTATCAATTGGGCCGACGGCTATGCCGCGATGAAAACGAACTGAGATTCAGCCTTACAATAACTTCGACTTCGAAGACCCTAGTGGGAGCACCAAGGAGGGACGCGGTGGACTCCAGGACTGGAAGAAATACGGATACGTTACTCCGGATCGTGGGCGATGCCTGAGCAAGACTGTTGACTACGCTCTGAACGACTTTTCGCTGTCTCAGGTAGCGAGAGGTCAGGCGCCGGAAGATGTTGCGGTGTATCTCAATCGGTCTGCTGGTTGGCAGAAGACGTGGAGCCATAACACTATGTCGTTGAATTTTACAGGCTTTCTCGCGCCTACGTACGGCAATGGTAGCATCAAAGAATACGATCCACTATCGTGTGGCGCGTGCGACTGGCAGTCTATCAGCTATGAGGGCGTTCCGTGGGAGTACAGTTGGTCGCTACCCCACGATATGGAGACTGTGATCACGCTGATGGGTGGTCTGGATATGGCCGAGAAGAGGCTAGACACCATGTTCATCCCCGGTCTGACTCAATCGACCCAAGGCGGTAACAGCGCAGGCACCACGATTTTCAATCCCGGTAATGGTAAGTCCTCTCCCACTCGAAAAAACGCATATTAGAAGCCGATTAACTGTTTTCAGAACCATCATTCATGACACCTTTCCTGTACAACTACTGGCCTCGACGGCAACACAAGTCAGCCAAACTATCCCGCGACCTCGTCGACCAATACTACAACAACGGCCGCTCTGGCATTCCTGGGAACGACGACGCAGGTGCGATGAGTAGCTGGTTAGTGTGGAACATGATCGGACTATACCCTGTCGCTACTCAACCAATGTATCTCATTCTCGCCCCGCGATTTGGCAGTATTACAATGACACTCGGTGATAGCGGTGCGGTTCTGAGGATCAAGGCGAATGGATTGGAGAACGGGCCGTATGTTCAAAGACTGAAAGTTAACGGAAAGCTTTGGGATAAGAGCTGGGTCAGCCACGAGGATATCGCAAGAAATGATGGTCGGGATAGTATGTTGGAGTTTGAGATGGGCGGGAAGCCTGTGCCGTGGGATTCTGGCGAAGTGCCACCTAGTCCAGGGCATGTGACGATATGATCAAATAGGAAGTGGAAAGTGTGAGTCGTAGATTCTCTCAAAAGAAAAATCAAGCTATAGACAAGGGATGGAGGTTTAGTCAAGCGCGCAATCACTGCAGCCTAAACCCAATCTACGAAGAAGCCCCATAGTTTCTACCCGTACACCCTGCGTAGGATTGATTCCTGCATAGAAAATCATGCCATCCTAGCCGCCACCGCCTCAGCCATATCCTTTCGAATCTCATCCCTATGCTCCTCTAATTGTCGCTTCAGTGCCTCAGCCTTGGCAAGCTGGTACCGATATTCCGCGTGCAGAGCGGTGTCAACGGCCAGCATTTCTTTCAACTTCTCGAACTCATCGAGTTGTGTCATACCACCGATGCTAGAGCTTGGCGACGAAATCTGCTGGTTACCTTGCGACGGCCCCTGTGTTGCTGAAGTGGATGCACAGTCGCCGTCCTCGAAATTGGCGTTGAGGTGATGAGAGCCTGCTTCAATCTCGACACCGGAAGTACCGGACGGAGTAACTGGCCGAATTATTGGTCGTGAGAAACCATATGGCCAAGTATTTGAGACCTCTCGTGGTGGCAATTGCTGCGGCGGCCTCTGGAAACTCTTGAGAAGCGACGTCGCATTCTCTGGCGGCGTGATACGAGCGGGATTTCCCGACTGTGAAACCATGTGGTCTTTGTTCTGGACTTGCAAGTTGCTGTCTGTATGGCCATCGGAGGTACCGCTCGCCCGTTCCGAGGTTGATGGCTGATCACTGGGAAGCGTGTTCCTCACACCCTGACTGGCATATTCTTCACCCACAGCCTCAGAGTGCCATATTTGTGGTTGCTCGACACTTGCGCCTGGCGACTGCGGTCCTTGTTCCTCATCGTCGATTTCCGCAACTCGCCTCTTTTTGGTGACTCGTTCTTTCCGTAAGTCGTGCCCCTTCGTGGGTTCATTCTTCCCCAGTGCTCTTTCCTCGACACTGTAAGCCTCAACGCCAACCTTCTTCAAACCCTCCACCAGGTATTTCCTTATTGGACCCGGCACCAACAATTTCCTCCCCACCCTCTCCGCCTCCACCAGCAGGTACCAATACGCAAAGCCTTTCAGCATTCCCCTCCTATTTTCTTTCCAGGAACTTTCCACCCCAGTGCACACGCTTGTCCTTTCCCACAGCCTCTTGAACGGCTGAAACAGGTCGACCTTCTCCAGAACATCGGAAGTGTGAGATGTGACAGTGTTCCACGTAGTGATGAAGACCTTGAAGCCTGGACCAAAGCCTCGCTTAGGGGTCGTAGTCAGACCAATCCAGACTGAGCCATTATCACGAATCCCTATGAAGAGCTTGAAGGGGTGTTCGGGTGGGACATTAGTTTGCGGTGCGACAGCCAGCTCATTAGCAGATGGAAGATTATTCAGCGCAGTTTCGAGATTGTGTGCTCTGACGAAGCAGCGGACGCTGATGAGTTCGGTTGTGGCTGACATGTTGGTGGGGTTCGTGCTGCCCAGTCGGACTGCTGGGCCACTGCCACAAGCACCTGGACCTTGTGCTGCGTGGTCTATCTGTGAGCTTGTCGCGGCGCCGTCCCTGTAGCTTCTGACTGGCACTTCGAGGTTCTCGATCTCCGGCTTGAGGTCTTCGTTGTTGGGCGTGAGTGGTATGATACCCTGCTCCTGCGTATCTTCGTCCTAACCGTCTTAGTTGCGGTCTACTAAACCTCTGGTTTCGAAGAGGCTACAAGCGAAAGCGTGTTGCTCAGTGTGTGTGTGCGAGTGACCAAAAAAAGTGTTGAGAGGGTTCTAGCTTGCAAGCTTATAGCTACTACTAGCAACCCAAGTAAGAAAAGCTCATCGAAGACGAGATAACTCCACAACGCGATCGCAGGTCTTTCAGCGTAAGCGTGTTCTCTCACCATGCATACTGATCCGACTCCCGCTATCACCCGCTCACTTTTATCTGTTATCGCTCCCCTATCACTTCACCCCTGATGTAGATACTGACCGAACTGTTCGAGATGAATTGAAAACATTCTATACATGTTTCCCCTAATAGCTATACACACAATCTGAAAGCTGAGAGAACAAAAGAGATGGGTATATCAGCCTATCCGTATCCCACCGAAATGAAGGATCTCTCCAACTCCAAATGTCCTACTCACGCACTCCGCGCAATGCAAATAACACGCTGATAATGCCACCTCGGGAGCGAGCCACATACGCCATGCCACCCTAAACGAGTACTTGCAAGAAGTTTAAAAAACAAAGGAAATGATGCTCTTGTCGCGCATAACGGTGGCCATTTAGGTCTCACCCTCACCCTCCGCCTCCGCCATAACCTGCTCCCCCTCATCCAACATATCCACCACCCTCTTCAAATTCGCCACCATACTCTTCGCCTGCCCAACCAGCAACAGCTTCTCCGCATTCGCCGGCAAGCCAAGGTACGTTGGGGGCTCGCGCTCAGGCAGGTCGTTGACCCAGCCCATGAAGTCCTTCCAGCCGGTAGCGCTGGGAAGCTCCAAACCCTGGCTCTGCTCTGTATCGGGAACGATCTTGAAATTATCTTCGAAAGCCGCGGGCGTCAGGCATTGTTCGACGAGGGAGGCCAGCGTGCGGAAATCGGCTTCGTCATCGATCTTGCCGCCGTACATTTCGGTCACAAGCGTGCGAATCATGTCCCATGGGATCTTGGTGGGAGCGACGTTGGATCGGCCTTGAGCGACATTGTCCACCCAGGTGTCGACGATGAAGCTGCAGCATTCATACTGTGATCATGTTAGTGTAGACTCGAGAAGTAAACATGGAAGGACTTACATCACTATCGTTGAACTCCCAGAAGCCTTTCCATCCCAAGGTAGGCGCATATCGCAGACGCTCTTGCACAACCGCGTGGAAGAAGCACAGTAGAAGGTAGACACGAGCCTTCTCGACCGGGTGCTTGACAGCCCTCTCAGATAGCGAAGCCAAAGAGTCTTTCATGTTGGCACGGATACCGGCTGGTTGTTCGTACGACAAGACACGAGAAGCGCGCAATAAGTTGACAGGAATCTTCGGACTGGACTCCATCGACAGGAAGAGACGGAAGTCAGGATTAGGTTTGAGAGCTTCGAGCCTCTTCTCAAGCGACTGAAGCCACTCTGTAGCTAGATGCACGTTCTTGACAAGGACCCAATTACCAGTCGTTGCAGCATTGGCAATCGCCTTGTCGGCAGTAGCAGCACCTTCGTTAGAACCCATGGCGATGTTGGAGCAGGTAACGCGTTCCCTCTCGACAAGGTTGTCGACCTTGTAGCTGGCATCGAAACCTGGGCTGGAGCTCAGAGCGACCGGCGTGGTTGCGTTGACTTGCTTGACGATGTCACCCAGGTCGCCACTCGCATCTAATAGACCCTTGCCAAAGACGTCGGTAACAAAACGCTCAACAGCGGGAACGAAGCGGTCAACTCGGAACAGTTTGACAAGGACGAGTGCGCGCAGCTGTTTGTCGTAGTTGTTGAGATCGGCCGGCCAGGTCTGGGGTACGTGGCGCTCTCCCAGTTCTTCAGCGAGGAAAGTTTCCCATGAAACGTCATCCACCTTCTCGAGCTCAGATTTAAAGACGGACACTTTACCTGCACGGATCATGACCTCATCTTTACGTTCAGGCTGCGAGGAAAGATCAACACCTTCCAGGTCGTCGTCAAGGATGACATCGATCAGAGTCTTGTCCATCTTGTAAGGCGCGGCTTGAACCAGTAGCATCGCCAGTGTGACGCGATCCTTCTGAAGCAGAGAGAGCGAGGTACGGCGGTACGTGTCGATGAATAGATCGGTGATGATTTGAGTAATACGAGCTTCATGACCGGAGATGTTCGACTTCTTGACCTTTTGTAGCACGGTATCGAAAATTGATGTGAAGTACTGCAGCGAGAACTGGTAGAAGTGATTGAGGTGGTGCAATTGCTCCAATACCGCGAAAATAGCCGAGCATGAGCGAGCAACGACGGTGTACTCTTTCGTGATGTTTTCCACTTCTGTCATAACGCCAGCAGTCTCTGAGACCTTGACTGAAATTTCTGCAGCCTCTTTCTTCAAAGTCTCCAACGTCTCGATAACGCGATCATCGTCGAGAATATTTCCTTGAGACTCGTTAAGGGCTTGAAGCAGGCGCTTCTCCAGCTGTCGCAAATGGACGGCAAACTCGCCCTGCATCTTGATGAGGTTTGTTCGCCGCTCATCGACGTCCGGTCGCTCCGACTTGAGTACCTCATTGAGCGTTTGTGTTTGCAAGCTGCTCTGCGTAACCGTGAAGTTGACAAAGGTGGTACGACTACAAATGTCCGGAGCAAAGTTGGCAGACGGATCGCGCGTAGAGAGGTAAATTTTGAATGAAGGCGAGAAATCGATCTCTTGTTTGCCAAGCTGGATGAGCACACGACCTCCGGTTTTCTGGTACTCCTTGTTAAGAACATGGTTGAGGATAGGGTCGAGATGTTCTGCGTCCTGAATCAAAATGGGGTTACCGAAACGTAGAGAACTCTCGAGCTGCTTCGTGAAGGAGTCACTCAAAAAGCTGGTTACGGTGAGTCGGCGGTCCTTGTTCTCGTTCTCCAGGAACTCTTGTGTTCGGCCAGAGGGGTCAATGATAAGAGGGTAACGGTTGAAACGATTGAGGACAATGGCGTTCTCGGTGCAGAGATCGTCAACTGGTAGACCGTTGTGCTGCCATGTCAGTCTCTCGTCAGGCGTAGATAGGTACTCGGTGATCGGGTTTGGTGTCTTGAAAGTAATGCCCGATAGCGAAAGGTGGTGCAGCCAGTCCTCCATCATGCCCTTCCTATACTGCTGGTCATAGTATCCTCCGTAAGCAATGAAGGCAGCCGCAACAAGTACGTCGCCGACAATGGTATCGATCTGAGAGTCGAATGAGCGGCTGCTTTCTTCCCAACGTGTTCGTTCAGAGGAGAGACTGTCGAGCAACTTCAAACTACGGTCGACCTTGGACTCAACCGTCTTCATCTCAGATTTGATAGCCTGGGTCTCGCTGATCAACGCAGCATATTCCGTCTTGTACTGAGCAATACTGTCCTCCAACTTCTGGATCAGGGCTTGAGTCTCCTTTGCCTCGTCTTTCGTCACCTGTGCGGCTTCCTCCAATTGCTCCACTTCGGCACGAAGAGGTCCAACACGATCCAAGATGTCAGAGTAGTGCACCTGAGCCTCAACCCATTTCACAAGTGGACCGCAGGCCTTTGAAGCGCGATTAACCTTCTCGAAAGTGAAGTCCTCTTTGGAGAGATACTCGTTCATCATCTTCTTACGGAGTGGGGCGGTCATCTGTCTCTCGTTGTCGAAGTTGACGATATTAGCAATGAAGTCGTCTTTCCTCACAATGGCCACAATCGATTTCCAGTCAGAGACCTTATTGCCGAGAAGCGTGCAGACAGCTTCTAGAGCCAGCTTGACACCCATAGGCGGATTGCCCATGGATCGGACTTCGGTAAGGTGCTGTCTCTTGATGTTCTGCACAGCCTTCTGAGCCTCCATCACAGCAGGTTCGGCTGCGGCGAGGTCATTATTCACCTCCTCTTGACGCCTCTGAATTTCAATATCCTCCTGAGCGAGCTTAGCTGAGACTTCGATAGAACTTGACTTCTTCTGCTCCGCTACTCGCTGGTCGGCAACCATGCGCTGCAACTTGTCGTTAGCTTCGGCATCCTTCTTCTCCAATTGCGTCTTCTTCTGCGCTAGGCTAATTCGAAGTTCTTGAACCTGATCGACCGTTTCGCGAAGCTTCTCAAGACCAACGTTGAGATGGCGCTGTTGTTCCTCGAGTTCTTCGCGCTTCTCGTTGTATAATTTAACGTACTGTGCCACAAAGTCCAAGAAATGGCGAGGGGTGAGATACGTCTTCTTGTTCTGCTGCTTCTGCAGTCTGCTGTTAAACCCGTGCAGAGAGTGGTGGACGTAAACCATAGCGTTGACCACACTTTCGCGATGTGACGGAGGAAGGGTAAGACCACGATAGGCGACAGGGATGCTGTCGGGTGCGTTGTAATTGGCGCGATCCAGATCCACAGACTGCGTGAGTTCACTGCCGACCTGATAAAGTGCTTGGTCAGACCAGTCGCCCATCCAGTTGAGAACACAACGGTTGAACAAGGCAGGACTGGTGGCAGCCTTGGACGAAAGACCTTCTTCAGGTGGGTTCATCGTGAAGACAACGTGAAGGTTCTTGACAATCTGTCCAGTAAACCACTTGTAGAGTTCTTCCTGTGAGTCAAGGATCGTGCCTTGGCGTTGCGCTCCTTCTTTGATAGCGGTCATCAAGGAGGCGTACTCATCCCCTTCGAAAAGACCAGGAACCTCAGCGTTGGCAAGCAGGGTGTTCATGCGCTCGAGGAATCCAGAGTCCAACACGTTAGCTTCGTCCATGATGAAGCAGATCTTTTCACCCTTGCAACCACATCGACGGAGTACATTACGTAAGTCTTCATCAAAGTCTTCACCAGAGTATTTCCCATGGACCTTGATCTGATACACCTTCAGTCCGTTCATCCAGGCGACGAAGCGGGACAATGTAGTCTTTCCTGAACCGCTGACCCCAATCAAGATCAAATGACCCTGCGGCTGTCGGAACACACGATCGATACGGAGTACGTGCTCAAGAACATCGTTGAATAGGATTAACGGAACATCAACTTCTTCTTCACAGAAAGTCTTGAGACGTGCCTTGACGAAGTCGCGCAATTGATCGCGCTCAACGGGCACGTAATTCTTGGACAGCCAATTGGAGAACAGAATGGGCCCACCAAGAGCCTTGTCCTCGTTAATGGTAGGGAAGTGTTCCATTGCTACGCGGTGAACACATTCCTCGGTCCATTTGCGTTCGTCCTCGGCGATCAGACGATCCTGGAACAGCCGAAGAGCTTCGTGCGCCCAAATTCTCACAAGACCTTCAACAGGCAGGGTCTCAAGCGGACGCAGGGCTTCGTATATACCGCGAACCCAACGAGTCAGCTCACGAGGCGAGTAGACGTAGTGCGGCTGGATATCGGGAGTAAAGCGCTTCTGTGACTCCGAGTACAATTGCACCATAGCTTTTGTCAAGGCTTCTGCGTAACCGCGTAAAGTGGGGATGATCTTTAATACAGCGCTGTTGAAAGTGCCATAAATCTGAAGCAGGGACTGCTCGCCAGGGTAGTCGACCATGATAAGCGGAGCATGGCGGAGGAAACGGAGACCCATTGGCGTGCGCCCAGCATCAGTTGGCGGGTTGCAAGCACCAACGAATTGGATGCGGTCCAGTGTGACCCAAGTCTTATCGGATGTCCGCCAGAAACCGTTCTGTTCCACGAGCTGCCTTAGGAAGGAGATAGCTCGCTGGGTACCATACTTATCGGGTGCTGGCAAATTGATCTCGTCACAGAAGATGATAAGCCATCGGCCAACCTGGGTAGGTGAGAGCTGCACTCCGTTAAGAGTCTTCTTGTATTCGCAATATTGCTCGAAAGTCTTGACGAGAAGATCGGGAGTTGTAGCGCTGGAGAAGTTGAGACCGACAACTTCCATGTTCGGCAGCTTGCGTAGAGCGCTGAAGAGAGTCATGGTTTTACCGGAACCTGGCGGACCACAGAGAAGGAGGGGTTTGTGTTCGGCGAGCCAGGAGTATAGGACATCTTCGTGGCGAACAGTGTCGAGAGTTGGGATAACCACATCTGTCTGGATGATAGAGTGTGTGTTGACTTCCATGGTCGGCACCTGGTTCTGCCACATGTCCCAGTCCGACTTGTCGGGCTTGACATCGAAGTCGATGAGCGAGGTTGACTCGTTCAGTGATGGAAGTTCAACATCGGTGAGGCCGGCAATGAGATCGCCAAACTGTTTGCGCTCGGACAGAGGGCAATCGCCGACAAGAGCCCATACCAATGCGAGTAGCAGCTTTTTAGAAATGTAGGCTTCCATCTTCTCATCCTCAAGCGGGAAATCTTGATGCTGAACGTTGTACTCGAGCACATTGCGGCAGGCTTTGTTGAGTAGGGAGAAGAGAGTGTTCAGAGCGCGGATTTCGGTGTACTCCATGATATGCTTAAACTTCCTCGCCATACTAAGCGCCTTCTCGATAAATTTGTCCTGGGTTAGCTTTATAAGCAGGAATTCGGCGATTAGATTCTGTGTAGCGAGCGTCTTCTGGGACATCTGGCCCGGGGCCACGGAGTCGTCCTCAATGTCATCGAAAGGAACGGTCCTGAGGTTCTCAATGTAGTTCTTAATCATCATCTCAACTTCGACCGTGTCATCGCTGAACCATACCATACCGCAACGCGACACTGTAGCCAGTGTAGCGTACTTCAGAGTTTCGACCTCGAACATGATGCGAACATTTGAAGGCAGGTTGAGACGCTCACCGTTAGGTAGAGTAAGGAGCTTGTTATCGTCGAGGACGGAGTTCAGGTTCTCAACCCATTCAGGGTCAACATCACCATCGAAGACGATCCAATGGCGCTTGCTGTCTTCACCACGAAGGTTGTCGACGATCTTTCGCAGAATGCTCGTGAAAAGTCCGTCAGTCCATTCGCGAGTGGTGCTGTCCATGCTTCCGTACAATTCCTCCTTGGACATGACCTTGGGGTCAATGACGTGGCATACTCCTTCTACGCCTTCCACGGTCTGAAGGGCGGCAAGCAGAGTCTTCCAGGCTGCAGATTTACCAGAACCGGAGGAACCGACCATCATGACACCGTGGTGAAGGTTCTGGATCTGGTAGAGTTGGATGATCTTGGTCATCCAAGCATCACTAACCACGAACTTGGACTCTTCGGCTGACTTGCGGATAGCCTCTTCGAGTTTGTTTAGAGGTGCAGGAATGTATTCCACGCCAGGGAACGAGTCGCCTTCAATAGACTTCATGATCTCGGCGTCCGAAGCAATCAATTTCGGTGCCATGGTTTCGCGCAGACTCTGAATGATGATTTGAGGCTCCATGACAGCTTCGTCAGATTCTTGCGATCCTACTGTGGCGATACGGGCTCGCTTCAGACCACCGGAGCTAACAAGCACACTCTTCAATGCCCGTAGACCAAAGTCGTAGTGCGCCTGTTTAGAAAGTGTGCCGGAGCACTTGTCGAAGAACGGAACGACTTGCTTCGACAGCTCTTTGGCCTGGGAGAAACCCTGCGAGTAGAGCATGACTTCAGAGATGAGCTCTTTGTCCGGTTTGGACATGGCAACACTTCGGAAGAGCTTCTTCAAGTTATCAGGCAGGTTCGAACGTCCAGCGTATCCAGGGTTCATTGTGATGAAGATACCAGTGTTGAGGTTGACCCTAAGTTGGCGTCCGATCAGGTCAATCTGTGCTTTCTCGTCTTCAGCACCCGTACGCAAACCCAGCTGGATGTTTTGGATCTGCTGAGAGACGGCAGACAAGATGCGCTCTTCGAGACGATTGAATTCATCGAAACAACCCCAGGCACCGACTTGGCAGATACCAAGGAAAATACGACCCATGGCTTGGAAGTCGAAAGTATCATCGCAGCAGAAGACAAGTGTGAAGCGGCCCAGTTGCACTCCTAAGGCCTTGACCGACTCCGTCTTGCCAGTACCTGCAGGTCCGTACGGGGAGCCTCCAAGACGCTGGCACAAGGCCTGTGTCAGGGTGAGGAAACAACGATCCGTGAGTGGAGTGCGGACGAGACGTTCTGCAACACCAAGGTATTCGTAACCGTAGTCTAGGACCGCATTCGCCATCTTGATCTTCATCCGCTTCAGCAAGTCGTCGTGTGGCTCATACATGTAGCGCATAGTGAGTAGCCACAAGTGGTGAGTGGGCGAACTTGCTCCAACCTTCTGGAGCTTGTGGATAACGTCTCGCTGGTGAACGAACTCGGTGATCAGATGTTCGCATTTCCTTCGCTGGATGGCCTCGAGGTCGCCGAGCACGGAAGTTGCGAGAAGTTTCAGGATGTTGACTTGCTTCTCATACAACTGCGGCAACGATATACCCTCCTCGTTGAGGGACTTCTCGACTGCGTGTGACCAAGCGATTTGTGTTCCGAGTACGACAACCTGGGCAGGGTACTTGTGAATATAAGCGTCGAAGGCTACAGGATCCATTGCATCGGGTGCCATTAGCTGTTCAAACTCTTGGTAGGCTTCGAATGAAAGCTCCGCCAGCGTCGTCTTCATGTTCAGTTCCAAAGCGCCCAGCCACTCGTTGATCCGCGGCGTCTTGACCAGGTTTACCTCTTTTCGAAGCATCACCTCTTCACCCTCCTTCGAGGTAAAGCCCGTAATGATACCATCCTCATCGGTTATGAGCCCAGAGATTCCCGCGAACATCTTCCTAAGATGCTTGGCAATACGGAGTGTGTCGTTGCTGTTACCAATGATCTCAAGAAGATCCTCGTCACCGACGAAGTAGAAGCGAGGGAATGACACACGCTCTCGCTCCAGGTACTCTCCGAGAGCCTTCTGAATCTTGTTGAGGAGTTCTGCAAGGCGTTCAAGAGACTTTTGCACACCTGAGATGTTCAGCACCTCAAGGACGAATGGCTGTCGGGACACCTTCTTCATCACAGACAGGAACTCCGAGTTGATGTTCTGGAAACGTGAAGACTCCATCGGCAACAAGTGCTTGATGTCAGCATTGCCCGTGAAAACACCCTCGAGATACACCCATTGACGCTGTACATCAATCCAGACATCGAAGAGCACATGTACGCGGTTCAGTTTGTCCTCCCATGCAGATGCGTCTTCTTCAAACTCCTTGTAGTACGGGGAATGCCGCATAGCCTGTAGCGAGTTAAGGTTCTCGCTGCACTTTGCGAATAGATCATCCCAGCCACGAATGAGGCGGCACTTGTTCTGGTAATTCACAAGCTCCAGATTGTAGTTCTGCCAAGTCTCCCGGACTTGCTTCAAGAACTCCTCGAGCGCCATTTCACCCTGGGCCTGTGTGATGACGTCGCGAATGATCTTCTCGCTAGGACCGAGCTTGAGATCCCAGACGTCACCCAATGTCATGGAGATTGCCGAGTATCGCTTGGAGGGTTTGAGCTGTTTGAAGATGCGCACCCAATGTCGCTCCCGTACGGCATCAGATCGCAGATCGCTGAGAATACTGTTTTCTTTGAGGAGTTGCTTCAAAGTGCCCTGTACGTACTCGAACGCCTGGTATTGTCGCATTCGGCTTGGCATATCCTTGGTCATCTTGAGAAGGTTGTCTAGATTCTGGCGCAGCTTGCGTGGTTGGATGCTGTTCCAGAGAGTCTCGCGAAGAGTATCGATGCTCTCCCAGATCGTGGCAAGAGATGCCCAGACGGACTTAAAGTCTTGCACTTCTTCAAGGACAGCTTTAAGAGCCGTCTCGCCGGACTTCGAAAGGTTGAGGGCATCTTTAGCCTTAGAGATGTTCTCTGACTCGGTCCGCAGCTGGTTCAGCTTCCGATCGAAGGTTTCGAGTGTTTGCGAGGCCTCTGCAGGGCGAATATTGCCGGCAACGGGTTTCTGCTCGCTCCACTCCGTAATGATGTCGGCAATCTTCTGATTAACGACCTTATCCTCTGCCTCGATCTTGCCCCTGAGAGCATCCCTCTGGTCGTTCGCAATCTTCGACTTCCGCTCCAAAACATCAGTAAGCATTTGCCATTCGTGATCGATTTGGTCCATATGCAGCCAATCAGCCGGTGTCTGGTAACGTTGACGGACAAGAGTGGAATTGCCCTGCCGGAACACATCGATTTCAGGCTCCCATTCCAGAACTTTTCGCTTGGACTGCTCGACAACAGTTATGAAAGATACTGCCTGCGCCGTGGAAGAAGCTTCCAGTGTCTGCATCTCTAGGTCTTTTCGTGCCTTTTCTATCTGCGCAAAGATTTCAACCATACGCTGCCCAAGCCTGCCGGCAAACTTGACGAGTAGCTCTTGCTGCCACTGGTCGTACTTGGCGCTTACTTTGTTCTGCACCTGCTCGTAGTCGACAGTAACATAACCAAACGGGCGGCTGATGTCAGAAGTGTCGAAGGTATCGCGAGTCTTCCGGATTTCTTGGAGCAGCTGTAGCCAGCGTGACAGGTCCTCGCCCAAGATATCGTAGACATGATCGGATTGCAAATCCCAAAGTGACTGGAACTGCAACCACTCATCGACGTATGAGGAGATATCGTGGAGCTTGCCTTCCACAGCGCCGTACACTTGAATCAGTGCGTTTGTACATAGGCTCGCCAGGTTGGAGAATTGATTGTTAGACGCGTTCTCCGCCGCGTCCACTCGCATCTCGTACCGCGAGGCTTTGATCTTCTGTAGAGTACAGATGACTGCGAGCCATTGCTGAAGCTGTTCGAGCCAGCTGGCGCGGGCATATTCGACAGGAGGGCTGAGATAGATGACCTGATTGCGCATAGTAATTTCCAACGTCAAGCGGGAGAGACTGGGCTTCTCTTCGGAATTCTCCATTGGTGCAGGTTGGCTAGTAGGTCGTCGGTCTTCTTCCTGGTCGACGTTGGCGAAGACCTCAATCCACTGGGCAATGGCGCGATTCAGTCGAACAAGTAAAATGGCCTCAATGCGCGAGTTCATAGCGGCTACCCATGACCCCAGGTTAGCATAGTTCTCGAGGTTGAGCTGGTCGACGGATCGCTGCACGATCTCCAAATGTTGTCGAAAGGCGTCAGCATTGTACGGACATGTCTCCAGGTCCTTTAGCGCCTTCTGGACGGTCGCATTGATGCTTACGAGGGTGGCAACCTTCGTCTGCAGTAGTGAAGTTGATGCAGCGAACTCCCGTACAAATTGAACGTGCTTGCTTTCGGTTCGTACGCTACCAGGTGCACCAGTGGAGAACGCCGGTTGTCGGATGTGGAGATCGTAAGCATGCACAAAAGATTCCCATTTCAAAGGGACACCCTTTCCGACGAGCCCTTGCACATCATTCAGGTATCCGTAGAGTAGGAGAGCAACGCCTGTCAGCTCTACAATGGATTGAATCGTCTGAGTGTATGTTCGCACGCTCTCCATCAAGCTAACAGCGTAAGGATACACTCGCTTGGCTTCTTTTGAAATGTTGTTGATGCCGTGGGGCACTTGGTAGCCTCGCCAAGTCAGGTTCCGAACTTCTTTGAAGAGCGCAATTACTTGTGCATTGAAGTTGACGTGCAATTCAAGGATGTTGCCAGCGGCACGATTTCGGCTAACGATAAACAAACGCCCTGATATTGACAACTTCTGGCGCGCCACAGATTGTATCCACGATTCGAAGATTGGTCGTGTGTCGAGCTTCTTCTTGAACATACTGCTCTCAGCCTGCAGCTTCTGTCCTTCAGCATGTAGCGCCCACTCCTTGCCTAGGATGTCTTCAACTTTGCCCATGTAGTTCTCCAGCTGCGTCTCGATTTGTCGTGCCCAGATTACCGCGCCAGACACGGGAGGGAAGTCGCGCAGCTGCGCCATAGCGTGCGCCTCAGAGTTGCCATATTGCCGCTTGAATCGCTCGTGAAGCGCCGAAATGTCTTGTTTGACGTTCTCGATAAGCTGAGTCTGATACTCAGAAATGGCTCCTCGAATCTTCGGGCGGACAAAAAGCGGGTTAAACTTCGAGAAGACGCGAAACATCTCGTTAGCCGTCTTTGCCGTACCAAGACGATCCCTAAGCCTAGCAATGATAGAATTTTCGACGCGCGAAGTACGCTCGTTGTACTTCTGCTCAGCCTGCTCAAAGAGACGAGTTCCCTCAGGCTCGACATCAAGCACATCAACATCCTTCAAAACGTCGTATGCCTTCTCCACTTCTTTCACGGCATCGACATCGCCCATCTCTTCGACAATGACAGACTGATTGCCCTCTGCACCCTCAGAGAACGCCGCTAGTGAGGTTTGTGATCCCAAGACTGTTACTATGGTGCGCTGCAGCTGTTCGTGGTTCTTCCGGAAAGTGGCAACATATCGGATGCGCTCCTCAGTCGGTCGGTGACGAGCAGTGAACTTGATCGGGATGAATTTCTCATTCCTTCGCCTGGTAACCTCACGCGCAACATTGGTGAACTCTTTGACATTCTCGTCCCAAGTCCGCCAAATGTCTTCGGCAACCTCCATGACTGACTGAAATTCGGGATAATCCATGGCCATCAGCTCCTTGCCCCTAAGCAAATCTTGCAAAACCTTGTCGAGATCCGCGGAGATGGCTTCCACAAGAGGCAAGGCACGTTCCACTGGGTACGGGCAGATACGAAGCTTCTTGTTGATGTGGCCGAAAATCTGCTGAATCGCTTCCTGGACCTTCTGCAACGATGTGGCAGACAACAATTCTCCAATTGGGAACTCGCGCATCAGCTGATTGTACTTCTGCACCTTGTCATGGGTTTCTTTCAAACCAGTATCCGCGCTGAAGCTGACTGTCGCCTGGAAGCGCTTCGCATTTTTAAGGACGTCCAGCGTTAGTTTGACACCCGGGCTTCTTAGCTGAGCTTCGATATCGTCCAACCTGTTTTCCATCGAAATCCAAAAGTTGATCTCTTGTGTGGCCGTGCCCGTTGACACTTTTCGATCGGTTTTGGTAATCGTCTGAATTGACTTGATCCATCCGTTGACTGTGGACTGCAAGCCGTTCAAGAATGCGCTGTCTGTTACGATAGGGGCGGGCAAATAGTCCAGTGATGGAGTCTTCTTCTCCGCCTCTGCTGATTCCACTGCAGCTTTAATCAGTGGGTGCAGGGGCAGCAGCAGCTGCGGAATTTCCACATTATCTCCCAGGTTGCTCAGGGTCAAATCCAGCTCGCGAAACTTCCTCTGCGCTGCCGGGATACCTGATCTGGCCTCATTATCCCCCTTCAAAGACGTCCCTGCCAAGCTCTGCTGGCCTTTCGTGAATGTATTAAAGTACGGTTGAACGGAATTATGTAGAATCGAACGTATGAACTCGTAGGGAGAGGCATCTTTCGATGAAGCGGTGTTGAATGCGGCAAAGCCGGGCAGCGTCGTGATCTGCACTTGTTCGGTAATGGGTATCGCAGGGTCTATGGGTATCGGTCGCTTGGAAATAACAACGAACGCCGCACACGTGGGAGAATCTACAAGTTCAGAAGAAAGAGTGTAGAGAAAGTGCTGGGTGACGCCTGTTGCAGCAGTTAGCGGGGCCGCCCCAAATCACTCAACAGGTAGCTGCTTACCATTTGCGCCATCTAGCCCGTCAATGCGAGCCTCGTCCAGCCTGTCTTTCACCAAGTAAATAACCTGCTGCGACTCAAGGGCGAAACGAGTGCAGCGCTGCAGGGTATCGTCGATCCTAGACTCCGAAAGTAGACTGCCGGGCGCGTGAAGGTCCGCACTTGAAGCTCCGAGATTGACTTCAAGTACCTTCTCGACATAGTCGACGATGATTTGGGGGTCGATCGCCGGTGGTGCTGGGCTCGGGGAGCGTATGCTGCCGTTGGCGGCCCCTGGAGCCAGCGGTGCCTCCATATCGTTGTTTATGTGTAGTTTCGGAAAAGAGACATGTGTCTCGCCGCTTCCTTGGTGGGTATAAAGGAGCGACCGCGAGGAGTATTAGGTATGTCGGCGAAGGAGGGTGTAAGCAGCCCCGAAACGATGACTGTTGAAGGTGTGCTCTCCTAGAGACGAAAGTTGGGAAGACGCGACGGGTCCGTGCGGCAGACGCGGAGGACCGACCAACGCACAGTCGCGGCAGGGGTATGATCAGATACGAGCGTGATTGGTGTTTCGATCGCGAAAAACAAATCACACCTTCTAGAAAACTTCCGCTGCGTTGGCAGTGGAGATGGCGTCGATGGCTTGCGGCGTTTTGAGTGACAGCCGTCACCCAGGTTTTGTTTATCTCACCTGCAGTGTGTTGACGCGCCGCGGACCCCGCAAATGCACAGCGGGAAGGCGCGACGGACGGGGCCGCTACATTACACGTGACTCTGCATGAACGGGCCAGCGATTATGTCTCAAATGCGTACGGCGGGCATTTTGGACGAACGAATTGCTATTTGGCAAAGTGGTTGTGACACACAAAGGTGGAACTGTACGACAACTACCTAACACTCCCCCTGCCTCGGTCCTCTAGTTCGACCTCTCCATCGTCCTCGCTCTCCCTCTGTCCATCTGGATCGGCTTCTCTGCGTCTCGCGATGACTGGACTCATTAACCTCACACCTTGTCGACCGCCCAATCTAGACGTCAACTTGCTAAACATGCCATCGACCCACCCAGCGGCGGTCTTGAGGACGCCCCAGACCTTTTCCTGCCTTTCGTCCAAGCTCCGCGCAACTTCAGGATTCTCACGAGCCTCGAACTTGAATTGATACTTGAGACAATCTTTGACGGTGACGAGTCCAGTAAGGCGACCACGGTATTCGATGAGGATAACACGCGGGCCCATCTTCTTGAAGAGCTCCATGACAGTTTCGAGAGGGAGGCGCGGATGGACGGAGAGTGGAGTGGGATCAATGAATTTGGAGAGATCGACTTGAAGCTGACCAGAGGTGGCAGGCATGGTGTCGAAGGACGCAGACGGTATTGCGGAGGTTGGAGCATGAGCACCATTGTTGTTCGGTGTGGCGAATATGCAGCGCGCATGGCCGGGTGCCATTTGATCTTTCTTAGCTCGGTCAATGGCATATCGCAGCTCCGTTTGGCCTATGTACCCAATTAGGGTTTTTGACTGTGCATCTTCCACGATCGGATACCCTTGGTACTGGTTTTCGTTGACGATACGCTCCAATGCTCGTAATTCAAGACCAGTTGCGGGCAATGACACTACATGCGATGCCATGACCTGTGAAACGGGTACGCCGAAAGTGTGCTCCTCTTTGTTGTCTAGGAATGGATATCCGTTCAGATAGATCATGCGATCCGCAATGCCGCCATGACCGAATCGCTCACTGACGGCCTTCGTGACTCCGACTACGACCATGGTCGGCAATATGTAGGTCAAGGCGCCTGTGATCTCAAACATGATGACCACAGTCGACACTGTGATGTGCATGATACCACTCAATGCGGCGCCAGCGCCCAGAAAGGCGTAAGTACCAGGTGTGATGCATGGCACATCCGGCTGGCAGGCAGCAAAGAACGCTGACTCCGGGAATGACTCGTGTAAGAATTGTACAAAAGTGCCAACCATTCTTCCGAAGGATGCTCCGATAGCCATGGAGGGCACAAATATACCTGCGGGCACCTTGCAACCGAATGATATAATGACAAGAAGGGTGCGAAGAACCGTAGCTATAGCAAGCGAAAACATCATGCGCCAGCGATTAGCAGATCTAGAAATCGTTAGATGTGTCAACACGAGGTGAATTAGGACGCTTACTCGCAAAGCTCGTCATAGTCGTGGTCGCCCTCGCACTCCTGGAAGAGAATCTCCATGCTCTCTGTCATGTCGATGCGAAGGAACATGTTTGGATAACAGACGATGGCTGTGAGGACAGCTAAAACCACCGCCTCGGTGATCGGGTAGTTGCCAAGATACTTCTTTCGAAATACCTGCACTCTCAGGTTCCATTTCATAACAAACGCACCGTACAGGCCACCGAAGACTCCGATAATGAGGTAGAACAAGATTTCAAAAAAATGCCATGTCCGGTCGTACTTCACCTGGAACATGACGAGCTGGCCCGTCCGGAAAGGATTCATTGCAGCGAGGACAGCTGTTGCGACCAGAGCGCAGAAGTAGCTCCTCCAAAGCGTTTTCAGTGGAAAGTAATTGGACATTTCTTCCAGCGAGAAAAGCACGCCTCCTATCGGGCTACCAAACGCGACGGCCACACCTGCTGCAGCGCTTGCGCTGAGGATTTCCCGCGTTTTTGCCGCATTTCGTCGGTATTTGTCGAAGAATCGCGATATAACATTGCCCGTACAGACTGCATAATGCACACTCGGCCCTTCTTTTCCTACTGAAAGTCCAGACGCAATAGCGAGCGGTAGGCCGATCGACTTGATCAGCAACGTCCATGCGCCCAAGAAACCCTTCATGACGAAGCCGGCAATGATGCACTTCATCTCCGAGATTCCCGACCCGGCTGCATACGGCGCAAAGCTCTTGACCAACGTAGCAGCTGTGAGGGAGAACAGTGCCGCGAAAAGTATGTAGAGAACGTAATTGACAGGCCAGAAGCCGCTCCAGCGCTTCCATTCGGGGCACCCTGGTGCGTGTTAGCAATATCTTTATTGCAATGGAACCGACACAAACTTACCGCTCTCGGCGCCCCAGCAGCAGAAGTTCTCATTCAAATAGAAAGCCGTCTCGCAGTGTCCTAGCTTGATGTCCGCCAACCATTCTGTGATAATGTTCAAGCACGCTGCGATAAGCCCAATCGAGGCGCCCACGAGCGTAACCACGATCCAAGCTTGTCCTGCATCATACGCTTCGTACAATCGCCTGCGCCAGCCTATTCGGCCTCTTCCTCCAAGCCCAAGACTATAACTGTCCCGTTGTTTCCGCCTGGCTTTTCGCCGTAGCTGTTCGCGCGCCGCATCTTGCACCCAGTCTATCGTCGTGAAGTCCTCATATCTCTTTATCTTTGCGATCTCTTCGACGATGGCATGGTTTACGGACACCTCGCGCGTGGCCTCGGGATCATCTTCCGGGTCTGGCGGGAGCGAGTTGGAGGTTGGACGACGGCGAAGCGGCGGTGCGAACGACGAGGTGCGGTTTGGGGCAGCTCGAGATCGTGATCGCGAAGCTGAGGAGCGATTCATCGCATGGTTGAATCGTAGTGGTAGGGTCTATTCTGAGCCGTTTGGGACAGCTTGAGTGCTTGACGTCGGGCGCACGCGCCACAGCTGTCAAGGAAGGCACGCGTGGCGCAGCAACCTGTAGGTAACGGAAGCAGCAACGCTGTTGCAAGAGCATCCGGTGTTCGAACGAAGCGCAGCCTTTGGTTGTATCTGAATCATGGAAAAACGACAATGTACTCCTGGTACACTATCAACCAATGTCAATAGTATACAGACATGTGTTGTTCCATTTCGAGCAGCTCATCTCCAACGAATGTATTCCCGATCAACAACTACCACTTCAACTCCTTCGAAAAAGCGGCACGGCGCAAGAACATTCTCTTCCATTACCAAGTTTCGTTTCCTGATTACTACCCCATCTTAGAGCCTAAGGGATCTGCACTTGGCGACTATGCGTGTCTGAGCAAGCGCGCTGTGGTCACTTATGACCCTAAATGAGTAACATAATTAGTCTTCCAACTGTCTTCACGATTTCTGTTTCTTGCGTTACATTACAATCCGTTAATTCCGAGCATTCGGAATTCAATTCATAATGTATTCCGCGCTCGTACAACTGGCACAATTCAAGCTTCGATAAGGCTGGGCTAACACCAAACAGGAAGGAGCTTCTGTAGCTTGTGTCATCCCGAGCTTTGAGTACCTGAACAAACTCCATCCCATGTCTCGACATTGCCTTCGACTTTGAAAAGCATTCTATCTCCTGGTTCGAGCTTGAGATAGCCTTTTGCGTGGAGTACTCTCTATCGTAAGAGATCAAATATTGGAGTGCGAATACTGTAGCATACGCAACAGGACCCAGGCAGCTCTACAGCAGCAATGAAGCTCACTCTAGCTTCCCTCCTCCCAGCGGTAGCCTTTGCAGGACGGCTATCTCAAATCCCATTCCAAGAAACGCCCGAAGTCGAGGCCTTCCAAGTCTATCAAAGCGAATACTCTGAACACCACTCTCTGCGGATAAAACAACAACAGAATGGCTCCCTCTGCGATGCGCACTCAAAACAATACACTGGATGGCTAGACGTCGGCTCAAAACATCTCTTCTTCTGGTACTTCGAATCACAGAGTTCACCATCCGAGGATCCTCTTGTGTTATGGTTGACAGGCGGGCCGGGCGGTTCTTCTATGATTGGTATGCTCCAGGAGAATGGGCCATGCTTGATTAACGAGGGCGGCAATGGGACGCATTACAATGAATTTGGATGGAGCAAGAATGCGAATCTGCTGTTCATTGATTCTCCGGCTGGTGTTGGCTTCAGTTATCTGGACGAAGGAGTCCCTCTGCCGGGAGACAGTTTCACGACCGCAGCAGATCTACATCACTTCCTACAAATCTTCGTTGGCGATGTCTTCTCAGATCTCGCGGAGAGAGACTTTCACATCACCGGCGAAAGCTACGGCGGCCACTACTGCCCAGCACTAGCCGCACAAGTGGTCTCTCAAAACCTTTTGTATCCGAAACGCCAGCAAGTTAACCTCCGCTCCATTTTCGTCGGCAACGCGTACGTCTCTCCCGTCGACACTGCCTTCGGCTATTGGGAGACTCTTTGCACCACCAATCCCGGTGTAGAAGAACCCGTCTTCAACAAAACTCGCTGCGACATCATGGCCGCCAACCTCCCGCGCTGCCTCGACCTCGCACGCCTTTGTTACGCGCATCCCGATCCCGCCATCTGTGGAGCCGGTTCGACAGTCTGTTGGCACGGCGTGATCAAGTACTACGACGGCGAGTCAGGCGAGGGAGGCGACCGCAACCGCTTCGACATTAGCAACCCATGTAAATCCGGAGATGACTTGTGCTACCTCGAATCCGGATGGATCGAGGAGTATCTAAACCAGCCGCACGTCTTCGAGGCGCTGCACGTGCCCAAGGCGGTTGCGAACTACAGCGTTTACAACATGAACATTGAGTACGCATTTGAGCTCACGGGCGACCAGGGCATCAGCCTCCAACCACAAGTTCTCTACTTGCTTGAGAACGGTATCGATGTGCTGTTCTACCAGGGTAATTATGACCTTGCGTGTAACACTGCGGGGAATATTAGATGGGCGGAGTCGATGCCGTGGAAAGGGCAGCCTGCTTTTGTTGCTCAGCCTAGGAAGACGTGGAAGCATGGTGGCAAGGGAGTAGGGTGGTACAAGGAGGTTAAGATTGAGACGGCGAGTGGGAGGGAGACAACTTTCGCTGTTAGCACGGTGGACGCTGCGGGGCATATGGTCCCGTACGACAAGCCGGAGGAGGGACTGGCATTAGTGAACAGGTGGATCAGTAAGAGGAGCTTTGCGTGATAGAGTAGGTTGTTGGTGAGTATGAATAGAGTCGGTCAATGTGAGTATCAATATGATGTTTATAACTAAGTCTCCAGCATACAAACAACATCACGAATGTATCCAGAACCACCTCCCCTATCCGAGATTCATAGCTTCTGCTTTCATTTTCAATACCATCTGTAGTCGTCGGGTTTGGAGATCTCGGGATAAGTAGCCTGACTGTGTGTGATTGGGGTTAAACTCGCGACTCGACTACAACGTACAATCACCCTGGCAGGCGCTTACCGAACAAGCTGTTTTACATTTAGGTTCGTGGTCCACAGCCTCTAGCCAGTTTCATCACTGAAATGCATCAGAGCTACCGCGATGAAGTATGAGGAGAAATATGCTTGACATTCGCCAAAACGCGCTTCAAAAACAAATCGGGCAGCACCAGTGTCGAGCGGGTTACGGCACTTAATTTTATTGAAGAGATGTTGGACATGATTGGCTCACTTTGACAAGGATTGTGATCATGGCGGTGCAAGGCTGAAGCGATTGAACTAGGCGTGGGACATGGAGCGCAGCAGTCAGCCTGATGGAAGAAATGATCTTTCACCACAATCCCAGCAGGCAACCTTTACGTGCGACATCAGGATCCTCATGATGGAGCGACCTGGAGTTACTTTTTTGGGCCAGAGCACTACAGCCGATGGCGGACAGACGACCTCCAAAATAGCAGCAGATCATGGGGATGCTGTGGAACATAATAAACCCACTGTACACGCAGAGCCGGCCGATGCCGTCTCAGTGACGGAGCGACAAGAAACTGAAACGCCGGCTGCAAGTGCTCCCGCAGTACCTGCTCCCATTCACAACGGCCAAAGACCTCTTCAGCGGCAACAGGTTGATGACTATATGCGGAGTTATCAAGAACGGCAAGGACTGGAAGAGGCCGGGGGTTTGGAGAGTCATGAACTGCAAAATCTTCGGCTGGGCACCGGAAATTCTCCTCCCTCCATGAGGACGTCCTATCGATCCTCAACTTCATCACTTGAAGCGCAAACGGATGTCCCTCAAGCTGAGCGACGGAGAAGACGGTGGAAAACCGTCAGAGCACTCATGAACGACCAGGGAGAACCTACAGATGTAACAGAAATAGCAACACGTCAATGTCAGTACATCCTCATCGTCGCTGCTCAGGGCATTATCATGTGACTATTTGACAGTGGACAATACACCAAATGGATACCCAAAGCTAGCGGCATTCATGGATGGGCAGGATAGGTTTATGGTGTTCAGGCGCTTTGGGTACTTACAGGCACGACTGCTTTTAGAGAAAGAAGGCCGTCTGACACAACTGGAGCGAGAGCTCGATGAAATGGATTGGGATGATTTCGACGCGAATCCCGATCATCTACGTACCAAATGTCTCGAGTCAGAAGCCCGGCAGCAACTGCTCGATCAAGCCGACAAGCATTTTCGGGAGTATGGTGCGTGCCTGTACCGGATAACGACGCAAGCCATGATATATACTGATTAGATCGAAGCCGAATTAATGACCACCATACAACGACTACGGTGTTTTGAGCCGCCAACAAATCGAGATTACAAATCGGTTAGAAGTTTTCATCACGATTACAAACCGCTTATGGATGCCGAAATGGATGCCGAAATGGATCCTATTCGAGCTCGACAAGATCTTGTTGCACTTCGACCAGCCAAAGACCCTGATTGGTTGGAACATTGCATTGCAAGATGTATAATAGCAACGCGAAGCGAATGGCTCAAGGTAAGCGCTTCGCCTGAACGCGGAATCGGTGCTAAAAATCTGTTCAGCGACTGTTCCGAACTCCAGTAAGCCATGACCGATGTTGACACGAATGATCTGATAGACCATTAACGCAATTCCTGAGTAGACGCACCGTGTGAAAACATATGATCAAGTTGGTATTATCGGTATGTCTCCATCACCCTCAACTATCGTCCTGAGCACTGTACCCAATCACGACCTGAAACTAACGCCCTTATCTAGAATTGAACGCAAGCAGAATCGCCAATCTTGCTACTGCTATCATCGCTTTTTTATCATCCATCCTCCTTGTCTTGCCCGTCCTCATATGCTACATCCTCGTCTCCAACGTCGGAGGAAGTAGAGGGTACTTTGGGTGTATCGCAGTTCTCTTCCTCTTCACGCTCATCTTCGCTTGTTCTATGGCGTTTTACTCCAAAGCAAAGCGCCATGAAGTTCTTGCGGCAACTGCTGCGTATGTTGCAATCTCATCAATTTGTTTTCACGCGGTACTGATTCTTCTCCAGATACTGCGCAGTCATCGTGGTCTTCTTGGGAAACGCGGCACCTAATTAGCTTGCCAAATCCGTACAGCCTCGAAGCATAGGTCGAATAGCGAATGTTTGTGGCGGACATTATGACATAGTCTCAGCAGGGAACGCACGGAGTCGGCGTGGTCTCGTGGAGCAAGTAGAGGCAAATTGAAGAGTTCCTTATGGCAACTAGGACCAGAATTTGATAATCTCAATTTAGAATCATCGTTACTACTCTGGGTTATCATTGACGAAAGCTTCATGCTACATCATGCTAATTTGGAGGTTTCCGTGGTGAATAGTATGAATGCCTGTGATTGGTGGTTAAATTTGCAAGTCACTGCTACTACATCCGGTTCCTACGGTACAACGACGAACTATAACCCCGCGTTTACCCCAGGTTCACGTACGGCTACACATTTCCAGAATGCGGTGCGAAGATCTAGCATAATCCAGTAAATATCATCACAGTAGATCTAAATCCTACGAATGACGATTTCTTGGCGAAGCTACCCAGGAGGTATATGTAGAAGACGATGACACACGAACCTAATTCCCAACAATAAGCAAGGCCTAGTAATTCCACCATTGCAACCATGCGTTGGACAAAAAGCAATTCCCTAAGGCATGGCCCCATAGCCATCATCTCCGCACTCCTCCTCTCCCTAGGTTCTCTCGCACACGCAAAATGGAATATCCCACCAGAGTACGCGCTGTATGCATCAGACAACGGGCATTATTTCCAGACCGTTGATGGAAAGCCTTTTTTCTGGCAGTCGGACACCGCGTGGCTTCTGATTAATCGTCTTAACCGCACCGAAACAATCACATACCTGTCCGACCGCGCCTCAAAAGGCTTCACCATCGTTCAAGCATGCGGGGCGCATTGCAACGGTCCTGATCAGCCTGACCGCGCGGGAAACCTCGCCTTTGTGGATGGCGACTTCGGTAAACCCAATGAAGTATATTGGGAGTATGTCGACTCCATCGTTGAACTTGCGTGGAAAGACTACGGAATCAGGATCGTGATGCATCCCGCCTGGGGCGGCTACGTGCACAATGACAAAGGCGTACCTGGGTCCTTGAACGAGAGCACGGCGAGGGTATTTGGAGAGTTTGTGGGAAGGAGATATCCATATGTGCCGAAGATATTGTTTGGAGACACGAATCCTTGGTGGAAGAATAAGACAGCTGTGAGTACGGACTACGCTTATGGAGGTGTGGCAAGTGCACGTTTGCCGGAAGAGTATCCTGTTATTGACTTCTCGGGCGTTTATCATGCACTTGCGGAGGGGATCGTGAAGGGAGAGGGCGAGGTTGTGAGGAATGGGAGTTATGATGCTGGAAGTGGGAATCAGAGCTATGTTCCCATGATCTCGATGCATCCTACGAACCAGTGGTTTCTGGGCGGTCCATTAGCACTGGCGAGTAGTTTTTTTGGGGAGTGTGGGTGGTTGGCGTTTGATGTGAGTCAGTCAGGACACTCGGATCGTCCGCCCAATCCTCCGATTCCGTGGTGGTCGTGTCGGAGGGGTTGGGAGCCGGCGGAGCTAATGTGGAGTGTGGGCGAGAGTACGCCTGGGAAGAAGAGACCAGCGATCGAGAACGAGCCGCACTATGAGTGGCGGTATAATAACGGGAAGTCGGGCAAAGCTAATGGAATGTATTGGAATGCGAGCGATGTGCGTATTGGCACGTGGCAGACGGTAAGGATTGAGTACGAGACCTTTAGCAGATGTTCTGCAGGCTGATTATCTGTAGGTGTTCGCAGGTATGGCTGGCCTCACTTACGGAGCCAACACCATCTGGCAGATGGCTATCCCCGACCTATACCCAGCCGATGAGAGCGGCCCACAGATTCCATGGTATGAGGCTATTACTTTGCCTGGTTCCAGCCAGATGCAATGGATTAAGAAAGCCATCCTAGACCGCGGGGATGGCACTTACTTCGATCGCATCCCAGCGCAGGACATCATCGTCGGCAACGCTGGTAGGTATTCCGCTTACGAATCTATATCTTTGCTGATAATGAACACTCAGGCACTTCTGACGCCCGGATCGCCGCCACTCGCGATGCGGATGGTTCCTGGCTTATGGTATACTCACCGAACGCAAGCTTTACTGTCGAGACTAAGAGTCTCAAGGGCTGTGACATCAAGGCTAGCTGGTTCAGTCCGCTGACCGGGGAGTATACACCGGTGAACAACTATACGCAGTGTGGAGGATCGACAGTACATCAATTTGAGCTTCCTGTAGCCGAGGGCCATTTAGATTGGGCACTTGTGCTAGAACAGTCTAGATAGAGATGAATCAGTGCAATTGTAGCTCTTGGGATGGTTTTTCCTCAAACAAGGAGAAATCATCGGTACCTTTCGTCTTGCGACATCTTGGGACGATAATCAACATTTGTAAAATGTCCAGTGAGGGGAGGAGTAACAGTGGAGTCTGATGGCTAACGCATGGTAGCCGGAAGTGTGCACGGACTCAATCCCAACGCGACACCTCCAAAAGTTCGCGACACCCACTCTACGCGTCAGACGACCCCGCTACTTGCTTTCACCCAACACGAATTGCTCGCGCATCTGTCTATACCCCAGATATCCTGTCCGGGATTCAGCAACCTCTCTTATTGAGCACTGCACACTGTAGCTGTTCCTCTGTTCCTTCACCCTCACCCCCAACTGTCTCGCGACAAGATGCCGTACAACAACACCCCCATCGCGCCTTCCAAGGAGGTCAGCGGCCAGGTGTCACTTCCTCGTAAGCCTATATCTCAAATTACAAAGAAACCATAAACCTAACATTGATCTAGTCGCACGCGTCCAAAAAAATCATCAACGCTGACCCCGAGCGTCTCCATACCTCGAAAAATGCAGCCTTCGCCATCGCCCTTGCAACCGAGCTCTTCATCCAGCACTTCGCTACCGCAACACACAACGTCGTCAAAGCAGAGACGCAGAAGAAGCCCAGGCGAAACGTTCAGTACCGCGATGTTGCAACGGCCGTCGCGAAGACGGATAATCTCGAGTTTCTGGTGGATGTCGTGCCCAGGACAGTGAGGTTTGGGGAGGTGAGAGAGAAGAGGGAGAGGAAGGAGAAGGAGGCAGAGGGGAAAGGGAAGGAGGGCAGCAAGGAGAATGGGGAGGGCGCGAGTGGAAATGTGTTGGAGCGGTTGATGGCGAATGGGAAGAAGGTGAATGAGGAAGAGAAGGAGAAGGTTGAGAAAGAAGGCCCTATTGTGGAACAAGCAGAAGGCGGCGCTGAGGCTATGGAGATAGATCAGGAGCCACAGAAGGCGGAGGAGGCGAAGGAAACGCCGGTCGTCGAAGTCGAGGACAGCGAGCCTGAGCAGGACGAGGTGGCCATGCAGATCGAGATGGAGATGCGAGGACCGCGGACGAATGGTAGTGCCGCTACCGCTGCCAGCCCAAAGGCTCCCACAGTCAGCCCTCCTGCTCCTGCTCCTGCTCCTGCACCTGCGCCAGCTCCTACACAGAGACCTACGAGGTCGAGCGGCTTCACAGCGATCAACGGTTCAAAATAAACTAGAGGTAGGGATATTCGTCATTTTGTATGGGCATGCATAGCAATGGCGTTCATGGCTTTGTCAAGGATATCACAATCTAAGTGTAAAGCATTATTTGTGGACATCACACCAGTGCAAGGAAGCTCTCAATGCTCGGATTGTGATGAAGAAGTTGTTTGAGGACTCAAACACTATGACGCCTGGAAGACCAGACTTTCAACACCGTATCTGTTGTCCCAGATACCCCAACCCCCATGTTCGTGAGATCTTCACGTGGTTCGATTTCGTTCGAACGCTCTGATGCAACGAAGGAACTATGCTCAACATCCGTCTCGCCGTCTGCGTCCCTGTGGTGGTTGGTCAAGCTCTGGCTCGTTTCTCACTCTTCTCTTCTGCTCTTCCTTTACCCTGGCCACTCGCCACCGGAGGCGAAGCGCTTCCTAGTGCTCGCGGACGAACGACCGAATGGAACCTTTGGGCGCGGCAGGCAGAGAGTAGACGTGTACCTTCCGGTGGCCTGCATCGGCCGCTAAGACCTTTTGCAACACCTTCCTGGTAGCTTTCCAAGGTACTTCGAACAAAACCGAATTGATCTGACACATCCTGATTTCCGTGAGTTGCGGCTCGCGACTCAACTTGTCAAGCAGGTCCTTGAAGGCGGGCACCGTGTTCTGCAGGATCATAGGCGACGGATCTTTCTTCCTGCCATGCCCGGCACTGGTAAACAAGCAACCGATCCAATGCTTTGGTGCACCAGGTTTCACCTCACGGGGGCCTATAAGCAGACACGTACCCACTCGAACAGGATTCTGCTTTGGGTGGTGAGCAGACAGGCAGTGCCTTTCGTACTCCTTGAAGGCCTTGGGATAGCGCTTGTGGAACTCTTTGGCAATCCCCGCACCCCAGACACCTTGGGTATTGCAGGCGTGAATGAGCACGCTGTTGTCTGGTGCTGAAAACAGATCGCCTACATGCTCTTCGAGGCGGGACGCGGCATCTTTGGTGCTGTTGTCGTTGTGTTGCTCATCGTCTGTGACTTTGGCCTTTTCCTTGCCCTTCGCTCCGGCCTTGGGAGACGTTCTCTCGTTGCTCGTCTTGTCGCTCGGGATATCCTCAAAAGACGTTCTCGAAGACACTGTCTTTGAGTCTTCTCTAGCGGGGCCCTTGCCGATATTAGGTATCTGTCCAGTCGCGTCCGTTTGTGCGGCAGCGTCAGCGTCGTCCGTCATCTTGGCCGCCTTTGGTGGGGGTGCTTCTGGATGTTCAGTATCCGATCCCGCGCCCCGCTTATGAGCGATGCTGTCGGGCGATACAAGTGTGCGTCCTGTTGAAGCGAATCTTAAGAGCGGGACTAAGTGAGGGAGGTGTGTAGGCGAGTGAGCCCGCGGCGTTTGACGGTGTTCAGAAGACATCTTCGGTATTGGCTAAGTGAAGGTCAAAGTGAATGGATCAGTATGAATGGGATGAGTAACGATGTTGTGATGTTGTGTTAGTTGTGTTGAGAGAGGCAGCAAGAGTGAGTGTTGCCTGGAGTTAGTCTGCGGTTAACAGTAGAAGCTGCGAAGCAAGCAAAAGCAAGCCAGCCTAAAGGCAGCGACTATTCTAGAGTGCATGCATCTACATGGAGATGGAGCTTCAATGTTAGAAGGCACGATGTGGTGACCTGCGCATGGTGAGGCGATGACGCCTGGAAAAGCTGCCCCCCGGCGCAACCGCAGCAGCCAATCAGCGCGCTCCCGAAAACACCTCGTCAATCGCCCTTTCCAAACTTCGCTTTCGACCTCATCCCGTGCCTCCACAGCTCCATCCAGCGCAACACACCCTCCGCCGCATCCACGATGCCCGCCCTCGCAAACACCACCCGCGCGATAGCCCGCTCATGGACCCAGCACTCGCTGCCCGTCGCGCGGGCGGGCTGCGGCGCCATGCAGTCCCGCAACCTCTCCGAGGTGCACTCGACGTCCAGCTTCGACAGCCCCTTCAAGGGCCAGGGTAGCTCCACCAAGATCCCGTCGTTCGGCCACTATAAGAAGAACTCCGGAAACGAGGACGGCCCTAAGCTCGTGCAGTACTTCATGGTCGGCACCATGGGTGCGTTGGCGAGTTTGGGCGCGAAGGCCACCGTGCAAGGTAATTCTACACCACACCTCCGTGGAGCTCCGGACAGCAATGGAACGGGAAGGGGAGGATCGCTGAAGGGTGTTTCATAGCCATTGGCTGTTTTGCGGATGGATTGGAGACGCGCGGCGATGAGGCAACAGATGCTAACGATTTTGCGTCGCAGATTTCCTTGTCAACATGTCTGCTTCCGCCGATGTCCTGGCCCAGGCCAAGGTCGAGATCGATCTCGCTGCCATCCCCGAGGGCAAGAACGTGCGTTGCCAACTTTCTGCGCGCCCGGAGACATGGAGCTAATATATTACAGGTCATTATCAAGTGGCGAGGCAAGCCCGTCTTCATCCGACACCGTACCGAGGGCGAGATCAAGGAGGCCGAGGACACAAAGTGGGAGGCGCTCCGTGACCCCCAGGCCGACGCGGACCGTGTGAAGAAGCCCGAATGGTTGATCATGCTTGGTATGCCTCAAACCTAGGTTTATATAGAGGATCAACACGCTAACAGGCAACAGGTGTCTGCACCCATCTTGGTTGTGTTCCCATTGGCGAGGCTGGCGACTTCGGCGGCTGGTTCTGCCCTTGCCACGGTTCCCACTACGACATCTCTGGCCGCATAAGAAAGGGACCCGCACCGCTCAACCTCGAGGTACCGGAGTACGACTTCCCGGAAGATGGCAAGGTAGTCATTGGTTAAGCGACTGTACAATAGAAGAAGAGGTGGTAGATGGTGTGGAAGGGAGGGCTGTGTCGATAGTAGCAAGCATCACAATTTCCTTGGATCAGCTTTCTTCAATAGATTCGCTTATGTGCAGTAGTATGTACAACAAAGTAGAGTCTTCGTTCTGGCAACCTATTCATTTTTTGTGTTTGCTAACCGCAGGGTATACATTCATCCAGTTTTCCCAAAATTATCGTCAGATTCAAGTTCGTCGCACATTTACCCTAGGCGCTGTCTAGAGTACTACCGCTGAGGCCGAAACTATTGCCCACCTCCTAGAAACGACTCGACAGCGCTTACAGCCCCCCGCAAACTTGTCCGCTTCGATCAGTATCAAATGACCCATGGGCTTCACACCCAGCTCTTGAAACGCCCTCTTACTATCACTCGCACCCTCATCCACCGGACTCTCGAACTCAAAACTGCCATACCCCAGCGCATGCCTATGCAACACCTCGTCCTCCGGATGAAAATAGAACGTCTCTTTATCATCCCCCCTTCGCGGCCTTCTTCTTCTTCGCCGGAGGCTGCTCCGCCGCAGGCAGGTTCGACTCTACCTCCATGTATGCCTTGGACAACACAAGGTAGTGTGTAAAAGCGTAAGGTTCCTTCTCATCAAGCGCCCACTGGATCTCTTCTTGCAGCATCTTGTAGCTGGGTGCGACGATTTCGTGGGGCATGTTGATGAAGCGCTCGGTAAGGATGAGGCCAATCTGGGAGGTGGATGGGGCGGTAAGGAGCGTTTGGAGAGGTGCGAGTGAGGGCGTGGTGGAGTGTCGGGTGAGGTAGGCGGTTAGGTCGGCAATTACTTGCTTGTCCTGTAGTGCGGTTAGTCTGGGAACCATGCATAGTACCAACGGCAATGAAGCTGACCTTATGTGTTTCGAGGTTCAGCACTGTCAGGAATGAGAAAGGGTCCGATTCCGTGCCATCGCACTTCACTGTGCTTCCCAGCAGTGGCTGCGATAGTATGAGATCTGCGAGCTCGGAGAGGTTGAAAAGCTGATTGTCGACGTCGAGGAGCTGTCGCAGGAGGGTCTTGAGACCGTGGAAGTCGACTGCGGGATTTGGATCGAACCATTCGAAGTCTACATCCAGAGTGTCCATATCCTACAAACGTGAGCTTCATTCTCGTTGCGGGGAAGAGCGGGGAGTATGCGCACTTCATCGCTGTCAGAGTCGTCATTTTTCCTCTTGCTCTTGCCGTCGGGCGCATCGGGGAGGTCCTCGGGATCTTTTTGAGTCTTTCGCTTCGCCATTGTGTAAGTTGTGTATGTTGTGCAGTGCCTGCGGCATTCCGTCGAAATAATTCTGAGACGCTTGGACCACTGTCGATAGCCACTTCCCACCGGCGCGGTTGCGCTTGCTGCCCCGCCAAATTTTTTATCAGCTGGCGCTGTGCGAGTCACTTCCCCCTCGTTCACTCTTTTCCTTAGAAACTTTCTTGATCTTCTCTCCTACCTTCTTTCAGACATTGATTGCTCAATTTAAGCTCAAATCAGCACCATGGCGACCGACGCAAGCGACCCGATTCCCCCGCACAAGACCTTCGACACCATTCTGGTGCTTGATTTCGGCTCCCAGTACTCGCACCTTATTACCCGTCGTCTTCGCGAGCTCAATGTCTACTCTGAGATGCTCCCGTGCACCCAGAAGATCGCTGATCTTGGCTGGACTCCCAAAGGTGTGATCCTATCGGGAGGCCCATACTCGGTTTACTGGGACGACGCGCCCCACGTTGACCCCGCCGTATTCGAACTCAATGTGCCAATCTTGGGCATATGCTATGGATTGCAAGAGATGGCGTGGACCTTTGACAACAAGAACGTGCTCGCGGGTGAAAAGAGGGAATATGGTCACGCGTACCTGAAGGTCGAAAGGCACGGAGATGGCGAGGCGGGAGGGCATGTGGACAAGCTGTTCGCGGATTGGGAGGATAACACGGAAGTGTGGATGAGCCACGGCGACAAGCTTGGCCACCTACCTGAGGAATTCATCACGATCGCTACCACAAGCAACGCGCCATTCGCGGGTATCGGCCACAAGAGCAAGAAGTATTACGGCATCCAGTTCCATCCCGAGGTTACACACACGCCCAAGGGCAAGGTCTTGCTGAAGAACTTCGCCGTTGACATCTGCGAAGCCCAGACAAACTGGACGATGAGCAAGTTCGTCGATCAGGAGATTGAGAGGATCAGGAAGCTGGTCGGCCCCAAGGGTCAGGTCATTGGCGCTGTTAGCGGTGGTGTCGACTCTACTGTCGCTGCGAAGTTGATGAAGGAAGCCATTGGCGACCGCTTCCACGCCGTGCTTGTCGACAACGGCGTCCTCCGTTTGAACGAGGCCAAGATTGTCAAGGAGACACTTACAGCTGGCTTGGGTATCAACCTCACCGTCATTGATGCCTCTGAGCGATTCCTCGGTCGTCTCGCAGGCGTTAAGGACGACCCTGAGAAGAAGCGCAAGATCATTGGCAACACCTTCATCGAAATTTTCCAAGAGGAAGCGAAGAAGATCGCCGCGGAAGCACACGAAACTTCTGAAGCCGGCGAGATTGAGTGGCTACTCCAGGGCACCCTCTATCCTGATGTCATCGAGAGTATTTCCTTCAAGGGCCCTTCCGCGACTATCAAGACCCACCACAACGTCGGTGGCCTTCCAAAGGATATGAACCTCAAGCTCATCGAGCCACTCCGTGAGCTCTTCAAGGACGAGGTTCGCGAGCTAGGCATGAACTTGGGCATACCTGAGGACCTCGTCTGGCGTCACCCCTTCCCAGGACCTGGCATTGCTATTCGCATCCTTGGCGAGGTCACGCCTGAGCAAGTTCGCATTGCCCGTGAGGCAGACAACATCTTCATCGAAGAAATCAAGGCGGCTGGCTTGTACAGGAACATCAGCCAGGCATTCGCCGCTTTGTTGCCAGTCAAGGCTGTGGGTGTCATGGGTGACAAACGAGTGCACGATCAGGTCATTGCGCTGCGCGCAGTCGAGACCACCGATTTCATGACGGCGGATTGGTATCCGTTTGATGGGGCTTTCTTGAAGAAAGTTTCCAGGAGGATTGTAAACGAGGTCAACGGTGTCTGCCGTGTGGTGTATGATAGTAAGTTCCATGTTCCACTCTTTGGTAATCTCAACTAATATCTCTCAGTCACTAGCAAGCCTCCTGGTACCATTGAGATGGAGTAAAGGACGGCTCGTACACGTAGGCACGACAAAGGCCTGGCATTTTTCCACGATATAGACGCATTTAGGACATTCCGTGAGCGGAATCAAAAGGAATGAATTGGACGATAGATATAGACGACTTGATACCCTGCATGATAGATATGAAAAATTCACAATTTCTCTACTGGACTGAAGTGCTGCCGAATTGCTGCCGGTTGAACTCTGCTCTACTTTCACGGTGATTCTCGAAGTGAAGTCCCGCGAGACTAAAGAGTACTAGCTACTCGAATCGCATCCCGTTAAGCTATACCAAGCGCTGCCACAATCGGAGCTACGATGTATACCAGCCTCCTATCGTAAGCGCTTCGTTTGGGCAACGACGATGACTCACGAATGTCGCAAGATATTACCCTCAATTCGCATTTCAAAGCAACATTTACCAGCAATGGTATGTGGTGTCGAATTCTATGTCGTAGCAACTTAGCCTCCGTATTGATCGTCTGAAGAGCTTCCCGTATGGCTCATCTTACGCGTGTGGTTTTCCCAATCGGGAAATGGCGTTCCTTGTTCTACCTTGCTTGTTTGTCAGCCTACATCACTTGCCTTGTGCATGTGTGCAGCACTGCGACCAAATTGAGGATAAATAGTATACTGATTTCGAGAGAAATCGTACGCGCTTTTATATTTCCACAACTAATCTGCGCGTTTCTGAATTTACAGACTTTGATTTGACAATGGCGGTCTACAACACACTTCCCACCACCGCGAAAGGCAAGATCGAACCTTTCGAAATTCACATTGAAGAACACAAGTTACAGGATTTGAACACATTAGTGAGATTGAGTCCAATCGTGCAAGCCACGTATGAGAACCAGAAAGAGCGTGCATCAGAAAGCCACACCTTCGGCATCACACGCGAATGGCTAATCGAAGCAAAGAAGTACTGGGAGACTGATTTCAACTGGTACACCTCTCATCATCCCCAAAATCACACATACTAACACCACACAGGCGCACCCAAGAAGCCCACCTGAACACTTTCCCCCACTACAAAGCTTCCATCACAGACGACGACGGAAGGACCTACACCATCCACTTCTGCGCCCTCTTCTCTCGCTCCCCCACCGCAGTCCCCCTCGCCCGCCTAAGCGGCTGGCCCTGCACCTTCGTCGAATCTCTCCCCCTCCTGACCCTCCTCCAGCAGAAATACTCCCCGGAGAAGTTACCCTACCATGTGATTCTGCCCTCGCAGGTTGGCTGGGCTTTCTCCTCCCCTCCACCTCTGGATAAAGACTGGTCGTACGCAGACTCCGCGCGTATACTGCACAAACTCATGACCGCGACGCTAGGGTTCGAAAAGTACGCCGTGAGCGGGGGAGATATCGGCGCGGGTATAGGACGTATCATGGCGTCTTCGTACCGCGAGGTCAGCGCCTTCCATACGAATCACAATCAGATGCCGCGTCCGGACGACGCAACCCATGAAGTGCTTGAAGCGTTTGAGAAAGAGGGCGTAAGCAGGGGTGAGGAGTTTCTGAGCACGGGGACGGCGTACGGGAGGATGGCGGGGACGAGGCCGGGGACGCTGGGGCGGTGCTGGCGTCGTCGCCTGTTGCGCTGCTGGCTTGGGTAGGCGAGAAGTATCTTGAGTGGTGCGATCAAAGGACGCCTGTCCCTTTATCACACATCCTCGAAGCTGTCAATCTGTATTGGTTTACTGGTTGTCTGGCCACAACGTTTTATCCCTACCGCGAGGACTTTCTCGTGGGTCCGGGGAAGAAGGGGTATCTACATGGGCAAGCGGAGTTGTATGTGGAGTGTCCGATGGGTTACAGCTATTTTCCTAGAGAGATGATACCTTGTCCGAGGAGTTGGGCGGAGAAGAGCGGAGCGTTGAGATGGTACAGGAGACATGAAGTTGGAGGGCATTTCCCGGCTTTGGAGAGAAGCAGCGTCTTGTTACAAGATATTGAAGATTTTCTGGGGGAGGTATGGACGTAGAGCGGAGAAGGAAGTGTGGAGCTCCAGTTCGAGCAGGAGCGTTGCGTTTCGTTTGTTCGCAAAGCCTAAATCTATGTTATGTCTACAGCTTCTGCTTCTCCTTCTGCACCGCAGGCTTTCTGTGCATGTTGCTCCCCCCCGCGCCCGCCTATTCACCGTCAGTCTACTGCGCCGTCTTCCGGTGCATAACCGTCGCCGCCGCCTGAGAAACATCAGCAGCTTTTCCATATAGCGAAGGTGGAAACTCACCTGGTGATTCGGATACACCAACGTATCCGCTAGCACAACGTTCTCCCTTCTGCCTGCCGCGAAAACCACCACCTCTGCGATATCATCACCCGTCAACGGCTCCACCCCCTCGTACACCTTCTTCGCCTTGTCTTTGTCGCCGTAGAACCGCACAACGCTGAACTCGGTTTCTACCTGTCCAGGGTCGATCTCGATGACGCGGATGCGCGTAGCGATAAGCTCTTTACGGAGAGCCTCGGTGAAGGAGCGCACAGCGGCTTTGGTCGCGCAGTAGATGCTACCGCCTTGGTAGGGCTCGCGGCCGGCGATGGAGCCGATATTTATGATGTCGCCGCGGCCGCCGTCGGAGCGGGACTTGTAAATGGGGAGGATGGCTTGGGTCATGTTGATGAGGCCGGTGACGTTGGTACTGAACATAACATCGATATCCTCCGAAGCGATATTAGGTGCTTGTGCGACGCCTTTGACGAGACCACTACCACATATGAGTTATTTCCTTTCCTAGATCTAGGTGGAGGGAAATGCAAGGCGGACTCACGCATTGTTAACAAGCACATCAACCTCCTTGAACTCGTCGGGCAGCTGTCCCACGAAGCTCTGTATTTCCTCCGGCTTGCTCACGTCCAGCTTCACAGGGTGCACCTTTACGCCCTTCGCAAAGCTATTGATTTCTTGGGCGACCTCCTTCAATGTGTCGATTCTCCGCGCGGTAATGATGAGCTTCAGGTCATCTGGCTGCGTCCTCGCGAACTCCAGCGCTACGCTCTTTCCAATGCCTGAACTCGCGCCCGTTATGACCACCGTCTTGCCCTTCAGTCTCTGCGCCATAGACGACGACATTCTTGCGTGTTCGCGGAACGCTGCTGTGAGGTGTTGTTGCGTATTGGGCGATCGGAATAAGGCCGAGGTAGTTCGTAGGAGGCGGGTGCTGTTGTGGGAGAGGAAAGGCATACGACGCGTCGCCGGGGGACAATTGGGGTTGCGTTATGTACGTCGCTTATACACGGATCGAAGGCGGGGTATCAATGTCCGAGATTGGTGGGGTTGGCAAACTGGGAGTCAGAATGGCGACATGGCGGCTTCGGAGGAGAGGGGTGGTTATCTCGGAAACAAATCCGACGCGAGTCATGGAGCATGTTGGAGTTCGCGGGGCTGGAGGGGTAAAGTTCGTGAGCAACGTAAGAACTTCAAGAATACCATCTTACCAGACTGCTTCAAGGGCGGACTAACGCATCGTCTACTGCGCGTTTTTAAAGTGTCTTGTCGCATATATTCACTTCGGCAATAGAACAATTTTTGAGGCCATGACATCATCTCATTATGCTATCATATCATCCGTCGGGTATAGTCGTACAAATCATCGTAGACTTCGAAAGACTTTTTCAACTCCACATACCATGCTCTAAATCAAGCATCTATTTCTTTCCAGGCATGGCATCGCCCTTGCCTTTCCGCCTGAGCTCAGCCTCCTCCTCCTCCTTCAACTCCTGGTCGATCTTGGCGCCCTTGGAAGGCTCGTTACCGTGCAGCTTCGCCGGCAGTGTAGAGTCGATTTTTGATGCGCGGTCCTCTTCGGATAGTTTGTTCTCATCCTCGTTCTCGCGCTTCTCTTCGCGGGCAAGCTTGTTGGCGATGGAGCGCTCGTCCTCTGCAGGCACGTTAGAATGTGAATCAATTGGGTATGGTTTGAGTTTGGTAAATCTTACTGGAGTCTTGAGCAAGATGGGAGTTCTGCTTGCCCTCGTGGAAGCGGTTCTCAGCCTGTGCCTGTCTGATCTCGGAGTCCTTGACGTTGCGCTGGTCGCCTGCCTCGTAGACACCACTGGTACCGACGCTAGAGTTTCCAGACATGATGATCGTGTGAAGGTTGGAAATGGGAAGATTGAGAAGATTGGGTATAGTAAGAGGGTTTTAGTGAAGCTGTGATGTGCGTAGAATGTGTCGTGTGAGGTTGTGCTGAAATTGAGCTTTTATGTAGCTCGAGTTTATGAGCGGGTACGATGACGTCTACGGTGTGTCATGGTGGGTCGGGGTGAAAGTGGCTGGAAGAGCGACCATATTTGCGCCGCAACACCACAGTCGGGCATCACGATTATAGTGGGTAATTGATGCCCGAGAATGCTCGGAAAGTCCTGCACTGCACTAGGAAATTCGATGTCGCACGGCAGCCGATATGGTATATCTGACGCAGTTTCGGTACTAAGGCAGCGGTGCCTCTACATCCAAACTACCAAGTAAAGACCTCATCATTTCATTCTCCATACCACACTCTTTGTCAACACCCTCAACCATCTTCCTAACCTCAGCCAACATCGCCTCCAACACTTTGGCCGCATACTCCATACTACCCATCTTCTTCATGATCTCCAGTACCAGGTGCTTCTGCGCCATCGACATTTTCCCCGCCGCGCGCCTCTGCGCCAGCAAGTTTTGCAAGAGCATTTTGTCAGCTTCAGGTGCCACCTGCATTGTGTGGACCATTAACAAGCTGAATTTACCCTCCTCGAGATCCTCGCAGAATCCCTTCTTCTTGGTATACTAGCGGAAGCATTAGCCAGATCTGTATGTATGGCCAACAGTGGGATTGTAGAGAGTGGCATGGCTCACATCACCAGAACTTAGGTTCATGTAATCGTCTCGAACCTGGAAGTATCTGCCCATCAACGACGCAAGTGCCATCAAGCCTGTCCTACGGGGCGTGGGTGACTGCGCAAGCATGAGCAGGGTGAGTATGCGGAAGAGCCCACCGGTTTCTGTTCGTTCGTTAGAAAGATTTAGAATGAAGTCAACACTGCTTGACTTACTGTAGTCCACCATCTTGAGGTACTCGCCAAGAGTCGGGCAGACAATATTCGTCGACCAGGAGATATCATGTCCTTGCCCGGTGTACATGTTACTTAACTCTTCTGAAACAGGCACATGTGAGAGTCGGTTCTATTGCCTTGCAATGAGGGTGTCGAATACTCACTCAGGCAAATCTCAAAAGTGCTATCGTCTTTGAGCTTCTGCATCTCCACAATAGCCTCCACGACCTGCCACCCGGCCGAGTTCATCGTCTGCGCAATTCCAAAGATCGTGTGTGCGGCGGGACTGCCTCTACGCAGAGTCGAACCATCTTCTATGTCGTCAAACATCAAAGACGCATTGTGAAGCATGTTGACGATGCGCTTAATATTGGACAGATCGGCTGGTGGGACGTTGAGCCAGATGTTCAATGCGTCTGCGGCTTTGTCGCGTATGTTCTTGGATGGGAGTGCGCTGGTGTAGGAGGCTGGTGCAGAAATGGGCTGAGTAAGAGTCAGTGGGTGTGGTGAAGGAATGATGACGGGGAAAAGGTGAGTACCAAACTTGGAAGAGTAGGGTGGTCTTGGGTGATGAACAAGGCGAGATTGCGCATAACGGAGACAATGGGTCTGGGACCGATCTGGCTGGCGACCTGGGTATTATTGTGGTCATTGTCATCGATCTCTTTCGAGCCGTCAACGACTTTGACGTCTTCGTCAGGTGGCGTGGGAGGGTGTTTCGTGTCCTTCATGACTGGCGAGACATGGGGTGGCCCGGTGCACTTCAGTCCCGCCATCTGGAGTCCATTCAAAGTTCGATCAGAACGATATCGAGGACTGGACATTCCCCATATAAGATTGCCGCTGACCATGTACTGTGCAGCTTCTACGAAGGAGCGCGAATCCTCGGATAAGTCTTTCCTGCCGTCGAGGGTGCTGACAGTGTCCACAAATTCTGCTACGAAAACCTTTACTTTCTGGTGAACGCGATCGATCGCTTCCTGGACGCCGATGGAATATTGTCTCATGAGTATCCAAACTCCGTTTACCATGTGTGGCGTGTCTGCGGTGTGGTTCAACTTGGTCTGGTTCTTGTACTCTTCGCACTCCTTCTCCCATGACTGGACGTCATTTGTAAGAAACGCAGCGGCCCAAGCGGGTCGAGTCAGTCTGGAACATTCATCTATTTCACTTGGGGGAATCGTCAGGCCCATCCCGAAGGTTACCAGTCCACTTAGCATGCTTGGAGGGACACTATCAGCCTCTATTACATCTTTACAGTGTTACAGATATGGAGACAAAGCTTACAAAGCCCCTGAGTCCACGAGTCTGAAATCCAGATAGTCATCCAAGCTTTCGAAACGGGTTTGATCTCGTGGGAGGCTTACGCCACGCCTCCAATATTCTAAGAATTGCTTAGCTCTGAGTGAGTCAACAGCCATCATCTCTTCAAGAATGTTGCCTAGAATGCGGCCTTCGCCGGAGCTGCTTTGTCTTCTATCACTACTTTGAACCCCCGCCTTGATATCTTTCATCATCTTCTCGAAAAGGCCAAGTCCCTGTGTTATGTCAATTACCGCCTCACTATGTACTCGTATAGATGCCATACCTCACTCGCCTCAGCCTGATCCACAAGATCATCATGCAGGAATGCAAACTCCATAACATACGCAACAATCTCCAGGCGCTCTGTAAGGCATTCTGGGATCGTCACGGCGGTGAAATTGTACTGCGGACCCTGGCCGCCGTACGTTGATAAGGGTAGGGGCCCGATATGTTTCTGCCAGTCGTTGCGCAATCGCATGAGACCAGACTCTTCTATGTCTGAATTGCGGTGGCAGCGGAGTGGAATGTCGTTGCAGAGGCATTGATTATCATAGGAAGAGGGGTCGATGAGATGGGAGTATTGGTACTTCATGTTTGCCAGTAATGTATTGGATAGCAGTGGAATTGGTGATGATAAAAGTGCCTTCAGTAAGACGATTGGGGGACTGCTTGCCGAAACCAAAACATAAATAATAATGGTCTATCTCGAAGGCGATTAGGATCCAATCCTGTGTAGCAGGCGACGGAAGCCGCGTCCTGATACTAAGGTCGCCTAGAAGCACTAGGCATGGTGATGCAGCACAGCTCCTCCGGATATCTCGCCTTTCGACGCCGTCTCTGAACATACTTTGGGACCTACCCCGCAGAATGTTCTTTGTTCTCGTGGGGTTTGCATTCTGTTGAACTTCGGCATATCTTTCCATCGTCGATGTCTGCTTGAAGTTGTGCACACACGGGGTTAGTATACGGCACAGTCAACGGCACAGTTGAATGAAGCGAGCGCAGAACAAAGAACACTCCTTGTCGAGGTTAATCAAGCGCGTTAAGCGGGTTTATATCAACATGGGAAAATATTGATGGCCACCGAAATCTCAGATTGGGAGAACATAGGTGTGCCTGTGTAGGACTGACATCATGCACGATACCCTCAACAGGGGAAGAGGTTGACTCGGTATTTCGCTGATAGGCACAATCAGGACTCTGAGATGCACGTGTTGCGTCCCTGGTCTAACACAGGAGAGTACAACTTTCGCTACTCCCCTGTCCAACACCTCCAGATATCAGGGTGTCCATGCCGAGCTACTTTCACGATTTCACATCCACCCGAACTTTGTTCAGCTCTTGAACGAGCTTCGCAATCATTCATATACCTCCAGACTGCAACAGCCAGCGTCATGGATATTCTTACCCTCCACAAAGCTTTGCGAGCACCCATCGACATGGATACCTCTGTCCTTTGGGTAGCCGCCGGTTTCGCGTGTGCCATATTCATTGTCTACAGTGCCTGTCTTATCATATACCGACTCTACTTTTCCCCTCTTGCGCAATTTCCTGGACCAAAACTAGTCGCAGCAACAGCGTGGTATGAAACATTCATCGACGTCACGAGGAACAACTTCCACGAAGTTCTACTGGACATGCATAAGAAATATGGTAAGCCTCGACCGGGCCAGGTACAGTCAATTGACTGACCACTCTCGCAAAAAGGACCAATCGTTCGATGTTCACCTCAGGAGCTCTCGATCAATGACGCAGAATACTTCAGCAAGCTCTATGTTCCGGCTGGGATTCGACACACCAACTCGATGGTTGCAAGATTTGGCTTTGGTCTCGAAGGTGAGTACCTGTAGCATGAACATAGCTTCACGCATCGATCGTTGCTCCTAACTCTTTGGGATAGACACTATCGCAACCACAAGCAACCATGAGCTCCATCAACTTCGAAGGAAACCCCTGGAGAGGTTTCTCTCACCCAAAGGTGTTACACATGCTGAAAGTGTCATCCATGACAAGACCAGAGTCCTCAATCAAAAACTTAGTGCCTTGCAAGGTACAGGCTCCTTCGTCCGCCTCGACCAAGCGTATTCGGCATATCTGGGTGATATCACCGTTGAGCTCACTGTTGGCGAATCCTCACAGCTGCTGGAAGAGCCCGATTTCGCCCCTGAGTGGTAAGCTTCCCCTCTCGGTCATTCTCTCATCCATGAGTTTGGCCCAAATGGTGGCAACCTCATTAAAACCCTGTATGCTGACTCTATTGAGGCATAAAATCATACGTAGCATCTTACTTGTGAACCCTGTCATCCGAAATTTCCCCCTTCTGGGCAGGTATGGAATCCTCATTGCCACCCTCATGTTCCACAAGGAAGCAACTAAGCCCTACAGATTACTGATGACGGTTCCAATGAGCTGCATGCAATGGGCTTTTCCACGGATAGCAGCATTCAAGATGTGGCCTGTGGTTCGTGCAACCCACCATGCGTACGAGTAGTAGTTTAGTATCGAAGCTGACATGACAAGCTCGGCCGGGACAAAGTCAACAACGTCAAGTCCGACCTTGCGAAAGAAAGCGATCCGGAGAAATTCTCCTTCTTTCACACCCTTCTCAGAAGCGACCTACCCGAGTACGAAAAGCATCCATCTAGGTTAGCTGCCGAAGCAGTGGGCGTATTCGGCGGCGGAACCATCAACCCTACATCTGCGCTCGCCTTCATTACGTTCCACATACTCGCCAACGCGAATATGCACAGGCGCCTACAAGAAAGCCTGTCGGATGTCATGTCCCAGTATCCCAAAACCATTCCTGCTTGGACAGAGTTCGAGCAAGTTCCCTACCTCGCGGCGTGTGTCAAGGAAGGCCTTCGGTAGGTGTCCCTTCCGCAATCGAGGTCGTCAAGGATAGGTACTAAGAGAGCGCTCCAGTATGAGCTGCCAGTTCCGACGTAGCGCGCGCATGGCACCCGACTCCGAGCTGCACTACAAAGAATGGATCATTCCGAAAAACGTAAGTCATCACCTTCATCACATCATGGTACTATACGAATGCTAACGCTTGGATGGGAACGCAGACACCTGTAGCAATGTCGGTGTACAACATGCACTATGATTCGGGCGTGTTCCCAGACCCCTTCGCGTATAAACCTGAGCGATGGCTTGGAGACATCGACCCACGCATGAATAGGTATTTCGTCCCTTGGTCTAAGGGCTCGAGGGACTGCCCGGGTAAAAAGTAAGATGATCCTTCATCGAATAGGTATCAGGGGCATATACTGATATATATCTCGTCATGTTAGCCTCGCCTCCGCCGAAATGTATGTTGTGCTTGGGACACTGTTTCGTCCTGGCGGTCCCTATAGCTCCCAAGTGGTTCTGAAAGATTGCGATGAGTCGGACTTTGCGTTTGTGCGCGAGAGTGAATTTGGGGTGTTTCCTTATAGTAGCAGAGGTCTCGGCGTCTCTTTCAATTGATGTCGACTCGTGAGTAGCTCAGTGGCTCTTGCTGACTGGCAATGCGCTTTCCAATTAACGTTCAATGTTGCTGGGATCGGATGATGGGATTCTTCGTTGTTGATGTCATATCTAGGTAGGGTTGTATAGGAACAGCTCGATGGGAGAAAGTGCAACGCAATGAGAGCAATAAGACTCCTTACCTTTATGAATGATGTTTCCACTTTAGAAATTATGGAGATGCAAGCCACAAGATCTTCGCGGCTGTTGCAGTCGTTGACTGGTATTTAAAAAGCTCGCGTGACGTGCGCCTCAACCGATAAAGAACAGTTGCGAACGTCGCCCGGTCCCATCTTTCATACCGCTCCCCAAATTCCTACATTCATGATCTCATTTCAGTGTACCTTGCGTTATGGCAGGTGCGGGATGGGGTGTTACGTGATGAGCTGTAACGATACCTAGGTAACATAGGTATGATGAAAGTGCAGCGACGACGCTGATGAAATCGAGAAACGCAAGTTTTACGCAGTTTTTAGTTTTCTGACAAAATTCAAAGATAATGCTCTTTCCCTCCCTTCTACGACCGGATCCATTGCGGCAACGGATGAATCTATCGTTCCGATTTCGCGCGGAAAGGATCATGTCGCTGAAAATCTGGTCTTCAATCTCAGCTCGCGATTACGTTGTTAGTCTACACCGCGTAAGGTACTCGCACGAGTGCACGAGCGTACGTAAACCCGCTTGAAGAGACGCAAATCATGAATAAGCTTCGACGGTAGAACGGGTCGATCTTTTAGGCTGACGCGACCGCGCGTAGGCACACAGCCACTTCCAGGACCCACCGTGGAGTGGAGACTACCATAGGTATCTTGTACGCAGCGTCCAACGACTAGTAGAGTAGACTGTGTGAAACGACCACGCTAACACTTCGCAACGGATCCGATGCAACGCAGGAATATTTCTGTCCACACATTGGTGCCAGCACTCGCTCCGGGCCGGAATTGCTTGATTTATGAAGGCCCAGGCCTGCCTACCGTACGTCGAGGCCAAAACATAGCCTCCACGTGGATACCTAGGTACACTGAAGATTTTAATATGCCGATGTCATGGGAGAAACTATTAGTACAATATGAGTACAATCGAATCAACTATTTATTATGAAACATGTTCGAGAGCGCTTACTGGCCGTTGATCAGGCGGTGCATGCAGTGTAAAAGTTATCTTTCGACCTAGACCGAGAAGGAGAACGATGCAGACTTTGAGTAGAGAGCATAGCACGATAGCCGGTACCAGAATGATGATGGGTTGCGCGTTGAAGAGGGAAAAAAGCGAGCCGGGCGTCAAGAGGTGAGACTTACTAACCGTGGTGGGTCTTTCTTCTAGCCTGGACTGAGCCTAGCACCCGCAACTCCTCCTTCCTCCACCACAATGGTACGCTCTCATACCCAGGAATTGCTGTCTGCGCCGCGGCTTCGCAACGCCTGCGATCGCTGCCACGCACAAAAGCTTCGCTGTCTCAAACCTCCCCAAGGAAATGCGTGTCTCCGCTGCGCCAAGTTTGGCTCTACGTGCGTCTACAGCGCGCGAACGACGCGACAAGTATCAAAGAAAGAGTCTACAGGTTCATCATCAAATCGGACATCAACGACACTTGTGTCTCCAAGGATTGAGAGCGGTATTTTTGATTCGAATACACCTGGTGCGACGTTTGTAACGGAAGACTGGTTGGATCCTTCGATTCTCCTCAATATCCCCGACTGCGACATCCTTAGCGCTGGAGGGCTCAGCAACTCTTCCTTCATTCCACATCAACAGAGGACTCGGATGACCGGAAACGCTTCGCCACGAAGTGCTTTGATGTCTAATTCTCCGTGCGACCTGGCAAACCTCAGCGTCAATATCGTGGACCACTATGCGAGCCTTTCGTCAATGCTACAAGTGCCACCAACCTCTACCTTTGGATCCAAAGTAATAGCCATAGACCAAACCTTTGCGCTCACTCGACGATTCTTAGATATATTCAAGCAGTTCAGTGTTCATTCTGCCGACCCTGCCACTGTCCTCCTCTTCCTATCTTGTTACTATCGCCTGGTGGACATCTATCAAGGTCTCTTCGAGAAGATGCAACTGTGTACGCAGACTCCACACGCAATCATACCTGCGGGCACCAGCTTGAATATGCCCGTCACTCAGGTCGGTTCGTACGTCTCTGGTGACCTTTGGAAGACCGTTGAGGCCATCGAAGCACCCATGACCGCCTATGGTACACATTTCATGTTGTTGCTACTCCTTTGCACAGGCTTGTGTGAAGAGCTTCGTGATGCCATTGCTAGCAGACGCACTCAGGCTCGAGGCGGCGACACTTCGTGGGATCACAGCAGTACAGCGCCAATGCAAGACACGTTTCATTCTGGCGTTCGCACGATCGAATGGTGTGCCGACAAGGATCAACTCAATGAGTCGATCAAAAATGCCATGTGGAAACGATGGATCGAGCTCTCAACACAAATACAATTGACCAAAAAAGCTGCAATGACGTTTGCAGTCGCATGTTTATAAGTCTTTGACGCAGTCAAACAACGGATTGCATTCATGTCCCATCTTCGCACGGGCTCTTCCATTGCCCGAACTCGGGACTTTGCCAAGCAATCCCACCACGTCCACAGAAGTCCCTAAATAGCACGGACGCCAGAACTTATACGCCTGTCCATCCTGTCCTCTCGCTGCCTACTGGTGCCTTCTATCCTGAGACTCACGGAAAAAGACCCGCGAGGTTGATGGGAAGGTCAAGAGCAAATGTGACCTGTTGCCTAGTTACATGGTGCCGATCCCCACACTAATTTCCTATGAGTATGACTACTTGCGTACTGCAATTGTAAACAAGATGGTCAAGACTCCCATATTGGTCACTTCATTAGCACCGCCTGGTGGCACGTGCCACACTGTAGTAGGCATGTGTTACGTCTCCCACTTCGACCTCGCCAGTGCCCAACGAACCAACATCAGCGCACGTACACCTCTTTCTGAGCGGGTGAATTCTGAGAAGTTTAAAAAATCGGCCACTGAATGCGAACCCCTCTCATCGCGCCACTTTTCAAGCTCGACCATCGAGCCTTTGGAACTTACAGCTCCACCCCGCATACCATACATTATGGGTACCAAAGTCGCTCGTCCCGTCCACCCTACTTCTTTCCTGCATCCCGTATGCCTCATGCTGCCTACCGGATTCTGCTGGTTCTGCTCTTTCTACAAGGACCCTCACAACGAGTGGATCAATGACTGCCCCAAGCCTCCCGAGGGTGTGCAGCTGGCCAACGCGCAGACACATCTCTCCACACTGGTAAGTACCCAGAGTCTTTCAGATACATGATCCCACGACCACACCTGTTGTCACTCCCTTTCACTACACCTCAAACCAACATCAACTCTCGAACCTCAACCGCACGGTCCACACACACGCACATATACACAATAGGCAACGAATTCGCTTGTTCTGTGCATCCTGGCAGCTTTCCCAATGCCTTTTGCTTCATGAAGCTTGTTGAGATTCTGCCGAATACGCACATTCTTCCCTCAACCTAACAACAAGCATGCTGACGATTCTCCCAAGCCTCCACAGGATGCGCAGCTGTGCGGCGCGAATGGTAGCAGCCATCTCTTCATCCCGTAAGTCGAAGACGTTGCGGCTCTTGCCCGGCGCGCAACTAACTCCTCGCAGCGCAGGTCACCTCGAGCATGAGGGTGTTGTCTTCTACGTAGAACCTGGTGCCTGCATCGACAGCGGCGGCACCTGGGTTGTCGAACCCTCCCCCGGGGGTTGTGACATCTCTATGGACGCCCTCGCCAACGCCGACTTGAGCAAAGCTGTGCTGGACAACGTAATTGCGCGCGACCCCTCTTCGCACCTGGCACCCGCCGGCAGCAGCGAGCACGAGCACTTCGTCAGCAACGTGGGCTTCCTCACTTTCGCCCTCTGCGCCTTCATCTTCTTCATCTGGGCTAAGGACCTCCTCGAGTTCGTCCATGCCAAGCGATGGGTGCGATTGCACGACGACACCTCGGTAACCGGTCCCGTAGTTGAGGAGACTAAGGAAAAGGGCGATATGGTGGACGAGGACCGCAACGGCGATCACGCAGGTGATTGACGTTCCTCATAACGGCCAGGCACATTCGGAGAAAGTATAAGCTCCATTGATTCCCACTGTGTTTGTCAATCGACGGATGTAGAGCCTTCACGTCAGCACGGCCACGATCTAGCTTCGAAAAAGCGCAAGCAACTCGGCAGTCGCTTCCAAGAGATGTACTTACGGTATAGGACTCCATAGATCAGATGGCACGGTGGCATGAACGGAATCTAGATATCACTGAACCATCACAAACTGTGATGAACGATGTTAAGATCAAAGGGCAGATCACAATCCTATAAGCTGCTCAAATTCGTTAAGGAAAAAGGCTCTGTCTCCTGAATCCACCACGCCCTCTCCTCGCACCCCCCCATCATCAACAACACACTCCTCACAAACATTCCAAGCCTCCGTCCACCCCTCCTCCTCCCCGTGGCTCCCACATCCCTCGCTCTATGAAACGCCAGCCCTCTATGCACCATAACATTCCTCAGACACACATACACCCTCTCCCTCCACTCGATATCCACATCGCCTTTCTGTTGCACGGCTCCCCGCGGCCAGTCCGTTCCTAACCTCATGATATTTAGAGGAGGTTACACTAACAGCATCCAGGTATCTTTTATTATCATTTTCATAATATTCAGCGGGACAGTGCCGCAATGCTGAAGTATGTCGCCTCGTGGTGTAAGCGGTGGTAAAGATCGTAGTCAAAGCCGTGGGCTTCGTCTCAGAAGAGGGGGGATGGGTAAGCGAAGGAGGTAGCGTGGATGTGGGCGGAGAGGTCGGGGGAGGAGTCGATGGAGAAGGAGCCGCATTCTTCTTGAGGGGAGGCGAAGGGTGCTTTGAAAAAAGAGGTGAAGAAGAGTGCTTCGTTTAGAGGTATAGTGTAAGTGCGGAAGTGCCGGCCTCCTACTTTGAGCGTTACGATCGATGGGATGGGGTCATTGGATGTGGGTGTGGTGTTCGACGGGGCGGCAGAGCTGAGATGGAGGGACGGAGATCAAATCCGATGGCATCTTCTTTCTCTTGGTGAGCCATGATGTAGTTTTGTAGGCGGCGTCCCACTGGTTGTCCAAGATATAAATCGCAACTTGGTTCTGGTTATGCAAGGACTCTTTATGGAGTTACGACGAGATGAGAAGCAGTGATAGATCAACATAGGACAGGTTCATATAGGGCCAATACAGATGCAAACTGGTTTGTCACATCAAGGCTGCCGATAGGCTTTTTGGAGATGTATAAACATACAAACATTTCCACTCGGACATACCAAAACAAAGTGCATAGTAATTATTTACATCCAAAAGTATGGTCTACTATTGAAAGCTGTATCCGTGTACCCTAACGAATTCTCAACCTGGATTGAGATCATTCCATAGGCCAGTACTCGTGAATCTGCCTCTTGTTTTTCCATCTCTGGAACCAACAGCAAATAGGAAAGAACGCAGTATTGACCGCGCCCCACGCGATCAATATGCCAAAGTCCAACCCAAGGCGTGGATGCAGGTCGAACAATATCTGCCGACTACCCTCCACAACAGAGTGCAAAGGCCACGCATAGCCCCATCGATAAAACCCAGGAGCGATTTCGATGTCATAGAAAGCTGTCGACACATTCGTGATAACCCAGAAAATAAGCCACAGGCCCATCCACGGCGCGCCGACAACCATGGCCACGTTCTCACAGGCAAGGCCCAGCGCTATCATTCCGAAGAAGTTGAGCATCCAGTATACGGGGAATGTTCCATTGCTATAAGCCGGAGAATTCCCGTATGCGACCTCAGTGACCTGAGTCTGGGATTGTACCGGATTGGCGTGCGTGAAGTTGATTTGGAACGCCAGGGACACGAACGAGTACGCAAGCGACAGAAAGACGTAAGCACTCATTGTCGCGCACCAGCGCCAAATGATCAGCTGGTAGAACTTCAGCGGTGGATGCCCCTTCGGATTGATGTATTGCATGTGTATCGGCAGGTAGAAAGAGAAGCTGAAGAAGGAAATGATGATCAGGTAGATGAGTCCAATAGACACTGCCGGGATCCCAGTGTATGGGTAGAAAGGCCTAAGATTAAATTCTGAGAACCCGATGGCGGGGTTGATGGCCTGCGGAACGGCTTGTATATTGCGCAATGTTGCGGGATCGGAGGCATTTTGTAAAGCCATCTGCGCCCATTGCTTGCCGACCATGCTTTGTGCTTGCGTCATGTAGGTGCTGATAATCGGCAGTATGAAGTCGTACCAGTTTGTGTCATCCCGCGAGTCCTGGTATACCAGCTGGCATGCGCCTAGCGGATCGTATGAGGTGTTCCCCGTTGCGATAGCAGAGTACAGAAGCGCAGTAGCATTTGGATTGATGATGATTGCAGCCCACGCGTCGAAATTATAAATCGCTTGCCTCACTTGGAGTGGGTCGTTGTCGAAGTCTGAAGGCGATCGGATGTCGAAGCCTAGTGTGGGTTCGCTAGAGTCGAGCATCTGTTGGGTCATGCGTGTTATCGTAGGCCCAACGAGCGATGGATTGGTGTTGTACGGCGCTTGACCATCGAAGTCCACAACATAGATGCGGAGATGGTGTATTCGCTGTTCGACATCAAAGAAGACGCCCCAGTAGATGGATAGCACGGCCAATATGAAGGCCATCAAAAAGGCGGTGGTGAGCATCCATTTTCCAAACGCTCGATTACGAACGTGCTTCAAGGACGGGTCCCAGAATCCCACAGGAGTTGGTGCAGATTCTGCATGAGATTTGCCTTGCTCAGCTTTGTTTACTGTGTCTTCGTTGCGTGTCTGCCCATTGTCGGGGGCGTCCGGATTCTTGTTACGGCCAACGACCCTCTGTTTCAGTTGGCGCAACATCGCGTTTGTTTTTGACCAAAATCGGCACAACAAAAAAGGAATTGTTTTTTATGCTAAGATATCTTGGCCTCATATATGCTTGGATAGAAAGGCTTCTAGATGGCTGACCAATGACGTAACACCGTCGTAGAAAAAGTCGTGACGTCCGCTCAAACACGGACCATCCGAACACTACCGCTTTGAACCTTCTCATCAATTCTCGTCTTTCCCAAGCAGTGAAGTCACCAACCATCGATGATCTTTCTCAATACTGTGACCTGTTGGTCCCACTCTTCCCGCCACTCGTAGTATTTTAGTTCTGACGGTAAGAGCCCCTGCAAAGTTACCCAAGTTCGCTCGATTTGCTCCAACCAAGCCTTGTCCACGCTCTCTAACAACTTGCACAATTCTCTCTCCATAATACGTTTTCTTACGTTTCTCACCCAGGCGGTTCGAATGCTGGACTCAGCGATGGGCCATAAGTATGCATCAAACCAAATGTTTAGCGCCGACATATTCCTCGATTTGTATATCCAGCCAAAACCATTGGGCCAATCATTGCGGACGGAGAGAGTGTTCAATTCAAACCTACAATTCCAATCCAGCTTCTTCGCAAAGGAACAATCGCCGCACCATTGAGACTAACGAGAAATGGATAAACTCATCGTAAAGGAGTTCTTCAGAGATGAAATATCTACAACAAGAGGTCAGATTAGTAAAGCCTTAGTGAATCTGGAGGTGAGCACCGCTGGTCTGTTTGGTTTTCGTGCCATAGCCGTTGGTTAGGCACAGGATCCAAAGTTTGTGTAGTCCTTGACTTGTCGGTATAATACGGGGGACATAATGTTGAGAGGAGCAAAATAATTATAGAACAGTTTTTACCTGAGATCATTTACAATACTTGTTGCTAAACATCTCGTATAACTCGAGATCCTTTCCCAAGAGTGAAGTTGCTAGATCGCTTATATCGATGGTCAGATTCTTGTTTCTTTGCCCCATGCGCACGATGCTCCACTGGTGTGGCCGTAAGCCAGGACTGTAGAGGCCAAATGTCAACAGTCGACAAAGTGTAGGTTATATGTGTGGAGCCATAGAGCAAAGTCGCGACTTCCAAGCGTACCAAACCACAGATGTGAAGTAAGTCGGGTACGAGCCACTTCCGCATCGTAGGGTAAAGGCTTCGCTTCCCACGGGCTGGAAGGCTTGAGGGTAGAACATATTCATACACCTGCAGACGTAGTTCGGCAGGCAGGCGTGAAAAGTAGCAAGGCTGGTTTAGATCTTGAGGCTTGATAGCCCAGACTCGTGGCAACGTTTTCGAACTAAGTGAAGTGATGTCCTGAGTTCTGGAGCGCTCTGGGGTAGCCCGCGCCTTCCAGGCTGCTGCCGGCCTGGCGTAGGAAGCCTGAGGTGTGGGAGGCTGCGTGTTCATTATCGGCTGGATCTCATCAGTTGCTGCGCACTATGTGAAGCTTAACTTGGTAGCTGGAGCCCTGGAGCACCACAGCGCACGTGACAGCGTGCGAGCGGGGTCGCGTCACCCATCGCTCTTGCCGACTCGCCGCGTCTGCAGCATCCATCACATTTCATCGTGCACACCATCCGTTCCATTCTAAATGTCTCAAGACCGACAACACAATGGCGGATGAAATGGACGTCGTCCCGCCGTCGCCGCGAGGTACGAAACGGAAAGGCGACGAAAACCTGCCACTGCCAGCACCGCGACGTATCAGGGCGCTTGCCCAAGACGTCGTAAACAAAATCGCCGCTGGCGAGATTATCGTTGCGCCCGAACATGCGCTGAAAGAGCTGATCGAAAATGCCGTGGATGCAGGGTCGACATCGCTGGAGGTTGTCGTCAAAGATGGCGGGCTAAAGCTGCTGCAGATTACCGACAACGGACATGGCATCGATGCAAGTTCTTCAAACTCATCGACGCGTTTCCTACTGACATTGCGCAGAAAGAAGATCTGGCGATTCTTTGTGAGCGCTTCACTACCTCGAAATTGAAGGCTTTCGAGGATCTCAGCTCCATTGGAACGTACGGTTTCCGTGGCGAGGCGCTGGCGAGTATCAGCCACATCGCACATCTGAGCGTTACGACGAGAACGAAGGAATCGAGCTGCGCATGGAGAGCGCACTATTCGGACGGTAAGCTGGTCAGTCCAAAGCCTGGACAGAGCGCTGAACCGAAACCTATCGCCGGAAGAGGAGGCACGCAGATCACGGTAGGTTCTGAAGCTTCATGTGCTTCTTTGGAAGTCTTAATAATGATGGAAATAGGTGGAGGATCTCTTCTACAACGTCCCCTCACGAAGGCGTGCATTCCGTTCAGCAAGCGAAGAGTACGCTAAGATCCTCGATATGGTCGCGCGCTACGCTGTCCACTGCGCTGGCGTCTCGTTTTCATGCAAAAAGCATGGCGCATCTACCGCCGACATATCGGTGCCGACAGCTGCCGGAACCTTGGATCGCATCCGACAAATCCACAAAGCTACCGTTGCTAATGAGCTGGTTACGCTGAACGCAGAGAACGAACGATGGGGCTTCAAATGCGAAGGCTGGATCAGCAGCGCCAACTATAGTGCGAAGCGGACTACTCTGTTACTCTTCATCAACCACCGCTCTGTTGAGTCCTCGATTATCAAAAAGGCGGTCGAGCAGACGTACGCTACTTTCTTACCTAAAGGCGGCCGTCCATTCGTCTATTTGAGCCTAGACATTGAGCCTGCGCGAGTCGATGTGAATGTGCACCCGACAAAACGAGAGGTCCACTTTCTCAATGAAGACGAGATTATTGCCATCATCTGTGACGAGATCCGCAATAGCTTGAGCAAAGTAGACACTAGCCGTTCTTTCATGACGCAGTCGTTGCTGTCTAACCAGCCAAAAGTACCGTTGGCTACCCCTGTGAAGCAGACAACACCCGGGACATCGACTACTCCAACTCTCACTACTCAGCGGAGTGATCCAAGACCACCTCCAACCACAGTCACAAAGAAGCGAAACGAGAACAACCTTGTCCGCACCGATGCATCGGCACGTAAAATCACTTCAATGTTACAATCGCATCCGTCAGTAGACGGCGTTATCAATGAGGATGAAGACATGGATTACGAGTTCACGGAAAAGGAAGCTTCAAGTTGTCGCCTGACTTCGATCAAGGAACTACGCGCCCAAGTCCGCGACGCGATGCACAACGAGCTCACAGACATCATATCCACACATACTTTTGTTGGTATCGTAGACGAGCAGAGACGCATCGCAGCTATACAAGGAGGCGTCAAGCTCTTCTTGGTCGATTACGGCATGCTCTGCAACGAGTACTTTTACCAACTCGGGCTCACCGATTTCGCGAACTATGGGTCCATCCGTTTCAACCCGCCGCTGCCTCTCCAAGATTTGCTCAAGGTCGCGGCAGAGCAGGAGAAGCGCAATGCAGGCGATGCCGCAGATGAGGTTGACTGGAACGAGGTCGTCGACAGCGTTAGGCAGCAACTCGTCGATCGACGCTCTCTGATGGCAGAGTACTTCTCGCTTGAAATCACCGAGGAGGGCGAAGTGTGCTCTATTCCCCTGTTGGTTAAGGGCTACACGCCGTCTATGGCGAAGCTTCCGCAATTCCTACTTCGTTTGGGTCCGTATGTGGATTGGGACTCGGAGAAAGAGTGTTTCCAGTCGTTCCTGCGTGAACTCGCTTCGTTCTACGTGCCCGAGAGCTTACCACTACCGCCTACTATACCGCAGGATGAAAGTGGGAAAGGAAAAGAAAAAGTCGTGGAAGAGGATCCAGAGATAGCAATTAGGAGAGAAAAGGTGAGAAAGGCCGTTGAGAATGTGATCTTTCCAGCTTGCAAGGCGAGGTTGGTGGCTACGAAGGGGTTGCTGAAGGGTGTGATGGAGGTGGCGAACTTGAAGGGATTGTATCGCGTGTTTGAGCGATGCTAAGGATGTCGCTGGACGCGGGATGTGAAGATAGCAGAGTAGTTTGATATCCAGTCAATCAGGGATCAGACAATGCAGTTCAGCGCATGCTTTCCCCAAGCTCAGACGCCAGTTCCGAGTTTCGGAAGCGTCCGTAGTGGGGTCGCTAACTTCAGCCCTATCGCGTGGTGGCGGCAGTTGATTATCAAGCGCCTCAACTGTCACTAAATCCGACTGTCGCCCTCCCACAACACTTCACACATTCACGATGGCGCCCCATTTCGAAGAGCCAACGCAGGTCGACCCCGATGCGCCCCTTCATGTCGCCCCGAAGCTCGTCGCCCCGGAGCCAGGTACGCTGTCACCCCACCACACCCCTCCTTCGCACTTCTTCTAACGCGCTCATACACAGAACACTGCCCCGGCCCCGAATCAGAACAAGCAGGCACAGCAGACAACTGCGCCGGGTGCCCCAACCAAAAAATCTGCGCCTCCGCCCCGAAAGGACCCGACCCCGACATCCCCGTCATAACAGAGCGTCTCTCCTCGGTGCGCCACAAGATCCTCGTCCTCTCCGGCAAAGGCGGCGTCGGAAAATCCACCTTCAGCACCATGCTCTCGCACGCCTTTGCGTCGAACCCGTCTTTAACAGTCGGCCTCATGGACACGGATATCTGCGGGCCGAGCATACCGAAGATGATGGGCGTGGAAGAGGAGACTATACATGTGAGCGCGGAGGGGTGGGAGCCCGTGTGGGTGAGCGAGAACCTGGGCGTGATGTCCGTGCAGTTTATGCTGCCTAATCGGGACGACGCGGTGATCTGGCGGGGCGCGAAGAAGAACGGACTGATCAAGAAATTCTTGATGGAAGTACGGTGGGGGGACATGGATGTGCTGGTGGTGGACACGCCACCGGGGACCTCCGACGAGCATCTTTCTGTCAATTCTTTTCTCAAGAGCTCGGGTGTCGATGGCGCGGTGCTGGTTTCTACACCGCAGGAAGTCGCTCTGTTGGATGTCCGGAAGGAAATCGACTTCTGTCGCAAGGCGAAGATACCCATTTTGGGGATTGTGGAGAATATGTCTGGTTTCGTGTGTCCAGGCTGCAAACACGAGAGTCAGATTTTCCGCGCGAGTACGGGGGGTGCGAAGCGTTTGGCTGCAGAGGAGAAGATACCGTTCTTGGGCGCTGTGCCGTTGGATCCGCGAATAGGCATGGCGTGTGACTTTGGAGAGAGCTTCTTGGATGCGTATCCTGAGAGCCCGGCGTGTAAAGCGATACGGCATGTTGTGCGGAGAGTGGCTGAGGAGATTGGTATGCAAGGCGATGTGTTGGAGGGTGATGAGTAAGGATAACCTGTTTGACGGAGCATTTGGGCGGCGTTTTGCATGGTTTGTGAGCGATGTTGATAGCGTTTTGTTTGTGTCATGAAAATGTAGACTTCCTCGATCGACGTCAGATCATCCTTGCCTGCATTACCTGTTCTTCGCTGATCTCTGAAGTTTGTAAGTCGCATTGGCCCATATGAACGTCTTTAAGCCAACGGTAGCGCTGGTCGGTCGAATTACGTTCGCACATCCTCCAGCCGTGTGACAAACGCAATGTACATACCGGTGTGTATATATGTGTGTATGTGTGTGTATAAGTGTGTGTGTATAAGTGTGTGTGTATAAGTGTGTGTGTATAAGTGTGTGTGTATAAGTGTGTGTGTATGTGTACATATACACATTTATTCTATATGTGAACATGTTTACTAGCTAGGACTGCATGTAGCAATCAATGAGGCCCTACGTGCCGGGGCAATGCGACTCCACTACGAGCTGCATTAGGAATAGTATGCGAGATGGTAATAAGCCTTTGCTCAAGTTCCAACCCCGGCGCGCACACTTAACCTCACCTCGATCAACTTCTTTGCTGTGAGACCATGTCCAGAAGAGCCCTCACAGCTTCTGCCGTCTGGTCTGGACAGCGAATCGGGAAGTCGTGCCCAACCTCGAAGTGCACGTACTTCGAATTGCTTGACAACCCCAGCTGTACCTTCTGTACCTGCTTACAGAAAAGCTCTGCGCTCTCCATCCACTTCACTGCATCGTCACGATCTTGAGCACTTCCACCACCGAGTCGCATACCTTCAGTAAGCATCTTGCGCCAATCTTGCGGCATCTCGGATGTCGCCACTAGCAATGGTTTCGCACCCATAGCTTGGTCGTCAATCTGCATTCTGCGCGCGAGCTGTCTTCCACTGTAGTGGGTAGCCTCGTCTGCGGCGGCGGGCCTCGTGCGCTGAATAGCTGCGATAGCGTCGTCCCATTCTTGATCGGTCATACCTGACTCCTCACGTAGATGCGTTAGAGCCTCAAGGTCTACATCTTTGGTGACTTTCTGGAACGACACTGGTGGTATGGGGCTCAAGCACTGTTGCAGCAGTTCGCTATTGGTGTCCAGAAGCGCCATTCCAGCAAGATCGTCGGGGTAGAGACCAAGGTAGGTTCGCGCGATGATCCCGCCATATGAGTGTGCGACCAGCATGTACGGGGGTTTGACGCCGATGGCAGACATGAGCTGTTGAAGCTCGTGGGCGGAGTCCTCTGCGGTGATCTTCCGACTGTTGTCGCCGTCGTTGCACAGAGTACAAGAACGGCTGCTAATCGTTTGCCAGCCTGCATTTCCGCCAGCGCATACTGAGCAAGGCTGAGGATGATTCAAAATATGGGTCGTTTCATTGGCATCCACCGCTGGGCGCTCGCTACGTCCATAGCCTGCCCGATCATAGAAATAGTTCCTCACATATCTCGAGACAGCCCGGTGAAAGTGCACGTAAAGCTCTGTGGGAGCACCACCGCCGGTAATGAAGATGACTACAGGCGCTTCAGGCTTTCTTGGTGGTCCTCGTGCGCTCACGAATAGCGAGTATGAGCCGACGTCGACTAGTCCGGATTTATCAGCGACTTCCCATTCGTTCTTGGTGTTTATCAGCATGTTGGCAAAGTCCTTGCTATGTTGAATTATCAGGCTGTACAGCTGCGATGAATTCGTATGCGATGGATGCCAGGCGGCCCTTTTTCGTTACTCTTTAGACACATGAAGCATACACCTGAGGGCAGAAGACAAGGAGACGGGCGATGACGCAATGACGAAACAGACGAAGGATTCGTGCGGTCTCCCGCCCTTGTGGTTGCGCAGCAGAGTAAACGCGCTTTGCGCTTTCCATGCATTATACGAGATCGGGGCTAGTCCGTTTAGGGAAGAGTGTGCAGCGTGCATTGAAGCCTTCATTGTGGTGCATATGCACACCGTGCTATCCACCAACCACAAGCAAATCAGCTCCCAGTACATGTACACAACACACCTGATCTAGTACGTGATGGAGATGGGCCTGGGAAGGTGTCCCATACAGCCTTCAAGTGCTTTTACTACACAACGCGAGGTACGATAAATCAAATCTCTGGTATGATGCTTTTAATAAAATGCTTTCCCTTTCTAGTCAGATACCGGTGAAGCCTTATGATTGTCAGCTCATGTAACCTTGGGCTACATTATGTAGTAGGTGATCCTCTCCTAGCTCGACACCTGGCAAGATATCGTCCCTCTACAGGGCTCTGCATTCAGCCCCCTGCCCTCTGCCTTGAACCACTTATCAACGATAAGGCTGAGGAGACCGAAACGATGAATGGCTCTTTCCATGGCCACGAGACTTGCCCGCCTCGGCCTTGGGCCAGCGTCACTCACCGCCCAAGTGGCACTGCTTGTATGCAGATTATCCATGGGCTTTACAAATAACGTTTTCAGCCCTATGATGGTGGTTTGAGGAAGGTCAACCGGGTGGACTCTGTGTACATGGATCCACTTTCAATCGCCTCTGGGATCATAGCTGTGCTTTCTGCCTCTGGAAAGACTGCACAGGGTATAGAGAAGCTCTGGGGACTTCGGCATCGAGAGAAACACTTTCGCGATCTGACTTTGACAGTAAGTTCGGTTGTCACTGTTGAGTTTAGGGTTGTTGACCCGCTACAGATTGAAGGGCTCCGGATCCAATATCAAAACGTCAGACCTGCCCTAGAATACATCCGCACAAACCACAACCAAATTCCGGAGTTTCAAGAGGGTTTGTACGACATCGAACAGCTGTGCGAGGAGACCAAGAGAACGTTTGCGGCACTTGACAAATTGATTGGAGACATTAGACCTTGCGGCTCTCAAAAGCCAAGAAAGGCTCAATGGATTCGTCGTAAAGCCGACTTGGTTCGGCTCAAGCGGCAAGCGAAGGACAACACGAGATCTCTCACGGCATCGCTCAACATTCTCACGAATGTTCACTCCCGGATTAAGATAGACATGCTGCATGCTTGGCTGGAAATCTCCGCTCGCCTCCCAACACAAGACTGTAACCGTTTCCCGCGAATAGATCAGGTTGATCGTCATCTTTTGATCGAAACTTCGAGCAGAACATCATCAACCGAGTCCTTCTATACCTTCGATCGCGAAGACGAAGCTGAACAATATTTCGAATGCTCGATCCCAGACCTTGTACCTTCGATGAGTAGAAGGAAAGATGGTCATAGCCACTGCCAATGCAAGTGCCACTCGATTGTCTACGCCACTACACCGAGCTGGATCAAGCATGTTCTGGGGACTTTAACGTTCAACAGAGGCGGATCATCACTGACCAAATGCGGAGTGTGTGACAAAGACAGATGCTGCAATCTAGGAACGATCCACGTACAGATCAATTACAACGCACCCAGCTGGACATTCCTAAAAACTTTGGTTTTATGTATGCAAGCGCAGATTGTCGGTGGCTCTATTCGATCTTATAATATATCCGTTCCCAGGGTCATAGAATACACAGCAACTATTTGGAGCGTAATCGAGCTTGGAAATCTTTCTGATTTGAGGTATTTATTCTCCGAAGGTAAAGCGTCCCCGGATGACGTTGCGCTCGATGGAACATCACTCTTAAAGGTACGTTATAACCTTCCCAATCGGACCACTTATGCTGAGCACAACTTAGTATGCCGTAATACATCAACAGAGCGAAGTTTACTCGTTTTTACTCACAATGGGAGCCAACCCTTTGTTCTGCGATCAGTCCGGAGTGTGAGTATGTTCGATATTCTGGAGGAAGTTCTTCTTGTGGCTGTAAGTATGTCGCAAGAAAATGACCTCTACCCAGTATCCTAGAATATTATAATGGGTCTAGTTTCCTCGGCTAAGACAATTTTGACAGTATCGCGATCCAGCCAGGCGTTGATCGTGCTCTCAGCGGCATGTCCCCCAGCCGACATCACAGCATCGATACGCAGATGTCGCCCGACTTATTCACTAGTGACGATGTTTTGGCTCAGCAAAATTTCAGCGACATCCATCTCGTCGTCTTAGGACTACTTTCTCACGACCTCGAGTCCTTACTGAAGACCGACTGCACCGAGATAAACCTCCAGGATGTGAACGGAAGGACTCCGCTTCTTTGGGCTGCCTGGAGAAGCGACATTGCAAGTGTGCTTCTTTTACTCAAGTATGGCGCCGATATCAACAAACCTGACCACGCGCTTTATACGCCATTAGCCAGAGCCGCTCAAGCAGGCGACTTGTCTACTGTGGAGATCCTTCTGACAGCCAAAGCTGAATCCCACGTCCGAACATCATGGGACCACCAGCCGATCCACCTAGCCAGCGAAAACAGGCTCAATGGCAACGGAGTAGTGAAAGCACTACTCGAGTGGGGCGCAGACTCAAATGCCTACAGCAAGGGCTCCGGTACTCCTTTACACAACGCCGCGAATCGTGGGTCGATCCACACGATGCGTACCCTCATCGAGCACGGCACTGCAATCGACGCTATTGGACGAAACGGAAGCACCGCTGCTATGGTGGCCTTATATTGTTGGAACGAACCCGCGTTCGTTCATCTAGCAAGCGCCGGTGCTCGTTTAGATGTTGTCAACGATAGTGGCCACAATATCTTGCAGCTTGCCACCTGGACTGCGAGCGCGAAGGCTTGGGATCTACTGATTGACCGCGCGGAGAGTGGCAGTCTTGGCTATATTGATGTGGATGCGTTACATGACGGCCACGGTATCGAGCAGTGTTACCGTAAGTGTCGGAGGTTGTGGTATCGCGGCCAGAGAGGAGATGAAAACCTGGAGCGTGCCAAGTTTCTCCTTATGATTGAGATTTGCGGATTCCAGCGACAACGTCCTGGTCGTTTTTACGATCTAACTTAGCAAGCCTCTCTATTTTTCGTTTCTTGCAGGTTTATGTTCTTGTTTGCGAAGAAATTGTTGTTACAGAGGGTGTTTTTGTCGTGATTAGACGTGTGTATTTTTTTTTCTCCTAATGTTTGACATATTGTGACGATTTTCTACAGCATCCAAATTGCCGCCTCTTGACGCTACTTCTATCTGTGCTGCGCGATACATCTTGTGCCTAGAGACGAATAGTCTTGATAAGTTATTACTAGCTCTCCAGCCAACGTAGTGGCCGCTTCTTGAGCGAGACTCGATCTTCTATGTCACGAATACTGGCTTTCAACAAACTTCGATGTGTCCATCATGTAGCCGTGTGATTCTCGTACGTCAAACAGCGAAAATTAGATCGCTTCTCTCTGCCATAAACTAGGCCTAGAGACGGGTGGCTCACATTCGCGCTGAGACCAGCTATATGATCGCTGCAGGCCATTTGATCATTACCTAATGCAAACGCAAATGCTAATGAGGATAAGTGATAGTATTTGGAAGCGGATACCCAAAGGTATCAGCTGTTCGCAGGCTCCAAGTCGTGCACTTGTGTGCTATTTCTATCCGTCAACGGGCTACCTCCAATTGCCTATTACCGCTCTCTACAGCGCATATTGGCCACGTGTGTGAGACTTGACGCCTTCGCTTTTCTCTCGCTTCCATTCGAGCGTTCGATTGGCGCATGGCTCAAATATGCATAGACGAGCAATGATCCATCGCTGACTGGTTGTTGCATACAAGGGACGAGGCGCAGCACCCAACGCTCGGTTATAGGATTGAGGGCTCAGCTCACTAATATGTCTTCGGCAGGTCGTCTCGCTTCTGCACCGCTGTCTTTTCGTCTTCTTCCTCCTCCTCCTCTTCTACGAATCTGCTGCATCTCATCTCCTCTCGTGCTCATCGAAGAATATCTGCTCTCGCAAAACGCGCCATGCCTGCACCGGATCGGGATGAGGAGTGTTGGACCGCGCGTCAGCCTCTGGCAATTCCTCACGGGGCTTCGGTCATGTCGCCGTGGCTTGTAGCAACGTCCTGATGCGTTGGAACGTAGTTGAATATGGTCGATGCTTTGCAAACGTTCGCGAGTGTTCGCACCTTCCCATCACGACGACACGTAACACTCGGATGCGCACATCCTCCGCTGACGTGAGTTGTAAAAAGCATCTGCCTCCGGAGCATAGACATTATTGAAAGTGCTAAAATCATAGTTAGCAGACATGTATCGGATATCCAGCGATTAGCGAAAGGCGTTGCTTCTCTGGTACAACCCTCGCCTCTCGCATCCCACTCGCAATGAGCATGCTCGAATGCCGTCTTTCAACTTTTCGGATGAACACACAGAGGATGGAGTTGGTGAAACACGAGAAAATACGTTGTTGGAACCAGTCCCGGCGTTTCAAAGTGGAGGGTGAGCACTCAACGGTGCCACACAAACAAATGAGTAGTGTAGGCGCTCGGGGTACCCCGATGACGGAGGGATCCACCTCGCACCGCCCTTTCGCTTCAACACTTGTCCGCTCTCTTGGATTCAGCCATAGCCATACTCAGAAGGTCCGCCAAACCATTGAGACACAGATCGAAGGACTCCATCTGCCTGGACCGTGACTTCCTAGTCATTTGTTAGTCTTCCTACGGAACTAGATCGGAACGATCGAAGAGCCATAGCACTCACCGCCCGATTCCGTTGCCACCCCTGATCCAAAGTTACTGTCCATTCCCCATCTTCATTGCAGTGTTCTGCAACGAGACCAGAATCTGCCAGATCGGTGCACGAGGAACACCAAGCCTTCTAACCTGACCGCTTCCCGGAGGGTTTGTCTCCCCGCCCCGCTTAGTTCGCCGTTGAAGGTCTAACGTGTTTGACAGAGAAGCTCTCACAAGCGTGCACGACGCTCAACTGTCCAGATTCGTCTCGAGTCCTGCCGTTCGTTTCAAGACTCCGGATAGGAACTCTTCGTCCCGACTCTTGCATTACCCCGCAAACGCGTCTTTCAATACCAATTGTTCTCTCAATCTCTCCGGATACCTTCGAAACTTCGTCACACGCGAGCAATAACGATGCATTCATTCGCTCCACACATACAGAAGCTGTCAGCTGGAGGGGAAAGTGGTGGTGGCGGCATCGAGGGTTCAATCGGGCCTGACAAGGACCTGAACAAAGCACCTGAAGATGAGGAAGTCGAGCGTGCTTGTGACGAGAACATGGCTACACAACCATTGTTTGTACACATTGCGGTCAAAGCGTTTGCTGCCTCGCTTGACGTGCTCTTACGAAAGCAGCGCCAGATGCTCCTGCCGATGGAGCATGTCGCTTCCATCTAGATGACATTCGGGATCTCTGTGGTAATTAGCTATGTCGAGGAATGATCATATATCCGGGTGAGCGGAGAGAGAAATGCCAATATATATACATAAAACGCAATAGAAAAACTTTTTCATCGGCCAGGGCACACGCACATGCAGTACGCGCGGCCAAAGGGACGGAAAGGAACACAGCGGGAGCTCATCCTTATAGATCGGTCAAAGAAGCCCAGAGGAAACGCCATGTGCAGGTGTCTGACCGATCGATCGAGCTTTAACTACCGTTTGCTGTATTAAGACGTCGGACAGCATACCCACCATGCACGTTGAGCTGCAAAGACTAGGTATAATATGCAGCCACCCTCACGGCCATAAAACGCTGAGACAAGTCAACGATCGCGCCGCAAAGATATATCTCAGCGATCCGAAACCAGTCTGCCAACCAAAAAGAGCCATTCTTTTAGCGGGAGTCTGATTTGCTTTTTCCTCCTATTTTGAGTCAGTAGTCCTCTATTCCAAGCTCTTCCAAGTTTGAGTCGCGCATGCCCTCATCACTTGGGGCTTCGTGTTCTTTATGTATATTGTCAGTCAAAGAGCCAGGCTGCCCCGCAAGGAGGAAAATCCTTGACCTGTCCTCAAGAACGTCCGAAGAGATGAAGACCAAGTGGTCGCAAGGGTGCCCCTGAAGATGTGGAGTGATGTCGGTGCTACTCGACATTTTGGGCAACTATGGCCGCGTGTCTAATGATCCTCACGGCCTTCGTGACGGCGCTTCCAGATCCATTGATTCGGTTCACTTGGTATTTGCGGACAATGGATACATGGTATCAAAGACGAGTAGAGATTTCTGCATGTGGGGACGATGAGCTTTTGGAGCGTTTAGCGTCACCTCTCCGCACTTTTAGATTGGAAACTACTGCCGCCCAATCAGCCCAATTCGAAAGCTTCTAGTCCATTCGAAATCCTGGGATAATGGTTGGACGATCTTACCTCCACTCAGGTCAGGCTTTCTGTCGAGAATTACGTGTCTGATAAAAGAAAGGCTACTGCGACAACAGTCCTCGCCATGGCTTTGCAAATCCTGCAGGGTGTTCAAGGCAGCATCAGGATAGATCAAATGATTTCACAAGTGAAGCTACTTGTCGAGGATTCTACTCTGATCGCCACAAATCGCGAAGATGTGTTGAATCTAAATTCACAGCTTCAGCAGTTTGCGGCACAACCACATATGGTAGTCATGACTGTCCAATCTCCCGTCTTGGTACCTCCACGTGACCAATCAATGCAATCAAGTTCAACGTCATCAACCCCGTTGTCGAACGTTGACGCCATAGTGGGGACTAGATCCTCCCAAGAGGAGCCTGTACGTCAATCACGACCAGAAGATGAGATTGCTCTTGTGTCAAATAGAGACTCTACAGCCGTTGTGTCTATTACCGGGAGCCTTGTCGCAAACCTGCGCTGTGAACCATACTGTCGATGTCCATGTCATATCAGTAATCGGGCAAGGACGCCACGGTAGGCCGAGCAACTCATAGGTGCGTTTGCTTTCTGTGGCAACGATTCGATTGATCTGAAGCGTCGGCCATGCAACCAGAAACAATGCAGACGAAGTGGGCCACTGCGCGTCAAAGCCTCCTATATTGCACCTTACTAGATGTTCTTAAACAACTTCCTGATCTATATGCAAGCCGAGATTCTTAAAGGCACACTGTCCTACAACTCGACCACGCCAAAAGTCATCCTTTACACCGCCGATGTCTGAAGCAATGTCGAATTAGGAAAGATCTTCGCGTTGAAACAACTAATTTAATGACTGCTTCATTTCTCCATATGTCGGGAACCCACAAGGCACCTCGCCTCTGAAGGTATTTATGCACCAGGTTCCTCAGGAAGATACACTGACATGACGATAGTATGCAGCTTTCAAAGGTGAAAAGGACGTATACGCGCTTCTCTTGGCAAAGGATGCGGACCCGTGCCCACGAGATCGCTTTGGTTTATAGGTTTGATACCCGAACGAAAGGCACGAATCACTTGGCTGATCTTTCCGCATGGCTGTGTAGCCAGAGATTGATCGAGCATCTAGTGGTGTGCATTCAGACCGAGCCCCCGGGATCGCAAGCCTGCACGACCCATATTTCGCTACAGACATCCTCGATCAGCAGGTATTCACCAGTCTGCATCTCATAATCCTGTGGCATCTACAAATGGACTTGGAACCCACACTGAAGTATCATCCGCTCAATGTTGATGAAAAAGGCTCTAATGGACGCACCGCCCTCCTATGGGCCGCGTGACGAGGAGATACAGAAGTCACCAGACGGCTACTCAGTCACGGGGCCAATACTGACCAGGCTGATCACGAAGGGTTTAATCCACTGGCAAAGGCCTGTGTAGCCGGCCACATGAGGGTGATTAAACTCTTCAAATGCCAATGCATCCTGAATCAAGAGCACGATATTATGGGGCTATCAACTGATCCATCTCGCTAGCGCCAACAAGAGGAACGGCCATGAAATCGTCAACGAATTGCTGAAATACGGTGCTAACCATAATGCTATGGGCTCCACTGGCACGTCTTTGCATAACGCCTGCAACAAAGGGTGTTTGGAAACAATAGAGATCCTCATCGCTGCTGGAGTGGACATTGACGCTCTAGGAGAGAAGGAAGATATTGCTGCTATGGAGGCACTCTACAGCTGGAATGAGGCTGCGTTCTTACTCTTGGCCCAAGCAGGCGCCAAGCTAGACGTCGTGAACGGTAGTAGACATAAGATCCTACTACTAGCTACATGGAGCGCTAGCATCACGACATGGAATCTGATCACTGACTATGCCCAACAATAAAGTCTCGGGACCGTCGATTTGAGCTTGTCTCATAAAGATCACGGTATCCATCATTATTTTGATCAATGCCGAGTTCTTTGGTGTGTAGGCCAGAGGGCGAAGAAAGAGGTAGAGAAAGCGATTGAATGGACTTGCCAAACGTAAGACTGACAAGGATTTCGATGACAAAAAGAAGCAGATTTTCGACAACAGAACCGCTTTTTGGTTGTGAGGATTTGTTATTGGCGTTCGGAGTTTCCGTGTCGGTTGGTAGATATCCGAGCCCTGTATATCATTCATTCTTAAGATTTTCAGTCTAATTCTAGATGTAGTCGAAAATCTATCATGAGTGCCTGCAACTCTACTCGGGTGAGGAAGAGGTGCACTTATAGGAAGTTGATAAACTGCTACTATCGCTAATTAAAAGAGCAAGGAGTGGTTTATGGTGTCGTTATCGACATGTACATACATGGTGCAATGAGAGAAAAATGCTGGACCCAGACAATTCGCCCGAACACCTGTATCAGACAGATCTATATTGTAATAAAAAGGAGACAATTAGGCATTTGATCCAAGAAGGAGCTCAGGAAAAGAGAACCTTCCGTCAATCCGTCAGCCTCACACATAAGGCGGAGGAGGCTCCTCGAACAACGGCTCGTCTTCTTTGTATTTGGCTTCGGTGAAGGCTACCGTCTCGCCCTTATATGCGATCTCGAAACGGATCGTTGCGCTTTCAAAGGTCACGTGTAGGTCGAAAATAGCAGTTCGATAATTCTGCTTGTCGTGACGGTCGGTGAAGAGAGGCTCATTGAGCAACTTGACCCGGTCAATGCGCCAGGCCACAGAACAAAGCTCCTTGACGCCTATTGGGAGCAAGTTAGGCTAATTTCCGGGCCTTGATAGGGTTGGGAGAACACATACTGACTGTTTTTCTTGACGGTGGGTCGTTCTGGGCACAGAAGTATAGCTGGCCTCCGAATGCATACTCTTTTTCAAACGGTCGTTTCTCCTGCACTTTGCTATGGTACCTTGTATGAAAGCGATGTCCGTCTTGTATGCGCTCCCCCTGGTGTTATGTCATCCAAATGTTGTAACTCAACTAGGATCAGAACATACCTTCTTCAGGATCCACTCCATCTGGTTTACGGCCCACCACTCATAATTCTGATCAGGCAGACGTTGCTTGTCTATGTCTAGATGACCCTTAGAGGAATCGAACGGAACACACCAACAGTTCCCGTAGCTGAAACGAGCTATCCTGGCAGCCACTGTCCGCGTAGTTAAGGGGTTGTTTAGAGAATGCTCTACGCCCCACGTGGCTGCTCCACGACAGATCGAAGACCACCTGTCCGTGCATTTTAGCATGGCCTAGATGCTGCTAATACAAGGACTCACCCATTCGTAACCTTGAACACTTCGATGCCCTCCTTGTTGTGAGCGTCTTTCAATCGCTTGTGCATGTAATGGTTGGTGCCGAAGCCTCCAACTAAGAGAATAGCCTTGAGTCAATGTCAGAAGAAATAATTGTAGATCATGGAATAATGTGCAGACCTTGACCCGCTGACCATCGACCTGTGCTTCGTCTACTTGATTCTCCACCAAGACCACGATCTGGTTGATGACATGGTCAAAGAGAGTTCGAAGAACGCGCCTGGAGAGATTGAGAAGATGCTGCTATAGGGTGAGGCAACTTACGGTTTCAGTGTGATCATCTCGTTGTCAATGCCTTCCTTTTCATTGTCATCGACGCCAGGAAGCTCAACAGTGTACTCCTTGTCCGTTCCAGAGAAGGCGCGTTTGAGACCATTTTCGTATTCGCGAAGCATACGCGACTTAGCTCTACGCTTGAGACTGTTGTATTGCTTCTCGCCAACAATCATCTGAATGTACTTCTTAAAAGCGACGTCAAGATGAACAGATCCGCAGCCATCGCCTACGTTGCAAACGGGTCAGTAAGGCTAAAACGTTGCTTGAGTTACCTCCACTTACCTTCACCGGCAACACCTTCTTCGATTTGTAGGGGATCAAGCTTCGTGATTTTATATGTGATCAAGTCCTTTTGTAATCTTAGCATTCGGGGCGAGAATCAGAGTCCGTTGACTTACGACCGTGCCTCCACCCGCGTCGCATATCACGAACGAGTCGTGGAGCTGCAGTTCACCTGGTTCTTTTTCCTTCGCCTTCAGGACTGCCAATGCTGCAGCTTCTGGTTCCGTGACGAGAGAAATATCATTCGGTAAGCCTGCTCGCTTTGCTGCGTTGAGGGTCGCTTGCTTTGCGATTTGACTCCAAATAGCTGGGACGGTGATTACAAGCTTAAGTGTGTAGGATGACTCCCATGTTTCGCCTTTCTTATCTTCGATTGTTTTCTTTGTGTACTGCCAGAGGAAGCGGAAGTAGTCAGTGGCTACATCTTCAGCTGATTTTCCTAGGTCCGCAAGTGTTTCGCGGCATGCGCTCAATGCTCGGGCGTCACCGCGTGCCTTTTGCTTGGGGTCGAGAAGTAGCTTGAACCAAGATACGCTCACTTCCTTATCAGTGTCGACTTCGTAGCCCCAGTTGATGGGCTTTCCATTCTTGTAGGATACGATTGTAGGGACCTTATCTGTGTTCGCGTTGGAGCCCGTAGGATTTGGCCAGTCGTTGATGAGGTTTATGTCCTTGGTGCCACCGTTGACGACCCAGGACACACCTGAGTACCTGATTACACTCAGTTCACGACGCGCTCGAAATTTGGGATTGCGTTTGTCTTACGTGGTTCCAAAGTCGATACCAACAACAAGCTCCAGAGCCATTGGAATGCTGTCAGAGGCTATTGCAAATTGTGTAGCTTAGCAGGCTGAACAGAGATGCTCAAGGCTGAACCCCATGTGAAGAAGAGAGATGATCGGCTAAAGCTTGGGTACGAGGGTTCTAGATTGGAGGCACACAGTCTCGCCCCAGCCTTTCTATCAATAGTTCTTCCGGACTTATTCGGATCGAGATCGTGAAGGCAGCGAGTAGTCTGGCTACTCGAGGGCTGGATCTAGCCTGCAGACAGCCCTTCGCAAGGTCCACATCTGCATACACCTGAACTTTGATTGAGGTCACGCATTGGAACTACCAATCACATCAAACTTATCATTGTCCGTCACAATGCATGCTCTGATTCCGGGGATCTGCATTTGGAGGCTGTGAGAGCTGAACTTTACGAGTGGGCGCATATTAGTTCTCGGATTCGGGATCGAACGCCACACTCATGGGTTAGCGAGCTGTACTACAAAGAAGTCTAGCTCAGCCTGATCAAGTTGCAAGTGCACAACAACGAATATATGTTACTATACCTGCATTTTGGCTGTACATACTCCAAAGTCCTTTCACTTCGATTACCACGATGGCTGACAGCAACGATAAAGACAATGTCCTGAGCATGATACTTGTAATGGGCGTGACCGGCGCTGGGAAGAGTTATTTCATCAACCAGCTAGCGGGACAAGACGCAGTCCAAGAAGGGCACACACTCAACGCATGTCAGTAATCGTCCCATTCAGATACCTAGTATGCAACTGACAGATTCAGGCACGCAGACCTGCCAACTTGTACCCGCTGAAGTTGGGGATAGCAAGGTCCTACTAATGGATACTCCGGGATTCGACGATCCTGTACGAACCGATGCAGAGATTCTCAACGAGATTGCAGATGTGCTCGCAGCTCAATACAAATTGGGCGTCAAGTTGAAGGGCATCGTTTATCTTCACCGAATCACGGACATTCGCTATACCGGAGCCTCTATCAAGACCTTCGAGATTTGCAAGAAGATATGCGGTATCGATGCGCTGAAGAATGTCATCCTTGCTACCACACGATGGGATGGCCTGAACGACGCGCTTGGTTCAGACCGGGAGCACCAGCTCCGCGAAGAATTCTGGGCGTATATGTTAGGACATGGGTCCAAGATGAGCCGGTTCCACGGTGATCGGGGCTCAGCCGTTAGCCTGCTTAGCCAGTTGCTAAGCAGTGAGCCTGTGGTACTTGAACTGCAGCGAGAGCTTGTTCAGGAGGGGAAGACGCTAGACCAAACAACTGCTGGGGCATACGTAGAGCACAACTTAGATCAGCTCAAGGCAAGATACGAACAGCAGATGGCGGACTTGGAGCACCTGAAGCAAGAATTGCAGGAAAATGACCGGAAGATGAAGCGACAAATTCAGAAGGACTGGGAGGCAGATCAAGCAAGGCTAGCGGCTGTTCGTAAAGAGAAAGAGCAGTTGCAACGCCCAGTCAGCCAGGAGATTGATCAGCAGATTAAGCAGAAGAAATCGCGTACGCGAAAGGTACTTGGTTTTTTACCCACGGCAATTGGTATCCTCGCAGGGCTAGCGGGCATACCAACGGGCGTCTTGCCACTCCTAGTGTCGTGGTTTCAAGACACCAACTCTGAGTTCGACATGTCGTCTTTCACGGATTTGTTAGCTTTTTGATTGAAACTATCAGTGGTTGTATAGTTCCCCTCATGCTTTGTATCTATATACTGTTGAATATCTCACGTAGCTTTGAAGGAACTTCCATTGCTGTATATCGTAATAGCTGCATAAGAGTCCGAATGCGGGATCATCTGGATCCCAGTGGCAATGGTGAGCCTGACCAAGAGATAATGTTGAGCACTGCAGCCTCTCAGGGATGCGAAAGCTCCTTGGTCGACAAATTTAGCGTTCGCATTCGCAGTTCGCAGAAAGCAATCTTAGCCTACTTCACAGCGCCTCGGCCCGCCACTACGGCGCTCTCCCAATCGCCTCTTACAGGCGAACGTGCTCACCAATTTTTACTTGCATGAAAACGAGGTCACGTTGCGCAAAGCGCTCGTCTCGAATCACCCATATCTGCCACATTCGCCAAACCAGGAATGACTTTCCCGGCTTAGGCTAGTTCATTTACGCGCTGATCGTGGAGCTGAGAAGCAGCCTGCGCTCAGCCTTGAGCCAGATCTAGCCCCTTGAACTGTTTACAGGCAGCAAAGTGGCGTTCATCACACGGGTGTGATAGCCGTGCATTTGCGGCTGCTGAAGTGACCATCTCCGGCACACCTAAAAGATCGGACCTTCGAAGTGCCCCATTCCTCGGCCCATTCCAGCTTAATTCTGCACTGATATTGGCATCCGGTCGAGAATACCAATACCTTCTCTGCAAGATGCGTACCACGATGCGTCACCTACAGAATGAGGTACCTGAAGACAGCGAGACGTCGTCTTTTGAATCGCAGGCGACGCATGGCCTCGACAAGCACCCACCCAGCGTAGCACCACCACCTCTTCCTAGAAGAGGTAACTCTTATATCGGTATGGAGTTGATTGGCACGTCAAGCATTATGCAACTTCGGCCGTAACTGATGCGGAGCAGCCTCCGGTCATACAGATAAGGAAGCACTTTCCATGAAGCCGTTACCGTCAAAACCTTCCGATGTAATATTCGTTCAGCAGTCGCATGGTGGGAATTCTACTGGATTGGTTGTAGGTTTTTCCTTCATTACTTGTCCGACCAGTCTGACTTATCAGTGGCGAAAGAAAGTTGGTGAACATGACAATGCCACACGCTACCGAGGTGAACGCGACGCTTTGAAAGACAAAGTTAAAGATCTCGAGTCCAAACTAAATCGGCAGCAACAAAATTATTACGAACTCAAAGAGGATTTGGAACAGTACCAGCGGACAATGGAACAAGCGGAAATTGACTGGACAACACAAAACAATGGGCTCAAAGAGACCATTCAAGATCTCAGTTACCAGTTGCATTACGAGCAACAGAAAGTGGTATCGGTCAAACAGTCCGCGAACCAGATACAACTAGCGAAAGATACAAACGTGATAATTTTTGCAACGCAGGAGATGGATGCAGCTATCCGCCAAAAGATCGGCGCTCTATTGCAAGATATACGCACGTGGTCAGGAAAATTCTCTTGTGATACCGGACGCATGCCTGACTTTAAGTCGACCAAATTTCCAGAGTACCGCCGTGTGGTTCCATCATGCAACAGCCATGCCGATCTTGTTCACTTCATGAACAAATACCAGAACGACAAAGGCCTGGACGAGAAACGCCGCGACAAGATGGACAAGAAGTTTAAACGCCGTTTCATACGAGGGTGGGCATCATTTGTGATGGTCGAAAGCTGCTTTTGTCCCTCAGATAGCTGGCTCCGCAGTGCAGATGCGCAAGCTTTCCACCACATCGAAAGACTTCTTTCTGGGGCGGGTAAGTACAGACAGTGCCTTTTTCGCCAAGAAATCCTGAGATGTGATAGATCCTACCCGGAAAGGGGCGTCGGATCGCGCGTTCCACGATTGGAAGGCTCTAACGGCCTATCTCCTCTCAACTGTAACACCACAAGCCACTCAAGGAGAGGACATGGGTAAGGTAGCCACGGACGCTGCGATTGATGTTATAAATCTCCTTCACCCATGGGCCAAATCATCGCTCCCCGAGTCGTTAGAACAGCAACTTGTTGGTATCTATCAGGAAGCGCTCCAATTGTCACGTCTTTTGCGTACTCAACGGGCTCATTGGGAACTGAATTTTCCAACAGGAGACGCAAGTGCCTTACCTTACGACATGATCAGCATGGAAGACGATGATGATGAAGACATTGACGTCGTGTCTCCGAACAGAATGGTTGAAATGGTGATCGAGCCTGCTCTGAGCAAGAGAGGGACGATGGACGGGACCAAATTCGAAGCTGGTCCCCATGTTACGATGAAGGCGAAGGTTTGTCTGGAATCTTGAGCAGTATTTTCAAATCAGCGGTACTTATTTTCACTCAATATCTGGACAGTCCTTGCTTTCTATGCTGCAAGTTTCTCAAATCGTTGCTTCACCGCGTCAGACCGGTAATTTCAACGTGACTTACTTCGACTTAATGGATCTGTTAATAGATTTTCCCTAGCGCGGCTGGGTGAATATCTACACGATGGTTGCGTTGCGTCCGAAAGAGTATACAGAATTAAAGCCCGTGGGTGACTAGATCTACAACACCGACATGGAAAGGAATGGTAAAGCAAACGTGTTTCAGAATGTATCAGTACTTTTCTCCCTTGACCAGCAATGATCCGGTGACGTGTGGAGGCCTCGATAGAGTCAATGCCAAGGCATCCAAGAGGTGGTAGCGATGGGACACTAGTGGTACCGTAGCGGAGGACACGGAGGACATCTCCGTGTTTGTATGCGAACGTCTTATCACCAGCCAAGAGACCTTATCTGATTACGGAGAAACCTCACCGTGTGTGTTGGCTCTTTGCGCGAACGCAGAAGCTGCTGATATGGATTTGATGTGCGGTTGTGGTCGGTTTATCAGCTCTTCGACCATCAGGTCGCGTGCTCACAATATCGACATCCATACTCTGAGACCGACATTCTAAGTCCTTTAAAATGCTCAGTCTATTCAATTCCTCTTCATTACCGACTGCAGAAAAGCCAAAGGACGAGGTCAAGCGCGCCCTTCCCGCATCGTGGTACCACTCTGGCCCCCTATATGATCTGGAGCGCCGCGCCATCTTCTCTAAGAGATGGCTCCTAGTCACTCATAGTCTAAGATTTGATCATTCCGGCGACTATGTCTCCTTTCGCGAAGCCGGGTTCGACTTCTTCCTCGTAAAGGATCGCGAGGTAGGTGCATGTCCCATTCAGTCGGCAACGCGCTGGCTAACTGGATAACTAATCATCTGCGCAAACTCAGGGTAACATCAATGGATTCCACAACATCTGTCGGCATCGAGCGTTCCCTGTTGTGACCGAAGAGAGCGGCAGTGCATCTATTCTCTCGTGTAAATACCATGGCTGGTCCTACGGCTTCAAAGGGAACCTGGCAAAGGCACCCCAGTTTGCTTCTACTCCGGGATTCGACAAGGCGCAGCACAGCCTCTTCCCAGTGCACGTTCATGTGGATGGTATGGGATTCGTCTGGGTAAATATGGACGCCAACGAGACGCCGGAAGTCGAGTGGAAGAGTGACTTTGAGGGTGTGGACACGCAAGACCGACTGAACAGTGTCGACCTCAAGCGTGATTTTCAGTACGATCATCAATGGCACATGATCGGCGAATACAACTGGAAGACTTTGGCCGACAATTACAACGAGTGCTATCATTGTCTCACGGGCCACCCAGCCGTAGCCAATGTCATCGACCTACAGAGCTACTACGTCGATACGAAGAAAGGATACATACTGCACTACAACACAAGCAAAGACCCAGAAGAGGGTACTTACCAAGTAGCGAGCCAATTCTGCTTGCCGAATGCGTCGTTCACTGTGACGTAGGTACATGAGAACGCGCTCGTTGATGCCTGTAGCTGATAATGCCGCCACTAGGCCCCACTTCTTCTTCATGCAGCGCGCTGTCCCAATATCAGCGACACAGACCCGAATGGAGTACGAGGTCTACCGGAAGAAGGGTGCCAGCGATGAAGATTTCAAGGCAATCGATGCGTACTTCAAGACGGTTATGCAGGAGGACAAGGTTCTCTGCAATGGTGCACAGCGAAACCTCAGCGGCGGTGTCTTCACGAATGGGCAGCTGCATCCTGAAAAGGAGAAGGTACGTTTTTCGGACTTGTAAGATCCTGATTCATGACTGATGGCCATCATAGGGCCCCATTTGGTTCCAAGACAAGGTGCGCGGCCTTCTCATCAGCCACCGAGAGAAGGAGGAAAAAGAGAATGGGGGTAAGCCTATATGGCCTGCTACCCGCAGAGCTACGGTCACAGACAGACTTATGGAAGAGGAGCGATTTTGCGCTGCGTTAGAAGGCGCCCAATGTCCCGGGGTACTGGGTGAGGGTCAGGGTATCCTGGCATGGTAATCTCATATCGGGGAAATTGCCGTGAGAATACACATCGGCTGGCTTCAAGCTATTTTTTCCCGTCAATGGAGGGGTTGTGGATGGTTCTTTTTTTGGATGATCGATGTAAATAAATTGCAGTCCCGATCCATTAGGTTCTCTAGCAAAGTGAGAGTCTAGCTTGCGCAAGCGCGACGGATGCTTTGTCTTCGCTAGCGAGAGCACCTGTATTGCCTAAATAATAAAGGCTTTCCTCTTTTTGCACAGCCAAAAGTTGTCCGAGAACCCCTATCGATTCTGTGTAGTAATTTCTCCCGCTCTTGTGCTGGTGGAGGTTCTAATTACCTGAAGTTCCGAGTGCCGAATGATAGCGGTGATGCATGTATCAATAACAGTCAGGGTCGTTCATCACGTGCTTATCAAAATATCGACAGTGTAAGTGGGACAGACGGGACCGTCGCAAATTCCTGGCAATTGTGCAAAAGGCAAACCCCAAAATTCTCATAGATCACTTAGACTCCAGAGATTGATGATGCCCCATTATCAACTCCCCAGCCGTCAATGATAGTCTACATTGCATTAAAATTTATCCAGCCACCAATTGCCTTCCCGAAATCCTCCTGCAAAAGTATATTACTTTGGTCCATGAAGTGATTCATATCGCCCGCACTCCCGAATACAAAATCGGTGTTCGCTTCGAGACCGTTTTGCATGACCGGGGTCGGAGTCGCCGAATAGTCGAGCAGTGGAAAGGTTTCGCTTTCGTCGGGCGCATCGGCGATGACCTCCACTGGCACTGTCTTGTGGCCGGAGATCCCGGCGCATCCAACCATGGCAAACTCGGCAACATCTTCTTTCTCAGACTGATCAGACTTGACGATGATACTGTCACCAAACAAGGTTTTGTCTGTATCGGCGCCGAAGCGGCCAGCTCTCTCGTAGATGAGGAGGTCCCAGAGGAGTTGGGCATCGATACACCAGGTTGAGTTTGATCTAGCGTTCTCTCCATTCTGCTCAGAGGGATAAGACCTCATCACGATGCTATCCTGCAGCTTCCTCAGGTTGTGTGCCTATAGTACCTGTCAGCTACGGTTTTATGACGATCTCAGAACGGTCTGACCATTGCTGCTGCGGAGAGCCAAACTTGGCCCATGCGGTCCAAAAATCTGAGGCATGCGTTAAAAGCGTTTTGTGCCTTCTGGCAAAATGCTGCATCCTGTACAAAGCTGTGCTGTAAGTGAATGGTAGCTGTTATCGTGACGCAATGCGCAATCGAAGGATCGGATACCTGAAGCCCCGTGTTTTCAATTATGCGCAGGTAGTGCATTGTCCAGGCGCTACACCTCGATATTTGAACATATGACTGGTGAAGGAAGGTCTGTGGCATTGCATGCCTATAGTTCTTCAAGCGCATGGACAGAAGGAATGGATGATTAACGAGAGATGAAATGGCCGCACAAGTGAACTGTTGGAACAGCCAGGGACCCCAATGATCTCTTCGCTGATGTATTTCCTCCAAAGAGAGCGCACCAAAGTTGCTTGTGGCAAATCGGTACTTGAGAGGGATTTTAGCATCGATCTCCATGTGGCGCAACATGATGTGTGAGTAGTGTGATCTGGGATCCCAAGGGGGTAATTCGTCTGGACCGACATGGTAGGCTGCATATGCTCTCGCCATTTGCCACGTTTCGGCTACCATTGCTGAGTGCGAAACAATTCCAGAGTCAGGCTCTGGTTCATTGTGCAACCTATGGAATGGATCCCTTGAGCGATAGTTAAGTTCGCTTATGAAGACTTTTGCATTAGATGCATCATGAATCGAGCCCTGGATACTGTGCAGCAATGATATACTCTGTATGCACAAATCGTACTCGACTGGATCACCAAGGAACGAATCAGGAGAAAGACAGCTGGCGAGATACTGGGCCTGACTAAGGTCAAGTCCAGCCTGCATGACATGTCCATCTAAGACCTGTCAGACAAAGATGCTTTATACTCAGGTCCATTTCCCTTTTACAACTTACCAGCGAAACTTAGAAGACTGATAATGCACAGGGTCTGTAAAGTCGAAAGCTTCACGTTTCCTTCTGCGATAGAGCTCATGGCAATCTGCCGGCTTGACCTGACTTCCGCTTCCAGGGATTGTCGTTTTTCAGGTACCTGGGCTTCCGGAGGAAATCGGTTGCACCAAGTTTGTATTGCAAGGAACAACCCATAGTCCCGGGTCTCGAGAGATGCTGAAAAGTCTTTTTGTTGGAAAAGAGGAAGAGGCTGGTTTTGACACCACGTGAGATAAAGTTGGCCTAGTCTCGATGCATAGTTGTCTCTTTGCGGCAGTCTTTGAATATTATTTAGTGGATATCTTCACAGGGTGTTCTTCGGTGATGTCTCACGTGCTGATGTTGAAGGATGTCGAATCTTGGTTGCTTGGTGATAGCTCGCAGGGTATATCTACGCTTCTTGTACGCGATGGAGGAGAAGGACTCGAAGGATCGGGTACTGCGGTGGACACCTGATTGGATCTGTCTCGATAGTCACTCAAGTGCGCATTGATTCTTACGTCCAAGATACCTTAGTGAGTCTAGCAGCTGATCTAGTTTGTTTTCAATGAGTCCAATTCGGCGACCCTGAGCCGTCGTTAGCTTGATACATGCGAAATATAACTTCATACATATACTCCGGGCCATTATGTGCGTACCATAATGTCATCCCGGGTAGTCTGTGAGGTCTCGCGCTCATCAAAGCTGTAGTCGCACGCTTGGCCCAAACGGCGACAATGTGAACACCGCGGTCGTTCACCGGGACATTTCGATTTCTTACGCCTGGATGATAGTTAGCAAATCGTACGCTGGAGATATCAGCCCTTCAACATACCGACATGGCTCGCAGGCTCGACGTCCACGTCGTTGTATTGTGGTCTCCATTTAGTGACGCCTAGAAATGTCGACCATGGAAAGCAATTGATGGTCAGGGCAAGCTGGCCTCAGCAGTGCCAAAGTCAGCCTCCAAATTGATGCTTCAGCTCTCCACTATTTTCCTTGATAAAGTAATGTTTTGACGCTCTTGGTTTAGTCGATTCGTTTCCGTTGATGCGGTATAGCGTGATATTGGGTGTCCTTGACGCGTCGTCGGAGATACTGCGCGAGGCTTCAATAGAGCTCGTCTGATATTACTGTGCAAGCTTCGTTATGGGTGTCCTTGAGGGGGCCTCAGTTATCTTCGGAATTAATGCGGCGGGGAAGTGGGGTCGCGTGGTTGCACAGTAGCGCGCCGGCCGATAAAGGCAATGCGATCCGGCCATGCTCTTGCTTTAACTAGTCACTAGTCTACCAAAAAAGCTTGACTCCGTAACGCACGAGCACGAGCCTCGATAACGATTTAAGCTTATAGAATGTGCTGTGGCGATAATCAACTACGTGGCATCTCACACGAGCACTAGACGGCAAGCCTGCCCAGTCCAAGACCACAAATCCATGTCGGAATGTTAGAATTTAGGGGCCGATTGTATTGATCCCTAAATAACTGAGAGACACATGGGGCTTGCAAACGTGATCTCAATTTGACCCAACAGGTAAGCAATGCAGTGAAAGCCTATGGGTTCATTTCGACGCCTTATTACTTAATGTTTACCATAATTGTAGTCCATTGGCTCGTGGAATTGATCTATCGGTTCGTTCACAGAACGTATGGTGTATACTAAGGTATTTGAGCCCACGCCGTCATCTCCTGTACTTGACGCAGCTGCACAGGAAACAGGGACCAAGAAGCCCCGACTATGAGAAATAGACTTCATTAAGTTAGACGTCCGCCACGTGTTCGGGCAAATAGGTCCACCATATGCGGGTGTGTTTATTGGAACATTATTTCACACGTGAATTGGCCACGTGTATCACCGTACACTAATGTAATACCGAAGACAGTATAAGATCAACAGCTCTCGTAAGAGGAATGTTGCAGAAGACCCTCACATCGTACGCGCGGATATCCGCTGTAGAAGATGAGCACTATCAAGAGCTTACAAAAACTGTCATCACAAACGATCTGGATCTCTGCACAATCCCATGGTTAGGCTTCATGAAGCCACGTCTCATTCCATTATTGATAGGCTATAATTTACTTGAGGGTAACGCTTTAGCCTTTGGCAGGCCAAATTTTGATATATCATCGGTGGTCTTCCCATCGATCGCCAACTCCGCCGTCACCCGACCAATTGTAGGTCCGAACTTGAACGCATGCCCGGCACCAAGCGCGAGAATTATATTTTCGTGCTTTTCCAACGGGCTGATGATGAATTGGCGATCCGGCGTGATTGTGTACTGGCACGTGATCGTTCGAAGCGTCTGCCCTTTGCCAGGGATGATGTTCTCCATCAGACCAATGAGTTCTTTCAGCAGTTCTTCAGAATGAACGAAGGTACGCTGCTCAGTCGTCATTCTGTTGTAAGACACATCGCGTCCTGCCTTCAAGGTCGGTTCGCCGTATGCTGGGAACCCGTAGAACCAATTCTCGCCGGCCCAGACCCATACAGGAAATTTCTCCGGCTCGTAAGCATCCGGGTCGCTGGGCTTGAAGTATGTGATTTGCTCTTGCATGACATCGAGGGGGACTTCTTCGCCAAGGGGCGCAAGCAGTTTATTAGCCCAAGCATCAGCAGCGATGATGACCTTGCCAGCATGATAGCGACCTTTTGATGTCTCGATGATGACACCGGTATCATCAGGAGTCAGCTTATCGACTCTCGTTCTATCCTTCAACACAGCTCCTGCAATACGAGCCTGGAATTGCATCTCTGCGACCGCACGAGACGCATGTACGATGCCTGTGTCTGATGTGTATACTGTTTGCGTGCCTTCGGGGACGTTGAACTGCGGCCAGCGTTTCTTGATATCCTCTGGTGTCAGAAGCTCATACGGGACATTGCAGGCGTCGAGACTGTCCGAGTAGGAGCTTGCGAGGTTGGGAGATCCTTTGGGAAACATGGTAATTCCACCAGTAACTGTCAACCATTGTTGTCCGGTTCTCTTTTCCAGTTCGGCCCAGTCCTTGTATGACGATATGGCCAGCGCTACGTATTCGGGTGCTCCATAGGATTTCCGTACGATACGTGACGTGTCATGGGATGCACCGCGGACGTGTCCAAACTCGAATTGTTCGAATCCGATGACCTTTGCTCCTTTGATAGACGAATGATACACGGCACCGCTACCGAGGGCGCCCAGGCCGACAACTGCCACGTCGTAATGCTCCATCGCGACTTCAATTGCGAGCGTGCAGGCTCTTAGGTAAGAATGATGAGAAGATGCACAGGCGATATGATGCGATCTCTAGTGAATGGTCTGATATATAGCTTTCAAACAGGTGAGTTGGTCTGATCTGCGGAGGCATAACCACTGTAACTGGAAAATATTGCTCATTTAGTCGATGAAGTTGATCTGATAGTGCATCGTCCAATCAGGTGGCTAGTGCATTCGGGACCTCGATGGTCATGACCCACCAACGCGGAGGTAGTTTCCCGTGTTTCTTGGCGTGTCTCACGTGACCGGAGAAAGCTCAATGTTCCGTGTACCGCCCAGAGGACTCAATGGATATCTTCCTTGGCATTGGTAATGACCATATCTCCTCTCACAGGTCCCACTTGAGGCGTCAAACGCGCAAGCATAGTACAGGACACCCGACCTCAGTCGCGGTATCATTGTGCCGTTTGCGTCTTGGCCATCTACGATCAGACTAGCTCTACATCTATCATGGACATACGAGACACGTCTATCAATGTTTCCACCAGTTACTGCGTGAACAGGTGTCGACTTCCTATTGATATCAAACAGCAGAAATTTGTTATGGATATTAGCGGTCTCTGCTGTTCCCACAAACCTCCTTTTCAAGCCATCTGGTCGAGTTCATCTGAGTTCCGTGGATCTCCCATCACGATCAAGAAGAAGTAAGTCCTGAAACAAATTTTCACGCAAGGTGATGGATATGAAGTTTTGATTTGGCCAAATGTATCCGTGCGGGGCACTGTTTGCTGGGGAAGGCAAAGGTGTCGCTTTAGCTCTCAATGGAAGGATGCTTCTTCTGAAGGATTATATGTGACTATTACCAGAACCAAATGTCCATGTCTCACTTCACTTTAAATCACGACAGCCAACTCTCACTTCTGCGATGTCATGACAAATATTCTTCCAAAGTGTCAGTGTGTGGACGACATTGTTCATGCGCTCTACGCAGGTAGCGCTCTTGTCAATCGCGATCGACGATTTCCTAACAAACTGCGTGCGAGCCCTATCCTCGAAAGCAAAGCCCCGGAATCCATTGACGCAGCGGTCGACGATATGGTAGAATACTATGCGACAGACAGATTCGAGTCCGTAATAGCTGACGTAGTTGAAGTTCGGAGGATTCAGTTCCGGTGACTAGGTAACGCGGTATCGGAACAAAACGGCCTGCTCTGGGGTCACTGCGAGCGGAGACGCGAGTTCCTTCTTGGATGGGTATTCCTTGTTGTAGTCGATATGGGCTTCGATGTCATCTTGGACTGTGAGAGGTGGCCAGAGTTTGGCCAGAGGGTTGAGGACGGGGATGAAATGGCTTGGTACGGTTCTCATCTATGGAGAAGACAGATAGACCACATTGAACGGTAGTGGGTCAATTACATACTGGTGATGTACCATCTTGAAGTTTATCGTGCGGCTCGGTGGCCTTTGGAGGAGGCATGATTGGACCTCTCCAAGCCGTCGACCGACCGAAGTAACCTTGGGCGTAAATCGAGTCGTACACTTTGTTGGAGGATTGATTTTGGGTCGCAAGAGTGGGTGATGCGAAAGCTACTTTGATCTGACGGCGTGGGAGCTAGGTAGAGCGAAGAAGCGTTGCACAGAACGCCTCGCCGCCGCACACCAGCAACTTCCATTCTTGACTACCAGGCTCATGCTCATCAGCACGGTGAAATGGGCGAAAATTCGACTACCATATGAACACGTGCTAGTGTCGAAACTTTCAATGTCATGGAACGGACTTTTGCCGTAAGGGGTAGTAGAGTAATCGTCTCATAGTTTGTAAGTTAATAATCACATCAGCGCGTGATGGCTAGCAAACATGAGGAGGAAGGGTAATCTACCTATCCAAATCCGTGTTGTCGGAGAGGTTTGATGTACAAGGCGGCCTTGGCTGTGCGATTTGCTTTTGTGCCTTCGTTCGACATTGTGGCATGAGTTCGGATGTGTGAAAACGCACTACAATAAGGATCACTGGCCATAATAGACGATGTTCATCGCTTTACCAGACAGGAACACTGAGCCACAGCGCCGAAGTATCAAATGATCATTGGTACTGCGGAGCATACGATTTTTTGAGATTGTATCGTCGATGGCGTTCGAGTTTTACTCACATTATGAACATATTCGTACAGTTATCAGTAGCAACAGCGGTCCACAAACAAGCTATGCAAGCCGTCTCAGGAAGAAGGTATACGCGCTTCCCATCCTCTAGTCCAGCGACTGTAGCAGCTAGTCGAGCTTGCCAGTTCCCCAAAGCTCGAAACACCCCGGTACTTTGGGGAAAGTCTAAGAACTCATCCCAACAGTCAAGTGACACGACATGACTTAGTTCGTCTAGCTTCCTCTGCTTCTTTGGGTTCTCCTTGTGTTCACAAAGCGGACCAACATGAAAATTGTCGTGTGTATATATCGACAACACGTCTAAGTCCCCAATCTTTCTACCACGGTCATCTATCGAAACGAGTGACTCAACAAGTACGACTTGACGATCTCGTAAGCCACGCGCGCCAACATCTAATGTCATCTCAAAATCGGTGAAATTAAGGTGTAGCGAAGTGCTTGTGAAGCTATCCAGAAATTGGCCATCAAAAGGACAATGGTTCACGTGTCTCCACGACGCTAAGTCCGGATTTGCCAGCCTTGGATTGGAAGGTGGCACAAGTAAGCACATCTCAGGGCGACCCAGATTGCCGAACACTCTCCTGACCAGACCAGTTCTTGTGCTGGCCGCGGGGTCGTTCAGTAAGACCGATGCGACATATATTGAGTCGCCGTTCGCCAAAGCGAAGACTCCATGAAGGTTACCGGGGGGTATGTCGAATTCCGCTGATTCAAACCACGATATGCACGAAAACTCACGTGCTAAGGTGGCTGGCACGTTGCGTAGGCCTTTCGTAGATGTAGAAGGCGATCGAGAAGAACCGTTCAATTGAATACGACCATCGTCGTCGTTACCCTTATTACTTCCACCCTGATAGCCTGTTTGCAGGTTCTCGAGCCAGTCCAACTCCTCGGATGGCGATTCAGGCTCGTTGTCGTTATCCCATGGAATACTCGGAGTGGCCCACGGTGCGTCATATAGTGGTTTTCCGATTACCTCGATCGTCACTGTAGCGCCTTCAAGCCTCGAGTATAGCAACGATGCGAATGCAAATGCATCAAGTGAGGTTGTCAATTGCTGTGATCCAGTACTGGACCATTCAGTCCACCAGCGCAAGAAGTCCATAGCTTTTATGTCGAACGAATCAGCTTGAACGACTGCTTCAATCTCATCCATAGTTGCAGGCAGATTATCGCGTACATCTGAAGAAAACATGTCATATGTTACATGAGGTTTCGTCTTGAACAGTCCAGTGGTTCCGTATCCGATTAGCATCCCATAGGTTTTCATTCTGCCGTCTTTGGTATTGTGAAGCAGGAACTGTGAACTGTCTATTCCTTCGAAAGAAGTCGGGGGTATCAGGATGGCCTTCTCGCCCGGTTTCTTCAGGGAGAGCTGCGCTGATCTATTGTAGCATCCTGCGCAACCACCATCGCCGGGGCATTCCATAGAGCTGCATTGGAGAGGAAGGGAAGGTTTGGTCGAGCAAGCGGCGTTCGCACCTGGGTGGCAATTCTCGTTGCAGTGAGCGTGGATCCTTTTACAAATACACTCTTCACCTGCTGGATCGATGCATTTACATAGACTGCCAGTGTCTAGTCCATTGTGACATGAAGACGTAGCCTTGAAATAACGTCCGATCGCAAAACGGTAGTGTCCCGTGTCAGGCACTTCGATTTCCTCAGCAGGTCGTTTACGGGAAGCTCGTTTACGTGGAACAGCCGTAGTGAATCTAGATTCGAGGAGAGAAGAGCCTGCGGAACTAGGGGTATTGGCATATCGAATCATGGTCTCTTTAGTATTGAGGCCTCGAGCTTTTGCTGCGCGTCGAAGTAGAGCGATCTTGTCATCGGTGCTGCCCAGCAACTGAATCAGCACGTGATGATACCCGAGTCCAAAGAAGCAGGGCGGTTTGTCGCTCGGATGGCTGAGAAAACTTTTGCATCGCCTTCCTCCAAGCTTCAATAGCTTCAAAAGGTGTGCACGTGTTGTTTCGTTTGCATGTATGACCCGACCTGCGGCTTCAGCGAGAATGACAAACCAAGGCGGCGGATCTTGGCCGACTCGTCGAAAGCAATCGTTGACAGTGACCATGAACCTGCAGCTTCTCAGCTCGTCAGGACATATTTCTCTTGATTGTGCTATCATAGCGCCCAGGACCACAATCTCGAACTCTCCCATAGATATTCTTGATGTATCGAAAGCTAAGTGACGCTCTGCAACCACAGGCGGCGAGTAGTACCGCATGCGAGTTAGGGGCAACGACCAGAACACACCCTGTTTTGCAGTTTCGCCTACGGTCGTGGAGAGAGTCAGGAGAGAGCTAATCATGAGATGGTCGTTTAGATCAACGTCTTTAGCATTCTCTGCCAAAACATGCATGTTAGGATAAAGATGCCAAGATGATATTGCTAAAAGAACGGAACCATCTTCAACCCTTTGTGGGATACCGCTTATGAGTCGTTCCATAGCTTTCAGCGCGGACGTCCATGCGTTGATGACGCTATCATACGGGTCCTTAGCTGTATTGACTGGCAATCGAACATTGTTAATTATGAGCATAAGTTGTGTTTGATGGAAACGTTTAGTCGCATCTGCCGTTTGAAGCCAGGACCTCGCACTTGAATCCCAGGACGATAGTTGCTCCCTAGTGAACAGTTGCTGAGCTGCCATTATCGCGGCGATGCCGGTTGCATTGGTTGCGTTGTATGCTTCATGGATCTTCTCCTTCCGCCGTTCAACCAATTCCACCCACAAAGAGATGGCTTCCGTCGGTTTCCAGATCCGTGCGAGCATACAGGCAAGAAGGTGCATCGCAATCGCGCCTTGTCCTGAGGTAGCCGCAGCCCAGATTGAAGTCCCATCAGCGCCAGCCCGATCAGCGAAGAGCCCTAGGTTAAGACTGCGTGGTGAAGCTCCCTCCAATTGTTGACATATCTCTGATACTCGTTTCCCATAAGCTTCGGTAAGGCGTGGAATAGAAGGAATCACCGATTCGAACAAGGCTGCCAATGTCCTTGCTGTGATATGGGAAACACCCTCTTCAGCCTCGCGACGGCGGTTGATAGACAACGCGTCTCTCAAGCCATGAAACTCTTTCGGTGCGTCGACCTTCATCAACGAAAAGTTGATGTTGAAATTTGCTGCGGCAACAGTGACCTCATTTGGGACGGACAGAAGTGCCGAAGTGAATTTGCTGATTGATGCCATTCCCAAGTCGAACAGCGGCGACGAGCGAATATTCGAGCAGGCTGGGTGTAGAAGAAAAGCATCGGAGACTCGCCCCAGATAAATACGAGTCTGGGTGGCAGGCTGAGCAGCTGTGGTGTAGGGCCTCAGCCCCGGACTGGCAGGACCCCATCTGCAGCCAGCTGCAGGCAGGCGCAGGGGTTGTATCTGTCGCTAGTATGTATTTGCAGGCCCATAGTGGCCGGCTGCAAACGGGCGACAGAAAGAAGAATGGTAGCTCTAGAAATCGAAAGAAACGGTACCGTTGCGTTGTCAGCGATGGAAAGCTGGAAAAGTGGTGCCACGCGGAAGCAACATTTGAACGAATGTTGCATACATGTTTGCTCGTCATAGTGGTTAGTCATCCGCAGTACGCGGCATGAAAGTACTCTGCTAATACCGCACTCAACTAATACTATGTCAGCATAGTAGTGTAGGTTGACATTTCAGAGGTACCACTCTCCAGACATATGTGAGGGGCGAGAAGCATGTCGGTGATGATGGTTCAGTGTTCGTGGTTGTGGTATCATTGCGTGAGAAGAAAATGCATCTACAACTTCCAATCCTTGTACGACCATTTCTCCGTAACAGTGACCTTCTTTTTCTTCGCATAAGGAATTTGCTTGCGCGCCTCAATTCTACCACGGACCATCATGCTGCGGAAGCGGTCCTTGAGCAAGTTACCTTCCGGCTTGAGAAGGCGAAGAGAGTCCTTTAGCTCGTCTGGGAGAACAACTTCAAGAGGGGCTTCCGGTACACTGTGGATGTCAGTAAGAGACTGGTCTAAGGGTGTGAGCGACATACTAGTGCTTTCCAAAGCGCTTCTTGCGGAGCACTTCCTCGCCTTCATCATCAGACTCCTCCTTAGTCTCGACTAGGGTCATGTTGCGGAGCGCTTCTCGCGCTTTCTCTTTCTCTTCAACAGACTTCTGAAGCTCCTTGATGCGTCGCAATTGCTGTTCCTTCGCCTTCATGCGCGCTTCGTGTTTTACCTGGCCTTCTGCTGCCTTCTTCCTCTTGAACTTGTTACGCTGTGCGGGCGTCTTCCGCTCTGGTCGCTTTTGTTTCGTGTTCTCCTCGTCGCTGAAACCTTCCCACTCGCTCTCCCAGGCGCTCTCATTCCCGTCCGACTCCGAGTCTGACTCCACCATTGCACGCTCCATGCGCTCAGCTTCCTCCTGCGCTTCCTGCAGACGTTGCTTCTCGGCTTCTACGGCCTTATCACCTTCTCTTGTAACGAGCGCCTGCCAGTCGTTGAAGTTCGGGTTGTAACTCTTTCCGCCTTCTGGTTTCCGAACCGCTGGTATGGCCTTGCCGGACTTCGCTAGTGACACCGGTGCCTGCTTCAGCGTAGCCGGCTCAACCTTCGGCTTCTTCTCGTCCAAGAATGAAAATTTGGGGTCCTTCTTGACTTCTTGTACCGCCCATGGGTCATAATTCGGCGCATCGCCTGTCTCCACGATATCCTTCTTCACCTGGTCACCACCATATGCAATCGACCTCAGCCTATCATAGTCCTTCTGTGATACCTTGCTCTTCTTCCGCCGCTTCTCTTCCGTGAAGTCTGAAAATCGCTTTTTGGAGGATACGGAAGGGATAGCGGAGCGCTTGTTGAGAATTTCGTCGGCTTTGAGGGGCTTGTGGCGTTTGTTGTACGCTTTTTGGACTGCGGCGTCGCCGGTAGTGTCGATAGCGAAGAGCTCATCCGAGGGCTTTTCCGCGATAATACCACTACGGAAGGTTAGAGATTGACTGCATGGCCTCACATTTCGGTGTAATTTACCCTTGAATTATCTGGTCCCGCACTTCGTCGAGGCCTGAAGATATTTGCGTAACATCCACATTCTTGCGCCAGGCCTTCTTTCCTTTACGACTAGGCTGCTTGTACTGCGCCGGTGCTGCTTTCGACTCCACGTCTGTCATAATTTCTGTTTGAAGGTTGTAGTATCGAGAAATTCGAATTCGCGATTCAGATCAAGAAAAGTTCGGACCCTGCCAAAATTCCGCGGTACAGCTGGCCCGAGCGCCTTACGTAATGTGGGCCAACTGGGATGCGCCTGCCGTTAGCGGGCGGTCGGGCTTATTGGAGGTTCTGGAAGAGCAAGGCTCCAAGAACTCTCCTATTCACGCGACCACCACGTCAACACCACTCCCGACTCCTACTGTGTGCGCTCGAAAACTGCTAAATCTTCTTCTTACGTCCACATAGGGGGTTTCACTTCTTTCCAATCACAATGGCGCAATCAGGGTACTCGAATCCGCTGAAGAAGTTCAAGTGAGTTTGCTGGGGCGGGGACGGCATGGGGCGTAGTTGCTAAAGCAGTGCAGGCTGGTCTTCTTAGGAGAGCAAAGTGGTATGTCTACCTAAGGGTCTGAGAGTCCGGTGTAGAAGTCATGCAATACTGATAGCGAGACAGTGGGCAAAACATCTTTAATCACACGGTTCATGTACGACTCATTCGACAATACATACCAAGCCACCATCGGGATAGACTTCCTGTCCAAGGTGCGCCCCGCTGTTTCTTCCTGTGTAGAATTGCAAGCTTAAACGACCGTCCAGACCATGTACCTCGAAGACCGCACCGTGCGCCTGCAGCTCTGGGACACCGCCGGCCAGGAACGTTTCCGCTCGCTGATTCCCTCGTACATCCGCGACTCCAGCGTCGCTGTCGTCGTATACGATATCACAAATAAGAAGACATTTGAGAATACGCGGAAGTGGGTCGATGATGTAAGGGGAGAGCGCGGCAACGATGTCATCATTGTGCTTGTCGGAAACAAGACGGATCTGAACGACAAGCGGGAGGTCACTACGCAGCAAGGCGAAGAGGAGGCGAAGAAGAACAACCTCATGTTCATCGAAACGAGCGCAAAGGTCGGGCACAACGTCAAAACGCTGTTCAAGCGGATCGCGCAGGCGCTACCGGGCATGGAGGGCGAAGGCCAGCAGGGACAGAGTCAGAGTACGTTGGATTTACACAGGCGCGTGGGACCTCAACTGACAATACGCAGTGATCGACGTCAACATCAACCCGCAGCCATCACAAGACCAGGGCAACTGCGCATGTTAATTCACGTTCAGCCATGCAGTATCCATACTTCTTCGCTTTTGCCTAGACTTTGTTTGTAATTATTTGGGTCACTCTTCTTCGCGGAGAAGAACATTGAGCAAGGCGTTTGGTCAGGAAGCATGCAGTGAACGACTCAAGTCCCAGGTCCGTATAATTAGTAGTATACCAGAGCATCTTTCGAAGCGTAATAGAAAAACTACATTACAACGTCTAGGCTATTTACTTGCCACTATGATTCTCGCCATGTGCTTGGACATTTCAGCGCTTGGCCTGATCTGACTCAGGTGGTAAGACATGCACATCGTCGTGGTCCGGAAGCTGCGACAATGAAGAGAAGAAACACTTCACGATGACTGAGAAGCGACCGTATACCACCGCTTGTGCGGAATCAAGAAAAGGGCCGACTTCCAGCACATGCTACCGAAATCACAAGACAATACAGACCAACGCTCGCACATCACACCATGCACGTTGTCCTACTACTCTCCGCCGCGGCTTTCACTTAGGACCAATTGCAATGCCACATACCTTCCGACACATCCAGATGTTGGGGTTATAGCAATACCCACTCGAATTTCCTGCCCAAACCCAAGGATCGTCAATGAATTGGCCGAAGATATACAGCCTTAAAATGTCCCTGTGGGTATCATTCCCTCTTCCCTGCTTCGCCCATGTTGCATCTTAGCAGTCTCCGAGAGAAGGCACATGTGTGTATGAACGATTTCAAATATACTAAATAGCCGACTTGGAGTCCTTGCGTGTTGAGGTCGGGCGTTGTGATCCACGTCAGCGGTGCGGACTACTCAACCTTTTGTTCCCGTTTGCCGATGCTTCTCGTTTGGTATTGCCCTTGCAGTCCGTGAATGCGTGAACACCTCGACGAAAAGCCAAGGTTCGTACTGCGATGTTGTCGAGACGAATAGGAATATCTTGGAGGCCATGTCATCCCATATTCCACAACGAACGCGTCGTAAACCCGGACCCTTGTCTTTGTCAATTGGTATGAGGTCTATTCTTTAGCTCTCTCTCAGTGTGCGGGAAAGGTATCAAGACAGACGAGGAAATGCGAAGATGATACATATTAGACATTGCCTCGGATCTGAGTGAGAAGTTCATTGGGAATCCTGATCTATGCCGCCCTTCGAACCGCGCATCCATGCCAACCCAGCCCAGAAAGAACGCCGGCCTGCTGAAGGTCCTGACCAAGTTCAAGTGGTACTTTTACATATACAAGAATAATACAATGGGCTGTATTTGCGCGTAGAGAGGTGATGAGATCGCGGAAATAAGAGGATATGACCGCGTTTATTCGATGCCGCCAGCTGAACCGGCCTCGGACGGCGCTTTGCTGCTGCCCAAGCCCACGGGAATGCTAGTGTCGGCGGCGATCATCTCAGCGAGGATGTCGAGCACAGGCTGGGATAATTAGCGATATAATCATGTCTGTTAGAGACGGGGTGCTTACCTTAGGCACTGTCTTGTCGTAGATGTTGATGAGCTCTCTGGGGTTGGGGTAGACCTTCAGCGCGCGGTAGAAGCACAGTGCTGCCTCGACTGAGTCTGCGCCTACACCACTGTTAGCATCCTTGCAAACAGCGCTTCTATACTCAAATATACATACCCGACTGTACCATGCCCTCACCCTGGGCGACTTCCTGCATGAAGTATGCCTCGACCTCTTCGGGGTCCTTGGGGAAGCCCTCCTCGTTCGCGCGATCGACAGCTTCCCGGATGGCCTTCTTCTGCTCCTTTCCGTGCGCCTCAGCCTCCTCCTTTGCGGCCTTTGCCTGGCGCTTCGACTCCTTCTTCAGCTGCTTGCGGAATTCCGGGTCTGTCCGTCGCTTGTGATCGAAGTATACAGCATATGCGGCGATGCCAGCCACGATGGTGCCCACGCTGATGGCGGCGATGGTCGAGGGCTTTAGCGATGATGACGACATGCTGGCTTCGGTGTGATGTTGCTCCAATGGAAGCGATCCGGATATTAGAAGGAGAGATGGGGAGACGTCGAGCTGTAACAAGTGGAGGAGCACGGTGTGAAGGAGTGATGGCGTCGATGAATGGGGTTGGACTTTTTTTGGTAGCAGGGAAGGAACGGCACCAGGGGAGCTCGGGCCCCCATCCGATCAACAGCACCTCCACGCGGCTGGACGACCGGACACATGTAACGCACCCAAACAACCACACGATCGCTACAAACACGCCGAACTCGTTCGTCTTGCAGGCAAGATGTCGGAAGAGAAGGGAAAAGGAATCTCGCTGCGCAAGAACAAAAAGCGCAGCGACAAGAGCAAGAAGGGAGGGCCGCCCGTCATCAGTGCTCCGCGCCAGATCAGTGCGCCTATGCCCGCTGGCCTAGGAGCGACTACACTCTCGAGCGGCCAGAATAGCGGACGTCCTTCCAACGAGTCGAGCCGGTCAGGACAACGACCTTTAGATGCGCCGAGGCCTAGAGAAAGGCCGCAGCGGCCGGGGCAAGACAAGACGGCGGACCTGGTCAAGAGGAGATACTCGCAGAAGATCACCCAGCTACCGAGCGACTTTGGCAATGGCATGCCTATGCCGGACCTGCCCCAAATACCGGCACAATATCGAGAAGCACCACCGAGTAGGGATGGAAGGCCACCTGGAAGCTCAGATGGACGGAGCTTCAAGCCAGACAGACGTCAGTTGGCCGACGACAATCTGAAGCCAGATCAGTGTAAGCATTTCCCTAATCAGAATGTGACTCAAGGCTTACAAGCCCCGAGTTGTCAGCCAGCAACTCGCCGATGCCTCCGAAGACGACATCCGCCGCTTTCAAGATGAGCTTCGCAAGCTCAAGAACCGCAACTCGACCGATCTCCAGCATAGCGTTTACCAGAACCGCACTCAGTTCATGAAAATCAGTAAAGAGGCAGAGAAACTCAAGAGTGAGATGCGTACGCTCAAACAGCTTATGTCTGAGCTCACGGCAACACTCGCGCAGACGACACCAAATATGAATGCCGACGGTGACTCGCTCAGCGCACGTAAGGCCGCGAACAGGAGTTCAGTGGCGAATCTCGAGGCCCTTTGGAATACGCAGCTGCATCAGCTATGGAAGAGGATAGAAGGTTCGCAAAAGTATCTGCCTGCTATTCCGGGGAGACACGTCATCTGGCAGTCTGGAAAATGGGTTGAATTGAATTCCGCAACATGGAAAGCGCGCAGGAGGGTACATCTGATTCTCCTGAACGACCACCTGTTGGTCGCGGCGGAGAAGAAGCAGAGGAGCGAAGTCCCACAAAGCAGTCGAGATAAGAAGCCGGCTCAAGAATGGGTTGCGCAAAGATGTTGGCCTCTGCAAGAAGTACAGATGGCGGATCTCGCATCCAAGTCCAGGGCTGGCGGCAAATCAGGCGGTGCCAATGCGATTAACATTCGTGTTGGCAATGATTCTTTCACGTATGCCGTCTACCCGGGTGAGGATGCCGACAAGGTGCAATTGCTTTCCACGTACCGCAAGGCTGTGGATGACTTGAGGAAGAGTCAGGAAGTCGAGACACAACAACGAGGCAGAGCACAGGATTCGTACAACTACTTCGCTACTCGTGACGCAAATATCCTCAAGAAGGCTGACTTAATGGAAACACTGACTGACAATGTGGTTAACAACCGCGCCAGCATGCTCGTCGATATCGACGGCAAGCAGCATAACATTCGGTTGGTCGAGACCGAGTTGGACCAGCTGGATATGGACATTGCATTGCAGCGCTTCGAAAACGCTGTCATGAAGGTCGAGAAGCTGAAAGCTTTAGCGAAGAACATCAGAGGCAACACCATGGCGCAGAGCATCGTCACTTTCAAGGTCAACGAGCGGGCTACCAAATTAGCCAATGTCCTGATCAAACAACTTGTGGAAAACAACAACTGGATATCATCGGTCAAGCGCCACGTCACTTGGATCGTTCGGCTCGGATTCGAAGATCGAGCGCGGGAGGCGTATCTTGAAGCGCGCGGCGACTTGATCAAGAAGCGAACTCGGTAGGTTTCCTTCACATTCTACAATGCGTATGCTAACGTCAACAGACAATGCAACTTCGAAGGCAATCTCCCTGAGTACATTTTCCAGATATCCTACATCTACTTTACCATTATTAAGAACACCGTCGACATTTACCAAAAGTGCTTCCCGCAGGTGCTCATGTCCGCCTGTGTCAAGTGGGCGAAGGAGCACGTTGATGGATTCAACGTCTTGTTCGACCGGCAGATGAGCAGCGTAGACCGGAGCTCGCCGGTCTGGCAGCAGTGTATGGACCAAGCATTGGCTCATGCGGGCATGTTGACGGGGGTTGGGCTAGACTTCACAGAACTGGTTGGGAAGGGGGCAGGAGAAGCAGAGAACAGGCCCGTAGGACTAGGTGTCAGCGCTTAAGTGAGTCATAGACAGGATCTGGGGAATATGAGGTGTGTAACGGTGGCTTGCGCGTGGTGCGATGCTTAGCGAATTGTAGCGTTTTGTGTCTTCGCGACTTTTACACATCTAAGCAAGCTGTATATGTCGATGATTAGATCTGGACAAACCTCCACCTGTCCGCATCCTGCCACCATAGTCCGCTGGCAGCTAACCTGCTTTCCCAGATGTCGTACTTTTCTCCCCTTCTCTTACCTTCCTTGTCAAGGTGAAGCTCAGTGCCAAGAAGCGACCTGTCGTCGCAAGATAGCAACAGTCTCTCACCTTCACCTCGAGTTCCACAACTTAATATAGTCCCGTCTTTCCATGTCCAGCTTCTGTCCTCTCGACACTAACCTCTGGACACCGCATCCTCACACTTCGTCCTCTCTATACCAGCCTTTGACAATCCTTCCTCAAACCCCATCGAGACTCGACTACTATCCAAGATGCCCACCGAAGAAGAAAACATTCAGTACCTTTACCTCGTGCTCACTCACAACGGTACGCCTACCGTAAGTCTCTCATCCCTTCCGCTGACCTTCATGTCACGTACGACTGATGCGTGATACAGATCAATTGGCCTCCCATATCCACCGCGCTCTCCCTCTCCCCCGGTGCGACTTCAAAGCGCTGGTCTCGACTCAAGAAGGCAGTGGAGGAGGGAAAGCCAGCAGGCAAGGGTAGCTATGAGTTGCTGTGGTTGTGTGTGAAGCATTCGTCGCGCGACAAGGTGGGTTCTTATTTCCATATCTGGTTTGAGTAGGGAAGGGAGCTTGGTGAGGGAGGAATTGATGAATGAAGGAGGAGTATGAATGGGCATGATTCCTGCTAACGCAATCGACCAGGCGCTCGATTGGAAGACCATTGCTGCTCAATGCGGTACCACGAGTGGTGCGGCAAGCAAGCGGTACAGCCGTATGAAGCAAGCTTGGGAGAAAGAGGGTTCCTCCGACTCGCCTCCTGCTACGCCCAAGAAAGCCGCTACGAAGACGGACAAGGCTGCCACACCGAAGCGCAAGCGTGCCTCCGCCACTAAACCGAAGATGAATGGAGGTGACAAGTTCCAGTTCGAGCCAGCATCTGATGCAGAGGACGAGATCGAGAGTCCGAAGAAGCGCGCCCGCAAGCCCAAGAACTCCAACATCAAGATCAAATCTGAGCCTGAGGGCCTTCCAACGCCTGAAGACTCCTCGGAGTACACTGCGTTTCAAGGTTTCACCTCTCAGGGTAACGACTACGCATTCCAGGGTTTTGGAGATGAGGGTGGAGAAGATGAGAAGGAGGATGAGACGTTCTACGAGAGCAACGAGTATGCGGAGGCTGGGGTGAATGAGAGTGAGTACTTTTGAGAGTGGTAGGGAGGTTGGAAAGCAACTAACGGGTACAGGGGTGAGTGGGTGGTTGGAGGAGATCTAGGGGCGGGGCGCGAGGGGAATTTACACGAGGGAAGGGAGGAGATGTGAAGGTGCCGAGGTGTAGCTGGGTGTGGCTTACGAACTGGAAGTGCCAAAAAGTGGGCTCAAGACATGTGTTCGGCGTTCATAGGACTCTGCTGGGTTCGAGCCAGGGGAAAAGTTCAGGGTTCGATACTTTGTTCTGATTATTGCGTTCAGTTGCTACTAGGCATAGTACGTACACACACGGAACATGACATCTATGGTGTTAGCAGCAATTTGCCCGTCGTCTTCCGGCTTTGAATATCTTCTGTCGCCCTCACCACATCCTTGAGCGGATACACATCGTGAATCGCAACATTCAGTCCATCTTTCTCGATAAATTTCCACACCTCAGTCGAGTACTGCTTTAGCTCGTCGCGCGTATATACGTAGTTGAACAGCGTGGGGCGCAGAAGCTTGACGTTCTTGGCACCAAGGCGTCTATGACTTATTAGCATTTCTTCTGTAGGAGAGTATAGAGAAGAGAAGGGAATACTCACCCCAGGGCAAACCCAGTCACCGGGCCACTCGCGTTTCCAAAACTGACCATACTGCCCTTCCTCTTGACGGTCGCTAAGCTGCTATCGAAGGTAGCTTTGCCGACGCTGTCGAACACCGCCGCCACGCCCTCGCCGCCAGTGATGTCCAAAACCTCTTTCGTGAACTTCTCCCTATCCTCCTCATGATATTCCACTAAGACCTCCGCCCCGTTCTTCTTCGCCAACTCCCGCTTCTCTGGTGAAGAAGCAGCAGCAATAGTTCGTGCGCCAACGGCCTTCAGGAGTTGGCATAACCAGAGTCCTACTCCTCCAGCTGCCGCCGTCACAAGCACCCAATCGCCCTTTTGCACGGGATGCGCTTCCCTGATCAACGTCACAGCCGTGAGCGCCTGTAGCAGCGCCGCAGCCGCGATCTTCGTGTCTATGGAATCCGGAATGGCGACGGTCGTCTTGGCAGGCACAGATGTATATTCCGCGTACGCGTACTGTCCCATGTATGTTACTCTTGTTCCGAGCTGGAGATCATCGGGGATGTTAGAGCCGAGCGCTGCGATGGTGCCGCTGCCTTCGCGGCCGAGGATGTAGGGCGTGTGCGGGAGGGGGTAGACGCCAGCGCGGAAATATCTTCAAATGTCACCTTCAAAGTTCTTGAGGCCATAGCTAAGGGCCAAGGAAGGGGGAACTTACGTGTCGATGTAGTTGATCCCAATGAACTCGTTCTTGACTAGCACTTCACCCTCTTTCACCTCTGGCACGGGTATATCCTCCTTATATTGCAACACCTCCGTGCCGCCAGTCTTTTCAATCCAGACGCCCTTCATCGTTTTGGGGAGGCTCGACGCCATTGTTCTGATTATTCCGATACGCAGAAGTCCGAAGAGGTGCGAGCTTAGAGCGGAGAGTCGCGTGCTTGCGATTGGAGTAGAAGCAATTGATCGTGAAGCGCGTAAAGCTGGTCTTGCAAATAATGACATTCAATCGAAGGATTTGCAAGTGATTTATCCTCGAGAATGAGCGGGTATAGTGCAATTGGACATGGGAGGGAAATGTTGATGATAAATGCAACGCGGCATATCTCCGAGTCTGCCCCGCTTTCCCCACACACGTCATCGTAGGGCGCGTTTATGTTCCCATCTGTTAGATGCAGAATTCGGAGAAAGCTTGGCACACCCTCTCAAAATTTACGCACACACTTCAGCTTTCATCCCAACTTTGACCAGCTACATCTCAGCAACACTACGTGATAGCGCAAAAATTCAAAAAGATCTAGAATCTGTATAGTAAAAAGTACCTTTCTTAGAATTTCTAGGTTATATAGAGGTAAATTCAGAATGTTATCCTTACATTATTTAGAAAAGTTCAAATTTCCAACACTATAGTTACATAAGTAAAGAGCATAAAAATTCCTAAAAAGGCTCTTTTTACTATGTAGATTTAAGATCTTTTTGAATTTTTGCGCTATCACGTAGTGTTGCTGAGATGTAGCTGGTCAAAGTTGGAGTGTGTCGGGGGAAATTTTGAGAGGGCGTGCCAAGCTTTCTCCGAATTCTGCATCTAACAGATACGAAGCGCGCTATGAAAAGTTGCTTCGCTCGATAGGAATAAGGTCCGGAAAAGGTACGGAAAAGTAGATGTATATTGTGTCATAGGAAGCTCAATTCTATCTGTTTGCAGTGCATTCGTTCCATTTCAGTAACACGTATTACAGTGTAAGCATCCGTAAAGCTAGCACTACTCTGTCGCTCAGTCATCAAACATGAGCATTGAAACCTGTATGCTACATTCTCTATCGTCACGGTATACGACGAGCGATGCCACCTGATTCCTAGACTCCGGCCAGTTGCCTAACAGCATGAGGAAGATGTGACGAAACATAAGGACAAGCAGCCAATGTCACGCCGAAGGGCACCATGCTGCAGCCTTGGAGAGCTTTAAAGCCACATTGGCTGACCGGTTTATGTCCTGCAGAGGTGGGGCAGTGCTGAAGGTCGTATCACAGCTAAGCCTCACCTCTGCGCTGGAAGGCCTTCGACGCACATCTCAACTCGTGCTGGCTCCTCAAATTATCAATGCACCCTGAAAAAAACTCTCCAGAACTCTTGCATACCGCAAGAGGACATTCGGCTGCAATATGGCGCTAGATCCGATCTCAGCCTTGTCAGTCGCTGCAGCTGCGGTTCAATTCATTCAATTCTCGTCCCATATCGTCAGCAAAGGTCGACACATCTACAACTCAAGTAACGGTACCACTGAAGAGAATGAATTTACCGAGACGGCCACTCTCCGCCTCAAGCAACTAACGTCGCAACTTGTTGTGCCTTCCACTAATCCGATCGTTACAAATGAACCTAAACCCGACGAGTTGAGAGAGGCCCAGAAACAGGTTGAGAAGATATGTGCCGAATGCACCAGCCTCTCTGGAACTCTCTTAGATCGTCTATACGCCCTCAAGGTACCGACTGGGGTAGAGCATCGGAGATGGAAAAGTTTTCGCCATGCATTGAAAAGTGTTTGGTCGAAGCAAGATCTGAACACACTCGCTGAGAGATTGAGATGTTTAAGAGAGGAGCTAGATTCTCATATGATGTTAATTCTGAGGTAAGGATTTCGTCCGCTGGTAGTACGTGTGCTGATCTATCACGTTAGGAAAACTATGGGCGATATGGCCATCAACGTGGATGGAGTCCTGGGTTCGCTCAGCAAGGACACGAAACGCATCATCTCAGACCTGAGCAAAGCTCAAGCGACTCAGAAGTCGGAAATACAAAAACAATTCGACCAGCTTACAGATTACCAAAGACAACAGTTCGAGGAAACGCGATCGGTATTTGTACAGAAACATACCGACATATGCAAAAATCGCGTTCAACTACATCTGTTGGAGAGCCTGCGTTTCGCGGAGATGACCCACCGGGCGGAGACGATCACCCTAGCGCACTCCCAAACCTTTCGATGGCTTTTTCAGGATCCAAAAGTGTCTGGTGGTAACTGGGACAGCTTCCGAGATTGGCTTACTTACAAAGCTAGGGTTTATTGGGTGAGCGGGAAGGCCGCATCTGGAAAATCAACATTGTTGCGATTCATCTGGGATCATCCCTCTACCTGGACTTGCTTAAAGGACTGGGCTAGTAGCGGCCAACTTGTTGCTGGCGCCTTTTACTTCTGGAACAGTGGCGCAGCAGAGCAACGCTCCCACTCCGGCCTTCTGAGATCACTGCTGTATGGGGTACTCGAAAAGAAACGCGACCTTATTGCGACGGTATTCCCCCAAGATTGGAACCAGAATTGTGAACTAGTATCACACGACATGCAACTTGCACCTGTAACTTGGTCTCAAGGACGACTACAGGATGCTTTCCGGAGACTGGTGGGACTGGCAACAGAGCATATGCGTTTTTGCTTTTTCATCGATGGACTGGACGAATATGATGGACATGCAGGCGATATCGCAGAACTTATGTATGCGTTGTCGAAGGAAAATACTAATGTGAAGTTTTGTGTGTCGAGCAGACCATGGCCAATCTTTGAGGCTGTGTTCGAAAACGCACCAGGCCTACGACTGCAAGATCTGACAAAAGAAGATATTCGCGCTTACGTGAATGATAAGCTCGGCCAGCATCCGCAGCTCCAAAAGCTTCGAACATGGAATCCAGAAGAAGCAACCGCACTTGTCGATGAAGTGGTGGTGAAAGCGGCCGGCGTTTTTCTATGGATCGCACTCGTTGTCAAGTCTTTGATTGCGGGGTTGCATGACGGGGACGAAATTACGCATCTGCGCTTGCGGCTTGCCGATTTACCTCCTGACCTTGAGAACCTGTACGAGCACATGTTGAGCCGCATCGAACCAGGGTACAGGCAAGAGACATCAAAGATGTTCCAGATTTTCCGTGCAAACGACTATAGCCTCAGTGTCAATACTCTGTGTAGGGCGCTAATGTATTCCGATCCTCAGAAAGTTGTGAATATGGCGTATACTGCCGTCACACAGGACATTGTTTCGCCCGAAAAAGAGCAAGCCTATCTGGATGTACAAAGGACAAGGATGATGACCAGACTCAACAGTCGGACTAAAGGCCTCCTTGAAACACAAGCGACACACGAAGCAGAAGACCAAGAAGTTCCTATGCAGCGTTCTCAGCCTCTGGCCACTTGCGTAGTTCACACAAACCGCCAAGAAGATCCTCAAAATTCCAGTTCACCCCAAGTCGAAAAGCACCGGGATATGTGGACATCTCAACATCTTCTCTCACCGGTATTCGAATCTCCTTCTAATAACGTACCGTGTATGTCTACTGCCAGGCACAAGAGGAAGGATACGGTGTCTTACAATGGCCCATTCGGCCCCCCAACACTTCATTTTGAAGCCGAAATGAAAGGTAGACCTCCGGCCATTAATCCGGAAGGGATATGGCCGCAAGCTTTTCCTTGTGTTAACTACCTGCATAGCACGGCTAGAGAATTTATTGAGCAACAGAGCGTCTGGCAGCGTTTTGTTGATGAAACTCGACAAACCAGCTTCAATCCATGGGTAGCGTTACTCATGGCATACGTCATCGAAGCCAAAACACCCACATCCTGGGATTACATACATCCCGATAGATATCATGTAGGCTCGATGGCGTTCAAGTATGTATCAAAGCTTCGTATACCCGAAAAGTCACCCGGTGTCGACGCGCTTCTCGAAGAACTTGACAGAGTCATTAGCCATGAAGGCCACCTGCAGTCGCAACCCGGACACTGGTCAGTGCACGACGGCCGCCGTATCGAGACCGAGAATGCACGTCAACAGTGGGGAAGCGACGTTCTTTCTTTCGCCGTTATATATAGATTGAACTGGTACCTTCGGCCGAAGCTTCACAGTGTTGCTTGCCCTGTTTTTGTCGCGAGACAACGAAATCTACCACTACCGGTCGGACGAAGCGGGAACAGACATGGCTTGCCATTATTGGCGTATGCCCTTGGCTTCCATGAATGGGCGGGACAGGGAACCGCGATCAAGCCTGATGTGGGCATGGTTGATATGCTGCTCACCGCAGGCCAGAATCCGAACGCGATTTACAGTGGATTCACCCTGTGGCAATACACGTTACACTATGTTCACATAATCAATCTTCTGGAAAGCAAACAACCCGATCTGCTCGCATGGCGGAACGTATTTGAGCTCATGCTAAATCACGACGCGGACCCATATGCGTGTTGCCTTGAAGACGTATCTGTGTTCGCGGAATCAACTGCGCTATTCAAAACAGGCGACATTGGATACAGTGATCCGGTGGTAGCCAATCATGTTCTATGTAATGCCGCTCGTCATCCGCTCAGTTCAGGAAAGCCACCTGAGATCTCTAACCATCACCAACATCACTCCGTGGCAGCCGTTGTCTATGATGTCTTCAGGACAACGTCAAAGCTTGAAGCGAATAGGCTTGTTGAGATCTTAGAGGAAAAGATGAGGGCTACTCAATCTCATCGCGGGAAGAGACGAAAAAGAAAGAGGGATCGCACAGATGATAGCTTTTCGAATGCTTCGAGATGGGTATCTTGAGCATTGATAGTGTGCCCTATAATTAAGTTTCAGAACATTGTATCGATAATGACGCATGCCAACCATACATCCTTGCAATATATCCGATTGCACAGGTTCCTCTGCCCCCTCCTATGGCTCTAGGGACCCTTTTTGCAACATCTTAGCTACTCCACATATATAGAAGGGTAAGTATTAGCCTGCTTAAGTGTCTGACAGCTCGATGCACTAATTTAACGTCTAATAGGCCTAGGAGTGTAGATTTGGTAGCATCTAGCTAATTATCAGCCTTCTATCCCACCTGCAGGCGATACGGCATGCTATTCATACATTCTCTCACAAAGAGGCTATCTGCCTACACCCACCACCTCACCACCCAAACCGCCACCCCCAGCACCAGCCTACTACCGCTTTCTTCGCAACAGTAAAACACCGCATGACCGCCAACCCATCATGCAACTACCATGCCGCATCTCTCTGATTATTCTTCGGAAACGCCCTCTCCAGAACCGTTTCCCCCGAATCCTGCAAAGCGACTCCCAGCCCTCTCTAGAACGCCAAACAAGCAGTCTATCCCGTGGTACAACCTTCCCACAATTGATCTATTCCATTACTTGAACCGTTGGCAGGAGCATCAAACCACATACGCACCGGGAAACTTTGTAGTAACAGCGAGTCCACCGCGCATCATGACTATACCTTCACCCAGTGCGTTCGTCTTAACAACATACCAACATTCGCCACGGTTATCTGTCATACCATCGACGACCTCAGCATCCACACATCCTTATGATCTCGTTACAGACTCATCACGCAAACAAGAAGTAAACTTTTGTCGTGTTTCAATTCCAGTCAAGCTTTCACCTTCCCCATGTACCCATCATTCTAACACCGCCATCTACCATACCATCTAAACATCAGCACACACATATTCCCAATCTCATCACAATCTTAACACGTAAACAAAAGCAAAGCAAAATTTTGCAGTATTTCCATTCCATTCCGTCAACCATAACGGCTCGTCAAGCTAAGCTACTCAGACAAACAATCTGTCTCAAGCTCAAGCTCAAGCTCAATATAACAGAAAAGAGAAAAAGCTCTATGCCATGCTCTCGAGGGTATACAACGACCGAACCGATGCCACCATCTGAAACCCAGAAAAGAGAAATGGAAAAAGCAAAAAAAGCCTTGGAAGGGGGTACGAGGCCGATGCCACCTGTCCCGAAGGCTTGAGGCCAAAAAAAAAAAAGACAAGGGGTATGGGGTATGTGAAACTCCACTCAACGCCGAGGATGAACCACCCACCGAAAAAGTCAGACAAACAGAGGTGTCGTGTCGCGCTCAACAAGAAAAACAGAGAAGACAATGATGACCCCAGGATCCCACGCGGTGTGTCCGCGCTCGCGCACTTCGAATACGTCGTCCGTTCGGTACATTCACCCCTCAAACGCCAACCTCCTCCCTCGGCACGACCCTCAGCCCCTCCCCATGCAACCTCACCCGATATAGACACGTATGGTCCGCCCCCCAATTACTCGTCACCCTTAACATCGCCTTCGTAACCGGCGTCTGCGCCTGCCCATCCAGCAGAAAAGTCTGCACATGGTTCGCGCCGTTTCGATCATACCGGACTTTTCCAAGACATTGCCAGCCGTCGGGCCCGTCCTCGCATCTGTCGCCGTCGAAGGCGAAGCGCACGAGCGCAGGCTCGGAGGACTGCACCCAGAGCTCTACGTTTTGGGGCGCGCTGCCGATGTCTTCGCTGGGAGCGGAGGAGCGCGGGAGATGCTCGATGGTAAGTTGCGTGGGGAGGATGGGTTCGCCTAGTTGGATGCCGAGTTGGGCTTTTCCGGTGTGGGAGTCGTCTGGGGCGGCGCACCAGCAGTCGCCGGGTTCGTCCCAGGTTTGGAGGGCGGTTAAGGGGGGGTTGTTCTTCGGGGAGATGATTCTGTGGAGGAACCTTTGGAAAGTGGCGGTGTTGGGGACGAGTGTCGGAGAGGTGATGCCCGAGATGATGTTAGCACCTAGGCCTGTGGAGAAGTAGTTCGCTTTGCCGTGTTGCAGTTCGATGTTAGCGATTAGGTTGCTCAGCGCCATGGAGCGGAGGCGAGCGTGTTCGACGGCGACCTTCTTTGCTTCTTTGGCGGCGACCTTTTCGGCGTCTTTTAGGAGTATATTAGTGTGTGCCTTGAGCTTTTTGTCGAAGTCGGTTGCGATCTCGTTGAAGTTGCTGTCGATGGCTTTGAAAAGGTCTTTGCGGAGCACAGCCGCTTCTGTACCGATCGCGCCTTGCAACTTCTCTTGATTATTTTGCACGAAAGTGTCCCACTCGATGCTAGGTCCCTCCTTCCGAATCCTGCTGATGATGGCGTCCCAGAATTGTTTGGGCACATTCATTGTACCGCTTGGCGAACGGCTGACCACTACATAGTCCGGAACTTCCTTGCCAAGACTGTGGACGAAGCTCTGTATATCTTTCAAGGTGAGTTCGACATCGTTAATACGGGACTTCAGGCCGCTGTTGTCCGAAGACGTAGTGGGAATCCAGGTGCTAGGTGTAAAGCGACCGGTGAAGCTCTTCCAACCATCCGAGAATTGAGATGGAAGAGTGTATGAAGACGAAGACTTTGCGGCCAAGCCCACTGTGAAAGCCAGCAGGGCGACAAGAGCAGCTATAGCGAAATAGTGCCAAGGGAAACTCTTGATCCTGTCGAGCAGCGTGATGCTAGGCTCGGCCTCAGGCTCGACTTCAGGTTCTACCACAGGCCGCGGAGCAGCGCGTAGTGGAGATACTCTAGGGACAACGGGGCCGCCGTTTGCTGCTTGGGCTGTTCGCAAGGGTGCGCGATATACGCTAGCGCCAGTGGCCGGGACTGGTCGTTCAGTAGGTACTCGAGGGGTGAAGCCGCCTGTCCTTGATCCTTGGTCGGGTCTCGCAAGAGGGGCTCGGGGAGTTACTCCCGCTTGGACTGGTTTTGCGGCTGGGATTCGCGGAGTGGGACGACCTGCAGCTGAATCTTCGGCTGGCCTGACGATAGGATTTCGAGGGGTAACTCCGGCCGCTGTCGGTAGGCGGTGCTCGGGTTCCCAGCGGGTTCTCTTTGTAAGACTGCGAGCTGAGCTGCCTGCAACAGAGCTGCTTGCAACGGCAGCAGGGGTTTTGGGTGTCTGTGTTGAGGGGGTGGGTCCTCGCAGCATGCCAGCTTCGTGGTTCATGCCGAAGGATTTTGAGGTTTCTGCGCTGATATCTTCCTCGTCGTCCGACTCTTCTTCCTCGCTTGGAGGGTCCTCGCTCTCATAGTCCATTTGCGATGGGGTACCGCGCTCGCTCCTCCTTGAAGATGTGCGTCCCGCAGGACTGCTACGCGCATCGTGTTCCTCAGAGTTTCTCGCAATGGCGGCACCTCGTTGTGTTTGGAACGCCTCTGCGAATCCGGTCTGGGGTACGGTGAGCTCTTGTGCGGCACCAATGCGCCCGCTCGCGCCGTATGCGGTTGACTGGCGAGACTTGACTTTCGGAAGTGCTCTTGGGCGGCCTGGGCCACGATTCGGAGTGTCTTGCGTAACTACGACGGCGGATGTGACAGATTGGGAGGCAATGGAGCGCGCGGCAGAAGTGACGCGGGTGGATCGTCGCGGTGTCGCCATGATGACAGTACTTTTTGTGTGGTAATTGTATGGTTGTATGTAGAGGGTATGTAGAGGCAAAGGGATGCGGCGGACAAAGTCGCAAACTACAGACAGAGTCAGTTGGTATTGTGACTACCCAAGTGCGCACAGCACAGTGAAGACAATAGAAGAAGGCGGCGGTGAACGGTGAGTGAACTTGCGCGACCAGCAGCAAAGCCAGTGAACCAGAGTCCAAAATGCAGTGCAGCGTCCGAAGCTCTTCACTCCAGGCGATCACTCAGAAGAATGCGCCAAAACGTACCTTTGCAGGACCAGGGCAATGTGTTCTTTCACACTCAGGCTGGCGCAAGTATGCAGCTTTCTCTTTCGTTTCGTGTCCTCGAAGTTAGACTGTCGTTCGTGGTGAGGTTGTCGCTGCAAGTATCCGGTAAACACGTGTAACAACAACGGTGTACGCGTCTGCAGCAGCCAGCGCGGCGCGACTTTTATAATCTAGACACTATGTGACGGTCGAGTGTCGTCGCCTATGACATGCGCGCACGTCTTGCCTACGTATTCCGTGCGCGGGCGCGTCGCGTGATGACGATGTTAAGGGTTGATGTTCGTCAGGCTGAAAGCTTGGGTCGCGTCCCTCTAATGATCTGCGATGAAAGGCCGCGCTGCATCCGGCCGGCCAGGGTGCAGTCATGTTAGCGAGGTGCCCGTGCAACAAGGCTGGGGAAGTGGGCTCGAGAGTCATGGCCGCCGAACGCCTTGGCTCGAGCGACAAAGAGGTTGTCTGGTTTCCATCTGATGTTGAGCTGGCGGTACTAGATGTTTGCTCTTGATGCAGGCTAATGCGTAGCGGTCCTTACTTCTGCAAGGGTGTCCCGACTTTAGTGTAACAAGCGCGCGGTCTATGTGTGACGGACAAAGACGTCGCAGGCCGCCTTTGGGATCGAATGGCCGACAAAGACAAGTTTGGGAAGAAGATGCAATTCCTCCTATGTGTACGAAGCACGCCTTCACAACGACAGCGGGCGAGCAAAGTCTGGACATCTTCGTTATGACATTGTTCGTCTGTAGAGCCCAGGACCTATAACACACATGTCTCTGTATAGTCAACACGGATGTTCTTCAAGTCATTCAAAAGGCTTTACGTCTTCATCACACCACTGCAAGGCCAAGCTTTGTGCTATAACACGATCAAAGAAAACCAATTAGATCCTAAACCTACACTAATACCTCATTAACTAGACCAATCTCCATATCCGTCCTGTCCATCCAGTGTCCTCCCAGCGTCACCTTCCTACAGCTCACCATCATCCTCATCCTCTACCTTGCGTTCCAACGACAACGCCTTCCCATCCTTATCCCCATTCTGCTGCACGCCCTTCTCTTGCACCCCATCCACGATCCCCACTCCCTCACCTCCCCAAACACACCCTCCCCGCTCTCCGCCTTGCCCGCTCCATACCCCTTCGAACTCCACGTCTCCACACCCTTTGCCCCCTTCCACACCTCTTTCCCCCCAAACTCCCTAAATAAGCTCGCGTTCAACCGCTCATACTCCGCGTAGTGCTTCGGCCAACCCCCCACACGTTGGAACGCCAGCTTGAGAAGATGCAAATGGTGCAGCGCCAGCGCGCCCTTATTAGGAATAGAAACAGCAGACTGGTCGAGCGAAGAGCTCGAGGCAAAGTGCCCATCTACACTCCCATTAACGCTGCTATGGTGCTCAGCGAGCATCGCCGCAGCCGTGTCGTCGTCGTCAGAGTCCTCGTCTGCATCGTCTTGGACCAGCAGGCGGAGGATGTCCTCGTGCACGGTGAGCGCTTTCTTGAAGTGTTCTGTGGCGAGGGCGCCCGTCTTCTCGGTTCCGGCCTTCGACTGGTAGGATAGCCCTGTGCTAGTGTACAGTTGCGCGAGGAGCTCGTACGTCTGGATGGTGACGGGGGCACGTGGGCCGTGGGCGCGGCGCATGTTGTATGCGATGTCTTCGCAGAGGCGGATTGCTTTGACGGGGTGGCCGGCGAGGTAGCGAGCGCAGACGAGGCGGTGACCGAGATTGACGAGGACGCTGGCGGGCCAGTTGCGTTGAGCGTCGCGCGTGTGCCAGAGGGTTGTGAGCAGCCACTCTAATGTTGTGTAGTCTTGCTGTTCGCCCAGTAAGGCAGCGAGTTGGCTCATTTCGGTGATTTGCACCTGGGCAAGATTGATCTTCAGACTCTTGGTGATCTCTAGAATCTTCTTGACGATGCGGTTGGAGAGCTCGAGGGTTTTCTTGCGTAGATTGGCGTCGGGCGACTTCTCTCCATCCTTTCCGACCAGGAGCGAGGCGAGCTTGAAGCCGTGACTGATGGAGTGCAGCCCGTTGTAGCCGTCATGGTTGCTGGCGAATAAGAAAGCAAGGTTGGCAATGTCGTAGGCTTCGGGGAACCTCTTGGCTTTGTTGAGAGAGGCAACATGCTCGTTGGATGCGAGGATGACAGCCTTGTTGAAGTTGGTGCTCTTACGGCTGCCCAGGTACTGCAAGATGGAGACAATGAAGAGGCGAGGCGACTCTTTGCTCAAGGGGTGTAGGTCGGCAGCATCGCGCTTCAAGAACACCCTGAGCACTTCGTCTTCCACGAAGGTAGCAGAGTCGGGGAGATGGTGGCTGAGCAGGAATGTTCGCAGAGGAGCGGCAACCACGAGGAGATTTCTCACGCTACCCTTCGCTAATGCTTGCCTGAACTGCTCGAAGTAGATATACTCCGCAGTCAAGTCTGCCAAAATCTCCGAGAAAGTAATTGCCAAGTCCTTTCGAAGGTTGTACTGAAGTGAAGCCAAGAAGACCAGAGTAGTACGGCTGGTCTTTGTTAGGTCAAAGGACCACTTGGATACGGAACGAGTGTCACGAGCGCAAATCTGGCGATGGAGCTCGTGGATCAGCTGCGTGCAGTACTGTTCTTGCTGGACAGACTGGAAGGAGGTTGCAATATATGATGCCGACTCAATCAACTTCTGCGAGGACGACTCATGAGTCAGAATAGAGCTGACTGCTGTAGTCAGCTGTCGCACGGCAATGTCCGTCTTCTTCTGGCGATGGTACAGCTGTGTGAGCTCACGAAGTTCTGTGAGCGACGACTCATGCGAGTAACCGTACTTCTTCGTGATCTCACTGTACTGTTCCTCGTGAATAGTAATAGCACGGTCAATCGTCTCGGCCTTAACGGTAGAAGACGATGTCGACTTGAGCTGACGAACATACAAGGAAGAAAGCTGTTGTTTGATCTCCGTAACACTGGTCGAGATTGATTTGTACTTGGAAGCCTGTTCGTACCACGAGATGGCTTCAGATGCGTGTTCTTCACTTCGTTGTGTAACGCGTGCAAGTGACAGCGTAGCCTCGGCAACAATGGTGGACTCAGCGCCAAAAATAGCGAGAGAAGTTTCGCGATACTCCTTGGTGGTCTTGTGCAGGATTGACCAACTGACACCAGTCTCTTCGAGACACTGGAAGTACCGTTCGTAGAGAGTCTGCACGAAGGTGCTATCAGTGAACTGCTTGTACTCCTTAGTCTTGAGAATGAAAGTGTTCCAGAGCACCCCGAACACGGTGACAGCCTCAGCGTAACGACGATCCTCCCAGTACGAAGTCACCACGATTATGATCGCATCCATAGCGTCGTGATGACAGTGGTGAGATTCCTTGTTCAAGCTGGTCACGATCTGCTGATAGTAGTCGATCCAGTATGGGTGGTTTCGAGGATGAGACTTGCATCGTGAGCCGAGTGTGTACAAAGTTTTGATAGTCAGCTCGTGTGTCGATCCGTACACGTTCCTATACACGACTAAGACGTCCTGGAACACGCTGATCGCGTTATCCGGGTACCCACGCTTGTCATAGAAAGTCACCAATAGCGTCTTGGCCTTCTCGAAGATGGACTTGTCTGTGGTCGGCGAGGAGAGCACTGCCCGGAAAAACCGGACGAAGACATCTTCCACCTTGTCAATACGTCGCTGTTGTCGAAACACTTCTGCTAGGGTTTCGATGAGCTCGACTGACTCCTTCAAGAAAGTAGTCGTCAAGGTGACATCGTGAACTGAACCGGCGAAGAAAGAGCGCCAGGTCCGATCCAGAGTAGACTTGATGACAGTAATAGATGCAGACCAATTGCGCTGCTCAAAGTACTGGGTCGTCAACTTCTTGGCTAAAGCAATGGTCGAAGCATCAAAGGTTTTGCTGCTAATGATCGACTGGAAGATGCTCTGGAAGACCGAGTCTGACACGGTTCCAGTGGTTTGAGTGATAGTTGTCGTGCTACTAAGACTTTGCTGAATCAGTTCGGTCGAGGTGGACGAGATTTCGCGACTGATCTCGGTCGAGTGAGACGACTCTTCCTTTCGTACACTCTTGTAGTACGAGCTTGCGTACTTGAATATGGAAAGAGCTACCGCGTAGTGACCGAGCGACTTGATAGTCTTCGCGACAGCTGTGAGCCGAGTCACGATGCTCTCGGAGTAGGCAAGTTGATGCTGCTCGTACAGCCGCCAGACGGAGATGAGCACAGAAGACGATTCAGAAGTGCGCTTTTGGGATATCAGGAATCGAGAGTACGCTGTTGTGACATCGAGATGCTTCTCATGCCACTCCACTGACTGCACAGTGCGGCATCGGTGAGAGATCTGTTGCCAGAGTTCGACGTAGGTCTTCTCGGCCAGAACGATCTCTCCACGAGCGAAGTACTCTTCGGCCCGGCGAAGCCAAACGATGACCTGATTTGTGTCAAAAACATTAATCGTTCTGTCCTCTTCATCGTCATCGGTGAAGAAAGAATCCTTATACGTCTCGAGGTCATGGTCATCCTTGCCCTTGCCAAGCACCACACCCAGTCGACCACGCAGTTCCTTGGCTTCGTGAGAGTGCTTGCCATGATGCTCTATTGTGATCTCCTGGATGATTCGATAGATCTCGTGTGCACGCTCTTCCTCTTTGATGGAGATGTAGAGCTGAGCCAAAGCTTCACGAGTCTTGATGACCAGCTCGGAGGAACGACCATACTGTCTCTCATAAGCCGTGATCAGGACGATAAGTAGCTCCTCTCTATGAGTCATAATCTCAGTCCTGGTAGTGGTCGTGAGGCTGTCGGTGATCTTGAGGAAGCGCACGGCGCACTCGATGGTCACAGGGTGGATATCGCTCAGGATCGTGCGACCGATCTTCGCAGATGTGAAGAAGTAAATTTGGGCATCCTTCGGTCTCGACAGCGTGGTGTAAAGACTAGCGCACGTCAAGTACGTTTGGAGTACCGTGAAGTGGTTCTCCGTGAAGACCCGCTTGCGAATGCCGCCTACAAGTGTGTGCCTCTCAACAGCATCCGAAGCAGGAAGCTGCGTATCCCAGCAAACCTGCTCCAAGAGGACCATGGTCGTGGTATCTGGGAAGACGTGCTGCAGTTCCGGTGACGGTTTGAACTCCGAAAGACCGGAAGAGTAGAAAGGAGTTTGGCGAAAGTGGTCGACCCAATAGCGAACGATGTACTCTAGAAAATGGTGTTGATGAAAGAGGCGCTCAGCGTGATGGGGGTCAAGCCCGTCTACGACTGGCTCCCGCTTCTCGCGTAGAGTGGCTTTTACGTAGGCTAAGATTCGTAATAGAACGCCAGTCTGGCTACCCTTGACGGGTATCTGAACTCTGTTTTGATGCGCAAGGTCTCGGAGAGTAAATTGAATTACCGGGTGCTTGAAGCGCACAATGTGCTCCTGGGTCGTGACAAAGGGCCGCAGAGATTGTATCGTAGAGTGGATGTCGACAGTAGTATGTGACATAGTCGCTCTCTGGACATCAATGGAAAAGAGACTCTCAATCTCCTCAACTGTGAGAGGGCGCTCCACGGTGAGAAGCCATGACAGTAGAACCTTCGCATCGTTTGTGAGTGGCAAATATGTGAAGAGCTTCAAGACCAACGCCTGAACGTCGCCCTGCGATGACTTCAGGGTCTCCAAGGTCTTGTTAAAGCTCTCACTCGACTTGTCAAGGTTCAGAATCTCGCCGGCAATGATAGCCCAGAGGAAAGACCCTTTCGCAGCATGTATGAGGTTGTCGAGAACTGTCTCCTGCTCGGGAGGGTGCTTTCCATGGAAATGGTGGTTGTGGATGAGAGATCGCAGGATGACGGCGTGGATGTCATCATGGATGTCTCTATGAGTAACCTCATAACGTGTTCCGTTACTGGGGGTTGACACTGCTGGGGTAGATAGGACGATCAGTCTTGCCCTAACTCCTTGAGCAACGATGCTCAGCAGCTTCTCCACAATTTTGGATGGCACCTGAGCACCTTTGAGCTCATCAATGCCATCCACCACGATGATGAGGTCGTTCCCGCCCTCGATTGGCTGCTTGAGGATGTCGGAAAGTGCTTTCCACAGCAACTCTTCGTATGCTTGGCCACTAGCGGCGTTGCGACACTCACTATACGCCCAAGCTAATGAGTAATACATCGCCAAATTACCCACTCTCAAGTTGAGGAGTTGAAAAAGCAGTGTCTTGACCAGTGCTAATGATGTAGCTTGCGAAGGGATGGAAGCACCTAGGCCACCATTAGTTTTCGCGCTATTTGATCATGGATACTGGTTGCACTCACTGATTGAAACATACGCAGTATCGTATGTCTTTTTGCTGATGGGTCGTTGCAGCCTATCCGTGATCGAGCCCGCTAGAGTGCTCTTCCCTGATCCTGATTGCCCAGAAATGTGCAGAAATTGGTCCTTGCCGTTGATGAACCTAGTGAGCGGCTTTTGGAACCACAAGCAGGTGAACTCGGCCTGGTTCTCAGCAACGATAGTATGATCGCGGCTGAGGGTTGCGAGCACCCGGTCCTGGGGGGCTAGCCACCTGTTGATGGTCACAAAATCGATGGCTTCACCAGCTTCGAGGCCTTGGTCCTCGATCTGAGAGCTCCATAGTGACTCAACGATCTTCTTTCTCCGAGAGTGAAAGCTGTCAATTGTGTCGCCGAAGGTCTCGAATATGTCGATGCTGACCGATGACGTTGACATGCCTTTCACGGCCTTGTAGAAGGTAATGGCAACATCAACCACGAGAGACAACAAGTCAGCGTACATCAGATTTAGCTGCTCGTGCACATCGGCTGTAGCTGTAGAGGCGAGTAGTTCCACTCTTTGAAGGATCGTGGAGAAAGATAGCGAAAGCTTATAGAAGACGGCAAAGGCACGATCAAGGGCCGCCGAGTTTTCCGAGCCAAGCTGGGTATATCAGCAGCTGATACATGATGAGATGCACAGACTCACCTCAAGGAGAAGACGCGCATGGTCGTAGCCCAAGGAGGCAGCAGCGTGGTTGTCTAGAGCGAATCCTCGGACTGCCGAATCAAGGTTGTGGAGCTGCTCTGCAAAGAAGAGAGCCCTGATCAGGACACGATCCCAACGGCTGCCCTTGTGTGGTAGTGTGGTGAGACGTTCTGACCTGATCTATTCCAGGAACTGAATGAACGTTGTGCCTGCAACGCCCTGGTATACGCCAGCGCCAAGCTGAGCCATACTTTTCTTCTTCAGAGCCAGTACAGTCTCTTGGACGACACCACTCTTGTAGCCATTGTTGCCTTGGTGCACAACCTGATTGATAGAGCTATAGTTGCCGCTCGCGGAGCGAGAGCCAGCATAACCATTAAGCCCACCTTTCTTGTATGTGAATGATTTCGATGAATAAGGAGGCGTGGTCAAACCATCGATACTGGCAAAAGATGAGGTCATTGTGGGGGACTGCATTGCTTCTGTCGTAAGAGGCTCGCTGGACTTGGGGTTTATGGTTCGAGGTACTTGTGCAGCGCCAGCGTTATCTTTGCTGTGTCTCGTGGATGTGGGTAGATTTGTGTCGGCGGTATCTACAGGAGAAGTGCGTGCGTTCCTAAATCTATCTTTCCGCTTTCCTAAAAGATTATCAGTAGCGTGAACAGCAAGAGAGATGTGGTGACAGACCGAATGGATTGTACCTTAATCCAAGCATGTGGAAAATGCTGGTTATACAAAGACAGCAGGAACAGAAGGGCTTGCCCATAAATGATATCTACGTGGGCTTGCTAGGAGAGCTAGATAGTGTAAATAGTACGTCGCTGTCGCCGATCAGCCATGGCTTTGGTGGCTGGCTGTTAGCAATACGGAGTTTCCGGCGCAAGGGTAGATCAGCAAAGTGAATGCAATGCCGATCACCCTGCATCTATAAGGTTCAATTCATTTACAGATCAGAAACAGTCCGCGAATGAGAATGCCTCAAGTTACAGCCTGAGAGAATCGATAGAGGAGAGCATGATTGCTGAGAGACATCAAGAGTCCCGACGTCTCATAGCCGAAAGATGCTCCCAAAACCAGCCTCGCGCAGCCACAAAAACGAGCTGTACTCGCGTAGCAGCTTCGATCAAGAGTACTGATTGGATGGTGACAGTTGTTTTCCCCTCTTTTCAGCTCTCGCTACTCGCCAGCCTGCAGGTAAAGTGCGGAGATCGAAAGCCACCACCAGTTGCACCAGAACAGGTAGTGCACACAACAGATGTATAATTGAGTTCATTTCCGAATGCAGAACACACATGAGACTTATCTGTGTCTTGTCAATCGTCATGCAAAGCGACGCGAAGAGATCACGATCACTCTCTCAATTACTTCCACTCGAAGCCATTTATTGGAAACCGAATATGGCCGATATTCTACTGAAGATCCATCAGACGCAACTGTCAAAGTAGATGCAGGATCTGGATCATGAGCGACCGGCGCATGGAGAATCCAAGGGTCGAACTAAACATTCATTGGTAGCTGAAGTCGGCGACTGGCAGGGTGTCCCCTCGATATGATGTTGGTCGATCACTGTAGGATCCCAAGTATCCGGACAGGTTGGGTGGGTATTGTCGTAAGTTGCTCAGTCGTCTGTGGTCTCCGGGAGGGGTCCTGTGGAGTCGCAATGTGTAGGCAGCTGGAACACACAATTCCCTGTCATCTCGGATACGAGGAAGGATACAGACCGCGGACCGAGCCGAAGGTTTACCATTGAAAGCCAATCACTGGTGCCTTCACGCCACCAAGGGGTCCGGAATGGGTTCTCCATTTCCGCAGCTGTGTGGTGGCGGGCTGAAACGCTTCTCGGGGCGGGCTGTATGCACTTACAAAGGAGTACTTAGGCAGCCTCGAACAGCCAGTAGATTAGTTCGAGATCGAACGGCCAGGGCAGGCGAGCTCGAGCACGATGGTGATGGTGTGGGGTTGGGCGGTGGTTGGGATAGACGTCTATTCGCGATGCGCCGGATCAGCGGCGCTAGCATCAGCCGCGAGATCCCTGACAATACCACTTGCGAATGAACACTGACAAAATAAGTAGTTACAATGCATGATCCAATATCTCTTGCCTACTTGAGGTGAGGTTCAGCTCGCGCCTCGACGCCGTGGATCCGAATTGGGAAGAACGGGCCCACCCGTAGACGATGCGCGATCGTTCGCTGCTGCGGTCGCCAGAAGAATGGGTAATCGCAAGCGAATGCGGCCCGCGGGATCAAGTCGGCGACCACCTGCAGCATCGAGAGGTACATGCAAACCCATTCCGCGGTTCCCTATGGTGATTCGTGTGTGACGACTGAAATTATCCCCGCGTATGCACCCCCACTCGGAACGACGGTGGAGAATCAGTACGAAGATCGCTATAGCCCACTCTGAATTCTGTAACGCTTCTCCCGTGGAGCAGATCTACTTGGTAGCTGTTGAGCTGTTGTGTGCTTCGTGACGTATTTTATGCTCGAAACGTATCGCCCGATCGGTGCGAAAAGAGGATAATGCGATATGCATCTGCTTTGGGAATACCTCGAAGTGTCTTTTCGCCTGCATGTGATCAGCAAGTTCTCTCACCCAAATTGGAGATTGCTCGTAATTCCAGTTGGAGACTAGTGGTTGTAGAGAGGATGTATGAGATCGCGGATTGCAGAAGCGATACCAAGGAATGCATAGATCCGAGTGGGGGTTAAATCTAGACTTAAGAGAGCGAAGTACCATGTTATTAGCCCCGTAACAACGCTCGAAACCAGAAGGCGCCTTCCTAAGGAGCATGCAAGAGGCGTAAGTGATAAAAGATAGTTGTCAGATATTAATGGAGGCTGGCCAGCTCTCTAAATGCAAACATGCAACACGCATACGACAAGGAAACCTATAGCGCTATCGCCCAAATCAAATAGCATGCCCAATGCAACAGCCGTGAACATGCCATATCCACCATTATCAAGCACAACTCTCCCACTTCTCCTCCCCTGTCCATCCGCCTGCTCTTAGCCTCCCGCCGACGCCTCAACCTCCCCCATCACCCCAAGCTCTACCTTCTTCTCCACCGCCGGACTCTCGATAGTCGACAATCCCCTGAATGTCATCCTCCTCTTCCCCTTCCCCTTGCCCTTCGGCGTCAAGTTTGCCTCTTCACCTTCTAAAGCCTTATGCGCCACCCTTCGGTCCTCCTTCTCCAACTCCAGCCTCATCCTCGCCATTACAGCCTGCGTCCTCGCCTGATCCGAGCTATTCCCGCTGTTTCTGGTTTGCGTAACTACGTTCCTACCCGCGCGCATTACTCCGCCCCTCCAACCCTCCAGTTCTCGCTGCGCGTTCGGCGTGCCTGGACTTGCGTCTGGGTTCATGCAGCGCTGTGACTCGTTGGGACGGAGATGCGGGGGTAGGGGAGCGCCGTTGGCGTGCGGAAAGGTGCGCCACCACATGAAGGAGCCGAGGAAGGAGCCATCGGAGGACGGAATGTGGCGCCAGGGGCGCTCGCGGAGGGAGAAGACTAGGCAGTCGATGGCGCCCATGGAAGTGAGGCAAATGACATTAATCATAGATAGCCAGTATAATGGATGTGCTGCGAACTCGTCTTTGTATGTCATGCAGTGGTTGATGAAGGGGAAAAGCCAGATGAGGACGTAGACTATGGGATAGACGAACATGAGGCGTAGTTGGCGGTGGATGCGGGCCCTTTTGTGAGCTTGTTGGCGTTGCAGGTGCCTGGGTGGCGCATCTGATAAAGATGAGGTGTTTCCATCAGATTGGTCCTCGCTACCATTTCGGGGTGGTTCGCTTTCCTTGTCGACGATGGACGCGTCTCCCATATTGGCGGTGTCGTATGTTTGTAATTGCGGAAGTATATAGCAGCGATCCACTGTGCGTGAGCTTCCTGGGATCGAATATGCGCGAGTCGTGTCATTGGCAAGATCAGAGTGAGAGCCCACTGAGGCCACACCAGATCCTCTACGTGATGCCCCGATCATGGAGACCACCGAAGAGCCTCTGCAGAATTGGCTTGCCTGATATTGGGACATCTCGGGACCAGATGCTGAACCGTCCTCCCGGCTGACCACAGAGTGTCTTGGGGTAATGGCTGAGACGGAAGGTGTGGTGTCTTTGACCGAATTCGATATTGCACGGGATTCAAAGCCGACGTGAGCATAGATTGCGATTGCGAGGGCAAGGATGGTTATGGTGATCAAATAGCGGGGAATCCATTGCAGCGCCAGTCGGTACCAGAATGGTCTCAAAGGAAGCGAGCAGTAAGGGCCTTGCGACATGTAGCCCCATAGCGGATTGATGAAAGCCAAAGCGGCCATAATGGCGGGGATGAGTAGTGCACTGATATAGACATAGTACCGATATGAATACAAGCCATCGGACTGGACTATGTTCGAAGGTCGAAACACCTGTAACGCGCTATGTACTGCAATGCACAACACGGCGAAGTCTGCGATGCGGCATTAGTAAGTCATGCACAAACAAAACCAAATGCACTGACCGCTTTCTTCGGTGCCAAACTGTATCAGAAATCCACTGGACTGGCAGAATGCACTTTCTGTAACAACTGTTCCGCGGGCAATCGACACGACTGCCTGTAAAAACAACCACATTGCTTTCATTAGATCTCCAAATATCAAGAGCATGATGAGTCTGGTCATGGTCAACATGATGATTCGGGGCTATGTGACATAACGTACCTGTGGCGAAAGCGCTTTTCCGTACGACTAAACCAGTAAAAGACAACGAACGAAGCTACCATGCTAGTGGCAGCGCAGGCTGCCGCAGCGACCCTCACATTGTAGGTATTTTGATCGTCCCATATCTGGTTATTTGTTGCAGGACCGTTATAGTGCGCCACATCCGGCAAAGGCGAAGAACCAGCTTTCTTGATAAGCGAGCCTGCTGTGAAAAGCATGGGCACATAGTAGTAGATGGCGGATGGGAGATTGAATAATCGATGGACTTGAAGATAATTGATGTTCCTGACGTTCGCCATAATGATCTGCTGCGGATCGTCATCTGCGAACGGGTGCTAATTGACTCGTCGGAGACGCGACAGGCGACAGGTGTGATATATGAAGTTTTGAATTGCTTGTAGCGTGTGGTCGGGTGTTGCTTCTACGACAAAAAGTGGACCAACCATACGTGTTTCTGATGATGGTTATTGTGACCTTGATCACTTAGAGTTAGCAAGTTGAGATTCCGATAGATCTAGAGGGACGATGATGCCGGAAACAGGTGAGACACAAAGGAGTGGCACACTCGCCCCAAATGTTCGGTAGCATTTCCGCATAAACGACTCGACTCCCGTGAGGTTATCGCAGGTAGAGAAGCATTGAGAGTGAATATCTGTGAGTCCAAAGCTAGCTTTTGTGGAAATCATTCACGTGCTCCGCGGACACCACTGGTCATCTACCAACGGGCATTTGTTGGCATTCTCTTCACTTTTTAAATTCGGTGACGTTCCCTCCTCACGTGCAATGCACTATTCAGAGACATGTCGTCCGCTCTGAAAGCACTTCAACTGTGAATCTCATTCCATCCGCGCGTTAAGACAGATGTGATGCACTGCCGCGCGATAACTGTTAAGACTTGCCGCTTTCAGTAATGTCTCTCGCGTTCGCGTCCAGCATACATTGCGCAAGTGCTTTGCTGTGCTTTCAGTCAAATGATTCAGCGAGGACGATCAGCGAGAAGCGTAAGTCGCCGCCGCCAGCAGCTGCCTCGCGCTTGAGGAAGCTCCGCACACCAAGGTCCAAAGCCCTGTCACTGAGCACGTCCTCGTCGGCAGCAAGCTGTCCACGGTTCAAGGGACCTTTGCGGCGACCATCCATCTCCCACAAGTTGTTGTTCTGTGACTTCACGAAGCATACGTAGTGCAAGTCGACATCGGCTTCGGCGGCTGGCGCAGCAGTATCGCCCCTAGCTCCAGCCTCTTGATGCGCGGCTTCCAGGGCGTCAGAGTCGTATAGCAGGTCCGCTCGCTCCTTGGGTTTGAGCGGTATAGCATCACGCAGCAACCGAGCCAAGTTCGAGTCAGGATCTAGAGTACAAATTAGTCTTTGCATGGCAGAGACGATTCAGCAAGCGGTAGTACGTACCAATATGCTCTCGCGCCGCGCCGTTAGAGACTCCATGCAGGAGACCCATCAAGCCGCAAGCGTTGCTGATAGTCTGCTTGTACCAAATGACCTCTTCGTCGGGACCGCTACCTTCATACTCTTGGCGGTCCTTGTCTTCTTCGAAGCGGAATTTCTCATACGTCTCATTCACCGGGAAGATGAGCAGTAGAGCATAGGCGGGACGGGGCACAAAGGAGAGCAGCTCGGGCTCGTCGATGCTGAAAACATCCTGGAACGCAAGCTTCCTGTTGAGACCCAGCTTGTGTACGAGAGCGCTCATCACTTCGGGGTTATTCTCTGACGAGCTGTCAGCGGACACGCTACTTTTATGAGAATGACGTACCCAGAGGTATGAAGCTCTTCTTCCCCTGGCGGGACAACTTTTCTGAAGGAGCAAAAGTAGCCATGTTGACAAGTTGGAGTGATGCAGAGAGCAGTTCGGTCCAGTGTGGTCGGGAGTAGCTCTTGTACGCGACGCGGGGTACCTGCCTGCCAGTGGCGTCACAGCCCCTCCAACCGCCGATGCCCGTGCCTGGATGGATTCATGGGTGTAAGGTCACAAGAATCGATGCAGACTACATGTGGACTCGTGAAGGCATCTGGTCATGGTCACCCTTCAGCGATGGACGCAATACGGAGGCCTGTGCGCGGACGCGATGCCTGACGCGTTCCAGCGGTGCCCCTCGGTGGATTTTGCTCCTGGCTGCACATTGAGTCACCGATGCGAATATTCCACATGCTCTCTGCTACTCGCCTGCGGAGCAACCTCTGCCAATTCTCCCGCCACAAGCTTCCACCACACACGCGACCGTCGTACGCGATCCCCACGCGCCTACACAGCACAGCTTCCACCCCGAACAACTTTCTGCCTACCTTCTTTACCCCGCTACAGCCACTGTTAATCGACTTCTTCCGCCCCGCACTGCCCAGTATGGCAACCGCGACCGTCGACGAGAGCCTTCGCACCTTCCTCAAGACCCACGCTCCGAACGATGCCTTCGCGGAGACCGACGCCGTAAAGGCTTCTCAGGCTCTTTTCCCTTCTGTTACCTACACCGACGCCGAGAAAGCTGAGCTCAACCAATGGCTAACCTCTGCCTCACACGTCGCCGCCGAGGGCGAGGATGTCGCAAAGGCCTCCGAGCGTCTATCTTCGCTGAACACCCACCTGGCTAGCCGGACTACGGTTCTCGGCGCGAAGCCCTCCGTCGCTGATATCGCCCTCTACCAGAAGCTCGCGCCCGTTGTATCAAATTGGAGTGCGGAGGAGAGGACTGGAGAGCAGGGATACCACCATATCGTCCGCCATGTCGACTTCGTGCAGAACTCTCCGCTCTTCGGTCTCAAGCTGGACAACAGAGTGAACATTGACGTGGACAACGTAGTGTTCAAGATCAAGCCCGTCGATGCAAAGGCTGAGAAGGAGCGCAAGAAGAAGGAGAAGGAGGCCGCCGCCGCCAATGCTGCAGCATTAGGCAATGCTACACCAACTACCCTGACTGGCGACCAGGCCGCCGGAGACAAAAAGAGCAAGAAGGAGAAGGCCAAGGACAAAGCACAGGCCGCCGGTGAAGCTGTGGCCTCCACTGTAACTGGCAATGCTGGAGGAGCACCCGAGGGTGCCCCGACGCAGAAGAAGGAGAAGAAGCCGAAGCAGCCGAAACCCCAGAAGGCGTAAGTGTGCTGCCCCGTACAGAGACCTTTTTGTGCTGACCTAGCTGTAGACCTCCAGCCGAGAAGCCTCTCTCGCCGTGCCTCATCGACCTTCGCGTGGGACACATCTTGAAGGCCGAGCGACACCCCAACGCTGACTCGCTGTACGTTAGTACGATCGCCTGCGGTGACCCCGCTGGCACTGATAACACATCCGAGTTCGAGGGTCAGGTCGTGCGAACAGTGTGCTCAGGTCTCAACGGACTCATCCCGCTCGAGGAGATGCAGAACCGCAAGATCGTCACAGTGTGCAACCTGAAGCCCGTCACCATGCGTGGCATTAAGTCCTGCGCTATGGTGTTGGCCGCTTCCCCTAGAGTAACTGAGGGCGAGGACAGCCACAAGGGACCGGTTGAGCTTGTGAACCCCCCAGCGGACTCAAAAGCAGGCGACCGAGTGTTCTTCGAGGGTTGGGAGGGTGAGCCGGAGTCAGTGCTAAACCCCAAGAAGAAGGTCTGGGAGACGATCCAGCCTGGTTTCACTACCACGGACTCGTTAGAGGTCGGCTTCAATGTGGAGAATGTACCACAGCTGTCAGGAGAGGGTGCAGACAAGAAGACTGGTGTCGCGAAGCTGAAGACTGCAGCAGGACTTTGCACGGTGACCACTCTCAAAGATGCTACTGTGCGATAAGAGTACAATTCGCCGCACGCCAGACTACACACAGTTCCTTGCAAAGCGACGTCATTCGAGCGCTCCCAACGTGCAGTGACCCTGCCTTATAGAAAAGGCAGAGCGCAATGTTGGATACCCAGAGTATACACATGCACGCGCTTATGAAAAAGCTATATGTAGAAGATATATCGCAAACAGATCATGTCTCAATCCTTGTTTGACATCCCTTGCTTGAAGAAGTTCCTTCCCCCGAAGGATATCGTGTACTGTCTTACAGATTGCGCAGTGGCAAATGCGTTCACTCAGGCTGCAAACACATGCATAAGCGAAAATCAGCGATGTACTGGTACGTGGACGGACGAGGTTGACGAACACGTCGAGACAGAGGACTCAGTAGTTCGAAAATTAATAGCACTTTTTCTACACCTCTCGTTAAGTTACTTGTCTGCTAAAGAGAAAAGCTCAACATGCAGAGAAAGGGTTGCAAGTACGACAAACGCTACGTCCCAAAATGGAGACCTTTCCGCCCAAGCCTTGGCACATTGAATACGGGCGACCTTTAATCCATGTGAGACCATCACGCAACTACGCACAAATTGATTACCCAACTCCTCCTCGATTCTCTAGTACCTCGATCCCCCCACTTCCTTCGTTCTCCCTCTCATATTCGCGTCATACACAATGGTTGTAGGCTCCGTCCTCGTCACTGGGTAAACATCATGTGCCCCGCAATAACAACAGAAAGCTAATAGAACACAGTGGCACAGGCTACATTGGCTCATTCACGGCTCTGGCGCTTCTGGAGGCTGATTATAAGGTTGTCATTGTCGACAACCTGTACAATTCCTCAAAGGAAGTCGTGAACCGCATTGAGCTCATCAGCGGCAAGAGACCCGAGTTCTACGAGGTTGATATCAACGATGAGGCTGCTCTAGACAAGGTGTTCAGCGAGCACCCCGACATCGACAACGTAATCCACTTTGCTGCCCTGAAGGTACACCTCTGATATTTCCACTTCACTTAAGGTCACAATGCTGAGACCCTTTCTAGGCAGTAGGCGAGTCAGGAGAAATCCCCCTGGAATACTACCGCGTCAACGTAGGAGGCAGCATCTCCCTTCTGCGCTCCATGACCAAGCACAACGTCACGAACATCGTCTTCTCCTCTTCAGCGACCGTCTATGGCGATGCCACTCGCTTCCCTAACATGATTCCCATCCCTGAGCACTGCCCCATTGGCCCCACTAACACCTACGGCCGTACCAAGTCCACGGTCGAGGGCATGATCACCGACCACATTGAGGCCCAGCGCAACAATGCGAAGAAGGCCGGTAAGACTGACGGCGGCAAGTGGAACGCCGCGTTGCTGCGTTACTTCAACCCTTCAGGTTCTCACCCGAGCGGTATCATGGGTGAGAACCCCAAGGGCGTCCCGTACAACCTGCTTCCTTTGCTTGCGCAGGTAGCTATCGGCAAGCGGGAAAAGCTTCTCGTTTTCGGCGACGGTAAGCCAATCATCTGCAGCCCACTAATATCACGTGGCTAATACGGGTCCCGCGTAGACTACAAATCCAAAGACGGCACCGCCATCCGTGACTATATCCACGTTCTGGACCTCGCCAAGGGCCACGAAACCGCCCTCAGGTACCTGCGCGAGAACCAGCCGGGCGTCAAAGCCTGGAACCTCGGGTCCGGTCGTGGCTCCACTGTCTTTGAGATGATCAAGGCCTTCAGCCACGTCGTGGGCCGCGACCTCCCCTATGAGGTTGCCCCGCGCCGCCACGGCGATGTCTTGGATCTGACAGCCAATCCAGAGCTGGCCAACAAGGAGTTGAAGTGGAAGACGCAGTTGACGCTCGAGGATGCGTGCGCAGATCTGTGGAAGTGGACGGAGAATAACCCCGAAGGGTACGATCAGCAGCCACCGAAAGAGTTTGTGGAGGCTTTGAAGAAGAAGGCGTAGATGGTAGGATCAAGAGATCTTGAGACGAAAATTGATGTTGTCGCCTTTTACCTGAAGGAGTCATTACGCATATAGCCTATAAATCACGGCCACAAAACTGCATCTTATAAATGTAATTGAGGAACAACAGAGGGCATTCATGCGTGAACCAATTACCTATCCTTTCTACTTCTGACAGGCATGCATCGATAACCTGCCGCACTGAGATAAATCTATCCATCGTCTCCCTCCCCTCAACCTCCACACGTTTAAAACCCCTCAACATCGGGCTCTCCCCCCTCTTTCAACACACCAAACACCTTCTCCCACAACTCACTCGCCTCACCCAGATGATACGCCAAACTTACATCTTGCATCCCCGCCTCTTCACCACCACCCAAGCTCTCCAGCGTAGAGATAATGTTCTCGAGCCCCAACGCTTTGCCAACAGATTGCGTGGCGCCAGCCTCAAGCTGGACGTGCACGATATGAATGTGAAAGTGATGATACGTCGGTTGATCTACACGCATTAGCTGTCCTTCTCACCCTCCCTCTCTCATCAAACTCACAATGTACATAAAGCTTCAACTGATCCGCCTCAACATCAGGATAAAGCTTCGTCGTCGCCCCAATCAATTTCTCCCTCACATGCTTCAACCACTCGACATCCACCTTCTTCAAGTCCCTCACGCTCCAAATGTCTCTTCTTTCGACCAATCCTAGAAGATGTAGGCTTGTAAGCGTCTTACGATCCCAGTTTAAGTCGGGTAAGAGCAGGAACCCGTTCTGCGGGTCGGACTCCCGGTAGATGACGTCTTCCTGCTCGGTGCGCCCCTCAATGATATTAAACACCCAGTTCAGCGTGCCTTTTTCGCGCTGGGAACGGATCCAGGGAAGAACGTATTTCGCATAAGTGGATGGCGTCTCCGTCACGATGCGCAAGCCCTGCGCAGAGTACTTCTTCACATGCTTCTCTGTGCAGGGGTAAATCAAATTGAGCTTGAAGTCCGGAGGTACGTCCCCATTGGTAGAAGAGGGGTTCGAGTTTGCGAGGAACCATGCGTAGATGTCGTTTGCGCCGAGGTTCTTAATTTTAGTGAGGGAGGTTGGGAAGGAGGAGAGGTGGGCGTTGTCGGTGGCGAAGGCGGCGCGCTCGGCGATGAGGAGGGCGGGTTTGGAGTCGATGGTGCCGAGGAGGGAGATGCGGCGGCCGGCTTGGTCTTGGTTTAGGAGGCGGGTGAGCTGGAAGCGGGGGATGTAGGCTTCTACTCGGGCGGCGACGTCTGGGGGCGTTGTTGATGTCATGATGGGTTGTATGGTCCAGGTGGGCGGAAAGTGGATGGTGAGCTGTGGTCTGTTAGAGACTTGAGGTGGGTGATGAATCATCCTGTCATTTCCCGAAAAGACAGTTCTGTACGGGCAAGGGAGCCAAATCTACGGCTTTATAGCTCCATACGATGATAGAAGGCGTTCGATGTCCTCAGATCCATCTCTTGCAGCCAGCTTTGCAGTCAACTAAACATCTGCTACTCTGATGCAGATACCCCGCCATATGATAGAGTGTCTTGAACATTGTAGTCTAGCATTACGGACGCAAGCAACCTTACCTTATCATATAGTGAGCAAACTGTCGCCAATGAAGGACGTAGCTAGTCCGTATTGGGATTATTCGAAAACACGAAGTGAAATGAAGGTCACATGCTCACGCATTTTCGCGTGTCGTCCAGCCAACCAGGGAAAGCGCGACTGATCGCCGCCAAGACCCCTGCCGGCTTACTGATGATATCACTCCTACAGCTGCACCCCCAGTCCACAGACCCACGTATCAACCTCATCGCAATCTAACCTTCCATTATCAACTGTCGCATCGCTAGGATACACTTCACAATGCCTCCCAAACGCCGCAGCACCGGCGCAACCGCCAAATCCAACCAGTCAACCCTCGCATTCCACGGCGCTTCAAACAAAGTCACAAAGGCCGGCGCCCGCGCGACAAATGCGAAGAAGAACCTGCTCAGCGAAAGCACGAAGAAGGATGAGAAACCCGAGGTTGTCGACGTGAAGGTGGAGGTGGAGGAGGCACCCACGACCGCCGAGGCAGCCATCATCGAGCAAACAGAGCAGGCGCAAGAGCAGGCACAAAGCACACCTGAGGAGGATGAGGCGCGACTGGTCAAGCCGAAGCAATTACAGACATACTGGAAGAAGCAGAATACTGGGTCGGCGCCAAGGTATCATCAGGATGATCTGAGCTTGGAGGAGAAGATACTGAGGAAGTTTGATATGACTGGACAGTTCGGGGTAAGTGCATGCTTAAGGTTTTCGACCATGCGCTGACAGATTTCAATAGCCATGCGTCGGTATCGCGCGGCTCAAACGGTGGAAGCGAGCGCAGCGCCTTGGTCTCGAACCTCCCATCGAAGTTCTTGCGGTACTGCTGCAGGAACAGGATAGCAAGGATAAGATCTCGGTGCAGCGGTCGGTCATGGATGAGATTCTCAACTCGCGCAATGAGATCGAGGCATGAGGGCATGAAACCTGAGTGGAGTCGATTTTCGAAGACGATATGAAATCGACATCGAAAAGGATGTGAACACCATTCCGAAGAGGATGTGGAATTCACTCTTCATATCGGAGACTATGTCCACACAAGGGAAGAAATATTCAGGCATTAGTGATCATTGAGGGCGTTAGGAGTTCAGGGAGCTATGCAACGATTTGGGCCCTGCGGTTATCAGCGCCACGCTACCGATGGCGGAATGTACGATACGCAAGTAGCAATACACGAGACACGTCATCATCCAATATCTTTCATCTGTCGTTTGCGATTGATTACTTGCCTTACAATTGCAAGGTCTGTTCTTATCAAGTTGATCTGTAAGGGAGCCTCACATTGCTAAGGACGCTACAGCGCACTACACTGCTCACTTAAGCCGAACGACATCATCACGCGGGGGTGATCTACTGTGCTGGTATTCACGGATTCGAGTAGCGCAAAGCCATACTGCCTTCGAAGGTATGTAGTGAGATCCCCGCATTAGCCAAAGCCATATAGCGTACGTGATGATGGTTCGCAGGCTGCCCGCACAGTGCCCCTCACAAAGGGATAAACGAGTCGGCTACGGATGCCCTCCGAGGGAAGGCACAAAGAAAGTCACAGATTCGAAACAGGTGTCTGCGAATAAGAAGAAACAGGCAAGTGATGTGTCGGAGGTCCTTTGTGTGGCACCGGGGGTGAGGATCGGCGGGGTTCGTGTGGATCTCGATGGGTCTTTTGGTGGTGGAGGGGGGCGAATGGGCTGCTTTGGCGTGCTGGAGCGCGTGTACTGTGGGGTTCTGCATGCCCTTCGGGGCGCGATGCTGGCTGGATGCAGTTCCGCCTGGGCCCCGACGACAGACCGAAACCAAACATGCCGGCAGCGCTTGGCCACGACCTCACGTTGGGATGGCGGCGCTGGCACTCGAGGGTTGATCTTTGCTTGCGGTTTCGTGGGGAAGACCCACTGGTCTCGCTACAGGTGCAGGCTGTCCTGCGATCAAAGCGACGACAATCGATAACGGTTGCGTGGAGGTGGAGCAGACCGTTTCTCGAGAGCACGTTGAAGCGCTGGCACTGTGCAGGTGGAGGCCTTGCTTATGAGCCCACCATCGCAGGCCTGCACGCCTCGGTCCAACCGTACAACGCCATCGGTATGGGCTTGCAGCAGCGTGCATCGCGGTCGAACCGGACGGGCTGATTGAACGGCGCCTTGATCCATCGAGCCGGGGTGCGACCGATAGCCACAGGCGGGGGTCGAGGCAGTGTCCACTGCATTCCGCCGTGTATCACAACCTCTTTGCGCCCCGCGATCCTCTTATCCTCCCTTTCACACTTATCAGTTCATCTCTCACTTCACCTTCATTCACTGCCATCATGTTCGCCGCTGGTGCCCCCGTCGCCGCCCTTTGAACTCTGCGACTGCCACGAAGGCATCGCCCGTGGTGCTCTTTCCTCGCTCGCGTGCGCTGATCAACTCAGCCTCCGATCGTCAACAATTCTCATGCGGCTGGCCACTCGACCCTGAACTGTACAGCGTCGTCTCCGTTGCTTTGTTTGGGCCTTTCTACTCATCAATTGCTCCACCCAGCAGCCTTCCGGGGTCTGTCAACTCTCCGGTGACCCTTTCACCCCGCACTTGCCATTCGGACGAACCGCAGACCGGGGCATCTGTTCCTCTGTACGCAGTTGACGGTAGCTGTCCACCATTGGACTTGCCTCCCTTTTTGACGGCAATCTGGTGCATTGCTTCCTCTAGGGGCCCATCTTGGCTACTCGTCGCCGTCACTTCCTTGACAGGACGGATCACCTCACGTTGCGTGCCTTCAACTGCACATATACGTGACAGCCACTGTCCGCAAACATGGCAGCTGTCGTCGCGAGAGCACCGCCCATGCCGGGCCGCTCTTCTACGCCCCCACAGCATCTGTCGCTGAATACATCGTCGCGGGGTACACCCCAGGCAATCCCGAATAAGCATATTCCCGTATGCCCACCTGGGCCCGTCCCCGACCGTGGATTGGTTACACCCCCTGCATCGCCACCGTCCAAGGACAGTGTGATCGAGACTACCTCCGTCACCTTCCCACCGACCAAGTATGGCTGCGAATATTCAGAAGATCCTCCGCTCTTCACTATTAGTGCACAGAGGCTAGCAGATGCAGTAGAGCACATGGCAACCCAGCCGCTACCCAACACAGAGCAAGTATTCCCGTGGTTACACGGCCTGCACCCAGACAACCAGATCCAGCTGGCTTTCTTCACCAATCGCCGGAAGAGTAGTCGAAAGGTGCCGCGATGCATTCGTAGTCTCACCATTGTCAAGACCGGCGGAAACCTGGGTGCTTCCAAGCTGAAGGGTGCAATTGCACCAGAAGAGCTTCTCGCCCCTGGCGACACCAGATTTGTTGAGTGTGATCCCAGAGATGGGTTCTCGGTTCGCAACTTTCAGATCCAAGCGTGCAAGCTGGCAACAGTTTCGGATATCATCGTCTACGGTGATACCAGGACAAGCCCCAGTGATACTATCACGCTTGCGAAGCGTATCTCCAAGGCACAGCGACAGTATGAAGTGAGGAACGGCTTTCCGCGGTGCTCCTTCAATACATTCATGTTGTCAGATCCCTTCAACCATGTACAAGAGCATTACCCCCATCTAGTCGCCATTGACTCGAAGGGTTCTATGACGGGCAATGTTGTCGATTTCTTCTACTGGGAGAGGTACGAGATGTGCGCAATGTCAAGAGCGTCTGAGATATCTGAAAATGTATTTCTCGGACCAACACCGGATCCCGCTCTCGATCCATCTTGTGTTGACCAAGTCTACGATGTACTCATCGAAGCGAGCGACATTGCACATGTCCCAGATCCACCTACCTTGCGAAAAGCTCGCACTATGCTAGAGAAGAAGGATCGTAGAGGGCCACTTATGATGGACTTCCCATCATCTGGGAGCATCATGCCACCAAATTGGTCTCAAGTTGAAGTCGATGGTCTGATGGATACCTGCAGGTGGATGTACGAAATGGCTAATCCTTCAGAGCTGCGACGATCCAAACGCAAGAAGAGCGAAACGGATGAGGCCATTGAATTAGACGACATCGCAACACCAAAGAAGATCTTGATCCACTGTACAGATGGATATACTGAAACGTCGTTGCTTGGCATAGCATATTATATGTATGCTCAGGGTGTACCTGCGCATGAAGCTTGGGTCCAATTACACCGCGATAAGGGACGAAACTTTTTCGCCTACCCGACCGATGTTTCCCTTCTCACTCAGATTCAAGCTCGCATTCTTCAAGATTCGCCCCGTTTTCAAGAAAGCCCTTTCCACATTCAGGAGCCCAGGTGGTTGTCGCGCATTGACGGGAGTTTGCCTAGCAGGATCCTTCCATACATGTATCTTGGTAATCTTGGCCATGCAAATAATCCGGAGCTACTTCGCGAGTTGGGCATAACGCGCATTCTCAGTGTGGGAGAGGCGCTCACGTGGCCGGACGATGTCAAAGAACAAAATGATTGGCCGACCGAGAATTTGATGATGGTCGACCGCGTTCAGGATAACGGGGTTGATCCGCTTTGGGATGAGTATCACCGCTGTCTAAAGTTCATCGGTATGTTTTAGTAGACTCACATTCAACGCAATCGACTAATTGTGAGCAGAAGCAGGAAAGCAAGACGGAGGGGCTACCCTTGTGCATTGCCGTGTCGGCGTTTCTCGCTCTGCCACCATATGCATCGCCGAAGTTATGAACGAGCTGGGTCTCTCATTCCCACGAGCGTACTGCTTCGTGCGGGCGAGGCGTCTCAACGTCATTATCCAACCCCATCTTCGATTCACGTAAGCGTAATTTTTACCCTCTTGATACACAACACTGACTTTCACAGGTACGAATTGCTGAAGTGGGAAGAGTACCAGCGTCAGCGACGCAACGAGCCTCTTCGCCGCGAGCTGGAGTGGGCGACCATCGCGCGCGAGATCGCGCTGATGAATAAGCCTTACTCCAGGTAATATGTTCCACTATACTACTACGATTTACGATATCACGATACGATAATTTGTTACGATTGACGGAAACGAGATGAGATGATCCAGATCTGTTTGCCAGGCTACGACGATTTATCCACACGACACGGGATATATGTCTCTGGCGTTCGCGATCTGGCTCCCTTTCTTTCCGCGCTGAGCTCGACTCGACTCGACTGTTGGGTAGCCTGGGACGAGGATGTCCCAGGCTTTGCGTTTACTTGCGTTTGCGTTTTCTCTTCTGTCGCATCTCTTACTGTTATCATGCTATGCTCTTACTTGCGTCTCTCTCTTTCATGTACCGTATAGTCGTTGCATCTACGCTTCTGGGTGCAAGCATGGGGAAAGAGTTGATGCGTGCGGCAGGCGAGGGTTGAGCGCAGGGTTGCATCTTCCTTCCTTTCCCTTTTTCAACTCTTCTTCCACGTGTGTATTAGTCCTGGGCTTTGATGGGAAACGACATGGTGTTTGGGCTTGATAGGGAGTGTGAATGGGAGAGGGTACATAGGTGGAATGGCGTTTGCAACGATTCAAATCCGATCTTGTGAGAACGTGATGCCACCGTGAGAGATACACTAGTCGACGCTTTGAAATTAATCACAGGCACAACGATCTGAGGCGCAGGAGCACGCCAACTCGACCTCCCGCTCAGCATTCCCCATGGAATTTGTCACCCCTCCATCCTTCCTGCTCAACACACATTCGCTTGGGTAGAGATTGCGGGCAAAGACGGCACGAGCTTCTTCTAACTCGGATGTGTGGCTTGCGCATCTGCGCTCAGGAGAGGGAGCAGAGGTAAGGCTTTGGTCATGCGGAAACAATAATTATATTGCCTCCACCCATTCTGTTCCTATTCAAGATGCCACTCGGTACAAAGCAAGCAGTGCACGCAATGAATGATGGCTTCAGTACAGACTCTCCGGCCCTTCATCGATGCTAAGCTAAAAAATAGAAAGAGAGGTAAGATGCAAGAGTAGAGATACTCATGGGATATAGAAGCTTCAATTCAGCCCGCCCTCGTCCCAGGTAACGAACGCCGATGTGCAATGCAAAAAGGACAAAGCTATGCAAGACCGACCAAGGGGAAGCGCAGCAAGGAGGTCGACACCTAGTCTGGCAGTTCTTGGGAGGCGCCCGTGAGCTCGTTGGGCTCGATGATGCTACGCTTGTCAGTGGATGCCGGAAAACAATCTCAGGTGAAGACGCACTTGTATTTCTTGAACAACGTCCCTTCGCCTCCCTTTTCCAAATCGATGTTGAAAATGTAGTAGGTGCCATCGCTCGTGACGACCATGATCTGAGGGCCGTCGTTGCGCATGGCGACGACAGACTTTACGGGGCCGGTGAACGAGCTGTTAGCGTTGCGCGGTATCTTAACCCAGGCAAAGTCGCGCGATGGCTCCCACATTTCGGACACTGCGCTCGGGAGGTACCCACCGACAGTCGCGAAGACGGACTTTCCAACTGTCTGCGACGTCCGCCGTAGCATGCTTGCCAAGGTGGGATTCAGCGGTTTTCGTTCCGGCTCAGAGGACTCGGCTGTGCTGCCGTCTTCTCTGGCGTATACTTCTGCCGACTCTTCGCTGGCACGGCTGCTGCTGCGGCCTCGCGATGATGGCGGTCTGCCTGACCCTGAAGAGATACTACTACTCCGGTTCTTATGGGGTACCCCTAGCTTGAAAATATGCACGGTGTCGGAAGCGGACGATACGCAGAGCAGCGTAGAGGCAGAGTTGAATGACATGCTGTAGATCCGAGAGGGTATTGAGCCCCGGCGAAACTGGTAGAGCTTCTCGCCACCAGGCACCGAGAAGACGCGTATTATTGTTCCTTTTTCTGACGCCGTTGCCAATAATGTGCCTTCGCTGTTCATGGCGATGCAGGAGAGGGGTGAGTTGTGCGCTTGTATGACATTGACGGGTTCCAGCTTTGTCGCATCGTAGATGAGAACTTCGCCCTTCTCTGGCGCCGTGTGTTCGGGCTTGGGCGGAGCATGGGAGGGCGCCTGGAAAGGAGCGGGCGGTGCCGGTGACGGGGTCGGGAAGGCAATGTAGTTGTTCTCTGAGGACGGAGAGAGTGCGCAAATAGCTGCTTCATCAGAAACTTGCAAGCACGAGTGGAATGGGAGGTCTGCATACCATTTGGATTTGGCGATGTCGGCTCAGTCTTGATCATCTCCAAGTTGCCAATGTCGTAGATGTACAGCTCCGTCTCTAGCACGACCACGAGTCGTTTCCTGTTCAAGCGTATCGCAAGGATAGCAGTGCGAAAAGTCATCTCACATATAGTCGAGTGTCGCTGATGCGCGTCAATAAGCGTACCGTTCTCGCATGGAGCGGAACTTGCCTTGATATTGTGGACTCGTAGGATGCGCGGTGACAGCGTGAGGGCAACCAAAGAGGTAGAGAAGAGCATCTCCAAGCTGGAGATATCGCCCTCGCGCGACTCGGAGGTCTTGTAAAAGGAGTCGGTGGCATAGATGCGGTAGCCTTTGGTGGTGCCTGGTGTGGTTGGCGGTCAGCAAACAGCATGTTGTTGAGAAGGATGTAGCATATGTAGCTCACCAACACCCAGTTGTGTATGATCCTGGTTGAACGTGACGAAGTTCATCGACGTCATGGCGAGCGCGGCTGCTCACTGCGGATGCAGTGGAAGCCTGCAGAGAGGCAGATGTGGTGGTTGAGCTCTCGGTGGAGCTTGGGCCCCGCGGGGTCTGTGTGGGCTATCGTGCGATGCGCGATGGTTGAGAGGGGGTCTGCGACGAGAGTGACATGTGTGTAACTGTGACAAAGAGCGGGCGCACTGTATACCAAGATACGCGACGCTTCTGCCTTCACTTCCGGTGACCTCGAAGTTGACCGAATCGGCGAACGAATGGCACTAGCACATGCCCTCGCAAGGATCACGCCCCGCTTGGAAGCCGCCATCCAGTGCTAGCCGCATCCGGCCTCAGACGAATTTGTCGAAATTCATGAGCCAACCTCGACGCGAATCGGCAACTTGGCATGGCCGCGATGTCGTCAAAACGAAAGATGCAGTCAAAAAATGCAGCAAAGAAGTCGAGTGGTGGCAGAGTCTCGAAGCAGGAGAGGATTGATGATGCCATCATAAACGTAAGTCACATGTACAATGAGATCAAACTGAACACTTAGGGCTAAAAGGTAGTAGACGAACGATAGTAGTATTGTGTCGAAGCGCAGTGTCTGCAGGTTGTATATGCCCGATGAGCCGGACTTTTACGAACCTTTCACTACCAAGTTCATCCGAAGAAATCCCTTGATCAACCGTGGATACTGGCTTCGAATGCATGCAATCGAACAAGTAGTCCGTCGGTTTCTTGAGGATAACAATGGAAAGTCCAAGGTTGTTGTGAATCTAGGTTGCGGATAGTGAGTAAGAGCCATCCGGCAGTGACCTTGTTTGACGGTGGACTTACAGTGTAAAGTGATCCACTACCTTTTCAATTCTGGCACCGACATGCGTCTCTGTCTAAAAACGCAACATTCGTTGATGTCGACTACCCGCAGCTTATCGCAAGGAAACGTGACCGCATGCTGAACAATGAAGCGTTGCGGAACGCACTGTTTGAGACGAACTTGCGTCCGACGCAAGCGCCCGTTTACGTCCGCAGCGACCGCTATCTTGCGCTCGGCTGCGATCTCAGGGACCTTAAGACGCTGGAGCGTCTACTGCGAAGAGACTTTGACGCTGCAAACGCTTCATTTCTCTTCGTAGCCGAAGTGTCTGTCACATACATGCCGACCCCTGATGCAGACTCAGTCATTCGATGGGCAAGCACCCTGGACGATGGTACGTGTCCCATACAGAACCCACGTGCAGATTTCTAAGTATACTGTGCAGCTCGCTTCTGCCTCCTAGAGCAATTCCTTCCCCAGGGGCCGGAACATCCCTTTGCACAAACCATGCTGAAACACTTTGACAAGCTGCATAGTCCCATCCACGCCGTTCAGCAATATCCTCTCCTACACCAACAAGCATCCCGGTTCACAGATGCAGGGTGGTCACAGGTGGAGATTGCACGCAATCTCTGGGACCTTTGGTCCGATGATGGATTTACTTCTCCGAGCTTACGACGAGGCCTCGATGTAGTCGAGCCTTTCGAGTACGTGACATCTATCCATAGGCCGCATAGCACTGACCTTGAATAAGCGAATGGGAGGAGTTTGCTCTATTTGCTGGGCACTACTTTCTTCTAGTGGCTTCAACGGCCAACAAGGGTGCTTCACACATAACGGATAGTGCCGTGCCAAGTGTCACACCGGTCGAAAAGATACGGGAAGTGCAGATGATCCTTACACATCATACCCAATCTCAATTAGAGTCGCGCCGATTTGGAGCTGCAGTTGCTCTGGGGCAAAACACGGCTGCCTTCCACGGTGGCCAGGGTGTTCAGACACGTTTAACCAGCATCGACGTACTGGTACAGGACATTCCCGAACCACCCGTCCAGCCCTGCAAATCGACGCCGCCGCAAGCCCGCATATGCCACACTGTCACAGCGTTTAACGACACTTGTGCATTATTGGTAGGCGGCCGCGCATCTCCATCCCATGCACTTGCCGACTGCTGGTTGATCTCGGCAGGACAATGGACTCAGGTCGGCGACTTACCCTCAGCTCGTTTCAGACACAGTTCTGTGAGAGTGACTATACCATCTTCAAAGTCCGACGGCGCGGGCGTTGAAGCGGTCTTGGCTTTTGGCGGCAAAACCAGTGATGGCCACATCTTAGATGAGTGGGTGATATGGACACGCGAGGACGGTTGGAACGCCATCCCGGTCAACGGCCCGCGTCCTTCGGCACGTTTTGGTGCAGCACTGTCGACGATAGCCCCGGCCCAAAGTTGGGGCGTCATGTGCGGTGGAATGGCCCCCAGCGGCGTAGTCCTGCAGGACCTCTGGGAGTGGCACATCACTGCGGCACGACAACTGGAATTCTTCGACCGCACCAGTAGTGTTCGGTGTAACACGGAAATACCTGCATTCGGGCGGCTGGGAGCCAGTCTCGTCCCGTTCGGAGACCGCCTGTTGCTCATTGGAGGAGTCTCGAAGCAGGGTATTTTGGATCTGCCACAAGACTTCCTAGCTATATCACACGACGCTACAGCTGGTCACACTACATATGATGTACAGATCCCCGCTCTCAAGCTGTCTCAGTCGATGTGGCCTTTACTTGTTGGAACAAGCGCGGCTGCAGTGTCCGACAACGAGATCATCCTTGCAGGTGGTGGGGCCGTCTGCTTCTCTATGGGGAGCTTCTGGAACACAGGTCACTTCTCTATCACCCGAGGAGCGGAAGAAGTGAGGCCCTGGACCGTGGCCGTGTCTCAGTCTTCCCAAGATAGCAAGAAGGATGACCAGCAACGATCTGCTCGAGCCGATGGCAAGCAGGCAGCCAAAAAGAAGGGGAAGGGCAATCGGCCCGCTCTGCCTGCAAGCACCAACATTACTCGCATTCAGATCGACTCGTCTGAGCACTTTGCAAATGTTCTTGCCGCATCCAAGCCCGTGATAATCGAGAACCTCGACATCGGGGCATGTAGAGATCTATGGACTCTAGACTACCTCAAGGAGAAGATCGGTGCGGAGCGAGAAGTCGTCATTCATGAATGCGCTTCAGATCGCATGACCTTCAAGGACAAGAATTTCTCATACGTGAAGAAGCCATTCGGAGACTTCCTCGAGGGCATCTCCGCGGGCGCCCAAACATACCTGCGCGCTGTGTCCTCTGCCCAACCCAACAGACTGCCTACAAACCTCGAAGACGACTTCCCGTCCGTAGCTGGGGACTTCAAGCTTCCCGACGTCTTCGATGTGATAAGGAGTAATCTACACAGCTCACCCCTTCGCATCTCAGGCCCCGTAGCGCTCTGGCTACACTATGACGTCCTCGCCAATGTCCTTTGTCAGGTACTTCACCTTCAGATCAATTCCATCATTCCTCTACTAACATAATCCCGTAGGTTCGCGGCTCCAAAACCCTCCACCTCTTCCCTCCCGCCGATGTAAAGCACCTCTCCTACCCACCCGGAGGTTCCAGCTCCAACGTCGACATCCTCACCTCAAGAGACACACGCCTTAGCCACACGCATCCTCACACCGCACACATGCGCCCCGGTGACATACTCTTCATCCCACCTATGTGGAGTCACACCGCTGTTCCAGAGGACGGCGTGAGCGTGGCTGTCAACGTCTTCTTCCGGAATCTAGAAAGCGGATACGCAGCGGGCAAAGACGTGTATGGGAACAGGGATTTGCAGGCGTATGAGAATGGAAGAAGGGATGTAGAGAGGATTGCGAAGGCGTTTAAAAACATACCGGATGATATGGCAAAGTTTTACATGGACAGGTTGGCGATGGAGTTGAAGGATAGGGCAGACGCTGTGGGCAAGAGTACGCGAAGCGGTGGGTGATGGGAAGAGGATGATATTGTCACTGGTACTCTTCCAAGTACACCATATAACACCTACAATACAATCTATCTCAAGCTTTACACTGCTGTTCAAATCCGTTATTTCTCATACATGCCTTTTCCACAGCCACATGCTCAGATGAGATACCTAATCGCTTATAGTAAAGCGCATAAATCGACCGATGGATATAATCGATCAATACACACTACTGTCTTTCCTCCGTGTAAGAAAGTGAATCAGCCAGGGTCCCAGAGAAGAGATAATGCTGGCCTCTTCACCCAACACCTTGCGATGCGTGCACGGATTATGCGGCCTCGGGAGGATTTTTGCATCCGCGGTGGTGTACCAGAGTATGGACGCAGAGACTGCTTTAAATAAATAAGCATTAGAAGGCGAAGAGTACATGAGGGGACCAATTAGTGGGCGGGAGAGGAGCCTGTGACGGAGTTATGCACGTCAAAATTACGCGTACGGAGGCGAGCAAATGGAGGAGAATTATGGGAACGATCAGTTGGAGAGGTGGTTGGAGTTGAAGCCGAAGTACAAGTCGCAGAATAGGTTTTGGTATCATGCACCATTGATGCCTGCTGGGAAGGAGAGCGATGAGAGCTATAGCGAGCTATAGAAAGATAGCACACTATACAACGTGTGCCTTCAAATACTGATGGGCATTCTCCTGCCGTTCTTGTACGTTTTCGTAAATCTAGTTGAACACCAATTTTGCCACTTTTCTCGTCAACTCCACCAAGTAGAGCACTGGACCCTGACCTAGGCAGTTTTCTCAATTTGAAGAATCGTTTGTCAAAGTCGTTGATTTTACTAATCTAGAAGGCTATTAACGAGCATATACATAGACCGGCGTTGATTTTACGTGCTGTAAGAATTTTGAGCTTGGGTGTGTCAAACAGGCGGATCTGGAGTGAACTGAAGGAAAGAATTGAGAACATCAAGCCGAGGGGCTCGAAATATGTGATTTTGGGGGCCTGCTCGAGGGGAATAAGAAGAAGATCGGTAAGTCCAGCAGTATCTTGGAGCTGCCCTCTCCTGAGACTAAGACGTGCGATGGGCAAAATGTAGAACCTGTCACCCGTCACAGCTCGCATGCCACTACGTGCGTCGTGACTTTTGTCTTCTGAGCTGACAATTTAACCTGTAAATCTGTTGTGCGAGGTCCGAGTATCATGATGTCGTCGATATGCGCAGTGAAGTCAAACAAGAGGTCTACATTAGAGAGGGTGATGCTGCCCACTCGCTTATCTTGGATTTGTCTCTGAGAATTAGCTTCTGCTTTAAAGTACCGATCTGATGTGGTTATGCATTCTCTCAGCAGCCGTGCCTATCGTCATGGAAAATCGCTTCTTTGAAACCGACTTGAATGAGCGTAGGCACTACTTCTTGAGGGCGTGCATCAGGCTTAACCTTCGTTTCAGATGCTACTAAAAGATAGTTTGAGCCTTTCCTCCAGATACAGTTATTCAGATTGTGCCTTCAGCCTCTCTTGATTTTGATTTTCGCGACAAGACTTGGATTTAGGGGACGATGGAGCTGGGAAAGTATTCATCCTCTGAATCTTCTTGCGGCTCCTCTTTTGTGGAAAAAAAAAACGCATGAAGACAGAAGTAGGCAGTCTCGCCTGCCTTGCTTCTGTTACTGCTGTTCGTTTCTTTCCTATGCGAATCGATGGCATAATGGTGTAAGAAGCGTCTGACGAAGGAAGAGAGGAAAACGACGATATAGAATTAGCGATGTTACAATATGAAAAGTCTATGCAAAACAGCAGACGCTTAGCGTTTTCGAAGTGGTGAAAGTTTCGACCCCAAAATTGAACCAGATCGCGAAAGGAGCGTTCCTTTTCATCACGATTTCGTCAACATCACAGAAAGTAAGCGTCAATAAATTGCATTTGTAGGTTAGCATACTGTTCAACAGTACAGGATGTTGCCTGAAGCAGCATCTTGTTTTGATATTCGTGGGTCATCTTGATGGATGGTCGTGGGTATTTGGTGGTAGATCTAGTCAGCGAATGAAGTTTTCGCGAATGCTATTCCCTTCATCCACAAGAATCTTCAGCGAAGGTTGGGCGCTTGATGAACAACTTCACCGAAGGACAGGGGACTGCGGGACCAGTCCCCGGAGGACGCGCTATCACGTGGTTTCCCCGCGCCACATTCCCCGCTGACGTACATGAAGCTGCAGCCTGCGTTAAGCGCGTTGACCTCCACCGCACAGCATCTTCACACCCCATTTACTCACTTCACAACCCATCCGCCGTAATTCTACGAACACCAGTCAAATCAGCATACACGAAACCATGCCTCCAGCAAACAGCGCCGGCAATCCGCTGAGCGCACCGTCGCTCTCGACGTTCATGGCGGCTAGCTTGCCCAAGGGCGCCGAGAGCAAGCTAAACAGTCCGTACGAGGCTGTCGCGCTTGCTGCTCATGCGGCAATGATAGCGGTAGGCTTCCGTTTGATCGGACTCGGCGAAGACGATAGAATAGGTGAGTTACGCAGCTAATTTATCGATGTTCGCACAGCCCATTGACGCCTGATAGACGCGACAGCAGACGCCGAGAACCCCCAACCGCTACCGACAGTCTGGAACGCCCACAACTCGTATGCCTTCCGCTATGCACACTCGCAATCTGCTCTCGAATACATCATCAAAGTCAACAGGCTAGGTGGCAAAGCCGTCGTATTCGGTATTGGCGTAGGCGACGATAAGACGGCGAGCTTCGATGTTGCCGTCAAGGACTATTTATCGGAGGGCTCACTACCCGTCTCAGCCTCGGAAGACACATCGAATGAAGACTTAGCAAAGAAGCTGCAGGATGTCTTCATCTCGCAAGGCCGTCTCTCCGACTTTGGCGCCCTGTTCAAGCTTTCCATAATACAGAAGCTGGCGCCTGGTCTGAGCAAGGCGGGATATGAGGACTCAAACACACAAGACGAGCGCGATGCAGGCCGCGTGCGCGACCAACCACGACAAGGCGAGCCCGCAAACCCGAGACGGCCGCCAGAAGAGCCAGAGCCAGCCCGCCCGTACCCGTTCGTTGACCCGCTCGCGCAGCCTCGCAACCCAGGCCGCCCATTGCCAGAACCGATCCCCGGCTTCGAAGACGAATACGAGATCAATCGCCCGCCACGCGGTGGCCTTCGCGACGACCGAAACCCAATGGGCATGGGCCATAATGACCTTTACCCGCCCGGTCTAGGTCCACACGACCCTCTGCGTCCTCATCTTGGTGGTGGGCTGCCACGACCTGGCGGCATGGGTGGCGGCATGCATCCGACGTTTGACGATCCGCTATTCGGTGGACAAGGCGGTGGAGGCAGCTATGATCCCATGGCGCCGCCGGGTTCGAGATATGACCCCGTTGGACCCGGTAGTGCGCCGCGAGACAACCGAGGAGGTCCGCGATTTCCTGGCGGAGGAGGCTTCGGTGGCCTAGGCGGTGCTGGAGGGAGGCCACCGAATCCTTTTGGCGGCTTTGGCGATGGTGACTTCATATAAGCTTGTGCGGTATGAGGAAGATTGGAATATTTAAAGATGCGCGCTGAGAGGATTTACGAACGACCATGAATTACGCTGTATGATAATAGATAGAACGAAAATGCATGACATGTGGGGAGGACAATAGATACTCAAGTCGCTACGCAAAAGTCATTCGTTAGCTGTAATCTACCACATAGCCACCAAGTAAAAGCAATTGATACAACACCTAGATCATGGCGTTCTCTATTGTCTTCTCTGTGACCTAGACATGCAAATAATCCCATGAGCACCACCCAGCCCGCCCCCAATTCCTCGCTCTCTTTCCTCACCCTCACCACCACCATCCTCCCACCCCAAACCTTATCCCCTAGCCCGCAACGCCATCCACGCACGTCACCGCCAACTACCGACGCACATGGCTCCCATGCCGCGCGCACTCAGCAACTGCAGCCTCCTCCCGCCCCGTTGAAATGACTACGCCGCATCTCGAGATGACGCGGGAGCGAATGCTCCCCGCATGCCCAGTTGCGGCGCGGGCGAGGTTATCCAGACGACTACTCACACTCAGCATTCCTTGCTGCCCTGCTCTAGGATAATCCCTTCGCAATTGCAGCATGGACAAAGCTATTGAATCGAGACCCGTCATACTTGTGGAGAAGCTTTCTTTGTTCTTTCGAAAACGTGAGGTGGGACCTGGCGGGACCTGGCGGGACCCAGCGCGCGCGCGTGTCAATCAGGAAGTGTGAAACGCTACGTGAAATCGAGCATTTGCCTATTCGACGATAGCTGCGTGTCGTGTTCGGGGTTCCGGGTCGCTGGGAGTTGCTAGAGTCGATAGAGTGATGGAGTACGGTAGACTAGGTGCTATGGTGCCTGACTGACTCGCTGGATGCTCGGGGGTATCCCAGGGTATCCCACCCTGTTCGTTGAGCAAATCAGATGCGAGCGAGCGACGTGCCGAGAAGAAGCCAGGCGCCGCCATGGCGTGATGCGTTCCGCCGAGCCTCGTGTTGCTCTTTGCGACTTGTGCACCTGCTAGGCCGGCCTCCGAGGCTGCCGAGGCTGCGCTGCGCTGCTCTGCTTTCAGGCGCCTCGCCAAACGCGCGAGAAGAAGAGAAATGTCCAGCGCCGGCGCGCCTCGCTCAGTGACGAAAGAAAGGTGCACCCCACGGCCAGCCTTGCAGCCCTAAGACTCCTTCCACGTCGCGGCTCTCAGCCAGCCACGGCGTCGATCGGTATAAGCTTATCTTGCGCCATCAGCCTCGCGCACGCAACCAATGCAGCAATCGCGCTGAGACATTTCCCCACGCTGTGAGATTTCCGGCGCGCGAGTGGCTTTCGCTGAGATTTAGCACCGCGCTGGGTCCAGTCGTTCGTTCAGTATCGCAAATGACGCGAGGTGTGGGAGGATTGAGGATGGTGGGCAGAGAGAGTCAGCGTTTGCCGATAAGCGCGCTTCCGAGGCCGCTCGCTTCCGCGCAAGCGCGCTGTTTGGGCGGCGCGCCTGTGTGAACGAACAGATAGCTTTTGGGTGGGGTGGAGAGGGGAAATAAGGCGAATTCGGGACTGGTTGTCGATATAAAGCATCTTATGTGCGTTTTTACAGACTTGCGCTCAGGTGTGGTCGTTGCCTTAACGCGCGGCATGTGTCGACAGCGACCTTTGACTTTGTTGAGCGCGCTTGGAGGAACAAATGTCGCGGATTCTTCCCGTTCTGCATGTAGAGGGTCGCACAGCGTTGCGGGGTTGCCAACGCACGCATTGCGCGCACTGTGGTATGGTACATGTTCGCAAGCCTTTTGTTGCCTTTTTTCGGCGCTGGATTTAGGATGCCGTTGGAAGGGGAAGGTGTGTGCAAGAGAAGCTTCGCTTGAGTCTCAACGTTGTCCGGTGCCCAGTAATAGGCTCTTGTAGTCGTAGTTTCGATAGAGCTGTATAATTCATGAAGTCGCGCAAAATCTTGTCTCGTCAGTCAAAGGTTCTTGCTGCTGAACAACGTACAATACCAATTCAAACAAGGCAAACATGGCGGTCGCTGTAGGCAATTTGCAGTATGAAATGGAGATTCCGTGTAGGTGATGCAGCGCAGAGTCGGTGTAAGCTGCATTCTCGCGGTGCATACCTAAATTTTTCCCTAAGCGTCTGTTCAAAATCTTCCAGCTCGGAAACCCGCTCTCCTCACTGGCGCCCAGAAAAGAGGCAAACGATCGGACATGAAGCGGATCCATACATCCGTCGCCACATTGCAGGTGTGCGATGGCGGTAATAAGGGAGACGCTCAGACGCGTCATTGCTTCTTACCTGCAGATTCTTTGGCCCCCAGCTGAATGCGCGTATGGTCATGAGAGCAGGTACTCGCGGTAGTCGCTCGCCGCTCGCGTAGGCTAGAGCCGCTAAAACCGCTAAAACCGCTTGAAAGTAGAAAAGAGTTGTCGATAGAGTATAGCTTCGGTCTACGTTGACGCCGATGGTTTACCAATGTTCGGTTTCTCCCCTTGCTTCACTCCTTGCGATCTATGCTACGGCTGCGAGAACGAATCTTTGACCAATGCGGAAGATTGTGCGCCTGTATTCTGATTCGACGGAAGACAGTCTTCGAGGAATCCTTCTGCTCGCTACTGCGCAGGGCTGCAATTGGTCATCAGGCAAATGTTTACCTAAATGTCATGCCGGACGTATGTTTGACCGATGACACGTAAGGCTGCAGGTCGAGGCTGCGCATCATAATGTCGAGGCGCAGCGAATTTCGATGGGGAAGGTTGTATAGCCCTATGACAGCAGGCCGGGTACCGCTACACCCACGTTGCATCATTCCAATAACCTTAAAAGAACCGGTGAGGCTGATGGGAACCGAGACATGCGCCTATTGGGTAGACTAGTGTTTCATCCATACTAGTAATTCGGATAAGCATCGAAGGGCGTGTTCAGTAAACCTACGTTCATGTAGAGCTGAGACTCAATTGAGCTTGAACATAGACTGGCATCATCGCCTGGACCAAACAAGGGACAAAGGGCGGCCGCAGCCACAACGTAAATGTATCGTGCTTTATGGTTCGCCAGCTCGTCCGTAAGGGTCGCACGAGCCAGCGTACAAGCGCCGGGCGTTAAGCTCATGAGATTCGCGCGTGGGGTGGGAACGCCCCGCATCAACCCATGTCTGGCGGGATACCGTAGGATTTCTGACAGAAGGATGTCAGAACAATCCTTCAATATTCAGCCCTATTGAACGTTGCTGACTTGAGCTCGCGAAAGCCAAGACTGCGAGCTACAGGGAATCTCGGTCTTTCGGTCATGCTGGGGCTGTGATCCGAAAACATCCACACTATCCGGAATAGCGTCCGTGCGTCGAGGCAACGACAATTATCGAAACGATGTATAGTGCGGAAGTGACTTAGTCGAATGCACGGAAATAGGTCGCAGACTTGAATCCTTTGCGTGAAGCAATACATTGAATGCTGGGCTGACGTTAGTTTAGAGCTTGTGTGACACACGCGCTAAAACACAGCCCCAGTAACGACTGGCGCGTGGGTGTGCGCCACGCGCGTTCCCCCGCGGTAGATCAGTTAGGATGTAGCCGCCAGACGAAGTAAGCGCCGCCTGCGCCGCTTACGCGCTTAACACCCCAGCACGAGAAAGGAGCCGATCGCGATAGCCGTCTTACGCGATGCTTGGCGAGCTTCAGTCGCGCTGCCGCGCGATAGATTGTTCCATAGGCCCTCAGTGCATCTGCTGGAAACCCAATTCCGCGAGCTCGGTGGATTGCGTGCAGCAGGGCACGCCTGAAAACTGGATCCCAAAAAAAAAGATATTACGAGTATCGTCCGGTCACACAGTGCGATACTACGTAGAGTGTGCTCGTCCCTCAGCGTAGGAGCAGTCGGGTACATTTCGGCGAGTTAATCGTCCTCTGGGGCCAAATTCAAACGGTCAACATGGCCCCTTCGCACAGTTGGATGTTCCAAGCATGGAACTTTCGCATGCGCCGTAGATGTTTGCGCCGCTCGTGGCTCTGAGACGACTGTTTGATCTTACAGGCGAAGAGCCACGTGTGATCGGCCTCAGGCAGCCCATACCAAGGATGTGGAGAGGAAGCTCGATCTACACGTGCTAGTGAGAAGTTTAACAGACCTAAGCTTGGTTCTTATGATCCTTCTGGGAACCAGACTCCTTCACGTTCTTACAAGGCGTTGCCAGGCGTCTGTTGAAGCGACCGTTAGAGGGTAGAACAGCTACGTCACTGAGCTGTAGAGGCGTGCGATCCTGGAAAACGTTTCGACAAGAAAGAGCCCCCATGAAATAGATTGGCTTCGTGTCAGGGTGGATCGCCGGCGACTTCACACCTCGCCAACCCCTGCGCCACGGGCGTCGAATAAGAATGCCCACGTTGAAAGAGCACTTGCACAGACGCATGTACTCCGGGGGGGCCATGTGCAAGACGTTGAGCCGTTTCCGTGCAGGTCAGTGCAGGGCTGCAGTAGACGACTGCGAGGCCCGGACTGCATGTCAAGTGGCCAGCGCTGCCCTGCAGCTCAAAGATGCCCTGAGTTGAGTCGGGCACGGAGCAATACTCACACCACTGCTTGACGACACGGGCTCCCAAACAACGAAGCTGACAGTAATACGCAGTGCACATCGGTCGACCAGGTATCGTAGATGCCCGGTATACCAGTGGCCGGTTACAAAATATGGGCTATGATATGCAGGGCTGTCACTGCCCAATAGAGAAGGCGGGCGGGGCTCCAGAGGTGGGCATGCGCCCTGCTGTGTACCCTCCGCGATACAATCGGCTAGAAGGGTCAATTTCGAAGCGCGAAAGTGAAGACCGAAGCGATGGCATGTGGGGCATGTCTCAGTCGAAGAGTGCAGTCGGCATGCCACGGTGGGACACCTTTCTTTCAGGTGCTGAGCTAGCCGCAGACTCAGTGCCGAAGAAAGAGATGAGGGACGGTCCGCCAATGCAACGATGACCGAACAGCCCGCATACCCGTCCAGTCATGTGCTTTCGCCCGGCAGCAGAC